AACTTTTAATAATATTAACTTTACTTAAGTTTAAGAATAATAATAATAAAAAAGAATATAATATTAGTATTAAATTCTAAATATATAATAATCTAATCTATAAAATTAATAAAAAAAATAAAGAATAGCTTTATATTTTATATTTTTTAAAATTAAATATTTTTTATCTTATTTATAATTTATTTAGCTATAGTAGTTTCTCTTATATTTATAACTATATATCCTTATTATTTTTTATTTATTAGTTTTATAAATAGTTAAAAAACTATCTTTCCTATTATCCTAAATACTAGCTTTACTAAATAATTTATTATCTACTATATAAATAGCTATAGCTAATAAATACGCTAGTAATTTTATTTTTTATTATTATTATAGACTTTATTATAAATTTACTAAAGTTTAAACTAAATAAACTTAATATACTTTTTACTTTAATATATAAGTTCTTAAAAAAAGTATTTTTAATTACTAAAAAAAAACTAGTTAGCTAAATAGTAAGCTAATATTATATTAAAAAAGTTCTTACTCTAGGACTAGGGAGTCTTAGGCCACTTTATTTTAGACTATAATATATAATTTATATTATTATTCTAGTATATAATTTTTTAAACTTTAAGTATAGAACTACTTATATTAATAGTATACTAAGGTACTCCTAGACTAATAATTAATTAGAAAAAATTAATTAAATAATTGAAATTACTTTAAGATTCTATTACTTTTAACTAAACTATATTAATTAGGTTAATATTCTCCTATTTATTAATATATTATTTAATAATTTTATTTATTTTATAATAAATTTTATTTTAAATGAAATTATTTATAGCTTTAAAATAAAAAATATTATAAATCTTTTAAATAATCTATTTTTAAAAGATTTTAATTAACTATATTTAATTAAAAAAGAGGAGGCTAATAACGCCTTTTTATTTATAAATATTATAATAAAAGTTTAATATAATTAATAATATATTAGTATTAATTTTTACTTTAGTAATAGTATTTATTTAATATTATATAAAGGATTTATAATTCTAAGCTTCTATAACTATAAATTAAAGTAATAATAAGTTAAATTTTTTAAAGTCTTTAAAAAAGTTAATGAAATAGCGTATTAACTTAAACTTCTACTAGTTATAAATATTTATTTTATAGTATTAATAATGTAGTTATAAAAAGTATTAATATAAAAAGAAAATCTTTATAATTAAGTATATTAGGAAGAAATACTAGTAATTAAGGTTAAGGGTCTTAAAAGGGATAATTAATATAAGATTAAGAAGCTATTAAAATAGAAAAAAATTTATTATAATAAGCTTAGCTATCTTATAAAATAGAAAATATTTAAATATAAATATAATATTTAATACTATTAAGATAATCTTATTAAAAAGGCAAAAAATCTAATAAATAAATATAATACTATTTACTTAATTAATTAAATACTAAAATAATACTAGATTAAACTACCTCCTATATAGTAATAAAAGTATAATTAACTATATTAATTATAATAATTTAAAAGTACTTTTTAATATAATTAATAATAGATATTTCCTTTAAATACTAGTTTATACTAGTATTATATATAATATAGTATAGTATAGAAATAATTATTATAACTATTAAAACTTTTAGTTAGTATTAATTATTAGTTAGATTAGCAATTACTATCCTAAGCGATATATATATCTAATATAGATATTAGTCATTTTATTCTTAATAGGTATTAATAAGGAGAGCAGTTTTAGTTATCTAGAACTAATTCTACGCTTAGCTATATCTTAGATTAATCTTAGATCTTAATAGTTTTAAATAATAATAAGATTATAATTCTAGATAGTATATCTATTATTATATCTATTTTAGGCCTACGCTTTACTATATTATATTAAAAGCTATTATTATTATAAGATTTAGGAACTAAAGAAATATATAATATTATAATAGTTATAATTAATAAGTATATAAAATATATTATAATAATACTATTTAGTAGAATATATAATATAGTATAATTAATATATATATTTTTAAATAAAATAATTAAAATTAAAGGATTTTTTAAAGAAATAATCTTAAATAAAAATAAACTATTTATATTTTTATTTTAGAAAATAATTATAATAGAAATTAAGATAAAGCTAAAGCTTTCTATAGGTAGTATATTACTTAAAAATAAATAGTTAAATAAAAAAACAATTTTAATATTAAATACTATAAAGATAATATTATTTTATATAAACTATAAAAAAAATTTAAATATAAATAATATACTAAGAGAATTATTAAAATTATAGAAAGCTATTAAATATATATTAAAACTTAAATAAGTATATAGAGATATTATAAATTCTTTAGAAAAAGTATAAATTAGAATAGAAAAATAAAAAAATAAATATAAAATAAATAAACTTTAACTAAAAAAAGGAAATAAAATATAACTTTATATAAAAAATCTTAAAATAAAGTAATTAAATAAGAAACTAGACTCTTTATAAATTAATTTATTTAAAATTTAGAAATAAAAAGAACTTATTAACTATAAATTAAAATTACTAAATAATATTAAAATATATTTAATATTTTATATATTATTTTTTAAAAAAAATATTAAATTAATATTAATATTATTTAAATATAAATTTAAAAAAGATAATACCTTTAAAGTTAAAGAAATACTAGAAGAATAATATAATTATTATTTTATTAAATAGAAAAACTATTTAAAAAAAGAAAATATATAAAAACTAAAAAATATTTATTATTTAATTATATAGGGAAGCTTTAGCACTTCTATTAATAATAGTAATAGAAGTAAATAAAACTTCTATTTATTTATTCAATTAATTAGGAAAAGAAAAATTAAAATTATTAAAAAAAAAATTATTAATTATTAAATTTAATTTAAGAACTAAAGTTAATAGATATATATTCTTAAATTACTATTTTTATTTTTCTTTATAATATTTATTTTTTTCTATTTTTAAAATATTTTTTATATTAAAATTATTTAATTAATTTAGCTTTTTTAAATAAAATTACTTTATTTTATAAATTTATAATAACTTAAAATAAATAGCTAGCTTTTACTTATCTAAGTTATTAAAAATATTATATTATATTATTTATTTTTTTCTTAAAAGGAACTATATTATATTTTTAATTATATTTATTATACTTAGTATAGTAAACTAACTAATTAGTTTTTATATATTTAAAACTTTAAGAAATATAGTTTTTATAATAATATATAATAATATAATAATTATAATAAATTTTTTTAAAAATATAATAATAATATTAAATATTATTATTAAAGGATTATATAATATAATTAAGAAAATTATATAATAAAAGAAATTAATAATTAAAAATTATTATATTAAAAAAGAAAATAATATTATAATCTTATATAATAAGTGTAACTAGGTAACTATTATAAGATAGAGATTATAGCTATATTAAGTTATAAAAAAGATTAATTAAAAAAAGGAAAAAATAGTTAAAATAGTTAAATATATTTAAATACTAAAAATACTAAATAACTTTTAAATTAAGTAAGCTTAAAATAATTAAAGATTAAGTACTATTAAGTAAGTTAAGTAAAGTTATATATATAAAACTTTTTATTTTACTTTTTAAATAGATTTTTTTATATTTAATATAAGTTTTATTCCTTATTATAAGATTTAAGATAATTATAATTTTATTTAATTTTATTATCTTACTTTTACTTATCTTTTAACTACTATTTATATTCTAGGGGAACTAACTTACTAACCTATAGTTAAATTAACTAATACTATTTACTAGTTTAAATACTAGGGTTATAATAATTATATAATATCTATTAATATATTATATTAGAATTAATTTAAATAAAGCTAAAATTAATTAAATATTTAATAAAAATAAAAATAAAGTAAGCTTTTTAATATTATAAAGCTATTTTTAAATTAATAAATAGAATAATTAAGTAGTAAAGTAAAATCTTTTTTAAAAGCTTATTAAAATAATTAAAAAGTAGCTTTAAAATATTTAATAAATAATCCTATATATTTATTTAAAATAAAAGCTAAAATTATATAATCTTATTAATTTTATAAGCTACTTATTTATTATAATTATTATGATAACTTACTTTAAAAGTATTTTTAAAGTAAGATAATTTAATAATAAGTTTTAATATTTTAAAAACCCTTTTTTAATTTATTAAATAATAATAAATTAAAAGCTTAGCTTAAAATATTTTAAAATTAGATTTTAAATAATATAAAAAATTATTTAATAATTATATTTAATAGCTTATATTATAGAGAAAAGAATTAGAAATAGAAAAAGAAGGTATTTAAAATATTTTTAAAATATTTAAAGAATAGTTTTTTTATATATTTTAAATAAAAACTTTATTTAAATATTTTTTAATTTTATAATATTTTTATTAAAATATTTTAAAAATGTTTTTTTTAAAAATTAATTATATTTCTATTAAAAACCTTATATATAAAGAATAATAAAAAATATTATTTTATTACTATTTAGTTACTATTAATTTATTACTTGTTCTTACTCTTTCTAAGCTTAATTAGAACTTTAATATAATATTTAAAAGCTATTTTATTACCTTTTTTAAATTTTAATATATATTTTTATAAAGTTAAATTAAATACTTTAAAATATTAATAAAATAACTTTAAATTATTTTTATTTATTTCTTAGTTTGGTTTTAAAACGTTAAAAAGGCCCTTTTTTATTTTTTTTTATTAACGAATAAATAGTGTTTCTAAGACGAATTAGGCTAAGTTTTGGTTTAAGCTGACCTGGTCACCTGTACTCCCCCTAAAAGGGCGTAGCGTGGAGCCTTCTTATAGATACGCGATCAAGATGAAAATTACGTGCAAAGATCCGATCTCGTGGTTGACGTCGGTCAAGAACGTTCTCCTGTTGCAGCCTCTCTTAACAACTGACATCCTCAGTATCCACAACAATGGATGATGCGAAAAATAGTAAATCCTTCTTCTATCAATAATCTCGAGAGCCCGCGCCTCACCCTTACCATCTATTTCGCCCTTTGGAAAGCGCTTCTGCTCACTCTCGTGCTCCTGAGCCCCGGCCCGGGCTATGATGTCTCCACACATCTTCTCCCGAATTTTGAGCCGGTTGATGCAGCTTCGAGCGTCTTGAGACGAGCACAGCACCATCTAGCATCTAGGTTGATCAGATGGGATGCTATATACTTCTCCCAGATCGCGCGCCGGGGCTATGTATTTGAGCAAGAATGGGCATTTGGGTGGGGTCACACGCGTCTTCTTGCCTTTGTCGGGCACTGGGTCGCTGGATCCAGGGAGGTTGCAGGTGTGGAAGATGTTGTGTTAGCTGGGATGGTCCTTGCGCATCTTTTTCACTGGATGAGTGTGATAGTGCTCTACGACCTCACTCTGGAAGTTTGGAAGGCTAAAAAACGACAGAAGGTCGTAACATTTGCCTTCTTGTGTGCCGCGTTGCATATTGTGAGTCCAGCAGGCGTATTTCTCAGTGCCCCGTATGCGGAGAGCACGTTCTCGCTACTCAATTTCGTAGGCTGCTACCTGTACGCAAAAGCTTTGCGACGGCAGTCAAAGGACGCAGAAGTGGTCGCAGCTGGCTTGCTCTTACTTTCAGGCGTCGTGTGCGGCGTTGCTACGACTTTCAGAGGGAATGGCTTGCTCAGTGGACTTCTTTTCGTTCTTGGTGCTGGTAAAGAAGTCGCTCATTTTCTCGTCAACGTGAAGAATCGAGCCCGTCGTGATGCTCTTCTCGCTTTTCGTCGGCTCCTGTATTTTGGCTTAAGTGGTGCTCTCATGGCATGTACTGCTTTCTGGCCCCAGTACTTTGCCTTTCAGCATATATGTGTTGACCTCCATGATGGTAAAGGACGGCCATGGTGTTACTCTTATTTGCCGAGTGTTTACAGCTGGGTGCAGCAGGAGTATTGGTCAGTATCCAGTCTTACCAAGCTGCTATAAAGCTCATTCCGACCTAGGGGCGTCGGCTTTCTTCGTTATTGGACTATGTCCAATATTCCCCTCTTCATGCTCGCAGCTCCGATGCTCGTCATAATGATTTCCTCGAGTATTTGGGCCTGGATCGAAGGGTCATCTAGGAATGGAAACTTAATTCGATATGGCGATGTACCACCGATGACTGTTGTCTTGCATTTGGCAATGCCGCAACTTGTACTTTGTCTTCTCGCGCTAACGACATATCACGTTCAAATCATCACGAGGCTTTCCTCTGGCTATCCCATCTGGTACTGGTGGCTCGCCGTGCTTGTAGTCAGGCATCCGGAGATGGCAACGTTGGGGACGAGATTCAAGGTTAGCAAAGGAATACTGAGATGGATGGTCCTGTATGGAATTATCCAGGCAGGATTTTACGCCAGCTTCCTACCGCCGGCTTAACGTTGGTTAGTCCTGGGCATGCTTAGATAATAATAATTGAGTGGCGTTGTCTTGCGTACAAGGCTGTAGCCTTTTGACTCTGACGCAAGTCACCATTAAATACACAACAATCTCCACCGCTTTTCTTCGATTCATTGTTTGAAGTCTACTATACCACATACTTTGCTCTTGGCGTCAAAATCCGTGTAAGGTACTCTCTTTTCAGTGTCTGCTTGGCGTTGAAGGTAAACGGAAATATAAATTACACGGTATTGTAGAGAGCACCTGCATTCAACACCTGGGACACCAAACCCACCACTCCTGGAAACACAGTCCCAGAATTACCTTAGCTCTAGACGGCGTTCATCTCTTTGACCCCCACACCACCGTGTTCAAATCCGCATTTTCAACCCAGCTGCACGATATCACTTCACGATCAGTTCGCTTGAAGCTATGTGATGGAAACGGAGAGCACGAAGATGACCGAGCTATTTGCGTCGCTGCAGACGGCGCAATATGGCGACACGGACTCTGGAGCTACATCGCCGGGTCCTGGCGCGCAAGAGACTGGCAATAGTGTGGATCCTCAACGAGTCACAAGATCAAGGCCGAGGACCTATCCTTACTCTCGATATCTTCCGTACAAGGTAGAAAGTGGAGAAGAACAGCTGTCGTTTCTTAACGAAATCTTGAGGCAGCTGTACATTTGCGTGGAAGCTGGAGACTTTGCCGTAGGAGCAGTACACTGGACTCGAGCGTTGAGGAACTGGCTTGAGCTCAAGTTCGAACTCACAAAAGAGCAGAGGGTCCGTCTCGTCAAACTTTATTATGAGTTGGCACTTGCACCAGGTGTCGATCCCTCCGCAGGTGAGAAGTTCGCAAGTACCTTCACGGTCTTGCTAAAGTGAGCAAGCTGTTGTGTTTCGTCAAAATTCTTTGGCTTACGCTTTGCAGACGGAAACACTATCTTAAGAGTGGCGTAGATATCACACTTGATTGGAGACCGCTGTTCAGGGAGCTGAAGGGTTTAGTACTCCCATCTGAATCTGGCATTGCACAGACACATGGTATGAAGCGAAATTATCGCTCGTTGACCAAGATGTGCACATTCGCGCAACTTTACTTTGACCCGAAAGAGACTCCCAGAATTTTCGAGGAGATTCTGCCTTATTTCACTACATCAGTCACGGAAAATGCTTACATCGTTTCTGGATTGACGAATCTTCTGCTCCCCACTCAGCCCGCTGCCGGGGGCTTTGACGGCCTCCTACCGCAGACATTTATGCCAACTCTATTCCATCTATGGTCGCTGGTGAATCGATCAAAAGTGGTCGATACTACCTATATCGATCTCCTGTCGAGGCTCGCAAGAGATCACTTGACCGGATCAAGCACCCCATTTTCCGAGTTTGGTATATTTACAGAGGAACAATCATCCACCATTTTCACAGCAATCCTCCGGCTTCTTGAGATACCGGTTGGTCAAGCCACGTCTCCATATAGCGCGTCGCTAGATATCACTGTCGGACTCGCGATTTATTTGGAACGAGATCCTAGAAAACATCCCGTAGCTCACAACATTGCCAGATGGATAGTATGGTCGCTTTCGCCGTCTAGTATAGACAAACCGCATTCTGTGATGTCAAACCTTGAGGGTCTCATACAAGCCGTTGAGACATTTTTCCATCCCTCAAACTCGGGTGGTTGGACGAGAAGCCTCTCGCAGTTAGTACATTCTCTCTGTGACTTTTTTGTCATGCGGTGGAATAGGGAACGTAAAGGCGAAATGGACACGCCGACAGAAAGGCGAATTGACCAAGCACTGAAGCACCGATTCGTTCTTTGCCTACGCGACGTAGTGTTCATGGGTATTTTTGCAAAAAGTGGCTCTGCTATGGACCTCTCACTAGCAAGTCTGCAATGCCTTGCCTACTTAGAGCCAAGCCTAGTTTTGCCTGGTGCACTTCAACGCATCTACCCTTCGATGCAGGGTCTTGTCGAAGTGCATCGGACCACTTCGTCTTTGCGAGCTCTCCAGGTCCTGTCGAAGATCCTCGTCCGTACAAAAGGCTTTAGATGTCACGTCACTACGCTACTTGGCCTTGCACTTCCTGGTATTGACGCCAATGATTTAGACAAAACTCTGTATACCCTTGCATTTATCCAATCTATATGTTATAACATTCCACTGCAAGATCTGACGAAAGGGAGGGAGGATGTGACCGGGAATATGCTAGCAATGGAATGGATTACAAACGAAGTCACTAGAATGGAGCAAGAAGGCGTTGATGTGCAGATGGACTATTCAGATGGCCTAAGCGATCAAGACGAGGAGTTAATCCTACGCTCGTCGACTGCAGGCTTTGCCGAATTTCTGAGCTCCTTTCTTGGCCGAGTTTTCACACTGCTGGAAAACCTGCCTGACGCTGCACGGACACGTACAGGCTCCCCCGAAGAGAACGTGATCAATACCCTCCCAGCTACGTTCCTGCCACTTCTTGGGTCTTTATCCCCTGAGCTTTTCGACATTGCCTTGAACAAAATAGCTGACTTCGTAGCCAATCACGTCATACATCAAGCTCGCGATGCAATGGCTTTCATATGCAGCGCCCTGGCCAAAGTCAATCCACAAAAAACACTTAGGCGACTAGCCCCCGCCTTAATTGCATCTATCAGATCTGAGATTGACGAGAACGGCGCTGCATCTACCCGGAATACCGGCAACGAGGTATTACCAAGAGATCGCGGACTCGTCTGGAATGTCAGCATGCTCAGCATGAGCGTAGTGCATGTCGGTGAACCTGTTCTACAATACCGCCAAGAGCTTTTTGACATTGCCATCTACATGCAGGATAAATGTAAAGGCGTTCCAACGCTCCACGTTTCAAATTTCTCACATCACCTTCTCCTGAATCTCACCGGCACATATACCGTAGACTGGAGTCTCTATGAAGATGGTATGATCGATCGAGGCGTCGGTCCTAATGACTGGGGCACAACTCCAGACCCGCAGAATTTAAACATCAAATGGCACGTGCCGAATAGCGAAGAGTGTCAATTTGCCTTGGATCTAGTCAAAGCGCAAGGAGGGCGCGCGCTGCAGCAATTGCAGAGTCTAATTGCAGGAACTTCAACAGTTAAAAGGGACGGCAAGGGCAAAGAGTGGTCTGACGAAGTTTCGCGCAATCTCATGCTTACTCGGTTGCTCCTCTCTGGGGTTTCTGTACTTTTCGACCCAAGAGGTATCGATACTGCCACTCCGGAAGAATCAGAATCAAGCAGTGATGCAGACATGCCTGACGCTAATGAGCTTGGTTCTGACAAATTGTCAGGAGAGCAAGCAGACGATGCACTGGCAAACACTAATGACGACTCTGTCAAGCCCGTTTTTCGACTACCAGCAGGATATGTTCTTGACGATGACGATGCTCTTTATGAAGACCTCCACTCCTTTCGAGACCGGGTGGGGACGACCTTACATGATGTACATCAGTTCCTCATCTTAAACCAGGAGGACGACGTTGCCTGTTTTGGACCGCTTTATTCTGCTTACAGGTCTTGGTTTATTGACGTGGGACTTGAGAGGTCCGCTAAAGTATTGGATCGCAATCTCAGGCTGCTTGCTGCCGACATCCATCCTTACAAATTGAGCGGACTACGCAAGGAATATCCAAGGCCACTTCTTGTTCGAAGGGCACTTGTCTACCATCTGCAACGCTTACGCTACAATGCTTACCCTCGCCGGCAGACGGAAATGGCGCGGAAATTACTTTTCGATCTTGTGGAGGGAGCAATCTCATCCTATACAGAAGTCCGCCGGCAGGCTCAAAGCGCCGGAGAAGCGGCTTTCAAAGTGATCATTGGCTCTCGAAGCTTAGTGATACCGACGCTCCTCAACGCATTTGAGAAAAGTGTCAAAGAGAACGATTTTCCGCGCATCAAAGGATCGCTGTATTCGCTTCTGTTTAGTACCCTCACTCGTCCGATATCACGTAATTGGCGCTACGCACCCTCAGTAATAAAAACATACCTCTCGGCCAGCATGGCGGATAAGCAATCTATTCAGCGACTTTGTTCAACAGCAACTTTATCAATAATGGATATTGGAAGACCGTTAGAACGAATGGCTATCCTTGACAGAGAAACCATACAACTGATTGCCCCCACGGAAGACGTACAGACCAAGATCGAGAAGAAAAAATCTTTGTTGGTGCGACAGAGAGCTGCAGTAGAGAAGAAGAAGGCAAGCTTATCTACCGCGTTGGTGGAGAAAGCCCGCAAGTCACACTGGAAGCAGGCTAGTCGGACTGCGGCGATTGTCATCTCCCTTGGCATGAGATTTGACAACATTGCCTCCGAGGACATTGTAGACCTCGTCACACGAGGAGCAATCAATGAGCATCCTAATCTACGAGGCCTTTACACTGGTGCATTCACTGCCTTGATGTCCTTGATTGAGTCTCGAGCAGCGGCTGGTCACCAGTACGAAAATTATCTGCTAGATAAACCCTATCTCCCAGCAAAAATAAAGGTCGAAAGCAAACAAGAAGATTCGGGATGGACAGATCGATTTCTGGCGAAATTCTCTAAGCCAGAGGCAGAATACTATGTTGACAGCGATCATCCAGGCTGGCTTGTATGGACAAGCTCATTTCCTGCATACAAGGCAGATCCTGACAAGGATCTCGAGTATGATGAAAAGGAGACTCAGGTGCGCACCCAAGTGGGTTCGCTACTTGACCGCAATTGGTTCTCTCAAACCTTTGATCAGATCAAGCAAGAGCCAAGGGACGCATCTGCTGATCGATTTCATGTGACTAACGCTTTGTTTCTGGCTTATACATTCGAGCTTGTCTCTGAAGGACTTACGAAGGCGCGATTTGATGATATCAAGGAGGAGGTGCAGAGAACATTAGGCGATGGTACAGACAGACATCAACACCGAGCCACGTCAGAAATTTTGGCCGCTATATTGACATCCGCTATTGACAAACCGATGAAACGTCGAGTTCAGATGTGGGAATATGTGTTTCCTATCGTCTCCGATATATTTTCGGATGGCTTGACGCCTGAGAATGTATCATACTGGACGAACTTCTTGCACTTTGTCATACAAGCCAAAGATCCCAGGCGGAGTTGGCCAATAGTAGATTGGCTATCATCTTTCAGACTCGACATGTATTCAAACGCTGCGTTCAAAGAGAGCTGCAAAATTCGCCTCTTACAGCAGTGTATATCAGATATGGGCTGGCATTTCCAACTTGAAAAGCCCATTCTTGCTGATTTTCTCAAACATATAGATCATCCTTACAAGGGCGTGCGTGAGGCTCTCGGTCAGAGTCTTGCGACATTGTATCGAACAAGATATCACGAATCTTATAAAGATGTCGAGACTCTGATGAAAGCACAACGTGAAGCTTCTTCCCTGGGGACAAGGCCTTATACGCCTACGTCAGAGTTTATCAATAATATGAAGGACGTTTTCGAAAGGATAGAGCAGTGGAGGCAAGCACGTCCCTCTGGACAACAAACGCCATCATCCTATACTTCTGGTAGCAAGACCGTGTTGCTCTGGCTCGATTCCAGCCTCGCGTTTTGTGAATGTACACAATATACCCAATTCTTTCCAGGCCTATTTCTAGAGCAGTTGCTGCATATGATGGATGTGAAAGAGGACCAGGAATTGCAAGGTCTTGCCTACCACGTTTTCAGGCATATTCCTAATATTCCACACCGGGTTGGGGAAGACGCCGAGCTCATCGCCGCTCTAATACGCATTGGACGATCATCCCCCCTTTGGCACCAGCGTCTGCGAGTTTTAATCAACATGCAGGTCATCTTCTTCCGTCGGCTGTTCTTGATTTCTCCCCAACACCAACAAGATCTCTTCGATTGTGTAGCAAACATGCTCGAGGATGTCCAGCTTGAGGTGAGACTCGGTGCTTCATCAACTTTGTCTGGCATGGTCAGGTGCTCACCTGCCGCCTTACGCTCTGAATTCATCGATAAACTCAACCAGAGATTCACAAAAATGTTGATTGATTCGCAGCTGCCAAAGAAAGCACGCAGTGCACTCACAGCCGCAGACAGCGGGACTAGTACACCGACGCCGGAACAGACACGGAGAGTTTTGTTGCGTCACGCAGCAGTCCTGGGCCTTGGAGCATTGGTACAAGCGTTTCCCTACAGCTCACCACCCCCGAAATGGATCCCTGGGGTATTGGCAACGCTTGCTAACAAGGCGAACAACGATCCAGGGATGGTAGGCAAGAGCGTGAAGAGCATTCTGAGTGACTTTAAGAAGACGAGGCAGGACACATGGCAGATGGATCTTAAGGTACGTGCCGCTACGTTTTTTTTCCTAAGAGAATTAGAAGCTGACTCTGCATTGTAGGCTTTCTCCCAGGAACAGGCAGAGGATCTCGACGGTGTTCTGTGGAAGAGCTACTTTGCTTGATTTGGATAGCATTATCGTCTGAGCGATTGAGCGGTTTGCAAATGCATTGATAGCAGGCATAGATGTACATTGACATTAGTCTACACCTTGAATTCAGGAAGCCAGAGGTCCTCATCAAGGCGGAGAGCAGCATGTATCTGTTTCGGCACCTGCCTATTTGGCGTGCACATGAATGTCTTTACGTATTTAGTGACTAAACTCTGAACTCCCATAGGATTTCCCTGCCATTTGACATTCTGAACTCGGCGATCTCTCTGACTTACATATCTTCCTCCAAGTCACCGCTGTTCCTCGACTTTGCCCATCCAGCGCCATCTTAAGCCGAGGTCTTAGCCGGCGCGGTATGATGCCCCGCCCCCGCAGCTATGTTGAAGCTTCTCAGTCACTGATTGCCACCATCAGACTTGAGAGAGCTGGGAGTGTACGATTTTGGTATCATGCTTCGAACACGCATGATATTTCAACATCAGCTTGTCCGTAACGTTGAGATATGGGATATCAGCGCCTAGACTATGCCTTCCCAAGGCGCTAGATGCTCCCTTTGATACACTAAGCGTGGTCTTCTTCGTACATCATGACGAGCTCTCTAGGCGAAGCAGGATCTGGCAAGGGACTCTGTGAAAAAGGCGAGGGCGGAAGTATTGCAGGGCAAGACAAAGAACAGCTGAAAGCATGGTACGTAGGGGCCATCGATCAGGGAACAACCAGTACTCGTTTCATCATTTTTGACTGTATGGGCAAACCGATCGCTTCCCATCAGATCGAGTTCAAGCAGAATTATCCACAACCAGGGTATGTCACCCCCGCCAACACTGTATGGCGTCGACACTAAGTTGATTGGCTGGCAGGTGGATTGACCATGATCCAGTTGAAATCTTTGAGACAGTCAAGACCTGCATCGAAGAAGCTACTGCCTCCTTCACAAAGCAGGGGTTTTCAATCTCGGATATCAAAGCTATTGGCCTTACCACGCAACGTGAGACAACTGTGCTCTGGGACAAGGATACAGGTGAGGTTCTTTGCAACGCCATAGCATGGCCGGATACTCGTACGCAGTCGATCGTGCGAGAGCTCAAGGAAAGAGCAGGTGCAAATGATTTGCAAGGCATCTGCGGGTTGCCTCTTTCAACATACCCATCATCATTGAAACTGACTTGGATGCTTCGAAACGTACCAAACGTTCAAAGAGCGTATTCTCAAAGGCGGCTTATGTTTGGAACAATCGATACTTGGCTCTTGTACAATCTCAACGGAAAGGAGAAACAAGTACATGTTACCGATGTGACTAACGCGTCGAGGACGATGTTCGTCAACCTCAAGACTTTGCAGTATGATCAAAGCGTCTTAGACTTCTTCGAGATCGACCGTGAGAAGATCACTTTACCAAGTATTGTTCCATCCTCAGATCGCCATACATTTGGCAAAGTTGCTTTTGGTCCACTGAAAGGTGTCGCTATCACTGGCTGTTTGGGAGACCAATCTGCTGCTCTGGTGGGACAGCTCGGCTTCTCCCCAGGCCAAGCCAAGAATACTTATGGCACCGGCTGTTTCCTCTTATATAATGTAGGTGAGGAGCCTGTCTTCTCGCAACATGGCCTTCTTGCCACAGTGGCTTATCAATTTGGAACGAATGGTAAGCCCATATATGCGCTCGAAGGTTCTATCGCCGTCGGCGGCAGTGCTGTCAAGTTCCTGCAGAACAATCTTGGTTTCATTGACTCCTCCCATGACATCAGCGATCTTGCTGCGTCGGTCGATGACAATGGTGGCTGTGTCTTTGTCACTGCTTTCAGTGGTTTATTTGCTCCGTACTGGATTGATGATGCACAAGGAACGATCTTCGGCTTGACGCAGCACACTGAAAAGGGCCACATTGCTCGAGCGACTCTGGAAGCAACGTGTTATCAGACCAAAGCGATCCTTGATGCAATGGAAAAGGACAGCGGACGCAAACTCACAGTCCTCGCTGTTGACGGTGGCATGAGTAATTCAAATTTGTGCATGCAGGTGAGTCAGGCCGCTGCAGTCATCGAACGTTCTGATGAAACCATCACAGACGCAAGCCAATGTTATTGGGATCCCTGTTGATAGGCCCAGTGTGCGGGAGACTACTTCTCTTGGAGCAGCCATTGCGGCCGGCTTTGCTGTAGATATCTGGAAGGAGTTCGCGGAACTTAAGGAGATCAATCGAGAAGATCGTACCACATTCGCCCCACAAGTCCCGAAGACCCAACAACAGAAAATGTACCGGAGGTGGGAGCGGGCAGTCCAAATGTCAAAGGGCTGGCTTGCCGACAACAAGGCCTCCTGAGCCCCATTACTTGAAGCTCGGTAATTGGATTCTGATATTTCATGACCTTCACGCCGTCTCATGTTTTGTTCTTGGCCTAAAATCTCAAAGCACGCGTTGAAACAATTGGCACACATGCAGCAAGAATAGGCCCTCTTCATCTTGTTCCTGGCACATTTTCTGTGAATAGTAAAGTCAGCTACTGTCTTTTGTATGGCCAACTGCAATTCCGGTATACTTCTGCTTCCCGTACGAACATCCTTCACTAGCATCTGGCTAGAGTTTGATTATGTAGCACTGTCAGATGGTTGAGATAATGACGTCCGTGCAACTGCCATGTATCTCAAATATTGCTTATGTTCTCCGGTGGAGGGCTGCTAGGTCCTCTGCTCATCAGAGCCAATGTTCTGTCAAAGGTGATATTGAAGAACCAGGGTGGATTCATCTGCCGATCAACTTCAGACTCACGGGAGTCGCCGGGACTTAGCCAATGGTAATTTAGCCACCTCCATCTCGATATTGGGTATTGCAACAAGCTAGAGAGCTATTAGGACAGAGACGGTCTGATCCACACCTGACAATGGGTCTGTGCTGTGGACTGAGGCTGTACCGAGCCTTCAGAGCAAAGGAAGTCTTCCTTGGTACCCAAATGAATAAGTACTTTGGAGCCGCCTCAATCAGGTCCCGTGAACACTGTCATCACATGAAGGCCATGGATGACTTCCGCATGCTCGGCCCGCGGTTCTTGCAAGCTTTGTGCTCTACTGCTCAGTCACGTTTAGCATGTAGACAGATTGCCCAGGGATCTGGCATTGCACTATTTCTTAAAACAACATATCAGCGGATCGAAAACAGGCGAGGCCAGTCTATTGATCGCTACGGCCGGACGGCATTTGTAGCGGAAGGAAGGATCGGTCAGCAGCGTGCTGCATGTTGGAATACCCCGAAGACAACACCCATCTTTCGGATCATGCACACAAGCAGGATACCATTGACAACTTTCACTTTGGTCAGAGAATAATGATCTTCCTAATCCTTCCCCCGCGCTGTTCGAATCTTGACGATCGCCACTTTGCTGTAACATCCATCCATTCCACTCTTACCCCTCCGACAATGACAATTCTTGCACGAATCATAATGAAGATCAGCCCACCGAGCACCACATCCAACGGCATCTGCAGAGCTACGACTGTCAAGAGCAAACAGCGCATGATAAGACGTTGACTAGCGTACAGCAAGGCTGTCTAATGGCCAGAGAACCTTGTACCCGAGGGCGGATGCGCGTAAAAGCAGAAACTTGGGTACATGCTAGTGAGTTATTTCTGCGTGCGGAGTCTCAAAATAACGAGTACCAGGCGGACAAAGGGGATATATCACCCTTTCGGGCATCCCATTCCATGCAGTGTTTGGACGGCTGGAACTCTACAGCGGCAGTATGTGTGACTATACTCAAGTGGACTATCAATGTGGGCATGTTCGCTATGTGGTCAAAGCTTGGTGTACTAAGTATCAGCAAACGTGAGTAATTTCGCTTGCCCTCAGCCTGGCCCTCTCTAGCCTTCTCTTAGCAGGTTAATTGCTGACCATCTCTCTACAGGCAGAAACGCTGTCCTCCCAACGTAGTAGCAGTGTCAGTGTTGCCAATTTACAGATTTCCCTCAAGTTTGGAGTCACCTGACTAGTCCGATAGAGAACCTAAGCCAAATGAGAAGTGTGGTGAGTAAGCCGATGTTCGAACCACTCTTGCCTTCTGAAGAAAAGAACTGTATTTTCACAGCAGCATCAATCGAATTCATATTCTCGCCGATACAAATCATGCTTTTTTGACCTTGACATAGCTCTGAATGTTGCTGAAAGATATTCAAGGTGACTGCAAAACCGCTCAATCAAAATATACCAAATGAGGCACATCCGAATGCCCAGACCCAGGGGACACAGCGAAGACAGCTTGCCAACGACTTTTAGCTCTCTGCTGGTCTTTCCTGGTATTCGTAAGCAAACACGCGTTCGATGACATAGCTGGTCATCGGGTCGTCAGCCTACCTTAGACCCCCAAATTGTCATCCCGAAAAGCCGACGACATCCTGGTTGCTAGCTGAATTCATGCTATCAAACATAATTTGGACGGTATTCAACGTATGAAGACTCTAAAGCCAGCGCCGGATCACCCTCGCAAAATAACATCAGCTTTACTTGCGTGGAGGTCCCGGCATCTTGTCCAGGCTGCGCAGGACGAGTACGTTATTTCCTATCGATGCCTCCGATTAAATTGGTATGGTAAAGACCTCCTGTCCAAATGGCACAGGTCTGGCGTGTCCAAGGAGACCGAGCAGAAACTGGTAGGAAGTTCACACGAACAAACCTCTGATTTGATAAGGTTCTATTGCTGCCACATGCACTTCATGCGACGAATGGATGCTCTGTGCACTGCACAGAAACCAACTTGTATGAAGGGAAAGATCGAAGCTCAACGCCGCGCCCGCGAGAAATTACCGGATTAGCTGAAATGTGAAATCAGAAGGTAGCAATGAAGATAAAGCGCGGGCTTAAAGACCGTGAGATATTCAAGGCACGCTTCAGCTTCGTCTTGTTGACATGCTAGAATGAACCCCGAGGGAATAGACCCATCGCTCCAGCGCCATGCAGATAGGGAGAGATTAAATCACGCCACATTCACCTTTCTGGGTATCTCTGCCTCACTGCCCTCGCCATCACCAGTCCGCTCATTGCTACCCTGCCTACTCGCTTCCGACCCTGCACCTCCCGCAGTCTGCCCAGTTCCTATCCCTGGCGGCAGTACGATTTCTGGCAACTTGATTCCCACACCCTTCATGATCTTCATCTTCTCGATCTTCTCCCCTTTGATTGCTTTCATCATCTCGTCTAGATCGAGCGATTCGCATTCAATGAGCGCCTTCGCAAGAAGATCCAGTTCATTCCGTTTCTCATCCAAGATTTTAGCTGCGCGGTCCCGGGCGTCCTCGAGCATGCTGCGAACCTCCTTTTCAATCGCTGCGGCTGTGTCGGGAGACAAAGCTTTCCAGTTGGCCAGATCCATGTTGCCGAGTGTGGTGGACATGCCGCCCTGGGTGACCATCTGGTGCGCTATAGTCGTTGCATTGGAGATGTCCTAAAATTCAAATCAGTCATAATATTCAAAAGAAGAGAAGAGTTGACCAGCGCCTTAGTCGAAGACTTACCATTCCACAGCCCATAGTGACGTTATCTTCACCGTAGACTATTTGCTCTGCAGCTTTGCCACCCATTGCCACATCGAGCTTTGCCAGCAATTCTGCACGAGAATAGTTTCCATAATCTTTGTCCATTTCCGGCATAAAATAAGTTACACCAAGAGCTTGTCCTCGGGGCATGATGGTGATTTTATAAACTGGATCGGTGCCTTTGGTGTAGAGACCCACCAGAGCGTGACCAGCCTCATGATACGCCGTCAAGAGCTTGTGCTCGTCCTTGATAATAGCGCTTCGACGCTCCGCTCCCATCATAATCTTGTCTTTTGCCCAGTCTAGGTCAGGCATGCTAACGGCTGGTGCTCCATTCCGACTTGCATGCACCGCGGCTTGATTTACAAGCGATTCAAGCTCTGCCCCTGAAAATCCAGATGTCCCACGCGCAATGACGGACTCATCTAAATTGTTCTCGGCCTTGATTTTCTTGAGATAGTGCTTGAGAATTTGTAATCTTCCTCGAACATCAGGAAGTGACACCTGGACTTTACGGTCGAAGCGCCCAGGTCGAGTGAGTGCTTTGTCGAGAAGCTGTGGAAAATTTGTGGCACCAAGAATTATGACCCCAGTCTCCTGTGAAAACCCATCTAGCTCTGTGAGCAACTGATTCAGGGATTGCTTGACGTAGACCGGATCTCGCTCATTTCGTTTCGCACCTATGGCATCTAGCTCATCGATGAAAACAATCGCCGGGGCCTTAGCCCGGGCAGTAGCAAAAAGCTCACGAACTCGTTTAGCGCCGACGCCAACGTATATCTCGTCGAACTCTGATCCTGACATGTAGTAGAATGGTACACCAGCCTCCCCGGCAACGGCTCGAGCTAACATTGTCTTGCCAGTTCCAGGAGGGCCAACTAGAAGCACACCTTTAGGAAGCTTCCCTCCCAATTTTGTGAATCTCTCGGGATTTTTAAGGAACTCTACCAGCTCTTGAAGTTCATCTTTTGCCTCCTCGCATCCATGAACATCGCTGAAGCGAACCTTTTGCTGTTGTAGTTGAGCATCAGCATTTGGTATTGCTCCAGGTCTTCTCAGCATTCCAGACATCTCCAATACAAGCGAGACCAGGACGAAAACAAGATAACCATAGATAGCGTAGGTTACGAAGAACTTAACCCATCGAAACACTGATGCGCCTCTAGACTCCTCGATAACAACATGGATCGGACTTTGCTTCTGGCCCGTGGAGCCTGGCAGAACCTTTGCGCCAGCTGCCCCATACATTTGTGCGACAGTTGAAACGCCTATGTTTCTTGATTGCTCCTCTGATAATGTGCCACTCATATTACCCCTTTGGATTCCCGGTATAGCGCCATTGCTTTCTGCTCTGACTGTCTTTTCTAACGCTTTTTGGTAGGTATTCTCACATGCTTCGCTCGAAGCATAGCGGCCTGTCTGGAATCTCTCGACAACAATGTTGGGCATATCCGCCCGAAGAAGAGCTGAGTAAAATGCATTCTGAGCAGATGCGCTGGTAGGGTTGTTGTTCGCTGTTTGCTCCATATGGGCCAGGAGATTTTGAGAGGACGAACCTACTCCAACAAGGTCTCTCCTCTGAAGAGAAGGAGGTATGCGAGCCCGAATAGCAGATCTACTTCTTATTGCCTTCAAGGTGGAGAAAGTTGAGTAGGACCGGAAGCTATGAGGGGTTGAGGATGGAAGATGGTACGGGTTCGCAGTACGAAGTAGCATCGTGGAGGCTGAAAAGCTTAGCGAGATACAAATTGACCCAGAAGAATTGCAACCTACAGAGCAATCCAACGCTTGGGAATTTCGTCCGGCTCCTGACAAGTGGGAGATGCAGTGGACGAAGAGACTGTATCGGTACTTGAGCTAGACATTCTGGCAGCTCTAGCTGATGGTGATCGATTGATAGTGCCTGTACACATCAACACAACACATCGTAAGGGTGGCCGATCTCAGTCACCTTGCCGCTTCTTCTCGGGCGTTCGGTAATTTCGGGCAGCTCAAGTGCATTCGCGTTAGGCCTCCTCTCTCGGGCTTGCCTATAGGTTTTCCAAGGGGAGCGGAATGCAGACTTCAAGGATGGCCATACATCTGTGGCGACCGCGGTTAGATGCTGAGGATGATCGGTCAGCTATGGCTTTGGAAAAGGCGTAGGGCGGATACTCACGACACTGGGAACTTGGAACGCCATAGTCGTGCGTCCGACGCATACGTCAGGGAGAACAGATATTCACATATTATCAGATATCAAAAGGTATGTTGGGAACACGAACATCGCGCTGAGTAGCGAGAGATAATAGTCGTCGATTCGTCTACTCGAGGCTTCCGCATTTTTGATATTTGCCCCCATAGACGCTTAACGATTTTGGGAAGTCGGCTTACTAATCTGGTCCCTTGCGGAAGACGGAATACACTACTCGGAATTAGCACGGAGCAGGCACACCAGGCACGTCTCATGATAAATGAACTTCGCGGTGTTTTGGCAATGCAACGTAGTCTGAACGCAATATCGATGTCGTAATGCTCTATACAAATTGATATAATTATATCAATAAAACGGTGAGAGATTTTATAAGAAGCTCAGGCCCCTTCTGAAGCAGCACACGCTATACTTTAGACCCTGTCAACATCAATTCCTTCACCGTTTGAAATGCAACCCATCTCGAATCTTAGCACCAGCCGATCTTCCAAACTCTCGAAACTTGCTGTCCTCCCCCTATAATGTGGCCTTTTCTCAGTTTCACGATGCAGTCTCGCGTCAGTGCCTAAAGTTGAGATCAGTCTACCATGCTTGAGTTGCGCATCTTGATAGCCAATTGCTCGCGGGGTATTATTACCTAAACCAACAGTATCATCATCTAATAAAGCACTGTGCCTTCGCACCTTCGGCTTCTGCTTTTCGCGCTGCAATGTCAAGGTCGCATTAGTGCCGTCAGATGTTCCAGGACGAGTCACTGCCAGTAAACTCATGTTAGCGTGTTATCTAGCAGAAGAAACTCCTACTTAGAAGGAGCAGGGTGGCTCTGACCATGAATACTAGACGGCCTTGATAGACGATGACTTGACGGAGGTCGTGTCAAAGCCACTTCTTGAGCGGGATAGGCAGCATTGGACGCTTGCGATTTATGGCGGCGGAAGAAGCGAGAGGTCACTGATTGGGACGATCCCTGGTTGGAATTGGCCGCTTGTTCAGGGCCGTGAGAGCGGAGGGCTGCAGGAGTGTTATCGCTGAACACTGTCCGGACATCCTCAAGACCTTCTTTGTTGCCTTGTTGAGACAATTGTGCTCGCGGATGCGACGGACTTTGCCGGCGTGGTGATGTGACGGTCTTTTCACTGGGAACGCCAGAACTTCGACGACTGTTAGGTGAGTGTTGAGTGGGAATAGGTCCAATAAAGACGGTTGGAGATGGATAGGACATGTTTCGTGTTGGTTCCTTAGGCTTGAAGCCATCACCATTGAACATCATGTCAGTCACATGGGTGGACAATGCAGGCCGAGCTGGAGTGCTCGAGCCGGCGAAACGTGCCGCTTTGGAATGTTTCTTTCTTAATGGCGCAATGGGAGGGGCAATGGGGACATCGGCACTTAGGCCTTTCTCACTTTGCTGAGCCTGTGTCGACCCAAGGTCCTCACTCGAAGCATCCAAGAGCGCGTCGGCCGTTCTTTGGAGATAATCACCTAAATGAGAGTTGCTCGCACTGCTGGACGGTTTCACCGGATCGTTTCTAATATTAGGACCATAGCCATAATTGAAGACGAGCGCGGCATCCGTCACGCTCTTTTCTGTGACGACGCTCTGAGTCGAAGAATTGGCTTCGTGGGTCGCAGTACCCATCGTATCTGGTGTTGGAGGAAGATGATTTCCGCCGAAGACCACATTCTGGGCTGAGAGATTTGCATGGGCTTTAGCAGACTTCCGCAGTGACTTGGTGGGACTTCGATTCTCGAGGTTTCCATTTTCCAAGCTTTGCTTGCTGGAGCTACTTGCAGACTTCTGCGACCGAGTGAGTCCAAGCACATTCGGCCGCTGAGCAGACATTCCGGGAACCTTCTCAAGGATCTCTCCAATGGAAGAAAGGCGGGCGTTTGAGTGGCGAGAAGAGTGCCTTGTTGGTGTTTTGGGCCTCTCATGTGACTGCCTTTCTTCCACCCAATTATCGATCCTTGCCTGTCGCTGAGCAGCTCGCTCTGCGGAAGCATCCTCGCTTTTTGTAATAGAATCATCATACGGCTGGTCAGCGGATTGTGTCGAGCTGTTCTCTTTTTCGCGTATATGTCCGTATATGCTGGAAAAGCCACTCTCACTCAAGATACTTAGGCGCGGTGAATGAAGCATCTGACGTTCTAATTCTTCATCCCATTCTTCATCGCTCATGATACTACTCGGGCGGGCCAGACTTGCAACGCTTGGGTTCCTGGAAGAATACAAACTACGAAGAGCAGCGCTACTTCTCTTGTCATCCCTGAGGAAGGAGGGTGGCCGGCGTGGGGACCGCGGCGAGCTTGCCAATAAGGTGTCAGACTCATTTGAAGAGTCGTGAATTTTTATCGTCGGCGAGCGGTACGTGTCCGAGTCACGGGGTGTTGCTTTGGATGAGGTAGGCTGCGTACCGTTCTGCTGATGTCCCTGACCCTTGTTCCCAATGCTACTTCTACCATCCTCTGTCTGATATCGAAGCTCCTGTTCAAGGTCTTCAACCCTAGCCTCTAAGTCACAGATCATGGCTACTGCTTCCTCGATAGCGGTCTCACGAAGACTTAGGTCCGCATCACGTTTGCTAACTTGTAGCCTTAGGTCGTCATTGGCCGATTGCAGCCTTTCATGGTCTACTTCCAAAGCACCAAACCTCGCAAGCTTTGCTTCTAGCTCATCGTTACGTTGCCGTCGATGAAAGATCTCAAGCTGGAGATCGAAATTCTGCTTGATGACCTTCGAGAGGTGCTGAACAGAGTCAGCATCTTTAGTAAACATCAGATTGCAAAACTTACCTCCTGCGTGTCTCTGAGTCCCAGCTCTTTCGGTGCAACCGAAGGCCTACCAGTAGTTCCGCTTGGCCTTCGACTTTTAAGGCCAGCCTTTTCCCTATTTCCCGGCGAGCTGAACGGCGAGCTTTGCAGATCTCTGGTTTTGTGTTCACCATTCGACAATGCGTTACTGGAGTCTCGACTTTTGTTTGGCCTTTGCGCTTGTGCTCTCTTCTCCTTGATCTTGTCCTGTAGCAAGGCTGAAGATGGATTGGAGCCTTGAGACGAATCGCGTGGGGAGTCCATCCTCTATCGATTGAACGCTCGCTGCTGTTTGGAATGCTGAAACGGCAAGTCGAGCTGGGAATATTGGATAGAGCACTAATGGGCCGAGGATGTCTAATTTGTCACTGAGGGCTGGCAATGATTGCTTGGAAAGACACAGGAGTCGCCTGGGTTAATGTCGAGGACCATTGCGAGGTCTTTGTGCTGGAAGAAAGAGTCTTTGATGGCCAAAGACAGTGAACAATGACCCCGCTCACTGCCTCCCTTTCTCTCTTTTGTTCTGTGCTATGCTTCTGGTGTGCATTTGGGTTTGCTTGATCAATGCAAGGTCACTGGCGCAACGCAAGAATGTCGTGCAGATGTATGCCAGCTCAGAGCCCGCGCCATGTGCTTCGTAACCTTGGCCCGCAACGAAAGATCAGGGGCAGGCAATTGTATGCAAACACACCGAGGTAGCTACCAGAGTGGGATTTACAGCATTGGCATCACGCTTGTCACTTGCTATCACAGCGCTAACGCAGCTGGGATGTGACTGCCTTTGCGTGAACGGCCCCTCATTGGGTACCGACTTGGAGGTTTGACTTTCTGCCGGGGAAGCGGCTACGGGCTGCATTCCCCTGCCAAGAGATATAGACGTGTTTCACACCATACGAGACTTGCGCCACGATAAGGATGCCCCTCAGCCGTATAAAAAACACAGCATGGGATCCTGGAGTCATAGGTAGCATAGCGGATAGCTCTTCTTTTCAGCTTACATTATGCTGTGCTTCTCTATGCCATAGATCCTTCCAGAATTGCTTGAAGCCATAATTCGGCTTTTGCGAGTCGTACACTGCAACCTTTTCGCCTCCAAAGCGCTCCAAAACCCCTCCAGCTCGATGACCTATGATTTCCACCCTGATCTTTTCAGGCTTGCGGGCTCTCTGCTGTATCTCCTCTGCTAGTTGTGGCGCAACCTCAGCGAAACAGGCTTTTAGCTCCCGAGCAAGTGAGAAATATGGCTTTTTAGCAAGATCCGGCGCCTGGAGGTTGTAGGAGCGGGTCAAGTTGTTCAAGCCCGTAACTAAAAGAATGTGGTAACTGCGCTCAAGTGATTCCCACTCTGGATCACGGAAGAGACGAACTGCTACTGCTCCTGAAGACGATTCACCGGGCGGCGTCTGCTCAACGTCGGTACTGGTAGCTTCACTACCGCCTTTGCTGTCAGTCGGCATTGAGGCCTTGTCGGCCAGTTCCTCAGAGACAATGATCTTCACATATTCGGCAGCATTGGCTGGAGCACCCGTCTCCGTCATCGTTATTTGGGATAATTTTCCCTCCGCATCAAACCCGCTGATAGCTTCGCTTTTCGGGGTTTTGGGATTCGCTACGTCTTCCGCTTCTGCGTAAGCCTTTGCACGTCTGACCTGTGCCTCAAGTGAGCCACCTTTGCTGGCTATCATTCTAGCAGCATGTCTTTTCCAATCGGCTCTGAGTCGACGGCGGAACGCGCTTGCAGCTTTCACAAGCTCTTGTTGCTTCTCTATCCAAAGTGGCACAATCTCCTGCTTCTGTATCATTTTATTCATAAAATATTCAGTTGTATCAAGAAATGGACTGTTGGCATTGTGATCCTTTTCGATATTCTTTCCCTTGCCTCGTGGAATGTTTTTGAACTGCCCACGAGCAATTGCGTCTTCAATGCGTTCATTTGCCAAGGATGCAAGACCTTGCACAGTTGTAGGCATTGGACGTGCGCCCGCCGTAAAACGCTCCTTCAATTGCTTGCGCATTTGTTCTCGCTCCTTCTCGTTTAGATTAGAATCTTGACTGAGTGCATATACTGAAGTTCGGTCTCTGGCATTCGCCAGTCTTTCGCCCGGGGATCTTTGTACAGTCTTTTTCATCCGTGAGTCAACAATTCCCAACGTTGGTCTTGAGGCTGCCCTGGTGACTTTGTACCCACGGAGCGGTTTATGGGTGTCTTCGAGCATCCTCAATGCAGCGCTAGGCAGAGATTCTTGCCCCGTCCAAGGCTCTGCACTTGCATGCAACCGAGTGCCTTTACCAGCATTATCCTGTATTTAGTATTAGCTTCATTGCCAAGCATGAGCCTTTGCATGCCGTACAGGCAAGTCAACTTGAGCAAAGGCAGCAGCATGATCGTTCTTGAACGAGGTACTCTGTATCTTTGCTTCTAATCGTTCCCTCAGTTCCTCTGAAAAGCCAGCCTCTTTCACAGCTTGTAGGGCTGCTTTGCCACCTTGCTCTATTGATTCGTCTGTCAGCTGGGACAGACGATCAGACATACGAGAGCCTTCGCGCTCTCCGTCTCTTTCTACAGCAGCCTTGCTGCTACCCCAGGCTTCATGCTGATTCGGGGTCTTATCTCGCAAAGACCGGGTGTTGCTGAAGCACCTTCCAGTAGATGCATCATTACCCCAAAGCCTTCGGCAGGAATATTTTAAGCAGAAATATTGAGCCGTGCGATAACCAATCACCATATAGGAGAGGCTTTGTATTCAAGATCTATCCCGATTATTCAATCCAAAGCGATCTTCTCAACAATTGAAGGTAGTCGAGTTGGAGTCTTATCGATCGGGTGCTGCAGGTTAGACTACCCGCCGATCGGGTTTAAAGTCGGCTTTGATGGTGCACAGAGAAGGTCTCAGAGACACTTTACAGCCTACACAAACACAACATGAGTGAAGACAACACTTTGCCAGTATTCATAATCGTTTTCGGGCTCCAAGGTTGCTGCCAACCATACTAGAGACCGTTGTTCCACCCGTTTCCCTTTCATCACCCCCACCAGCGTTCTCCACAGCCATTGATCGACCGTGCATCGGTCATGAGGTCCTTTACAGGCACTACCACTATGGAACAGCCCTCAGCTACAAATCGAAGACAACCTGTACGACAAACACGTACAAATAATACCAGAACCTCCGCCCAGGCGGTCTTCTCGGCCACCTCAGGTGCTCAACCTCATGCAGGGACGAATCAAGAAGCACCAGGCTTCTATCCTGCTATTACCCATTTTACCGACGCTATCACTGCATTGCCCAAAGAGATGATAAGACACTATACAATGCTCAAAGAGGTCGAGGCAAAAATCTGCGGGCCTGAGGAGCGAATGCTTCAGCTACTATCCGCTGGACTAAAGGCGCCCGCGCTCAAACAAACAGGACCTTCAGGTGATATTGGTATATTCAACCCTCCCAACACTTTGATCACATATCATCAACTTCAGTCTACTAATGAGGTGACCAGAACCACTCCCAGACCCGAACAATCCCGAGTCGCAAAATCCTCGCTTCGCCCGCCGTAACTTTTTCCTAGAGATGCGACGCGAATTGGTCAATTCCTTAGGCATTTTGGATGAGAAGAATCATGTTATGAATACTGCGACCGACTGTTTGGATAAACAAATCAAACGGTGCCAAAGCTCATATCCTCATATAGAAGAAGAGATCAGCGAAGAAGCCAGGCTAGGCAGCATGACACACTGGGCATACAACACAGAGAAGCCAACAGAAAAGAAAGGTATGATAGGCGGTGAGCGTACACGGCGAGCCGCCAACCATCTAGCTGTAGAGACCGAAGCTGCAGCTATGCGGAGCGAGGTTAGAAGAGAAGCCGTTGCAGCTCGGAAGGGTAAACATCCGATCGTGGATTCCGACTTTGACGACTCTAGGACTGTCGGAAGAAAAGCGCAGAATGGGGGCAAAGGTAAAAAAGGGGGGATCCTGTCTACGGCTTAGGCATATCCAATGCTGCTCCACCGAATAAACGGAGACGGATCGAACACCCAGGGATCGGTGGTGCCAATATGGGGCGGTCTGCATCCTCGGCGTACGGCTCTGGCATTCGAGGAGTGTCCCCAGCGGTTGATGGCAAGAAAAAAGCCCGGGGTGGGGCAACAAATACCAACGGGAGAAGGAGGCAGGTAATCGATTCAACAGCATGCTATCCAAGCTAATGTCTAATTCAGGGGTGGGACGAATGCGTCAGGACTCAACTCTCCCAACTTGGTTTCATCACCATTGATTGGCACTTTCACTACCAGTGCGAAAGACCGTCAAGGTCGCTCGCCAGCACCATCACTACTACAGAGGGTGCCATCGTCTCGCGCACGACAAAGTTCTACCCAAGGCGTACAGATGTCCCGCAATCGTTCCTCTTCCACACTCAATCAGCGAACCACCAATGGTAATGGCCCCCAAAAGGCCGCTGCAGATGTCGAAAAAGTCTCGGGTCTCACGGGCAAAAGCGCAGGCGAGGTACGCAACCACATGAAAGAGACGCTCAACTCGCGGGGCGAGCACATGATCGAGGATACCATTGGAGAAGGATCAGGAGACATGCGTGGTGCACTCGTAATAGATGGTAACAGAGAGCGTAGCAACAATGGTAGTAGGACCCGGGATCGACCACCATCAATCTCAACCCGTGGAGGTGGAGGAGGAAACAGCAAGAACCCATCAAAGACCGCTACCCCACTCACGGCTTCCTTTAACGCAGAACCCCCGCGTTCACGCCCACCACGCGGCGAGGTGCCAGCCAAACGCTCTCACAAAAAAGGTGCAGGCTTGGCGGCTCAACGAGCCGTTGCCGTTACCCATGCTGCGACGGACGCGGACGGCTCGTCTATGCAAGGTAATGAGGATGGGGAAGATGGGGAAGGCGGCGGTGAGGATGAGCCTCGATACTGCATTTGCGAAGACTATAGCTACGGAGAGATGGTAGGATGTGATAATGATGATTGCGCGAGAGAATGGTTTCATCTGAAATGCGTGGGATTATCCAAGGCGCCTCCCAAGACTAGTGAGTCTCGAGGGATCTTTCTCCGATGTGAAAATGCTGACGCGTGAATAGTGAAATGGTATTGCCCAGATTGCATGAAGAAATTACAATTACAAAAATGACGGCAGCAAGCGAGGAGGCATCTTTTGGGAAGTAATTAAATGAACCGGGGTTGGTATATACGAACTCCGTGAAAGGCAAACGAGTCAGCTATCCACCATATGAGCTGTTGCTCGGGTTTCACCACAGCCACCTGTACAGAACAGAATCAATATGTGAGCAATATTGAAAAACAAGGCTGAAGTAATTCACTCTTCCCTCCCTTTGATCCACCCATCCCAATACACTCTCAACTCTTCCATCTGCTTCCAACACTCCCGTCCCACCTGCTCAAAATTCTCTCTCCCCTCCTTGGTGAGGCCGCCAATATCCCCCCTCCCCTTTGCCGTCTTCACCCCCCTTCCCCAATCCTTCCTCCAACACCCCACCCCTTCACACCAGTTCTCACCACCTTCTCCCGTCCAAGCCAATCACATCCACTCCCCCACTTTCCTTTTCCTCCCTCGGTCTCCAGATCATCGATTTCATCTCGGGACGCCAAGGCTAGCCAGACTGGTGCCACAGCTCCTTTATAGGAGGATACGGTATGCCAGGGCGAACCAAGAAGCCGCGCGAGATAGAAAGCTAGACTTGCGAAGAACACAAGGATGGCCGGCATTGGAACAAAAGATGTCTGGCAAATGCCTGGGTGCGCTACGTAAAGGGCTGGTTTTGATGGCATTGCAGGGTACGAATTGGTGTGGTCTGCAAGTTCGATGCCACGGTCGGAAGATGAAGAAGAGGAAGGGGCGTTGTCGTGGAGTTGGATGCCTTTCAAAGGATTTGACGCTGGGGGGGCAAGAAAGCGGGTGGTAAATGGTGAGGTGGAAGAAAGATCAGATGTTAGGACTAAGAGGTCTGCAAGACGTTTGGACGATTCGTAGGATTTGGCGGTCTGCAGTCCCTGGAAGTCATCTAACGAGAATGCATGGGCATATGCTTCGAGGCTGGATATGAAGATGATGCGACCGCCTTCCGGAGCTGCAGAGAGGATTGGAAAGAGAAGATGGGTAAGAATGTAGTGGCCGAGCACATTTGAGGCGAAGATTTGGCCAAGGGGTACTTCCTTCTCCTCATCCTCCAAAGTTCCGTCAATAGCTTCCTGTGATTCCGTTAAGTCGCCTATCGAGGTTATCTTATAAGTTGGGTAAGTTGTGCCGTTCACTGTATTGGTGAGAACTTCCCATGAAGCCTTTGGCCAATTGAGACCTGTGACAGCGCCGATGCCGGCGTTGAGAATAATCGAGTCAAGTTGCGGTATCTTGCTCGTCAAGTTCGATGCCAGAACATAGACGGATTTCAAGGACGTCAAGTCAACCCTCTCCGGCTGGATGGTTATTCGAGTCGATAACGGAGACTCGAGCTGTGCTGATTTGCGATTGACGTTGCGCTGGAGCCGAGCTACTGTCTGACTACTTTTGTTGGCATCTCGAGTTGTTATGATGAGAGTCAGAGACTGATAAGACGGTTTTGTCGCGATAAAGTCATCGATCAATCGCTCGCATATGGAAAAGCCCAGGCCGCTGTAAGAGTTCAGAAACTACGTAGCCTTGAAGAGGCGCAATTACCTGTTTGCTCCGGTCACTAGCACATAGGATCTTTGTCCTTCATCATGAGGATGCAGGTCCTCAGACCCATTCTCGCTCATGCCGAAATACCCTTACAACACGACGACATCAACGATCAAATCGGCCTGACGACTGCCTCCATTAAATATCGGTCTAGGCCGAATCCAGCTACCTCCTATTCAATTGGTGAACGGACGTTCCTGTCGTCAATCCAGAGACTACATACCACGCAAAATCATGACTGACTGCTAACAGATCAGTGGATTGCCATCTACTAGTCACTAGGTTTATGTTCATATCGAATGACCCCGATGTTGTACGCGCAGTCTATGAAAAATGTCTCACTTATTGTACTGAAGCATATACACTCCTCTTATTGTTCGCAAGAAGCCAAAATGTTCAAGGGCCACTATTGCTCGAGTGTTTCGTTAGAATGATGTCCATGCATCATGAAGTGTTTTTTCCATTGAAAAGATAGGACTGAAATGTCAGGTTCAGCGAGGGGGAGTTTGCATTCTTCGCATTCCTCCATTGTTTTGGTCGATCCCTGACTCGCGTTTGACCGCATGCATCTATGTCATCCAAGTCTTTTGTCCTTTCCACGCGTCATATGCCTTGAGATGTTGGAACAGACACATCAGCGCCACTGAGCAGGACTGCAGTACCATGACTGAAGCCCACCATCTGCTCGTGGATTTAATTTACAGGCTGTGATCGTTCTTAGTGTCTAAGGACTTGATGGCGGCAGCGAGTCTTGCCCAGGGATTGCCTAAGTGTGCTGTAAGTGTACTCAGTGGAGGCGAAAAAGGACATTCTCTAAGTCTTTGCTGTAGCAAGATTGTATCTCATCAACATCTCCAAGCACCCAGTGTACGCCTACGGACGTCAAATGTCTGTGCATCACGCCCGACTATAGTGATCGACTTGGCTGTTGTCTGTCTACAGGCTGCAACGACGATGATCAGAAGAGTATGTTGTTCTTATCGCGTCAAGTGGCGGCCTCTGCTTAAAGACTTGTAGGTGCGATCAACGTAACCCAGAGTATCTGTCAAACAGTCGGCGTTCGATTGCCAGACTTTGTGTCTTGTGACGCAAGATACTCGTCCGCTGTCTCAAACGCTATAGCATCTGCTAGCTCCTCGGCATCAAGCGAGTCAACTTCACGGACGGGCATGGCATCGGCCGGTACATCGGGCAGCGCTGTATCTACTGTGGGGAGCATCGAGCCGGGAGTATTGCTGCCTACTACTTCTACCATTGCGACATTCGCTGGGAGGTCCCTCCTGACGGGATCATGCACGTCTCCGCAGTTTGCTCTCGTCACGACTGGCGACGGCGGCTTCTTGGAGTATCCAGTTATCGGATGTTCGAATCTAAGTCCCGACTGTTGTCCATTTGATCTACGTGTCGGTGGGCAGCTCAGCGTGTGTCCTGCTGACTACTTATCCACGTCGAACGGATGCTGCCCTTCGTAAGTCTGTTCGCAATCACAGAAAGTGCAGCGTCTAATAGGTGTTCAATATGGCAGTGGCTACTCTGTCTATTCATCACCAATCGCAGGCGTCACTCAATGCTTTACTACTCCTCTCCTCCCTTTAGTCCCGCCCGGCGCAACCAACAATCCATCAGTGAGTGTCATCCGAACCCAGCTCTTTGCTCTCCAATATAGTGTCATACCGAAGCACCAGGGCGCCGCCACCAACACTGGCTTAATAGCCGGTGTCATCGTAGGTGGTGTTGCCGCCCTCGCCGCCCTCGCAGGCGCTGCCTTCTTTCTGTTTCGGAAAAAGCGACAAAAGGCTGCACAAGCACGACAAAAGGAGCAAGACGAAGCCATCGCTCATCCGCAAGCGGCCGAGCTCGGCAATGCGAGCCGACACGGCCTCGCAGACGAAAATTACCATACCCCCGTTACTCCTTACGCAGCTACTCATTTCTCGGAGCTCGAGAGCCCTCATAGTCCTCAGAGCGAGACTATCCCGCCCACACCAACTTGGCGAGGTTTCCGGAGGGGGACGGGGACCCCGAAGGAGAAGCCCGGTACGCCAGTGGAGCCGCAGGAACCGAAGGAGTTACCGGGGGACTTCTCGCATGCATCAAGGGATTTGGAGAAAGATAACGAGGGTTTCAAGGAGGCAAGCCGGCAGACTTTCGCAGGGGACCCGTATAATGGTAGTTCGTATGGAGGGGCAGGTACTGAAGAGATTGAGAAGCCGGATATAGGAGAAAGTCCTGTTCTACCGCAGACGAAGCCTGGAAAGTGAGCTTTTTGGACATTTTCCTAGGGCTCAAGTTGTAATGTCAGCCAGAGGGCTACCGATTATGTTTGGTTGGCCAATATGCTGTGTTTCTTAGATGCATTGGGTATATTTTGCTAGAAGCTTATGCACGCTGTGAATGGCCGCCCCCTGCTCCCCAAAGCATCAAATCCTTACGATGCAAACACCCTTACACTCATGTCCACACAGCCTGTTGCAATGACACACCTGATCGACTCCTTTCCCCCTGGATCGTCTTTCGTTGTGGCCACATCTCCATTCGTTGTTGTTGCGGGTATTGCAGCAGGGCCCTTTATCACCCCTGGCGCCCATCTTATGCAGCTTACGAAATGCCCGTGCGCATCATCAATCGTCTTCACGCACTTGCCCTCTTGGCTAAGATCCCAACACCGCATCGTCTTATCATCACTCACGCTGAGTAGATATTTCCCGCCAGGATGAAAGAGTGCACTACGTACCCAGTTGTCGTGCCCAACCAGAGTCTTGATCAGCGTGCCTCTTGAGTCCCAAAGCTTGATGGTCTTGTCGCGAGAGCCCGTGGCGAGGAACTCGCCGGAGCTGCTTGTTGGCGGCGGCTTCTTCAGTCCTGCTATGGTTGCAAGATGAACGTAAGACACTGCTGGAGCAAGTGTACAGCATTCTATGACGTGCTCATGCCCTAGGAATGTCGCCTTCACTTCACCCGATCCGGCATCCCAAAATCTTGCTACTTGGTCGTTACCTGCGGAGAGGAGCCACCGGCCATCGAAGCTGGGGGAGACGCAACGGACCCAGTCAGAATGGCCACGTAGAGTTTTCACACAATAGCCTGTCGTGACGTCCCATATTCTGAGCGTTTTGTCCCTTGATGCAGAGACTAAGAGGTTACCTGAAGAGGGAGAGCCGGCCGCTCCTGACGGTATGAATCGAATCGACGAAACGGAGTGATCGTGCCCAGGGAGAGTTCGAATGTTCTTGTATTCGTCTGACGGATCCCATAACTTTATAGTCAAATCCTGAGAGCAAGAAGCTAGCAGCGTTCCGCCCCTCGGACCTCCAAACTCGCAGTCAAGCACAGCTTTGGTATGACCCTTCACAGTTCGCTCCAGCTCGCCAAGCTCCCAGTCCCATATCTTAAGAGTAGAGTCTTCAGAGGCAGACGCAAGTGAGGAGAAGACGGGATGAAATGCAACAGCGGTAACCGGCGCGCGGTGAGATTGAAGGGTATGTCTAGCAGGAGATCGAGGCAGCCAAGAGGCTGGATCCTGATTCCGACGGGAGAGTGATGTGGGAGTTGCTGAGTCCAGCTCCGATTGGAGAGTGCTGTTGCGCGATTCAAGGTCCATTATCTAGATCACACTCCCTTCAGCATAGGTCTCATATAGCGAGCTGGGATTGGCTGACCTTCTTCTGTAATCTGACCACGCTTGTCCACTTTTTCTCCAGGAGCCCCTCATACTTCTTGCTTGTGGCTTCATCGAAAGAATTTCCAATACCTAGCTCTTCACGCAGAGCTGAGACACTGGTTGTGAGTTTGGTAGATGTCAGGTAGGCAATGATCGACTTATGACTAATCTTGGACATCAGAAATAATATTTGGTGGAAGGTGATTTTTTCGCTTACTCACAGTTCCTCAGCCTGCCGTGAGGTAAGAAGTTGGCTCATGGCACCTGTTTATGACTACCTGCACAAGAGCCTAACGCCGATGCATGCTTTTATTTCAAGCTTGTGGCCTCCTCCGATGACTGTTATGCGGGATTCGCTGCTGGTGAAATGCAGAGAGCAAGCAATCTGAAGTTGAGGTAGTTTGTAGTTCGGACGTCTGTGCAAGTATTTTTCTGGGAAACCCCCAAGGAGGCATGGACAAAGATGAAAAGTTATAAAGACGTCTTTTGAGAGATCAAAGCCTAAGAAAATATTAGAAGAGGTTCTTCAATAGGACAAGGTGGCTGTATTAACAAGCGGTGGTGTTTTGCTGCATCGTAGGGATTTGCGGCGATATGGCGGAGCTCCCAATCTTACCACTAAGCGAAGCGTATTGTAATGTTTCGACCTGCCGCTAACTGTGCTAGGTAAGGTTGGTCTGTTGACATATGCGTGATTCGCGTGAACATGAGAATTAAACAAACGCTCAAGTCAAATATTCACACCCTGAGAATGCGAAAGCTCAACTCATAAGCTTCTTCAAAGATTTCAAACCGCGACGCTTCTTGTCTACAGTCACAGAAAGCCCCGTCTACCTGCTCATAGATCATGGCAGATCAAGAGGAGGACTTCAGTAAACTCCCATTCTCCGACAGGTTCGCGCACAAAGTGTGTCATACCCGCCAGGTCCTGTTTGGGGTTTCCACTGAGTATAATGTAGAATTGGAAAGTTCGAAAAGAGGGATATGAAGATGCGGCGAAGGCATTCGAGAAAACACCGGACGAGTCAGACCCAATATTCAAAGAGTTCACATTCGACTCTGCTTTGTGGAAGGGTGCAGTCTTGGATTCCAATGTTGCAGCGCAACAAGAGGGAGTCAACGCATTGTGTGCGTTCCTAAAATATGGGGGTCCGCAAGCATGCACAAGGTCTGAATACCATCCTCTGCTTCATACAAGACTAACCTCATGTAAGGTCCCGAAATGCTACAATAACACCGTTAGTTGAAAAGGGTCTTCCGTCAGTAAAGGTAATCACAAAGCAGAGCTCTCTAGAGGCACTACTACTCTACGTTGAGCTTGACAAGGCCGATCCCATACTTGATGACCTTTTGGCAGGCCTCTCGAATAAACAACCGAAGATTGTTGCGTCAACTTTGACTGCCCTGACAGCGTTATACCATGCTTACGGAGTAAAGATCGTAGAGCCAAAGCCGGCGCTGAAGTCGTTGCCAAAGGTGTTTGGCCACGCAGACAAAAATGTGCGCGCTGAGGGGTCAAACTTGGCGGTTGAGCTCTACCGATGGCTGCGCGAGGCCATGAAACCTTTATTTTGGGAGGAACTCAAACCTGTACAGCAGCAAGATCTTGAGAAGCTATTCGAGGGAGTCAAGTCACAGCCTCCACCCAAACAAGACCGGTTGCAAAGATCACAACAAGCCGCCGCAGCGAAGCAAGCCGCCACGCCTAAAGAGGAGCTAGACGACGAATCACAGGGTGTTGAAGAGGAGGAAGAAGTGCAAGCTTTTGATTTGGCAGAACCTGTGGATGTGCTCAGCAAATTGCCAGGAAATTTTCAGGAGAACATGGCCTCTGCGAAGTGGAAAGACAGGAAAGATGCTCTGGACGCGCTTCACGAAGCAGCCAACACTCCTCGAATCAAGGACGGTCACTTTGATGATACGATAGCAGTCTTGGCTAAGTCGATGAAAGATGCAAATGTTCAAGTTGTCATAACCGCCGCGCATTGCCTGGACGTTCTCGCCAAGGGTCTTCAACGCAGCTTTGCAAAACATAGGAGCAGGATAATGCCTCCAATGCTAGAGCGGCTGAAAGACAAGAAATTGGCGGATCCCTTGGGCTCGGCACTTGATTCCGTCGTAGCATCCTCAGGTCTCTCCGAGAACATGGAAGATATTGTGGAGTTCCTAAAGCACAAAAACCCACAAGTAAAGGCGGAGACTCTGAAGCTGCTCATCAGAAGTTTACGTAATACCAGAGAGGCACCGTCGAAGGAAGAGACGAAGTCAATAGCTGGTGTTGCTACTAAGCTGCTCACGGAATCCACAGAAGCGACAAGAAATGGGGGCGCAGAGGTTCTTGGAACTCTCATGAAGATTATGGGCGAAAGAGCGATGGCACCGTACATGGATACTGTGGATAACATAAGAAAAGACAAGATAAAGGAATACTACGAATCGGCGGTGGTAAAAGCAAAAGACAAACCAAAGCCAGCCCCACAACCTCCAAAGACTGTGTCAGCTTCTCAAAAGAGGCCCGCTGCTCCAGGGGCCAGGAAAACAGCGCCCGGCATGAAACCACCTGCTAAACGCCCGTCCACTCCTCAATCCGAAAAGCCACTAACGTCTCCTGCCCCCAAAGCTGCGACTGGCAAGTCAATACCATCCAAGCTCTCTGGTCTGCCAAAATCAGGTCTTGCAGGTCCCAAGAGCAGACTCCCAGGAGCAGGACCAGTGCCTTCCAAGCTCACATCACCTCGACGGACGATCACGCCCCACTCGGATGAAGACTTAGCTCCAGTACCGAAATTGGGACGAGGCCTCGCGGGAAGGCCCTTAGGAAAACCCGTAGCGGCAGCGACTTCTTCTCCTCCACCAACAACACACCAGGCCGGTCCTTCTGCAGCCGACATTGCCAAGCTTGAAGAGCTACGAGCAGAGAAGGACCGATTAGCACGCAGCCACGAAGATCTTCGAGCAGACAAACAGAAGCTCACCTCTCAAATACACGAGCTACGGAATCATAATGCTCAATTGATCGAAGACCACACACGAGATGTCCTCAGCATCAAAGCCAAGGAAACTCAGCTTGTACGAGCGCGTTCAGACGCTGAGGCTGCCGAAAGCACAGTGCAGCGTTTGCAGCGTGAGAATGAACGGCTGAAGCGCGAGCTAAATCGAGCCGTAAGACAGAGCACAGGGAGTCCCCTCTCCTCTGCTACCGCTGACGACGGGATGGGCATATACCGTGACTCAGCTTCATCCAATGGCACTCGTTACAACCAGCATTCGGGCATAGAGCGACTCAACAGCAGTGCTTCAAACAGACGTTCAAACTACCTAGGAAGCCCGAGCGAAGAGAAGGAGAACGGCGTGTTTACGGGAGGAGAGAAAGCACAACCACCTCCGTCCTTTAGGGAAGACGTTGGCAGTGGTGGTGAGAATGTAGACGAGGGCGGGAAGCCGGTCGAGAATTGGAGAAGGGCAACGGAGGTAACTAATCAACTGAAGGCGAGGATTGAGCAAATGAAGGTACGTCAACACGTAGAGCGTCTTGTATAAAGTCAATGCTAACGCATACTTTCCAGGCGAAGCAAGGTCTGCAAAGGCAACGTTGATATATTTTCGCAGCAAACAGTGTCTTGCAGCTTCTTTTCAGCATGATTGGGCGCACATTTCGTGATGACTGGCCACTGAAGGCTTCTTGCACAGCTTATTCTGCAGCGGTTTTCGTGGAAATGTAGGACTACATCGATACTGCATTTATAATATGCATTAGGCTATCTGCATGATTAATGCATCATGAGATTCACCGTCGCATGTTGGGTCAATTGGAGATTCTTCATGCAAATATTTAGCCGCTGAAAGCAGCCATGTCTTGTCCTCATATCTTGATAGCGCTCTCCAAGGCTTTTCTCTTCTTCTCCGTCCTAGCAATGGCCTTTTGACCCATTATGCCACCACCCCAATGGCGCTTGGCTTCTTCGTACTTATCAGTGTAGCCTTCCTTAATAGTCGAGATGAGTTTTGAGAATTCTGACTTGTCCTCTGAGCGCACTTCTGTTAAGGCAAGCACAGCTGCAGTCTGCGATTGAGGAATATCAGCCAGCTATCTCACTAATATTCTCAATATCAAGCGGCTCGAATCTGCGTACCTTCTTGTGCACAACAACCCCAAGCCTAGCCTTTCCCTTCACAATCGCATACGGCACTCCCATCTTCCTACACAGCGCTGGCAAGAATATCACCAATTCGATAGGATCAACGTCGTTCGGAATCAGCACCAAGCTTGCCTTCTTGTTCTCAACCAACCCCACCACATGGTTCAGCCCATACTTGACCGCATAAGGCTTCTTGCTCACGTCCTCCTTTTTCTTGCCCTCGCTGACCGCCGTGGCTTCCTTCAACAGACGCTCTTTCTTTTCTGCCTTCGTCTCTGGCTTGTATTTGTTCAGGAGTTTGAAGGTTTGGGCGGCGGAATTGCGATCAAGAGTGTTGTTGAACTGTGCGATTGCGGGCGGGACTTTCAAGCGGAGATTCAAAATTTTCTTCTGGCGTTGTAGGCGTACATATCCAGGCCATCGTACCATACGAGAGAGATTGCGGCGGGGTTGGATGTCTTGACCGATACCGAAGTTTCGAGGGCGTTTTTCAATAAGTGGATTCTGTGTTATACCTCGTTAAAGTGCATTCGCTACGGAATGATGAACTGATCAAAGTCGATCGCATTATTTCACTCACTTTCGAAGTTTTCTTAGGTCCCCCAGCCTTCGATTGAGGAAAGGGTGCTGGGGCAGCCTTCTTGCTACCTTGCTTTGGAGGCTGTCATTGAGAAAAGAAGATCGTCAGCGAAACTTGTTCACGAGTAGATCTTCTCTAAACTCTAAAGAGACCATATGCATGCGCATTGCTACACAGCTATATGGCTCAAGCCTTTTTCTCTATGGATTGGCTAGCTCGGTCTCTGCAATGCTGGTGGGAGCTTGCGGGGACCATAACCCTCAGCCATACCATGATATAATGATGCTACTTCGTACAGAATTCAAATTCTTATGAATGGATGTCTTACCATCTTTTGCTGTATTCGGCCGTCGAAACTGGGGGGAGACAGCGTGTAGTTGAGAGTGCTCTTTGTGAGCGTACCAATGCTCCTAAGCGAATCCTCTAGCGCGGATTTTCAGCCCTACGGGCTATGAATCAACTCCCCTGACAGGCTCGCGGTTTGTAACTTCTCAACAAGTAGTCATCAATAGAAGGTATCAGTATGAAAAGTACGTGAAACTCTGATATGATCATATTCTTAAGCAGAAGTCTCTTAATATGATAGCTTCCTGAAGGCTTATCTGTACCTTGGGCTTTGGGAGTATCCGGGGAGGTTTTCAAACCGCGAGACAGGATGGGAGGCACTAGAAAGTGGTTTTTTCTCTGGGACTACATGTCCTCATTCGTGATACGTTATTGCAAGCCAAGATTCGAATAATTAAGCATATTCGTTTATTTACAGATCTACCGCATGCCAGAAATTTGCCTCTAGTCATTCACATAGCTCATTAAGCACTTCCAGATATTCATGTCTTAGTCGTAACCAGCTGTCGGAGAAAACGATGATGCTCGTTGAAAGGATCAGCCAGCTGAAGCTTCCATAATCTTCCTATTGTAAATCGGCAAAAAATCTACTGGCAGCCATAATATTCTCATCGCCGTTCGCAAAGTCCCAACCCACAATTTTGTTGTCCTGCGAGCAACACACAATCCTTCTGGCATCAAATTGCAGTTTGAAAACCCTTGCGTTCGGCTGGCCGACAGGGGGAGCACCATTCTGGGGAGGCCCAGGCGGCGGTCGAGGCGGAGCAGCTGTTTGACTTGGAACGGCCGGAACTTGCTGAGGATTAGACGAGGAAGCAGGTACGCTAGGGCGTCCTGCTGGTGCAGGCAAAGCTTGAGTCAAATATGATGGTGGTGGTAAGGTCGGTGAAGGTGGAATTTGTACACCACTAGAAGGCCCAGCAGTCGACTGTCTTTGTGAGTTGTTCGGTGGATAGATAAGAGCGGTCTCATGGCTCTGTTGGGAGTCAGGGAGATCATGAGGGATGTGGTCGGTGACGGAAGCGTCGGGGCGTGGACTTGGAGGTTGTTGATCGGACCGCGGAGGCATGGAACGGTTATCCGCTGCAGGATGATCTAATGACTGGTCGATGAGAGAAAGATCGGGTGTATTTGGTCTCGCTAAGGGAATTGGCGGAGGGCCACGTGGAACGTTTCGAGGAGGAGAATTGACATGCACCCGGTTGAACAACGGAGGTCCAGCGGCGGTAAGGGCCTCCTCTTGGGCAAGTTGGTGACTCATCACCCACTCGTCATCGGCGTTCTTTTTCCAGATGATTACCTTTTCGTCATACGAGCCAGATATGATACGGGCCCAGCGGCTTCCTCCACCACTTGGAGGTATCTTCGCGCCTAGCGTCCTCAGATCGCGAGGCCTTCGCGAGCCTGGACGCGCGGGTCGCCCTGGACGATTTGGCTTGAGATCTTCTCCATTTTCTCTCGCAACGTGCCATAGTCGGTCTACTTCTGCTGCTTCGGCTTCTAAGCCTTCGCGGCCCCCGGGTACGTCAGCAAACGCTGCCTGTAGTGTTCTGACAAGTCGTTCATGCCCTTCCAACCGGGCGACCTCAGTCCGAGTAGCAGGATCCCAAATGCGTATTGAGTTGTCACTACTGCCACTGACTATTCTCTTGCCATCGTACTGAACGCAGGCAATGCCTTTCTCATGGGCCTGAATTCGTGAATGACATTCTCCTGTATGAATGTTCCAGACTCTCAGGTGGCGATCACCTGAAGCAGATACTAATTGATCTTTGTATATTTGGATGGCATTTACAGCGGCGCCATGTAAATTGAGAGTCATAAGATGCATATAAGGCTCTAGTACCGTCAAGTGCTCGGGCGTACTTGGTTGATAGCGAATCGAGGTGCCAACATTTTGTGCATCAATAATATACGCAGGACAGGCGCCGCCGTCCGCGACCCCTTTCACTGGATAATCGGGATCTCCAGGCCGCAGCTCGTGCCTATTCCAGATTTTAATTGTTTTGTCCTTTGAACAAGTGACCAGAAATCGATGATCAAACCGGAGGTTTAGCACTGACTCTTCATGCGCTTTGACTATTTTCTTCAGCACTGTACCAGTAGAGAAACGCCAAAGAATGACATTCGTATCACTACTGCCAGAGACAATGATATCCTCCTCTGGTCGGCTATCAAATTGTAAGCAAAGGACGGATCCCGTATGACCTCTCAAAGGGCTTCGCCAGAGACGTCCTTTCGAGAGATCCCATATTCGGAGTGTTCGGTCGCGACTCCCGCTAACAAGATAATTTCCCTGATACTGGATTGTATATACGCACTCCTCATGTGCCTCTTGAGGAAAATCACGATGAGGAAGCTGGAAATTCTTATAACGTCCTTTGTCCCAATTATCCTCAAGTCTTTTTTTCTGTTTAAAGATGTACTGATAATTAAACCGCGATTGACCTGCCCCAACCGACATGAGTAGAGGTGGCTTCAGAGACGTTCGTCGAGAGTTGCTTGGCTCGGACTTTGTATTTGTTGGCGAGAATCTTTGAGATGATGGCGAGGCGGGCCAGGCCCAGACGTGTTCTTCGCGCGTGATACTGGTCTTTTCAGATTTGACGTCTGTCATCTCCACATCTGTATCAGCGCCACGGCCAGCACACTGTTGGTCAGCAATAGCTTGCATTAGGTGATTGTGCATTTCCGAAGAATTAGGCCGAGCTGGAGATCGGGAAGCTTCAGACCTGGGCGGTCTCCAGTAGCTTTGATATAGGCTACGATCTGTCTGATCCGCGCTAAGTTGTCCTTGTTGATCTCGGCACTTATTCTCGAACCGTTCGATTTCTCTGGTATCAAGACCCCAGCCCTCTACACTAAATTTTTCTTTCCACAGACCACCGTCAGTCACGCGATCTCTCCAAGCTCGGGAGACAAGCGAGACGTTCATAAGGTCGTGAGGCTCTAGCCAGGATAGAACCAGAGACATGATCTCGGTCGGGAACACTTCAAGTGGGTCTTTGTGGAATAATGGCCACAAGCGATCGAAGACGGTGGCAATTGAGGAAGCTCTGAGTCCCCTCAGCAGGTCATAGGCGACCTCTACTGGATGTCAGCGGATGTCACACATCTAAGGACACCTGAGCCGTCCATACCGCTCCTTTCATGCTCTCCGAGACCACGGATGAAGTCCGCGAAGTGTGCCTCTACCGGAGGCTGAGTTCGCATCGTAGTGCTGCTATGGTCTCTTATGTCGAGCTTCATTGACGACTCAGACCCATCCTGACTTCTCGTGTCCTCCGAATAGCCTTCATCGACTTTGTAAGGGTCCATCTTCGGACGCATCATCGTACTCGAGAAGCCAGGAAGGCCATCGATATGAGGGTTGAACGGGTCCATATAGTATCCCTCCCGTAAACAGGTACCGTTGGACAGAGGCTTGCGAATGTGGTGTCGATCTGGGATTAAATCCTTGTGGTTGGCGGGGTTCAGTGCAGTCCGACCAAGGTCAAAATGGCAGAAGCGGAGCAGCGGCCATGTGAGGCCAAAGACAAACAGCAAGGTCAAGTCCAGATCGAGCGATACTGCAGGTAGACCGGCCCTTTTCGAAGGTCAGAATGCCGGACGGCGCCTGTTGTTGTCATCCTAGACGGGCCTGCCTGTTTGCGGAGATTGTTTGATGCCGAGAGCCACCGGCGGCGGCTAGGCCCGAAGCTAACGATCACGTGGCTGGCACGCCAAGCTCCCCCTCGACCCCTTCCATGGATCATTATTCTTACCTTACGGCGGGCTTCCCCAGACAGGATGTAAGATAGAACGAAAGTAATCAACACAGATGAGGAAGCGCATCCTCGACAGAGGACTGCACCTTCCTTCTCGCTGTCTTGGGGTATTGGTGCACTGTGTGTAGCTTCATGACTTGCACTGCGGGCCTCCTTGCTACTTTCATCAACCGTTCATTCCTGATAATCGTCACGATCACTATACTACGTTTCTGCCTACCATGCTGCCCAAATTCATAAAGGCTTGAGAGAGAATCCCCGGCCCAAGCCGTAAGAAGATCAGGAAGGGTCATATCATCGACTGACGGCACAAACCAAATCCTTGAAAACGTAGCACCGACAGAGTATTATTTCTGACGCTTTCTACATGCACTTGGAAGAGCGGGCCTGGACTTGACTTTCACATGCCACGTTGAGAAACTGAATGCCACGCTCATCTCTGGCATATCTCTTCAGTACAACTTAGATACCACGGAGAGCTCGCCAGAGTATCGGGGTTGAGGGGAGGGTCGAGATTTCTCCAAAGCCGCCCGGTTTTGAGCCTAACCCCGACGTGATGTAGCGTGAGCCTTGGCCCCGCTGTAAGGATTGGCATTTCTGTATGCGATCAAGCCCTCGCCCACGAATTCCCCTTGACTACCTTTACCATCTGTCGTCTCGTCCAGCAACAATCTCTGCTGTATGAGCTGCCATCCGAGAACTTGCATGATATAACTCCCTCCTCTCTGTGTAAGAGTTTTAACGCCTTTGTAGCGTTGCAAACCAGGTCTGTCAAGCACAAACGCACAACCTCAGCCGGCTCCGAGGGGCACAATACATACCACCTACGACTTAGCGACTTCCTGTAATACGCCTGCAACAGTATCCTTCGAATCTCTCAACTACGAGGGGTTCCCTCATCGCAGACTTCGCAGCTCTTATGTGAGACTCGGCTACCCCTTGTTCCTGCCACCCGGCTCCATATCCCGAAACCTCGAATTGCCCCTCGGTCTGGAATACAAGCCAGTTCTGTAGCCTGCGCGGCATTCAGGGCGTGTATGCGAAACTGGGCAAAACCCCGTGAATCGATCTTACAAAGGGCGACAAGTTCTGGCTGCGAGGACGTCCTAGATCCAGCGTTCACTACTTGAGAAAAGGCATGCTGGCAACAGAACCAGCCAGAAACGTCTTGGCTCAGACTACCATGGCGACCTACCAGCCTCGAGGCCAGATGAATGGGTCGAACTCAAGCTTTGGGTCTATCAACTCCAATTCACACTCAAACAGGTTTACTTCAAGCTCTGCCACGTCGAATTTCAGCTATGCAGAACAACAGGGCTTATTCCCTCCGCCGCTACCTCAAACATTCTCTCCTCCTCCGATCGAGGCTCCACAACCCACACAGAACATCATGAATCAGCGAGCTGGTGCCGACAGCTCGCTGTACCAGATTTGCGTTAATTTAAAGAAAAGGTTGTCGGATGTTCCGAATTTTCAGGAGCACATTCAGGAAATGAACGATGAAGAGGCAGAAGATGGCGACTACATAGATCCAGTCACAGCGATGTGGAACTGCTTAAGAAGGGGTTTTCCACTGATGACAGTCTTCAACGCTCTCAAACCGGCGGAGTACTTGCGCGTAGATTCTTCTCGATATCCAGAATCTAAAATTGGGAAAGCTGCAACGTTCAAATTCCTGCAGGCCTGCTTGAATGAACTCAAATATACTCCACCCGAAGTTTTCCTTATCACTGATCTTTATGGCGAAGATACTACTGGTTTCGTAAAGGTGAGCCTTTAACGTCTTCCAATTTGATTCGATTGCCATTTGATTCCCGCAGGACACCAAAATTTTGTCTCGCTAAAAGCTTACACAATCGTAGGTCACAAAGTGTGTCAACAAGGTCTTGGATCTTGTTCAAAGGCGAGGGCTACTCTTGGAGCGTGTGCATTCTGTAACAGAATTAGAAGACGATGTGCCTCGAGCAAAGACGCATCGCCAAAAGATTGTCGAGGAGATTGTCAAGACTGAACGCGACTACGTCCAGCACCTGGAGACCTTACAGCAATTCAAGAACGAGGTGGAGCAAAGTTCAACCATCGCTGGTGATGCAGCACACGACATTTTCCTTAACCTGAATGCTCTCCTTGATTTCCAACGGCGATTTCTCATTCGGATCGAGCAACAAAATTGCTTACCAGAAGTTCAGCAAGACTGGGGCAAATTGTTCTACCATTACAAAGACTCTTTTCGAGTGTATGAGCCCTTCATTGCCAACCAAACTCGTTGCCAGGAGGCCATTGAGAAGCAGTGGGATAAATTTTCTCACGCTCCACTGTCACCGGATATCAAAGGACTGGTCGACAATCAAACAACCCTTCTAAGCTTTTTATTGAAGCCTTTTCAAAGACTCTGCAGATATCCTTTACTTCTGGAGCAGCTCCGTGACAAGGGTGGGCTTGAAGAGACACGTTGCAGGAATCTTGACGATGGGATTAGTGCAGCAACTTCGATCTTAAATCGTGCTAACGAAGCAGTGAGCAGAGAGCAGCGATTAGATGCGGTGCGCGACCTACAGGAGCGTGTGGATGATTGGAAGGGCCATCGAATCGACCATTTTGGTGATCTATTGCTTTATGGCGCCTACACCGTGGTCAAGGGCGAAGGAAGTAAAGAGGTGGAACGCGAGTACAAGGTCTACCTCTTCGAGAAAATACTTCTTTGCTGCAAAGAGTTCAATCTGAGTAAACAAAAGAACAAGATGCTCGGCAATAGCAAGACACTGGTCGACAAGAGGGGAAAGCCAAAACTCCAGCTTAAAGGTCGCATCTTTATGCAGAACGTAACGGACGTCTTGACCATATCCAAAGCGGGTAAGCGAGGGCACGATTTCATACCCCTACTTGCTAACCCATAGCGCAGATAAAGGTTCTTACACTATTCAGATCTTCTGGAAGGGCGATCCTGGCGTTGAAAACTTTGTTATACGTTTCCTAGATGACAAAACCATGAAAGACTGGCAAGAGAGCATCCGCAAACAGAAAGATGCTCTGAGCGATACTTCAAGAAGATCGCGCGAAAATGGCCCGTCTTCAACGTCTTTCAGGTGGCAAGACGACCAGCCTAAGCCAGAAAACCCCTATCGCGAAGAAGATGGGGATGAAGATGACCATAGTAGCCAAGCGACCCTTGTTCAGTCCAGATCAGGAATTTCAAGCAGCCGCAACGCATCAAATACAAGTCTGCGCTCGATGGGCACACTGCAAGGATTCAATCGCACTGGACATCCTAGATTCACTCCTGAGCAGGGCAGCAGTCATCACAATCCACCACTCAGTGTTAATACAAATGTCGCGCCGAACGCTCCCTCCCCGGGAGACTTTGGGGGTCAATCTTATTTCTCACCTTCAAATGACTCTCCGAATTCACAGCGATCAAGCTCACAAGCTAGCATGTATGGTTTTCCAAGGCAGCCTGCGCCTCCGGCTGGCTGGTCGTATGAGAACGGCAAGCACAGGACTGCACCTGCTATGCCTCGAGCACCGTCTCGAGAGGGTTCTGCTCGTCCTTCCATACCCGGCTTAGGGCCTCAGCATGCACAAGCACAAATAGCGCAATCTCAAAGTCGTCTACGTTCCGCTAGTACGCCGGATATCAATGGCCCAGGATCAAGGCGGGCACCGAATGCACAATTGCAACCCCCACCTGAGTATGGTCCTGTGCCGCCCATACCGAACAATATTCGAATGCCAGTCAATCGCAGTCAGACTGCCTCGCCGCTTGATGCACATCTGGCAATTAGAAGTGTTGGGCATTCCCCCGCGACACCACAAGGGATGTACGACAATCAGAGCCAGCGCTCGCATCGGCGCTTAGAAAACGAACCCTCTGCCCCAGTCATACATGAACCTGCAAACCCTCCAACCTCACACCCTGGACTCGGTTCGGGTCGCGAAAGTCTCTATCCTACACAGCTGAAAGTCAAGGTCCTTTTTGACCCGCCGCCTAGCCACATTACCATAGTTGTACCAATCACCATCAAATACCGCACACTTGTCGACCGCATCGATTCTAAAATGGCCCGAGTTTCATCAGCGTCGATTGCCAAGGGGACGGCTCGGTTAAGATACAAAGATCAGGAAGAGGATCTTGTGGCTATCAATTATGACGAGGATGTAGGGGAAGCAATTGAGGAGTGGGGTGCTATCCATGAACACAGACTGCGTCAAGGCATCACCGACGACTTCGAGCTATTTTGGCAAGAAAAGTGACCAAGTCCTCTGAGGCGTCGTCCACAACTCTACACATGGCGGGCAGTGCCACCGCAACAGGCTCCCAAAATTCCTTGGTGCGTACTCGACCATGTGGATACTGATTCCGGAGTCTTCGAAGCGCACATCAAGAGCCTTGTTACGGGTCATATATGCCATATCTTGGATCAACAGAGACGAGAGGCAGGATTTTCGGGTTCATATTACAGGTGGTGCCGCAAGGCATATCTATCGTCTAGAACGACTATTTCGTTCTTTTGGAATAAGATTAGCTGAGCATACACAGTGTATGATAGGCTGGAAAGCTTACGATTTGCGACGTCAGCGATGTTTCAAAGCTTGGCGATATGGTGGAGTACATGGAGTAGAATGGTGAAGTGGTCTGGCAAACGCCGTTTGGCTTTGCAACGAAGGAATGAGTAGCATGACAGATCCTTTTTGGATGAGCAAAATGCCGCTTGCATAGCGTTAGACAATTTAAAGACATTGCCAAAGCTCTCGGGTCCTGAGATCGCAAGTTTACCTTTCAATTTCAATGGTAGTCACATACTCTCTCCCGCGCAAAACTCATGAGCCAATATGGGCTCTTACTACAACGTGGACGCCATTTTGACTGAAGCAGAGAAAGTTCCCTGCACATTCAACCTCGATCTCCCAGGCTTAGGTTTCTTGGACGAAAACCCTGGAGACGACGTAAGCTCCGCATCTTCAACAACTTTCTACTTCCTATAGCTACGCGTTCTCCAATGCTCATGCATTACAGAGACTCAAAAGCTATGCGTATTTCCTTCATCAAATATTGATCCGTCTTGTATTCTTAGATTCAGGCGAATACCCCGACTTCCCTACCCCTCTGGCTTGCAACTCTCCTCGCTGTTCAACGTCTTGGTACCGGCGCCCCAATCTGCACCCTTGATCTTCCGCCATGCATCGGAGGAAACCAAGAATTGAATGCACTGAAAGCAGACCCGAGGGTCGTGGACTTGAGGCGGTGGTGCAGGCATTACTGGGCTTTCGCGGCGAGAGTAATGGAATTGTGGGAGGAAGAAGAGATCGGAGGGGCTCTGTTGGACGTATGGATCCAATCAACGTCTACATTGGCTTTTATTGCTACACCGTGAGATGTCTTGCTGACGGATTCGGCTACAGACATTCAAGATCAGAGCTGCAGAAATTGCAGATTATGCTAAAAATCCTCGGGGTGCACCTGCAGACTTTGTGCAGAGGCTAGATGAGACTGAGTTACAACGTATGAGTGTACGAAACCTCGAGCATTAGAGCATCTGAACTAATTGCACGGAAGTGTTCAAGTCTGCACGAGACAGCTCAAGAGCCATGCGAGAATGGCTGGGCGAAACAAAGAGAAAGATCTAAAGATTTCCCGGTAAAGTGGGAGGCGGAGTCCCCATCGACAACAGATTCTCGTTGGTGGGCATCTCTAGGTGTACCAACGCTGATTTTGTCGGGACTGAAGGTGACTGACGAGCTTATGATCTGGACGGCTCGTGATTCTCGCGAGCTTCAAATCCGCGCTCGAGTGCTTGAAGCATGTGATCAGAAAGTGATCAGATCTGAAAAGCTCATTAAAGAATAATGCAAGTAGGGGATGACGATGAGAGCAGCTCGTCTGTCATTTTGCGCCTTTCTTCCTCCTCACTTAAATTAAGTGTCGGAAGATGAGGATTTTTCATCAAGCTGTAGATTCAAAAATGAAAACACCTCAAATGCCCCACTACGTCACAGCCTCGGTAGGATCATCTTGTCGAACGATTTGCAGAAATCGACTATTCCTCCCTACACTCAGCCAATGCTCAAGCGCACAACCAATCTGATTCCATAATAATGTCGTCCGCATTATTTCGTCCGTCAGCTGCCCGTAGCACCCTCAGAGCAATGTCCACGACCCCCAAACTCTCCGCACCAGTAACCATGACCTTCAGTCGTGGGAAAGCTACCCTGCCAGATCTACCATGTATGATCCCTACAATGCCTGCAGTTCTTTTGATGTTTTGCAATGCCATCAATTCCCTTTGTTCCTTTCAATTGAGTTCCCAGTGCCACCCGCTAAGATTTCATGATCATCAGACGATTACGGCGCCCTCGAGCCCTCCATCTCCGGCAAGATAATGGAGCTGCACCACAAAAACCACCACCAAACGTACGTGAACTCCTACAACGCCGCTGCGGAGAAACTCGCCTCCGCTTCCTCCCCCGACGCCCAGATTGCCCTCCAACCGCTTATAAACTTCCACGGCGGCGGCCACGTCAACCACTCGCTCTTCTGGGAGAATTTGGCCCCCGCAAAATCTGGAGGTGGCGGCGAGCCTAACGGAGCTCTGAAGCAGGCAATCGATACGGCATATGGCGGTCTAGAAGGGCTCAAGAAGGTCATGAACACGAAATTAGCCGGAATCCAGGGGAGCGGGTGGGCTTGGTTGGTCAAGGATACGGAGACGGGACAGGTCGGAATCAGGACGTATGCGAATCAAGACCCCGTAGTGGGGCAATTCAAGCCGCTGTTGGGAATTGATGCTTGGGAACATGCTTATTAGTGAGTTGTCATGTTCCGGAAGGGCCAGGCTAGATTTGCTAACGGTGCTATGAAGTTTACAATATCAAAATCGAAAAGCGGAGTACTTTGGTGCTATTTGGGATGTGATAAATTGGAAGACAGCAGAGAAGCGATTTGCAGCAGCTTGAGTATAATTCTAGATGTGCAAGCAGAAAGGTAAAGCACAAGTATATTGAAAGTTGCATGATACACAATCTATCCTGACCGCTATGCAGAACTTTCAATGACTAGTATGTACTCATCTTCTTCCTCCTCCACATTCATGAAAGGGTCTGGAAGTCTTACACTTTCTGATCTGACAATGTTGAGACACCACATCAAGACCGGTACTGTAATCGAAGGGCTATTGTACAAGGATTGAGGATACTTCTGAACGGTCTGACGTATTGCTTCCCAGTATGAAGCTCCGATTGCAGCTAGCTCGTTGACTTCAGGACTTCTACTAGGTTGGGAAGATGGGGACTTCCAGGACGTGTCCATTGGGGTCGAGGGGGACCCATACCATATTTCCAAAAGCTTCACCCAAGATATCCACGGAGTACCTGACGGATGGTTGTCATCAAAGTCGCTTCTCTGCTGAAGGACCCACAAGCCGCATAGCCACAAGGCAAAGACGCATTCCTCGCCGCCGCGTTCTTTGATCTTAGCCTCATTTCGTGTACCTAAGGCGAGATGGATGAGACTTCTCAGATCCTTAGTCAGAAGCTTGGGACCATTATGGAGGGCTTGCTGAAGTCTCCAAACGCTGTTCACGGTACTTGCCTCCAACAGCGCTCGAACGTTGCCCCGAAGATTTGCGATGACCGCATCCAGTATCTTCAGCTGTTCGTTTCGATACAACGCCGCCATAACCTGCCTTTGGTTTCTTGGCTTGCTCAGAGCTCCATTGTGATGTCTAATCTCCAACATTGACTTTTCTAAAAGCATGGTTGTTGTCGCTAAAACATGCAATTTGTTCCTGCACAAAGAATCAGCAGTCCATTCGGTTTGAGAGCTGGCCCAATCTAGTCTATGTCCTCGCTGTTCGCGCTCATTCTCGACCGCAATTGATGAGTGTTCTAAGAAATAGGAGCTGAATTGATACGGGCTCTCGATGTTGTTTGGAGGCAAGCACTTCTTCAGCCAGACCGAATGTTGCTCAGAGACTTTGGCATCGTTCTCATCGGCGCCTTTGGGCTCATTTGGGGTTGCTTTTTGCAAAATTGAGATTCCACGGGATTCCTTGATGGCCTGAATCCTGTTCGATACTACAGAATTGAAACCCAGCCCGAAGGAATCGCTCGTATTGCCAGCAATGCAGAATCCATAGCCAATCAACAACTCCTCATTACTTTTGGGTCCGTAATTATTGAGAACCTCACAGCCAGAATGGATAGGCTCGTCTACGCTGATGGTGTACCGGTCACCGTCAAGGTTCCACACAACTTGAGCAGACGGCGAGTGGTTTAGAAGGTCTAGTCCTGGCACTAATGCAGGGATGTCCTCATCTGGCTTGAAGACAGAAGCAACCGGGAAACTTCTGGAGGTCAGCACTGTTGTCGCCCATAAATATAATTCCCTGAATGTTTAGCCAAGTACTCCAAGATTGGAATTGTGGAGCACAAACCATGTCCAAGGATTCCAATCATACGTGGCAGATCCAACTCGCAGGATCTTCATCGAGTCCTCATATTCTTGTCGCCACAATTGAGTTCGTCCTAGAGTAGCTGCGCCCAGATTGGTACCCTGCAACCATTTGAAGTCTTCCTGGTCGTAATAGAGGGTCGTATTCAGGCCGTTTGAGTCACCGGGCTGAGGTAATCTCTGTATGTACGGTGACCAAAAGGAATCTTGCCCGAGCAGAAGTTGTTCAACCAAAAAGAACCTAAGGCTGATGATTTCGTTGCCGGTTCGGTTGGGAGCATTCCTATTCAGAGACTCGAGGAGCGAGGAAGAATGGGCAGCGGCGAACGAGACCATCAACGTCTTGGGACAAGAGACGATCTTACTTCCACACTCAAGCGGTTCAGAACCAGGCTTGACACGCAGAGCATTGCCATTCGAGCCTAGGGCAATCTCCATAGACGGGTGCAAGTAGCCTCCATTGTCAATGAACCACGAAGCAAAAGCTGAATCAATTTGCTTCATGTTAAGTATTGCCAGATAGTGCACAGCCTGTTCTCAACAGAAGCTAGATATGCAAGAGCACGCATTCTGAGCCTTCAAAAGCAAGATATGCAAGGTCAGCTACAATGCTTGGGAGACACTTGAAGTATCATGCTCAAGGAGATTACAGAGGATTGATGGATAGTGGGGAACTACAACAACAATAATGACAGGCTGATAAGCTTTGCCAGACGTCAGAAATGCGCATAATGTTCAAGAATGGGCAAATGAACAGTTGCCACCAACAATGGGGGGAAAATGGCTATCCTGCAGCACCCGAAAGACTGTATCTTACCGGTCGCGCCTGTAACGCGTAATTAAACTAACTGTTTTACGCCTTAGCTCAATATGAAGTTAGCCTGGCAGTACCCGCTGAACTCTCTGCTCCCTTATCTCGTCGTGATTGTTACAATTGACACAAGAACCCCTCGTCTTTTGCCAATTCATGCTCTCTATATCTCTCATAGTAGGTGTGCTGCTCCTCCTTTATGGTTTGTGGAAGATAGTAGTTTACCCCACCTTTTTCTCTCCTCTTTCCAAGATACCCAATGCCCATTACTCCTCGTCCTTCAGCCCATTGTGGATGTTATGGAAAAGATATTCGGAACAGGAGAATGGTGCCATCTATGCTGCACATCAAAAATACGGCAAGATCGTCCGACTTGGTCCCACCGAGGTGAGCGTGGCCTCTGTAGACGATGGCATCCGCCTCATCTATGGCGGTGGTTTCGAAAAGGATGCTTGGTATCCTAACCAATTTGACAACTTCGGGTAGGTAAGATGGCTTGTGGCTTTCTCCCTTGCTGAAATTGGAAGTGTCCCTTGTATGTTCTCTATGGCGGACAGCAAGCCTCACTCGATAAGAAAGAGAATGATCTCCAATGTTTACTCCAAGTCCTACCTTCAATCTTCCTCTGATCTTCGAAAGATATCTATGGTCTTGATCTTTGATAAATTTCTGCCCTTCCTCGATTCTGTAGCCACAAAACAGACTCCGGTGGACATGTTGCTTATGAATTACTCCATTACCATGGACTTCATCCATGCTTTCATATTTGGCTTGGGAAACAGTACAAATTTTTTGCAAGATCCTCATACCGCGCGAGAATGGCTCGATATATACGCAAGTCGACGACCATTTCGATTTTGGGACGGTGAACTGCCTGCAATCAAAAACATGTCAAAGAGATTAGGCGTTCCCATTGTTCCTGCTTGGGTAGCGAAAGCCACATCGTATATCGAGGATTGGACCTTTCAAAGCTGCCAAAAAGCCAAGTCATGGACGAAGTCAATTTCCACGGACGAGGAACACGAACGAAAGACTGCAGCTGTTGTGATCGATCAGCTCGAAATGGCCGTTGGTAGTAAAATTGCTCAAGATCCCTCGCTCGGTCCACATCATCTGCAAGTGGCTTCTGAGGTACTTGTAGGTACCATCACAATTGATTAGATGCAGATCTTCTGACTTGTTCCATAGGATCACCTTGCGGCAGGGCATGAGACTAGCGGGATTACCTTGACATATCTCTACTGGGAGCTGTCTCGAAACGCTGCTCTGCAGGATTCGTTGCGAAATGAGTTGTTGACACTGAATCCGCAAATTGAGCGTGTTTCAAGCAGTCCTTCAAGAGAGCTTCCTGATTCGCGAATCATCGATGGGCTTCCACTTCTGCATGCTCTGCTCATGGAAACTCTTCGAATTCATTCAGCTATACCAGGGCCTCAACCACGAAAGACTCCCTCTCCTCCAATATCTGTAGCAGGAAGCCCGCCGTTGACTCCTGGGACCAGAATCAGCGCTCATGCATACAGCTTACACCGCAACCCACGGGTCTTTCCAAATCCTGAGGTTTGGAACCCTTCACGTTGGCTTGATTGTAGCGAGAAGGAGAAAGCAGAAATGTCGCGGTGGTTTTGGGCTTTTGGTAGTGGAGGACGGATGTGCATCGGAAGCAACATTGCAATGCAAGGTTTGTGGACCACCCTAATAGCCAAAAATCACTAATTAACGGTGAGTAGAAATGAAGCTGATCACAGCAGCCATTTACACGAACTTCAGATCTAGTATTGTTGATGATTCGGATATTGAACAGATTGACGCATATACTGCACCGCCTAAAGGCAGAGTTCTGCTCGCATTTAGTCACCTGACCAAATAAGAAGGATCTCAGCTATAGATACTGTAATGATTTTCATAACTCACGATGAAGAAATTGAACTTAAGGTCTTTTCTCACTCAAGAATCACAGCCCTTGTGCGTAGCTTCCTGGGTCATTCTAGCTTTATAGGATTTTCTGATACTTCCCACTCTCACAAAAATATCGAATTGATCTCCAAACCTAACGTTTACTTTCAGCATCCAGTCATCATCCCATGATGAAGCGTTCAGCTTGGAATTCGGCTGGGTCATGAGGTTCACAAGAGGTAGGTTGTAAACAGAACTAAAGGCTCTGTCAGCAATTGCAGTGATGATATTGAGCTAGAAAGGCCCAAGCAGACAGCTCGATTCATTTCTTGGCCGGAATCAAGAATGACGCTCTTCATGCCTTCACGATCCCATTATCAGGAAAGATTTATAGATTAATTTCACATTTATTCGGAGCACTAAGGTATCTCTCAATTCTACTCGCTGAATGGGACCAATTTAATTCAGATAATCAGTATCCGAGAACGGAGTCAAGATAGACCGGAACTTACAGATCCTTTCTGATCGATGCACTCGCTGACTCTTTCGAGCTTTGTGAGAATCTAGTGTTTGCAGCTCTTCGCTATGCAGTCTGCCTTTGACAAGCAACGGGCTAAACTAGCACACTTTGATTTCGTTACGAGACGAATCTGATCTATATGGCACGTCAATACGGTAGGGAGTAAGACGTGCCAAAAAAAAAAAAATCCACAATCTCGAGTCCAAATGGAAAAAGTGCTATCAGACTGGTATTTTCAAGAATCATGATGTCGATGGAGATATCACAGAGGACGACGAGCAGAACCTGGGAATGATTTGTTTCTGAGCGATTATACTATGTTTGTAAGACATCGAGACGTGTGCTTGACCTTGTCTAATTCGAAGGTATCTAACAAATTGATGTTACATGCAGAGAGAGTTGATAGCACATTCTGGTGGTGGAAATATATACAGAGCATTATTCTGGCTCACCTTTATCTGAAATTTGTGCTGGTTCTGGGTTCCTAGAAATTGATTCAATGAATTAGATCGTATTGTCAGGCCTATGAAAATCAAAATATGTCGATGCTGAAATTGATGGCAAGCGGGTATCGAGCTCTTCGTATCCCCAAAATGCACATCAAAAACAATTGACAGCCGACCAGCGCCATGCAATCCACGGGAAAACTTGTAAGACGCGAGTCCAACGCAGAGCAAATCTACTTCTTAACTCCTCTCTTCTTCCTCTTACCCTTCTCCTCCTTCTCCGCTACCTCCACCGTTCCGCCTTGCAACTCCGCCTGCTCTACCCCCTCCATCTGCGCTAGCTTTTCCCTTCCCTCAACGAACATCATAAGATCTCGGTTCTGATCGTTCAGCTCCGTGTTCTTTCCTTTCAGTTCGTCAACCTCGGTTCCCAACAACTTGACCCGCTCGAGTAAGGACCCGTTCATGGCTTTCTCATCACGCCATTCCCGCTCCATCTTCCTCGCCAGGGTGGTAGATGCTTCGGCCCGGCTTCTCTCACGATCGCGGTCTTTCTCTAAGGAAGGGAGTGTACTTTGTAAGAGAGTGTCGTGAGAGGCCTGAAGGGTAGAGAGTTGTTCTGAGAGAGCTGCGCAGGTCTCATTGGCTCTGTCGGCGGCCGCAGCGGCAGAGGAGGCTTTGTCCGCTGTTCGAGCGAGGATTTCTTCAAAGTAGGTGCGTTGAGATTCGAGTTGAGAGGTCAGGAGGGATGTGTATTCAAGGGTTATGTTGTCGATTTTCTCGCGAGGAACAAGGCCGTCATAGTCGTGATCGAAGGCAGTTGAGGATGCGTCAGCCGGAGCGGATGGTTCTAACTCGACGAACTTGCCGCCACTCTTATCTTGAAGGATGCGATGGACGTAGCCATCTGTTGCGTAATCCCATACTCTTTGGGTTGTCATGTCCATGGCGAAGCAATGGCCAGTCTGTTCGAAGTGAGTAAAGGCATGGGCTAAGTCGTATCGACCACACCCAACATGCCCGCATATGAGACAGATCCATAGGTTTTCTTCAGCGTGGCAGACCCTGCACTCGTTCGACACAGGCTGATCATACGCTCTCAGTGTCGTACACTTACTGGCGCTCACGTCGTCTTGCGTGTATCGACAAACGGGGCATCCCGACCCTTGCCATTTCTGCAGACATGAGCAGTGGAAGACATGCTGACAGAGAATGGTGAATAGACCTGTCGACTCGTCCATGCGTTCGAGACATACAGGACATGTAGGAAGCTCGATAAGAGCGGGCGTAGGGGGCGCCATGGGCTTTGTGGACCGAGGGGCTTTCGTTTGTACTGCTATTGCTGCAGTAGGAGACTGGACAACAGATGGTGTAAATGGGTCATTCCTCATATCTGGAAAAGAGTTCTCCTGCCCAGGCTGCTCATAGGTTTTGAATTCGATGGACTTCACGAAAACGACATGACAATACTCTGGCTAACGCCCATTAGCTTGCGATTCCTCTGCCAGTTGGTCTTATCGTACCTCCATCCCATCGAAATGTTTTCCATTCCATTCTTTCCTCCACTCTCTTGCCCTTCTCCCACTTCTGAACTTCATCAGGACCATATATCTATTGCTCCTCTCCGTCCTGACCATCCTGAAATGACTGACTTCTTCTCTTGTCTTCTCACCAACGAAACCAAGGAAGTCTGACGGTGTAAGATATGACGGGACTGCTAGAATGCAAAGCGTTGTGCAATCCTCATCCTGGAACCTCGACGTCGTCTTTGCGTCCGTTTTTGACGATACATCTGGGGTCTTGGTTTGCTTAGACGACACAGGTTCATCGTAAAGATCTGGCGTTGCTTCTGCATCTCTGTACAGCCGCACGACACCTAAGCCAAGCTCCGCTTCTGTAGATTCTATAGGCTCATATCGTCCCTTTGTGGCGGAGCTTCGAGGATTGCCAGTCAAACCTTTCGAATGCTTCCCTTGTTCCTCTGTGATGACGTTTGAAGTCATACTAATTGTTCGTTGTAGGATGCGATCATACCGCCAATCCTTAGACGAGAAACCAGTATGAGAGTGTTCCGGTATTTCATCTATAGTCAAGCTGCTATCTACCGAGCTTCTGGGATCGGCAATACGGCTTTCCTCTGAAGGCCATTTGGAGGATTTGTTCAATGATAGCTTACTTGTGAAGTCGAAGGTAAGGTGAAAGAAAAAGGAGGGCATATTCGCTTGTCTTGAGATTGATCATCTTGAGAGTTTAAGAACACAACTCCCGGTTTGGACAAGCCCGCAAATAAGTGTCATGAAATTCGTCCAAGGTATCGCCACAGGCTGGTGGATTTGTCAGGCCTTCCAGTGGTGGTGATGCCTCATGGGATATACGAAGATTAAGACGATCAAGAACACTATTTGGCAATCTGGAGATTTGGTTGCAGTTTCATAGAGAATATCTGAAGCTATCGAGGCCTAGGCCATGCCTCCTACTGAAACTCGCACTCTCCACATAAATTTATGAAACTTGCACCCTATTGATGCCGCTAAAAGACAAGATTCCTCACCCTGCCGCGTTTTCTAGAACCCTACTGTCCCCCCCGAAGACGGAGCACCAAGTGCAACGTGCTCTCTTTCTGGATGTTGTAGTCGGACAATGTACGCCCATCCTCTAATTGTTTACCAGCGAAGATAAGACGCTGTTGGTCTGGTGGAATGCCCTCCTTATCCTGGATCTTAGCTTTCACGTTGTCGATGGTGTCTGACGATTCAACCTCGAGTGTGATGGTCTTTCCCGTGAGTGTCTTCACGAAAATCTGCATGCCACCTCGTAAACGGAGCACGAGATGCAGTGTTGACTCTTTCTGAATGTTGTAGTCTGAGAGGGTACGGCCGTCTTCAAGTTGTTTGCCGGCGAAGATGAGGCGTTGTTGATCCGGGGGAATTCCTTCTTTGTCTTGGATTTTGGCTTTTACGTTGTCTATCGTATCCGAGGACTCAACTTCAAGCGTGATTGTCTTTCCCGTAAGAGTCTTGACAAATATTTGCATGCCACCACGGAGACGTAAGACTAGATGGAGAGTCGATTCTTTCTGAATGTTGTAATCCGAAAGGGTGCGGCCATCCTCAAGCTGTTTACCAGCAAAGATCAAGCGTTGCTGATCAGGCGGGATTCCTTCCTTATCTTGAATCTTCGCCTTAACATTGTCAATTGTATCAGAGGATTCCACCTCCAAGGTGATAGTCTTGCCCGTAAGGGTCTTGACGACTATTGCCAAAGGTCAGCAAATTCTACAGTCAACATACGCTTTTGCTACCTACAAATTTGCATGCCTCCGCGGAGTCGAAGGACAAGGTGAAGGGTCGACTCTTTCTGGATGTTGTAGTCACTCAAAGTGCGACCGTCCTCTAATTGCTTTCCAGCAAAGATAAGGCGCTGTTGATCAGGTGGGATTCCTTCCTTATCCTGAATCTTTGCCTTGACATTGTCGATTGTATCGCTAGACTCTACCTCAAGGGTAATAGTCTTACCGGTGACTGCAGACTGTCAGCATCTGCTGCCAAGGCCACTTTTGGAGCGGGGTCAACTTACGGGTCTTCACAAAGATCTGCATGGTGGCTAGTTGTGTAAAGTATTGTAGAGTATTGAAGGGCTGAGATACTTTGACTTGGGTAAAATGATGATCAGTTGTGTCGTGGGTGAGGAGTGATGATGGTAGTTAGAAAGGGACGGAAGGACAGTGAAAAGTGGGCGGTTTTGTAGGTCGGAGCCTGCTGACACAGCCTTCTCTTGGCACGACGAAGGGTCCGCCACACTTGACCGAATCGGCTGGAACGCTCTCGAATGACGCAACAACCCAATCAAGCAATTGTGTCATAGAGTAGCACAACACTGACGCGAAAGATGAACTTTGCAGTGTGTTGGACTACGTGACTACGTGTACTACGCTCAAGACGTTACAGAAGTGCGACGGAATCGGACCACGAGGCATACTTTTATATGTTTTAATGTTCGACACGCATGCTATCGAATGCACGCTTTCCCACATCAGTCCCCATACATCCAGTCGATCCTGCCAATCCTATGAGCCCATCAGTGCAAATGCCATCCTAAAAGCCTTCCGTCCAGTCATGTCATGGTACAGCTTGGTGTCGTAGGTCCCGTTTTGGAAATGGCTTGACGCCATATCGCAAATGTCGTAAGTGCTTGTAGTATCGAACGAATACAAAAGTCACGGATTCCCGCGGAGGGTAAATTTGTGTTTTAAGAAGTAGAAAAAACAAGAAACAAATCAAATGAAATGTAGCCAAGGTCATAGCCGCTACGTGGAGCTCATGAGCTTCGTGACTATCCAGGTGGTTCAGCTTGCCGGTGATCGTATCACCAGTTTGGACATGAATTTGCTGGATAGTGAGTCGAAATCATCGCAGTCGAATTTCGTATCACATCTAGTTCGTAAGTATTGATCTAGAGACATGTTAGCTTAGGGCAGATAAAATCTGAAGCACAGTGTTTCAACGCACCATGTCGCGTAACATGCTGGCGGACTTGCGTTAGCGCTTCACAAACGGCTGGATTAGAATCGAGCGCGTCATGATGTTTTCGCGTTTCCCACTCTTGAAGGGCCGGGAGCTTCTGGGAGATAGCGTGGAAGAGGCCAACGACAACCTTGACAGGAATGGATTCCATATCGGTACAGAATTGGCTCACTGCGTCCTTGTCCTACGAGATATCAGCAACATCGTCGACGAGAAGGGCTATGGACTTACTGGGACACGGTAATGACAGTCGAACTGCATCTCCTCCCATACAGCAAGCAAGATACATGCGACCATAAAGATAGTAGGCCAGTTCCTCAATTTTTCCTTCGAGTAGACACTCGAATACATGGACGACAGCTCTTCCAGTATGTCTTTTTGTAATACTCGCCACATGTTGGCCATGGCGACCTTAACTTGGAAGTGAATCATGACGGGAGCCACCGTCTTGCCATAGAACTTTGAATCCTGGTCGTAAATTCTGCCCAGAAAGCCCTCCTCATCTGGGATACCCTCGACCATCGTTACATGCTGAGTCAGGTTATATGCTAGCAAGAACTTCAAGGCCTTTTTGATGACTGTGGTCTGTTGCCGCTGGTAGTAAGCATAGATTGTCTTTAACATATCCGTCACGAAAGGTGTGCCTCCAAAATATTCGTCGATGAAGTTTTCAAACCCATGCTCGACATGTGCATCCAAATAATCAGATAGGAGGGTCACCGATATGCCCTCCATACCAGCAGATAGCCTAGCAGTATTCACCTTATGTGACGTAGGAAGATCTTGTATGGTTTCCACCCAATCAAGACCGAAGCATCGCTCGTCTCTAACGTAGACTTCGCGGGCTTTGACTGGTAACAGGTGGCCATATCCGTGGGTGATGAAAAGTGTCCTCTCGGGGTTTGCAAAGCCTTTGATGTTGTCAATAGAAAAGCCAAGGCTGACATGACGCTCGTAATCCGCTTTCCAGTCCTTCATGAAGTAGCCGATTTCCTTGATATCAATCCTGGTGCAGGGGACCTGCCAGAGACGTGCGTGAGAAGGTAAGCAGCCATGACATGGCTCGCCTGTGTCGCACTGCCGATCAAGTTAGGGCATATTTTAGCCAAGGGCCATATTGACTTACTGTCTTCTTCAGGAACTTGCAACGGAGACAAGCACCTAACCTGCGAATATCTGCAGCTTGTTTTCTCTGGTCCGGTCGTAAGGGACCTCTCCTTCTTCCGACTCGCTTGTCACTCTCGCCTTTGACAGTTTGGGACTGCCTCTTGATGGCGGATTTTGCCGCTTTCACGCTGTTCTTTCTCTGTGGTCTACGTCCCGGGGACACTTTGCTAGATAACATTGGTGAACGCTCGGGGGACTTTGACATTTTGATCTTGACTGGAGCTGTTGTCGACGAGCTTAACACTGGAGTCGGCTGTTTTTCTTGCTTAATGTACACCTCATCGAGAACGTCGGGAACCTCGGCATGATGATCCAATCCTCCAACTCCGTCACTACTCGGAGATCCAATTGCATGGGAAGCCACGTCGACATAACTGCCCCATGGTAGACGTGTGTGATTCTCAGCATCCGAATATGAGGAGTCGGAGAATGTTCTGCCGTGAAGCGTTTCGCCTGGATTGAAAATCGCTTGGTTATCCGAATATGAGCCGTCAAAGCCCTGGGAATAATCTACAGATGCCCAACCGTTGTCGCTGCTTGAAAGCGAGCGCACCTCCAACAATGTATCAGTCGGGGAATTAGGCAGACCTTGACTGCCTATCGGCATATTCGACATGCCGTGGTTGATAGGATAGTTAGCCAGGTGATGTTCAAAGTTTTGCCAATTGAAGGGCACGTTGTCCATGTCATTGTTCAGAGCGAGATATGAATTATCCATCGTATTGATGGGTGCACCGAACTGACTTTGTTCGGGGAGCAAGCTTATGGGTGAAGAGCTGTAAGCAAAGTAATTCTGATTGTTGAGATCTTGGGCGTAAGCAGGGTTCAGAGGGTAAGCTTGACTCGTAGCAGGTTGCGGTGAGTATGACCAGTTTGAGGCATTGGACTGGTCAGTCGCCGGCGCTTCCTGTTGGGTATTCATGGGCTGGTGGTAAGTCTCAGGAGGATTTCGGTATTGAGCTGGGAAACCATGCTGTTGCCCCGTATGCTGGTCAAGCTGCAAGTGAGTTTGGGTTGGCACCTGGGACGGCAACCCCGTCTGGTTTTGTTGGGGGAGGACGCGATTGTAGGCTTGATCGTAACCCTGGCTTTGGGGTCTCATCGAAGTTGGCTGGACCATTGGCTGGAGGCTGATCCGTTGATTGTGAAGTGGAGTCGTGGACCGCTTGACGGCGTTGGCGTTGGCGCCAATAATATTTTGCCGTTGCGGTGAGTCCATTTGCTGGGCAGCGGGAGGGGGCGGCCATGTTATCCGGGGCGAATATGGATATCGCATGGCTCGAGCATCATACCCGAAGCCAGCGAGGTCCGAGTCCGCCATGGTAGGGGACAGAATCCGCTCGCTGACTCAAGATGGAGTGGCGAAAGTCAGGAAGGAAGAGCCATTGCCAGAGAAGACCACTTGTCAGACCGTGGAATCTTCGCTGGCAGGGGCAGACGGAGTCGGAGGTGGCTTTGCATCCGGGGGGAAGCTAGTAGAGAAAGCTTGAGGGGTTGTGGTGAGAGGAAAAGGCGGTGAGAGAGAAGCGTCAAGCGTTGCAAGTCGCTCCCACTTCTTGCCATAGTCCCCACCTGCAGGTTAGGGCAGAAGTGCCAATCAGGGTCGAGCTCAATGCAGCTAGCGGAAAGGGCTTCTATCTTGAGTTTAAGGCGCCATGCCCATCATACCCTACCCTCGATTATCCGATCGTAGTGCAACGCCAGCACCCACGTTGTAACGACCTGGCGAATGACAGCCCAGCCTCACCATTGAATAGTAAGGTCTCATGGTACGGAAGGGAGAGGGAGGGAGCGTCAAATCCCGTCGAACAGGTACAGCGGAGAGATCATGGAGATGGTGACGATGAGGTCCATTCTGGAATCAGTCCATCACCCTGCGTCAGGGCCTGATTATTGTTTCTGGGCAAAGCAGGCAGTCAGCACAAATCCATCATGCATGCTACCCAATGAGATGCTTTTGGGCCGCTCATCGAACGACCTTGCGTAGCAATTCATGTATTGTGTACGGTAGAACTAGACCACGCTCTTCTTGTCTTGTCGCAAACACGCGTCAACATCTGCGACATGTGGGGTTTTCTTTGCGAGGAATGGAGGTTCTCAATGATCGATTCCTTCGGCGCCATTCACCGTAAATGGCAATGTTTCTGCTTGACTCTTGGCAGGGAAAGCGTTCGGACGTAAAGATCCGTCATATCGAAAAGGCCATTTGTGACAACAATAATAAGTCATGTCTTTATGCCGGCAATGCAGCGTTCGTTCCATAGGCGGCGGCAGAGACTGTTCCGTTTCAAACCATTGCCAGCATCACAAGTAGCTTTTCAACGTAAGACTTCTAGATGCCGAGCCCTTGAAGATAGAACACAACGCGACATGTCTACAGATCCGCTCGAACTTGCCTCACCTGTCAAAGATGAACTCGTCACCGAGACGTCCATTCGTCAAGACGAAGTCGTCGAGGAGTGTCTGCCCCTCCTTGCAGACGATCCTTTATCTGTCCCGCACTTGAGGCGTGACGACCATACTGCCTTTCTAAAAGACCGTCTTCACAACGCAACCCATATCGCATACGACGCTTCGAGACCTTGGATACTCTATTGGTGTCTGACAGGGCTTTGCGCTCTGGGCCAAGATGTGACTGTGTACAGGCAAAGGTATCTTGATTCTAGTGCTGGAAAACAAGCGTGTAACGTTTCTCTAGTGTTATTGAGACTCTCACGCCCGCTCAGAATGCAGGCGGCGGCTTTGGGGGAGGCCATGGCTTTCTATCACACGCTGCGCCTAGCTATGCTGCCGTCTTGAGTCTGGCAATGGTAGGTGGGGAGGAAGCTCTTGATCTAATAGATCGACGCGCACTGCAAGTTCAATGGAAATTTGTGATGTAATTGTATATAAACTGACAAAGTCTCCTCAGGTGGAGATGGCTAGGCCAAATCAAACAGGCAGATGGGGGTTTCAAGATGTGTGTAGGGGGCGAAGAGGACGTGAGAGGTGCTTATTGCTCGCTAGTCATCCTTTCTTTACTGGGGCTACCTCTCGAGCTGCCCTCCGGCGCCCCTTCACGGGCTCATGGTCTTACTACTTTTATGGATGGTCTACCCGAATATCTATCTCGCTGCCAAACGTTTGAGGGCGGTATATCTGGGGCGCCGCAGACGGAGGCTCACGGTGCATATGCTTTCTGTGTGCTGGCCAGCTTATGCATACTTGGACCACCAGACGAGATGTTGCAAAGGTACGGCAGAGAAGCAACTGCAATGTTGTATAGAAGCTAATGTACGACAGATACTTAGATGTGCCTCTGCTGATCTCCTGGCTCTCTTCTCGACAGTATTTCCCAGAAGGGGGTTTCTCAGGTCGCACCAACAAGCTAGTCGACGGGTGCTACAGCCACTGGGTAGGCGGGTGCTGGCCACTTCTTGAAGTAGCCATTCGGAGAACAACTATGCTCCCTCGACCCAGTGTCGACAGCTTGTACAGCAAAGAAGGCTTGGTAAAATACATTCTTTGCTGCTGTCAGGCTGAAATGGGAGGTCTAAGAGATAAGCCAAGCACGTGTGTAGCCCAATGGCCTTCGAACATAGCCGGCCTTTGACTAACCCATGGTGTAAAGGCAGCCAGATGCGTATCATTCCTGCTACACGCTCGCAGGGTTGAGCTCAGCCCAGCACGGCAACGCTTTTCCAGAATCTGCAGGATTAAACTCATCGAGTTTTTTGACTTCCGCTTTCGAGTGGACATCGCAAATAGGCCCTGGTGCAGAATTTGTAACGCAGGAAAAGTCATGGTGTGAGCCACAAGACACTTTACTAGGTGTTCATCCTATATATGTGATCCCCTGGGAAGCAGTGGAAGGTACGCGGGCACATTTTACTTCCAAACCTGGCTTTTGAAGAAGCATGTAGGCATCAGCCATATGGCTTTTGTGTTGAGGTTTCGCACCTTGTGTATCTGCTTATCCGAAGAATGCCACTGGTCAATGAGCTTTGAGTGGGTCAAGCATGAAAAAGGAATTGAATAAGAAGCAGAAATATAGACTAGTTCAACAATATAGCCTGCCGTATGTAGCGCCAGGCTAACGCCCTAGAGTTTCCCGATTCTTTTTTTAATTCAATTGGTATTCTGAACAATGCAGTCTAGCGGCCTGCAAGGTCCTCGGTGAAGTGAACGCATGCTCCGAACGGATCTGTGATCATGTTGAACCCCTAGTGGCAAGCACTCAATCAGCAGGCGTGATCGAAAGCAGCCCAGATCCTAGCTACATGACTTCCACATGCCGGGTCAAACGTGCAAGCCGTACCATGGATCGTTAGATCGGGAGGGGAAAAGCGCCCCCAATTCAGTGAGGAATTGAGACACCAGACGGTAAAGTCGCCACAAGCCTGAACTTCAGCATAGGACATAAGACGGACAACATGACGCAAAAGGCTGAATATGCTTGGGTCAGACACGCAGCAGCTCACGATTGGTACGGAACACCTTGGCTTCATACTAGCCATCATCTTTGTGGGGACCCTGGCAACCTGCGTGGAGACATAATTAATTGCCCCGCGAGTCCTTAGTCTAACGGCCTTTCTCCGAAGGTTGGATTGGCTCCGAGGCATCTTAGCTTTTTCAAAACAGCGTTCCAACGCATGCCTGCGCTACAAGCGCATTGCCAACTCATCAAAGCATGCATGGAGCTTCAGCCTGGTTCCACGCCTGGATTTGCCTGTCTGCCGATCTACGTTACCATTACCGCGGAATCCTCACGCAAACCTCTTTGTTTGCGGGGGTAGATGTCTCAAAGGGAAAGCGAACGACGGCATGGTTGTTCGACTCTGGTCGTCGAAATTGGGCTACTGTCGCTGCGCTTAACTAGCACAAACTCTCGGACCTGTCAGAAAGTACCTCCTGTTCTCAAGATACCAAAGGAAATTGACCTAATGCCTAGGCGTATGCGCTCGCATTCCAACTCGCTACCAAAGAATTTTCTCCGTCGTCGGAGCTTCCGTTCAATCGGTCGTTGCCACGCTGCCAAAGGGGTTGCCTTCTGGAGCGTTTTATGTCAGACAATCGATGAATCGAACACCGGTCAAATGGAGTCATGTCGACTAGAAGTACCCAAACTACTTTGCCTATGCGATTTGAAGACTTGCGATACCGACCATCAGGGACTGGACCTATGAAGACCGTTCATCTCTCGGCGAGGCGTCTCGCCCGCCCCTAACGCGCATCACTAGTGTCGTGACGGTTATAATGATATCTGCGGAGCTGCACGTCAATCAGTTGTCTTTCCTTGCCTGGATCGGCCAGACTCGACTTTTCTCATAGGTCAACGGCCTGCTCAGCGCCCCTAGCGAATGGCCATTGACTCTAGGTTACGTTCAATAGCAAAACGTGCGCCAACGCATTGTCGCTTGAACCTCTTAGTCACTCAGCGGCCGACAGCAAATGCTGCTGCAGGGTAGGTTCACCATTTACCAATGCCTGGCGAGAGATCTTTTCTCCACTGTGCTTCTGTTTTCTGCGTAATCGAAGTGCGTTCATATATATCTCGTTCCTTCACACCTCGAGATTAATCTGCATATCCAATTCTCCGACCACGTTCTCCTTGGGTCATCTATCCGACTTAAGCGAGCCTAGACCTCGACATTGACATTGGTGCATTATAAATACCCAAGGCCAGTCCAACGTGAACTTGTTGGGTATCAACGACTCAAGGACCGTCGTGACTACTGGTGACGCTACCCTTTGGACCTCACCAGCTTCTCAAGTACCCGCTTGGACAAGTGCCATTGATCCCGGATGGGGTATTATCAGGAGTACCTTTCGAGTCAGTGCCTTCCCTTGATGTGGCGGCCACTAGTACCTTAAATGTATCTTCGAATCGGATGCCTGGCATGAATCGATCTCTCATCGCTGCATATCCCCTTTGAAGTGGCGTTCCACAATTGGTTCCGATTTCCTTTTTCGATTTGGTCAAGAAAACATCCCGAAGCCGTCCCATAGGCGGAATCTTTGGATCTGAGTTTGCAGCAACCCTACATTGTCTTACCCCCTGATGCTTGAGAGGGCTTCCGTTTCATGTTTCAACTGACCATTCAATTGGGAAGACGCTGATCTCTAGGTCGTATAGATCTGTGCTACCGACGGCAATGGCCCGAGCCTTCATACACATTGTTCCGACAACGTGCGGGTTTTGCATGCGTTGCCCGTGTCAACAACAGGGAATACCAGAGTGATCCTGGTCATGACAGCGTACCGTTAGCCCGTGAGGATGCTGCCATGCAAGCCTACTGGAGATGCCAAAATTTCTCTCGTAATGACGGTATGCATCCCAAGGACCAAGGAAGAGGCCAGAATGTGCAGGGAAGACCCATTGCCATTGGTACTGAAAGGGCCAGTACATACTCGGATGATTCCAGGAGCGGAACTGGCAGCGGTGAAAGCAGCCCAACGAGTGTTGCCGCCTTTACCGCCTACGAGCCTAAACATAGGCCCAAGGGGAGCAGCGGAAGCAGCGGCAACAGTAGTAGTGGTAGCAGCAACCGCGCCAGGAGCTCGAGACACCATCGAAGTGGACGCTATTAACTTACCTTGGGATCATCGCTCGTACAAAGCCTACGGAGGAAATAGCCTTGATCATGTTTGAGCCCGAGCCAATCATGCCTTTCGCGACTGTACTACCACAATGCATGTGCATCTTATGGATGACTGACGGTTTTACGACACGACTAATGATTATCATGACCCACATAGACCATTCGTTAGAGGTCGCTTCCCCGAGAGGAGACAAGCATTCTTCTGGTGGCCAATTCTGCTTCCAGGCATCTTTTGAGCGAGTTTGTGGCCTTCCAATTGAGCATTCGACATCGACCTTCTGCATTGAGCCATAATATAATATCGACACGGCAAGCTCTCAATTGAAGACATTCGCTAGTCCTTTTTAGCATAGCGTTCAAATGAGATATTCGGGGATTGACGACAGTCACGATCAAACTAAGATAGATTAATCAAAATCTTTTGACCGACGTTAAACAATTTCTCTGTCAAAATATTCGCAAATTTCTCATAAAGCGAGAGTGCTCTAGCTTAACTACCTTATTGGGGAAAAGGGGTTGCCAAGAAGTGAGCAGACGCCGCGTCAAAATCGCGTTTAATATCATAGACTTCAAAACTTGAATTCAGGTGGGTTTGTCAGACCCAGAAGGTCTAGCGTTGGCTATCGAGCAATTTCCCTTCTCGTTCAATGTATATGAATGGTTCGATGCATTTGTGTCTGTCGTATTCAGCTCTCTACTGCATGTGAAAGCTACGTTCGATGACAGCGAAGTATCTCCGACCATGTTGGGCGTCTCTTCTAGTGAATGGCCATGCTACCTTGAAGTCTACATTTTGCAAAACAACGTCAGGTAACAGGCTGTTACACCTTGGTACAGGAACCGCGATTCTAGCGTGCAAAGGCTCCAGACACCAAGTCAATTCGCCCTGTCAGCGGCAGATCAGAGCACAGACTTCAGGGGGCTTTGAAGATGCCGTCGGGCAGGAGAAAGAAAAGCAGACTAGGACGCCTTGGCATCGCGAGGGGTCTCAGCTACCACCTGTCAGGCGGCCGAGGTCTGCAGGCGCAATGGTAAAGGGTAGGCTCGGCTTTGAGGTTCCTGTTGCGACACCTTTGCTGAGGCGGCCATAGGAAAGCTTTTGACTACGCCATCCCGGCTTCTGAAACTGATTTTGCCGCTTTCGACTCTGGACAAGAATTCCGACAGGAAGGACATCGAGCCTCTAGCACTTTTAGTACATCCTCAACAGCCCCTTTCATACTTGGAGCGATTGATACAGTCCGAAGTCCCGCTTATCAAAGGGTCAGATGGGGATGACAAGATTCCTAGGGTTTATTTCAGAGCAGAAGACTCACAAGAAGACAAGATCGAGCCAAAGGCCCCTGGTGAGAAGAAAGATGATACCCCTGAGGATATGTTTGACCCGACGGAAGAAGAAAGTGAACTCGAAGCAACAAAGGTCGACGGGGAGACCATAAAGACTGGGATATTGAGGGATAAGGGAACAGACACAGAGATGGCACCGCAGAATAAAACTGAGAGCAACAGCGATCTTGGCCAGCAGGAACAAAGAGAGGGCGCTGACGAGAAATTCATCCGTTGGTCTCCATCCACGGAGATTGGCGATTTCATTCGGGATGCGGCAAGAAGTAAGGAATTCGCGGTCGAAATCGAAGGCGCAGCGCAGGAGATCTTAGTCGGAGTCCCATCATTCAACGATCGCACGCATTTCCTGCGCTCACGACTCAGAACGAGTGCAAACAAAATTATCGACATGGCAGCTATCAAGAAAGAGTGCGACATGGCCGCGCATCGTGGCGCCCAACGTGTAGCAATGGCGGGTGGGGGAATACTCGTGAGCTATTGGATTGTAGTTTACTATTTGACTTTTTACACTGACCTTGGTTGGGATGTGAGTACCCTCCTGCCCATATCGCGCATCGATCTTTCTTTGGACAAGGTTTCTCCAATATGGCAGTGCTTGGGCTGACGCTCAAATGTACAGGTGATGGAGCCCGTCACCTACCTCGTAGGATTGAGTACCCTTATTGGCGGTTATCTCTGGTTTCTATACAATAACAGGGAGGTATCCTATCGAGCAGCCCTGAATTTGACCATCTCACGTCGACAATCGAAACTATATGAATCGAAAGGCTTCGATCTGCCGCGGTGGGAGTCGCTCATCGACGAAGCCAACAGCTATCGGAAGGACATCAAACAAATTGCACGCGAATACGACGTTGATTGGGATGAGAAAGAAGACGCCAAAGATGAACGAGTCACAAAGGCTATGAAGCAGGTTAGGGATGATAGAAAAGCGAAGAGAAAGTCCAAGGATGACGACGAGGACGATTGAGCGTGACATAAAGGTATCCATTTGAGGGTGATCAGCAGAAGGGGATGGTGATGAAGAATGCTGCTGTGAATTTTCGCAGCCGAAACCCCTTGGACTGCGGCCCGCTTTTACCTCATGAAAGTAAGCAGGTTATGCTGCTTCATGTCTAACAAAGGGTGAATGGGTGGCTTGTCACGGCACATCTTGTTCTTCGGTTCAATTGAACCTGTTGGAAGCCATCATCAGTCTCAAAGCGCAAGCTCAGAACAACATGCAGCTGTGTGCTCATAAGGCAGTGAAGTGCAGCATAACTATCAAGACTGTGAAAGAATGTGAAGACTGATGCTTGAAATGGGTATTGGTGCTAAGGACCTCGTAGTAACCCTCCGCTAAAGTCTCCTGAGGAAACATAACTTGAGTTTGCTATATCCTGGTAAGAATCGTCACTCGTTAGACTTTGGTTCCGTGGCTCTATTCTGCAGCGGAACTGTAGGAGTGACCGGGAGCAGTTGACTTCGGGTCAGCACAATAACGCATATGACAAGAAATCACAAGCCAGAGAGTCGGCAGCGGGGCAAATTCAAGCCGATGGATCAATTTCTCGTCAAGAGGTCGTAGCTTTTACCCAAAAATTGTCCACACAGATCATCTTTCCTCATCTACAACCACGCATTTTGGTTTTGGTCTGGTCAGCGGTCCTGAAACCCGCCTGGCCGCTCATGGCAGAAAGATGTGCATCTCCTTCCAAAGTCTCATCAGAAGAACTGACTAAAGCCTCATGAATCCGTCACTGGATCAAATGGAAGCCCGTTTCTGCGGTGTGGCTCCCTTTCACGGTCCGAGACTTATCGTGGGATGCATGTCAACTTCTGCTTTGTTGGGATACCATAGTCCTAGGGGCAAACCTACCAGGAGGGTTTGGAGAAGTGGCCTCAACTTCCTCAGCATCGTTGTGCCCTCGCCCGCGTATCTTCTTGTTCCTGTTGTCACGGTAGCGACATACGTGATACAGCATCCACTTGATGACCCAATTATCGCCCTCCGTCTCCCCGTACTGGTAGTAGGGCAATGTCATTGCGGATGCTTTTGCGTATATTCGCGCTATGGCTTTCTTCACAGCTGCTTCAGTGAACTGCGAATGCGACCAAGGTTCTTTCTCGCTCTGGCAATCTGGACGTAAATTGCTCTGACGGGCAAGCTGTGCTTGGTAAACCTCAGAAGCTTCGGTCTGGTCTTCATCAGGGACTACTTTTATTGTCATGGACTCGGAATGTACTGACTTTCATCTGGAGGTATACCTCCTTGTTTACGAGACTGTTTTCGTCGAGACCTAGCTTGGCAAACAACTCCCACTTAGAAGAACTTTGCGGAACTGACATTGTGCCAGGGCTGTCTGTCTAACAATATTCGATGTGGATGGAAGTCAGCTTGCCAATGTAGCTGAGCATCAGATGCCTCGTTGGACACGACCGGCATCATTTTATGTTGTCTAAAAGGTCTTTTTATCTCAAATTCCAGCAGCCTTTCCAGGATGTCACTCTGGCGACAAACAGCAAATACTCGTCTAGACTGCGAGGTGACCCGCCATAATGCAACTATGCGGAAGACAATCATTCAGAACAAGGGGGAAAAGCCATTCACTTCCCACCAAGCTACTGCGAAACGAAGTATGACAAAAGCCTGACGAAAAGGCAAGGACGGCCGAGAACCAAAGAGCTCTGTGGCCGAGTGAAAGCTCGCTTGTGTATTGGAATTGACGGGGACCTATCACCATACTGACGTTCGATTCAGTCTAGGTTGGTGTTGGTTGGTCCAAATTGCATCTGTCAGCCACATACACCACTCATTGTGTATCGTGACATCTGCAGGAACATCGTGACTTTCTCGTAACGGTCTCCAGCATTGTGATGGGAAATGCGAGTTTACCGAGGACATCGGTAAGGACGTGAGGTGGAAGGCTACCGAGCAATAGATTGTGCCCGGTGGTTTTGGGAACCTCACGAGTGTACTGATATCTCGCATGCGGAACAGATCGATCCAGATACCACAGCCTCGGGCTCTGACGCGGAACACACGTGTGGACGACGGCAAATGCAGGAACTGCAAAGCCAATGCACGTGACATGCTGAATCGAAGCTACAGATGCGAGTACAACACACGATATGTGAAGAAATGGGCGATCGATCATCTTCTCAAGGATCTGTCATATTCTCGCAAGCGCGAGCCTTTTACGAGCGGCAGGTAGCCGTATTATACAGCTGTCCAGGTCCGTCAAACATAGGCAACAAGGCTCTTGAGATGGGCAGTCTTGACGATGTGCATACCTAGTCCGTTTCAGATCGAAAATACTACATGTACTTTGCGGTTGTCACAAATCTGTACACAAATGCAATCAAGCTGCGTCACCAGGGTGAGGCGAGCTTGAGTGTGGGTGAGGAAATACCGAGTCCATTCACAAACAAAGGATGGGGCCACCTCTCCATGTTTAGATTCAGCTGACAAATTCAGCCAAAGTTCTTCTCTTGATTCCGTTTCTCCTCCCTAGCCAACCTTGCTGCTGTGCTTCGAATTCGATTAGCAGGACCTACAGACGTTACATGACTAGTGTGAGTCTGACAGCCGGCTATGTGTCACTGCATCTACTGGTCGAAGATCACCCAGCGCTATGAATACCTCCGAAAGCGTGCTGCACCGTCATTCCGAGTGGTGAAAGGGATCGTGAACATCCACTGCCTATCACTCCGTTCCGCAACAGGAAGTTCAGTCCTACTAGAGAATCACAGTTCTGTTTTCATGAGTTGGTCGCAAAACCGCCTTGACACGGATGAACGCAACCAAAGCCACCTTATCTTCACGACCTCTGATGTCTTAGATGCGACAGTAAGCATGCGTTGTGGCTTTCTCACTACTAGCATCAATGTACGGCAGCACTGGTGGACACATGTGCGCAGTTGGCAGATCTGTGGATGCCGTATTCTATCACGGTTAGCTGCAGCAAGCTTGTGTCAGGAATCACACCCAAGTCGAAATTCTGTGAAGATTTTCTCCCTACTTGTCTGTTGCCACCATTGTAGACAATGCAGCCCCTAGATGCATTAGACGAGTAGACGTCGAGAGGAATTCGCCAAGGTCACTTGTGGCAAAGCTGCCTTAGCGAATTCTCATGTTTCCTGAGCAGTCATCCGTCATGAAAATGATATGCTTTTTGAGCACTGAATATCGTTTGCAGGCTAGTGCTCGAGATTCTGAGAAAGCACACCATGATTGAAAGACTTACTTCATGATAGCAGCACAATACGAAGAATTAGAAATGTTCAACCCATTGCTTCCGCACGCACAACTGTTGAAAGAGCTCCATCAATACTTTGTTGGCTCGGATGTCAGCCTTATCTCCAACCCTCTCTTCGTCAAAGAGGGCTACCTAAGGATAACAAACCACGTGCTTTGTTCTCTGGAAAAGCCTGCCTCCACCCGTGTTCGATAATACTTAGCCGCCAGGCTTGAACCAAGTCTTTGGAAGAATCTTTTGCCGTTTCGAAGCCGAAATGCATTCATAACGCTTTGCGGCACTCAGTTGCGGCAATTCTATTATGAGATACGTAAGAAATTCATGCATCAATCATAATATCAAAGACTTCAATTGAGCACTTTCAATCAACGAGCATTGAATCGATGACTCCGGTCTGTTTTACGAGTGACTGGGAGCATATTCCTCTTTTGTCACTTGTCTAGTGCAACATCGGTATACGGCTTAACCTTGCTTTAACGAGATAAAATATGTTTGTGAGCTGATGAAAAGTCACTGGAAGAACTTGAGGTTCCCCAAAGTGAGAAACAGGCAACCAAGCTCGGAAAGTAGTTTGTCAAAAAGACCGCAAATCCTCGATAACATTGGATATGAAGATTTTCACAATCTATCTTGTCGTGAAATGCGCTGGCTCTTTGAGCACACCAGCATAAGGGCGAAGTTCGTTACTTGTATTCCGTCACTTGTTGCAGCACTATAAATATGTAGCAGGTCCTGGAGCTTAGATTTCCCCATGATTCTTTCCGAGGCTGACATAGCTTCGGTCATCTATACTTGACATCAGTCACCCTGGACTTATTTCAGGTGAGTTTTTTCGACTGAAAATTCGACATAGTCATGTTCAACTGCAAAGTTCCCATCCACATTTATGACCGCCCTAAATCTTACAGCCCTCGAGGTCAGGTAAGGAAATATACCGACATCTGGATTACCAATTTGGTTGACGTTCTAAGCCTGTTATGGGCTGTCTTACAAACCCCACACAGAAGAGAGAACGCAAAGGGCTGGTGGAAAGTCTACTCGCCATGAGGAATTCCTGTGGAGCAAGTTCACCGATATGTATTCTTCTTCAGTCACGCTCCTCAAAATGAGCGTACCCTAATATTTCGCATTTCCAAGACACCAAGACAAGAAGTAACTGGTATCGAAGGTGTTCAGATCGATCTAGTGTTCATCAACTGATGTTCTCCACAGTACCTCACCGTCGACAGGGGTAGACTGGTAGAATCATGGGGCGCACTCCGGGATGATTCAGGAATGCTTTTCATTTAACGGGAACAGCCAGGGGTCAATCCTATGTCTGGTTGAGGCGCTGAATCTGCTTCTTGACTTCACAGTTGCAAGCTTGGCCCTAATGACGACTCGCTGACTTCAGTGAACTCCGTGACGAGGGCAAGGACTGATTCGTTCGGCAAATCTCTCCCTCTGGTGCTGGTTGGTGGGGCATTGTGCCCCTCCAAGCAAACCTTTTGCTTACATACGCGTCCTGCGGACTTAGCATTGTCCTCGGTTCTGCTCATATATAATCACATTCTCTTCGCCTCTTTCGCTTTCTTCCCCGTCTCTGTTTTGCGTCACCAGAGCCCGCGTGATTGCAGTACTGTCAGCTTCCTCTCCTTCAGGAAAACCATAGATTCCTACGAAGCAATCACGACGCCATGCCTCTCACCGTGTTGTCTGACGCCGACATCCATGCTCTCCTCATATCCCTCTCCAAGGAGGATATCGAGCGTCTACAATCGAATCTCTGTGATGCCATGCACGACTATTCGAAAGGGTCGCAAGAAACATGCGCTGGATGCAGCGGCAACCAGCCGAAACGCATGATGATACCTGGCCCAAACAAGCAGACGACGCTTTTCATGCCAGCAGCCACGAACACAAGCAAAGGTGTCAAGATCATATCTCTCGCATCACCGCCGAATGCTACCAAGACCCCCAGCCTAGCAAGTCTCGATCTCAACTCCTCCTTCGACTCTCGGAACAGCTCTCCAGCCCCTCAAAGCCCTTCGCGGGCCAGCTCCATTTCCACCAATGCCTCACTCTCCCACACAACCTCCAACACTAGCACCAAAAGCAACACCCCTTATACTCCCTCATCCTCTATCACAAGCCCCGCCTCTACAAACCCCTCCCTCACCTCCTCCCAGTCCACCACCCCACGAGGTTCCCTCACGCTCCTCGACTCTTTTGGCAATCCCTACGCCTTTCTCGCTGCAGAAGAGCTCACCGCCTTCCGCACCGCTCTCGGCTCCACTGTCATCCTGACAAAGCGTGAGAAGGTCCACAGCATTACCGTCTTTGGTGCGGGCATGCAAGCGCGCTGGCACATTCGCCTTGCCCTCCTCCTCAAAGGCCCTCACATCCATCACGTAGATATCATAAACCGGTCCTTCGCGCGGGCGAAGGCCATAATGCACGATTTCTACACGTCAGACGAGTGGGCAGATATCCGGGAACGAAACCCGAAGGTGCAATTTTCGATCCTGAGCTCCGAGTTCAAGGATAGGCACCAGCATTTAAAGGATCATGTGCGGAAAGCGGATGCGATTTTCCTCACCACCCCAAGCACGGAACCGTTGTTTCCAGCGGAGATCCTGACACATGCGGAGGGGAGGAAGAAGGGGAGGTACATTGCTGCTATTGGTAGCTACAGGAGTCATATGGTCGAACTGCATCCGGACATCTTGCAGCAAGCGGTTGCGGTGGATCACAAACATCACCATCACCGGCATGCGGATGAGGGGAGGGTCATCATTGTGGATTCGCTCGAGGAGTGCCTCAAGGGTGCCGGGGAGGTGGTGCAGGCGGGGATCACGCCCAAGCAGTTGGTGGAGGTGGGAGAGCTTATGATGGTGAAGAAGGCGAGCATGCGGGAGATTGAGATGGGAGGGGAAGGAGAGAAGGGGCTGAAGAACTGGTTGATTAAGGGAAATGTGATTTATAAGAGTGTGGGGTTGGGATTGATGGATATCTGTGTTGGGGAGGATGTGGTGGGGATCGCTAGGGAGAGGGGGTTGGGGACACATATTGAGGGGTTTTGAAGAGGGCGGAAGAAGGCTAGTCTGTGGATGAGCATGATTGGTGATATACAATGATAGGCACGGGATGGGCGGAATGCATTCGAAGAAGATTAAGCAGACTTCGAAGGATGCGGCGTTGGAGGCCTTTGTGAGCGAAAGTCATATCATTCCAGGTATCCAGCATCAACAAGGCATATCTACAGGTATCTTTTTGTCATTCATGTAGTCTCTGATATCAGCGGTATACGACATCTGCCACTGCCTGCAGTCGCCTATTCAAGCTCTTTGGGTCTACCGTCTGCATTTATATTGCTTTCCCGGTTTCCTGCCGCCCAATTTCCTCTCGAAATACGTTCCCTCTAGTGGGACTCGTCGGACTGCCCCATCCCCAATCACTGCCTCCCCGATCACCGTGTCTTTCTTGCAACTCCACGCCTCTGGTTGGTTCATCATGGAAGCTCTCTGTACGTCTGTGCGAACGATCCAGAGGTCCTACGAGCCCGCCCGCACCACCCGATTGCGTCCGTTGGGTATGAGATTTGCGGCTCAGGTAATCTGCATTTCGACGCCGGCGGCGGATGAAGAAGAAGGCAAGCCCAGCAATGACGATGAGGACAAGGATGAGCCCTACGGGTATGCCGACTTTCTCGCCCAATTTCTTGTTATGACTCTCTGACGAGGGCGAGGTAGAATTACTGCCAGCGGTATCCATCAGTAGGATAAAGGGACCAAGCTTTGACTCTGGGGCTCCTTTTTCAGGTGGGGGCGTGACGGCCAGTCGCATGGTGAGGTTTGCGAGCTTGGTGCCATTGAGCCAAGCTTTTGATGTTTCTATAGTAGTCTCTCCGTTTGCATTGGGGACATTGGGCGAACGGTAAAGGGCAGAATGTTGTATTAAAGGCCAACCTTCAGTGGTCTCTTCAAGGAAAGAAGTGGCGTAGATTTCGACGATATTGCTTGAATTGGCCTCGTTGCGTAAGGGATCCCAAGAAACTGCCGGATATCGTGTTAGTGAGAGTATATGCATTCGAAATGTGACGGAAGGTATCTACCAATGTAGGCAGCATCGTAGTCCAGCTTCTGTCCCGTCACTGGCTTGCAGAAGACATTCGTCTCATTGCGGTCTTTGTGGCACTTGTTGGGGTCATTAGTGGCATTGAGCGGGGTACCGATATGCGTTGGTACGGTAGTGTGTGAAGAGGAGGTAGATTCAGCGGTAGCTGTGCCTGAAGAAGCTGTTTCGGTACCAGTGGTGGAGGAGTCCGACTGCGACGAGCTCGTCGCAGTGGCCTCATTTTCAGGGGCATCTGTGGTGGAAGCGTCTGTCGCACAATGCTCGTATCAGTAAAGGAGGCTCGAGTGCATTGAGCTACATTGTGACCTACCTTCCTGGCGTGGCACAAGGACATGCGCAGAGCTGATGGTGTTCAGAAACAGTAACACCAGCACAACAACTCTGCCATATAAATATGCCATGCTGAAATGGGCGGCCGGAAAGTGGTCAGGGGCCGTGCAAAGTGATCGAGGCGGACGACTTGACTCAAGCAATCAGTCGCATGTAGATGACTAGGTAGTATATATGTGAAGATGGACAATGCCTATTCCCTCGTACGCGCTTGCGATGTTGACTCTCCGACTGCTCAATCCTGGCCCCCAATGCATCGAACTAACTACATCATAACCCCGCGCTACTCAGGGATGTCTCGGGCCAGTCCCGCCGCCAATAGGGGGATGTTCAGGGATGTCTTGCCGGAGAGAAACCCTGAGAATCGCGCGAGATGAAAGCCAATAATCGCGCTGTTAACGTATAGGTGTCGACACCCGTTGTGAAAACCGTCCTCTCTTATCTGTAAAGACTTGTAAACCTGCCTCTTGCACATATTCGAGCAATCGTCGCTACCGCTTCGCCATCACTCAATTTTCACGGTTACCACTATGCATCCAACACTCCTCCTCTCCCTCCTCCTTCCAGCCCTCACCACTGCCGACCAGGCGCAACAACCCTTGGGCGAAAAGGCAAAAGGCTGGTTCTCTGCTGCGAAACAGTATCTACCAACAGCCATCCCCACCGTGCCTGGTCTCACTGCCATCCCCAATATGCCCAAACCAACCTTGAAGTCACCCATCAGCGAATCCGCTGCGAAAATTGCCGCCTTAAAAGTCCACTCACTCTCTATGTCAAACTACCGCCCTCTCCTTACCCCGAGTGCGGACAAGAAAGGCCCTACAGACTGGATGGTCTTCGTGACGGGGGAAACAAGACTTGTGGCGGCCACTGCCACAATCTCGAAGTCAACTGGAACGAGACCGCTAGTATTCTGGCAGCCGACGCGCTCGCCCCAAAACTAGGCATCATCAACTGTGACAATGAACGCGTACTATGTGCCGTCTGGAGCGCGAAGCCGCCGACTATATGGCATATCAGACGCCCGGCGCCTGCTGTAGGTGGGGAGACCGACGTGTATATTAACTATCTGAACTTCACCACTACCACCACGAGTGACATGGTGGCCCTGCATACAAGCAACAAGTACGAGGGGGGCATTCTGTATGAGGGCATGTTTCATATCTTTGATGGATGGCTGGCCCAAAATGGGTTGTTGGATTATTTGGGATACGTGCTATACGCGTTCACGGCCGTACCCAGCTGGGCACTAATGTTGACGGTCAGTATGGGAAGTCGGACTTTAATGTGAGTGTTCTGAAATTCATGGGCTTGAACGGGTTTGATGATTATTACAGCCAAAGGAGAGCTGGTGCTCAAGGTAGAGAGGCTGCCAGGAGACCACAGGGGCCACAGGGTGCGGCTCCACCGGCCAATGGGAGGTAAGGTTGGCTACTCAAGTACTAAGACAGGCAAAAGATCATCGCTCTATTGTGGTAACGTGAAGAGGTAGGAGTGGAGGTATAAAGAGTAATCAAGGGGTTGGAGTCTTCAAATATGGGAGGAGGGCGTTGGATCTAGAGGTCAACCGGGCAGCCAGCTTGTCTCCAAAACAGACCCCCTGCTAGGGGCCTTTTTAGTGGTGTTGATGTAAGTCCCCGCAGGGGGTCTGCACCGGAAAGTCCAAAATCTGGTATTTTTGACTTAAAAATACCAAAATCTCGCTTCCGCTCAGATAGATTACATACACACCCAATGCTGGGGGGCTAGCCCGTATTTTACAGTATTTTCCTGTTTAAAACGCTTAGTCTGCTTAGTAATAGATTACAAATAATCTCAAATCAGATTACCCCGGTCTTCTGCACCCAACTTTTCGTATTTTGAACATCTCTCTTCGCTCGGTCCGAGATTCTATAGAAAACTCGCGCCGAGCAAAGAGAGATATTCAAATCTTAAAAAATTGGGTGCAGGAGACCGGGGTAATCTGATTGATTTTGAAATTTGCCACGAAGCTGAAAATCTTAATTACACGACTTTCCGGAGCAGGCGTGCTCAAAGAAAAGGCCGCGAAGCGACTAAGCCTTTTCTGGCCTAGCTTGCTAGGCTAGCACGCTTTAGGAGGCAACAGCCAGCCTTTATCGAATATAGGTAAAGCGTGAAATATTGAAAGACTGCTCGGCAAAATCGGGTGGAACATGATTTCTTGCAGTCGGCTTTGAGGTAAATGCGCTGCATTTCACTGATGTTGATATTGGAGTCCGCCTGCCGTGTGCTTACGGTTTTTGCTTTGCGTGGATGGGTCTTCTCTTTTCAGAATGATTTTTTCAAATTTTTTGGTTTGGATATGTCAACATCATCTACTACTAGGTTGGTAATAGAGGCACCATAATGGTTTCCGATATCCACTAACTAGCTTTGGGTATCAATTCTTTACCTTTCGAAAAATGCTTTTCGTATAATTCATGTTCTGCGCTCAATCGTCAATTTTGACACCTTTCCCTCCGTTCACATCAATCGGCCCTCCTCGATAGCTTCCTCGTTTCTTCTTGTTTTTCTCCTTCGTGAAATCTCGACCCCGTGTAATACTGAGATCCTGATGTGCGCGGTCCGCATATTCATATGGCTGATAGGCGTTCGATGCGAACCTTGAGTCTACCTTCGTGTCTGATGCAATCCGCTGAAAGGGTGCATTGATTTTCTTCGCGGCTTTCTTGGTGGTCGAAGGAGAAGCCGAGCGTTTACGTTTTGAAGGCGCTATGGTACTGGAGTACGTTTGTGCGGCTGGCAGGCCGTCTGTACTTTCGTCTGGGTTCGGGTCTGGAGAGGATGCAGATGAAGACGAGGGAGATGAAGAAGAGAGGCTGGTATTGTCTGTCGATTTTTTTCGTGCTGACGATGCTTGAAGCGTCTCGCTGGAGTCTGAGCCCACCCTCGGTTGCTTCTCGGTTGCTAAATTGCTTTCTATTTTGCTTCCAGCGGTATGGCGTGGCAAGTTCACAAGCCGACCAGAGTCGGATTCAGAATCCGAGTCCGAGTCTGAGGAGGTACCATTGCTTGAAGAAGTGTCACTTTTTTGGACTTTGGCTTGGCTAGCTTTCTCAATCGAAGCCATCGGGCTCTTATAAGAATCCGTTTCTGCAGTTACTTGAGATTCAGAGTCCGAGTTTGATTCAGAGTCCGAACTTGAATCAGAAGATTCGTTATCGCTGCTTCCAGCTTTCGAGGTCACAGCATTGTCACTTGTTCCAGCCTTTATCGAAGAGCCGATATCTGGTAGTGAGATACCGGCTGGCTCAGTCGCGTCATCCATGTCGCTATCAGAGTCCGACGATGACCCCGAGTTCGAGACGGAGGACGAACCTGATTGCGGCTTGGATGCTTTTTCCGGCTTCTGAGCTTTTCCCTTTGGCGATCGGCCTCCCGTATCTACGTCTGAGCTGTCATCATCGCTGCTGTCTGAATCACTTCCCTCACTACTACTGGCTTCATCCTTAGCATGTTGCTCGACCTCCAAGGTCACCCTAGTGGCTTTCGCGGCCTTTGATTTTCCCTTCCTGTGTCTTGTCGCATGACTGTCATCGCTATCGCTACTGCTGGTCTCATCTACTTCGTTGTCTATCTGATACCCTGCGTGCCATTCTTTGAAGACTTGGATAAGCGGTGGGAATTCTTTTGGCAGCTCCTGGCCAATTTCAATTTTCCATTCGTCTAACCTGTTTCTCGCAAGGATTTGAGCGGTGTAGAGGCGTGAAGCTCCGTCAAAACCGTAACTACTTAAGAACGCACCAACCAAAGTAATTAGCAGGCCAGGAGGAGGCTTCTTCATTGGAGCATTGAACACTTTGTGCTGTAGAAAGTCAATTGAGGCATTATGCTTTTCCTGCTCCTTGCGTATTTGCTCTTCGGGTTTGATGACAGGATTGAGGACAGGGTTCTCTTCGTCGGGAGGAAACATCCATGCTGGCTGTGGTCTGTCTGGTGCGTGCTTCTTTTTCGGACGGGTTGCCTTTGCAGCCTCAAGCTTTTGCTCCTTGGAAAGATGAAAAGCTGGCTTGAGGTTTGGAGGCTTCTTGTCTTTCTTCGGCTTTTTAGGCATCCTGGATACTGAATCAGGTCGATCGCGAATTGTTTGAAATCAAAAAAAAGATTTCTCGGTAAGAGTTCCCTAGCTCAAGACCGGCGGGCCTAACCTTAGGACTAAAGTTCATTTGTGCAGTCAGGCCTGGCTTGGCGTGGATTGCTCCTTACGATCTGGGTCTACTGCGTGTGAATCTCAGCGTCAAGTTGCCAGCACGAGCGAGTGGACCACGAAACACCATCTTCTGACGATTCACACTTGATAAGAACATGGAATGCGACAAATGGTCCCAAAGCTCTCGATCCCGCTGAAGGATGAACCCTAATATCCCCGGCCAGCGCTATCGAGGTCCACAAGATGGAGCACCTATGGGACCTGGAGCGCGGCCGGGGCACGACGTGCGTAACGGTCATCCTCAGCCCGGTATGCTGTCGCCACCGCCAGCGTCAAATGGGTTTCATCAGGGGGGTCAAATGAGCCGAGCGGAGAAATTTGAGGACGAAAAGAAGCGGATTATTGAAAGTTGCTTTAGCAAAAAGGACCCAGATGGATCATGTACGCTTGCCTCTTGGATGAGAGACATGTGTCTTAACAAGCTCTAGTGAATGAATCGTACATTACGCACATACGCGTCCAGGAGGACGAAGATCATCCCCAAAGCCCCCCTCCCTCCGACTCCTTACCCCAGAAAAAGAAGCCAAGAGTCGTCATGGTCGCTGTACGTAAATCCGGTCGAGTGAGGATGCACAAGGGTCGTGAAAATGCGAATGGAACATTTTCAATCGGGAAAACATGGTCTTTGGACGATTTGAACAGGGTGGAGTCATTTGCGCATGCCATGCCACAGACAGCCGAAGAGCAACAATACAACCAACCCGCATCAGACTCTGGCTTCGTCGTCACCCTTCAAAAGCCATATTATTGGCAGGCCGCGAGCGCGAAGGAGAAGGAATTCTTCATCTTCAGCCTCATCAAGATATTCAAGAAATACACCGGAGGCAGATTGCCTGAGTTGATCGGATTCAGTTCTCAAGAATTAGAACAGCTTGGAGCATCGGCCGGGCAACCAAGCACTGATACACCCAGACCTCGTCCAAACGGCCACCCAGTACCCACAAACCGAGTCCCTAGTCAAGACCCTCCTCCGAGGGCGGCTCGTTCAGACGCACAACCTCCAGAAGCGTCAAGGGAAAGGCGGCGACGGCCGTCGCAAGAGCAAAGGCCTACTCAACCTGAACGAACCCTGCACAGTACCGCGCAACAAGAGCACCGCCTTCTACATAGTGCAACTTCTCGTGATCGAGCTTTACGTAACGCACCAAGCAATGAGCGTATGCGTCTGCCAGGTGCTTTCCCTTCAACCGACTCCATTCACTCACAAACCTCTCAATCAATGCGTTCTCGTCGATCAGAATCTCCCAATTCAATGAAGGCGCCTTCGTACTCTACCACCAGCAATTCTCGTGCTCCCAGTGAGAATCGGCATGAACCCTCCAGTTCCTACGAAACAGCCCCACCGTTCGCCCAGTCTGTCCCAAGCGGACGGTCCAGCAGCGAGCAGTCGAGACTGAATGGCACATATCCAACTCAGGCCCGCATCAGGGCTCACAGCCAGGCTCGTTCAGAGTCCACTGATGAAAGGCCGCGTACGGCGGCTAAAGGAAGCGATATACCTCCAGCCCTGGAGATAAGAAGCCCGAAGCATAGACCGCCGACCACGTCAAGCGATTCCAATTCTCAACTTGAAGGCAGCATCTATTCTCAGAAATCACGTACTCAACCTTCAGAATCTATGAATGGCGATAGGAGAGCCGGATCAAGGCAAGGGAGGCAATCCGACCGGGATATGAATGCCCCAGCGCCGCCATCATTAGGGAGAAGTCGCTCGAAAAATGACATTCGTCCACCGAAGCCACCCAGCCAAGATGGATTGGAACGAATACCGAAAGAGGAGCCGAGGAAGTTCAAAGAGCCCATTGAATCGCCAGTCGTTGCAACTAAGCCAGAATCGATTCCCTCAGAGACACAAATTGATCCGACTCCTACTCCTGACCATCCAGAATCTCAATCAGTGACAGAAACCCATCGTCCTGGGCTAGGACCTATGATCAAAAAGAAATCGAATGCGGAGATAGCAAATAAGTTTCGCAAAGCAGCTACCGCCTACAACGCATTCAAACCTCGTCCAGGCATGCCAGGTGAGAAAGGGCTATCAGAGCAGTCATCAACCGGAGACGGTATCACCGGCGTGTTCCAAGCATCGACCCTTCTACGAGGTGTTAGCCAGGATGATGCGAGGCCCGGGACACCAGGCATTAAGATAGATTCGCGGCCAGCCACTCCCGATGCGAAAAAAGAAAACTCTTTGCTAAGCTTAACAACCTCTCCGGCGAAGCAGACAATCTCTCCATCTCAGGATCCCAGTAGATTGCAAGAACCTGTCGACCCTCTAGCCGCCGAGAAGGTTGAAGCTCCGGCAGCCATCACTAAACCTCCTGTGCCACCGCAAGATGAACGTCGCAAGAAGAGGCAATCCGATCATTCTGCAAAATATGCGAAATCGTTAGGTATCAATCCCAGCCTCCTGGAAGGACGCACATTTGAGATAGAAGCAATTTTGAATGACTTTGGATGGGGTGAAGATAGTAATAAGACCACGTTCGAAAATTTAGAGACTGGCATCCGCAAAGAGCTTGCTCGAGTGGAAGCAGGGAGCTGGTTAGGTGCGGTGGACAACAGCGATGACCGCACTCTCGTAGTTGGTGACATGATTGATAAGGTTATGGCTGAATGTGAGGAACTAGACTGTCTCTTAACTCTTTACAATGTCGAACTTGGGGTATGTGAAACTTGGCAACTCACAAAAATTGTGCTAACCCTCTAGACCTTGAGTGAAGATGTCGCTTATATTGAGGCTCAGTCTCAAGGCCTCCAGGTTCAAACCGCCAATCAGAAGCTGCTTCATACAGAGCTCAGAAACCTTCTAGACAACATCTCGATTTCCAGCTCTCAGCTAAGAATTCTCAAAGACGCATCTTTATTCAAAACAAGAGGCATTCGCGAGATCGAAAGCGTGCTCAGTCAACTATATACAGCTATGTCAATGATCGATCCCAAGCTTCGCCATGACGAGGACGCAGGCCCGCCTGATCAAGCAAATGCCTACCGAAAAAGCAGCGTGGGCCAGGATGCAACAGAGTTGAGCTCCATGCATGCAGTCCGAGAGAAGAGAGAACTGTTCCAAAGGGAGAGTTCAGAATTCGTCCAGCGACTCAAACATGGGATGAATGTAATATTCCAGGAAAGCGAGACACAGACAATGGATGCCCTGGACAGAGCAAAAGCCGGCAATTTGGTAGACTCTCCTAGACTTGACGAGCGGCTGAGAGAGAAACCAAAGCAGGATCTCTGGATGTATTCAGCCTTGCTACTTTTTGTTCGAGAAATACAGCCCTTGGAGTGGGAAAATCTGATGAAATTGTACGATATACATGCGCGAAAACCGTATCAAGATGAAATGAGAGAGAACATGCTCGCTTGGAGAAAAATAACGCAAAAGCCTTCTGGAGATGAGCAGGACGTCCTCTTCACCGCACAGGAGAAAGAGCATGAAAGCCTTGTAGGACGGAAGCTAACAGTCAAGCGATCGAAGACGGTCCGAGCGGATGGACCCAGTCGAATATCTTCAGGCGAGCGACCGAAAGACGGCAAGCATCCAGCTTACGTAGCTTTTGCCTCAATTCTCACCGGCGAGGCGCGTCTCATCTTGATCGAACAGAATTTCATTGTCAAATTGTTCCACGTATCGTCTCTAGACACTCAAGACTTCGCTGATGCAATTGCATCAGAACCTGGAGACCGACAACCAAGCGATTTGGATGTCAAACAGCCACCCGATCCGAACAGAACCCTAGCACGCAAAGTCCTTGGTGTCATGGAAGACATTTTTAGTTTCTGGCCTGCTGAAGTGCAAGGCTTAGTTGATTGGTTCGTCAAGCAAGATTCTATGAACGCTGTTGGGATGCTTTACACTATGGAGACTCAGCTATCAAATATTGAAGAAACAAACCAAGAGTTCCTTTCCCAAACCATCGGCCGCATCCATGACCGCCTTATCACACAATTCTCTCGCTTTATTGAAGAACAGGTACGAGGCATCGAAGACACCAAAGTCAAGATTAAGAAGAGGAAAGGCGTCATCAATTTCATCAAGATTTTCCCTGGCTTCTCAGTCGCCATTGAAAAGATGCTGCCGCCTACGGCTCTCCTGCCGCAGCTTCAAATCCGAGGCATCGTTGATGATGCATATCGGTCTATCAACAAGGCCATGTTCGAGTCGCTCAAGTTCATTGCCAAGGAGTCACCCACTGCAAGCCACTCACACCTGGGCACATCACTTGGAGATAACGAAGACAAAGAAGCGCTAAATCACCATATTTTGATCATCGAGAACATGAGCCATTACATTGAGGAAACCACACTTCATAACAACCGAGTGCTGGAGGAATGGAACTCTCATGCCCAAGCGGACATGCAAGAACATCTCGATCTTTATCTCGCGTCAGTCCTTCGTAGGCCTTTAGGCAAGCTACTTGATTTTGTGGAGTCAACAGAAACTCTTCTCAGCAATAGTCTTAACAGTTCACCGCCCTCCGCGATCGCCCAGCGACCGTCACATTCAAGGCAAGTCTTCAAGAAGGTCCTGTCTTCCTATGACGCGAAGGAGATACGTCGGGGCGTAGAGGCTCTCAAAAAGCGTGTCGAAAAACATTTTGGAGAGGCGGACGACTCTGCTATTTTAGTGAACAAGGTCCTCAAAGCGTGTGAAGCGCGCTATCAAAATATACTTGAGCGCGTGGGAAAGTTGGTACGCGACGTATATTCTGGGGGATTGGAAGTCGAGTGGAGGAGAGAAGACGTGAACAACGCTTTCAAGAAGTAGCGTCAACGCGATGATTGCGCGGAGTGGAAGCCTTTATATGTACATATTTCATCCTTCTTATATATCCTTGATCAAGCTGGATTGTAGATCTGTCAGATAGGCGTTGACGTGGGATATGCTATGGAAAATGGACCTTCTGGTCTTTGCTTGGGCGACAGAGCAACGTTGATAGCGAAGGCGATCGGGAATTCATTGTTTAGATTATTTATTGAAATAAGAAAGCTTGCTTTCAAATAAATTACACCGCATTATTTACAGAACGGGCATTCTACTGCCTAAAACGCTTATGCTACAGTGGCGGGATTGTCTCTCATTTCTGCCTCCACCGCTTTCCTACGCATTCTCTCCATGAGGTAGCTATTGAGCTTCTGCTTCACTGACTCAAACCACCCTGAATGCTCACCACCTCCCTTCCCACCATCCCCTAGCTTCTGCTCCTTCGTCCCTCTCGTATCCCTCTGCTTGAAGGCATGCCGGACTAACCTCTTCCATGGCCCTTTCGTGATCGCTGGCGGGGGACGTTGAAAACATTGCTCTTCGGCAAGACTTCCTTTCCTGCCTTCTTGTACGCCGTATCCCACGCGGATTTCTTCACGTACACTCCCGGTGCACCACCTTTCCGCCGACTCGTCCGCATGAGCCATATATACCTGTTGGCAATAGTGACACGTTGGGCCTCTCGCTCCTTTCGCAGTTTCATGAGCTCGTGCTGCGCGTATGGTCGGTAGGATGAGAAGAGCTGCCATGCGGTGCCTCTCTCAATGGCGGAATCGATCTCGAAGTGGGGCTCAGCAGGTGGAATGAGAGGGTGTATTTCCTGTGCTCCGGTGGTCTCGTCCTTACGCTCTGGTTTGCGAGGTTTCCGCTCTTCGATCGCTCGATTCGCTGTGTGAGCTTGGCTGATCAGATCCTCGAGTGGGGTATTGAGTTGAGCTGCGATATCCTTTAATTTAACGAGTGTTGAGTGAAAGTCCTTATGGGTAGGCTGTAGAGAGATTCCAAAATCTTTCGACGATGTTGATATTTCTTCAAGCATGTCTGGCTCGAGTTGAGGTAACGGTAGGGTTCGACTGACAGACCTGGTGTCCTCTGCGATCTCCATAGCAATGGTATCCACGTTTGCTTCAAGTACTAGGCTTGAAGGTAATGAAGGCTGGTCGTCCTCTGTCAAATTGTTCTTGGCCTCGCTATTCTGCTTTTTCTCTGACTGCTCTTGCTCTGCTCTCACATACATCAAGGCCAATTCGGTGGCCCTTTGCCTCAGGACTTTCTTACTTTTTTCCTGTTGGCTGATATAGCCTGCAGAGGGCAAACCCAATCGCACCTTCTCGGTACGAAACCTCTCTTTGACCCTCTCCGTCTGCATGATCTGCCACCGCAAATGCCAACCCGTAAGGCCTAGTTCCTTAATTCTCGCAGACTTATCACCAAGTAAATATTCATCGAGACCCCCTACCTTGTCAATCGTCCGCAAAACCCTGGCTTGGACTTTCAGCCTGACAAACCTCCCCAGTGCGTCTGACCAAAGCCGCTTGTTTTGCACATTGGGATGCCATGCGCGCAACGTCTTCACCTCGTGCTTCTCTGAGACCTTGTTGCCATGTTGGACTTTGGAGCCACCGTAAAGACCTGTGTCACGCTGTTTAAAGTGCTGAGCGGCTCCATAGGGATAAGGCGGAGCTTTTCGCTTTTGAGAATGGGTAATCGTTGCGCTGGAATAGCTCGCGCGGGGAAGAGACGGTATGTACGGCAGACTGTGCGTGCTTTGAAGTCGAGGGACCATTGCGAATGCACAGGGAAAATAGAAGATGTGGGTGGGGTGTCACCATCAAGAGTTCGTGATGGATGTAAATAGGCAATGCCGCCGAATAGAAAGAGATCGCACACTCGGAACATCAAAACCTCAATAGCGTGAGTCGAGTGGTGATTGCTCGGTAAGATGCACAGGACTTTCTCAAAGAACTTTGTCACTAACGAGTGAGTTCAAGCTTTCAAAGAATTGTCGATAGATGAGTCTCAGCCCTACGAGAATTCAATCATTAGCTACGAGTCTTACTACTACCACTATTACGTGGTCGCCTGGCCACGAGCCATCCCCGCAAATTGCTATCTAAGATGACCTCTCAAGATGGGCCATCGACAATATCCATAGCCCTTGCGACTGCCATCCTGTCCGTAGCGACTGGGTACCTGATCGGCTCTGCGTCGTCGATTGGCGTGTTTGGGTCGTCGAGCACGGCCAGGAAAGCTGCGAAGAAATCTTGGCCTAATAGCTACGATGTCACCATACACCCTGATAGCAGTGATGAAGAGCTCATGAAGCAGCTGGGACGGAAGCAGAGCAAGGAAGTGAAAGATTCCGAAGAAGAGGATGAAGCAGACAGCAGTGAGGAAGAAGTCGTTGGGGAGCTGGCTACGTTTGAAGGAAACAAAGAAGAATGCAAGCTCGTGCTGGTGGTAAGAACGGACTTGGGCATGGGCAAAGGTATCCAATGTCCTCGCTGAGAACACTGGCTTTCGAGTCTAGGGCGGTAGTAGTCAGAAAGACTGACATTGTTCCATAGGGAAAATAGCAGCGCAGGCTTCTCACGCGACGCTCGCTTGCTACACTACCCTCCGCACCTCCCACCCAAACCATCCTGTGCTCCGCCGTTGGGAGTCGTTTGGGGCTGCTAAGATTGCTGTGCAAGCTCAATCGGAGGAAGAGCTGTTGGTTCTTCAAGCCCAGGCCATCAGCCTAGGTTTGTGTGCGAGAATCATACACGATGCTGGCAGAACGCAGATAGCCAGTGGAACGGCGACAGTGCTCGGGGTTGGTCCTGCACCAAAAAGTGTTGTGGATCAGGTCACTGGAAAGCTGAAGCTGCTGTGAGTGAAATCAGGAATAAGTAGAGCAAGAATTCCACCAGCATGGAGGTTTCGAGCTGAAGTGCACAGCAGGCTGTCTTACGGCTCAATTGCAGAGTATGGAGGACGTAGATGTACAACAAGATACCTCTCCTCACATAGAAAAGAGTCTAAGCTAGACGTACCCCTGCCTGCCTGTTCTTTTTGGATGTCAAACCGGCTGCGTTGTTCATTCCTGTTGCTTGGCTCGTGTCCAGTAGACTCTGGGCCTCCCGCTTCTTTTCGCCATCGACGCGCTTTAGATGCTTCTCGGTCTTTTGCTTTCCACTGCCTTTTCCATGGAATTGATGGCTAAGGTGCTTGAAAGCCTCCTTTTGACTCATGTGCCGCCCATGTTCATCCATATACTTTAGGTCAACATTTGGTCTGTATTCTTTGGTGAAGATATCGCTCATGACACGAGACTCGATCTGGTCGCGCTGTTTATTCTCGTGGCGGGCATATTCTTCGCGTTCCTTCGCTGACATATGATCCAATCTGCCGGAAGCACGATCTCTTTCACGCTGGAGACGAGCCTTGCGCTCAAGATCCCCTTCTCGTCGTCGTTTGTCAGCAAGGAAGTGGTGCCTATCACGCTGGAGTGCCACGAGATCCCCGTCTTTCTCCTGGGGCTTGAGTAAACCACGCTGCGTAAGCATTGACAGTGTGGCTCCCAGACCTTGGCTGATCGTAGTTTCGTCTCCAAGACCAGCGGCTGATATATCATCCTTTTCAGGAGTGAATGAGTCGCGTTTGAGGCGCTTTTCTAGGTGGTCCTCGTCGCTTTCCACGGGTGGACTATTCATCTGAACATCTTCATCGTCTGGCGGCTCTTCTTTTAGCTGCGGTGTTGTACTTCGTGCTTTAGTCCGGTGAGGCTTCTCGGCTTCTTGATCCTTACTCCTTTGTAGATTTGCAACAAATTCGCTTGTTTCGTCAATGACGAGACCTGCTTCTTCAGCTGTCACATCGTCTTCGTTATCCCCCAAAGTTGCTGATGCCTCCTCTTTCAAGCTACGAGCAATATCTTCGGGAGCCGCCTTTTTGCGTTTCTTGAGTGCAGCTCGTCGTTGAATAGCCAGAGATGCTTGGAGGTCTTCATCATCAACAAAAGAATTGTTCATTGAGCCTTTTACTCTCCCCACCATCGCCTGTCCATTGACAGCATCTATGTCCATAGGATTGCCACTCGGTTTTTCATCATTGACCTCCCCAACAGGGAATATATCGTCCTCGTCTGCTTCTTTCTGCCGTGTCGATCTTGCCTTCTTTTTTTGGACTTCCTGACCTTAGCCTCAATCGGTGCAGCATAATCAGAGATGACTAAATCGTCCTTTAAACTATCCAGACTGATTGCCTGTTTCTTTGAACGCTCTTCAACTGCTTGCTTTAGGGCTTTATTATCCTCCATGGAGATGCCTTGCGCGTCCAGCTGGAATCTCTTGCGCTTTTTGCCTTCGATTGTTTCGTCGTACTGTTTTAGGACTGTCGTTCCACCATCCTCTACTTCAGCATGTGGGTCATATACAGGTCGTTTCTTCTTCAGACTCAATTTATCATCCAAAGCCTCGCGTTCCTTCAAGGCCATGTTCTCAAGTTCATCGCCCTCCTCCTCATTCTGATCAATGGTAGCGTCTTTAAGGGTCAATATCTGTCCGCCATCTTCATTGAAATCCTCCAATGCGTGAGCGACGTTCACACCCGAGAGGTCAGCTGCCGTATGTTCTGCCTCGGCCTCTCGCTCTGCTAGCTCTTTTGCGAGCTTTTCAGCCTTTTCTCGATCCTTCTCGATTCTCTTCCTACGCTTCTTTTGTTGTAATAACCATGTTTTGGTGTCCAGGTTGTCCGCCTCGTCCTTTTCAGCTAAGCCTTTTCCTTCTACCTTTGCAAATCTTTGGGCAGCATCACGGGCTTTTTTGATAGCCTCCGCTTTAGCTTCACGTTTTCGTTTAGCAGCAGCTTCTTCTTGTAGGGCGTTCCAGTTCTCGTACCCTTGTGCTTGTCTTGACTCCAAAGTGCTCCCTTGCTCCTCCTCTGATCCTGAGGAAGAGTCACCATTCTCTGCCTTGAAAGTAGGTCCTCTACCTCCAGGGACCGGAAGAGGCTTCATCCCTAAGGATGCCCTGATCCTGTTGGTCTCTTCAATCGCCAAGTCGGCCATATTGAACGGGTAGTGATTTTACAGGTTCACATGGATGTCAGGATGTTTCGGTCGTCCCTTCGCAGTTCATTGACGCGGAAGGCGCCTTGCCAAATTGGGCTTGGCGCAAAATGCTCTTGGCAAGCACATTTCCATATAAATTTTGCCGGCCCGGGGAAAACACTTCCTTTCAAAAACAGATCTGTGCCAGTATCCCGTTGCCCTTTCGAGGGTCATTCGGTCGCATACTGGCAGATCGACCGCAAACAAGGAGCCGTCGACCCACTAGGGTAATTTCAATGATGTCAATCTTCCGGTCGACAGATCTCAGAGCAAGAAGGCCATCTTTGCTGAAGCCTGAGCTCGCTTGTTTTACAGGCTGATGCTCGGTGAAGGGGAGGTGTGCTGTGGGCGCCATATTCCAAGACTCTTTACCGATTGCCCGTTGGGCTGTGAGGTTTGGGTTAAACCATGGCTTGCTTACATTTACGAGCCTCATGATACATATTTTACTGGACTAGGTAACAAGCAGAAGTGGCTCGTTCTTAGTCCTGAGATTCTATTGAGAGCTCGCTCTCAGGAGGAGATTGATTAGATCCCAAGCGCATATCCGCGGAGTTCGTTTGTCGTATCCATTTCACGTTCATCAAGGGTATCTATTCTACTGTGCTAAATATCACATCTATATGTAGCAGAAAGCACCATTCCTCCGCCCGGCAATCTGAATGAACAATCCTTAAACTTCATTCATGAGTATTTGCACAACATTAGCTAGCTTGCCTAATTCATCTCGAGTTTCCTGATTGGACTCAGGGTCAGCCAATTCTTAATGACATATTGATTTTCAAAAACATTGAATTGCGTGCAATTGAGTGACTGTCTCGCGGGGCTGAACTTACCACTCATCATAGAAATGATCAAACTCCTTTTCACAATTCCGCGCTGAATCTAATTCGCAGCCAACCAACCGAACCAGGAAATCACCTCTCTTGTACATGACATCTTGACCTCCACGAGTTGCGATGTCGACGTTGTAGGTATTCAATATTCTTAAAGGTACAAGCGCTAGCTTTGTGAGGATAGTAGGATGCCACTGCACGATATGTTCCTGATGACATGATTAGGATTGAATTGAAGAAAATGCTAGCAAGGGGTGGGATATACCAACGCGTGCCCCTCGGCTTTTTGGAAATTGTAGCTCCGGTACAATGGATCGAACCAAGTGTCGAGGAAGAATTTGGCCCACTCGCCTCTCCTGATGACAAAGCTTCCTTGACATAGACCCTCATTATCTTGGGTCACGATAAAATCAATCTTGTCACCTTTGAGGTGGGCAAAGGTCTTAATCACGCTGTCTGGAGGGACAACAGGCTTGTCGCGGAGCATTAAGGATTCTAGTTTCTTTTTACCAACAAGATGCTCCTCTAGATTAACCGAAGGATCCATGATGAGTGCGTGGGGTGACAGAGAGAAGAAATAGGTTGAATGTGGAAATGCAGCCATGGCGTGTCGAGTCCCGGGGACCAACGTCCAAGTTCGAGGGGAGTTGTTAAGGTCGTAATCGCTAGCATTGGGAAAGAAAACACCATAACCTTGGACAAAGCATGGTCAGTAAAGGGCAGGAAATGTAGATGGAACTCAACATACCTTGCTTCTCCGCATAATACCTACGGTTCTCCATTACTTTCTGTCTGTATTCTGGGCTCATTATAGCATCGTCTAAAAATGTGACTACGACAACCTCCGGTGTTCCTGTTGGTGCCCGCTCTTTACCTGGCTTGAATAAAGTAGAGCCGAAGAACATTATCAATATGACACCGCACAAGATGAGTCCCCCCAACTGAAGCTGTTTTCGGCGGATAGGAGAGGACCTAGATGCTCGAACATAGGGCGGAGGCTGGGATGTCTTCCTAGGAGGCATAGCGAAATGCATATGTGCATCAGACGAGGGGACGCCCAATCTTTAAAGTCGCGTATGGGCGAAGGCCAGGAAGTCGGTACAAACGACTAATCCAGACGTATACCTTTGATGGTAACAGGATTTAAAAGCAGCCAAGGAGCGCTCAGAGGCGCAAGAGGCCTTCAAATATTGCGGTGGGTTGGGACAGCCTTGGTATCATGCCACACACAGTTTTCATGCCATCAAGGGAGAAATTTAGAGACCTTATGGTAGAGATTGAGCATATCTTGGTAAAAGAGTCTGTTACATGAAGAAAGCATCAATTATTGAAAGGGGCTAGGGGCGCTCTTAGCCTCGGAAAGCTCCGGCCTAGCGTCAGAAGCCAATTGATGCTCCCGTAAATAGCGTATTCCAATATTTTCCACTCCGCCCATTCATTCATCCATCCCTCTCATTACGACTTCCAAATAGCGAAAAACTGTTTTGGACCTCCAAAATGCTCTCATCTTGCCGCTGCCTGTTACGACAAGCACCAATCCGAGGAAATTTGCCAAAGATCGCCAGTGCCAGGTTTGCTTCTACCTGGGCGAATGTATCCCAGGGTCCTCCTGTGAGTTGTTGAGAGGGAAGACCGCGTGTCAATTGCTGACGGTTAGCTAGGACGTGAGTTACAGCTTCTCATGACCAAGTCTCCAATACTGATGGGTATTTTTTGGAACAGGCAATCTTGGGTGAGCTGGCTTGGTAAGGTCACTTTGGAAGAGTATCACTAAAGATTGGATCGCAGGTATCACGGAAGCATTCAAAGCAGACTCACTCAAGGAGAAGATTAACCTCGGAGTTGGCGCATACCGTTAGTGTCCGTTCTCGTCCCATCGTGTCGCGGGGCTGATAGAAAGCAGGCGATGACAACGGAAAGCCTTACGTCCTCCCGTCGGTCCGAACAGCTGATATGAAGGTACTGGAATCAAATCTTGACAAAGAGTATGCCGGTATCACTGGTGTCCCAAAGTTCACACAGGCCGCAGCTACGCTAGCCTACGGTCAAACTTCTTCCGCACTCAATGAGGGCAGGGTAGCAATAACTCAATCAATATCTGGAACTGGTGCTTTACGGATAGGTGGTGCTTTTCTCGAACGATTCTATCCCTCCGCCAAGAAGATATACATTCCTACGCCAAGCTGGGCAAATCACAATGCGGTTTTCAAAGACTCTGGGCTGGAAGTCGTCAAATATAGGTACTACAACAAGGATACGATCGGTCTGGATTTTGATGGGATGATCGCAGATCTCAAGTCCGCTCCCGAGGGCTCTATCTTCCTTCTGCACGCATGTGCACACAATCCTACTGGGATTGACCCAACGAAAACACAGTGGACACAGATCAGCGATGTAATGAAGGAGAAGAAGCACTATCCGTTCTTCGACATGGCCTATCAAGGTTTTGCTAGTGGCGATATTGACAAGGATGCATTCCCCATCCGACATTTTCAAAGCGAAGGCCACCAATTCTGTCTAGCGCAGTCCTTTGCTAAGAATATGGGTCTTTACGGTGAGCGCGTTGGCGCGTTCTCAATTTGCTGTGACTCGGCAGATGAGAAGAAGCGGGTTGACTCCCAGATTAAGATCTTAGTACGGCCGCTGTATTCGAACCCACCGGTTCACGGTGCCAGAATTGCTGGAGAAATTCTCAATGATCCACAACTCTACAGCCAGTGGGAGAAGGAAGTCAAAGGCATGGCAGACCGCATCATCAGCATGCGTGCTGCATTGAAGAAGAATCTCGAAGATCTGGGCAGCAAGCACGATTGGTCTCATATCACGAATCAAATTGGAATGTTTGCATATACAGGATTGAACTCAGAACAGATGACACGATTAGCTGAAGAGGTAGGTTCGAAGAAGTTATGCTGCCAGACTACGGCTAATTCTGCCTCGATAGTTCTCTGTTTACGCAACCAAAGACGGACGCATCTCTGTCGCAGGCATAACCTCTCACAATGTCACGCGCCTAGCCGAATGTATCTTTAAGGTCACCGGATAAGACGAATGCTGGAGTTGCTGAATCGCGTACAAGTGCAATCTGGAGGGACGGAGCGCTTGTGGGGGAGGCCGGCTGGTCTTCCTTAGATGATGGTGGTATACTGTATTGTGACGTATAGAAAGGGGTAGTCTGCGCAAGCATTCAGCGATTCTTCCATGCCGTTCCGCAAAGGGATGGTGAATTCGACTGCATTTAGCGGTGTGGAAAGCGTTTAGATCTTCGGGATTCTTTTCAGGGAGGAGAAACGGGGACCGTGATCTCAGACCCCGAGATCCAAGGGCGAGTGCTCAGATGCTAGAATACTAGATACTAAGAAGACGAAATTGCCTATTTCGATTAGAGATAGAGCTACCGCCAATACCCTTCCGAGTGACTGCCGATCCTTTTCTGAACATGGTCACCACGCCCGACAAGGCTTTGGCAGTGTGAATAATGCGAAGCGCGATGCGAAGCGCAGGTTCTGCATGACAAAGCAGTAAGCTGCAATGATATCGGCCTCTTGCTGGCTCTGTTGACGTCGCTTTGGGCCTGACGAGTGCAAAGACCGTTCGACTGTCCTGTCTCGAGGGCGGATGGTGGTACACTGGTATGTAGTATGTAGTCATGAAAGTCTAGTGATAGGGCCCGTCGTGTAGCGTGGAATCGAGTGGACCCGGAGGCAAACGACGTAATGTGGGCATGCGGCCAACCAGCAGCCGCGACAAGATGCCATTTCTGACCTCGTACTTTCCAGTCCTTGCTACGACGCAGCTCCACCAGCTCGGCAAGAGTTAGTATGAGGGTGATTATGAAGGCGTCTTAGCTTCCTCTGCTCTCTGCTCTCAATCCCCAGAAAGGATATCGACAGTGCAGATCTCGAGCTCTAAGGAAAGACCCACCAATAGCAAAATTGCCCCACGAAAGGCGTCAACATATGACGTCCCTTGGTCGTGTCTGACCCACCCTAAGCCATTATCATTAGTTTCTTGCTGCAACAACACCAACCACCAGACCGAACAATCGTTTCTGAGCCTGGCGCGCCTTCCCGTGAGCTTACCAGTCGATCCCTCTCCAGTCATTTCGATATTGCTATAATGGCCTGATTACCGCCTTGCAGCCAGAGTATCTCCTTCTCTCAAGCAATCTTTTGATGCGCGCCCAATCACCAGGCCCCTCATGAACTGCTCGCCTGCAATTCTCTTCATATAAATAGCTTGTGCTGACCGACACGCATCTGAGGATCAGCTTGGCTTTCCGGGACCACCGGTTGGCTCATAACTCTTGCAGGTAGAAACTCGTCAACCTACCACGAAGAAAGTGGCATTTTTATCACTAACCTCAGACCTTGCTTCACTAGGCCTGATAGTCGACGTTCCGGACGCAGGACGTGGAACCACTGAACATGGCTGGTCAAGAGGTACATCTGACCCTCTTGCTTACACCCTAGACGCTACTAATGTGCCGACCTGGAATAGACGTTGACCCAGCTCGATCCTAGTGGTGAAAATGTTGATCCAAATACTTTCGGACAAATCTTGGAAATGGACGACGACGAAGAGGAGCGTGATTTCTCGAGAGGTATTGTTTATGGCTTTTTCGAGCAAGCGGAAGAAACCATCAAGAAACTGGACAAAGCGATGTAAGTCCATGTAAACCGGCTAGATCTCCGCGCTTGATGTCCTTGGACTATCGATGCAAAACTCCGAATAACCTCTTGTTGATCTACATTTGCTTCCTCATCGGCACAAGTCTCGTTTGTTTACACAAGGAATTCGTCCTAATCTTGATGTGACATGTCTAGCGCCAATAAAGACCTTGAAGCTTTATCGTCATTAGGTCACTTCCTCAAAGGTTCTTCCGCAACCCTAGGTCTCAGCAAAGTACGAGATTCCTGTGAGAAGATACAGCATTTTGGCCAGGGTAAAGATGCAGCTGGAAATCCAGATCAGCATGATAGCGAGTACTTTTTGAACCTCATAGGACAGACAACTCAACGAGTCCGGGAGGATTATGCTACTGCAGAGAAGATCCTCAAGAAATTCTTCAAAGATGAATAGAACGTGACCACGAGAGAATGCTGGCTGGATATACCACTTCCTCTCGACCAAAGAGGCTGTTGAGGAACTTTGCGTTGCCACGACAGTAAATGTAAGATAATGGAAACTTTCATTACAGTCGCAACAGGACTTTAAAACTCACTGCCAGAATCACGTCCGTCATAGACTTGAACGCTTTCGCGATCGACGGAAGCTATGCCCCTGCTTCTGAATATGCCTTCAATGAACGAAATGTGCGCTTGGCACGCTTTCCATCCCGATTTGTACTGTTCCAATCAATGACGATCAGCTTACATGTCTTCCACACAAACATACCATGAGCAGCCAGAGGACCATAGTACGAGCGCGCGGCCATGCGGAGAAGAGGAAAACTCTTCACTTAGCGGCCCCATTTGCCAGCCTCGTACATTTCAAAGCGAAACGCCTGGCAATACGCCGTATGACTTGCTCATCCTCACAGTGCAGCATTTGATTGCATTTTCCCACGGGACAATATGAAAGGTCAATGCCGCCTCGACGCCATGTTGTGACCATGACCTTCACAGCCTGTAATTCGGGTAAGAGCAGAAAAAGTAAGGGAGAATGCCCAGAGACTCTATTTCGATTGGCAAAGCCGACCAAGAGGCCTAAAGCACATCAAACACGCAAGCGGTGGTATTCTCTACTGCACAACTCGCAACGTGAAAGATTATCGAAAAAATGCAATTCAAGAACCGTGTCAACGGCGCATTTTGTCATTTCGATAAGAGACCCAGAAATTCGTTCGGGACTGTTGCAGGTTAAATTCCCTTTACCCAAGGAAAAGAACCTGATTGTCTTACCTCGCACTGGTAGAGACCAGAAAATTTGCGAATGTCACGAGCTTCATGATGTTGAACGACTTTTTCACTTTCCAAGACAAAACGTGAAGGGCGCTTGAGCCCTCAAGGGAGATGAAAGATCACCCCAGTCAAGATATCAGTTACACGTCAAGCCAGATGACTGCATTAGCAGACTCAAGTACCTGATCAAGTTTGTCAGCACAGGAGCTCTGCTGTATAGCTTCAGTCCTCTCCAAAAATCCGCATCCAACGCGGGCGAGCTCTCTTCTTTCGTCTGACCCACAATCACACATGACGGTCACCAAGTTGCTGCCCAATCCATTTCTCGACCGCCTTCAGACCCTCAAGACTAGTTCAGTGTATCGTCGCAGCCGCAACTTCCTTGTACACCTCATCCACCACCCTTCCCTTCCCTTTCGTCTCACCTATTCCCCCTTCCTTATCGTCCTCCCTCACATTTCTCTCGCAGCTCTCATAGACCTTCTCCGCCCCCATCTCATACAAACCCACTCTATCTACCCTTACATCCTCCGCCCACATCACAGCCTTCCACTCTTCGCAAATCCGCCGAGCATCGATCGTCAATCTCCCCTTTACCTTGACCTTCCCCTTCCCCTTCCGCCCTCCTTTAAGAGCGTAAATCGTATTCACGATCGTAGCATGTAGCAATAGCTTCCGCGTATCAGGTAATAAGAAGCCAGCTTCAGAAAAGGCGCTGTGCAATTTAGCTGTAAAGAATTGGAGCGGTTGTAAGGGGGTTGGGAAGGCGTAGAGAATCGTTGCTTTCTTTGGCGAGGGGAGAGCTTTCAGCCCTGTCAGGCTGATGGTGAAAGGGTGTGTTTTGATAGACTGGTGCTGTTGCTGCGATTCAGATCTGGAGGACATGAAATCCTCGCTTTTCTGAACATCAAGCTCGGCATTCTCAGATTCAATCTTTTCAATTTCTCTACCTGCACATGGACTGGCATACTTTCCACTCGCTGTCCTTTCATCAGCCGTTCCCCCATTCTCTGTTTTGCCCTTTTCAGACACCTCGATGGCCTCTTTTGCCATAGAAGTAAGATCTAATCCTTTCAAGAAGCGAACAGCCTCCTCCACCTTCTCAGACGTCTCCAAGCTCATGACTCCCAATGTAAAATGTAGACTGCCCGGCTTGCGAATCGCTGCCTTAGGGACCCGCTCGTCCTCCGCCTGCCCTTCGTGCTCGACACCATCCTTGCCCTTCGCTCTTTCAGCTGGGCTTTCACCTGCTTGGAGTGCCGTATCGACATCTGCGTGAAGACTTTCCTCTCTTTCCTGACCTTGAGATTCCGCAACAGGGTTATCCTCAAGGCTCGGGCAGGCATGATCTTCCTTCACTTGGATCGAGAGTTGATTTTTGATTCTCTCATCGCTTTGATCTGCTGCCTCTTCCCCTTTGCTCGATTCTTTGCGCTTTTTATGGGACTTATGGCGTGTCTCGGAGACGGCAACAAGATTCGTGAAGCGCGACAGCGAAGTAGCCAATTGGAGTCTTGAAGTTTCGAAGCAAATTGGAAGAGCGAGGAAATGGGTCAGCTTCGGCTTCTTGAGCGGCTTCGACGGAGAAGGCTTGGATGGTGAAGAGCTCTGGATGGGGACTGCGGACATCGTGCCAAAAGAGGTGTGCTGTGGAAGTAATGAGGTGAGCGAAGGCCAGACATGACGCGAAAAAGATTTGGGACTTATAGTATGCTGAAGTTGAACACATAAGACTCGCATTTACTATATGATAATCTTATGAGCTAGGTTATGATCTGATGAAAAGTATCGTGACAATGCGCCTCGCTATGCTATCTGGTCAACCAATCAATCACGAAAACGCCGACAAATTTGCTAGTCTAAGCCCATAGATGGCTACTCATGCAATACAATTCATGTCCTCATCCTTTGGCGTTATATTTGTCGTTAAAAGCATTCACAGCAATTCCAATCTGTTTGTACAGCCAGTTCCTGCTTGCCTCGTCGGATACTGGAATGAACGGTCCATTGGTTCCTCCTTTGAGAGTGACGTTCATGCCTGTTCGCTCTTTCGAGATGGTCTGGATATCATTCAGCTTGATGTCCCATTCCATTTTCAGCTTCTTTGTCTTGACAAGCAAAATACGGCTGTAGGTCAGCATAACCATTACATCCTTGCTTGGCATTTCAAGGTGAGCAATATAATCCTCATTGAAATATTTGCCGTCGTCCACAGTCTTTAGCCAAAATTGACCTAGAGCTTCGCGTTGGGCATATGGTCGAACAATCCCGTCCAGGCCGATGAATCGGGTGAGGCGGACGCGGTCGAGACCTTCCTGATCAAAAACCGTGGTTGTGTTACGAACGCCTTCGGCCATATCTATGGCCTGTCAGTAAAATTGCAAATGATACCGATGGCGAAGCTGCTTACTAGATGCGAGGTCGAAAGCCCCAATGGCGGGCTTCGTGGCTAGTCCAAGGAAACCTTTCCCGACACCTTTCATGAAGCCCTCAAACCCTTCTTTTTCAGCGCCTTGCAACGGATGCCTTGCAAGGCCACCGATCCCACTGGCTAAGCTGCTTGCAAAGGCATTGCCACCTGAAGTGACGCCATAAAGGGCATGTTTCGGTCGGTTGCGAGACTTAGACATTCGCCTTTGATCTTGATACTCTTTGTCAAGTGTCGCCGCCGCCAGCCCTTTTGACATACTACCAGTGAATTTCGCCATGCTGTCAGAGAAACCAAAGACGGATTTCTTGACAAAGCTAGAGGCCCCCTTTGCAATACCTATGCCCAACTCTTGCGGCCGATCGGTCATGACAAGGCCTTGGTATGGCTCGTAGAATATGTCTGCAACCCCAGAGCTAACGTTGGTAAATAAGCCAACTGGGTTTCCGAGGAAGTCGGCAGAACCAAGAATCACATGTACCTGCCTCAAAACCTCCTGAGTGTAGTGACTTTGCACGTTGGACATGAGAGCAGGAATGGATATGCGTGCATTCTCTAACATGAGGGCATTTAACCTCAATGGAGCGTCATTCACGTTCCCTACCGACATCGTCATCACGTTCACGAAAAATACTAGGGGATTAGAGGACGAAGCAGTATCCTCAGCGTTGATGCGCTCAGTCCGAACGAATGATAAGTCGATTTGCATAGGTTGCAGGTGAAAGAATTCAAAGTAGACATCTTGGCCTTGCTCTTGCTTTTGCGGCTCGGGTATACTCAAGTCTTCGTCACACAGCTTGTCTGTTGCTTCTTCGGACCACGATGCACCTGGGACCTTGGCAAAGTCTAGCATAGCAAAAATGAAGTCCTCGTCGAGCTCGACCGTCATCTGCTGCAGAAGCAAGGTGAAGTACTTGATGTAGAGGACACCGTATGAATCGTCCTTGACTCTAGTGACCATCGAGTGGAAAATTGGATGTGCCTCCATTTCCTTGCCGGTCTTTGGCACCACGCTAGGGTAGAGCAAGATTGGAAAGATGCCGCCATAAAGCTGATTATCTATCTGTATCCACTTGATGGTAGCATTAAGCGTCTGGTATAGCTTCGAGTCACAGTATTTGAATTCAATTTCCCGTAACGTCAGGTACAGCAATTCTTTCAATTGCCTGTTTACGAGCGATATACCAATACCAGCAAGTCGGAGATTAGCCTTAAAGGTCACCTCTGACTCAGGTTCCTTGACTTCGAAGTTTGTAGCCAGGCTGCTCTGTGATGACTGCGCCTGGTTTGACTTTTGCTTGTATAGACTCTTCGACTGCTTGTAATTAGAGATCACGAGTGTCTGTGTGGGTCCATCTGCGACGATATTAAGATCAATAATCCTGGGTGGTCGGCCTTGCGCCGCTGGTACTTTGAATGGCACCAAATTTCCAATCTCTGCAAGCTTGATTCGACGTTCCTTATCGTTAGCAATCAACATCAGCTCCTTGTTCTTCGACGCAGGATAGTCCCAAGCATATGGCATGATGCTTTTCGCTGGTAGCCGGTAGCGAATGGGCTTCCATGAGGAGTTTCGATCGTACTCATTTTCAGAAAGGTTCGGATTGACTTGATAAAACATGAATTCTATGTCGCTTTCATTCCGCATAGAGAAAGGCCAGTGTTTGGTTTCGATGCTCAGGTGTAAGAATATTGTAGCAGCTTCCATTATGATTTCCGCACGAATCAATTGCTGCCGTTGCCCATTTTTAGCAAGCTTGACATGCACGGTACCAACGTTCGAGATATTGAAGGGAGAAGACCAATGATTATTCACCCCCGGCCAACATAGACTGAGTTGTTTCTCAGCAGATTGACGTAGGGACTGCAAAGGAGCAAGATCTCCGTGTTTTAGCTTGATTACGTTTGAGGAGCCTGGTTCTCGAACATCGATATCTTCATTGATCTTATTCTTGACGATGAATCGAGGCGCTACCGTAACGACCTTGGTCAAGTTGTATTTGCCCTCGCCTTCTAAGACAGAAACACCGATATTTGTTTCAGTCTTAGAAGAGGTGGAAGGCACGACTACGTCGTAAGCGCTGCCAATGGCCTCAAAGCTTTGGGGCTTACTCCAAGCTGAGTCACCAACTTTGATGCTGGCACGGTTCTTACGATCATCCGACGGGTAGGAGAACATGTATGGAAGAGCTTTACGCGTGCCGTGAGCAGAATCCATTTTCATGCCTTGTCCGGCTGCAGATTTGCTAGATGCGAACATCGTCTTGCTTTGGATGTTAATGTCGAGACCAGTTTGATTCAAAACGAGGTATGGGGAGTAAACGGAGACCTTGAAAGCCCCCCACTGTCAGGCATGTTCAAGTAGTGAAGCTTCAGATTTAGTTGATTGCCATTAGCGTCCGTAACTGGCAACGTCTTCTCTCGATGAAAGTCTTCCTGGACACTAGAATTGACGACAGCGAATTCGCTACGTTTGAAAACGGTGTCTTGCATCTCAATACTTAGCAACAGTACGTGCGACAGCTCTACCACATGCACAGGACTAACGCCACCCTTGCGTAGAAAATTCGTCCAGTCTTTCTTAGTGCTCTTGTCGTAGATACGGTACTTGAAGTCGTAAGGCAAGAGGTTCTGAACCTCAATCGGTGCATGTAGTCGAAGACGCATGTATGGGTAGACACTTGTCATGGGATCATTCTTGTCATATGCTGCATTCAGCTGGAAATAGAAAGGGGGAGACTGATCGCTCCCTTCACCGCGACACGATATCGTTCGTGTGGAACGTTTCAATAGGTCTTTCCAGAAGAGCCTTTCATTAGACCAAGCATAGCCAAAACCTGGATCAGGTCGAACGATCAAGGAATGCATGAAAGCTGCACCCACGGGTGCTGGCCTTGATTCGCTAGGAGCAATTTTCTCAATCTTTAGCAGGTGGCCCTCTTCTGGACTGAACACGCCAATCTCCACCGGAATTTGTGTAAGATTCTCGACCAGAAGCGGCGAGCGGAAGGTGATATACTTCACGTTATCAATGCCTAGCTTTACGTCTACTAAAAGCCGATGTAGGACTTTGTCTTTCCTAGGCTTTAAGTTGTACAATATTTCGCCCTCGCGATTGACACTAATTCTTTCTACGCTGTCGAATCCACTGCCTTCAAGTTTGATGCCAACAATACCAGAATTGCCTTCTGGGGTAAGGTTCTCGCGCATTGTAGTTGGATCTTCGAAGCGCCACGGAATCTCTTCGCCATCAGTAAGCTTTGCAGCAGATCCCTGGTCCTCTTCTCTCGAAGCAGCCCATATATTAAGATCAAAGCCTGTATAATTGCGGATCCTGTATGGGGCATCGGCACCTCGAGGCTTCGATAGCACATCTTCATCGGTCGAGAGAAATTGAGCGGACTTGGAGGCCAATGCGATTGTTGCAGAGGTGAACGTAAGCTCTAGCATCTTGTGGGAATATACCTCAACAGTGAAAAGGTCAGGATTCTGATCCTTTGATACATGCAAAGCCCAGTTGCCATGGTTCGATCAACGGTTCCCAAGCTGACTTCGAGAAGTTATACACATTAATGTACGTGTCAAAAATTGTATCGCCGTTCATTGACGTTGACCAGTCGCGCACGTCGACGTTGAATTTCTTGACGCTCCAGTCCAGTAATGGTAGCTCATGTAGGTCGCCGATCAAGATCACTCTGATCCCCTCTATAGTAGCAGTCATCTCTTCACGTTTCATCATGATAGAGCTCTCTCGGCTGGTTAGCTCTGACGGAGCTTTTGAGGTTCGCGAGTTTGCTGTCTTGGCTGTACGCTGTGCGATAGTGGAGCCAGGCTTGCCAACGACTGATTTTCGTTTTGTTGATGCCGCGCCTTGGCCAGTAATTTCCTTGATGCGTTCAGGCTCAGGATCGGAGGGTTTATCTGTCCCGCTCACACTGTTGCTTATTTCCGAAGCCTTATTGACGATCTGTAGAGCGAGTAGAATGTCGCGAAGAGATAGACGAAGTACCAAAGGCTCAATATCGATCGAGATGCTAGTCAAAGAAGATTGCTTTCCCTGCGAGCGGCTGTCCATTGACATGGTAATAGAAAAGTCATCCAAAATACGTAGACGACTTGTGTCGAACTTGTCCATACGGCAAAGAAACATGCCAATACGTGAAATCTGGAGGGTTGAAGCATTCTGTTGGGAGACCAATACTTGTTTAGTTCCGAGTACGATTGCCTCGGAATTAGGAATGGCTGGGTTTGCAATGAGAATCACTTGAGCGTCAACCACGTTAATGCGGAAAGACATGCTCGTTGAATTCTCTTTTTTGTCATCGACTGCAGGCGTTTCAGGCGAAAGTCGTTGAGTATCGATAGGGGTAGTCAAGACGCTGTCTGTATCATCATCCATAAGAGCTCCCTGCGTGTTTCCATCGATTTCTAGAGACTGTTCGGAAGGAAACGCGCTTTGTGTAAAAGCTTGTACTGCGAGGAGGTAATCTATCGCCATGATGACCCTGGGGCTGTCGATAGTCAACATAGCGATCATATGCTTCTCTTTGCCGCCTGAAATAGTCACACTAGCCATGAATTGCTGTTTAACGTCATCGTTAATGAGGGACATGATCTTCCTGAATTTGTTTGTTTCGCGTTTTCGACTATCCTTGATTGTAAAAGAATTTATCAGTAGTTCTGACTCAAGTGATTCATCTGTCATCATGCGCACTTTGACTTTGGTGTCATTGAGCGCAAACCTGGACAAGCTAGCCGATTCGACATCGCCAACAGGCTCTTGCTCCTTTGCTAACAACAACTCCAGTGCCACCTTCGGAGCTTCAAACAAAAAGTCCAGTTTCGTCCGTGTTTCGGGGCTAGACCCAATCTCAGGCTCTTGATGGGCTGGAGAAGCAATCTTGTCCTCAGCCCCATGTGTGTCATCCGTCATCTGCCTTGCCGTTTCCACGGTAGATTTGGGAAGCTCAGCCATAGCCTCCTCCTCGATTTCATCCTCATCTGTCGCAAGTGCACCAGGGATTGTCTTCGACAGCTCCATAAGAAACCTGAGCTGGGTTTGCGCAATGCACAAATTAATTGGAGACATCTTACCTTCCACTTCCGTATCGGGTCGCTTAGAGCCTGCCTGGTGTTCGGCGGAGATGACTTTGAAATCTAGATCCACCTTATCGATCATCTCGAGCTCTTCAAAGTCTCCTTCTTCGTAATGAAATATTGAGGTCAAGCGAACATTTCTTATGCCCGCGGTAATCTTATTGCCTTCAGGACCGGATTTTCCAAGCTTAGCGAAGTGGTTGCTAGCATAGATTTCCCCAAGATATGCGGTTAACATATCACGAGGTCTATCTGCCACCATTGCACGGGGGAGCACTAGAATTGGGGTTTTGACGAGCACATCAAAACGCATTTTGCTCTGCGATTCTTGTAATTGACTCGCTTGATTTGCTGCTGCTTGTCTGGCGGCATTGAAAATCGCTTGCATTTGTCCGAATTTGACTAGGAAATTGATAATCTTCCTGAAAGGCTCTTCCAAGAAATTGACCTTGATAGAGCCAGATCTCAGGTGGATTTTTGAGTCATATCCAGGGTACGATTTACTGCGAGAATCAAATGTTTGATATTTGAAATCTGCAAGTTCGTCACCTTCTATACTGATCAGCCTACGAAGCGATGAGTCAGGAGATGCTCCTTGGTTGATGTCGTCTACAAGAGAAAGATTTCCCAGGCGAGCCGCAATGTTCATCGAGCCTCCATCCAGCAAGATGCCGACATCCGCGGAATTAAGAGATAGGGTGGCAAGGCGTATCCCATCATTATTGAGAATGAAAGCGACGCTCTGCAGGACTGCTTTAATTCGTATTTTGTCGGCTTTTGATGTCGAATCGGGAGCGGCTGTTTGCGCCTCTTTGCTATCTTCCGTGTCTTTCTCGATAGTCTTCTGTGAAGGCGGCGTTTGATCCGGGCTTGTAAAGGTAATGAGGACAAAGTCAAGCAGCGTCAGCAAAGTCCTCCTGGTTATGACAAGGTTGATAGTCGATACTGAGACGTCAAGATTCGTCGCGATGCCTTCGTAAGTAGATGCGAACTCGGGCGATTCATCGTTGACTTTGACAAATTTCACGTTGAAGAGATCTTTGTCGCCTTTAGCGTCAAAACCCTCGCTGGATATTATCTTCTTGAATTCGGAGCTAGGGTCTTCTTCAATGTAGTCATCAATGTTTAGCTTTTTGAGCAAAACCTCGGCAACCATGTCATAAGGCCTCAGATAGAAATCCATCTCAAAATGTTCCGCAATAAGCTCGACTAGGAGCTGATCTGCCTTTCGACCGTCGGGGTCTGCACGATACAGGGAACCCTGTAATCTTTCCACTGTGAATTTGAATTCAAAATTCCTTTGATGCAAGTTCACTTCCTGGGTGTCGGCTCTTTGGATGCCAGTCCGTTTGCGCGAGTCTCCCTCCGCCTCAGAATCTTCCTCGACATCGAGCTCTCGGTGGCCGGCTGATACAGACTTGGAACGAGGCCTACCCATCACCTCGTCAGCACGCGACCTTTCCGAATTTGAAGGTTGGCCTTTTCTGGTAGGTGCCTTCGTCTTCCCATCAAGTGGCTCGTCGCTTTCGAATTTTGGAATAGCAATATCGATAAGTTTCATCAGATTTTTGTATTTTTTGTCAGATATTGAAGCGTGTAAAACAGGAAGGTGACCGGATATGCGTGTTTTTGTGAGGTCGCTCGCTTTGGGTATTATGGAAGTTTCTAGGGTAAAGTCCATGTTGATACGGTCAATGATGTGGAGATTGCTTGGGTCATCTTTTGCATCCAGCTGAGCTTTTGTTGCCTCGATTCCAGGCCCAAGGAGGAGCTGGGTAGAGTCAAGCTTTAACAGGAATTTATCATACATTAAGCTCTCCAATTGCCGGAAATCATCGTCTGTGTACTGCTTCTTCTGTTTGGACTGAATGTCACGCATTGTTTCTTTATCAACAAGCTCGCTCCTCAGACTGACGTGACCTGCGTCAAGAATGAGGCAAAGTGCACTCTTTTCCGTTATGCTTTCTGGAATGATAATTAGTGGTGCTTGAATGTCAAGATTAGCATTCAGGGTCTTATGCTCTTCGAGGGCAAACTCCAACCCAGCACGAGTCTGCTGTCGAATACCTTCAACCGTCTCCCCGGCAGTCTCTAGCAAAGCTCCAATCGACTCCATATGTCGCTCTGGCGGTTTGAAAAAGTTGGCGACTTCGACAATGAACCGTGGATTATAAACGACTTCTACACTCTTGATCTTCATCATGAGGGCGGAATCAGCGCTTCCGTTGAGAGGGTTTTGTTCGAAAACCATATGAAATAATGCATCTTCCGCGACCTCCTCCTTTGCCTTCTCGGATTTGGGATCCGCATTCTCAGCAGCCACATCTTCTATGGACGTTGGTACGCTCCCCCTGTGGCATCCTTGAAGTTTACAATCTGTGGAAAAAGGCTTCCCTGAGTGGTACCGTCGTCTACACGCATGCCTCCAAGACTGACGTCTGCTAGGAAAGAATCTGGGCGTTGAAGAGCTTTCGCTTGGAAATTGTCAAACATCAAGGCCAGGATCTCGGTGGCTTGACCGTGGGGTTCTCTTTTGAGAGTGAAGCTACCAGTTTTCAGGGCAGACTCGACCTGGAGTTTGACGCTCTCGCGTGGCACGTCGACGCTCTCGGTAATAGCTTTCTTGTCATCCCAGTCAATCGCTGAATAGAGCTCCTGTCTCTGTTCTTCGCTCATTGTGGTATCTTCGGACTGGGTTTCCGATGCTTGTTTCCCAGAACCGAATGCCCACTGTGACCATGTCTGCTTCGGCGGCGCCTTCTCTACGCCGACCTTTTCCTTCCGTAGCTGGGTTCGGGCCAAGGAGCGCCAGAATCGCAAGTCTTCGTACCCGAGCTTCTTTTCCAATTTAGTAAGTTCTTCGTTCTCTTCACTTGAAAGCTTTTCGTCCCTTTTCTTCTTCTTGAAAAGCTCGATATAGTGCTTACGATCGTCGCGCCGCTCTTTGAAATAGTCCCAGGTCCACCGCCTGTTTCGCTCGTGTATCTTGGAGTGGACAGATGTGAACGCAAATTGGAGCCAACCTTTGGGATCCTCTTTTGGGCTGCTTTTAGGCTGAAATTTCTTGTACTCTTGATGCCGGTTGAAATAATGGAAGAGATCTACAAGCATCAATGCATCGCGATACTGTTCATCATCGATAACGAAACCGAGCTCTTGAAATAACAGTCGTGCTTTGACCTTGGGCTTCTCAGTTTTACCCGTCTTGTCAAGCTCTACAGCGGCCCTACCGCTCACGGGCTTCAGCATGTATTGGTGAGTTTGTCCATCCTCTAGAGTCCTTTGAAAGTTTTCGATAATCAACTTATGATCTGTACCTTGCGCCTCGGCCCCAATGTTCTGCCCGCTTCCGCTGCCAAACAGATCTGCATCTGTATTCCAGTAAAATGCGAAACTATTCAGGACGGCTAGCTTATGCGCCGTGTCAGAGGTCGGTTGGGCATAACTCGGTTTCCAATTGCCATCGGTACTGACAGCGCTGAACTCTTTCAGGGTAAACCCGAGCGCAAAAGGATGGCCTGGCGCAGAGATAGAGTCCTCGTAGCGGATATGGATATTCTTGACGCTGATCTGTAAATTGTCAACGACAGCAGTCGTGACGCTTTCTGTAAAGCTTTGTGTTTTCTGCTGTTCCTCGGCACTTTGACCCTCAACGTTGCGCTGTTTCAATAACTCAGCGTTCTCAAGTTTCTCCATTTTCACATCGTGGGCACGCTTGACCTCCTCATCTTCGTTGTATTCTGCATCTTCCTTGGGCGCTGCTAAGAGAAAGACGTCTTCGATGTTTACTCTGACAGGCTTTCCCCGCAAATTCGTCCATGGTATTGACATAGTCAGCTGACCAAGATGACCCTCGACAACGTTGACTGGGAAGTGCAATTGGTCCAAGGCTTCGCGCCGAAGCTCTAGGTTTCGAAGCTTGAGATCTCCGTTCCATATTCCTACGTTGAGCTGCTTCGCATCAAAGTTCTTGACATACATGCCCAGGAACCTGTTCAGCAGGTTTGCAACCAGCCCCTCAAGCATGATGAGCTGATGTGGCCGTAACCCTGACAAGGGAGTTGGTAGTGGCAGGTGGTCCAGCAAATAAAAATTGTAAAGACAAGACGCAAAAGAGTTCAGGGTCGTTCAAAGAGCGCCCGGAGTCATGGTAGCAGGACTCCAAAACAGCGCGAGATCTTTCCACGCTGCTTAGCTCTACTTGGGAGGCCAAAACAGACGAGGCTCCTAACCGTTCGCTGATAGCTTTACCAATCAGAGGATGCAATGAATGCGAAGGGTTTGAAGCTCTCAGTCAAGTGGCAGGTGTGAATGAAGAAGGAAACTTGCTTCCAAACAGCAGGACCAAGTGCGTCATAGGTACTTTTCCATTAGCTGCTTCTGAGCTTCTTGAAGGATCTCTCACTGCTAAAGACCTACTCACGAGAAGCTGTGGGTGTCAAGACTTTTCTTGACGAACAACTCAATGCTGAGCTTGAAGGGGGTTTCTGGTTACACAGCTTTGGACCAATCCAGCATTTCAAGGTCGATGTCTGAATCTGCTGGGGCAGGGGGAGGGCACATACCTTATCATGAAAGCGTAGAACCAATACCAGCTCGATCTTGCATTAATCTATTAATCCCGCCGTAGCAGGTTCTTGGCGCTTTTTGGCCATGGAGGGAGCATCGAAAGGCAAAGTACTTCTATCAACCAAGCTTCGTGTTGCAGGACCAGCACACAAGCTCATGGAGAAAAAGCGAATCACACATTGATATATCCCACTGCTGTGATACACAATGATGTTGCGATCAAGAGCTACTACCTCCCTTCGTCACTCTTCTTTTCGCTCCTTCGTAGCTTCTCCCTCTCGGAGTACCTCCACGACCACAGGCCGCAATGACCCCTCAAACCCAATTGGTCGTCTAGGCCAGCTTCGGAAGTCAAGAAGGCTAGCTTTGACCCTACACAGACCATTTTGCACTTCTTTGCAGCGATACCAAATTACCGCGCCTCCGATTGATCCGACGAAGAAGGCGGACGAAGAAGCCGTCGAGCGTGAAAAACTCGAAACACACCCCGATCAAGTTTCAACTTCTTCCTCGATTCATCCAGTGCTCAATGAACATGGGCAACAAGGTCACGGCGAAGAGGAGGATATGATGGCTGGCATAAAGGGGGACATTGTAAGCAAAGGCGCGTTCTGGCTCAACGAAAGCTGACCAGTATTTCCTAGAGAGCTATTAAGGAGGTCTTCGCCATGGATGAAGTGCCACGAGAAGCTCTATATCTCGGCATGGCAGGCGTTATTCCATACCTTGCAACATCGCTCACAACTGTCTATCTCGCCTGGGATATAAATCACGCCGATCTTACAGGCCACGGCTTTCTACTTTCGGGTCAGACTGCTGAGGCCGCTCTACGGATCGTCGAACCGCTTCAAGTCGGTTATGGAGCAGTGGTAGGTTCACACCTGACCGTAGCTTAATGGTATTTCTAAACGGTAGCGCTCAGATCATCTCTTTCCTCGGTGCAATCCACTGGGGACTTGAATGGGCCAAATACGGGGGAGTCTCACGCTATAAACGCTACGCCTACGGTGTTCTAGCACCAGCAGTGGCATGGCCAACAATGCTTCTTCCCGTGGACATGGCTTTGATCTCCCAGTTCCTGGCTTTTACGCTCTCGTATTTCGCTGATAGCAAAGCTGTTGTCAGAGGCTGGGCGCCTCCCTGGTATAGTACCTATCGGTTCGTGCTGACTGTCTTCGTTGGTTCAAGTATCGTCATCAGCTTAATTGGTCGAGGCCAGATCGTGGACAAACTCAACAGAATGCCAAATCCGGCTGATAGAATCCAGAAGTTGAAAAATATACAGCTTGAGGAGATGGAAGCTGAGGAGAGGTACAAGAGAGACAGGATCGCTGAAGAAGACGACGAGAGTGAAGAGAGCGGCGAGGAAGAAGCAGAAGGGGAAGAAGAGGGAGGCGAAGAGGAAGATTAGGCGTAAATACAAAATCAATTTCCATCAAGCTTGAAGATTACAACATCTGACGAAGAAAGCAATTCAAATTCGTCTGTTTTGCACAACCCTTGGGTTTCACCAGCCTCATCATTCGTTGTCAGTTCCATTGAATTCGGCTTGCATCAACGTCCCCATTTCCTCCGTCAGTTTCGTCAAGATGAAAGCGAAGCCTCTATCCAGTTCCAGCAATTTGGAGCAATCTATAGCCTAGCCCCAGATGGCAACGTCATTATGAAGTACTCACGCCGTTAGCGTCTCTTCCATTATGCACAAATTATTTGGAAAAGCAAGCTTCGTCTCCGTTGTCCATAATTGGGGCAATTTTGCTGTATAACGAAAGGACTCTCCATTGTCCGATCGCGATAAAAAAGTTTAACAGAGTTTCTACTTAATTACGGAACATGACAGATCATGTTGCTCGTCTTCGATATTCCTCTGATCAAATTGACAAATTCTTGAACCGTATCGAATTCCCTTGCCCCGATAGAATTGACAAACTTATTTCTCATATCGCCTCGCCAATTGAGCAGTTGCAAACATTAACGCAGCTTCAAATTCACACATTAGCCAATGTCCCATTCGAGAACCTTGCCATTCATTACTCACCACACCATGCCATCTCTCTTGACCCTTCTTTTCTGTTCGACAAGATTGTCGAGAGAAGGCGGGGTGGGTACTGCATGGAAAATAATTGCTTTTTCGGGATAGTACTACGAACTTTGAATTATTCTGTTCGGAGCGTGGGAGCTCGGGTCTCGAAAGCGGCAGCTGGAAATGGCGAAGGATATACCGGCTGGTAGGAGTGCCTCGCCTTCATAGACTTTCCTTTGCAATCTTTGTTGACACACTTCCAGGTCACATATGGTCAACATCGTCTCTGTTTCGGGTAAGAAGTATCAAGTTGACGTTGGCTTTGGCTTGAACGGTCCAACGCAACCAATATTGCTGGAGGAAGGATGGGAGACAACAAGCATCAGTCCCTCTGGCGTACGTCTCGTTCGAGACTTCATCCCTGACTTCAGAGACAAGAACGAAGACCAAGACAAGTTATGGATCTTCCAACATCGAGCGGCACCATCGGAGGGCTGGCAGCCTATATACGCCTTCACAGAAATCGAGTTTATTCCCCAGGATTATGAGATATCGAACTTTTTCACAAGTACATCTCGCACAAGTTTCTTCACGAGCGCCATTGTCGTGGTCAAATATTTGCTGGATAACCTTGGAAAAGGCCAATTGATCGGCTCAATGAGTCTTATGAACGGATTTGCTAAAAGAAGAATGCGGGGGAATACTAAACTGTTGACGGAATGCAAGACTGAGGAGGAGAGAATCAGGGCTTTGAGGGATTACTTCGGCATCGAAATCAAAGAAGATGAAAAGCAAGGTATCAAAGGCCTAGTCACCGAATTGAAAGGGAAATGAGAGGATAAGTCTTGATGCCTTTTTAGATTCCGACAATGAACTCCGAAAGTTATATTATCCGTGGTTCTACCTGTGGCCATCGCATGAGCTTCCGAGCCAATAAAGGGTTCCTATTGAACCTACCTTCCACGGATTGTTGACTTCAAACCCTAGAGGCGCGTCGACGTTATTTGTTTGACCTCGCAAATAACCTGTCAGCCTCCTGTCTCTCTCCATCACTGTAGAAAGCCCTGTAAGCTAGAGCTCGCCCACTGGAAAGTGACGCTGCCCACTTTGTCTATCCCATCGGTCCGTGCAGTACCGAGGTCGTTTACCTCCATTCTGTAGGTTTCTGATAGTGGAGAGTCCCGCTCCAGTGATACCAAACATCTGATCGGGTGTCAGAGGATGTGTAAAAGTGCTGCCGATAAGGACACGGGCGCTGGCTTGACTTACGGCGAGCATGACCCCATAGGGGAGGAGAGCTTCGAAAGGGACACCCATGCTTGTGACAGGGAGCTTGGAAAGCTCAGGTATTCTGATTTACATGCAAGCTCGATCAAGATTTCACGCCAGGGAACTGAGAGAGTCAGGCATGTGGTTGAGGGGAGACAAAGTGAATTCCGTCGTAGGGCTGAACACCCTTAGCGGGACAATGGGACCTCATCTCCAATTGCGTAAAAGTGCTCTACACTGACCACCAAGCCTCTCTTCCAGAATCAAAGTGGATATTACGCGTCGCATCCATACAAGTACATACCAAACTCACTTCATTGGAGAAAAGACGTCTTCTTGACGGTTTCAGCACATAGGTCGCCGCGCCCGCCCACCGGAGCTAGAGAGCGTTGAGTCTGACTCTTTGGAAGGGATGAACACCTTTCAGTGAATGCAGGACGACCATCTACGATTGCTCTCGGGAGTTTATAGACCTGAAGTGCCCGAAAGTACCTCCCTGCCTACCTACACCAGTGAGCCGATTGAATCACGACCACCTGTCTAACAAGACACCTCATCGCCTGAAGTCTACATGGTCGAAAGAAGCACAGGCATGAATACTGTAGCTATGGCTTTTTGAAAGTATCATACGCCGGTCGTCAAGCTGGCTACCGCTGTGCTGACTCGCGCTGCCGCTCATGGTGGGCTGATGGAACACCGGCTGAAAGCGGCAGCATACAAACCGCTGGATGAAAGAGATGAAGCTCAGGACGGGGCAATGTCTGGAGACGAGGATGTGATAGCCAGTGGCGTAGATGGACCGAGCCTAGATGATGGGAGGATGCAGAATGGAAATGCTGCATCCAGTAGTCCTGTCGAGGAAGAGGATGAGGATAACAAGCATAGCACAAGACGAAAAGTGGCCACCACGCGAAAGCAGCGCATCGCACAACACCAGACCAGTAATGGGGTGTCACAGAATGAAGATTCAGAAATTGAAGAAGATTCTTCCGGCCAAAGTTCGAGCGCCGATGATGAGGCCGCAGGTGAAATCACCAGCGAGGATGAAAGTGAAGAATCCGTAGCAGTCGCAGCGAGGAACAATTGCGTGTAAGTGGCTGACTGACCCAAGAGATCCAAGGATTATGGTTTATTTTCAATAGTTTCTGTGACCAGGATGAGGATCATGATCCAAATCCAGAGTTCGAGGAGAATCTGGTGTGTGTTGTTTGTGGAGATAATGGTAAGTAGAATGCAAGAATGACAACGCGTGAAGGCTTTAATGATGATGAATATGGACCGCACTAACCGAGACGCAGCCCATCGGCAATGTGCCCGAGACGCCGAAAGTCTTAGTTTAGATATGGGTAAGCTAGCTCCATTCCAAGCAAACACCTCTTTATCAAGCAGGGATTAATTGTCAATTTGTTTCTTACCTTCATTAGAGCCATCGTCTTGGAGATGTCCCGGTTGCGTCGAACATGGACTGCACCCTGAAGGAGTTTCACACGAACGAAATACCCCCGACGAGACCAGCAGACCCAGGCGACAATCATCAACCTCGAGATTCACAAGGGATCTCTTACCCGCTCATCGTGGCCTCTCGAGGCCAGGCTCGCACTCAGTTTTCAACACATTGATTCTCGACGACGACCCTCTCGATGGCTCCCGATCTTTACGCAAGCGAAAGGCAACATCTGAACAGCCAGATCTTCCGGAAAAGCGACCAAGAAAGCTGAGTGCCCTTGCAAGTGAGCCAGAAAAGTCGCCAGAGCGGATTCTTGCCGAGAAGATTGAAGCTCTAAACACGAAGGCCGACAAATCAGGCACTCGCTCAAGCGCTGAATCGCAGCTTCCAAGACCTTCCCGAACGCCTAAACGCCGACATTCGGAAGGTTCGAGTAAGTCACTTGTAAATGTCACAGAACGTAGCTCTAGTAGCCTATTACTTTCCTTCAAGATCAAGCCTACAAAGCTTAAGTCAATATTCCAATCGAAAAGAAAGAGGGAGCGGCCGAGGTATTCAATGTCCCAAGCCGCGCCTGAGAGGGAACGACGAGTGTCTGCACATTACGCCACACCATTCTATGCCTTTCACGAGCGCGAGAATGACGATCTCAAGTCCAAACCATACGGTGGTATCCTTTCAGAAGACGATGCTGAGACGACAAAAACTTTGCCCCTTCAATTCGATCGTGGAAAGTTCAATAAAGCACGCGAGAAGGCTGAAGAGGAGCGTAAAGAAAGGGCAGCCTTGTCTGAAGCAGAGAATGAGACGAAAGGACGCTCGCAAAAGCTTGCAGGTCCTCCAAGCAAGATCAAGTGCGTCTATTTTGGAGGGCACGAGATTGAGACTTGGTATGCTGCGCCTTATCCTGAAGAGTATAGCAGGAACAGGGTGCTTTACATTTGCGAATTTTGCTTGAAGTATATGAGCAGCGACTTCGTCGCGTGGAGGCATAAGCTCAAGTGCCCCGCCAAACATCCTCCAGGGGATGAAATATATCGCGAGAGGTCGATATCGATTTTCGAGGTCGATGGACGGAAGAATCCCGTCTATTGCCAGAATTTGTGTCTCCTTGCCAAACTTTTCCTTGGATCGAAAACACTCTATTACGACGTGGAACCCTTCCTCTTCTATGTCATGACGGAGTACGACGACCTCGGATGTCACTTCGTGGGTTATTTTTCCAAAGAGAAACGGCCCAGTAGCTTGAACAATGTATCATGCATTCTCACTCTACCCACACATCAACGGAAAGGATACGGTAACCTGCTTATCAGCTTTTCATACCTACTTACACGTGTTGAAGGAAAGACTGGTTCTCCAGAAAAGCCTTTATCAGATATGGGTCTGGTCTCGTACCGCAATTATTGGCGACTAACATTATCTTACGAATTGTGTGACCAAATCGGTCCGATCAGCATCACTGACTTGTCCGAGCGAACCGGTATGACTGCAGATGATATCGTGGCTGCGTTAGAGAGCCTTCGTGCCCTTGTTCGTGATCCTGTCACTAAGGCCTACGCGCTTCGGCTCGATTATGAGTATTTCAATAAATGCATAGACGATTGGGAAGGAAAACGTTACGTTACCGTGAATCCAGACGCTCTGGTCTGGACACCGTACATCATGGGCAGAAGTAATCTCGCTCATTACGAGACTGCGCCTCCTCTGCCGACAGTTGCACCGCGAGAAGATGAAGAGGACGACAAGCAAGCGCAGCCAGAAGAAGGCGTTCAGCAAGCCGTTCAAGCGGCTGCGGTAGACAATGACGTCGCCGTAATAGACGAGGAAGACAACATTCTTCCAACCAATGGGATCACTAGCATTGAGACGCAACTTGCCAACCAATTAAATGCTGGGAAACCTCTAGTAGCCGTCGAAAACGAGGCACAACCATCTGCACGACCTTCGAACGTTTCACCAACCAAATCAAATGCCTTGCCGCGGACGCCTTACCTTGACCAAGCAGCTTCAGTACCTCCAACTCGCTATGAAATCTTTCCGCCGATCCCAGGTCTACAGGCACGGATCAGATCGAAACGAGGTAACTGGCGAGCCTCACAACGCAAGTCTGCTGTAAGCGCCACCCCGATTATTACACCGTCGCAGCTGCGCAGACGAGGCAAGCCCCCATTGGACACTCCTGAGACAGCGAACGTCACCAGTGTCAGTTCGTCCTCATCTAGCAACAAAAGAAGAACAAGGCAAGATGGGCCGGTGGAAGATGATCGTGACGGTGACAGCGCTGATGCCCAACATGGAGGCACGACAAATTTCAACGCAGGACTGGACGACTCAGAAGAGCGGGAAGCTGAGGGCGATGATGACGACGAGCGTGACGCGGACGGGGAGGACGATGATGAGATGATGCAAGCTGTCGACGGCAAAGTCGAAGCGGACGGGGGTGGTGATGGCGAGTATGAAAGTGACGAGGAGGAGGAGGAGGAGGAGGAGGAGGAGGAGGGTGGAAGCGCCGCTGAAAGCGATGAAGCTGTTGTAGACGATTAGAGCTAATGCATACGGAGTGAATATTTCAGGATGAGATGTAATTGTACGATCACTTGTGCACGGGGTGCAAGGCTTTCGTATATTCGAGTCGTTCGACGATGCTCATTCACGGCCCCACCATCATTGAATGCAATATTCATTCATTCTTGAATGTTTCGTCTCAGGCAGACAAGGGCACTGGTAGTGCTACCAGTGCTACCTAGTCGCTGGTGGTTCAAGGCGCCCGCTGTGGCTGTGGCACCTCTCAGCCCTATCATACATCCCCGACGTATCGCAACTCCCGTCCCACTTTGCTCATCAGCATCTATCACACGGTGGCAATCCGGTAATGTCAAGATATGGTCCTTGTTCTTTCTAGTATGGAAACGGTCATGCACCACAAAGGCCTGGCATTCTTTGTCCTACCTTGCACCCTCAAACCCGTGACGCCGTTCTATTCACCTCCTGCGCCTAATCATGCCCGGTGACACTCCCCTTCGAAGTCATTTGACAACTTTCATCTCAAGCAGTAGCTTTTGGTTCACGGTCTTATCCACCATCTGTGTCTCTTGGTACTGCAAATCCATCATCAGGCAAAGGACACCCAGGAAGTCAATGCAGGAAAAGAAAATCCTGTACCGGGACAAGCGCGACGCTTTCGCAGCTGATAACGGAGCCCTCGTAGAGCTAGATCATTGGAAGAAGAAGGATCCGACCTACCGCTACAGTAAACTGTAAGTCATCTTGAGCTCTTCTGACATTTCCGTATCTCGACAAAACAGTGAACCTGAGATGATTTTCGGATTAGGAAGGGCCTGATATCAGATGAGCGGCTTGCAGATCAGACCACCGAAGCCTCTCTCAAACCTTTTACCAGGGGTGATAGCTACTTCTCTGTAGGTTTGGCCAGCTTTCACACTAATTACATCTAACTTTCCTAAAGGAGTTTGCCTTGCATAACAAACAGGAGTTCATCTTATCCGAATCCGATTACTCGTATATTGTCGGAAACCTAGCGAGCTATGACAAGCGCCAGTATCCCGCCTGGTTGGATCCGAAATACAGCAAATGTACCCCCGAAGGACAAGGCTTCGGCCACTGTCTCGTCATCCCAAAGAAACGCATTCACAACATTGTAGATCCCGAAGCGGTCGCCAACAAATGTGCTATCATCAACGAGCTCAGAAACCACTTTACAGGATTCTGGGGGACGCAAAACGGCCGCAAGAAACTTCTAGATCGCACTTTTTCCATCTTCGACGGTCAAAACGCCATACTACGTACAAAGGATTCTTTGCAAGCCAAGAAGCTGGTTGCTGACGTGATATCTACCTACAACTTGTTGGCTCCTCAATTCAAGCAACTCCAGGCAGAAGACTTCATGTGTGCATTCCATCCGGCTCCGGACATCTCTGTTGGACATTTACATTTGCACGTTTTCCCCAAAGCGGAGCTTTTCCGGGAGTTTTCAGCGATGCGGCATGAATGGAAAACAATTCCTTTCGATGCGGTGACTCAGGTCGAAAGTGAACACCCACTGGCCCTCGATCAGTTGCCAAAGGGATGAAATATTAGAATTGAAGATCGATTGTGTTCTGTTTGCATGAGTCTGCGACTTATTGGATACTTTGTCTGCATGTCGGTAAGTGGCGGTAGTATTTAGCTACTCTTGAAATCATGCAGATCTTATTGAACGGAAGGATAACCTAAACCATCACGAGGCGTGATGTCTGCTAAGCTTATCCGTGACATTCCATCCGCGACATAAATTATGAGACTTAAGACGCATTAAAGAAGTTTCAAGGTGTCGGCTGGGTCGGTGGAGGACAAGAGGTAGAGATCGCTCGAAGCAGAGGCGAGTCGGTAGCGAGCAGGTGACTTCAATGCCACCGGAGCTCGACGCGAGTGCAAAGAGGATTTTATGCTTCAAATTACAGAGCAGAGCCGTTTGGCGCGAGCTCGTGTCTCGATCCGACGCAGAGACGGCTGCATGCGGAAAGACGTAGAAGGTAGGACGACAGCCTCACCAGCTCATGAAATTGAAGAGACAAAGAGACGGCCAACAGGAATTCGCATGCATGTCAAAGACCTTTACGCTTTGCGAGATTCAAGTCCATTACATACCATGACGACTTTGTTAGAATTAATGGCCTCTACTTAGCTCTAATGTTACTAGCTCAAGAAATTCATTTCCCCAGCTTCCTTTGGCAGGCTGCAAAATATTCAATGTTGTATTTTTTTCGAAGGGAGACAATTAGGTCACAGACGGCCTTTTCTTGTCTTCATCGCCAGCCATCAAGAGTATGAGCACAACTATGACACTGACTATCAGCGCGAGGATGTGTTTGATAGTTAGCAGCGTCCACCATAGAAAATTCTAGCCGGATGACTGGGAGAGGGTAGAAGAGGAGCGTTGACGGGACAGTTTACGATTCTATAAGGACACCAGATTGGCAAAAGAGCAGGGGACTGTACGACGCCAAGGCTGCCAAAGGCCAATGTTTCGAATATTGATAAGTACTACTCGAGGAGCGTACAGACGTGAACAAGATTTAGAGCGCTATTTCACAAGCTTGGTATTCGCAAAGGCGACTATGCTTGTACTGCCTGTTTCTTTCATTAAGTCACTTGCAGAAGGTCATCATTGTTATCATGTTGATAGCATATTTCAATTATAGATTTTCAGAAATGTTGAACAACCATAAGAGTGAAAGAAGTCTTGATATAAATTTGCCTTTTATAAATCTGCCTTCTCTCCTTTACCGTCTTATTGCGATCGTTATTAGCTTTATCATTTCTATCTCAAAGTAGTATGATTTCTATTTCGATTAGAAAAAGAGGGTAACTTTCATTGTGTTCCAAAGTAACACTAATATTTACAAGCTATAGAGAAGTGCCTATGCAAACCAAATATAAGACTTGTTTTCGCAGGCGGTTTATTTTCTTAACGTCCCATTAACAACAAGTCAGCTTACGATGTAGGAATGACTTTGCAGAGGCAGATTTATCACTTGGGACTAAGAAGAACGGTTGGCAAGAGCGTAGCAAGTTCGGGAGGAAACCACCTTTACAAATCTCATTCACTCTGAGGTTAGTGAATTATTTCGAACTCAATAACAATTAGCATCCCCAATACCATATCATGAATTCTGCGTTTTTTTATATAGCTTTATCCTACGTTCTGCCCAGTTGGGAAAAAGAAGAGTCCGCTGGCGAAACCCTGTAAATGAATTCAGTGGTGAATTGAAGAGACTCGTATTAAGGAACTTAGGTAAGCGCATTCTCGGAGACCAGCAAAGACGTGTTTGGATATCATAATATTCATTAATTACAGTTCGCTGTTGCAGTCCGCATGCATAAGCATAGACCTCTATCACGCTGAACTCCTACAAGCTTGTGTTTACCTTTCCTGCCTGTATGACCAAAATGCTGGCATTAACATTTCCAGATATCATGCTTTCAGCTGTTTCTCCCAGTGTCTTCCTGACGCCATATTCTTCGTACTCATGTTGTAACCCTTGCCTGAAATGCCGTCGCCCCACAATCACGAGGTTGCCCGCGTTCTTAGAACCATGACTAACTTCATCCCTGGCGCGAGCGACCATGTCATCGCTAGCATTAGCCTCTTCAAACAAGATGCGTGATCGCATTTCCTCGGGAACAGCACTCTTTGCATTGAGTAAGAACACGGCATCTTCTTCTGCAGTAGTCTCAAGCATTTTTGAAAGTGATATGACACCGCCGTTCTTCGTTGCCGATGGTTCTGCAGCTTTCAAAGAGGAAGCTGTACTATCCTCCATCTTGTGTCGCACATGCACGAACGTAGCCGTGACATTGGGGTTCTGAGTCAACCTTAGCGCGAACCGTAGAGCGACTTGATCATCGAGTCCACCATAGAAGGGTAAGAAGATGTGATGACTTCGGTTGGCAAGTGGTGCTGTCGGACGGTCCATGTCATTATGAAGGCTCATGGCGCTCATCTTGTGATAAAGTCCTTGAGAGTCCTGCCGCCGGAGAGCTCCAAAGCCATTATTGACGAAGATGGCGGTACTACATGGTGCATTTGAGAGAAGCTTGTCAACGAAGTGATTATACGTTGGGTGGCTAAAACCATTGACAAGAGGTTCTGCTAAACCTGGATTTACGATCTCAGAGACAGATCCTGTTTCACTCCAAGGTATCAGCACCATGTCTGAGTGTCGAGCAGTCGCACTCTCCGCCACAATATCAGCATGTTGATTTTCGGGCACAAGTTGGACTTGGCCGGAAACGGCGACATTGTGTAGCTGGCCAAAAGTGTGAAAAGCATTCACTACAGGATCTCTTGCGGACCAGTCATCAAGCTCATAGTCTCGCATGACAGAGGACAGACGTTCTGTGAGGTCGAACATACGGAGACCGTGCACTTGAAGAGGTCTTTTAGGAAGCTTGATGCCATCGCCAGGCCCTTGTTCAGGTAGTGCGGCTTTATGCTCAATGGATGGGTGGACCTTTGTCATTGACGAGACAGTCTTCTCACCACCTAGGAGATCCACAAATGTAAAGATACTTGGCAAGCTTTCCAGTCGCAAAGCGACCAACAATCTCCGGACTTCATTTCCAGGGTAGTCCTCGACTGCTGTGCCTGTCTGAGCATCAGATGAATCAGCGGGAGATCTAGGCTTGCCATCCCAGTCAATCTCGCCACGTTTCCAGGCTGCTAACTTTCTTTGGTATGATGGAGGGAACAGAAAGGTGGTCAACGGGGTGGTTGCGAAGGTCGTTACTAGAGCCATGACAACGAAAATGGTGAAAGTACGCGTGCTGAGTAGTTTCGCTTGTAGCCCAATGTTTAGCACAATCAGCTCGACTAGACCCTTGCAGCTCATCAAGGTACCGATTGTGAAGCTCTCCCTCCAGAGAAGATTGTTAGCTCGAGCCGCAAGTGTGCCACCAATCAGCTTGCCAAAGAATGCGCAAGCAATGACGCCCACAACATAGGCCCAAGTGATACCGTTATTAAGAAGGCCAAGATTGGTACTTAGACCGGAGAGAGCGAAATAGAGCGGAAGGAAGAAAACAGTCACCAAATCCTCAATCTTCTCTGTCAGCTTGATGGCAAATCCACCGTCGTGAGGGCAAATCAAGCCAACCAGGAAGGCGCCGAAGATGGGATGAACGCCAATTATTCCTGTGAAGAAGGCGGAGGCAAGCACCAGAAGAACCGTCAGCCCTACGATGGATTGAGTCGGACCATTCTGAATGCTTCCGGTCCGTCTCAAGACCCACAAAAAGCCTGGCCTCACCAGGTACACGAGAAAGAGGACATATGCAGCGCACGTGAGGAGAACGTAGAGCGCAGTAATGCCGGAACCTGCGTTTACGAGAGCAACGCTGAGAGCAAGGAGAATCCAGCCAACTACGTCGTTTCCGACACCGGCGGAAAGTACGATGACCCCCACTTGTGTCCCTAGTAGCTTCAATTCTGTGAGAATACGACAGAGTACCGGAAAGGCCTGTGGCACATGAGCTTTGCACGGGTCACAATGTAGAGGATTTGCCCACCGTTATTGCCATCGCAACACCAATGAAGAGCATGTATGTGCCAAAGCTAACGTGAGCCAAGTCTGACTCAGTTCGGAATTGGTGGTACAAGCCATATGCAATTGCGCAACCCAGACCAAATGGTAGAGCCATGCCAGCCAAGCCCACGCTTAGTGCAATGCGCCAATTCGAGAGCAGCAGGCGCAGATCCACCTCCAGCCCGATGAGAAAGAGGAATAGTATCAAGCCAAGGTTGGCTGCCATGTTGAGGACTGGCATGGAGGCTGTAGGAAATATAGCAGCGGAGAAACCGGGGACACGGCCCATGACGGAGGGACCAAGGAGGATACCGCCTATCACTTCGGCGATGACTCGAGGCTGTCTGATCTTTTGTAGAGGTAGGTGCAGGAGGCGACAGAAGATGATAATGATGCCTGCCTGGTGAGCTCGATGTCAGTACGAAGGATCTTGCTTTCATTTGGGCCAGGCTATATACCTGGATGATGAAAAGGATGATAGGATTCTTGGGCTCATAATGTGACGGGTTGGCGCCATCGATAATGCCTCCTTGGCCAGGGACTTTAGGCATGACGGCGGTGGTGTTCGACACCAAAGACAGTGTCTGTGTCGAAAGCGCGGAGGGGGAAATATAAGGCGGGGCAAGCTTAAGCTCTCCCCTTGAAGGATTTCCGCTCTTGCAGTATGAGCTCTAGCTTGGGGTCAGGACCAGGATCACGATCAGGCTGATATGGAGGGAAGCATCTAGAGCCGAGAGGAGGGAGGAGGAGGAGGAGGTGGGATGTACATATAGAAGGAGGCGGCGGTGAGAAGCTTGTGATGGTGGGAGGGCCAAGGGGACCCAGAGTAGTGTAGTGAAGCATAATGTGTCCGACTGTCAGCCCTTTATGGTCAGGCCGTTCTCGGTTGATCGAATATCGATGATTGCTTTATCTCATTTCAATGATGGATGTCTGACTTGGCCAATCAGTTGATGCTCCAGCGCAGTGGTCTGGATTTCCCAGACGTGGGTTCTTACGGGAGCGAGGCTCGCGAGGATTGTATGGGCTGCTTAGGCACGTAGGAACGACATATGCGATACCTTGCTGGAGCTTCCGTCTCACATGCTGGAGGTGGGCGGCAGCAGACACGATCAGGTGCTCGTTTATTATTATTACTATTGTACCCCGTGATTCTTTGACCAATCAATTGAGTCGCGTCACATGCTGCCGAGGGGTCGGTGAGTCTGAACAAGGCCACGCCAAGAATGAACGCCCTCGATATTTCAACATTTTAGGTAGAACCCTTTTCTGGGATTCTAACCATTAGCTAATCGAGGTGAAGGCTATTCATTTGTTGGTGGTCAGACTCACCGACCCTCGTACCCCTCTTGGCGCCCAATCCCATTGGATCAATGAAAGGGACGAACTGATATTGGGCTCTTCATCCTCGTCGTCGCGGGAGAGACACCGGTCCCGACGCTACACAGGCTACATAATTGTCTATGCCAATACACGGCGTGCTTCTACCGAAGAGGGGCCCCGTGGAAAGTCTGGGGGTGCAGTCTCAGGATCCGAACGAATTACTCGTTGAGAGGTGTAGGTCTAAGAAGTACCTGATGGCTAGGATGGTGGCACACTGTTGAAGAAGCACAGACTTCATGCAGCTTCACGCAGATTCACCTCTGGCTGGGACTCGCTTTCATCTCGAGCGGTCTAGTGCCCTATCCCCTGCGCAGTATTGTCATTCTCTCCCAATCACGTCACGATTGCTTCCAAGGTGGATGGCACGGGCTTGCTGACCGCGCGTCCAATCTGCATATAGGACTTCTTGGCCAATAATGAACAATCACTACCCCAACAGGCATGGAAAATGCAACCCCCACGAATATCTTCCTCCCGCCATTCTAACGCGGTTGAACAACCAATTTGTACCAACGCCGAATATCGGGCATTTTAGCTACTGAAGCATTGGCGCAATTGCTATCCAAAACATGTCCTAAACCGGAACATTTTGTCCTTACTTGATGGCTGATGTGCCAATATTAACAATCAGTCGTCGTTCGATTTGTTATTTTCACAATGTCGGTCCACGTACGAAGGTAGCACATGCTCCTACGGTGCGTTCTCCTAGATGCCAAACCGTAGAGATATGGGAATTCCATCGTCTCACGATAGATGTGTCGCATGAGCATATCGTCGTGTCGCTGCTCACGAAACAAATGAAGGTTAGAATCCGGTGACAATGTTCTCTTTTGAGAGTGATGAAAACCCTATGACGCTGGACGTCTGCGGCACACTTGATGCATGCTCATAGTGTAGTGCTTTCAGCAATGGGTAAGGCTAATGCCTAGGGAACGTTCGTGACATTCATAGTGTTCCAAGAGCATATCTTGGTGCCGCCGACCGCAATGGAGACTGTAGTCATATCAACTGCGATGGATGAGCGATTTCGACGTGCCCAAGGAGTGATACAAATAACAGCGTTCCACGGCGACCAGCATCGAGGCGTCGAGAAGTGGCTAGGGTGAACTCGCGAAACCCGCCTCCTATAAATCTGGCCCAGTTCCCAAGCCAGCTACAGCTACCTGCAGAACATCAGAAAACGCACGAAATCCTCACTGGAACCTCCCACGGCCGATCAATCCTCAAACAGGAAGGTTTCCCAGATTAGGGCCCTGTACAGGTCGCCTACCGCGGTCCGGCACGAGTGCCTCAGCGCCCTTGCAATCAGCGGCGCTCACCGCTGCAAGTGTTCCAGAAGCTAGCAGTGCATTAGTACCCTTTCTGAATAAGGCGAAGATCGTCTGGCATGTGGACTGAGCGATTGGTACTTGAATGATACCAATAATGCGCGTCTGCTTGAAGCGTTCATGTTAGTTTCCCCGGTGGTCTGTCCATACAGCCCTTGCCTATGCCCATGGGCCGTTTAGTCAAGCAGTCATGTGTTCTTATCTCTTATGCTCAGTGGGCTTATATATGAGCTTGTTTCGGCACCATGCTTGTTGGGCTCCCAAGTGTGCGGTTTCATACGGACGAAGATCTTCTAGAGTTGCTGGATGAGGCAGGTGAAGCTCATTCCACAGACAAGCAGGTCAATCAATTACATGAGAGTATGAGGCGAAAGGGTCATGTTGGAAGAGCCTCTGGAGCATAAGTAGGTCGTGTCTTCCACGAGAACGTAAGCTCTTGTGAGAGTGAAATTAGTCTCAATTACTGTCGCACCGTATATCTTCTATTTCAAATAGAGCATCTGATCGATATGCAGTTCCTCAAGGTTGGTGGCCACCCCTGTGAAGCCATGACCTTCACCTGACTTGCTGTCTAGTCTCTCATGTTCCTCACTCTAACGAGTACTACCCTTGCTTTACCCAACATCATTCAAAACAAGCGCGCAACATGCGTTGACACCTGCGGTTCGACCTGCTACTATCAAAGTGACGTTAATGACGCCGTCAACCAAGGTTGCTCAGACCTGAAGAAGGGCAGTGGTAAGCCTTAGACTTTTCACCCTCCCTAGCGCTCGTCCCGTTTCTCAATCTGGAACCTCTTATATCAAAAATTTTAATTACTGACCTTACACAGCGCCGGGAGGTTACCCACATGTATACAATGACTACGAGGGCTTCAGCTTCCCAGATCCCAAACCATATTACGAGTTCCCAATCCTGAGCAGCTTCAAAGTGTATACAGGTGGCAGCCCTGGGCCAGACAGGGTCATCTTTACGAAGACTTGTGAGTTCGAAGCCGTCATCACACATACAGGTGCGAGTGGGAACGATTTTTTGCAGTGTAGGAAGGGGTGAGGCGAGGAAGAATTGAGAGCATTGAAAGGGAAATTGAACCGAGTCGCCAGTGGAGAGCAGGGCTAGTCCAGCAGGAGTGCAAGGTATAATCTACCGTGATCTGCGCCTTTATCTGGTCCTCCTGTGAGACTTTTTCATTCATCTTTCATTAAGAAGAAACCAATGATATTCTCCATCACTGCATCATGTTCCAGGAAGCAAACATGTCTTTCTTGATGCGTTCCCTTTCGCTACGACTATGTGTGGAATACTCAGAAGCTACAAAGCTGTCAGCCTTCGGAGAAAACACATTGCTATGTTTGGAATCATTCGGATAATTTGCCGACGCCTAAGATTCAGTTGGTACTTTTTGTCTCTCCCTTTTCCCGCACCAAGATCCACTTCCCCAAAGCACATTTTTCCCAGGGCGAAGGCGCGTGGGACTTTGGGTGTCCTCAACATTTCTCCTTCCGAGACAATCATGCGAGACCTACCGGCGTGTTGGGGTTCACCAAATTCTATCCAGAGGGTCGGTCAATATGCCCCGTTTCCCCCAAACAAAGTGCTCGGCTTTTGCAATATTAGTGAGCTTCAGGATGAGAAGCTCGAACTACAGGTAGTGATAGGCATACACACACTGACAGGGCAGTCATGTTGTGCACAAGCTTCCAACAGCTTTTACTATTTCTCGCCGTCTACGTTCCAATGACGATCTGCTCACCCACCATCGCCCCAGGAACAGACATTGCACCTACAAGCAATTCAACGTCCTCACTCCTCGCTCCATCCTGGCATTGCGAAGACCGCACTTCGACTCGCCGGGCATGGAGATCGGACTGCGACTACATTTGGCAGGAATCGATTTCTACATCCGGATTCCCGGGGAAGTTTCACAGGGGAGAACCCGCCGACTCATTCGTCATTCCTGTTCCATTCAGATGGAAGTCCTGTATGTTGTTGGTAGATTTGATGCCGAATCAGCCGGTGATGTGGACGTGGCGGGCGATTGGTATTGCGGCGAGTGATCTTAGCCAACACTGCGACGAGTGGTGGGGGGATAGGGCTACGACCGGGGGCTATGCGTTTGTCGGGCCAGGGGCGTATTTTTCATTGATATATTTGAGGAATGATCAAATGGGTTTGGGTAGGAATCTGACCGAAACTGGAGGGACCAATGTGACGGAATTTGATGCGAATGTGACATCGTGATTTATCAGGAGGCAGATGTTGCCTTCAATTGTATTGTTACATTTGAAAGTCCTGCAATGCTTCGGTTGTTGCACTAAACAGTGTGCTTTGTATCGGATTGCAGGATGGACTGTATGCTACAAGAAAGCCTCGCAAAACAACATATGCTACTCCACTTGGTCCTGCACTTCATACATTCCCTGTGACGCATATCGTTTAGACAGCACGGGCTCCATCTTTCAAGCCTTGTGAAAGTCAAAGCAACCATAGGAGCAAGAACTGGTTCTCTAAGATCCTAATGTAATGTCGCTAGAGCCTCATTAATAGCCTCGATCACCACTTCTGGATGGCTTAGCATAGGCATATGACCCGCGTCACAAGTCCGTACGCTTGACCCAGCAGACTCAGCCATCTGGACCTGCATTATTTTTGGAATAAGCCGGTCATTCTCACACACTAGATAGACGCTGTCGATGTCTTTCCATCCCGCATGAGTGATTGTGTCATCCCACCCTGCGGCAGGTTGAGGCTCGAGAACCTTGAGCCACTTCGGAATATCTTCAACTGCCACTCCATTGAAAAACATCGTTTCTGGTGACTTGCAATACAGTGCGCCTCCCTATCATGGGTTAGTAGATAAGTCACCAACCATGTGGGCAGTCCGCAAGGCGTACATCTGTCTCAAAGAACGGCAATAATTGGTGCTTGAATCCTTCTGGGAGGAGTGCGGCGGTCAGGAAAATGAGCTTGACTACCCCTGCACTCTCTCCTGCTTTGATGCGATCTTCCCTTTTCAGCCCTTGAATTGCGTTCGAGGCGAGAAACCCTCCAGCAGAGTGAGCTACAAGTAAGACATCCTGATTCTGATCCAGAACTTTGAGTATGGATGACCGAATACCAGCGATATCATCATGCATGCCAGGATTTCCAGGGGACGTCGTTCCAGTGCTGGAGAGCGAAGCCACCTCTGTGACGAGACCGACGCTTTCAAGTGCCTGGCGTACCTGGGCGAAGGGAGACGCGCCTTCCCAAAACCCTGGAACAAAAACGACGGTGGGACGCATCGTTAGACTAATATCAAATCTTAGATTCGTCGAGACTTCAATTTCTCAAGATGGAGCGAACAAGAAGCGGTGTATGGAGATGCAGGTCTAAGCCTAACCAGCTGACCTTTGCAGTAAGCGCTAGTAGGACCCTACCATGCTAACACATTCTACAGGAAGTCAAGGTGTCCGATCTCGAAAGGCCTCTTCAATAGACTAGCTTTCTCTCCTGTTGACTCGCACATCCTCAAGCGTTCGGTTTGCGGCCACCAACTCTTCTGCTGTGGGGAGGTTGACAATCATCAGATAGAAGACTCCCTTCATTGGATCGTCAGTACAGAGCGCTCTCTCTGGGAAAGAGTGAACCAAACCTGGCGGGTTGACTTACCTTCTTCATCGCCCTCCTTCCTTTTATCCCTCTTGGTCTTTGCCGTTGACCCTGAGAGGCGCTACCCTCGTGGGATCTTCCAAACCGGTAGTCTCTCGCCGTCCGCCTCGCCTCTCGTCGTTCGTTTTTTCTTGCGCTCAGATTGACCTTCCCTCCAGTGACAAGCGTAAGAAGAGAACCGTTGTGCACTGGATCGTTAGGATCACTGAATCGAGATGCAAACTTTGGGGCTTGCTCGGCCGGGGCATTAAGTTGCGAGTCTGGGTTATTTGCAGCCTATGGAAGCTATCAGCAGTGGAATCTGGCTGAGATTGAGCAAAGGGCTGCGTACAAAGACCGCCTGCGCCCTTCTATCATAGTAGTCTGTTAGAAAATTTTGGCTAATCTTCAGTTTATTCGCTTGTTCAGCATCGCCAGTGGCGATAGCAGCGTCTATAGCTGGAAACCGTAATGCGGCAGCTTCTGGCAATTCTACATCGCCGTAAGTCGTACCGTTGCCAAGCTTTAGAGCACCTTTAACCGTGTGCGAATCCTTCTGTATCCGATTGAAGACCAGGGCGGACATATCTAGAGGCTGTGCTTCAATTGGTCTGGCAGCCTCAGGCTTGTAGGACATTACCATAGCAAAAATACCTCTCGGCTTGAAAAGGTGTTCATTCATTATGTCGAGGAAACTGTTTGTGCGCTGCCGCTTTTGTAGCTCAATCGCTGTACCTGCAGCGACTTGGACAACAGTCGAAGCAACCTGGGCTTCCCACATGGGAACCATGCCAACGACGCCGGCGGAGAGGAAAACAACATTAAGGATCGGTGAAGCTTTGGAAGCTTCTTGCAGAGTCTTAGTAAAGCAGAGAAAAGCTTCTTCAGGAATACCGTTCTGCCCCAGTATCGGAGCATATGCAGAAATGAACCCTCGGTCTTTGGAACCGGGCCTCTTTTGGGGAAGAATGACAGGTAGAGGGATCTTGTGAATAGAGAAGGGTGCAGGCGGGCATAATGCGAGGACTCTATCTCTGAAGTACTCCATGGTTGGCTGTGCATCCAATCCGTATTTTTTCTTTTGGTCATGCGAGTTGCGTTCCTCGGCTTCAGCAGCGGCCTCATCCAGGGCCCAATCCTCCTCGTCCTCGGAATACCTATGGGCTTCGTCCGAGTCATCTTCATGGCCAGGGAAATGGTGACCGTCAACTCGGGCGCCAACTGGAATCGCTTGGCCGTTGGCAATGAGACGTTCCGCCTGTGCTGGTGGAAGTTCAACATATTCCTCGGAATACGCAGGCGGGATTTCAGTACTTTGTCCCTTCGTAGATAATGCATCTCTGGAAGGGGACAACTCTGATCTCTGTTGGGGTGTCGTGGAAATACTCGCTCCATCGGTTGGTCCAGGGCTTTTCGATTTGAGTTTCTGCTGCTTTCGTGCAGCAATGGCTTCTGCTGTTAAGCCATAGCCATTGGCGACCATCCGCACCGCCAGACCAATGACTGGTAATCCCATAATATTACAGCAACGCTCTCGGCTACATAGAATTATGATTTTGATGGGGTCGGAATGAACTTTCGAAGGGGAACTTCCATTCAATATGTAAATCAAGTCTGTCAGTCGAGAAGCAAGTTTATATATACCGTGCCATCGACCATGGGGACCATGTCTGAGCCTTCCTTGTGTCAGGAGATACTTCGCCCCAACCCCCAGAGGCTGCAGTAGTTCCATGCTTAGTGCCGGCAAAGACACCGATATTGATCGTCTACAGGTCGATACAAGAGCTAGCCTCCGACACGATACCGTATCGAGTATGCAGTGCGACAGGCCGACAAGGGTAGGCTGCTCTAGTTCTTTGCTTCATTCTCAACCCAACCTTCGTAGTTCTAGCGGGACGCTGGACGTCGTTGGTCAATTCGAAGAGTCAAGCTGTGGTCTTCATGTACACTGCAAGATCTTGAATCTTTTTGACCACCCATTTTCAGCGCCAGACTACCCGAATCGGCAAACCCCCCTGCACTTGTAGCCAGCAATCGATTGGGCTGCCCATATCCCGTGGATCGGACATGTATGTCATTTTAGAGTGGAGCTATCATGGTATTTCGTGGGAAGCCATCTAAAGGATGCGCTACGTGCCGCCGAAGAAAGATACGAGTCGGTTATCCCTCCATTCAATTTATCGCACAGTGATACATGACTTTATTTTCTTTGCAATTAGACATGATCGGAAAGAGGCAAGCACAAAGAAAACGACCTGCCTTCGGGCAAAGTCCTTGACGTTCAGCACTAAGTACGGTACTGCCTATCTACCGAATTTTGACCCAAGCTTTCACAAGATGAAAGTGTAGTCCTAGTTTTGAGGAACAAGTTTATTGCATATTGCTGATTTCAACTTATTCCTTCATGATCTGCACAGCTTCTTAAGGTGTCGAGGCTGAAATTAGACAGTGTGATCAACGTCCTGGCACTTGCCAGAATTGTGAGAACCACCGAGTCGAGTGTCCTGGGTATCGCGACCAACTGGATTTGGCATTCTTGGATGAAACGGATGACGTGTTCCGCAAGGCGAAGAGCAAAACGGGCAAACAGAATCATGCGTACAGGATTCACAGTAATCAATCACAAGAGGTGAAGTCTCGACGTTGGAGGGGAGAGGGCAGCGATATCACTGAACCATGGCACGGAGCAGCAATTACCCTAGCAAGAAGCATGGGACTGAAATCATCATATGATGATCTGGCCGTCAATTTCTTCTTCCGTAATTATTTCGTTGGCACCAATTCCACCGAGAACGGGCCAAACCAAAACGCGGCACTTTTGAAGAGGGAAACTCATGATGCTCTCCCAGATGGTATCAGAGCCGTTGCGCTTGCAAGTCTAGCGACTCTTCTCAAAGCACCAGATTTGATGCTGGAAGCCAGGAAACGCTATGTGCTAGCCGTCCAGCAATTGAACGATGCATTGCAGAATCCGCAAAAGGTGAACAAAGACAGCACTTTATATGCTACCATGTTGTTGAGCAATTTTGAGACAGTCGCCGGGAACAGCTCGCCATCAATGACAGCCTGGCGAAACCACATATTTGGCGGTTCAGCCCTGCTAAAGACTCGTGGGGTGGCACAGCTCAAGACCATTTCCGGCACTCATCTATTCTTGCAAGCGGCTTCCTACATGTTTTTGCCTTGTCTCAAACATGGAGTTCCTATTCCCAAGGAAATCATGGAGTTGAGAGCAGTCGTTGCGCTTTCTGTGGATTCGGAGAACCCGTCGTGGCGAGTGTGGGAGACTGCAGTCGACTTCACAAATTTCATGGCATCTTTGGCGGACGGATCTTTATCGGACGATTTGGAGAAGTATCAGAAGGCATCAGAACTCGACTTAAGATTTGCCTCAGCATTCGTCGATGTTCCACCTACGTGGCAATATCGTACATATCGGACCAATAACGATCCTGATCTGGTGCCTAATGGCACGTACCACATCTACTCTAGCTTCATTGGAGTCCAGATGTGGAATTCGATGCGAACGATGAGGGTTATACTAGGCGAAATCATGCGCGAAAGCTTCCTATTGGGTGACAGGCTCAATTCAGATGTCCTGTCCAATTCGGAGAAGAGGGCAGTGTTTGAGCGCATTCACGATACTAACCGTCGATTGCAAGCAGATGTCATCTCCAGTATACCGCAGCATCTTGGCTATATTGCCCCTACCCAGGACCAAGATAATGGCAATGTACTCCGCCACAAGCAAGAATTTGACAATCTGGAGCTGAAATTCTTGTGGACCAATTTTGATCGTATCCCACATCATGCACAACATAATGTATTGAATTCTCCGCCACCTCCGCTACTACTTCGTTTGTTTGGTGGCTTCCTTTTACCATGGTCATTGTTTACGGTGGGCAGGGTCGAAGTAGCGCCAATGCAGACCAAACAGTGGATATTCAAAATGCTCAATCGAGTGGGATCAACGTTTGGCATTGGTCAAGCCTTCCAGAGGGCTGGACTTGCCTATCCCAGAGGCACCCCAAAGTGGCCTAGAATGGGCAGGTAGCCAACCTGCTAGCGTGTGAGCGGGGGTTCTTGATCGTGATCCGTTGGACGCTTTGTCAGGACTGAGTCAACAGTGGCAGCTCTTGGCTGACGGCTAACTGCATGGTCCCCGAACCTTTCCGTCCTTTCAACGGCGTCGAGTTTGATACGTCAGACCCGTATGCATAATTCCTTGACACATGACATCGAACCTTCTTCTGGTCGTCCTCGTGGCCAACTGACTACATAATGACAAACACTCACGGCCTGGCTTTGCACTCGGAAGACCTTGATGACTCTGCAGTATGCTAGCGAGAGAGCCGCCATGACTGGACAATTCATGCTGGGGCTCACCGTATATTTTGAAGGTGAAGTGCAATGTCATGATGTAGAAGCAAGTGCTAGACGACGAGCTGTCTCCTGTGACAAAGCAACACGCATCAATCCTCTCCGGCGATTCCATGGAGAAGGGCCTCATAACAACCCAAACAATATAAAAAGGCCGCAGAGTCCCCGACATGAGGAAAACAAACAAGCTACACAAACTTCAGTTTACCAGTCAAGAGTAAAGGTTGTATAGCCAATCTGTCCAGTCATACCAAGATGAAGATGTCCCCAATATCGAGACTAGCCATATTTTTCGCTGCTTTGGGTATCACCTTAGCGAGCCCAGTACGCAGAGACCTCGCACCTGGCCCAGAATTCGTGCGGCTTGACAAGAGTGAAGCTGTGAGTTTATGCTTTTCGAGTGAGATCGTGACATCCCTGTTAACGTGGTACACAGCTCGTAATCGTCGCCGACTTGCAAGAGGGACTTTACAAAACTGTACGCTCCATTCGGAATTGTCCAGGAAGTCGTTGTCCTTGTCACTAAGCTCCCTTACAGGTACGAGATTACAATACCATCGAATACCGCAACAACATGATCGCCCACGCAGCGATCGCAAAGCTCTTCGACATTCCCATTGTTTTGACCACGAGCGCCGAGCACGGCCCTAATGGCATTCTGCCAAAAGAGATCTCTGGGCTGTATCCCGATGCGCCACTCATCCGTCGCAATGGGGAAGTCGATGCCTGGGATAATCCCGACTTTCGTAACGCGGTCAAAGCGCAGAACAAGACACAGGTCATACTCGGCGGGATCACTACAGACGTCTGCACGGAGTTTCTGGCTCTGTCTCTTCGCAGTGAGGGCTACACTGTCTTTGCTAATACTGAGGCTTCCGGAACCTTCTCGGACAAGCTCGCCGCGGACGCAAATCGGAGGATGGAAGGTGGGGGCGTCATCCTGCAAGGTGTCTTCGCCATCGTGATGGACTTGATGCGGGATTGGAGGAACACACCTGGTAGTGCGCAGGTCTTGCCATGGTTAGACACGTACCTACCTTCGTATGGCTATGTCGCACGGTGAGTGACCTTCGAGACATTCCTTCTTAGTACAGCACAGCTGATTCCGAGTTTTTCTACAGCGCCCATGAAGCTGCTGTCCTTAATGGGACATTAGCACCTGGCGAAGAAGGTCTGAAGAGGAAGTGAAAGTCGACAGCCATTTTGGGATTAGTTGACCAGGTTGAACTCAGCTGCATCGAAGCCACAATATAATCCTACAGAAGCCAGTTTCCCGTTTACCTTTGTAACACCTGTTAATAGAATATCGGCCAGGTCTGATGAGTGATATATGCAAGATAATATGCAACGCATGTGTACGCGCTTGCAGATTGCAACGAGCATCTCGTCTGACAGAGCTCAATAGATCAAATGGACAAGTCATTTCCTCTATTCGTGAAATCACAGACTTCCGCCAAGGATAATCCTAACTATGCCAGAACGCTCAGCACTTTTGATTCGCTATGCTCAATCGGGATTTGCACCCTCGCTTTTCTCTATCATGCATCCAGAACCCCATATCTTACAATGCCCAGAATCCCGCCGAGCAAAATCGCTGTAGGCGGATTGAAGCCGAACCACGCACCACTGACATATGCCGTCGCCGTGATGAACACAAGCCACGGGTCTGTGCCGAGCGGTCCTCCTTCCTGTACTGCAGCTGTGAGATAGCCCATCTGCCAGAGCTTATATACAGCCGTGAAGACGAGCCCCACAGCAGCAGCATTAATACCTCGAAGAATAGCGAGGAACCACTTTTTGTTGCTCATTACGCGCCAAAGTCCCATAAAGCCAACGACGATAAACAGTCCCGGTATGTACATCGCGATGAAAGCAATGATGGCGCCCACAAATGACGGATTGGATGTTTTTGCCATGGCGAGTGAGCCGAGGTAGACCACAAAATTGAAGTTCGGGCCAGGAAACGCTTGGATGACGGCAACACCGAGGAGGAAATCACGCGGTGAAACCCAGCCAGGGCTGACGATGTAGTCGCGAAGCAGCGGTATGACGACAGGGCCGCCTCCAAAGATGATAGTGCCTGCTAAATATAAGGACGAGAAAAGATCGAAAGTTCGTTGCAGCTTTGGCATGACTATGTGCAGAGTCGTGAACAAAACGAAAGTAAGGCCGAACATGACGAGGATGAGGGAGCCCAAGGGCCAAGACATTGCCGGAATGTCCTGCTCAGTCTCCTCTTCAACGTATTTTGGTAGAGCAAATTTCGAGCGAGGAATTGGTAAAGGTTTAGGGGCCATTTGGGTGAGCTTCTGTTTTCGGAGTGACTTTTTGGGCAGCTCCGGTAGCGGCTTGTCGGTATCAGAAGTGCGTTTAGAAGATTTTCCTGACGGTAGGTCTTGAGCCTTCTCTATATCGGATGATTTCCTTCGTATTCGAGAGACTAATCGTTTCAAAGAGCGTCTGGCGATGACGTACTGACCCTGGAGATAATTTGTATCCCACACATACGTAACGATGCCGGCGATTACCATTAGCAGTGGGTAGTACCTGAAAGCTGTCAGCAGGAGTTGGTCCCTCCAACTAAGCGAGGTTTTGAGCATACCACAATGCAGTATACAGCATTCCCAGAACTCCTCCAAAATATACCAAGAACCTTGTCATCCTATCACTAATGGCTCTTTCTGCTAGCTTGACTGCAGCAAGTGCAATCACTCCGACTGTGGCAGCATTAAGTCCCGATAACAGTGCATAGGCTGGAGGTGGTAAGGTGGACTGAACATGGCCTATGCCGACTGCCAGGGCGTACATGCCAACGGCACCGGGTAGACTGTTTGAATTTAGCAGGCGATATATTGCACAGGCTTGTATAACACTACCTGAACATGAAAAATGCTAAGAAGCCAGCTCCAATCCCATTTCGAATTGCATTTATACATAGGAGCATCTTGACGCTGGCAGAGCCCGGTAAAGCCTGGGAGAGGCAGAAGATTTGCTGATACTGTACGAGAATCAGTGTCGTACAATAATGAGCGCTACCGACCCTACCATCGGTTCATCGATCCAGCCGAGATCTTCCACAAAGCGTCTGTGGAACTGAGATAATCAGCCTAGCCCTGGAATACTCGCTTGAAAATGGCGTACAGTCTGGAATTGCACGGCGGGCCCGCCGAAGCAGGTCACACCCAAGTGCCAATTGGCACGAATGGTCTCTTTGTAGCGTTCCCATAATCGCATGCTTCATGTAGTGCCTTTCATGGCAAGACTTGGCCAGGCCAGGGTTATAGTTAAAGGGAAAATTGAGCCTTCGGATGCCACAGCCGAGAACATGTGGCAAAAAATACACACATGATCCGAAGACATTGCAAGATGACATAGTGGTATCCGTCGAGGCCGGCTCCATGTGAGATCAAGCTTCGGAAACGCGCACAGCAGTCAAATGCTGGGGTTGCGCAGGCGCAACGACTATTTTGAGCGGTTGTGACGAGGTCGATTACCCAAAAGAAAGGCTTTCGATACCTTCCAGTCCAATGGGGCATGAGCATCGGGCGCGAGATCCGGCGTCAAGCCTTCACAATAACTATAAATTGGAGATGTTGTTTCATTTGAGCAATAAATACTGGCTGAATGTGCTTACACACGCTTCCGAGTTCTCCGATTTGCCAGGCAAATTGGTCAATGCACGGATTGCAGTGATGTTGGAAGACTGTTGCCCTGTTACCCCGGATTTTGCCCCAGGTTCTGTATAGGCGCGGTGCCTGAGCGTTCCAGTGCCGCTGAGCCGCCGTTGGCGGTAAGCCAATGCTTGATCCAACGTGGAATCTGCGGCCTCAGATCAGATTCTGCAATACCTGATGCGGTCGACACACGCTAGAAAACATCTCATACGTCTCACTCCGCCAGCTTAGCCTCTCGGGAAATGTGACACTAGTCCCTGCGTGAGCTGCACTGAGCTCACAAGTTGGTACGTGGGATCTAATACATCTTAGCAAGGGTTGAAGCAGCTCCCAAGGGTCCCGCAAAGGGCAAGCAGAGGGGAAGCTTATAAATTCAGTACCGAAACAAAAGCGGAGAATGGCAGTCGCTCTTCATCGCTTAACGCTGCGAAATGCATAGGCGGTCTAAGAACGTGAAGACAAAGCGTTCCTGTAATCATTGACTCTTCATCCGGGTCGTCGTCAGTAGACATTGGATTCAATGTCAACATTGTGTATACACATCGCAAGCCGGAGGTGACAAAGTGAAGATTTTCAAAGTGAGATGATGACGCTTATGCGCAACAGCAGGGTTTGAGACGAAGACAGGAGATTTCTTGCCACCGGCAAGTCGAGATCAACTCAAGTTTTCTCAAAGAGAAATAGAGTGAGTAAATTGCAATAGAAAAAGAAGATTCAGAGAGGAGGAAATGTATGCATGACCAGAGAGCGTGCATCAATGCTGATAGATGCGGAGGCCTGATAGCAGCAAGACAGTGCGTTGCCTCATCCGGTCAGGAGCAGAGCTGAGAGTAGAGGAGACTGCGATGTTGCTCGAAAGTGCTAAAGTAGTTGAATTTCACGGTCATGATTTACGATATCGCAGCTAGACCTGTTTGAGTATTAAGTGAGCTTTCAGGATTGAATAGTCGCACTTGACAGGTGGAGCTTGCGACCGTGGGATGCGTGGAGTTCTACCGCAGTCGGTCAGAAAAACGCTGGAGGAACGCTAAGATCGCCGTCGCCGGGCAGCTACAGTGGATGGATCTCTCGGCTGATCTTGCCGGGGACTCCCGATACAGGGCAGCCGCGGAAGCTCCGGAGGGAATGGCAAAAGCTGTGCTCTCAAAGACACAGTCAGCATGTTCCTCCTCTGCTTCAACGCTGTCCATCAAGATGTGGCGATGGCTTCAAATTACAACACCCTAGGAGTGACAGTCTCAGGATGTCCAAATCGCCCTCGCTCGACGTTCCGAGTCTTCCGCAACTCCCCTACTCCGTCTATCAACACAAGCTCTCCATCACTTTCATATGGACTCTGCTTGCCATAGACTCTGTCATCCTTCCCATCGCTCTCTTTTACCCCTTATGGTATGCCACCAATCTTAGGCAGGCCATTATCTTTGCCATAACGACCTCCGTGTTCGGCATCATCAGTGGCTGTGAATGGGCGTTTCGGAGCTGGCAACTGCTCTCGAAGAATGATGTCAGGCCGTTGGGGGTTGGAGATGAGCAAGGTAGGGTCCAAGGGCGGATGAGCAAAGGAGGCTGGCGAAAACGATTCCCATATTGGGGCTTCGACTTCTTTCACTTCTCTTACACGATTGGGTATACGACTGTGTTGGTGAGTATAATTGACCATGAAATCTGACCGCTTCTTGAATACTGATTCGAGACCTCGAATCATAGGCTGAGCTCATCGTCGGCGCTTCTCCCCACGAGCCCTTTGTTCGAGTATGCTCTGCGCCGTCGCCCAGCTTTATCACTATTTTCGGCATCATCATCCTTACCATTTCCTCCTTCCATTGCCTTAATATTCCGGCACCATTTCGGATATCGTCTCAGCCCAAGGGATCACATCCTGTAAAACCTGCCACGTTTACCATTCTGGAGGACGTTTTGAGTGTAGATACTGGAGTTGGGCGACGATACAGAAGAGCACTGTTAGATCGATATGAAGCAAGTACGGACTTTAGACGGCTTCTGAGACAGATGGATCTGTTTTGGGGTATACCTGCTCTTCTGGTGGGCGTTGGCCTGCTGGCGGCTATTGGACATCCTAATGTGGATCAGACTAAAGCCTACGCACTTGGTTGGGGTGTTCCCCCTGTGTGGGCGGCGTTGTGGGCTATGGTTACGACAATATGGGTCAAAATAGCATTACGGCGAGAAAAGAAAGCATGGCCGCCGGAAAAGGCGGAAAGCGCATAGACATGCATAGATAACGAACTAGAACTGCATCAATCATTTACCATCCAACGCCTTGCGAACACTTGAGTCGCGCCATGCGTCACTCGAAGCAAGACTTATTGCTGGAGCTCTTGCCAGGCCTTAGGTAAAGCACTATTCACTCATCAAGCAAAAGCCATCGCCAGCGCTACTGCCAACAGCCCAGAACCCCCAATAGCAGTCGTATGCGCCCTGAATGATACACTCTCCGAGGTCTTCGAATTTGGTATTCCCACCGGATTTTGGGGCATGGGCTTCACGGAGTTGGCTCCCAAGCAGCTCATCTCTGCTTCCGCGCTCTCCAACTTGACGAAATTTGTGCTGATATTGCCGTTCACTGCTGGCATCATGACCCTCATCACAGGCACGATCTGGTCAAGCACGTTGCGATAATAAAGATTGTTGGCGAGATCGCTCGTGATGGTCGCGTTGGATGCATTGCTCGGCGAAATGAAGGTTGACTGGTGGATAGGGAAGGTGTTGTAAGACTTGAAGCCAGTGTCATGGTAGAATGAGTCTGCGGAAATGTTGCAGCCACTCAGGCCGAGCGACCTCTCTCCTGTCAGAGCTAGACCAATGTGAGCATCTAGAGCCAACATGGGGAAAGTGAAGCAGAAGGTACTTACGCAAAGTATCAACGCTCTCCCACAGCCGGTTGTTCTCCGCGAAATCCTTACACGAGTCGGGTAAGGCAATCGTCATCTGATCAGCAATGAAGTTACAAATTTCCGGCAGCTCCGAAAACATCCCTCCCTTGTGCGATTCACCCTGTGATGATTTTTTTGAAAAGTCCCATGCCATGGTAGCAGCTTTAGACTCAAGATCGGTAACGCACTCTTTAGAGTATGTCTGTGCACACAACCCATCTTGGGAAGTGCCACGGCGGGACGTTGTATTGGGAATTTTATTGAAAACAAGAGAGCATGCACTGAAGGGGAGGCTAGGACTACTATAATCCACGCCTTTGTCGATCCCAAGCCAGACGGTTGAATTAATCTTCACCGAGGTATTGTCGGTCACTACAGGGGCATTGACTGTCAGTGATAGCGCAACCTGGTGTTGCTTGCGTGCGGCATCTTTTGTTTTAAGGTCGAGAGATTCAACGCTGGAGAATGTGTTCGAGGCGTTTGCAACGGCAATTTGTGAATCGCATTGCTTGATATCGGTAAGCGACTGTGGAAATGGTAACTGGGTTGAGGCAGCTCTGGACGACGCAGTCGCCGTGGCTACATCTGGTGGAGTTGCTGATGAGGAAGCTGCAAATAGAACAAAGAGAAAGGGAACGAGATGCGTCCGATACCGGGGGATATTTGCTTCCATCTTTGATCTGTTTAGATTGCTTTGACAGGATCTCGTCCTCTCTGACTGGGAGGGCGAGTCAGGCCATTCTTATGTTGTTGTTGTCCGTTAGCAAGGTGAGCCATCGTGGCAGCTTAATGTTTTGCACCCTGGCTAAATCAATCCTGTGAGGCTGTCCCGCGCAACTATAGGAGAGAAAGCAACAGAAGTATTGTGCCACAGTCTGGTGAAACGATTGTAAGGCTGCGCAAATGGACTATGTACGGGGCTGAGACAGCGGTTAATCCTCCTTCGAAAGAGACTGGCTGGGTTGAAAATCCTTTGAAATCCTACGCGGACGGCTAAGCCCTGCTAAGCATGGGCGCTTGGAGCCACGCATAGTTGCAAGATCCTGAGCCCATGGGTGGCGACCATAAAGCTCTTGCAAAAGAATAGACATGATCATTCGAAAGTTGCCCTGCTCCTTTGGACCGCCCAGAAAACGTGTTGTTACCTGGCTAATGCGTGAACGACATCTAGCATCATTGCGTATTTGTTGGGCAGACTCGCCATTCGTCTGCTTGCATGATGTATATTGAAGGTCTCACAACTCCTGTTGAGTGCACAGAGTTCGATATAGGAAAATGGATCTTATTTCGTCAACACCACGTACGGCCTTCCGAAGGTAACCAACTTGAGTTCCTATCGACTCGTTCAGAACAAAGCCTTCACCATGATCGAAAGAAAGCACCGGAATTGTATTTTGTTACATCTAAAACGTCCTTAAAAGCCGATTAGCGATAAAGAATCATGGTGCTCATTATTTTTAAAATTGAAAGATGCACGTGTTGACTTGGTGAGACATCAGATGCAGTAAGAACGGATGCGGAACGATTTGGACAGATGCTCGAAGCACACAAGCAATAGTTCGCACAATTCTGGCCGAGGCTCTCACCAAGAGCAAGAGCCAACAGTCATCGAGAATTTGAGATCAGGACCATGCAGGCAGGAACACGCTCGTGGAGAGACAAGGATACAGGGAAAGTGACCGTGTGGCTTTCTGGGCTGCTTACCAGACATATACCCGCTAGCCGGCCAAATCGGCTGAGACGAGCATTGAATGTGCACACGAGTAATTGACCTTACTTATCACAGTCCCCACTTTGTCCAGCCTTACCTTCGCTACATGTAGAAGAATCAAGAAAAGCTCTTACTCACCGCTTCTTGGCCGTGACCTGCAGTCCCACCGCCTTCAGTCCGTTGATAGTGCTCTAGGCTGATGACAAGTGATGCTCGCTTGGTTACCCTCGGAGGTTGATCATTCTGGCGAATCATGGCAGAAAATTGACAGAGAGCTGACATTGATTGAGCAGCCAGGCCCCCCGTGACCCGATCGTCTGGTTCTGGACAGACATATATTCACGGGCAATAGGATTCCAATCAGCGTGGATAGCCCTGAAAGAGCTGACTTTGAGCTAAGGATTCCTGTGTCTGGCGCTCGGAAATATAACAATATCGAGGCTTCAATTTGACCGCTTCAATCTCTCAGATCAATCGGATTATGCATACCACATGCTTTATCTGCTTTGTCAGATAGCATTTCTCACTAAATGCCTCTGCACTTATTTCAGTAAATGGGTCTATACCGAACTCCTTCCACAGGATCCACTGCTTACTTACCTACTTCCTGTACGCCGATCCACACTCGTGAGCCTAGAAAGCCGACAAAAGACATCATGACAAGACTTATAGTCAGGAGGTTGCCTCCTTTTTTTTCAAAACACTTGAGCGACCAGTCCTTCACGGAAAGTCCGGATCTGACCGTACCATACGCCAAATCCCACCTACCTCCCTTGACCTGCAAATCTTTCGACTTTCCATTTTCGCCCCGGGATGGAATTGTCATATCTTCTGTGGGCTGCTTTTGCAGTAGTTGTAGCCTGCTCTCCTGTCCACCAAACCTTTGACGGGGCCGCAGCACCTGCACCTACCCTTCCCGCGCCGATAAGTCTTACCAACATTATCAGTGTCGTCGAGGAAGCGGCGAAAGTTGAGCGTGTGCGTTTTCCGTCTTCATACTTCCGCGGTCTTCCACCCTTCTCTCGATGCAGATTCCCACCTCTAGAATGACGCTGAAGTGGAAGCTTTCTCAACAGGAATCAGAGCTTCTGACAGCCTTCATCGAGCAAGTCAAAAAGAACGAGCCTGGCGTGCAAGTTTTCGAGCTGGACTTGGATCGAAGCAATAGCCAATTCCTTACATACGAAGTGTATGTTATGCTTTCATTTGAGCCGTTCCTATCTTCAATACATTACGTAGAAGTCAAGAAAATGTCTCAGCTAAACACAATCTCCAGATATGATGATCAAGCGGCTGTTGACGTCCATTCGAAGACCAGCTACTTAGCTGATCTACAAGCCGCCGAGGCGAAAGAGCAGCTCACACGCGCTGACAATCAGCTATTTCATTTGGAGTTGATAACAAGGTATATTCGTCAACCCGCTGAGTCGAGTGCTCCTGGCATCCATAGTATAGAGACGTAGGAAAAGAAAATCCCCTTTGTGCAAGTCTTTACTCACGTGTCATAGCCGCGGTGTTTGGGAAGAACAGAATACCATGCATGATAATGAAGGGTCTAGATATCAAAGGCAGCCTGTAAAGCTCGATGGGTTGTTATCAGACGTCCCCGAAAAGCCTCCATTAAGAGGAGGGAGGACCAGTATGGGGTGCAGAATGTATAAGATTTTTACAGATCTAATGAACGCATTCATTTACTGCTGATATGATGCTTGTAACCCTGTCACTTTGTACTCGAGGGTGTTGAAAGCAAGCTTCGCGTTGTCTGCTCGCAATCAAATTGGGGATTCTCCCGGACATCGCAAAATGAGTTGATCTATGGGCAATAGCGTTGAAAGTGAAGAAAAGGGGCATACTGCGGGACTAGGCCTAGGAAGGTTTAGCGTCAAAGTTGCGCGGTCAGCTGCACTGTTTTGCGTCATCGGCCAGAAACCCTGATTGTCTTGCGGCTTGGACATTTCTCTACAACTGAATCTTATTGAGCATCGTTGAAACATGTCCGAGAATACAGAAGAACCAAAGACAGAGGAGCAGCAAGAAAACAAGCCGCAAGGCGAGGAAAAGCCCAAAAGCGAAGGTGATCAGAAAGCCTGACGACCTCCTCGAAGCTCCATACTAACGTATCTCGCAAGGCAGCAAATGGTACGCTGCGCCAGAAAGCTATGGCAACGCTGCTGGTGAAAAAATTCAAGGTGCGCTTGGAACGGTCGGAGAGCCCCTCGGCAAGGGCCTAGAATATGGCACACGCCCTGTGGGCGGCATTGTCGATTCTCTTGTTGGTGGTGTGATGCGAAGCGGAGACGTCATGAACGACGCTCCTAAGCATGGTGAGGGTGTAGAGAACACCATAAGAGACAAGGCCGGCCAATTGATGGGACAGGGCCAGGAGGCTATGAAGAGTGGACAAGCCCAAGAGTACATGCAAAAAGCACAGGATGCTGTAGAAGGGCAATATGAGCAGGGCGGCGAGCAGGCGCAGAATGTTATACAGCAAGGAAAAGATGCTTTGGGCTCAAGTGGAGAGCAAGTTGGAGACGCTGCGAAGAAGGGTCAAGATGTTGCTCAACATACTGTTCAGAAAGGTCAAGAGACAGCTGGCCAAGGCGGAGAGCAAGCGCAAGATACATTGAAAGAAGGATCAGAAGCAGCGGGTCAGACTACGAAAGACGTAGGGGAGAAAGCTGAAGAGACAGCTGGCCAGGGCGGAGAGCAAGCTCACGAAACTCTAGAGAAAGGATCAGAAGCAACGACTAAGGCTGCCAAAGATGTGGGAGAGAAAGGTGAAGAGACAACTGGTCAGGGTGGAGAGCAAGCGCAAGATACTTTCAAACAAGGATCAGAAGCAGCGGGTCAGGCTGCGAAGGATGTGGGAGAGACAGGTCAGGATGCGGCTGGAGAAGGAGGAAATCAGGCCCAAGAGACTTTAAAGAAGGGTAAGGATGCCGTCCAAGGTGAAGACGGTGAAGGAGATGTGCAGACGAAGATAGGTCTGAAGGATGAGGAGGGCGAGAAGAGTCAGGAATAGGATTCTGGCGATGGGATGTTTCTGTGCCAGTGAAAACATGTCGATAAGCCTAACGATACCCACTCATGTTTACTTAACGCTCTACTAGGAAGTTCTAATGAATTCACGAAGTCTCCAGAATCTTGACCCTGTGTGTTTCATTTGCAGAGACGGCACTCATTCCTGTCAAATCCAAGACACCTTTTCCTGAAAAAGGGCTAGCCATTGACAAGTCGCATGGCACGAGCGCCGTATCTGTCACCAGCAACTTCAAATTGGGCTAGGACGATGTCAATCTCATTCATCTCCTCTTGACTTAGCTGAACCGGTGTCGAGTTCTCTTTGATCATTTCTGGTCGGACTGATCCGGGAATGGGGATGATTACCGGCATGTGCTTTTGCTTTGACAAGGTCAAAGCCCAACCGAGGGCCAATTGCGCTGGTGTGCAGCGCTTCTTAATCGCAAGCTTCTCGAGCTCTTGAACCGATTTCATGTTGACAGCAAAGTTTTCTGGCTGATATCTTGGCATAGCCTTTTGTATGTCTCGTTCAAGAAAGTCGTCGTGTGATTTGTACTGCCCGGTCAACATACCTCGTCCCACTAGAGAATAGCTGAGACAGGTTATGGTTCATCTGCAGTTTGGCATACTTGACACGACGGACTCATAAATGGGAATGTTCAACTCAAAACACGTGTCGGTGATTCCGTTCGTCAATGGGTCGGTATTGAAGAGCGATAATTCCATCTTTAATTGTTACAATCTTAGTCATCTTCGAGGCTTCTTTGATTGTGTGTGCGTTGACATATGCAAGTTTTAAATCCGTATTGGCCTGGCAAGTACTATTGACCTTTCAGATTCTTCTCTGGCTCCGGATCAGGAGGAAACGATGTTCCTCAAAAAGAGCTATCTGTACAAGGGTGACACTTCGGCGCGCCTGGTGCTGGGATCCTCTACTTCTCATCTCACCTCACAAAGTGCGACACCACCAATCTTGCCCTCCCCGACGAGCTCTGCTAAAGTGATGATGGTCTCTCGCAACGGTACGTCGGGGTCAACACGAAGCACACTCGAACATGTCAATCCGCCCCCTCTGACCAAGCATTTAAAGGCTGTTTTCCACGCTTTGCCTCACAAATTCAGGTCGACCATCTGGTGCTAGCTTGCGAATGGCGCCTTTGATGTTAAGGACAATTTCCTCGGCGTCTTCCAGGTACTTGGGAGAAATATTTGTGCAGCACAGTCCTCGAATTATATGCTGGTGCACCGTAGGATTCGCCGCCATTCCGAAGGTTGCACCCAGTGGCAAGCGCTGTATGCAAAACTGCGAATGCTTCCTCTTCGGAGGGTATCGTATTGCGCCATGTGAGGCCTGTTGCCGAGTGAGTGTGCCTTGCTATCTATTGACGATGGACACCATATACTCACCGGCCATTCCATATCCAATGTCCCCAACCTGGCGGCCTAAGACTTCACATGGCATGACAGAATAAGGTAATCAAGCATGTCATTCAGCTAGGAGCGTTCAGTGCAAAGGCAATCGACAGGACCAAAGCGCATGATTTGAGCAAAACACGGGCTTGTGTGGCTTCGCTCTAAGTAGATGAGAAGAATTCCCGTCGGATATATACGCATCCGGGAATATTCAATGATTGCATTCAGAGCGCACGACAAGGCGAGTCTGTCATAGCCTAGTGGAACGCCTGAGATATCGCACCTAGGTCAGCCCTCTGCAAGGCATGAGAAGGGACGTATGCTGCACGGTGATCATCTGCGGAGCCCGAGCAGAGATGCAGGTTGTAGACCGCTATTTGCATGCTCAAGATCGCACGCTGATCACATCTTTCGGTAGCGGTTCTGGTGAATATATGATCATATCCCGTCTCATCATCGACATAGCTCTCCTCTCTCGGCATGGATTACTGACGCGGACTCATACTTATTTGATTGCTGTGCTTGTGATTTGACTTATCAAATAGCACTTCTTCAAACATTGCAGCAAATATTTCAAAGCCCCATAAAAATTGTGAAAGGCAAAGAGTTCCGTCTTATTGACGGTCTCTTCCAAATTTTGATCACTCCTGCACCAACATATACGGCTTGACAGCTGGGTTCCGCATAATGTGACTACTGCGACTTCTTGTGCTACCAGATAGAGTCTCGTTGTCAATTGAGGCAAGCCAGTGTCACGCGCCTCTTCACATAAGGTTACCACCATAAGAGGTCAATCACTTGCCCTTTTGTTGGTCGCTGTTGTGGTGACAAGCCCCTGGTCCTCATTGGGTTTCGTTTGTGGTGGGTGTGGCAGCCACGACCTCCCCAAGGGTAACACGCGTACCATCAGTCGAAAAACGCACCGGGCCCAAGTGAGTAAACATAAAACTGTCGTACGTTAGTTCTAGTACGCTTCATCTAATCGCATGCTTACATGAGTAATCTTTCCTTTGTATTTACATCGAAAATTAGGAGAAAAGGCAAACAGTAATGAGGATGAGGAGAGTGACGGAATGGCACTACAGCCTTTTCGACTGTGGACCTGCTCGTCTCTGTTCGTGTCTCTCTCCTTGGTAGCTACCAGCTCCTGTCACAATCTGACCGTTTGGAAGGCGCATCCGCAGTCTTCTGCCCCTATCTCACTTTCAGCAAAACGCAAGCAATGCGCGAGAATCCGGACGACACTGAGACCGACGGCTGCAATCGCAAGGAGGTTGTTCCCTCTCCTTTATCATTGCATGACCGAGCACTGTTGCTTACCATTACCATTCGTTCAGTGCCTCTTCACGTGCCTCCTCTGCCAAGTCCCGGGGCTCCAATGCATTCTCCAAGGTATGAGCCGAAGCGAGGCCCGCGAACAATACAGAATTGAGGGCAGCCGATGCAATGACCATGTCATGTCCTGGTGCTGTCATTGCTGCACGCTCGTTCAAGAGCGAAAAGAAGTGGAATTCCAGAATGAGAAAGGGGCGGGCCTTGGACAGCCGCACCCTGCGAGGGGGTATCAACTGCAGAAGCAGAGGGAGAGGATGCGGTATGTCGCTGTCAAGTGATCTGTAAAGTATAGGAAAGAGTAGGATGATATAGCTGGGATTAGGGAAATCATAGGCTTGTGCTCTCTAAGCTCTCTGAAACAAGATATCTAGCTCTTGAGAGACAATAGAGCCCGACTTTGCTTCAATTCGCTGTCTCTGCACCAATGTTTAAGTAAGATCACGACCCTCTGCCGCCGTTCGGAACAATCGAACGTAGATGCTTAGCGAGAATGAAAGAGGGCAAGGTGGGTGAGAGTGTTGGTAAGGGTAGAACTTTCTAGATCTGGATGGGTCTTTCACCAACACATCTGGACCGTGACACGCACAATGCGAAGGGGGAAAATGAATATCACGATTGAATGCCAGGTACGCACCACATCGGCTACTCTGACGGGTCATGTCCCCTCGTCGTCCACATAATATTCTGTCATGCTCAACACCATTTCGCACCAAGGAAAATCACTAAGGTGGATCGCGTATTTCATGCATGCCATACAATACTGCAAGCGATGCTCGAGTATTGGGCATTCCACAGGCAAGGGTGAGCATGTGTGGCGAAAGGAGTAGAAGGAACTGCTCCAAGCTCACACTCCATCGGACGCATCCGTCCTCACACACTACATCGCAAGGGACAGGAGGACAGAGGTTGGAGATTGCAAGGGTTGCTTATCACTGAATCGCAGAATCTCTCAATTGAAGAAGTTCAGTCGGAGAACCGAGGTTCAAGTAGAAGATGACAATTTCTTCTACCCTGAAAAGGAGGCCTGCCGAAAAGCTTGTAGATAGTTGCGCAAGCGAAGGGACAACCAGGCCCGTTTGTATCGAACTACGGAGCGGAGACCATACTGAGCGGGGCCTTAGCTGCAGATTAGGGAGTGAAATAGGTGGCCGCCTCTTCCCTTCATATCCATCTGTTCCCACCTGCCTTTCCTTAAAATCGCAGTTGCTCCATCCAGTCATTTGCTGCTTGCCATTCTTTGGGCGGCACAGACCTTCCTGTCGGCGCCTCCACCACTCATATCCGACCAACCGTGGCCCCCCTTGCCCCCCCTCATATTGCCCTCCGTCACCCTGGCCACTTCATCCCTAGTACTACTACTTCATTCTCGCCCCTCCCACCTTCTAGAAGGAGACTCTCTGTCGGGTTTCGGCAGTTGCGCATGCGACAGTTACAGCGAGAGGGCATTGTACCGCTACCTTGCATACACTCCCTGATAACTGTCCTCGTAATATCAATATTGTCATTGGACAGCTGGCCCCCCATATCGCGCTATCCTCACTATCATGAGAGCATCTCCGACCTGCAGCCACTGGTGCTTGATTCGCCTCTTTGTGGGATGGCGATCAAACCTCCCTCAACGGGCAGGAGAGGTCGAGTGCAGGTGATGCATGCAGAGCGAGCATGTATACAAAGACCCATCCCCCTGTGGAATGCGCGACGAAGCTTTCGTATCTTCTTTGCTTCTTTCTCTTCCCTCCACCCCACGTCGACAGCTTCAGTCTGTCCCGATAACTACTCACAATGACTGAACCACGAGAGCTTCCCGCAGTGCTGTAAGTCGATCTCTTTAGTCGTTGATCGAGCGCTCTCTAGCCCCCCTTGGCGTGATGCGCCACCCGATTGTCGCCATTTCTCAATGGTGTCAAGCACCAGAAGCTTAACGGGAAAGCTCCCAATGGCTTATCGGCCGCCCGCTTAGCACCTGCGTCATATCCATCGGCGTGATTGTCTTTCTTTGTTATACCTTTCACGTTCACTCTGTACCACTGCATGTGATATTATGCGCTGACAACGTCAAGAATGCACGCAGAGGCCGATCACAAAAACGAGAAAGACATCGCCGGCGGGGTCTTGACCACCGACGAGAAGGCCATACCTGCCTACGATAAAGAGTCGAGCACAGACGAATTCGATGACGGATTCGAGTATCCCACTGCAGAAGAGGTTGGAACCTTGAGACATGTTCCATACTGTATGATGCCCTCACAACTTGAGCGCATCATGGATTGATTGATTGATTGCGCCAGCTCTGCCCCCTCGCTTGTTCCTTGTCTGCATCATTGAGTTGTCCGAGCGATTTTGCTATTACGGCGTCAGCGGCACCTTTAACAACTATATCGCGAATCCCTACGCTGGTGGGCCTCCCTGGAACGGAGAAGATGAGGTCCCAGGCGCAATTGGAAGAGGAACCGCATTTGCTTCGGGATTGCAAAACTATTGGCAATTTTGGTGCTATGTCACACCCATCATCGGAGCCATAGTGGCCGACCAGTACTTGGGAAGGTACAAAACCATCATTCTCTTCTCGCTGTTCTATATTGCCGGACTCATCATCTTATTTATCACCTCTCTCCCCTTCGCCATCAACAATGGCGCTGCGCTTGGAGGTTTGGCTGCTGCTATGACAATCGCAGGGTTAGGTAAGTCTCGCGCGTTGTGGGTAAGAGACTCGGACACTCACAATTCCAGGTACTGGTGGCATCAAATCCAACGTTTCTCCCCTCATTGCCGAACAGATGACGGAGACCAGGATGAAAATCAAAACCCTCGCATCAGGCGAACGCGTTATTCAATCTCCTAGTGTCACCTTCCAGCGCATCTACATGATCTTCTATTGGTGCATCAATGTAGGGTCACTTTCCTTGGTTGGTACCGTCTTCATGGAGAAATATAAGGGCTTCTGGACAGTCAATCTTCTCGGTCTACTAGGGTTCCTTGTTGGGTTTGCTGTCTTGCTCCTGGGTAAGAAATCTTATGTGACCCGGCCACCCCAGGGGTCTATTCTACCCCACGCTTTCAAGGCTATGTGGATTGGCTTGATCAATGGGCGCAATATGGACACGGCAAGACCTTCATATCAAGCTGGTATTTGAACCTTCACTCGAGTGATTCGCGGGTACTGACTTGATTTCCAGCAAATGGCCAAAAATACAAGACCCCATGGAATGAGACCTTTGTTGATGAACTTCGCCGCGCCCTAGTCGCCTGCAGAGTCTTCCTGTTCTACCCAATCTTTTGGGTGATCTACAATCAAATGAGCTCCAACTTCGTCGCTCAAGCAGCCCAAATGCAACTGCACGGCATGCCGAATGATGAAATGCAGAACATTGACCCGGTCGTCATCATTATCTTCATTCCCATCATGGACAAGATCGTCTATCCATTCTTGCGGAAACGTGGCTTTCCCATGTACCCCGTTACGCGAATTACTTGGGGCTTCATCCTGACAGGAGTCAGCATGGCATTTGCAGCCGGAATTCAACACCAGATTTATATTCGCGCGCCTGGTTATAATATGCCTACTGAGAATGGCCCTAACGACATTCATGTCGCTGTGCAGACGCCTGGTTATCTCATTATCGGTCTGGCTGAAATCTTCGCCTCCATTACAGGACTCGAGTATGCATTCACCAAAGCCCCTGCGAATATGAAGTCATTCATCATGAGCATGTTCTTGTTCACAAATGCCTTCGGGTCGGTCTTAGGTATTGGCGTCAGCGCTGTGGCCGAGGATCCGAAATATGTGTGGTTCTATACTGGCTTATGTGTTGCTGATATCATTGCCACGGCACTTTTCTGGTCCGTCATCATCCCCTTTGCTGATATGATCTACAGAAATGCTAATGGAACAATCAGGATTCTTTACTCTCGCTACAATAAGACTGAAGTCGAGATGAATCAGCTTGAGGATAAGCTTATCAAACCCAAAGCAGTGACTGAGATTGAGGGGAATCATGACCCTGAAGCGGGTCATTACTAAGGCCATTCTGTGGTACAATTTAGCTGTCAAACGTCTTGCAATTTGCATGATGCAAGTTCTATGTGGAATGTTTGTGAAAGTTATGAGAGATACCACCATGGATTTTTGAGTATGCAAACAATCATGATTTGTTACTCTATGATTTTGTAATCAAATGAATCATTGCTCCCCTCCTCTTGTCAATACCCTATAACCATTACTGGTAAGCTCGCCTTAATACATCAGCCTACTTACTTTCCTCCACATTCCTCTTATATTTTCGAAAATCTCGGAAATTCATTAATCGCGCCAACTTCGACTGGAAACCCATGTCTCTATTCTACACTTTCTTTTGCACTTTGTTAGTCATCCTAGAAGTGAAGCATTCCATGTGACATTATCGTCGTCCATTTCATCCTGGTCCTTCGTTTCCCATTCCACAGCTCTTTGCGAATGCCAAGATGCCTGTGAGACCGTCATCATCAACGCGTCTGCCGCTCTTGTCGATGCAGGTCCACCTAAAAAGAGGCGAGCAATTAACAGCTCTAGCCTCCTGATAATCTATTTCTGAACATCTTTCAAGCTGACCATCCTCCAGCACTCTAAACCCTGCGCCAGGCTGTTCGCTCGATCCAGATCGCTCCAAAAAGGCTCCAATCCGCATCGTAGCCATTCACCAAGACTTGCTCATCCGCAATCAAGCTACCATCACTCGTGTCCCCAGAAGTTTTCTCTCTGTAAAGACTTGAAAGTGTGATGACGCTACTGCGAAGCAGGGTCAGTGGCCCGCCCCCGTCAATCTGCTTTGCCGGATCCAAATACGCCTGGAAAAGGTCCTAATCCTCTTTTTTACCATCGGTCGAGATTTTGCATAATCATGAAGTTGCTGAAGTCCGTCTTTTGCTACTCGAGCGTAAGTTGTATTACACGACCATGGATTCGGCGCCAAGTAAAGCGCACAGCCCCTTTTTCTTCTCTCTTTAAGTGCCGCCCATGGTGACATCTTGCCCTGGCGCAATGAGAGTAGGCGACCACCAAGTATGAAGCACAACCTTCGTTTCCTCGGTACCGTCCGTCATGACATCCCTCAAAAACCCCTCACTTGGCCTTTGAGGAAGTCTCCGGCTATTGGTCTCATCCTCGGGATCCAGACCAGACATTTCCACGTCTTCGATTTCAAACTTTGGAGCAAGGCAGTCGCTCCACACAGGTTTCTCTGCCTTGCTCGCTTCTGAACACCACGACCGTCTTCCGGTGATGGACAAGCCCCAGAAGTCCTCGAATATTGCGTCGACCGGATCCGATGGTGTGATGCACAGCGCTGAGAATTGCTCGGCCAAGGCATCGACAGGGTCCGCTACGCTCAACCCTCGAAAATGGAGCTCTAGGTCCTTCACCCCAGTGCTGTGATCCTGGATTGGATCACACCAACGTTGGACATGGGGTACCACTTTGGCGTCATCTGCAAGTCTGACATCTGCCTGGGGCGCCGGGTCCAGCATAGGCGACGAGGATGATGGTGCCTCGGTGGACACTTCGATAAGGTCTCGGACCTCCTTGGTCGTCGCCAGAGCCTGTAGTGCGGCCACATAGTTGTGCCGACGATTGTTATTATATATATTTAGAGCTTTCTTCGTTGAAGAAAGCTTCCTCACACCAGAGTAGGATTTAGAGAAAAATCGGCGCTGTTTCTTATTCTGCAGCCTTCGACGAGGTGCTGCTGATGCAGCAATGGAAGTCTGCTCTCTAGAAGGATTCTCATCCTCAGACCTTGAATGTGCAAAGTGCTTCTCTGGGGTGTGAGAAACCACGACAGGGCTGTTATTCTTCGCAGTAGGCTGAGCGGAGACCGGAGCTGGTCCTGTTGCCGTGTCATTTCCACCCTGTTGGGATTGCTCCTTATATGTATGAGCAGTTGCCGTCGAAAAGACTGACAAGGATCCGTCTCGGTCGGATATCTTTGAATAGATTTAGTCAACTTGTCATGTTCGATACAGATGTGATGTATATGCAACCTTCTGAGCAGTATCTTCATGTGACTCAACCGGGTCAACCTCAGTTGACCATCGATCCTGTGAGTTGCGAGCTGTCGAAATCTGCGATTGCTGGCTTGAACTAGTCGATAACCCTGGCACCCTAACTGTTGACCCATACTCTTAGCAAGTGTATGTGTCAGAGTGAGGTTCGGTTACCTGTGTCGGCAACTTGATCAAGAGTTTCGCCTTGTAGCGATCGACGTAAGAGAACATCATACAATGCAGGCCAGGGTACGGATCTTGTAGTTAATCTATTGAGCTGGCTGAGGACGATGATGATGGCTGCCAACATAACGTTCTGTTCTCGTGTGGACACCATGTTGTGGAAATGGAATCTGATCAGAATAGGTTTTCGATGGGTGATGTTGTGAAGAGAAAGATCTGGGAGATGCAGACGATTTTTTATACCCGTGAGAAGTGCAACACTCAAAAACATGGTGGCGGATGGTTAAGTGTTCTCGGGGGCAAAGTGTTGATATTGAAAGTCACATCGCGGTAATACGTTTACACACTTACCATTGGTTGATAAAGGAGGCCGCAGTCCTCAACACAGCATGATAAAGGACTCTTGCGTCAACAAAACACCCATCAACCGTGTCGACATTGTGGGGATGAATTTTATTCCGTTGTGACCAATGTGACAACATATTCATGTGTTTCAAGATGCCGTCATTCGCAGCACCCCAATCAATGTGAAGTGTTCACCGACAATACAGCAAGATCGTTCCAATGAGGCCCTTGAGGGCACGAAAGGGAAAAGACATTGCTTGCAAAGAAAATAAACAACGGCATTCAACAGTACTTGCCGCCAAATAAGACTGTATTCAACACGTCGACATCACGTTCAGCTTTGTGCAATCTCACTGCACATCGCACCTTGTGTGCTCTCCAGATTGACCTCATTCGACTTCAAAAGCGTCGTGAAGCCTAAATGACATTCACTCACCAAGAGTATCCTGTGTCTATCTTCTAACACACACGTCATATGTCCAAGCCGGGCGAACAGCGAAATCGACAAACATATGAACCTTCATGTCTCCTTTGTGATCAATAAGATTGCTGAACGTCAGACTAGTCACGGTCTAGCCTAAAACGGGTTTCAATAGACCAAACCTCGCTTATCAAGGCATCAACAGCAGTAATCTTCCCTTTCTGACTAGACATGAACTCGACCATATGATTTCGGGTCGAAACGATGAGTCTTCGTACTCAAGCCGTCAATGGTGATTGCCGAGGTCTTCTCGTAATTGCGACGATAATCACTGGAGATCGTATGAAGAAACTATGACCTTCGACACCATGGGGTCCGTTCGTAGGTCTTATAATACTGCTGTCTTTCCTCTCGTTGAAGAAACCACCAAAGAAGCTGTCGCTGACAATTTCAGATAAAAACCAATCGAGCAATCAAACTTCGAACTCGTCCCGAGTGATAATATCTCGCTATCAAGGGGCACTCGAGGATACACTGGGCAGAGAAAGGCCAAATGTTTGCTCCAAGCTATTAGCAAAACTCCGAACCCGCAGCATATTAGACAGGACGCCGCAGTCACAGTTGTCAAGCGAACAAGCACGCAGTACGCAGATATTAGGGGTGCTCTTCTCATTCCTCAGTCGATTGGACCATGTCAGTGCTTCTCTTTCGCCCGACATCCACTGAGTCGGCATGTTCTTTGCCAAGTGCTGTCACATCTTATTTCCAGCTGGTCATACGTGGGTTGCCGCATTGCCAAGAAGGCCAAAAGCCAGAGGCACAGCTGCCGTAAGAGGCAAAATTCCCATGACATTCAGAGTTGCCTTTTTGGGCGAAAGTTGCGAAGACTTCGGTTTCCTGCACCTTCCTTTGGCCTCTTGTAAATATATTATGAGAGGTGTTTCTCTCTCTCAAGTACCGATGAGATTTGTTTTGTCTTCTCGCGCCTGGTGCATTGGCAGAAGCAAAGGAATCAGACAACGCAACCAACACGTTTCTGGGCTTAGTGAATCGTGTTTGAGGTTTGTAAACAGTAGGTGGGCATTGCGGCGACTGTGCTACGCCCCCAGCATCTGACAACCTTGAAACGCGATAAGAAGTAGCTCGAGCACATCATGCACACCATCAGTGCAGACCTGCTGTGCCATTTCCCCGCAGCAGCCTTCATCCAGATGGAAGACAACGCTAGCCCGTCCAATGCTAGTGGTTTGCGGCGCGCATCTGCACCGGCCCGACTTGGCCTCTCCTATTTCTTCACAATGATAGCATCAGTCGTCTTTCGCTTGTGAGCTTTACCTCTGAGGGGCATTGGTTGCGAGAGATGTGGCCGTCAGGGCCACAACGCACGCTTAAACTTCACAATCGCCTGCGGCACGCCTGCCGGACCTTCTTTGGAGACCCTCAATGTGGCGTGCATGCTTCGATGCTGGGATGCTGGAAGGCCAGGCTTGCTGCATAAGGTAAGAAATATGGCACGGCATAATTCTCGTGCACATAGCAATAAACCACCTAGAAGGTGCATAAAATCTCGGTCGTCCCATGGAATTCCCAAGAAAGGTAGCAAGATCTCTGAACAATCACCTGTCATCCCGAACAATGGGTATACTTCGTCGTCTTGCACAGAATGGTCCTCCTGCTGGTTTCTCGATCCCAGCAGGAGCAACAGGACCACCTCCTGGATTCACGCCTCCAGCAGGAATGTCGGGCATTCCGGCTGACATTCTCAGCTCTATCACAGCCGTTGCTGCGACCGCGACCGAAACTCTCTCGGCATCGACAACGCCCATGATGACGGGGCCGCCAGCGGGAATCACTTCAGCACCTGGAATGACCGGACCTCCAGCAGGCATGACAGGGATGCCACATATGCCAGACGCAGTTTCCAAGAATATGGGGCCAAAGTTCCTGACCTCGGGGCAGCGCGACGTCATGGTGGGCCTTAACATTTTGTTTCTCATCCTTACCTTCACCGCTGTGGGTGGTAGACTGCTTTCAAGACGCTTGATCAAGCAGAAGCTTGGCGCAGATGACTGGATATGTGTGGGCGCACTGGTGCTATTTGTTGGCATGGAGACTCTGCAAATCTTGATTGCGGATTTCAGCATTGGAATGGGAGCGTTCACCGTCGGCAGATTGAAGCGCAACGGCGGTCTCAGATTCGGAAGTCAGCTTACGTACGGCCTGGTGACGACCGTCGCGAAGCTTTCAATATTATTTCTGTACAAGCGCGTCTTTAATCTGCGGGTCAGATGGTTCAAGATCGCCTGGTGGATGTGCTTTGCTCTATCCATGGCGAACGGGTTTACCTTGGTCATCATAAGCTTGACGTCTTGTGCTCCTCATGGTCCCAGTAACTTATGGAACCATCCACAGTATTGCAGATTCGAGATTGCTTCACCCACTGCGATGGGCGCTATCAACGCGGTGATCGATTTCGCACTTCTAGTCCTCCCTATTCGCATGACGTGGACTCTGCAAATGTCGATAAAACAGAAGGTTGCAATATCGAGCGTCTTCGGACTGGGCTTGCTGTGAGTCATTCTTTCTCAAAATGCAGTTTGTTAGTTGGTGCTGATTGCTGCTTAGTGGTGTCGTTGTCAGTATTGCGCGTACAATATCAATCGCTAACCCTTCCCTATTCACGTACGGGATTCTTAGCTTCGCACTGTGGTCAGCAGCCGAGTGCGCGGTTGGTATCATTTGCGCTTGTCTTCCGGTCATGCGACCACTTTTCATCTCGATCACCAAAGCCCTCCCGTCAAGCACAGATTGGCGCAGCTGGAGCTGGTCGTCCAGGTCACGGAGAAGTGCTTCAGATTCGGAGAAGACACTTACAAATAACTCCTCCACAGGAGGCCTTGGGAAAAGCGTGCGCAGTTGTGACAGCCTACAAAAGCATGGCTTTGGCAGAGTTCGTACGACGGTAGAGGCTGTCAAGACACGCTCACCACTTCCCGTGTACTCACCAGGTTCGAAACAACAGCGCAACAATCACATTGGGAATTATGCTAAGCTGGCAAGAGATAGAGGCCTTGAGAGGCAATACTCAGAGCGACCAGATATAGGTGGGAAGCAGGGTAGTAAGGGTACCCGGGCAAGTTCGCAGGCTCACATCTGTTCTCGCTGCCAAGGTGAAATAAAGGGAGGATGGGAATGAAAAAGATTCTGCAATGATTAAACGCGTTAATGACATGATACACATAGCTTGAGCAATATGAGGTTGAGAGTGGAAGAGGTTGAAATTCATCAGTCAGGGGTTGGCGGGAAATTACTGAGCGGCCCAGAGCGGAGGCTTTCCGCCCGCTTTGAAGGTCTGAAAGGCCTAGATGCGGGGAGCGGTCCCGCGCGTCATCTCTCACGTTATGTACTCTATCCAAGTTTTCGTGGCTGGCAGAGATCTTCGCCCTGTTCAAATATTTGGACACTTTATAGAGTCGCATGCGCCGGGCTTTTTCTTCGTCTCTGAAATGCGCCTTTGAAGGGACGTTTACATCCTCGACTGAAGCTATGCGATTCCTTGTCCACAGAGATTTGTCATGTCGCTTGACAACAACGGTAATTATCCAGTCGTCGCGCGGTACAAGCTCAAGGACGGTAAGACAATGAACTTACGGCGCAGAGATTCCAGTGACGTAGCAAATGCCAAACGCGCCTCCATGACGTCTCCGCAAAAGCCTGATGTAGCATCCTCTCAAAGGCCATCTCTAGCCCCTCAACCTTCAACGCCTTCAAGGCGATTGTCAAACTCGACAACGAGGTCGCAAGGCGCGCCTTATGACGCCGACGTATCCAGCGTAGGCTCCAGAAGTAGAGCGCCAAAGCTTCCCCCAAGGCAAAGTAGCGCTGGTGCCTCCCCCGGTGGAACGTCGCGAAGACCTTCTCTGGCGCCTCGGCAATCATCCATGTCAGCTTCAAAGTCAGCGTTGGCTCGGTCTGATGCTTCCAGTATAGGGTCGAGAGATAAGCCTCCAAAGCTGCCACCAAGACCTCCAAGAAGGCCTTCTGGTTTAAGCAAAGCTCCGTCCAATGTGAAAAACAACTCGCCCACCAAAGGGACCTTTACTTCAAATCAGTCGACATCAGATAAACTAGCCCCTTCCGCAAAGAATCGCCCTACTGATTCTAAAAAGCCGTCCGCAGCATCGAATGCTGCATCGAAAGCGCCAGCCCTTCAGAGGTCAACTGCTGCGGGTACGTCTGATCCTCAGAAGAAGCCATCGAAGAAGGCTTCGAGCCTGAATAAAAGTCCTGCTCCGGCGCAGGATAGTAAGCCCAAACGGCCGCAGCAAGCGCCCAAGAAAAGTTCGCAGACCGAGAAACCAAGGCCACCGCTCAAATCCACGCCTTCCGGGCGAAGGGTTTCTTTCCAAGATGAGGTCGAAAGATCATCAAAGACAAAGGATGACGGGTCTAAATTACCCAAAGTATCTGAAGAAGGGTCTAAGCAAGAGGAGAACTCGTACAGGAAGCACCTTCCCAGAGCCAAGTTACCAGAGTCTTCAAAGCCATCCAAACGCACACCTACAGGAAACGGCAATAAGGACTCCCTCGCGAGATCCGAACCTTCGAAGAATGCTGTTTCCAAGAAGCCCTCAAAGAAAGTCCGGAATTCCAAGGATTTAACGGAGCCGAAGGAAGTCTCCCAACCACCAATGGAACCTGATATTGGTGCAAACAAACCCAGAAATACCGCCAAGAAGGATGGGAAACTTCAGAAAGGAGCCAGTAAACTCGCCGAGAATGATCGCGATCTGAAATCAATCTTAACCGAGGGACAATGCGGAGATGTGACACTACTCATTGCTGACATCACGAAACAGATGAGGAGCGACATAGAAAGCCATTTTGATGCACAGAAAGGGCTTCATCTGATCAAAGATGACAATGGCAGTGATGACATTCTGGAAAAGGACCTTGATTTCGATCCTGGAACTGTAGATGTGGATGCCTACGAGAAGGAACGTAAACTTCGCGATCAAAAAGAAAAAGAGCTTTCTAGACCGGAAAACAAGAAATTGAAAGAAACTAATCTGGAGTGGTTCGATGAATGGCGAGAGGTTGTCATATTACGCGTTGGCGAAGCTGTAAATTCGAAGAAAGTAGCATCTGCGCAGAAGGAGAAGGCATCGCCAAAACCAACGAATACCACCCGTCAAGGGCAAAGGCTTCAGAAAGTCGATGCAGGGACCAAAACATCAAGCAACATGGGCCCAAAGCTCGAGGATATCTACCCACGAATCCAAAATCCCCTAACCAAACTACCCATGAAAACGCGAAGCCTTGTCCTGCACTCGATATTGCTCTTACTTCTCAGCTTGGAACGCTACAATGCGTCTTCAAGAGTGCTTCTGTTGTACTTGACCTCAAGTCTCAAAATTGGGCTTAATGGCCTACAAGCAGATGAGGAGAAAGTTGCGCAAGGGCTTTTGAACGCAGCAAAGCAAATGACAGCAGATGAGGAAGCGAGCAAACGCCTTGGGGAGAGCGAAAACTCCTCTCGCAAGTGGAAAATCCGCCTTGCAAGCGCCGCTGGAGCCGCTGTTATTGGCTATACAGGGGGCCTAGCTGCTCCAATGATTGCTGCCGGAGTGGGATCGTTAATGGGAGAGCTTGGACTCGGAGCTACAGCAGCTGCAGGTTATCTTGGATCAGTGGCTTCGAGCGCAACAGTCGTTGGGGGGCTATTTGGAGCCTATGGCGGTCGCATGACAGGACAAGCCATGGAGAATATCTCTGCTGGAGTTCATGACTTTGCTTTCTTACCTATTCACGGCGAGAGAACGGAGCACCAGGGAGAGAGCCTCGATGCAGCGACGACCACGCGACGGTTGCGCGTGGTTGTTGCAATCTCTGGCTGGTTGCTGGAGAAGGAAGAGATCGTTACGCCTTGGAAGGTCTTGAAACCGTCTGCTGAGGTTTTCGCATTGCGCTTCGAATTAGAAACCCTCTTGAACCTCGGACAAAGCTTCGATACGATGCTTCAGAGTGCAGTATATGGCTATGCGCAGTCCGCAGTAATCAAGCGCACTGTGTTTGCAGAGCTTCTGGGTGGCATGACGTGGCCTATGGCATTGACTAAGGTGGCTCGCGTCGTCGACAATCCTTTCAATTTAGCCAAAACCCGTGCCGATAAAGCTGGACAGGTTCTCGCAGACGCTATAGTGAACCGTGTACAGGGCGAGAGGCCAGTCACCCTCATTGGCTATTCGCTTGGCGCCAGGGTGATCTTCTCCTGCTTGACATCTCTCGCGAAGCGAAGAGCCTTTGGCCTTGTCGAATCGGCCGTAATGATGGGTGCTCCGATCACATCGGCTACAACCGACTGGCGGCTGATGCGATCTGCTGTGAGTGGCCGCCTGGTCAACGTCTATTCAGAGAATGACTATCTGCTGGCTTTCTTATACAGAGCGTCTAGCTTGCATTACGGGGTAGCTGGACTTGTACCCGTGACTGGCCTCGCTGGCGTCGAAAATGTCGATGTTACTGAGACCGTGTCTGGTCACCTTCGATACCGCTATCTGGTTGGATCGATACTGCAAAAAATACGTTTTGAGGACATTGACAAGGATGAAGTGGCCAAGGAAGCTGTTGCGTTCGAGGCTATCCTAGAAGAAGAGGCGAAGCGTACTTACTATGAGCAAGCTGGTGAGCTTTACGAGAATTATAAAGGCAAGAAGCCCCAGTACAAGAAAAAGGAGCCAAAGAAGAAAGACACGGAAGTCACGGATGCGGATGCGGAGAAGCAGGCTGCTGCCATGGAAAAGACAGTGGACGAAAAAACTCAATCAAGTCTCATGCAGTGGGCAGCCGAGCAGCTCTTCTTATCAAGTCCTTCGGTAGATAAAGCGAAGTATGAGAAGGCCAAGAAAGCAGACTGGAAGAATGAAGCACAACGCAAGTCTTACTATCAGTGGGCAAAAGAGGCAACTTATCTCTCCCGCTCTGGCGGCGCCGAGGGAGAGAAAAAGGCGAAGGAGAAGCAAGCAAAAGCTGAAACAAAATTGAAGGAAGCAACGGAGGGGCAGACACAGGATGGTCCCAAAGAGGATGAAGACAACCAGGGGGGCGCAGAGTCAAAGGATAAAGCCCAGGGGCTACCTGCTGAAAAACCAGGCTATTTTGCTACCGCAGCCGGCTACATACCATCAGGCTATGTTCCTAGCATTAGATCAGCACCTGCCGAAAAGGCCACCGAAGAACCGGACAACAACTTGCCGCAGGAGGTCTCGGCGGACGCTGCTGCCGAGGAGGCCAAAGGATATACGTCGTACCTGCCTTCCTTCGGCGGAAAAGGGAGTTCCAAGGGTGAAAAGAAAGAGGAAATCCCTAATGAAACTCGTGCAGAAAATTCAGACGATGTCCAGGTAGAGGATGCACAAGCAACACCGCAAGAGGCGCAATCCAATCATCCCTCCAATAGCGAAGATACTGTACGGGAGAACGACTTCACTACCGATACTGAGGGCGGGGCTGCGACCGACGGAGAAGATCCATTCGTTGATCGACCTAGTGAACCTCAGGCTACTGCAGGTGGCCAATCGACAAACGACGAAGAAGAGCCGAAAAGTGAGGATACTAAGGATAAGCTTAAGCATACTGAGCAAGAAACAGAAACTCAGGACACAACCGAAGCGGCTTCGGAGGAGACACCAAGATCGAAGAATCCAAAGGCTGACACCGAGGATCAAAACAACCACGAGTGAATTCATTCTAGTTTCGGGTGCGCCACTAGTATCACATTCGCGTTCGTTATGGGGTCACTGCATCGAATTTCTTTCGAAGCAGGTTGTTTTCTCCTGGACAAATGCGATCGATCCTGTAACATTGGAGCTTGCCGTTGGACGGGAGTCCACAACCCGGACGTAGAGCGTCTGGACTATGGCTGGCGAGCACCTTCATTCTCTGAGTGGCTCCTTGTTCTAGTCTGATTATCTTTCTATATATGTATATATACCGAAATATGTAAGATTCTATTCACAATTCGTGAAAATGCATACTAGCTATGTATCAAAGTCGACTCGATAGCTTGAAAAGCTTGTCTTGCGTCTACGTTGGCTGGATCGAGGGCATAGAGTGTTTGCAATGCCTGACAGACGGTCAATTTGTTCGCCGAGACTAGCTTCTTGGTCTTCACCACTACATCCAAAGCGAAGTCTGTTTCCAGCCAATGAAGCTGCTGCTCACTGAATAATTGTCTTGATGAACTTGTCCCCACCGAACGAGCGGCATCCCCAAAGACCTGTGACCACCACTTTGAAAGCACAGCCATCAAGTCGTCGCGCACTGAATGCTGTGTATGCTTTCCTCAACTCCCTACGACATTGCGAGGAAGCAGGTCCGGCGTCAGCTCAGAAAAACCATTTTCGTCTAATTCAAGGGCATCCATGAACAACACTGTCCTGTTTTGCCAATTGTGCGAACGTCTTTATTTGCAGATATGACAGCCGTACCATCAGGGAGACCAAATAACGCTTCTTGCACATTTGCTCTGTCCGTAGACTCTCGGGCCAAAACTTCAAGCTCTCTGAACGGCAACTGTCTTTTGTTCGAAGCCCGAAGTGTTATCCTCTTTCGTGGTCAATGTAAAAGAAATGGGCCAATTCTCAACGCTCATGTAGAGGGGACTAATACCATCATCGTCAACAGCAAGCTGCTCGAAATAGGCAAAGAGAACGCAGAAATAAGCTTCAACAGCCATTGGATGCGGCGTGTCAGCCCAGTACCAAATATGAAAGTCTGAGCTGCAATCATCACCCATCCATGGTGGCTTTGGTACCGTGCAGAGGAATTCGTGGATAATAAGGCTAGCGACTTGTCGCCGAGAGAATGTAAATCTACATGGGTAATCTGAGTGAATGGAAGCGATTCGGAGAACAAACTTGGCAAATCAAGCGCGAGAGCACGTATCAGGGGCCATACTCCGGCGAAGAAGTCATCCTGAGCTCCCCGGCTTGAGAAGTGTCAGAGGCAGGCTGTGCGAAGGTGGGAGAAGTCTGTTCGAGAAGTACCATGGAATGTGATGAACAAGGTCGCGATTAGGTCGATAAGACCGCGGCAGATGTAAAGTGGTTCGAAAAGAGCATCACTGACCAAAAGGCAACGCTGTCTTCATCGGAATTGGTCAAATCGAAGTGGTCAGTGACTAGTAGGATATGTGAGTGTGGAAATTGGGTATTCATCGGGGACTGGTTGTTGTAAAGCCTCTCAGTACCAACTTGTAAGAGCATACACTGGATTGTACAGGGGGAATCGCTGAATAATTTTGTGCATGAGGCATAAAGAAGCGACTCCACTAGGCCAAAGCTAGTTAGCTTCGAATTCTAGAGACTTCTCGTCTTCAACTTCCTTTCCAGTTCAATGTTGTTGTCAATTTAAAGATGAGGGCATCGTTACTAACTCTCTTTGATGAGTTCTGAAATGCATGCCTCCTTCCCTCCATAGCTGCTTATGCTTTCTTCATGGAATGCGGAATGAAATTTACAGTGCTACGCCGCAAAGCTATCGTCTCAGAAGTCTCCATGCCTGGCCGGCTGGTCTGGCCATACCTGACCAGCTTGAGGCTCTTGGTGGCCATCGGACCTTCTGCTAACGAGGTTTGGCGTTTCATCATGTTGAGTGGTACCTTTCGAAGCCAGTGGTAGGTCTACCTAGGTGAGGCAACTGGTCTAGCGTTCCAGACGAAATGATGGTGGCACAGAGAGCAATTATTTCATAAGCAGCCATGTCGCGAGGTTAATCCACCAGCTGTTCAAGTCTATTTCTTTGCAGATTTCGTTGCTTGGTGTTTGAAGTCGTCGCAGCCATTCGTTTCACAGATGTTGAGGCATGCGTCTCTCATCTACTCACACTCTTTTGCTCTACTTCATTTCTTGCGCACAAAATGTGTTTAGCTACGTTGCAATTCAAAGACATGCTCCAAAGACCTACAGCCTCTACGATGCCGATGCTACTCCGACGCGTGAAACGGACCAGGCCAGAATTACGCCTGGCTTACGGTTGCGCCAGCTCATGGATCCGGACTCTAACATGGCCAGATACTTCGCAACTAGGCCGACCAGCTATTCAAGTGTTCCTTATAAACCAGCTACCATCAATTCTACGCAGCAATGCTTACTGTGGGACCCGAGCTGCAAGGGTAACAGACGGGAAGCTGTTCTTGGCTTCTTCCAAGATACGATGCCAAAACTCTTGCAGGATTCTTGTTTCACGACCGGCCCTGACTGGGACTCATACTGCACAGAGACGCCGAAACCTGATCCTTCATTGATTAGTTATTGGTCAACAGTGAGGAGCTGGATGCGCGAACCATCATGCCAATCCGCGCGGCATGAAGCGCACGACTTAGTCTCAACCATCCCAACCTACGATATATCTGGTGGCTGCTGTGGTAGCTGTGGTATTGGCGGCCCAAATGTTGATGTCTACTATTGGGAGTCACCAAATGCAAATACCGAGTGCCTCAGTGTCATCGGTACGAATGTAAGCCCCCTTTAGAAGGCGCAACTACGATTGGCTCCATGACCTACTGGGGAGTCATCACTGCCCCTGGGCAGGAATATCGATCTGTCATGACGACAATGCTGTACACTTCAGTGAATGGGATATACTTCAAGATGCGTACGAACCATTGAATATTGTTGGGGACGAGGATAGACTGATTGTATTATTAGCACTTGTTAACCCTTGGGATCCTGCAACAGTCGCCAACGCCATCGCGAAGGATGCAGAGTACGCTCTGGTATCCATGACTGCGTCGTCAGCGGCCCCGACAATGCCTTTTCCAGCAGCATCTGGGCTGCACGCGCGAGCAAATCCTATCCCCCTAAGGCCTAGGCAAGTACAGACTCCTACAAATATAACGGCAAAAGCGGCATACGATTCGCATGCGAGTACAGTAATTTTCAATGGGCATACTTTGTAAGTCGCCACGCCATTGAAGCTCTTGAAGGCCTTATTGACGTATCTTCCATTGCAGTACTTCCCCTTCCATCTACGTAGATTTCTACAGCCTTCGTGCAACCGATCAGTGTGGTTATAGAGGCTCACAGAACATTGTAACATCTACATTACTTTCATTTACTCCTGGAGAGCTTTCAACGTACGGTGGTCCTTTGACCAGCATTTTAGGCCAGAATCAGGTTGAGCCAACACCTTATAATTTTGAAGACTTGCCTTGTCCACCCCAAAGTATAATGGTTAGCCTAATGTCTTTGCTTCTCGAATCCTCTGTGGGCCTTTATATTAACGTCTCCTAGCAAGATCAATGGTACAAACCAGAGCCTGGACAGCCTTACCGCCCAATCATAGCTTTCCCGCCAAAGCTTACCGAGATCGATCCTGCGTTTAAAGGTTGCACTGCAAGACTATTCACCGGCTACGATCCGCCGAGAGCGCTTGCATCTGAAACAGCAATGGCCGATGATCAAAGCAAAGCAGAATCCAATCCGCCGCCGCCTCCTGCACCCAACGCTAAGGTGACTGCAAACCTGAACATGGTACAAGATCCACAAACGACAGAGACGCCAGCCACCGAGAAGCAGCTGGACAATCAGCCACAGACGCAATCAAAGAAGATTGTAGTACCATCTGATGCTTCTCCTGTACAGCCTGCCACAAATTCACCAGCAAAGTTGATTGATGACCCGTCGAACGAATCAGATCAGCAGATGGCTGAGATACATAATGCATTGACGCCATCAATCAAGTCGCAAGAAGTAGCTGCTCCTGTCCCTGCCAATCCTCTACCAGCAGCGAATACACATTTTGAAGACATCGATCAGACACAGCCCGTTAGCGAGCCAGAACAACCGCCAGCTCCCGAGCCGATTGCCACCGTAGGAGGCAAGCCGATTGTTACGATGCCACAGTCTCAAAATGAAGACGACGGAGTCACGAATGAAGCGTCAACCGGCAGTGTTACAAACGAAAACGTCAATGCAGCCTCGAATCCGTCAGACAATGATCGAGTATCAGGAAAGACGGAGTTTGAACAGCAAAGCCAAGGGCAAGTTCCACAGCAGCAAGGCAATGCAGCTCCTCCAGTATATAAAATAGGCGACGAACAGCTCACTACCGGCGGTGCTCCGTTGACGATAGGCGGGACCGAAGTATTTGCTGATGCAGGTGGGGTGATCGTGGGTGACCAGACATACCATCCTACTGCTGCACCGAGTCCAGTGCAAATCGGAGGACATACTGTATTTGCGGCTTCATCTGGCTACAAGATCGACGGACTGAGCGTATTACCTGGTGGTGCGGCTGTCACTGCTGGCGGACAGACACTAAATATTGATCAAGACTACAATCTACACATCGACGATCAGGTCTTCCCAGTGCAGGAAGCAACTCCAGCAAAGCCCACTGTCATTGCCGGTCATACAGTCACTCCAGTTGGTGACGGAAAGGCGATCATTGACGGAACGACTCTGACTCAGGGTGGTCCCCCGCAGGTCATTTCTGGCACACCAGTGTCTCTTGAAACGAACAATTATATCAACATAAAAGGACAATCCTACCAGCTTCCCACTGCAGCTTATTCTCCAATTCCAACAGTCATCAACGGCCAAAGAGTCGTCCCCCTCCCGACCGGGTTGTCTATCGCTGGCACAACGCTATTGCCTGGAGGGATGCCAGTAACAGTGTCCGGCAAGCCAATTTCGTTGGACCAAACAGGCAACCTTCATTTCGGAGGCTCATCTTTTCCTTTACCGCCAATGATCTCTCTGGGCTATGGAGCTATACCAACAACCATTGCAGCTCAGGCTATTGTTCCTCTATCGAATGGGGATATCTCCGTAGCAGGCACAACACTCACGCCCGGCGCTCCCGCTATCACTGCAGAAGACGGTCAAATTATTTCTCTTGGCTCTGCTTCACTCACTATTGGCACTTCGACTATTCCTGTGTCTGCTCCCCGTACTCCTTTTTCAAATAGCGCAGGGCTTACTAGAACGACCATCAATGGCGAAGAAGTTGTTCCCGTGTCAAATGGGGTATCTGTCGAAGGGACTACGCTTACTCCAGGTGGCGTCATGACAGCTAAGGATGGTGAAGTCATCATCATGGGTAGCTCTGAGCTGGTAGTGGGATCATCCACCATTCCTGTGCAAATAGGGTCCGCTGGACTAGGCTTCACACTGGGAGGGTTGATCACCCCAGCAAGCGGGACTGGGCCTGGCTCGACCTCACCAACAAATTTTACAGGAAAAGCTAGCAGGCGGACGATAATGGACTGGTCACTACTTCTTTCTGCAGTTGCATACACACTGTACATTGTATACATATGACACCATTGTATGATGCTAATGGCAATACGTACCTCGAGGCTATCATATTCACGGCAAAGTATCTTAAGACATCATGCCGAGACCTGGACAGACTCTTTGTGCATATGCTAGAGTCTTGGAGCACAAATTTCGAGTCCAACATCACGTTCAAGTCCGGAGGCCGTGGAATGTTACGTTCTGAAGTTTTCTTGGCTGTCTGGGCGGAGGGGGCGGAGCTTCGCGTACCCATCTTGCCATTGGATGCTTCCTTCCTTTCCGTGCTTGGTATCAAAGATTTCCGCCTTGGCTTCCACTTTTCCCCCCTACAACCTCGGAGATCTTTCGCAATCGACGACCCCCGTTCCCTGGGCATAGATGAACGATCTGAGGAAGACATTGGCAGTAGCAGACCCATGGCCAGAGTCATATAAAAGCACGAGGTCGGATGTGCTCTTCTCATTGGTGCAAGCACCCAAGTTCTTGCTCTGGCAGAGCTATGATGATATTGCAAAGATGGAATATAAGTTGTCTGTACAAAGCATGGCCACCCAAAGCTTCTCCATTCGTTTCTCCTTTCTTACACCAATACATCATTTTCAGAAGGCCCCACGAAAATGGCACTCACGAAGTATGACTGGATCCTGGCCATCATCTCTATCGCTTTCTGCTGCAGTGCATTCGGTAACGGCGCCAACGATGTGGCAAACTCGTACGCCTCGTCCGTCGCTGCACGAACGCTCTCCATGAAGCAAGTTGGCTTCCTGTCCGCCATTACCGAGTTTGTTGGCGCAGTCGCGCTTGGTTCACGAGTCACGTCAACCATCAAGAATGGTATCATTAAAATCTCGCGCTTTGAGGGCAATCCAGGAGCATTGATCCTGGCCATGAGCTGTGCTGAAGTAGGGAGTGCAAGCTGGCTCCTTATCGCAACAAAAGTAGGGTTTCCGGTCTCAACGACGCAAACAATAGTTGGTGCTCTCATTGGGGTCGGTTTCGCTTCGGAGACTCCCATCAAATGGGCTTGGGATGATGGGAGTGTCTCTCAGATCGCTGCTTCATGGGCTGTCGCACCTGGGATTGCAGGTTGCTTTGCCGCTCTATTGTTCGGAACGGTCAAATACTCGGTGCTCGAGCGTAAGGACTCGCTGAAGTGGGCCATGAGGCTCATTCCCGCTTATCTTGCATTCACCGCTAGTATGCTTGCCCTGTTCATTGTCGTCGAGGCGCCGACCGCCCCTTCACTTGAAGAGTTTGGTGCTGGCAAAGCCACCGGTATCATTCTCGGAGTCTTCTTTGGTTCTCTGGCAATTGCATATGGTTTTTTCTTACCTTATTTCCATCGACGTCTGATTAAGGAAGATTCGCGATTGAAATGGTGGCACATACCCTTAGGTCCGAGTCTTTGGAGCGATGATCCTTATATCTACCTTCCCTCCAAAGACACTGAAATTGTCACCGATCACTACAAGGGCGCAACTGAAATCAACGACGCCTCCAGCCTTGATAGTCCGGCGATCGAAGCAAAGGACAGTGACAACAAGTCAGCAGATACCAGCGCACTCGAGCAAGGCGAGAACGGAAGAACAAAAGGCTTGAGACAAAGACGCAAGCAACCCGATAGAGAACCCGAAGAAAAGTATTTAGATCCTGTAGCTCACCTCCAGCTACTCCATCCATCGCGCATGTGGGGCACCATGAAGTATATCCTCCTCCAAGGCGTCACGCGTGACTGCATCACCTTCGGCTCCGCCAACCTCAAAGCCAAGCACGCACTTACTATTCGCTACGACAACCGAGTCGAGCACCTCTGGACTTACGCGCAGGTCGCCTCCGCAATGCTCATGTCCATTGCACACGGCAGCAATGATGTGTCGAACGCGGTCGGACCTTGGTCGGCCGCTTACTCCACGTACAAGGCTAATGCTGTCGATTCCGAGTCCGCCGCGCCGCGCTGGATCCTCGCCATTGCTGGTTTCCTTCTAGGCGCTGGGTTTTGGTTTTTTGGGTATCATATTATTCGCTCGATTGGAAATCGGATCACGCAATTGAGCCCGACTAGAGGGTATGCGATGGAACTTGGTGCAGCTATCACGGTCTTACTCGCGAGCAGATTGGGGCTGCCCGTCAGCACGACGCAATGTCTTTGCGGGGCATGCTTAGGTGTGGCCCTTATGAACTATCGCTTGGGCGCTGTCAACTGGAAGCAGTGTCTGTTCATTCTCATAGGGTGGATCATCACAATGCCTGTTGCGGGACTGATTTCTGGACTGTTCATGTTGATCGCACTGAACACGCCTCACTTCTGAAGACCGAGAGGTGATATTGTTTGGGCACGATTATTGTTTTTGCAACGGAATCAGTGTAGCTTCGTTTACTCGAAGGCTTAGTGCTCACTTTCAACAATGATATCACACACCCTTTTGTTCGATTTTGGGGCTGGGCACTGAAGCCATATCTAAATGAACCGTGAGGCTATATCAGATTCGGTGTAGCTTTACGAATCAAGACTTCTTGAACTCTCTCTAGTACCCGCTTTGTAGCTAGTGAGCTGTCGATCGACAAGGATACTGCCTAATTTCGCAAAGACCAAGGCAAATTCATTTGCTGAGTGGTGAAAGCTTCACATTGCCTCTCTCAGGCAAAGCGCCGTCACGCCTTTCATGCCGTCAGATAGTCGAATCATTGGTATGATGTCAACGACGATGATATTCGTCTCCGTATTGGAACTATTTTGGTATAAACGTCCTGCTTATAGTTATTGCCCCATTACAATCAAATGTGTCAAGGATCCCTGAAAAGACATAGACCTTGGTTGAGGGACCTCTGACCCTTGAGCCTCCCAACACCCAGCAAGGGGCAGGACACAGCTTTGTCTTTTCTTTCACGATTCCTGACAAAACACATTCAATGAAAGAAAACCAAGCCAACTTCAGCAACAAGTGGAATTCTAGTCTTCATTTTGCTGGTGCTGATGAGATGCACCCTGTGCCTCCAACATTTGACTGCCATGAGAAGATCATGCTGGGGAAGATAGATAGCACAGTCTCGTATCATCTGGACGTCACCACCACCAAGATTGCGAAGGGTACGAGCAGCTTCTGGTTACCACAATTGTCATCTACGTTTAGATTGATGCCGATACGAGCCGAACAGAACCCTGATCCGCGATGGAGCCATTCGACATCTTCCCACACAGTCCAAGGATCTGGCATGCAATTGAAGGCTAATTTTTCTGTCCCAACTGTCTGCTTTGCCGGAGGGCCATTTCCACTCTCTGTAGGATGCGAGTATCGGGGTTCACCCGCAGGCGCTCCGCAATTAGCGAGTCTGGTCATTCAGCTCAAAGGTGCGGCAACTACGAGAGCAAGACCTTTTTTGACGGGCGAGAAGGATGTAAAAATTGAGAACGAGGGACTCATTGCGAATTACCCCAACCTGGCTATCACCCTAGCGCCAGAACCAGCGAGTCTGTTGAGACTCAATGGACATCTTCCAGCCGATGCACTACCGTCTTTCAAGTCCTTTACCGTCTGCCAGAGCTATGTAGTGAGCGTCAAGTACGGCTTGCGCATTGGATCAGAGGTTATCCAAGGGCAGCTACCTAATAATCCGCTCGAAGTATTGTCTGGAATTTTCCGATTGAACGCTTAGACCAAATGATGTGATTTTCATCAAGCATCCCCAATTGTTCTATTGCCCCAAAATTCACGACTCTGGGTCAAATAACAATTTCTAGTACGATAATAATCACTTTCTGTTAGAATTGAATAGCCAGTTATCAATGCAGTGCATCAAACACGGCATCATAGAAGCACACATTCCCAAGGGACTTCACTTCTGACACCTTGCGCTCTATGCTTGTATACTCTTTGCAACTATTGAGACTATCAATCTCCATCGATATATTCTAATCAATCTGGAATGCTAATTTCAGCTCAACTGACAAGTCCTGCTTGGATGTGCTGACAGTCTGGGGGTAAATCTCTGGATTGGCGGGTTTTGGGAGATCAAGCCCTTGGTCAAAATCGTCATTCAAGATCCAAATATTGTCACTTTTTCGCGGTTCTAATACTTCTTCCATGCCTTCGGGTCTCATGCTAGCCCACTCTTTTATTAAGTCGTTCGCCTCCTCCATCTTTTGAGGAGAAGTAAGGCCATTGATTGCGAAATCGCATAGTTTTCTCGCAATCCTGAAGCCAGGTTGGTACCTGTATTTCAACCACTCGTCTCCCACAGCATCCTCAAAAATAGCTTTGAGCTCTTGCATTTCAGGTGACAAGGGTGTAAGACCCGCGGCTCTCTCGTCTTCAGGCTCTTCCTTATCCCACGCCCAGACCCACATTGGGGGTTGACAAGCTGCAAAGGTAGGGAGCAGTACAGCCGAGTCCCAATCGAGGATGCCGGTGATGGAAAGATTGGCTTTGTCGTCAATCTTGACCATGATGTTATGTGGGGACATATTCAAATCGAGATGGCACAGCACGTACCTTGCGTCTTGGCCAAGGAATCCACTCTGGTCTAATTGGATGGCGAGTGATGCGAAAGCAGCCATGTATTCGGCTTCAGCAATGGCATTTCGCTTCATAGCTGCAGCTTTGTACCGCCCGAACTGAGTCAAGAAGAATTCTAAATGAGATTCATACTTAGGCTGCTCACCTGAGACTGTCATCTCATCCAGGTCGGGATTGCAGCGGGTCAGATCAGCGTCAACGTCAAATGGTCGGACACGGAAACATGGGACCTGACGCTTTGCCTGGGCAGAGCCAAATATGGCGATACCTTCGATCTGGCCAGGCTCTTCGTTCTTGACAGACATCAAGCTCCGAAGTATTTTTCCGAACTGGGCAGCAAATGTGTGCTTTTGGTCGTGCGTAAGGCCTGGAAAACGGCATTCCTTTGAGTGGAGCCCAATTCCAGGAATACGTTTCTGCACCATATATGGCTCATTGAGGACATTGTGGCTTGTGAAATCTGCGGCCTCTATCTCAGGGACTGGAATTTGAGGATATCTTTGGCGTACATAGCGAAGGATCGCCGCGTCTCTAGCAGGACGAGCAAACTCAAAGCGAGGAATGCGGAGCACAAATTTCGATTTATCGCTGTCATTGATCGCAACTCCAATTATTCGATTGAAACTGCCGCCCTCAAGCCGCTCGATTTGAAAGGTCTTTGTTGGTCCCTGGCTGACGTTCTTTTTTCTCCGAAATAGTTTGCGGAATTGCTGACCGATATGCCTACTTTTCTCCGGCCATAGTTGATGGCAAAGTTCTTCCACCTTCATTCTGAACGTCTCGAACGATTCATGGTCATACTCAATGGTTCAGGTCTGCGAGATGCTGGATCTACGTGAGACTGAGCTAGCGCTGCTGGATTGGGGCTCTTCCCCTGATGCCATGCTTCCTAATGTGAACCTCGTTGAAGACGACCACGAGGTTCCAGGTCTGTTCATTTTGTGCATGTTTCTACTTTCTGCCTTCCAAAAAAATTAAGTACGCCTGCTTTTCATACGCGTTTGTGGGATCTCACGCACAAAGAAAGCTGTGGAACATGGCAAACAAAGCCTATCATGCAGCTCAAAGCAACCTACCAAACAACCTTCCAGAACAATGAGCATAAAAAAAACAAAGCACCATGGGCTTTATGGCTTCACTACCAAAAAAAAAACCACTTACACAATCGCATTCAGCATACTCGGGAAATATGGGAATACTATGTGGGAAACCTAGGTGCGTATATCATCCTGATGCGTCTCACAACACTCTGGTTCTTTTCCAATAGCCGATGCGGTAGAGATGGTTCAATTAAGAAAACAAATCAGATCATACTTATCGCCCGTGTTTATTTCAAATGTGGACTTCGCGTCCAGTTTCACTGAAGGTGATGCCCTTCCCTTATGGATCGTGTTACACCGCGCTAATGTCCTGCTTTCATGGGCAGTGGCAACAAATGTTACCCCGACGCTATTGCATATACATTTCTCTTTTCAGCAATGTTTGAAGGATCTTCCACGGTCCCTGAACCACTCAAGATCGTATATCTTCCTTAAATTTTCATTGCCTCGATTCATACACTCATACCTGTCATGTGATCAGAGTTGCGACTGGGATCACCTAAAAGGCTCCACGGTACCGTGAATGCTACTGGATTACTTAAACCAAGACAACGCGCTGGAGATGTGCCAATAGCATAGGTATTCAAAGAATGGCAGGCCGAAAGCATGTAAAGGATCCGGCCGAATGGTTTTTGAGATATATCTCCGAAACGCAAGTGGAACGTCAGCGCAAATGCCAATGTCAGCAGCGAACAATGCCATGTTCTGCACGGGACAATGCGATTGCCTGTTTTATAGAAGTTTTGTGCCGCGCCAGGCACAATAGATCTGAGATCAAGGCTCGCGAATATTTCACACAAACTTTATAACCAATCTCAACATCATGATACACACTATCACTATTGCAGCGACATTGATCGCTTCCACAACCTCAATCCCACTTAATATCTCCTCTCTCCACGACAGAGGTCTTAACGACTTCGCTTGGATAGGAACGTACCCGGTGAACGACACCCACTGCTCGCATCAGATCGAGAGCCACACACACGCTCGTCCAAAATTGCCACCGCCTGGGCAGGAGAACAGTCCAGGTGAGTGCATGCTCTTTGCTCGAGAAGCTCACACAAATGTTCAGGTCTTTTATGGAACTGGAATGAATGCTATCAGTGGGGTACAGGTGTTCTTTGACGGGGAGTGTCAGCAGAGTGCAAGGATTTATTCGAAGGAGAATGGATATAGGTATGCATGTATGGAAGAAAGGGGGGATGGGGGAGTTTGGGGGAGCGCGCAGGGGATGCTCATGCCCGATGGAGTATGAAGTAGGCCGACAACTTTGATCTTACATTATGAGATTGCCGGCTCTTGTGACCTACGTGGTTTCAACACAGTCTCCAAGATTGCCAAGATTATGTATACTGCAACCATCGCTGCCATGTCTGTAACCTCATCTTCAACTATATACTCACTGCCTTCTTTCCCCCGACCTCTAGGACCGTTCCTAATATGCCGTGCTTGCTCCAGGGAACTCCTCCTATCATCTCTTGCCATATCCCAAATGGCCCTCCCTTTCCATTCCTCCGCAATCTTTACAATGTAAATTATGCACAGCAAGATGAAGACTGATGCATTTAGCCACCTCCAATGAGATATAGTATTGCGTCCACCATTGCTGAGGTGTAAAACAGTCGCGATGAGCAGCGTCACGAATATGAAGGGCAGCAAACCGACACCGAGCCCAGCTTTGCTCAGCCGTGCTACTTCTAAAGCCGTGAGAGCAGCGACGGCGAAGAGAAGAAAATAATAGAGAATTTGGCCTATGACGTGAAGCCACTTTCTGCGGCCGGTGTATGCTGCTGTTGGGGTCTGAGGAGCGTTGCCCTCTGCTCCCTCCGCCGGAATAGCTTCTTTATCAAGACGATTGCCGTCTCGCAAGCCGAGATTCCCAGTACTTTGGCGCTTGATACGAAAGGCGGCAGTCACTGCTAGAACAAGAGCGAGAAGATAGAGCCATGTGCAGAAGGGTATGAGGATTGTATCGAGGAAGCAGGTCGTGAGAGTGTGAGGAGAGACGGGAGACATTGGGCCCTACTATTATTAATATCGTAGGTATTGAATTTACTCATTGGCAAAGCTAATACGTACAAAGCCATCTGGGCGATTTGAACAGAGATGGACCATTTCAATTAGTTCTAGGCATGCATGTAAGGTGGTAAAGGGTAAGGGACTGTAAGCATTCGACGTTATAGCGCCTTTGGTGGCTTTGGCGAAGGATGGAGGCCGCACCGATGCTCAGTAAGGCTCTAACACAGCATCGCGACAGCGAGCTCGCAATCTTGGGCTATACCAATTTGGTTGTCGTTCCAGCCGCTTTTGGCCATGTATTATTTGCGCGAGCTAGCGTTAGCTCTTTTGAACGAAACGTAAATCGCAAAGTGCGTCTATCTCCAGCGACATTTTCTCATACAAGATCCAGCGTCAGACTTGACAGGATTCACATGCAATGGTTGGTCAATCCACTTCTCATACTTGTGGAAAACCTTTGCGAAGTCAGGATGCCTCTGAAACTAACGTCTCAAAGCCACAAAACGAGTATATCGAACGCTTCCAGCGTGAGCATGGCAAACGGTATGCAGGACATCCTCATTTTCATTCAGAATATCTCTTGTACGTATCCTGACGGAACCTACCCAGCTTCGATCATGAAGAGAGAGTCCGCAAACGAGCCGCTCGCGAAACGCACAAAATCTCCAAAGATTCCCAGAAACTTACTGGCCTACGAGCCAAGCTCTACCAAAAGACCCGGCACCAACAGAAGATACAGATGAAAAAATCGATAAAGGCACACGAAGAGAAAAATGTCAAGTCCTCTGGCCCGCCGGAAACACCCAACACCGCAATCCCACAGTACCTGTTAGACAGAGGCAATGAGAATAATGCGAAAGCACTCAGCAGCGCAATCAAGAACAAGAGGAATGAGAAAGCTGCCAAATTCAGTGTACCGCTACCGAAGGTGAAGGGCATCAGTGAAGAGGAGATGTTCAAGGTGGTCAAGACGGGGTCAAAGACGAAGAAGAAGAGTTGGAAGAGGATGATTACAAAACCCACTTTCGGTGAGGCTTCTTCCCCAGCTGAACAGTCTGCACTGGGATTGGAACATGCTAACAAGTCTATGTAGTTGGACCTGATTTTACGAGACGGCCCGTGAGTGACTTTCCATTTGTCAATCCGTTGTACCCTACGATATCTGGAGAATGGGAGGCTACCTCGGGAGCCTCAAAGCTTGACATGGATCGCTGATCTAAGATCCTTTCTAGGTAAAATACGAACGTTTTATCAGACCTATGGGGCTGCGGTACAAGGTACGTGGTTTCCATCATTTTGATTGATATACTTCTGAAATTATGTTTCTAGAAAGCACATGTAACGCATCCGGAGTTGAAGGTCACGGTACAGCTACCGATCATAAGTGTGAAGAAGAACCCGCAAAATCCGATGTGAGTTGAATTTCAAAAATCCAGTGATCCTAGAAAGGGGAAGCGGTCGAGTCTAGGAAACAAACCGGAGCGAGACATTCTCAGGCTTCATATCCGGACGGAATGGCTTTGCTGACTTCAGAACTCTTCAGGTATACCCAGCTCGGGGTCCTGACGAAGGGAACAATAATAGAGGTCAACGTATCTGAGCTAGGCATGGTTACGGCAGGCGGAAAAGTCGTGTGGGTAAGTGGATGTCCTGAGATATGCTAGCTTCGACCATTGAGGCTGACTCTGAATTCAGGGACGGTGGGCTCAATTGACAAACGAGCCAGAGACTGACGGTTGTGTTAACGCTGTCCTATTAGTGTGAAAGGACAGGGCTTTGAAGCGAGGGGTGGATGATTGAAATGACATACTGCTTTATATAGCCTAGGTTTCCCAAGTGCTGCGAAAGCCTTTTGCATATAGAAAGCGACCTGGGTACAGACATTGACTGTGATTCCTGCAATTGCTCCCCTCGCCATGGATCCCTACTCTGCAATCGACGCTTCTTTGATATGATGAGCTGTGAAGCATCTCAGGATGATGTTCGAAGCCGCTCAGCCGGAGCTGTTCATATCATGAATCTATCCAACGTATGATACATAATTTACAGTTCGTCTCGGTATTCCTGGTCATTACCATCATCTTCCTCCTCGTTCGCGACAATCAGGAAGCCGTCTTCCCCCTCGTCTTGATCTGTTGCAAGTCCCTCTTGCTCATCGATAACGCCTCTCATCTCCACCTTGCCGTTTTGATTGAATATCTCTAGTCTCCACCCTTTCCCCATTGCCACGTCCTGCAGTTCCTTGATGGCTGCATTTGCAGTCTTTACATCTACACCCAGTGCCTTCATCTCTTTGTCACTCAGCTTATGGACTGCCCCGCCATCTTCGACCTTGTGTTGATGAGCAATATTTTGTCCCTTCGGCCCATCTTTCGCAAAGTTCATCCCGTGGCCATGGCTACCCGCAGTTTGCTCGCTTGTTTTCAACCAGCCTTTGTCACCGCCAACGTGCTTCATTGCGCCAACCTCAATGTCCCCCACCATCATCTTCGTTGCTTTTGCTCCTGCTTTGCCCTCAATTTGCCCCACAAGCTTTCTCTCCGCTTCCCTGCTCTTCTTCCGTTTCCACTCCACTTCTTCGCCTTCGCGGACAACTTCGCTGCAGACAACTTGCTCTGCCCGCTCTTCCCTCTCTGGGAGAAATGCGACGTCGTTACATAATCTCGGTGTATACACGACCATCAGATACGAACATGTGCTGACCTCCTTGATCCACCCGATGCGATCCGCGCTCTGTGGATGGCAATGAAACTGTATCTCCACCCTTCTTGGAGCGCCGGTCAAATCGCATGTAGTTCCCCCGGACAATTTTTGGCTCAGATATCTCGAACTAGACGAGCCCTTAGCTTGTATCGTGGTCGTGCTTCCTTCTTGCCCATCCTCCAGCGGCAGCCCTCCGTCTAGTGCCCCACCTGCGCTACCACCTGATGGCAACCGATGTCTGTTCACTTTCTTTTCTCCAAATTTTCCTAGGACATACGATGGCGTCGTAGGGTCTTCGACGGGCGGAAACATTGGGACATTGCCCCCAGCTGGTAGTTGATGGAATTGTTTGACGGATTCGGAGTAGCAGAATTGATATGACCACCAACCGCTAATGAAGTAAAGACATGAGCCAGACATCTCTTGTAGCAGATCCCATCCTCGATCTGTAGCGCGAGCAAGCTCGGCCTTCTCTTCTTCCGCGGCAAGGTGGGTTGCTGTGGCGTTTTGGGGGAGATCAGGACTAGGCGCGGGAACGGAGCAAAGATAGGTCGTGGAGTCCAGGATCATGCGTTCATAAGATGAGGGGCTTGCGGGAAAATCAGAGGATCGCTCAACGTCAGGATCATTGTTGGACAGAGGGTGTCTTTGCGCCAATTCGGTTGGAGGTTGAGAAGATGTCAGACTGTTCTGTGAACTTGTTGATGTAGACTTATGATTTTTTGTCAAGAAAAGTGATGAGGAAAGAGAGAGCCGGGAATTGGCATCTTTGTCGAGAATGAAGGAATCGGAAAAAACGACCTCATACTATAGACTATCTAAGTATTGGGGTGTGTGAGTTGGCACTGGCTTACCTGAGGGTATGCTAGGAGGTCATCAGTTACACTGAAGGAATGCGGACTGCTAGATGCCAGGCTAGCTGCAGCCAGCCATGCTATATGAGGCTTCATGTTGTCATAATTGGAAAGCGCTTGGTATATAAAGTGAAGGTGGCTTTAATAATCTGAGACGGATTCCACTTACCATAATGGCATTGCTTGGCGCTAAAAGGTGACGTGCGAGGGTCGTGGAAAAAACTCCTGTCCGATATTTTGCGCCAAGCCGCTGCGGGAATCGGACAGGAGTTTTTTCCACAACCCTCGGTGACAAAGATCTGGCCCCTACTCACTCGACGACCCGACCCTGGTAGGAATCTGGTAATATATCACCCATTTTGCTCTTCTTATCACCTTCTACTCACCCAATTCTCTACGTTCGTAGGAAGAGCTGCGCGCGCGCGCTATCGTTTAGCCCAATCGAACTAGCTGCAAAAATGGCCGCTGGGGGGCATTTGACATGACTGACTTGTCTAGCTATATAAGAACTATGGGAGTACAACAGGCTTTATACCTACTACTGTGACACTGATGAAATAAGCTGCTTTCAGACAAAATGCTACTACGTCTATACCAAAGCTGCTCCCCTAAGTCTTATGCTACGACTACAATACTTACGTGACTCCATGGACTGGCATGAGAAAAAGCTGTATCGATGTGATGCGATGTGCTTTTCGGAAGGGCTGTTTTTCCCGTCTGGCGTTGCTACTTGCCTGCCTTGTTTCCTAAGACCCACGTTAATTTCGGACACAAAATAATCGAGATTCTACAATGTGGAAGTCTATGGCAAAGAAGAGTCAAAGCTATAGAACCGTCCGCAAGCAGGACGAGGGGATCATGACTCGGATTAATAAGGGGATGAGTACTTCATTAACAATCAAAAGAGTGTCTACAATCATCAGTCCTTCTTTGGATGATGAATACCTCGCCCTCATAATCTGATCCATGTATGTTCACGTTGAACCTTCCTCATCGACTATCCTTCAGTTCCGTCCGGTCGGATCCTTCTGCTTATATGCAGGCAGTCCACACGCCTTTCTAAACGAGTTGCCCAGACCAGCGATTTGTTGTTGATGGCCTTTGTCAACTTTCCCGCCCTTTTCAATCAGATTATATTTTTGCTCGATGCGACCTACGTACGCTCTGAATAGACGTGGGGAATTAGTCACATTTCGATCACGAAACAGGAGTCTATAGAGCCGCGAATATCTCTTAAAGGCGGCAATCGCTATCACTTACTCGACACCGTGTTCCTTCCTATCATCACCTGTAGTGTTGCCCATTGCTTTTTGGTTGGATTTGTATCGGTTGTATGAGTCCGACATATTGCTTCGTTCGTCCTAGGCAGTAGAGACCTAGCAGTCCGGTATATAATGGGTTAAAAGGTTGGGTATGGAGACAGCAATCAAGAAGGCGGGAAGTGTGAGCATGATTATAGATAAAAAAGAAGAGGGGAAATGGTGATCGTTTCCGCTAACAGCGTATATGCAGGGTATGTTTATAGCAGCCCAACTACCTGCAGGCTAATCTTATGTCTGGCAAATGGCATCTCACGGCTACTGCCCAAGCGGCATCCATTGCGTTCGAGAGCAACCCTCCAGCATGATACCGAGCTCGTGCATCCTATCTTTGGGCCAGCGGTCCAATCCAAACGTTAGAATGCAGCTTATTATATTACGGCAAGACTTTGAATTGACAGCTGTAATAACCTGCATAAAGGCTGAGCAAGGAAGTAAAAGAGAGTCTAGAATATAGGGGCTGTGATTGGCTGCCTTGTATCCAGCTGCATCTACCTAGTGATATCGCTCAGCCTTCTGTTGCTTTTATCGAGTACAGTATCGTGAATAGATCTCACGGCTATATTCTATTGCGATCCTAGGATTTACTAGTCTCAGCACTGTTTAGTATTATCTAGGCAGTAGGTTCGTGCTTGCGGAGAGGAGCATGAAGGTCGAAAACATGGAGAGCAAGTCACAACTTCAAGCCTTGGGTACTCGTATTTACCACTGAAGGTTGCCGCGCCAAATTATAGGCGCAAATTGGGAGGCAAGCCGGCCTTATACGGCTAGCCTACAGGCAGCTCTCCCAGGCACCCCTCCCTAAAACGCTCCCTAAAATTGGATTTGGCGCGGCAACCTTCAGATACACCGACCCTCGACCACTGGTGCCCCCTTTCGCACCATCCCCCTTTTTGCACCATGCTTATCGCCGCTATCCCCGAAAAAGGTGGGTGGTGCGGAAAGGGGTAAATACGAGTAGTACCTTACCATACCCCCAAGGGTTGCCCCAGGCTATTACCTTAGCATTACCTACCAGGTACTTTACCTATAGGATCACCCTCGCGCGACCGTAATGCGGCGTTCACCCTAGGTTGCAAGAGGGGTGAGCTCGGGGCAGATTGTTGTCTTCTTGGCGTAACAGGACACCCAAAAATGTACCTACCCGCTCACTAGGGACGTCGCCCTGGCTAAGCCGCTTAGAGCGGGAGTTTTTAGTCACATGCTTAAGCACTTGTAACCCGCCGGGTCGGTGCGTATTAACTATCCTGTCCCTCGATATGACAGCGTACTTCTGAAACTGTCCGGCTCCTGAGCCGAGGCCGGTTTTCTTTGCTCGTCATAGTTTTCCGATTAGACATCGTCAAGAAAGCTTGAAAATCACCCATAAGCGTTGCGATTTGAAGCCGTCTTCAAAACCACAACTCAAGTGATGAGCTTCTGTAGAGAGATGTCACAATCGATGAAGCCAAGTCCGAACGGTATGCGCTTCTATGCTACACTTCATCGCTACGTCACTTCGACAGAATGCTCCCAGCACCGCTCTTCACGACCATCAATCGCTCGCCGTCGGGCTCCTTGCAGCCATTCTTCCTCATCAAGGCAGTACGCCTCTGCAGCCGCTGACATAACTCCGCCATCCTCCTCCAATGCCAGAACACATTATTCCCTCTTCCCCAAGACTCTGCCACACGGCGCTCCTCCCCACGGACCATTCGCTGTTGACAATGCTGCACTCCGCAAGGAGTTTCTCCAGCTGCAAAGTGCATACCATCCTGATAAGCACTCAGGTACCGACAAGCGGAAGGCCGAAGGTACTTCAGCCCTGATAAATGGGGCTTACAAGACCCTTCAAGATCCCTTGACACGCGCCCAGTATCTCCTAAGCCTGAGAGGGTTCGACATAGCCGATGATGAGAGGGCAAAGACCGAGGACTTGGACCTACTAGAAGACGTGATGGAAATAAGAAGTCTGATCGAGGGCGCCGAAGAGGAAACAGAGTTGGCGGAAACGCGACAACTCAACGAAAAGAGCATAGAAGAGAGCATCGAGGTTCTTGATGATGCCTTCAGGCGCGATGATATAGAGGAAGCGAAGTTACAAGCCGTGAAATTGAGATATTGGACGAATATAAAGGAGAGCTTGGATTCATGGGAGAAAGGAAAGCCGGTCATTCTCGTTCATTGACCATGCTCTAGAAGTTGCAATTCGATCTCTAGTGGAAATCAGAATCACTTGGCGAACCTTTGTAAAGCAGTTGCGGCAATTGACGTTTTCAAGCCCAATGCATATTGTTGTTTGTCCTCATAATGGCCGGAAATTTTGCGACTTCCGATTCATCTCCTGGATTGTAACTCCCTAATTAAGAAAGTCCCAGAGCTTCACTAGAAGGCTATCTTCATTGCCCGATTGAGGATCCATCTTGGTCAAAATCTTCTTCGAAATCTCGTACTCGATCTCCGGTGCCTTCGTCAAGTCTTTTGAGAGCTCAGCATTGAGCATCTACCATTCATCAGCATCCATGTCTTTCGCAAATGGTGAAAAGTCTTACTGTTCCATAAGAGTGATCGAGAAAGTCTTCTACATTATAGGCCTGCTTTGTAAATTGCTCAGATATTATTTTTGCAATCGTTGCAACGTTTGGGTGGTAGTGAGATTGTAATGTCTCGATCTCCCAAAGACTACTCTCTATCGCTCCAGTCTCCATTGGGTCTGATTCATCCACCTGAAAAGGGTCGCCCCAATCAACTTCATTTTTCCCCTCGAGTTCTGTGATCCGGTGTATCATGAATGTACAAGCTGGATGGGTTTTCAGTAGATTGTAAATCCAAGGTACCACAGCTACAATGCCGGAGGGCGGGGCAAAAAGACACAGACGGGAAAGCCGTTTTATGAAGCTTGCTACAAGTGCTGCTGGTAGATGCGTCGAAGCCAGGAATGTGTCGAGAAGCCGGAAGAAACGAGATCGATGTTTTGAATGCAAAACATCCTTATTGAGTAATGAATAGAGTTTGACATAAAAGTGCGGATAGTCAAGATTTTTTTGCTGTATCAGATGGAAAAGTCCGGACAGTGCAGTGAGTGAAGTTGAGCCTCCCATGTCAAACGAATCGGTCAAGAAATCCATGAGAAGCTCGACTTTCAAAAACCAGGGCACAATCCGGGCTGGTAGAATGTCCAAAACATACTTACTCTGTCTTTTCGTGAGCGGCTGTGCGAGCAAAGCCATCCACGCTCGTTGCGCTTGCTTCAATTGAGATGAGCACGAATAGCACGCAAGCTCTCTTTTCGCTTTCGAAGGCTGTAGCACCATCAAACTTGGCTCGTGTTGCCCATCCTTCATCGAGATGGGAATGGCAGCAAGGAAGGACAAGATATTGTCGAGTTGCTCCTCCGAAACATCAGTGGCTAATCGTTCTCTATTCTCTCGTTAGATCACAGTCCGTATACTAAGAACGATGGCCTACGTACGCAGTACGAGAAAATGAAAAATATCTGATATCATCATATTCAGCAACGAATTTCTTAATAAATTCTTCATTGATATGGGTTTTCCACGACTGACTGATCAACATATCTATTAGGGGAAAGAGAGCACCCTCAACCCCAATAGCTTGGCCAGTTTGGTCTGCATGCTTTGCTTCTTCGCCCATTAAGCGCATCAAGAGTGTCAGCGCACTTCCAGAGAGTAATGGGTTCGTAGATTTCAGCCATCCTAGTAGATTCTCATGACAGTCAACAAGTCGATCATTCAACCATTCAATAACTTTCAAATCGCTCTCTGGAGACGTTCTGGTCCTCTTCAACGACCCCGACGCCATCAAGTGGCAGAAAACGCGACATAGAGCGACCGCTGCCGCCAAAGCTTTCTCATCATGGTCATGTTTACCCTTCATACAGTTCAACAGAGTAAGAATATCATTGTAATTCTTTTTCGATTTGAGTATATTAGTTTCTAGGGATAAAATCTCTGCCTGGGCGGCCTCGGTGGAATCTGGTGGGGCGACTTTCTGACGTTTCTGCACATGCGAAACATCATCATCATGTATTCTTCGCTTCTTCGCTACCGAGACTTGTGACGTGAGGACAGCCATGTCTTCTAAAGCATGGCAGAAAATATTGCACATTTAATCTCCAAAGACAGCCTCCAATATTTTACGTTTACTGCCAAGCACGCTACGCCTCAAACAGAGTAGTGCATATTCGGGGGTTTGACCTCCTCTGGCTGTTGTCTGAACGTAGTCCTACCAGCATACAATCACGATGGCGTCCCGACTCGCCAAAAGCGCTATCGGTAAGCTCAAATTCTGACCTGTTATCTTGAGAGTAATGTACAAAATGCTAATTGGCTGCTGAAGGCGCCTCTCGAGTCCGCCCTGTAGTGCCCTTCCGCGCCCTTCCTCCCATTGCAACATCCAATTCTCCCTGCCGACATGCCTCAAATACTCCAGCTCAAGAGCCAGCAACAAAGGCGCAGACTCTGATTGACGCTCTTCCAGGCTCGTCCTTAATCTCAAAGACCGCCATCCTTTCTGCGGGAGCTAGTTTGTCGGTATGGGCAATCGCCAACGAGATCTACGTTGTTACAGAAGAGACGATCACAGCCATCTGCACAGCTACGGCTTTCGGAGGAATTTTTTACTATGCGAAACCTTACTACGTAGAGTGGGCTCAAGCCCATATTGACAAGGTCAAGGGGATCCTCTACCAAGCCAAACAGAATCACCGGGATGCGATCTCCGACCGAGCCAAAAATGTCCAGGAGCTAGGCGGCGTAATAGATATCACCAAAGCTCTTTTCGAGGTTTCGAAGGTCAATTCAGGCCCTTCTTTTCACTATCCGAATCAATATTCTGATGGATCAGCAGGAAACCGCACGGTTAGAAGCTCAAGCATATGAACTTGAGCAAAAGACCGCAGTCGCAAATGAAGCGAAGACCGTCCTTGATTCATGGATTCGTTATGAGGGCCAGGTCAAGGCAAGACAACAAAGAGAGCTCGCAGAAAGTATCATCAGCAAGATAAATAAAGAGTTGGAAAATCCCAAAAACCTACAACAAATACTCAACCAAAGTGTTTCCGACGTTGAGAGTGAGTTACCTAGAACTGTAAAACGCCTAAATCGCTAACGCAGATCTAGAAATTGTTGCATCGAAAGCGCAATGACGTCGCCTTAGTTGCTATTTATTAGGTCGTATCTGTAAATTCATTAAATACACTCTTCACAAGCTTTGTCCAATCCTGCGTGCCTAAGTGAAAATTCCCACGTAGGCGAACCAGATACGTCCATTCAGATAGATTGTTACCTAATCCCAAATCGAGCAAATACAACACATTATTCTGTTTTGATCTTCTTTGCACAATTAAGCAACCATGAATTTTCGAGGATCATGAAAATCTAAAGCGACAAAACAGGAGCATTCAAAATGGCTTCTCCTGAGGTCACTTCCGCTATCTCACAACTCGAAGACCCAGCCTCCACTCAGTCTAACAAGGCTTCTGGATACTCCGAACTCCTGACGCGCATAGCCTCCGACCCCACATCACCCCACTTGCCCTCGAATCTCACAGCTTTCATAGAATCAGTCCTTGGCGAGACGATCGGCGTAGTAGCTGCAAGACCACTCCTAGCATCCGCCGTGAACGCCATCAAGACCTTCAAAGACTCTGATTCTAAGGTTCAAGTTGGGACTAGAGCAGTCCAAGCCTTGGAATCACGCGTCGTCTCTTTCGAAGAACAGGATGCCCATCTCCGCCACACACTTGCTGACGCCTACGAGTCGCAAGAGGAATGGCTAGAATCAGCCCAAGTCTTACAGGGTATCAATCTGGATTCATCCCAACGAAAGATCACAGATCACGCCAAAGTCGACACGTGGATCCGCATATGCCGTCTCTATCTCGAAGAAGATGATCCTACAACTGCTGAAAGCTACCTCAACAGAGCGAAGAACATCATCTACAGAATCCCCACAACCGGCGCAGAAGCAGAACTACACATCAATTTCCAGCTCTCACAAGCCCGTATCCTTGACTCCCAGCGCCGCTTCCTCGACGCCTCAGCCGCGTACCATAACATCTCCTTCAATCAGGCAGTAGATGAGGAAGAACGACTCAAGACTCTCAGCATGGCTATTACTTGTGCTGTGCTCGAGCCAGCTGGACCGCCTCGAAGCAGAACGCTCGCGAAGCTCTACAAAGACGAGCGTGTGGCTCAAGTTCCTGAATACGGCATCCTTGAAAAGATATTCCTCGACCGTCTGCTCGGCCCAGCAGAAGTCGAGAAGTTCGCTGCAGGGCTAGCTCCGCACCAGCTTGCGAAAACAGGGGATGGAACTACAGTGCTCGCAAGAGCAGTGGTGCAGCACAACCTGCTTAGTGCGAGCAAGTTGTATGGAAATATTGGGGTCCGGGATTTGGGAAATCTGCTGGGCTTGGGACCCGAGAAAGCGGAGGAATATGCGAGTGCGATGTTGCAGCAAGGGAGACTGGTGGGAAGAATCGATCAGATCGAGGGTGTCATCTTCTTTGATCAGGATACGGAGGGGCCGGATGGGAGGAAGCAGGCGCAAATGGTGGGGAGGGAGTTAAGGAAGTGGGATGCGAAGGTTCAGGGGGTTGCAGAGGAAGTCGAGAGGGTAGCAAGCTTATTGCAGGCCAGGCATCCGGTGCGTAGCTCTCCAAGTATGCGTGTGTCAGGATTTCGATGCTAACCTTTTGGTAGGACTTTGCTCAGGCCAACATGGTCCATTGATAGCAAATTCAGACCCAGGACAACACCAAGATACCATAGATGAATGAGCATCTTCGCTTAGCGATCATCACGCTCATAGATACAATATAGGCACGACACTTGCGGTACAATCTGCTAATACATGCGCCAATATCGTAGACGTTTTATGCGCTCCCAATTTGGCGCTTCCATGTCTTTCTCAACCTTCTTTCATGAACCCAAAACCTCCCCAACCGTTGTATTCTTCCACCATCTTGACAGCAGCTTTCAGATAGAAGTTATCATGCTTCTCGTCTTCCCATGTCTCTGCTGCGACTTTCATCGACCGCAAGGCTTTGACGAAATGAGCATCAAGAGACCATTTGCCTTCTTTCGCTTCAGTGTCGATCCACGTCCAATCTTTGGAACCGATGTCGTGTTTCAGAAACCTTTCTCTATCCACGGCAGGGCGACCTTGTATGATGTATACAGCCACCACGAAGAGCCACCACTGTTTGACCAACGTCACGTGAAGCTTCGGGGGAATTATAGGTAGGAGAATACGAACCGCATGACTTGTGGTCAAGAGATGGACCAGGAAGAAGTCATAATCTTTGCTGCCATCCTTGTTGTAAGAGCCTACGAGTAGAGAAGTTGGAGTCGCCTGGCTTTCCTCAAATTGAGCTCTTGGCTGCGGTAGCTGCCATGAGTTCCAATGCTCTAGTAATGCAGCCTCATGGGTCTCAAACAGCTCTTCCAGACTTATAGCACGCTTGTGATTTGGTATATCATCGAATCGAGAGTCATCCCGGATTCTCATAAGGATCTCGAGGGTCGACGAGGAAGGTTTGGCGAAGGAAGACGGCGCAGAGGAAGCTTTGGAATAAGCGGGATCGTCAATGTACTTATGAAGAGGCCCGTAAAAGCACGTTGTCAAGCCCAGGGCCTCCATGGAAATCTCCCTGGAGTCCAGCTCATAAGCATATCCAAGGTGGATTAGGCAATGGCCAACTGTAGCAACTGTCAACGTGGGTGCACGCGAGAAGGTCCAGCTACTTACGACCGGAAATCAGATTGTTGAAGAGCGGCTCTTTGCCCTCAAACAGGAACTTATTCAGAACCTGTTTCCAATCATAGCCAGCTTGGACGAGCTGATCTTCAAAGAAGTCCACATAAGCTCGCTGGTATCTTGGGTCCCCGAGATGATCTCTCCAGTCTTCTATGGAGACCTCACCGGGCGAATCGCTCCACGGCTCCAACGATCGCGACTCGTCCTCGTAAATTTTCTCAAGATGGCTTGAAGGAGCGCCAAGGATATATGCAGAGCCAAGTATCTGGTCGGGTTTGAGCTTAAGCAAACATGTGACAAGTTATGGACTTCGTACATGAGGCATGTGGTTGTGAAATTGCAAATGATGGTAGATGATGGAATGATTTGCATGATTGAGCTTCAATAGGTGCTTGAGGGTCCGGGCTCTTTTCTCGGGATTCGCCTCAACATTGTAAGTTTCGACCGTCGTCAAGTCTATGGAGGAGGCATTTCGTTGCAGGAAGCGTGGAACGAAAAATGGATTTGAAAATGATGGAAACGAGGAAAACATGGTGGGTCTGGCAGTCAACTTATTCAGGACGAACGGTAAAGGGCCAGAGACGACAAGGGATTTCCTCAGATGGACGAGATGTAGAGGTTGTATATTCGTCAACATACCCTGAAGACTCCTATAACCCTTCCCGGCCTCATGATTTCCCCGCACCTACATACAGGTGAGTCAAAAATGGTTGGTATCCTGCAGAGGGGGAAGCCGCAAAAGCCGCCGCTCTTTGCAAAGTCCGCACACGTCGTGCCCGGCTTCCGCTAACCACCTTGAATTCTAGCTTAGAATTTCCGCATTCCATCTTTACATACCATATCCTTTCGAATCTGGAATGAGAGATATTCAAATATACGCTGAGTATTTACTCAATCTTGGTCAAATAACAGTCTTTGCTTCTTTACCTTCAAAAAGCACTAGCTCTACAGAGGTAACGGACAAGGACGGTAAGACCTTGACTATCAGCCACGCGGGTGACCTTGCGACGATTGCCTTGCCCGCTGAGGTCTCCGAACTGCAGAGTTCAATCAAATCTCAAATAGGATCCATCGAGCTATCCTTTCGGTTTCATGTGAAACAAGAAGTCGCGGAAATTGCCGTCAATCACGCGGTGAGCGATAAGTTCTGGACGGCTTCAAGCTTGACTCCAAATTCACAAGTCGCTTGTTCACAGTGTGGTAACGAGATTGTACGGAATGTGTCCCAATGGAAAGACCTTCCTAGCGGAAATTGGGCGGATATGATGGACCTTTGGCACTGTCACAAGCCTTCAGTTCCGGGTGACAATGGATCATCGGCAGGCAAGGACAAGGGCTATGCAGCAAGTAACACTATGAATCCTGCAGAAGGGTGTGGTCTTGTCAGTACTGCTTTTCTCATGTTTCGGCCTGCAGACTGCGTTGGCACAGAGGTGAGCGAAGACTTCTCTTTTTTGACTTTTCCTAGTCTCTGCCTCGCTTTTGATTTTATGGGCAAACAAGAAGGTGGCCTATCTCGACCATATTGGCCTGACAGTGGTAAAGTCATCGATACAGTTGCCCTAAAGAAACAACAAGATTGTCGCAGTACCTAGCCTACCCTCGCATTCCGTGCGACGGGTTAGTAGGGATGCTTCTCTTTGCCTCCTTATTTCATCATTCTGCTGTCCAACAATTGAGCAAAGTGAGATTCCAAGAAAGGTACATGCTGATTCTTCATTAGGCAGTCCAAGGGAAGGGCAGGCAATTGGAATGTATCACGTGTAAAGCAGATCTAGGTGAATGGAATGAATCACATCATTACCAGTTCTTCCACTGGGCTCTGTCACTAAAGCCTCCAAATGTTACTCTTCAGCAGACAGTCCAATTGGAAGGTGTATTAAGTAGGCATTTTCGTGCTCTGATAGAAGAGCAAGCCACCACCAAGTTCTGGGTGAATACTCGTGAACAAGAGCACTATGCATATGCATTGATAGTCAGGTGTGCGCAGTCACTAGCCGCAACAGCTGCTAATGAGGATCTAGATTTGGGTCTTTGTTCCCCATTTAGTATTCTCCTCGCACTCGATAGCGCCCCGGCGAGCAATGAAAGTTTTTTACAAGACGGTTCAACCAACGAGAGAAATCCACGAGAAAAAAAATTCGAATTTAGAAGAGGTATCATTGCCCATTAACGCACTGCAAACACTATCCGACTGCCTCGAAATCAATTCAAGCCTCTTGCCATCCACCGCAAGATCCTACCAAGACTGGCGCATAAGCCTGCTCCAAGGGTGACCCCAAATTGATCACGCAGGTTTGACTCCAAGTGCATCAACGGCCTTTGTCCAATAACCATCCCTGTCCGGTGTCGAGGTTGTGCCCAAGCAATCCTTGACATAGGATTCGAATGTGTCTTGCTTTCCTGAAGCAAGCTTGTCTGTCATGCCTTTGCATGGATCCTGTGTGGTAAGATACCATGCCGCTGAGCCGAAATCTACATCACCATAATGGACCAGAAGGTCCAAATTCTTTGAAACGTCATCGGTAACTTGAGATTTGAGCTCATCAATTGAGGTCAAGTATTGTTTGTTGAAATCGGGGCTCTGCATGTTTCTGGTACCTTGGCCTGGCTTTCCAGGGGCGGGGAACTTGTTACGGGCATATTTGAACTCTCCAGATTCCAACGCCATAGTGGCTACCAACGCAGCAGCGACCGCGGGTGATGTGATGTTGTACGTCTTGAACCCGCTGCTTATGAAACCTGCGGCCTTTGAGGCTGGCGAACACTCAGTGTCGGTGGGAGTGCAATCCTTCGACTTCGGTGCAATCTTGAGGAGTTGATCCTCGGTTATGACGACAGCGTCGGCCCTTCTTTGTAGGTAGGGGTAAGCAAAGCTAGAAGGAAGGAGTGTGACCAGCGCCAGCGCCGTGACTATCTGTGTGATGTACATCTTTGAAAGGATTGTTTGTATTAAGCTAAGCAGACTGGAAGAGGCTCAAAGACAGTGAGGTGAGTTGGATCTGATTTATGTGAGGTAAACTTTGTGGCAACATAGCGAATAGCTATATAGCTGACAAAGTTGTACAGAACAATAAGGATGAGAAGGAGGACAAGGTCCACCGCCAAGTCCTCACCAACAGAGTTACCACGCTGGGAGGCAAAGGAAGCATTTGCACATAGGCCTTGTGAAGTCCACTATGTCTTTATCTCAAGCAGCCTTGTCCGCCTCTTGTTTGTCGAAACAGCGTCGTGTAGCAGAACCCGCAGCGTTTGGCCAATCAAGTCTCAGGCAAGGGGTCTTGGCATCATTTCTGAATGAATGGCTCGCGTCTCTTTGAGTATCACCTTTGTCCACGATAAACGCTTCTTGCCTGTTATGTGGTCTGACAAGGGTCACTCACCTGCGACCACTGCTTCGTGGTTATGAACAAGCCTACGCAAAGTCACTAAGATGCACGTGATCGCGCGATAGCCCTTCAGAGCTAGTCCCAATGAAGGAAAATGTAAATTCGAACCATTCTGACCCCCTTTTCATTTTCGCTCTGGACCGGTGATTGTGACTCTCTCGTACGAATCTGTTGAATCTCGCCGGTGCATTTGCCAGTGTATTGCTTTCACAAAGCACACTCTCGGGAACTTTGCTCTGTTCATATCTTACAATCGTAAGCTATGGGAAAGTGCATCAAATCATACGGACCGCCTTTAAGAGCCCAGACGGTATATTTTCCTCAGCAAGACAATGGGCGTGTTCTGCAGCCCATCCCGCACGGCGTCGATGTAGGATAACCTTGCGGTACTGGATGAGCTAAATGTACTAATCAGTCTGCAGTCTAATGCACAGCGACCTGTAAAGTCGTCGAAGAAAACGCACGAGCCTTTTGAGAATCTGAATGGTGAAGAATCTAAAGAGAACGCACCTCCGAAACTTCCGATTTCTTCCATGTATCCTGCTCCTGAGGAAAAGCAAGACGATGAATATGACAGCGACAGCCCTGTCACTGAAGACTGCGATGCCATTCGCCGCAAGATCAAAGCCTTCCTCAACAGCGGCGAGATGAAAGTGACAGAGTTTCAACGCGCTTGTCATATCAACAGCAGTTCTTATCAACGATTCATAAAGCTGAAAGGTCCCTCCTCCGGCGATGCCAACCAAACATACAGCGCCGCCTTTCATTTCTTCGAACGAAGGAAAGCGGGAGGAAAGAAAGAGGTACCTTCCAGAAAGCGACTAAGTAATTTCGACGACCCGAAAGTGCAGCCAAAGAAGAAAAAGACGATGGAGCCCATAAATCGCTCTCTCCTCCTCCTTGACGGTGAAGAGGACGGAGAAGTCGAGATCTACGATACGTGCGACGAAATCAGACGTAAGATCGCTGCGCATCTTCGCGACCCCACCAACGTACAAGCCCAATTCCTCCGTGAGATCGCAGCATGCCTTCCAGACCCTGACATGAAGGTGCAGTCGAGTTCTCTGAATACTTTCCAGAAAAAGAAAGGCCCACTTGCGGGCAACGAGTCCAGAGTGTATTATGCTGCGTACTGCTATTTTGAGAAGAAGAGGATTGCGGAGGGTAAGTCGAAGACGCAGATGAGGTTGGAGATGGAGGATGCTTGGCCGAGTGGCGTCGATAGGAAGCGACAAGGCGGTTTCATCGTCACAGCAGGGACGTCGCTGTACACTGATAAGTATGGGAGGGCCAGGTGTCATGTGCGCTAATTGACTAAGGGCAGACTTCCTTTGTGGGTGTTTTTGCGCTGTACAAGTTCTTGGTGGGCGAAAAGAGCGCGTCTGATTTCTAGATACCATTTTTGTAATTGCTACCAATTTTGCGATTATTATGTACAGTGTCCATCTTTCAGGGCCGGAAGGAGGCAGAATATAATGCTTAGTTGCGTTCTTTTACATCCTGGGTCGCATACAGACTAGCTTATTTGATGTTCAAAGAGATATCCTAGCATAGGGACGATCTTCCCTTGTTTGATCATGTGACCGATACCTTGGTATTTGGATTGCTCATTATCAGGGATATAGGTTTTGTCTTGAATTCCATATGCAGATGTGGTTGCACTGCTCGGGCTGCCTCTTGAAGGTAGGAATGATGATGGAGGTGGGGGATGAATGCTGATAAGTTTTGATGGAACCGCATGTTCGTTTGAAATTCGCTGAACCTTGACCTGAGAGAGCAGACTAGGTTTTTTAGATTGTTGACTAAGATAAGAAGCTGGTATGTTGTGACATTATGTCTCTCGTCTCGTCATTGGAACCGGCAAGTGAAACACAACTTTCAGCTATGATTCGTACTCATTGTGGCTCGGACGACGGTACTTTAGTAGCGATAGATCGGAGCACGTAAATTCGCTCCATCCATTTCTCGCAGTTACCAATCTAGTGTAAAAAGGCTTCACAACACTATCGTCACGGCAGACTCGAATATATACACCACGCACAAAGGCTTCAGATGCTCAAGTAGACTTGCTAAGGAGGCTCAAAGATAATGAAGGCGAGCGAGCAGAGATTCTGGCAAAGTTCCGACATCTTGGACCAACACTCTCTATGGCGACTTTGTATGGCTTATCAGAATCAACATTGATTGTACTCGAAAAGATCTTGGGAGCCACAGATAGTCTTCCAGCAGAGGGAAGAATCATCAAGAAAAAACTTAATATGAAAGTCTCTTGGATAACACAAAAGTTTCTGAGAGTTGAGGATGCTACATTTGTTGTTCAATTTTGACTTCATATAGGAAAGCAAGATTGTACGATTCAGATTTGAATACAACTGTAGGATGTCGGTTCGAAAAATTGGCTTGCACGTTGTCTCAAATACTCCAAAATTCACAAGAACTGTGTCGCACGATCCAAAAGGACATGCTTGATATACACGAGTCGTTATTGTGACCAGGCAAATAAACGAAATGCTCATGGAAGTGGCGACTGACTAGTTCGATTTTTCCGAGCATGAAAGTAGGTATTCGATCCTTCGGTTGATGCCAGCGCGGAAAAACAGAGGTAGGGTAAGGCTTTTTCCACGTCTCATTCTGCCTTAGCCTCTAGAAAGGTAGGAGTTACACCTTTTGTTTCCAACCTAGCAGCCGCAGAAACAGTTTGAGACTTTTCTCCAAATGTCTTGTTTCAGACAGATGCTCAACTCGAATCAAAGACTACCGGCAGAGCACACACACACACACACCGGTATGCAATAACAAAACCCCCAACATCTAGTCATAGGCATGTACCATGATATTGGCCTCGAAGCTCGTCTAATAGTCATTCGGTTTCTGAACCTCGAGGGCTAGCGAAGATATTTCACGCAAGCGAGACTCTTCCCCAGAAGCTGATTTCGCTATCCGCTGTCCATGATCTAGTGTCACACTGACCATTATTCCTGCAAGTCCTCGGGGATCGTGGGCTGGCTGCCGCTGTGCAGCACTGCGGAAAGGGCTGCATGATGCAGTAGTGAGTCACACAGCCTCAGGACGATCCAGTCCTATTATGGAACCAACGGATCCGCTACCAGCATATTGTGAGACCCGTACCAGCGGCTTGCATGCGAAGCTTTCCTGTCGTGTCAAGCAGGACTGATGCCTGAGGACTCGTCTAGCAACTACCACTGTCAATAATAGACTTTCACAGGATCAAGCAGCCCCGCAATGACAGATCTACCACGGCATTTGGACCATCTTGCCGTGCATTACAGCATCAAAGGACTGGAGTTGAGTTCCTCCTCCAAGCTGGAAGATCTTGACTGAATGTCGTCTTGAGTGGTCCACCGGCCGCCAATTGTGTCTCTACTATCATAGGGCTCACTCCTATGGCTAGAATGAAACACATCCATGGCATGCCCTACGGTAGCGGGCACTTTCTTCCCCGGCTTGTTTTGCCGTCGGCTCTAGCTGCAGTTCGGACTAGATGCAATGCACCCTTGAATGTGATTGGCGCCACCGTCGAAGGACCTGATAGGACAGCTGTCCCGACGCCAATAAGCCATAATTACGAAGCCAACTCCAGGCAACAGTCCACCGCTGACCAAACATCATGGAGGCCAATTCCCCTTCCTTTGAACCCTTCAACCTCGACATTGCACTGCTTTCTTAACGAAACCTCTTCGAAGGTGTAAAGAGTCCTTCAAGATGGCCATTCAACTCTGATCTTTGGCCGAACCCTCCTCACAAGGCGCTTCTCCTCACCAATTCGATTTGCACAGCCCACCATACGCGGGATCCTTCCTGTAGGCCCTGGATCTCGCACCGCCCTCAAGACGTGTCCTGAGCTGACATCTCTCAGTCCTTCATCACTTCTTCTCATCTATATTACCTATTTCTGCTCCGACGGCATCAATCACTCACTGGTCCTGTGGCCACCAGACCGGGAAGATACACCTGATCAAAGCTTGGCCAAATTTCGAACCCTCCAAACATCAACGAAAGGGCTCCCCTGAAGACTGCGAAGCACCCGTAACTGAGATCGGAAGCCCGAACATCAAAAATCAAAGGCAATTCAAAGATATAAATCGACTCAACTTGTGAGTCACAATTATGCAGGGGGCTCCTTCGATAGTCACTAATATTAATCGTTTTTCCAGGGAGTCATAATTGGCCTTCTAACCATCTGACCACTTAGGATGACCTCCACCCAACCAAACCCCCGCCGAGGCTACAAAACGGGCGTGCACCCCACATCGTCATTTTCTCATACCTCCACTGCCCAACATGCACACCATACCTCGTCAGCTGAACCTGACCGAGCACTGAAAAAGAGCGCCACCTTCCACTCTCCGAAATCGCCGGCAGCGGAAGACGATCCAATACTGCATATTCCCTTGTTATCTCGCCGATCACCAACATCGCCCACAGCTCTACGAGATGCCGTCGCTGCCGGTGAGCAGCGTGTCTCTCAGCTCTTAGGCAGTGTAGATCGCAGCCTATCAGGTCTGGAGACCTTCTCTACTGATAGTCAAGAGACTATTCGACCTGACGAGCATCCTGTTCCGCGCTTCATGCTGGACGGCACGATCAACACTGAAGATCACATGGACATTGACTCGCTTGCTGACCCAGTCACACCCCTCAAATCCCAGCATCGCCATAATCGTCACTTCTCAGATAGTGGCATTGGATCCAGCATTACTGCTTCCGACGGCGCAGAGTCTCGGGATGATGCAGGTAAGTCTCGGCAATACAAACAATCGTACACCGCAACTACAAATACTCACCAAAACGCAGCCCAAATCCTAGCTGATCTAAAGCGTACTTATGCTACCGCCCACAGCGTCCACTCAGGCATCAACGGTACGAGTGAGTCTGATGCTCAGCACGCTCTGAGTGCCTACGCTTGCAGGCAAATCCAGAAATACCTCATCCTTCCCATTTTGAAAGAAGAAACCCTCAAGAAATTTCATCCTCTTGTGACTGGCATTCCTGTTCGTGTTGGGAGGAAAGAGATCACTTGTCTTCGTGATCTCGAGAAAGTCTTGTTGTATTTGGCTCCGGTGAGTGGATCTTCTTCTGTGTGGGAAAGGCGTCTGGCTCATTGCTTTGGGTTTCAGCGGTTCTCGGAGTCTCGGTCTGCTTTCTTGCGCTTCTGTGAAACGTCGATTCAGTGCCTTCATACGACTGTCGACCATCTCAACGACCCAGATCAGCGGCGACCATCCGACAGACCTTATACTAACTCATACTTTGTCGATCTCACTGAACAGATTAGACAGTACGCAGCTATGATATCTGCAGCGAGGCAAAGGCTAGTAGCCGGTGAAACCCACGACGATGACGAAGAAATGATGTGCGAAAATTCTGGCAACTACCAACTTTTGCAAATGCTAACATCTGCTAGGAATTCCAAGATTTCGCTGGAAGGAGGCATTGGCCAGACAGGCCGGCCTGCCCAACTTGTCCGTACTAGTAACGGACGCTCAATCTCACTTCGCACTGGAGAAGAAATTGATCTGCAAGCACTACGTGACGAGGCAGGAATCCCGAATAGCGACGAGATGGACGAAGAGATCCTACTATCCATGGCTCGACGCCGCAAGGCTGCCGAGAAAGTCATACACCGTTGTGGCGAGTGTGATAAAGAATTCAAACGGCCGTGTGATTTGACCAAGCATGAAAAGACACATTCTCGGCCCTGGAAATGCAACGAACCGACTTGCAAGTACTCTCATTACGGTTGGCCGACCGAAAAGGAACGCGATCGCCACGTCAATGATAAACACTCATCAACCCCTGCCATGTACAAATGCCAATTCCACCCCTGCCCTTACGAAAGCAAACGTGAGAGCAATTGCAAGCAGCACATGGAAAAGGCTCACGGATGGGCATACGTACGCTCCAAGAATAATGGAAAAACCGGCCGCAAAGCTAGCAAGTCAAGCAGCAGGTCCTCTCCGACCCAGCAAATGACTACACCCAGGACTCAGGTGCTTGATGGAACGGAGTCGGATTTTGGTGACTCATCGGCTAGCCCATATCTGCAAAGCTCAAGCGACCTGCACAGTTCAATCGCAGGCACATCCCCCTATCTCAGCATGAACGAGGCCTACACACCCTCCCCATTTGAACCTAACTTCACGTTTGACCAGCCGACTCAAACCCTTACGCCCACATCGCCTTTCACACCCGCATCCCATCGCCTCTCACTGGACAATGGGGTTGGACCAAATGACGTGACCATGCCTTCTTATGATACTACGTTTGCTGGTACGGACATGCCGTTGTTCAATGATACCTTCGATTGGAGCAACATGGACACGGGTTTCCAGAGTATGAATATTCAACTCTTCACGCCTGCTGCTTCTGTGGAGAGCGGACCAATGGATGGCTATAATAGTCGTAATCCTTCCATTTCGGTGGAGCAGCCCATTGTTCACGACGTCAAGCTTTCGCCTGGCGCCCAAGGTGCTCTCATGCTATACTCGCCTAATGATGGCGTTATCGATGAGGGTTACGACGAGTTTTCCATTACTGATATGGGCAAGCCGACGAACGACTTTGCTCTTTTTGATGATACACGTCCTGAGTCCAGTATGGGACACGGCGGCATGAACCTCTTTGAAACTTTGCCCCCTTTCCAATCACAGACTTGGACGGGGCAGCACGTCGAGCCGATCATGATGGAGGAATAGACTAGGTGACGAAGGACGCATCTTTAGAGGAAGGAACACATGCAGGCGGGTATCCATATTTTCGGAGTTCATTCTATGGAGACTAGGACGTGGTGTGAGGAAACTCGTCTCCAATGTTTTCCCGTGTATTATCATTGTAGTACAAACGGCGGTCATGAGTCATGACACCTTAGCATGAAATGAAGGCAACATCTGAAGTCATATCAGAAGTCCCTTGTGAGAAATCGACTGCTTCTGTTCTCATCTTTCAGCAATACTTTGTCATTTAGCACGATCTCCAGTGTGGGCCTAGTGTGCCCCGTGAAAGCCGAGGTATGATCATCCACATCTCCGTTCAACCATCAGAGATAGGCCATCTTCGCCGTTTCCAATTGCAGCCTCAGTAAAGCCAGAATTACCGACGAGGAATCATGTTGCTCTTTCATCGTTTTTCTGCGGCTGATCTCCTTTACCTGACCTCCCACGTTACCTAGCCTTTCGGTAGAGCGACCGTTTGTCGAGCCATGGATGCCTTCAAGGTTATATAAAAATGCCACACCTTTAGATCAACTGTCTCACTAGCTTCAGGCGAACGTGAATAGCATCTTGCTCAATCCTCAATACTCTAAATCCCTTGCCCTCATCAAAGGTGCTCGCAATGGTGCAGTCTACGGAGCCAAAGTCCGCTTCCCTCATGCTCTTGTGTACGCCAAACCCCCGAACTGCTTCTATTGTCGTGGAACTGACACTATTTGTACAGTATGGTCATGCTTTTCCGCTCTGGCTCGTAAGTGCTTCGAATCTTTCTAGCGCTTTAAGAAGCCTAAGATCGCCCCAGCCTACGCTCCAAACTTGCTTTAGTTCTGAAAGCCACTCGCCAGCATGCTCGTAACCTTGCCACATTTGCCCTCGTGTACAAAGCAATGGTAGCCCTGCTACTACGTGCCTCTCCTACAAAAAAGGAAGAATCATGGCACACTTTTCTGGCTGGACTTGTTGGCGGCTACTATGTCTTTGGCCGAGGTATACAGAGCTCTGTGAATCAGCAAATCGTGATCTACATATTTGCAAGAGTAGCATTAGGAGCTGCGAAGCTGGCAGTGCAGAATCGAAGCGAGGGCGGCTGGGGCTTGTTGGGGTATAAAGACCGCCAGACTGTGAAGGTCAATGCTTGGCCCGTATTTGCCAGCTTGAGCTGGGCGAGCGTTATGTGGCTATTCCGGTACCACCCTGAAGTACTACAGCCGAGCCTGAAGAGTAGCATGCAGTACATGTAAGTGTGTTCGCCTCCTTCGTGCCCTGGCGCTTTGATTGAAATATTCACTTGAAGATTCAAAGGAAATCTGAGAACTAATGAGATATGTGTCATAGATATAAGGACTCGGATCATTGGGATGGAGCGAGGAATTTTCTGATTCATAACAAATAGATGGTCTGTAAGGGAGGCTCCACTTACATACAGCCCAATTGAGTCGTAAAGAAGAATTCATGACATAACACTTGTGAAGACTTCGAGTCCATACGCGTTCGAAACCATGAAGATTCAGTCCTTGTGCAAACGGCTTTCCATGACTTATTCCTCCAGCACGAAAGGATGGTAAAATACCGGATGCATGTCTGGTGAGTGTTGGTGGGGTCAACAGATACTAGAACGCAGTTCTGCTCAGATTGATGATGAGGTACCCCATTGGAAGATCTTCATTTCTTTCAAATAGGTAAGGTGTTTTGCCATGCAATTGAATTATGTTCTTTGGCAAACCTCATTCACTCTTCACCGCCGTCGCAATCGGCCGCTGGCCCAAACCGACTCCCCAGATAAATTTGCTAACTTATATGACTGACGACTGCTCAACTCTTGCGATCACATCCAGCAAAAATGCCCGTTCTGAAGAATATAACCTGCAATGTCGAGTGGTCGGGTTCTAATACGCCACTTCGAGAATACCAGACATCCTACTCAGATGGATATGTCGAGACCTACATTGCAGTCCCTCAGCTCTCACCGCCCTTCTCAATCCATCTTCAATCGAATGGCTACATATCTCCAGGCCTCGCAATGTTTGTCTACATGGATGGTGTCTACCAATGTAACCGCAATCGCAGCAATTTAAAGGTTCCCTTTGAAGGGTCTAGCAAAACCAAAACTGATGTCGATTTCAGGGTAAGACAAAAGGAAGAGGGAACCATGGACGGAACCTTTCGAGGGAAGCAATGGCAATTTGCAAGGGTGAACGTTGGTGAGCGTATGAACTCAAATCCCTCCCAGAACGCCCACTTTAACATCCAGAAACAGCCTCACATGGCAACAGTCAAGCGATGACCGCAGTGCCTTTTCAAGGCGAATACGTTGGTACAATTGAGGTTGTCGTGCTACGGTGCTATCCTTTAAGTGAGGTCATCGTCGACGAAAGGGATGAGCCGATACTTCTGGGGGCAATGTTCGATGGCGCAAGTGATGCACAGACCGTGCCTTTCTCACTTGACGGGGCTTCTGGCATTTCCGCTTCGCCGCCAGACAAACAACGACACCACAAGAAATCTAAGCCAGAGAAGATTGAAATCCATAACTCCAATGTCCACATATACCATGCGGCTTCTAAAAGCCACAAAAGATCGCAATCTTCGCATATCAACCAGCCGAAAACTCACCACTACACATCCTCTGACTATGAATCATCAGGTCGAGTCTCGCCAAGGGAACAGATTGCTGAGATCCTATCAAAGCAAGGCGGCTCCTCCTACAATCGACCATACTTAGGATCCAGTCTATCCCGTGTCATGCAGATACGAGGAGGGGCAGCTGGGAGCTATACTGCGGGCGATGATGATTGGGGTGCCCAGAAAGCCGAAAATCCGGCAGGAAATAATAGCGGATGGAACACAGACAAAGGTATTATCACTGGTAAATATGATGTAGCCCAGAATGCTGAACAGTGCGTGATAGGATGGAACGCAGCAGAGTCATCTTCAGGACCCAAGCCGTGGTCCTCTCCAGGAAAAGGTACCGATGAGCAAGGGGCATGGAACGCCGAGAGCGCTGATCAGGTAACTGGAAATAAGGCCGACGCTGCTGTATGGGACCCAGTTGGTAACCCTGCAGAAGAGCGAGACGCCTGGGGCGAATCCGCCAAGGAGGATCAAGGGGCGGTAGCTGACAATCGTGAAGGCCCGACTTGGGAGAATGATGGCTCAGCAAATCAGACAGACCGGAATAGTGGTGAGCACGACAACAGCTGGGACAATAACAAAGACACGCAACACAGTAGCAATGATTGGAGCAAGACAGGCAACATAAATAACCAGTTGCAAGATACGAACAGAGGAACTACTGGTAGCTCCAATCCAGGTGTCGAGAAGGATTCCTGGGGCCAAAGCAACGATCAAAGCCATGAACAGACAGGCGGTTGGCCTCAAGCTGGCGAGATTGTCAATAACGAGGGCCGGAACAATGATCAAGGTAATGAGTCTTCAAATGGGCAGAATTGGAACAGTAATGGAGGTGACTGGAACAATGATAACGGAAGTGGAAAACAGAACGATAATGTGCAACCCGGTGGTAACGGTAACAATACTTCCAACTTCAATGCAAATCATGGACCAAATGGTAGCAGCCAGAACGCGCCAGAGTTCAATGATAGCGAGCCAACGATCGGATCAACAGCTCCAGGTAAGAAAGAGCGATTTGGTAAAGGCAAGTCGCCAACCCCAAAAAGTGCAATGAAAACTTCAACCTCCCAGGGAAAGCCGAAGCCTGATTCCTCTATTCCTACTCCAAACATGTCAACTTCCAAGAAAAGAGCACCATCAAACTCATTCAAACCAACATTCACGTCATCTAAGAACCCACCACCTTCGCAAAGGAAGGTATCGAATGAAAGTAAACCCTTCAACGTGCCGGGACAGTGGAGTCCTCCAATGCAGCGTTCACACACCGTAGATTCGCAAGCTCAACAAGCACCTCCTTCGTTCATCACTACACCTCCAGCTTCCACACCTGCAGCTACCCAGAAAGCTCCGAAGCCCCAATCCAAACCCTACTGGAGCAGCTGGCGAGGCAATCTTCCGCAACCGATCACCCCTGATTCAGCCATCACTCCTCTTGACGACCCGATCTACACTCTACCCTCTACACTCACCACCTCAAGGTCCCTCACGCACCAAGTTCTTCCCATGCAGGCCACAGCCTACAGACACAGGCGCGCCAAGCCAAACTACATGGACACCTACGACGATCCGTACGCCGTCTTCGTGTTCAAATACCGGGATACTGCGGTGATCGAAAGCATGCTCGGTATGCAGATCACAGATCCTGTAGGTGAAAAGGCAAGGCTTGCGAGTCTAAGCAAGGAGGAGCTTGTTGAGGAGCTTCTGAAGGCGAAGGGGGCGGCATCTATGACGAATGTAACGCCCTCTACGCCAGCGCCAGCGCCAACGCCACCAATGCCAATGCCAATGCAACCGGCCACGACGGCCTGGCAACCTACAGGTGGTTGGGCTGTTTCAGATCAAGGTGTTGCGGCGCCGGTTGCGGTCGAGAACAGGGTGCAGAATGACAATTGGGGCAAGAATCCAAAGGGTGCGGGACCATGGACGCAGCCCATGACGAAAGGATACGCTGGTGTTGACGTTGGTGGAGGCAGCAGTGGAGGCGGTGGGCAGGAAGGCCAGAGCGGGAATAACGATAACGGTGGAAACGAGGCCGGATGGAGCAATGACGACAATAAAGGCGATGAGGGAGAAGCTGGTGGGAACGATGGCGACAGTGGCGGCGGTGGCGGCGGTCAAGACTGGGGGAATGGGAACGCGGGAGGAAGTGATGAAGGGAAAGGTGGAGATGATCAGCAGAAAGGTAGTGGTGGCGGAGGAGAACAGGGAGGTGGAAGTTGGGAACAGACCGATGGCGACAATGGCGGAGGTGGCGGGTGGGATGGGGGTAATAAGACTGCAAAAGAGGGAGACTGGTGATATTGAGAAGCTATGAGACAGGAGGAAGCTGGCGAAACATGCATGTGGTAGCCAATTGGTTGCATTAAGGGTTTGAAATGAGATCTCCTGCAAATGAAGGGTTGACTTCACATGTTTACAAACAAGGGGATATTGTATCTCAACTGTCAGCCCTTCATTCTAAATTTCCATCAGTCATAGACAGCGTGCCCTTGCCTCCAGCATCTCACATCCCTTGCTTCCAACGGCCTCCTAAATAGCGTCTAATGATAAATTTCAATCCCGATGTCATGCATTCATACATATCATCACCACATCTTGGCATCCCATGCAAAACGCTCAAATCTCGCTCAACATGCAATTTCTAGCCTTCAAATGCACCCAAAACGATCGTTACCCAAAGTCAAAAGATAAAAGTAGACAAGACCGACGACTCCTTACCAAGCCCAACTCCCTTTTCTCGCAGTAGACCCCATCCACCCGCCACCAGTCTCATAACTCGCCTCTGCCTCTCCCCACCCGCGCTCCTGGGTATCATTCTTCCACAGCCCCTTTTGCTGCCGTCCCCATTCCCACACGTAAAGCCTCAGCGCTTTCCACCTCTCCCCCGGGCTTTCGAGGACGCCCCTTGCGTCCTCGCCCGTGCCTTCTGGCACCCCGACATAGCCCCGCGCGTTGGTCAATTCATCATCTTTCCTCAGTTCTTCGAGGGGCACGCGTGTGATGCGGGATATTTCGGGGTCGTAGGGACGGGCTAGGACAGGGTAGCCGAGAGAGAGGTAGTTATAGAGCTGGGTTACGAAGGTATCGGTGAATTCGGAAGCGATGGCGTCTGTAGGGGGGATCTCGCGGAAGGATCCGGGAAAGGTGAATCCTGGGATGAGGGTGGAGTGGGTAGCGACATTGGGTTGGACTTGTGCTCGACCGATGGGGAGGTGATCAAGTTGAAGGAATCAGTGGGTTCAGCGGCTGCGGTATCCATGGAGACGAATGGGTCACTTCGCTCGCGGTCAGGTGTGATGAGACCAGATTGGATGCCCCTTGGAGGCGCCATCGCGACTTGGGCTGAAGCTGCGTTGACGCCCATCCATAAGCCAGACGTGGCGCTCTTTCGTGAGCTGCTTTCCTTTAACTTCCATAAACCTGTCTGCTGCTCCGTTTGAGATGGTGATTTCGCTCCAGGGTAGTTCTGGGGGTCGACCCTGGTCTGTCGAGGAGAGGAGCACTTTGGGAATCGGAGGTCTTGTCCAGCCATTGGTGGTGCCGCAGCTTTGCGCATAGGGTTGATCTCATCATCCTGCTGCCGATCTGCAGCTCCCTTCGGTGGTTGCGGAGGGCCGCGCTGTGAAGCACGATCTTGTGACGACTTTCCTATGTCGAGTTCGGGATCCCTCTCCGCTGAAGCCCAGGCGCGCCGTCGCTCTTCTTCCAGTTTTGACTGATGCCGCCTCATTTCCTTCATATGCCATCCAGAACCAGATTCTCTGTGTCTGCGTTTTGAGTCCTTCAACGCCTTCTCGCCCTCGCCCTCTGAGCTGTCTATTGCAAGATTGCCAGTGTGTACGGCAAGGTCCGAACCGTCATCAGAATCCCGGTCAAAGGCATAGTGTTCGACAGGTTCATGCTCATTCTCGTTGGGGTAGGCGGCCATTGCTTGATCATGAAGCTGTCGTACTGCGGCGATGGCTGCTAAATTCAAGAGATACCCTGAGAATCGTTCGTCTTCGCTGTCTCGTGCAGATATCGGGTATGTCTTCTTCCTCCTCTTTACGCTGGGTCGATTTGCAGGATCAGATTCGGCAGAAGAGACTTTCGATAGAGATGGGACGTCAGAGGCATTGGACTCTTCCTCGGTGCCTGATGTCGATCTGATGGACGGGAGGTCTGGAATTCGAAAGGAATGCCGTCGTGGAATTTTGTCAGCTAGTTTTGAATACGAGAACTTGGATTCAGGCGGTATCTGAGGCACTTCATCCGTACTAGGCAATGGAGAATTATCAGGTGGTCCAGGCACCAAGTCCGGTCTTTTGCGTCGGAAGGGGCGGATTTGGTGCTCTCCAGACACGGGGGAAGTGCCCTCGCCGTCGTCCACTCCCGAAGTAGGTGAATCTTTCGTGCTCCTCCTAGACCGTCGGCTACTTCCAACCATTTCTGGAAGGAAACGGCGCGACTTCGAAGACGCGGCCTGTGACTCGATTGGCTGGGGCAATGAACGAGTGGGTTTGGATGCATCGCGGCTGGCGTCACGAGACTCATTGCTTAGCGAGTCTCTGCCTGCATTGTTCTTGGACGCAGTGCTTGTCGTCTCAACTGGTTGAGGCAGTCCTCGCCAAGGACCATCGGAGGGTGAATCATCGGCTGCAGGGTCTGCCCGGGCAGACCTGGTCGCCCTATTGCTCTTTTTGGTCTGTTCGACTGGTTGAGGAAGTGGGCGACGAGGCGATGTAGGCGGATTCGACGCCATATCCCGTGTTGACTCCGTAGAGCCCGCGCGCAAAGAGTCCCGACCAAGAACGGCGAGAGGGAAGGCACTCGAGGTGTTCGGTAATGGGGATTGACCTCTGTAGTAACGCGCCAACCGGGTTCTAGCCAAGGTTCATAGTCAATATCGGCCATGGTGGAGGCCTGAGGAGCCTAACGTCCCAGAATGTGCCCGTAAAAGCCCATCATTCAAGCGAATCAGGTGATCGGTCATTGGCCGGGAGGGGGCGGCATCGCTGCTGGGCGGGCACTTCAGCTTACGGAAGATTGGGAAAGAAAAGCAGGGAATTTAATCAATTGGGGGGAGTGGGGGACCCATAATCCAATTCAGCATGGCACGAAATTCCACGAATGGTACGGAGAGGAGACTTGCGGGGAAGTTTGGTTCCGCTGACGCCAATCGGGGGTTTCGAGTACTAAACTACTAATGCCCTGTGATCAACGCTGCTTTGTGCAGTGTTCTCTCTCCTCCCGCGTAATATGCCGGTCCGGTACAGCGCAGGAGCCCATACGGTAAGATCGAGTGCATCGATGCAACTACTCTAGTGCTACACAATGATAAGATAGTGTCAGGCAGTGATTACGGCCATGCATACCCCATGAGCTACGGGAACCTAAGTACGATTGGACGGGCCTGGAGTCGTCATTTCACGCATCCAGTAGTTCGGTCTGGAAGACGATATAGCCAAGACTCATGGGAGACTGGTGTTTTGCTGAGACCGAAGCCTTGAGACTGATTTAAGGAGTTGACGACTCAACTCTCATCCGAAACCGAGATATTGGTCATGAAGCAAGGTACTGTGCTCTTGGCAGCAGAGATGGCAAACCGGCAGAGCCAGATATCAGGAAGCCGCGCGTTGTCAGCCACTATAGTAGATAGGAAAGGCGAGGTCTTGTTCATGAGGACCTGGCAGAATATCGCTCGTAGTGACATTACTCGACGTGACCCAGGACAAACAAGGAGACAATTTACCATGATCGCTACATGGTATCTAGCCGCATGCAGTTCATCGGCACTATCAACATGGTGGCGCAGAATTCTCTTCTTAGTAGAGGCACTACCAGCTCAATCTTCATAGATGTTGCGAATATGAGCTCGTATTGATGATCTGGCACGTAGGAATAATGGACACGCATCCTCGGCAGTCTCTTGGAGCAGTGTGAAAGACAACCGTGTACGCCCGCAATGTCAGCCCTTCGCTTGTTTGAGCATGGAGCGATTCCTTCCTCGGATTCACTTACCTGATCCGGCGCAATGAACAACAGCCACTGTAGTCTGCCCATATCATCATGTAGCACGATCTGCCACGAGGAGTAAGCTCGAAGAGATGCGAAGAATAGATGACCTCCGCCCTCAGCCGGTCAATCTGCGCTTTCGTCACGTCCTATGGGAACCGATCATCTGCGCACACGCCCGCGATGGCACTTGCAAGAGCCTCAACTCAGCACCGGATGGCGGATTCGCGGTACGTCAGAAAGGCTCGGATTGGCGCAGGATTGGCGAGAAGGAGAAAGATAAAAGGAAGCTTAAATCCAAACACACGAGACGAGAAGGTCCGTGCTTGGTCGCATCATCCAGTGATTTGCAATGTTTCGCATTGTTTGGACTCTTTGGAGCACTTGGAGCGGTGTAAATCTCGACCTTCTCGTGTGTGGCTGAAAGTCAATCGTCGCCCTTACAGCGCAAACTGTCACACTGCAGCGCCAAGACCACCGCGACTTCGCTCGCCCAGACATCCTTCGTCCTTTCTCGACTCGTCACATTGCTGGATCTTCTTCACCCAGATACAATCTCGATCTCAGCTGCCAGAAGCCGTTAAGCTTTTCGACTTCCCTGGCGAATGTGACCGCCTGAAAAGCTCTCCCACATATCACATTTATCATCCATTCCAAACCCTTTCAACAGCCGTTCCAGTTGCTGCCCAAGTCTGAATCCATACTGTCGTGCTCCCCAATCTTACGCGTAGCCTTTTGGGTTCTCATTGCTTTTCGTACCTGCATATTGCTTGTGGTGCAACATGTAGGTTCAGCTAGCCTCCGAAGCTATAGCTTTCGAGCCACCATTTAGCCATGTGCTCAGGCCACCACCGTGACGATTTAAATTTAACGCCACTATCAAAGGGATGGTATCTTGTATCTCGCAGGTATTGCCAGATTCGTGGGAGTTCGTACTGGTTGATGAGCTAAACGTCGGTTAGATTCTCGCTGCTGGCGCATATTAGCTGCGTCTTGGTCCATCTCGGGTGTATAGTTGCAAAAGTAAGCAATCAATGGCCGTCTCAAAAGAATCTATGTTTTGCCTCTTTATCGCCCTGCAAGCAGCCATCACTATTTGACTGCATGTTCAATGGAAGCTGTTGACCGAGACATCTCAGATGCACAAGTATGCCAACGTGTCCTTCGTCTCAGGTGGGATCGGTACCACCAACATTAAACGAGCGGTTCCAGACGACCGATTATCAAATATCAGCAAAGTTACCCACCGCTCTTTCAAAATTTCAAGGCTGCCGGGAACTAGTGTAGACCATGGCAAAGTTTGAAGATGCTTTCACAATCCATTCAATCAGTAAGTGCAAACATTTGAGTGGCGAGAAAGATTTACTTAGTTCTCGTACCACTCATGCTCGGTAAGGTGAAGTGATTGCAGATTGACGAGAAAGACTGTGACTGACTTTGAGTAGCCATGTCGACTATTAAAGCAGACAAACCGTCCTCTTGAGAGTTTGGTCCAAGATCATTAGCCGCAACTTCGCTTTGAGATACCAGCAGTCTTCGCTCAAAAGCTTCATTTTTCGGTTGTGTTCTTTCGGTTATTCTCCTCAGCATGCGGCATACGACTCGCGTCACTTCAATGTGTGACCTCAACGCCATCGCCGGATCCTATGAGACGCGATCTCCAATCGAGGAGCGCATGCTGGATTCCGTGGGAGATGGAGGGTTCTCCAATCACGCAAGGACATTGATGCCGGTGAGAAATCAAGAGATTTTCATGATAATTGAAGAAAAGTTGAACATGTGAACAGGATGGCAAGATGCCAGGAGTGCGCTGCCCTCGCTGCGCAGAAAAAGGAATCGAGCAGTGGGTGCTGCCAGGCAAACATTGTCCACGCTGTAGTCAGCCCTGTTGAGAATACGTGTGGCCAGGTATGGGGAAGCATCCAAGACTTTTTGTCTATGACTGACCATAACGAAGCGTAGGGAGGCGAACACGACAATCATAGCTTCCCGATGATAGGCTATCGAGGGAGAATTCAGGAAAATGGTCCTCAAAATATTATTCGAGGTTTTGAGGGTCCACGGTGTATTCCCTTTTAAGGTGTATTCAGATAGATGCGTATGCGGTCATACATAGAAAGGCTGCGTTTGTGGGTTCTTAGAAATGAAAAGCCATACATACTAATTGCCAATGGATGAGATTTTAATGCACTAGTCGCCCGCAAGCGCTTGAAAGCTTTGGACTAAAGCAACGACGGCGGCAAGCATCTGATTGAGTATGCAGGCATACTTTGATGCAGACTGTTCGTTGCCGCGAGAGCCGCACTAACGTACGAACTAGCATGGCGAAGTGTGGGACCGACTTGGACTTGGACTTGTACTACATGCTGATTAGCAACCATGCTGGTGACACAGATGTCGTCATTTGCAGGATGGATGTCTTCAATATGCCTTGGCCAAAGAAATGCGAATCGACTCACCGTACTAGCATCTAGTCACGCGAAGGACATATTCCTGTAACGTGATCTACAAGGTCAAAGGTAGGTTTGCTTGCTTCCACTCTCTAATTCGATCAAGAGCCCTGCAGCCTTTGCTTGAGACGACTTTCAAAGCCCCTTCGTAGGAATGTTGTCAAACGAGAGACTTTTCAATTCCTAGAAGTAGCACCCCGCGACATTCGTTGCCCTCCGAATCCATCAGATGCAAGAACCTCCAGCCCTCCTTCAGACGATCAAGCCTAGCACAAGCCCAGGCGGCTAAGGGATCTTTTCCCATTTCATCATTCAGGACTTTTATTCTCAAGAAGCTGATACTCTCCACTACTCCAGGTATATCTTTGAACTCAATGTTCGTATCATTAAAATCAATTTCAGTACTGCCCTTGCAGTCCATCTTGAGAGTGTGTTTGAATTTTCCATCTTCCTCGTCTTTGGCTTTGCCATCATTCTCGATAGGGGCTCCGGTCCGCTCTGAGGTCTTTTCAACGTGCAACTCGACCTTGAGGTAGGGGCGAAAGGAGTGGGCGGATTTCATAGTAGAGGGAAGTGGCAGATCTTGTCCAGCAAGGATCCTGAGACTGAGTGAGAGGTTTTTATGTACAATGGCATCAGCCTGCGATTGCTTGCCGATGCTCTGAATCTCGCCGGCACGAGGGCCTGGGTTTGAATTTGGATGCCCGACAATGGTCCTGGCACCGAGGTAGCCCTCAGGCTTCAGTACCCATCCAGAGGAGCCGTCGAACATCGCATTGTTCAACATCATGCCTTGGTCCCACCGCTGCCAGTTGAGTGCGACTATCTGAACTCCTTTTCTCCAGAAGATTGATGGATCAAGGTTGTCACTACGGACCCGAAGCCCCGAAGGAAAGGCCCGCATAAGAAAGTTTCGGTTGTGCGAGAACAGCGTAGGGCCACTTGATTCATGTACCTCCATGAGTTTCTTTTCGGATAACGAGAAGACGTGGGTGGGCACAAGGGCATCGGGAGACGACAAGTTTGAAAAGTGATATGACCTAGTATAAATACCCAATGCCGACAGTGAAGGTATGATTGATGATTTCTTTTTCTTCGCCTCCGCTTTGATCGCATTCACATCGTTTGTCGAAGAAGATGAGGACGACATGATAGAGACTTTAGATCTTTTCTTTGGTAGCGACTTGACTCCCAAATTGTTCTCCTTCCCCGGTTCCGTTTCTGTAGCTTTCTTGGGATGAACAAACTTTACTTTGATGAGGACCTTCCTTCTGAGTGAGCTTGGACTTGGAAGTGACAAGTCTTCATCAGGTGGAGCGGATACGAGATGTCCTTTGAATGTTGATTGAATGATCTCGACCATGATTTCTTGCTGCTCTGGGCCCGCGTGTACTTCTAGACTGATTATGATTGGAAGGTCGCTGCCATTTGACTCAGTAAAAAAGGGTTCAACCGCGAGAAGGACTTTTCACCTATTGACAAATGCAGCATCCATGATTGCAGAACAGACATTCCGAAATGGGATCTCTTTCGTCAGTGTATAACCATGTAGAACTCGAGGCTCTGCTCTTGCAGTAGTTGAGGCCGATGTCCAAGGAGTTGGCATTTTCATGGATCCATCCTCAGCCTCGGCGTTTGTTTTCGCGGATGCTTGGGGGTCATCTCGAGATTTTCTTGTGGAGAAGGCCTTGCTGAAGTAATGCTTGAATTTACCCTTCTTTTCAGAGTCTTCGTGGCTCGGAGAATGAGCTTTGGGAGAATGGGGTTCACCATTCCACACATCGATCTCAATACATCGACATCCACGAAGTAGCGCCTTGAAGAATTTATGTTAGATTTGTCTCACTAATGGGAGATATGACGGGTCGTATCGCGTTCCTTGCATTCAAAGTCTCAGAGTACGTACAGTGGTATACGGAGCAGTACTTGCGTCGCTGTAGAGCTGATTGCCAGTCAGGTAGGTGTTGTGGCTGCTGTTGATGAAATAATTCGAAAGAGGATGTTCAAGGCTGTAAGAGGGTGCTGGCTTGAAGGCACTTGACTCAGCAGAGCTCATATACTGCAAAAATTTGTTATCATGTGGTGGTAAGGAGACCTCTGCCATTTGCGTCGCTGGCAGATGTCGTCGCCCCGTGGAAATGGTCTGCAAGTAGCTGAGAACGATTGGTGAGAAGTGAGTTACGATTGACATGTCGTTATGCTGTGAGGCTGGAGCTGTAATCGACTTCGACATGATGATCTGATCGGCTTGTCGCGCATTCCAGTGATGTTCAGCAACTCAGATGTCTGGTCGGGGACAACGCATGTCGTTGTTTGGACGGGTCAGCATCTGGATGATGAAGGTCTTGTTGACCTGACAAAGCATGCCACAACCCTTGGAAGACTAGCACTATCGGTGGAGCACATCTCAGGGTGTCAGATCTCCTAAGGATCAATGCTTACTCTCTGTGCTTGAGCTCAAGCCCGAAGTCGCAACCTGCGCTAGGTCAAAAATTGAGCCGAAAGTCAATTGGATGAGACCTAGTTATATCATTAGTCAGCATTGGACGTCGCCTTTTGACACCCTCACACCATTTGGAGCATTCATCAACATCGTCTTTAGTCTCGAGAAACGAGTATCGTCTACGGCTGCTAAATTGGAGGTCACCCTTCATTGCAGTATACCATAGTGCTTCCACCACCTCGTACGGACGTGTGCCTTCCATTTCTCACGAAATGGAAAAAGACTCTTCACGCTCAATGGTATACATGATTGCTGCACCCGTCTGGCAATTGCCTCATTGTTCCCATAATTATTGAGAAGCTGTGTTTTAGGGCGGAAGAATGTCATCATTCAGGATTGGCCGTCATCATCATCCCTCCATCGTGACTTCCGTCACGGCTTGACACTGCTCTTTAGCGCCCTACAAATTTTAGTTCACAATCGCTCTCATTAAATTCTCTCTCTCTTTAACTTGCAAGTAACCAGTAATGTTTGCTATTCATAATTGAACGACCCCTCCTTTATTGCTTCGCGTTTCGCTGTAATAGTATCATAAGAATATTGATATTCCTGCTTCACGTCTCCACGCCCTAAATTTGCCCCTAATGACGATTCCAATCATCTAAGTCATGATATCGCTACATCCTCGTGGTCTCATTGATATTCTGGTGTCACTGAGTTATCGGCAATGAACACAACAGCGCTTTGTATGCTTGTTCATCATCGATCGTTGCTATGCCATTGAGGTAGAATTTCCAAACAATACTCCGGAATCATCATTGACAGCAGAGCAGCATTCCTCCAGGGCAACTTATGGTGCCCGGTCAGACCTATGTTGGTATACTTCCTGGGGATCGACGACCTTCATTTGTTCGCAAGAAGTCAGCGTATTATCGTGATCGATCGGTACTTGGGGAAGTACTGAGCAACGTTTTTGCACCTTGTCGGCAACGAAAGTCTCGATCGAACAAGATGCAATCATGGTCGCGCCTTGATTACTATGATTCTGACTATGAGTACGAGTATTATCCTTCGAGACACCGACGCTACATGCGTCGACGGCGTGTTCCAATACTCCCTCCGGATCCGTGCGATCCACGTACCACCAAGCACAGTTGCTCTGCTTGTGGCAAGTTTAGGTCCCCCGCATGGTCATCTCGTCATCCTCTTCTTCCCGGGGAGGTCCCAAAACCAGGACTTTGCAGATCATGTCGTGGCAAAAGTACATCAAGCGAGGAGAGTGAATGCGACCACCGCACACGCAAAAAATATAAGCCCTGTCGTCACGGGTCCTGTTCATACAATCGTCATCACTGCAGCGAGTCATCTGAAGACTGCTGTCATTCCCGGAGTCAACGACAACAGTATCCTTCCGGCGGCCATCGTCACAGGGATTGCGTCCTCACGCGTACACCTTCGAGAGAAAGTGTCAACATATTTATTGACAACAATTCTGGTGCGCAATGTCGTCCACATATGGCAAGAGAGCCTACAAGCTCCACTGGAGACGAAATTGAGGTTGTTAGCAGAGCCGCGCCTCGAGCCAGGTCTAGATGTAGCATTGTTGTCGATGAATTCGAGGACCCCCCTCCGCCGCGCAAGAGGAGTACGAGCAATATTCGAGTAGTCAAATCTCGTAGACAACGGCGTCCAGTGTACGCGGAAGAACCGGAAATGTGGCCGCGCCGACGCCGCTATCGAAGTGGCAGCCATGTCAGCTTTGTTGACGAACCAGATGAAGTAATCGTGTCTCATTCTCGGAAGTCAAGCCGCGCACCTCGAGTATACTACGATGGAGCCAACTCGGGTCAGTATGAATTTAGAGATCAGGCTGATATTTTGGCTACACCCGACGATAACCAATCAAACGGCTCAGATCATGCTGATTCGATTGAAATGCGCTGGGATCAGCCCCGAAATACACTTTCCTTATCACATGACACAGCAGAGACTCTTAATGACTGTATCAGACTGATTGATATTCGCTCTGAGAGAGAGGAGTCGAGCATTCCACCGTCACGCCCTTTTGCTGATTCCTCGGTCTTCGCGCACGATCTTGAGATCGGGTCTGACGACAACTCACAAACTGGGGATGCAGCTGACTTATGCGACACCGCTCATGTTGAAAGCGTAAGGGAAGATGAGAAGGAAGCTTCAGCAATCACGCACACGATGAGTTCACGTACAGAGAATATGAGAATACAGTCTGACCAACAACACAGCCAAGCAAGTCAACTAATGCAGGCCAGAAATGACGGTAACGAAGGGCACCTATTGGCTGGATCTGATGAAAAATTTAACAGATTCCAAACTTCTGACAGAGGAAGTAGTTCGAATGATTCATTCTGCAGACTTTCATTTGAAGCCGAAGTGCTAATGCCTTCTAATGACCCTGCTCATCCAGACCATCCTGATCATGTTTGCTGGTTGATAGCGTCCGACCACATCGCACCAGTAGGCAGACCAGAGGGCGGCATCGGTTACGTGGACAACGAGGCTTCTTTTAGTAGCTCTGGCACTGCCGAGCCTGCGATGCCACTCAAAAATGATTTCAACGATGCTTGGATCGAACTATCAGATGATGGTAGCCAGTATAACGATAATTGCAGTCCAACGATCCCCTCCACAAGATAGACGGATTGCAATCTAGAAAATTGAAGACCGACTATCACACAGTCAAGTTGAATCAGGAGGAGAATGGTCAGAAGGAGAGACAGCGGTTGCAGGATGCTTATCTTTAAGAAATGTCAATGCAATACGCCGCACCAGAGATACCTCTCCTTCATCCATTGGCTCTCTGGACCGAGATGCGACTTGGCATTGTCACAAATAATTCAATGAGAGACACAACAATCCGATGACTGGACAAATCTTACGATCAACTTCTCTTTCCCTGTCAAAATTCCCGCCATGAGATGAGGATAAGAAAAACGTTACCAGTAATGCCTAGGCTTCTAAATTTGCAGGAGAGCGGGAGGACATATAAAGTCCCCTATTTGTTCAAGCCTAATTGAATACCGCAGGGGGCTGAAGTTGTGGATTCTTGTAATACACCTCGTAGGTCCACGCCATGGACTAATCCTAATGATCAAAAGCCGGACTTTGTTCGTAGCCCGTTTACCTAAACTATTATGCTGTGCTCTTACCCTTTTGACACCAAAAACTCCGGATTCGCGTGCGGCAACACAGCCATCAATCATGAGTGCTTGGTCTCTAGTTGATCTTGCAATTAGTAGTATGGCCGCATCAACGACATTGATGCGAAACGGAGGAGTCCTTCACTCCGCTCTAAATGTTCTCAATCTCACGCAAAAAACTGCGGATATGCAAGCTGCGGCAAGTACGTTGGACGGGCGAAAACGGGTGCTTTGAATTCCAAAAAGCTGCGTCTGGGTAAAAGAAGATGGATATTTGACAAATCATAAGGTGGGGATTGTGGTATGAGTCAATGGTCATTCGTGGGGTGACGTGCTTGAATGATCCAAACGCCAAACAGACATGTAGCTTCCCAAAATCCTTCATACATAGAAAATAAGAAGACAAATTTGAATGAATGCGGCAGGACAAACTGACCAATATCCACTCCATCTGGAGAAATCTAGAACAATAGATTATCCTCCAAAACTGTAATTGTTGATCTGACTGAAACCACGTCTAAGGTACCTCCATACTTTAGCGAAAGGACTTCCAATGTGATCCTTTTAAGGATGACGAAAACGGCAAGGATTGGGTGACCATAGGGTGATCAATGCGATGATTCTGCATTCCTTTGGGCTCTTTCACGTTTACTACGTGCTGTGACCAAGCATTGGTAGAGCATCCGATGCGTCGTGAAGGTTGGTGGTTCCAGATCAGATTAAGCGAAACGTGGGAGTATGCCTCCGGGCGCAGTGCGACATAAGTGCCTTTAGGAGAAATCTTGTGCATATTCAGGATCATCTAGCTCATTTGACTATTTCTTCGATTGGTCGCAATGGGTGTGGAGGCGAAGCAAGTATCTTGTACCTCGTAAACCAGCCTCTGCGATTTACTAGGCAAGAAGCACCCTAATGAGGGCCCTAAAGACCCCGCTGGAGACACAGCCACAAACCCCCAATCAAGGCTGCTTCCCCCAAGCTCCCGCGAGCTACCACGTATTGGAAGTCCTAGTCCTAAGGTTAGGCAAGTAGTCCTGAGGTAAACTTCTCCACCATCGACCACCGTCCCCGCCGTCAATTCAACTCTAACCAAAAGTAAGCGTACAGAGTCCGCCTCGTCACACCATTTCAGCTGGTCTGGACGAAAGAACGTCATACAACCCTTTCGGTCAGGTGCATCACCTGTCGCGTACAAATCTCAATGAGTCACAGTACAGCTTTCGCCTACAGCGGGGAAGGGAACGGCGCCGGTCTTTACACACTATCTCTACACCCCTGGCTCGAGCGCGCGCTCGGGTGATTCCTCCCATCATTCCCACGACTGTGGGACGATTGTTTGATGCAAGATAAATCGACGGGCGGAATGGTGAAACAGGGGATCGATTTAGTCACGGCCGGAGAGGACAATACGACGCTGTTGGCTCCCCCGGGGGCGCTTCTAGCAGGTTTGCCAGTGGGCGGCAGGAGGGGCCAAATACGAATTTCGAAGAGCCGGAGGGTAGGATTGGAATGCATGTCAGCAATCTGATACCCCTTGTACTACGGAAGTGCCGGCAGTCTCGTGGTTGTGGTTGGGGGGGTTTCCTTCGTCGTCGGTGTCGCCCCCCAAAATCATAAGGTGATATATATCCCGCATAGTATCGGGGCGCTGCCAAGAGATTAGTGCGCGCTAGTTCTGGATCTCGATCGGGCAATCGATCAGCACAGAGCCGCACTAGACGCTACCCAGCAAACATCCAAACTCCATTTCTGGAAAAAGGCGTTTGTCGAAGGCAGGTGCACGCCCACCCACGGGCGATGCTGTTGTCTTCGAGCGAAGTCCCTGGACGCGTGAGAAATCTCGCCCCCGCGGCCGATTCGAGGAACGATGAGCGTCGGTCTAGACTTCTCCCCACAGGCATTGGCTCGACCTCTCAGAACCCAGGACTTGCGACCCTCTGTTGCTCGCACCGCCCAAAGAGGAATTGTTTGCACATGAGCCGTTTGAAAATAATGCTTCTGGAACCGGCTGCCATGTACCTAGAGCTCAGGGCGCTTGCTCCTCTGGTTGGCTGCAGTTGACCTTGTTCAACGGCACAGCCGAGTCCAGCTCAGCGAGAAAGTACTCTCCCATTCTCTCTCGTTTCTCACAAGTGCCACACAATAATCCAGGATGCCTTGCCGCAGTGCCGGCTGAGAACCCGGCGCGTGAACACTGATGAAGCGTGTCAACGTCCAATGCATTTGCGCTTGTCGGTGATTTTTCTCCTGGCCATTGGGAATCGGTACCATTGCAGTTCGCGATCATGGAGCGGAGCTATTCTTGAGCTATTCTTGAAAGAAGGATTATATGCATATGTTGCTTACCTCTGATGATCGGCGCAGGCTACCCCTGCATGCTTTCCCGTTTAAAATGCTTCATTATTGACAATTTCTTTCGCTAGAACCCCTGTTCATCTTGGACCTACGGTGCGTGACACTAACATGTTCGGTGAGAAGTGAACTAATTATTCTAGTCCCCCTTTCACCCCCATCTGCTGCATGGGATGAAGCTTACGCTCCTGAAATCCTCCTGGTGTATTTTAGTGCGGCTCCGGGGCGTGTCACGAGAAGCCAATGCTTCGTGGACGCACAGCAATTGATAAAACATCTAGTGTGGCACTGCTTTCTTTCTCGAGAAAACAACCTGACTGCCCTGCGAAAAGCCGGATGCCAACTTCGCCTCCTCTTTCTGCATCCTCGGCCAACGTGGCGCAAAGCGCGTCTCTTGGTGTCACCGAACGTCACCCATAGCGAGCAGTCGAGTGACTACAAAGTGGTTTCTTTTCACCCCGTCTACTTTTCGACCGTACAACTTCCACATCACTTGCGCCGCCTCTGCGCGCTGTGCTGATAACATTTTGAGTCATTGAGTCACGAACCACCAATTGCTGGGCTCAGTCTTCCCTGGAGCGTAAACTATAAATATCCTCAGCCTGCAGATTTTTGAGGCTGTAGGTGGTGGCACGAAACTCGAAGAAATTAATCCCCCCTCAGGAGCTTACAATGCTACGAACTCATTCCGTCTATGATCATTTGAACATTGGTGTTGACCGCGATCCAAAGTGGACTGATACCTGGACCGAAGACTTTGACCTGGATATCCTGCCCTCGGCTCTTGAGCTGATGGAGAACCAAGCCAACGGCCAAATGAGCCCTTACACGCTAAAATATCCAATGCCTCAAGGTCTGCAGAGCCTTGATCAACAGCTGCCCCTACGATCCCACAGCCCCCTCGATGCTCCCAATGCCTGGACGTCAAATTTCCATGGGCCCAGTGGACAGAGTGCGTCACATCCATCTTCCTTTGGACCAAGCCCGCCTTCCGTGCCTCCGTCCCTTAAGATACCGGACTCTGTTCCTCATGCCCCGTCATGGCACGGTAGTGGAGCCGCAAACGATTTTGACGCCCCCTCTACCATCGACCCAGGAAGTCCTCCTACACCCGCAGCTCGTTCTGACATAGACGTCAAAGTGGCCCCTCCATCTGATTCCTCCTGGACGAGTGGACCATCCATCTCCACCTTTCATCAGCGACGTCGATTCTTAGACTTCAAACAGGAAAGGCCGGATCACTTTGCATCCGGAGGTGGGGTCTCCCTTCCACAGATCCTCCCACCAGTGGAAGACAGACCTTATCACTGGGATGCTCATGTTAACTCGAGTAACTGGCCATACGGTCGTCCAGACCTGAATCCAGCTCACCATCATTCATTCCAAGCAATGGAACGTGATCTTGGGGAGGTTGAGGGCCCCACAGTGAGCCCGAGCGCACTGCAACCGCAGGAGCAACCAGCCATGGCGGAAGGAGAGCAAGAAGATGATCCGAATGATGATATGGAAGATGCTCCATATGAAAGCGATGACGAAGAGTACCGACCAGGAACAGCCCCGTCCCAAATTTCTGGACGCCGGAATCCCAGAAGGACTCAAATTCAAGGATCCCAGAGCAGCCGCAAACGTCAGCCCGCCCGTCAGAAGGACATGATGAAACCTGTACGTGATGACGCCTATCGCATCACTAAGTCTCACTCCACCACCCATCCGACCTCCTCCTTGACACAGCCTAGAGACTCCTCTACCTATCCCTGCACCCACTGCCACAAACCCTTCTCCTCCCCTTCCACCCTGCACAAGCACACCCTTACCACCCATACTCGCCCTTTCATCTGCACTTTCGCACGCTATGGATGCCCTCAAACCTTTGGCTCTAAGAACGAATGGTCCCGACACATCAAAGTGCAGCACCTCCGTCTCGAAGTTTGGCGCTGCGACATTGACAAGTGCGCGACCGGCCTCAATTCAAATCACAACTATAGTCTCCCTAGTGGAAACGGTGGGGAGCGATCACACGATTTTGATCGTAAGGACCTGTTTACCCAGCATCTCCGCCGCATGCATCAGGATCTCTACACCAAGGGCTACTTGAACGCTCATTTTGGGGGCGCGAAACAACAGCTTGAGAGCACCGTGCAACGGCGTTGCCATCTCATTCTAAGGCAAACACCCACAGGGACGATGTGCCCCTATTGCGACAACGCCTCACCAGCGGCGACACCAAGAGGCCATCGCCATGGCAGTGCTCCCCATACCCGTACTGGCGGCGGTACCCCAGGATTCGATACCTGGGAGAACATGCTCGAGCACGTGGCCCGTCATCTTGAGAAAGGGGATGGAGCGGGAAATCCAGGGAAAGAAGACCTGAATCTCAAGAACTGGTTGATGAAGGAGGAATTGCTGCAGTGGCGGCACGATATGGGGAGTTGGAGAATCGTTGGGTGTGAGGGCAAGAAGAGTAACACCGCTAGCACTGCTTCTGGTGGCGTTGGTGGAGGAGGAGGAGGGAGGGGTGGTGCTATCGGTGCAGGATTGAGAGGAAAGCAGAATACGAGGGATACGAGGGCAAGGAGAAGAAGGATTGTGAAGCTTGAAGATGATGAGGATGACGAGGAAGAGGTGGATGCTGATTATGATGACTACTAATGTGACCTAACGGATACCCCTTTTCTTTTCTATATCTATTTTGGAGAGGGCGACCGGAGAAGATGATACCACGGACTCTGCACGATGGAAAAAGACCTGATATGGATTGGACAGGACATGGGAGGCGTCGCTGGTTAGGGTTGCATTCGGATTCAATGCGCTCCTTTCACATGTTCATGATACCAACAGTCTCCTTATTGTTATTCAGCATCGATCATCGAGCATGTACTGGTCTCTTGGGACAGAAACGTTATGAGTAGCGGTTTAATATAATAGAGCGCGCACAGCTTGGATATGTATAATGTGACAATGATATCATTTCCTACCTAAACCAGCATGTGCTTCACTCGCTGCTCTCCCCGAATTGAACTTACACCGTCCTGCAACCCATAAAGCTGCCACCAATGCTTCGTAACCCCGTCCAGAATGAAACGCTAGGGACAGCGTTCATGCCAATGTCTTTAGATTAGAAAAGGGTACCAGTCTACAGGGCAAAATAGGGTCTATGGTCATGTTGATATTCGTCAGTATGAACGACATCGATGACAAGGCCCGCAAAGACCTTTTCGGGATAGGGAAGGAAAAGACTGCAAGTTCAATTGCTAAATTTAGGATAGACAAACTCGCTAGCAAAGAAGTCAGGTGGCCGTGCTTGCTTGCACCTCAAGGATCAGTATGATCCAAAGGGGGGTCTGAAAGACACATTCGTGAACGCCAAACTCCTACTTGACTTCTTCGCAAGGCAGGCAGGTAGACAAGAAAAGCAGTAATCAACAGCACCCTTCATCCCAATCCACCACGATTGCTCTTGCTCCTCCCCCGATCGCTCAACACGGTCTTTGCTCGTCAGCGCTCGTTCATGTGCTTCTTCTAGAGACAGTCGGCGCAACATTCGCAGCAGTCGGCGCAGCACTCGCATCCCTCTTCGGCAACGCAGCAACAGCAGAGGACGGCCAGACTAGCACATCGATTTCATCAGTTTCCTATCCTTTCTGTTTTGTTGGGTGCGAATCTGAGAGACGTACCATGCCATTAGGCACCCTCTGTCCTTTTTCTGTTTCACGACCACTTGCTGCGGTGGCCCTTGCTGGTATTGCATCGGAGGACCTTGGTTGTAGCCCTGTTGAGGCGGCGGGTAGCCTTGCTGGGGATAGCCTCCGTAACTGTTGAGAGTGTGTGCTGTCAGCGGACTTCTTTGGTATAGAGGGGATGGGAAAATTGATGGCGTATCTGGAGGGGGAAGATAGAATGGACGGTCTTTTGAAAGGGGTAGAGAATATGACCGAGGGTTTTGAGGAGGGCGTACCTTTGCTGGGGATACTGGGGCTGCTGGCCACCGTAATAGCCTTGGTTTGACATTGTGCCGAGTCACTGATTGCTTCGGTGTTGATGTAATAAGGACTGTCTAGGTAGGTGCTTTGTGGCAATCAGTGAGCTGTCGCAATATCGCTGGGGTCGCAGCTGCTTGGCCGCATGAGATAGGTGCCGGGACTCACATTGTTTGGTAGGAGAATATGGCTATTGCGATCAAGTGGGTTAAGCTTCTGTTCTGATGATTTGTTCCGTCTTGGAAAGGCTTGGTAGTCTTGGAACTTCTTGGTGTTTTAGTACTAATAAGGTATTTCCGGGGAGGCTTACGACGCCAGCCACCACCTAAGAGATGCCCTAAGCCGAAAGGAGCCTAGAGTAGTGCAGCGATTCGCTCAGCCACAATTCCAGTCCACGTCCACCGCCCGGATGACAATCCTCGTCCAATGAACCCTACCGCTTGAACATTGATAATGAGACCCCAGAAGCATTCGCAAACGGAACGTCGACAGATCTATGGACCTTTGTACGTTTCTTCGATACCCTAAGAATGCATATTTGAGGAAATGAGGCACAACGTCTACGCGCCCAGCGATGGCCAGGCTAGATCTAGCTCCGTCTCGCTATCCCTCGGCGTAAAATCATGTTGCGTGGACTGGGTCAAGGTTTCATCACTTGGAAATTATATTCAATTTGCCAGATCAAATTACACTACTGCAAATGGAGGGTTAACGCATCTTTGAAGCTCTCCAAGGAGCTTTGAGGAAGTAGTTGAGCATCTTCGCCTTTTTGGATTCAACGGCCCCACGAGGCATCGTAATCCCTCACTTTCGTTGGACACACCGTCGTCACCCGACAATTCGTTGAGTTCGGCAAAACACGAACACTGCAAAAATATGTGCGCAGAAGGTAAACCTTACATGATACGAATTACAGGTCAAGAGCGCAGCACGAGCAATCAACTCGGGGGGAACATCAAGTCATCAAAGTTGTACTCGTAATTGTCGAAAAGAGGAGGATCATCACTTGGTAACGCCTGTGACGATGCAGTTTGGGGCGAGTTCCAAGCTGTTGCAGTCTTGTGCGCGGTGGAGGCTGTAGGAGAAGCGTGTGTTGCAGGTGAGGAGTGCTCGTTGAGGGCGGCTGGCGAGCCCATTACTGACGTGCGTCGCCCTGATGATTCTACCATGTTATTGTTGTGGGTGGGGAAAGCATTAACATCAGGGCTCATGGCGAGGTCAAAACCCTCAAACCCAGCTTCAGGCGGGTACTGCATCTCATCCTGCTGCAGTTGCTGAGCCCAAGTTGCTACACTGCTGTCATACTTCGTGTAAAAGAAATCTGCCTCTTTGAGAGGGAGGCCTTCGCTGTCGACCTCAAAATCGTACATCCACTTTCTCAATTCCTCCATTGGAGGCTCAGTGCCACCTCCTTTACCTCCACGTTTTTCTTCAGGCTTGAGCTTACGATTTCTCTTCTCGCCCCGCGGCTTAGCATTGAAATGTCTTCTTCGCAAGTGCGCTGCTGCGTTATAATATGCGTTGTACTTCTTGAAAGTCCGACATTGTTCGCAACCTGCTAAGAAATCCTGACCCTCCGACTTGTCAACACAGATCCAAACAGTTTTCTTCTCACCGTGAGCTCGCGTGTGATGTCGCCGCAGTTCATGCTCACCCCGGTAGCCTTTGGGTTTCAGATTGCATTTGTCACACTTGGCTTTGGCTGGAATGTGTCGTTCGCAGGGTGGTAGCTTAGCTATTGGGACCCGACCATTCTGACTTTCATGAGACGCTGTACGGCTCATGCTCTGGCTGCTAGACACTGATAAAGGGCCAATTGTGGATTCTGAAGTTGACGGAATGATTGGTCTGATTGCAGGAATTAGCGTGCGATTGCCCGAGTTCGACTGACTACGAAACATGTCAGACACTCGTGGTTTATCGGAATCAGAAGTTCTGGTTGATGGAGAGCGCCCCATGGCCTCGACGCCTTCATCAATGAATGAAAGCTCAGGTTGCTGGCGATTGAAAGCATCCCTTATTTTTTTGTCGTCGGCTACACCACCAGTGTGGCTCAGAAGTTGCCGAGAATCCAGAGGTACTGTACCTATACTTTGTTTGCGAAGCTGTACTTGATTTGAGCTTCTGCTGAAGCTACTGTCAAGGAAATTGTTGTCGTTGGTTGAGGTGTGCTGAGATAGACTTGGTGTCAATTTCAAATGCTCTACGTCTCCGCAAAAAGAGGTGCCAGCCATGCTAGTATCACGGCTCATAGCTACACTGGTCTGAGCGGTGAGAGGGTCAAGGTGAGATGTGATTGACTCAGAAAAAGGGGAGGATGAAAAGTCGGAGGGCGTATTGAGAGAAGGCGACAACGCGAGATTAATGGACGGCCGACGAAACCGGAAGCCATTGCCATTTTCCAAGGGAGACAGGGTCACCTCCTGGCTGCAGTATTCGGAAGGCTCGTAAGTAGTGACAGAGAGCAATTTGGGTGGTCGACGGGCGTTGTTCGTCATGTGAAATGCCTGTTGCTCAAGCTGGTTACAGCCGTTGAACGGTTCCGGCGACGCGAGCCATTGTTTCATGGGGGTAGCTGCAGCAGAAAGATCTCTGCCGCTAGATGATCGAGCCCTTTCATGAAACATGGTGCTTTGCCTCCGAATCGGGGTTTGAGGGGACTCTGTACTATCGCACGGCTGACCAAGTTGCTGCGTAGCGCCGTTGTCCTGAACTCCTATTAGCGGCAATGGATAGATAACAGGGGTAATATTACAAGTTTTCGCCTTTTAGACGGCAACATTTGTGGTTGAGAGATGGATCTCTGCCCAGCCAGCATTTGAAGCGGCGCGGGTGATAGATTGAGATTCGCAATTGTTTTGATACGGGCAAATTTCTGCTCCCATTTCTGTTGACAGTCTTCTGGTGATAAGTTTGTATGATTAGAGAAGACGAGGGCTCTCTCCTGAGTCAGTATGTTTGCGAGGATAGTTTCATTGTTCTCGCCCATAGTTGTGAAGTTGGTTCGCGAATGGGAGATGAAAGCTGAGGCTGTATAATCTTCGGCGCAAGGCAGATTGAACAGAAGGCCTAGAGAGAAGACGTGCTCGCGTAGACTTTGAGCAGTTGAATTTTGTAACTCAGATATGAAAGATAAAGAATAGGAGGAGAATAAGGCAGGCTATAAGGAAGCAATGCAAGTCGCTGGAAGTCGTGATGAGTAGCGTGCACGACGTGGGCCGATCAGGAATTGCTCACATCACGAAAGTCTTACCGAGAGTTCGAATGAGGATGAAGCGTGGAGCATTGACCATTGCGCCCTTGCAAAAAGGCGTAGAACAGTGAGGCGACCCAATCCCTTAGTCTCGAGTGGTGGTGTCACATAGTTCAACGAGTAAGCAAGCAAGACTAAGCGTCCCTATTCGCAACCTGGTCTAGTGTGGTGAGCATTCGGCGACTTTACGAACAACCTGCGACCCCATAAGGCTGCTTCACTGTGCCCAACTTGTAGGCTATCTGGTGAAGGATGCCCCAAGAAATAGCCTCAGACGGTCCAACGCTAAGCAACAGCTTCTAGCTCATGCGCGCGACTTCTGCTTGGGCCTGTGGGGGAAAGGTCTTGGCTGTGTGAAGAGGATGGGTAGAGATGAGTTGGCATCAGATCAAGCGTCTCCGCAGCGACCAGTGCCGGCCAGACCTCGGAAGACGCCAGCGATGTGAAGCTTTACTCTTGGTCTAAGCACTGGCGTCTCCTCATCGATGCTGCACTGTGCTTCATGCAAGCCCCAAGCCTCTCTCAGTCCCGCCAGCATTCCCGCCAGCATTCCCGTGTGGTTGAACGATTTTTAGGTCTCTATTTGGGCGCCTTCGGATATGTACCACACCAAGTCTGATGGGAGCTTCGTATATTCCAATGGCCCCAGGCCGTCCAATAGCCAGGAGCAAGAAATGCTGGCACCGCAATGCTTGCTTGTTGATAACCAAAGGTCCCTCGGTCGTCAAGAGCCACATCTTGTAGCGATTTGTTTTGCAAGTGATAAGTACCAAGTCTGCGAACTTCAGTGCTCTTTCCAGGTTACTCTACCCTGGGGGAATCCCCCTAACCTCATTTTGGCTGCTGTGATAATCCCAAGTGCTGCCCTATCAAACTGGGTGTCTGTATTGGTTGACGGCGGGATTGGCTACGCTTTCATGTTTGAAGAGTCCTACATCAATCACACAGGCTTAAATAAATTGTTGTTCTCATGCAGACGAAGAATGGCTTTTAAGATTAGTGTTGAGTGATACTCACAAGACGCAGAAGTCTTGCTCGTAGCAGATGACCGACAAGCAAACGCTTTAGGCTTGCAGACTCAGCAAAACAGAGCTTCGTTCATAGCAATCATTGGCGCGCCGGGTGTAGACAATTAGCTGTATTGCATAGTCGCAACGGGATGTTCTTTCTTGCTCACTCCATGCCCAAAACGCGGATTTAAGCACAAAGGCCGGCGCCAGCTTGCCGCAAATAGGTCGTCGTGGCTTTTCAAATGATGTTAGCGGTCGACGAGAAGAAACACCTTTCGCAATGGTCGCCCAATCTCTCAGCCCTTTCCTGGAGGGCACCTCCGGTAGAAATACCAGAGTTCTTCTTCGCATCATCATTCTGTGTACAATTGCCGGAGCAGCCGTTGCCAGTCGCTTGTTCAGTGTGATACGTAAGTCAAGCTCCCTGTGGACTTCTAACCCATCAAATTTCCTGATTACATGCCTTTGATTGGTATTGACTAACGCTTTGCACGAACAGGATTCGAGAGTATAATACACGAATGTTCGTCCGCTGCAAGACTTTCGGAAAGGCCGACAAGATACTAAAACCTTTGCAGTCGACCCCTGGTTCAACTTCCGGGCTACAAAATATCTAGTACAAAATGGCTTCTATAGCTTCTGGGATTGGTTCGATGACCGTGAGTTCATTGAATTTAGCACTGGCCGACTCTGCCTTTATTATCTGAAAGAGATAGCCTGAGAGCATGCATACGTGGACATTCTGTTGGCGAAATCTAAGGGCTGACGCAAAGTTCGCTAGGCACATGGCATCCTCTCGGACGTGTGACCGGTGGAACTTTGTACCCCGGCTTGATGGTAACAAGCGGAGTTATCTATCATGCCTTGCGTCTGCTGTCCATGCCTGTGGATATCCGAAATATCTGCGTCCTACTCGCCCCCGGGTTCTCAGGGTTGACCGCGGTAGCTACATACTTGATAACATCGGAGATGAGCACTTCACCATCCGCCGGGCTCTTAGCAGCAATATTCATGGGTATTACTCCAGGATACATATCAAGATCAGTAGCTGGAAGTTACGACAATGAAGCCATTGCCATTTTCTTGCTAGTATTTACCTTCTTTCTCTGGATCAAATCAGTAAAGAATGGCTCTGCAATGTGGGGAGCTCTCACTGCCCTGTTCTATGGCTATATGGTGTCTGCATGGGGAGGCTACGTATTCATTACGAATTTGCTACCACTGCACGCCTTTGTGCTTATCTGCATGGGTCGATATAGCCCGAGACTCTACGTCAGCTATAGTTCTTGGTATGCTCTGGGAACTTTAGCAAGCATGCAGATTCCCTTTGTGGGATTCCTTCCAATCAGAAGCAGTGAACATATGTCGGCACTCGGTACGTCCCAGTCTAAGACACTCTATATCAAATGCTTACGGGTCTAGGCGTATTTGGTTTGATACAGCTCGTGGCATTTGTGGACTTCGTCCGCCAGCAAATTCCTAGCAGACAATTCCAAACACTTCTTCGGGGCCTCATGCTTCTAGTCTTTGTCATCTCTTTAGGAGCCTTGGTGCTTTTGACGGTCAGTGGAGTTATCGCACCTTGGAGCGGTCGCTTCTATTCGCTTTGGGATACAGGCTATGCAAAGATACACATACCAATCATTGCTTCGGTCTCGGAGCATCAGCCAACGGCGTGGCCTGCATTCTTTTTCGACCTAAATTTGCTTATCTGGCTGTTCCCAGCTGGCGTCTACATGTGCTTCCAACAGCTCAAGGACGAACATGTGTTTGTCGTAATATACGCCGTACTCTCCAGCTATTTTGCTGGGGTTATGGTCCGCTTGATGTTGACCTTGACACCAGTGGTTGTCATTGCGGCTGCCCTGGCGCTCTCAAGTGTCCTCGATACATATCTCGTCGCCGAAAACCCTTCTCCACCGGTCAAACAGAACGGCAATGCCAACGGAGATGCTACTCAAAATACCAGCTCGAGCATCAAAGATTCGCTACGGTCAACGAGAAATCCAGTCGTGGGAATTTACTCCTATCTTTCAAAGTCATCAATCGTTGCCACGATAACCGTCTATCTACTCATGTTCGTCCTCCATTGCACATGGGTGACGTCTAATGCGTACTCGTCGCCTTCTGTAGTCTTGGCGAGTAGGCTGCCGGACGGTAGCCAGCACATTATCGATGACTACAGAGAAGCCTATTATTGGCTTCGCCAGAATACACCTCCAAAGGCAAAAATCATGTCGTGGTGGGATTACGGTTATCAAATTGGAGGTATGGCCGATCGCCCAACACTAGTCGACAACAACACCTGGAACAATACCCACATTGCGACGGTTGGTAAGGCTATGGCTTCAAGCGAAGAAGTCAGCTACCCAATATTGAGGCAGCACGACGTGGACTATGTTCTCATCGTCTTCGGTGGTCTTCTTGGTTATTCAGGTGATGATATCAACAAGTTTTTGTGGATGGTCAGGATATCCGAGGGTATTTGGCCCGACGAAGTCAGTGAAAGGAGTTATTTCACCGCTCGGGGCGAGTATCGAGTGGACGACGAGGCGACACCAACGATGCGTAATAGCCTGATGTGAGTTGCTATTTGTTCCGGGAGCAACCCGAATACTGATGTGGTGTAAGGTACAAAATGTCTTACTACAACTACAATAGTCTATTTCCAGCTGGGCAGGCGCAAGACAGAGTCCGAGGATCCAAGCTCCCTGCAGAAGGGCCTCAGCTGAGTACACTTGAGGAAGCCTTCACGAGTGAAAACTGGATTATCAGGATCTATAAGGTAAAGGATCTTGATAACGTCGGACGAGATCACGCCAACGCTGTTGCATTCGAGAAGGGCAACAGGAAGCGAAAATCGACTAAGCGAAGAGGGCCCAGAGTCTTGCGAACTGAATAAAAAGTCACTTCCGTTCAGTGTACGATATTGCAATTCTGTGAAAATCTTGCGAGCTCAGACAGCTCGGTTGAAAACTGTAGTAGGGTAAAGGTTTCGTGAACGTGCATTTAGCGATAGACAATGAGAGCTCAGGGTGATGTATCCATAGGAGTTTGTTAGCCATACAATACTTCACAGCATGGTGGCCTTGCGGAAAATGATCACTTTCGGCCGAAGGAAGGCAATTCTTGCAAATGGACGTTCTCTGCCGCCCTTTGTAGGTGCTAGTGTCTGTCTCTGCCAACCCCCCATTCTACCACCTCATACACCAATTCCATTACAACATTATTTGAACCTGCCAAATGCTTCATCTTTCCTGCCAACCTGAGCCATCGATGAGACAGATACACGAAACACCGGTATGGTTCATGCACACACGGCGACCAAAATGATGTACATCGCTTCGGCCTTCAGGACTGGGTTAATGCAGGGGGCCGGGCGTCGAATATGTATTGCTGCCCAAGACGGGGGCCACACCAGCAGTAACGAACGAATGTGTGTTCTTCTTTGGACAACGCCAATGCAGTCTCCCCAATCCAACCTGCTATACTATTCTTGGTTTCGGTGGACTGCGGGAGCAAATCTGCGTTTGCCGGGGAGCGATCAAGGTCAGGACTCAGGATATTGGCTCCTCGTACCGTATCACTTCCTTCTGGTCTCGTGTGTGGCATCGTCTTTTGGGTATCGCATTTTTTGGAGCTGAGTCTAAGATACTGTCCGTCATTTGGTTCGTTCTTTTGATCGTTGCGCTTGTCACCACGTGTCAGCGTCAATCTCATTCGTCATTCGCCTGAGCAATCAGGCTCTGTGCACCTTGTACCACCAGTCGCCAGCAGCGGCAATACACTTTACAGCCCATCAGATCAGGCTCTGTCCAACCCAAGCCCAAGTTGATATTTTCAGCACATTCGTAGACGCCTTATTCCCAACCGTGAATCACACTGCCCTTGCGCCTAGATTGAACATTGTACAAAATGGACTTGACTGCAGACTCAGCCCATCTTGATTTTGCTTTGTCGAAACAGCATCACTGCGCTCATTACGAAGCTGACGCTCTCACCATAATACACGGTTTCTTTCTTGTATTGAAAAAAGCTCAGTCTTACGTCCCTAATGCATAGAAAACTTGCCCAAGATGCCCAAAGATCCAAAATACGAATATGTGCGCGTACGTACCCGGAAAGACAAAGAAAAGGACCGAGATGGAGACACTCGAAGCGTTGCAGGAAGCAGCGTCACGACAATTCGAGACAGAAGACACCGTAATTCTTTCACTTCCCAGCCCAGCTCCTCAGGCGATACGGTAGCACCAACCGCAGCTAGCTCATGTCAAGATGTACCCCTTGAGCAACTTCCGGCTTTGCCTGAGACAGAAGAGAGCGAGAGTGCTTCAAATGGCACTTCACCTATCCTCCGGACGACATCGAACATCTCTAACCCCACTTCCATCAGCTCTCCGTTCTCCATCGAGACGCCGGCGACACTTCAGCCATATTTAGAGGAATCCAAAGAAGAATCAGTACTCACTATGGACGCATCCAGACAAGTTGCTAAAGGTACAGAATGGATTGGCCCACGTCCAGACGGGCAGCACCAGAGTGAAGTCGCAGACTCTATGACACCTAAACCAAGGGCAGGCACCGACCCTTTTGCTTCCTACTCCGAAAACACTATGAAAGAAGGTCTCGGGAGCCGTATTGACACGAACAAGATTTCCGAGGGCCATCACGTTCTCGACAAGCCAAGAAAGTCTTCTCCTGATGAGACTGATAAAATATACTCCTGGGCTAAAGGGAGCGACGGCGCCAGACAGTATTTCCACATCTCACAAATGGGTAACCCTTTTCTTCCTCCAGGAAGTAGTCTCGATAGCGCCCTGATGCTTCAACCGACCAGCGACTCGTATTCTCACCAAACACCGAGCTCTACACTTTCACCTCCTTCACCTCCGCCACGAAACAACCCAGAGCTGCAAACACATTCAACGACCAATATTCAACCGCCGGCCGCAAAGGTGCACCGACACTTGGCAAGGCTTGAGGATCCTCCACAAAGACTTCCAAGTCCTGTGATATCTGATGTGAGCCGGACATTTACATTTCCATCACCAATGGCGTCGGTGCAACCACCTGCGCCTCAACAGCAACACCCTTATTCAAATACTATGTCACATCTGGTGTATCCACCAGGGCTAGATCATCCTGCGAATTTGCTTCACCGCATCGAGAATGCCTTGCCTGATATCAGTGCTTTGATCGGCCTATATCAGAATACTTGCAGCCATCTGGCCGCTAGAGACCAACATATCAGTGATTTGGCAGCTCAGAAGGCCGCACAAGCAGAGCGCTTGAATGACAGGATAGGCAGATTGTCAGACCGCATTGAGTCGATGTTGAAGGATCAAGCGGCCCAAGTCAACAAGCTCAAGAGCGAGATAGCTCACGGAGAAGACAAGTACAGGAAAATGCAAAGCAGCTGTGTCAAGGAGCGACAGCTCAAAGAGGAAGCAAGAACGACAAATGCAAATCTGAAAAAGCGCTATGAAGAGATGCAACAGAAGCATCGTGAAGCGCTAGAGAGTTTGCAACATAAATTTGCCGAGGAGAAAGCCTTGCTGGTCAAAGACCATACCTTCCACAAAGAGCAATTGATGGAGGAAGTTCGAAGCACAGCTCGGTTAGCGGATGAGACATTAGTGGCCAAAGTCACTGGTCTGGAACGTATGCATGATCTCGAGAGAAAGTCCCAAGAGGATCGATGGTCACGTCGCATGCACGACCTTGAATGCGATCGATCGAATTCGGAAGCCGCCGTCGCCTTGAAGAGGAAAGAGGTTGAAGAAATACGCCAAGAATCTCACAAGTCAACAGAGGCCTGGATCACAGAGCGCGAAGCCATAAAGAAGGCAGAAGCGGACCAGAGACGGATCACAGCCGCCCAATATCAGAAGGAGAAGGATAACATGCGAACCTCGATAGAAACTGTCGTTGCGCAACAAAGAGCAGAGATACAAGAATTGAACGCCAAATATCGCGATGAAATAGATGAACTGCGTCAAGTACTAGCTGGCACCCATGAACATTACAAGTCTGAGATTCAAGCCGCCACAGACGCTTTTCGCAATGAGAAAGAGGTTTACCGGAAAGCAACCGAAGACGCCTCCTCGCGCCAGATTTTGGACATGCAGGATAAGGCCCGGGATCTACAAAAGGAGAAGGATAGTCTACAGAGGTTGCAACGGAGCCCACAGTCACAACGATCTGACGAATTGCAAGAGTCAATCCCTAAACTGCAGAAGGAGAAGGATCCTGTACCTCAGCCTCGAGGGCCCTCGCAAAGCCGACGCTCTTCTGAAATAGATAGACATCGCGAGAACCTAGAGCAGCCACAGAGGGAGACTCTAGCCAAAATGCCTTCCCGAGGTCATTCGCGCACAAGACAGCAGGAAGACTGTCACGATAAGAGCGGCAGAACACTCAATGACGGTGATGTTTCTTCAAGTAAATGTTTCAACGACAAAGCTCGAGTAACGAAGGCTAGGGGTGAAGAATGCGTGCAGTCACGGTCTTCGACCCCAGCGCCCAAAGAAGACCGAGCGAAAGCGAACAGGGCCAGCGTGATGTATGGGAGCAGTACAAATGCTAAGGCCAAAAGCTCGTCTGCTGAAGCGCATTCTAAGGGTGGCCAGTACAAAGCCGAGAATGGCCAACGCGGCCAGGGCGAAAGGCGGACATCTTAAGGCATTACCGCTTCAGCTTCAACATCTGCTTATCGTTCTTCAGTGGAGTGTCGTAATCAGAAGCATGTGTATTGACAGGCCTTACAGATAGAAAGGAGGACAAAGAGAACGATGATTTTGAAGGATGATTCTTCCGGGTAGTGAGAGGCGTTGACGGGTCAAGAGCGGTTTCATGGAGATTGGACAGGGGAGAGTTTCCTTGCTTTGCTTTTACTACGAGATACCCTGATGAGCAAGCAATATTTCACATCCCAAGGATACCATTCATATTGTAGTCATGAAATGTCTCGTACGATACTGATTCAACGTTTCATTTGTGCGTGGCTGTGCATCGTCAGCGCTTAGAGCGTCAAAATGGGAAGCTCGTCCACACGACATGCACAGTATGTGGTACGGTCGATCCCATTTCGTGTACCATCAGCTTCGCATGCCTTGACCCAGGCGTGACGTGAGACGAGTGTGATCGGCCGTCGCATCCCTAGAGTTGAACCTGATGCAGTCCATTTGGCGTAGGATACCAACGCAATGGTGGAGACAGGTGGAAGTTATCTAGCTCAGGCTGACTGCGGAAATCAGCCCTGACGGCTCGACCTGATCCTTGCAGCCAGCACGTCAGGTCCGCCAGGCTCCCCTGGATTTCCGATGCGCCTCGGAGCCTCCTAAGAGACAGCTAAAAGGCAGCTAATTTCTAGAGCATTACAGCATCCACACGCGAGACGATCCACTAACCCACTAACCCACGCTGGGTTATCGGCGCACCGCCTCGCTGAATGCCCGCTGCCCCTCGGACGGTCTGCCTCAGCCCAAACCGTCCACGGCCCATCATCACCAGCAATCACCGCCAATAGCGTCAAGTGGAGCTTCGAACTTCCTGAGACATTTTGATTCTCGTCGACTGAGGTTGTGAGATCCCAAAACTCCGTCATCTGAGGATCACAACAACTGAAGCGTCTTTCTCTTGTGCTTGAAACCCTTCTATCTCCTGTGTTCCTGTCTGAATCATCCTATTCCTCTGTTGTTCGACCCCACATGTGGCCGTCCCATTCTTGATAGCTTTCCGACGCCGAAACCGCTCTGGAGTGTGGCTGTTTGCCCTACTGACGACTCGATTCCCCGAGAGAGTAATAAAACCAGCGCGCGCCGCTATCTTCATACCCACGTGGTCTCCGCACCCTCTTCGTTACGAGCGACAAGAATACTCGACAGTAGAGGCCACCCTCTACAAGTATTCCTCTCGCCTTCTGACCTCATACCTGGTCGCAGTCACATGCATTAGGTTGTTTGGCTGGGATCCAACCTCCGCAAGCTCTGTGAAGACAGGGTATCTCCAGGCCTCTTGTCACTGCCAACAAAAAAGCATTCGAGGTGCATGCATTGGGAAACAAGTGGCGAACACACGTGACCTTATTGGTGAGTAGAACTATGACTGGGGTGTCAGCAATCTGAACTATCGAAGGCCTGCAATACTCACACTTGGCTAGATAGTCTTACCACCAAATCCAAGAAACAAATTTCCTCCATGCCTAGCCAACAAACACATCCTGTGGGCTTCAACAATCAGATCTCTTACGATCCCTTCTTTCCTTCGAATGATAGTGAAGAAAATCTTCTTCCGGTGCTCAGCGACTATTCCTCTGTCCCTCAGTCCTTCTACTCGCCTACACCAGAGCGCAGTCAGAATCCAAGTGAGGGAAGATCTACCAGGTCGCCGAGCGCCCCTCAGCGCGACTTGACTCCTAACAAAGTCCCACTAAACGGATATCACGGCTCATCGTCGCCCAATTCGAATGCTGAATTCGACTCTGGGAATGACGATTACGACTTTCTAAGTCCTAATCCCTATCGGTCTGAGAACGATTATAGCGTATCAAGTGAACACACAGCAACACCGGAGAATGCTGGCTTTTATCTCGAAGATCATTTCGGCGCCTTAGATCAAGCTCGCCAGAGTCATTTCCAGGATCTTAGTTCCAATCAGGACAATTCTGCATCAGCCTATACACGATCGAACCTCATCCACCGCCTCTCTTCCGGAGCAGCCACCAAAGCTTCTTCACACCTAATGAGTCCTGTGTTGACCGATCCTGCCGGCACATCTACCAGGGACGGCACTTCAACCCCGCCAACAGTGGGTGTTCAGGTCAAAGAAGAGCCCATCCACAACATCCACATGAATACAATTCATCAAATTGGTCAACACGAGCATTTTCAGCGGACACCACCCACAACAGACAGCTCGAAGACCACAAGTCCTAATATGCCTAGCTCAATTCCGGATATTGCTCGTGCTGCAAGTCCTGTCATTCGAGTCGATCAATATGCCAGGGGCGACTCACCCGCTCGCCAAATCAACCAAGACAGCCATGTGAAGAGAAGGCATCGAGGTAGCTTCTCTTCCCATCTATCAGTGCATGATGAGCCAGATGATGCGGAAGGCGACGAGGAACGCTTCAATGACAGAAGACCACTGGATCCTATTGCTCGCTCGAACTTGAGAGGAGCGCCTGTGCAGAACCTAAAAGACCAGGAAGATGCAGCTTCGCGCGCATTGAAAAACGCAGATGTGGAAGACTGGCTTGATCATAGTGCTCCTGTTAGCGACGCTGAGGATGGTCTTCCACCAATGCGACCAAGAGAGATTGGTCGGCGACGAAGAGCTAAAAGCGCTGGAGCCCAGAAATTGTCCCACGCAAATCTAGAATCTCTCGAGACGACACCTGTGGACACGCATATACCTGGTCCAGGAGTTCTCGTTGACGAGAGTAGTGGGGAAGAGGATGACTCTGATTCCGGGCCCCCAAGCATTGACGACTCTCCCATTCCAACCCCCACCAAAGGCATGAATGAGTTGCCCGGGGAAGCGAGGCCCGGCGTATATGATGAGTTACCAAACCAGCCATCACTATATCGAGCAACGTTATGGCAGGATAGCATCCATGACTCCTCGGATCCGGGTGTGAAAATGCAACCAATGTCGTCTAACGAAGCAATTGTGAGGTTCCAGCAACGAGCTGCCGATGTAGAGACAATGTCGCGTGTTGCGACCTGGGGAACGAGAAGAAGAAGCGAATCAGACTTGCATAGCTTGTTCCGTTGCTTTACCCTGAACAGCGAAAAGGATGACGGTCCAGAAACATCAGACAAGAAGAAACGTGATAGAAGTGGGAGCATTTTGCACCGACTTGTACCAAAGCGGAACGCAACCCTTAAGCGCAAAGAGAGCGAGAAAGCGAAGCAAGCTACTGCCACCAGGCCTACTGTTGGGGATCATTCGAGGACGGATAGTGGCGATAGTCGTCACGGTAGTCTAGCCGTTCCACGTTCTACACCTGCAGGTCTCAAGAGAATGGGTAGTCTAGGAAAGCGACCAAGATCACCTCGAATTGACACAGGCAGCGCGGTGGCTGCTATGGCCGGCCAGATTGCGTCGATGGGCAGCAGCGGACCACTCAGTGCCACCGGCGTATCATCGCCTCCTGGACAAAGAGGGAATCATAAGGCTGCAATGAAACGCTCAGCGAGCCGGAGCGAGCTCAACAATGGCTTGTCCCTTGCTACAGTAACCAACGACCCCGGAATTGCCGATCTCTTGACTAAACAGGGTGGTCCCCCAATGCCAACATTGGCTGCACCAAAAACAGAGGATCTAGATCATACTGTCGGCTTCGAGGAAGATGAGGAAGACGAAACTCTCGAGGATGAAGGCATCACTATGGATCTCTCAATCAAAGCCGATCCTATTGTACCAACCTTGGAGGGCTTCCGAATAAACATCCGTCATCTAAACCCTCGCTTGCCTCCCTTCATGTTTGATCGAGTTGCCCAGGAACAACTACGACGATACAAGAAATTACTTGACTTCAAAGTCAAGCACGTTCAAGCTATTAGCAGTGGCAAATGCTCCTCGGGAAAGCATTGTACTGAACTTGGCGGTGAACCCACGTATCTACCGTCTAAACTGACCCGGGAACCAGAGATGTCTCAAGCAGGCTTCTCTGTCTCCGGAATTGGTCCTTCAGAGGACGACGTCAATGCCCTCGCAGAAGGCTTTGTGACGCCCGCCCAGTTTCCGCCTGGGGTTCCCATGCCACCCGTGAAACGCTTACCCGCTGAATTCGAATGTTCTCTCTGTTTCCGCGTCAAGAAATTCAACAAACCATCAGATTGGTCGAAACATGTCCATGAAGACGTTCAGCCTTTCACTTGTACTTTCCCAACTTGCGCAGAGCCAAAGTCATTCAAGCGCAAAGCCGATTGGGTCAGACATGAAAATGAAAGGCACCGACAATTAGAATGGTGGCAATGCAACATCAATGAATGCACCCACCGATGCTACCGCAAAGACAATTTTGTTCAACATCTGGTTCGCGAGCACAAATTGCCGGAACCGAAGTATAAGACGGTGAAAGCTGGAAAGCCTGCGGTTCGAGGACCTTCAGCTCACAAGGCCAAATTTCCTAAGCCGAGCAGTGTCCGAGACGGCGAACCGCAAAATGAAACCGATCAAGTCTGGAAGATGGTCGAAGATTGTCGGCACGAAACACGTAAAAACCCACGCGAGGAAGCTTGCAAGTTCTGCGGAAATATCTGCAATAGCTGGAAGAAATTGACCGTTCACCTCGCGAAGCATATGGAGCAAGTCAGCATGCCCGTTTTGAGCATCGTAAAGCAGAAGGATGTCACTCCAGAGACTATTATTAGTCCAATCGAGCAGTCTCGCATTACATCACAGCCTACGAGCATGTCACCTATCTCTCAAGGTGGCCCCCAGTCGCCATTCCACGCACCAGGCGTAGTGACAGATAACATGCCAGCTGGCTTTGCACCACTGGCTTCTCAATCAAATTACCAGTTGGAGGGCCATTACCAGCGAGCATCTCCAAGCACTTACCCTCCCCCGGCTCGCCAACAACAATTGGCTGCTGCCTATGCTCAAGGCCGTGAGACGATTCCCACCATACCAGATTACGGTCACTATGGCGCTTCTGCCCCTTCATTCAATCCGATGAGCACCCCAAGGGCTTACGACTCTCAACCGACATCGAGCCCAAGCGAGATGTATAGCGTTCAAGCACTGTCGTCCCAGCATCGCTCATCGCCCTACCAAGACCGGGCTGCTTTCCGTTATTCACCTCAACATGAGCCGCCATATGCCAACAATTCCGCTGAGAATTCTGCTTTTCAATTTGGCGGGGCATTGCCCGCATCATTGCAAGACCCTTCTAACCCTCCGAGAACCTATGCACAGCCAAATCCATCCTCAAACATGTATTCGCAGCAGATTAGACACATGAACACAGCAGCAGCCGATCCCAACTTCCAGCAGTCGCAAGCGCAACAGCATTTCCAGGGTCACATTGGCACCCCCAATATAGGATACAGCATCGATCAGATACAAGGACTCACGACGACGACGAGTGACAGCGGAATGAACGTTTATGGCCAGCCGATGGTCAACGGGACGTTTGGTTATCGCTGAGGATCTGAGTCACTCCCTCTCTCCTTTTCGCGCTTATGATTATATGAAATGTAAGGAAGGAAAAATCTACTCATGATGATGAATTTGCAGCGCATATATATACCCAACGTTTGTACGCATGTATGATCAAAACCTGGTAGATCTTATGAAAAACAATTGGTTTGCCATCATCTTCGCAATTTGTCGTTCCGTGTTTAGGAAAGGATGGCACAATGTCAGTCTTATGATAGCGACAGAAGGTAATGAGAATATCTTTGGTGGCTAGAATGCAGTACGAGCCTATTGCAATCAAGCTCGTGCTCGAGGCCGCCAGCCTCTGTGGCAGTCCTGTTGCTGCCATCCAGCAGTGCTGCTGTGGTGACGCCCAACAAGGTGAAGGATGCATGACGCAATAAGTCTGCAAGCAGCCATGGAGCAGTTTGACGCAGGCATGCGGACAGCCGATGAATATCGTGGAGTGACAGACGGCCAGCTCAGCAAAGGACGGGCAGACCAGCAAGTCGGAAAAGGGCATGCGGGTGATTGGCCGCCAATTGTTATATGGGTACTGACAAGACAGACCGTGGCTGAGGCGGCAGCAGACCGAGAGTACAAACGTAACAGTCCTCAGGATCTCCTTCTGGGCGTAGTGAAGGCTAAGCGAAGCGAATGGATGCCATACTCCTGCACCGTCTCACCGAACATGCCAGACTTGTCATGGCCCCCATCCCGGCATGTGCAGACCGATGAACCAGTCAAAGGAGGGAGACGGTGCCAGATCACGCTATTCCTTTAGGCCTGCTTAGGCTTCAATCTTACTTCGTATCACGGTGCAATACGTCCATGAGGAGTGCCTGAATATGCATCATTGCAGTAATATGCGTGTATTTTACGCAAGACCCAGGGACAGCCATTGTATTCTACCTGCGGTGTCCGTCACGGTGTCTAGAGTCTCATTGATCACCTGGCGATCCCGTCCCTGCCATCTGCGCCGTTCACGCTTCACTTTATTTGTCTGTTTGATCACCCTTGACCTCACGCGATAATAGCCTTGTGCGTCTCATCGTCTTTCTCCAATGCTCGCTGCTTTCACGTCACTGTTAACATACGGGAACTTGCAGAATCCAGCCCACGTCCTCTCAGTCATGCGCACTCTAAGTGATCCGGCTCCGCTTATCGGATGTAGTACGGCTTCAACAGCAAGTGATTCAGAGACTGCATACCGAACAGCTCTCCAGCACAGAGCCATGAGTATATGAACATCTCTCACGTTTTGCAAAAATGTCTTCTTTTCTCTTCTTGAATGCTACATGTACCCAACTCTTTGAGACTCGTGTTTTGTCATCAATCTGGTGTGCTCTCTCGCTACAAGCAAGAGGCCTCATCAGGCAATCAGTGTTAGCCTACAAAGTCACAATTTGATACCAAGCCACTCCATAAAGTATTCTACTCTTTCGAGCTTGCTTCTGTTGTCAATCACTGCCTAACCACCCACGATGCAACCCCGCAAACGGCCCTACGTTGAACAGCAAGACGCTGATGCGGTATGGACAAGCCCACAGAGCGATACTTTGAATAGACTGATGGATTTTGTCCAGGACCTCTATCGGCCCCAGCCACCGAAACCCAAACGACGCCTGCAGCAGTCCGCGGATTTTTCTTGCTCGGTTCCTTCTACTTACAGTGGATGGCCTGAGGAGGACCTTCAACCAGCTATAGGCAATTTCACGCCGCAACCTGCTACCATGGCTCCGTCATGTATGCATCTGGTCGGAGCCCTGAACAGCGAGGATTATCTTAGCACGACTGAGTCACACAAGCACGATAGTGACATTGACAGAATCTTCGCTCCACTTTCTGCACCAGACGGATACAATAATTCGCAAGTAATTGAAAAGATTGACCAGATGAACCAGGATCTCCTACCAATGCAAAGTCACCTTAGTCAGACAATAGAGCCAAGGCCTCGCTTTACCAATGAGCCATGGCCATCGTTCGATACAAGTCAGATGCAGCCACCGCCGATGCGATGTCTCTCCAATTCACAAATTCCAAATTCCTTGAGCTATAGTCAAGTGCCAAACAGCGTCAGCACGCAGGTCTGTCGTGCAAGTCACCCGACAAACATGATTTTAGCCGGGAAAGAATTCTCGGAAGGTGCATTACCACTCGACTCAGGTTACGGATCCAATGTCGTCAGTCCATTGACACCATCAGTTCTCAGTAGCCATGGTGATCCGACATGTCCATCGAACTTCAGCAAAGATTTCGGCAACCAGCCGCTAGATTGTCAAAGCCTGACCAACGGCTTTGATGGATTAGATGTCACTTCTCAGGCCTTCGAATCATTGCACTTCGATTTCTTTGCGGAAACTAGTGGACAATTTGGATCTAAGGCTTCCTCGAATTTTCTCCAGGTAGATCAGAAAATCCCTGAAGGCCCTCCGTGGATTTGCGATATGTGCGAGATAGGGCAACTCAAGAACAAGTCAGAATACAAGTAAGCATAACAAGATGTAAGTGGTATTCAACGTCCTGACGACATGTTTTTGTCACCTAGGAAGCATATGCTGCGGCATAATAAACCGTTCAAGTGTGACTTTGTTGGCTGCAACAAGATAGACGGATTCAGCACTCGCAACGATCTTGATCGCCATCGAAAATCTCTTCACAAAGTCGCTCCTCGCTCAGGTACCGATAAAACCTACAGGTGTTCGGCCCCAAAGTGTGGCAAACCACTCAAAATTTGGCCACGGGCGGATAATTTCAAGCAGCATTGCTCACGCATTCACAAAGACATGGATCAGGAGAAATTGATTAGCGAATCGTTAGTTCCCTGCGAGCAATTCGGTTATGAAATCAAGGATTGAGATGTTGGGTGGGCGACGGGCTGATTTGTAAGTGTAGGGTGTATCAAACGCCAGAGCAGCTGGAAGATGCCGTCGTATCGCAACCAGATGACTCTACGAATTTGGACGCACTTGCCAGCGATGTTCATTCTTCTTCGTCTTCTTCGTTCAATAATCTATTATCCAGTACTTTGAAACATGATTCTTCTTCATCCCTTGACGCTCCTGCCTCTTCGTTGATTCAGCACCAGATAGTAAATCTTCAAGACGTTCTAAGTAAAGTACACAAGCCAAATCCTGAGCAGGCTTCTCAGAACCGGAATGAATTGCGAGCTTTACACCCGCCTAATCATCTGCCTCTCAGTAAGTACCAAATCCACACCAGGCATACCCAACCCGCTATAAGTCATCCCATGTCAAGTTTCCTCATTGAGCAGGATCCGATCATCACGAATTCGGATCCTAATGCCAACAAGGGACCCCGATCAGTTCTTCTCAAAAGCTCAAATCCACCATTGACATGTGCTGGAAAGTCAATCCGAAGTCAGGATAGTACAAAAGCAGTGCCTTCCTTGGCAAATCCAATTCAGAACCTCACCAAAGGCTGTGAAAGTCAAGATACGAAGCGCGTATTGCCCAGTCATAAGTCTTCCGATGTAACGACTGACTCCTCAACTTCGCCGGTTGATATGGTTAAAACCCATCCACTCATTGCACAAGAAGCTAGGAGGATGGCTCGCATACTCTATGCCCCTGGCCTGCTCCTGAGTGTTCAAAACTCAAGTTCACAAAAGGTAGAGGCCTATATTCGAGCATCTCTACATCGTTCCTTTCTAGAAATTTTAGTGCAAGATCGTAGCAAGCGTTTGAACCCTTGTCTAAAAGTCGATAAGGGTAAGGTCGTGCCGCCAGATCGAAGCCAGTGTCCGATATGCTTCAAGGTCAACAAAACGCGCTCAGATTTGAGGTATGTCAAAACTCCCCTTCTTACTTTATGCTTTGAACACACTCACGACATCTCCAACGTGCTCTTGATATTGAGATTGGAGGATAGGAAACATATGCAGCGACACGATCGACCGTATACTTGCACAGCGCACGAATCACATGTGTCACACGAAATGTGCACAAAGACATTTGGAAGTAAGAGTGATTGGAAGAGACATGAAAGGACAATGCATGAAGATGTCAGCTTAATGGAGGCTTGGTGGTGTTTCTTACCCCACAGACCTCCTGCTGCTATATCTGATTCAACAGAGAAATGTGATGAGGGAGGGAACGAGCGCGGGAGGAGGGTCGAGACTCACAAAGACTCGAGTACTGCTGCAAAGAATAAAGACGACATATCTGAGAAGCCTCCTTCCGAGACGCGATGTCAAGATAGGAAACCTGAGCAGAAGTCTTCAGCCTCCTCGGAGGGTAATCGCTGTACTGAACCCGGTATTCCAAACGCCGAGGTGTGCCAACACACATTTTATTCGAAGGATGAATTCTACGAACACCTCATTGATGTACACAGTTTTGAGAAACCGGTCCCCCCACTAGATTGGCCACCAGATCCCTCGTACAAGTCATCTAGTAGGAATTCACCTGCGGCAGCGTCCTTTCCCACAGATTATCGATCACCCTCTCCCTCACGAGCTCAGCATACCCCGACGCCACCTCCAAGACCTGAGTATCCCCCTGAATTTAAGCAAGCTAAGACAAAATGCAAGGAAGCTAAACGCAAGGCTCATATTGGCCATAATGGAATCGACGGGTTTTGGTGCGGATATTGCAACACAGTCATTCACATTGATAGGCAACTACGAGGCCCACCAGCATGGGAAGCACGATACCGTCATATTGATGAAATGCACTTTCGACAGAAGGGGAAGGGCCCCCAAGAAGATGCGTTGAGGCGAAATGGTAGTAAGGGCTTTGCGTGGGTTGTGCTGGGTGTTGGGAAGACCAAAGGTAAACTCCTACAAGAGGAGGCGGAAAAGCTGAGGAGAAGACGGGAAACGGGGAACGTTTCGGACGAGGGGGAAGACAAGGAGCTCGACGATGAAGAAAGAGAAGAGTCTAGGATAGATCATTCTCTCGAGAGCGATCATGACGCGCAAGAGGTCAACGAAGCTGCCTTGCAGCCTATGGCGACCTCTCAGTCAGAGAACGGGACAAGTTCTCCTAGTCGCCTCTCAAAAGCAACGCGAGAGGCGGATATGGACACAGATGAATATGATTTCGACGAAGATATCCTTGATGCGAGTAAGGAAGCCACCCGCAGTGTCAACAGTGACACTGTCTGCCCTAGGGCTTCGCCGCCGAACGTTATCAGCGAAACAAACCCCAAAAAGTACTGGCGACAGTGGACATGTGTATGTACTTCCTTCCTTCTCAGTGCCAAGCTTGAGCTCCCTTCCAGCTCTTCTTTCTTCTGGCTAAAATTGCGTAGTGCAGGTGCCAGTCAGGTCCTTGGTCAGGAAAGGGACACGACAGGTGCCCTGGCACCGCAAGTGGTTGTGACCACAAAAGGTGCGTTGTATGTGTCTACAGTCGCTAATGGCATTGAAGCTCCAAGATTGAACATCTTGCAAAACCCGGAAACTGTGTCATCCTTCTCGCTTCGCCGGTGTCGTCCTGCCATTCCTGGACTGAAGAGAATCATCAACGAGCGCTGCCTAGGCGGCGCAGACGGCCGGACTAATTGATGTCGGGATTGGTATAAATTTCCAATATGAATATAATAAGAAAGGGTGACTGGCCCGTCGCTCGAGGGGATGGTGTACCGTCAGCCTTTGAGAAACGATTGCCCAGAGATTGAAGATTACTGAAATATGATGTTTAGAAACGGCAGTACATGATATATCGAATTCATAGGATGTGATGTAATGAGGGTCACTTTCCCAATGCGTAACATATTTAACCAAATACGTAAAAATGGGAGGAAGCTGGAGCTCGGGTATGGCTGACAAAGCCATCGTTCTTCCTTTCCATCCGACCCACGTTGTGCCCACCAATCCTTCATCTTCATCTAATTCCAATGTCCTGTAGAGCAAGAGGTGAACCTGCAAGGAGGTGATCCTAACCCCAGCCATATGCTCCAAGACTTTGCTGTAGGATGGAAAACGACTACCTATAACGCTCCTGATATAGACAGGGGCTTATCGTTCATCGATTGCGAGAAGTGTACGTAAACGGCTGCATTCACTGAGTGTCGTAGAGTACTTCACAGGTTGCATACTGACTCTCAATTGAGAAAAAGATTAAGCGCCTACATTAGCCAACAACAAGACGTCAGTAACTGCTGCAGTTGACAAAGTCTTTCTAAGCTCAAGCTCGGAAATACCATTCGAGACATACTGGAGCCTGAATTGTGGGGGTTCGGGATTGCAAGACACAGAACCGCCTCTCTTCTATGGCTTCAATTCCAGCGTCAAATCCTACTGCTCATCGCTAGAGGAGTCTGCATACTCTAGTTTCAATGCTGCTCAGACCTCCATTGGGTTGAAGCCTCAGTGGACGGCAACAAAGATTCCGCCGTGCGGCTATTTTGCGTGCGTCATTGATTATGGGACAGCGTAAGTCGAGACCTGATCATGGCCTCTCAGTCGCTGAACAGGTTTGAAAATCCTTGAGAGGTATTTGCTAATCCTATGGCTCGCCTAGGCAAGTCTTGTACCGACTCCGGCCCCATCACCTGCAGTCGCGACTCTTATTGATTCATATGGATTTGTCTTGTAAGTTCTCGTGCTGATTGATTTTCCATGGAATAAGAAAATATTGATAGTCGTTGTGAAAAGCTCTTCACCTTCGGCATACGTAGTCTACCACGATGTGTCAGCTCGCGGTGCCTGCGGACTCGTTGGAAAGACTTATGCTGACATGACCCTCTCGTATGCCCCATGGAGAGCTTAAAAGCTTTCGTGGAGTGGAACAGCTGCGAATGTTGGCGAGATTAATAGCGCCAATTTTCCTCTCAACTTCGCAGATTTCAACAACAATTGTACGGCTACTACGCCTAGAGCATTTCCATCATTTGCGCCATGTTAGGTGAGGAGCTCACAACCATTACCTTTCGAGAGCCTAGCCCCGAAATGCTTGAGCACCGTTCAAAGAGTTCAAGCGCAATTTCTATACGTTCAGCGACATTGTCACCCTTGGCTTGCTTTCCCAGACAAGCTCAAAGCCGTTGATCCAGCTGGGTCGACATGTATGCGGGATTCAAGGCAAATGATCTGCATGGCAGTAACAGACCAAAAGAGAACACTCCTAACAAGGACGTACCGGCAAAGGGTGCGAGTGCACGATTCCAGGCAGAAGAGATACCCGAAAACGATTCGCCTGCGTAAAATCCTACCCCTAGCAACGTGAAAGTGAATGATTCAGCTGCCAAGAATAATAGAGAGAATAGTGATCTGCCTTCTCAGCCTCCTACGCCTGAAAAATCAGACGGCAATCACATTGCCAATAGTGAAGAACTATCAGCGAGTGATTTACCTGATTCAAACAGGGCAGATCTGCTCGTAAACAATGATGCGACTGATAGTGTCCCAACAAGCTACGCATCGGAAAAGGACCCCAGTAACAATAAGAATCTAGGCAAAAGTCCAGTTGCTGATCTGTCACGAGCCGATTCGTCTTCCCAGCAACTATCAAGTAGAGAATCAGTCAACAGTGATTAAAAGACCAATGATGAGAAGGCAGGAAACCCCATTGCTGGAAATGCTAAAGCCGCTCCCAATCCTGGTGTTGATTCCAGGGGTCCTAATCCCTCTAGCCAGCAGCCTGACAAGGCTTCCCCACAAGCTGATGCTCCCCACCAAGCAACCGTAGTGGTCACAGCGCCAAACGGGCGACCATGACACTGGAAACATCATCCGACTCCCCCATCCCAAATAGCAGACAAAGCAGGCAGCGCCGTTGACACACCTCCAGAAACAAGCGTAGCGGCACTGATAGCCGGCACAACGATCCTGCTCAACGTCGGCGCTGTCAGTATCGCTGGCTATCAGGTGTCGCTTGAAAGCCCATCTGAGGTCGAAGGAATTGAGCACGGGAAATCTCAGCAACAGAAATCGCCAGTCCTCGTGATTGACGGCCTGAGACACACGCTTCCTCAGTTCCCTCCAATTTCGCCTTCGGTATTAGAAAGCTCTCTCGTGCCCGTCATCACAGCAGCAGGTGGCGACATCTTCTCTGCGTCCGGCAACGATAAGGTCATCGTCGATGACAAGATGATGCTCTCGCGCAACGGCGCCCCTATCGCGGTAGGAGTCAGTCCAGCTGGTCTCGGGCGGGCTTAATGTTGGAGGCTCGACGATTGCACTCCAGCCCACGAATGCGGTTGTCATCACAGCAGTAGGCGGACATGGACTCGCTGTTGACTATGAAGGCACTGTGGTTGTTGACGGCAACACGACACTTTCGAGTGGTGGAGCTGTGCTTACTGTCGTCAGCACGCCTATGAGGCCGGTCTCAGGTAGACTAGAGGTAGGCGAGTCGACGTTGTCGCTGCAGTGGATGGGTGATTTTGGGTTGGGCTTTGTGACTGTGGCGACGAAATCCGACGAGGTGAGTCGCGTGCCCGGTTCTATGAGGCCGAATGGGACTAGCAAGGCTGGAGGAGTGGTAGGCCAGAGTCTAGTGGCTCTTGAGGGGAAAGGGTGGCGTGTGAAGGTGTGGAATCAGGTGAGCTGGCTGGCAACAATGGTGATGGTACTACTCCTCATATAGCATTAATTTAGATAGTTTGTATATACAGAGATATGTGAATCTTGATGTTTCTAGGATTAGATGTCAGCGATATCGCAACGCTCGTATGAGACAAAGCTCACAATCCTTCGAATACTATCACGATGATTCCTAGGCAGATCAAGAGCTGCCATCTAGATTAGGAGCTCCCAAATTAGTCTGGAAAGGCCCTTGCTCCGAGTTTCTTGAATTGAAAAGACGTCTCGAGACCTATTCATACATGCGAGTGCTGGTGGCAGAAAGGATGCGGAAGGGCCCTTCGCTTCTCCTCTCTTTCATGGCAAGGATCCTTCGTTTTCCGCAAGGATCTTGTGCTCTCCTGTATGAAATTCTGTGAGGTGACTAGGTTGTGCTTCTCACGTACACGAAAAGTAACCCTTGAAGACTGAGGCTGCTGAGCATGTCATGTTGCTTGATATAGCGTCGCGATACTCTGTCGTTCAGCGTGAGATCGTCGACCCGAAGAAACGGCTTTGAATAGCGCCTACGCCTCCACAACTTCTGTCCAAGAAAACTAAGGAGGGGCCGGCTCATCGTGAATGACGACGGCAACAACGACACAAATATCATCAACTTTTCCACCATGCCAGTCCTCATGGGGATAGAATCTTTGAACCTCCTTTGCGAAAGGTCCGTCCCTCTTGTGATCGACACTAGCGGCCTTTGCTTCCCCAACAATGTTGACAGCTAGCGTAGACTGTAGACTATTCTCCACTTGCACGGCAATGCCTCCATCTTTTGCAAGATCATAAATCTTGTCAGATACCTCCGTGCCTTTGTCGCCATTGACCCAGGCTTGGAAACCCGTCATCTGCCGGCTCACGATCTTTAGTAGGTCGGTAGGATTAAGATTGTCCCAAACTCCGTCTGTGGCGAAGACAAGTACGTCACCGTGCCGGACTTCATGCGTCGAGATGCCGGCGTCCTTTGGCAAATCGTGGAGGGGACCGCCGCCGAAGGCTTTGGAGAGGGCGAGGACTCGAGGCGGGACGATGGAGAGCTGATAGGGTGTGTTGAAGGCGTGGGTTTGAGGGTTGGAATAATAGTTGACGGCATTGAGCCGGAGCTGGACAAAGCCCGAGTCACCTAAACTGGATAAAGACCGTCAGAGCAGCTCCTTTTCACCCATCGCCTTGTCAAGGCCTCACTTACTTCGCAACGGTCAGGTTGCCATCTCCTCGACCCACAGCCACACAAGCCGTGCTACCGCCTCCCTCAACCACCTTGTCGGCCACAATGCCCGCATATGCCTTCTCCAGAAGCTCTCTTGGGCCCAATTTCTTCACCTCCGCTTCCCCTCCTGCCACACCCACCATCTCCGCGCCCCTCGCCATCCACTGACACAGCCCATGCGAAAAGTGCGCTGAATCGAACCCCGAGTCAGACCATCCGCCTACTCCGTCCGCCACGCCAAACGCAGTACTACTACTGTTTCCGATCTTGCTGACGAAGAAGGCGTCTTGACCGCTGCTTGGCCGTCCGGTGAAGGCCCCTTCCAGGAGCTCAAGATCAGAATTGTGGGAGTAGAGGTCAGTCTTTGGGTTGAAACGGCGGCCTTTTCCGGAGAAAGAGGCGGCAATGCGGTAGGAAAATGTTGGGCTGCTGGAGGAGGAGAGGCGGGCTTGAGTCAGCGAACGGCGGAAGAGGGTTGGGTTGGGCGATGAGGGAAGCGTGGAGGGGCATTGAGGACGGAGGTCTTGGTGGGAGAATAGAGGAGCATGTCTGCATGCTGTACATTGTAGTACTGGTGATATGCCGAGGATGCTGAGGGTCTGCAGTGTTCGCATCATGTGCAACAGGTGTTCGGGAAAGACGAGGGTCAAGAGGGTATCATCTTGGCTGCCTGCTTGTTTGATTTGCCACGACTCAGGTATTCAATGCTTCAATTGGCCCATTGTAGCGTATATTCGCCGTCAATTTATGCAAAGAAGGCGCAGCAATGGCAAATTGTTCTGCAGTTTGTCGAGGAAATCTTTGCAGCTCTCTTTGTTAAACAATACGCGCTAATGAGTGCGCGTAAGTCTAGGACCGGGATACGTAGTAGTAGGACTAGACCTAGCATGGATTGTACTCTAAGTCATTGGGGGTTCATCTCTCGTCTAGCCACAAAATATATCACTGAAGAATAGGGAACATATTGCGTAGGGTGAAGATACTGATTTTTAGGTATGTAGGTAGTGTGATAGTAATAGCCTGAATTGCAAGTATTGAATGTTTTCCATCTCTGCTTCGAAGCAAAAAGGCGCCCTCAATTGAACCAAGCAATCTAGCCCTTCCAAATTAAAAAGAATACTGCTGATGGAGAATCATGCTGTACTTGAGGTCAGTGTGGTGTTGACCTCGATCCAATCTTTGGTGAAGTCATCCTGCCTGAAAATGCATTTCTGCCTTCCTTGTTGTACAGTTCACCTATGTTGATGCTATGATAATGGTGGCCACGGTGATCGCCCTAGACCTTAATACTGGGGAGACAAGCATAGCCTTGAACTGATGTAGGCTCTATAGCAGTGATAGTAGTGGTGTGGTGAACTACCTGTCATAGTAGAAATGATAAGCATCCTCGAAATATCATCCACAGACCCTACGTTGAATAATCACAAGATGCTCGCCAAAATTTGAGCCGCATGAGTGCAAAACGGAGTACTTACGATGTTCCCTTTGACATCATGCTGAACACCGTCAGACCTAACGACTTCGGCCGCTGGCAAGATGCGAGGAGCCACTGGGATCACAGTCGAGCATCCATGGCAGTCGACGGTCGCAACTCCAGTGGTGGTTGTACTCGTGTAGACAGTTGAAGTAGGACCTGCTTAGATATTGAGTGGTCCGAGCACAGCCCAGGGGCAAGATACAGATGGCTCGTTTTGAGCGGTAGCACCACTGGTGAAGGCTAGAGCAGCAGAAGCCACGAGGACCAGGAGTTTGTTCATCATGAGAGAAGAGCGGACAAGGTTTGATCAAAAGAATGCAATCCGATAGAATGAATGGTAAGCTTGAGCGATGGTATTCAAAGGGTTGCAGAGAGTGTGATGGTAAGAAGAAGATATTTCAAGCCGTGTGGGTGTAAATGATCACGCGTAGAGGAAATGCCGTAATTAACCGTGGTGGTACAAGGTTGTATAATTTGCCATCACATTGGATGATGAAAGAGGTGGCAACAATGACACACCTGGTGAGATCATGTAAAGTGTTGGGTGGGGTATCCATCTCCAGCTGTTTTCTGGCGTTTGGTAGGTTTGTAAGGCACATAAAACATCCTAGAGCCCCGTGTGCGGCTTCAATATGCCAAGCCCCACGAGTGTCATGGCACAGCTGAGGGTTTCCATTCAGGCTTGCGACCTTTCCAAATACCGAATTCTCTTTTGAGGAGTGTTGTTACCTTCTAGTCATAATCAGGTGCTGTTGGCAGCAGAGTCAGCATGCTTGCGCACCTTTCATCTCTACTAGACTTAGGACCGCGTCAGAGTCTCACCTTAGGAAAGCGCACACTGTTCCATGCAGCACGGGCAGGCGTCGGTTTGAACAATTTCATCCGTGACTGCCACTTTGAATCAGACACTCTCCCCGTCATCGCGACCCCACAGCTTCACAGTCCGATCATGACCACAGCTGGCAATCCACCTGGCATCGCGGGTAACATCCACGCCCAGAACGTTCCCAGAATGCCCGCTGAGTGTCTTCTCAAGAGCCCAATCGTCGGCGGAGAAGACCTTGACGTTCTTGTCAAAGCCACCAGAAATGAAGAACGTGCCTGTCTTTTTAGGCTGAACCTCTCCCTTCTCATCTCTCGCGGGAGGTAGCATACAGTCCTCGCCCTTGAACCATCTCAAGTCCGTTACGCCGCCCCTGTTCGCCCCAATGACACCGGCTTCACGCACTAACCGCAAATCCCAGCATCGGGCAAAACCGTCACCAGAACCAGATAGAATTCGATGGCCATCATAGTTCCAGTCTAAGGCGTAGATGTCTTTGATATGCTTGTCTAATATCATCACAGTGCGACCAGTCCGTAGATCCCAGATTCTCCCAATGCTATCCAGCCCTGCGCTAGCAAGGAGGCTGCCGTCTGTGTTAAAGCTAAGGGCGTATACCTCGCGTGAGTGGCCTTCTTGGAGGAGAAGTTCTGTAGCTGTGTTTACGTCCCAGAGACGCCATGTAGTATCAAATGAAGCGGAAGCCAAGTATTGACCTGACGGATGGAAGTCGACACGACAGACCCGGCCCGTGTGCCCAGAAAGAGTCGAGATGGGGGTGTCTTGAGCAAGATTCCAGAGATGAATGCTGCCCTCTCCACCACCAGTGGCTAGGTTGACAGATTCCGGTGACACCCTAGTGCCAGGTAACGTAGCATTTGGATACCATGAAACACCGCCGACCCTGTCCGTGTGGCCTCGTAAGACTCGTTCGTCATCAAGATTTGGGACACTGAGGAGCCTGACCCCGCCGGACCAATTGCCTGCTGCAATGGTCTCTCCACTGGGCGAAAAGCGGACTAAGCTCACAGGCCGATCTCCGGCGATTTGAGTGCCAAAGAGCTCGAAATCGGCAAGTCGCTCTTTGATGGCTTTACGATGCTTGATGTGGGTGCGCAGAGGGATGGTTGACTCTATAGTCTGATTTGCTATCCGCGCCTTTGCTTGAGGCAGCGAATATCGTGCGATGGCCCTTCGGGCTTCGCAAAGCTCACTCATTCCCTCAGTATAGAACTCTTCATCTTGGTCCCCTTGCCCAGTGTCGTCCTGCGTCATTTCTTGCATTTGTAGATCCCCACCCCCTCCCGCTTCCTCTGCTTGCTGGGTAAGCAACTCTCTCAACCTATCTCGTCTGTCGCCGGGTCCCTCGCCGAAAAGCGTGATGGGCTGACCCATCGAACGCAGCTGCTGGCGGACACGGCCATCATCTGTAGGTACTGCAATAGCAGCTGCTCTTCGTTTCCTCTCAAACTGCGATATGATTGCCGAAGCTTTCTCTGGCGCTATGCCAGCAGCATTGGCTGGTACAAAGTGGTCATGATCGACAGCTGTGATTTATTTAGCTCGATCGCCAGTTGAAGCACAACGCAATCTCACGTATGTTAGCCAAGTCCACGCCATCTTCATCCTGTTGTACACGATATATCTATCAGCCATCATCAAACGGCCTTTTTCTGACACTAGTTTTCCAAACAGCCCGGCAGACACTCTAGAACGAGATATGAATCATTTGAAGCAATGCAGGGGCAGGGACTGCTTACATCAGGGGCACCCTCCTCCACATACGCTCTTCGCGAAGGGTGCATCATAATGGGCAAAAGCACTCAATGTTGGCCAATACAATCAGCTGGGGTAGAATAGAAGTCAAGGATACGAAACTGACCTTCAGCGCGGCTTCAACCTAGAGGCAGCCACTAGCTCCAGCCTGCCCCTCGTGCACCATTATTAACCCTTTCTACATTATTCTTGATATCCACATGTCGATAGAGAACCCTAGATCAGATCTTACAATTTGAACTCCACAATTTGAGACTTAAAGCAAGATCTGAAAGTGGTGTCTATCTTCGCCCTAATGGATTTGGATGGTTCCTTCTACATGCGTTAGAAATCTCCGCGTTCTGCGGGATGCTGTAGGGCACGTTGTGACATTCTGTCTGTCTCAAGGATATCAGCAACACCAGGACCTACATGCTTTATACGAGAACCGAGTGTATGTCTCGGTGCGATAGCGGTGACTACACGTACTTGATAATAGCAAATTCGATCATTTTGCCGACTTTCATTGTGTCACGAAAGGAACGAATTGAAAAATGATCATAGCGCGTTACAATTGCCAGTGTTAACGGCTGTTCTATCCTATTGTACTTTTTGTGGTGCAAAAGTGATTTCTCAGCCTATTATCAACTCAGCTTTCTCCGATAGGATCCCCTCTTCATTAAATGGTTTTCAGGCTGTGGCTTGGGAAGCCAACCAAGCCTTGACATAGATATCCATCGAGCCCACAATACCAATTCTCCTTGGTTCCCAGCCAAGCAATTGCTTCGCCCGTGAGGAGTTGTCATTGTTGCTGACGGACATCGCTTCGCTGAAAGGGTTGTCCTTCTCCTCCGCAAGTCGAATTTCACCTTTGAATCCAATGATATCTGCGGCTGACTGGATGATGAGGCTCATCGGTTCGGATGAGCTAACAATGCTGAACACAGGGTACACACCAGTCCCAGAAACAAGCTCAAGCTTCTCGATTGCACATCGGAAGCCTGATGCAACATCACTGCACACAAGTCAGTAACTTCGGACTGGTGAGTCAATTGGGGATGGCTCCTTTACTCTACGTGAATCAGACCTGGTCGCGCGAGTGGGTCTAATGGTAGTTGAACAGATTCGCGCCTCGTGCCTTCCTGTGTAGCTGCAAAGATCGGCCCCAGGAAAGCACCCCATATTGGGCTTTCACGTCCATAGACTAGCCCCGGGCGAATAATAGCCACATTCAAAACATCTTTGGAGGCGACAATATCTCGCTCTAACTGGGGTCTCCAAGCTACCATCTTCGCTGGTGGGTTCTTGGCATCGGCTGTTCCTACAGGATCGAGGTCGCTAACCCGTTCGAAGGACGACCCATGAACCCAGGTGCCGCTGCAATAGACAAAGCCGAGTTTAGCACCACCTTCCTTCTGTCGCTCAATGCCGATTTGTTTGAGGTCTTTGAGGACCTGAAATGAGCCATCATTGGCGCCAGCGCAATCGACGACGATATGTATACGGGCGGATTTGATCAGCGAGACGTACGCTGCAGAGTCAGTGACGGAACCAATGACGGGTATGATCTCTTTTGCCACGAGTTGGGCTGCTTTCTCGGGGGTTCTCGCGAGACCATAGACGGTGTGCAAGCCGGAGCGGAGGAGTTCGCTTGCAACAGCAGTGCCGATATAGCCAGTGGCTCCTATGAGGAGGATCCGAGTCATGATCAATGTAGAGAGTATACGTGGAAGTTAAGATCTAAAGGGCAAAAGTGAAGCAGGATCAAAGGAGGCTACTACAGTTGGAGCCTGGACTTGGGTCTCGTCTCGGCTTCTTATACGACGTGAAATGGGCAGAAGCTTTGACGATTCGGACGTTCTAATCTCACCGTGTCATGGGCATCTTGTTATGTTGACTAACACATCCCAATTGCAATACATACGTACTAGGAACACTGTTTGCGATGGGGTTAAGGGAGAGACCGAGTGGACCCCCTACCTTCGCACCGATATCTCCGTCGAGGCTGATTGGTCGGGCTGCTAGGCTGACTAGCGGGTGCGAATACCTTAGCCCCCGCCTCGGACTCTCGCCGACGCCCGAGACCCCACCGGATTCATCAATTCTACCGCCTTAGTCACCTTGAACTATAGGACAAGTCCTCTGCTGGTCCCTCCATCGAATATGATTGCTTATAAATTCATATTATCAGCAATCTATCGACATCAGCAGGTCTCGGTCATAAGCTTGTTGACAAAGATTCATCTCGTGGCAATCATCAGTCAGTAAAACGCATGTCTATTGGGCATTTCCACCAGCGAGAGTGACTAGAAGGGACAAAAACATATCAAAGCTCATCTTGCTACAAGGTCCGATTATTTTCGGAGGCCATAACCCAAAAGATTGAATGGGACTGTGGCATGTGGCATGTCGGATGTCGGACTTGGTTATTTACCGGCCAGTTGCCGCAGCCATATAAGTCTGGCTAAGGAGCATGATGTTCAAACCTGACGATTGGTCAAATTAAGCACGGACTCTGCAGGTCTATGTTGGTGAAGTTTGTGTATGTAATTGAGTACTATCGTGTGAGTCAAGCTATTCTTGAGGGTTGAGATTGTAATTGTGCCAGAGTTTACCCTATTCTTAGGATCCTGTGAAGACATGATCAGGCCTCATTGCGTTTCGAGCTGCTCGCAAATAGCTGCTACGCCATCATGAAACATCGTTGATCATTGAACGAGATATTGTACGACCTGCAATCTTCTTGAGTCAAGTGACGCAACCTTTTCCTAGGCGGTGGGCACCCATGGCACTGGGCATCGACCTAGTAAGGCGGCAAAGGCTACCGACCCTTGAATCTTCTTTACTTGCATGGACAGTGAATTGAAATGTCCCCAAAAGTTTTCGTTTCGTTAGACTTGTCTGTGACGCGAAGCGCTCAACTGTCAAGAGCAGCAGAAGCAAGAGGAGTGAATGGTGCAAATCTGAAGCTGCCAGGCTCCACCAGACAATGACCACGGCAATCTTCTCGTAGAGCTTTCAGGCCCAATCTGTTTGCATATCTCGTAGAGGTATGTGGAGAAAGCTGAAAGGTGAGGATCATCTGGAAAAATTTGCTCACCTGCAATGACAAAAGTAGAATCTCACCCGAACCGAGAGAGCATGGGCCGCACAAGCCTTGTGGAGGATGAGAAAGCCTTCCACCATGGTAAGCATCGCCTCACCGCACTTCCAATCAAAGGTCACACGTTCCCCACAAAGCTCGGAAGTCGCTCGGCAAGTTATATGTGCCTTTCAATCTGCACCTTACGCTGTCACACCGCTCTTTATCTTCACTCAGAGAACATTCCCAGCTCAACCTGATCACTGGTTGATGATGCGGAGCAAAAGCCATTCATCTTATCCTTGGTTGGTAAACCTGTGTTCGGTGAGAATGCAGCTCATGCGGAGGCGGCCTCATCTTGAAGTGAAGGCAGCAATTTTCGCGAGCTCCGAACTATCAGATCTATCTCTATCCTATATGACCCATAATCTCTAATCTTTCCCCCTTTTCTTCTCGTGTACCATCCTATACGATTCTCAAAGCCCACAATACCGATTGCTTGAATAAAATCCGAAATCTTGTTGCCCATCCCGTTCACCTTCAGCTTTCTGAGACACGCACGATGCAGACCGCCGTCTTCTTCGTCACGGGTTTGGCACTTGTATCTAATGTGTAACTCTTTCCCCCCAAGAAGCCCGGGGAGAAAGATGGCTGACCGGGCCTCTTATCCAGACTAGCGAGCCCAGCTCCGCCCGCTTTATGTACAACAACAATCACGACTGCACCAGTTTTCGAAAACCTCTACACTTCAACAGTCTACAAGACCACAGTAACAAGTACAAGTAGCGTTGACTGCCATGGCTGTGGCTATGTGACTGAAGTTGCTCGTGCTGAGGGACCTGGTCCTGTCAGTTTTGCCCGAAGTTTAGCTGTAGGATTCAGCTCACGAAAGGCTAGGTTCAGCATATTACGACTACGATCACGCTGCCCACAAAGTCGGCTACAGAAACGGTGTGCTCTCCGAGAGTGAGGTAAGAAACGTGGAGAGGATTTACAATTGGGCAAATAACCCAGCAGATTCGGTGGGCCAGTATGTGTTGATCTCAACATCAACATAGGTGATTCAGGCTTAAACTTAACTTACAGCATTACGTAGATGGCACACATAGGTGCTGAAAGAAACAATCTAAAAGTTCTTGCTACCCTTGATAAGGAAAAAAGGGAATTCTTCTCCCAGTATCATCTTATACAACCCCTTCAATCATAAATGGGAAGAAGGCTTTCGTTCAGAAGCCGAGTCTGGTTTCTTCAGCCGTGACATTTCTCCCTCATCCACAATCCTTCCCTCTGCCGACTTCATTAGAGCATGCCAGTCAACACATGTATGAATCGACTCGCTGGCGTTGAACATGGGGCGCGTCTCATTTGCGTTCCAAATGAATGTGGTAAGCGAGGAGGTGTCCGCATGGCATACAGCGGACTGACGAAGGAGCTCGAAGCAATGATCTGGTCTGTGTGAGCAGAGTCACGGATAGTAAGATCATATGCAATATTCTTTTGTGAGAAAAGGGAGAGCTTCTGCAAGGAGGGCACGGTCACTGCCTACCTATGTGAGGCCCCATACGTTCAATCTCTGCAGGAGTCATATTGGTGTGGTAATAAGGACGATAGTGCCACTCGCGTAGCATTCTCTAAGGTCTTGATTCAATAATCTTTACTCACCAAATCGATGGAATACTTTCCCCGTAGACTGACTTACTATGCAATGCAATTCGTGAAACACGCCCATCCAACTCAGGTATCCACCACCTTCAGGAAGCTTTACAGACTCCTGATCGTCACGACGTAATTCATCTTCAGAGACGCGCATATGCATTGGGGAAAGAAGAGCGTCCCAAGCAGCATCCAATTCCAGGGACGGCTCACCGGCATATGAATTATTCGCAAGATGATGGAATACAGTCTGTGTGTATTTGGTTTCAAGATTATCGAAGACCGCTAGATGGCCACTTAGGCTAGGGTGCCAATTAGACGGTAGTTTCCACTCACCATGAGGCGGTTTTTCTGTTCTACTCCGGGCACGAACAATGCTAATGGTCACGATCGTGTAGAATGCTATGAGGATAGAATGAGTGAGAATATCGATTTTTGCCCTTCGCCAATTTGACCGCCGCTTTGCAAGACGAGTGTATGAGACCTCAAGAATTTCATCGCTTGATCGTTCCTGACTGAGAAGAAAAGATTTCTGTTCTAGCTCTGGAGGTTCGCGTCCTGCACTTTGTTGAAGGAGTCCTCGTGGGCATATTCCCGACTCTGCCGTGCCCATTCTTAAAGGTGGGACCTGAAGTCAAGAAGTCCCCTATGGAAGGACAAGATATTCGACCCGTTCTCGTGACAGGCACCCAATGACCTTCGAATGACGCAACCTTGGCGTCCTTTTTCCAATACTTGTCGACTTCGACGGCTTCCAGGTACTCCCGAGGTATGTTGATGGAAAAATACACATATGGTGTCTTACGTCAACTATCGTCGCAGACCATCTTCATGATATTCCGGCGGCACGAATTTCGGGCATAGAGATAGCGTCACCGGCCCAGAAGTAAGAATTTACTGATACCTTTGATTTGATTGGCGTGCTGAATCTGCCTGCTGTCCAGCTATTCGAGTCCTGGGTAGGTCGTCGAACCAGAGGAGACATGCCACAGAATGTGGTAGCTCTGCGGTCTTACTGTTTGTAGCTACCGTCGCAAGTTCATGAGTCGTAGCTGCACTACGTCCGGCAGTGCAAGGTCTAGACTGCTGACTATACGATGCATCCTAGTGAAGCAAGGCCCAAGGTCAAAGTTTTGGATTCTTGATTCTTGACAAACCACTGGCTACTAGCATAGTCCTGCTCAATGGGCTCTCTAAGAAGCTGGAGCCATCTGGTGCGCCTGTGGCTTTCCGCAAGCGAGGTATAAAATGTAGCTTTCCGACCACTGCAGTAGCGAGTGCAACGAGGTTGGATTTGAAGCTTGCCGAGTATGTCCGACCAAATTTAGCGAATATCGAAAGCCCCCTGGTTTTCGCCTGGGTGTACGTTATTTGGATGGTTTGCTAAGGTCTTCAATTAGTCTTCTCAAAGCTTGACTACATTAAAGCCAGAACTCAATTCACAATGACAAGGACATGGGTCATTTTCCTTCTAGACCACCCCGGCCAAGCTCGGGGCGGCCGTTCGAAAGGTTCTCGACCTTTCGTCATTGCGAACGACCTGTTCGAAGAACGACAACATAAAGCTCTAATAATGACCCGCATTTCTCAGTTCGCTGATCAATTCTGAGCCAGAAATCGGAATTAGTGAAACAAAACCCACAGACTTCCTTTTCCGAAACAGGCAAAACTAGAAAATGCGGTCTTCGATCTCCATATTATGCTTGCTTGGTGTAGGAGCTCTGACGGCTCCTGTGAGTAAGTAATATGACTTTCGAACCATTTTCCTACGTACCTACAGCCTTGATTGACCACAAAGCCACAGACAAACGCGATGCTTCTCAAGATGGCATCGTCTATCCTGGATCGTATAAACGAGATGCTGCCGAAAAGGGCATCGTCTATCCTGGGTCTTACAAACGTGATGCTGCTGAGCAGGGCATTGTCTACCCTGGATCCTACAAACGTGACGCTTCTGACGAGGGTATCATTTACCCAGGCTCATATTAGGATGAAAAATTCGAGACCCGACGCAGTTAATGTGTGCAATGCAATTGGATAGGCTAGCAGTGATTCGTGATTTGGAATTGTAGCTGGGATTTCAGCACACTTGATTGCTTTTTGCGTATGAAATATTGAACGAAAATGAGTTAAGGGGGAACGAAGCAGTAGCGATGTTATGAAATGGTACATCGTGAGACAATGAACTGAAGAAAGCATGTAGACTATCATTAGAACACTCCTGTTATGTCAAGCTGCACACTATTCGGAAGAAAATCCGGCGGGGAAATATTCGCACCGATACTTTTCTGTTCATATGCCCACACCTACCTCAATGCTTTCTTTTCTGATATATGTATCGTCGCTTCAAACTCGCGAAGAAATCAGCGAGCAATCAGAGATGGTTTCGACTCATGCAGGGGTTTCCAATTTGCTCGAGTTGCTATTGACATAAACGCCAAGTTGATGCCAAGCATTTTCCAGCTAAGTCTCTGAGCTGCGCAGACATGATGAAACTTGCGTCATGCTTTATGCTACCTAATGGGAATACTCAGGGCTTTTCTAGGTGATTCATATTTCTAACCTTTTTAGGAAAGGCTCGAAATAGATTCTTCAGTATTTCAACCCTTGAACAACGCTCAATTAGTTTGAAAATTTATAGGTTGTATGTTCTTAATATGATGAATAAGTTGTAAAAATTTAAGGTTATTCTATGATAGTTATGCTTTGATATGAAAGAAAGATTTTTAATGTGCGGATTTATCGGAAATATGAATCACCTAGAAAAGCCCTGAGTAGTATTCCACATAAGAGTCAGGTTAAATTCGGGTGCTATTTCTCGCCCTCATCGCTCAACATTCATCAATCAGGTCTCATGATTTCTCAAAGAGTGACGCGAGTGCTTCCTAGCAACTTGCTAACAGAAGGGGTTCTACCTCCCACCTTCTTGCTCCCCCTTCGCCAACGCCTTTCTACCGCATCGACCATTACAACAACCACAAAATCTTCACCTCCCCTTGGAGCATACCTCTCAAAGGCCCTTCCAGATATCCCAACCCACCCAATCCCTCCAGACCAATCATCGCCAGTGAATCCTTTAATCACCTCCCGCCGTCACCCTCAACTATCCCGCCACTCGCCATTCCCCCCCACCGACTAAGCCGCTGTCATCCTCTCTCCATCTTCTAACGCTCTTGGCCTCTCAAGCACCACACTACATCACAGCCCATTTACACGCCCGCCCTTACCTCCTCACCCTCGGAGACTCTCTACGGCTTCCTTTTTACATGCCTAACGCTCCACCGGGGACAGTGTTACGGTTGAATAGAGCCAGTACGCTGGGCTCTAGAGAGTTTACATTTCGTGGCGATCCTTGGATAGATGACAAATACTTCGTTTGCCGTGCAGTGGTCACGGGGATAGAAAGCGAGCCGCTGAGGGTGAAACTGAAGACGAAACAAAGGCAGAGGAAGGTGAAAAGAGTGAAAAGCAAGTTGCGGCAGACGGTGCTGAGAGTCCAAGAATTAAGAGTATTGCCGGAGGGGAAAGACGACAAAGAGAAAGACACGGACAATGATGTCGACGCGAAGACCATAGAGCACTTGTCCACCCGATATCTGGGCTGAACCCTATGTCTCGTATATGATGATACCCGATTTGTAGGCAAAGGCCGTATAATCAATCTGACGTTTTGTCTCTTGCTGGTGAAGCAACACTCTCCTGTAAACGCACATGAGACCAAGGTATAACTGTAGGAGTGCGAAATCTTCCAGTCGCAACGCCCTTTCCAGACTTTTGAGCTTCTATATATGTACAATTCTTACAGGAAGCCCCCGTCACAAATGAGCATCCTTCACCTCGTCTGTCATTGTGGTCATTCACCTGACTTGAGATATGCCTCGAGGTCGAATTTCGGGTCGTTAGGGTCGGATATAACTAGGGCATCGAAATGTTAGGCACTTTTTGCAATATTAAAGCTTCCGGCCGTTGTCTTCAAACGAAGAGCACAGACTTGCAAAAAGGGTAGGTCAAACGCACCTCCCCCAGGTGCTACGGCTTCCTTAGGTGCTGTCTTCTTTGCCCACTCCACTTTTGCCTTGTCTATGACGCTTTTCTGATGGTCGAATTCTGCTTGCTTCTTGTGCTGTTCGTCACGAGCGTATATTGTAGACTGGTGATAAAAGCCATAGAAGACGCCCGAGCCCAACGCGCTGTAGCGAAGCACCTAAGTAAGTTAGCGACTCAGGATTCATAGGATATTATGCCATTTAAAGTGCTGGACTTGGGATGCGTCGAATGCTGTTGCAGGTCTCACAATCGAGGCTTACATTAATCCCGGCCGATGCCATTGGAGCTTGAGTGGCGTTTGGAAGCCTTTCCAAGCAGTATTCGACAGCCTAGTGAGGTCTCTCTTGCAGAACTCGCGGTACTTTCGGAGAGGGTTGAACTGAATTAAAAGCTTGCGGACCGAAGCAGCCTCTTTGCGGGAATTCACTAGCCCCACCACTTTTCTTGCAAGCTCATTGACGCTCCGCAATAAACAATCTACCTCGTTTGTCGTCATTTTCGACCCTTGAGAGCCATGTCATGACCGGTGGGGTGCCTTGGCTTATGTATCATTCCTTCTTTGGTCATATCTGGGGGGTTCAGGCTCCTCAGCCCCAAAATGAACAAAGCTTGTCGACTGACCCTTCCTTCCCCCCTGAAGTAAAAGTCGTGGAAGCGCATTTCTAATAATGCAACGCAAAGATGAGATACTGGCTAAAAAAGCCAAGCTAGCAGAGCTCCGACGGCAGCGTGAGGAAAGGGAACATCGCCAGAAGGAGGGAAAGCGAGACTCACTTCTTGACGATGGGTCCAGCATCAAAGTCCCTACTCCGCGGCGCTCTACAGACCGTCAAGAGCTTGACAGCTTTATTGAGACTCTTGTGGGGGAGAGACCTGGCTCGAGAGGTCCTGGCACAGGAACAACGTCGCCTGCAGTGAAGAAGAGTCGACCAAGTTCTACATTAGGCACTGTGCAAGTCGGATCCGAAACATATGAACAAGCACAAGCCAGTTCATCTAAGTTCAATTACACTACAGCTTCAACGCAAACGCGAGATGTTGCCACTGGTCAAGAAAATCAAAGCACGATACCAGTTCCAACAAAACCGAACATCGAGATCTACCATAAAGCTGTTCAAACAAGCGGAGAGTGGTATGCACAGGACCAGCGGCCACCTTCAAGTGCGGACTCCACTACAGATGATCAAAGATCCTCTACACAACCATTGCAGAAACTTAGAAGGCTCAGCAGGAGACAGAAGGAGAGGGAGGAAGAATTACGGCATAATTTGAGGGCTGAAATAGAAGAAGAACTTAAAGCTGCAAGAGACCTTAGCCTGGATGGTCAAACCCTCTCAGCCCCTTCCAAGTTTCCAGCGCGAGCTCTCACTAATGAAGAATTGAGTGCTGTGACTTCCTCGAACGAGTTTTTGGACTTTGTCGAGAGGTCGAGCAAAGTCATTGAGAAGGCTTTGGATCAGGACTACGATGTTTTGGCTGACTATGCTCTTGATGGCGTCGAAGCTGTTGATGAAGACGATAACGAGGGGTATGGCACCACTAGAGGCGGGAAAAGCAGACGAATACGCCAGGTAGCCCAGTTCTGGGATGAGAAAGGGAGCAAGAAGAGAATGACTAGCGATTTGAGCTTCTCTCCAAAGGTCGAGGCACCGGGTGATATATGATTCTGAACTTTTTGCTGACTTGCTTAGTTTCCCGAGCTACTACTCGCTGCGTACACGAAGAACCCTTCTACGCCGCAGGAGCCATCTGGCCTCCTTCAAGTATGGAACATGCATCTGCATTCGCGCCCTGAATACACCTTCCAAAACACCTCGGATATTCTTACGGCGCAATTCTCGCCCTTCCACCCGTCTCTCATCATTGGCGGGTCGTACACGGGCCAAGTTCTTCTTTGGGATACCCGTTCTCGAAATCGCTTACCTGTTCAAAAGACTCCACTTACCGGGGCCTCAAGCGGCGGTCATACTCACCCGATATATTCTATCTCCATCGTGGGCACTCAGAATGCCAATAACATCATTTCATGCTCTACTGATGGCGTGGTATGTGGCTGGACTACTGATATGCTAACGGTACCACAAGAATATCTTGAATTGACAACGCCACCACCGAGTAAGACGGAGGATCTCAGCCCGACTTGCATGTCATTTCCCATTTCTGATCCAACGTCGTTTCTTGTTGGTACGGAAGAGGGTACGATATATCCTTGTCATCGATACGATCGCGCTGGTGCGAAGGCTGGAGTTGACCAGCGGTTGAGATACCAAGCACACACTGCACCTGTGATGAGCCTGAATTTTCATCCTGCTCGTGGTCCAGTCGATTTAGGAGATCTAGTACTATCAAGTGCACTTGACTGGACCGTAAAAATCTGGAAGACTAAGCCAGCGTCGTCAACATCAGTCACGGCAGCACCTGCACCTGCTTACAACAACCCCACAGCCAACAAGGAGCAAATTGTAGAGCCACTCATAGATCTCTCGAGAGACGATATCGTATATGATGCTCGATGGTCACCCCACAAGCCAGGTGTCTTCTCGGTCGTCGATGGTGCCGGAAATGTGGAGGTCTGGGATCTCACCATTGATACAGAGGTTCCCATCTCCAAGGCTACTCCGCAGATTGATCGTGATGTTCATGGTAACTTCGTTGCGAAGAGCTTGAATAAGGTTGTTTGGGAAGAGAAAGAGGGGAAAAGATTAGCGGTGGGGGGTGCTGCGGGGATAGTTTCAGTGTTCGAGGTAGGTAGCGATTTGGCTGGAGAAAGCGTGAAGAATGATGAATGGGCAAGGACGAAGAGACTGATGGCCAGACTCGAAGCTGGAAGATGACACTTGTCGAAATCGCTTGACTGATTTATTCATTTATGATACCCACTAAAGTGAAATCGAACTATACGTGATCTGTCCATTGCCGACATTATCTTCTATTTGAAAGCAGAAGCAAAGTAAACTATCAGACGTGAGCTAACACCTGGAGCTCCAGCAGAGGAGTTGGGAGTGACAGGAGTGCGATTTTCCGATGAGGAAGCAGGGTTGGGTTGACGTAACACGGCCACGCCAAAGAGAATAGGAATCGTTGGTACAAAAGGAGTTCTAAATTACTAAAGAACACAGTTTATAGACAAGTATTTCTTGATAGAGACTCTCGTTGAGCACTGATGTGAAGATTTAAAATCTAGCTGTCCCAAATGGGCTTCAATAAGACTTATCGCGTCTTTTTTAGCGCGATCAAACGCCGTAGCAACCAAAAAGTAAACACCAAAATCGCGGAAATGCCGCGCTTGTCATTCGTCGAATAATGGAAGCCAACACAACGTCGTTTTTGGTATCGACGATCTTGAAAAGCTGCCATGTCGCTTGCTAGCTACCCTCGATTGCATCGCTTTGAGAGTGCAACAGGATTTCTTCCCCTCACCAGTTGACAAACATTTACATAAATCAATAACCAATGGCCGTTGTCGCCGCGTCTCCCACACCATTTGCGGCCAGCTATAATGTTCCTTTGCGCGAGCAATTCCCTCGACATCCCTTCAATAGACCTGGATCAAGACCAAATTTGAAGAGAGGGCTGCCATTGGCCTCCTCAATAAACAATCCGCCGTTGCAGCAGCCATGGAATTTCTCTATGGGAGACAGTTCGGACGACGAGGTGCCCGTGCCACCTATGAAGTTCAGCGCAGAAGCGAAGGCGATATTGGGCGACGAAGCCTCAGTGATCGGATCATCGCCATCTCAAAAGAGGGACGATTCGAGGGGCTACATGCGCTTGGATCCACCGAGGAAAAAAGTCAGTCCACTAGCTGTAAGCCAGAGGTTCCAGGAGAGATCAGGATTACAATCATCGCTCAGAAATGGGAGTCCAAGGATCGTTCGACTCAATGCAAGTAGTCCCAACTCGTCTACGCTGAAAAGAACCACGTCACTCTTCAATGGCACGTCACCCAAGGCCAAAGAACATGACGATTTTGTCACCCCGGGACCACGTTGTAAAAGCGCTCAATCGGGATCTGCCAACTTCGGCTCCCATATTAGTTCGGAAGGACAGAAGACAGAGTACCAATCGTCTGCTGAAAGCCAATGGCAACCTGACCCAACCACAACTTCGAAGGAGCACTCTAGTATTCACGATGCAGAGGGGCAGATGGGCAATCTTTCCGTCAGTAGGAATCGAGTAGATGATACTGGAGCACATACAGGGCAACGGCAAAAGAGAGTCCAAGTGACGGGCAAATTCCTAAGAGGTCCAGCACGGAGGGGGATGAAAAGGAGGCAGAGCGAAGAAGATCAAAGTCCTAATCACGAGGCTATACAGTCGCCTAGTGACGGTAAACAGCAGCAAGGGGAATTTCATGAGCCAGATGTTGAGCCTAGAATGCCGGCTTCTGCAATCGAACGGAATCCACGCCACCAGGAAACTGACAAAGAGGACCAATCGCGGCCTCCTCATGTGCGCTTCCAGAGCCAGGCCAGCATCATCACAGGGAGTCCTGAGCAGAAGCGTCATGAGCCTGCCAAAGCGCCCCTTAATGAAACAGGAGTGGTCAAGCCTGTGGTCACATCCTCTAGTAAGGATGCTCACCCAACTTACAAACTTCCTCCACCGTCAATACCGTCTCGGTACGACCAAGAAAATGAGCCGCCGCCGACTTTTAGACGTAACAAGTTGATTACGGCAAGGGCTATTGAAAACGGAAAGATTATGGTTGCACAGGATGAGAAGATGCTCATTCAGACACCTGCAACAATCTCACCTTCACGACCTGCTTTGGCTGTCCGAAGCCAGAATACACCACATAGGCCTGCGCCTCCTCCCCCGAAAATGTCAGTCGTGGAGACTGCAACCGCTGGTGCAGGAGCAGTAACCGCTTCCACGACGAAGAAGAAGCGCAACTTCATTTCCGTTAATGGCCGGATGTTTACCCGTATGGATTGCATTGGCCGGGGCGGTAGCTCTAGAGTCTACCGCGTGATGGCTGAGAATTACAAGATCTTTGCCCTCAAACGTGTTTCCCTTGATGAGCAGGCCGAATCGGCTGTCCAGGGCTACAAGGGCGAGATTGATCTTTTGCGGAGACTTGAAAATGTAGATCGAGTAGTTCGACTCTATGATTACGAAGTCAATGAAGAAAAGAAGCATCTCTCTGTCCTCATGGAAATGGGCGAGTCAGATCTCAACCGCGTGCTAACTCACCGTCTCGAAGAGGGAGTACTCGACCTCACTTCCACGCGATATTTTTGGCGAGAAATGCTTCAGTGTGTAGCCGCAGTTCATGCTCTTCAAATTGTTCACAGCGACCTGAAACCCGCGAACTTCCTCCTGCTTCAAGGTCAACTTAAACTAATCGATTTCGGCATATCGAATGCCATTGCTGAAAACACTGTCAACGTCCACCGCGAGCAGCAGATCGGAACCCCCAACTACATGTCCCCAGAAGCACTCAGAGCCACTGCAGACGGGCAAACCCTGAAGCTAGGCAAACCCTCCGACGTGTGGAGTCTCGGCTGCATTCTCTACCAGATGGTGCACGGCAAACCCCCATTCGCACATATTCCAAACCAAATACAACGGATAGCCGCTATTCCTAATGAGCGCCATGCGATCTCCTTCCCTGAGGCTGGGCTGGGCGGTGTCCCTGTTCCGTCAGGGTTGATGCGTACACTGAAGCGGTGTCTCAACCGTGACATCAAGCAGAGACCTACCGTTGAAGAGCTTCTCGAGCTAAATGACTCGTTTCTGCATCCAGATCGAGTGCTAGAGTCGACGGTGCCAATGGGCAGAGAGTTGATCGAGAGAATGCAGCATAACATCATTAGACATATCAAGGAAAAGGGTATGCCGAGTGAAGACGAGCTCAGGAGTTGGCCGGATCGTTTCTACCGTAGTATCAAAGCTGCCGTCGAGGAGGGAAAGGCTTAGTTTTGCATGCCAAGGCAGCCAGAAGGAGCTGGAGAGAGAGCAGCGTTCGTATGAGGCAATCTCCGGGAAGGCGCGATGTTGGAAAGCGTGATGACCTTTTGTTTCTTGTGATGCGGCTTAGCGATCGGATTGGAGAGTGTTGTTGAGCCCCCCACGAGGGGCTGCGTGGTAAAGATATTATATATTGTACATACTCCTAAATGGTCCCGCCTTGATCAAATCTGGACTCTGAGAGTTTCATTTCTTGAACTCGCCTAAGCTAAGCCTCATTCTTCGCGCTCCAACTCTCGCTCCGACAGGATGTATCGAAACCCAACGTTTTGTGAAGACCTCCGACTTCTTCAAATGGCCTGGATTGCTCCCGTGAAAGCCATTCTCGGAGATGACCCTCGAAGATGCCGCCCACATGGATGATCAGTTACTATCACCAATCATATGAGTCTCGTCGATCAAATCTTCTTGGAGATTTCGAATCAAATACAGGGACCCATGCATTCATCTGCTGTTCAGCTGCCTCACTTCGCGAAATGCAAGTCGTAGCTCAACCATTTCCTCGCATTCACTTCCTGCGCCGTCAAGCCAGGTTTCCCATAAGTTAAAGGTAAGTACCAATACCAGCCAAAGATGACTACAGCGAGCACAAGTCCACTAGCAGCCCACAGCCCTAGCATTCCGCCAGCTCTCTGCTTAGCAGGCACGACCACCCGTTTTCCTGTTCGATCAAGCTCGCTCGATTTTTTAGGGCCTTTGGATGGCGAGCGACCCGTGGTCTCTGCAATAAAATTGGAATCTAGGCCATCTGGGTCTAAGTTGAAGATGAATTCTAGAAGGGCACCAGAAACAAGTGCGGACGCCAAGTGAGCGGGAAGATAGTGATGCAAGAAAAGCTGGCGGCCCATAAGGTAAAAGGGCAGGTAATGGGCAGCCCAGCAAAGGAAAAAGAAGCCAGTGCTATTGTAAAGGCGGAAACGGGTACCTAGACACGGTCAGCGCTTCGTGATGCTGGAAGCGACTTCTAGAATACGACTTACGCTCATCCAAGCTGTCGACACCACGGCGCTGAGATAGCTGGTCCGCACCAACAATGCCGGCAAAGACGGCAAGCAATGAGCTAGCTAGCCACCATCCAATTGGATTGCCAAGGAAGTAGATCTGCTGCCTTGTATCATTATGTGTCCAGAAGCTCACTCCTCGAAGTAGGAAGGGCCACTGAACCGGTTGGCTTGCATATGGATGACTACTTGTCAAAGCGTTATTGTGGAAAAATATTGCTCGCTGGAGTTCGATGTATTTCTTGAGGAAAGGCATGCTTCTGACCTTTCTCTCCTCTTTTTCTAGACGAGGCGAATCGGTCGGTATGGAGGGTATTTCCTCGACATACCAGATATTGCTGGACTGCTGTAAATTCTTATTACCATTGATTTCCGCTTGCTTAAAGCCCCATTCAGGGAGGGGGCTAGTATGTGTCCACATTGCGACACGGGATGGGGCATGGATGAGTTTGAAATGCCCAGACATAGTCTTAAGTGGCTGTTGGCTCTTTCCATTTTCGATCATAACTTGAAAGAGCGTGTCGTTATAACGATCACCGTTGGTATGTTCAACGTCAACAGAGGTGAACTCTTGATTGGTTGGGTAGTATGGGGAAGCCACGTCATGAGAGAGCAAGTACGTATCCGTCACCAAATGACGCAGCTTTACGAAGTCTCCATTTTTGACCTGCTGTCCTGGCGCAACATCAGAGGGATCATGAACTTTATTAGGTACGATTTGCCAGTAGTTGTTTGTATCATTGAAAGGGTAACCAGTCACTTGCTGGCCTTGACTGGACACTCGACCGTCATCGTAGCGAAGAGGGTAGCGGTCAGGATGGCTATGTAGATAAGTCTTTGTTTCTTTGTGTTTGATCGAGACAGAGTCATAGTAGTCCACCCCAACCGCTTGGGAAGCCATAAGATTATCAGACAGTGTTTCTTGGAACTCCGGCGTCATGAAATCATCACCAGGACCCGATCTGTATAGAATGGCAAAGTGAACTTGAAACCAGAATAAGTATATCAAGAAGGGTACAATGATAAGTCCTGTAAGCCGCGCGGCGAAATGCCTTCCAAAGTCGGGTAAAGAGAGAGCGCCTCCTGGTCGATTGATATCAAAAAGACCCCATAAATCTATGGCGACAGCGCAGCCGATAGTGAAGAAAGTGAAAACTCCAACGTATTTGGTTGAAATAACACAACTCAAAGCAACTCCTGTCAGGAGAAGCCATTTCCACCATTTCCTCGAAAAAGGCTCATGCCTCATCCTGTAGAATCTTACGTAGCAAAGTACGCTGACGGACATCGCGTAGACCAATGTGGCGTCAAGCAATATCAATCTTGTTTGGCCAATGTGGGCATTGTCGAAGAGAACGAGACTCGAAGCCACAATCGCAGCTGGTAACGTATAGCCAGATTCCCACATTATGAGAAAAACGGTAGGGACTGTCAGTGATCCCAAAAGCGCGGGCATAGCTCTGAATGCGACATAAGGCACCTTGTTCGAAATGTATGAGTCTCCGATGTTTTCAAAGTGGAAGTGTCCATCATAGCCAACGAACCATCCCATGAGAGCAAAAAGAAGTTTTCCGAAAGGGGGATGGACGTCAAAGAAGTATGTCCTCTCAAGGTAATACGATGCAAACTATTTTCCGCATTTCAATTAGTATATATTGTCCCATAAAATTGGACGTGCTTATGAGCAACCGAGAAGCTATGTTTTAGACAATGTAGCAGAGGGTGTGAATCTGACCTTCCCAAAATGAACTTCGTCGAACACCACTTCGTTAGGATGTCCAATACCCCAAAACCGCGTCACAAAAGCAACAGAGGTTATGAGAGCTAGAGCTACTTTGTATTCCCAGTCTCTTTTCACTGCCTTTGGGAGGCTGTCAATCGTCTGATCAATTCCGCCGTTCGCCTTGCCATCCATGTCTTGCGGTGGAGAGGGAGGTAAGGATTTTTCTTTGTTGCCGCCTCGATGGCGGACGCTATTGCTCGACATCTGGACGACGAAGAGTCTCAGGCCAAAGCTACGATAAGATCAGCAGGGTTGCGCAAATTGCAGCTCCACCAAAGGCAGGACAGAAGCGTACTGAAGATGAGACAGCGATTCGAGTAAGAGGATAGCGGAAGCATTGGTCTAGAGAGCAAGGTTTGGAGAATGTAGATGTTTACAGCTGGTCATAAAAAGTTTGCACTTCATCCCATGCCTGAACCGCACAAGCCCCAGGGCGGGAGAACATTTTCTCCGCCCCGGTGTTGGAAAAAAGGGGTAGGAAAGAGGGCAGACAGGCATCGGGAACGTTTAGCCTTTAGCATTCGTAGAGGCTGAGCTGATATTCTTTCCTGCTTTTCGATGAGGTCACATCATCTCTAATTGACTTATCGTATCTAAACATAAATCTGTATAAGAAAGTCCTGAGAGCAGCCAGCAATCTATCCAACCAATTTTCAGAAATGGCATGTCATTATCAAACCCATTAGAGGGAAACTATGTACAGCTCAGAATCCTCAAGCTAGCTCATATCATCAACTATGCTCAGAGTCTCCAATTCCGTGCGAACTAGATCTCCGAATTCAGATCGATCCATGCCAGAGCCCTGGCAGAGTCTGTACAAGCTTTTGATGCTTGTGCTAACGTGCTGCCTGATCATTGGCGTTGCTTCTGATTGCTTATCTGCTGAAGATTCCAGTCGTGGCACTGTGTTGCTGTCAAAACGCTGAAGTGCTACGGTGGGATGTGTAGAGATCGTGAGAGGCGGCTCGTTCAGCGATCTCTCGAGCTGGGGTGCGGATTGCTCGGTATTGGTAGATTCGTTGCCATATGATGCACTGAGAGCATTTCCGTGCAAGGTCGAGTCACCGAAGGCTTCTCTGTCCTGCGACGGATCATCGCTGTCCATATCTGGCTGTATCCCTGCATATCGCTGGAAATAATCTGCTTCTGACATGGTTCGAGTATGCCCATTTTGTCTTGAGCCTTCTCTTGCTTCCACTTGTGGCCCAGGTCCAGGCCCTGGTGTTCGGTGTGGAGTCTTATCATACTGTGACCAGTAGTCATCCTCATCGGTTGCTGCAAGATTCGGAGCACCTTGCACTCGCAATTGACCACCCCGTTGATCTTTCTCTATCGCTTCATCGAATGCTTTCTCACGACATCTCTCTTCAGCCTCTGTCATTGACGGAGACCAATCTTCCTGGCCAGCATCGACATTGTCGTGCAAAGGTCTGACCTCTGCGATGCGCCAAGTATTGCTCTCACCATCCTGATTTGGTGCATACCACAGCGTAATGACCGCCAGACCAGTATCCGGCGCCGCAATCCTACATTGCAGGGTCTCTTCATCGAGCCTCTTATACCTCAAGGGCTCCACGCTGCCAATCTCAATTTCGCCCGAAGTTGGATGAAGTTCAAAGACATCGCTGTCAGACACTATGTCAACCACTTGCTGGGCGAGTTCCGCATCCCAGCATAGTAAAGGAAGCCATGAACCAGAGGGGGAAGTCGATGTAGCGAGGAGTTGAAGTCTCTGTTGTAAGATGGGAGAAAGCAGGGGTAACAGCGCTGGAGGTGGCCGAGGTGAGACGAATGAGATAGGCAGGCAGGCGAGGAGCGGAGGAAGGAGGCTTCTAGGATCAGGTGGCGGAATGTATTGAACCATCATACAAGCTCACTTGGCAAAGATCTTGCTTATTGTTGAGATTGACTCGAAAACTCTTTCCCACCTTTGAGCGTTATGGGAAAAGGAAATTTTAAGGCACATACGACCAGGATCATCATTCAGCGAAGGGCAGGGTTCCAGCTATGGAGGCGGAGGGCGAGGTTGTGGTTATGGTACCCCTTCGCCCGGGCTGTACTTCATACTGAATTTCCGCCTTACCCGGATAATATTCGCAGACCTCAGCTGACGAGATCTTGATCTACTTTCAAAGTTATCATATTTCCCGTAAGAGGGTCTCGTCGCTGTCAATTAAAGGCTGCATATAATAAGTTTCCGAAGAACAATGCCGGGTAGCGACATTTCTTCGAGCCCACCCTGCCGCGAAGGCTCTTGATGGACTCCCGGCGCTACATCTCGGCCCGCCAACTGGTGGCACGCTAAGATCGGTCCAGTTCCTACGATTATTGGGATCGTCATTCACTGGTGATTATGAGGCTGACTTTCAAGAAACTGCATACCAGAGCTTTCGTTTCCCCATTATATCTGAAGCAAAGACATACATCGGTGACTTGAAGAGACTACAAAATCGTCTCGTGAATTGAAATCTTCAAGGATTTGTTGATCGTTAAGAGATAGGAATCTTGAGCAATGTCCTTTATTCAAAATTGACGTCTATGGTATCAAGTAAATTCTCGTCTTCCATCTTCACCGTGTCCTCTTAGATCTAAATCTCCTTGGCTTTCACGGGTGAATGGCTTTTTCTCCACACATACATACTTTTTCTTGGCTGACCATAATCTGTCGGTTGAGTATTCACTATTATCAGATATAGGCAGCGTAGCTACGCTGCATCTCCCGGAAATAGACGATTGTGGTTCTAGCTGTATGCTGGCAAGTTATAGAACAGGGGAATGGAAAGAAGCCTTGAGATTCGCAGCGGAGACGATCTGCAACCGAACTCAATCCTAGGGCACTTCTCCGTGAGAGTGGATGAAGGCTCTCAACCCATCTTACTACGGGATGGGTTTCCGTTCATTCCCTGATGATGGTTTTCAGCGCATCGTAGCTGAGGCCCTGGATCAAAGGATCGAAGGAATGCAAGGTCTAGACAACGATACTGAGATACACGGAGGTCCCACGTATTGAAAAGGGGCTGCATCGTTGAATGTAGTACTGTAAAGCTAGACATCTCGAGAATTAATCTCGTGTAAGCCAGTACCCGTTGACGAAATGTGAGTCCAGTGACAACTCGAGGGCAGAATCGGCCATCAACTTGTGTCAAAGCCAGTCTATAGACAACTTCAGGATAGCGAATGGGTTGTTGAACGCGCTGCGCTCTGATAATTAGAGGTAGGGAGCCGCTAGAAACGCGCTAGTGAGACCTCTACCAATCAGGGTTCAGCCGGCCACGTTCAGCATTAATTTTAGGCCTATACGCTCCTGAAGAAGTCATAGACGTGAGGATGCGGAAATGATAATAGCAGCATGAATTTTCTAAGATGCCATTGGTTTCGAAGCTTGAAGAAGCAAGGCAAAAGATCTATGGACACGTAAAAGAATTGGGCTCCTCGCCACCAAATTGCTCGCTCCTTGGCTCAAGCCAACTCGACCACGACCATGCCTTTTCTTTCGGTCTGTACCGCCTTGTATGATTATGAGCCTCAGAGCGAGGGAGAACTGTCGCTAAAGGAAGGGGAGTTGGTGTACATACTTGAAAAAGGCGAGGAAGATGACTGGTGGAAGGGAAAGAAACGAGCTAGCAACGAGGACGAGGAGGAACCAGAAGGCCTAATTCCGAATAATTATGTGGAAGATGTCAGTATGCAGGGTCTTTGATGAAGTTTGCTCCATTGTTCGGCCAATTTGCACCATCTCTTCGTAATTTACGTTCCATATAGAGTGAGCTTGGGAGCTGACGGCAAGATATGCTAGGCGCAACCGACACACCACGCAAAGGCACTGTATGAATATAGTCGTCAGACAGATGAAGAGCTTTCTTTTGACGAAGATGCCACCTTGGTGGTGTTTGATAACATGACTGATCCTGAATGGACTTTGGTGGGCCACGATGGCGAGTACGGATTCGTACCAGCAAACTACATCGAGATTACGGGCAAGACCGACAGAAAGCCGCAAGCAATTCTCCAATCCCAGCCAGACCCCTCCCAAGAGCAGCCTAGTCCAGTGCATGAATCCCACTCGAGTTCTCCAAAGGGCTCATCCAGTGGACCAGCAGCGGCCATTGCCGGTATCATGCACAAAAAAGCACCCTCGATCGAGTCGAGTGCGACTCCTTCGCTACCTCCTCGACAGCTACAGCTTACACCGGAGGTCTCAGATGAAGAGCCGATGCCCCCGTCCTTGCCTCGAAGACCCCCTTCAGAGCAGCTGTCGCCTCCTCCCACACAGGTAGCTTCACCTAAAGCTCCAGCTAGTCCTGGTATAGCTGAATCGCCTCCATACAGCCGCGCTATTCACCCCACTCGAGATGACGATCGCGTGCAAACCAGCATAGGCGGTTTTCACTTATACAATATTAGCGAAATGGTCTCAGCTATGGGAAAGCAGAAAAAGCTACCCACAACACTTGGCGTAAACATAGCCACTGGAAAGATCATGATAGCACCTGAAAAGTCACGAGATGGTCCGACTATGGAATGGACGGCTGAGAAACTTACGCACTACTCAATAGAGGGGAAGCATGTTTTTCTCGAACTTGTGCGGCCAAGTAAAAGCATCGATTTTCACGCTGGAGCTAAAGACACTGCACAAGAAATAGTGGCTGGATTGGGGGAAATCGCAGGTGCTGCGAGGGCAGAAGGTTTGAGGGAAGTCCTCGAAGCGGCCGGTTCAATACAGAAAAAAGGTGCAATCTTGTATGATTTTATGGCTCAAGGAGATGATGAGGTCACAGTAGCCATTGGTGACGAAGTACTTATCATCGACGATACTAAGAGCGAAGAGTGGTGGATGGTCCGGAGAATCAAGAATAGCAAACAAGGAGTAGTGCCCAGCAGCTATGTTGAGGTAACCGCCACTGGGACGCCTACTCCAACCACATCTGGACTGAACGCTGGCAAATCAGTAGTCGAACAGAACCGAATGGAGGAAGAAAGGCTGACCAAAGAAGCAATGAAGTCAAGTGCGAAGGGCTCTGAGGTAGGCCCAGGCGTAAAGCTTCCCGATAGGGGCAGCAGCTTGAGCAGTACCGTTAACCAAGCTTCACAGCGAAGCAAGAAAGAGGGAAAGCACGGCCGCACGTCTTCATCTTCCAAATCCAGTCAGTATATCTAATTCTTGTGCCTCATACTCTCCAGTCACTAACCAGCAGCGCAGAGCCTGACGCTTCAAAACTCAGGACTTGGACGGACAGATCTGATCATTTCAAGGTGGAAGCTCAGTTTCTTGGCCTCAGAGACAGCAAGATCCATCTGCATAAGTTGAATGGTGTCAAAATTGCTGTACCTGTCGCAAAAATGGCCCTGGCAGACCTCGAATACGTCGAATCAGTCACAGGCCAATCTTTAGATGATGACAAGCCTCTTTCCAACATCAAACGACGTAGTAATCAGACATCTAATGCTGGAGCTGGCGTTGCCAAACCTGGAGCATCTGTTGAACGGCCGAGACCCACCCCAAAGGAAAATGAATATGATTGGTTTGACTTTTTCCTTAGAGCTAGTGTGGAGTACAATGCATGCGAAAGATATGCGTATAATTTCAGGAAAGACTCAATGGATGAGGGAATCTTACCCGAAATCAATAGTGAAGCGCTTCGAAGGCTTGGTTTGAAGGAGGGTGATTGTTTACGTGTGATGAAATATCTGGACGCTCAATATGGGCGCAACGGTCAGTCCGAAGTCCTTTTCGATATGAACCTGATATTGATGCGTTCAGCAGATCGTGGTGCGTCTCCAGATCCAAGCGGTGGAGGTCTCTTTTCCGGTCCAGGGGGTGCTCTGAGGAACAACACTCGAAAAGGTCGGCCTGCGCCCGCAGTAGAGGTCAAGGACGTTGTAGATGAAAGCGTTTTCAAGCCCAAAACAAACGGTAATACTGCTCGAGGCGGATCTGATTCTGTGCCAACACCTCTTACGCAAGCCCCACCACCGCCGGAGAAGGATCGGAGAGGCTTCGATAATGATGCCTGGGATGTCAAGCCATCGAGGCAACCAGCACCGGCTCAGGCCAACTCACAGCCAGTATCAAAGCCAGAGCGCGCTGCAAGCGTCTCTGCTCAGCAGAGTGCACTCAGTGGCTCCCTGCTAGATCTTTCTTCGCTGTCTCCGCCTCTACAGCCAACAATTGCTCCCCAGCCTCCGTCACAGCAAACGAGTCAGCAAGCGCAATTACAAAAGCCTCTCCCTCGAGAACCCGAACAGCAACCTCAATCGTTACAGGATCAGCAGCAGACCCAACCTACTGGTGCAAATGCGCAATTTTTTTCCCAGCTAGGGCCTGCTCCGGGGGACAATCAATTTCAGTCGAAGGATACAGCCCAGCCTTCCCAGGCTTTCAGCCAGCAGCAGCTGCAGCAGATTCAAGGGCTGCAGCAGCCACAGCAAACTGGACCAGCGCGGCAACGTCCTCAAGCACCTCAAATTGGACAACAAAACTCTCTAATACCACCGCCACCTTTGAGACCTCTGTCGGCGCCTCAGACCCAACCGCAAAGCAATTCCTTCGGCCCCCCGCCGTTGCAGCCGCAGTTGACTGGCTTCCAGCTGCAAACACAGCCAGCGCCCTTAGGTCAGAGCCTCAACGAACTAGGCCAGCAAAGGTTTCAGCAACAGCAGCAATTTGGTCAGCAGGCTCAGCAATATGGCCAGCAGACCATACAACCCCAACAGACCGGTTTCATTCCTCAGCAGCAGAATTATGGAATACAGAATGGATCTCTCATTCCTCAGGTCACAGGCTTTGGGCAGAACCCTTACGTTAATGGCCAGCAAGCTGGTAGTCCTTTCGCTGATCCTCGATTATTACAACAACCAACCGGGTTCCAAGCGCTTCAGCAACAGAGTACAAGCTATCAGCCCCAATTCCAGTCTACATTACAACCGCAGCCTACGGGCATCAACTCAATGCTACCTGCAGCCCTCCAGCCACAGCCTACTGGCGTGAATGGATTCTCAAGATCCGCCTTTGGCCAGTCGCCACCGCCAGTTCCCCCAATACCTGCAATGGTGCCACAACAAACCCAGCCTCATCTTGCGCCATTGCAACCTCAAAAGACCGGACCAGCTCCACCAGTAAGATTTGGCACGCAGCCGGCCAACAAATTAGTACCCCAGGCGACGGGGAGAAAGGCAAATCTCAATAATGCCAGTGAGTAGTCCTTCCTCCAGCAGCATCATGCATGGCTAATTTCACATAGCGCCCTCAAATCCCTTCGGTTTCTAGAAGGTTGTAAAGGTACATTGCATCATCCTGCGCTTTTGCAAACACAGCATATTGCCATCTGGGTAAAAAGGAGAGGGCGGAGAGCGCTATCATACTGTAAATATCAGGTTGCATCAGGAAAGCGATGACATATAATTTGAAGACTCCTTAATCACATCCTCGCATTGGTCAAATACGATCCTTTTCTGTGATTGTGATGATTTGAGCTGTTAGAACCAGCTGCGGTAGTTCAATCTAGCCATCTGCCGAGACTGGCGCTTTGCAGCCGCTGCTTACCATACCTTTTGATAATCAACTACCAAAAAATCAGTCCAAGCATAAGGTAATCAAGAACAATAGCAGCCTTCCTTTTCTGTTTAAGAAGTATAACAAGCCTTTTCTGTTTAAGAAGTATAACAAGACCGCATTTCCAATCGACTTCTAATTGATCCGGTTCCAAACGTCATCCATCGATCGAATTTCCAGCTTTATACAAATTCCTATAAGATCCAGTTTTCTCTTGCACTTCAATGAAATTCGTTTTCCTTTCAGTACTCATCATACTTACTTCTGCAATCGCTGTCAATCGATATCCCATACTTAATATAACTGTATTTTTCAAGCATTTTCAGCTTCACGGAGCTCAAACATTTCCACCACCTAATATTTCCCCCTTGTTCAACTCAGAAAATCTTAATAAAGACCGCCAATATTCAGGTATGACTGTTTCAAGAGCTATTCGACAAGCATTTCTTGCCATTGAGCAAAGCGAAGGCGCTGGCGCGAGGGTCCGGAGAAGTATCGGTACCCCCAAGTTGCGCAATTTCTCTCCATTCTTGATGCTGGACCATTTTTCAGTTTCTCCAGGAGCTGGCTTCCCGGATCACGCTCACAGGGGCCAAGAGACGATTACGTACATTCTGAGAGGCGCTGTGGATCATGAAGATTTTGCTGGTAATAAAGGAACGATCGAAGCAGGAGACCTCCAATTTATGACGGCAGGAAAGGGCATCGTGCACGCTGAGATGCCAAGACAAAACAAAGATGGCAGTCCCAACGTTGGAATGCAGCTATGGGTCGATCTGCCACAGAAACTCAAGGCTTGCGAACCACGGTATCGAGATCTACGAGCTAGAGAGATACCGACTATCAATGTCGACGATGGAAAGGTGACAGCAAAGATCATTAGCGGAAGTTCTCATGGGACCGAGAGCGTTCAAGAGCTTGCGTACACGCCTGTCTGGCTCTTTGACATCTCCATCAAGCCAGGTGGAAAGCTGGAGCAAGAGTTGCCGGTAGGCTGGAATGCCTTTGCCTATACCTTGAGTGGCTCTACAACTTTTGGAGTTGGCAAAGACTCAACGACCGTCGGTCAATATCACAATGTTGTGTTCGAGCAGAAGGGCGACAGTGTGCACGCTGCGGTCAGTGAAGATGCACAGGAGAGCGGAAATTTCATACTCGTGGCAGGTTTGCCTTTGGATCAGAAAGTCGTGCAGTATGGTCCATTCGTGCTAAACAGTCAAGAGCAAGTCATTCAAGCGATGATGGACTTCCAGAATCATGAGAATGGGTTTGAAAGAGCTAAAGATTGGAGGTCTGAAATAGGAAAGGGTATGGTTCATTAGGATCTTGAAATGTATTAGTAGGTATGTAGTCAGTAGATACTTGAACATGAATCAATCCTCCCTGGTATGAATACAAAATTCATTCCGAGCGCTGCAACGAGTACAATGGACGATTTGACGCATTCCGATGTTCTTCTGAAACCGTCCAAACGACGTTCGCCTGGTGATTGAAACGACTTGACCGACGCGCGAGAAGTCGAGGCTGTGCAGCTGCTTATTAGTTCTACCTTTTGATGTTCAATCCTTCTACAATCCTAAAAACTCATCTCAGGACGCAATTCCAGTGAGTATGACGCTCAAAGATCTACTCAGGAAGAAAGACAAGATTGAAGATTGTCCCGCATCTCTAGACGACGAATCGCCCGAGATAAAACCAGACTTTACCTTTGTCCGCTCAGACACCAATACCCATGAAGTGATCTCTCCCCCTACATTCCAAGAAAACTCTCCCCCAAAAGATGAGGGCAACCGCCTATCAAGGCATTTTGCGCGCCTTCGTACCTCTTCCAATGCTTCGCATTCATCGCGCCCCTCAAGTAGAGAGAAAGACTCTCGTCCTTCGAGTAGGGATAAAGACTCGCGGCGACTCTCCCAGCGACTCAGCCTCAGTTCCCACTCTCGTCATTCAAGCCGTGGCTCTGTGAATGTTCCAACAGACCTGCCAGAGATTCAGAACGTGGCTGTTCGAAGTGAAGATAATCAAGCAGCATGGGAAGAAAGAGCAACGATTCTTGCGAAGGAGAACCCCAACAAGAACCGTCCACTCTCCCAAGATACCACCGCTTTCGGCCATCCTCGTTCTCACCCTCCTACACCTAAGCTTCAGCAAGACCCTAACTTTCATCCTGATCATCTAGGCGACAAAGCTCCACGAGGTCGAACGATCTCAGACGCCAAGTCTGACGATGACCTGCAAGAGGCAATACGGCTTCACGAAGCTGGAAATCTCGAAGCATCTACAGCCATGTTTGGGCGTTTGGCGGGCAACAATGCAATGGCACAGATTCTGTACGGGCTGGCACTACGACATGGCTGGGGCACAGAAGCGGACCCAGGCCTTGGTATAACGTATCTATCTAAAGCGGCTTCCAATTCTGCGAGCGTGGAGGCTGAGGCGCTGCATAAAGGCGTCAAGAAGGGAGGCGCGGCGAAAGGCGAACTTGTGCTTGCGATTTATGAACTTGCGAATAGCTTCAGGCATGGGTGGGGAATCGCAAAGGATCCTGTGGCGGCGAAGAAGTATTACGAGGTCGCAGCCAACCTAGGCGATACTGATGCTATGAACGAGGTCGGTCGGTGCTACGAGGAGGGATACGGAGGAAAAAAGGATAGAGTGAGTCTGCCCTCATTGCCATCTGCTTGCGCCTTTTGTTCTACCAGCATGAAAGCCAGTCTTCCCTCATCAAACTTCGAACTGCAAGACCTCCAGGGCGAATCTTTGTCAGATCGTCTAGTCCAAAGCAGCAGTCACACCGTCTTTGAGCCGACTCCCAGGCGAGCTGGTCGTTTCCTCGTTGTTCCGTAAAGGTTCCCTGGCCGAAGTCCCCCAACCCAATACATCGACGGCTTCCCGTCACATCCCTTCATTTCAGCCTCATCACTTTGGGCACGAACACATCTCGCTAACAAGCCTAATGCGATAGTACACCGCCGCGCAATACTACCGCCTTGCCGAAGAGAATGGAAGCAAAACCTTGGGCAACTCCTGGTAAGTCAACCTCCTCCCGACTCCGGCTTTCTTTCCCAATCAAGCATGGTCGCCTTGAGCTTTTCCCTTCGATCCCAAAGTGTTCTGCCCTATTGCCCTGTCCTTGATCGAGAAGCCGAGAAGAAAGCAGCCGGAAGCCCTCAGAGTTGGAACGGTTGAGATACGGCCTGGCCGTTTCATCCCGATTAGGCAGAAGTGGGATGATTGGCCACGGTTTCATCCCCCGTTGCAACGCCGGCTGTTCCTCCTCGTCCTAAGCTTTGGTGCTTCCGCCCTGGATCGTCAACTACCGATAACCTTCGATGCTCGACCCGGGTGGTGCCTGGCAGCTGCTTTGCTGGCCTCACGCCATTGACCTTCGCTCCCGAAAGTCTTCGCGTCAAGATTTGCAACTACTCACCCAGGTTCCGGGAAAAGTGATGTGCACTCCTGCAGATATCTCGTGAAGCGTTTTTCTCCTTTCCGCCTGCACCTGCATCTGCATGAATTGTCCTGTTTCTTCACCTAATTAAAACGGCGATCAGGGAACTGGGACGCTAACGGTTCTATTTTTGGCACTCTAGGATCTGGAAGGAGAAGTATAATCCTAAATCGTCGTCGTCGAATACGGAAAGCGTTGATGAGAAAGCAGAGGCGAGCCCGTCCAGGATGAAGCGGTGGTCTGGGCTTGGCTCATCAGGTTGATACGAATTTGGGGGTTGGGTTTTGAGTGTTTTGCAAGGAGAGTTCTTGATGTCGGCCACTCGGTTCGGAATAGTGATTGTGTATGATAACGAGTCATGCACAAAGCAATGTGGAACGAAAATTGCAAAGAATTGATGCATGGTGGATATGAATCAACATGCTAATGAGCTTCAATTGAGTTGAATTCGAACAGCTCACTATACCCAGCTACTCTGGAGAAATCACATTTCAGTCTCCCCCTGCTTCCCTGCTTCTGCCTCTGGTTTGTCAACCATCAAAAGGGCAGAAATATTCTGGTATGGTATCTCCCGCACCATTCACACAAGATGCCAGTCGTCGTAGAATCGAAATGAGGTTGCACATGGCAGAAAAATCATAGATCGCCGTGAAGAATTTGAAGGAGGTCGTTAGATTATAAAAATGTGGGAGTTGCCTCCAAGATCATAAATATGAATCGTCTGTATCAGGTAGAGTGCCTAGCCCATATACAGTCGTTTGCATTGAGAATGTAGAGAGTCGTAACCGTAGCCCCTCCGTAGGCAATAAAGCCATTTTTATATTTTTAGTTGTTTTTATTCATCGATGTAAAGATCCAAAAAATGTTGCATAATAGTGAGTTGCGAAATTCCCAGAAGAAACTGAAAACGCCCGCTCGCTTAGTCGCTCGCTCAAAAACAGAATTGCGCAGACGATGTCGTTAGATAGTGCTGTGCTGTGGACTGGATTCCGCGAGGAAATGGTGTTGCCACTCTCTGAAGGCGTACTGAAACGCAAATGTTTCTGTGGGTTTCTTGGTATCGTTAAAATCGTTATTCAAATCAGAAAAACAAAATTCATGACGCTCTTTGCAGTCGATGAACATCCACGTCGTTTGTGTCATAAAGAAATGAACAGTCGTGTCGTACGTCGTAGAAGGAGATCGTCACGATTCAGCTAAGAGGTTCTGTATTCCTCTCGCCAACCATTCTAGCAAAATCTCTGACTACGTTAAGCGGAACTTCATCCCACAGGAGGCTCTTGGCGTAAGTTTCTGAGGCTGTGCCCTTCTTTACAGCACGCATGTTCACTAATGCCTCATGAAGGTTGCGTCGAGGTTTTGGTGAGGACTGCGGAGTCGTGGAATAAGAATTATCATCAGTCGTGATCGCATTGTACTGCGTAGCAGAAAGGGAGAAAGCCTCCTCGCGCTGCTGCTGATGTGTTGGTCCAGTAAGTTGATGGAATGTCATGAAAGGGTCACTTGTAGGGTGCAGAGATCCACCCGTGTGGCCGTCTTGCTGAGGATAAGGCCTAATCTGATTCAAGTCGCCAGCATGAACGTTCGAAGTCTGAAGTCCAGCATCTTTATAGATGTTATCGAGGACGGCAGTCGAGGCTGCTCTGACCTCGTCAGGCATCTGAGGCACAGCCGCAGCACTTGAGGCCCCCTTCGAAGCGACCCAAGCTCCACAAAGAAGAAGCATAAACAGAAGACCCGAAGCAGCAGATTTCTCCTCGTCCTTACCTGCCGCAGCAGCTTCGTGGTTATGGGCATTGCCCTGGGTATGAGGTTGCGGTGACGCCTCGTTTTCGGGAAGGGAGCTAAGAAGCGAAAAATCTTCCCAAGTTGGGCTTTCATTGATGGACAGGTGATCGAATTCGGAGAAGGTGCTCGAGTATCCGGCTGAGCTTGGCACGGTAGACATCGACAGGCTGCTTCGGCGCTGGACATCTTCTAAAAGGATGTTGTTCTTCTTTCGTAATTCGGCAGTCTCGAGAGTATGCTGGCGGACGAGCTCTTCCTTCTCCATGTTAAGACGTTCGAACACGGCTTGCCACTGTGCTCGCTCATGCATCCACATTTGCTCTTGTTGACGCCGGTGACCAAGCTCCTCTTCCATGACCTCCATATTAGTACAAAGGATCTTGCGCTCTTCTTCGAGCTTTGCTGTGTGTTCCTTCTTTCGGCAACGAGAGTCTAGGCTAGTATAAATCAGCGAGGCCCCAGTATGCTCCCAGGCGGCACACTTACGCTGCTTGCCTGTTCCTCAGTAGTCGCTTTTGCTGCTTCAATTCCTTCAACAGGGTCTCGTTGCCTGGGTCGGTCTGAAGAATGATTCTGTCGATTGTGTCAACTTTCCTGTCCTCCGGTATGTCGAAGCGAGCGTTCTTCTTCCTCACACCATCCGGTCGAAGACGAGGGGGATTGTCAACGAAAAAGGGGATGCCCTCCCTCTTAGAAACTTTCTCTGTGTGATCAGAAGATGAGCCTGACATCCAGCCGTTTTCGGATTGAGGAGACATGGGTGCTGCTGCATTTTGCGCTTGTTCAGCAGCGTCGGAGGCGGGCAAGCCATGGACGGCGGGCGTCGGTGCATGCTGGCCATATGGCTCCTCAGGTTTGATAGGAGGAGTTGGATGATAGCTGTTGAAGGGCGCCTCCGATGTGGCGGCTGGGGAGGTTTGTGATGGGTGCCAGGCTTGAGCAGAATACCCAGCCGGGTTGCCCGCTTGCTGTTGGTAGGGACCACTTGAGCTCGCAGGAGAAAACAGAGACTGCTGGGTCATGGTGGTGAAGGGTATTGGCTGACTACCGTGAGACATTTCCTGCCAGGTTGAATTGCAGGCAGGAAGAAAGCCATGATTTGGTGAGGATGGATAATGTTCGGAATGCTGATCGAATGGAGCAGCCATGGTGGCGGGGCCAAATGTGTGCGGGCAATTGTTCAATCGCGCCCTCCTTCAAGTAATTCTCCGATCTACTTGCGGCGCAGAAGAAGCCCTTCGAGATGGTTGAAGGAGACAGCTGCGATGTGGAGGAGAGACTAGGTAGGCAGGACGAAGAGAGCGATAGCAGGAAACAGGTAGGCTTTCCAAATGGGCGGTGAGAAAATGGTGTGGCTTTTTAGGCCCAGATTGGAGAGCGGGGGGGGACTCTTGTGACCCGGGGGGCGGAGGGGGATGATCGCTAGAGACTGCCGGCTCTCTTAGTCCCCGGAGGTAGCGTCTGAAGCCTTTTGTGGAAGTCCGGTTGGCTTCTCCTGCTGTATCACGATCGATATTCAGGATTTGTTGGTTTCAAAGGAATCATCAGAAGGCGTCTTACATGTTGCTGAGGGTCCAACGTCGTAGGCTGCTATTTATCGAAGGTGATCGCAATGCTGAGGTGCTGAACAGAGTTACGCGTAGATCAACCTGATCGGTTTATCCTTGACAATCCGAAAAAAGGCCAGTTCCAAGAATTGTTCTCTGAATAGAGGAAAATACGAGGGAGGCGGAAGAGATCAACAGGTCGGCCTTGTGCTTCTCTTGAATCTTTCCTTGCCGTCACCACCATTTGGGCATCTGGCGAATAGCCAGATGTCGCCAGAAAAGGAATGAAGCTTGCTCCTGATCTTTGCCGCTGGGCTGAACTCGAAGACGTTGGTATCGTTTGGTTTGCAGCCGATCCTGCCGTATCATGTGGATGGGCATCCTCTACTCTACAGAAAGGTGATACGAGGCTGTTCAAGGTTTGCACTCCTCTCGATATCTTTTGCGGACGACCAAGCAATCGTGGATCTGGCCCACAGGCACGTCACCCATCTTGACGTCTTCTACCTCCGCCGCCCAGCCTTATTGGCAGCACCGTGTGGCTTACCTGTGGCCGCCAAGCGCTACACTCTAGGGGTGCTAGCTTGGGCAGCAATACATAGATCCCACCCCAGCGTCTAGCTTTTCGCAGAGTACTCAGCAAATCGGGAGGGCATGTCAGCTGCGTGGGAGTCAACCCCGCCAAAACACCGGACCCAGTCTGAAGTTGTGGCATGACTTTGACATTTGACCTGCCAATATCCTCGTGGCTTGCGAATGTGCTCTGTCACTCGGTCACTCCCTCTCCGATACTCAAACGTCATGCCAGCCCCTGTCACATGTTCACTCGGATGGTTGGTCGAAGCTCGAGTTCTCGCTCAGAGGCCTCGTTTCCGTTGGGCAGAAATGGGCTCATTACAATGCAATTCGGAGCGCACAGTGCACTCGACTACTTCTCGTGGTCTGTTATTCTGAATTGAGCTTGAGTCGCACTGGCAAAGATTCAAAGAATGCGGGCGTAAAAGCTGAAGACTGGAAATTGGAAAAGCTGCAAAAACCATGTTGCTTGCAGGTCAGTCGAGTTCTCATTTTTTGTTTGTTTTTTATTTCATTGTTCTGAATGTAATGATTACGCATATCGTGCAGGCTCGCTGAATTGGATAATTTATTAAAAATTCTGTTCCTCTCGAAACCCCCTTTTGCATCCTGTCAACGGGCATACGCTTGATGGGTGATTGAGCTTGACGATTCGAGATACGGGTCACTGGAAACCCACGAAGTCTTGCTGTTGTGACAAAGCATGCGATCTTGCATCATCTGAGGATTCTTGCCCCAATATCTCTTCCAATCCGTCGGAGTCCATATCATCGCTATCGCTTTCCTCCTCTTCGTCACTTACCATGTCCTCATCATCATTTACCGCAAGCTCGTTACCTTGCGAAGCAGCAGTATGCTTTCGGATTTGACCTGCACGATCCACGTGCGAAAGGCGGCATTTAGTATTCCGGCAAACACCATTGTTAGCGTAATCTGGGCATTCGCGGACATGTCGCTCAGGGCATTGTGCACCCTTGCCACAATATCCTAATGTTGCAAACTCTCTGCAGACTAGTGCGGAAGGTTGAACGCGAACATGGGCATAGCGACAAGGTGAGTTAGAGCATTTGCCACGAAGGAAATGAAGGCAAGTTGGGACTCGTTCAGGGCTGGGCTCGTGGGAGAGATCGCAAGAGTCTCCTGCCGGGCAGGAGCCGGTTTGTAGAAAATCTCTACACATGGCTACCTTGGAGGGGTCATGGGTGTATGGGCAGTGGGGACCTTTACCGCAGTGACCTAGGTTTGAAATATCGTTAGTGTCATCCTTGAGCGACGCAGGGCGTCGTCCTCGAAGCGTCTAGCTTATTGCTTCTTGTGAAAGTATATAGGGAGATTGGACTGTTACCCGTTAGTGTAAAGCGTTTGCACGGTTTGTTGATCTTGCATGTGATGCCCGAAGCGCTGCAATTCATTAGCAACTTCCTCAGGACCTTAGATCGATACAACTTGTATCACTGTCGTGACACACTTTTTGGCTTTGGCGATTCCAGACCGGTACAAATTGCCGTTCTTGCTACGCATAAAGGTCACACCACCAATTGTTGCGTGCTTCGGCGTTGATGAGTTGCCGTCGAAGTCCCCTGGAATCTTTAAGCCTGTTTCACATGGGAAGCTCTCGTAATGAGTCTTACCACGCATTCGAAATAGTTTGCTGCCGCCATTTAAGACTTTGAATCGCAATCCATCTACAGCAACTTCATGAACGTTTGATGCAGCGGCTGCTCGTGACCAGATGGTTTTATCATCCTGCAGAAACTTGTGGATCTTTTGCTTCTCTCGCTGATCTCTTCTTGCAGCTTTCTGCTGACGAGTTTGCTCCATTGCTTTGCTTCTAGCTTGTGTGGCTTTATCTAGAATATTGGTATTGATCAGTTGCATGTGTCTGTCACGTTTCGTCACCCAGCTAGCGTTGGCTTGTGACTGCGAACTTTGGTCGTCCGCTGAGGAAGTATGACCGCTGTTCTTGACAACCAAGGTTCGATGACGGTGGCTACTAGGTCGAGTGGGTCCACCAGGTGCTTTTCCATGTTGCACAACGCGAGAGCTTTTATGCGTTGCGAGGACGGAGGGTGCAGTATACTTGTTCCAGGATGCCTTATCAGATCGCTGATCCGAGTTGGATGAGTTCTTGTACCGATTGATACGCCCTACAGCTTGTGAGAATCAGAGCGTGTCTTGCAAAACCCAGAGCCAACCTGATATTTCACCAATCTTGCTGAGAAGCTCTTGTTCTTCTGGTGTGTTCATCGCAAATACAGTCAGAACCAGATAGTTAAGGAAGATAGACTTTGCTACTGATGAATAATGACTGGTGTGTTGTCAAGTGATGATCAGAAGGTTCTGGGACAACTCAAATTTACTGAAAAGCATCCGAGACGCTAAACCGCATTAGTCGTACAACAATCCAATTCAATACACTTCTTGTTACTCGATGGTGGTCAAATCATCATGAAATGAGCTGAACTTTACGACGAGGAGTGCAGGAAGTTTTAAAAGAGACATAAAGGAAGACAGTCCTATCTGAACTTTTGTGGAATGTGCCACTATAAATGTGATATCTCACAAGAAATCGTCAAGATTGACAATTTCTGCCTCCTTACGCCACCTTTTTGGAAGCCTTTTTCGATTCCGCCTAAGAGAAATCCCACTACAGTAAGATCATTGAAAGCACTGACATGGGTTTCTTGATTATGGTTTCACTGAGCGCGTCATGAGCCATGTCAGACCGCTTGAATCGTCCACTTTCCGTTTGTGATGCAGAAGGTCTGTCGGAGCTGTGCATCTACTTTGGTGAACCCTGTGGAGCATGAGAATCCTGGGTAATCTCCAGGCAAAGCTCCAAATCGGTGGAACAGCTTTTCCTAGTGACTAAAGGACGCAGTATTTCCGACACCTGCTCGTCAACGATGTTTGGTGGAGACCGGCTTGAACCAAGATCAGCGTTTCCGAATCCACCTAGCCTCATGGGCAGCGTTGTTACTAAGCATGCGCAACCCTCTCTTTTCAGTAGAGGCAGATTTGCCGCATCAAGATTCCAATTCTAGCTTCACATCCTCCATCTCAGTCCCATCATCATAGTCCAGGTCGTCAACACCATCAAAACTGGCCATTAGACCATCATCTGGCGCAGCCTCATCCTTTGCTCCGCCAAAACCTGCAGTACCTGCATAAGTAGCCTCCTTCGCTTCTGGTTTGAGTTGCCATTCTAGCATGTGCGAGCCCGACTTATTCTGATATGCAATCATCTCGAGAGTACTCTTCAGGAAGCTTTCCGGCTGTTGCACCCTTTGCTTAAGTACTTTGAAGGGCCAATACGTATATTCCTTGAAGCATTCATAGATTAGGTCAAGCAGCTCATTCTGTGCGATGCGTGCCGTCTTGAGCAGTGGACCCTTTCGGCGGTTTGTCCCAGCCTTGTCCTGTGCAAGTCATTACATGGCTCCAACGTGAGCAATAATACACTCACAATAAAGTTCCTAAAGTCTGCTGGTGCGCCGATAGTTCCAGGATTCAGCACATTTCCAGAAGGAGTATCCTCGAGCAGCTTTGTCTTTTGCTTAGGCCGTAGAGACAGCAGAGCGCGTTGGTTCGTGAAGCGTTGATAACGGCTATTCTCTACGGGTTGACAGTTGATTTCAGTGCGCACTTGGCCGATCAAAGATGTTTGCTCTACACTCATAGTAAGCAAAGTAGAAGGCGCTTCGTTCATGGACGGCTAACTTGGTACTGCTCTGCGGTATTGCGAATGCGATTTACTCTTTTCAACTCTATTCGCCTGCTTCTTACGGGCCAGCCAGTGCATAGGCGCTTTGTCGGGCTGATACTGTCTATAACCCGGCAAGTCTTTTTCGTTGAAGACATAAGTGTTGAATGAATCTAGGTGGGTCACATGCATATTGTAATCGTTTGGCAGATCTCTGTTCTTGGGTAAGTCATCAAGCATTAGGCTCATCTGCATGCGAAATCTCAGCAACTTCACGACTCTCGATATTAGGTAGTCTTTTACTCTTTTGATGTCCCCAGGCTGTCCCTCAATTCGTATTCTGCCAATCTGAACCTCCTCATCATCATCCAGATGGGACCATGACTCCCAGAGGAATTTGGGCAATCGAGCAAGGAAGACGTTCTGCCCCGAATCTGCAAAATCTAAGTCGCCTGCATCTTCATAGATGTCCTCTTCCGCATAACCTCCTGGAGAGTTGCCTGATGCGTCGGGATCTCGCTTGATCTGGGCCCCCTGGCCGTTGTGGGCACCGGATTCGACTTTGATTCTTGGTATGTCACCACCAAAACTTGAGGCCATGATAAAGATTATCGCATGTATCTCGCCGGTTTGCAATGTGTCCTGATCACGGGGGACATGAGCACTGAGAATTAGTGTTGTGCCGCATTAGATGTAGAGTCGAGGTCAACAATGAGAGCAAAGTGAACCGCCGCGTGAAAGCCGGTAGACGCCAGGGCGGAGCTAAAATAAGATACGGTATCGTACATGGGCAGGGCTGGTAGGCCAAGGCTGTTACGGCTTCAATCTGCACAGGGTGGATCTGTTGCTGCCGGTTGCCTTGGCTTGTAAGACCCATCGTCCATGAGGATCTGCATTCTTCATCCGAAATATGTAGTGCCTAAAAGGTATATATATCTCTCTAACTGACGACTCGCTTTACAAAAATCTTAGCAACGCCCTTAGATCCTATTTCCTGAATTCAAGATATTAGCTCACCGATGCATCGAACGCCTGATGCGGAGTAAATTGCTTTTAGAGAGCCACAGTTCCTGCTTCTAGATTCAGATACGGCCTTGGGTGATATTCGACAAAGGAGGCAAAAGAGCAATCATTCAAGTCACATGTTCACCCCGAGAGGTTCGTGTATACCACTTTGTAGGCTCCAGGGCCTTCAAACGACTTGTTAGCACCGGCAGTGTTGATTCTTGGTCATATCCCTATCGAACAGGCCAAGAGTCGTGCAGTCCTCGGTGCGAAAAGGTTGATGACCGATGGCCAATAACAACAGAAATCCGCATTTTCCTGAGATTGATCGTTTCTCTTGAGAACGCTTACGACCATTGTGGAACGCATGCTGACGTTCTCCGAATGAAAGGTCAATGGTCTTGTCTCAGGGCATACTCTCATTCCTTACAAGCGATCCATGCTTCAGAACAGTAGCTCCGTTTTCAAGTCTTTCTCTAGAGTTTATCGGGACAAACTAGGATCCAATCATACTAAAGATCTATGCAGCAGCCTCTTTGATTGAATGCGCCGTAAGTTGATCAGCATTCATTGCTCCTTCATGATCTTCCATGTGTGGGTGAGATCGAATTCCCACGGCCTTGTATCTGTTGTGAGTGGCGAGAATTACCCATAAGGTAGTCATTTATTCGAGGATCTTCTTGCAGTAGTTCACGCTCCAAACCCCATAGAGGGCTTTCGGGTAATGTATGCAAGCCACTGCGACGCGACCGAGGTTCCCAGACAGCATTTCTCCTATCTGCGTTGGGCGCTTTCATCTTGTAATCATCGAGTGGATGGGCATCGTATGAGCCCATGTCCATGACTCCTGGCCCCCGGCGTGCTTTTCTCACACGAGTTGATGGATGAATATATTCATTTGTATCGGCAAGTGGCGTCGATGTATCTTTAGTTGTATACGGATCCACTGCAGTATAGCCTCCTGGCGTCCTTGAAGCCCTGCCTCCTAAGACATAGATCCCTGTGAAAGATCTATATATCTTACCAAAAGACCACGGTCGAGCCTTTTGATCTGTCTCCTCGTAATGATCGAGTGCCAGATCGTGTTGCTCGAGAATATAGTCTTCGTCAAAGTCCAACATCTGTTCCACCTGGCTCATCATCCATGCCAGAGTGATGTTTGCCAAACCAATATCCGGGTAACTTCCCCCGCCAACATTAGAGTGAGCACCTGGGAACCATACTTGGCGAAGATTTGTTTGATTCCCAGATGGCTTCTCCCACACAGCTGGCCGGAAAGCAGACCTGTGCTCGTCTAATGCAAGAGCCTGGAAAGCATTGATGATGTGATCGTTCAGCTTCGTGTCGTAGAAGAGATACTCTTTAGTCGATCGCCGTAAGTGCAGGAAATCTAACCACCCAACGCGGGGAATACCAAGACTGCCTACTGTATCCCAAACCGCAACGACCTGAATCGGAATGTCCAGCCTTGAAAGTCGATTCTTGACCAATGATTTCTTGTACTTAGGGTCAGATGCTGATGGCTTGTCCAAGAAGGGTTTGTCAGGATTCTTGGCCCGGTAATTTGGATTCCTGGCATTTTCCCAGTCTTTAAAGATCTCGGCCAAAAAGGGCAAGCCGTCTTTCGTAAGAAGACCCACACCATCAATCATTCCAGCAATGCTTCTCACAGTAAAAGCTCCGCGAGAAAAGCCAAAGAAGAAGATCTCATCTCCCGGCTGGTAGTTGTTTGCCAGAAAAGAGTAGGCTGCCCTTATATTCTCTGACAGGCCTTCCGCGGTGGCTCCGCCCACAACGCGGGTCAAAATACCGCCTTGTGACCCGATTCCAGCTTGATAATAGACCACTTGAGATATGCCATCTCGGCTTACAGGTTTAATAGCTTGCGATATACGTGTGACATTGCTGGGTATCGGCAGTTGACCTTGCATCAGCCCCGAGGTTGAGTCGAGCCATGTTCCGTCGCAGCATATGACTAATCGTTTACGACTCATATTGTGTGACACGCCAGCAACCAGAGGCAATTAATTCAAGACTGATGGTACAGCGCGTAAACTAAGTAAAGTATCTGTTTACGGGGACCTTCTGGTATATAGCGAGGCTTGTATTTCGATGAATCGATTAAGAACATTAACATTTTGGCCGTTAATCGTTAAGAATAGGATGCTGTATACCTCAGAATGTCAGATTTTATTTACGAGGAAAACGGAAAATGAGGCTGAAAATGGTCGCGTGTCAAAATAGAACTAGCCCGTCACGTTAGCGGAAAGGCTGAAAGAGCACGGCCTACCACTAAAGCCATTAAAGACTTGCAGCATCCATTCCATCAATGTGAATGCTATTTACTTAGACTGTATGATCTTCTTAAACCATTCTTGACAACAATTAATATGTAGGCGCCGCTTTAAATAATTCAAGCCTTTTGAGCATGCAGTCTGAAGTTGGATCATGTTAAGGCAATCATATGAAAAGGTGAAATAAGTGCACAGTATTTCTGATGAACGATGGGCGATGTTTTGGTGTTCCCTGTTTACATGCCTTCCGATAGTTCTACTGCCCAAAGATTGCTCCAAGAAAGTGATCAAAACTCAACGAAATTACTATTGACGTTGCATTCGGACCCTCATGTGTCCTATGACCAAATATACACATTGTCCGATCAAAAAATAACATGATACTTGAGCTTTCGCGCTGACGGTCTAGTCGTCTATCGCTTTGGATCTCTCCTATCCAGAGCTAACCGGTACCGAGAACGTGACCTAGAGAACGCAAAGGATTTTAAACGAAGTCCTTAAACTTTTGACCCTCTTGGTCTCACACGGCCTCCCTCGCTTCTTGACCAGCGTCGTGTCCACACACTACTGCTTCTTGTTTCTCGCGTAGAAAAAGTTGGCCCCTGCAGGAGGTATTAAAAGGTATCATTTCAGCAGGTCCCAGCTTGCGGCTTACCGACAACGATTAAGTCATTCTCAAGTGCCCACTCACGCACACCTGCACCTACTCTACCATACCCCCAGTGCGGTCTGTCTTTGGGCTTGCTAGGAATAGACCAGCGAGAGCCAGGTTTCGAAACTAATAAGACAAATACGTAACGGTGGTAAGCTGTCTTTTTTGGCGGAGCTGGTGGAAAGTAGGGTACGAGCTCCAATAATCCATCGCCTCCTGAAGCTAGGATGGATCTCAGATCAAAGCTGCTCCCTAGGTTGTGCTCAGGCGAAGGAATTGTAATGTTGGTCAGAATCCAATGACACATTTGGGCCTTAATGGGATTCTTGCGGCTCAGAGCGTCAGGGTCTGAAAGAACGAGCGAATACGTTGCATTTGAATCAGGTATACCGGTTGCCGGTATGGAATTCATGTACAAATCCGGCACAGATTTGACGGCCTTCGGCTTCAACCTATTGCCCAGCGCGACCTTCTCGCCACTTTTAGGGTAATATGGCTTGATGTCAAACGTCACATCGAAGTCATTCAAGACTGCTCGAAATCACTGCGTTAGACCGGACAACACAGCCTCTTAGGCAGGTACAAAGGCGAAACATGGACTGATACATCACTTAGACAGTGTTCTTACCATCAGGAATCAGTCTAGCTTTCTCAAGACTGCAGATGATGAGCATGGAAATCAAAGAGATTTGTAGACGCCGGCATACGCCAGTTTGATTGTTTGAGCTGAAGAAGCGTCTCCACCAAGCGAAGATTGTCCCCCTTGTTCAATTTCACGAAAACTCGAGCCGCTCGCTAAGGCAATGCAAGTGGAAAAAGCAGCACACAAATACCAGATACGCATGTTGCCAGAGTATTTATTGACGCTGAGTTGTAGATGCAGCAAAAACAACAAAATGCGGATGCGGATGCGGGCTTGTGCGGGGAAATTTGTATGGGAAGCCCCTTTCGGACAGGACAGACTTGGCATGGGGAACTCTAAAATAAACACCCGGCTTTCCTGCTTTTCACTACTAAAGAGCAGCATCATTCGAGTGTTGTACACTTTCGTGCTTTCGCGGACTCTCCCATGCCGGAAACTTCGCAACCGTTGTTGCTGTCTTTTTAGAAACCCGGAGGTTGACACAGCCTTGCTAGAACGCGAACTTGCATCTTCGTCCACCTCATTCTAAGACTCAGGCAGTGTTTGCCATGGCGTCGTTAGGAGAGGATCTCCTAGGGGTCGTCAACAAGCTTCAGGACCTTGTTTTCAATACCATCGGAAATGACTCCCTCGATCTTCCTCAAATAGTAAGTACCTTCCATTTCTACTTAGCCTACCTGGCGTGTGTTGATTGGAGTGGTAGGTTGTGGTCGGCTCACAATCATCCGGCAAATCTTCTGTGCTTGAGAACATCGTAGGGCGAGATTTCCTACCGCGAGGTAGCGGTATCGTCACGAGAAGACCTCTGATACTTCAGCTCATCAATGTACCCAGCGAGCGAGACGACAAGCCCGAGCAGGATGAAGTACATATTCCTCATACATCAGCTAGTGTTGCGGGACAGAGCGAATGGGCAGAGTTTCACCACTTGCCAGGGCAGAAGCTTCGAGATTTCCAAGCCGTCAAAAGAGAGATTGAGAGCGAGACAGCTCGAATTGCCGGGAACAACAAGGGAATCAATAGACAACCCATCAACCTCAAGATCTACTCACCCCATGTCCTAAGTCTTACATTGGTTGATCTTCCGGGCTTGACTAAAGTGCCGATTGGGGACCAGCCTTCAGATATAGAAAAGCAAACCAGAAATCTCATTTCGGAGTATATCGCAAAGCCAAATAGCTTGATACTCGCGGTGTCGCCAGCGAATGTAGACATTGTCAACTCAGAAGCGTTGAAGTTGGCGCGATATGTTGATCCTATGGGGAAGAGGACTATCGGTGTCCTCACCAAAGTTGACCTAATGGATCACGGCACAAATGCACTTGATATTCTCTCTGGGCGAGTCTACCCCCTCAAACTAGGTTTCATTGGGGTAGTCAACAGGTCGCAGCAAGATATACAAGGAAACAAGTCATTGGCCGATGCCCTGCAAGATGAAGCGGACTTCTTCCGGCACAATCCTGCCTATAGAAGCATGGCAACTCGCTGTGGAACGCAATTCTTAGCCAAAAGCCTAAACAATACTTTGATGGCACACATCCGGGACCGGCTACCAGATATCAAAGCAAGATTGAATACATTGATGGGTCAAACACAGCAAGAGCTAGCAAGCTACGGAGACAGTCAATTTAGCGGCAAGGAGCACAGGGGATCCTTGATCTTACAGCTCATGACCAGATTCGCTTCTTCATTCATCAACTCAATTGACGGTACCGCTTCGGAGTTTTCTACAAAGGAGCTTTGCGGAGGCGCTCGAATCTACTACATCTTCAATTCGGTATTTGGGAACTCACTGGAGACTATCGACCCATCCATTAATCTCTCTGTACAAGACATACAAACAGCTATACGTAATTCGACCGGCCCAAGACCAAGTCTCTTCGTTCCCGAGCTCGCCTTTGATCTACTCATTAAACCTCAGATTAAATTGCTTGAAGTCCCCAGCCAGCGCTGTGTCGAATTGGTTTATGAAGAGCTGATAAAGATCTGTCATACCTGTGGCTCGAATGAACTAGCACGCTTTCCCCGTCTTCAAGGGAAGCTCATTGAAGTCGTATCGGATCTTCTTCGCGAGCGGCTTGGCCCTACCTCGAACTACGTTGAATCCCTAATCTCGATACAGCGTGCCTACATCAACACCAATCACCCTAATTTCCTTGGAGCAGCAACGGCCATGGCGACAGTTGTGCAGCAAAAGCAAGAGAAGGAACGAAGAGCAGCAGCCGCAGAGGAAAAACAGAAACGGGAAAAGCGGCGCCGAAAAGAGCTCGGACAGAATGGAGTAGACACGCCAGAGGATGAGCAGGAGGCGGCAGACGAAGTCAACAGCTTGCAAAAGCTTCCACATAGAGGTCACACAAAAGGCACAAGAAGCATGTCACCTGCAGTAGGAAGAAATACAGAAAACAACAATGCAGCCACTGTCAATGGCGCAAGATCAACATCACCTCCACTATTAGGGAGCGCGGGTCAAGGCAACACCCGCGACTCTTTCCTCAACTACTTCTTTGGCAAGGAGAATGGAGTACACTCAACACTCAACAACGCCGCCACAATTTCCGCAAACCGACACGTCACTCAGAATCACGAGCCAAGCTTTAGTCAGAGCATACGGAGAACTGAAAACAAGCATTCAACGCGACATTCACCAGGTCAATCTCAAGAGTTCGAGACAGACCGGTCATTTAAAGATTACAATGATATGGAATTCCAAATGGTAAGGCTACAATCTCTAAATCATTCAATCTCCGCGTATCTTAGAAGCCATAGACTAACCCTTTTTCCAGCCCGGTCAAGACGCCCCCCTGAACTTACCGAAAGAGAAGCCCTCGAAACAGACCTCATTCGCACCCTTATATGTTCATATTTCAATATCGTCCGCGAAACAACTGCCGATCAAGTCCCCAAAGCCGTGATGCATCTTCTCGTCAATCACAGTAAAGATGTCGTTCAAAACCGATTAGTAAGCGAACTTTACAGAGAAGAAATTTTCGGAGATCTGCTATATGAAGATGATGGCATCAAGGCAGAACGAGAGAAATGTGAGAAGCTGCTCGAGACCTATAAGGAGGCTGCGAAAATCATTGGAGAGGTGCGTTGAGCGCGTGAATCTCATCTTTGCAAGGGGGCACTGGTGCCCGAGGTGCACTTCCCATTTCTTAGGGTAAAGGCATGATATATTGTGTTTGAGAGAGACATCGCAGGGAGACGGCGGGTGGCTTTCTCTGTTCTCGGTTTTGTGTAAATATGTACGTATACCCTGATTCGACTTACTCTTGGCCTAGAAGGAACTACTCAATTGAAGACGCAAGGATGGCGTGTCCATCTAGCGTAATTTCCAGAATAAAAAGAGTTTTCTTTTCGACCTATGTACAAATTATTTCGCGCTTGCTGCTTCTCGATGACTCCTTCCATGGAGCCTACTGTATCTTCTTCTCTCCCGGTTCTTTCCTCGCCCCCTCCTTTTCTTTCCGCTCCTTTCCCAACCTCCCCTCTTCCCAAGCCCACAGTGCCGCACTCGCAAAGACGATAGCGGCCCCTACCTCTACACCCAAAGGCAACACGTTCCCAAACACCAAAATGCTAATGAACAAGCTCACTAATTTTCTCACGTTCAAGGCAATGCTAACACCCACAGCCGATGTTCTTGAAGCCAAAATATTAACACCACGTATACAAGCGAATTGCGTGCCAGCATTCGCAAGCAATGCGACTACGTGTATTGGGACAGCCACAAGACTTGTTGGTGTCAACAAAATGGGCGGGAGCTGAGGCTTTTCTCCTGCCAGAGTAGAAGAAGCGGCATTCTGGAGCAGGATGGCGGGGGAAAGGGCGAGAGGCGGTGACTGACATAGCTTGTTGAATTGGTTGGCGAGGGAAGGTAGCAATGGTAAGAAGAGAGGCAGGGAGAGAGTATGGCTGTAGAAGAGGTTCTCGTGCCAATGAGAACCGTATTTGGCATAGGTGAGTTGCACGTAAAGGCCCATGATGGCGGAAAGGAGTTGGGCAACAAAGAGGATGGAGAGGCCAGTCAAAAGATCGAGGTCAAAGGTCGAGGCTGAGGATGAGGAGAAGGACTTGCCCTGAAATAGAGTCAGTATGACGTGACGATGGGGTATGATTTATGTTTCACCTTCGATCTGGCATCTGCCGTTGCTGCTGTTATGATGCCGACTGTGAGCATGACAACGCTCAAGACTGAAAGGATGGCATTTAGGACAGTACTTCTGAAAGCTTGTGACTGCGGCCACGCACCTTGAATTCTGGTGTACCTCTTTCCCCATGCCCAGCCTACCAGCATAGTCATGACGCTACCTCCGCTACGGAGGATAATATGTACTGGAACTGAGATGTTATATCCAAATGCCGAATTGTTCAAAAGGTTGACAGCGAAGAATAAGACGATATTAGGTACCCACCTCAGTAGAGGCACAGCTCGGGGCTTCAAGAAAAAGGCAGAAGCTTTGGGCGAGAAGTGCGGAGCATAGGTGAGGATGGTGACGACGAGGAACTGGGTGAATGTGATCAAATTGCCTAGAGGCTATTAACGTGGAGTTCGAGAAGTAGGACAGTATCAAAGCCTACCGCTATCAGGCTGCTCCCTGTAGCGACATGTAAGTGCGCGTTGAGTGAATGACGACAGGAGTATAGTACTTGATGATAGCCTCCAGTGCGTAAACCTACGGACCTTCAGCACAGTCGAATGGCGCCGAGGATTTAATGGTCGTACATTCGAGCAACATCCTCCAAATATCCAAGCAGTCACCACTGCCCAGTCTAACACGCTTTCTAGCATCGTAGTAGGCTAGGCAAAGCTCCCTACGCCCTGTGGCACCGAGATATTAGGGAGGTAGAGTCCTGCCAGTGTGATGCATAGCCTTCAGCAATCTTTCCAGTGGGTACGGTCGGATGACTCGATTGCCTAGGATCACCTATGGCATCAATCACTATGAAGTAACGTCGGCAGCTTTCTGAACCTAAAACTTTAGTCAGGAACACTCTGGATCACGTGTCGTCGATCTCCCGCGGGTGGTAACGCCAAGTAGATTTCCGAGATTCAATAATGATAATCACATTGCCGAAACACAATATACAATACACAATACATTGTAGGTAGTAAGATTACATGCACAATGGCAGTGATTGAAACCATACATCCCTTGTATAGAGATTTCGATTGATGTTATTGTTCACTTCTATTGACTAGATGGCTTCGAGCTGTCAGGGCAGTCTTTACAGTCGTTAGACATTCTACTTTCGTCCCGGCCGATGCACCGTCGTCCAATGCTTCGCGATCTACATCCTGTCCAGCTTCTATGATGTAGGACTCAACTGTACTATTCGAGTCCGCGTGCTCCATTCGAAGACCCTGGAGAACTTCATTTCGTGCTCATAGGAGAGAAAGATTCACTCAATTGACAGCGCTGATAGCGACGACCACGACTGTAATGGAAAACTTCCACGCTAAGAGCGGAAAGACCTCCTACAGTGCCGAGAACACAAACAGCTGCGAAAGGGTTAATTACATTGTCGCTTGTGCTGTAGGGGGAGCCTCACATTATTCGTAGCCGCTATGGCAATGCTGTCCTCGAAGGGATGCCAGCTCATATGCAATATCTTCTTGTTGAAATCTATCTGGTCGGCGTCTGTCTCTTTCTTCATTCTTGCTCCCTGTCCCGCGCCGGCGGCAGGACTACCCGCTCTTGAGCCTCCCTTCTTCCCAGATGGGCCTCCATTGCTCGCCGATGCGCTGTTGATTGGCGTGGGGACGCCTATCTTTTTCTGTTTGAAGGCAGATTTGTCTGCCTGTAGGACGACTTCTGTTTCCTTCTCTGCGTCCGAAGGATAGATCATGAAATTATTGTTGTAGCTGCCAGTCATGACGTTCTTCGCATCCCCTGAGAAGACAACCTCAAATTTGTCAAATATGCTGTCATTTTCATATGTGTCGCACAGTCTGGGCCGTAAATGCTCGTGTATCGGGATCGTCTTTACAGGTGTGCGTTCCATGTTTACGTCCCATATCTTGACGGTCAAGTAGTCGCGCGACAGTATATACCTGCCGTCGTGAGAGAAGCGTACGTCTGAAATGGAAGATATGATTTCGGAGAAGAATGACCTCGCTGATGGATCCTCTTCTTGTTCGAATTCTGGAAAGTATGTTAGTCTTCCTGTACGCTGTTCTGAGCCTCACACTAACGCTTAGCATGCTGATCGCATAGAGCATTCTCTCGCATATCCGCAAGCTTGATCGTGCCCTTGGAACTCGCGTACATAAACCAGTTGCAACTTTGCGGATGAAACTCTGCAGCCGTTATGACCTCAGTAAGTTCTTCCATGTTGGCGGGCTTGATATCAACGATATTAAAGCTCTGATCTTGTATGTTCAGATTCCAAAGATTAATCCTTAGGTCATCGCTACTTATGAAGGTCTCTCCATCGCTATTAACGGATATGCTATTGATGTGATAGGCGTGAGCGTTCGCATAGTTTCGACGAGGGACAGCCGCGACAACAGTGTCGTGGTGCGTTAAACGAGGAAGTTTGAGGGCACTCGCATCTCGAAATCTGGTATTTGGTCTTGGGGCACCCCTCCCCCACCAAGAGCACCACCCGGTGTCAAATCGTGGGACAAATTGTTCTCTGCGACAACCTTCAGTGACTTCTCAAAGACTTTCCAAAGCTTTATCGTCTTATCATTCGTAGACAAAAGATAATGCGATGCGTTTTGCCGTCGACACCACTTGATTTTATTTATCTTCTCTTCTATTTCCAAGGATTTCAAGTAGTCGAATTCTGGTTCGTGCGATTGAAATTCAGTATGGAATTTGTATTCACAAGTCTTCTTCTAACGAAGCAGTCAGCTTCCTGGTTTCTTACTTTTCATAAGCAGCCGCTTCATATGAGGGCGGCTTACTGTTTCGTTCCGTTCAAAAAGCACCACTCGTCCACCTTTATCGCCAGTAGCTAGGTAATTCCCAGTATGGTCGAATTCAACCGTCGAGATTATATCCGCTGACGCAGAAATCAGTATTTCGTACTAAAGTAAGGTACACAGCGGACAAACCTTCGGTAATGTCCTCTACGTCGCCTTTGTCACCGAAGCACCTAGAAGAACCATTTAGCCACCGAAATTCTTCCACGTCATGTGCTTCCAACGATTCTTCTTCAGATCTAGCTTCAAAGATCGCCAAAGTTGCCATTTTCTGGTGGACTTCCATTTTACGGTTCGGCAGGCTGACAAGTTGATGAAAAGCGAAAGCATTGTGTCGAGATGTGTTGAATACTGTAGCAAACAAGTTGACACTTACTGAGTAAATTTCCATGTCGGCTGACTGGGCTCATCGGGGGCCACCATCTTCTCCAGCACAGATCAGCAACGTCTCTGTCGAAAGCGCAATCTCTTCAGCGATTCGATCCGCGATTATCCTCCCAGCTCTTTTAAACCTTGGCTTCACTCCTTCATTCACTTTATTTCCCTCTTTAAGCTTTACGTCACAATGAAGGTCGACTCAAAATGGGGAGGACGAAGCTCTAGGAAGGAGGCAGGCGGGTGTAGCTTCAGGAAATACTCGAGTGCATAGGCGAAGATTGGTTCGACGAAGAGGCGATAAGTAAGGTCACTGTCATGATACCACCTCCAAGGCAGGAAATATCGCAAAATGGCGTCTTCGTTCGATCGATGATCTCAAGTGAAGAGTCCCTTGGTATGGATGGTACAACCGGGAAGGTGTAACGGAGAATCCGCCAAGACATCAGAGATGACCTAGTGACCGGACAAAACCAGCCACCAGACAGTATAGAATTTACTTTTCTTTTGAGTGGAGCAGGATAACAAATACGCATAATTGAGTCCCTTGGAGAAATTTCTAGCAATAATGCTTAGAGATCTCTAACTTAGGTGTGGCAACGATCTTTGACTCCAACATTGGTCGTAGGTAAGGTACGTGATAAGATTCTTAGCATAAGGATCCTTAGCAGCACAAGAAAAGTACAATGCAAGCTCTAAGGGGCCTAGAAACCGCGTTATCGCTTTAGCTACCCACGCTCACCGAGAATCTGTCACGTCTCTGCTGTATATCTGTGTTGAGAGCCTCTGTAACAGAGCGTTATTCATTTCGCCAGGCGAGGGTTGACAGCTATAGAATATCAGCGTGGCTTGCCTGCGACATCTTACCTGACGATTTGGACCGTGGTACTTCAATCAACTGAAAAGATCTTCTTTGTACGTAATGCTACTCATGATCAAGACACCCTCTCTTAGTACCAGCCAGGTTTAGAGACATCATTTGCGCCATCGAGCAGGTTGTATTTGAAAGCTTGACTAATGTCTATCTTCGGATCAGTGTCTTAGGCAGATGACAATCGCAGGCCCAATCTCGATTGAAATATTTCACATCTTTGACGAGTCGCTGGAATAGCCGGGTAACAGCAGACTGCAGGAAACGCGACCTAGTTAGACTGCACGTCCAGGATTTGACTACTTATTCCAGAGTTCTTTGATTTCTAAAGAGTAAGGGTCCTCAGAATGGCACAATCTAGGAAGTAGTCTTTAGAAGTCATGGGGAGATGGGGGGAAGAACCAGCTCTGGTCTATGCTTGCCGGAAATGGAAGCTCAAGGGTCGGAACATGGCCAGGCCAAAACCGACCCCTCAAATTAATACCCCTTTTTGAGAAGTATATCCGAAGCTTCTACAACAGATTGTTTGGCACCTATCCGGCTCGATCTGCCGATTGCAGGCTGTTAGATTGTTGGGGGTTTTGGCCTTGGCGCGCGTTCCGATTAACCGACCATGCACTACAGCTTCGCCGCTCTTGGTCGATGAGTTGAATAACTCGTTCACGAGAATGAGAAGTGGGGGTAACGGCGACGCCGAAGAGGCGGTCAGCAAAATGCGAGGTTGTTGACGCAATCTTGCATTTCCCAATAGCGCAAAAGTACTCATCAAACCTGCTTTCTGGTATTACCGGGCGCACATTATTGGCAAGAGTAAGCAAAAATCCTGAACAAGGGGAAGCAGGGCATGACGCGGTCCCTTCTCGCAGACAAACGGGCGATTCTAAAAGCCTAGATGAGGAGATGGCGTGTTTGCATGAAAGACGCATTATTGCCACGTTTGTGGCTTATCACGGTTATATGTCCTGATGAGGCGTATCTTCAGACGCTTTCTACTCAAATTGACTTGGCTACCTGGCAATGTAGACTTCTACCTTTTGACACGGCTCTCGCAGGCGCTTTCAGAGCTTGAATTGACCAGCGCAGGGAGTAATTGTGCCTTTGGAAGTGATCTTCACAACAAAGTTATGGGTCAAAGTTCCGAAGACATGGATCTCCTCTTGGAGTTTTAGCCCCGCTTAACCAGGAGCGGCGTGCGAGTCACTTGTGGAAGTATTGTACACTGGAGAAGGAATGGTAAAGACATGATTTCGCAGTGCGAATTGAACAGTGTCTGTCTGTCGCATATCGTACAGCTTGTTCCGATCGATACATTGACCCCACAGAGTGCAACGTTTGCTCCTTCGGCTTGCTCTTTGATGTGTTCTACATGCCAAGATGACGTGCAAGGCTTCCATTGAAGATGTTGTCTAAGCCGGATTCAGCATATTAGGCTAGAAATTCGATCAGATTAGGTCGTAGCCAGATCTGCCTGTCAGGTGGCGCCACGGGGCCAAGCGGATGCCGCAAGATCCTTGCTTCCACGTGCGCACCCTAGCCCAGTGCCGATCCCCTATAGGCAGACCAAACTCACGGAATCGGCTCTAACCATCTTCTCGGGTTCCATCCGCGAACGCCTCTCGCATGGTAGCCTCAGCAGCCTCAAACGCTTACCAGTACAAAGGTTGACAATTGGCTCTCAGCAAATCGGGCCGTGTGTCTCCCACGTCTCGTAAGAAGCCCAATGGCGTAAACTTGATCATGCAAATCGCAAGAGGCTGCCCGATGTGGAAACAGCACGTGGGATCCTGCGTTCCAGGAAGCCTACCTAGTAGGTGTGGTGTGGTGTGGTTAAATCCAAAAAGAGAGCGTGGTACTGCAGAAGAACAATGGAGGGAGGGATCCTCCAATATCTTAGATACGGGTCTGTTATGGGTCTAGTTCTACAGCTTCTAGGACTCCTGTATCCTTCGTCTTCTTGTCCTTCATTAAGATATCTGTTTATGCTTCATTCAGACAATTACTCATAATGCTCTACCCTTCTAGCGCCGACCATAGCGTGGCATGGAAAGTCTTACTTGGCAGCATCGCTAGCGTAGTCCTTGCGACAGCAGCAGTAGCTATGAGATTGATTGCTAGAAGATTGTCAGACGCACCAGTTTGGTGGGATGATTACACAGTAATCGCGGCCCTAGTAAGTCGCGTTACGTTGTCTCGTCAACGTCACACTTTCAGAGACGCTGATTGTCATGCCAGCTTGTACAGTGGGGCAAGGGAGCATCTAGGTGGATCCTGGTCGACCAATGTAATTATGGACATCACGCTATTTATGGAGGACTGGAGAGACTGACAGCGTTTGGAAAGCTAAGTCGTCACAAAAATGAATAAAGGGAAGACAAGACGAACAAGCGATATCTAAATCTCTCAGGCGTTCATCGGCGTCCAATGTCTGTTTTATCTGAACGCAGTCTTGACGAAGGTCTCGATTATCCTCCTGCTATATCGAATTTTTGGCGTCAATCGAGATTTCCGCAACGCACTCGTGGCTTCAAGTACGGTCGTAGTCGCTTATTGGATCCCGTGTACTGTTCTTGCCTTTACGGCATGTACGCCCTTCGAGAAACTCTGGAATCACTCGCTACCCGGAAAGTGCATACCCCTTCTCTCATCCTCAGTCTGCCGATTCCCATGGTATGGCACTTGAAGGCTCTAACACGACGAAAGTGGAAGCGACAGGCATATTTGCGATGGCTCTGTTGTATGTGCCTCGCCGTATACCAGTTGCTGCCACGTTCTGTACAGCTGATATAACATGCAGTGTCTGCATCGCATCAATTATGCGTGTTGTCTCGTACTCACCTGATCAGCTCCACGATGTAACCTACATTGGCGTTGAATCCATGACATGGTCAATCGTCGAGCAAGGCACTGCAATCGTATGTGCATGTCTTGCAATTATTCGACCTTTCATTCTGTCCGAATGTCGCTTTCTAAAAGGAAACGACACGCTCGAGACCATGAGTAGCTTCGGAACAGACACTCCCTGGTCAGAAGATATGGAAGATGGAAACACGAGGAACAAAAGCAAGAAAGGCTCAACACAGGATAGCGAAAGCTTCGTCGGTTTTGCGGTCCCAATGGACGTCTTAGAACTGGATGGCAGCATGATTGGGTTCGCAATTCCTATGCCTTCAGGTGAAGACAGCAAGCGCCATGATGTATTACTCACCTAAGGCTTTAATCTTATATCTTATATCTTTAAATAGTCTATTATAAGCGATTCTATATATCAAAATAAAATAGTAAAACAAGAGCATAAAATAAAGAGACCAGTAAAGTATAGGATGCGGCAGCCGCTTTGGGGTACCTTAAATTACCCCTCCTTAGGTGCCTTCCGCCTAAAGTGGCCATAGCTGCGCGAGCCTTGCCTGAGCTGGGGGTACGCCAAGACCGAAAGCTTGCTTCCTTGCAGTCTGAGGCTCTAAGGTACTTGAACCTCGGTCAACAGGACAATGGATTTCGTAATAAGTTTGTCTGCAAACAGCACCCTTTTACTTCAATATGACCGCTTACAGTAAGACACAATGTCATTCGAACATCGTGCTATTTAGCTGTGCGTACTACTAAGCGCTACTAAGTCTTGGGGTCTCGCTGCTCGAATATCAAATGTTTGATTTATTGATTTTAAGGACTATATAGGCATCACACTTCTTCTTTGGGCGCTCAAAGTTGTCTGATATCCAGAACCATTCTCATCCACCCTTTTTTGTTTCACAATGGCAGCAGGCAAGCAGAAAGAAGTCGGCAAATCGGTGTCTTCAAAGCCCTTTGCTGCGAGGCTGGGCGCTTCGGCATCAGACCTGGCGTGGTCTGCATTCACCTACCCTCCTACGACTACCGACGCTCTTGCATCCTTGCCAGATGACCACAACAAAGTCGCTGCTTCCTCTTCAGCATCTCGCCTTGCCCAAGGGCCAGGCGCTGACACTGCCCAGCTGGAAAAACCTCAAAGTACGAGACGGCCCGCAGTCAAAGAGACTTTCCGTCAGAGATCCAATTGGACCGATAGAGACATCCAGAATGATTTTAACAAGTTTGTGGACTCACAGCCCAAGCTTGATGAATCAACAAAGTGGCCAATACTATACGATGAGACTTCCTTTGAGCCGAATGACAGAGGTATTGAATTGCCCTTCATTGGCAGAGCGCACGAAGACGTAAATGACCTATGGAGGTCCGGCGACGACATTGGTATGGAGCAGGCAAACGGAGATGGTGCAGCGGTAGTCCAGCTACTTTCCCGCCCAGGTAATCCCAGTGAGGGAACTCCCCCAGCAAATTGGAATCAACAAACAGATGGGGAGTCCACAGCTCGAAGTACAAACAATTTGCTAGATGGTCCCAATCAGCTCCACACTGGCGCGGATGTGTTGAATGACCGCAAGCTGATGGACATGGTTACATTCCTTGAGTCGCACGGCGTCGATATGGCCCGGTATCACAATGAAGTCTGGGGAGACCATTTGCTGCATGTTGAAGAGGCCTACGAAGAAGTTCAGCAGGGCAAAGGGGATCCAAATACCACTATAAATGAGCGCCCTGCCGTTCACCGCTTAAGGATGCTCCTCCAACATCTAGATCCCCACCCAAGGAAGTAGACACATGTTCGCAGATCTCCGGACACTCGACACAGCAACCCGAACAAGACAGGATGCTGTTTGCGACATTTCACTAAGCATCGACCAAGACTTCAGACTCTTTCATGATCTTTAAAACCCTCTCATACGTCCACATCGTGATGGCACTTGCTGGTGCCGATTTCAGCAAACCCACGCCGAGTCCCCTGTACAGCCCTCGCCAGCCTTCACGCCTGACAATCACTCTTGCTATCTTCCAGACACCTTTTCCGTACGCCGGAATCTTTCCACCAACGTACCTCGACCGGCTAGGACCTTGCACTTGCAATCGTTTTCGGATCAGGTCGAGTGGGAATACTCCAGTCTTTGCCAGCATACTTGCAGTCACGCCAGCTGTCGCGTCACCGGATCCAAAGGGGAGAGAGAGGTCGGCCAGAGGAGGCCTCAATACTTCATAGATGCTGAAAAAGAGTCCCATGTAGGGCACAATTTGCCCTACACTAATGCCGACGCCGTGATAAAAACCCTTGAGCCCCTCCTGCTGCCAGATGTCCCGAATACCACCACGAAGGCTGGCATATACTCTGTCTGTGCCCTGAGCTGCAAAGCGTGTCCGTAGGAGGTCCAAGGGATATGTTAGGCTTGCGGCAGCAGCGCCGGCTACGCCGCCGGAAATGAATGCCTCTGCCCCATTGGAGAGCTCAAGTGGTTTGAGAGCTTGGTTAGTGAGGCGATAAGTGGTGAACTGGGCAGCACCGTACGTCACGTAGAGGAGTTCTGCAGGGATGTTGCCTTTCCAAAAAGCCTATGGTTTTGTCTGAGCTTTCGTTGATGAGAACCGCGGAGAGAACAACGTACTGTCAGTCCTTCATCGACATATATATTTCTGAACACTTGAGCTGTGTTAATAGCTTTCTTCTTCACTGCATGCACATCCAATGGGTCCGCAAGTGAGTGGATCTGAAGCTGCAAGCGTATTTTGAGCACGTCGAGGGGAGCGATACAAAATCTTCTCCCGTTTAGTAGTGTTCCTCAGTCTCCGTAGAGAACGTTGCACCCACCGCGAAACTAAGCCTGCAACTGCTCCTGCTCCAACAACTTGTATCTTCGAACCCTGCGATTGTCTTAATTATGGTGTCCCAATGAAGCTTGAGTATGGACCTACCTCATCTTTCAGGTGTTCGCCACCGCCCGACATGCGATCCTACCAGTATCACTCTTGAAGTAATATAAGAGAGCATTGGTAATATTCTCGAACATTAATTTTGGCTTTTGGGAAATTCGGACGGTCTCCGAGCACGAGGAAAGTGTCGGTGTCGCGTGGGAATGTCTTGCGACAAGGACAATCCAAATCAAATCTTTGAGTCGATCATTCTACAAATACATGTGTTGCTGATATCTCAAGGACGTCAATGGATTCCCAAAACTCACAGCAAACGTTTCGAATCACCAGCATATGCCTAATCTATTTGCACCATATGAATTCTACGGCTGTCGTCAATCATCGCAGTTTTCTGAAGAAAATCCTTTGTCCTCAAGTACTAATAGGCTGCCTTTGATCTTCGCTTGCTGCCATGCCACCTTTGCCTGCAGGTGCTGCTTGAAAGTCTGAGAAGAAATCCTCGTTGGTCTCGAGTTCTTCTTTGACCTACGAATTGTCAGCACCGGCTACCATCAGCCCTTCGCGATTGTACTTACGATATCAAGCCCGCCGACAAGCTCACCTTGCAAATAGAGCTGTGGAAACGTCGGCCAGTCCGAGTACTCCTTCAAACCCTGCCTGACGTCGTCATCTGCAAGAATGCTGTTCACCGTCAACACGTGTTTCCTTCGCCGTGAGGTACAGCACTCACTTGAAGAATCCATATCTGACGCCCTTCTCCCTCAATAAATTCACCAATTGCTTACTGAATCCACACTGCGGCGAGCTCGGTGTGCCTTTCATGAATAGCATAACAGGCGCTGCCTTGACCAGCTCGCCCAATCTCTGATTCAACTCCTCTTTACCTCCCTCTGTGCTTGACATATCTGGCGCAGTCGCCGGATCACCGTCTTTGGGCGCATATGCGCTTAAATCCCCAGCTGGTTCAGACGCCTGTCGCTCATCATGCCCGTTCTCTCTTGGTGTTGTCTCCAATGCTGGGGGCAGCCCAAATTTACCCGTGTTGCCACTTTTGCCCGCATGTCTTTCTACAGCGTCCCGTATCTTTGAGGCATCACTTCCGCTTACACTTTCCAGCACCTTGTCGTTCTTTTGTACGACTAGAAATGGAACGGCTGTAACGTCGTACGACTCTGAAATGTCTGGCAATGCTTCTGCGTCAAGGCTGATGAAGGAAATAGTTAGTGGATCCTGCATTGGATATGAAGAGGCTAGAGTTTCTAGAATGAGACGCATTTGTTTGCAGGGTGCTGCCCATGGCGTGTGGAAGGATATGACGGCGAGAGTAGAGGGAGGCAATGAAGAAACATTGTCGTGGAAGGCGGAATCTGAGGTTATGTCTGTGATTTTCGACATTTGATGAAAGATTGCTTTACAGTCGGAGAGCTTTACAGTCGGAGAGGCTTGAACCGCAGTGGCTTCGATGTACGGGTCAATGCACGATCTTGTCATTGAGGCTCTTTCTACGATGACGCCATTTCTTACTGAGGCGACGGTTAGCCTTGGCAAGCCTCGCCTCAACCATGCAAAAGGAATCCCACGATCGCGCGAATTCCAAGCGTTGCGAGACATATGCGACAGTAAGTACTCACTAGTTCTCAAAATCAGGTTCATAACACTATATATCATTCTCCGCCGCTGTTGAGCCTCAGTCACTATCGGGTTCATCCATGTTTGACCAAACAGCTCTGCAATCGACCGCTTCTTTCCTGACATCCCTTTTCGGGTCATCTAAACTATTGATCAAACCCCTTATTACTTTGCTCTTGTAGGGAAGAAGAGTGCTATCTTTTATCTTACCCGGAAAGGATTCCAAACAACGAAGCGCATTGAGTCTCACGCTCTGATTATTTCTCTGCGGATCTGCAGTCGCTCGTAACAATTGCGTGACCATCGTGCTAATATGCGTCTCGATAGTCGCAGGACTCTCTTGACTAACAATCGTCAATGTCTGGATTGTTGCTGCTTTAACATCGGGTTCTTCGAGCTGAAGACTTTGCAGTAGAAGCGGTAGCAGAGTATCCATGCCTTGCATGGTTACTTCGGTGGGCATGTATTTCAGAATTCCTGATATAGCAATCAGAAAATTTGGCTTTGTGAAGCTCTCTGCATGTCGGAAAGCCTCTGCAATTTTGGGGACGCAAATGCTGAAAACTTTCTGCCGCGCAAGTAATCTCATCGTCGCTCCATTTTCTTTTGATGCCATTTCATCCGGCGAGAGTAGGAGGCTGAAGCCTTGTGCAACGGCTGATCCATGAATGTTATCAGACAGAAGGGTAAGCAATCGCTCTAGGCTTTCGTCGATTTTATAAGATCGAAGGATAAGTGCTTTCGATATCCAAAAGAGTGCTCGGATTTTATTTTCCAACGATGTGGTGTTATTCACGAGGCCGGAAACGAGGTTTTCTATTATCCATGTCGTGCACTCAATGGCTTTCGATGTCATAAACTTGTTAGCTATCAGAAACGTTTGTCTCAAGATCGCTTGTCGTATGGCTGGAACTTCTTCAGCTGTAGCCATTCGGACGAGCTCTGAGAGTAGATCCCCTGCCGAGGTTTGGCTATCATCTGTGAATTGAGGCTTCGCCTGAATAATATCAGTCTAGGAAGTGAAGGGCGTTGGAGATTTGCTACCTACATCTTGAGCTACACCAGCCATGATAGCTGTAGAAAGAATCATTGTAGACATTTCATTGCTTGATGCGCCATGTCTGAAAAGAACAGGTTGGAAGGTTCCGTCTTCGATGAATAGTGTGTAGCATTGAAGTGCTACTGACTGCTGTTTGTGTCGGTCTAGGGCGCGTACGACAATAACAATCAGTCTACCCAATGTTTCCAGCACCGGTAGTTCGCTCAATGCGGCCGATCGAGTTTTCCCTGAGGCAGCATGCACCGCTCGCGTCGTTAGAGCAACCACAATGTTCTCGAGGTAAAATTGAAGGTTGATATCAGAAGAAAGATCTCGCCGAGACAAAACATAATGAAGTGTGGACAGTATAGCTTGAGGATAGCTGGGCGCACCAGCTTTGTCAAGCACTGAGTCTAATCGATTGAGGAGACGACGGATGAGCGTGTCTGCCACAAATCTGTCGACACTCAGTTGCGCCAGGCCTTCGAGAGTAATCAAATAGTCATGATCGAGTGGAGGACTAGAATCTGGAAGTCTTGCCATGAACGCTGGAAATGTAATATTCATAATCAACTGGGGATGCAGTCGAGATATTTCAACTAAAGCTCGTACGGCTTCTTGCTTGAGGTCATCCCGTCCAGTTGAGTCTTCGTCAAGTATGATCTCATTGAGATATTGAACAACCATTCCGATTTCGTTCTCCTGCAGATATTTACGGAGTATGCAGAGTCGCAATAGGGCTTTGAGCGCGACCACGCGAAACGAGATCTCTTCTCTGGATGCGGCCATCAATGCTTGACTTGTCAATTCAAATAGACGGTCCTTGAAAGGTGTCAGGGGATTTTCCAAGTTCGTCTCGGGTGCTAAAATCGCCAACGTGCCGTAAACGGTAATGGACGAGTCAAGAAGTTGGACAAGAACCTCTAGAAGAGCTCTCTGCTTCGGTACTATCTCGGCATCTTGGTACAATGTCGAAAGAGATGGAAAAACTGATCTTGCTACGAGATGGAAGGCATGCGGAGATGCGATACTTATCGCACTTAAAATCTGGCCTGCGGGCTTCGCTTGCTTGTGCTGCGGTTCCTGTAGCTGCTCGTTACACTCTTTTGTAATTGGCCGAATGAATGTCGCTAATGGAGTCTTTGGATCTGTCGACTCCAGATCTCGACCAAGCCGAACCGCTATCGATTGCAGAGCTCTTAAAGATTCTTCTGCCAGTATTTCCTCTTGCACATTCAAGATTTCATATTTCAACGAATCCCACAATGTGACAGAGTAATTAGAAATGGTAGTGAGACCATATGATGATGCACAAGCCGCAATCGTCTGCAAGATATCTTTCTTAACATTTGGGGATGTCGAGTCAAGCTTGTCTAAAAGCTGAGGAAATGCGTAAGGAGCGAAATACCCAGAAGCTGCAATGCAGTCTCGAAGGCGGGTTTTCAGATCTTGCGCGGTGATTCCGTACGGGTCACCTGGTGGAGGTCTGAACGTAATCGGAAAGTAGCAGAATACTGAATCGAACAATGTCTGAAGAACATCAGCAACTCTTCTCTGTGAATCAAGGATTCAGCACCTCCGCATGTCCAGCTATATCCCATTCTACCATGATAACTTTGAGGATGGAGAAAACCACCATAAGGTTCCTGGGGTCTTTTTCACCAGATACTAGATCTGTTATGCCAACGATGGCTTCATCACCCAACTTTTCTACATCTTTGCGATATCTTAACAGCAACCCGCTCAGAAGATCAAGAACTTGTAATCTTTGCAGCTGTGGTCGTAATTGCAAATCTTGAAAGTGTTCATTGATCCTAGATAAGTCAGCAGCCCATACCTGATGCATATTGTGCGCTTTGAGAGGCAATGATAGTAGCATAGGTCACAGGTATCTCTTTATTCTCAAGGCAAAGACAACACCAGCCGATAGCAACAAGCTGATTCACTTACTCACGCTCTGAACGTCAAGACTGCCATACCACCGTTAAACCGCTCCGTTAGATGTAGCGATTTGAGCCCTCCGACGGCTCCTCCATCTTCAATTCGATCGCACAGGAACTGGCACAGGACTTGTGTCTGCTGTCTTGAGAGGTATTTAGGGGAAAGTTCGCCGATAACGCGCGTAAGGTAATCAATTGTTCTAGCCCTCTTCGTGGTCTCTTCATCATTGATGTATTCTCCCAATGACTGGACAAATTCAATCAGCGTTGTCTTCCTGCTTTCGAGAGCTTTGTATGTCAGTGATGGTCGCAATCCACAAAGGAAATAGTTACCTTTCGCAGAGTCTCTAGCTATTTCACTTGCTTTGTCATCATTGTGCTCGACAGTGAGAAGAAATTGTTGCACTGCAGACATGGCGGTGTAAACTATGTCGAAGAACGTGTGCTTCAATTCGAAAAATGCAAATGCGTCACAATAAGTTATCGATAAGCTTGCCACTAGGCTATTAATAGTTAAAACCAGCTCAGGGGGTTTTTCCAATCGGCTTCCGCTTGTAGATTTGAGCGATTTCTCTAGTCAATTGCCCTGGTGAAGTTATTGTTGTGAAAATTGGATGCGGGTGGAAGGATCTTTGTGATTAGGTTTACAGGTCTATTCTGTTGCAGTCGATGGCGATTTGAACATATATTCATCCACTGCTTGACAGAATGAATCCTGACGAGGGGAATGTTGTTACTCCCTCTTGCAAGACTATCCTGGCAGGCACTGTCGCGAGGGCCCTCCTGATTGAGGTATCGAAAAGCCTCAGATCTCTTTCAAGGACTCCCCTCTTGGTAGGCTTCTTGGCCAACAAGGACCCAGCAGCACGCAGTTACGCTGAATGGACAATGCGAACATGTCAGGAAAAGTAAGCAGGCACGCAATTATGACTTGGCTAGAGCATTTGTGCCATGCTCTGCATCATACGTTGCGTTAGTAGCTCCATCTGATATTGTCTTTTTCCAGCGCCGTGGGATTTGAGCTGAGAGTGTCTGACCGTGATGATCTCGAGAATCGCTTGATTGAAGCAAACAAAGACGATAGTATTGACGGCGTCATTGTCTATTATCCTATATTTGATAATCGTCAAGATCAGTATCTTCAGCAATTACCTGACATCACTAAAGATGTGGAAGGGCTAAGCCACAGATACATCTTCAAATTGTACCATAATGAGAGATATCTTGATCAAGCTCGGATACAAAAGAGCATTCTTCCATGCACGCCACTTGCCATAGTGAAGATTTTGGACTATTTGAGCGTCTATAACAACATTCTTGCATTTGGTAACCGTCTCTTTGGTCGCACGATAACTGTGGTAAACCGCAGCGAGACGGTTGGCCGGCCCCTAGCAGCCATGCTCGCTAACGACGGAGCATCAGTATACAGCGTCGACGTTACATGTGTGCAACAGTTTACCCGAGGACATGGGATCAAGCAAAGAATGCATGAGGTTGTTGACAAGCAAGGATGGACATTGCAGGAGTGCCTTCGCACAAGCGATGTGGTGATCGGCGGTGTCCCAGGAAAGTCCTTCAAGATTCCGACTGACCAGCTAAAGGATGGCGTCGTTTGCATTAATTTTTCTACTGAGAAGGTTAAGCTTCCTACACGCCCTTTCGACGATCAGCTGACATGAACAGAATTTTGATTGTGATGTCAAAAGTAAAGCCTCCATATTCGTTCCCAGCATCGGCAAGGTGACCATTGCAATTCTCATTCGTAATCTTGTGGTAAGGTTGACCTTTCACCTATATCAATGATAAAGGCGTCGACTAAGGTCACTCAGCGTTTAGCTGAAAACAGGGAAAAACCACCAGTCTCTTGAGCAAATGGTTCCTTGTGTGTCTGTTGCGAGTACCTTGCGATCATAAAATAGAGCAATGCGCATTCATCCCATCGTCTTGATCGGAACCTTTCATGCACAATCTGGTGGGTCTGAAGGAGGAAGCGTAACCTTCAGTATGTATATTCAAGAGCATAGCAAATCAAAATCAAGCTGAACAACTTGGCCCTTCGAAAATGCCACGGAACACATCTTGAACAACCCTGTAGCCGCACCTCTGCCCGGTAGACCTGGTCATTCGATGGACTTCAATGCCCACTAAGCGTCTTGATTCCACACACATGCGCTAAGAAGGAAACTTTACCCGAGCTCGTGAAAACTTTCCGTGCACGAAATCGCTTTCTTGTGCTTCAAAGCACTTTTCGACCGACGTCAACTAGTCATCATGCTTCCTTTGCAACAAATGTAGGGCATGGACCAAAGTCCATAACACGCGAAAATGCTAATGTGGCCCAAGAAAACCCAAGACTGCGCGCTCAAAGCGCGAATTCGAAAAGCGCGAGCCTCAACAAGTCGAAAATTCCAAAACGGCCCTCTTCCTACGCTACACTAAGTCCTCTGATCTCCTCAATTCACTCGCCAAAGACCTCCACACCCTCAAAATTCCCGATGCTATTCAATTCAAGAAGGGGAACGCCATCCACCCTTTCGAGGACCCATCATCTCTAGAATTCTTCTCTCAGAAGAACGATGCCGCGTTCCTCGTGCTTGCTAGTTCTAGTAAGAAGCGACCACACACACTCACGTGGATAAGATGCTTTAGTGGGAAGATACTGGATATGTTGGAGCTATCCGTTGTGCAAGAAACCGCGAGATGTATGGCGCAATTCAAGGGGCCGAAATGTGGGTATAATGTTAAGCCTATGCTGGCGTTCTCAGGGACTGCGTGGGATGATTCTAGTCGGACGGAGTATGTATTGGCAAAGAGCTTGTTTACAGACTTCTTTCGAGGGTCAGAGGTCGGGGAAATTGACGTTGAGGGTTTGCAATTGTTGATACACTTTAGTGTCGGGGAAGAGGGTCAGGAAGGGTTGAAGCCACAGATACAGATGCGGTGTTGGAGGATTATTACGAAAAAGAGTGCGAGTAAGGTGCCGAAGGTAGAGGTTGAAGAGATAGGACCACGAATGGACTTCAGGGTCGGGAGATCCAAGGAAGCGGAAGGGAGTATGATGAAGGAGGCGCTGAAGAGAGCGAAAGGAACCGAGGTACATCCATTCCCGACCTTTGCCCTTGAATTACGTACTGAACATGCTGCAGGCTAAGGCAAAGAAGAACATCGAGACGGATTTCGTAGGCGACAAGATGGGCAGGATCCACCTTGGACGACAGGATTTGAGCGAGCTGCAGACAAGGAAAATGAAGGGGTTGAAGAGAGCAAGGGATCAGGACGTGAGGGCCGACGGTATAGACAACGAGGACATTATCAGCCAGGATGATGATGATGAAGAAATGGGCGGCGTGGAGATCAAGAGACCCAAAACATCTTGAATCGGTGAATGTTAAAAGTGATGTCTAGCAGGGCGCTCAGGAGTTGCATTAAATCCCATCATGTTGAAGTATGTTGTCAAACAGGTCATATCACTATCTCGGTCAGTTCAGGCAGAATCTAGAAACACACGATAGCGCGGCCACGCCCGACACTTTCACAAGTAGAGAAAAGCGAGAGGGAAATAATTTTCATGCTGCTCTTCGAAATAAACGAGTTCAAAAGTGACGGGCCATCAGGATGGTATGGTATGCTTTTCTTACGCATGGAAGAACGTTAGACTAGGGACGCTTTGTTCCGGTAGTGGCGCGCCTGGCTGATGACCGATACGAGAGGCGTTGGATCGGCTTTGTGCCTGGATAAAGCTTCAATATAATGCAGAATATTAATGAATGGGCATGCAGACAACAAGGTGACTGGAAATGGCCTTCTAGAGGCCTCAGCGTCAACTGGTAGGTAAGCGCGGGCCAGGCACCCCCAGGGCGCCTCAGGAGCCAGATGTTAGCGGTGTCGATAACTATTTGATCTACGTCAGGGGTATCGGACCTGATTGATTGGCAGTGAAAAAGCATCAAAGATTTTACCTCAACTCCCCAAGACACCTTAAAATAGCTTTTGCTTGTTTTTTCAACATCCCATTCTTTCACTCTGTTCTGTAATTTCTCTTCTCAGTTTTCCATCCTGCTTCGACCTACACTCGTTTAGCATCACGGACAATCGTTTCTGCACACGCTGTAACACGCAGGGGGCATTGATTGAGGCACATTGTGCCCCACTTGATCTACCACGACACGCATAGTACCACAACACTTCCATTTCTACATCGAGACTTGGCACCTCAATCGATGTTATTTGTCTAAAGATCTCCGACAATCAATCCATCGGGCAACATGGGAACACCAAGTGACGAGCTCCCTCCACCTCAATTTACTCATCCAAATTATTCCAACAACGGAGTCTTTGACTCGGACGATGAGGGGACCCTCTCGAACGAATACGATCGGCCAGAACGAGTCCCTACAATTGATCAGCAGGGATTTCTAGGGGGCAAGACATCTCATTCGCAATCAAAGGAGCAGGAGATCAGATTAGAAGATGACTTGGCCATGCTACAAGCCGAGAGGGTGGTGTCACGTTCTCAGAGTCACGGTCCGGAGGGTCTCCATCGATCCACGACTGTACACCGTTCGAGGTCTCGCCCGGAACCGATTGACCAGTTCGATGTCAATACCAACCCAATCCATGAGAAAACCTCTGGTTTCCGACCGCCTGAGAACCCGACCGGACGAGTCGCAAAGACCTTCAAGAGGATACACGACGCGAGTTTTCTGGTACGATACTTCTGCTATATCGTACCGATCGTGGTGCTCATCTTAATCCCTCTGCTATTGGGAGCCCTGGTCTTCAGAAAATCCACTGTTGGCGGTGTGCGTTTGCTGTGGTTCTGCGTATGGCTTGAGATAGTCTGGCTCACCCTTTGGGCCGGTCGAATTCTGGCTCAGGCATTGCCTTGGCCGGTGGGCCTTCTTTCCAGCTTAGCCACAAACAATGATAAGAAATGGAGGGACATGTGCAAGCAATTGGAGCTGCCGGCCACGCTGTTCTTCTGGCAGTTGGGAGTCTTAATATCCTTCCTCCCTGTCATGATTCATCACCATCTCGAAGGTGGTCCAAAGATGCTTCACTGGGAGGGTGTCATGAACAAGGTCCTAGTCTCGATCTTCGTTGGAGCTACAATTAATTTCGCTGAAAAAATCATCATTCAGCTCATTGCCATCAGCTTTCATCTTCGCACATATGCTGATCGTATTGACATCAACAAATTCCAAATTGGCAGTCTAACCAAGTTATACGAGTATTCCAAGGAGAAGATAGCAATGGAGGACTCAGATTTCGAAGAACATACCCCGCTAGCACCCGGATCAGGGACACGAACACCGATGCAAATGCTTGACCAAGCACAGAAGAAGACTCGGAGCGCGTTTGGCAAGGTTGGTGATGCGGCTGGGAAAGTTGCGGGCGACTTTACCGGCAAGGCTGTCACTAAAAGCACACATCCATGTCAGCTTGTGTTGCTACTACTATCTTCCCCACAGCAATCTCAAGTGCTTGCAAGACGGCTTTATAGGACTTTCGCCCCGGATGATGCCGAGACTATCACAGCTGAAGAGCTCAAAAATGCCTTTGATAATGACGAAGAGGCTGACAGTGCGTTTGCTATGTTTGACAAAGACATGAATGGCGATATATCCATGACCGAATTAGAAGCTGTCTGTGTTGAAATCGGCAAAGAACGCAAAGCGATAACGGCATCTCTGAAAGATTTGGATTCGGTGGTCGCGAAATTGGACGCAGTACTTTCATTCTTTGTGTTCGTTGCAACCGTTTTGGTGCTCATCTCCCTCATCTCCACCTCGGCTGCAGGCGTTTTGACGAGTGCTGGTTCCGCCGTACTGGCGCTCTCCTGGCTCCTTTCCCAAACTGCTCAAGAGTTCCTGGCCTCCTGTATCTTTGTCCTCGTCAAGCATCCATTCGATGTCGGAGATCGGGTCACAATTTATGGCAACACTGGCACACTAGGAAAAGGTGATGACTATTTCGTCAAAGAAATCTCCTTACTGTATACCGAGTTTAAGAAGCTAGAGGGTCAGATCGTGCAAGCTCCGAACAGCTACTTGAACACCCTGTTTATCTTAAACATGCGTCGATCTGGTGGGTTAGCTGAAGCGGTGACTCTGACAGTCAAGTTTGGCACAACCATTGATCAGATTGACGAATTGAGGTCAAGACTTCTTGAGTACGTCAAGAGCGAGAAGCGCGAGTATCAGCCAAACATTTTGACGGAGATTCGAGAAGTCGTTGAAGTTCATGAAGTCAACCTCAACGTCATCTTCTTTTACAAATCTAACTGGCAAAATGAGCTACTTCGTCTACAACGCCGGAACAAGTTCATTTGTGCCATGATGATCTGTATGCAAGAAATTGGCATCGAAGGCCCTCGTCGTCGTATTCCTGGCGCGAAGGACGACACTCCGTTCTACTACACTCACTCGGGAGGCCACAGTACAGACTTTCCATCTACTGCTAGTGGCAATGGCAGAGGGAACATGAGCATGGAAGCTGGATCTGGTCCATTTTCACCCTCCAGATCTCAAGAAACAGGTTCTATACAAGACTCTGGTAACAGCATCAATCGAAATCGATCCATCATGCGTCCTCAGGGAGCTGGACGTAGGCGTGATGAGTCCGTTTCGGCAATGGGCAAGCGAGTTGACTTTTCTCTCGGCATGAAAGATGTAAGCTCAGCTGATCTTATGGATGACTTCAGCGAGAACATCCAACCCAAACTTCCCAATATGCGAAGAAGCTCCGCTTCGCGAGCCCGTGATGCACGTGATCGTATAATCGAGGAAGATGACGCTCAGCGGACGCGCCAATCTAAGGAAGGCGGCCGCTTTTCCATTGATCGCTCGACTTCTCGTGCGAGCGGGAGTCGCTCACGATTTGGCGTCAGGCGTGCCGAGACTGCAGGCTCTACAGCCTCCCATGGCCATCGTAATCGCTTTTTCTCTCGCTCTAAGCAACGTGGTGACAACCATGATGAGGAAGAAGGCTTCATACAGCAACCTATGGCCGATATCCCAGAACTACCCCGTTCAGCAGCCACGAGGACTGACGCTCGCATGGTTAGCCCATTGGCAATTCGACCGAGTAACGACACTGGCTTTTCTAGCCTACAACTAAGCGGTGGACCCGTGCAGCCTACAAGTAGCAATGGCGGAGGAGGTGCAGGACCAGCAGCATTCAATGATAGAATGCATCTAACACATCCCGCGGAGCGCGATATTCATGCCCAGGATTTCGAAATGAGAAGACTCACATAGACCTTGATATGACGGATGAAGAGCATTTTGAAGCATAGAAGAGCGACATCAGCGATCTCTGAATGGATAGACATGCATTTTTGCGGTGTTCTAACATGTCTGGAATGACTATAGATATATTAGACTGGACGGCGAAGCTAGCGATTGTGATATACAGTCAAATCTAAAATTCTCAAAGCATCTTGCCCAAATTTTCTCGCTCTTATGCTCTTTTCAGCGTGATTAGATCCTGGCACTGTTCATCTCAGCCAAGGAAAAGGACGAGTAACTACATTTGATGTACCGACGTAGGCATAAGTTGGGGCTCAGCGGTATATGATGTAGGGGGTACGGCATATCGAAGGTTCATTGTGTTAATGACATAATCAGCGCATGTGCAAATCAGCTACGGTGGTAGGAAAAGACAAGGAGACTCAACGATCTATTTTGCATTTGTAAGTATCCTATCCTCCACCCCATCTAGTATATACTCATGCTCTATGACCTCGAGGTTCTCTACCTCGGCGAGAAACGCCTTGTCTGGGTCCTGACCCGGCTGAAACATATTGTTCGCACCGGGATTCATCTGTGCCATTTGCTGGGCCATTTGGTTGGCGGCTACATCAATCAGCTCGTTTCCGAGTCTCAAGGCACTTCAGATCGAAGATTTCAAGAGAAGGAGGACGAAAAGAGGGCAAGAGAAAGCAGCTTACCATTGTCATCGCCGAGGATGAAGATGAAGACGGATTGCAGGCCAAAGAGGTTCAGAAAGTACCACGATAGACTCGATACCCATCGGACGTCCAAGTCGCGTGTCATGACCCCGGACTGCAGCATGGACTTGAAGCGAAGGGTTAGAGGAAAGGGAAGTTTCACTATCCCTCGTTAGCAAGCTATCTCCTACCTCTCCCGCATGCATTGTGGTACGTAGCACTCACTGATAACAAAGCCCGCAAAAAAGGCATTGATCCACCCCATTATCAACGTCTGCGGTATCATCATCGCCATGTTTCCCTTCATCATTCCCATCATACCCTCCATGGCTGCGGGATCAGTCATAGGGTTCCCTTGTGGCTTTCCCCTGTTTTCCGGATCTTTAAGAAATGTGCCATCTTTGTAATTTTGCACGAGATAGTCTTTGCGGATGTTGAAAGCGGCGCGAGAGATAACAGAGGAGTTGTTGCGCAGATTCATGCCGCGGGCGAGGGAGCGTTGTTCACGGAGCTCAGGGAGACTTTGCTTTTTTGGAGTCGTGGCTAGCAGAATTGTTGCGTAGTGCCGGAGTACGCCGGTGAGGATCTGGTCATCCTTAGCTCTAGTAGCTTCAAGAAAGGACGGTGTGTATGACATACCATTACTACAGTGATGGGAAAGAGGATCCAGTAGCTGTTGAAATTGTCAACAAGATTAGAGCTGAGGCAGCTCGATCATCTTACAAGAGAGCAGGATCCCGCGGGATGGTCTGAACTGGAGGTCCAGCCATGTCTGGCTTGACGGTATCTAACAACGCTCAACCGAGAGCAAGTATGGTCGGATCACAGTCGTTGCTGGTCGATCTATAGCCCGTAGCGTTGTTCTTTCTTGCGGCCGCAGCTCACACACGGTGACCGGCGTTCAGCTAGGCGCGACAGCCCATGTGGCTTTTTGGGCTTTTGGGGTAAGGTCCACGATTCGCAAAGAAATCGCAATCCCAACTATTGGTATCCAAGATGGCTGCGCCCAAAATTGCAAAGTATTCCCTCTCTGGTCAGTGCTATCTTGCGACTATAACCCTAGGCCTGCGTAGCTGACATGAAGCAGAGCTCAAGAACACCACCGATGATGCCCTGCCGAATTACCTCAATTCCCTCAAGTTCAATCAAGCACACTTCCTCACCGATGTGAAATTAGCGCTAGGATACTCGGCGGTCACAATCGCTGGTGTGTTGTTCTATGCAGACTGGAAGCTCGGCTGGGACGCGACCAAAGGCGCTACTCTCTGGGCTGTCATGGCCTACTTTACGCTCAATTCAATACTGACATTCTGGATATGGGGGGTCGAACGGGGAAAGGTCTACTCTGGAGAATTCAATGGCACACTCGTATGCTTCAAAGTACGTATCCAAAAGACAATGACTGATCCGCCCGCCAGATATCCGTTGCTTCGAGTACAACAAAATATACACCACTCTACGACATTACTGTAAGGCTACAGTCGCCGATGAAAGAAGAAACAAATTTGAAACTATCAGCCCCATTCACACGATGGTTCGATGCTGATGGCTGCTTTATTGCTAAGCCGTTCCAGCAATGGCTGTCCACTGAAGTGCCCCTAATCGGGCAGGCGGACCCAAAAAGCAAACAGGGCAAAATTGAAGGTACGAACGGAGGGATTCAAGTCGCTGAGGCTGTACTCATACACCAGAATGAGACGCCTAAGAAAGCTACTGGGCACAGCGAGGGAACACCGAGTACGAGGTCGAGGAAAGGTAAAAAGTGATTCTGTGCGATTTGTATGATAGGACCTAAGCATTCTGTGACAAGCGTTCTGGTCACTAAGTATTCGCAATTCCTTTTGTGCCCCGAATCCTTTCATCAATCTGGGATGACATTCTACCTTCGCCTCACGGAGCTAAGCGGACAAGCCTCGATACACACACGCTGGGGCCTGTGACACGCAAATTTCTACTAGCAGTGATCAAATGTGTGGACTGGGTTAGGTAAAGCGTCTCACAAACAGGAAGACCTTGCTCTTTCAAGACAATATTGTATCTTGCCAGCTCTTTGAAATGGAGACAAACGCATGGTAGACCCTTTCGATCCAGACTTATTGGTCTAGGACCTATTTCACTGGGCGGCCTCATAGTCAATGAAAATACCAATCAAAAGGAAGCATTGACAGGCTCCAAGTCTTGTGTGGGAGCAGTGTTGATGCAAGATTGCTCAGGACTCTCAATCTCAGCAATATAACCGTGTCACAGTCCCTTCGTTGCAGAGCTTTGGTGTCCCTCGAAATCTGAGATTGTTCTCGTTCACTCATCCGCAGGATTATTTGCATTGTCTTTCCTTTCTCTTCTCCATTCACTGTTAGTTAAAAGACCCTGTAGAAAGTTAATGAGACACTCATTGGGCGGAGGCTGGACAATCTTTCATGCTCGTCAGCTCCCCCTCGAGCGACTGAGGCTTCTTTTGAAAAGGAAGCCTGTTTTTGCGCATCCTCAACATGTCCTCTGCTGTGTTCTGTTTCAGTGACCTTAATCCTGGTGCAATGTCCTCTTTCCAAGTTCGCGATCGTACCTTGAGCAATGTTTTCTCCTCAAGAGTGACTTTCGTCCAACAAGTCACAGCCCTGCTGTATCTCCATATCTCTTCTTCCATCCCCAGACCGCTTCCTACTCTTGCTGCCTCTCTTACTCTGCTCCATTCACTAAGGCTAAGCTTTAGAACTTTGCCCTCTCAACAAGCCTTTCCTCTTTGATAATTGGTCCTTCCTCTTTGCCGCTTGAATCCGCCCTCTGCCTCCTAAGAGCAAATCATTGTCTGTTCGACACTAGCGCTCTTCGCCCTGCAAAAGGATCAACTTCCAATGGAAGAAAGAATTCAGAGACGTAAGTTCTCAAATGGTACTCGGGGTGCCAAGTTTCCTGCTCTCTTTTCCAGTGCGAGGCTGGAAGTATTTCAAAATGTTATAAATCTTCATTTTCGGTCAACGCCGAGCTTGCAAGAAATCAAGATTAGGTACTTCGAGAAAAGAGAATGTCTATAAATTATAGTGGAACGAGTTGAGCAATACCGAGGGTGACTAGGGCAAAAAGAGACGACGCGATAATGGCAGACATAGAGACGATAGAGGGTGATAATTTTTTTCTTTCATGAAAACATTCAACAAGACTTTGGAGCCTTGAGCATCATCTACGCTACCAACCTTGAGAACGCCATCCCTCGACGTCCCATCGAGCCCATCAAATGCCAAACACAAGCCTACCCAAATCCATCCCCTCATATGAAATTGTGGGCCGAATTTCGACTCCCCAGCAGTTGCAGCGCACTCTCGAAAGCCTGCACAACCTTGATATCTGCGCGCGCACAAGTCAGCACCCCGTTGCCTCCTCAAACCCCCAAAATTCAGGACGATAGACTCACAGTGCTGCCTCTTCGCCTCCAAACTCTCTTCGCTGCCCTGCGTAAAGGCTATCCTGGTTCTCAACCTCTTCGCCGCCCGTTCCTCATCATGCACGCTTATCGTGCTCGCCCACGCCTTGAAAACCTCTCCCCACCCTTTCCATTCCTCCCAGATGCCATCCTCCTCCGCGCGAAACGCCTCCATGCGTTTCGAGAACTGGTCTTCCAACTCCGCCCAGTCGTAATTCTCCAATTTCACTTGCGGGTCCATCTCCAAGCTGTCAACGCCCGGGTCTAGATTCATGGTGTTGCGAGTGGATGGGTTGGGCGTGGTGTCGTCTTCGTCTGTGAATCTGTACTTGTTTTCTTCATTGGACATGTTGCGACCCCCGCCGTCGACAGGTTTTCGTGACAGAGAGGAGGGGGATAAGGCTTGTGACATGATGTGAGGAGAGTTGGCGCGGCGGATGGGGTCGGCGCTGGGAGAGCGGATAGTGCCTATACGGGTGGTGGCGGAGTCGGAGGAAGACTGTGGGGAGCGCACGCTGTCTGAAGAGGGAGAGCGGGGGGAGTGGTGTGTTTGCAATTTTGGTTGCTGGCCGAGGAGTCTGTTCATCGCGAGGGACAGGGCGGGGCAAGAGTTTTATGCAGGAGGTAGGGGAGTGAGATCGGGAGGATTGCGGGGGGGAAGGGGGAAAAGGGGGGTGGGTGTTAGGTCTGTATGGAGGATTCTCGCCACAGGTACCGCCCAGAAAGCAGAAAGCCGCAGCATGCACCGAGAATGTCGCAGGGGGAATTGCTGCCGTAAGCAATCAATTGCTTGGAAAGGCCATTCCTCATCCTTATCCCTTGTATAATGCCTAATCCTTGCGTTTGATGTGCATGCTTCTAGGCGCTCTGGGCCGACCATCGTGTGACTGGCTGGAACCCCCTGAGGCGGCAAAGCAGAGCGACAGAGGAGGAGGAGGAGGAGGAGGAGAGGTTTCAGACTGCACGGGCATGACTATTGGGCGCATTCGCACGTGCCGCGGGAATGTCGCACCAAAGTGTGAGGCATTTCGCAAGCCTTTCAATAATCTTCCTAATGGCTGTAGTATTGCTATGTGCTGTATCTGGTTGAGATAAATATATACGAGAAAGTCTAGCCAAATCTAGATGGGTTTTCACCCTGAGGTGGTTGGGTATCCTAAGAACCAAGATGCAAGATACTCAAAGCCTGGGCATTTCAAGGCCCGGCAGTCCATGTGAACGTTCCAATCAGTCGTGCCTCTCATCAGATTTCCAACAATGCTGCAAATGAGTGTTCGTCATGCCTTACATTTCATTATTTTGGTTTGACGACCGCCGAACCTGCGCTTTTCAACCGACCGAGATCCTGCTCGATGATACCTCTCTTTCTTCGGACCAGTTCTTCTCTCTTCGCAATCAGCTCCTCCATATTCCTCGCCGCTCTCCGCTTCTGTTGCCGAGCATACTTCAGTCGCTCCATCACTTTACGGAAGCCGTCAAGCAGCAGATCACCACACTCTTCATATTGATCAATGGTGAGAGAAGAGAAGAAACCCCGAGCGCGCAACTCGCGATCTTTGTGGCTCTTGTCTTCGTAGATTTGTTGTAGCCGATCCGAGAGGCCAAGATTGGGGTTGGGAAGATCAAACTGAGCAAGGATCTTCGCAGCCCCAGGGACATGATCAAAGGACTCGTCTTTCAGTTGTTGGTAGTTCATGTCGGCCAATCCGTGTATGCTGTAATCCAGATCTCGGGATCGCTTCAGGTTGCGACTGCGGCCTTGTCCTGAGCCGCTATCACTGGTGTTGACCGAGTCGGTAGGGCTACTGTCATTACTCAGAGTGTGTGCGACCTTAGTTGGGCCTTGCGGAACAGATTCGTTACGTGCGTGATTATCAAATCGTCCTTGGTATGCTTGTTGCGTCAAAATCTGTGCTGGTGAAGGTAGGTGCTTATTAGTGTTCGAGGCCGCGTTCACGCTATCTTGTCGTGTTGGCGGTCTTTGACGATCCTTCAGTAATTGTACCGCTCTTGACTCCTTTGTGTCGGGCAATGGCTTTGATGTTGACAGTATGGAGTCTTTACGGGATTGCTTGGGGGTGTCTTTGCCATATCCATCCCAATGATCTCCCGTACCAAAGTAGCGATCATCTTCTGTCACCGACCTGCTTCTGCGCCGCCGCAGATCGTCCTGGGCATCTCGTGGCCTGAGAGCGAGGTGCTTATTCAAGGCCGGCGACAAGGCTGGAGACTCATTCTCTTCATACAAGGATGACTGATCCATATCGAAGCCGGTGGCGGATGCGCGTGTGTTACTGGGGATGTTATCAGTGGTGGCGGAGCGGAGCGGGGCTGGCCGGTAGCGGCTTTCCTGGTCGGTGCTGTTTCCTCGCGTGGTGTAGTCCTGGTTCGATGCGTCAGATCCACCGTGCTTCCGCAAAGCTGGATGAGTCCAATTTCCAGGCTCGACGTCGTTGAATTTGGAATGCAGTGGCCTATTTCCGGTCTGATCGTACCGGTTCTGGAGAGAGCTCGCTTGTTGTTTTTGCGGTAGTGGAGGTGATATGGAGTAGTTCATAGAGTGCATCTTACTGCTCTCTTCCGAAGACGGGGCTGTTGGGCTGGGGCCGACGCCGTCGTCTTTGATGTATCCCCTGCCGTTGAGAAACTGTCGAAGTGCTGCCATACGGTGTGTAAGTCAAAGATCCAAGGAGTACCTGCAATTGCATGTGGCTGGTAGAGAGAGTGTAGGAGAGAAACAGCCAGCTGTATTCGAAGAAGGGAAACAACAGGCACAAGCAGTACGTACCCAGTACGGCGTGAGGAAGAGGCAGGACAGGAGGGTGGCAAGGAAAGCGGCAGGATATATGTCAGAGTCGAGACGGAGCAGAGTCAAGCGCTTCAAGGACCTATTCTGGAACGACAAGTGGTGGAGAGATGGAATGGGTGAGGAAAGAGGCGGGGCAGAGGCCCTTTTTCGACCAGTGCTTCATGTTAATGGTCGGTATGGGGGATGCTGGGCCTTCTGAAACTGCTAGACCACGGCGCAGAGGACAGGCAGGGAGGGCAATTTCAGGAAGCGGGTAGCTTGGCCATGTGCATCTTTGGAGTCTGGATCCGGCTTCGATCTTCAGTTAGAGATGTGGCAGGTGTGGTGGTGTCCGTGAGTAGTGGATGTTACAAGTTGACGCTATCGTGAGTGGAGGGATTAGTGTTGCCCCTAATGCGCCCCTATGCCCCCCGGGCCCCCTAAGAGAAGGGAGGTGATCGTGCCGCCGCCAAGCACGCAGGGGCCCAGGCCTTAACGGCAGTCTAAGCAGCCTCTAAGCACTCTCTAGGGGCCACACAAATGACATATGTATGGGTCGCCAAAAATACATCCGGCCAATGCACTCTAGTTCCAGATTATCTGCGCGTACAAGAGCAAGAGGTGCGAAATCTGTACCAGTCTCACACATGCTCGGATGATTATTCACCACTGCCATGCTGCGTGGGAGTCGAGGGCGGGATGCGCGTATAAGTGCACGGGAACAACGTGGCGATAATTGCACGATAACGAGGGATTTAGGATCTCGCCCGGAAGCGCATCAATCTTTGATTAAATCGTCAGCTCATCGAACCCCCTCCCTCTTGTTCTTTGCCTGGCGTGTTGGCTTCATCCTGCCGAAACTCTGAGCAACTGGTGGAATGTTTCGGTTGCTACCGGCCGACGAGATCGTCCGGATCGTACAGGTACAAGCCACATCATTCCAGCGCCCTGGACGGCGGTTTGGCGCCGTCTGTCAGCATGCATAAATGATACATGAATGACGCCCTGCCTCTGCTGGCGTGTCGCCCTGATCCAGCCTGTGCATTCGTCAGACTACTCGTCGGCCATGAGCGGAAAGGCCCACTTCGTTTCTTCCGAGTCGAAGTGAAGGCGTCAAGAGTTACACCGCTGAGAACACGGAGGTAATTGAGCAGACCTAGCATATGCTATATCACTCCCAATTTCCACGAGCGACTACAAAGTCCCCTTGTCTCGCTTCGTTTCGCCTCATGGGACCTCGCATGACCTGCAGGCCCCAGGTAAAACCATCTGATAATTGCTTTTTTATGCAACTTACCTTGTTCGGCGCGGACACATTTTAATGCAACATTGCAGACCGTAGGAGTAACGTGAATGATTGCAAGAGCGAAAGTCGCATTGCGTCTGAGAAACTCTTGGTCCAAATTGGTCTTTCAATTCTGGTGCATGATAGTTCACAAGAAGCAGAGATGATGGAATAGCTGTGTTTTCTTGACAATCTCGGAACTGCAACGAATCTTCATACCCGACGGCTATCATCCAATCTGTACGGGCTTTACAGTCTCGTGCGCCGCTGCGATTTGCTTCAATTCCTCGAATGACGCGGTGCTATTTGCTCCAACGCTGTGAGGACCCCCATCGCTCACGATGACATCTACAAAATACCCTTTGGTCTGGCTCTCAACGAAGACAATGCCTCCATTGACAACTCTAGGCCTGTTGCCTACACAGTGGTCAATCGTTGTCGCAGCACCTACCACCAAGTCCATGGTAGTCACACGCTGTTCAAACCCCTGTGCGGCATCTAATATGACCTTGCACTCGTAATTGGGAAAATACAAGGGCAAGATAGCATATCCTGGTCGACCTAACTTCTTCGTGTCGCGGGAGAAAATGTACTCTTTCGCTTTATATTTGCTGATAAAGTCCGCTAGTGCCCTGATGCAGTGTTTTTTGCTTAGAATGGGTCGGGTGCGTTCACTTTCAATGCATGTGGGCTCGACGATTCCCAACGATGAGGTTGTGAGATAAGGTGCGGTATCTTGGTTTGGTAATGGTGTGGCCTGAATAGGCGAAATAATAATTGCGATGAGGCAACCAACCGCGGCATTGGCTAGCTGTATAATTGAGCTACGCATATTCAACTACAGTGTAAACGCAATAGCATCCAAGATTCTGGTTGGTAGGAGTCCTTTTGAGATCAATTTGGTCTTCATACACGTATTTGAGGAACTGCCATCTTCGCGCGTGAGATTCGCTAACCGTGTCTCAACGCCTTGTTCCTCAAGCGTTTCCCAATTAAAGACGCTTTATAGTCGTCCTTTTCCGCACGAACATCATGTCAGCAAATAACCTTTTCAGAGAAGTGGGTCAAGTTGATTTGAATAATTATAGGAACAAGTCTCGCTCGACGAATGCTAGCGACCTCCCTCGTTTGCGTAAACCTTGTCAATATCATTAGACTCGACAAATCCATTTTTTTGATCCAAATTTTCTGTCAGGAATTTGCTCAGTTGCATACCTTTTATCAAATCTTTGCCAAATTTTCCTTGCTAAAATCCGTTGTATCAGTAGAAAGCTAACTTGCATCCAGAATAGCCTCGATATGAGTTTCGTTCACCTCTGCGGCAGTGATCACATCGAAGAGTAATGAGAGAATATTGTTGCCAACTTGCAACAGTCCGGCGCCGGTCCTCCAACCATCTGCACCAGACATGCAATTTGTTATCAGGTTGACCGAATGCACATAAAGTTGACCTTTCGTCAATCGAATATCGGACAGCCTAAGTTTGTCTATCTTCACCCGACATATGCCTGCTCGTTGGATGTCACCGGCAAATATGTAGTTGGATGTTCCACGTTTGCGTTGGTCGCCGCTGACCGTAACCGGACGGCTGTCCTGAAGGCGGTCCATGTAATACTTGAAAGCACGACCACAACAGCTAACGAAGTAGCTCGATTCAGCTGAAATGTCATCAAAGCAGATGTAGGTTGGCTGCAGACTATTGAAGCTTGAGGAGAAATTCTTCCCTGCGTCCGCTGCATTTTGAAGGTTGGTTGAGATGGCTTTAGCAAATGTTGTCGTTAGTAATTTAATGTATATTGAAAGATACAATGAGACTGAGGCACGCATGTTGACGACTAAAGGGTCGGCCAAAATACAGGAAGTATTTCCCTATATTTGTTCTCCTCGGCTATCAGAAAGTAGGTACGTAAGTGGATATTACCGTCGAGGCAGCTGGGTATACATGTACGGATGGCGCGCATGAATGTAGACGCCCAAAGCCCAACATCAAAATAGTCGCAAATCATAAGTGGAGCTGTAGCAGAGAGCACGCCGAGCAGTCAAAAACCAGCATTATTAGTCAACATTTTACAGATATTGAGACCAGTCTCACTTGCAAGAGTCAGCGAAGCTGTCGTATAAAGTCGTCGTACGGTTTTTGCGAAACGTCTCGGACAGGATAAATAATTTGTTGGGCTCATAATATCTCTTTATAGTATGGGTTGGATACTTTTACTCATCTAATTGTACATAATTTGCCGGGAAAAGCCCAGCTTTTCCAGCATATTCACCTGACCACCAGTCGTCGTCTGGGAATTCCTAATTGAGGATTAGTCACTATGTTTGCAGGCACGAAAAGCCAGGATGGTGAAAGAACAGAGGTTTGACTTACTATGCCGGTAATTTTAGCATTCTCCGGGAACGTCAACTCGTTCTCCTCCGCAGCTTCGTAATCGTATAACGCAGTAGCGGTGGCTCCTTGTGAGGTTGCTGAAGTTTCAGCGACCCGTTCAACTTCATGCTGCTGCGCGGGTGGAGCGACTTTCGAGTCATCTTCAATAAGTTCAACGTAATTACTTGGGAAAAGGCCAGACTCCCCGCGTGGGTTTTGTCCCATCCACCAATTTTCGTCGACCATCTCAATATTTGTCACATGCTCACCTTCTTTCAACTCAAGCTCGTTTTCCTCGGCTTTCTCGTAGTCATACTGGACCAGAGCTCGCTTTCCACTTTGTTCGGCTCCTGGCTGAGCTGATTCTACAGCTTCTTCTCCGAATGATGCAGCAGCTGCAGCCACGCCAGCACCACGCGCTACATCATGGCCTTGTGGCTCGTCTAGGAGATCATCCTCATGCGGTACTACACGAGCCAGAGACCTGGCTGGCATTGCGGGGGAGGTGAAAGCTGTTCATCGCGAGCATCTATTACTTCTTGGTCATTGTGACCTCGGCCAACTGGCATGGCGATACGGATTGGGGAGCCAGAGACTGGGGGCGGGGTAGGGGGTGTAGGCGATCTGGGTGGCTGTGGAGGCGGGGACGGTAATCGAGCTGGCTCTTCTGGCCCTTGAGCTTCACTCCTTGAAGGCATACCTGGGATTGGTATACCACGTCCTGCATTTGGTTTGCTTGAGACGTCTAGAGCAGGAGGAGTCGCGGCAATGCCTGTACCGACATTAGCAGCACCGATAGGAGCCGCGTTTTTAAATTTGTCTCGCATGGCGCTGACGCCTCCAACAGGAGATGTTGTAGAGGTGTCTTCTTCATCAGCCTGCGAGCCGGTGCGCTGCTCGCCCATGCTTCCGGCTGACTCGCCACTTTTAGAGGTGTGGACAGCGCCCCATTTTTTGCCAGTATACCCGCTTTTCCATTCACCGCCGCCAGAGTTTTGACCCACAACAGGGGCTTGACTGAGGCCAGCGGGTGGTGGATTCTCTCCAGCGCCGCTGAGGCCTCGCTCTCTAGCCTTCTTTTCCGCCCAAAGCTGAGCTGGCGTTTTACCACCTTGATCTGCAAAGTTTTTGCCAACCCCCACAGGTGGAGTCGGACCTGTTGATTTTGACTCGAGACCGAAAACGCCAGGCGTTGGGGCTTTGGTACCAGTGAATGAAGAAGTACTTGAACCGAACTGGCCGCCAACCTTGGGTTTGGGTAAAGAAGTCAGCCGTTCGGAAGTATTAAATGGTGCAGTCCGATCAGGAAGTGACTGCCGTGGCTCTGAACTTCGAGGTGGTGAGGGTGCATCGGCGGTAGATGGCTGAGCACGAGCTCTTATTGCAGCAATGTCGACCTTACCTACAGGTTCGTACGAACCTTTGACTGCTATGGGTCGGTCATCCTGAGTGCTACGCTGGGCTTGCCTCCTAATTTCTGAGATGTCCACTTTCCCAATAGGCTGATAAGCTCCTTTGACGACACTTGAATCTTCTGACGCTCGGGCGATAGGCGCGTCATTGCCACGGGATGATTGATGTTGTGACTGCAGGTCCTGTATGTTCATTTTTGTGGGTTGGTATGAAGGTTGAACTTTTTCCAACTGTCTACGCGTAACTGGCGGAGCATCCGCGCCCCAGCCGTCTTCATCTACATTTTGATCCCTTGTACCCCCCGAGCGAGATCTTGAAGCTAGAGGGTTGAAACCATTTCCGCCTGCACTACTCTGTGTGGGTGTAAAGACTGGCTTCGAAGCAATCGGTGCAGGAGGCGGGGCCGGGGTAGAAGTAGCTCCTGAGTATTTTGAACCCGACGCATCAGAGACCTTCTGCACAATCGACTCTGGCGTAAGATCCCGATCAGACCGGGCAGTAATTTGAACGTGATAACCCTATCCAATATTAGATCTGTGTTTCAGGGAAGATGTTGAAATTATACATGTAGTGTCTTCGAAACGGCCGTTAGGTGGTTTGTAAAGTAGCCCTTGGTGCGTTCTGGAACGCCCTCACCACACCAAGCAATGAGAACCGATTTAGGTAGAGTAGTGTTTGGGTCTTTGATTTTTACGAACGCAAACTGTATTCTACCGTCGGAGAACTCATCTACTAGATCGACGAGTTCGCCCTCTGCAGGTATGTGAGCTCTATCTGTCTCCAAAGCACATAGCTGCACTAACCTCCTGTACTTTGGACCTTGAGTACACTCTCTTTTCCTGCCGAATCTTGCTGAAATGCGTTCGCAAGAGGCGCTGAGACAGAGAAGACCGCCCATATCCCGTATGTGGTTGACTTTGCAGCAGCTCCGGTTGGAAGAGTGGCATCTACTACAGATTGGTAGCTTTTCGAGATCGATGGCCCATTTGAGGAAAGATTTAGCGTAGACATAAGGCTGTCTTTTGAGGGTGTGGGCGGAAAGATGGCTTGGGTATCTCAAGAACACACTGACCCTGAGATTGAAAAACGAGGAGAAATGATTGGGCGGCCTTGGTTGTTTGCTAGAAGCCGCATTATTGCAACGGCAATATTACAACCTGCTTTTGTGGTCGTTGCAGGTCATCATGCCAAGATCGCGGAACATCATCCGCAGGGGCTCCAATCTTGTCTTGGCAGAATCTATGGTAAAAGGGGTAATGCGAGCCCTAGGACTAGCTCGCCTGCGTTTCCAGCTTAGCATGAGTGACTGCCATCGATTGATACCCTAATATGCTTGCCATCACGCGCTTGACGGCTAATTAAACGGCCTCAGAATACTCATGATAATTTTATATTTGGCCCGGCGATGTCGGCAAGAAATACATGTTGTTTCTTATTCGATATAAGTCATGGTTATTGATGAACTTCGGAGCCGTGACCGGCTAGGATATTGCTTACCGATGATTCTAATCAAAGGCGCTGAGTATTTCGACATCGCTGCTGGCAAGTGAACATCTTTTTGACCTGGATCTCTGGCCCTTCCCAGCTTGGAAAAGCGCTTTCTGCTTTCGCAATGGAGGGAAAGAAACGCGATGATGAACGTGAGGGTATGCTTATCCGGGGACAGGAAGAGCATGGAGATCAAGTCTATGGGTCTGGCATAGGCATGAAAGGAGCGTATTACAATCGCGCTTCGGAGAAATCTTTGAGCCATGCTGAAGCCAAATTAATATATCGGAGACATCAAATGGAGACGTCAGATCAAGAGCCATATGGCCCTCTCAAAAGAATCAAAACTGCTCCGCCCATTGAAAATGAAGAGACTATGCGGCTGGAGGATGCTTGTATGTAAGCGATTTGCTGTGTCTGATTCACTCCAGAGCGAGGGACCATTCATTTTCTAGTTCAACAATCCGAATGCATTTTCTCAATTTGAGCTGATCTTTGCGTGCTGGTAGTCGTACAAAACAAGAAGACAAAACTACATCTTGACCATAAGGTGTTAGCAAATCACTTAGATGCAGGCATTCGTTTGCCTTCTCGCCATTTTAATGGACCTTATGCAATCAGCGATGCTGGTTCAGACATTGATCACTCAGCAATGGAGGAGACAAGGTACGCCGAGATCGCAGGAGTGGCGCCGCCGGATGTCTCGATCGCCCCTCACTCGGACATATCTCCTGAGCTACACGAGATCGCCCAAAACATCCAAAAAGTTCTAAGGCTTCGACAGAAGTTCATCCACCTTTCTCTCCAAGGTCCGGGTGACAATCCAAAAGACCATGATGACTGGAAAATCTATCCGCTACCTCCAAACCCAAAGTGGGACAACAATAATATGCCTATCAGCAGCACCACGGGGGTAGAGGCTTCCACTGAACAGCAGCCCGCAATGACGCCCATGGATGAAGGTAGGAAAGCAGGCCAGAATGCTGGTGAAGAATTCGACATCAAAGAGCTAGAACCATGGCCTGAAACAGACTTGACGGTGGACTTTAGACTTGACGAAATGAGTGTATATCAGGTCTATGAATATCCTGAATCAGAGAGCAAAGCGCCGCTGGTGGAAGTTCCTACTCTTCGTACTTATTATCAAGCCATGGAAGACATCCAAGACGTGTCATCGGATGGCCCTACGAAGAGCTTTGCCTTTCGACAGCTTGATATTCTCGAAGGGAAATTCCAACTTTATTTCCTGGTAAATTCGTATGAAGAAACGGCAGGCTGCAAGAAGGTCCCTCATCGTGACTTTTACAATGTCAGAAAAGTCGATACTCATGTGCATCATTCCGCATGCATGAATCAGAAGCACCTGCTTCGTTTCATTAAGAGCAAGATCAAAAAAAGCCCACATGATGTGGTAATGTTTCGAAATGGGCAAGAGTTGACGTTAGAACAAGTCTTCGCCAGTATTCAACTAGACGCTTATGACCTTAGTATTGACACACTTGATATGCATGTAAGGTCTTTGGGGTGAAACATCCATCGATCAGACTGCTAAATGCTAATTATAGGCTCACTCGGACTCCTTTCACCGCTTTGACAAATTCAACCTGAAGTACAATCCCATTGGTGAATCACGACTCCGCGAAATCTTTCTGAAGACCGACAATTACATCCAAGGTAGATATCTTGCCGAACTGACCAAGGAAGTTATTTCGGACTTAGAGGCTAGCAAATATCAATTCGTCGAATGGCGCATTTCCATCTATGGTAGATCCATTGACGAATGGGACAAGTTGGCAGCATGGGTTGTCGACAATAAGCTTATTTCGCATAACGTTCGTTGGCTAATTCAAGTTCCGAGACTCTACAGTATGTACAGGGCGACTGGACAAATAGAGAGCTTTGAGAAGATATTGGTCAACCTTTTTGAACCGCTCTACCGGGTAACTAAGGATCCGTCAAGTAATCCTAAGCTTCATGTCTTCCTGCAGCGCGTAGTCGGCTTCGACAGCGTAGACGACGAAAGCAAGATCGAGACGCGGCTTTATCGAAAGTTTCCACCACCGAAGCAGTGGGATACGAAACAGAACCCGCCATACACCTACTGGATCTATCATCTTTATGCCAATATGACTTCGTTGAACAAGTGGCGTCACCGGCGAGGTTTCACCACATTCGTTCTACGGCCGCACTGCGGCGAAGCAGGCGATATCGACCACTTGGCTGCGGCAGCACTGTGCTGTCACAGCATCAGCCACGGCCTCATGTTGAGGAAGGTCCCATTACTGCAATACATTTTCTACTTGGATCAGATCGGCATTGCCATGTCACCCTTGAGCAACAATGCGCTTTTTCTCTCGTATGACCGCAATCCTTTTCCCAAGTATCTTCGAAGGGGCCTTAACGTTTCACTCTCTACCGACGACCCCTTGCAATTTGCCTTCACCAAAGAGCCTCTCATTGAAGAATACTCGGTTGCGGCACAGATCTATCGTCTGAGCGCCGTAGACATGTGTGAGCTAGCTCACCACTCTGTGATCCAAAGCGGATTCGAACACGAGCTGAAGAAGCGTTGGTTAGGCGACTGCTACCATCTGCCTGGCGTGCAAGGTAATAGCGTCGCCAAAAGCAACGTGCCTGATATCCGAGAGAAGTTTCGCTACGACACGCTCATGGAGGAATTGGAGATGATCGACAGATTCGCAGCTGAAACTCCCGCATCACCGCAGCTCACAAACCTCATGCCACCCTCCCAAGCTCCGGCCTCCCCATCACTCCGGAATTCTCCTACCGCGCCCTTGAATCCCGCTCGTATTCCTACCAGCTATTCAAACGCAGACCTTGCCTCAAGGAGATTAGACGGCTCGGCCATTCCCCGATCTTCGTCCCTCATCATGTCGCCAACAAACATCACAAGCGGCGTCTCCTACAGCCCCACAGCGCACCACCATCATCCGAAGATCTTCCCTGGCATTGTCCACGAGCGGCATCGGAGAACTAGCGTGAGACAGGGTAGCGGATCGGAAACGGATGGGGATGGGAGTATGACGGGAAGTGGCGTCTTAGGAGAGAGAAAGAGACCGACAAGCTCGGAGGTGGGAGATGGGCCTATGAATGGAGCTGTGTTGGAGGAGGCAGCTGAGGACGCTTAATAAAGTGTACGGAATTGATGATTATCGAGTTTCTGCATTTCAGAATGCATTTTGGGTCTCGATCCTCGGTCATGGGTAGAAAGCGAGGCGTATGGTTTGTACGAGAGAAAACATTATTATTGTGGGTTTCAGGAAGAAAAGCATGCAGGAATCGGAACGCACTTGTGATCATGTTACTTCGTAAAGGCCCCTGAAATTAATTGAGTCTTTCTACAATCATGAGATCTTGCGATATATTCTGTCTATACCCTTGCAAAGCCATACGCCGAGACAGACCTTTCTCCAAATATTGTGAAGCATGCGATCGCTTACAGCGACTCGATCAACAAGAGACATAGATTACCACACCCGAAGCCGCTTGAATCAAAGCCATGTAGTTCGTGCAGAATGTTTTACACACAATTAATCTTCAATGTCGTCGTCCGACAGATACAACTTCCTTTCCCCTTCGATTGGGCCATCGAAGCTTGTGCTCCCAATACTACCAAAGAATCCCTTAGATTGACCAGGAATGGGCTCCACGCTGACCACCTCGTCTTCGCCGGCCTCTGCATCCAGCTTCAGGCCTCGAAATTGCGTGATCCTATCGAGCTCCACATCCCTTTTAGCTTTCCCTTTTCTAAATCTCGCGATATAGGGAAGTCGCTCCAGCAACAACTCCGTCTTTGTCATTCCGATACTTCTCATCACTGTCTCCGCTGCCCCGTCAACTTCCAGGCCCATCCTCGCCCTAGCGATCCAGCGGTCAACTGCATCATCGATCTCCTCCCTTTGTCTCCCCAGCCTCGCACTCGTGGGATAGAACATCTTGTACGCATCTCCCTTCCCGGCCTTACGGCCCGGTATACCATTCGGTAGAGCACCCCTCTTCACAGGGTCTGGCAGATAGAATAACAAGCCCCTGACAGCTAGCTGAAACGACATCTCTCCCTGTTTGATACTGTCGGAGCCTGCGCCTTGGTATCTACCGAAAGATCCAGGGCGGAATCCTCGGGGAACTTCGAGGAGATCGGCGCAGGAAAGGGCGTCAAGACAGCTGTTGAAGATGTCGATGAAGGTGGAGCCTTCACAGGAGGTTACGAAGTTTTCATGCAGGGCGGCGAGAAAAGTGGAGGTGTCCGTGCCGGTCTCATCGATGAGTGTGTCAGGGAAGACTTCTGATAAACGGGGTTTGGCGAGGTGGGAAAGGTGTGAGGGAGGTAGGACATCCTGAAGATCGGAGGACCTGGGTTCTTCGCGTTTGTTGTAGACGACTTTGCCTACAGCATGAAAGAGGCCAAGAGTAGACTCCCGTTGAGTCACTAGCTCCATTGCTTCTTTAGCGAGTATAGTGCTCCTAGGCTGCCCTGTATTTGAGTTTGGGTCGTGGCCATGGACACAAAGGAATTCCAGGGAGCTGATGGCACTACGAACATCTCCGCTTTCGCTTAATCTTTTGAGTACTTCAGAGCCAGGTTTCTGCAACCGCCCGGTCACCCTGGCCTCCTTTCGAAGTACAAGCTCAAGCGCCTTGACAAGAAAAGATGGAGCAATGACATTGAAGTCAATGGTACTCAGACCGCTATGAGCGAGAATCTCTGGGCCTAGCAATCGCTGGGCCGTAAAGCTGTCACTAGCTGGACCATCAGAACTTACACGTATTTCGGTCAGGATAAGAATCAGTGGGATGATTGGATCACTCTTCGACCTGACCTTACTTGAAAAATGACCTTGAACAGGCGTGGTAGATGCTAGATACTGCAGAATGCAAGAACGAAAGGATCGCAAAGCGGTGGAATCATGAACGAGGTTTGTTGGGAATTCTTCCAATACGGTGATTTTCTGACGATTAAGGGGTACTTGTGCGTGTGCATTGACTTTCGTCCTGGGCTGAAATGGCTGTCCAGCCACTGACAATTCCAGTCCGCCAAAACGCCCGCTCTGCCTCACGAATTCTTCGAGTTGAGCGGACATAGGCGTATAACCTTCAGAGGAAAAATCAGAGCCCACTGGGCTACTCCATTCCACCAGATCAATGTGCATTGTCTTTGCCAACAGATCGATCGTAGTAGACTTCCCGGATCCTGATGGGCCTTTCAAGATGAGTAACCTCTTAGGTACTTTACCAGTGAACACACTCTCAAGCCATATTTTGACGTCTTCGACCTTTCTTTTATTCACTGCAAGCTCTTGCAGCGTCGACGGACCAAGCCGCTCCACCCACGGCCGTTTGTCCAAGTCATCTTTATGTCTAACGTCCTGTGATCTCGGCTCAATGGCGGCCCTCGCAGGAAGCTTGAAAGCCTGAGTGAGACTCGGTGGTCTCTTCACGTTTGAATTCAGCTGCTGCGAGCTATGATGATGACTTTGCGTGGTCGCAGCGGTCGACAAGAAGCCACTCGCGGCCTCCATGAGCAGATCATCCTCAATATCATCCTCTTCTTCAAAGTCGGCAGAGATATGTACGGCCGGTTGCGAATCATTGCTCACATGATGCTGTCTTGTAACAGCTGCAGCTGTGGTACTGAAAAAGGTAGATATAGGTCTTGACCCTGCCGCATTATGCTGCCTTGCGTTAGGGCTTCCATTCACAGCCGCTTTAGAACGCGATTTCCGAGGACTCGATGTAGCTTTTGAAGATACGGCTTTCGCTTCTCCATCTTTAGACGCCTTGGCTCGTTTTCTTACGGGCAAAGATAGTGGAGGATCTCTGACTTCTGTTGCGGCAGGTGTTGTCTTCGATTGAGCACGCTTTACTGCGGTAGTATTTGCATCTTGAGGACCCTCATCATCCGAGTTTAAGCCCGTGATCCTCTTCTGTCTCTTCCTCGGTCGCGTGTCCATCCTACAAGAACAAGAGTGCTTCGTGAGGTGAAGTTCGGAAGGCCCCTCATGATGAGAATGCTGGATCTAGCTTTTTGGCGCGTGCGGACTCGGAGAATTACGGTGATCTAAGTATATAATCAAGATCGCAGTCTTTGCTCACACGTCCATGAATGCGGTAGGAGATATGTATTATTATTCCATGTTGCACTGTACGAGGGGTACATAGATTCAGTTTTTGCTTCGACTGACTTTAGGGACCGAGCGGAGGGGCCAACGGCCCGCTCAACCTACGCCCAACTCAGTCTCCCTCCCGAGGGTCCAGGCTGGCTTGTCTTCCTGCGCGCTTCAATATTGTGGACACAAACACCAGAAAGGACCATCCGTTTAATCATGAAGGATGGAACAGCTCGACAGAAGTGAAGGGAAGATTTGATACGTTCTGAACTACTTCAGCTTCATGATAATGATCTTTCAGCTTTGCACGTACACTACAGCAGTGGCTTCCTCCCATCCACCCATTATTGTCTTCATATGTTTTCTACTAGCCATCCTGCCATTGCCATCCTTTTGCAACAACTGTTCGTGCGTACAGTGATCATATCCGGAGGCCAATATGATCGATCCTAGTCACAACATCCTCCGTTATCGACAGCAGATCGCGTATGACTCCGCCCTGCAGTACACCTTGTGGACTCCAGCCAGCTTGTTCGCCAAGCGCTAGACTCTCATTCGATTTCAGAATTGCATTCGCTTTGATAGAATGGATTGATGCCGTCCACCATACTTTATCCATAGCCGACATCTCTAGCGTTGAGTTCAACGCCCCGACAAAGCTCGTAGGAATTTCTCCAAAGGCTTTGCAGCTGGCATCGAAGACCTCAGTAAGCCGAAGCTGTAGGTCAGGATATTGTGTTTGATGGATGGTCTCCCTTCTCGCTATTAAGCCTTTGATTTTGAATGCCGTCGAGGGAACTTGGAACGTGATGTTGACCTCATTCTTTAAGCTTAGTGGACGAGGGCTGACCTTGAAGCTCTGAACAATACCGTCAAAGTCTGCCTTTTGACTACCTCCAAGGCACTCCGACCCTTGGACCACAAGACGAGCATCCCAAGCACGCTTGGGATAAAATAGATTCAGCGCACCCACAACACGCTTTACTGGGCTGATGTGATAGGTGCTGTCCTCATGAATGATGATAACAACATCTTCCCCCTGGGGCGTCGAGCAGTGTATCTCATGAGTAACGATCCAGTCTTGGGGTTCTCGTTCGAACAGCGTCTTTCCTGCGCGCAGTTTCAAGTCGAGCATTGACTCAGCCTGTGTAACCTTTGTAGTCAATCTATCAAGTATTAGCCCCATGATTTTGCTGTCCTGTATCGAGGCTGCCTACCTATTGATGAAAGACGGCCGAATACTTTCTTTGCCGCACATTACGGAGGTCAAATTCTCCTTCGAATATCTTTTGTTCCTTAACACAATCGGCAGAGTGACCGGATCGATCAGAAACCTGCCAAACTCAATCTTCAAGACTAAGGGACCAGCAAATGATCGTGCGAGATCTAGCATCTCGGCCAACATCGTCTCCTTTTGCTCTAAGTCCTCGTCAATTAGTGGAGTGCGGTTGGGCGTCTTCTGCCGCATGGTATAGTGTATAACATTCTCCTTTGGTGTACTTGGCAAACCAATGATATCGTGGGTCCTTCCATCAGACGCAACAGTCCAATCAGATTCAGGCTTCTGAGACTGGCTTTTCGCATTTGTCCGACCAGCCTTGCGCTTCCTTGTAGACCCACTCTGCTTATTAGTACGGCGATGCGAGGTTGACAAGTGGAGGGACGATGCGCATGAAGGAGCTTCTTGGGATTCATCTAGCGTTAGATCAATCAGAAGCTCAGTCTTGCTGCCATCTTTGAGATCCGTATAGCGTAAGGCAGAGGCAGGTTGACCCGGGTCATTCAAGGGATGTTCATTTGTTGTGATATTGATAAACCTACTTGTCTTGCTAGCCTGTTCAGGAGGATCGTCTTGCGGAGCCGAGTCTTCGCGTATCAGCAGTGAAGGCATTCGAAGCTGGTGTAAGACATCATTTGATGCATCTAGCAAGCTGTCTCCTAACACCTCCTGGTCGTTACCATTTACTTTTCGATGGTGAATGTTCTCGTTTCCATCGAGCATTTTATGCTCCCGTGCGACCTGGTCGTAGTAGAGGCTGTTGGCGTTTGATGTTTCTGCCGCATTTATAACCGGAGGCAGAGCCCTAGCACCGCTCTCAGACAGTCCTGCTACAGGACTTATGGCAATGCTGGGAAGGGTCTGAGTAGATGGCTGCTGGCGTAACATGGTGTTGGCTGGTCTGTAGACCACTTCCGGTATGAAACGCTGAGTCTCTTGATCTGCCACTTGAGTGACTTTGACTTTGCGGTTTCGTTTTGTTGTCACAAAGTCAGGCTGGCTTTGATCGGCTTCTATAACGCTCAGTGGGCCCGAAATTGGTGGTATCTCATCGTCCATTGCCCCAGGAGACATGGGCGTCTCATTAAGCCAAGCTTTCACTTTATTATCGGGAGATTTCAAGTCTTCCGAATCTGTGATTTTATCCTCACAGTGCACCATACCAATCTCCTTAAACCAACGGCCAAACCAAAGCTGGGCATGTGCCAAACTTCTTGGTTGTTCCTTTATTGGGATGACGTCTCCATATTTGTCCAAGAGCATGACAACAAATTGAGAGCTTAGTGTTCTGTTCGCGTTTGAGATAAAGCCCAAACTGTTGAAGATGCGGTAATCGTGGGTGTCGTTCAAAGCTTTCAATGCAAATCTTGTATTGGTCTCATTCTCGGAGCATAGGAAGTTTCGTGTGATTGGTAATTTCTGCAGTGCCTTCTGCAGACTGACAGTAATTTGGCCTTCAACCGGATATCCACTAGCTGACTTGCCTCCGTGCTCGATACTACATCCTGTGAGCTCGCCAATCTTGTTGATGATTGACGGATGAACTCCTTTAAGACCACCGTTATGAGGAGCAGTGGTGGAAGACTCGCAAAGGCTAGCTCCTACAACAAGGTTTTCTACTGCTGGCGCATAGGAGGTTGGTGGAGACGAAGTAAGTTCAGGTGTCAGCTCAAGGGCGAGGTCATCTGAAAGCTGCAAATATCAATGAATACTTGGCCATTCGTTCATCAAAATCTAGAAAACATACCTCAGATCCTGTTTCTGGTCCTAGTTCATCCTCTTCAGTCCTGCAGAATTGCTGGTAGTGCTGAACGAAAGTTTCTACAGCATCTTCGGAACCTCGAAGGGCAACCGCATGTTTGTTGATTCCAAGAAGTGAAATACTCTTGTCACGGCATGAGTCAAGTAGACGCTGCCTCTGTACAGCCATTAGATGAATCCCTTCATAGAATGTCAAGGGCCAAACCTTCTCCTTTCCGCACGAATGCACCAGGGCGATTTGATGGGTTGATTCCATATTGATGACTTACGCTTACTAGTCGCTGCGAAAGGATGGAGCTCAAGGCGTGATTTTACAGAAGGAAGTAAAAGTGGGATTCACGACATATTGTCCGATTCACACATGTCTCAGGTTTCACAGAGACATCTATCATGATGCGCACGGGTGTGATGGTCAACAAGTGTTCAAGATAGGAAGGCACGAGTGTGTAACCCACTTGCTCGCAACACTTGGGGAGGGCGAGCATCCGATTTTGCCACCGAATGGCAAGTCAACACAACATCGACACCATAACAGACAACGACCTCGCGCGAGGAGTAATTCCGTCAGATCTCTAGTGAATACCGTAGGCTGGGACCTTGGCCAAATCATGCGATTGATAGGGCAACTCAATTTCACCCATCCAATTTGAAGCCCAAACTGGACTGTCAGTGTAGTAGTCAATTCGACGCTCGAGCTGGACCAACTAATCACAAGATTATGACTAGTCAAAACATCTGGACTGTTGATAAAAGGGTAAAATCAAAGATTGATCACATGGAAAGTGCTCACCGCTCTAAGCTACTGATACGCTCAGAATCTCCCAATCCTCAACTTGAAAGGCCAGCCCCTCATTAGTGCTTCAGTGCTCAGATTGGACTGCCATTAGATGGGTCGGCCCTGAATTGGACCAACTTTTGAAAGGACAATCGGTGGATTTGCTCAAACAATTGGAGGTCTGGTACGTCGTTGGCCACACTGCTCCTTAGATAGAGCTGAGGCGCAAAAAAGTATAGAACCTGCTGGTTGAGAAGATTTCCACGTCGCATCAACAGAGACTGTACTTAACACTTGAATATGAATTAGACCTTTTATTCCTAGGCTGTTTGCTCAAGTAGACATCAATCACCGTTCTATGCAAGGGGTATCTCGGGCTTCCCAAATCCTTTTACGCCGCATCTCTCAAGTCCCGCTTGACATTTATAATGTACTTCATGCGACCCAACGCATCGATCATTTGACGATGCGTGTTGTTAGTTGTCTCGTCCTGATGTCTGGCCATCTCTCTGATATGCCGTGTAGCCTCCTCCTGCTCAGCCTTGTACGCTTCGAATTCCGCAGATAATTTATCTTTGGCTCGCCTGGTCCGCTCAGCCTCCTTTGCCATTTGCTCCATGACCACTTCCATCTGCATGAGCCTTCGCTTGTCGGTTTCAATTGTGGATTTCAGGCCCGCAAGGTCTGCATGAAGGGTTTTTGTTTGCTTCGAATACCGCTCTTCAAGGCTTCTGAACGATTGGGAAACCATGTCGTACTGAGTAGTCGCCCTCGAGCATTGTTCTCTGTCTTCTGCGGCTTCTTTTCTCAGGGCTTCTACCGTCTCATCTCGTTCCCTCCTTGTCTCTCTAGTCTCTCTTTCCGCTCCTTCTCGCCGACCTCCTTCAGCCAGTAGATCGTCTCGTAATTGCTGTATCCGGCGATCTCGTTTTACGAGAAGTGTAGTATCCGATTCATGCATTGCCGTTAAGTTAGCATTGGACAATTGGAGTGACTCTAATGCCGATCGAGCGGACTCTCCTCTCTTTACTTCCTCTTCGAACTTTACAATGGCCAATTTCTTTTCGCGCTGCAACCGATCATTGTCATTCATCAGTCTCTCGATAACTCTACCAGATTTTCCTCCCGTGGTTGCTCGTCCGACCGCGGACCAAGGATTTGCGGAATCAGCCTGCGGGGTACCTCTATCCGATGATGGACTGTCTGAAAGGCTGGAGTTGACGTCCAACGAGGGGATCAATATGGCTGGTGTTGAAGGGAAGGGTGTAATGCTGTGTTGCGGTTCATATTGATGGAGATGCTTTTCTGGGGTATTGGGGCCGGAGAAGGGGGAGGTTGTTCGCTTTGAGGAGAAGGAGCCCCATTCACGGATGGCGCATCATGCTGTTCTTGGGAGCTGTCAGAACGGAAGAGGTGATCGGAAGTCATAGGAGATGACACAAGCTCGTCCAGATGAATTTTGGGAGCCTCTGAGATGCGTTAGCTACCAAACTAGGTTGTGAAGAATACTAACATACCGAATGCCACCTTGTAAGCTCGAAGCCGGATTTTGTCCGGGCTGTACGGGATGTAGCCTTTTTTAGGCATTGTCACCAGAGTGTGGTGACAAAGGAGTATCTCTGAGGCTTGGCGCAGTTTGATACTCCAGAACAAGGTGCTGACGGACGAGCTCGTCTGTCAACTTGTCCTTGAAGTGGATATCCGGCAACAGAACGCGCACGCATCTTGTCAGTGCTGACATGGGGGTTACGAGCGGCAAAACGATAGATCTATGCGTGGACTTCTCACGTCTTAGAACAGGAAGCGGTTATTGAAGCGAATATATAGGTAAACATCCAGTTGGCGCTAGCGCCGGCTAGATCTGGAAGCCAATCACACTGAGGCTGAATCTGAGCCTAATCGGTTTTAGTTATAATTTAGTTACCACCAGGTCAGAAACCTTTGGCTCTTGAGTGAAAGCGACATTAATGTTCGAAACCTCATGTGCTTTCTTTGCGGCGTTTGAAATCAGCACCTCTCCTACTGCTTCGATTCTGCGGCTTCCCTAATTTTCCTTTCCGCGCCCCTTTTTTCACTGACCCCTGGGTCGCTCGATAGCCCTCAAACGCCAAAGATGGAGGAGCTTGTGTATCATCAGATGATTTTTGCGATCTCTTTCCCAACTCAGCTGCCTTTGCACGACCAACTAGCTGCGATGTCCGGTCATATGATTGAAGTTTAGGTAGAGCGGCCTGGCCATGACTGAATCTCGACTTCGATCGATCATGCCTGACTGTTGGCTGCAGTTTCGTCGGTCTATCGGCTCTTACGACCCGTAATTTCCTCGGTAGCATTGGTGGGAACATCTTCTCGTTGAGAAGTAGAGCTTTCTCGACTGCGTTTGAATCCTCGCATGGTGTCAGTGAACGACCTAGGCCGGTGTAGATCACCCTTACCTTAAACTGAACATATGCAAAACCCTTCCCCACTTGAGTCTTTTTGTCACGAATCATGCGTACCGATTCTACCTCGCCCATTGTATTGAAGGTCCTCCATAAACCCTCTTCATGATCCGCTGGATGCTTCCCCTTCTTGCGGCGTCCTGATCCATGTGCGGGTTCGGCTTCAGCTTCACGCATGTTGCTTTCGTCGTCCACGAAGCCTAGATTGCCCACGAAAACACACTTCCGATGATCTTGATTTCGGGGTCGGGTTATATGGTCAGCACGCAGATGACGATTAAGTACGACTGTGCCATTAAGTCTGCGAGCAGCTTCGAGTGCTACACGTTCAGTGTTGTAGATGGCATAAGCATGAGTACTCCTCGTAGTAGCACTCATTATATCCTTTTTGGCGTAGGCAGCCTTCCTCGGCAGGCGGCCCTCACTGAATGGCGTCGACCGGAAGCGGAGTGATTCGACAGTGGCTGGATTTGCTGTGCCATCCGCTTCAGAGAACGAAATCAGATGCTTCAGCAGAGACTTTCGTGCAGTTTTCGAGGTTACGGCTTCATTAGACACATTTGCAAAAAAGACTGTTCTTGCGCTTTTCTGAAGCTCCAGGTCTTCTTTTGAGCGCCCTGCTTCTACGTGCCGAGGAATATCATCGCCCTCCAACAGCTTCCTCGTTTCGTTCTTGGATATGACATTGCCGCCTCCACGAGGAGTATTGAAATTATCAGAGATAGTTGAGGGAGAAGATACGTCAGTGTCTTCATCTTTGCCCTGCCGAATTGTGAGTTTCGAATTTTCTTTCAGTTCATCTTGAGCGAGCCGTCGCAGGTATGTCGTTTCAAGATCGTCGCCATCACGGGCTCGCTTACGTCTTTTTGGCGTGCGGTCTCCGGTGTCCCCTTCGCGTTCACTACGTGATGGTTCAGGACGTGCCTGGAGCGGAGACGCAATTCTCTTTTTGCGGGAAGCCTCTTCGGAGCCCCGAGAATCCCTGCCACTGGACTTGACTAGAGGCTGGGTTGAGTTAGAATTAGATTTGAAAGGTCTTGTAACGATTTTAGTGGGTCCTAACTGAAAAAGTGAGTTTTTGGTGACAAGGCACTTCAAGAAGAGGTTTACAGAGGTCTTGAATAGCTGAGCTATCTGATCGTCCAGAAGCGGCGCATGGTTGTCCATCATTACTGCCTAACAAATTCTAGTGCAACTCCTCGAGGGACTTGTTCAATATCAACACACAATACTCCCAAGGTAGAAGAGATGCAGAGATATGAAATCATGCCTCTCATACAATTGAACTGACGCGGGGGATCATGGCAATATTATTCAGAGTTTTGAAGGATTGCTTCATCTGACACACTTGAAAACACCTTGACCTACAATCGTATATAAAAGGCAACAAGCTGAAATCCCTTCAAGTCGTTCTGTTCTAATGTGGCACATGAGAGATAGACTGGCCTCGTTTACATGTAGCTGCAGGAACAATTCTGGGTATCGCTTGATGCATTCCCGTCGACTGACCGAATGGCAAGAGTGTTCTTAAATCCGACTTACAACCGAGGGTTGAAAGACCGCCCAACCCTCAGAATCACTATGCAGACTCAGCACGTGTGACAAGTGACAAACGTTCTGATCATTCAGTCAAGACTTGCGCCGTTGGCGCATCAGCCTCAGTATACCGTCTCCTCACTTCAATCAACCTCGAACCACTTCAAAATGTCTACAGCTACCGCCCTCACTGCAGATCAAGCGCAGACCACTAAAGCCCTCGACCGAGAGAGACGGTCCAGTAGCTTGAGTGATCTCGAAGAACGCATAGACAATGAGGAAATAGATCACATGGATTTGGTCAAAGAGGACGACCTCGAAGCTAATGACACAGAGGCAGAGACAGAACGGCTCGAAGACACCCCACTCACGCAGCGAAAACACCAGGACGTGCTCTTAACGTCTGCAGCGGGCGTCGGCCTGATCAGCAGCCCTATATCGCCTACTATGATTGGTAAGAGTCTTCTTGGTTGGAAATGTGAAAAAAACGCTCAATACTGACCTCTCCTCCTAGATGCCCCATTGCGAGCCATGTCCGAAGCGAGCTCGTTAGCAGTGTCCAGCGAAGAGGAAGCACACCCAATCTCCAACACTTCCTCCCCTAGAAAGCGAAAGCGTTTGAGTTTCGATGAAGGCAGCGAAAGCCTACCAAGTTCTGCAAACACCGGTTCTGGTGGGAAGAGCCGGTTGGGCAGCGCTTCGCCCTCGCCCGCGCCGAAGGTCTCTCGAACTTTGCTCGTCGACGAAGCCCAGGCGGATAGTGCCAATGTGGATGAGGCACAACGTTTGCGACCAATTCCCCGAAACGATTCCAAGTCCAGGACAAGCACTAGAAAATCCAAACAAAACTTTGCGGAAGCGGATGAAGTTCACCGAGGCGAAGATAATGCTCAAGATCGGGACAAAGATGGTGTAGATGACGACGGTGTTCTGTATAGTAACGGCGAAGATCAAGACGGCGAAGAAGCCGTAGACGCTGATTTGGACCATTCTGGCAGAAGCGCAGAAGATGGTATGTCTCAACCTGCCCTCAGCTCCGAACAAGTCACTCACCGAGCTATTAGTTTTGAAGAAACGGTCCGCGCTTGACTCTTTGACCTCAATCGAGAAGTCGTTTGCAACAATGAGGGATAAGTAAATATCTACTAGCACTGCAAACCCTTACGATGATCTGACATTATCACAGGCTCTTTGATGAGCGCCTTGCCGCGACAAATGAAGAGTTAGCTCTGCTTCAAACTCCGGGCGTACTGCATCCGGAACTCCTCGCAATGAAAGAAGTTGTCGACCACCATCGAAACTTAAAGATCGAATACCAGCAAACCTTCTTGAAATATAAGCTGGAAACGCTACAAAAAGAAAGCGTTGCCAAGAAGCACCAGATTCTCTCTCAGTACATGCAGACTGTGCGAGATATGAGAGACAGATCCCTAGATCAACTCAACAAGGAATTCTATCAGGTACAACGAGAGAGAAGAAGTGGAGATGGTGACATTCCAGACTACTTGTACCTTTATACGAACAAGCGATCTCAGCAAATCACGCAGCAGACAGCTTACAACAACGAAGTCTCCATTTTGTCAGGCGTTGCAAAATATGTTGGCTTTCCGACTGCGCCAAACATACAGAAAGTGAGGACGGACGAAGCAGAAGAAGATATGCGAAACATGGGCGTAAGTATTCCACTACCTACCGTGAACGCTTGACTCAAGTCTCGTAGGTAATCCTCATGCCTCCCCAGACGCTGCCAAACAGATTGTCTCCTGCGCCGGTACAGCGACAAGCACCGAGTGCAGAGGAGCATTTTATTGAGCGCCACGCGTGGGCAAACCCTAATCATCCAGCACACAGGCAACAACGATTGCAGATGCATCGACAAACCTCGCAACTATCACAGGCATCAACGCCTGTAAGTACCCCGGTCCCCAAGAGCCTACCAGGAGGAGTCAAAGTCCAAGGGTCTGCCTCAACAATTCCTGACCTGCCGTCTGATCAAGGCACTTCCAAGGAACCGATAGCGATCGCGGACGAGAGGCCTAGGGTTGGTCCATCATTGCAAGGTAAAATATTTGAGCAAACACCGAGTAAGCAAATTGGCCCAACGCACGAGATTTTGCTGTTAGGTAGAGAAAGTCACGGGAAAAACTCCTCCCCCCACGATCACAGGACATCAGCAAGTCGCCTCGGCCCCACTCGCCTTCAAATGCGAGACGTTCTCTTATTCGAGACAGTCAAACCCCACAGGTGCTACCAAAGCCACTTCCTTTCACCCAAAATATAGCAGCGCGAGCGTCACCTCCTGTGCGTCTCCCCGTGAAGGTTGAGGATGTTGGTTCAACAGCGCGACAATCACCCGTGCCGCATCAGTTCAGCAGCCCGGCACCTCTACTCGCGGCTGGAGAGGGACGATGACAGTGAGGCAACGTCGGAATCGTCTTATAGGATAAGTTCAAGCATAGCGATGGCGCCACATAGATTAGATGATAATGAAGGATTTGGCGGAAGGCTTGCCTCGGTGTACAAATCTAATGTTCCGTGAGCTCCTCATCAGCAGCAATGAGCAGTCTGGCAAGCGTGCGATTCATGGGAGAGGGTTTATAATCATGTGTAATTGAATGCAAAGCACTGTGGACTCATGAGGCGAGGGACGCGACTAGAGTGTCTGCTCGTCGAATCGCCAATCATGATGTAGAGTAAAACGGGGATAATGACCCATAATTTCCTCCAAGTCGTTCTAGTATGGCTCTAACTCAACAGCACTCCACGCAAAATGCGGGCAGGGGACTTTTCTCAAATCAAGGCATAGCTGCAGGTCATGAGATTTTGCGAACTGATCGTCCACTTTTAGCAGCCCTCGACTCTGCTCGTCTCAAAGATGGCTGCGCGAACTGCTTCTTTTGGTCACCAAACGATGCAGCCTCAAATGACAATCGTTTGGTGACAGCGCATGGCGAACAGACAGATCATCAACTAACCTTTTTGAAAGGTTGCCTTGGATGCAAGGTCGTCTCGTATTGCTCAAAGGTAGGCGTTCGTGATTTATCCTGCTCGATCTCACTGCAAGCCTATTTGTCGACATAATGACCTTGGGTTGAAGAAAGATTACTCTCGCTGTCTCTCAGCTTTCTCTCATTTTGAAATGTAGAACTATGTCTTACGTCCAATCGCGTCTTTTCGAGCCAGAAAACGTTGCAAATAAATGCTGTTCTTCTAGGTAGAAGTACGAGGCAAGACTTAGGCCAATGAATCTGAATTATAGGACTGTCAAACCAACGACTGGAAGAAAGGCCATAAGCATGAGTGCAAAGTTTACACGTCCCTACATCCCAACGTCCTCCCCAACACAATTCGCCTGCTCCTCCGCCTGCTCCTCCGCTACAAGCATTCCAATCTCCCACCCGAAACCTGGAGGTCCTTCACCGCCCTCGAATCCCACACAACCTCCTTTAAATCTAGCAAAACTAAGAACTCCGACAATCTGACAACATGGCAAACAATCACCCTCATGTCTCAAGCAATTCTAAAGTACTCCTCCCTCGACATCTCCCCGGAATCGATGCAATCCCATCTCGCCCGCGTCATGATCAACACCCACACCCTCACAACAGACACCTTAGACCCATTGGGCCTTTGTCTCGAGCCTAAGACCGCTATGCTCAACCACTCCTGTACGCCGAACAGCTACCTCATCTTCTCTGGCCCAACTCTCTCCCTTCGCTCTCTCGTCGACATACCGAAGGGGACAGAACTCACAATCGCATACGTCGACACGACGAACCCGACCCTGAAGCGCCAGGCCGAATTACAAGAACGTTACTTCTTCACCTGCAACTGTCACGGCTGTTCCAAAAAGCTCACTAATAACGCTCCTGATCCCCGTCTAGAGGATCCACGTATCCAGCGCTTGTGGGCAGATGTCACGGAATTGCAATCTGGCGCTGCTTCTCTTCCTCCGCTAGAAGCAGTGGAGAAGCTACGCTCAGCGCTCAAAATACTGAAAAAGGAAGATTACCTGCCTTCTCAACAGCCTTTCGCAGCGGTGTTGCATTCTTTCTTCCTGAATGCCGTGGCGTGTCAGGATTGGCTGCGGGCCCTAAAATGTGCTGTCAATGCGGCTAGGCAGGTCGAGCCGGTGCAGTATCCCGTGGAGCACCATCCGGTCCGGGTCGTGAGGAAGTGGGTTTTGCTAAAGTTGGTGGTGCAGATTGTCGGATTGATGTTGGAGGGGAGGAGAGCGTGAAGGGTATACTTGAGGGGGCTGTGGGGACGAGGCTGGATTTGAGAACTGTGGCGTTGGGTTTATGGAAGGAGGTTGAGGGCTTAGTGGGAAGGAGTCACGGTAAGGAAAGCCGATTTGCTGAGGATGTGAGGGTGTTTGGGGTGGAGACGGAAATGGTAGGACAGGTATGGGATAAAGGGGCGTACGAGAGGGGATGGGAGACATTGGGTAAGATAGTTGAGAAGATGAAATGGTAGGTGAGACAGATTTCCCTTGTACTCAGAGATTTCCCTGATATTGATACAGTCTATATGCCGTCTATTTGGTTTGATTGCGTTGCACAAAGTATCTCGTTTCGATGTAGAAAATGACTTGCGTACTATTCCAGTAATTCTGATCGTCGTGTCATCGAGCGTGTCCATTAGTCTGAGGTTCCTTTAACATGCCCGCTACCTTCGGACCTATAACAGCTTTTTCAAGCGCCTGTAGCACATCTTTCTTGAGATCCTCTCCGTCTTCCACCCCACAGCTCATTCTCACAAGATCATCCCATACACCAGCTGCTTCCCTCTGCTCTTTGGGTATGCCAGCGTGCGTCATGCTACTAGGCACCTCAACTAGACTCTCGACTCCGCCAAGCGACTCAGCAAGAGTAAAAATATTGACTTGCTGGCAGAACCTTTCCGCAGCTTGCGGCCCGCCCTTGATTCGGAAGGAAAGCATGCCGCCACCGAGTCCATCCCGGTGCTGCTTCTGTACGATTGAGTATTGCTTGTGTGTTGGCAAACCTGGATAGTTGACCAATAGCGTATGAGCAGATGAAGCAAGAGCGTTCGACACGAGAAGTGCGTTGCGAGAAGCTTCTTTTGCGCGGAGGTGTAGTGTTTTCAAGCCACGGTGGGCGAGCCAGCAGTCGAATGGCGAAGGGACGGCGCCTATAGCGTTCTGGAGGAAAGTGAGACGGTCTTTCAGGTCCGGGGAATTGAAAGCTGCGCAGCCCATCAAGACGTCCTGTGTTTGATGAGTATCAAGTCATGTTCACACCCGGGGGATTGACGCACGGAATGCCCATTTATGTATTTCGTCACCGAATGTACCACGATATCTGCCCCATGATCCAGTGGGTTCTGTATGTACGGACTCAAGAATGTGTTGTCTACCACAACCATGATTCCATGCTGATGAGCTACCGTTGCCACGGCTCTGATATCCACTAGTGATAATGTAGGATTGCTTGGGCTTTCGATCCAGATGAGTTTCGTCTCTCCTGGCCGTATCATATCTGCCACATCCAGCTCGATACTAGGAGAGAAGGTGACTTGCACGCCATGCGCCGCGGCGACTTTGGTAAAATATCTGTGCGTGCCGCCATATACGTCGCTGACGCTCACGACGTGCGAGCCTTGGGCAAGGGATTGAAGTATAGTTGCTGTTGTTGCGGAGCCAGAAGAGAATGCAAGGGCATATTTGGCGTGCTCGAGTGCGGCAATTGCCTCCTCGAAATTGTCTCTGTTCGGATTGGAGCTACGGACATATTCATATGCGCCAACGGGCTTCCCAACGGAGTTCTGTGCGAATGTAGTTGAGAGAGAAAGCTAATCACCATCAGCTTAGAATTCTCTTTCTTCGATTCCACTTACAGATTCAATCACAGCACCTGTCGTGGGATCGTGGGGACTTCCAGCATGGACTGCTAGCGTTCCGAAATTGGCAATTGGTGATGGAGCTCGCGGAGGGGTTTCAATTGAGTCTTGAACTGCATGAGGAGACATTGTCAGAGTGTTTGGTACTTGGTCTATAGTAGAGAAAAATCTCACCAGCCTGTGAGGCTTTTTGTACTCTACGAATTGCACGAGGAATGAGTGGCTTTGAAATGAATAAATTATGCGGATGACGTGCTTGTGCATATCTAGTGCCAAGGCTTTGTCAGCGAAGACGCACGCGTTTGAATGTCATGACCTGTGGCCAGATACTTCGATCAAAGGGGTTGGGAAATATGTGGAAATACTGTCTGAATTTGGGTATCATCGCACGCTATGTAAAGGAATCTGTAACCCGTCTTCTTCTCATGCCAGCCCTGATTCTTCTTTGGCCTTGCGGTCACTTTCAGCTTCATTTTCTTTCTCCTGGTTGACCAAACGCTGGTACAAACTGATTCGCGTCCCCTTCTGTTGCTCTTCTTGTTGATGTCGCTTTGCCTTATGACCACGCGGTTTCATACCTGATTGCTTATGAGAGAATCTACAACGGCCTCCATATTTGCACTTCCCAGAGCGCGCGAAGGAGTGGCATGGTGCCTTAGTCCTGACCTGCCGCTCAACAGGGGGTTCTACTGCTTGATCTTGTTTTGATGTCATTTGCTCCGGGGTCTGGGCGTCAGAATCTGTCTCTGAAGGAGAGCTGCCGCTCGAGGAGGTCCAGTCATCGGTGTCACTTGCCGACATACTGGCGCTCGAGTCGGAAACAGAGACATCTGACTGGAATTTGAGCTCACGCTCTCCACATTTGCTGCCATCCGCAAGCAGAGAGTCTGAGGCATGGTGGCCTTGCTTAGATTTGACACTCAGATCAGGTGTGTCCGGAGAAGTCTCGTCACCGGCGATTGCAGTAGCAATGACAAACCCAGCTGATGCTGCCTGCTTGTCGGTGTCGCAAGCTCCTTTCCTATCTCCACCCTCCGATGAAGATGGTACAGCTTGACGTTCGGCAGCGGCAACTTTCTTTTTTTCGACAGCAAGCAACCCTCGCAATCTCTCTAACTCGCGCTTGGCATTGTCAGCCTGTTGCTTCTGCGTTTCCCTTTGCCTAGCAGCCCCTTGCGCAAGCCACTCCTTTTCTCGTGCCTCTCGCATTTGACGATGCTGCTCCCTTTTTTCCTCTCGGGCTGCTTGTTGCGCTGCCTGTTCTTTCCTCTTGACGTCCTGGACAAGCCGCCTTTTCTCCATAGCTTCTACAACCCGTGCCTGAGTCGGCCACCTTTTCTTACGTTCTGCAACCCAGCTCGCGATCTCTGCAGGATTTCGAAGGCAGATTGTCTGACCCAGATGGGCGATCTCCAGTCCAGATGCACTAGAATCCTTGATGGTATCAGCCAGTTTAGACTCTTCATCTTCTTCGTTTTCATCCTCGCTTGATTCGTATCCGGCCTTCGGAGTCAAGCCCAAAAGATTATTCTTGGCCTGCGGCTTGTTGTGTTGAGATGGTCCCTTAGAATTGATGCTTCCTGTGCCTGGAAGAGACGAAGAAGGGCCCGGAGGTAGAAGTGGTTGATAAAAACTAGGTACTGAAGGTGCGACACCGGATCCATTGGGCTGTGTGTGAGGCTTTGCGAAGGCGCTAGCATGATTACGCTTTTGCCCTACGAAGGTAGTGCTAGCAGAAGCATATGTGCCCTGAGTCTGAGCTGACGGTGCTTTGGGTGAATTGTATGTTCGGGGTGGCGGACCGCTGTTTGCTCGATACTGGCTACCAGAAGGAGAATTTTGAGCTGATGGAGTGCCAGCATGCTGTGGGTCATTTAAGTTGCTCGGACCGTTGGACTGGACAGAGCCTGGGAAACTTGTTGGAAATGTCGTATCTGAAGTACCCAACATCATAGCTTGATTGCCTTGCATCCTACCGTATTGATTGTTGCCATGTGTCAAACGATTTGACCCAGATGGTGCAGTAAACGTGGTATTTGATCCTCCTCTTCCACCACCTCTTATTGAGCCTCTACCTCTTCCACGATTCCTGTCATGAGGAACACCAAATCCTCGTCCGCCTCGTCCCTTCGAATGTCCAAAGGATCCTCGGTGTGATCCCCATGGCTGGTCGAGGTGCTGCGACTGAATCTGTGGAGGAGGAGGTGGCGGCGGAGGAAACGTGAAATGGTTTGATCCCATCACAGTCTTCGGACTCCGAATGCCTCATCCAGGGCCCCACATCGGTCCTCTAAGGCCATACACAAGTTGCTGCTCGACATTTCGCAAGACCGAATCTCCCCTTACGGTTTGCTTCATCAAGAATTCCAACATCCGACCTGCAGGGCCCTCGGAGGGCGGCCCGTAACCTTATCATTTTTAAAGGTGTAAGCCCACGAACAGGGATGGGAAAGCTAGTCACTTATTGGTGTTCCTAATTCATCTACCAAGGATTTCCATTTAGGACACACTTCTCTTCAGCTTTTTGACAGCGACGAGCGTTGTAAATCATTATGCAACATGTTTATCCTTACAAAACTTTCGGATCTGGTCCAGATCTCCCCTGAAGACCTCAGCAAGCCTAGCTTGCAAGCTATTGAAGACAACATACACGCTAAGTATTGTAATAAAGTACAGGACATGTCTCCTTATGATCAACAAGCTTCGCTCAATTTGAAAGGTTATTCAACGTATCGGTCTTTGTATCAGCGTTTACGACATCTTGGAAGCCTCAGATGGCCGAATTGGACAAGGCACAGGCATAGTGAATGTTAATGGCAAGTTGCGCGCCTGCATTTGACCAAAGCTGCTGATTCTTCCGTTAGTAAGATTTCGACTGGTAGTTTTCCGACCATTTGAGGGCGAGATCATTGTTGGAAGAATTAGCAGCGCCAGTGACTTGGGAATAAAAGGTCTGGGGATCTTCTTCTCGATTGTCTTTATTTCGTTGAGAATCCTTAGTACGACTTGATTTTTTCGACGACATACTAGTACCACCAAATCTTCTTTTTCCTGATAGCAAATTGTGAGTCCCGTGCTAGGCTTACCACAAGCTGTCTCTTCCAACTTTATTTGACATCGAGACAGTGTTGTCCAAGAACAAGTCTGGACTTGGAACACTGGAGACGACACGTACTACTATGACAAAAATGAAGAGGTAAGAGTTCGTGTAGAAGCCGAGTCGTGGGCGGATCTGTCCCCCTTACCTCCCACACGACGCACGGAAGAAACTATGCTGGAACGGAAAAGTCCGTATAGTATCACGGTAAATCTCTTTAAGTATTGTACTAGGACCTGCTGATGAGTAAAGGCTTCGATGATGCAGTCGGGACTTGGACCTATCCCCTGGTGGTAGAGCCATGTCTCTCGAGTCGTTTTGCCTTTTGTGGTACGAGCGAATATGGATATGGGGGACTAAAGACATAGGCTGCCTCATGCGTAAATAACGATATTGGCTTGCCAGTGAAATGTTGTTGGAGGGATACTATCGGACTTCGAAGACCGCTGCGTCCGAGCTCCGACACCACAACGCGGTATATTTTATGTCATTGAAAACCAAGATCCTACTAACTAAAAGCTTTCGACAAACATGACCACGAAATGACAAAGAAAGGCGAGGAAACGATCCACGAGGCCAAGCCTCGCAGTGATTGGTGATTGGATGGCCAGGTTTCAATATTGCATTCTTCTATGTCTTTCTGAGTCTGCCAGAGCCAGCAATTTGTTTTTTTTAACCGAGAAAACCACCGCAGCTACAGCGTGCATATTCCGTGTGCCACCAGTCAAGACGATAACAAGAGAAAAACAACCACCGTCGCAGATCTATGCCACACCAGTTGAACAGAGAAAAGACTGCCGTAGCGTTCACAAAAAACTTACATTCGCATCTTGCTGCACGAATTCCACACGTAAATCATGTGTCCTCATCTCGATCATGGACATTGCTAAAAATCTTCCGGGGGCTCACTGGCTTTTACCCCGTATAAGTCTTGACAGCCTAAGCACTGTCACTTTCATCACCAAACCCCCAATTTCGCGATGCCCCCTTCTTTCCGCCCATGCCATCTCCACCACTCTTGATACCGGTATTCTTGGTACGATTGAAATTTTCTTTGTCATTCATCTGTGCCGAAAGGACCTGGGCATTGGAGCGTGCTGGAGCAGGAGCGCCCTTGGGTGAGTCATCGGTCATTTCCCACTGGGCACCCATTTGGTTGACGACCTTTGCGCGAGCGCCAGATACATGCTTTCGAGACTCCTTCTCATTCTGGGAAGGAGAATCGTCGGTGTAGTCAAAGTGAGGATTGAAATTCTTATTTCGATCCTTAAGATTTGTGATCGAGGAGAGTGGCCCAGATTTTTTGCCGTCCAAGGGAACGACTTGGTCATTCTCTGTTGTGGCACTCGTGTCATAGAGCACATTTGATCGCTCTTTCGTACCCGCAAGAGAGCTGCCAGGACCGCGATTGCCCTTAGGGGTGCCATCATCCTGAAATTCGAAGTTTAAGGCAGCATCAGGGCGAGCTTTATGCGTCGGCGCACGATGAGCTGGGCTCTCCTCTTCTTCGGGGTCTTTCCAAGCGGGCTGTTGCGGTCCCTGACCAGCACGTGATCGTGAATGCGGCTTCTGAGGAGTTACGAAGTCTTCGAAATCCCATTGTGATTGATGCCTCGTTTTTGGGCGATCGGTCGTTGGGGTCGGAGCATCGTCTCCGTCGCCAAATTCGAAATGGTTGTACTTCTTAGGGTCTGGTTTCATGGCCCCTCCTTTGCTAGGCGATCTCGGAGTTGTAGGATCATCTTCGGTCTCGAAGAGTCGAGATGGCTGGTAATTCTTCCCAGCTCCACTTTTTGGTGCAATCGGCGGACTCATAAGGCCGCGCTTTTCCGGCGATTTTGGGCCCTTACTAGCCTGGTTTGGAGACCCTTCGCCCACGAACAGATCATGATAGTCCCGAGGGGGTGGTTTGGCTGATTGAGCTTTCGGTGGCATCATACCATTTCCTTTTTTGGGAGACTTCGACCGACTCTTTCTTTCGCTATCAGATTCATCTCCTACAAAGAGATCGCCATAGGGACGGGGTGGTGGCTTTGCTGATCCTTTGGGAGCGGTGACCCTCGGAAGTCCTGTCTCCTCCTCATCATGGGGTGCAAACAGCGCTAAGTTCGCATGCGGATCCCTAGTGACATTATTGCTTTGCGATCTTGGCTTTCCCACAGCCGCATCCCGTCCGGCATTGCTCGATGCAGCGGTGGAGGGACGACTTTGTTTGTCGCTGTTGGATACATTCGACGTGATGAGTCGTGCTTGGTCTTTCCCATCCCGAATGGGCCAACTTTTAGCTCGGGCCCCAATGACCTCGACCTGCTTAAGGAGGGAACCCTGATCCCAATAAAGACGGATCTGATGAATCTGTCCTAGGGAGTTGAAATGAACGATATGAATCTAATACACGTCACTTTGAAGCCCTCGAAACTATGCTCATCTGCTTGACTCACTGTAGGAAAGATGACGATGCGATCAGCTAGAAAGTTGTCGTCCAGACCCGGCAAGTATGCTCCCCCTCCCGATATGAACTCTACAGTAGTCTCAACATCAACGCTGATTGCATTGTCGCCTTCAATGCACCCAATAATCTTTTCCTCTTTCTTCCTCAAGACCTTGCTCTGCGCAGTATTGTGTCTTGCAATTGCTGCTGCAGAGTTGATGGTGGTCAGTGTGGGGATGTAATTAAGGGCGGCGTTCTCGCCGAGCGCATCTGCACTGGGGCTTATGAGATACTGCTTGTACGCATTTCGGAGTGCCATCTTGCGAGTTGACAAATTTGTCTTGATGGGAAGAGGCTGTACGCAAGACTTAGTGCACTGAGAATTATATCGAGAACTGTGTTTACTTGATTTAAGGTTCCGGCTTTGATAGCATTGTATTGACGAATCAGGGCGTGTTATTTTGAGAAGGCCAGGGCAACCGCTAATGCAGGACACGCATGCCATGCACGAGGTGCAGCCTTCAACCATAAGGTCCGCCGCCCTCCCTTCATCTGTAGGAGCAATCAAAACCGCTCAACTAGTTCCCTATATGGCCAGTCGAGCTATGGACTGGTGTGGACGGTGGAGGCTTGAGTCACCTCCAATCATGCGTCCAGTACGTGACTTCCTTAGGACGATCGATAACATAATGACACTCATGGAGACGAAGTGTAAGTAGATCGCAAGGAAGAAGGGCAACGACCCTTTCAGGTCGTAGTCTTCGTACGTTTGTCATTGGTCCCTGTGTGCGCTTTTCCCCAGAGCGTCTGGTACTGTATGCCAGAATGCAAATAGGGCTCATAGTATTCATGAAGATAGATATGGCTCTACACCTCCTTCTCATTGGCCTCCTTTTTCGATGAAAAGAAGCCGAAAATGGAGCTGAAATCGGTGTTATCGGCTTCACCTTCGGCTTCGTTGTTGATTTCGTGGCCGAATATATGAGTGCACGTTCTTCTCTGCCTCAATCGCTCACTACGCCTTGCTGGTGCCTCCGCCCTTTCGCGTTCATAGTAGTCATACAGTTCTTCTAGATTTGCTTGATGTCCAGCCCGAATATTTCTAGGACTACCGGTGTTAAAAACCCTGAATGTATCACTTTAGTCTCGTATCTTCACGGATCTTACCGGAGAGGACTGCCTACTCCGGGAATTTCAACTCCATATGACCAACAAATGGTGCCGTCTCAAACAGGTGCCGATCTTTGCCCGCCTCCTCGACAAACTTGATATTCATGTAGGTCTTTCTTTTGAAGTCCTCTTGCATCGAGTCGTAATAGTGAAGCCACCGCGTAAGTAGTGGCTGTTTATCGGGGTCCCCATGAGCGTATTTGTACACAGCGAGTGACAACGCCAAAGACGCAATGGCTATGTAAAATGGACGCTACGCACTCATGTGAGTCCTCTGCTAGCCTGCGGAACTTTTCAAGGACGAGGGATGACTGCAATGCTGAACTTACACCCATCGGTTCAATCGCCGGACCGTGATCGCCCAGGTTGGAGTGATGAGTCCCTGCAGCATGACGTGTCTTTGCTTTAGTTTTCTTTCTGATCTATTGATGGTCAGAGATATAGCGCCGAAGGCGTACTTCGTTCGTGTGTGAATGGGCTCACTGACGTTCGGCGGCTTTTCTTTAGCGTATCCACGCCATTGGGATTTTAGAGGAGTAACAACGTGCCGTGTGAGCTGCGACCGTAATGGCAGCAATGAATATGTCTTCTGCATTTCAACATGGGGGGTGAATGCAAGTAATCGCAGACGATGAGCGTCTCGGAGGGACTGAGGGGAGTCTCACTATCCGGCTATGCGCCAAGAAATTTTCCGAATCAAGATAGCTCGAAACGATCTATGAACTAATGGCACAATGCTATACCTATCAATAATATGGAATTCACTAAATGTCTACAGATTGCAAGCATTGTGTCTGAAATGGGACTTGAATGCCACATCACTGGCTACCTCTCCATCGACGTCAGGCTTCGCTGTTGCACACAGCTCGAAGCGCCTCTGCTCACCTCGTTACCAGAATTTGTGCGTAGTGCGGAGTTCTCCATGGTCAGGATCTGTTTCCAGTCTCGCGATTTTACCAGACTCAATTTCCATTTGGAAGGTCCTTTTCCTGCAGTGGAAGAATTTGAACGTTGGAGACCCTCATCCGCGCATCTAACTTCGACCACACTCTTTACTCAGACCATCTTCCTGTTCCAAGAAATGTCGGATACAATTCAGGGACTTCGTATGATCTTTCCATTCGTAGCGCGACCATTACCATGTAGTTTTGATTGATGGAATTTGTCGACTTCCTTCTCCACGGCCTTGGCTATTCGTGACTGCAATCCAGGCCGGTAGCCAAATAAGAACAGTATCTCCATCCATACGAAGAAAGGCGCTAGGAAGAAGGCTTGTACTAAATTGTCAAGGAGCGCTGGGGCTCTACCTTCGAAAATTCCGTGGCCTACGAATTGTGCAATCCAGCAGGAAATATGCAGACCAATTGCCCAGTAATTCGCGGTCGCACCATAAGAATCAGTTAAATGGTTGGAGAAAGCGGCCCCTGCGAGGAGTAGCGGCGCGAGAAGACTACCCGCAACAGGCTCCATTAAGATATATAGAGTTGCATACACCAGTGCAGCTATCGTTCCAAGAGTGGGCGGAAGGTTTGGTATGATTAGTGCTTGAGGCATCGGCACCAAGGGTGGGGTATTGGTGCCCTGTTCAAATGGTCATCAGCTCCTAGATTCAATAGGTGATACTGTTTCGAAAGACTCACAAAGAGAAAGGCGGTCATTAGGAGCCCAGGCACACATACTATATGTATGGCTTTGTTGACCTAGAAGAAGGCTCTTAGCGCAAATTGATAGCGAAGCTTTTGCAAAGTAGTATTGTACTGGAGTATGATGATACTGGCCGTACTGCTTAATGTCAGATTGTAGAATGATAAGCAACACACAAAACTGCGATCGTACAAACTCCAATTGCTTTTCCAAGTTCAAAGCCATATTATGCTTTGACAAAAGCTCGAACAATTGGCTTTGAGGTCCTTAGGTAGGGAACCGGTGCCTTTGCACGCTGTCATAAGAGTGGTGAACATATCCTCGAAGTCGGGTTGAAGCCTGTTATGACTGAATAGGTCTAGTGCCTTGGCACCGGCTGTTAAATGCTTCTCCCCAATTTTGACCACAGCAATACCAAGCTCTCCACTCTTTTATTTTCCTCTCTCAATCAGGAGTGCAAGCTTCTCTGTACCTTGTTATTCTTTGAACAAGCTAGTTCAAGATGTTGCGGAGCGCGCTGAGGCAGTCTAGCCGCACGGTCGGCGCAGTGTCTTCATCTGGCCGAGTCGCAGTGGTGAGCTTTCCATCTCATTGTTGAGCCAGAATACAAAACAGCAGCTCGAGCATGCTTTCGTCTTCCAGACAAATATCTCTTAAGGGGTGGTCCGCAGTCGTCATCGCCAATGAGCGTCAATTGAGTAGCAGCGCTAATTACCTCAACCATCACAGTCCCGAGCTTCAGGACCCGCGATACTCAATGTCTGTCAAAAGCAAAGCCGTGGATACGCAGAAGCCAAAGCCGCTCCTACTGAGGTCTCCTCCATACTCGAACAAAGAATTCGTGGCGTGCAAGAAGAGGCCGGCTTAGCCGAAACGGGTCGTGTCCTGTCAGTTGGGTGAGTAGCAGGCGGAAATGATAGCCTTAGCGTATCTGCGAATTAGCTCTTGATCGCTTACATTTTCTAGTGACGGTATTGCTCGTGTGCATGGTATGAACAACGTCCAGGCCGAGGAACTTGTCGAGTAAGTAGGTCTGGCGAAATATGGGGCTACATTCTCACCATGGCTACAGGTTTGCTTCCGGCGTGAAGGGAATGTGCATGAATCTCGAAGCTGGCCAAGTTGGTGTCGTGCTTTTTGGTTCTGATCGTTTGGTCAAGGAAGGAGAAACGGTCAAGCGAACAGGACAGATTGTACGTTGGCATTCTTCTGGCGGTTGCACTTTGTCTAAAGAGTTTCAAGGTCGATATCCCTGTGGGCCCTGCTATGCTCGGGCGTGTTGTCAATGCTCTCGGCGACCCTATCGACGGCAAAGGACCCATCAAAACCACAGAGAGATATCGAGCTCAGCTAAAAGCGCCGGGCATCTTGCCACGAAGATCTGTCAATCAGCCAGTTCAGACCGGACTCAAATCTATTGATGCCATGGTACCGATTGGGCGTGGTCAGCGTGAATTGATCATCGGTGATCGTCAAACTGGGAAGACCGCAGTAGCTCTGGATGCCATCTTAAATCAGCGGAGGTGGAATAACACCAGTGACGAAACCAAGAAACTTTATTGCGTGTACGTCGCAGTCGGGCAGAAGAGATCGACTGTAGCACAGCTCGTGAAAACGCTTGAAGAGAATGATTCGATGAAATACTCGATCATCGTCGCCGCTACGGCTTCCGAAGCTGCGCCCTTGCAATTCCTTGCGCCATACGCCGGTTGTGCCATCGGGGAGTGGTTCCGTGATAATGGTAGACATGCCGTTGTGGTTTACGACGACCTTTCGAAGCAAGCTGTAGCTTATCGGCAAATGTCTTTGTTGCTTCGCCGTCCGCCTGGCCGTGAGGCCTATCCTGGAGAGTACGTGCAAGAAGCAAAAGTCTTGTGGTTATTCGCTCACTGACACGTCTCCTAGTGTCTTCTATCTCCATTCACGTCTTCTAGAGCGAGCTGCCAAGCTCAACGACAAGCACGGGGGCGGCTCCTTGACTGCTCTCCCAGTTATCGAGACCCAAGGTGGTGATGTCTCCGCCTTTATTCCTACTAATGTCATCTCAATCACAGATGGACAGATCTTCTTGGAAGCAGAATTATTCTACAAAGGTGTACGCCCCGCTATCAATGTCGGTCTTTCGGTTTCTCGTGTTGGTTCAGCTGCCCAACTCAAATCGATGAAGCAGGTTGCAGGATCTCTGAAACTTTTCTTGGCTCAGTACCGTGAAGTTGCAGCCTTTGCTCAATTTGGTTCTGATCTCGATGCGGCGACGAAGCAGACCCTTAACCGCGGTGAACGTCTCACAGAGCTACTGAAGCAAAAACAGTATCAACCAATGGCAGTCAATGAAATGGTTCCCCTCATCTATGCTGGTGTGAACGGGCTTCTCGACAGTGTTCCGGTCAATAAAATCCTGCAATGGGAAGCAGATTTCCTCCAACATCTAAAGACTAATGAAACAGGACTATTAGAATCGCTGGATAAGGAGGGTCAAGTCACCAAAGAAATTGATGCCAAAATGAAAGATGTCGTCACAGAATTCACCAAAAGCTTCACATAGAGAATTCGCTAGTAAGACTCTTGTTCAGATCAGTCATCCTGGTGCTGATGCGCGGCAGCTGTAATCTAAGCTGTTTTAAGCGGTGTTCAATTAAGGGGGTTCCAGGCAATATAGTCTGAATGTGCAAACAACACTCAAATTTTGGGCATCGTTTCTATGCCTTCTCTACCAATCTAAACGCATTTCTCTAAGAACCACTCAACAATTGTATGTAGGAACAATCGAGAACCCCGTTTTCTCACTTGATTTGTCCGCACCTCGTATTTTGATTGCTGTATAGCACAATATTTTGTGGTCTCGGGCCGGACTAGAAGCGCGGAGTATTTCGAGATTGCCAGTCATAGTCGTCTATTAGGTAGTTCGTAGGCGGAATTCGTATAAACGTACCTAAGTGCTTAACGACGGTCCGCTCCTTGCGGTACGTGCGAACCAAGCAAAGTGAAAAAGGAGACGTTTTCTTCGCACGTCACATATATCGTCAAGCAATCTGGTCTAGTTCTCTAATTACAACAATGGCCGTTGAAACTCCAAAAATTGCGATCCTCAGTGTCTACAACAAAACTGGCATTCTTGATCTCGCCAATGGACTACAGAAGAAAGGCGTCCGGCAAGTCTGACAAGACACGTTTCTTCAAGTTTGAACGACTGACATTATTACAAGCATACTTGCAAGTGGAGGCACTGCTCGCATGTTGACTGAAGGGGGTATAAAAGTAGATGATGTTTCTGCCATCACAGGCAAGTCTAGTATCTTACAAGGAAGGGTCAAGACTCTGCATCAAGCCGTAAGTAGTCTTGCTTTGAGTAACGAAATTCTTGAAAACTCAACACTCAAGACGTAGGTTCATGGGGGGATTTTGGCCCGTGACACGGCAGAAGACAAAGTTGACCTTGCAAATGAAAACATTCAGATGATTGATTATGTCATTTGCAACTTGTGTATATTTGTCTCTGTTCCCACATGTCTATGACTGTGCTTAATATCCCTTAGATCCGTTCAAAGAGACTGCTCAGAAGATCAATGTCACTATCCCTGAGGCAGTCGAGGAGATAGACATCGGAGGTAAGGCTTTTCATTGTTTTCGATCAACGTTCGCCCAAGTCTCACATTACTCCCAGGCGTCACTCTACTTCGAGCAGCAGCGAAAAACCATGCTAGGGTCACCGTTCTTTCTGATCCTAACGACTATCCAGACTTTCTTCAAGAGCTTAGCAAACACGAGCAAGGCGAGATTTCCGAGACCAGTAGACAACTGTATGCTCTAAAGGTAGGCCCCATTCTTTTACGACGATCACCCTGTTTACAGAAATATCAGGCCTTCGAGCATACGGCAGATTACGACGACGCGATATCTGGATTCTTCCGCAAGAAGTATGCAAGTGACGGTCTCAAACATCTAACATTACGCTATGGCACAAATCCACATCAAAAGCCAGCGTCAGCATTCGTCAAAGAAGGGCAACTCCCCATCAAGGTGCTCTGCGGCTCACCAGGCTACGTGAATCTTCTAGACTCTCTCAACGCTTGGCCGTTAGTCAAGGAACTAAAGAAGGCACTCAATCTTCCTGCTGCTGCAAGCTTCAAGCACGTGAGTCCGGCTGGAGCCGCAGTAGGCGTGAAATTATCTCAGATAGACCGAGAGGTCTGTATGGTCGACGATATCAAGGGAATCGAAGACTCGCCTTTGGCTCAGGCCTACGCTCGTGCGCGTGGAAGTGACCGTGTTTCTTCGTATGGAGATGTGATTGCTTTGTCAGACGAAGTAGACGGAACGACAGCGAGAGTCATATCAAGAGAAGTTTCTGACGGAGTCATCGCCCCAGCTTATTCGAGAGAAGCTCTTGAGATTTTGTCTAAGAAAAAGGGCGGGAAGTATCTGGTCCTACAAATTGACGAAACGTACGAACCCAGCACCATTGAGACTAGATCACTCTATGGCATGAACCTTCAGCAACACCGAAATGATGTTCAGATTTCCCCTCAAGAGACATTCAAGTCTATTGTCACCCCCAAAGACCTTTCTAAACTCGAAGACCATGCTTTGCGAGATCTTACGGTAGCGACAATTGCGCTCAAATACACGCAGTCTAACTCGGTCTGCTACGCATACAACGGTCAGGTCATCGGCCTAGGCGCAGGGCAACAGTCGCGCATACATTGCACGCGGCTCGCGGGCGACAAAGCCGATAGCTGGTGGATGCGAAATCATGAGCGGGCGCGTAAGCTAAAGTGGAAGGCTGGAGTGAAGCGACCGGATAAGAGCAATGCAATTGACATGCTTTGTAGCAATCAGGTGCCACAGGCTGGCAAAGAGAAAGTGGAGTATGAGAAGCTATTTGAGGAGGTGCCACCAGAATTCTCGGTCAAAGAGAGGAAGCTATGGATGGACGAGCTTCAACAACAGAAAGTGGTGCTGTCAAGCGATGCATTCTTCCCATTCATTGACAATGTTCTTCGCGCAGGCCGATCAGGAGTGAAATACATTGCAGCGCCGATGGGAAGCCAGGCGGACGAAGCAGTGGTTGAAGCCTGTGAAACTTACAACCCGCCAATCACTTTTGTGGATCAGAAGACGAGACTATTCCAACACTAAGTAGTAGGTACCTCGTCGTATATAAAAGCTCTAACCGTGACAGAAGTTCTCACGTCCCTGGTTGACGATGCTTTGCTTTCGAGTTTGTCCGTGATGAGACTAGTGCCAATATAGTTCTAGCTGGTCTGGCCAATCCCCCGACTGGGCCATCTCATAGAACTAGATAGCTGCGTATTTACGATAATTCCGCTTAAATCCATCGAGGTGAGATGCTATTGACGTAGGTACTCGAAAGCACGGTAGGAATAGCATTGACCAGTATTGCTCTCCTCCCTCAGCGGGGTTTTGTGACTCACCGCACTGTCGGTAACACTCACTGATTCCACAGGCGCGCGATACCGTCGCTCCAATCCGCACCAAAATTGCTTTAATCAGCACTACTCTAGACCCCAGCCTCTACCTCAATCAAACACCCAGCGCTTTCAACTCACTTGAGCTTCAACACTTACCTTCTCGATCTCATTCTGTCGCAGGGTCAATCAATTGATTAGTTAGACAAATATTCTAGAGATTGTTTCTCTTCGACATCACGACGACTGTCCTGTCTGCGACCACCCCACCTAACACCGCGTCTACGAATCTAGGCCACTGTATAGATACCTGCCAGTCAGGGCCGTTGCTGAATCTCTCTCAACGCTATGAACACGTTCAATAACAGCTACTATGGTACACCCAAGAGTCCTGACATGGCGACTTCGAGAACCGCAAGCCTTTTCGAGCAGCACAACCAGCAGTCTGCCGCACGAGAATCTCCACAGCAATCATCACTGCCTACGCCCTCGTCTGCGACAGCATCAAACAACGATTCTTATTCGCCAGACGGGCAATTCAAGGTCGTGAGAAAAAGAAACCGCGTACCGCTGTCGTGCGCTCCTTGTCGAAACAGAAAGTGAGTAGTCTCAAGTGCCTCAGCTTCCCATTATCGCGAATGTACGAGCGGGTTTGACCGAGATTAAATTTCTAGATTAAAATGTAATCGATCCCATCCCTGCGAAAATTGCGTCAAGAGGGGCGACTCAATGTCTTGCTCGTATGCTGCGCCGAACACGCGCAAAAGGCAGACGCCATCGGCCAGCTCTAGTAATACTCCAACGGACATGCAGAACCGAATAGACAGATTAGAAGGGCTCGTGTTATCTCTCATGACTAATGGCTCAACGTCCGCCGGCCCTACGGCTGCCCAACGTGCTCTCTCGTTGGATTCGAGCGCGAATTCACTACAGCAGCAGGATGTCGATATCAACACACCTGACGGTAGTAGCGTAGCTCTCCATGGCGAGGGCTCTGAAGAAAGTGAAACAGATCAAGTGGCACAATCCATAGGCATTATGAAAGTTGACAACAACAAGTCGATGTACTTTGGCACCACACATTGGGCCACAGTACTCAGTGATGTGCGTATCGGCTTAATGGAACTTTGACACCTTAGCAGCTAACAAGAGATAGATTAAAGAAGTCAAAAGCTATTTCAGCGAGCAGCAGCACCAGAAGCAATTCGAAGAGCAAGTACAGAAAATAAATACTGCCAAAGCTCGAATGGACGGCAAGGTTGGAGGGCCCATGTTTCTACTAGGGGGCAACAAGGTCCCGAACCTTGAAGACGTCATGGCACAAATGCCAAAGCGCACGGTGGCTGATAAATTGATCGCGCGGTACTTCAACTCCTATGATCCCGCAGTGCACATTCTTCATCCCCCGTCATGGTTGAAGATTTACGATAAATATTGGCAAAACTCCGAGATGGCGCATCCAGTCTGGCTCGGCCAAATGTACGCAATTTTCTGTCTTGCAATGAACTCTTACGACCAATTAGGTGATGAACCGCCCGAGTATCGAGGGAAATCGCGAGCCATGTCATCACATTACCGCGGGCTATCTGGCCAATGCCTTCTGCTGGCAGACTTCACAAAGCCCATGTTTCATATGATCGAGACCCTCGTTCTCCACTTGCACTGCGAATATGCTCGATCACGGGACACTGAGGTCGGTGTTTGGGTGCTTGCTGGTATGGTGGTTCGTCTAGCTATGCGAATGGGATATCATCGCGACCCCAAATATTTCAACAACATAAATCCGTTTCAAGGGGAGATCCGTCGACGAGTTTGGACTTTTGTGAGGTCCTCAGATTTGCTGTTTTCTTTCCAACATGGTCTTCCGAGCATGATCCGGGAAGGTGACTGCGACACAGAATTGCCCAGAAACTTGATGGACGAAGAGCTCCATGAGAACATGGAGTTTCTACCACCTTCAAAACCCACCGCAGAGCCTACGCCGGTATCTTACATGCGAGCGAAGGCGTCAATGGTGTTCATCTTTGGCCGGCTTGTCGAGCGGCTTCACCTTTGTAAAGACATCACATACGATGAAATAATACTGTTAGACCAGTCTCTGAGAGAATCCCTAGCTGGCTTGCCACCACATCTTAGGATGCGAAGCCTGGAGGACTCGACAGCAGACCCGGGAGCCTTGATAATGCAGCGATTCAACCTTGAAATTCTGTACCACAAAGGGCAAGCTGTACTCCACCGGAAATTCCTGGTTCAAGCACGCCAGCACAGTCGGTATTCAGACTCTCGTCGGACGTGTATCGACTCTGGTATGGCGCTCCTTCGAATTCAGGAGACACTACATATTGAAGGCCGTCCTGGACACCGTCTATATGGAATGAAGCCCCTAATCAGCTCGCTCACTGCGAATGACTTCCTGCTAGCGGCAACAATAGTGGCATTCGACTTATGCTATACCAGCGAGCATCCGTCAAACAGAACCGCTGGAGACGTATTACTATGGGGCCGAGAAATCCGTAGTGATATGATTCGCGCACTCGAGATATCGCAGAGTATCTGGAAGGAGACCATGGACGAATCAATAGAGTCGTACAAAGCTGACAGATTATTGACAATCACACTCAATAAAATGCGAGATGGAATGCGGCAGGGTCCGAATGCTCAGAATCCGTTCCCTTTCCTTGCGATGGGCAATATCAACGACAACAACCAGGCATTTGGTGCAACCTTGGAGGACAAACCTGAACACTCGGCGGCAATGACGCTCGGGATGTTGAGCAGCGGTGGGATGGGAACCAACGGCAGCATACAATTCAATGGGGCTTTCTCCGCTAACAACGGGGATGCCCCAACAGCTACCACGCAAGTTCCTCAAGATCCTACGATGGGCTTTATGGATCAACTTAATAATGCTGCCCAACCAACGCCAAACCCCCTCGGCTTCTTTGATGGGGCCTTCTTACCAGGCATGGACACCAATGATGGCGAGCCTACTATTGACTGGGTAAGCTCAGAGACCTTCGTTGTGAACTGCAAGACTGACGAACCCTAGGATGCATGGGATTCTTACGTGCAAAATGCGAACATTGAACCTCCACAATTTCCGAAGGCGTCGAACCCGCAGCCACCGCAACAGCTGCAGCAACAACAATCACAATGGCCCGTAAGCGTCGACCCTTCGCTGTCTACTGTAGCGATGGATGGAGGGCCGCAACAGTCACTTAATGCTCCGAGTGCTTTTATGGGCGGCAATATGCCGATGTAAGCATGAAATCAGCGAGGAACGCGAGCGGTGCAGGAATGACCTTTTTGAATCTCAAAATTTCGAGTGGGTGGTACGCATTGTAATGAAGTAATCTATTAGGCAACATCGGATCTACGAAGGCAGACATGACATGCGGAGAGCACCAAGGCATGCCATACTAGTATAGTTGATGACGGTGAGATTGGAGGTGTTTGTTTGAAGCCTTGAACCAATCCACTCACAAGCAATTCATTAAGTTTACACTTCCAAATTTGAGGCAGACAAAAATGCATCTGTTTCCTATTATTCAATCATGTACATCCAATTTAAAGTGGAACGCCCATTTCGTGCATCATTGATCTCCTCGTCCCCCACGAATGACTGGCCTGCTCACACTTCCCGCAGCACCAACCCCCTTTTTCGAACTTCAATGCAGTCTTCGTTGAGTAGGCACCACATCAAGAGCATTAGTCGTAGCACTCAAAACCGCATGAGATCACAGCATAAGAAGACTAGCAATTTTCCCCGCTGTGCGTTGCTCGTACTTCAGGCATCGAATCGTAGGAAAAGAAGTTCGTGCCAGCGAGCTGGTCTTACATATATCATCGTCCACGCAATGCACTATTTTCTGTCTGGGACTCCTCTACTCAACAACACACATAAGGCGAAGCAGGCAGGAATCTACGTCTGCACTTTCAATTCATTGGATGAAAGCGTACGTCACAGAATGCAGTGTAGATGCAAGACTAAGACAGACTTGGAGACGCAGATGTGTACTTCGGCTGAATATATTACCGGATGACGTATCAATGGCTTTTCATACAACCTCTCCCACTATCCTGTCCATCATATTGCCCCCATAATTACGATTAAGCCGGTCCTCATTTTGTCACCCAGAGGACACGCTTAGATGCATACACTGTTTTATTTTTGGTTTTGGTTTGCTCCAGGCATAAATCTTGGCACGTGAAAACAGAAATCGAAGACTTGTATGTCTGCGCTTGACGGAAATCAACCCAGGTAGGCAACGGCCGCGATACCAGCACACAGCAAACCGAAGTTGCTGGCGATTGTGCCAGCGGCACCGGATGGAGAGGGTGCTGGGCTGGATGAGCTGGTCGAGCTGGAGCCTTCGCCTGATGTGGTTGAGGTCGACTCGTCGGAAGAGGTGGAGCTGGCGGAGGCGCTGGATGAGCTGGCTGAGAGGGTGGCGCGGCTCAAAGTGGTGTTGCGGCTGATCGAGCTGCCTGCAGTACCAGCGGTGCCAGCGGTGCCGAGAGGAGCAGTGCCGGATGGCTTGGGCGTAATGGTGGTGGTGACGTTGGCAGAAGCGGAAGGGGTGCTTGATGCGGCCGCTGTGACGGATGCGGAGGTTCCAGAGGCTGAGCCAGATGTGCCGCCCGTGATGGAGAAGAGGCCGGTGTAGTTGATCTGGTCGCCATCTTGGGTGATCTGGAGGGCATAGTCGCTGGCCGATGGTGTGTTCACTGGGACAGCCCAGGTGTAGGAATTGCCATTCGCGTTCTGCACGACGAAGCCGACGGTCTGCAGGTTGCTTGCGCTGCCCTTCTTGAGAGTGATGGTCACAGGCTAAGCGAGTGATTAGTACGTGGGCGATTTCAACTGCCCAACGCGTCGAACGCCTACCTGATTGGCATCACCACCAGCCCATTTCAGAGAGACGGAGTCACCAGCCTTGACGGAGCTGGGGAGGGTAGTGAAGGCGAGTTTGCTTTGCGCGACAGCATGGGCGACGAAGGAAGCGCAGAGAACGAGGGTGTTGGTGAGCTGCATCTTGTTTGTTTGTTTTGAAGTTGGGAAGAATTGAAGTTGATGTGGTTGATTAAATATTATATATGGGCCTGAAAAGAATGACAGACAGCTGAATTTGATGGCAGATGCTTTGAAGTGAGCGGTGTGAAGAAGAAGAAGAAGAAGAAGTAGAAGAAAAACAGAAGGATGAAGCGAAGTCAAGGAAGGGGGCGTGAAGAAATTGCAGGCGCGCTAGCTTGGCCATCAAACTTGGCCCAAATTTGGGTGTCAGGTCGCAACAAGCAGATCAGGCCATTGATTGGCCCGGTAGCCCTAGTCCTCGCGTCGAGACCGTAACGACTATTTTGATATTCTTTCGATGTAATTCGTTGGAAAAAGCATTAAAGAGCCTCTAATCCTTATTTGCATTAGCATCAAGCAAGGTCCCAAATGGTGCAATATCAGGTCAATGTTCCTTGCATTAAATTTGTACAGCATCGTATACAGCGCATGACGCTGTTGTACACTCAGGCGAGTTCATTTCAACCTGACCGCTTGGAACATGTACCCTTCCTCTTTGCAAAGCTGAGTCTTGACAAAAACGGCTAATTGGAAGCCACTTGTAGGATACTGTTCGGTGGCCTTATTTTGTGTCCGTGCTTGCAAGAATCAGCACGCGGTCGTGTAGGGCCCTCTATATTTTGTGTGCTTTACTCGAATGTTTCCATTGACTTCTCGAGTTCGGCACTAAACTTGTGCGCAGAGGGCAATGGCGAGACGTTTTGCTGAAAGTGCAGGGGTATTTCCTCATATAATATCTATCTCTTGTATTCGAGCGTCGAAGCACACGTCTCCAACTACAGATTGGGGGTGAGGTGGACAGACAGCAAAGCTGAAAAAATGACCAGGGCAAGCGAGAATGAAGATGGAGGGGTGAGCTCGTACTGAGATAGTAAGAGCACATGGACCAGTAACAGTGTATGAGCTGCGCGGAAAGCCTGGCCTCAAGTGTATTTTCTGAGGGTTTTCGGCGGGCCGTTTGATGATCTTCAAATCTGATGCACGCAAACATGCTCAAGAGTGGTTGCAAATTCGCCCATCATGCTCAGATCAATGCAGACTTGACCTGCCTGCAACAACACCGACCGTTTACCAGCCGCACCGTAAATGCTACCTTTCTTGAACCCTCTGACGGCCTACTTCAGCGGAATAAACCTCGAGCTGTGCGTAGCCCCAATACCCGGCCGTCCGTGCTTCACCGGCTTATACGAGATACTGAACTCGCCCAAATAGAACCCCACCATCTCAGGCTTGATCTCCACCTGGTTGAATTCCTTTCCTGAATATATCCCAATCACTGACCCGATCATCTCTGGCACGACTATCATATTGCGGAGGTGTGTTTTCACGAGTTCAGGTTTCTCATTAGGCGGCGCTTCTTGTTTAGCTTTTCGTAGCTTCTTGATGAGACCCATCGGTTTGCGTTTCAACCCTCGGTTGAAGCGACGGCGTGCACGGGCGTGAACGACATCGCGAAGCTGTTCAGAGGATAGATCTAGGAGCCTATAGGCGGAACGCGTTAGTTGGGAGATTGAGTGGTAGGTGGGAGGTAGAGGCGAAGATTCGGAGGGCGAATTTGAGTACGGAACGGCTGAACCTACTGGTCGAGATCAATACCACGGTACGTGAATTTGCGAAACGTTCTCTTCTTCTTAAGTTCTACGCAAAAGAGCTTGTCAGTGGAAAACCTCAAACTTTTCGGAGCGTGATGTATGGATGCTGTCATGGACATTGTGCTACAAGTCGAATAGTGTGGACGTACCAGCTGCCTCCTCGGCATTGTATTCTGTGTCAGCCATACTTTTAGTAATCAGCTGCTACCACCGAGACCTCTGTACTTGGTGTCGATGGTTGTTGGAGGTACAGGTGTTCCAGTTTGTTATAGCGTGCTGTGGAAGTCATGGATTCTAAGCGAGTACAATCTAGGACTAGCGTGATATCGAGTCTTGGCACATATATCTGAAAGTAAGGTACGCCTGCTTCATGCCCGTTCCTGATCCTACATGGTAGATCTTTAAGGTACCAGCGACGACTCAATACTTTGGGAGGAGCCGCTCGAGCACATGAGCAGAAGGCGAACCAGCTCTCATCACGAGCAATGAATGACAAAATAGTTATCTTGGCTGGAGCGCATTTGAGAATATGTCGAGGTTTTATTTGAAGCGAGTCAGTCCTTACAAATTGGATAACATCCGTTGTACCCCTCTGCTCGTCTTTTCAAACCGCTGGTCAAAGCCTCGAACTGGGTGACTATGCACCGTCTAATCGAAAAGACCCAAGCCCATATCCTCATCTGATTCCTCATTTTCTTCTTCCTCTGGTTTCTTCTCTTCCTCGGCTGGTGCATCACCACCAGCAGCGGGCGCTGCGGCTCCACCACCACCTCCCCCACCCCCTGATGGGACTGATGCCAATTTGCTAGTACCTTCTGAGATCAACTATACCTTCTCGGTTAGTAACTAGTAAAGTGTATAGGCCTCTGGGTCCTTCGCAGGCAAGTAAGAAGTGGATCATACCTCTTGCAAATCTTTGCCTTTGAGCTCAGAAATCAACTTTTCCAAGCGCTCATCGTCGGATTCAATTCCGACCGAGGAAAGGACTCCCTTGACATCGTCTGCTGAAGGGGATGTATTGCCACCGAGGCCGAGAAGAAGGTAAGCCGCGAGGTGCTTCATTGTGATTTGCTAATGTGCACGTTAAGTAGGGAAACGTGCTCGGTCGTTGTTGAGATTCGTACTTATGATGCTGAACTTGAAGATTTGTGTGAACGAGAGAGCCAATCGATTTAACCGCAAGTTGGGCGGAGACTGGCACTTCAAGTTCTTATAGCGGAGAGAAATGAGTCAGGTTGCGTTGAAGGTATCATGGAATTGTGGAGAGTGCCAAGTCTATAGCCCTACGCTAGTCTTATACTGGCGCTCAGAGAAGAGGTGACCTGGAATTCGCACCCGAGGTGCGACTTCCCTTTGTGACACATCACACTTCAATATGATCCAACGGTGATTGGTGCTTCGAGCGTATATCTGGTGGTGTTAGGAGGCTTTGACTCCTTTTCGCACGGCAAATATGAGTCTTTTCCTTCCTTCTAACCACCAGAGATAGTATACCCTACGACAAGCTTTGTGAAACTATGAGTGTTAGTCATCGAACTTGCCACATATGACTATTTAAACCTGACAAGCGCCAGTTTCTCAACTCAGTACTGGGTTCCATCGGCAAGGATGGTGACAGGACGGGGCAGCCACCTCCGCCTGTACTGCCAAAAAGAAAAGCCGAAGACCCGATAAGGAGACCACATGATAAGTCTTGCAAAGCGACAGGCACAAGTCGTCCAAGTCCAGCTCCCAATGCAGATAACCGGCGCTCCGACAACAAAAATCAAACGGACCGTGAAGCCCCAGAAAACGCACTAGCTATACCATATCGTGGTACCGGCAAGGCGAGTATCTCGGCTCCAACAAGCCCAGTACCAGCGACTGATGTTCCTAAACAACACAAAAAAGGTTCTTACAAAGAAATTATGGCTCGAGCTCAGGCAGCTTCATCCCAGCCCAAGCCTGTAGTTGGTGCAATCAGCCATAAGCAGAAGAGCAAAACTGAGCTAAGCCATAAGAGGGAATTGAAGTTGAAGAAGAAAGAAGTACGAGATAGAAAGTTTGGAATTGCCAAAGAAGGGAGTCGACCGACCTCGTCAGATGGAGGCAAAGGCGAAGGGCAAATGGGAAATAAAAGGGTCGGAGGCAAAGTTGCCCAACAGCCTACATATAAAGGGACGATGAAGCCGAAGGTCGAGACTGCGTACAGAGGGACTGCAGGTAGATTAGCCTCAGCAAAGCGTGATACAAAGCCTGCTGGTCGTCGAAACGCTAATGCTTATGCTGCAACTGATGATGAGCTCGATTCTATGCAGGAAGAAGAGGAGGACGATGGTCATGGCTATTCTGAGGAAGAATCAGATGATATGGAGGCGGGATTCACCGACGTGGAGCTTGAAGAGAAATCGGCCGAGCGAATTGCCAAAGTCGAAGACGAGAAGGAGGCAGCTATGGAAGCCAAGCTCAAGAAGGAAAAGGAGAGGAGAAAGAATTTGCAAGAGCTGGCGAAGAAGGCAAAGCCTCAGAGGTACTGAACGCTGTTCTTTCGTCCAACTCATATCTTTCTGGCTATTATTATTATATGCAGCAAGGACAGGAGACTTTTACTTGCATCTATGCGTTCGATCACATGGGTCAATACAAGATTTTTCCTCTGAGCTTCTCGCATTTCAAGTGGTTCTTGATTACCACCTTTTCTACATGTGACAAAAAGATCTTCCATTGTGATAGGATTCCGCGATCATTCACAGAACAGAGACTTCCACCTTGAAGTTGCACCTACACCAAGCTACAAGGCAGTGGTGACAAAATATCACCTGCGTTGCTGGTTTTGAGCTATGATGTTTCCTCGTCCGCCGAAGTCGTTGCCAAGAACTGACGTAGGAATTCGGGAGCTTAAGGTTGTGACGTTGAACAGCCAGACTGGAAGGAAATACGTCTTCTGCCTTGGAAGGTTTTCTCAAGACGTATTTGTGCGTCCCCTGGATTGGGCGATCACCAATTGTACTCTATCTTCGCTCTGAGATGTCAGAGGAGAAGGCCACCATGTCGAGAACTACACAGGAACTACTCGGCAAGGTGCGCATGATGGTGCCACCCATGTTGGGGAAATTTCATAAAGGTATCAGAGCCCACAATCTCCATTCAATGGTGAAGCTCTGTTGCTAAATGTTTACAGGTCAACTCGGGCGGGTCGCTGTCATAGGAGGTAGTGAAAAGTACCATACACTCGAAGAACCTCGAGGCAAAGTGCTGAAAAGGGCAGCTATACCGGTGCACCATACTTCTCTGCTATGGCATCAGCACGGCTAGGTTTGTCTCATGGGTTCCACTGCACTTGACATCCATTGATCATCCACAGGCTGTGACTTGGTAGGCAGAGACCACCTACATCCTCCGTTAGACTCCTATTAATGCACGGCCAATTATGCAGTCCCACGTCTTCTGCACGCCTCCAGCCGCCAATGTCATAAAAACTTACTCCCCAAACCTCATGGTCCACCCAATCATGCGCGAGACAAACGAAGTCCCTGCCTCCCACTCCCCCGCCACCGACATCGCCTCTCCCATAATCAAAATGCTCAGCAACCTCCACGCTGTGGTAATAGGTCCTGGACTTGGCCGTGACGCCCTCATGCAAGCTACAGTTGCTGAAATCATCAAAGGCGCTCGAGAAGCGAATGTGCCCTTAGTGCTTGACGCGGACGCGCTGTGGCTGCTGCAAGAACAACCGGATCTCATAAAGGGGTACAAAGAGTGCGTGCTGACGCCAAATGTGGTCGAATTTGGGCGATTGGTGAAAGCGCTGGGGCTGAGCGAGGAGGAGATACCGGACACGGGTGAGGCAGGTTGTAAGAAGTTAGCGCAGGCATTGGGTGGGGTGTGCATCGTGAGGAAGGGACAGGTCGATTGGATCAGCAATGGAGAAGGGACGCTGCAGGGGGATCTGCAGGGTGGGAACAAAAGGTCGGGGGGCAAGGCGATACACTGACCGGCAGTATTGGGACGTTTTTGGCTTGGAGAGGGGTCTATCATGAGAAGTTATGGGATGTCGAGGGCGATTTGGGGAGAGGAGAGACTTTGATGCTGGCGGCTTTTGGAGGCAGTTCGGTTACGAGGGAGTGCTCACGGTTAGCATTTCAGAAACATGGGCGGGCAATGCAGGCGAGTGATTTGACGGAGGAGGTGCCGGTCAGCTTTTTGAAGTTGATTGGGGAGAAGGAAGAGAGTAAGCTATAACAAAAACGTCTCAAAGCTCTGTGATCCAACGCGAGGACACATGATATAGGAAAGTCACATGTAATAATATACATCTAGGCTACACCGTGTAAATGCACTAAAGCCCCATAGCACACCCGGTCCTCATTATCTCGTCACAGATGCTGCACCAATCTTTTCGACAGGGACAGCATCTTCCGTTCGTAACCATTCACCATTAAAAGCGTTGATCAGCCAATTGTTGAGTCCTGCAATTGCGCACGATTAGCAGACATATCTAGTTAGATTCCAAAGAAGGAATTCAACTCACTATCATAAACCATCTTATTAGCATTATGGAAATAAATACTATGATCACTGTCCGGGAAAAAATGCACATCGTAATTTTCGACCCCATCCATGTCCAATTTGTCCAGCAACGTCAGCGTATTCTGCAAATGCACGTTATCGTCCGCGACCCCGTGCATGATCAGAAACCTGACATTGTTCTGCAAGGCAGTTGTGTTGGAGATACTTGTGTTCTTATAGCCATCAGGATTATCCTGAGGCGTCCGCATGTATCGCTCGGTGTATATTGAGTCGTAGAATGACCAGTCCGTGACCGGAGCAACAGACATCCCGTATTTGAAGGTCTCGCCGCCGTCAAGTTCGATGGTCTTCAGAGCCATGAAGCCGCCATAACTCCAGCCCCAGATAGCGATGCGTTCGGGATCGACATAATCCTTCGCCGCCCAAACTTTTGCAGCAGCGATCTGGTCCATGCCTTCGTAATAACCAATGTGGCCTCTAATCAAAGTACGGGCTTTTCGGCCGATGAAGCCGGTGCCCCGTCCGTCAAGAGTCACCTGGACGTAGCCGAGGTTGGAGGCAACGTAAGATTGGTAGTCAATGTTGAACTTCTTATCCACGAGCTGGGAACCGGGACCGCCGTAGAGTTGAAAGAGGACAGGATACTTCTTGTTGGAGTCGAAATGGGGAGGACGGCGCTCGACATAGTTGAGTTCGATTCCGTCCACGTTAATAGTACCGTAGACTTCGATGGGAAGTTCTGTCTCGGCGGCTTTTTGGGCTAGGTCTTTATTGTCTTCGATTTGATATTGCCAAAGATGGCCTTTGAAGGTTGGTGTGGATCTAATTTCTTGCCGTGGAATATCAGGTCCCTCATACGAGAGCAAGGCGAAACCCGCTCCCGTAGAGAAGCTTGCGCTGTAGTAGCCTTCTTCATCTGCTTTACTGATGTGTTGTAGTCCTGTCCCATCGAGGTTTACGCTGTACACGTGACGCTGCAACGGCGATTCCTTGGTCGTCACCAGGTAGACCATGTTGGACGTAAGATCAATAGCTGATGGCGCATCAACGACTTCAAATGCGCCGGACGTCAGCATGATTGGCTCTGAATTGTCCAGCGGAGTAAAATAGGCAAGATGATCGTAACCTTCGTGGATCACCGTATCAAGATAGCCAGCATGCGGTCTTCCGCTAGCTGGATCGCTCGGAACGAAGGTCGTCTTCTCTGTGACTTCAAACCAACCACCATCGACTTTGTTGATGTCCCGCTCCCGGACTACCTTGCCGGTGCGCTGAGTGACATCAATCAGTGCTACCTTGAGAATATCGCTCACTCTGTTCGTATTCTTGACCAGAGCCTTGCCTTCTTTGCCAGCCCAGACCAATTCAGTGATCAACCGATCATCGTCTGGGAAGTCAGAGTCTGTAGGGACAGAGAACACCTCATCTTTGTTCACGTCATAGAACTGTAGGTCTACGACTGGATTTGGTGCCCCAGCTTTGGGATATTTCAGCTGCCTGATATCTGGATAATTCTCCTCGCCGGGGTCTGGCTCCTTACCACTGGGTCTAGATAAGAAGAATTGAATTGGATATTCTGGTACTATGGTATCGTTTGTTCTCAGGAATGCAATGTAATCGCCAGCGTCCGACCACCAGGTTGCGCTATTTCCCGCGAAAACTTCTTCCTCATAGACCCAATCTGGCACTCCATAAAACAGATCAGCGCCGCCGTCTTTAGTGATTTGAGTGACTGTCTTTGAAGACAGCTTTCTGAGGAACATGTTATTGTCTCTCGTGAATACAACGGCATCAGACGTTGGTGACCATTTTGCCAATTGTATTCTGTCTTTGGGCTTCGCTGGGTCCAGAGGTTCTGCAGTTTGTGTAGTCACATCAAAAATCCAGTAAAGTCCTGTGAAGGAATGCCTCCAATTCTTTTTCTTTTCCGAGATGGCGAGGACTTTCTTCAAATCCTTGGTGGGCCACGTATCTTCCGTGTCTACGGTCGCGCCGTCAACCGTAAAGCGGCCGTCTTTCATCAACGTTTGACTTGGTTGCGACTCCGTGTGAGGTTTACTCTTTCGAATGTCTTCGGCATATAGGTAGTCACCATTCTTCCCGTCTCCACGCTCCAGTAGGAAGCCGTCTTCTCCATTCGGACCTTCAATCCAGGACACATCTTGCTTTCTTGGCCGCCACGCTCCCGTAAGCACTGAGTCAAGTGTGATGGCCTTGCCCGAACCCTTCGTCACTGTTGCTTGTGGATCGTAAGGTATCGAGGAGGGATGCTTGTATGTCTTTCGCGAAACGAATAGCATCAAGGCTGCCAGCCATCCCCCAATGCAAAGAACGCCCAACACCCACATCAGCCGCCTTCCCCTTCTATCTGTCTTCGATTTCGGCCTGTAGAATGTGTCTTCTGCATCGTAGCTGTCTGTCCTCCTTTTCAGGGGTGACCCTTTGGTATGTCCATTTCCGACGGCTATGCCTTCTTCATTCAGTCTCTCGAGGGCGATAGAAGTATCTGATGAGGAAGCTAAAGAGTCTAGTGATTCTCTGCCCTTATCATGAGAAGGTTGATTAAGAGGTTTGGTCTCCTCATCGTCTTTGTATCGAGAAGCCATCATCTACGCTGCCGCTTTAGAGGTCATAAGCGACACGATGGCCTGATTAAGGATGATAGCATATTGTACGGATGCTGCACGTTAGATGTAAGTCTTAATGCTTTCCATAGTTGAATGTTCTCGTATGGGTGCGGGAATGATTGGATATAGTTGTCTGCAGCTTGTCATTGGGCGGGAGGGTATTGCCCGCATTTGGAATTGACGATCGACGAAAGCTCGTGTCGATCATCCGCAGCGAACGAAGTCAATCTTCTATAGGAAATGAAATATAACGAGGCACACATCTACATGAACAAGGAAGTCCAGTTTATTTTCTTTCATGATGCCTTGCACACCAGCAGTAAGTCAAGCATTTGATTTCCAAGTCTACGAACTTGGACCCTTCAACCTATAGAGCTTGAGATGTCTCAATCCGCCCACAGATACTGCACGCATCCTGCAACATGAACCATGAGGCCAAAACTTTTCAACACTGGGTATGATCCCGCAACTACCTATAATTCCTAACCACGGCTACACGTGAAAAAGCGTTTGCGAATAGTTTATCCAAGTGTTCTGCATTTAATTAGTAAAGTGTGACGGCTAAACAGTGGACATCAATACCCCAGATAGTCTTCCTTGATGCTGCCAATGGCAAACATACTTCCCACGTCACTTCGCGTTCCGATCAACTTAATACGTATCTGGGTGCCCTTCTCAATTACTTGGTCTCCAGTATTGTCCGCCCATTGCGGCGGCGTTGCATTCGGGTCCCATTTGATCTCGGCTGGTATGAGCTGCTAGCGTGAGCTTGACATCTCAAGGCACTGACGGCAATCTCACATGATCCGAGACGAAGACCGGTAGAGGCCCCACGTCAGCAAAGATTCCCATGCGGTTGACCGAAGAAACAATTGCATCGACCTAGAGCAAGTTTGTCAACCGACGACCCTGGACCTTTAATTTTAAGGGAGTTCGAACAGTCTCTCCCTTGAAAGGTCTCCAGACGACTGCCCTGTAACGAAGGGTGTATTCAGCCACAGCACTACCTGGCACGACTCGCCCTTCCGATATCTCAAAGGCGTCCATTATGCATATGACATAATATGAGCCGGTGCATGTGCCCTCGACATCGTCAATTAGGCGGCCTGTCAGATACTCTTTTACTCGCGGACCGAAGAAGGAAGGATGCAGCGTAATGACGCGCTCCAGTTCCTTGAGAAAAAACATGTTGGATCGTGTAGCAAATTTGGTATTCGTAGGTTCTATCTATGTGAAGAGAAGGCGAGGGTTTTGCTCTGGCCGTAAAGGCGCTGGCTCTGGATCACCAGATGCTCTCTCTTAGACCTCTCTCATATCATCACGTTCCTCGAGGCTGTCAATTGTCTCGTTCGGACGCCGATATGATGCGACCCAGCGCAAAAGAGAGGATGGCGACACAACTCAGCCTGCGATCAGCATGGTCCAAAACGCATACAGGCGTTTAAGGACGTACTGTTGCCCACCAGGCTTAATGAATGACTTCGCGAGAGACTAGCGCTTTTGCGCAACCTCTTAGCGACAGCTAGAGGCCACAGGTGATAGTTGTCAGCACTGCGTAAGACGTCGCGGTGAGAGCGATGGTGGTATGTAAGAAGAATGGAAATTTCAAGGCTGAAGCTTCGCGACTCCCAAAGAATGGTCGAAATGCTTGGCAATGAGAGGACCCTACCTTATGGCAAGGGCGCACTGTCTATCACGGCTGCGTACAAAGGCTGTCTGTGATCTTATAAATGCGCATACAGGACGACGACTGTGCAGCTTCCTGGAATGCTAAGTAGGAAGCGTCTAGGTATTCCGTAGCCGCTGACCAATCTGACTCTTCTTGCAATCTACATGCGCATTAGCCAGAAGACCAGACTCCTTTACCATCGTGTGTACAGACGTCTTCGCGTTACTCGTAACGAGTTGTTCATGGATGAGTTCGGCAATAGGAGTCATGCATTCTGGACGAAAAGGTTTTGGGTAGGCGAGGATTGAGGACTGTCTATGATGGCTTTTGAAGTCGAATCATGTGATATCAATGCAGTGACACATAACAGGCTCTCAGTCTCCGACAATATCTTTCAATCGGATCTTCCTTGACATACCCATAAATCTCAATGCTACAGCATTGATCCCTACGATGGCCCCAGGGTTTTCAATGACCGAGGTTAGGAACTAGATGTTACCTTTTTGGGCATCGTTGGTCAGAGATTACGGGAGCATCACATTGCGCCCGAAATGCGACTTCAAAACCCATACGCGATATATAGCCTGCCTTTTCTCTCACTATGATTATTCTCATTCTTTCTCGAAAGTAATCCACAGGAATTAGATATTCGAAAGAAGGACACGAGTCCATTTCTAATATGGCTAGTATTAATATTACCGCGAAGCAGCTTCGCAGCCTCCACGTACCAGGCAAACCGATCATCATGGCAAATGTGTATGACACCCTTTCAGCGGAAGCGGTAGGCTCGTTGCCATCATGTCATGCTCTACACACAGCTAGCTACGCTGTCGCACGTGCTTCAGGCACTAACGATGATGACATGACTCTCGAAACCAACCTTGCGGCAGCTGAAGCGATCATAAAGGTGGCAATGAAGTTCAACAAGCCGCTTAGCGTGGACTGGCAAGATGCCTACGGCAAACGACTCGACGAAGGTATCAGTAGTCTCTTGAAAATGGGGGTTGTTGGCATCAACCTTGAGGATTGTGACAAGGAGACGCAGCATATGCATTCGCCTGAGGAAGCTGTGGCGCGGATCAAGCAAGTCCTCGAGGTGACGAAGCGTGAGGGGGTGCCTGACTTCGTCCTCAATGCTCGGTGCGATGTTCTCGTGCAGGGCGGTGAGATGGACGAAGTAATCAAGCGAGGCAAGTTGTATCTGGACGCAGGTGCCACGACTGTCTTCGTTTGGGGTGGGTCCAAGAGAGGGGTATCTCGCGCGGAAGTGGAGCGGATGGTGAAAGAATTCCAGGGACGCGTGAATGTGTCCATGAAACTGGCGCCTGGAAATCTGACTGCGGAAAACCTCGTAGATCTTGGGGTTGCGAGGATTAGCGTCGGTCCTCAGCTACAAGCTATAGCCCTTGAGCATTTTGGGAAACAGGCAGAGGCTCTTTTGCAGCAGAGGAAGTGAGTCGTAATGGGTGACTAGTCCGAACCCCTGAGATTGGACAACAATTGTTCAGGAGAGACTAGTAGAGTTTAGGAAACAAATCTGCGTCTTCTAGCATTAAGACACCATATGAGCTGCTTTGAGTTGTCACATTTGAGTACATCAGATAGCAGCATTCATTGGTCATGCGAAGGCCTTTGCAGAGGCCTGCTGAATGTTGCTTTGAGTATCTGGTTTGCGTTCCTATTGTCTCAATTCACCAGATCAGATCCCCAGAAAGCTGCATCCTAAAAGAGGAAGTCTGCATCGAAACATTGTCCTGATTCTGGTCTTAATGCATGCAAAAGATTGGAGCTCAACGTAACCTTTGTGGGAGGAGGAAAAGACATCTTCATAGTTTAAAGGATAATCATACAATTGGGCGATTTCTCGCCGAAAAATATCTCCTCATTGGAAAAACACGGCTACTTCGAGCCTGAGATTATTCATGATTAGCTTCGTCGTTCAATCGAACGCGATAAGAGGAAAATGCAGTGTTTTGTGTCTGAGAGACCAAGGGGACGTTCAGTCAAACACCATGCTCATTTTTCGTAATGGTCTCTGGAGATAGATTAGGCTTGGCGAAGTATATGCGGGCAACAAGTCGAGATGAGAGCAGAGAAGCACGACTGCAGATGTCGGTTTGCCTCCTTCGCAGCTTACTTTGCAAGGAAGTGGTCGTGTGGACAAAAGCGAGGATGCAAAAATGCTTTCTTGCCAGCGTTGGAGGGTCGAGCATATATAATCACTTACGCGTAGACGTGATCATTATCCGCTGCGACCCGGCCCTAAAGTGCGCCAAGCCCGCGTAATACTGATCACTTAACCATATAATTCAGAACATCTGTCCATTTTGGAGATGTTTTCAGGAGAAGAGGCTGGCGCGGATCAAGCTATCTATCTACTGATGACAGCAAACCACTACACCTAAACAACTTACACATCGCTTGACTGAGCCAAAGATTTCCTTGACTGGCCACAATGCTTTCGTCATCCAATCTCCTCTCCCTTCCCGTCTCTGTCCTCTCACTAGTCATTTCCCAAGCATTTCTCTCAATAGCTTCAAACCACCCTCCAGCCGCCTCCCCCAAAGCAAAGACTGATCTGATATGCCACACCTCCAATCCAGCGGAATGCTACCCCACCGTCTTTTCCCCAACAAAAGATTTTCAAGTCATTCGCGACGACCAATCCATCCCTCCCGGCCTCCACGTTCGCATGAACCTCGCTACAGGCCTGAAAGAAGCACGCCTCAATATCCCACTTGATGACGAAGACGACGACCAAGGAGCTATCGTAGTGATTGACAACGGTCCCAAGGAGGATGAGTCTTTCCGGCCAGTACAAGAGCCTCTCCACCTCCAAGATTCCCAACACCCTCTTCACGCCTTAGACTCCACCTCCCCACCAGACGCCCAAGCCAAGCATCCCATCGACTCCCAAACCTTCGCCACACTCCTCGCTAGCCTTAACGACGACTCTCACTCCTCCACCCCGAACTCTCTTTTCACAATACTCACCGCCTTAACAGACCTCGCCCACGACATGGAGTATGGCCTCCACCTCGCCTCCTCCCGCCCCTCCATAGCTCGCATAATGCAACTCATCGACAGCGTAGGCTCCCACTCTCTGCCCGTCCGATCAGCAGCCTCCTCTCTCCTCGCCACGGCGCTCCAAAATAACGACAAGGCGCTGGAAGCCTTGCTCGCACATACTGGATCGGCTGTCACGCCCGTCGTTGCCGCTTTATACGAGACTCAGGCTGTGGAGAAGATGGACGAAGAGGAGGCACATTTCACCAATCGTTTGGTGTTTCTGTTGGCGCAGCTGTGCGAGGATGCTGGTGAGCGGGAGGAGTTTGTGAAGGAGGGAGGCGTGGACGCCTTAGCCGGCGTGCTTGATAAGGCGGGTCATGGAGGCAAGGAAGGGCAGTTTGAGAAGGTAGTTGCGAGGGTCGCAAACTTTGTGGGCGATTTTGCGGAGAGGATTGGGAGGGAGGTTGGTAGTGAGGAGTGGGGAAAGATGTGTGCAGCGCTGAGGGGCAGTGTGCTTGGAAAGTACGAAAGGGGTAGTGTGATTTATGAGAGCGCTTTAGAGGCTGAGAGGGCGTTGGAGGTGGTCTTGGGAGGACGGTGTGAGTGATGAACAACGGGGCCAAGATTTGATGCTATGCTGAATGATATGGGGCGACATTAGGGCTTTGTAGAGTATAGATATCAAATGAAAATTTGAGCAAGATCCTTAATCAACCATAACAAGGAGAAGGTAGGCGAAAAACACGAGGCTTCAGTTAAGCACGTTTCGCATTCGTCGTTTCACGGTAAGCTATCTCCTTTCCGTGGGCTATGTCCAGACGTGTCTTTTATATTATGAAATCCACCATCAACATCACCGAAATATCACCATCCACCTATTCGATATCTTAACGTCATAATCACCTATTCTCTCACCCATGTGTAATAACAAGCAAGCGTCAGCTTCTCAGCGAGGGAGACTTAGGCTTTCAAGCAGCCTGCTCAAAAACCATATCCTCAGTAGCAAGGCCGTTGACTCCACCCTCAACTTTAGGGAGTTCCCTTTTGACCACTACTTCACCATCCCCATCCTGCTCCGCAACTTTAGCCTTCGTGCCATTGGCTTGCTTCTTGCTTGGTGCCTTGGACTTTTTGGTAGGTGTCTCGCCGTTGGCCTTACCATTCGCAGCGGTACGCTTCTTAGTTCCAGTCTGGCAAAATCAGCAAAGGTCGACACGCAGAAAGGGAACACATTACCTTAGGGGTGTAGTCCATCTCAGTGTCATCTCCTCCATTACCATTCGTTGCTCCCTCGCTATCGCCTCCTTTCTTGGGTGTACGAGGCTTTGGTGCCTTAGCATCCACAACAACTTCCGGATGTTGTGCAGCTATTTCACGCCCCGTTTGGCGCCATTTACGGAACTTGTGCTCCAATGCAGAGGCGGTATGTTTCTCTTTGTCCAGGAGTGCCATGGTCTTATAGTTGGGTACCCAATCGCCATGAGCAGCAAAAAGGAGGGGAATGATAGCGTCGAGATCAGGAGGAGCTCCGCGCTCACGCTTGCCGTTTCCATTTTCAACCGGGCCGGCCATTTCGAAAGATGCCTTGTTTTCAATGTTGTCTATGAGGGACAACATCAGCGTACGCCTTTAGTTGTGCTTGAATGATGAGCCTGTTCAAAAACATAAAATCACAAGCAGACTGATTCATGGGTCAAGTCCATGGGCAACAATATTGGAACAGTGCGAAGATTGCGAACGCGATACAAAGTTAATTCGAAAAATGTCGTCAAGCTCATTGTCAGAGTGACCCTACCTGTCGTCATGATGAACTAGAGTGTAAGTGTTTGCACTTGACAGTCTGATCGATGAGATGTGATAGACTTGGTAGATATGTTGTATTGAAAGGAAGTTGGAAGGCGTAATGTGAACTGGAGTGGAAGAGATTGAATGTGTAGCACAACAGGACAAAAGTGATGATTTGCAACGGAAAATCACCACTTGAAGGTAATTGTTGGGACCAAGCGCTTGACGGGCGCAATACTTGGCTACAAGACCGGGATTTCAATGTCTGCCATTCAGATCATTTCGTCGGTGCGAACGTAAGTGGTTGTGATGGAGATGTTGAAGCAAGGAAAAATGGTCAAAACCTCACCTTCAAGAGATAATCACGAGGTCAAGTAGTGCTAGCCTTGGCGTCGATCCTAAGCGACATCAGTGAGTGATACTGCAGTATACGAAGAATATCGGACTCACTGGGCGTTGCAAGGCAAGACGACAACAGGATTGTACGACGAATATCAGAACGGGGCGGTGGGTTGGAGGAAGAAAGCGAAAGGAAGAAGATCAAAACCCGGGCATCAGTCACTTAAAGAGCTGGCGGGGGCAAGCAAACAAGGTTTTGTTCTGTTAGTGAATTATTCAAGTCTCAAGTGTTGTCAAGTGTCGTCGATGGCATTCTTGGAAAAAGCGGTTCATACCATGTTCCGGCTTCCTACGAAACCCGCCGCTGGTATTGCAAGTCGGACAATATCGTAAATGTTGGGTCTGATGGCTATGAAGATATTCATGCTATCTAGAAGCTTCCAATTCCAAATAAGACACAGATTGGGGGTCTCCTTTGCTCAAGAAGACTATTGTCTGATGCTGGATGTGGATCCCTTTCCATTTCGCTCGAAATTGGCTTGAGATCCATGCTCAATGATGTTTTACATGCTTTGGTCTGCTTGCACCTAAATTAGAAGATGATCATGGCGACCATTCAAGGGCTGAAAAATTACCATAATGATGGGTTTATTCGCATCAGCTGCCTCCATGTTCAATACCGCCTTTATACTTCAGCTTACGGTCACGAGCCCTTAGACCCCCAAACTCTTGACGAATATGGGCGCTTTGGTGCCCTGCGTGCTTCTTGAAAGCCAGGCGGGTCAATCAAAATAAGATGCGGGCCCTCACAATACTTACCGAAGGGAATTCCCACTCTTAGTCCTTATCTAGAAATTCCTGGGTCAAGGTGGAGTAGATATCCCGCAACATCGTTTGATCTCAACCTTCCTTGTCAAACATCCCCAGTCCAGGATATTGTAGATATCCCTGCGGGCAGCCTCAATTCCAGAAACATCTTTGAGCAAGTGTGCATATAAATGATGCTTGTGATAGCGGAAGCCAAAGAGATCATCAGGCTCGTACCAATGCACCCAGATTTCCAAATCAATGGAGCTACTGGTGATGGTAAAAGTCATTGATTTCTTCATTGAATCTGCACCGTGTCCATGGAGTGCCTTCAATTGGCGCATCGTACTGACCATTGCGGTCCTAGCCTTGCAAGCCTGGTATTTTCCATCCTCCGGTGACTTTCTCACGCTCTTGTATTCTACGGCAAGAAGAGTGAAGAATTGATGGGGGCAGACTTGTGAGAGTCTTTTATAGTAAAGGGCGGCTCTCTCCTCGGCGGCACTGAAGGCTGACCGCTCCAAACCGTAAAAAAGATCGGGGTTCGGATCTTCCACGCCGGCAAAGTCGTCGAGGATGCCCTTTAAAATTGGATCATCCTTGACTTGTGCCAATGGCATAAGATTGTGGCTTCACTGTAAGTTCAAAGCAACACGAAGGTCATCGTGGTCCCAGTCTTGGGTGACGATCTCTTATACGGAGACGCCACGTCTCAAGTCGTTGGTCAATTTCTCAAGCGCTCGTTCATCTTTAGCAGTCTCGAAGAAAAGCTGAACGGATCTCATCGCATGGCAACATAGTGTGCAAAACCCCTGGGCCACAGACAGATCGGCATTTAGAACTACCCGAGACGTGCGGCTGGCTCCCGCCCGATAGCAGGGTACTAGGCCCCCCAAGGCCCCACGCTAAGGGGCCTGATTGCGGGCGTCGACAACCTCATGTTGGTCCTGGAGGCTGGTATAAATACCTCATTCCTCGTCCCTTCCGCATTGTTAAAGTGGTTCATTTTGAATAAACAAACCAGAGTCGATGTTCCCTCAAAAAGCATTTCGAACTTCGATATCCTCCTGCTACCTGCCGAGCTTTGGATCTGCAAGCCAACCGTCATCCATGTCATTCTCAAGCCGAAAATTCTCCGTCAGCAAGGGGCCAAGCGCCAAGTGAAGCTACTAATTTCTCGCTGATTAAATGCCGAACTGACGATGGTAGTGAGCTGAACTCGAAGATACATCGACTTTTCCGCGATGCTCACGAGGGACACCGCCCGCACGCCGGCCTTGACCCAAGTCGAGCTTCAACAGGCGTAGTCTGGTGTACCGAACGCGCGAACGAACATGGATTGTCTGATGATCCTTGTGCATGGGCAAATCTGGGCCAAGGCGCTCCAGAAGTAGATGATGACATCGCAGGCAGTTTCGAGCGACCCAAGACCCTGGACATCTCGGTGAACTCTCGAGAATACGGACCTACTGCCGGTATCAAGCCCCTCAGAGTTGCCATTGCAAATCTGTACAACGTACACCATCGACAGGGCAAGGAGAGCAAATATACGTAAGTGTCGATATTGCGATTGGAAGCTGCTGTGCAAACTTTCGCCCCCTGAGAGTGTGCTCGGACCACGACTGATGATGGCTATCTCAGGTGGGAAAATGTTGCTGTTGTGCCAGGAGGCAGGGCAGGCTTGATCAGAATCGCAGCAGTGCTGAACAATGCCTATCTTGGTTTCTTCATCCCTGATTATACGGCCTACAATGTGAGCCTTCAGTCAGAATCTGGATTTAGCGGCTAACAAAAAGAAGGAAATGCTTTCCTTATTCAAGAATGTAGGTAATTCCTCGAAAAGATATGATGAGTTTTAAGACTTTGTAATGACCTTGTAATGACCTTGACGGCCGACTCGATCTCGTTGCCAAAATAGTCAGGTAGTTGGGACTGACCTGTCGGATACAGTTTGCAGCAATTCCTTCTCCATTATCGGAGCAAGATAACTACCACATTCACGCCAGCAAGATCGAAGACGAAATAGCCAGAGGCACATCTGTGATCTTGACGTCGAATCCTCGCAATCCAACGGGACAGGTAGTCAGAAACCCTCAGCTAGCTGAGATACAGGATATCTGTAGAGACCGAGCAACGTGAATACACCGATTGTTTCATGTGAATCCTCGCTCACAAGTTTAGGCTGATTATGGATGAATTCTATGGTGGTTACAATTATACCAGCAACTGCGATGGGTCTGTCGTCTCTGCTGCGGACAACATCATTGACGTAGATCAGGATGATGTCTTGATCATTGACGGCTTGACCAAGCGTTTCCGCTTGCCTGGCTGGGTAATGCCATCGCAGATCATTGACCAGCATTGACTGACATTCATCCAGCGTGTAGCTTGGATTCTTGGGCCCAAAGAATTCATTAAAGCCATCGGCAGCTGTGGATCCTACCTCGACGGGGGGACAAATGTGCCGTTTCAGGAAGCAGCGGTTCCAATGTTGGAACCTACGAAAGTGCTCAATGAAATGAAAGCCCTCCAGCACCACTTCCGGAACAAGCGTAATTATGTCATCGGACGTTTGCTAGACATGGGCTTTAAGATGGGTCATGTCCCTGACTCAACGTTCTACATCTGGCTAGATTTGAGCTGCCTTCCGGAGGAGATCAATGATGGCTTGAATTTCTTCCAACAGTGCCTACTGGAGAAGGTCATCGGTAAGCTACCGACCCTCTGCAATATGCTCCATGCGCTTACTAAGCACAGTCGTGCCTGGGATCTTCTTTGACCTAAATCCGGCGAAACGTAGAGATTTATTCGATAGCCCATGTCATCATTTTGTACGCTTGAGCTATGGACCAAAGATGGAGACACTCAAGGCTGGTCTAGATGGTATAGAGAGAGTGATCAATAAGTAAGCACAACTTTCTTTGTCACCACGAGACGATCTTTATGGGGTCAAAGGTGGTCAGGGACGTTAAAGCTAATGCAAGCTCAGGATCACGTCAAAGCAAGAGAAGAGCGAGACCGCGCGTGAAGAAGCTGTCAAGGACTGAGTGACTCAAGACTGATAGAACAGCACGAGGTCCCTGAAATTAGATGTCAGCAGTCCCGACAACAAGGGTTTCTTCAAGGACTTCGAACGAGCTGAATACCTTCATATCGCCTTATGCACACCTGTAGAGATCGAGGCTATTCGTGAGGCGACTGTGTCTGAAATGACCGAGCTCAAATCGTTTGTAATGCATTCGTAACGAAAACAAGCGCTTTACAAGATCCCTGGGTTCTAGATCTGGCTTCATTTTAATCGTTGTAGATATTGCATGTTATTTGACTTGCTAACCAGTAGACGCCGCGGACGATACCTTCAGACAAAAACAAAGTCTGGTCTTCTTATCTGAGATTGAAGAGATGTCCAAGCTATTAATCGACCAAGCCTTCAAGTAATTCCTCCACGCCTTTCACGGAAAGAGGAGTATTTTCCGATCGGGCCAAAGAAACCGCAGAAGAGACAGCGTTTTTAATCTGCCAATCTGCATTTAGCTTGGAAGCCCTCTCAATAGTCTAGCAGGACAAACCTGTCGACCATTCATCGATCGCTTTGCTAATGTGGCAATGCCTTGCTCAGAAATATCTGCGAGTTCCGTGGTTTTCGAAACATTTTGGAAAAAGTTTCTCCAAATTGCTTTCCGTCCCTCTTCGTCAAGGTCAGGATAGTGGATGGTGAAATGGATCCGGCCTAAACGGAAGTCAGTCGGTTTTGACACCAAGAACGAGTGTTCAGGTACTTTGAAAAGCCTTATCTATCTCTGTCGGCCGATTCGTGGTCAAGATCAGGACGCCTCCAAAGTATCTTCCACATACATTAGCTCGGCTTCGCAGTAGAATCAATCTATGACGTACTCCAGTCGTCGGAGGAAGATGCTCACGAGATTATCGCGGTTGAGGTCATGTCCTCGAGTAGCGAGGAACACCTCAGCTTCGTCAATCAGAAGAACACAGCCCCATCTCCGTGTTATGTCGAGTATCTGTTCGATGCGCTTATCAACGCGGTCTGCGTCTACGCCCAGCTCACCGGTCGAGACAACATAAAGCGGCCGGTGAGTCACTTCAGCCACGGCTTCCGCAGTCAACGTCTTTCCGACTCCTGGATTACCAGTCAGTAGGCCCACGAGACCTCTACCCTTATTCTGCACAATATCATCGAAGGCTGTCTCGTCTTGGCGATGCGCTTTGACAAGCCCATGAATGATTCTTCGACGCTCTTCTCGGATAACGATCTTTTGAAAAGCTCCTTCGTTCCAAACCACTTCTGTGCAGCCAATCAACGCAAATTGGCCCCATACTTTTGCAGTAAAGCTGAACCCATTGATCCAGTATGCGCAGACAAGCAATTGATCTTCTGTTAAATCACGTGTGAGGATCTGATCCTGCGCATAAACCAGCGGATTCATTAACTTCATGGCTTCTGGGTTGTGGCTTCCGAAAGCAAAAGAGTCTAGCATAACTCGCCCTTCACCCTAGCTTCCACTCAGTTTCGAAAAGACTCGGACATCTAAAAGCGGGATCAAGTCTTCAAATTACTCACATTGAACTTGTAAAGCTTTGATGTATCACTAGGTGTAAGCATCTGGACCTCTTTTACGGCATGAGAATATGTATATTCCATACATGTAGGGGAATCTACAAGGGAAAGATATAGCCGCCCTCGCGATACCAAATCCTTTCGAACTTTATCATGCTCCGGATCGCACGATAGAGGGTATACCGGCAAGTTTGTGATCTTTCGGGCGCCGGTGAATCCGTTGATTTCAAGTTCTAGGCTTCCCCATCCAAAGTCTTCGCCATCATGGGTTATCAGACGTGCTGCGACATGAAAATACCTGGTATTGTTTGGATGTATGCCATGTTCAGTATTGATAAGTCTCAAAGCTTGTGTTTGATTCATCAAACCGTGTTTTGGGGCAAGGACGAATTCCTTGGGACGAAAGATAGCCCACAAGAGATCGAAAGTAATCTCACCTTGAGCGAGCAAAGAATCTAGGCTTTCTGTTCGCTCTCCAAAATCCTCTTCGACAAAGCGCAGAGCTGTCCCAATGTCATCGATGAGACTTTGGTCGGGCTCTGGTCTCTCTTTCTCTGCGGCTTTCCGCAAATTCAATTCCTGTGCTGCGTAGAAGAACAGCTCAGGGTCTGCCTGTAAGCGAAGCTGTTAGGCATTGCCATTGCATAATCAGAAGCTTCAAGACTCAACAAACCACAGGCGGGGTTTTATTTAGCCGTAATCCCTCAATGTCGGCGAAGAGCTCCCGAAATATCGACGTCAGATGATCCGACTTAATGTCGATCTCGGTGCCAGCGACCATTCCTTGCTTACTAATGATACGACGCACAACGAGTGCAGTTTTGCCGAATTTCGAAGGCTTGACCTTTGCCTTTGCGGTTTTCACGAAATGCGTCTGACGGTCCTTTCTTCGAAGGTTCAGCAACAGCACGACCCACGGAAACCATTTTATAAGCCTCACCTGCTATAACTGTTCACGAAAGACTAGATAAGCATGGGTATTGTCCACAATGCATATACATTCTGCCTGCCAACTCACATCTGATCGACGCGTAGCAGTCTCTGTTCTTTATTCCCATGATCAGTCATCACCCGCCGTAGAGGCTTCTTAGGCTCGTCGTTCCCATCTGGCAGCGGGTTCGTAGACGCCATTTTATCACTAAATGAGCAGGCTGGCGATGAACTTTTCAAGTGCCAGACGCACTTTGGGCGGAAGCCGTAAGAAGTAATGGCTTAGTCAGTCTGCACTGAACATCCAACCGGGTGATTGATTGATCGAAAGCGCATGTTGCTCATTTGATAGTGGTCTCACTAGGCCAGCCGCGGGCGGCGGCTTCTAGTTCTAGTTCTAGGCACCCCCGCCCCATTTGATTTCTTACCAAAGACTACGAAAAACTTGAGTCTTTTGACGCTTGAATATCGAGAAACCTTTCAGCCAAAATGCCCCCTACGATTGATGGGTAAGCGTGAACCCAAGACGTCGAGGTCGTTATGATTATGATATGGCTGATGATGTCGTCGGCACAGGCTCCTCGGACCGGCGGGGACGTCGTCGGAACCTTCGCCGTTTCGCCGCGCAATCGACGCATATATCAAGTCGAGGCCAAAAAAGAGTACAACGCCTCAGTTCTTGTTGGCTCTCCAGGAATCAGGCTCAACGACAACCAAGGACGACGTGCAACGCGCGATGACCGAGCTTGAAAGGAAGAATGCGAACAGTACGGCGACCCGACTTATTCGGAAGACCTTGAAGCCTGTAATGTCGGTGCTTCATACATATACGGGCGTCATCGACACTCTTGGTAAGTATTGAGACACTTGATAGTTTTTGATATGACATTTGGACTCACCTTTTGAAAACCGTAAGCCCAGGCGGACCCTATGCCGACCGCACTTGTCTGGGGACTCGTCAAGGCTGTAGTGGAAGTAAGCTAGCCATGTGTACTGGAAGGTTCGCAACTAAAGATTTTCAAAGACGTCGAATCGATTTATTGAGCTCTACGAGAAAATCAGCACTCAGCTTGAAGCGATGAGAAACCATCTTGCCCGACTGACTGACTATGACGATCTTTACGGAGATTCTGTAGAGATGCAGGAGATCTTAGAAGCTTCGTATGTCGACGTCATTCGCTTTTGGTGTAGGATAGAAAAGGAATGCAAACGATGTGGTCAGCAAACCCAAAATAAGTGATGTGGACATCGAAGGTGACTTGTTATCCCACAGCTGGAAACAGGATGGGTCGAGCATTCGGATCATTTAGTACAACAAAGCTAGATGGAATCATAGCCAGCATAAAAATCAACGCTGACCAAATCAGCGAACTCGGGCAAATTGTGCAAGCGCGCTTGCACAGGCGCGAACATGAAGACCAGACAGAAGAACGTCGGCTAGCTGGCTTTGCACGAGACGAGCATAAGGCGTTCTTTCAAGAACATCTAGAAGAGTTGAGGTTACGGAACCTTGAAAGGAGAAGTGAAAGGCACCCCCAATCATGATTCGAGTGATTGCTGATACTATCAGAGAATCGGCTGAAAGATTTCCGCGACTGGTTGAAAGCGGACTCGTCTCCAGTTTTGGAGAGTAATAATCGTCATCATGAACGAAACATCCGTGGAAGAAGCGCTATCACTTGCACCTGGCTCTTGCATCACCAAACCTTTGGCAATTGGCGTGACTTTGACACGAAAGCTGCAACGATTTGGCTTAGAGCATCTCCTGGAGTGGGTAAATCAATCTTGTGTGCGTACGCTATTCAACAGGTTGAAAGACTCCATCCATCGTCCTGCTGTATTTTCCATTATTACTCGTTTGATGAAGAAATTTCACCCATTCAGATATACAGGTCAATAGCCGAGCAACTGTCAAACCGAGTCTGGAAAGAGCTTGAAGATCTTCCGGAAGAAATTCATGCTCTAACGCAGTGTACAGCAATCAGCCTGAACAGTAGAGATCTGCAAGACGTCATCAAAATGCTAGTGAAGAGATTATCTTACATCTACATTTTCGTCGATGGGTTGGACGAGGAGTGTGATGATGGTCAGCGCTCTACTCGGATGTTGGAGGTGGTTGCTTTTCTGTTGGAACTGACGGACGAGAATCCCCATTATGTCCGTATTTGGTGCAGTAGTCAAGATCGAATCGGCCTCAACGCTAAGCTTGGGCACTTCAATATTATCGACGTAAGTTCCAAGCTAAATAACAACGACATCCAACAGTTTTTGGCAGACAAGATGGAGACTTTTGAACATTTAGAAATTGAAAAAGGTTATCGAACTCTTCTGTCACTAGATTTATGCCAGAAAGCTGAAGGTTGCTTCCTGTGGGCGTCGCTTATGCTAGACTCTATTTCTAAAGCTCCAACGCTATACGCAATACAGGAACTTATCGAAAGAGGCTTACCGCAAGGCTATGAGGTTTACTATAAAAGAAGGTTGGAAGACCTCGATGTCTCACAAAGAGCCTTCGTATCGTAAGTATCCTAATCTTGAAATGGAAAAAGCGCTAAAAAAGGTGTTCAGTATTCTTCTTGCGTGTGTTCTCTATGCCAAACGTCCATTACGCCTAGAAGAGCTCTGCGAGTCTATGGCAGTCTTCAAAACCAGTGACGGAGAAAACATCAATAAATCACAAAAGCTTTTCCGAAACCAAGTTTTAAAACTTTGCGAGCCTTTGGTTGAAATCCAAGAATCCGACAATTACTCTATCTGCACCCTTTCTCACGCCTCTGTGCGCAAATTTCTTATCGAATATTTCAAGAACGATAAGAAATCTGCCGTAAGCTCGGTTTCTCATGATCCAATGGGATATATCTGCTTGCGATATCTGTCACAGCCTTGCTACAGGCGTTTATTGGTCAGAAGTGGAGAAACCTTCACTGATATGAATGATGAAGATATCACTGAGCATCATCTTCTATCGTATGCCGCAAAATATTGGGACAAGCATTTGGATGACCTCCCTTACTCTCAAGAACTCTGTGGAAAGGTTGAGCAATTCTTGAATTCTTCTCAATTTCAAACTTGCTTGCAAACACAAAGCCTTTTTGTAGAAGGTAAGTTCGGCCTAAATGAAGAGAAAACAGACCCTAGATTTTTTTTACTTACTAGATCTACATAACAGGGCAATTTCAAGTCTGGTATAATTCTGTATCCCTTTGGCGAGGCCCGCAACGTCGTCGTGTGTTTCCAACTTGGCTTTCTGAAAGATGCGGTCACAGCATGGAGCAGCAGTATCAATTTTTCGTTGCACAGTGGGGAAACGTCTTGAATAGCGTCACTAGCATGTATGGCGATCACCCTGGAGAGATTGACCGCTGTTTTTGGAATGCTCTTGGAACCCAGAACTTCCTTCATGATAGCCAGAGCCGCTATAAAAATTTTGCGTTTACGCCAGAAATCCAAAGAGATCAACAAATACCAATACGCTACTTTGAAGGAATTAATGAGATTGGAAATCGAGTAGTTGTTGTAACCCTCATGGCGTCGTAAGTTTTGTCCTAAGCTAAACAACCGCTCGCTGATGTCTTCAATAGGAAAGATGATCCTTCCGACCTACAGTTCTGGTGCGATGAATGGGCTTTAAATGGACGCAGTCCTAGCCACGTAAGATCTCAGCTTCTTGACGCAAAGCGTTCATCATGGCGACTCTACGATCAACCTAAGACACAATCTGGATGGCCAGTTCCTGTCTCGCTCACGTCTGACTTGCAAAGCCTAAGGATTGGAAACCATATATTTGTAAGATCATCAGACCAATCCTTTGTCTCCTTGGAGAGCTTGATTGGACAAGAGGACTATTTTGAAGAGGTTATTAGCTGCGGTGGCTATGTTGCGTTGTCGACCAGAGGGATCCCCACTCAGACAGATCTATTTGACAAGAAAGATGACAAAAAAGAGGTGAATAAAGACACAATTTTTGATCACAGCGAGGAGTTAGCTCAGATACTCGAAGAAAGCGTCAAATCTGCAGACTCGATTGCAAATTCTACAGCTACTACGAGCACTCAGGAAACAGAAAACGCTGAGACAAGCCTCAACTCAACGTCATCAAGTAACACTTCTGTATCATCATTAGTTATAGAGGAGCCTGAAGCCATTGATTATCCCGGCAAAGACATAGATCTACAGAACTTCGACGCAGAAACCCTCGAGGATGATTTAGAATCAGACAGGGAGAGTAACTCCGCCAACGAATCTTGGAGCGAAGGATCGACAAATGACGTTCCAGATGAGTTGGATGACGAGGATCAGTGGAACGATTGGAGAGCAGGCGATCTGGTAGATTTGGAAGACTTGGAAGATTTGGAAGAAGAAATACTTCAGAGGGACGACGACAATTCTGATAGCAGCAATGAGCCTGATGCTGAAGAGGAGCCTGCCACTTCTGAGGACTCGTACGATTCAGAAGATATTGAGGATGCCCATATATCTCTTCCGATGGGTTACCGCTTGAAACAAGCGCATTCTTCGTCTAGCAACTCAACGACCAGTTCAATTGGAAGCACTTATTCGCAAAGCATTGCTGCCGATTCTGATGATCCAGATGCGGACGATTCAGATTTTGAGAATGAGAACGGTCGTAGGCTAGAGGACCTGATGCTTGGGAGGGATAAAGCTAGTAAATCGCCAAGTACGAAGCATGCCACTCTGAGAGTCTACAGCTTAGAGCACAATAACTGGAACCTAGTCTTTCACTATTCGGAGTCATCTACTCACAGATTATACGGTTCTCCTCCGGTGATCCATCCAACTCAGCCGCTGTTAGTGTGGCCCCTCGGAAACAATGAGGTGCTGTTTGCCAACCTCATTAGGAACACCTATTTCACCCGGCGGCTCTGCTGCTCGGAACCGAAAAGCTGCCATGTCTTTATCAAGACGCATTTCTCGGCTGATGGACGGCACTTACATTTTGCTGCTCTTGAAGCATCCGGAGCAGACGGCACGGATGATGAAGGGACCAAGAACAAGCAACGGTCACTACACCTCAACCTCCAAGTGACCACCCACCGTCTATCTGGCCGCAAGACCGCTCGCGCGCCCCCCAGCCTAGTTTTCCGTACGAATGTATCTCTTGGCTCCACAACTTCCCTTTCCGTCTCTCGCCTTCCATACACACTGACCTGGACACCCAAACATCTCTATCTTACAAGCAACAGCGAGACCTTAGCCATTACCCGCATTCCACTTTCCTACCCGGAAGATGGCAGCAAGAGGACTCCAATTTGCTCTACCCAAGGCGAGGTCTTCCTGCCGCGGAGTGTTGAGTCGCGAAATGTGTACTACTTCCCTCCTGCTCCTACCTCATCAACTCCCAGCTCTAAAGGTCTTTCGTTGGACGATAACCGACAGCGGCAGAGGAAGAAAGACAAGGCTACAATTATCATTGGCTCGTACTCCTCGGAACCATCGCAAAGACTTTATGTGCCGAAAAACCTCATGTCGCCACCTATTGGGTTGTATCTGGATGAGGAAAAGCATTTAGGGGGATGGGAGTGCAAGACGAATGTGGAAGGCGGAGGCAGGGTAGTTAATCTTGATGGAGGGAAGCTGAAAGGGAAGTTTGAGAGTTTTGATTTAAATGAGGATTGTGATATTGTGCCGTACCTTGTCTAGATACGAATGGCGAGAATGCAAAAGGCTTATGGAAAATTGTCCAAACAAGAGACAAGTGCTACTTCAAGCCCGATCGTACGATAGCAATTTCACCATTCCGTGGACACATTAAGGTCCCTTGCGCATTCAGAACAATCAGTCTTAGCGCCGTGGGACTGAGCCAATCCTTTGGAAGGAAGAAATGCCGCTTATGCTTGCTATAGACCTGCTCCATAGCCCACGTACACAGCCAGAATTGATGGTCGATGAAGACCACCTGATCATGGAAGCAGCCGATCAGAAGTCGAACATGCTTAGCAAATCCCTCAACTTCCTTTCTTTTAGATCCCTCACTGTCCTTAAATTTACAAACATCAAGGAACTCGATCCGACGACTCTGAGAGCTTGCGTAACTCGCATTGGTCGGTAATATTTCTAGTACAAGGTAGCGGCTTTGGACATGGACTGCTCGCTGGACTTGCCCTGATAAAGTCTTGAGTTGGATATCTCGTAATGACGAATCAATTGACTCTTCCTCAGTCAAGAGTGTCTTCCACTGGTATCGGCGTGCTTGACTCGCATCTACCTTAATCAGGAGGCTTGGAAAATCCGGATAATTAATCCAAAGTGCCTCCTGTTGGTCTGGATGCCGGACGCAGCAAAGCTCTGTCTTTGTCTTTAGATTCAACACATAGCCCGTGGTTCGGCTGGCGATGAGAAGAAGTCCATCTTGAGTGTGGAATAACAATTGTTCGATTGCTTCCTCGATGCGCCTGTCAATGACCTTAAAGACTGCCCAATCGTCTTTGCCAGCTGATGGTGACTCTAATTTCTTTACCATAATCCGTCCAGAGTCATCTCCCGACGCGAAATACCTTTCAGAATCGGACCATGCCAGCTTTATGACAGATGCAGACAAAGCATGTTTGGCGATTTGGCGCACCTTCTTCCCCTGAGGTAACTTATACAATACCACTGTGCCGTCCTCTTTCCCACAGCAGTAGTGGGTGTTGGAAGTGTTACAGATCAGGGACGTTATCGGGATACGAGTATTGTCATCAGACGAGATTACTGGCTCCGAGTTGATCGTATCATGAACACTCGAGGCGCTGTCTGGATCTATATCGTTTGACCTGATAAGTGCGTCTGGTTCCCAGACATTACAGAACGTGCCGCGAATATCGTAGAATCGGGCCCCATCGGGGGAAAATGACATGTCTGTCACAAGCTCCTCATATTTGAGGCGATAGGTAAGTCGATAGTCTGGGATAGTCCAAATACTTAGTGTTCCATTCACATCGCTCGTGAGCAGGAGGCTGCCATCATGATTCAGAACCATTCCCCGTGCTCCCATATGATCGTGCGGTGATTGTTCATCATCTCTGACGTTCCATTCGACGACCTTGGTGTCCTCGTACATAACCAGTAGGTGGTCGGTTTCTGGTTGCCATAAAGCTACTTCTGGTGCGTTCCACGCATCACCTTCCCGAGCTGACCGCATGTTGTCTTCTGCAAGGACGCATCTTTTTGGTGGGATGAATCTTGAGGGAGATTGCTGGATGCTCCAAACGACCACGGGTCTTCCACGAAACACAAGTGCGACCTGTGACAGATCTGGACTGATTGCCATATACCGAGCGCAATTGTGGTCCTCCGATCCCGGCTCTTTCGCCAAGAAATGCCACTTTTCTCGACTAGTCGCCAAGTCGAAACACTGTATAAGACAGTCATCGTAGCCGACAAGGATCTCGTCATCTTCTGGTCCAAATACAAGTGTTCTGGTATGGTGATGACGTCCTTTGGGCAAGCGATACAACTCCTCACCTGTAGTGATATCCCATACTCGTGTTGTTTTGAAGCCAGCCGTTGCCACAAGACTTGATGTCCGGCTACTCGTCATGTTCGTTACATACTCACCGTGGGTAAATCTTCGAATTTCTTCACATGTTTCTGAAGACCACACAATGAGAGTGCCATCGATGCCGACAAGCGTTACAAAAAAGGTGTCCTTGCATAGCACTTTGGATGCCGTCTGATCCTCCCCCATTGTCGTTCTCGCGAGGCAGTCATCCCATTTCTTCGAAGCTATTCCTGTTACAGAAAACGCTGAGCGACTCGTGAAACCGAAAGACCTGCTTATGATGGACTCCTTGGGGCAAAAAGGAACGACGTATTTGTGGATCGAAGCTGGGTTCTCTATAATATTTCGGCCGAATCGGCCGACAACGCGTATTATATCGTTTGCCCATTGACGAAGCTCACCGTCCCTCGATAGTGTTAAGCTAGGGGACGCTCTTTTGGCTAGACTATTTGCCCTCCTCTTCAAGAATGTCTTGAAATGTTGGGCTGACTGCGTTAAGATACGAAGATTTTTGAAAAGAGCCACCCCATTGATCCAAAGTAGACATGCTTCTTCCAAGAACGTCAGTACGGTCTCTAGTAGATCTTCCGAGTCCGCAGGGGCATGACTGAAGTGGTAGGCCCAATTGGTCAAGGCGTAGGAGAGGAAAGGGTAGTCGTTGAAACTAGATGTACTGCTCAGTGGCATACTTGGTTGTTGCATTGTTTGCATGTTTGCGAAAGTCCTTCTCCATCTACTAGTGTCTGAAAGAAAATCGAGACAGACAGTCGCAATATGTTGGTGGCCCTTGGATGGGATGATGCTGACAGGCAAGCCTGATGTCTTTTGAAGCAGGAACTGAGCAGCAGTATGATGAATCAGGGTTATTTTTGACTTGTTTACGACGACGAAATGCCCACATATTTCTTCAATTGTGTTTTGCAGACTGTAGAAGTCTTGGAAATCTGGTCTTAATGCAACTTCAAGTTCGGCAATGTCAAGGGGTCTGAATGCGCAGGCCACCCAAGTGAGTATCATGACAGCCATTCTGCGGGGTTTGGGGAGCTGGTCGGCAATGAGGTCGATCATTCGCTCGTATAAAGGTTCCATGCCTTCTGGAATGTCTGTGAGTGCAGCCCTAATATCATCCTTCGTGTACCAATTATCGCTGATCCTCTCCAGTGCTAACCTGACCCACAAAAAAGATCCTGAGGCCTTCGATAGAATGTCCTGGACAATACCTTCTTGTGTCTGGTCTCCAGGTAAAATTCGTTGAATTGATGAAACAGCGTATTCACGGATATCGTCTTGATTATCCTCGGCTGTAATTCCTTCGTGAACGGCTGTGGGTAGGAAGTTTCGAACGCTTATCGACAAGTCCTTAGTTGCACGACTAAGAAGTAGGACATTTATTCGAGTAGCAGCTTTGATTTTGGAGAGAAGTTTTACTAGATCGATTGGTGCTTCAGCCTCGTCCAAACCATCAAAGACCCAGAATAATGGATCCTGAGAGGGAATGCGGAACAAGATGCCCTCGAAAATCTTCTCCCAAATTATCGTAGCTTTCTGCTGGCCGAAGACTATACCCGTATTTTCGTGGAGCTCGAGTAGCCGAGTGCAGAAAAGCTCGTGAAACAAAGCCGCTTGAAGTGCAATGTTTCGCAATAAATACGAGAGTGTTCTCTTCATCTGATGTCCTGCTAGAAAGAAATGAAATTGGCAACTTCCTGAGAATGATCTTCTCTTAAGAAGAGCTATCACGTAACTGGCAAGAATGGACTTCCCCGCACCTGGGTTTCCAGTGACCCATAAAATTCCCGAGGCGTTAGGGGCGTCTGAAATCCATTCTTGAAAGGCTTCTCGCTGCAAAAGCCACTGACAAGAGCCTTGCATGATCCTCTCTGTGAAGGTATCAAGGTCTTCTTCAACGTTTTCGGATATGCCAAGAATATTCATCAGTCGCTGCTCCAGAGGTACTTCGTGTTGTGATTGGTTCTTGATGACTTTACGTTCAGAGAAAGTGAATGCTTGAAACGCGTTAGCAAAGGCCGGAGCTTTCAGCTCTTAAAAATGGCACGTACCTAGATCTCTGGTATCTTCGCTTACGGCTTTCCTCTTTAGCCATTTTAACACATTTTTGACTTGAGTATAATTTGTGTCTTGAGGATTCCTGAATTTTGCCATGCCGTGATGATCAGCAATCAGCGAGCTGGACGTCTCACCAGGATATTCAAGAAGGGCGGAGTCTTTGTCAACGATCTGCCTCTGATGAGTGTCTCCAGAAGAGCGAAGCAAGCTTGTCTGTAGTGAATGTACTCACCAGTTTCTTTATACCCGCACCAATATGAGTCTTGATCGTTTCATGGAAAGATACGAGCTGCAGCCTGCCGCACATGTTCCTAAATTGCTCGTTGATGTCCTGTAAAGAACCGGACAGTCTTTCCAGCTCACCCACGTAATGCTTTGCACTTCCACTTGGCGAGGCTTTGAAAATATTGTTGAGGGTGGCAGCAAAGGCAGAGCCTCTATGGGGGGTAGCCAAGAAGACCATGGCTGAAATTTTGTTGATTATATCGTCATACTGCTGACTGCTCTTGCCAATGATGTAAGCCTATGATATTTTCAGTTGTGATTCTTTGAATTTTGGTTTCCCAATCGCACCTTCTTGATAACGAGACCACCCATGGAGTGAGCCACCAAAATTATGGGCAGCTGCTGGAGTAAGAATTTGTTTAATGGCCTTATTAGGTCTTGGATGACCCACCTGCCCAATCGACGCCTCATCTTGCTGAGACTCTCCCGTGTAAGTCTTCATTCGAAGAAGAAGATCTTTGGCAAAGTCCATTGTATTTAGCGAGGTGTACTGTCCGGCAAAATTGGCATTGTATCCGAAGGTAAAAAGCCTCGCCCTTGAAAATTCTGCGTCTTCCACGAGCCAAGGCGGCCAGAAGTTTAATGGGTTCCTTTCCCATGACCACGTGCCCCGCGAAGATCCGCCTAAGCCATGAATAAATAATATATCTAAGATAGGGTTTGAACAAGCATAGACCAGGCTCAGCCCAAGTGGATCTGACTTTGACGGACTTGGGATCGGACTGATTCTGCCATGCTGGACATCAAGTCCTGCAAAATCAGAGCCCGCCACGGAAGCGTGGCGACTACCGGAGAAGGATTCGTCAAGGTGGATTGTGGAATGATAGCTGATCGAAGGCTCAGACGCCCGTTTCTGCCGGGCTTCTGGGGGCCATGGCCCGGGCATCCTCCACTCTCCTCGTCCATTTCCGCGCTCTTGATTTGCATCTTCTGCTGAGAGGTGCCGACTTAGCTTTTCTTTTTGCTTGCGTATCTAAGAAGAGGCTCTTGTTAGCGTGAACTACCACGAACAGGGTTAAGGGTATTAAAGAAAGGTTACGGCCGCTTGCTATCTACCCTTCAAAGTTTACTTACAATGTCCATATCAGCTCCACTTGATGGCCAAATATCGAGGCGATGTATATCATTTCGAAAAGACAGAAGAGGTCGAGTTCGACATGGGCCATCCTCAGCCTGGTCGCATAGACTAAGAAAACAAGATTGGCCGGTGGCTTTTGGGGATCGGGCCTGGCCACGACAATCCCCTCTGAGATCCTAGTGCCTCCCAGCACACCCACATATTCTAGAGCGGGATCACTTCGCACGCTACCTGAGAGCGCCGCAGCAGATGAATGAACGTAAGCGCAGCCGCTGGTTGCACGGGACTCGCATAATGTAGTGAAAAGTATTGCAAGATGTCATCAATGGACTACTGTTCTGTGGAAAGTATCCCAAAGCTAGTGAGACTTCCAATAATCAGAATTGAAATGTGGCGAGCGACAAAAGCTTTGCAGAGTCCCAATGGGTGGTGGGCTTACCCCGCTTGGCTGAAGAGAGAACTGTCTAAAGCCGGCGGACTCGGCTGTTCCACCCCACGAAGCAGATGGCATGATCTAGGCCGCAATTGTTCTAGATAGCGTCCCCCACTATCAGATTGGCAGCTCATCCTCATGATGTCCAGAGCACTGAGTGACATTCTCGAATCACGAAGCCATGCATACCTCTACCGCGCCAGGGGTCGCTGCGGTCCCCAACCAGTATACTCTGGAAAAGGCTCAGATCATCGCTGCTCAGTTCGAAATCAGCGACGTTGAGATTGGTATTTGCGTCCAGAAATTCTTGCAGCAAATGGGTGCGTGGAGTGGCCTTGGACAAAGATCCTGCATGAGCGCTGAGTTTGTTCAACAGACGAAGGCCTGCAAAGGAGAACTCCGGCCATGTGCCAAATTCCAACTTACATTACTCGTGTGGCAAGCGGCAAAGAAAAGGTGACACGACAAATAGTTTCGAAATGGCCGAAAGTTCTCGAACTAATCAGCCTAGGGTTCGGCTCTTGGTGTAGACTTGGGAGGTAGTAATCTTCGTGTGTGCCTCGTTGAACTGCACGGAGATACTTCATATCATGTGGTACAATCTAAAAGATCAATCCCTGCTGAACTCATGGTGACTCATGAAGCCGCGGACCTGTTCGCATTCATTACAGACCAGATTGAGGTTCTTCTCAGGACCCATCATCCTGACTGCTTCAGCGAGTCGGCAAATGTAGAAGTCTTAAGCCTGGGCCTAACATTCTCGTTTCCAGTCTATCAGAACGCTATCGATTCGGGCATACTGTTACGCTGGACGAAGGGCTTTGACATTCCCAGTGTGGTTGGACAGGACGTTTGTAGGCTCCTGCAACAACAGATTGATCTTCAAAAGTTGCCAGTGAAAGTTGCAGCTCTCGTCAATGATGCGACAGGAACAATCATGTCCCGTGCGTACACTTTACCTCTCGACCAAATACGCACATCTGTTGGCACAATATTCGGTACTGGGACTAACGGTGTCTACCTCGAGAAGCTTTCGAAAATATGCAAGCCACTCGATGGGCGCTTTGACAGCTCAACCGGCGAGATGCTGATCAGTATCGAGTGGGGTTCTTTCGACAATGGGCTTTCTGTGCTGCCTAATACAGAATACGACGACGAAATAAATCGAAGTAGTATCAACCCTGGAAATCAGATGTTTGAAAAAAGAGTCTCTGGCATGTTTCTTGGAGAACTGCTTCGTACAGTCCTCATAAAGCTGCTTGACGACCCTGCAGTGAGACTGTTTCAGGGCTCAGATTTGAGGTCAGGCAGTTTGGATGTACGCAAGATAGCGCTTCACACACGTTGGGCAGTCGATTCATCGATTCTTTCTATCGCCGAATTGGACACCACACAAGGCCTGACAGCCCTTCGCCAAAAAATCGTTGATGCTCTTGGAGTCTCATCCTCACAGGTCAGTACCGAGGATGCTCAAATCGTGAAAGTAATTGCGCATGCGATAGGCAAGCGTGCTGCTAGACTAGGCGGCATGGCGTTGGGTGCCGTTGTCCTGAAGACTTCGCATCTGGACCCAAACTTCGAACAAACCCAATTTTCTGAGACTAGAAGCGGAGAAGTCGGGTCGCAGGACACTCAGCACAGTGTTCATGTATCAGAAACCATTGCAGCCAATGGTAGCACTTCCTCTTTACCCTCTGACAAGCCGTACGTGATCGACGTTGCGGTGGATGGTAGTGTAATCGAGTACTATCCCAATTTCGAGATGTACATGCGTGACGCTCTGAAAACTGTACCAGGGATAGGTGCTGCTGGCGAAAAAATGATAAGAATAAACGTGACAAAAGATGGGTCCAGCGTTGGCGCAGCTATCACCACACTCGTCGTAACACAGCAGACATGAGCATCCCTCCTGAAACGTGGCGATACAAAGAAGCAAGATCTGTATTTAAAAGTCTGATAAGGCAAAATCATCGCCATTGCAAAGAAGGAAAAGACTCTTAACCGGAGTCTTTTCCACCCTGCTTAGCATTCAGCATTCAGCATTCAAGCTCGCCCAGACATCAACAGATTTAAGCCATTTCAACTTCGATTGAAGTTGCAACCACCTCGGGGTCTTGTTTTTGTTAAGTTAATCACTTACATCTCCGTATCCTCCCATGTCTTCGTTCTCCTCATCTTCCTCCGAGATATTGTTATGTCCTCCATCTGCTTCCTCCTCCTCCTCCTCCAGCTCCTCTAGCTCCTCTTCGGCAGAGTCAGCGTCATCTCCATGTGAGCGAGATTTGAAAGCGGCTACGTCATCCGGGCATAGTTTCGAACAAAGCTCCACACAATCTTCGAAGACGCTTGAAGCCTCACGCATTAGCAAGGAAACGAGACCTTGGAGAGAGTGTCGGACATACTGCTCACGATAATTACTCCCAGGGATTAAAGTAGCAGCGCAGGTATTGAAACGCAGGGAGTAAAGAAGGTTTCGTAAGTCCCATTCGTCCTCTGTAATCTTGTCAGCCGATACAGCTTCAACTTATGCCTTACAAAATCGGTTTACCTGGCTCACTAGCGGGAAAAGCCCGCTTGTAGTTTCGGATGTATGTCTTGCTCCCAAGGCGATGTCTGGGAGACCTCCAGTTCCCAAGCTCATATTCATTATGGGCAAAGAACGCACTTCCATCGAAGACAAATGGCTCGCCCGTCTCCATGTCTGTCGCGGTATTCTGATCCCAGATGTTTCCGTGTACGAGACATGGTTTGATATTTCTACCTTGGCTCTGCAGGGGCCGTAGGAGTCGGCCAACACATTTGTCTAGAATGAGCTTCTTGTAGAACTCAAAATCCTGCCAGTCAGGATGTTTCTGCTTGTCCGCCTCCCACGTGTGGGCCAGTTGCTTTCGAAACAGTGATTCCCAAGATTCATCCCACAGATTCGTCAGCTGTGCAGCTTTGCCATGGCATGTGGTGATGTGGAACCCGAATTTTCCCGTGGGTGAAACGGACCTCTTGTGAAATTCTGCAAGCTGTGACGTGAACCGTATAGCATCTGGCGGTTGCTGACCAATCTCACGAAAGTCGGCCAGAAGGAAATACGTAGGTATTTCGGCCTCTCGGTACCTACCCCAGGCATGCGGCTTGGGACCGAATGAGGGAGATACAGCATGGATTGCTTTATCGGCCTCAAACTGACCTTGGCTCATGAGCTTGTCATTCTCTCCAGTAGTAATCTACAAGAGTCTTCAGTTCGATCAAAAATGAAGGATAAGGCAAGGCAACCTTGAGGAAATAAGACACGACTTCATCATCTGGTAGTCTACAGACTATCTTGGCCTGACGTGCCCATACCCACATGCCATATGCATGAGCGGAAATTACTTTTGTGTTTGGAATTGGGAGAACTTGAATCACATTAGTACTGATGTCTAACTTGTGCTAGGCGAGCAACGATCGCAACCTTCAAGTACCGCCGGATCAAGCTCAAAATTTCCTTCAACAACAAACTGGCCTATACCGTCTGTTCGGGCTACCATCCTTGCTAACACGAGGTTAATCTTCAGAATGGAGGATATGTCGCGGAAAGTGGTGTGGTATGGTGATAAAAAATTCATTGCGCCAGAACAGAGCAGATCGAAACGATCGACCTACAAGTCGAGCCGCTAGGCATCAGTCTTATGCATCTAGATTGCGCCCTCGAGCTCGATGGCCAACCATCCTCTTGAATACGACAGGTCTATAGCGGAGCGCGGTTTCTTCGGCATTATTGTACATATCGTACCCGAGCGTAACTGCAGCAGAGCCGCAATCGAGTTGAGGTTGTTGGAAGAAGGAAAGCTCACCTTTCCTTACATGGCGCCCGATGATCGATGCACTGGAAGTTGCAAAGCAAAGCAATGGAACGCACTTCAAACCCCCGAGAGCCGTCACATTGTTGCGGTCGCAGCCACCTTTTCAGTGCTACAAGTGTCTTGGTGCTCAGCTCGCTCAATTTCTACAGCTTCGTCGTGGATGTCAATCTGTTACCGCTTACCAAGAGCTACACTCAGAGCAAATGCTTCACGAGACCTCCAAGACCGCGAAGACCCTCTTGGACAACTTTGTGACCTGCTAGCTCATTTGCGAATCTTAGCTTTTGATGCGATGTCCAGTCGTTGCCATGACAAGTAAGCCCAAACAGCATTCCAGCTATGAAAGTATCACCTGCACCCACAGTGCTGCTTAGAATTTAGCGCAATGGTTGCGTGAAGCCAGAGATAATCATCCATACTCAACTGTACGAGTTCCTTCCACCTTGATCGCCGCACATTCCACATATGTCTGGTAAGGCAATTCCAGAGCTGAGGCTCCAGAATCTCCCCATGTACACAGTATCAGTGACCTAAAAGAAGCTTGAGAGACTTGTCTAGAGAGCTATGGAGAAGTGGATTGTACGCATTGGAAGTCAGAGCAGCCTGACTTCGTAGACAGCTTTCAGAGGATTTGTAGCCTTTTGCCTGAATCTGTCAGCGTCTCGGTCGTTTAAGGTCAGCGAAAAGCGTACTAGAGCCCAACTTTTAGAGAAGAAAACGACATCTGCCAATGCAGCTAGTTCCTGCAATCCCTCCCTGCCAGGCTTTTCTACCTCTACGCTGATCCTGACGGCAGGATGGTGTTGACGAAGATACTGTATGGACTGCAGAGTCACATCCGCGTTACGGCCCTGAATATTGTCAACCTAAATCAATAGACAGTGCCTAGCTTAAGCCATTTCTGACTTCGAAGTGGTACCACCCCATTTTGTCGCTCAGCTTATCTGAAACGACTGCAAACTCTTCGCTTGTCATCTCCTGTAAGTCGTTGTAACTGATAATCGTCCTACTGTCCGCCGCATGACTTCGAATAACGTAACTAGACGCAGGCTCACTGCTTCCTTCGCGGCAGATGCAGTGTGACAAATCAATCGATTTTTCCATGGAAGTTCTGAGTTCCTGGTATGCTGGTGATGAGCTCGATGGCATCACTGCGCATAATGCCACAGAATACATAAGGCAGTGACTCGTATCGAGGAGTTGCTGAAGTACATCAAGGGTATTTGGTGAATTACCACCACGACGCCGGATGATGCTAGATGCGCGCAATTTCTCGTCTTCTGCGGGGTAACAGTCAACGCTGTGAGGAAGTAATTAGAAGGTGCAGAGCTCGATGTCATATCCCTCATACTTCAGTATCGTGTCAATGCAGCATGCTCCTACAGCGACGAGACATTTCATGATGCTATAGAATTGTAGGAGATGATTGCTCTTGTGGCTTTCAAATACAATTTACAAAAAGGCCCGGCAAGGCTGAAGGGATCATTTGACAAGTCATCTGAGCAACAGTGCACAAATACAGCGGCTCGGTCGGCCACTTCCATATTCTAGAGGATCTGTCAAGAATGTCTCGGAGCTTTCGCAAGTCTCTCTCATAACTTAGGCTATATATAGAGATAAGTTGAATTAGACATAGGTAGAGTAAGTATACAAATGTCTATTGTCAAAATTAATGCTATATTACCTCGACAAGCTTGGTAAGGTAGGGTGTTGTGTTGAGCCCTTTTCACCTTTGGTGCTAGCTAGAACTAAAGCGGCAGGGCCCGGGCAATGGGTAGAACTACACCTTATTTTTGATGACTTGTAGCGCCAGGCTTTCGCAAGATTACTGTCCTCAACATGGAATTCTAAAAATTAATTGACGCGAAGTTCCGCAGACCAACGACATGGGTGCAATCAATGGCTTTCGTCAAGACAAGACGGGATGATACACAAGCAGGATCATGGCTACCAAACGGAAACTCGACAATTTCTTCACTCCAATTGACAGCAAGAAAGCCCGCACGAGCTATAATGATGCCCCTGCACCATCACCACCGCCAATAGGACCCAACGCCTCGAAACATCGTTCCTATCCTTTCCCCGTCCCCCATTTGCCCGAAGATATCATGAGTGCCCTAGGCTCTGTACCAGAATCACACTCAACAGTCATCAATGATCAGCTTGATCTTGACCTGCTCTACTTTCAGCCATTCATTCCAAAATCGATTGAGCATGGGCTCTTCGAATTCCTACGGAAGGAACTCTTCTTCTACAGAGTGAAATACAAGATCAAACGAGGTGGCTTTGAAACCGATATCAACACTCCCCGATTCACCACAGTCTTTGGGGTCGATTCTTCAGCTCGTTGGACTGAAGAAGGAGATCTCATGGACAGCCAAACAAGCAAGCCAGTACCAAAAGATCGGTGGAAGTGCACCCCAAGACCATTACCACAATGTCTTGACCATCTCCGTCAATTGACAGAAATATTTACTGGCGCGACCTACAACTTCTGCCTTGTCAATTACTACGCCAATGGTGCAGATAGTATCAGCTACCATCGCGATGATGAGCGTTTCCTTGGTCCTGATCCATCAATAGCCTCCTTTTCTTTGGGCGCCACGCGTGACTTCTGCTTAAAGCACAAGCCGATTCCTCCAAAAGATGGCGAGCCACCTCCGGAACAGAATCTCAAGCCACCATTGAAGCTGCCTTTGGCGAGTGGGGATATGGTTCTCATGAGGGGCAAGACCCAGTCTTGCTGGCTGCATAGCTTACCAAAGAGAAAGGGGAAAGGAAGTGAGGGAGGCAGAATTAATATCACATTCCGACAAGGGGTCAAACCCTATGCAACAGAAAATTACATGCAGTACAATGTCGGAGACGGATGTGTGTATAAGTGGGATCCGCGGAAAAGGCAAATGAATGAATGGCACGGGCAGGTCAACCATGCGTAAAGAATGGACTGCATGGATAGATCAAAACCTCACGCCTGGAGCATAAGCATAATCATATTGTGCTCTTGACCATTTACAATCTTTTTCTCTTCGGGTTGCTAACCGGCCAAATGTCCTTCATCATTCTATGGCAGGTCAGTGAGGTGTTTCACTCCGCGCGAGCTTCCTTCGGTCCTCACTAAGGGTGCAACATTGCCAGAAATGGCATAACACAGTGTGGATTCCCACATCCTCCTTTGAGTGATCAATGAAAGTGCAACCTGACACAGGACAACGGTATATGCGCGTTGCGTCATGCTGGCCCCTATGCCTATGTGAAGTATACGACTTAGCAATGCTTTTTCAGGCATGCGAAGCAGCCCTCAACGTGTCTTTTAAGTCACTCCTGAGGCCGCCTCTCCCTATTAGACAAAACTAAAACTCACATGACATTTTCATGGTCGACAAGATCATTCTCCACTATCCCGAGATAGCCGCAATCAGGATAGTTACAGCACCAAAGGGGACTCGATCTCCAATCGTCTGTTTGAGGTGATAAATTGGGAGAAGGGGTGGACGTCTTTCTTTCATGCGAATTGCTGGGGACCGAAGCCGTTTGCACATCTCCAAGTAAACCTCCGTCTGGTACCATAGCCGAGCTGTCCTTTTGAAGCCTAGGTTGACATTTCTCACAGAATCCCTCTTTGACGTGGTCGTCGTCATGATCGTCGTCTACCGGACCTGACTCTGCTGCGTCGCAAAGCTCACTGTTTATGAATGCATTACACTTGAGACACAAGTATATGATGCACATTCTGGCTTGAGAGGGTCATCAAAGTCGATAGGTATGTTGCCAGATCGTGACAGTGACCAGCTCGCGGATACTGGCGATCTGTTGTAGCTCAATCTAAGTCTGCACAACCCATCAACTTAGCATGCCGGGTGGCAAAATAGTGAATGAAAAGGAAACTGAACTCGACCAATAACAACACGTAGGCGGCAAGTTGACACATGGCGAATGACCCAACGCACCTTCTTCACGACTTCTAAACAATTCGCCGCGTCCAAAACTTTTGCTATTGAGGTTATCGTCTCGCGACCATGGCGATCTCTAGGCGTTCTATATTCAAAGAATATTTGCCCCCCAGAACGTTCATCATCTAACTATTAGCTGAACAAGAAAATCACTCACCGTCCATGTGCTCAACAAAGCATTTCAATACTTGCGATGAAATTCCAGCTTTGCTGTTTGCCATGAACGTTGACCAATTGATGATTGTCATGAGGTTATTTGGTGGTCTTGTGATGTCTATGCGCATGAAGAGCTGAGTCGTGAAGGTAGTTGTACCAGGAAAATTCATCCCTTGTTGAGATCATCGTCTTTAGAGTGCTTATGGATATTGGACAAGCGTTTCATTGAAGTGTTGGCAGGAAGCTTGAAAAGCCTATCATTGACGTGGGACCTGCATTCCAAAGATCTAGGTAGGTTATGAGAAACGTCTCGAAAAGGATGGATGAATTCAGAATCATCATTTCTGCATTCACCTTCGTACGTCGAAAGTCAACGTCATTGATGGCTTGCGTGTGATGAAAAGTCTTAACCCTGCTGAGAAAGGTCTATGCGCCAGGAACAAGAGATCGCAGCAGTCATGCGAAGCCAACCGGGCGTTGACGCGGCAAAGCATGTTCCTTTTTCATCATTGAAAACCTAGAAAGAAAGAGCGATCACAATCGCAAGTTCTAGTTACGACCTCTACTATCTCGAACAAGTACTATACGATACTTATCATACCATCACTCAATCGTAGCTTGAGGATTGCTTGGTGGCCCAGATCAGACAGTTGGAAGCTCGTCGGAACAAATGCCACAATAAGGACAGACACCCGACCATAGGGTATTATTAACGTTTCCAAGTGCAAGAGAGGGAAGCGATGGATCACACTATGCTCGAAGATGGAAAGATTAGATAGTGATATCAGCATTGCCGTCCTACTTAGTTGGCCGATAGCGACCTTGAAGGTGGAAACGGGATGATTTGGTATAGTACAGCCACATTGACAGCAAGCGTACTCATTCAGTCGGAAATGTCTGGTGAGAAGAGGTGAGGTGCTTAGTACGATATCAAGTGGGTCATCAACGAAGCAGGGTTTCTCATTGCTCCATACGTCCTGAGAATTCCTCCATCGTGGGGAGGCGAAGCAAATTGAAAATCATTGCTACTGAGTTGGGCACACACACACGATATCGTTATCTCATCATCTCGTCTTCCCATTTACTCATTCTCCGCAGCTGCATCGCATTCTGGAGGCGAACCTGAAACAATCATGCAGTCACACAAGGCTGGAGGCGCAGCACCTTCGCATCGTCCGCAGTCAATAAGTTTCGAACCCATCCACCGAAAAGGCTTGGCTCCACCTACTCTGCAAGGATCGCTGCTCTTGCTCTGTGATCCGGGCCTCACCAGGCCTGCCCATCATCATCCTCCTATGGAACGGAGTTGTTGGAAGCTACGTATACATGCATTCCGATTTCAAACGTACTAAGCAGGCCTGACTCCGCCACCCAAAGGCCTGAAGAGACTTCTCTCCAGACCGCAAAATCCGGAAGTCCGGCATTCCTTCTCTGTCAGACTCTTCGCCAATAGATAAGGCTACGTACTGCCAAAATGACCCTTTGAGTATTTGGTGATCCACAGCACACCGTTACAGTCGTCAATAGCTACTGCATTGTTTCCCTCGGCTCATTGCATTGCCCAATCCTACTCGAAATGGTGGTCTTCGTGCCCTTTGCGGTCATAATTCTCGGCGGATTCGGCTCAAAAATCGCATACGATGTTGTGTGGCCTTGGATTTTGGAACATGGAAGGCAAGCTCTCAAGTATTTCTGGAACGTGTCTCCTGTCCTGCTAGAGGAATCACGGCCAGAGGCTTTAGCGATCGCTTTGGTGGACAAGGAGACAAAGCTTCTGACTCTGGGAGGCGAGGAAACAGCAGCTCAAGATGCAGAAGACGCGGAAACAGCAGATACCGCATCAACATTTCCACCCACAGACGCTTCGTCTACCTTTTCAGCTGCATCCGCGTCAAGACGTGCAAGTCACGCTCAGGACGTGTATGACCTTGAGACGCAACAATCTTTGGTTTACCAGGGATTTGACACCGTCCGGGCCCAGATCCGGTTGCTTTACATTGCAAGGGCGCCTAACCGCGGCGACGATCTCTATTGCACTTACAAGCCGGTCCACCTTCAGACGTGCGAGGCGTACACCGCACTATCCTATCAATGGGGCTCAGCGACCACTGACTTACAAACTATTTCCTTGAATGGGAGGCCTGTTGAGGTTACGCAAAACCTGTACCAGGCACTAAAGGAGCTCAGAGCCCGAAGGATTACTACGGTGTGGGTCGATCAGCTGTGTCTCAATCAACGAGATCCAAGTGAAATGGCCCTGCAGGTTGAAAGAATGACGTTGATCTATAATCGTGCCGAGTCGGTGTTCGCCTGGCTCGGTTCTGATAGCTTCGAATTTCTCGAGCTCAAGCATATATTTGATGAACTTACTGCATTTCGTAACCTTATAGGGTTCCACGGGAAAGCGTTGACACAACAATATACCTTGCACGATTTGCTTCATATGTGGATGCGACAACCGCTTGGAAGTTTTGGAGTCATGATGACGAGAGGCCGGTGAGTCTTGAGGGATACTGCATGTTCTTACCCAATTAACGACCATTGGTTGTCCTTTTCGTTACCTGAGTAGCACAAAATATTTGATGCATTTGATCACACGCTGATCGTGGCCCAGAGAAAAGTACTTTCCCAAAATCGATACACAATTGAAAAAGATGTCGCCGAACCTTGGCAAGGAAGACCGAGAATTAAGAGCAAAGCAACTGCATTTCTTACAGATGCTGTCGAGCATAGTTGCAAACGATTACTGGCGACGGGCCTGGATACTGCAAGAGCTAACCGTTGCCTCACGGATTCAGCTTAGCTGTGGTGAACATAGCTTGGATTTCAATCTGTTCAGCAAAATCATCCAAGAGCTTCAAGGTCTTTCAGAGGACAAAATCTTTCCCGGCTTCACCCGTAACTATCAGCACATATTCAACATTATCATGCTTCGGTCGAAATGGCAGCCGCGACAGCCAATTCATCTTCTCACAGCGTTGCAAAGAAGTCACGAAACAGTTGCGACCTATGAGTACGACAAGATCTACTCTCTTCTCGGAGTATGTTTCGATTACAACAGATTTATGACCGACATTGACACCGAATCCTCCATTGATGTGATCGTTAGGCGCATGACAGAAACATCCATTCAGACAACCAGAACATTAGACATCATCTGCCTGCAGAATGCAACAGGGACCCGCGATCATCGTCTCCCGTCTTGGGCGCCCAATTGGCTCGATTTTGGTGGTGATAGGTTCAATGATCGACTGATCAAATATTTCACCGGCCAAGACGAACATCCGAAGCAAGATGCTGGTGAACAGTATTGGCGTGCAACAAACGATAGTCGTCACGATCCTCAAGATGACGACCGCGATGGAAAAGTCCTCAAGGTCAAAGGTCGCCGAATTGGGTCCATCTCCTTCTTAAGTGGTGCAGCCACCGACATCTCAGTGACTCGCTCTGCTACAGAAGTGAAGAAGAGGAACAAGTTAGTAGCAGCCTTGAGAAGCACCGCGAAGCTGCTCGATCCATTCGAGAGAACACAAGCAGGCGATATCTTCGAAGCACTCACAATCTACAAACAAAAAGATCGTGTGGACGACGAAATGACTCACTTCGACGATCTCTGGAAAGGACGGACCATCGACCGCCTCAAAGAGCACGCGCCCACGGCCTGCAAATGGCTCGAGCAACACAAAGACTTCCTCCTCCACGGCGAGCGCCTGTCCGCATGGGGCGAAGGCAGCTTCGGCGTCATCCTGCAATTCAAATCCAAAGTCCATCGCTTCTTACACCATTTTGTAGACGGCCCCAACACCTCTGGCTCGGCCACCATGGCGGAAACGGTACAGAGTAGCGTCGAATCCATCAACGCGCGCGTGGACAAACTCGCGGATGCGGTCTCCCGCGTGCTGAAAGATGGGCTGAGACTCATGGGAGGGAAATTAGATTTGTCGAAGCCGAAGGTGGAGCCGGAAAGTAAAATCGCGAAGAGGTTCTATGAGAATGGGTTTACGGGCTGGGCGCATCCGCTCGCGAAGCCGGATGATCAGATTTATCTTCTGAAGGGCTGCTCTATGCCTGTTATCCTGAGGCCGGATGTAGAGAGGCATGAGGAGTTTGGGCTCACCTTTCGCGTTGTGGGTGATGCGTATGTGGTTAATGCGATGCATGGAGAGGCGTGGACGGATCGGGAAGAGGATTTGGAGAGGATTTGTCTTGTGTGATTGATAGGAGAATGGCTTGTTGAGCTCAATCAACGTCGAGGCTGTGCAGCATATCAGGCTTGGCTAAAAGCATACGTTTAGCTGTTTTGAATACTATGTAACCACTGATATCTATCGTATTTCATGGTTCACGGACCAATCACGTTATTACTCTTCACCTCCCTCACTCCGTCTCTTAGCTTTCACTCTCCAAAAGCATCCACAATCTTAGCCGCGACGCTTTGTTCTCGCCTGCTTCAAGGAGATGCTCTGTCTAGTGACGACAGCCACAGGAACAGACATAGAGCTCCCGCTAAGGGCCGTTCTGAGAAATCTTCAAGCCTTAGTGGTGGGGTTGGAGAGCCATTCCGAAGTCAGAAGAGTGTGGAGAAATATTGTTCAAGCACGATTGTTGCAGATTAGTCAAATGAAAGTTGGAGCAGACGTATGGGGAATAGACATCGATTAATTATTAAAATCCCAAAAGCATATGAACAAGTACCGCGAATCGCTTCCATCATATATTACGCTCTTACTCAGTCTTGCTATAGGGGTGTTAAATGGTACTCACAATCTGGTATCACCTCCTTTATTCACATGTCGAAAAAGGCAGCTATTGCCGTCCAAGGTGTTGGTATTGTTGATGGGTCTTCACTTCGTCCGAGGAACAGGATAGGAAGAAGCAATTAGGGTAAGGACACTGGTACTGGTCAGCTCCAGGTCTAATATGATGAACATCTTGGTGGGTATGCAACTTCTGCACCTCGAGAGTCCTAAAAGGGCATCGAGGAAATAGACACTGATAGACAGGCCCGAGCCTGTTGTCAGAGTCTTCAATAATGCGTGGCGGGTCCACACCGAGAGCGCTTCTGCCTTCAATTATACGTCCTATCTGTGATTCGGGTTGGTTATTGCTGATAGGCTTCGGCTGGCAGTCTGCTTTGAGCCCTTTCCGACTGCAGTTGACGCAGTATTGCAACTCAGGTGGGCCAGGGTCAGAGTCAATGTCGCAAAGACCTTCAGCACAGGGTGTCACTGCGCCTTTTTCGCAGCGTTCCAGGAACATTTCTTCAAAGCAGTCGGATGCATCGCAGATGTAGATTACGCACATGGTGAGGTATATGATTTTCGGGGTATACGATTTTCGATAGATTGGGCTTTAGAGCAGTGTAGTGCAAAATATGATTCTCGTTGCAAAAGGCATACGAACATGCATTATTGTGAAAAGTAGGGACAAGGATGGAAGTGACCAGACAATGCTCTTGTTTGATAAAGAACAAGGAGCAACCTCACAAACCTTCAAGGATACTCGAGTCTTTGAAGTCCTTCACAATTGGTACACAAAGCACGTCTCCATAGATGACTTTGGCGTCCGCAGCCCTTGTCTATACGGCCTGCTCTCTCCTCCGAAGCCACCGATGGACTTCGAGGGATGAATGCGACATCGTTCAAAGCGATTTGAGACCCTCGGATGCTGTTATTGATTGCGGACTACTTTCGATGAATTTGATGATGAAGAACAGCGTATAATTTTCCTCTTTGAAATGGTTGTAGACAATTACACGATCTTGGTCTAGCCACTCTTGGAGCGCCAAGACTGTTTTCGAACCGCGATAAGGCATCTCCACGGCCGTTGCTGGCCCTCCAGTAGCCAGCAAGATGATTGGCCTGGACCAAAGTCGGATGGCAAGTGACGCAAAAGCGTTGCAAAGACCTATGATGTACTCAAGATTGGGTAGGGTGTCCAAATGTGGACAGGCGAAGGAGCTTCTACTTTCATTACCACAGCTCTTCAAAACGTGAAATCAACACTATGTCAGGAACCCTCGACGATGCATCTCCATTCTCTCCATACCGTTCGGATGGAAAGCTGGTGCGCTCGTCCTTGGATTGCCGGATGATAGTGGGATTGATGATTGATAGTACGGCTTCATCTGTGTAGTCACAGGATCAGTGCAGCCCATCGGACAAGCCATCGTCACCGAGCTCGCTGGTATAATCCACTTTCCGCCGTTCGCAGTCCTAGATCGCAACTGATACTCGTCTATCTCGCAGCTCATGGCGCCGCCTGCATCTACGCCTGCACACCTGTCACAGATCCTGCTGCCGAAAAGTTCGCCAAAGCCCTCTCTACCTCCCACCCGAACACAAAGATAATTCCCTATCCCCTGCATGTTTCAGACGAACCCTCCACTTTGGGCCTCATAGATGATATCCTCAATGCTTGGGGCCGTCTCGATGTCTGGGTCTGCAGCTCCGGCCTTCTCGGTCCGCCTTCAATTGACCTCACCACGCCGGCCGACCTGCAAAAACTCTTTGAGGCGAATTCTGTTGCCCCTTTCTTCGCTTTGAAATATACACCGCCAGCAATGAAGAAGCTCTGTAGTCGAGGGAATTATCCCAATGCAGCGGAGAAAGATCAGCCATACGGCAGCATCATTGTCGTTGGCAGCGTTGCGGGTACGTATGGAGGTTGTTGGGGGCCTGGCTACACGATGAGCAGCCATGCGGCGCTTGGAGTTGTGAGAGCTGGTGTAGCGGTGTTGAAAGGGACAGGTGTCCGAGTTAATTGCATTTCGCCTGGCCAGATCGATATTGGGGTCGATTTGAACGGGTTTGACATGAGGGGAATGAAGGCACAGCTGCCGCCGGCCAGGGCCCAGTCTGAGGACGTTCAACGGGCGAATATTGGTCTAGAGCGGGCAGGGCTGCCGACCGAAGTGGCGAGGGTTGCGGGATTCTTGGCCAGCGGATTCAGCAGTTACATGACTGGAGCAAATATGGTAGTTGACGGTGGCGCAAGCGTAATGTGTCCGCTGACAGTGCCTGTATGAAAATACTGTGCGGTTCAGCCTCTAGTAAACCAATCGCTTACATACATTTCTCGAATCTTTAAAATGACACTGACAACTGATTGTCTGTCATGACGCAACTGTATCGACATTTTCCACCGTGGACTCATAGTACATTCTTTACCTGCCTTCATTTTCAATGCTCGTGCTTAGCTTTTGCTCCAACCCAGTCATGCGCTTCTTCCTCGTTTAAAGCCGGGGCCCTCACCTTCCCACGTCTTCACCCTACTAGCCTTGATCTCGTCCACAGCGTTCCAGAAAGGTTGCCATTTCTCCGCTGTGGCTGGTGCAACGGCCTTCCGTTCGAAGAATACCTCATACTTTGGATCCTCGCCTTCGTGGTCTCGATCATGAAGTGGGCTCACAGCGATGGCAAGCGTGAAGAGCTTCTTGCAAATCCCACGCATAGTCATCAGGTTTTCCGCAATAGTGTTGGGATCGTCGTCTGTGAACGCAACATCTAATGTGTGGACGTGCTTTGGAACATGAACAAGGAACGACGAATCTAATCTTGGGGAGCCGACCCGGAGATATCCTAATTTGGGAAGCTCGTGCAACATGTCCTGTAAGAAATTTCGAGGCGGCAAATCCTGAACGGCTAGACGGGAGAAGGTGAGAAAAGCATCTGTTTTGTCGCTGTTCTCGTGGAATACACAGGTGTTGGTTAGGCTGAAACCATGGCCGAGATAAAACGCTGCGGTTAGGCCAGTCATGTTCTTCTCCATAGAATACTTATCCAGAGGCGTGGTGAGCCGCACAGGAGCAGAGCTGACAGCGAATGGTAGTGATAAGACTTGGTTGACCTGCCTGACTAGGGGTGAGGGTAGTGGTTCACCCAGAGAAAGCAGCGCTTGAGTAAAAGAGTGAGATCGAAGAAGCGGACGATAATCCAACCAGCTGTTCCAGCTGTTCCGCATTTTTGGCTCCTGTGAAGTAGAGATCGAGGAGCACGCAAAAGCAGATGCTGCCAAAGATTCAAGCAATGACGAATCAGAGGAAAAACTGTCCTTTGACGGCCCAGCGGTGGGAGCAACGTCTGCGTCTCGTTCCAGCTGGAAAGTCAGATCTTGCAGCTTAGGCATAGATCGCATGGCAAGCGTCCAAGCGTACTCATTCGTTTCGGTGTCTTTACTTGCACAAAGTCCGAGGATCTTGAACTTGAGAACCAGCCTCCGAATTGACGACGAATTAGTTGGCCCGATGTCGGTTAGCCATTGTAGAGTTTGATTAGGATGTGTGAGCTCCAAGTAGACTGTATCGTACAGAAAGTTGGCTACTTCTGCCTTCAGCTGCATGCAAGTGCGAGTCAGTGCATCAAGGCTTCTCAAAGCGTCCAACCTCTCTGCCTTTGCTGGATGGCTGAGGTCGAGCAAAGATTTATCTCTTGCAGAGGAGAGGTAAGCCCAGATCTGGTCCCGGAGTTCTAGGGGTAGATTCAATAGAGATGCCATGCTGATGGGCTAAGAGTGCGTGGAGTGAAGTGCGCCAGAGAGAGGATGATGGAAAGAAAACCAAATGATGGACGCTGTAGCCTTGCCAAGCCGCTCAGGTGCTAATGCCACCTCGGCCTCAGTTCCGAAGGACGCTAGAGTAGGCTAGTGCTGATCGACAGGGGTAGTAAGGGGTCAAGAAAGGGGGTACGAGGGCATACGAGAGAATACACGAAGATTGTTCGTATTATAAAAGGGAACCATCTCATTTATGTACACGTACTTATTATTCACCTTCAGAGTGCATATCGCTCCGTTGCTGGAACACAGTGTCTCGGATGGCCACACACAAACAATGAAAGCCTGCCAGGGCAAATACCTTCTCCGCTTCGAGCAGGTACGAGTGTATTCTCGATGTATGAAAGCGGCCCTTTCACTGTGAGGGGTTTGCCAACTGGCTTGCACTATGATTTTGAAGGCTTAGTATGACTCTGCCCACGCCTATGCCTTCTGTCTGCCAAATAATCTTACCATGGCCTTCCGACCGTCTTAAGAGTGCTAAAAACTCATTGACACCTCCACCCACGCCGAAGTAGATGTTTTTAGAGGCAACCAAAGCTTTCACTTGATGTAGTCCGTCTGTGTTTCTGAGGATATCTAGAATGCAGGCTGTGAAGGCATGCAAACTCGCAGGGGCATATATTGTCTCGCTTGCCAGAATCAGGGTATTTGCTTGCCCAAGGGGTGCAATCACTGATGAAAGAAGGGCAGAGAACTCTGGCGACCAGCCACCTGATATGATGGAAATGCTGATATTCCGAGCTTTGAGGTCATCCAAGTACCTTGCTCGTAATGCCGTAGTCACCTCAACCTGTTGACTTGGGTTCTGCGGGTAAGCTACGGAATACCACGTCAAGAAAAGATTAGGAATTGTAGCAAGCTCTAGTACAGATTGATTGTAGTCGGTCAGTATGATATGAAGCCTTGAAGTCCTCATGTCGGACTGCAATAACCATTGCCAGAAGAGAGACAAAGTAGGCAGGGCAGTCCCTGCTCCAAGCTTCAACCAAAGTCAGTCTGAGTACTACGTGACTCGATATCGCTACATAGGCCTGAGAAATACAAGGAGTCGTTCAAAGAGCTTACTTCGATCAAATTCAAGCCTGATACATATCCTTCCATCACCAGAGACTGGGTCAAAACATAGCTGGCAAGGTCAACGGCACACTCCCATGTTTTGAAGCCACCTTCATAAATATTGGGCTTGAGATCGTCGTCCGAAAGACCTGGAGCTAGAGGCTCATTTGCATTCATCGCGCTATCTTCAGCCATCAGTTGAGCTTGGATGTCTTGAAAATCCCGTTGAGGCAATTGCACTGTGCTGTCTTGTTTCAGATGTATTGGTTTATGGCTAAAATAAATTCTGGAGGGCAGTGCCGCAAGCTACTGCCATGAAAAGTAAGTAACACCATTTCAAAGTCATGGTCTTGCCAGTAGTCAGCACATACTCTCCTCATTTCTCGCCCATGATATTGCTAATTTTGATGAGATCTTGTCAAGGCGCTGTGTGCCAGAAAAATCTCGACGTAAAAATCTATTAAGAAGGAATGCAGAATAGCCACAAGAAAGACACTCTTTTCAATTGCCATAATATAGTACTGCTGAGACAACCAAATTTCTCACACAAGCCAGCAGGCAGAACCTCTTACTTACTAAGTCAGTATGAGCAAGTACTTTGGCTACTTGAAGGCCAGATTGTTGAGTGTCAAGATCAGACACATCTGGCTGCAAATTCTCCTTGTGGGCCTCGTGCATACTGCTATCAGACTCGTCGCCATTATCACCGAAGCCAAAGCTAAAGGCTGAGGACATCGTAGAATAATATCGTAGCAATAGTGGTTAACAAGGAAACATTCATGCCAAGCACTCTTAGATAAGTACATTGCGGAGTTTGCGGAGTTAAACCATTGACTTCCCAGTGAGAGAAGAGTCGCGCTTTGCAAATTGCTTTCAAAGATGTCAAATATCTTTACTTTTTGGAACTACCAAGTGGTGGAAAGGTAGATCAGCATTTCGAAGCCTATGGTCCTTGGTTCTATATGTCGCCCAGACCGTTCCACCCAAGCACACCTTCCAAGAGCAAAGATCAACCTAATCGTAGGGAACAATGATGTGCTACAATTGAATGAAGAACAACCTCGAGCGAGCGTCGCATTGTGACTTTGAAATGGAGAGCATAAATGTCTCGGAGCTCGTAGAGCGCCTGGGGAGCGATGAGGACCCTGTGAGGAAAATGGCAGTCTTCAAATTGCAAACGAGCATTGCCGACCCTTCCTTCGCCGATGTGTTCATCTTGGAGGGTGGCTTGTCAAAACTGCGATATCTCGTCCTGAATACGACGGGCAACACTCTGGCTTACAGTCTTACATCGTTTTCAAGGCTATTAGAGGTGGACAAAGGCTGGGACTGTATTGATCAAGACGTCGTGGAAAGAGTGAGCAACCTGCTCTCTAAGACATGACATTCAGGCTAATTGCTGTGTAGATGGTGGAGCTGGTAGTCACCCACCCACTCGTCAATATCCTTCGGGGTGCAATGTCAAACCTTGCATCCATTGTATCCCATCCCTCCGCCGCTACGGATCAATTGTCACAGTCCGATACTTTTGGTTTTCGTGCCCTCAAACCAGCAATTGCGATATATCCTCAATTTCTTGAGAGACTTGTCACCAGACTTTCTGCCGCCGACCACGCTTTGTGCGGCAACGCCCTCCAATTGATCAATTCACTCATGCGAGAGGCTATCACGAATGATACCGAGTCAGACTGGCCAAAACTTATAAGGAGACTACAAGATCTGGGAGTGATAGAGGCTGTATATGGGCTCATGCAGAGCACAGCTTTGCAAGACCTTTCGCAGCCTCTACTCGAATATCAAACACTGACCAAAGTGCTTTTGCGGAAATGGAGGGATGTGCCTATCATACTGGAGAAACCAGAGCATCGGCGGGCGTTGAAGAGTATACATGCTGCGAGTAAAACTGAAAGACCAGCTACGCCTGTAGACAGTGGGGATGAGGACCCCAAAAAGAAGCCGAATCCTGAGAAATGGAGGAGGTTAGGCTTTGAAACGGAGAATCCTGCTTTGGACTTCGAGGAGACAGGGTACTTAGGGATGATAGACCTGACAGAGTATGTCAACAAGTATCACGACACTTTTCAAAGGCAGATCGCAGAGCAGTCCTCTTCATCCACAGCTCATAAATGTCCGCTTGCAAGAGTAAGTCTCGCTGTCACTGCTATCCTTCTCGAGACTTTCGAAGTAGACAAAGCCGATGTTGACGACGCTAAATTTCAATTGGCGTACGATTCAAAGCAAAACTTTGACAAGATCTTCAGACCCCTGTTGCTGCAGTGGTCGGTGTTGCATAACGCAGGCTTACAAGCGTTCTTTCGTCTATGGCGGACTACCGACGCAGAGACTGAAGACTTCTTCAAGATATTTGATCTAGTCCGGATACTCTTTGAATCCGTCGCCGGCACCGCAACACGTACTAAAGACCTTAAAGACGTGCAAAGAGAGATAGCTGAGTATGAGCTCTCGAAGCTTCGAGAGACGCAAATGCAAATAATGGAATTGACTTACGAAGGCAATTGGAGACGTCAGCTTTCCCAGATCAAAGATGAGCTCAGTCATGAAGCACTGCAGTTTGTAAAGGAGCAGCGCATACGGTGTTTATTGGCAGGCGCCTGGTTCCCAATCAATTCGAAACCCGATGAGTCGAGCAATGGGGCCACATCACACACAAACACCTTCCGCTATGCCAAACTCTCCCATAACCGGCGCTATCTTCATTACTCTGATTTCGATATGCGTGGGGAAGCCGATCCAAGTCTTGAGGGCCTTTCGGAAAAGATCGACCTTTCAGCAGTGACTTCAGTAACCTCCAATGTCTCAGCTTCAAGAGGGCCATCCGCCCGATCATCCGTAGAAACGCTCAAAACTTCACAGCAACGCCCCGCAACCAATACCAGAATCTCAATCCACGGCCACGCATCGGGATCCGGTCCGAACCCAACCTCGCAGAGCGATAGCCGCAATGGATCTCGACTTGGTCATACACATCAGCGGAAACACTCACATCAGCAGAAGGAGACGACGCTCCTAATACTGCACCCTCAAACACAAGCATTGGCATCCGAATGGCTTGACGGGCTTCTGATGCTCTTGAATCAACAACCAATCACTAATGACACATCGAAGCTGATCAACATGATCCGAGATTACGGCTTGAAGATCAGACTCTTAAACGTGCGATTCGACGAAATGGGCATGAATGGTCCGGGCGAAGGTCCGGAGATGCCCAGCCGCGAAGGCCTCGACGAAGACTTCTACTACGACGACTTTGGAGGATGATTTGACAATGAGAAAGCCATTTCATTTGAGCTCTTTTATACATGATACCCCACCAACTCCTCGCTAAATTCAATGAAGGACGTTGAAACTCTATGGCGTCAAGCAGCGACAGTAACCCTCATAAACGCCGCATGCCTCCTCAAGACATTCATCGCGACCTGATGCTCTCTTCTCCTCCTCTCATCCCTCCGCGCAACATGCCCGTCCTTGCAATGCCGATACTGCCCCACCATCTTCTGCATGACCATCGCTTTCCTCACCACCCCTATCCTGCCCACATGCCCGCCTTGCACTGGCGACCGCACAAACTCATCCGCGTCCCCGTCCCAGGGTATAACCTCCAATGATCTCCCACTAACCTCCCCTTTCAAAGTCTCCCCTTTGCCAGTACCGAAGCCCTCGTCCTCTTCATCGCTTTCCCCATCGCACGCTCCACACCCCAACCCAATCAGCTCTACCATAACCTCCCTCCAAGCCTCCCTCGTCTTTCCTCTCACCTCCCTTCTCACGCGCATTCGCCTTTTCTCGGGCGGGTACTGCGCCGCGCTCAACTCATCCAGCCAGCCATGATTCCGACGCCAGAGGGTGGGTGTGTCGGGTCCATCCGGGTAGACCGGTGGGAAGTCGAGGAGCTGATCTATGGAGGCGTCGGGGAGGTGGTGGTAGAGGTTTGAGAAGGCTTGAGCGATGTAAGTGGAGTCTCGGGGATTGGGAGAGAGTTTTATGATGGGCATGTTTGCGTTGGGCAATGGGCGTGAGTTGCGTGATTGGAGAATGTGGCTTATCTTGCCCTGAGCTTCTTGCTACTGAGACCAAGGCGCGTTGGTTTTAAGTAGATGGTTGAGCTTTGTACGCCTGCTGCTGGCTCAAGCGTGACCGATGGGGTCAGCGAGCTGGCTGCGGCCAAGGCCTAGAATCGTCGAGGCTGGTTGTTAGGACGAGTTTCTTGTATGGTGTTTGAATATTGGTATATATATTAGTCACCTATACAAGTATTTGATGTGTTGGTGTCGGCACTGAGAAGCAAGCCGTACGGGGGGAAAGAGGGAGTGGCTGAGGGAAAATTCATTTACATGTACATCCAAATGCTTTGGACAATGATGACACTAGATGAATGAGTAGGCAAAGTAACAATGGCCTTGTCTGGATGCAGAGTAGTGCGAACTATGGCAGGACAATAGGTTGTGGAAGAAAACCGCTGAACTCCACAGATTGCAGATGTAAAGCCATTGTTGGGAACAATGTCCAGAAGTTTTGACGCCAATCGCCAGCAGGTCGTCCCATATAGGAAATTCGGCAGAAAAGCATCCTGTTCATAGTATAATCAAATTTCAATGCAGAGGCCTGTGAGAGGGAACAGTAGGTAGTCATCTTCTGTAAAAACACTAGACAAGATGAACTTTTTTTCAAATGTCAGTATGATGATTCTAAATCACCAAGCTGCGCTTTCAATTGGACGATGAAGGATATTTCTAACAATCAAATGCCATTCAAGGTCATCAGGAGCTCACCGTTACCATCGAGAATATCTTCGAAGTCAATCATAAAGGGTATCACGTTATAACATTGCGCACCTATCCCTGCTTCCTCCCCTGTTGGACAGCCACCTCTTGCTTCAAGTGCCTGAGAACTGACCTCTCCGTCTCCCTTTCCGTTTTCAGTCCCTCTACCTCGTTTTGTAGCTGTCCTATTCTAACGTCTTTCTGCTTCACCATAGCTCTTGATATATCACGTCCCTTCTCGATACCCTTCGTATATTTGACGTGTCGATTGCAGATTTGTTTGATATGCTCCCTCGCTTCCGAGAAAAGTGGCGCCGATAGTGCAGTCTGTAAGCTCATTAAGGTTTCTGTCGCAAGCTCGGAGTCTTGATTCAAAGGTAGATCGTTGTAGCGAATTGGTGTCGGAGTTTGGCTCGGAGATGGTAGATTTGGATAGCCGAACAAATTATTGGTTCGAGGACCCGTGGCGGGCGTGACGAAGATGTCTCCATCGCCATGAGAGGTGATAGGGGTAGGCAGATTCGTCCCCGCACCGTTCACGGTCATTTCTTCGTATGAGCGTTTTCCAGGTGAGGTGACATTATTTGTCTTGACAGCTTTCCGAGGAGTTTCTGGCGGAAGCATGGGTGCTTTAGTAGAAGATGACGGCTGGCTGGAGACTTTGTCTGCAGCTTTGCCCATTTCTTCATTATCGCTAGCGGGCCAGTCATAGAACTCCTCGTCACTTGTGGCAGCCGTGGTCGCAGTCTGCTGCGTATCATGCTTAGGTCTGATGTTGATCCCCTGAATATTTCGTCCAGGCTTGCTTGGTGTGTAAGGAGTCCGGACGTTCTCAATATCTGCATCCACCTGACGTCGCTCACTTTGCGGAGTTGGCACGCCGTTGAATCTCGCCTCATCAAAAGGCTCAAAGCCATCGATCGGTTCTGTCCTTGAGTTGTTCAGAACAACCGCCTCCTCTCTTGCTTTTGCCTCGTCGGCCCAAAGGAAGAAGTCGCATCGTGTCGGCTGTGGATGTTGGCATGTATAGAACCATCTACCATGGTTCTTGCCCCCATTCTTGGTTCGGAAATGCTGCGCCGGCAGTCTCAGATTGCAATTACATTTCCAAATTTCGTCACTGAACAGCCCTTTTAAAGCGACTTTCGTCACAGCCCCACCACTACGTTGCTCGTGTCTAAAGCGGCCGCTCACCATTTCTTTGGCAAGACTGGGATTGTGGTAGCATATTGACAGGGCCGAAGTCCCTTAGACAGCTCGAATCAATGACTGTCATGGGCTGGACAAGTAAATTATTGGCACTCAATTACAAATGTTATCGTGTTGCGAGTGCATCGGGGACCATGGGTTGGTTGCCACGGGGAAAATACTAGCGCGAGCCCTTTTTGGCTAAGCGCTGTCAATTTACTCGTCACAGGCACCATTCCCAATCATGAAAGCTGAAATGAGCTTTTCTCTCTTTGAAGTCGTGCTATATTCACAAGTTCACGCTTAATATATATACAAGCGAAAGTACTACCAAATGAAGCCCGTCCCACCCCCAACCGCCAATGCTAGTCGTAACACCCATCATGCATCACCATCCCCTTCTCTAGTAGCTCCGCTTGAATGGGGCCACCGGTTTACACTCGTTTTCATCCAACGTGGTCCCTACCACTGACCTGTATGACAAGTCCGTCTTTCCTTGCGGCTGTTGTTGGTAGCTCAGGGTATGCTTCATCCATTGAGCATCATCTCGCTCGGGGAAATCCTCTCGCGCATGTGCTCCCCGGGACTCTTGCCGATTAAGTGCTGAATCAGCCGTCTGAACAGCGCAGGTGAGCAGATTCCTCAGTTCCAAGGCCTCCACCAAATCACTGTTCCAGATCATACTGCGATCCTGAATACCAAGGTCGCCGTATTGTTGGTCGACGTCTTTGATGCGTTTTGAGCCTTCTTCAAGTGATTCCTGGGTACGGAACACCGACACGTCAGTCTGCATAACCTTCTGCATTGCTGAACGAATATCGTGGGTCGATTTGGTGCCGGAAGAATTTCGAACTTGATCCAGAGTGCTGATGCTACTTGCACCAGCATCGCCAGACATTTCCTCATGAGGCTGACCGGGCGAGAAGTTATCACGTATTGTATGAGAGACTGCTCGACCGAAAACAATGAGGTCAAGAAGAGAGTTCGCACCGAGACGATTGGCCCCGTGAACAGATACACAAGCAGCTTCTCCGCAAGCAAACAGCCCAGGGACAACCTTGTCCTTGCCTTGCTCATCGACGGTGATGACTTCACCCGTGTACTTCGTTGGAATACCGCCCATATTGTAGTGCACCGTCGGCAGAACAGGGATGGGTTGCTTGCGGACATCAACACCTGCGAATATACTAGCAGTCTCGCTTATACCGGGTAGCCGATCATGAAGGACCTCTGGTGGCAAATGAGATAATTGTAGGTAGATGTGGTCCTTATCAGGCCCTACACCACGACCCTCTCGGATCTCCATAGTCATGGACCGAGAAACGACGTCACGGGATGCAAGATCTTTGGCTGTTGGTGCATATCGCTCCATAAATCGCTCGCCTTCTGAGTTGAGCAGATAGCCTCCCTCGCCTCTGGAGCCTTCTGTGATCAAACATCCAGCGCCGTAGATGCCTGTTGGGTGGAATTGGACGAATTCCATATCTTGATTCGGAAGCCCGGCGCGAGCCACCATTGCCATCCCGTCCCCTGTGCATGTATGGGCCGAGGTGCAGCTGAAGTATGCTCGTCCGTAACCCCCGGTGGCTAGCACAGTGTTGTGCGATCTGAATCGATGTAAGGTACCATCTTCTTGGTTGTAAGCGATGACTCCCTTGCAGACTCCATCCTCCATGATCAAGTCAAGGGCAAAGAATTCGATGAAGTAGTTCGTGTTGTGTCTGAGTGATTGCCCGTATAGGGTGTGGAGTAAGGCATGGCCGGTCCGGTCAGCGGCAGCACAACATCTATACGCCTGTCCGCCTTTTCCAAATTTCTGAGACTGGCCGCCGAAGGCACGCTGGTAACTGAATCTTAATTAGCACAATCGCGGACGGGGAGGGCACAATCCCCACATTTTGCCGTCTTCCGTTCTCGAAAACGGACAGCCGTATTTTTCTAATTCTATAACCGATTGCGGTGCTTCCCTTGTCATGTAGTGAATCGCATCCTGATCTCCAAGCCAATCAGAACCTTTTACGGTATCGTACATGTGCCATCGCCAGTCGTCTTCGTGCATACTAGTCGAAGTGTGAGAACTTGAGGCAATTTCTTCTTCACGGAGCATCGTCATACTTCCCAAGAGCAGCATTAATGCCTCCTTGTGCTGCGACCGTATGACTCCGCGTAGGGAATAGTTTCGATATACAAGCTGTATTGAAGCCAGCCTCCGCTAAGCCGAAAGCCGCTCGCAGACCGGATCCACCGGCACCAACCACTAGAGCGTCATATTCGTGATCCTACAAAGATTTAATGAGACCTTCATATACCTCTTTCGGAGGGATGAGCATACCACGACAGGGTATTTGTGATCGATGAATGGTGACGCTTCCTTCGCCCGCAATGGCTGGCTGGTGATTATGCGGGCTAATAGACGTCAGTGGTGAATTGAGATCTCGTGACTTGCGTACCATTAGATCTTGAAGTTGAAAAGAACCGATTATGCCTTGTAACTCTGGAGAACTTCAGATCGTTAGTGAACTCGCCCCCGCATGATGGCATTGCATTATACTGACTTTGGAGGTAGCGCCGAGGTTGCGAATCCCAAGGGAAGCCATACTGTACTATAAGTCCGGTATATGTGCAATTGGCGTCCTACTGAAGAGTTGTCGCCTTGAAAACGTAGGATATCGTCAAAGAAAAGGCGTGGCGCAGATATACAATAAGACCTCGGATGCAAGATGCACTAGTGATCTTGCCCAAAGGACCAATCACGGCTAAGATTATTCATGCTTTAACTATTTCTAGCTCCTTTGTGGCTGACTCTTTATCTGGAAAGATGTCGATACAGAAGCTGGTTGCTAGGGACTTGAAGAATTCTCAATCCGTCTTGGAGGCCAATGCTGGGGGGCTCTTGCTTGACGGGATGGTGTGTAATAGTGTGACGAGTGTCACGGCCACTCCTTCCTTGTAATTCCGTTTCTACCGGTACTTTGATCTTTCAGACGATACATAAACGGTCTCCAGTCATCTCACAAAGCATGTTCTTAGGAAAATCTGAATAATTCGGTCTGTAGTAGGATGACATTTCAGGGCGAAGATGCAACCTTTAGTGTTCTCATCCTCCATGCACCCTTCGACTTCGACACTGAAAATCAATCCCGTGCGATCGCTCAGCTTGAAGCCGCAAACAAAGGCTTCATCCCTGGCATCAACATCAAGTCCGTGCACTGGCTGATACCTGAATGGACCGAAACAAATCGCCATGGAAGTTTAGTCTTGGAATTTGCTCGACCCGAAGACGCCAACGCCGCGATCCGCGAGCAATTGTTCGTGAATGACACTGTGCTGGCTTGCGAGTATTATGAGTCCGAGTCGAGATCAAAGCAATGCTTTCGATGTCAACAGTATGGGCATTTGGAACTGGATTGTGGAGCCGTTACCCCGAAGTGTGGTTACTGTGCAAGAGACCATATGACGGCGGCTTGTAGGTCATGTGTACCCCGGCGAATCTGGCTGTGCGCTGTCTGTGGCGAGAAGCACAGCTCAACAAATTTGGTCTGTAGTGTAAGACAGGCAGAAGCGGACCGAAGGAGGCTTGCTAGGGCCAACTGGCCGAAATACCATGATGTTGGGGCTGAAGTACCATGTCTTGATGATTTGCGGAAAACAGACATACCAAGTCGAATGCACTATCCAGCGTATCGTTATTCGATGGACTTCTTGCGAGAGCTCGAAGCTAGAAGGGGCAGTAAGTCTCCTGCAAGGGGAAGGGGTTGTGGCAGAAGAGCAGAAGCTTTGCGCTTGTTGTTCGACGAGAATCAGGGGCGTGTCCTAGGAAAAAGGCATCTGCACGCGGACAACTCATTTCATAGTATCTTGGAGCCAAACGCTATAAAGCGAAGGGCTTGGAGAACCAACGAGAGGGCAGCGTTTCAGCCCGAGAGGTATAATAACAAGGAACAATTTCGATCGCGGCTTGAGGACTTGGGCATTGAGCCATATTTGATCGGTGAGAATGGGGTTAGGGTAATTGAGCCCTTTGAAGGTGATGGCTCGCTGACGCCAGAGACATCTTCGAAGCAGCGTTGGGAATCCCCTAGGTCGATCAAGAAAATCAAGTCAGCGAAGATATTCAAGGCGTCGAGCATCAAGAAAAAGGAGAACGACGCAAGGTCTCCTCTCAAGAATTCGGCAGCTGTAGCCAAGATTCTTGCGATAGACAAATGGCGCTGATAGTGATCATCGAGACGTAGCAGTTTCAAACATTCTTCATAAGTATCTATCTCGACAAGGCTATGTCATCGATCCTATGGCTAGTGTCAGTAAACACAGCATCGATTGAATCACGATTGAACTCACCTCAAAATCATCTTGACAGTCTCACTAGCAAGCTCTACCGCACTCGTACTCACTAATAAGGGCTGCAGCACTTTCTCATCCGTCATGTTCAGCTTGACCCCACCACTCCTGATGCTTACACCGGCATTCTTCTCGCCAGTCTCGTGTCTGTACCGTAGGTCCGTCACAACAGAGATCGAGTTCAACCCAGCATTCTCTGCCAGCGTAGTCGGAATAACCTCCATAGCATCGGCAAAAGCCTTCCAACAGATCGCTTCCGTTCCAGTCAGCTCCCTGCTCTTCGCGCCTAGCTTATTTGCTATGGCAATCTCTGGCGCACCACCCCCAGCTATCAAAGCTCGTTTCTTGACTAAGCATCGGATCACACACAGCGCATCATGGAGGGAGCGTTCGGCTTCGTCAAGAATAAGTGTATTTGCACCACGAACGATGATGGAAACCGTTTGCTGGGGAACAATCTTGACTGGTATGCCGGTGATTTTGACGATACGTGCTCCTGATGATTGGGATTCTTCTATCAAGTCCGCAGTTCCAAGCTTATCCTCTGAGAACGACTCAATATCTGCTATTGGTTTGCATCCAGTGGACTGTAGTAAATATTCTTAGCCGGATGGCTTTTCCCCCGAGCAGCGAGTGACTCACCTTGCAAATGAATTCTACTTCATCCCTTTCTATGTCTTTGACAGCTAATATATTCAATTTTTGTAAGTAGTGTAGACTGAGGTCGTTCACTGCATCTCTCAAAATGCTCTTCTGGATCAACAGTACATTGCATTTCGCTTTTTTGATCTTCTTGCAGATGTTTAGCAGATAGGTTCTCTCTTCCTTCAAAATTTTATCCATTTGCCGATAGTCATTCACCACTATCGAGTTTTCCATATCTGGTTTGGGTGGACTTAATTGAAATTGGATCAAACCAATCCTTGCTTTCTCCATTTGCGTAGGTCCGTTGGCTGACTTGATGACTGGCTGGTTCAAAATTACGCCGTCTATCATCTCGGTATCTTCTATTGTTCCTCCAACTTTTTTGACTACCCGAATGTTCTTTAGGTCGACATTGTCGGCGGTCTTTTGATCGATTGTTTTTAACACTGCATCAACTGCGATAGGGCCGAGTAGATTTGAATGCTGGGATACTATCTTTGAAGAGAGAGATGTCGAGGCTGCCTGGAGGAGAGTAGCGCGATTATTGAGAGAAATTGGAATGGACATGTCCTCCAGAGTTTGGACAGCTGCCGAAGCTGCGCGCTGAAATGCTTCAGATATGACTGTCGGATGAATACCTAGACAAACTTAATCACGGGGCCTGCGGTTCGTTGTCTTGCAATTTGTACCTTTCACCAGCAAGCGATCAGCGGCGGCTAGAAGGCTGCCTGCAATAACCACGACAGACGTTGTGCCATCGCCTGCCTCGACGTCTTGTGCGGCCGATAAGTCGACTAGCATCTTCGCTGCTGGATGCATAACGCTCATATGCCTCAACATCGTATTCCCATCATTCGTCTGTTATTTCTTAGTTGTGAAATTGAAATCCAGCATGTTAGTACTGACAATGATGGTGTCGCCTTTTCCGGTTTGAATCTACACATCGTCAATCATGACATTCTATCGACATACGCAATTTGGTGGCTAACCATTTTGTCCATACCTCGAGGCCCAAGCGACTACACAAGGATCAGGATATGGCTTATTGAATAGAGTTGTCTGACAGCGAACCGTCCGAATGGCATCCGCAACAGCTATGAAGGATGAGCTTTGCTTGAAGAACCAAAGCATTTTCCACCGTACCTCTCGCTGCCATAATATTTGCACTGCGCACCGCCCTCGGCTTTTCCTTGTCCTACAGTAGATCTTAGCAATGCCCAAGTCGTGGGGAGAAAATGTTGAATGGTACTTTGAAAGCATCGTTGCCCACCGCCATGTTGAAAATGTGCCTATTCCAGGATCTGTCGTTGTCTCAACAGGCCAACTTTGTGCCAACGAAGGCTAGTGAACGGAGTATGATACAATGTTGTAGTTGTGGGCAAGGCATCAAAAATTGAGCTCCCAGTCGCGTGAACAGCGCGACGGAACGTTCCGAGGAAGGTCTGTGGCTGACGTTGACCCAAGCATCTCCCCGAAACACTTGATCTTCACTTCATCATCACTTCCAGCCCAGTAAGCTCCCTCTCAGTACAAGAAACCATATTCATCGATCTATTCTTGTGACGACCAGATCCTCCCAACTCATAGCACTCAAGCATTCTCTTGATCGCCAGCCCAGAACCCTAATCTCTCACTCTCTCCCATCATGCCCAGCGCAACTGGGCAAAATTGGGAGAAGTACCAAAAACAATATGCAGACGATGAGGAGCCAGAGAAGAAGATAACGCCGCTATCAGATGAGTGCGTATACAAATCTGGAAGGCTTGGCTCCAGCTACTAAGACTGGCTTTGCAGGGACATACAAGTTCTGAAAACATATGGCGCGGCACCATACGCAGCAGGTTTGAAGAGATTAGAAAAGCAGATCAAAGAGAAACAGACAAGCGTAAACGAGAAGATAGGCGTCAAGGTACCATCTCGATAATCACCATTCCGCAGAACGATGCAGCTTACAGGATCTAGGAATCAGACACTGGGCTCGCCCCTCCTCATCTATGGGACATACCAGCCGATCGACAACGAATGTCCGAAGACCATCCTCTCCAAGTCGCTCGTTGTACGAAGATAATCCAAGATGAAAAAGACGCCGAAAAATCTAAATACGTAATCAACGTCAAACAAATTGCCAAATTCGTCGTGAAACTCGGCGAGCGTGTCTCTCCCACCGACATCGAAGAAGGCATGCGCGTCGGCGTCGACCGCAACAAATATGAAATTCTCCTCCCCCTCCCTCCCAAGATCGACCCTTCCGTAACCATGATGACTGTCGAGGACAAACCAGACGTCACCTACTCCGATGTTGGTGGTTGCAAAGAGCAAATCGAAAAGATCCGCGAAGTCGTAGAAATGCCCTTACTCTCCCCTGAACGCTTTGTCTCTTTGGGCATCGACCCCCCCAAAGGCGCTCTTCTCTACGGCCCACCCGGCACAGGCAAAACCCTCTGCGCTCGCGCGGTAGCCAATAGAACAGACGCAACATTCATCCGGGTAATAGGTAGCGAACTAGTGCAGAAATACGTCGGCGAAGGAGCACGAATGGTGCGCGAACTCTTCGAGATGGCTCGAACGAAAAAAGCATGCATAATCTTCTTCGACGAGATCGACGCCATAGGCGGCGCGCGGTTCGACGATGGCGCAGGCGGAGACAACGAGGTGCAGCGGACAATGTTGGAGCTCATCACCCAACTCGACGGGTTCGATTCGCGAGGAAACATCAAAGTCATGTTCGCTACCAACCGCCCGTCTACTCTCGACCCGGCATTGATGCGACCAGGGCGTATCGATCGGAAGATTGAATTCGCTCTCCCGGATCTTGACGGGCGGGCGAATATTCTGAGGATTCATGCGAAGAGTATGAGCGTGGAGAGGGACATTCGATGGGAGTTGATCAGCCGGTTGTGTCCCAACAGCACGGGAGCGGAGTTGAGGAGTGTGGCTACGGAGGCAGGCATGTTTGCTATCCGGGCGAGACGGAAGGTGGCGACGGAGAAGGACTTCTTGGCGAGTGTGGACAAGGTCATTAAGGGGCAGCTGAAGTTTAATAGCACAGCGGCTTATGCGCAGTATAATTGATTTGAGGTCTGGTGGGAGTGGTTGATGATGGCAGCCGGTGGGAGAGTGACGGTATGACCGTATAAACCTAAATGGGCTGGGAAGTGGAGGCTGTATGATATCTCTAGTTTTATTTAGAGCGCGGCATAGAGCATCAAGAGAGCATGGTAATTGCGATGTCTCTGTCCCTTGATGAATACCTGGCCTAAAGTAATCAAGAGAACGAAATTGGAACACAACCATTGGTATTTGAAAAATATGATCAATTTCTGATACATCTCTCACTTCTCGAAGAATCTCAAAATATAGCCTAAATAGCCAAATTACATAGCAATACAAAAAGCGGTTTCCGAGAATCGTAGCCAGCCAGATCCAGCCTTTTAGCACAATGATAGTAAGTAGCAACGTCGTTCCGTAAAAGCCAACACCATCGCTTGGTCGCTAAATATCGAGTGACAGCACCGAAAGCTCGCTCAATCTCCAAGAAAAAGCTCCAATGATGTTCCAGACACTGGGTATATCCTCCACAAAGACAACTTCTTCGAATTCCAAACGTGATGGGGGTGATGTAGAAGCGGGACGATTCTTCAATATCCCTTCCCACTGACCTTCCTCCACATCTTCCTCAGTCCACTCTCTTTCACTGGTGGTAGCGTGTCCCAAATACTCGCAGGCCCCAAACCAACCCCTGTTCCACTGGAGGAGTCTTTAAACCTCGGTAGCTGCTCCAGCGCAAAAGGATCCTGGAAATCGCTACCCGTACTCTTGCTCGCCCCTTTGCTTCCACCTCTGCTCCCGCTTTCGATGATGGGTGAGGTATGACGCTCCCCAGCCCTGAGGTCTGGCCTTGTAAGCGTCATCTTCAGCGTCATGTCTCTATTTCCTGACAACAGCTCTTCTAACGGGGCAGAGTGGTCTCGGCGAAGGACAGGTTTGCTGGGCATAGGCGGCGGTTGCAGGTCCTGGTGCAGGAAAGTGGTAAGAGAGGGCTGAGAGGTGGCGGATGGGGAAAGAAGGTAAGATTGCGGAAAGTGAGCGTCCTCAGGGGTGTATGGGCTGTGGCGGTCCGGCAAGGAGCGGGTTTCGGCATCTTCATTGTCATCGGCCTCGGACTCTAGTTCGTCTTCCGAGGAGACGTCGAGAGTGTCAATGATAGATGGGCTGCTCATGTCGAGGAACGTCTGTTGTGCCGATGTTGTCCGCGCGTGGCCATCCGTGGTGGCATATTTGCGTCGTTGTGATAGAGAAGGCCGAGACGACTGGTTGGATTCTGAAGATCTTAGCTGAGGGTAGCCAAACTCGACTCCCTCGTCGAATTTCTGAGGTGAAGCGAAGGCCCGAAGCATCAAGCGGGTTGAGGGATCGTGGTAATATGTAGCCGCTGCTTCAGTGGTGAGGGTTGATGGGTTCGACTTGTGAGATGATGTGCGCTTGGGACGGGAGAAGCTGTGTACGCTAGGTGGAAACGAAGGGCTGACAGGAGTGGTTGACTGCTGAGGAGTAGCTGTAGCCGTGAATGATGATTTTGTTGGCAGTGGGGGTGGAGTCTGTGCCGATGAAGCCAAAGGTATAGAGGATAATGACATGACCTTGCGGAAGGATGGTTTGTGATTTGATGGGCGCTTGACAACTCTCTCTGCGTAGAATTGATGGTAGTCATCGAGAGTAGACGCAAGGTTCAGGTCGAAGTCTTTGTCGAGGCAATGAAGCTGGTCCCGCATTGCGTCGTCCATCTTGTGTGAGCGATGAAACGGAAGAAAGGAAAATTCTTCGTCGATGTCGTTGCCGTCAGCGGCCCCAAATGAAGATATTGATGACCTTGGGCTCTCAGGTGGAGAAGTCGCCGTACGAAGAGAAGGGACGTTGTCTTCGGTTGCAACAGTTTCAAGATATTTCAAGAAACCAAGCAGGCGCTTGTCAGCCGCGTCGGCAAGGACTGGTTGAGGATTGTATCCAGACAGGATGATCCTCTCCCTTTCCGTAAAATGTGTTCTCTGGAGCTTTGGAGGCAGACTCTGGAACCATTGGGCGTCGGAGAAATCGAAAGTTTCACTGGTGGGAGAGGCTTTGCGCGAGCGAAGGAAGGGAGGATTTTTGAAGTAGCTTGAATTTCTCCGAGCTAGTTTGGGTCGTGGTGAGGATGGTGTGGGACTAGAGGCCTTTGCTGTTCCATGAGACGTAGCTGGCCTTGTCTTAGGAATTGCCTCTTGAGCAATCCTCAATCGCTCAAGGGAGGAGAAGCACTGGTCACCAGGACGAGTTAGCTACCTTCCACGGGAAATTTGATCTGATGTCATTGGCGTTCTGGCTGGTGATTGGAGTGGATTGAGCACAGAGCAGAGTAGGTTTACAATTGACAATGGTGCTCACTCTGAATCATGAGTTGAATGGATACATACCTTTCGTTGAATGGCCGGAGGAAGAGAGTCGAAATTTTGGTGAGAGGAGTTTGGGCGCAAGGGGAATTCCTTGCCGATCTGCATTTTTGGCGTCTCAACGGGGCCGTTTTCTTGAAGCTAACAAACAATGAGTCGTCAGCAGAGAGTTGGCCCGTTCAGCTCAAGGGCACAGTCGTAGTTGAGTTGGTGGACGATGTAACGAGGAAGAAGAGGGGAATGATGATTGATATATTCCAATTGGGGGGGGAAGGTAGGGGGGTGTTATGCGTTCATTTAGTTGATTTACAGGGTGCATGAAGGTGTGGAGATCTGGATCACTTAAAACTCCCGACTCCAGCTGCAGGCTGAGCAAAGAGGTAGTTCTAAAACGCGCTGTGCGCTGCGCAACGGGAAAGGTATCCAAGTATAGGCAAGGTCAGGTTGGCAAGGTGGGCGATGTGTCTGACTACTGCCCTTCTTCGCTTCATCCCTTCTTCGTTGTTCCTTGCCCGAAGCCACGAATAATGATCCTGGAGTATCTTGACCTACCCACGACTCCACGAGTTGGCAGCAGCGCTTGGACCAATCCAGTAGTCAGTTCTTTGGGCAGAAGGGCACGCACTGCTGTGCTGACACCAACGGCAACGACCGTGAAGCCAATCCAGCATCCCAAACGTAATAGTCCTGGCGCTTCGACCTCCAGAAATCGTCCGAATTTCTTCAACTATTGACGATCTAGTAGCAGTAGGAACCTGCTGCCCGCGCTGTGTGCCTGACTACCATGTGTGATGGCGTTCTGGATCGAATCAACCACCGAGCGTACCTGAAGCTTAATCTCCACGTTCTTGCTGAAATGACTCGTGACGGCTCTCGAGGTTGTGCCACATGTCAGGGCTGAAAAGATCACGGCGCTTGATAATGCTCGTTCGCTGTCACCGCCTTCTTGGTTGATCCAAGACACTTGTGAATTGTGCCCGCGATAACTCACCGACACCCCACCGCATCGCGATCAGGCCCTCTTGTCTCTTTCTCGCTCTTGTCGCTGGATTCCTACTCGGCCCTTCTCAGACAACCCCAGTATCAGAGCCAATACGCGTGATGGCCCCTGCAAGGCACCGCTTTTTACCTGCATTAGGGCGTAGGCTAGCCTACACCGTCAGAAGGGAGACCTAGAGCACTGGTGTCCGCTCAGGAATCTGGTCTTTTCGACTCCGTACGTGCGAGTTGCGAGGTGACTAGATAGGTACTAAACTTCTAGCGTTACTTGTTTAGCGAAATGATCGCCCATGATCTGGACTTCGATCCTTCGATTTCGTTCCTCTATAAGACTATAACGCCCGCATGGCGCACATTGGCGTGCAATTGAGGAGATTACCCCAGGCTAAAGATACGATTAACGAGGAGTCCGATCACGAGTGGCTTGCTCTTGTCGGAGAATTCGTTTGTGCCTGTGTAACGCGATTACGGCATGTGTTTGCTCTATTCCGCTCAAGCCGTTTGCGGCCGTGTCTCATACAAATATCCGTAAAATTGCTAGGCCTTCCAATCTGCTGTGGACGGAACATAGGGATGGCCGGCGAGGCGTGTGTCAACGTGGCCGACCGCAGGCCGCAGGTTCCCTTCAATCGGGCTCCCCTGGTTGATCATGTGTTCTGTCCGGCAATCTTCATAAATCCTAAGACGAGCATGCAATACGGCGGATCTGCTGGTAGGTCACTGCAAGCTGCATGCATCGAGAGCAACATCAAATGCAGGTACTAAGTCATCGCATCCACGATTTTCATTTTCCCTATCAATAATGTGCTTCTGAAGACGCATAAAAGGCGACTCCACCTGCTACCAGAAGCGCTCAGTTCAGCAGGTGGTGGCTGCCTTAGTGAACGCGCACTGTCCGAGGAAAACCCTATATCACAATTGACCTCATTCTCTTTTCTTAGATTGTCGATGACCTTTGGAGATGGCTTTCACTTTGCACTGTTTGCAAATACACGGAATTGGCGAATAGATTGAACGCGTGACAGGTGAACGAAATGAAGACCACGCTATTTAGCCTCTTCTTCTGAAGCCCAAGTCTGAATGAGCCAAGCTTCCCATATTCCATGGTGCTTGTCTGGCAAACACCCCCCTGCAGATGCCTGCATCGGAGCACGCAGTAGTAGGCCACCCAAAGCTCCACTTGCTCCAGTCGCTGCACTATGGAGAAGACTGGCTTCTTTAGATTTCCGAGCAAGCAAACAAGCAAGCGAAGCTGATCATCAGCAAGCCACCATAAATATGCACTCCAATTCTGAACATGGCCACAAGGTGCTAGCATATTTCTGCATGTAGTCAGAACGCCATGAGTAGATCCGCTTCTCGTCATGTGCACATGCAAATCCTATACTCACTTCCACACTCCCAATATTCGCATGATACTCTCTGAGAATTAGACACTCGTAGAGTAAATCTCCTCATCCGCCAACTCCAGTATGGATCTAGCCCTATCATTCATGATCAGTTTCACTGAGCAGGTCCCTATTCATTATGGGAAACATATAGCATAACAAGATAGTGTAGTCACTGATCCAAAATTTTCACCAATGACGACGAAGGGGAGAGCACTTAGATGGTCTCACCGCCTATCCGTTCTCCACCCCGGCGGCAGTCCTCATTATCATCCTGCATGAAAAGATAACCTTGCTTCTTCCCTTGAAAATACGACATAGCCTTTTTTTTTCCCCTCCGCGGTGGTATATACGTCTAGCTGTAGTAAGTTGACGGCGATGAACGCCCCACAATCGCAATCAGAGCAAGAAATGAAATTGGATTCCTTCCTTTCCCTTCGACCTTGCTACGCTCAAAAGCGGTGTATTTGTTTCTTGGGAAGTGATCATCCAGGGTTTGAAAAAGATACACGCAAATTTGGAGAAGAGGGGACAGAGATTAGTGCACAAGATGCCAAAAAAAATTGCATTCGAAGCTGCATCCCATCCACCCAGCGCCATTGCAGAGTTAGCTCTAATAGCCAATGTGGGGTATCTTAAAAGCACAAGTAGATCGTCTATGCAAATGCAAAAGCAATGTCACTCTCCCACGCTGTTAGCTCCCGCTACACGAATTTGTTGTTCGCCGCTCTAATTGCTCGGAGCTGCTGCGTCAGTATTCGCCACGTGCCCAAGTGGTAGATGTTATGAGCCATATGATGCTGTTCTGTTCTGTTAGCCGGCTGCAGCGACTGGCAAGCCAGTAGTAGTCGGGCTCTTTAAGTCGCCCTCCGACTTGACGGATGATTCAGGTGCTATTGCAGGATCCGAAGCTTTGGTCCCGGGTAAGGGCGCTGGGGTAGGATCGACAGGCTTCTCTTGCTTAGGAGGCGCTGGTGGCAGGACATGTGGACGCCATTTTTGCAGGAGCTTCGCCGCTGGTGCACGAGCATCGTCGTCTATAGAGATTAGTTCACTGTGCTGAGGGTGATCAAAGGAAGCAGCTTACTATTTCGCCACAGATCTTCGAGTGCATCAATGCAAGGTTTCCGCGCCGGCGGCTTCATAAGAATCAGATAGCTAGCAGTCGTCAGTACGTGGCGAATAACAGAAGAGACTGGAGCTCACTATAGAGATTTGATGGTAAGATCAACCCGCTCAGGATCTCTGGCAAGCCTCTTGATCCTTCCAATGAGTTGCTCGCTAACAGCGGGGATCTCGGACAGAAACCTGATGAGCAGCCGTTGTTCTCTCGCGTCAAGATACGGCTCAATGCTGTCGAAGATCTTCAAAGCCCAGGCCTCATAATGCTCCTTTGGTGGAGGCAAGTGGTCGTTCTTATCCTGTCGCGCATCGTACGCTTTTCGCTGCATCCGGTCATTGAACCATTCTTCATTCAACCAAGCAATGGCAACATGCATGCGAGAGCGGAAGTCGTTCTCCATGATATATTTCCACAGCTGGTCACGTATCTCGCCACCCATATTCATAGTGTGCTCGGACGGCTTAACAAGAGCTCTTGAGCCTGGGTTTCCTTCGTCATCTTCATCATATAAGCCGATGGAAGAGCGTGTTGCTAATCTTGTGATGAATGTAACCCAAGCGTCTCGATCATAGGTACTTCCGGCCAATCGGTTAAGTCCCAGTCTTCTCCTCTTTGCAGAAGAGGCCTCGTCGAGAATGTTGATCATGTTGAAGACTCGACCTACGATGCTTTTACCAATCTCTCGAAGTTCTTTGCGCGATATTGGTGGAGGTTGGGGCAGCTCGAAAGAACCAAGTGCAACTTCAGAGTGGACCTGTGCGTCATCCTCTGGTGGCAGCGCATCATTTCTGTTGAGAATTTGTTCGCGGTCTTCGTTCGGAGCAAAGTCAGGCTCGTAGTCTTCTTCATCGTCACCAAGTTGAGGGGTTTTGTTAACGCTGAGGAGGCGAGATTGAACTTTGCTAATACTCCGTGTCAGGTCGGGCTCGTTCACATGGGCCAGAAGCCCTTGAGCAATAGCAAGCACAAGATCTTGTGGTATTTGCTGTACATCAAAGGAAGCAAGTATTGAATCATTGGTGAGTGTAAAGACTTGTGCAAGACTGTTTGGTCCCTTGAGTGAAAGGGGCGCGCCCTGCTGCTCTGACACCTGAGCCCCAAGTCGTCGTCGCTTGCCATTGTCAAGACCGTCCGTAGGCTCACTAGGGAGAGCACGCTTTCGTGAAACACCCTCATCAAATATATCCATACGACTTTGGGCCATCCGGTCGAGATACTGCTTGATCCTGGGTGCCATAGGATGATTTTGATCCCTATGCAACTTAGCGCCAGATTGATATTTTGTGAAGAGCTTTCACGTACCTTCGGAAAATACTGAACAATAGAGTGCGGGTCGTTCTTTCCATTGACTTGATCTGAACTTTGACCTTGGGTGTCATGGGCGAGTTTGCTTGCTTGAGCGGATTGAAATTGAGCACCGCAGAAATGATCTTATTGGCAATGGCTTGACGTGTGCGGAGAAGCACACCGAGACAGTTGAGGGTAGCATTTACGAGGACAGCATTGCTAAGAGCAGAGATCAGGGACTGCTCTGGACTACTTCTACGGGGCACTCACCTTAGATTTTGCTGAAAGACGTCGAGTATTCTGTCGAGTAGCCCAGAGGCTTCTGGCTCTAGTTTAGGAGGCGGGATTAGTGGATGATCTCTGGGGACCATGGCAATGGAAGTTTCATTCTGCTCTGGACGCTGAATATAGTTTTAGCAACATCGGTCTGGTCTATCATCAGGATGATACGTACCCTAGGATCAGCTACAACACCGGGTGTTTGTACTTGTATGACTTTCTGCACGAATTTGATGCAACATATTTTGACACCAAGGGTGGCAGCATCCCATCTTCCCAGTATATTTGACTTGATAGCTTTCATATTATTCCAGACAGGGATATCGCTAGGATTCTCAATGCTATCAATATGTCAGACCACAGTCTTCCCGTAGAGGAGACTATTTCCATGATGGGGAGGAAGGACGTTGTCTACATGCATAGTGTACCAGGGCTGGACGTACATATATTTGAAGATTGAAGGGTAAATGCTAGCACTGGCCTCGACCACGCCCTTCATAACAGCCGTGTCATCTCCGCCAGGCATTTCCAACAACTCCCTCAATAATTGTAGAGCCATGATGGCCATCTGCTCTTTTGCTTTCGATGCTACGACGGGACTGGCAAATGTCTCCGCCAGAAAATCCGCACCCCATCTTCGCAGCTCTAGCCTCGCGTTGGCTCCAATTATGGGTAAAATGCCACCAACTATCTGAGGGTAGAGGGTTGGATTTGATAGCACTATTCCCCGAGCATCATTGAGCTGCTTGATTTGATCTGTCAAAGCGAGAGCCATGCTGGGTAGCAAAGGGGTGGGAGCGATGAATCTACGGGGAGGTTGAGGGCAGGTGCCGGGTCGCGCGTTGAGTGTGATGGATGCTATGTCAGCATGATTCAATAGTACATGGGCCAGCCTCTAGAAAACAAGCATGAGAAGTCGTAAGATCTGATCAGGGCGTGAAGACGACTCTAAGCGAACGTTTGAAGAGAAGGTATTAATTTGTTGATGAACAATGATCAACTCGGGCGGGTTTGAAACTCCTAAGATCGAGTGACACTTGCGGATGATCTGCAGCTAAGAATGTCGCGTCAGAAACGGTCAATGTCCTACTTTAATAACTCTCTACATGTGTGAGCATAATTTGTAGGTGTATCCATATCTTTCCATTGAGACCGTAAAGTTGTACATCATGGGCTTGTATGCTATCCCATCAAGTCTCACAACTACTCTGCTAATTATTTAAAGATCCGAAATCAACGCTCGCCTCCCCAAATCGTCCTATTATGACAAGCACTTCCGGCAGTCGCAGTCCTTGATACGTGCACGCCAACCGTATCTCGTGAGGAACATTTTGACAGGCGTGGGGTTATGCGGCTTTGTCGCGGGAGTCTGTACGTCATTCTCCAGTGAATCTGTGCAACCAATATTCAAGGGGACTTTCCTACCTGCGCTATGCTCGTAGATGCGGATGCAAAGCGGGATGCTGACCGCAAGCTAGACTCATACACCATATGGGTGATTGGCCAAGACGATTTCTCCGATGTGCAAATACCAGATGCACCTGCTCAGCCACCGCAGACACCAAACACGGGGGTCCAGAGAGCTGCGAGTGAGGATGGGTTGAAGGAGAGGCAGGAGGCTACAATGGAGAGGTCAAGGATATCAAAGCAAGATGCACAGACTGCGTCTTCATCCTCATGGTGGAGTAAGCTGAAGATCTTTTGATCAAGTGGAGAGATGTGTCAGATTTTGCATTCGTCATGGCATTCATAGCAAGGCGTTGGGAGCATTGGGACTTCAATGTCGGGATGATGCATTGAAAGGGCTGAATTTGGAGACGTGTGTTCAATGGAGAGATTGTAAGCTTTTGACAGCAGTATGTCCAATTTTCAAATCTATACACAGAAGAGACGTCCACCATGCAGTGATAGTACGTATCGTACATTGACAGCCCAACATCCAGCAATTAAATAAATTTACGCCGCGAAATGCGATTCGTAGATGATCTCAAATAACCTCCGCAATGCCTAGATTGACGAAATGACCACCACTTTTTGAGATATCCCAATCGGATAAAAACTTTTATAGCACCGCAGCGGCGCCCATGAGCATGGCCGCCATACCACCCTGAACGTATAGGTTCTTGTTTGAGGCAGCGCCGTTAGTCGGTGCTGACTCTGCTGATTGAGTGGATGAAGGTGTGCTTGTGCTCGAAGAGCTGCTCCCGCTGGTGCTCGATGAGGCGTTCGATGATGTTGCGCTAGACTTGGCAGATGCTGTCTTTGAGGAAGCTGCGGATGAAGATGCTGCGGAGGCAGATGTGGCCGAAGAAGAGCCACCGCTCGAGGTCTTGGCGACAGTGTTCGTGGACTCTACAACGAATTGAGGGGTATAGTTCATTTTGCTCGGGTCACTGTCTGGGGCGATTTGGATAGTGTAATCACTGTTGCGAGTAGTGTCGGCAGGCAGAGTGAACGTATATGAGCCGGAATTGGGGATGCCCGCTGTTCGAAGTTCAGATCAGCTATGGAAGCGCAGCAAAATTGAGAGCCAGTACTCACAGGCTATAGTTGTGCCCGAGTCCAAATTGCTATTTGCGCCACTGCGAAGAGTGAGGGTGACGGGTCCCTGTGTCGTCGGCGTCCATTGAATGGTGCCGGGCTGGCCAGCAGTGAATGACAATTGGCCATTGAGCTTGAAGGGATTGTCTGTAGAGGCGGAAGAGGCAATTGCGGCGAAGCCAGCAAGGAGTGTGAGGATTGAGAACTGCATTTTGTTCGTGAAATTGGGAATATTGTATGCAAATGAATGTGTATGAATGGAGAAGCTGGCAACTATATAAATACAGATCAGGCGAAAGGAATGGATAGCATAGAAAGGAATGCGACGCGATGGTAAGCAACGAAGTTGTGTAGAGAAAGGGTTACATGGGCTTGAAAACGGGGCTGAATCCAGACCTGAAGTCATCGCAATCTCCGCCCTGTTGCTAACCCTCTTGGTGCAAGCACCTACGGCACCAACGGGGAGACTTGTCAGGAGACTCACGAAGCGGGCGAACCGCACTGCGAACACGAATCCCAAATCCTCCTTAAAATCGCCCTATGGCCCGTCAAGGTTGGCTTGATTCCCTATACTACTGGCTATATTAAGACTGCAGCAAGCCACAAGCTTCGGCGAGCGGTGTGCGAACTGCGAACGCTGAATGAGTAATTCTGGTTGGTATTGACTCTGGCGACCTCCGTCCAAGCCATGATTCTGTAGGCTGAATATTGTCGACGCCAATATACCGGCGACATGATGAGTGCATCAAGTCTTTACTTGGCGAGACCGCGCTAAGTGGCGATGAATGGCAACTATGCGCTCTGACGCTAGAGCAGAGATTTACAATTATTTTGACTTTTTGTGCAACGTAAAGAGATATATGCAGAAGTCGACGCTTTCATGAAGGTAAACTAATCAGATATGGCCACAGGACTGCTGTGGAGACGAATTTTCTGAGGCATTGGATACAAGCAGTGTGGAGGTGGTGCTTGAATTGTATAGCGCTGGCGGCTTTCGATGGTAAGGAAAAGTGGAATGAAGTGAGCAGAACTGGATACGATACAGGAAGCACCTTTTTATATTAGTAACCTCAAACACAAACCGGAATTCCACGTTGAAGATACTCTGTTTGTGAGTCCATCTATTCGACTCTACTTACTGGGATCCTCCGGCAGATGAAATGCAGAATCCGAGCAGAGTTCTCCAGCCAACCCTGCCCGTCAGAACCAAACTCCTTCGTCTTCAATAACCTGCTCTCGATTTTTCCACTTCGTCCCCGTCTGCTCTTCGATGAAATCTCACATCGTTCTCCAAGACCACTGATCATGCACGAACTTTGTCGCATCACCAAAGAGGTGGAAGAACTGTACTGCTAGAATGGTATTAACTCTACCTGTAAGCTGCTTGAGAGACGACTCGGAATTAAATATATTAGCTTGTAGAAATTGCGCCTGAAGCAGTGCTTGATCGCGGTACAGCTCGTACCCCAGATCCCAAAGTTTAGGGGTGATATCGGACGCAAACAACTTGTCCGTTGATGCCCCGTCCGCTGCTAGATAGCGGAGGTCGTTCCCTAGGCAGCAGCCAAGGTCTAGGAACGCGGCGCCAGACTTTACGCGTGAGAGGATGGATGGGTACCAGGGAAGGGAGGGAACGAAGGTGCGGACAATTGTCCAAGTGCCGATGCAAGGGAAGTTCTGGATTTCCCAGGCTCGATCTCGGTACAAGAGGCGTTGGTAGTGAGTAGCAGGGCCTTCATTTGAGTTCACGGGTAGTAACAGGGCTTGCTTGTATAGACATAGCCTTGACGGACATGAGCGAAGGCTCGGACTTACAATCGCGCAGAGATGTGATTCCACCGTTTCTGGAGCCAAGCCAGCGTACGTTTCCAGCAGTTCCCTTGTTTTCGAATCTAGTAAGAATCCGACGTGCTCCTTGAATCAAGGTGTTTGTTGTTCCATGATCTTAGACAGAAACGATGGGAGTGAAATGTGAAATCAGAGGAGTGAATACAGTCTCAAATAAGAATGGGGATAGACAAAACTTGTATGCAACGGCTGGAAGTTTTCAAGATGAAGACTCTCGAGGAGTACTTAATATTTTAGTAGGTAAGCAAAGGATTTACTATTTTTTATTCGCTGTCCCTTGGTTCGTACAGGGTGATTCAGCGCAAACGATGAATAAGGAAATGATTGATTGTTTTTCCGTTCGTTTTCCCTTGAATCGTTCAAGATGAATCTTCTCAGACGAGTTTACCAATGGTCACTTTGCCACGTAGGAGTGGAACTAGGATCCATTGCTTATGAAATAGGAACATTTTCTGAGCGCACAATATTCGTTGCCGCATACCTACAAACCAATGAGCTAGCCCAAACCGTCCTGAATGTTTACCGACTCTTGTGAGCCGGGAATTGGAAATGACTGCTTTTGCCGAAAGTCTTCGCTCAAGAATGCCTAATCGTAGTAGGGTCAAATGAAAGACTGTGCTCGAGCCAACGCAGTGAGCTTTGACCGTTTCAAGCTCTTGTCGCCATGATTTTTTGCTGGTACCCGTCATCTTTTCCCTCAGAGCTGAGCCCGTCGTAGACTAATTTCTCAAGCTTATCCCTCAACATAATAACGTCGAGATCTGTCGCCGCAGGTGAGCATATAGACTATCATCGCACAGAACGAATGTGGTAAAAATGTGGTAAAGCTTCACTCACCACAGAATGGCAAAATTTGAGTGGCTATCAATCCTCCAACTCCCGTCTCACGATCTGCCCACCAAAACAAATTTGGCAGACCAGCCCACCACGCAGTACCTGCCGATCTACCTGTGGGTGGATGACTCTCCAATAGCAACATGAATGTCAAGCCCCATCCTTGTGGCTTGCTCTCACCTCCTTCAGCAATCTGCGGATAAAAGTCTGGAATATCATTTGTGAAAGGCGGCTTAGCCGTCTTGATACCCTTACGGCCAAGATTAGGAAAATTAGGGACTTGGTTCTTGAACATCTCATCAATGGATGCCTTGGAAAGAATCGATTGCCCAGTAGTCGCCAGGGTACCATTATTCAGCAGGGCGGATATGATTACCGCGTAGTCCGTAGGGCGAGCGAAGCAGCCGGCGCCAGCGGAATTGAAGAGACGATGCTGCTCTTGCGGCGGCGCTGTCAAAGGTAGCCGATATGGATGATCGCGTGCGCGCAGAGGCTGGCCGGGCGATTTTTGATGCATGTGTGCGAGCTGCGAAATCATTTGCGGAGTCGGTAGCATGGTAATGTGATGCAACCCCAGTGGAGCGAAAATGTGAGTCTGAAAATACGTGTTCAAAGGTATTTTGGTCAGACGTTCGATGATGATACCGACCCAATCGATGCCGACGCCATAGCTCCAGTCGGTCCCTGGCTCGTACAAGAGTGGTTGCGACAATATACCATGGGCATCTGCGTTGACTTCGTCGATTCCAACAGGCTTGCCGAAAAGGCGAACCTTTTCATTAAAGAAAGTGTATTCGAAGCCAGCGGTATGGCTCAGAAGCATGCGCATCGTAATCCTATTCTTCTTGTCCACTAGCTGCGGGCGGCCTGTGTCATCGAAGCCTTTAAGGATTTTGATGTGGACCAGCTCCGGGGCTATACGCTCTACTAGATCGGCATCATCAAGGCGAAGTATACCCTTCTCCACCAACTGCATAGCTGCTATGCCGCCTATCATTTTCGTGCATGACGCGATCCAAAAAACTGTGTCCAGTGTCATGGGCTCTGCGGTATCGGTGCCACGCACGCCGCTCGCGTGCTGAAAGAGCGTCTTCCCGGCCTTGTCGACAGCGACGAAGACACAACCTGGGATCTTGTTGGGGTCAGAGGTCACTTCGTCCATGGCTTGAACCATGGCGTTGGTGGTCTCTGAAGACAGGGCTGCCATATCTGCCTATTCTTGGAATGGATATATAAAGACCCCAATTGACTGCTCGAAATGATTTTTGAGATCCTTGAGTACCACATGCTCGAGGTGGCACGACTTATTATACTCTTTGATTTCGGTCTTCAGGAACCTAATAGTCGGTCTTTTGCGGGGTAAGTCTCCCTCTTTCTGGCTTGCCAAGCCGATGAGACTGCAGGGCCAATGGGCCACATGACTATGCGAATTAGATGCTTCATGCAGTCTGCTATTGATCGCTAGGACGATTCTCCGAGTCTCAAGAAGTTGCCGGCCTGTGAGCGCGCTCTGCTGTCACTTGAGATTCATTATCTTGCAGACACTCCACGCTCGAATTGCGTCCACGGCGCGTCAGGCCAAGCGACTCATTCTTCAATGCCTGCTTTGCTGCGGCCACGAATGGTCAGCTCCAGATCGAGTCATGCCCACTCTTGAGTACTGTCCTGTGGTGAATAGAGTGTTCTCATCATCCGGAAATAGATACGAAGGTTGGAATTTAAGGCCTAGGCCGGTGGGGCCGCTGCTCTGCCAAGGCTGCTGTTCATTCCGCATCACTTTCACATTAAGCATCAAGTCACCATCGACTTGCAGCCCCGCCTTTGAGGCATTGGGATTGAATGATACTGATAGTAGGGTTCATATCAGTATTTAGTCAAATCTTCAGAATGGACACGAGTGTATACTGGGATGTCTGGGTGTGTCGACGTGGTAGATTGACTACCCTCAACGCCTCTTTACTTGCCTGGGTGCTCTATGAAGCGAGCTGCCATTGGAATGGCATGGTACTGTTCTCCCAAGCAATGCGAGCGCTCCGGGGCCAAACGACTAAGTCACGAGAAGGATCAGAATTCGGCAAATGCTTATTGCGGATAATGAAAAGGCAGAATCCGTACTAATTCCATGAACCCTGTGCAGGATGAGCACGCTTACTTTCTGCCACCTTAACAGTTTACACCAGTCTACTTTGCATTTACTGTCAACGACTCACTGTCACGAGTGATGATTCCGCTTATGGTCAAATGCTCATTCTGACGCATAAAGCCTGCTCGAAAGCATCTCCACGCTAAATTGCATAGCCGTGCAATTTGGTATGCCAAGGGTCTATGTTAAACTACCCATCTGAGTCTTCATATCTGCTGGCAAGGATCTACACCACTCGCCTTTCTTTCATTGCATCCAGGAGTGGAAGAAGAGGTTTTATCCCATCCAAGACTAGTCCTGGTGTCTGACTTGATGCATTGGTGGACACTTGATTGCAGAGGGTCTTTACCTTCATCTTTCTGGGATCAGCATGGGATGAAAGAGTAAAGGAGCGTCGTCCGGTGACCTCTCTCGTGAAACGCCTGCTGTTGCAGCTTCTCGATTTCTCTCCAAACAACGACCTTAGAGTCAAGGTTTCTGGTCATCAATTGCCCTAAGGGCTGGCCTAGATTCCCTGCTTTTCAAGTTGCCATGGCAGGTGTGACCAGACCACGTGCAGGGTAACGACCGGATGAATAGAGATGGCTGCAGGAAAGGCAAGTGCTACCAGAAAGTAGGCTAGATTATAGCAGGTTTCAAAGCAGACTTAAATTGGGGTGCATGTCGTCCTCTTTCCTCTCTTGCATTTCGAAAAAACCAATCGAGTGCTTCTTAGCTGTCCAAGTCGTTCGTTACCCAGTCCTTGAGCGTTCATAGCATCCAGCTTTTGTAGTTTTCTTTTCACTCTTTAAGCACAGTACGTTCGTTTGACCCCAAGACACTCTTGATCAGCCAGCGGAAGTTACTTTTTCAGAATGCTCGCACTCCTCGCTCTGCCTTTGATCGCTTTATTTTGCACCAGTGCCAGAGCCGCCTTCGGTTGGTCACAGGAAAATGGACGCACTCGATTGATAGGAACCTCCTTTGGCATCCTTGGTAAAGACTACACTTTTGATTACGTAGTAAGTCCAAGGCGTTCCACTCATGAACTTTGCGTGTACTGACACCTAAGAAGGTCGTGGGAGGGGGCACGGCAGGCCTCACGATCGCCTCGCGACTTGCGGAGAATCCTAGTATCTCTGTCGCGGTCATTGAAGCCGGAGGCTTCTATGAGCTTGACAATTGCAACATCTCCCAAATACCCGCCTATGGTCCCGAATATTCTACTTCCAACACAAAAGACCCGCTCTCAATACAGCCATTGGTTGACTGGGGAGACATTACCATACCTCAGCCAGTATGTACCACAAATAGTGCAGAGTATTCCGTTCTCGACTGTCACTGATAATGCCAGCAATTGGGCGGCCGTCAAATTCACTACGCGCAAGGGAAGTGTCTCGGTGGAAGGTATGTACTGTCCAGAACCAGTCATCGAAGATGACTGACCAGGCATGCTAGCTCTGGCCGTAACTACATGGGCTACAATCGGTATATGAATTTCCCCATTCGTCAGTCATTCCTAATTGATGATGAAAACAGTGGAACACTCGGAACCTACCATCGTTGGGCGGACCAACTAGGTGATCAAAGCTTCACTTTCGAGAATCTTCTCAAATACTTCCAGAAAAGCCCTCAATTTACCCTTCCAATACGCCCCGAAGGAAGCCAAGTGAATGTTGACCAGGCCGCTTTCAGTCCGACTGGAGGACCGCTGCAGGTTTCTTACTCGAACGAAGTCAAGCCGTTGACCAAATTCGTAGAACAAGCATATCTGCAACTTGGTATAAGGGCCATTCCAGGCCAGAATAGTGGCCGTCTCATTGGGTATGCCGAATTTGCACTGACCCTCGATCAAAAAGCTGGTGGGCTTCGAAGCTCGTCTGAGTCGTCGTTCTTACAACAAGCCATTGCGGACACACCTTTACTAGTGTACAAGAACACCTTAGCCAAGCAAATACTATTTGACGACAACAAGAAAGCTATAGGTGTGAAGGTAGACACGGCTGGTGTTGGTTACACTCTTACGGCTCGTCAAGAGGTCATTTTGTCTGCAGGCACCGTGAGTACCTAGTCCCGGTGTTATTTCGACAGGCCAAGTACTAATGCGCAATAGTTTCGGTCCCCTCAGTTATTAATGGCCTCTGGTATCGGTCCTTCTGCGACATTGAAGCAGATTGGCGTTCAAGAGCTGTCCGATCTACCTGGCGTCGGGCAGAATCTCCAGGACCAACCCTACTTTCAAATCCTTTACAAAGTCAATCTCACTACCAATTCGGAGCTATTCTTCGATCCTGAGTATGTGATAGAGGCCACTGAAGAGTTCTTGACCGAGCACACAGGGCCGTTGACCAGCGAGGGAGAGACTTTAGTCGGTAAAAGGCCATTCACCCTTGTACCTCCCGTGCACTCGTCTGACAGTGCGTCTTCTTCTAGCATTTGAAAAACTTCCAAGCCATCTCCGAAGCGGCCTCAGCAACAGCACCATAAAAGACATCTCTACCTTCCCGAGCGACTGGCCTGATGTTGAGCTCCTAGTTCAAGCCTACAACACAACGGCAGTTCCCACGCGGGGCAACTACGCTTCCTTCGGCGTTGCAACCCACACACTGACCTCTCGAGGTAACGTTACAGTCAAGTCTGCCGACACAGCGGATAGACCGCTTGTGAACCCTGCTTGGCTCTTCACCAAGACAGATCAAGAGCTCGCCGTCCAGGCGTTCAAGCGTGCTAGAGAAGTTGCGAAGGCTACTCGTGTCACTGTTGGGGCAGAAGTGATACCTGGTCCTCAGGCACAGAGCTATGAGCAGATACTGGACTACATCAAGAGTAGCGTGGACCCTTTCAGGCATGTTGCTGGTACTTGTATGTTTGTCGTTCCTGATATGGGTGAATAATACTGATCCCTGTAGGCAAAATGGGACAAGCGAGCGATAAATCTGCTGTGGTCGACACGAGCGGCTTCGTGTATGGGGTTAAGGGGCTAAGGGTCGTCGATGCATCGATCTTCCCCGTACTGACGCCAGGATACCCGCAGGCTACTGTTTGTAAGTCCCGTTTCCCGTGCTGGTATGGTTCTGGACGACTGCTGATAACCTCGCCAGACGCACTCGCAGAGAAATTTGCCGACGAGATCCTCAGTGGAAAGAAGAATCATAAGCGACAGCATATTCGAGGTCGTAATGCTCTTGTTGCACATGCCAAATCGTGAATCTAGATGAAGACAAGTGTCGAAACATTCATTTCAAAAGCATTCAAGATACGGGAACGTCAATAATGCTACATTTGGTCGGCATGATGGACATACTTTGGTGATGGATATTTATGATTACATTGGTATCTTCGTAGCGTTTTGTGAGCATATCAGATCTGGTCTGGGAGGTATGTGCATTTACTGGTGGCCAATAAGTATTCAGGTCGTTTTTGGGCCGCCGAAAGATGTCAAAGGGCGTGTGGCTCAAGTTCTGGAAGCGAGGTCGTGGTCGAGCGGCTTTGTAGGCAAGAGGCTCCTGGTCTCGTAAAAGTAATAATAGTCAGATAGATAATTTTGTCTGCCACTGAAATTGGGGCTGTGAGACGATTGCAATTGACTTCCATGGATGCTCCCTACAGTTCAAGAGCGCCTCTTTCATGTTCTCCGGCCTGAGGCAGTAGGACGCGCGACGGGCGCTTGGTGGTAACAAATCAGAGGATATGCTCAACCTGTTGTCTATGTATGAAGAATCTGGAGCACCCTAGTACGTGCGCTGCTTGGCGAGATGAACAACCGCTGGGGCTGGACAGTGTCTGTGATGCCGTTGACCGACCGCAGGGTCAAGCTCTAGCATTTTATAAAAGATAGTGAGAGAGGGCTTCCACAGTGCAAATTAGCAAAAGATTAGGAGTTGTTGAGGAGGAGAGATACCTGTGGAACAGTCTTTTCGTAGATTCGAACCAAATCTCTCGGGATTGAATAGACTTTGAAAGCTCTGAAGAAATGAAGAGCTGCTTTGTGGTGATTGTTTGATATCGAGGGATCTGGTCCGATAATGAGAATAGCTCTGTGCTAGAGGCAGGACTTGTACGAACCGCTTTTTATAGAATCCTCTCCCTTCCGGATTTCGTCCATAAAATATGCTTCTTGTTCCGTGAGGTTTTTGGGAAAGTCGTTTTTTTCTAGTGTCGACTGCACGGTAGATTTTATTCTGCCAACTTCATACTCTCTGTCCCATTTAAGTGACCTTACAAGATTACTATTGGGATAGGAAGCTGCCGATTCCTTCGTCATATAAGGCGATCCTTTTCCACCCTTTGAGCGTAGAAAGCGAGCAACCTCCATGTTTTCCTTAGCTTTAGCAATCATGAGGGCTGTGTTTGAGTCCTTGTCAACGGCGTTGATATCTCCCGATTTGGACACAATCAACTCGTGCACGCGCAAGTCGTCACTCAACGCAGCCAAATGCAGAGGGGTCTCCCCAGCAATGGATGTGGCGTTAGCGTTGGCACCGTAATTGAGAAGCTTTTCTGTAGCATCAGCATGCCCGTTTGCCGCCGCGTAGTGCAAAGCGGTGTAGCCAGACTCGTTGATAGACTCTAATTGCGCACCTGCTGAATATAACAAGTCGATGATAGAGGCATCGCCACGGTGTGCAGCAAGGTGCAGAGACGTACCTATGCGCGGTATGGACTTGTTGACATCAATAGGAGCACCCAAAAGCAGCTGAACCATGTCTTGATCTGACCGCGCTGTGGCCAAAGGCAAAGGTGAAGCAGCTTTAGATGATTGATTGACGTCAGCATGAGCGATCAATAGACGCTTTATAATGTCATGTCGACCATTGTCTATTGCAAGAATCAATGGAGTCTCGCCAGCAGAGTCTTGCGCATTAACATCTGCACCGAGACTCAAAAGCAGCGTGACCAGCTCGTGATTATCGGAGGAGACCGCCACGTGCAACGGCGATAGTCCCTCTTTGTCCTCTTGATTTATGTTGAATCCAAAATCGACGAGCATTTCAATTAGGTGGGCGTGCCCTTGAGATACCGCCAAATGGAGTGCGGTACTGCCATTGTTGGCTTTACTTTGAGGTTCTATCATTCGATCCAGGAGTGGCCTCAGGACGTCTTCATTACCACAACTCGCAGCATAGTGTATTGGCTTGTACCCTGTCTCGTCTGTCGCATCTACATTTGCCCCAGCGTCAAGTAGTATACACGCACACATTTCTAGCCCACCGGAAGCGGCGCTATGAAGTGGTGTCTCTCCAATGGTAGAGACATTTGCAATATCTGCCCCAAGCAAGATCAAACGCGAGAGGGTATTTGGAGATGTGATTGCAGCGATGTTAATGGGCGTTATGCCCCATTGGTCCTTGTCGTCAATTTTCAACCCGTGCTCAAGCGTAAGGTCTAAGAGAAGGTTGTTACTGGACGCCGCAGCTGCGAACATCATTGTTCTCTCATTTACTGAGCGGTGTCTTACATCGGCGCCTGCAGTAATGAGTTGATTGCTGATATTGAATTGACCACCAGACATGGCGATGTAAAGTGGAGTAAAGCCTTCTTCATTTGGTAGATCCGGCTTAGCCCCCCGTTTTATGAGATACTCGGTAGCTTCTTTCCTGCCCGTTTCGATGCTTAGGTGCAAAGGGGTATTTTTTGTGTTATCTCCTTGGTTCAGATTGGCTCCTGCATCTATTAAGATACGAAGAGAGCGGCTGCCAGGGGCCAAGTGCATCGCACGATGTCCTAGTGTGGTCTGCATTTCAAGATCTGATCCTTTTTGTATGAGGAAGTCCATTGCTTCCAACTGTTCGGCCATAGTGGCTATCATAAGTGGGGTAAGTCCTACACAATCTGTTTGGTTGAGGTCGATATCAAATTCGGTGATCAAGTTATCCAAAGCAATTGAGTTGGCCACGAGACTGTCACCCGCATGATCCATGTTGTAAGCCGGAAACATTTCTTTGACCAGGCTTGACAGATCTTCTACGATCAATGCTCCTAGTAATGAAGTGTCTGGCTTTGGAAGTAGCGAGTTATCGACAGTACTGAAATTGCGTCGATACGTATTCTGAATCCATATAGGCAGAACTGGATTGTCCATGCAGATGAACCTTTTCATTAAGGTACGACTTTCCTCATCGTGAGTCTCTACTCTCTTCGCATGTGAAGACCAGTATGTGAGTGCATAGTTAACAAACGGATATGCTGCAGACAGCCCATCAAGCGGATCTACCCTGAATTGCCGGGCTTCTGATACGACTTCATCCAGGAAAAGGTATCGCAAGCAAACCTTGAGCATGTGCAGATGAACCTGTGGCAGATCTGCTACAAAGTCATCTGAGGAATCACTTGGTGAGAATTTAGCTTTCAGGTATTCAAGTGCAGATTGGTGCACAAAACTTATAGCACTCTCGGTTGCCCTGATGAAAGATCCACAAGCTGCTTTTGCATAGCGACTAATATTGAGTGGCAAGTTTGGCTCGAGATGTGCAATAGAAGGACAACTTTTAGGCCATTCGGTGAATAAAATACTCAGCTCTTGAGGCGTCAGAGAGCGGGGAGCAGCAAGTAAGAGTCTCAAAATTCTCTCCGCATCTTCGCGAGATTGTACCGGGATGTTAGCCAGGTTCCTGCCATAGAATTCACCAAGGCTTCGTGGTAAACCCGCCAGTATCTGATCTATCGCTTTTCGTGTGTCGGCGTGGTCATCACGATTAAGTTCCTCGAGAACCAAGTTGACCCATAGAAACATGCCGTCGGCTTCGCTTCCGAGTTTATCCCTAACAAGAGCAACAATGTCCTCAGGATACCCTCTGCCTACGGCTAATTTGTTCACCTCTGATTGAATGATCAGTGATATATCTGGCTCGACGTTCTCAAGACCAATTTGCAAAAGACCAAGTCGCGTCCCATAATCTACCGCAACCGGGTTTGGTCGGCTAGTGATCAAAATCTTAGATTGGAAGATTTTGGGCGAGTCTTCTGTAATTGCTTGTTCAAAAGCCTTCAATAACTCGACCTGAGATGTAGGCTGACACTCATCCAAAGCGTCAATGATGAATTGCACAGATCGCAATCGTGGATCGCTCAAGACCGCTGTAAGCATAGTCCAGAGACTTCGAAAAGATAAGGTGTCATCTGATACTGTCTGTCGCACAAGCAATGGAGTAATGTGCCGAAAGAACGTCCGTTGTTGGCTTAAGAGGGTATAAAGGAATGACGTAATGATGGCAGAGGACGAATTTCGTCCTTCAGAATTTTTGCAAAAGAAGGCCAGAACGAATTCGTAATTGGTTGAAATATGTTTGTCTCTCTGAATTCGAACAAGGTGCTTTGCTAGAACCGATTTGCCCCAACCAGGACCTGCCACTATCATGAGAAATCTGCGTACAGCGTCATCCTCGTCATCCCAACGTTGATACGCCTGATTGTCAAACACCCACTCGCAGGTACCCTCATGGCGAGTGGGAATATGGTCGTCAATTGTAGCAGGTAGTTTGGAGCGAAGAAGCTTCAGAAATTCATCTTCTCCTTGCAACTTCTCTTAGAAGGATTAGCGGCGATGATAGAATCGTAAGGACTCTCTTAACCTGGATCTGTTCTCATGCCTTCTTCAGTCGGATACTGCGCGCTTCGGAGTAGATCGATACTGTTTCTACCAAAGTGTTTTGGCTGTAACAAAGCGCTTTGGCGAGTATTGAACTCGGCGAAAGTATTGAAATGTATTTGATGACCTAAGTCTCTCGTTTAGTCTTCCTTTCATCTGACGATCAGAAAATATACTTTTCAACGATTCGAAGAAAGGCTCTTCATAACCAGTCTCTGGCTGATCTGAGCGCTGATTTGCAAGCTGCTTTATCACGTCGCAGACTTTTTGGTAATTCTGGTCATCTTCGGAACGGTATTTGTTCAATTCCACGTGGTTGAGATTGAGAACACCATGAGGTCTGCCAGGTATCACGGCAGATGACTTGTCAACGACCTACCGTTCTGTCAGTCTACTCTAAGTTACATCTAACAAGGAGTCTAGGCAAATCAGCCTACCAACGGCTGTGGAAGCCCTAGGTTGTTTTTCGGAGGCTGGGCCTCAAAGAAGCAAAACATTTGGCATTGTGCGTATGCACGAAGAAAGGTATCATTCAACTCTGACAAGGGTTCAGACTGCGGGTCGATGAAATCAAGCAGTTGCGTCCTGGAGCCGAGTAGCGCCGTGAGCCTTGCTGAAAGGCGACTTGCTCTTACATAGCCGGATCCGCGATGAGGTGTGCCAAGGAATAACACCCCTCGAGTGGCAGAGTAGATGTTACGATAGTAGGGATCCTGGTCGTGTAATCGACCAGAAGCTAGGTTCAACGCCTAGTACTCAGACTCAGAGGAGCAAAGCATTTATTATCAGTGCGTAACGCTTACCTTCTTGATGATCGTTCCACCAAAACTGTGTCCAATCAGGACGATTGGACGAGATCGCTCCTGTAGGATCCATGAGCAAAGCATAAGTTGTAGGATGAACATGCAACTGACCTCACTTGTTCTGCGAACCAGCCTAGTCGCATTGAGCAAAGATTCTCCGTAGTCGGCCAGTGACTGAATAGAGGCATTTGTGCTCCATTTTGAATCATGATTGAAGGCTAATACACGAACGTTCGGGATGGCAGACGGGAGAAAGTCACTCAACCAGTTTTTCGACGTGGCGGGGTGGGTCCAAGCACTTGTGAATTTTGAGCCAAGTCCATGTACAGCAATTATGCTGACGGATATCAGCAAGGTAGATTGATGTAAAGGCTCGACAACTCATACTCTACGTCGATTTGATGACGAGGAGAACTATCCGATCCTGTTCGAGTTGGTCTAGGATATAGGGTTAGCATTTCTTGGTCAGAGGCAACGGCATGATTGGCCAATGGAGCAGCAGTCCTGAAGGAGCGTGCCAGTGGAGCTCTGTAGCATGGTAGAAGGACACAAAATGCACTGCCGTTGGAAAGCATTCCGATCAGTGCGCTCGTGGTCCTAAAGACTCCGTACAAGCAGTGGTCCTCGTGCTAGAGCCCCATGCTGTCGGCACCCGGCCAATCTTTGAGGTCATTATGTTTGCAAATGCACATTGACCCGGGCCACCAGCAGGCATCGAAGAAGTCGAGTTGATGAGCCCGTCTATCAAGAAGTGATGGCTATAAATAAATACATATATATATATATATCTATATACGTATGTGGGCACAGGATCTCAATTGCAGATCTTGATCCGCTCTAGCCTGATCAAGTTAGAATACGCTCCCTCTTAGCGCTGCGCCACCTGCTCTTGCACAGCGATGTGGCGATCAACAGCTGCCTGCATCTGGCTCTGCAAATATCTTGAAGCCACTTTTCCAGATAATTCAGATCATAGCGCCTGAACGACCCTCTTACTATCATCCCGTTGCCACCCAACCCCGAATGGCGCCGCTGCCAATCTGCGCCTCGTAGCTGAACATCAAGCAAATATTTGCTCTCCATATAACCTTTAGCCAGGTTCCTGCCACTTTCAATATCAATTGCACCGTCTCGTAACCCGTAGGCCCACCACATTCATGTCAACTCACTATTGCTTGTCACCAAATACGGGACATCGCTGAAAGTCATGATGACTCTGTCTTCTCCCCGACATGTTCCTTGGCAACTCAAAACATCGTGAAGCTTTTCCGTCGCAATTTTCGCACATTCCTTTCGCGTTCGAGGAGGGATTGAATCACCAATTATCTATCACTGAATGTGGTCAGCGGCTAGAACGGCAGGACGATCCATCGTCATGTCGCCTGCCCGACCAGCCCCGAGTCCGACTGAATACACCAGAACTTAATGACTACCTACGACTGGAAATCCAGACGTCAGAGCTCGATGCTTTCGCTCCATACCTATGGCTCCTTGCTACCCCAGCGCACACCAACATTTCCACCTTGCATCACCAAATTGTTAAAGGCCGTCGAATCGTGCTCACCGAAGATCCACAATTACATCTCCTGTGGCTTCACAATACCATCTTTGTCAAACCAATACCGCCTTTCCTCCTCTCCCACGCCTTCTGGAAGTTCTACCTCTCGCCAGAAACCTCCCTTTTGGATCCTTCTGCGCGGCAAACAGTTTTCGCCGCTGCACGAGGCTTCCTCCGCTCTTATGTGTATCTCATCAAATACAAGATCGACTTCGATATTGCGACTCGAACTGAGACCCGCTTGTTACCCGAAGGTATTGAATTTGAAGCCCTAGTGGATTTCCTCCAATATTTTGCGGAGCTAGACGATGGGCTGGTGAGCCCTCGCTACCACTTCGGAGAGATCAGATTCACGAGATTAAAATTCTGGAGCACAATACTAATGCGACGCATCTCCTTCACGTTTTACGGGCAGTATGCAGATCATTTCAGTCGCTTTTATGCTCCACTGCTGTTCATATTTGGGGTTTTTACCGTGGTGTTGAGCGCAATGCAGGTTGCTTTGGCTACAAACCCAATGCCGCATGCTTGGAACACTTTCAATCTGGCTTGCCGGTGGTTTTCTGTCGTAACCATTGTGTGCGTGGCGCTGATGATCGGGGGGTTGTTGCTGAAATTGGGAAAGATGGTGGGGGATGAGGTGGTGTACAGTGTTCTGAAAGCGTTAAAACGAAGGAAAATTTGAAGGTGAGGTGTGAGTGACGAATGCGATGAAATCGGACAACCAAATTCTAACGATAGCCTCCCTTTCCAATTAGCATACATGAGCATTGGAGCAGAATTTCTGCATGTAGTCCTTAGCTGGAGGCTTGCTATTCAGATCGACAAACGAGATGGCTGGACGTATAGAAGCAAATGCCAAGTTGTTTTTTCGGAGTTCTTTTTACCGTTTTTAGATGTCTTGAGAGCAATCGCATAATGCTTACCTCTAAGACATACTCCCGAAACATAAATCTGCTCTATTGAACTACAATGATAAGGTAATAGGACTCCGAAAAGCTAGTCCCAAGGCAAGACGCAAGAAATCCTACTCGTAAATACCAGTGCATTGTTATTAAAATGATACGGCGCTATAGACGCGAATAGCTACCTAACTAATGTTCACACTCGATGAAGATACCTCACATCCTCTCATCTGATTCAGATATACTAAGAGAAAGCAACAAAGATGACACATTCTGTTCCCAGCGCGAACCTAGCGCAAACGGACCTTCCAATTCGAGAGGCTATTCTTGATGAGGACCACGTCATTGTCTTGAACTCTTCGACCACGGCGTCCTCTTCGATCTGCCGGTTGTAAGAGGTCAGTCGGTCTATTTTGATCTCTGTACGTTATGTAGACTCCAGTGTGTTATGACGGCGCATGTCTCATGAATACATGAGCTTGGTGAGAACACCATAGAATCTCTGTATTGTCCAATTTTGATTAGCGCAAAACAATATTAATTAAGAGCGATAACTCTGCGGAAGCTTAAGATTTGGAAATATATATATATCTACTTAAATATAGTAAAAGGGACTTAAGCTATTTTCTTAAAGATTAACTAATTAGTTAATAAACTAAAGTCTTTAATTAAAAATAAGTACTATATTATTCTACTTTTCTATTATTAATTTCATTCTTATATATAAAAATATTACCTTACTAAATTTTAAGCGTTATCTATAGAGATCTAAGTATTTGAAAATACTAAGCTTTCGCAAGAATAGAAGAGTTCATAGTTCTGTCAAGCGATATACGTATATAGTATCACAAATATGCATTTTTAAGATCTTGCCCATAGAAAGGTATAGCCTACAAGACCTTGAATCCTTCTATTGCTAATAATAAACAATCGCGAACCAAATTAGATGACTCTTAGCATAACATTATCATCACGCCTAAGTAGTCTCGGTCCATTGACTCAAAAGAGGTGACCTTGCGAGTCTTCGGTGTCAATTGGTGCTAATTACTGTTATTTTAGTCTCACTTCTTTCAAATCCATAGCTCGATTTTCTAGCCAATACTCAATGAATAAAGCCGAAACAATATTACGCTGCTTGCCATTTCACTTGATTATTGTCTCATAACAAAATTATCCTTAGCTCAAACTGACAAAAGTTTTCGTTGCACCTCTTTCGTCGATGAAACAGGTGTGACACCTTTTACGGAAATCAATTATTGTAGCCTCGGGAGAAAAGCAAAAGGCAATTCGGCATGCTGCTATGCGAACAGAAAGCATTGACTTTGGAGCCGCTTTGAATTCGTACCTATATATTGATAACCAGAACTGTGTTGTGTTGTTGTGCTGCTGGTGTCGCACTTTCCTATGGATCTGGGTCCAGCTCGACCCTAGATGTCACGCTTTCATCCTGATGGACCTCTGCGCGCACCGCCGACTTAAAGTCCATCCACATACGTGCAAGTCCTTCATCGTCGCCCTGCTTGACCAATTGGTCCAGGTCCTGCCCATCCATTACTAGCGTGAACCTTATACTATGTGTGATTGGTGTGCCGAAGATTTTCGCAGCTTCCGTGAACAACACAGCCGTGGTTTTGTTCGAAAGGTCGCTAATGTCCCATTTGCTTTTCTTTAGTCGGGGGTGGCGGCTTCTGACTATCCAGTAGCTCATTTGCGGATCTTGAATTTTGCGAGGTGGGTCCAAGGTGCTATTGGAGGGACCTGTGAAACTTGTTGCATGTTCAGATGATAGGGTGTCTGAACCCTTGGCTTTAGAAGTCATGGTAGTATCGCTCCGATTCATGGTCGTGTTACTCGTGCCTTTGGTAAGTAATAACGCAGCATGAGGGGTCGGCGGATCCAGTCGAGAGCTTGCATTAATGGTGCGCTCAGAGACAATTTGGACTTCTGGTTCTTCAACACTTGCATGATCGGCTGGTTCTTCTTTAAACCCACAGCTTCTGCTCCCAGATTTACCCCGGTGGCTCTCTGGCCTTGAGGAAGCTATACTGAGATGTGATGGAACCGGAGAACTTGGTTCCCCACTTTTCCTTTCAAGAAAGTTCTTCGCACGTTTTACGGAGCCAGTGGATGCAGGTGAGGTAGATATTGTCTCGCAGGCCGGCCTTCGATACAATGGGTTCGTACTGTGCGATTCCATCATATTAGACGCAGACAGCCTTGGCTTTATGTCGTCTGCTCCAGCTTGTACGCAAACCTGGAAAGTCTCGTTCCTCTCGGAGGGCGCGGAGGTATTGTGAGGCTCTGCACCTTTTTGGCCCAGTCCCCCGCCCAGTCCAATCATCTGAGGACTCTTCGAAGATTCTGCATACTTTGTTGCAGCTCCTGCGACGTCATGTGCTTCAATTTCGACGTCAGAGGCATTTTGTTTCGAAAGCTTACCTTTCGATGATCTGGTCCGCATTCTTCCAATAACACGATCGCCATCGATATATACATCTGTCATATTTGATGCTCTGCGCTTCTTCGTCCTCGGCGGAGCGTAATCCCTATCCTCGGCGTGTAAGCCATGTTTGCGCACTCGGCTTTCATTAGTCGTGCCAGAAGTCTCGAGTAATTGATCAGTGTCTTCTTTCCGAAGACTAGAGTCGGACACTTTAGATCTGCAAAAAGCATTATCTCTCTTGGTTTTTGGCGCCCTCGGTGCGAAATACGTTTCGGTGGGTAACCTCGTGGCAATCATTGCACTTGGTTCCTGAGCTCTTGGAAGGGGGCCTTCAGTAGACTGCTCGCATGTAAATGCTGAATTTAGATGCTCCCTGTTTTGATTTGCTGTGTCTCCGGGGCTCTGATGCTCCAATTCCATGTCTTTCATAGGTGCATTCAATATGTTGTCCGAGGGTGGCAGGTCAACTCTTTTCCCATTTCTTTGTGTATCCTCTTTAACGGGCTTTCGTTCTTTTTCTCTGCTTGTTAATTCAATCTCTTGCGCATTGACAGCAGGCAAGGCTTCTGCACGACTGGGCGAGAAGAGACCGTGTTCCACCAACGACTTCGTCCTACCGAATGGCTGAATATTGTTAGAAATTGAAGACTGTTTCTTGTCGAAGGGCTCCGGTGCAGTACTAGGATAATTAGCCACATACTAGCATAGTAATATAGACGCTACCTTTCGAAATTGTTTAGAAAAGACGGGGATGGCAAGTCTAGCCGAGGTAGACAGAGGTCACTCACGGGCGGACTGGTCTCCGTTGAGCTCGGGCTTTTACGATGGTATCTGAAATTGTGGGCTTCGTTAAGATTTTGACGCCAGAAAAGCTGGGATAACAATGGAACAATCCTGCTAGCGTCAATCTTCGAATCAGTGAAGCCATAAAACACCAACCTCAGACGATCCTTTGGATACTCTGGTACAAGGCGAGGCGAAGGGCGTCCCTTCGCAGGCCAGAGCTTCTCACCGTTATGAGCAGAGTTTAGAAAATCATTCGTCATGCGCTCAAGGTGAGTCTGAGTTTCCGCTGATCTCCATGCTACAAGACTGCTACCAAGCACGCCCTCGGGTGTTTTGTAGTTTCGGCGCCAGTTGTGAGTAGACTCAGTGAGATGACTTCGAGGCCTCGTTGAGTCGTCTTGAAAGCCCAAGAAATCCCAAAGGTCTTTTACCTTTGGCACTTCGTTTATAAGATGCTGAGGCATGAAAGCTCAAGTCGTGAATCATAGGAAAGTATTGAAGATTAAGGGGAAATAAAGATTGACAAGCGAGTCTCCTTGCCTCCCGGCATAGTATGTGTCCCTGCAGTTGCAGCTGGACTAAGCCCGAATTGGGTATGTGGAAAGTCGCCGACGTAACGTAATAGCTTTTCTGGAGCGCTGCTCCCTGCGGCTTGTTGATTAAGCCTATCAAAAGGATCCGGCAGTTGATATATTTAGCATTTATCAAGTATTCCGGCCTAGACTGTCATGAAGAAACGCCCGAGTATAAGTCTAGTGGCAATCCTTGTGAAAGATTGGCTTACAGTTCTGTGTTTCCATAAACCATTACATTTAATGCTATTGATTGCAAGATATCCATTTGCACTTACTTTATCATTAGAATTAAATAATAAGCAGCGGAAGTCTTAGAAGTGTGATTATCTACTAGATTCACAGGATAAATAGAGTATTAATCTCAAAGCAGGAACTAGCAATCAATAGACTGTGAATCGTTATTCTCTCGCCTTCACAGGATCAAGACTTGAGGACACGAGATTACTCAGCTTTTATGATTATGATATTTTCATACCATCATTCCGGATCGCGACAAGGTCCGTCGCTAGTCCTAATTTCTTGATTGTATGTTCACTAACACTTGTCACGACTGGGTTGCCAAAGAGCACTTCAACCCATAGCCCTTATCACGTGGGTTATTACGTAAATGTCTTTGAGATTGTACATGGGTGATGATGAAACTTTTGACGCATGCATTTATTTTGGTTGTACCTAGGAAGCTGGTACGTGGGGTTGAACCACGTTGAAATTGTTCTCTTTCGCAGAGGACGTGACACTCACATATCTGTATTTGGAAGTGGAGAAAGAAGCATCACCACCCTTTCCAAGACCGTACAATGATCACGCATGTCAAACTAAGTGATTGATATCCGTAGAGTATTGCGACAATGAGCTTTGATCTTTAGGGTTGTGCGGCCCCTGTAGCCGCTCCCTAGTTCTAGACCGGAAGATTTTGAATAAGCTTTGGCGGACTTCTCGCAATAAGGTATACTCTCCTCCCTAGGGTAGGGCAATTGGAACATGGCCTCGCCAAATCTATAGGGGCGCCCAAAAAGGGCAGCTTATCACCCCAGCTCTGGGCTGCACCTCCCTAACGATGGCCCTAATACTAAATTGAGCGTGGCCATGTTCCGATTACCCTACCCTCGTCCTTCCATAGTCATTGAGATTTCAATGCAAGCCTTTACAAAATGGTGCGATTGACTCTATTCAAACATTCTTTGTGTCTTCGCATCGGTTTAAATATTTTACCTGCACTCGACAGACTGTAAAGCGGTCGTAGCGAACCTGGTCAATTTTGCACAGGGTATGCTAGCCCACTTAGCCCCCGAGCTGCCTTAGCAGACCTACTGAGATGCCTTATACTAGTAGAAGGGTTTTAGTATAATGACATTCTATTTCAGAACATATCCAGTTCTTTTCAATAAATAACCCCCAGGGACATTGGCTGTCTCCTTTCGCTCTCTCAGGATTGTTTTTAGCAACCTTAGCATAAAGACATCCAGTAAATGATGGGACCTCTATTAATCTGGTGCAACCCTACGCCAGCGTTCGAATGCCTCTCACTCCTCGCTATCTCCAAGCGATTGTTGGACGGTCGCAAATTTGGACAGATAATTCTGCGATTTCACGGATCATTGATTTATTTGAATCTTTTGCAAAGTCTTCCTGTATATTTCAGACTCGTAGCCACCGACGTCGTCGCTCAGGCTCCATTGAAATCGAAACGCGGTTTCGCTGCGAATCACACAGTTGGTTTTCAATCTTTCCTTCAGGACGTGCTAGCATAAGGATTTGGTCAAAAATGTCCATAGGCAACCTTCTCTGGCAGTCTGAAGCTGGCACAGAACATTCTCTTATTTGGTGCAACATCTCTCACGTCCCAGATGGACACAGACCCTTCCTTTTCACCTTCACTTTCAGGATGCATATCATGGCCAATCTGCTGGCTTATTTCTCTGCAGATGTCGTGTTCAACCTCCTCAACATTGTCGCTTTTAGTATTGAAGCAGTAGACGTGTACCAACGGTAGCTCTGTATCTGTGTGAGGACTGAAAAGTCTTTCATATCCGGCATAGACGCCGACGAAAGACGGGAGGAATGTCAGTGCGCTTGCCGGTAAATTGAGTACATAATGCGAGAAGACACGGGGTCGTCTCATCACTTGTTTTTTGACCAATTTGGACGCTGCATCATCTCTGCTGTGACGAGGACGCGAAGGTGTGACATCGATTTCAACGTCCTCGTTCAGAAGCTGCATTGTGGAAGATCGGACAAAAGAGTTGCCATCTTCTTTGTGAGCCTTAACAAAATTCTGGACCTATGATACATAAGCTTCTGTTACAAAGTGTAGGCTGAACGATTGATCGTACCTTGTTACGCTGGATCCCACCTGCAAGGCTGTCAAAGCTGGCTGGATTCAAATCGTTTGCCATCACCCAGCATCTCTTTCTCCCTGCTGGTAAAGCAAAAGGACCAACGCCTGCCATGACATCACAGATGGCCTCCCCAGGCTTAAATTGCTGGACTATGCGTCTGTGTTCAGTGTTCAGTCTACTATTCCAATATACTTTGGAGTAGTCAAAAGTAAAGAGGCAGCCCTCTTCGTTGACTTCGACATTCAGATCCGGATCTCCAGCCAGAAGCTCGTAATTAAAGGTACGAAAAGCGTTTCCGGAGCCGACATCATCGATCTTGTTGATGATGCTACGAGCGCTAGGCACCTTGTCGAGCAAAAGAGTTGCAATGAGGTGTTTGTATGGAAGGTGTTCTGATCGCAGGTTTAAATGGACTGGGGTTTTGAGTATCAATGAGCCAACCGTAGATTCTCAATTTCTATGGAAGAGCATCACGGAAAAGGTCAAGTAGAGTAACATACCTACGTGGCCCACGACGCTAAAACCGGTTGGAATATTGTCGTGCTCATCTTCTGGCAGAATCGAGCACATGATATCATCTGCTCATAGAAGCATTTGTACTTGATCATCGACCTGTCGAGGTACTCACTTACGATAGTCCCAGTAATCATAACCAAGTTCCAAACTGAATGGCACTATATTGACCTCACCTATATTTACAAGCCGCTGTACCTCTGGCGTCCAAGTTGAAGGTTCTTGATCCGTCACGTCAGCCGGATCCCCAAGCCACGTCACAAACAACTTTGCACAAACCAGATGGATAGATGCTTTGATTAAGTAGCAGTGCCTTGCTTTGCTCGCCGTTTGGCTCTAGGATGTTCTGGACCGTCTGGAAACGATCAAGTCTTAACAAATCATGATTAAGTGTAGTGCGAAAGTCTTTGATTCGCTTTCTATCTACCACTTTCGCAGCAGAAATGAGGATGGTTTTTTTGAACAAGGAGCGATCAAGCAGCTGCATCCCACGGTTAAGCGGTGGGCGAAACATCTCTTCTGTGCTACCAGACGATATAGTCATGGTTGCATAGTTTTACCGATTCGCAGTCATGTGAACTAAGCAGCATGGTTATTCGAAAGTATCAGCGCTTTACCAAACTATTCAATAGCTGCAGATTAAGATGGAGATAGTTTGGATGTGAGGATGACTAAAGAAAGTTGTGTATCTTCCACATTGAGACTAGTCTCGTTTTCAAAACCCTAATTGTCGTCGTGCATTTCTTAGTTTCGCACTGATCGAAAACGATACGACAGTTGGGGTGTAAATTGAAGATCGTCCATTATCACTTCTTGAAATCTATCCGCGTTTGCGCAACACTCTGCGTCCTGTTGCTGGAGGATCCACTCTTTTCCCTCCAGTGTTTGCTACTACTTTCTTCTTGACAGCAGTTTTGGCCACCTTCTTCGCCGGTTTAACAATGGTCGTACCTGAAGATGTCGCTGATACATTGCTTGCACTACTCACTGTCCTCGGATTCTCAGTCTGCTCCTCAGGGCTAGGTCCCTTCTTTCCACCTGGCCGCTTGCCTGCAGCCGACTTTGGTCTTCCCTTCGTTTTCTCATTGACCATTTTCGCTAAGGCTGCCGTCGCTGCTGCGGATGCTGCAGGCTCGGGTTTCACCAGTACAACCTGTGGTTTCAAAGGAGAGGTTGCATGAGACTGAAAAGACTTCGCTGGTGAGCCTAGATGGGGACGGACGGGTGATTGAGGAAGAGTACGCGAATTTGCGGATTTTGGTGAAAGCACAGTCGATGGATGCGGAGCTCGGGCTGTAGTTGCATTCTTGTTGGCTTTGGCCCGTTTCTTCGGGTTCTCTATAGGGTCCTCGTGGATCTTGACGATTTCTCCGCATTCCATTTCATCACTATGAACATGAGCGCACATTCTGAGGAGCAATGTCCAGATCGTACCTGTTTCTCTTCTTACCTCTGCTCTTAGCAGGCATCCCCTCTTTCTTTGCTTCCACGGTTTGTTTTGCTGGTCTTGGTTCTGCAATCCTAGGGGCCTGTTTCGTGAAAGCTTGTGCATTTGTAGCCTTCTCCTTTTGCTGCTGTGCTGTCTCGTGTTTTGCGTGTAGCTCGCCCATATTGGTCTTCCTTAATGCTGTAGGAATGCGGTTCACGCGTAATTCGATTCGAGATCGCAGGCTTTGCGCTTGCATCGCATATTGGGCTCTGAGTTTTCGTGCTCTTTCAGTCACTAGAGGCATGTTAATCTAGAACCGAGTCTTGGAGAATTTAAGGAGCAAGATTACCTTCTAGCTGCAAATTGTCGATGAGGGCCTGTTTCTGAGTTGCTGTAATCTTCATAAATCTTTTTTGCGGACTTCGTTGTGGGGTTGTGGCAGGTGAGTGAGTGTGTTGTCGCGTCGAAGTATCGCTCTCGATTGAGGATTTTGGCATTCTTGTTCTGGCAGGAGCCATTGAAGACTGGTAATACGCTACGATGATTCAAGCGAATCTTGAAATGGGTTGGAGCTTTTACAGTAATTGGTAAAAGAATCTAAAGGCAGCTGTAAACAAAGCCGATGATCTGCGGCAGGGACCCAATACGGAGCTAATTACGACGCTAGTGTCCTTTCCGAACCGATTCTGCTATTACACATAGGACACCAATATTTGTACTTGAGTTCGAAGAATTTGATGCCTTCTTGACCATGTGTAGTCAACGCGTTCGCGAAATAATACAAGCATTATGGTCGACGAAGATGAATTAGATAGCAAACTGGCAGCATTCTTGAAGAGGGTAAGGGGCGTCAAGGTGGCATATGACCCTCGCGAGGCCTCAAATGATGAAAGCCTTATGTTTCAAGACATTCATAGCTCATCAGTAGAGATGCGCCAGGCAATTTTGGACGTTGCAGCGAATGTTTCAACCCGCGAGCGATCCCAATCAAGCAGAATGCGGTTCCTGGAGAGGCAAAATTCGCAGGATGAAAAAGATCCGTCAAAGTTACTAAAGTTGAAGTCATGCTCGGCATTGGTGGATTCTGAGCATTATGTCGCAGTCTCCTATTGCTGGAGACGAGAGCAAGCTGGTTGGTACAGTACTGACGATGAGCCCCCTCTGAAAGTCGTCCTGGAAGACGGTAGCACCAGACAAATCAATGCACCTCCAGACGTCCTCCACCGCGCTCTTGCTTACTCAGATCTCCACAGTGTTGCTGCTATATGGATTGACCAAGAATGCATTAACCAGATGACTCCCTAGAAAAGGAAGATGCTATTCAAAATATGGATCTAGTTTATCAAGACTCCACCCATCCAATAGCAATATTGGAGTCGTGTTTTGAGACCCAAGCTGAGCTCGATGTGTTCGCATCAGTCGTTGATCCAGGCTTCTTTGACTTTGACCCTGACAACATCGAAGCGTTAGATGACATTCTTGAGACATTCACTAATGATCAGTGGTTCTCACGCGCTTGGACGCTACAGGAATCAATCTCTGCAGGGGTCAGTATGTCCTTTCTTATTGGATGCCCTGGGCTTGACAAACCGGAAGTTTTCGGTCAAATTTCAGACGAGGTGGAGATCAGCCTTTGGGACTTTCAGGAAGCGATGGTAAATGCGCGAAATTTGATTGAGGAAGGATTTGCTCAGAATGTCTGGTCTGATACGAGTTCTGCTATACATGCATCTAATTGTGCTGATGAACTTTGGAATCGTATTCCTACAATCCTGCCGAACAAACTTCCTGCTATACATGCGTCCAGACAGGAAACGTCGTATCGCCAGCAATGCAACGCTGCACAGGCGATCACGTTCCTTGCAGAGCGCCAGAACTCATTTTTCCCAGACAGGTTGGCCATTCTAGCAAATATGTGCAATTACGAGCGCCGCATTAGCACTAGAGTGCTTGAAGAATCGCGTTCTTCATTCTCTACGTGTGCTCTTACCTTAGCAATTGTGAACGGGGACATGTCGCTGCTGAGTGGATACGGTCAGACTGCGGGTCTCGGTTGGTATACATATCAATCTGGCATCAAGGTGAAAGAGAAAGTGGGTGATTATCGAGAATCTGGAAGAAGTCTCTACCGAGAGACTGAATGTGGTTCGTCAGGACAGGCTTATGGCTTTTCTTGGGGTCCGATACCTGCTGGTAGCCTAAGTGACATTGGATACGTTGAAGAACGTGACACAATGTTTCGCTTGCAGCCTTCGTCATTATCAAAAGATGGCTTAAAGGTTCAGGGCATGTTATGGCAAATGGATCAAGTGATAACGACGCCCAAGACTCAAGCTAAATTCGCACGTCGCTGGGCCTCAGAACTGGAACGACAGGTAGGTGAGACTGTGTATGCTGACGAAGATAGACAGCGAAGACTCATGTACGAATTCACCATATCTCTGCTTGTTGAGCTGATAGAGAATGGCTTTTCTCCAGTGGCGAAGACGTTTTGGCAATTTTTGCAGCCCCTTGGGGAATACAAAACAGCGTCGGGCTCTTTCCAAACGGGGCGCTCATACTCCTTTGAGGATGTTTTCGAGCATAGACTTGTGACCTGCGATGGAAGTATGCTACCCCAAAACCTTACCCAAGACCTTAGAATGCAGTGGTCTATCCTTACGCTCTCTATTGATTCTAACCTGAAGGGTTTCGATCGACCGTCTATTCACCGCAAACTCATGGATCAAGTATGTCGGCGTGGTAAGCTACTGTGCGGCTCTTGTCTAGCCCGCTCCCAGACTTCCCCAGCTTGTGAATTGCGCGTCTGGTTTGACGATGCTGAACATGGTGACCTGGTATTCACTCCATATACAAGGTTGGGCGACAATGTCGCTTTCACTACATATCAGTATAAAGCCATCTCATGGTCTGTTGAACGAATGGAAGGCTTGGGTGATGGTATGGAGGTACTGCATTGCTTAGGCAGACGACACGGGTTTTGGCGGTTTGAAGGGTTGGACACAGATACTTTTGTCTTAGATTAAAACCCCTACTGTAAGATTGTGTCAATGCTAAGGGTACGGCGCGGGCGTCGTCGCCGATCATAATACATCTACAGAATGACACCCTAGGAATTTTCCCACTTTGGAACACTGGTGCGAGAAAGGGACCAGGTGCGAAGGCGTACAGGTTAGCACGGCCTTGCGACCCTGTCTGCCTCGCACACTCTTCCAATGGTCACAATGTGAGATACGTTCGCGGTTCTTTGCCCAAATTCGTTTGCCATACCAAATTACATGGTTCACGGGTAGCCTTTGTAAACGTGCCTTTGCTTTCGGTCGAGTAGCCCATTCTCTTTTTTCGTCAAAGGTCAAGGTTTCCCCCGATGCGGCAATCATTTCGCCCTGACAATTTCATATCCTGATCCTCGACACTAATCTGTAAATTTAATAGATCGGGTTCGTCTTACATCATGTTTTGAATTGCTAGTACTATCATCTGACCAAACATGAATTCTCCCATGGACCTCAAGGTGACCCTTGCCTGGGCTATACGTGTTAGCCACACTCAGCTTGCGGCCCGTCTGGAATCATACGTAGGGGCAAAGAAGCCTATCAAAACACTAAGAATCTGTATGGGGAAAACGACGTCAGCTCTGAAAAACTTTCCCGAGGAGATTTTAGTCATGGTCAAAGATTGTTTGAATGACAGCATATATCAGACAAAAGTTGCGTCACGGAATCATAGGAGAAGATGTGTTCAGAGCACTTGCAAATTGGGTGACCACTATTCCCCACTCGAGTGGGAACAGCGGCATGCTCGACTGGGCGACTCGGGTGACGATGAATCACTTTGGGGTGACGATGAATCAATTTGGGGTGATGAGAGCGATATGATACATTACGACACTGTGCATGATTATTTGAATAGCCTCACCCATCCTTTCACTCGGTCTTGGGCCGACAATATCCCAGAATACAAAGAGATAAGTTGGACAATGCCTCATAGTGCCCTCACATAATGCTAAGGCCAATTCTTCAATGCAGATATTCTTCAAAGACTTCCGTGTGCGTCTGTCTTTCACATTGCTGAAATTTTATGATCAGAATGGTCGTGGTTCGTATAATTGTCCATCGGCAGAAGTGTCTGGGTACTTGACGATCCCAATCGCCGAGGCACTTGCGGATGCCGAGAGCAGACCATTGAATGTCTCTTGTCGTGTTGCAACGACTCTGAATCCTGCAGAGGTCATCGATGGTCTGACGAGTGATACCAAACAGAAATTCAAAGCCGCAGCATCTGCATTGAGGCTGGAAGTTCCTCATATACACATTCTTGCAGGAGAAAACGAAGACATTGCTTGGAGGACGAGAGAGGCTCGGTGGGTTCGGGATGAAGAAGGCGAAGAAGGAATCGAAGCATCCCCGGATCCTGACGGCAGCCGATCCCCTACCAGATGTGAGATTGCTCAAGGTGTAACATCCAACAAATACGACACTCAAAATAATCCAAATTCTGGGCTCCAAAAGTATCAGAAGATGGTCATTCAGTGTGTAGAGTGTAATTCTTCCAAGTGCTCTGGAAGGAGGTCAAAATTAGGGGAGCCGGCCTTGATGATGTTGGGCTGTGGAGACTACAAGGCTCTATATGAAGACTATTAAGGAATACTGGATGTGACGCAAGGCAATAATGAGAGAACATGCTGAACAAGACCGGAATTTTCAAAACTTTATTCGACTTGATGCATCAAATTTGCAGGGTAGGAGCTTTCAGAACACCGGCTTGATATAATTAAAACTTGGCGACTAGTGCTAGCTATCGGGTCTCAAAGCGTTTAAATCGAATGTTGAGATTTGCCAGCTGATGCAGTCCGTCGATGGACTGCTCCTTGATTTGGTAAGGCCACAATTCTCAAGACAGAGTGTGGAATGTCTCCTTCCCAGCAAATCAATAATACCCCAATTTTCCGCTCACAGTCCTGACTTGAGTGGAGGCTTGGAATCCACAGGCGTATCAATTTTCTTGACCAAAGAATTGAGAAACATGACAAACCTTCTAGGCGATTGATGCTTTGTTCGACACAATATGAAAGGGTGCGTTAGCATTTGAAGGTCCCTTAACATTGAATCGTCACTTCTAAGCGCAAGATCAATGTAACCACATGTTTGCTACCCTCAACACATGGCAGCATGCATATGATCCCGTTGTTCCGTGATTTGAGCATGAAGATCTGTGTCACTCACACAGCCTAGTGGGGGTATGAAGTGTTAAACTCCTAGAGGTCTCCTCAAACTTCAACCAGGAAGTCTTCCCATCGTGAATCACGGAAACTGCCAGTATCTCGTCATATCCAATTAGCCGCAACCATTATAGCAACTTGCCATGGATTCTACCGCCGAAAGCAGTTCAAGTGCCTCATTGCGAAACGATCGATGGACCTTTCCCACTTACAAACCGGCTCGCTACTACTGCAGTTCTTGCTTCAAATTCTCCTTATTGAATCTGCCAGACCTCGCAGTAGATACAAATCAGGAGTTCACCCTCTTCAAAGGAGAATGCAACTCCTTTCTCACCCGAATACCCCAACTCCCGACGGGAATCGACGTAAAGCGCCATGGCATGATCCTTGGTCTTACCAAAGCTCTGAAGAACGGATTACTTTCGATTCCGACCAAGGAAGAGGTAAAGGCAAAAACAGCAAAGATGCTCTCTAGACCTATGTTGACTTTGAGCGATGAGAATGTCTCGGCCACGATCTTTATGTATAAGTGTTGTGACTGTGAAGCATATTTCATGGTTGAACAGGATCTGCGCGATGCTATTGACGAAGTTATGCCAGCACGCCAACCTAGCGTCACACAGGAAGAGGTGAGAGGACACATGGCTGCTTGCTTTCGGAACTCGTACAAGGCTTGGTCAGTCATGGCGGCGGAGGTATACTGTTTCGATGGATTGATGATCATGGTTGGCATGGATTGGCATGTTAAGAACAGTATGTTTTCAGTCTTTTACTGACGTGAATGAGTCATTGATCGTTCTACTAGTGGGGAAGGTGAAGAAGGCAGAGAATTTAGAATTTGTGGAAGCTGGCAAACTTCTATCTGTGCTAGGTTAGTAGTGTCAAATACCACCAAGTGGCCATTACTGACCAGATTCTTGCAGCGGAAGGCACTACCATGAACATTGCTTTATGTTAGCTACGCAGATGAGAGAATCGTCTGGTGAACGTACAGTGCATTTCATCCGGGAAGTTGAAGGTTCGAGAAGTCTCATGAAGGCATTAGATCCCTGCTAGACTTTATACTTGCATTACTCACATAGTCCAAGATCGATCAAAGCAGAAGTACCTTGGAAGTCCTAGTCGGTTCTAAATCGTCTTTGCACATTGCTCACGAAAGGCGAAGTTTGCCTCACAAAAATCCTTTGGTGAAACTGATTTAACTTTGCACTGAAAATCTTCAAAGACGCTTATGGGACTCTTTCAAAAGCACGTTTGTCTTACTGGCGAAAACACACACGATTGACCTCAGTAGTAAATTCAATCAACACGACCTCGCCCGGAAAAGGACTGCCGACATGCAAGAACTCCGTCCATCCACTGGAAACAAAGACAGACATCCAAATTTGCCAGTATCCCTCGTCTGCTCTATACCGAGCAACGTCGTCGACTTCGCTACCTTTAAACACAACATTGAACTCCAAGCTAGAGATTCACATGCACAAATCTTTATTCAAAACCTCGATAAAGAGACCTTTGACAAGTTGTTCGATATGGATCGCAATGCACAAGCGTGGACAATCCAGCTCGACGTACAGTACGAACCGCTAGACGATGAGTCTGCTCACCCGAGAATTGACACATATGGAGCTGCGCGATCTGAGAGGCACAAGACGAATGCTGCGCAATTGCCGAACCCAGGATCCGCAGGCTCTAGTGGTCAAATGGACTGGGAAGGGACGGGTACGAACGGATCGAAATAGAAGTGAACGTTTTCGAAAGTAGACAGCTACCTCGAATTAGTTTGGACATTGTCGAAGTATGTTTGGTGATGTCAGCCTTCACATCATACAGCGATAAAAGCAAGGACTTGACTGATACCAGGATTCATCACATCATAACATCCACCTCCTATCTTACACCCCCCTTCTCCCCTTTTCCCCCGTCTTACCTCTTAGCCTTACCAAAACCTCACCGCACTCCCACAGATCGTCTCCCCCCACTACTGCTCCAAACATCCTGCACCCTAACCTTCGTCCCCGTATGCGCGGCATTAACCATGACGCCCAACCCCTCCGCCCCTCCTTCCTTCTCCTTCAAAATTCCCACATGCTCGACCCCCGTTGCGCACCCGGGGGCATTACTCCCCCAGAAGATCAAATCCCCCGGCTCAGCGTCCCCTCGTGGGATCTTCTTTCCCTTGGATGAAAGGAACTGCGTTTGCGCGGTACGAGGGATCGGGGAGGAGGACCCCAGCGCCTGGCAGACGGCATACTGCGTCAGGCCCGAGCAGTCGAAGCCGCCGGACGAGGGGCCGGCGCAGCCCCCGCCGCCCCAGACGTAGGGGTATTTGCCGACTTCGGCGAGGGCGGCGGAGAGGATGGCTGCGCCCCCGCCGCCTCCGGAGGGAGGGTCAGAGGGCGGGGGCGTGGGGGATGAGGAGGAGGTGCAGCACTGAAGGGTTAGCTTAATACTGGAGTGAATGCAAGGCAGGCGGGGAGGGGGTACCTTTATATCATCGCCTCCCGGACACAGATTCGTTGCGAACGACCCCTTGCAAGCGTCGTCGCCAACGTTCTGGCATGTGCCCCCGCTCCCGCAGGATTGTTTCACGCAGCATTGGACGCTGTCGGAGCCGGGGCAGTGGCCGGCGACGTTGAAGCCGGTGCTTGTGCAGTCTTTGGTGTATTGGCAGGTTCCGGAGCCGATGGAGGGGATGGAGCAGGGTTTGTCGATTTGGTCTGCGTCGGCGCGGGGGAGGAGGGCACGAGGGGTTAGGGCGGTGGTGAGGGGAGTTGTGGTGAGGAGCGAGAGGACTGTGAGGGCGTGCATTGTGTGTGGCTTTGCAGTTGGACGTGCCTCAATTGGAATACAGTCGGAGTTTTCAAGACTCGAGGTAGAGCCTGAAGTCGAAACATCGGTAAAGTGAGACCGATCCGTATCTTAAATGATCTGTTTCCCATCATAAGGCTCCTGAGGCGTTTCCGCAACCCAGTTGGCGAGGCTGCACATCATCATAGCTGACCCTGTCATCTGCAGTCGCGCCGCAGGACTGTCGCCAAGTCGTTAAGAAATACCAGAAAGAGCAAAAGATCGGTCTCATGACAAACGGTGGTGGAGCGGTCCGCCGTGACGCTTGAGCCTGATATCAAACTATCGTGACCCTCAGCCAATTGTCTAGACTGCCCTGTGCACGAATTATGCAGGTCCCCATGTTAGCCTCATGCTGTGAAACGGCGGCCCCATTTTGTTTCGCGAATTATCGTGTAGCTGCCAAGGCTTTAGACAGGCAAGAGCATCGCCCCCAGTCATTGTGGCACGGCAAGAAGTGGTCTGATTTTTGGTGAAAAGCGTCTACGTCATCATGGCTCGCTAAGATACTGAGGGATGTAGACCAGCATCAAAGAAAAGCAGAATGGGCCACGCGCCCCACGGAGACATTGCTTTGCACTGCAGACTCGGTATCATCTTGAATAGGAAATACACATGAAATGACTGGAACTTCCGCCTTACTGGAGCACAATGAACCATGAACTCACTTCTCGTAATTGGCATATTCTATTGCAGTTGGAAGGGCAGGAAGCAAGTGCTCCCACAACGGGGCAGCCTGCCATACTCACACTATCTCTCTCACCTTCTCGTCTACGAAGGTGCCGCATCCTTAGGTAGCTTGACTCTGAAGACCAAGGCTTGACTGTCCACATCAAACCCGCTTTCGTCCTTATAAGGATACTTTCCCCCATTCATATACCCGTTTTGCGTGATGAAATCATTATCACTCACACTCAAGAGAAACCACTCTCCATCCTGCCCTCCCGTTTCCGGATTGACGGGCACGAGCGCAAGGCTCTCCCATTTCTCGTTCAGCAACCCCGCGTCTTGGGCACCGCCATTATGAAGACCGAATTTGCCAAGCTCGCTATTGACATTGAAATCCAAGAACGAGCAGTATTTCGCGCCCTTGATACCATCCTTCAGATCGCCGTCTTTGTTCGCAATGTCCCCGTCCGTTTTGTCATACTTCTTCGACTTGATATTGTCAGCGCCTTTGATACTGAAGATGTCGGCGTGGCGATATTGGCTTTCTGTGGCATCTTGGCCTCTTCCAGAACCTGAGTCGCGGGCAAGGACCAGAAATTCGTCGTTTCCTAGACTGTGGATTTCTGATTGTGCCGCGACTTTGATTTTCTGATTCTTGGGACTGACATATGTGGGAAGTGTAACCACGTACTCAGCTTTGTTGTTGGCGCTTCCGGAAGAGATATCGTACATTAGTAGCCTTGACTGTTTGCGTCCTGGATCATCTGGGCCACCATCTTGGTCTAGGGCGCTTTGTAGGAGTGCGTAGAGAGTTTTACCGTCGGCACTTGCACTTAGACCCTCCAGACCTTGATTGTTCGCCCTGCCGGTGTCAGGGTCCTCGGGCTCAATAACTTCATCAGGATTGTAGATTGGTGGACTGGCGGCGCTGAAGCTCACGCTACCATTACGATTTGGTATGAACGCATCTGGAGGCTTGATAGCTTGTATCAGCTTGCCTTGGGAGTTGAACTTGTAGATGTACGGCCCGTACTCGTCAGACACCCAGAAGCTGGTCTCTCCGTTCGAATTGGTGGATAAAACGAGCCCTTCACTATCGATAGAGAGGCGCTGCCCACCGGCTCCGGGTCCACCAAAGCCATCGCCTGTGTAGGTAGCTTTTGGTAGAATCGGAAAGCCGTTTGCTGCTGCGAACGAACCCGTCACATCGGCGTCGAGGCCGGTAGTGGGAACGCCTCCCGGCCCAGTGAGAAGGATGGTGTCCACATATGCGAGCTTAAGGTTTGGCTGGGATGGATTCGAGATAGATGCACTCACGGCTGGCGAGAAAGAAAGGGAGAACTTTTGAATGCGGTTCTGATAGTTCAAAGTACCCTGAGTGTTCCTAGATCATCATAAGCCTCTATTTGCTGGTTTCCTGCGATTGAAGGTTTACCAGCCCCGGTCAGGCAATGCCCATAGAGTGCCTGTATAGGTTCCATTCTTCGACTTCTGCCATGACTTGCGGTCCAAGGCAATTGAGCTACCGAAACCACCCAACGTATCTCCGTAGCGATCCCTTGCATCGGAGGCAACGAAGCCGTATCCCGCCAAGCTTTCATACGTATAATGCTCGCCGTCACACTTGATCTTTTGAACGTTGTTGGAATCTCTCTGAGCGAGAAAGGTCTTGTCAATTGCACTGGCAGCGATAAGTTGAGCGAAAGTCAGCCTTAGTAGGATCCTCGGAAGCATCATGGCGGATGAGGACGGTGCCGTAGAAAGAGGCCGATGGAGCAGCTACCCTCCATCTTGCGGAGAGCTCAAGGCTGTTCATATAATAAGCATCGCCTGGGCGTTAGCTATGACGAGGGAGCTGGGGTCGGATTGCATTTCGGTCAATACGACTCCCTGCCGGGAGGGCTTGCAGATATCCACGCGCATCGTAGGTACCTGCAGTTAAAGGACAAGCGTCCCGACACTAAGGTTGTTTACATGACTGTTTTAATGGCTAAGAAGAGCAAATTGGCTGACGCGTGGAGGCCGCCGACCTTGACCTCCACGGAGTGATCTTTGGATCCAGCACGAGTTGAAACTAGGCACATCATTGGACAAGCACTCGAGGTATCGACTAATCCAGATCTGGATTAGCCCGTACTCCAAAATTATTCCAGGAGGACATCATTCCTCTTAGCGCTACTCAAATGTAGAAAAAAAAGATGGTGGTGGATAGTAGACATCGTGACGTGTTTAATCATGTACATTCAGACCACCATTCTCGGTATTCGGATTTCGAGGATGAGAAAGCGAACGTAACGCAAAGGCTACCTAGGGTTCTATCACAGAAGGCCAACATCAATCTGTAAAAGGTATAAACAGAGATAGTTCGTCGAAGAACTGTTGAATCTTCTCGCTCCAAGAAGAACTTCAAAGTGTCTTTTCATCCAACCCCCCGTTTGATGGAGGATACTTCTCCTGCCCTTGAATATTTGGGCTATTCCTCGTCTTTTCAAAGAAAGTAGACACGTCACTGGAGAAGTCATCGTCGTCATGATCGACGTCATCCAAATGTCCCTTCTCATCTGCTTTTCGAGCTTGACTTTCTTCCCAATCATGGCGCATCTCCTCGATCCTCTGGCGGTAATCCAGGTCTGCATCGTAGTACTTCCCAACACCTCGGAACCGTTCCCACCAAGAGAGATGCTTGGGGTGGATGGCGACTCCATGATAATCGTGTTCTCGCCCCGCGCGGATGAATTGCCAGCGGCGTTCTTGCTCCTTCAAGTCGAGGCCGGTAGTATCGGGCAAGAAGAGCAGGGTGACAAGCATGCCCCCAAGACCGAACCAAGGCACAATATGGAACTTCTCTTTGGTCGTGACGTAATTACCCATCACAGCTGCGAGCAAGGCGCCAAGCTTACCGCATGCTGCTGAAAAACCATGTGCTGTGGCGCGAATCGGGGTTGGATATACTTCAGCTGCGACCAAGAAGGTCACTGCGTTGGGTCCAAATTGGTTGAAGAACGAAGAGAGAAAGTACATGGCTTGGAACTCGCCAATGTGCGGCTTCGACTTATAGTAGTCGAACTTGAAACCTGGCACGACAAAAAGGATGAAGTCCATGGTAAAGCCAACCATTTGCATCCACTTGCGACCATAGAGCTTGTTGTCGATCAGGAATGCTACAAATGCGTCAGCAAAGCCAAATTATGAGCGCAGGTTACGTACAAGCCATGTAGTATCCCACGAGGGAGACGCCAACGTTAATAAGATTGTATAACCAGCCAGGCATGATTGACGTCGTATTGTTGGTCACCACGCTGATGAATTCGCTCTGAAAGAGCTTGTTGCCATAGAAGAAGACGTCATTTGCGAACCAACCCCCAGCGGTCGCGATCATGCGGGGACCAAAGTAGGTGAACGTCATTTTCAGCGAGTAAACATCGTAGCCCGTCACCTTTTGCTTGCGCTTCGCGGCCATTAACTGCTTGCCAGCAGATTTCATTTTAAACACTCTGAAATAGACCAGCCATAAGGTGCCTATTGCAGGAATAGCAAACGACATGCGGTAGGTCCACTGGGCTGCGACTTTCGAGTAAGGTGGATTGCCAGAGCCGTGGTGGAAGACAAGTAGCGCGACGATGAGAATCACTTGATTAGCCAATTGACCCCATCCCTGCATCAAGAAAGCACTCGTGACCTTGCGGCCACGATGCAAACGATCGTCCTTCGTGGAGACTTTACCGGAACCAACAGCATTCTCCATGCCAGACGTAGCGGTCATAGGATACTCTCCGCCTACACCGATTCCGTAGAAGAAAAGACTCCAGACGTAGCAGATGACCCAGCCGTTTTCTGTGACACCCCAAGCCGCAGTAAGCATAAGCAGCCCGATGAACATGATGGTTGCATCCTGTATGAGACCCCATCGCCGACCGAGCCAGTCACCAAGGATACCAACAAGGATCTGACCGACAATGATACCGCAAACCTCGAGGTAATCGACAGCCTGAACCCAAGTCTTGTTACATGTCTGGTACTTCTTCCAGCACGAAGAAAACGCGGATTTGAAGAGCGGCGTCAGGTTGCCGATGGAGAAAAGCACGTATCCCTCTAAACCAAGGCCAGCACCTGGTATAACCATGTTTCGAACATAGTATCCAAAAGGAGCTAGTGGATCGCGCTTGAACATTGCCCAGGTGCTGCCAAATTCTCGTGCGGCCTCTTTGGCATCGTAGCTGGTGACAAACTTGATGCGTGAAAGAGGATTGAGGTCTGCCCAGTAAACACCATTCTCAGTGTAGGAATCGTCAGGCTTGAGAAGGTAGTCGAAGATCTGCCTTTCGTTGTCGGTCAAAGTATGCAGAGGATCATGAGTACCACTCATGTCAGGGCCATGAGGGGCGGCTGGCCCATAGTCCTGTACGTGTGCCATCCTGAAGAAGCTATGGCCAAGGCGAGGTGCTTCTTGGCGATCGAAGCACAAGGATGAGTGTGATGTAGAAGGGACAAGACGAGGCGCCAAGCAGCTTATGTAGGTCAAGCAATTGCTGCCGCTATCTAAAAATGCCCTACTATCTCCGTTCGCCTCGTGAGCTCGCAAGGATTGCGGAGAATTGATGGATGGCGCAGATCGGCGACGTGCTCAAGGCCAGTAGCTCAATTGGTTGAGATTAGGGTAAGCTCTAGCTGTCTTGAAAAGTCTTACACACTATGACGAGGTGCTAAGCTTGGAGGTTGGACCGCCTTATCCGCTGCAAGCTCAAGCTTGTGATTGTACTGGTTTCAGAGCTTCATGTTGCAGATACCGATGTCTGCACGCTTCAACTACTTACTGCACGTGGATAGGTCTTCGCCCACGTCGATGTGAAGACCGTCCTTCTGCTGGATGCAGTCTGCTTGTGTATGTATGTATAGGAGGGTGTAGGGAATAAGTGACTCGTCAACAAAGCGTGGTTGGGGAATTGTGGGGTAGAATTGAAGCTGTGGATGGTGGCTTTCGCCACGGGCTTGCTGTTCCATCAAACTGCAAACTCGATGGCCGGTGCCGCAATAATACGGCCGTCTTTCTCCAATCATGACGGGCGCCTCATAAGCTGTTTTTTCTGTTGGTGCAATATCCGTAGAACTCCCGCGTGGGTGTGAGGTTGATTTGCCTGCGAGTTTTTAGCCAATTAAACCAATGAAAAGCAAGCATGCGCGCACGTTTTGAAAGAAAGCCAAAAGGGTAAGGTCGTTGCGGCTCGGGAGCCGTGTGAATTCCAGCAATCTCCGAGGCCTTACAGCCGGCTTGACAGAATTGCTTCAGGTAAGCCTCCCCGGGGGCAGTCGCCCAGACCGAGTCCCTAGCGGCCATCATTTGACCCGGAGGCCTAATTTCCAACATCACCATAATCAAGCCATGATCGTGTGTTCAGAGAATCAAGTACACCAGTGCACATGTGCCTCCATGCTGCAACGCTGGCCGGGTCGCGCTCAGGCAAAGTTCCACCATCACATGACTGTCAAATTTCAAAGGTTTTGGACTATTCACCCCGTACAGGATAATTGCATGTCGAATGCTGGTAGGCAGGAGCGACCATGATATCCTACACGTTGAGTAAACAAACTGCTGGAATATGCAAGTGACAAACATCCATCTTTTATATATCGTCTGAAACTTGTTACTCGTCGTTTCTCAACACTCTTAGTTTGCTTCAGTTTTGGAAGACCTGCCATTTCATATCTGTAATCTCAGACTACCTCTACATACATTCAATTTCAAGCTGTTCCGGAACAAATTCAGAATGACGAATGTAGATCGCTTTCGTCCTTACCGACTGAGGCCTAATTCAGATGACATACTCTTTTACCATGTCTACGACAGCCTCTCAGAGACCCCATTCGTGACAAACATAGGCATAATCTCAGGGAAGGGATTAAATTGCACGACGCCTCCGCATGCTGTGATCACTTACAGAGAGTTTGCCAATCACCTGAATTGCGACAATCGCGAGCCTACATCATTCATCTCATTCTCCAGAAACAGCAAGGACGCCTATGAGGAAGCAATGCGTCGAATGGGTCAAATCAGAGTGAAAGACCCTCACGGAGGCCCCGATTTGGAACGCAATCCCAAGTCAGTTCGCATTGCCATTGCAAGCGCTAGTGCAATGGACAACACAAAGACTTTCTACTTCTCAACCTTGGATCTCATAGACATGCTAAAAATTACTTCCGATTCCTATATCTCACCTCAGTTACGCGAAAACGAATGGTTTGTTCTCGGATACATACCCACTGATGCTATTGTCATAGATGTGGTCCCCGAGGTTTTCCATCAGGTCCTCGGCGTCGTTGACAGACGACAAGGATGATTCAGGGGTGTGAAAAGTCATTGACGTGAGAGGTCAATATGCCATAATAATTGAAGAGCAAGAGGAACGAACGACTGTACTGGCAAGGCAGGCTAGCCATGATCTAGATAGGATGAATATTCCATAATCCTCTCGCACTATCGATTGATCATCATCTCGTGCTCATGTATCGCAGAGAATCACTGGCCGAACAGCGAGTTCGTCATTTTCACACGACCTTGTTTGACGGGTCCTGCGGCCTAGGTTTTAGATATGTAAATCTAGGTTTCGGGAGATCGACAACGCAGGAACAGGGATCCCTCGCTGGGTCAACGGCTTGGCTTGGCTTAAGCCTGGAGCCGTGTAGAAAAACTGCAATGATTTTGCGATCACAACATCGATCTTGCGCACTGTTCATCCTGTCTTTTATCATTGTTCGCTGTCCTTTATTTCTATGTATAGATAGTGAGACCCTCTTACGAAGACTAAGTGACCTGTGAGCTTCGGTCGTGAAACGCAGGAGGCTGGCCCCTTGAACAACTCTCAGACAAAAGAGCTGGGATATGCTACATATATAAACGAGCTTGAATACAACTGGCGGGCTCAAGGACCTTCTATAGGAGCCGGAGCGGGATTGGACGATTCATATCGTCGGCAGAGCTTGAAATGCCACAAGACACAGGCTTGCGTACACATTCAACTGGTTCACAATTTCTCACCGCAAGTTCGGGAAGAGGATTCGCAAGAAGACAATATAATTGATATCGAATGATCTATTTGATCGATCTGCCACGGCGACATTAAGGTCATTGGCGTCATCTACGCGTTGCTGTGGCGTGCAATGTTGGCGAATGGACAGCGAAGATTTTGGATCCATTAGGCATTTTGCAAAGCATTAGAACTTTGAACAGATACACGCCAAGTCGAAAAGGTGTGTTAAACATTATAAGAGAGCTTAGGTACGTCAATTGCGGGGCAGCTTTGTCAAGTGTTAAGCCATCCCCAACCAACACATGATCACGATTGTTGCCTGTGGCGACAGCATCAACAAAATGAAGGTTGTTTTCGTGTCTCGACCGCGTCAAATTCCCTCCATTTCTTTTACACATACCTCGCAGAACTCTTCTGCTTATCCTATCATGATGCTTGCAAGCCCCTCAATGAGCTCGGGCTCACACCACAGAACTCAGCCTGAAGCACAGCGACCGCAGAATCAAGTCGGGCGTATTGATACTGACTCATTCCAGTGGCCTATTGGAGGTTCAAATCCTCTTGCACGAGACATCCTCCGGGCAATCGGAGACCAGCCACCAGATTTATTTCCTCGCCCACGGTATATTCCAGAGGCAAATGTTGATAGCGGATCGCCAGATGTTGTAGAGTTTGGTCCTATCGACGCTTCAACCAGGAGATCAGAGTCGGAGAGCTTGCTGACAAGCAATAGCCAAGGTCCTACACAAAGAATCGTACGTGAAATTGGTAACGTTCGCGCGCAATTGCATGCTAACTGCCTGCGCGTCGAACAGCCTTTGCACGCAGTTGGTTTCAACATCAACGGTCGTCTACCTTGTCAAGCACCAATACCAGAGTTGCAGCATTACGAGTCCGAAAAGACGGAACAAGTTTCAAAACCCATGGCAGACCAAGCACCCTCCACGCTTCCTGGCACCCAACCAGACACGCAACTTTTCATAGATCCAAGACGGAAAAAGGGCTCGAATTCAATGCTGACTGAACAAGACGAAGCCGAAGTGCTGTGCATTCTGCTACCATCTTCAGGTTCAGCTTTGGCAGCTGTAGATCTGATTGCGGAAACATCACCTCAACACATATTACAGAATCACGATGTCGATGACCTGCCACCTATTGATGAAGAAATATCCTATGATCCGGACGGGTTTCCGACAACAGACACCACGGCCGACTCAAACGAAGCTGAAACCCTGTCCGAGTCGAGGATGCGGAGAGATCGTTTCGTTCGAAGCAGGAAGTCATCCAAGGATATTGCCTTACGAATGTCTTCGAAGATCCATGACGTACGTCTTGGCTTTACATTCGGACGGAATCCACACAGGTGTGATATGCTCTTGAGTTCTGGTATCGCCAACAAAATAAGCAATTGTCATTTTCGTATCTACTTCACAGAACATGGTGTTCCCATGGTTGAAGATACCTCTACAAATGGCACCCTTGTTGACAAGGTGTTATTGGGAGGTAAAGAGGAGAGGCGTGCTGCTCACACTTCGAAGCAAGTGCTTAGTAATGGCACTATGATCGAGCTTCCAACATTACAACATCGAGACGAGGAAGTAATTCGCTTCATCGTTCGCTTTCCTCCGAGAGGCAATCAAAAGGATCGGTACAGTAAAAATCTTGAAGCTTACTTGAGCTATATTGAACAAGCTCAGCGTCAAATGCAAGTAGCAGCGACCAACAGAGGGGGATTCCGCCACCACAGATGCTTCCATTCAAAGCGTTGACGGACAATGCGGAGACCACTCCCCACGCGTCCATATTGGCCGCTGCTACTGGAGATCCCAATCATCAAATGGGATGGGACGACAGCGCCAAGTACAATCTTGTTGGCCAAATTGGCAAAGGGGCTTTCGCCATTGTATATAAGGTGTCTGCTAAAGAGACTGGTGAAGTTTACGCGTGTAAAACACTTGAGAAGCGGCGTTTCATCAAGGACGGTATTCTGAGTCACAAACTGCACAATGAGATTCTGGTGATGGAAAACCTGGAGCACCCCAACATCGTCAAGTATATTGAGTATCACGAGAACAAGACTCACATTTACATCACGCTGGAATATGTGGGAGGCGGTGACCTTAGCATTTACACCAACAACAATAAGGCAATGCCAGAATACATGTGTCAGGTCATGACAATTCAGATAATGAACGCTTTGGATTATCTTCATAAGAAGGGGATTACTCATCGCGACATAAAACCTGACAATATCCTGGTCTCAAAGGACGATCCGTATGTCTACAAGCTTTCTGACTTTGGACTTTCCAAGATAGTCCAGAACGACGAGACTTTCTTGAAGTCCTTCTGTGGCACCCTATTGTATTGTGCTCCCGAGATCTACCCAGGGTTTCAAAGAGCGAAGGAAGGCTTGCATCCGAGTAAAAGAACCCGTTCGGGAGAACCGTGAGTTCACACACGTCTTTTGGTTACACATACTGACGTCGATCAGACGTAGAGGAACGATACCGTACGAACACAATGTGGACACCTGGTCTGTAGCTGCTGTACTCTTCCACCTACTGTCCGGTCATTCCCCATATACAGGTACAATAGAGGATGATGGAGCTTTGATGCTCATGAACATAATGAGTGGAGCACCATGTTGGGAACGTCTCGATGAAGCGGGAATATCAGAACTAGGGATCGACTTTGTCAAGCGCGCCCTGACAATAGATCCTGCTAGAAGGGCTCGAGAAAAGGACCTGCTGGATCACCCTTGGCTTACCTCTAGAGATACTTCAAAAGTATCCGAGCTCGATGCCGGATCCGGCAGAGGATCCGATGATTTTGGCGCTTCCCAGCTAAGTCTAGCAGACACAAGGCCTACTGAAGATCTCGCAGCCGAAGATGATGACATTGAGGATCCTCGAAGTGCAAAGCGATCAAGATATGCGGAACCTGAGGCGGAGGCTGATCTTTTCAGAGGCTCCAACCGATGGATCGAGGGCTCATTCGGCGAATGGATTGCAAATGGTGCACCTGATGATCATCGATCAGTGGAACCGCAAGTGACTCCTGGTCGACAGCAGCCAAACACTCGCCTGTTCGGAGAAATCGGATCTTCTGCGCTTCGAAGTTCTGGTGTCCTGGGTACGACTGCTCAGGATGCCCTTGATGTACCCACAAACGGAAGCTACGACCCTCAATCGTACGATGAGGCCTTTTGGCAACCTCCGTTAGAAGGTGTAAATGACTTAGCGTCACAGAACAGCCCGTACAATCAGTCGCCTAACACTGCAAGTTCCGCAAATCAAAACCCCTTGCAGTATCCACAACTTCTGCCTAGCGACCCATTTGCAGGTGCTGCACCTAGCCTTCTAGGTGCAGAACAGCTCGTAGAGGACCTCAACATGTGCTCCCCCGAGTCCGGTACTTCTGAACCCACGGACAGCAAACCTGTCACTCCAAGCACACCTCAATTCTTTGATGGCTCGACGACTAGGGCTAGGGACAGGTCGTCAGGTCCAGTCACCAAATCGCCAGCAACTGTGACATCTCAAACCTCGGTGGCAGCTAACGGTCAGCAAAGTGCCACAAACCGCCAGGGCCTATCAATTGATGAAGGAGGCCTTGGAGTCCATACTCACAACATTAACACTTCCAATGAGAACTCACAACCCTTCGAACCCGAACATTCAGTGAGCTCTGATTATGGCTCATTTTCCGACGGTCAACGTGTAGAGGAAACGCAAAGTAATACGTCACTCCTTCCGACAGCATTTAACAGCCAAAGCTCAGCTGAAGGTGAAGCAACCGCGCCAAGTGCGCTTGCGACCACTACATCCCTTCCTGGACCAGCCTTTCCTGCTGAAACCAAGCCTCCTCAACGGGCGGAAATCTCGAGCCAAGAGGCAGCCTTCGCTAAGCCGCCCATGCGTTTCGGCACTCTTTCTCCAACTGTGGGATCAATCCCAAGCAAAACCATCCGAGTGACCTCACGATGCACCACCTTTGGCCGCGACACTGATAGAGATTTTGTCCACCCTAATCCGAAGGAAGATCGCGTCCCGAAGCAAGCAATTTATATCCTGCTCTGGTATCCCACTATCGAAGATGAACTTGCCACTGGTAAGTCGGATTGGCAGTCGCACCCTGAACTAACAGCAATCATTTTCACCAAGACGAGTCGATACCTTAAGATTAACGGGACTCGCCTCATGAAAGGTAATGGATGCTGGCTGTGGGGTAAGCTCAAGACTGGAGACGTCATTGAAGTTTTCGGCCCTACAGAAGGCCAGGATTTCTCCAAAGCGGAACCAAAGCAGAAAGACTACCTCAGGTTCCATTGCGAGTTCTTTGTCGGTATGAGCAAGGAGCTGCGTAAAGCTGACGAGCCTTTCAAGGTTCTGAAAGAGGAGAAAAAATTCAAAGAGCATGAAGGGAGAAGATCCAGGGAGGGTAGTGCCGCTAAGTCTCGCGAGGGAAGCGTGGCAGCCGGCAATTCGCAATGAAGGACGACCGATGAGTTTGCTAGGAATGACGTGGAGTCAGGCGATTGATACAAAATGCCTTTTGAGTCTTCCATGCACCTTGAAAAGCGTTTTTGATACTGTTGATATACCTAGAGCCATCGCTCTGTCTGGGAGGCAAAGTGAGGAGTGGCATTTCGGATTATTGAGTATAGCGATATCTCTCAGCGCTTTTAAGCATATCTTGTATACAAGTGTTCCCAGGATAGTCACTATGAGATGTAGATATATAATGAGACCTTCGATGGTAAAGCTATCCCGTTAGGATTTCTGGTCTCCTTGCAGTACGTCAAATGACGAAAAGGGGCTCCGTCGCGCTAGTAAATTCTCGTAAACAACGCGAACTCACGAAAGTCTCTTCAACGTCCAAGAGCTTACCACCAAACATGGCGCATCAGGATCTCATATCAATTGACTGTAAAGGCTGCGAGGCGGTTCTCTGCATCTCTACTAACGCATTTTACACAATTGATGGACAGTATTTGACCGCTGAAAATGAAGATCTCTTCTCTGCTCCTGGCATGCAGATTGGCGGCCGAAGAAGGAGCGGGCTCAAAGACACCCAATTAGAGAGCTTTGTTGTTCAAAATATCAATTGTTCCGGCTGCAAGGATATCATAGGATGCAAAGTCTTGAATTCCAAGGATGATGCTGGACTGAGCGATGATAGGATCATGTGAGTTTCCATTACTTTGCACACTGATTCCTTTATTTCCGCTCTGGACCAGTTCTCTCGGCGTCCGAACCCTGCTTTTGTATTCGTCGTAATTCCACCCGTCAACCGAGCAAAAATGCGTACCTGACATGGCAGGAAAGCAATCGCTATCTCATCAATGATAAAAATGTGACCGCCAAGTCTGTCACAACCCAAGCTCCAGCTGCGCTCAACACAAGGCCTTTTTCATTCTCGAAAATCAAGCGGACTTTGCATTGCAAAAAGGGCCAAGCATCAAGGATTTCAACGAGTTCGAAAGGCAAAACGCACCACTATGTCAGCTCGACTAGAGACTCGTCAATCGATGCCACTGTCTTGCTGGATAGCAATGCAGGCAAACAGTTCACCTCCAGCAAGATTCCGAATGCTGGACCTTTTGAAGCCACCTCCAATACCGCTGTTGACTTATCGGCTGTACTTGCCGAAGTAAGCGACCTCAAGACAGAAATTAGCTGTATGAGACAAGACATAACCAAAAGCAAGGTGGAGCACGGTCATGCTTCGACTAAACTCAATGCAGCTGTAGATTCGCTCGGTGGGCTCGAGCAAGATCTCACTGTGCTCCGGGAAGGGCACAAGGTATGTTCAAATGAGATTCGCGCTCTAGAGACCATGGCAAATAATGATAACGATTCTATCCGCCGCCTCTACGATCAGGTCCAGAATGTAGAGATGAATGTTGCACAGCTGATTCATAAACAAGATGAAACATTTGCGGAAGGGGCATATACGAAAATGCGTATGGACAGATTGAAAGGGAAGATTGAATCGATGAGTACGGATAGTACTATGGATAGCTGCATGAAATTCATGCAAGTGAAATTGATGTCCGATTTCATGAATGCAACAACGAAATCAATGACAGCAATGGACACTAGACTCGATGAGATGGAGATGCTGGAAACAGATGTAACAGAATTGCGCGAGCAGGTGGCCACTCTGCAGGCTCAAAACTTTGATCTTTTATGTCAGAGCTCCAGGAACATTAACGAGGATCAGATAGTGATTCACGCAGCAAGACAATTGGTACTTAGCTCAGTTGATCACCAGCAGGAGCCTGTATCTCATGTGCAAGGTAATAAACGTCGGCGAATTTGCGAGGATGTGACTGGAGAACAGTCCGACCAGAAAGGTAAAGATACCAGTCACCTCACACCATTGCCGACCACCGAGAATATCCAGACCGAAAAAGAGTCTTCAAGTGAGCGGAGACATTTCTCGAATGAAAATAAGGGATCATCGCTTCGTGGTCCATCTGTCGTTATTAGGTCTAGCCCTCAGCGCTCTCCAGAAACTGCAATGACAGTGGACAGAAGAAGCTCGCGCCGTTTCCAATGTTTGGAGCAAGACACCGAGATTTTTTTAGAAACTCCAAGATCGAGAGACGCTCAAGGATGTCTTCTCAAACCAGACGGTACAAGAGACTTACGAAGTTGGAATCGTTTGAATAAATCAAGACAATCGAGTTGATCTTCACCACAAGGGCATACAACCATGAAGTGCGAAGAGATCAAAGGACTGCTTGTCGCAAAACTTTCATCTCAACGTGGACCTTTATTCAGATCAGCTTAAACATGAATGCATCATGGTGAGAAACAGCGCTGTCTGCTATCACTAGACTGATGTCTCCAGCGCTTAAACCAGAGCTTACAGCCTTACTCCTCAGCTTCTTCCTCCACGGTTGAAGGCTCAGGGGCTTCCTCTCCGTCATCACCATCCTCAAAGGTACCTTGAGGTACTTCATACAATCTCAGCAATTGCTTATTCGGATCCTTTACCAGCACGTATCGTCCATCCTTCATCGATCTCACCATATCGATGATCGTCCTTACAATACCCCATCCATTTCCTAGATTCAAGTTCATCTGTTCAGCGAACTTGCGCGGGTCATAGCCCACGACGCCGAGGATGACATGGCGATCGGGCGCTTTTGGGTTGATGCGTGATACGAATCTATCACCATTAGCGGTGCTCAAAAATCTAGAACCTGAAGCATGAGAAAAGGACTCACCCAAGTTTCATCGCGTCGGCCTTGGCGAGAATGGCCTGCGTAGTCCAACGAGCCAATTTGCAACTGTTGTTTTTCATCTCAGTTGCAACGACCGCACCCCTCTGACTCGATAGCTTCGTCCTCCAATCCAATGCCCCACCGCTTCCTTGCGCCTTATGATCAAATTCATTGAGGGCCTTTAACGTCAACATCTGATCATCTCCACTGATATTGTTCTTCACAACGGCATCAATCTCCGTCCTCACTATTAAATTCAAGGGTTCCTCATCTTTCTCAAGCGACAAATCGAAGCGGCGATACTTGTACGCCTTGCTCGCCAATGGCTCTGTCTCCTCTGAGGGATTATAGAAGGGATTCTCATGCGACATATCCACTTTCGAAGACTCGCTCTCCATGACAGTCTGGTTCGCGAAATTGTGGTTGATGAAAGTGGCCTCGAGGGCAAGCGCACCGGGGAAATTGATGCTGTCTTTGTTTCCCTCGCTGGCTTCTAGTGGAGCATCGGCTGCATTCTCGTTCACACTCACCATGTCAAGAGAGGACCCATCGCGCTTGTCCAGGTAGATCTTACTGCCGCTTTTGGTGATGACCAAATCCCAGCTGTAGACAGAGCGAGGGGCGCACATGAGCATAGAGAGGATGTTGTCCGTGGCAAAGATGGTGGCTTCGTCTTTATCGGCCAGTTCTTGAATGATGGGATCAGAGGATGTGGTGACGTTGTATGCAGCTCGATCGACGACATTGAGTTTCCGCTCAGTATTCTTGACGGGGGGCTTGTCGTAGGTACGGTCGTAATAATAGAGGAAGCCGTAAGTATCGATATCCTCGCCGACGCTAGTATCAAGATTCAGTTTCTGGAGCCTGGCAAAATCGATCTCTTCCAGCATGGCCCATTCTGGCTTGATTGTAATAGAGGAATCACGATTTCGTTGTGGCTTGTCGTAGTCTTTCCAGCCAAATCTTCGACCACCTCTGCCTCCTCGACCTCCTCGTTGATCGTATCCATACCCTTGCTGGCCACCCCGTCCTCCTACCCTTGCGTTCTGATAGTTGGCACGGCCACCTCGAGCGTCGCGTGCCCCTCGTCCGCGACCTCTGAATTGTGTCTGGGCACCGCCGCGACCAAATACACGCTTAGCTGATGTTCTGTTATTGTCTACCACCGAAAAGGTAGATTCATCTTCCGCAACTTGGACGGCGAAAAGCGACGAAGTGCCAGCGCCATACACTTGTTGATCTAAGAGCTAGTTCAGTAGTCGGCCCGTATACACTCCATGCGAGCGCACCTCTATAGTTTCTGTTCTGATGTCTGTTTCTAGTGTCTCTATCTTTGCCTTCTGTAGTCCAGTCCGCCATCCGCCCTAATTTGTCGCCCTTTGAATATGGAGCGTACGGTACACCCTCCACAAGCGTTTCTGCTGTGGTTGGAGGGCCCCATGAAGTTTCGTCAGATGGCAAACCTGCCACGATATCGGCAAGAGAAATAGGCATGGTGAAGGCTGTATGCGACTGTATGTGGACGATATCAAAAACTTTCTTTCTGATCTTGAAGTGCCGCAATTCCGGCAGACGAAATGCTCTTTCCGCACAAACGCGTCTCTTCGACGACGAAGCACCAAAAATATGTTCAAAAGGTTTCCAGCTCTACAAGCTGCTCCTACGAGATATTACCATTCTCCCTCTCATCATGTCTCGTCCCACAACACCTACACCTCCCCTACCAACCATGACTACCTCCGACAACCACTCTTTCACCTCCCCCTCTCGTTCCAGCACTCTTCCCCAAAAGCCAGCCAACCCCTCCAAACACCACATCCACCACCATCCACACCGCTCGCACCACACGCACCGCTACAATAAATCAGTCCCACAGAGTGCCATCGAGCGCTCTACTCCCTACCCCTTCGGTGAGCTCCTCCGCGGCGAATGGCGACGACGGGGTAGCATCGAAAACCCCGCCGACAGCTCCACATCAAGACTAGTGCCAGAGAATGCCGTCCTGGACATCGACGCCAATGCATTGTACGTTCAAGACCAGAAGAGACTGAAAGCAAAAGCCGAACAAGCCGAAAAGGAACGCCTTAGAAAAGTAGCTGCAGAAGTAGGACGGTTACGGCGAGGGCGACAGGAGCATGAGGAGAGCCTCCGACTTACTCTATCACACCTCTCGGATCTCGGCACCACGATGACAAGGAGGCTGGACTACACTTACTATGCGCTTCTCACTTCGCTGTCTGGGTTGACGAATGGGGTGAAGGCTTTTCATGCACTGGCCAGGGAGTCGGGGGGGATGCATGAGGGGTTTGTGGCGGAGGCGCAGACGTTGGAGAAGGAGACAGGGGGCCAGATAAAGGGGGCGATTGAGGGGTTGGACAGGCAGGCGCAGAGGGTGGATGCGCTGCAGAGGCGAATGGGAGGGGCGAAGGGGAGAATGGCAGATTTGGAGAATAGGTTGCAAAGGGTTAGGACGAAGGCGGAGGAGGCGGGACGGAGAGAGAAAGAGGGGCGAGCGAGGTTGGGGAGGCGGTGGAAGGTCTGCTCGTATTGTGTGGGGACGTGGGTAATGGTGCTGGGAATAGCGCTTCTAGTGAGAAAGATCCGGCTGCTGGAGATTCCAGATGACGTGAATGTGTACCCGAATGGAAGTAATACTTTGGATTGGGGGAATGATACGACGAGGTCCCAGATTGAGGGCGGGGTGGTTACAGAGCTGATGGCAAGCGCGGTAGAGGGTGCGTACGCCGCTGTCACTTGCGATGCGGAGCCTGTGGGAGCCGAAGAACAGAGCAGTATGGTCGACGCTGAGGCGACTTTGAGGCTTTTTGATGAACTTTGATACCCCAATGATAGACGAGATACCCACAACGAAGAAACGTCCAGCGCCGCGCTTGATCAAAAGACATTCGCAAACTGCAAGGGAAGACTCATGATTTCAGCATCTTATTTCTCTTCTCCTTTCTCTTTAACCTTTCCACCTTCTTCCTTCGCATCTTCTCCTCCATCTTCTCATATCGCTCCTTCTCCTCCTTCGCAGCCCTTCGATCTTTGATGCGTTGAACCTGTTTCTGCACAGCGACATTTTAGCTTTCTCTCATACGCACAAAGCGGATGTTCGTACCTGTCGGTCCTCTTCCTTTGCTTCCTTCATTTCCTTTTCTTTTGCTTTCATAGCTGATCGCGCGTGCCTTTCAGCTAGCCTTTTTTCATATGTAGTTTGGCCTGCATTGAGGCGAAACGGTGTTTTTGCTGCGCGCCATTGTTTGCCTACATCTCAATTAATTGAAATAGTTGATGTGCGGATTTCTGTTCGTTCTCACCATTCTTGCGAAGGCCAGGCGCTGTCAATGAGTTGACGGCAGCCACTGGAGGCTCATTCGTAAGAGCCATCTTGGATTAAAGCTGGCCCAACTTTTCAGCCTCGATATTGTCGCACACTTCTTAGTCAAAGATTTGGTTGAAGCTACCAAGACATGACGCTAAGATAAGATACGATGCTTAATAAGCCACTCATATAAACTTTCACCGGCCGGGTGTCTTGGTCCACCACACGCTCAGTCACCTCTTGCTTACTCCCATCTTACTCACCGAGTAGCAGCAGCCCAGTACAACACGCACAATGCCGTTCTGATAATCAAGTGTCGTAGCTGCTGGGGAGAGACCGTCATGAAGTGTCTACGATAACAAGTGTTGGCCGTTCAATATTTCGAACGGCCGTGTCCAAACCATGGAAGCAATTTCCCCAGAGACAGCTCGAACGAGCACGGCCAACCTCACTCTTGAGCAAATCGCTGCGAAATCTGTCGATATGTCGTCCTCCCAATCAGCAGAAGCCCTCAAAGATATAGCCTTTGGATCCCTTGCTGGTGCAATTGGAAAAATGATCGAATATCCATTCGACACGGTGAAAGTCCGTCTACAATCACAGCCACTCCACCATCCAATGTACAGCGGTCCACTAGATTGCTTCCGACAATCTATCAGATCCGACGGCGTTGTTCGTGGGCTTTACAGAGGAGTCGCAGCGCCAATTTTTGGAGCCGCGGTAGAAACTAGCAGCTTGTTCTTCAGCTACCGAATATCCCAAGACTTGCTATTAGCAACAGCGTACAAGCGTGGTTACGAGAGGAGTGATTTGCCAATGAATGCGTTGCTCCTCTGTGGGGGCATGAGCGGCGCTTTCACCAGCCTGCTCCTTACTCCTATTGAACTTGTGAAATGTCAGATGCAGATACCACCAGAAGCTGGCTCAAAGCGTGGTCCGCCTATGGCCAAAGTGATCGGGAATCTCTTCCGCCACTATGGTGTTCTAGGCTTTTGGCACGGACAACTGGGCACTTTGATTAGGGAGACTGGTGGAAGTGCAGCTTGGTTTGGGGCGTACGAGGGCACTTCAGCTCTGTTTAGGAAGCAAAATGCTCAAAAAGAAGCCGCGTCGAAATCATCCGCCCCAGAGCTTTCCACGAGCTCACGGCCTCCGGCTTTGCCGGTCTGGCAGCAATTAGTTGCGGGCGCGTCGGCAGGCGTCATCTACAACTTTGCTTTCTTCCCTGCTGATACCATCAAATCCCGCATGCAGACTGAGCAGATCGGGCCAGTCGTTTCTCGTGCTGAATCAGGCGTTGCCAGGCCTAATACTACTGGAAATCCAAAGACAGTCTTTGAGCCAGAGCTTAGTACTGGCATGGCAAGACAGACATTTTGGTCAGCAGGCAAGGCGCTTTGGAATCAGCAAGGTATCCGCGGTATGTATAGAGGCTGTGGTATCACGGTTTTGCGAGCGGCGCCTAGCTCTGGCTTCATTTTTGCCGTGTATGAAGGGCTCAGAGGTTGGTGGGGCTAATACGTCAAAAGAATCTATGATCCATGAATCTGCGAGGCGGCCTGAGTATCTATGTAGATACGCTTGTAACTCTTGAATGATGCGAAATTTTCGATCGCAGACGAATGCTCTCTAGACTTGGAAAAGACAACAATATTGGCCATTCATTGCTGTCTTGAAAGTTTTCGCATGAGATAGCAGAAGTAGCATTCAGGAGAAACAAGAAAGCCGTTGGAAAAGTTATCTCACTTCATGCTCCTTTGTTATGGCTATCTTTGGCTGGCATTAGTCCAAGCATGAAACCTCTGATACTCCAATATCCCTCGAGGTTCCCTTGACATCGACGTCTCTTCATTAGCTCATTCCACATCATTCAGAAACCGCTTTATCAATGTCCCTTCTCCCCGCTTCCACTTCAAAGTTTCTAGGCACTATGGCGTCTTTGCCTATCCTTCAAGGTCCCCTAATGCTTGTGGCTGTCCCATGTTCTCCGGTCCAAAACTATCCGGCAGCAACTCCTGCATAGTTTTCACAACAAATTCCCCATCTTTATCAATCATGAAAACAGGCATCGTCAACGAACAAAATTCGCGTATACTATTCTCCAATATCAGCTAACGTTCAGAGAGCGAAGCCCACGTTCGCTGAAGACTCACAATTGTCTACACATGCCACATGGACTCGCTATCTCCTCCTCTCATTAGCCTTCCCCTCAGCAAAAAGAAAATATAGTTGGGGTTCCATACCAGCGGGTTTCACATCCGTAGCCACAGCCAACGCTACAAACTCTCTTTTAGTTCCTTCTGTCTATACACCCAAAAGCATTAGTAATCCGTAGCCATACTCATGTGATTGCTCAAACCATGCTTCGGAGGACCTGCGTACCACAGCCTTACTCAAACAGCACCTCTCAGCACACGTTCCCACGGGATATGAGGCGTTCTCAACATTTGCTCCTTTAACAATGGGGGGAGTTGGACGAGTAGAGGCTGGGAGCACTGCTGCTCCGACGCGGAAATTGGAGTATGGACCTAGAGAGAAAAGATGAGATCAGCTATGTTGAGCGAAAAGATCGTGGGTATTTAAACCTCCATCATCTCTCATCACATCAATTCATCGCATACATAGACCCAAGGTCACCATCACCTTTCATGTCACAGCAATACCCGTAAAACTTCTGTCATCAGAGCATCGCAACCTGGACTAACTCCCCGAACGAACGAATCCAATAAAAAAATAATTACGGACACCGTCTTTTGCCAAAGGCAATGACCACCCACACAGAACCCCAGAAGTGGCAAGCCAAAGATCAACCACACGCATCGAAACCACTCACTAAACCCAACAGCAAGACATCTCTTCATAGTTCACAATCTTGACATGCGAGAAACAACGAAGTCCAGCTCGGCCGAGTACGAAACCTCGAGCACCGATACCGCACAACTCACATAGCAACAGCAATCATGACCTAGAATATAAAAATAATGAATGAGAAATACCCACAATAAGCCAACTCCTTAGCCTCCACAGCAGCATTAAGCAGAAGACCTAGATCCGCCGGCTTGATATTGAAAGGGGCAGCCGAGGCTTCGAGGTCGGCGATAGTGCTCTTGTGGGGCATTATGAGTAGCAAATATGATTGTACGCCTTGAAGAAGAGGTTTGTATGCCTTCAATTGTGCTCATAAAGATAGCGCACAAGGGCGAATGAAAAGGAATTTTGAGCAGCTAATCTATCAAAAGATTTTAGGTAAGGCAATAATCAGAAGTGATATTGTCGAGTGTACTCCGTAAAAGTCTACAGAGAAGGCGGGGAGCCTCAGGATATAAAGAATCCTAGTGTGCACTTGAGCGATAAAAGTACATTATTTTTGCAAAATAAACATATATGAATGATTATTTATGTCTGTGTTAGGAACCACTGTAATCTACACTTAATATAAATCTAATATCCTAGTTCTATACTTTGATATCTTTTAATTCGAAGGCCAAATACTAAACTTCAAAATCTATAGTTCACTATATTGAAATCAATACATGGGCAGCCTTATCGCCCATGAGAAGGCAGAAGCATACATAGTATTACCGAGTATAGGCCTCTAAAGGAGGTGTATCATGTAATTACCTTATTTTGACTTGACATAATATATATGACAGTAATATGTAAATGAAAATATCCTTTCTTTCCACTAAGTAGAAAGAAATATCATTAATGCTAAAATATTGTTAGTTCTTGACTGTAGAAACAGAATGTGAGATAGGTCAGAAACAGGCTTAGTAATCAAACCAAAGAAGTGAGCGGTTCTACAATATTGATTGCCACCAACACAAGCTATGATGCTACAACTTCCCAAGATTTCATAGACCTTGGCGCTGAACAATACCCAGAACTCCTATGCTGGCAAACAAAACTGCAAAGCACCCAAGTGAATCCATTGCATGCCCATCTTTTTGAACACCTATCGATCCTACACCCCACCCCCGTCCTCCTCCTCATCATCCCCCAACAGCTCGTCCTCATCCAACTCACCTACACTATACCTTCCCCCCTCGCAAAATCGCCTCTCGTCGAATACGTCCCCACGCGATCATACCTCCCCGCTCCCCCTCCTCGTCCCACCATCCCCATCACGCTCCTCCACGCACTACTCACCACCAAAGGCAGCGCACTAATAACCGCCACGACCGCCGCAGCCGCGACAATCGGATACTTAATCCAAGGCCTCTCCGAATCAAAGACCGCACCCGACGAGCCCCCCGGTCCACTCCCCGGCTCCCCGAGCCTAATCCGCCCGAATTTCCCGTCCCAGTTGTTGTAGACCCAGTATCCGACACCAGAAGCGATGGCGATGGGCAGGATGAAGACCAGGACGAAGAACCAGAAGCCCGAGAGGCCCTTGGCGCGCTGTTCCTTTTCGAAGTCATCCTGGTGGTCTGGACATGAAGATTCGCGGGAGGTATATTCGAGTTCTCTGCCGCCGGAGCAGGTATCGAGGGGTGTACGGCGGTAGCCGGTTGGTGCGAAGTAGGAAATCAGGTCGGGATTGTCGATACATTGTTGGGAGTGGTCGGGTGGGGAGAGGCCGGCGACGAGTTGGCAGGACCCGTCGGTTTGGATTTGGAAATTGTAGTCGCTGAAAGCTGTTAGTGGATTTGTGCATAAGAGAGGGTTGGGGAACATACCATTCGAAATCTTCGCGGGTGCAGGAACAATTTTTGCCGATCGAATGCAATTTCTCAATTTCTGGACCGTTGTAGCAGTTGGAGCCGATCTTCTTCCGGTGATACTGTGCTACATGGCCGAAGAGGCAGTTGTCTTCTTGCAGCGGGTGTCTTGGCTCCCAAAGGTCATAGTCGCCTTCGTCAGGATTATTTTCGTCCAGTTCACAGAGCCTGTCGGTAAGTCCAGTGAAATCCAAGTTGATGCTCGTTGCTTCGCCTTTACCTTCGGAACCACTCCACAATATGAAATTTCGAGAGGTATCTGAAGGCACGGTAGAAAGCCTTGCGATAGAGTACTCCTTATCAGCGAATTGGTATTCTATCCAGGTGTTGCCTTCGTCCAGAGAATAGTAAACGATCTTCGTGGGTCGCTCATCCTCCACAATGACGATGATGGAACCTTGGTCACCGTAAGCCCACTTGTAAGTGCCTTTCTTAATGTTTTGCCATGAGATTCCACCGTCACGGCTCAAAAAAGTATCGCCATCCGCTTTCGAGATGAGTTCGTCCCCAACATTGCCTACACCGATCACCAGTCCAATTGCTGACGCGGAGGACAGTAAAGCACGCCTGTCTTGTCTTTCAGTATAGCTATGGAGGTGAAGGGAGCATTTTGGTGTGTTAGACACATCACAATCAAAGCTTTTGCCATCAACATCGGCCTCAGGAGCTTTGATAGGGGCCCATTGAGCACCGTCATTATGAGTAATGACAGTTTGTAACGTTTTCGGCTTGCCAGCATCTGCATCCGCCATGTTCGTGACGGTATTCGCAACCATAACACCTTCGAGGATGTCGAGCTTGTCAAAGTCCACGTAGCCAAATGTGTTTCTATTGACACCTTCCAAGCTCATTACATAAGATGTCCCATTGCTGTTACTTTTGATAATCGCGCCATATTCAGAGCCTTCAATATTGTTGACTGTGACGTGTAGGAAAACTGCGTGAGTCTTGCTTTCAAGAACTGTGTATGCTTTCTCCGTAGGAACGTCAAAGCTAGGTGGGAATTGAGCGTGCGCAAAGGTCTTGCCATCAACGCTTGTGTGGCACGATAATGCATCGCGATTGTCTTCCTTTCGTGCGGCAACGACGATGAATTCAGACATGGTGGCGAAATCGATAATGTCACCAAATATCTGATGATCATCGGCAAACCAATTGTTGCTCCACTTCAGCTGTTTCGGTTGGTCTAGCCTTTCTTCCTTGAATTGCTCGCAGTATATCAAGTCCTCATCGTGTTCGCGGCCTTCTGAGTCAATGAATTGACACTTCTTCACATATCGAAGCTGATGGTCCCATGCACCACCTCTGTCTTTGCTGAAGTAGGCCACGTTATGGCACTGGCCGCCTTTGCCCTCACAGTCTTTTTGTCCGGTCCAGATGAGCCAGTCTTTGTATCTTGGGTGGAAGCTCAGGACTGGAAGTTTGGCTTGATCTCTAGTCGGGACCTCCGGAGCTTTGAATTGACCAAAGTTTGCGCCCCTGTTGTAAGTATAATGGACTTTCTTACCCTCTGTCAAGAAGAAAGCCACATCATTTCTGTAAGTATGCGGATAGATGACTGCAATTTTATCTTCTTTAAATATCTGCTTCCAAGATTTGCCGGCGTCTCTCGTGATCCAGACATCTCCATCCGTGGTGAGGGCGACCACTGTCTCATCGTCATCATTACTTGCATCAGTCCTTTCAAGATAATGGTACTCTGCGATACCGCCAGATGACTCGAAAGTATGGATCTTTGAAATGATATCGCCGCTGGCTGGTGGCCTGATGGTCTCTCCACAATCTCTTTCTTCTTCCTTTTCCATATCGACCGCATCTTTGCCTTTGGGATCGCATCTATTGCCTGGAATCAGTCGAAAGCCAGATGACCCCTTGAATGTCTTGTCTCCATCTTTGCACTGGTCGTCCGGCGCAGTCAAGGCCGTCGAAGGTACGCATTTTGTCCCATCTTCGCTGCGCAAAAAGTTGTAATCGCACTCGAAATCTTCCTCCGTGCAAGCGCATGGCTTGAATTCAGGCTGAGGATCTTCGAATTCTTTGTCCACAAAGCATTCTGCATCGGGCTTGCGCCTTCTGTACAGTTGCTGACTTCCCATTATACAAATGGGCTTCCCTTTATCGTCAACACGCGCATCCCATAATTCGAAATCACCCTCGCCGCATTTGCCACCCTTGTGATAATCAGAGAAATCGATCGAGAACGAGTAGTATTCCGAGTCAGGCCCTTCGCCAACTGCGGCGAGAAGGAAGAACTTCAGGCTTGTTGAATCAGGTGTCGTAGTCAGAACTTTGGCTGTGACCTTTTCACTTACATCGAGATCTGTTTTCTTCCAGCTCCTGCCGTGGTCAATCGAGTATTGAATCTCATTCGTAGGCCCTTCATCGTAGATAGCAACTAGCACAGCTCCTCTGTCACCAAACTCGTACTTATGTGCGTTCTTCAGCCCTCTCGACCATGTGAGACCAGCATTGTCAGAAACGTAAAGATCTCCGTCCTCATATTGCTTTAGGAATTTTCCTGTGTTGCCGATTCCCATCACTATGCCAGGTGCTGGGCTTGAGAATACTCTTCCCATATTTGAGATATCGGTGACGGAGTGCAGATGTATGTCATCTCCGTCTGCGGTAATCTTCTCAAATGTTCGTCCGTCATCGAAACTGATCTTGCTTTTGACCTTCTTCTCGCTCAACGGGCTATCTACAATGTCCTCCCAATTATCCACAACATTGACCAAGACGACCCCCTGAATGCCTGCCACTTTTTCAAAATCCACAGAGCCCTTGAAGTTCCGATTCGTATGCTCGATGTTTTGTGTAAAATACGTCCCATTAGAATTACTTGTAAACATGACTCCCATCGCATTCAATGGGCTCGGTGTAGTCATTACATCAACTTGAATTGAGTAATTCGTGCTCTCGAGAATCGTATACGCGTCCTCTTCTAGCCGGTGGTCTTTTGGGAAAATTGCGCGATGCCATTGTTTTGCGTCGTCCGTCACATAAAGCGCCAGCTCGTCCGTCTTTTTTGCGCTGGCCGCCGCAACCAGGAACCCTTTTACTGGCGCCATATTCACAATGCCTTGAACTGTTCTCCCAGCTTGCAGTATGGGCTCCTCCTCGTTCTCGAAGAAGTCATCACTCACAACCAAGCGATTGTCCCTTGAGCTGAATGGAAAACTGATGAAACGTCCCTGTACTACGCAAACGATCCTGTCGTCATTGTCGGTCCCTTTATCTTGGTCGTCTTCGGGATCCGCTATGAAATTGCTTCCCCACTCAGGTGTACTTCTGGCCCACGTGCACCCACGAGTTTGCTCTCTCAAGCTCCTAGCCTCGGTCTCAAACCCATCGAGCGTGTAAAGCGCGACTTCATCACATAAAAATATACTCGTGCAGATGTTGATGATCACTTTATTCGAATCGCCAGCATGAAAAGAGAACGGCGGCCTCCCTGACCTTCGGGGCGCCCCCCGTATTTCGAAAGAACGCCAAGTCTCTCCCCGGTCGCTCGTCACGTAGTGCTCGGAGCCATGTTGTGCCCAAACATAGGCTGTAGAATCCTCATAAGGATGTAGGTAAAGCTCGTAGGCGGAGTTTTCTGGGATGCCTGGGGCTGGAGCGAACGAAGCGCCAGCATCAGCGGAGCGAAGAACGGTGCCACCCATTGTGAGGATTAATATGACGTCGGAATCAGTGAAGTAGAAGGGGGCTTCGGCCGGCTGTACCTCGAATTTGTGAGAGGTAATTGTGGGGGCATCTTTCTTGTCATCGGTTGCGCTGGCAATTGAGGCATGGAGAAGGGTCTGTAGTATCAGGAACAGGAGAAAAGTGAGGGAGAGTGCAGGGTGTGAGGTTTTTGGATGATGCCTTATTATCATCATGGCATCTGTACAAATGAAAGGAGCAAGAAGCTATCAGGCCTTGCGTTGAGGTGTTGTTCAAAGGCAAGAACTGTGGCAACGTAGCCAAGTTTCACGGTTTAAGGCCGCCGTAGGAAGGCTTACTCCATTCGGTCTTGGCGTGTCACAGCTGCGTTTGGAAAAAAGGGTGCGACCACAGGCCATCAGGTACATTACAGATTCCTTTCCATGGAATCAGACGTAGTCGGATTCTACCCTTTGCACCCGAAGACAAAAGGCACGTGTCACTTGACTGGTAGAATTGAAAATTTATATGAAGAGACCAGTCTCAATATCATTACTCTGAAGTGAGGGGTGCCCAGGCACGTTGCTCCATACTATCAACCAGTCACACAATCCTATCACTCTCACAATCCGAGGAAAAGGATATGTATGATGCCTACAATGACTCAATAATATCTTCGCTTCCAAATATATCCAGCGCTATGCTCATCATATCAAGGAGAATCGTGAATCATATCTGACGTTGAATAAAGGTGCTCAGCGAGTGTGTGCGTGTGTCGCTTATTACTCCTGTGATGCAAAAGCGTTGGCGCTCTGGATGTATCGGGGAATCGTATGTCCAATGAAGGATGCTCCAATCTAGATTCGAAGAGTTCCTGACCCATAATCATGCATAATGTTTTCGTATCCGCAATCAAAGAACCTTAACTTCCATCGCTAAAGAAGATATAATCAGGCAAGGAGAGGGGTATCTTTAAAGGAGGGACAACAAAGCCTGTCAAGAAAAGAGCCGTAGTGATTAAGAGGCGTCGAGACCGTTGGGGATGATCATTCCTCGTCGTCTGCATCCTCATCGTCGTCTCCATCTTCGTCATCGTCATCGGGACTAGAACTCTTCTTGTTCGAATCGCCTTTGATCTTCTTTGCTGGTGTGTCTTCGTCATCATCCCCAGCTTTCCTCTTCGACCCTGTCTTAGGCGTTTTATTCTCCGCTGGCGAATTTGCTTCGGGCTTTGGTAAATTGCTTGCATATTTTTGTAGCTCTCCACCTTCGCCTTTCTCTATGGCAGAAACCTCTTCTGCAGTCAAAAACCTTCCACCTGGTCCCCGGGGTCTCCTCATCGCATGTTTATGTCTTGACTCGTGCAGGTATGGCTTTCTGCCTTTGGAAGTAAGCCGCAAGGCTTCTTCCAACTTCTGCCTTGCAACCCGCCTTTTGAGGATGCGGTGGAACTGTTTGGCATTCACGTATAGTGGAGCTTCTTCGACAGCTGCTGGCGCCGTGTCAGGCGACGGCTGATGTGGTGCAGGCGGAGGCATCTGAGGTGGGACAGAACCTCGTGGGGGCATGTGGTTCAACAGGACTGAGTTCGAATTCTGCGTATGTGGGCTGCTGACATGGTGGGCCATTTGACTCTGAGACATTCGATGATTGTGCTGGACTTGGGAGGGGAGTGATCCCATTTGATTCTGCATTTGTGTTGGTGACCTCCGTTGAACCTCATTTTTGATTCCCATGGTCGCCATTCGTGGCGATCCCTGCGCCATCGATGTTTGTGGTAGGTATTGATAGCTGTTACCGGCGGCTGCCGCGGTAGCCATGGCCGCTGCGTTTTGCATATTTGGTTGTGGCACGGCGTATGCTTGAGGGTAATTCAGGGCGTGGTTTGGTTGACTGCCAGGCTGAGGTGGATAGGAATAGTTGCCACCTTGTGATGGTAGGACAGGGGATGCTTGATTTGGATGCTGCTGGTGCATTTGCTGGGGTTGATTGGGCGGGGACGTAATTGTTGACGGTCCTTGGTTCTGTTGCGCATTCGTAAACGCGGCTTGCATGTGCGGCGCGTGTGGATGCTGGCCATAATGAGGAGGTTGAGGCTGCGCGTAGTCCATCATTGATAGATCTGGCTTGCTGCGGTAAAGAAGGTTGGATTATCCTCAATTCGCCGATGGCGTCTGTCTCCACGAGCGACCTATGCAAGACGTGAGAATGGGATAGGTTGGAAGGTGGTGCCCTCGGCACGCTTAATTTGGGACGTGTCGTACTTGGGCGATGCCAGGAGGGTTTCTGCTTGTGTGATTGGGACGAGGCAGAGATCCAGTGAAGATACCTTCACGGCGGGGTTAGCCGGCTGCGAGTATTGGGCAAGATTCTATGCGCCGGCCTGCAGCCCAGTGTCATTAGTCTCGGCACGCGAAATGACAAATGATTGGACGTGGGACATACTCACCGGATTGCGACAGAGGAATTTCTTGGGCCAGCAGGTCGAAATAAATTGAATCAAATTGTCTGGTCCAAAAAGCTTTCTTTTGAACTGTTTGCGCTGCACAACGCCTCCGTTCTCGTGAGGCTTCTAGTTCAAGGCGAGATCCGTTGGGTGTCAGTGCAGTGTGCTGGCGTCACTACGCATGTGCTGTCACCGGAGTGGGTAATCCAGGCTCCCGCCACAGAGGATTTTTGCTGGATAGCGTGTGCTCTTGTACTCTTAGTACTCTTACTCGCGATTTCCCTACGCCAGTCTCCCAAGAGAAACTTTGTAAGGGAGCGGTCTGGGTGACGGTCCTGTTCTATTCACGTATGTTTGAGGCGGTGCTGGTGTGCCAAGTTGCCAGAGGGCTGATACAGAGTTTGGTCGCCACGAATGGGCGCTGTGGAGCAGTCCGGATTCGATTTAGGAAGGGAGGAGAGCTAGGTAGGCAAGGTGCGGCTTCACGTTGCTGTGGTAAGAGAAGCCTAGAGAGCGTTAGTCCTAGAGGACATGGATGATTAATGAAAGGGAAAGAATCAATTGGAAGAGGGGGTGATAGGGTTGGGGGAAGATGGCAAAAAGGCGGTAACGAATGGATGTGTTGGCATTGCATACCGCGCTAGGAGACTCTGACGAAGTCGTACCTTCGGCAATCCACAGCCAAAAAGAGTCGAAAGTCGGCTTCTTGCCTCGTATGAACGCTTTCGCAATTGTCTGGATTTGAGGTTGCAGATGTCCGTTTTCGAGGCTGGAGTCTCAGAGTGGTTTCGAATTGTATATGTATCGGGCAGGGCTGGACAGGCGCGTAGCTCTGGATTTGTTTGGGCGAAAAGTTGTCTGAAGTGCCAGCAGCGCTTAGCACAGGTCGGCCGTGGGGTTTTATCGGCCTGGTGTCGGGTAAGGGGTAGTCGCTGAGCAAAGAAGTGCTGTTGACCTTATGCGATAGCCGGGTGAGACGAGTTTCTCAGCTGTAGAGGCTGCTGGACAGCGCGCTCGACTGGCGAGAGCTTGCGAGGGAAGTAGAACGATTAGTGAGCGTCACTATCATGGATAGTCGCGTTCGACTACAACAACAACAACAACAACAACAATGCTCCTTGTTGCCCTTCTCTTGATGCACGCCTTTGTCAGTAATGTGGGGCACTGAATGAGTAACAGATTCGTTGGAATCGTGAAACAGGCTGTGATTGTCAATTGAGCGATCTTACTGGTCGAAGCTGCAGCTGGCGATGCCCACAGAGTCGGGTCGTCCACAATCAGGTGACTTTGTCGCAATGTGCGTTTCTTCCCCGAATCAGGACACGATATTTGATGCTTCTGCCCTGGTGATAGCAGGGCAGCGATAGGCCTCACTGTCGCGGTGCAGTAGATCAGCCGGTGAGTCTGGGGCCTCAATTGGACAGGAAGGTCAAGGCTCGAGGCTTGTTCCTTAAAATGGGTTGATGATTGGAGGAGGAAGAGAACCAATATGAGACTGCAACGGGGGGCTGGTTGTTTATTAGTGGCAAGCGTGTCAATGGTGCACCAGATTTTGCACCAGGAGTCTCGTGGAGCCCGATCCGATTCCGTGGTACGCCGCGGGGAACACGCACCCCCTCGACCCTTTTTGTTGATTTTACTTTTTTCTTTCGCGCGTAGGCCAATCATAAAATTGATGGCAGGAAATCGTTGGAAAGTGTATCGGTGATTGGGTCCGAGGCTGGAAAAATCACGAAATCATACGCGTATTAAGAAAAAATCCACAGATCTTGGACGATTGCAATATAACAGCAAATGCATCACCAGATCATGCCCCAGAAGCCCCCTCTTGGGCGGCTGAAAGGGTCAGGAAGAAATGAGGAGGCGTCACAGGAGAGCCATTGCGGCAGGGATCATCGGGGGTAAAGAAATGACGCTGAGGAAATGGCTGGGGCCTGGCTCGAGTAATCAGCCAGAGGGGAAAATCACGCATTAATATTTTGGGACGATTCTTCTTTGCTGCCTTCAGATGTCCGCGCCGCTCCACCTCCAGGCACATTCACCTAATGAAAGTTTCTCCACCGCTTAGGTCTCTGCTACGCCGGCTGAGCACCAGACACAGCTCTACCAGCCCTATCTCCAACGAGGAGGATACCGTAGCTTTGACTGGCGCAAGATCTTCTAAAGCCTCCAATGCAAGTCATCCCCGAAGGCGATAGCCGCTTGGGACGGTCGCAAGGCGGCGAGCTACTTTTTAGCATTGACATTTGACATGGGGGGGCCATCCTCACTTCGTCACACCTTCATCCCATTGGAACCCTGAGAAAAGACAGCAATATCAATAGCCGCCAGTTTGAAGGACCATGATGAAATTACTCTGACAATTTGGGATCTTCAAAGCACCTCGATCGTCAGCTAACCCTTAGCTTACATATGTGGAGGAGGTGCGAATGCCCCCCACCCCACCCTCCTACCATGCATGAACACAACAATAATCGCCGACAGAACGATGACAGCATGAGCAACCCGTCACTTGCCGCGTACGTGCGGCGCTATGCTCTCAGTTTGCACTCTGTTTTGGTGCCAGAATGTTTTCAGGCTAAAGACGTAACGAGCAACGCCGGCGTCTACCGGCGTCTTCACAAACGTTGACAGACTATATCCCATCATATGAAACAAGCTCAATTTGCTTCACTCATATTGAGACATCCAATCAATAATGTGAGCCTCGCCAAGAGCGCTGCAGAGGTACGTACCGACGGGGAAGATAGTGGATCCGGGGATTTGTTGCTCGAATGAATGGAGTCATGCTGGAGCCATCGCCCCGATGCATCATGCACAACATACTCCACGGTAAGATCCCCAGCCTGTCGTTTGCGCGATTTTGCTGCAGCAAAGTCTTCTCGTATACTTGGACAAACGTGGCCAGGAGAAGTAAGCCCGTTTGAGAAACGGTCGCGTACGTCCAAGTTGGAGCGTTGACTGCACCAAATGACGCTTGCCGACATGATCCATGCAAAAGACGCTGCTCAATCGTAATCAACGTCTAATTGCGTCCCTGGCCCTTATCAAGGACAAGAAAGTAAGTCATACGACGAGCGCAGCAAAGTACGAGAAAAGCAAAAGCTCGCACCACTCCAAGATGTAACTAGAGCCTTAAAAGAGCAAAGAGAAAGCTCTCAAACAAATCACGAGCAGCCCCAAAGCTCGGGCCACATTCAAGCTCCGCAACAATACGCTTGAAGCGTTCAGAAAGCGAGACAAATCCTCCAGACCGCATCGTCGAACATTCTACGCTAGCTCTCGCAATGCTCGCGCTTGACTGCCCTGATTTTGTGGGAGAAGCGAAGGGGAAAGACAACAACCAACACTGGCGCCTATCACGTAGACCTTGCACGAATGAGGACTTGGTGCAAGCGAAGGAGCTCGTATATCTATTGCCGCGGTGTATATCCCTCTCAATGCTCGCAAAAGGACAGACGTGCCTGAGGCAGGTAGGGTTGCTTGCGTTTTGTTTTCTTGTGATGTTACCCACCATATATCATACGCATATGAGTGATGACCGCTGTCAAATTATCTTGGCCTACCGTATCGTCAAAAATTTGAATGGATATCATTTGACTTTGATCTACGAATGACATTTTTGTGCTTGAAACGTTTCTTTCCTTGAACAAGTGATGGATGTAAGGATAGCCAAATCCTATTGCGAACCGATCTTCAACAGGTTTATAACGCGTTCCTGAACAACATACAAACGTCTGCGAGGTACAGGAAACTGATTGCCTACACCTTAATTGATGATTGAATTCGCAAGCTCTTTGAGCCTTCTCTTCCCAAAGGATAAACCTGCAGGTTCCTTGGGGTTGAAGGCGTCCCACTGTTCATGGAATATGCAAAGGAGGTACAACGCCTGGGAGCCCACACTGTTCTACGAAGCAACGCGAACGCCATTGTAGCCAAGCATTAAATGTTTCTTTCGATGGAAGCAAAAAAATCTTGTATCTGTCATTCTTGCACCATTTGAGGATACTAATCCGACCACCCGCGTCAGAAGCTGCAGGGCCATCCCCCATTAGAAGAACGATACGTATGGCTTGACCGTTTAATTATACCTTACCGCTATGCTATCTAGACACCATTGCTGCAGAATCTCTATCCAGCAACACCAGCCATGACGCAATTGTCCGCATCAAGTATGCCTAAGAATTATACCCCCTCCTTCGATCGCACGCCATGCCCCCCTGTCTCCCGTATCATCATGAACTCATAAATCAATCAACCCGATCCCAATCCCACAGAAAGCACTAGTCCCCCCTAATCCGCCAGCACCATCCTCAACATGGCCAGAAACCCCTCCCTCAACCCTTCCAGTTCTTTCACCTCCGGCTTCACCGGCTCCCCCGCCGTCCGCTTCAATTTCTCCACAACCCTCGCTCGCCTCCGTCGCTCACTCGCAATGGGATCATCTCCACCTCCCCCGTCCTCCACATCGCTATCCCCATCTCCACTCTCACTACCACTCTCGTTCAAATCTGCTACATCCTGTTCATGCAGCCCAAAATCGCTCGTCTTGAATGTGCCTGCCCCGGGGGGTAAGGGGGAGCCATTTGCAGCGGCACCGTTGAGGCCCGGGGTACCAGCCGTTGCCATCTTCTGCCTTGTTTTGTCCTGATGCCATTTCTTCCTCTCTTCCTGCCATTTGATCAACGCGTCTATTTCCTGTATAGCCTTCTGTTTATCAATTTTCTTCATGTCTACAGCGCCTTGGAAGAGGGCGTTCATGTCCAGTTTCCCGCCTTTAGGACCATGACGTAGAAACTCGAGGATACCTTCTAACCAACCCATCAAAGCCGTGAAGAGCCCATTATCGTGAACGTGCACTTCGTGAACGAATTTGTAGAAATTATCCTGGTGGCGGGCGCAGAGGTCGATGAAGCTTTGGACTGTCTGGTTAGGATCAGCGCTTACATCCTGCCGTTGAGCAGTATCTAGCACAGAGAATGTGTCGTCTGCAAAAGCCGCGAAGTCTGTGACGCTACTGTACACGTTCGCAGATTTGTAGACGCGGACAAGCGGTTCGTAGAAGATGGTGAAGAGATCGCGGAAGAGATGCAGAGTCACAGGTTCTTGTATCACGGATAGCATCTGCGCCTTGTCACGCTTGCGAGTGTAAAGTTTGAGGAGTTGTTTTAGCTGGGAGAAGAGGAGTGCGCCGGATTTCATCTCGTCGTCGACGTGCTCGACGGTGTGGTTCCAGGCTACGTAAGCGTTGAATACTTGGCCTACTTGGTCAGAGGTAAGTTCAGGGGGGATACGCTCGGACCGAAGAATGGCGACAATGAGGTCGGTGTCTTCGGCATGGGCGGAGTCGCGGAGCTCGTTTTTGACCTCTTCGTCGGAGTTGCAGAACGTTTCGAGTTTTTGACAGAATATTGGGTGGTTGATCTTTTGTTGGAGAGTGTCTATGGTTCTCTGCAATGTCCGAATGCCGTCGTTAATAGCTAGGCCAAAGACTCGCTGGGCAAGAGATCTTGTTCCAAATGGTTGGGCAAGAAACAAGTCCAAGACCCCGGACATGACGGCTGCTGGATTAGCGAATCGGATCACCTGCTTCAACGTCGTATACGGTATCATTGAATGTATTCGTTTAGCTTGAGCAAGGAGTTCTGGAGAATTGTCCTCGGCGAGGAAAAGATGATAAATCGTTGCGGCAACCCTTAGCAAAGCATTAGCTGATGAGGAGATAGGGCTTCTTCTCTCACTTACTCAATACGAAGCCATTCCGCAAATTTCTGATATTCTAAGCTAAGATCTGCGATAGTTTGCTTCTCCTTGATCTCTGCGAAAAGTTTGGTGAGACCGTCTGCTTCGCGTTAGTAATGTATTTCTGATCTTTCCGAATTTGCATACTGCTCTCTACAACATCCCTTCGAAACCGTTCCATGTACACGTCAAGCTCTCTTGCACGCTCTCGTGCGATCTCATAAAAACGCTTTTGTTCCTCTATCCGCTTCTCGTCCATTTCCTTTCTGCGTTTCTCGTCGTCTAACTCTTCAGCGTTAAGTTTGATTGGGCTAAGAGTCAAAAATTCTGTCATGGTCTTGGAGTCGGCGATCTGCTTGTTCTGAAGGAAGGTCCTCAGGAAGGCCCTCAAAGAGACCCTCTGGCTTTCTCGATATAGCGTGACTTTTGGAGAGAATTCACCTGATGATCGGGCGGACGTATTCGAGTGCACGGAGAGCGATCTTGCATGGTTTTTGCCTACAAGATGTCGGAGGGAGCTGTTATCTTCGGGAACAGAAAGTTGTGTGTTCTGTGTTGAGACAGATGAAACAGAAGATGCATCGCTATCAGCTTTACCACCAAGTAGACTTGAAGTGGTAGAGCTTTTGTTCTTTCTTGGCAATGGAGGGAGGATTTTCCCAGGAAGTTCGGTCCGCATGGCACGTTGCAGTCGTGTGAAATCGCCATACCTTCGACCAACGTAGATATCTGGCTTTCCGGCTTGCTTCACCTTTAAGATGAACTCCGCGTGCTGATGATATCTGACGGTCCGCTTTATGGAAGTAGTACGCACTGCTGCAATGTTGACATCCCAGCCATTGATGAAGTGGCCTTCAGGTATATTAACGAGTAGTCCCTGCTCGTTTGCTCCCCGGTCCACTACTTCCATTTCCGAAAACCGTATCCTCTCTTCGTAACCAGAAGCTGTGGGTATGCCGGAGACCATCATCAATTCTACCAATTTCTGGGCCTTGATCGCAAGTTTTCGCCGTTTTGTCTCCTCCGAACGGTCTTCCGACGAAGAGATGTGTTTACTGGCAAAAGACTCCAGAAACTACGACATTCAATAAAGGCACTTCCTGCATTTCTCAAGCTTGAACTTACGACTTGGAGCTTGTCTTGCCAGAACTCTTTCTCGCGTGCCTGATCGAGGAAGGGGAAGTTTCTGACATGGTGGACGAATATGTACCGTAGAAGAGGAAGGTCGGAGTCAACAGGTGCAACTTCGCCATATTCGGACCTAAACGGGGCCCCAAACCTCTGGAGAGCAGTTGTCGAAGCGAGCTCCGATATCTCGAACACAACCTGCTGTGAGATGAGCTCGCGTTTGAGATCTGTCTTAAATCAGCCCATGTAACATCCTCAAAGGGCTCGGATCTCAATCACATACAGTGCTCTTGTTTCCCCGTCAATAGGTGACCGGTTGAAGGCTGAGAAGGGGCATTGCTGGTCTTTGGCCGAGAAGGCAATTGGGCCATCTGTGGCTGCTTACTCTTACTCGAATCGTTTGTCTCTTGGGCACCTGAAGACTTGTCCAACAAGGCAGGATCCAGATTGTCAGTCATTTTGACAAGATGTCAGCATGAGTGTCTGTGCACGGAGGATGGCGAACAGTCCATAATGACGACTGGATGTAGTACAGCTGCTATGGAAGATTTGTGCACTCAGCCACCACAAGGTGAGAATTTGCCCAAAAGTCTCGACCAGTTGGGCGGATTCGCGTCCCGCTTATGCTGGTGCCAGGGGTACGTCACGCATAGCTTGGGGTGCCTTAGCTGGCTCACGTAATCCTCCGCAGCCCGAAAGGCGCCCGGAGGCCAAGCCGGGAGATTGTCGCTATAGACGCTATTTGATGCGCTATTGAATTCTCCATGTGTACCTTTACGTCGCCTTTTGGAGCGCGTCGTTGATATTCAAGACATGGGAATTCATTTGCTACACCTCCTATCACCTATAGACCTATGATACTTCACGACTATCGCCAGACACCGAGAAGGCTCAACAGCTCAGGATCGCTGCTCTGTCCTCTCTCCGAATAGATGTCTTTGCTTCGAATGCTGCCTGTCACCTCCAAACACTAAGCCCAATTAATAGCTCCTTTGATGTCGTATATCAGATATCATGGCGGCAGGCAACATCAAGGTGGTGGTGCGCGTGCGGCCTCTCAATGGCCGCGAAATCCAGCGCCAGTCAAAATGTGTGGTGCAGATGAAAGACAATCAGACCATCCTTATTCCTCCTCCCGATGCCGAGGAGCGATTGAGAAAGAGCGGCGGCAAAGGAGCGGATGGCCAGAAGACATTCGCATATGATAAGAGCTATTGGTCTTTCGATCGCAATGACCCCCATTTTGCTGGGCAGGATCACCTCTTCAATGACCTTGGGAAACCGCTCCTTGATAATGCCTTTCAAGGATACAATAACTGTATATTTGCATACGGACAGACAGGTTCGGGAAAATCCTACAGCATGATGGGCTACGGCGAAGAAGCGGGAGTCATACCTAGAATTTGTCAAAGCATGTTTCAAAGAATACTTGAACAACAACGGAATGATGCAAATCTGAAATATACTGTCGAAGTCTCATATCTTGAGATCTACAATGAGCGTGTCAGGGACCTTTTGAACCCTGCAAACAAGGGCAATCTGAGAGTTCGAGAACATCCATCGACTGGACCCTACGTTGAAGACTTAGCAAAGCTTGCAGTGAGGTCATTTGAAGACATAGACCATCTCATGGATGAGGGCAACAAAGCGAGGACGGTAGCTGCGACAAATATGAACGAGACATCCAGCCGCTCACATGCTGTGTTCACCCTCACAGTCACTCAGAAGAGACACGACGTTGAAACCAAGATGGCAGGTGAGAAAGTGTCGAAGATAAGTCTGGTAGACTTAGCAGGATCTGAGCGGCAAACATCGACTGGAGCTACTGGGTCCCGCCTAAAGGAGGGCGCTGAAATCAATCGCTCTCTGTCAACTTTAGGTCGTGTCATCGCGGCTTTGGCGGATCTTTCCACTGGGAAGAAAAAGAACATGTCAATGGTCCCTTATCGTGATTCAGTCTTGACATGGCTTCTGAAGGACTCACTTGGTGGAAACAGTATGACAGCCATGATTGCTGCAATTTCGCCTGCAGACATTAATTTTGAAGAAACTCTGAGCACGCTTCGGTACGCTGACTCTGCTAAGAGAATCAAGAATCATGCTGTCGTGAACGAAGATCCGAATGCTCGAATGATCAGAGAGCTCAAGGAAGAGCTTGCACAACTAAGATCGAAATTGAGCGGAGGAGCTGTGCCCGGCGGAATTGCTCAGGAGCAATACGCTCCAGATACGCCGTTAGACAAGCAGATTGTATCTATCACTCAAGCGGATGGAACCGTCAAGCAGGTATCAAAGGCAGAGATTGCAGAGCAACTGAATCAGTCAGAAAAACTCTATGAAGACCTCAACCAGACCTGGGAGGAAAAGCTCGAAAAGACTGAGAAGATACACAAAGAGCGTGAGGCCGCGCTAGAAGAATTAGGCATTAGCATTGAGAAAGGCTTTGTTGGGGTGTCGACTCCGAAGCGGATGCCCCATCTTGTAAACTTGAGCGATGATCCGCTGCTGGCCGAATGCCTTGTCTACAATATCAAGCCAGGTACTACCCTGGTTGGCAATGTTGAGAACCCCAGTGATCACACTGAGATTAGACTCAATGGCTCGAGGATTCTCAGCGAACATTGCTCATTCGAAAACGAAAACGGACAAGTAACCTTAATACCGAGAGAGGACGCAGCAATCATGGTAAATGGTCAATCTGTTAGCAAACCTTTTAGATTACGAAGCGGAAATCGTATCATATTGGGCGATTTCCATATTTTCCGTTTCAACCATCCTCAAGAAGCCCGAGAGGAAAGGAAGGAACAAAGTCTTTTGAGACACTCCGTCACTGTCAGCCAGCTCGGGTCGCCAGCACAGCGCCCAATGCATAGTCGAATGCAGAGCAAAGTCGATTCAGACATTGAGAGTGACCTAAGTAGACCGGAATCTCCCATGCCACCTAAAAGCAATCGAGAATCAGATTGGTCATTCGCTCGACGTGAAGCAGCTAACGCGATCCTTGGGGCGGACCAAAAGATCACTCATCTCGCTGATGACGAGCTCGATGCTCTGTTTGAAGATGTACAAAGAGCACGAGCCGCGAGGAAAGGTCGCTCAGATTCAAGACTTTTTGGGACTGAGGACGAGGACTCCGAATCCGCAGCCTCTTTCGCTATCAGAGATAAGTACATGTCGAATGGCACACTTGACAATTTTTCACTTGACACAGCTCTCACAATTCCAAGTACACCGCCCCAAAATGGGGTTGAGGCCGCAGAATCGGAGGACGGAAGACTGATATCAATTCGAGAAGATATGCAGGTTCAGCTCGATAAGCAGAAAGAGGAATATGAGGAGAGAATGCGAGTTGCCGAAGTCTCTTCGACAAGTAATGTTGAAGAAATCAAGGCGGAAAAAGAGCGGATGCAGAAGGCTTTGGACGCCGCTAAGGAAGATTTCCGACAGCAACTTGAGCAACAGAAGAAAGCGTTCGCACAGCAGGTGCGGCAAGCTTCGAAATCACCAACACCAAAGAAGCCTCGTGTAACCTTGGATGGTCTTACAGAATTGCCGGAGGATGAGAAAGCCATCATCAGGACATACTCCACACGATGGCGACAGATCGGATATGTTCGACTCTTGGAAGCTATCTTAAGACATGCGGCGACTCTCAAAGAGGCACAGATTCTGAGTCAAGTGATGGACAAGCATGTAGTATTCCAATTCACCATTGTTGGCGAGGGACAGGACACCTGCTCTTCGTATGATCTGGTCTTGAGTGACATTTCAGGTGATGAAGATCCCGCTCTCGAAGCAGCCGCGAAGCCTTGCATCGCGGTTCGTGTCATGGACTACCAACACAACGTTGTCCATTTATGGTCTCTGGAAAAGCTTGAGCAGCGACTACGAACCATGAGACAAATGCATCAATACCTTGAAAAGCCCGACTACCTTCAACACTTCCGGCTGGAGAATCCATTCGTGGAAGCGGCTCTACCACAATTCTCGCTTATAGGTGAAGCTAATATTCCCCTCACTGCTGTTTTCGAGGCTCGCGTGCAGGACTATGCAGTGGAGGTCTTTTCAATGTACACAATGCAGGCTATTGGTGTCATAAGGCTGTCATTAGAGCCTTCCTCCGCGCAGGCTCCTTCGTCAATGCTGAAATTCAACGTCGTTATGCACAACATGGTTGGATTTGCAGAGCGTGAAGGGAGCGAGATACATGGTCAGATGTCCGTTCCAGGCATCAGCCAGGATGGCGGTGCCACCACAACTCAGATAATTAGAGACTTCGACGAGGACCCTATCCGCTTTGAGAGCGTCCATAGCATGAGTCTGCCACGTAATGCCTCTCGGGATGCTGTGCTTCGAGTTGCGTTCTACTCAAGGGTGACTACAATGCACCTTGATAAGCTTCTGAGTTGGGATGAAATTCAAGAGACAGAACAATCCGTGGGCGAGAAGAATGTCCAAACACCTCGGCTATCGGAGACAGAGTATTGGATGCAGGAAGAGCATGACGTCTACGCAAAGATCAAGATCCTTGAGATGTCTGAGACGGGCGAGTATCTCCCCGTAGAAATCGAACAGCAGAGCAATCTGGACCCAGGAACGTACCAGCTCCACCAAGGCTTGCAACGTCGTATCATGCTCAACATTAATTGCTCATCAAGTGAGTCACTCAAGTGGAACGATATCAAGTCACTCCGTGTCGGCGACGTCAAGCTAGTGGATCCTAGTGGATCAATTCCTGACCAGCCAGAATCAAGTCAACCTGTCACTCTTAGGCTTGTCCAAGACCCCAAGACTGTTGAGGATGGAAGTGGGATCAAGGAAATCACAGTTGTCGGGCAGTGGGACTCAAGTCTACACGGTTCCTCTTTACTCGATCGAACCTCGCCAGAGCGCCACTCAGTGATGATCTCAATCAAACTCGACATCGCCTCCACACGTGTTGCAGCTCCAATGACGTTCACAATCCAGCAAAACCTACAGGTACATTCGCGATCATGGCTTCGCCCCCAGTCAATGTTCAAGCAGCTTTGGAAAAAAACTAGGATCATTCACTACACCTCAGCCATCTTCTCAGTAGTTCTAAAACCAGCACCCACAAAGCGCGCAGCAGACGTTTGGCGAATGGACAGTCAAAATACCTACGTGAAAGGCGAAGAGAGTCTTGCACACTGGCAACCGAGAGGCATCAGCCTTGTAAAAGATCTCGCCCGTTTCCAGCGAGCTCGACGACGGCAGACCGAAGTAGAAGCAACCAAAATATTCCTCCGGCGGCATAACCATCCCTCACAAAAGCTTACAAACGGGTTTTCAAAGCCCACTGAATCTGGACTTGAGCCTCACCAAGAGCGCCTCCTCCAGAAATCCCTCACCCTCTGGACCACGGCCTCGGCCTGCTCCCCTCCTGATCTCTCCCTCTCAACCAGCACACTCCGCCCTCTCTCCCCTACCGCCACATCTAAATCCACCGCAAACGGCATCAGCTGCGCCTCTTCCTCCCCCACATCTCCCCGCCCTCCAGCCAAACCCGCTCTAACGGCCACCATAACCCCTGCTCCGAAGAACCCCCGCCTCCTCAAGGCCGCTTTCCTTCTTACACCCACCACCACCCCCTCCGCCCACTCAATAACCACCACAAACCCCCACACCAAGACCTCGATCACCTGGCTCCGCCACTTCGCCGAGCTCCGCCCCCCTTACCTCCACCTCTACTCCGTGCCCTCGGGCGAAGAAGCCGCAACCATAAACCTCAGAAACGCAAGGATCGACATCGAGCCCGTCATTCAGCGTCTCCTGGACCCTGTCATCGACGCTACAGGCAACGTATCCAATAAGAGCCCCGCGAGCGGTGGGAAGGGCGGGAAACACAATATTTTCGCCGTGTACGCGAGGGGCAGTAGTTGGGTTTTCGCAGCGCGGTCGGAGGAGGAGAAGGCCAGGTGGGTGGGGGCATTTGATGAGGCATTTCTAGGCTGGGAAGCGGCGGCTGATGAGCGATAAATCGCAGATAGTGACTCTTTTGGTTTTTGGAGGGAGGGAAGAAACGGCGTTTGTATTCTATGGTTGATTGGCGATGATACCCCCAGATTTTATACCTCGAGCTTCTATGCAAGCGTCGAGCGCTGCAATTGCGACATTTTTTTGAATATAGCGGACTCGAGGTTGTCCTTCGTTTCTAGGCGTGACTATCTTAGCAGACCCAATTGGGCGGACTGTGCCTCGTTTGAAGACGACATGTGCAGTGCGTTTACAGGAGAAACCTCGACAGCCTTGAAAATGAAGGAAATGCTGCAATCACGAGCTATCTCAATACCTCGCCCCAAGTCCTTCCTTAAATGTCCTCTTTCTACGCCTCTCTTATGATCATACGAAAAGAAATGACATGCATACCCAGGTCTGACCCCCTGAAGGCGCAAGTCTCCACACTTACTACCCGGCTCTCCCCTCCCAAAAAGCCATGATATGATATCGAGGCTTATGTCCACGACATATGGTCCACATGAGCCAGAAATTAGTGTGTAGGTGCGGTATGATATCTGTATCAGGAAAATCAAGTTTGGTCAGGTTCCAAGAATTTTTGCGCGCGGGGGGATTTTTTGGGCTAAATGAGGAAATAGCTCTTCGGGTTGACAATAAATGCATACACTTATGACTCAGACTGCAGGTCCAAGCTCATGAGTGAGAAAAGTGGGCAGTAACGCGAAAGAAGACGAGGTGACAAGATGTAAAGTAAAAGAGCATGAGATATCTTCATTTAGACTCTGCCGCCCTGCTATTCCATTCGTAATATACAATCCGATCTGCCGCTACATTGCCCAGCCTCGCCCGGGTCAGCTCATGAGGCCCCTTCCCACCCTCCTTCCTGCCTCTGGCATAAAAAAGTCAGAAAAGATAGATGTATACAAGGAACATAGAAGTAGTAAACTCCGACAGCGCCAATCGCTCGCTCGCTAACTCTCATCGTACATATCGCGTATCAAATCCAGTAAGTAAAGTAAAATAAAGTAGGGTTCCCCTTCGAACAATCCATCCATCCAGGCAGTTCTTACGTTGCACTGAAGCAAAATCGAAGTATATTTAGAGGAGTATATTGTTTGTAGTCGTAAGTGGGGTGGGTTGTTGGGGTATCTGTTTGTGCTTTGCAAACGTTACATTCATTCCTTGAGTCGTGGAAAGCTCTTGTTTGTGGGCGTTGATGTCATCTGAATGGGTAGTCCAAGATCATCTTCCTCTTTCTCCTCAGCAGGTGTATGACCTGTAGGCGGGGGTCTCGGCGTAGCATCCATGTCTATTATCTGCACGTTATCCCCCTTCGATTCCGGCGGGAAGCGCTCCGGAGGGGTGAGATGACGCTCTCCACGTAATTTCTCACTTTGTTCAGCAAGAGACATGGGCGGTATGTCGCCAGCCATGTCTATTGAAACGGCCGACGGCGGAGTATCACTGAGTCTCAGACGGCTGATGTCAGTCTCGGCAATAACTACAGCAATCTGATCAGCTCGTTCCTCCTTTGGGTTGGGATGTGGACAATGTGTCGAATCGCTTTCGTCTATGCTGCCGCGACTGTTGGTGCGCATCATCTCGATACCAAGCTTCGAGGACCTCTTGGCCGGATTGGTGATTCGTCGAGGACTACGCGTACGGACTTGAACATGGCCAAGCTCTTCGTCTTCGTCATCGCCACTTTCAGCACACTCGTGTCTGTTTCGTTCAAAGTCCTCCCGCTTGGCCTTGACTGCTTCAGCAGAGCGCTTCTTACGCGGCAGTTGAAGGTCGATTGATGCAGGGGCAGAATTCTGGTGGATTAGGTGGGGTAGGCCAGGGTGGAAGGACTCAATTGGAGGACTTTCGCCCTTGGAATCCTGACCGGGTGGTATAAAGGGTGGTTTGGAGATACCTAGACCCTTGTTTGCAGGCCAATCATCAGAGGGCCGGCCAAGGAGCGAAGGTATATCTTCAGTGTTAGTTGAGTCTGTATCGCCGAAAAAGCTTGACCCTATTGAATGTTCGCGGCTAGAACGCTTACGGAGACCGGGTATGTGGCTAAATGGGCCAGAGGACTGTGAGCTTGGACTATCATCGGAACGGCGAGACTCTTGCCGCAGACCTGAAGGTGTGTTTTGAGGCGGTGTGTGCTGTTGTTGCTCTGCCTTAGCTTGTTGGTTGTAATTCGGAGGGGGCGCCCTCCAGTGGCAAAGATTCTGAAGCACCTCAGTAATCTTATCCACCGTAGCTGGCTTCTCAATCAGCGCATCAAAATGATGGTTTGACGGTAGTTCATTCAGGTAGCCAGTCACTGCGATGATCGGTGTCTGGCTATTCGCACTCTTGGTGTCCCTAATCATTCTTGCCACGTCTGCCCCACTGATTTGCGGTAGCTTAAATTCCATCATGATGATGTCGAATTGCACTTCACTCATTGCGTATCGAGCCGCTTCCGGTCCGTTGGCCACGGTAATAGTCCTGCATTTGAGCTTCTCCAGGAGTCTTTCCATGACTAAGCGTGAGACGGGATGATCTTCACAGATCAAGACGTCGAGCGGCCGGAAAGCTGGCACATCGACTCCAAGAGCGAATTGTGACATTCTTCGGGAGCTCTGTCGTCGTCTTTGAACACGTAACAGCGCCTTAGCACGCGGATCTTCGCCGTCCGACGAAGACGGTGAAATGTCAATGACCTGACTATGACGCTTATTATGCGATACCTGTCGATGTGGAACACTATCGGCGCTTTCTTGAGAGCCAACAGTCTGTGACCTCGCACGTGATGTACTCGGGAGAAACATGCTTTGCGGACGCGAGGAGGCTGGTGTGCCCTTCTCGGGTGAAGAAATAAGCATATTCATGGAATGCCTTGCTGATTTTACCGGTGATGAAGCCACCGAGGTGCCAGCCGTCATAGACTGGCTTATTGGCAGCCTCGGCGGCTCGAAAATATGGCCTGGCTGCAATGAGACACTTGATTGATGGGAGAGAGTAGAAGACGCGCTTGAAGTCTTCCTCCGCTCATGACTTTGTCCTGTCGAGAAAGAGACCAACGGAGAAGATGGCTGAGAGACTCGGTTTGGAGAGGCGCTTGGCTGACTGATACCTGAGGGCGACTTGGGGCGCTTACTGGACAAGCTCCTCTTAATGCTGTTATTGTGTTGGAGTAAAGGACTCCCTTCCAGGGAGGGACCCGTTGCACTTGTAGCAGATGAAACTGCTGTACCAGCGGACTTGGCCTGTTTCTGGGCGGCTTCCACCCGCATCTTTTGGAGCAAATCCTTATTCGCTTTTTCGAGCACTGGCAAATTTTTGAAAGCAAAGCTTCCAAAGTCATCGGTCGCCACAGGTTCGCTAAGTCGTCTACTGCGGCTTTCTCTCACATGAGGAGGGATGTGCAAGGGCATCAGACCGCGCTTTGCAGAATTTACCTGCGACCGAACGCGAGAAAGAGCGTCATGAGGTCGTTCTGCTGCAAGCTCTGCACTCGGGGTCAGAGCGGGCGACGAACCTTGATCCTCCATCTCTTCATTGAAACTTTGGAGGGTGGCGCCTCTTGCATCGAAGTAGTCAGTATCTTCAGGATGTTCGGGTGCTGGTATGAAGGAAGCTTCGTCTTCTAGCAGGGTCTCCCAATTAGTGCCCTCAAACCACGGATGTAGACGTATCTCTTCTCCACCAGAGGAATGTTTCTCTTTGATGTTTGAACCAAGACGCTCTTTTGGATTGACCGTCATTAGCTTCGACATAATATCTTTAGCATCTTCAGAGGTTGGGAATTCCTGATGGCTCGGCCAAGCAATTCTACGCGCAAGGATATTTTCAAACACCTTTTCAGGCGTGTCAGCGTGAAAAGGTGGAATTCCGTAAAGGAACTCGAATAGAATGCAGCCAAGCGACCACCAGTCACTCATTTCGTCCTGGCCGACGCCATTGATCGTCTCAGGTGCTAAATAGTCGGGCGTGCCCACGAATCTTCGGGTTTGGTCCTCTGGATCAAACAGCGCCAGCGGAGGTGGAGGCATTTGGGCTTGGGGCGGAGTGTCGGGCATACCTCGATTCTGGTTACTGATCGTCGGCCGGAGGGCATACAGATCAGGAGAACCGCTGTCACTGTGCGTCTCTTCCTCAATACGCTCACCACGAGATGACGTCTCATCGTTCAGCGAGAAGTTCCTGAACATTGTGCTGAATGTGTCACTGTTGCCGCTGTCACTGCGATAGCCAGATTTCCGACGAGAATGCTCACGACCCAGAATAGTATCACGATTGAGGCTGAAGTACGACGGTTGACCAAGGCCACCAGCAAGATCTGGAGTCATGACTGGTGTTGATTGGGGCGAAGGGCCATTGTTTCCACCAAAGTCAAATGAGGCTGAGCGAGAAGAAGTGATGGACGTAGCTCGAGCAAAAGGTCCATGCTTAAGTAGATCCGGTGTTGATTCACTTGGACTCTTGAGGGCCCGTTTTTGTCTCCCTATCAAACCCATACGTGACAGCCCAAAGTCTGTAAGCTTTAGATGGCCTTTCGGGTCGATGAGAAGGTTGTCCGGTTTAATGTCCCGATGGACGATGCCACGGCTATGCAAATGCTCTATGCCTTGTACAACTTCGGCAATGTATTTCTTCGCCCAATCCTCGGGGAGGCACCCAAGCACTTTCACAAGGGCAGCGCAATCGCCCCCATTCAGATATTCCATCACTAGGAATAGGTAATCTTTACTTGAGAATGTCCAGTATAGCTTCGCAACGAAGTCACTTTCGCCTTGCCACATCATTATGGCACGTTCAGCCTTCACGTTGGTGACCTGATTTTTGGCAACCATGTCAGCTTTGCGCAAGACCTTGATAGCGAAATAGTCGCCAGTGGACTTCTTTTTCGACAAATAGACACTTCCAAAGGCACCTTTACTGATAGGCTTAATGATTTCGAAGTCCTTGATTGAGGTTGATATTGGCCGGTTTGGAGGCTGACTAAGTCCACCCAGCCTTGGTGACGCTGGTGGTCTGTTTGGATCAGCGACAGAGGACGCTGCAGATGACTGGCGGCGGTGCCTTTGTATAGGTATGAGGGGCGAAGAAGCTTCAGTATTAGAAAGAGGAGGAGATGTTATTGGCGACGGGAGAGGGGGCATGGACTCGGGCCTTGAATCATTTCCTAGTGGTATACGTGGCTTAGGCATCCGTAAGGGAGAGGCTGGGGCGACCGAAATCCTTGCTGGAGATGGATTACGGTGGGGGGATGGCATATTCGGCAGCTTCAGGCTCCTTCTTTTCCGTTCGCCTGCGGCGCTTGTCGAACGTGCTACAATCTCTGGAGACTCGGTCCGCCTTGAGCAAATCATTGCAGATCGAGACATGTTCGTGTCACTGTCAGCGGTATCACTTTCGAATAGCATGGAGTGCCTTTTGCTCAGGGAGTCCGATCGACTTAAGGGCTTGCCAAAGACATGAGAACGGGGTGTTGGACATTCCATAGGACTGCTTGATCTTGTCGATGATGCCGCGATCGAAGATTTCCGTTTCTCGAGATGTGACAAAACGGAAGGCGAGTCAGAGTCTCTACGTTGCAACGAAATAGGCGTCGATACCTCCTCACTGTCGTGGGCCATGGCTTCCCCAGCAGGAGCTTGCTCCCCCGATGACGCCTCGTTCTCATTCTCGGACGAAGAATCGCTCAGGTCTCCGGCTTTGATGCTAGACGCTTTCTTAATGGCAGCATCTATGCAGTCCAAGATCAGGTCATTGAATTCCAACCGAATGCGCTCTGTATACTCAAGGATTTCGCGGTAACGAAGGACAGTGTCGACTTTGGCTTGTGCAAGATTCTCAGTATCCCTGATCAGCGCAGCAAGGCCTTGTTCGTCATCAGAAGCAGCAACGCTAGGAGTTTGCCACGCCAAGACTTGCGATGTGCGAGACTCTGACTGCGGGGACTGGCTTCGAAGATTGTTTTCCTCATGTTCCTGTTGTTTGATTGTGGGCATGCTAATATCGAGAGCGGTGTCACAGAGATCCACGAGTAGGGTGACAATCTTTGAGATTGGGCGCCGGACTGCGAACGATTTAGATCTTGAATGAGTCAGTCCCGACACGGAGGGTGACCGTGAGGGGATGGGCGATCCTCTATTCGAGTCTGTGGACGGAGAAGAGTGTGCAGAAGGCCCGATGGACAGTCCCTTGTACTCAGCTCTGGCTATCGGTGGTTGAGTACTAGTCTCACCGGACACAGGTGGGCGACCCTGCCGAGTGTCAGGGTCAAGCGCATCTAGCACCTTCACAATCGCGTGCCGATGCTCTGTGAGCGAATCCTGCGCCGTGGTGACTTCTGATTCCGCCCGATGCTCTTGAGTACATCCCTCTGTGTGCCGCTCAAACCACCAAGGTGTAATCTGCTGTTCACATATGCGGCACATAATTGGCAATGGGGGCGGATGTGATTCAGGGTCGCTGACGCCGGACTCTGCTACTATGGTAAGGTATTGAGCCAACATTTCCGCACCTACACCCAGGGAGTCCACCAGAAGTTCAGGGAGATCAATGGTAACCTCTTTCGGTGGCGAAGACGGTCGGAGCATCCACATTGTCTAGAGTTACGTTAGCCTATGTCTCAGAAGATGTTGTTCTTGTGGGGAGGGATGGGGAGACGGGGCATACATGACTTTCGCCACCAGACGATCGATCATAAACCATAATGCCTTGTCCCTTAAGGTTGATGACTTGCTCTTGCTCCTCGACCTCCACGGTCGCCTCATCGCCCTCTCCAGTCTCGCTTTGCTCTCCTTCATTCGTTCTCAACACCGAGTACGGACCCAAAACCATCTTGAAGCGGATGATCCTGCATTTGGGGTCGTCACTCTTCATCCCTTCTGCAGCGTTCGAGAAAGCATCTTGATTTGTCACACAAAGGTCGGCAATGGGTTTGCCTTTGACATCCTGTGGCAGAGTCCCCACGATATCCTTCCAAGACTGGCTGACCCATCGTATCATCCCATCCAGACCTAGGTCGAGAATCACGTTCAGCGATTGCTCTGCCGCCGTTTTGAGATCTTCTTGCTCGGCTCGCATATCTATGCTCGGCGCTCTCGATAAGGGGGTGCGATGATGGGCGTCATCGGTCTTGAGGGTTGTGACAGAGCGTGGTGTGAGGAACTGTTGGGGAGGCTCGGAGGTGGAGGCCATCTTTTGGTGCAGGCCAGGTTGAACGGGCAGCTGAGGGTGGTGGCCGCCCCGAGGGGCGTCGGTGGTGACAGTCCGAAGTCAGTCACATCAGCGAAGATTGGTGGATGACATCGTTGCAGCACAATGGGACTTCTTTCCTGCGGTTCCGTAACAGACTGGGACGTTCTATGTGGAGAGTAACAGGCGGAATGCTGGCGGGGGATTTTCCATCCGAAGTGGCCGAGTGTACAAAGGAATAGCTGAGTCGCGAAGATGACTCAACGTCACTGAGGGCGAATTCGCAGATTCAATGCTGCCAACAGACGACTGTATTTCCTCCGCGAGCTGAAGAAAATGCCAAAATATAATCTTCTGGAGCGCCCGGTATGGAAGTGTGGCTATGGAAAGTCTTTCCCAGGCCTAAGTTTTAGTACAGTCTGGTGCAGTAGACGCTTCGACGATGAGGGAAACTTTAGACGGCGTGGGAGGGGTCATTTAGTCAAACTTAAACCCGGGCCACTTGGCGGGTTCTGGCAACGACTATTATTCCCTACTACTGCGACCGACAAGAATGTACTCCGTCTGCTTCAGCCCGATCTTGATGTTGGGAGTCACAGTATAGTCTTGGTTGCGGTGGTAAATGACAATGTCCTTAGAACTATGAGGGCAGTCGTCTTCGACATAAGTCCCCCGCGCCCGTTTCCCGCAGTTGAATCCGCCCAACTACATGCACAACCAGTGTTCCGCGATTCCTCCACGTCTGCTATAATTATGTGCGACGTATGCAACGGGCTCCTGATGACCGGGATGCTAAGACAACATCAAGCAGACTTAATCCGCATTGACGAATCCTGGCCCAGCTGGAGGAAGCTATGAAGCTGGCTTACCCGCAAACTACTGCAGAGCGCACATCACTGTCTTAGCCTAGAAATGTGGGGTATACTCACCAGACTCCTTGGGCTGGGAGACGCCTTGTACAATGGTACCGATGTCATGCTGTCTTTCCTTGAGTCGCTTGTAAATTTGTTGCGCATCTGTCGTGGCCATCACGATTGAACCCTTCATCCCACTCCTTGCCTTGGTGGCAGAGGACTCGTGACCCTAACGCGGCGGAAAGAGTCCCCCTTGTGCTCTTGATGCAACTTAGCGGTTATGTTATGGCAATGGTCAACATCCTCCCACTAGCCGAGTCCTTCGTCAGTCAACGAGAAGATAATTTCTAGTGAGAGAGGGAGAGAGAGAAAAATATTATTATTGCTTTTGCAAGCTACGACTTTATGGTAATAAGTAGCCTGCCAAATCTAGTCCCTTCGCAAATACCGCGCTCCTGTATTTAAACCCTCTGCTTCCATCTCATTCTCATGTATAGTCAGATTCCCCGTAGTTCCGACTCATTCCCACCGTCTTCTTTAAGTGGACCAACGTCCACGCTGTCATTATCGTAAATATCGCAAACATCAAAGTCGTTCATGGTGAGGTACGAGAGCTGCATTCTCGTTCCTTGTGACGCGTTGCGTCTGGTGTAGAAGTTATTTAGTCCCTGCATGTATAGCTAAACTGCTTTTGAGAGTTCCGCCAACGCCGCGCAAAAAGGCTTTCATTTCAAACAAATTGCAAGTAATTCTACCCCAATCCAGATTTCTCAAAGGGTGCTCATGACCAAAATGAGCCAACCATTGAAATGCTTCGACGGGATGATCTTGTAGCTCGGACGGTATACCCACTTCTTTGCGATCACCGTTGCCATCCAACGTTCCAAATCACGTGAGCGATATCCCGGGCCGTATTGACTGTGTCCACAATACGACCAAGGATACCGTCTCGTGGGTAGTCGTCTTGGTCGTCGTACGGCATGAACATACCAGACGGCGTTCTCCGTAGGCTAGGATCGTAGGACTCTGGCTCGTCTTCATGATCTTCGGGCTTGATTTCGAGTCCGCCGCGTGGGAAGACACTTCCTCGTCTACCAGCCGATGGCTGCCAATCAAAGTCTATATCATCGTCCTCGTCAGCGAGCAAAAAGTTAGCGGACGGTGAAGAGGGACGGATTGTTTGCAACGATGGCGAAGGCGATATTTTCGGCCGAGTGGGCCATACTGGTCTCTTGTTGGCCAGTTGCTGTATGCCTAGCTCTGGTGTATCGCTGCGGTTTTTGAGGGTCGTTGAAGGCAGCATTGCAATTGTTTTACTCTCACTGCTAAAGCTATTACGAGGTGTGCTGGGCCGGCTGATCTTAGCCTTTGTTGAGGTCTGAACAGGCTGCATTGTCAGAAATTCATCCTCTGAGGACTCATCGCTATCATCAAATGGCACATCAGGACCAGCATGATCTTCATGGTCGCAATTGATAGCGATGCACTGCTCCACTCGATCATTGAAGTGAATGTGACGCCGCATGGAAGGCGTCTGATCACCTGAGGTTGAGGTCGAGGTCGATGCGTTAGAGGAGCTGGGCATTGTGATAGTCCTTGTGAGTGGGGTTTCGGATCCAGAAATCGAGATGAAGTCTGAGACTTTGCGTTCGCCGAGCACAGGCTTTTTCGAAGTGGTCCTTTCAGACTGCTGTGACCGTAGAGCATCCGTAGCTTGCTGCATCAAGGTGGAAGATGAGAGAGATCGTTGTAGCATGATCTCAGATAGGCTCCGTTTTTTCAGTATGGGCTTCTTGGAAGTGAAAGAATTACTTCGGCAAAGCTGACCGGTAGTGTAGGATAGACTTGAGGGCAGGAAAGGTGTGCTCCGTGTCTGGAGTGGGCCATACAGCCAAGTTACATCATGGTCCTTCAACCTATTAAGTATTAGATCAGTCGACTATAAGTATGCTTTTCCTGACATACCAATCGAGGGAGTCGGCGGGAATGAGTTTCAACTTATGTTTAATCATGGCCCATGATCTCCATGAAGCATTTTCCAACCTTTCACTCTGGTTATAAAGGTTCTTGCGCAATCTTATGTGGCGCCAGGATGCCCATAGGTCCTCCTCTTTCCACACATGTGATAGATAGTCAACCTGTCTTGTTGGTTCAGTTCGGATGGCCATGTCATCCCCAGCAGGCTGTTGGGGTTCAGTGGGAGGAGTGTAAACCTCAGCCTTTGGCGATCGTGTCAAAGGCGTAAGGGAAAGGTCCTCGAGACAATCTTCGGGATCAAAGGAATCTTCTTGGTCAAGAAAGTTATTGTCGTCGTATGACGGAAAGCAGATCTCGTCCTCTCCGCTCCTCGAATTATCGTCAAGCGATAGCGTGCTTGAGGGTGTCGATATATAGGAGCTTCGTGCAGAGAAGTCTGGTGGTGCTAATCGTGGCGAGGAAGGAGCGGTAGAAGGTTCGGAATAAGGAAGTCTTGATTCATACCCCCCGGCGGCGTATCTGGGGTTAAAGTAGAGGTTCGGTCTGGAATAAGAAGGACTTTGGAGGAGGAAAGATGATTGAGAGGATGTACGTCGGACTGAGGATCCGAATGCTGGGCCATTGGGCTGTGTAATGGAGAGTACTTGGGTCATATCCTCATATGCCCAGTGAAGGTGCTTTGTTGAACCCCGGCCTTGTAACTACCTCGTTCTCCCCCGCCGGCAAAAATGCCAGATATAAAGCCCAGGTACTGCAACGATGGACCTGACAAAATCATGGAGAACAGAGGAGGACCTAAGGTTGAATGTCTCCAAGGGTGCTGCTAATTTTCAGTGTTGTATGAGATCTGTGGTGGGGTCTGAGATTTCGGCCTCGGAACGCGTACAGCACAAGTGTGATAATTGGGTAGGACACAGTCGGACATACAATGAGTCGAGAGATTGGTGTTGTTGTAGGAACTGCTATCCTGCACAACAAGTGTGAGAGTGTGCGGAGACCCTTATCGCGTGTGGGGAGCAAATGGCGTATTCCTTGATCTTGTCACGGCCAGAACTTCTGAAATGCAACAGCCGATCCGGATCACGCTACTCAGACCCTGCAGGCGGTGTGGTGCAGCAAGGGGATCTCAACGAGGGGTCAATTGAATTGAATCATCGTGCTAGGTGGACGGTCGTAGGAGATGAGGTCGATGACGAGGAGGTTGGAAGAGTGTTGGTTGTGTGTTTTCCATAAGACCCCATATTCCGGTCGACTCGTACGCTCGCGGAAAGGCTTTTTCTTCCTCCACTTTTGCCCCCTCCTTTGGCTTTTCTTCCTTTTTTTGTTCCTTGGGAGCTTCCCACTACCGACCGCACCAGCCCACTAAACTTCAACACTAGGAGAATTATGTTTGCTTAACCCTGCGCAATCGCACACCATGAATAAAATATTAATGAATAAGGATTTGACAGGCCAAAAGAGCCAACCGTTGTGGATCCTATCACCTGCATCGAAAGATTCAAATCACTGTCTTCGCACAATGGCGATTGTAGAAGCAACACATTCGGAGGGCCAAGAATTCTTATGGAACCCCCCACTTCGCGTGCAATCTGCCAGTGCCACGCGTTCACGAACTCACAACGGTTTTTTGAGGCTCGAGCTAAGGGGAGGCCAAGCCACGACTTTCTCTCATCGTCCCTACCAATCGCCCGGCGCTTCTGGACCTGGTGGACTCCCTCGCTTGCCTGTCACATCGCTAGAGAACATCGAGGAATAATAATAACAATCAAGATTCTAAAGTCGGTCCGGCGATGGCGTGCAATATCCACCCGACCCACAATTACCCCAAGCACCAACCACCTTTACGAGCAAGCCGAATGCCGTTCGAGACAGGCGTCCTCGGACCGTTGCTGCAGCTAGAAAATCACTACAACGTCTGTTTCATAAACTTATGTCTGGCTCTTGGTTGAAGTCGAGGCCTCCATCCGTCGAATGAGAGCACCTGTGCAATCCGTTGTTCACTCATCGGATCCTCGCTATCCGATATCGAGCTGCCTCTGGGGTGACCTGGTATCTTTCGTGGGATATCTTGCGGTTGGGCTCGGACCCGCTCTGTGGCGCAGAAATTGTCAATGGCTTGCATAAGGTTTACCTGCATATAAAGACCCTGCGTTGGTCACCCTCCTTGTTATCGCAATTGCCCTATAGTAAGCCGATCCCGACTCATTCGGAACATTATTGGTCTTGACTTGGGTCGACGACCGTTTCCACTGTCTTATGAAGCGCCATTTGCCCGCATAGTGCTCTGGAATGATATGCCGCGGGTGCTCGTTAACGCCCGCAATCCTACTCCTACGGATGCACATTCTGTTGCTGTCACCTGTCAGCGTAGTGAAATTGTTGGTCTAGATTTTGAGCTTGCATCATGGATGAGCAAAAAAAGACATTCACGAACCCCCTAAGACCAAAAAGTGATTACAGATGCCCAATCAGACTTCTCGTCAAGCACGACACAAATATGTAGCGTTCCTGGTACGTAGGTGATTGGAACAAAAAGGTCCTTATCGCAACCTGTATTGATGAGGGAACCGTCTTGCAATTTTGAGGCTGGTGATCCTCAAATAACACCTTTTGAGAGCATCCCACCCTTGTGTATAGTGAGGTGAAGAAGACACATGCTACAAAGCCTTTCTCACTGTGGGAAATGAATGTTCCTGGACAATCAGCGAAGACTTGTCATGAAAGGCCGACCCAGAACATCAATCCAGGATTGAATCAAGACCAAAAGTATGAGAAAAGCGGCCAGTATCAGTCAGACCATTGGTTGATTAGGGCGAAAGGGTTGGTGCTGATATATCTTATATCAAGAGACATTATCCAGCAGTATGCCGTGATGCTGCTGGTGTGCCTTTGCCGACCCAAACATCCGACAGCCTGGCCGCTCTCGCACATCCCAGACTATGTCTTGCCTTGAGAAGATAGCACCAAATAGATAAGCACCCACTTGAGGATTGGAACTTGGAATCCTAGACCATGCCTATCTCAACTACCGCTGAGACTGAAGCTACGTAGACTAGCGGGTAGTGCTGCAGTGAATCGCCTTAGAAGCGACGGGTTGCTGCGAGCTTAGACGGAAAGAAGAGCAGACGACCCAAATCAAGAGGCTTCAAATACACAATATCCAGTAAGGCGTCTTGGCGAATCAAGGTCACGGGCATGAAGTAAGGGAACAACTTGGTCCTCTCAAGTCTCAACTTCTCGAGGTTGCAAGTAAAACGCCAATCACACGCACCAATTGAAATGCCCCTGCCAAGGCCGGCGGCAATAACCGCGCAACCGTTCAGATGTACAATTAATTCCCTTTCATGAACTTTGTTGCCTTGCAAAAAGATAGACAATCTATTTCGCACCCCCAAACGAGCCCGATGACGTCTGAAAAGGCCCCAACAAAGTCTCTAGGAAACGTGCTCGTGGTAGGAGGCTGCGGGTTCCTTGGTCATCACATCGTCCGGCAGTTGAGCGAGACATATTCTTGCAACCTTTCAGTCCTCGATCTCAAAACTACGCGAAACCGATTTCCTAACGTCTCATACCACGATGTCGACATAACATCCTCAGAGGCTGTCACTTCAGCTTTCAAATCCCTCAATCCACAAGTTATCATTCATACAGCCTCCCCTGCAACTGTCACAGAGGGCAGTAGCAGTCGTGAAAAGGGCAATGCAGGGAAGATTTTCTACAAAGTGAACGTCGAAGGTACCAGAAATCTTCTTGAGCAAGCGACTCAACTTGGCGGCGTCAAAGCCTTCGTATACACATCCTCTGCCTCCATCATTCATGATCACGGGTCGGACCTCATTAATGCCGACGAGCGCTGGCCTAGACTATACGCTCCGACACAGAAAGAGTACTATTCAGAGACTAAAGCTATTGCTGAAGAATCTGTTCTCGCCGCAAATCGAAAAGATGGCAGCGATATGCTGACATGCGCTCTGCGACCTGCATTACTATACGGTGAAGGTGACATGCAATATTTTCCAAACCTGATGACTGCCTACGCAAAAGGACAGACCAAGTTTCAACTGGGCGAGAATGACAATCTTTGGAATTTTACATATGCTGGTAATGCAGCACATGCCCATATACTCGCGGCTATTGCTCTTCTACAAACCCACAGCCTGAACACTGAACCGCTCGACAACGAGAAAGTGGATGGTGAAGCCTTTATCATCACTGATGGCGAGCCTCTCTATTTCTGGGATTTTGTGAGAACGGTATGGAGAGCCGCAGGCGATAAAACAGAGCTGAGGCAGGTATGGACATTAGATCGAAGCACTGGTCTATTCATTGCTACAATTATCGAATGGTTGTTTTGGTTTGCTGGAGGCAGAGTGCCGAACTTGTCTCGCCAAAAAGTCAATTACAGCTGTATGGCCAGGTACTTTAGCATCGATAAGGCGAAGGACAGGCTGGGCTACAAGCCACAGACAGACATGAAAGACGCGATTGAGAGGAGCGTGCAGTGGTTCCAAGAAAGGCAGGAGGTTGGAGCCGAGAAGAAAGACCAATAGCATTTCAGATTTGGGGAGGAAAGCGCTGTTTATTAGACTGTATGATACTAGATTCTAGCGGGCTCATCATCGCGTACAAATATCAATGCCGTTGCTCTGTGCAGAAAATGCTCCCAAAGAATTATCTAGTGTTCGACAGATGCCTTCAAGCTGGCGCGGCGTTGCGGAGGGGCGGAGAACAAGGGGAGCGGGAACGGAAAATCGAGGCTACCAAACTGCAGGTGGTCCATCATAACGTCTGTTCTTTCGATCAAGAGCCCTAGGCCGCGAGGAAATATTGCAGCAACTTCTCCATCAACTCACTCAACTGCTCAGGCATTTTGGACATAATCGGCTCCCGACGAGCTGCCGCAACCGTACGACCACACACTTCGCACCCACCATGGCAGAAGCAGAGACCGCCAGCACCGAGCCACAGGCCAGACACATTGTATACTGCGGTGGTGAGCTCACATGCCATAACGTACAATTCCATTCGTTTTTCCAAGTGCTGATCGCAGTCCAGTCTGCACACTTCCACCAGAGGTACCCCACCTTTTCCCCTCCGTATACACGGTCACCCTCGCATTTCTACACTGCCACCTCAAAACTCCACTTCCCCGTCTACCTAGTCTCCTCCACGTGTTTCCAAAAGCACTCACTAAGTCACCCTCCACAGAAACGCTGATCCATGGTCCGCCCCTAGTACTGCGAATTTGGCGGCACAGCGAAAAAATGTAAAGAATGGCTCGAGAAAAACAACCCCGACATGCACGAAAAGCTGTATTCCGAAGGTAATTTGCCATATTATCCCCCTCCTGTTGATACCTCGTTCTTCCTCCGCCTCGCCATTTCTCTCCCCCGCCCTGAACCATCCTTTTACCTCTCATAAACTGCCATCCCCACCCGCATCCCTTTGAACCACCCACCACTAATACTTCCCTGTCTTACAGAAGCCCTCCAAGCCTCCCTCTCGACTCTCTCCATTGACGCCCGCAAGCGCGCAGAAAAAGACTCCGCGAAAAAAGAAGCCAAAGCCGCGGCGGCCGAAGCTAGAGATGCGGAGCGTAGGGCAGAAGCCATGGTGTATATAAAGCGCGTGGAGCGGAATAAGAGGAAATACGTAACGGCTGTAAGCGGGCTAGAGGCGCATGGTTTGGATTTGAAGTGAGTATATCTTTTTGTGTTTCCCATTGTATGCAGGTCAAAGATAGAGGGGGAGGGGGAGGGTGGGGGAAGGCGTTAGAGATGGTGGCAGCAGGGGCAAGGGAGGGGGAAAATGGGGGAAGAGAACATATTGCTAACAGAGAAATAGAAAAGTAGCGAAAGACTGGGGCAAAAAATTCGCCACGGGGAGCTCGGTGACGAAGACGGCGAGCGGGACAGACGAGATTGTTGTGCAGGGGGACAATAGCGATGATATCTTTGATATTGTGGTGGATGTACTCAAGGTGCCGGAGGATAATGTGGAGTGTATTGAGGATAAGAAGAAGAAAGCTGCTGGATGATGGGGGTTGGGGTTTTATGATTGGGAGCTGAGGATGGATATGCTGGGATTGATCTTGATGATGTGGAGACTATGAGATTTGAACAACTGAAATGAATATTTCCAATGAGATGTGCGATGCGAGGGTGATGGAGGATGCGCTGACAACGGTCCTCACGCTCTATTATTGGTGCATTAGACAAAAGACCGTGGATAGGAAGTCTCACCGCTCCCTTCTCTGACCTTCCTCTGATAAAGAGATCAAGCTTCTGTTCTCGAAAATGCACTCCGTAGCCGCTCACAACACAATCAAGCGCAATGTCCAAACCTAGCAATAAATCCAGGACCAATAAGCAAATTGAAGAAAGTAGCGAAACCAGAGGAGTAGTAGCCCTGCAAAATCACAAATGCATAGAATGCCTTCTTGATATCTACTGCCGACTGAATCCGACTAACATTTAAAGTACAACAAGAAGACTGAATGCTTTCGAATCGCTGAACAATCGAACAAACCTTTGCTGACGGTAAAAGATATTGAAGAATGTCCTGCTCTGCTTTACTCGCTCGCACTTCTGCATTAAGCCTTTGCAACAACGAGTCACGAGAAACTTGAGACCTGCTAGAGCCACTCCAAGAAAGGAGGCGAGGAGGTCAGCTGAGGCCACAGGGCGACTACAGCCATTGAAACAAAGATGTGCCTCCACCAAGAAGGTCATGGGCCATAGGTCGAGGAAGGTACTTCCATCAAAAGAAACTCGGGTCAGTAGTTCAGCTCACCGCCCCCAGACCCTCCCGGTCCTGCACCTCCTTCCACGGCATCAAGATCGTCGTATTTCTTGAGACTCCTGCCCATGACAGCCTCTCTTGGCCCAACTGTCTGGGCTCCGGCGCCATCACCCCATTTCCCTCCCGGATTTACATACGGAGGTCGTCGTCCCATTCCCATTCCCATACCCATGGGATTTCCATTTGGCATCATCATAGGACCGCCTGGATTGAACCTCGGCTGCTGCCGCCGATCATAGGGTCCAGAAGAGCGCATGCCTCCATTGCTGAAGCGGCCGCCACCACGACGCATAGGGCCGGCTTGGTGGGATAAATCGTCACCATTGGGCATCATGCCAGGGCCCATGCCATTCCATTGGGGAGCTTGAACAGTGTGATTGCCGAATTGGGCGAAGGGTGTGAATGGTTGGCCGTTTGGTTGGAATCCACCGGGAAAGCCGGGCATCATGCCGGGTATGCTTTGGAGGTTGAAGCCACGGGGGTTCCTGATGTGGGTGCTTGGTTTGAGAGGGGGAAGTGACCGTTGCTATTTGCGTCGGAGCGAGAGGGAGCAATATGAGCGGGGTCCAGGACGTAAGCGTTAACGAGATTGAGCTATTTATCATGTCAGGCGTGAGAACACACTAAATATCGGGGGACTTACACTTTTCCTGATCTCCTCAAACCACTCGGCGTGACGCTTCTCAACATGCTTGCGCCAGAAATTATCGCCCTTGAAAAGCTTCGTGCATTCAGGAACTTTACACCTAAACTTGTTCTCGTCTTCTTTCTTCACAAATTTCGAAAGTTCTTCATCGAGAGCTTCATCGATGGGCTTTCCACCAAGCTTCTTTACGTCGACATTCTCCGGCTCCAGGATCTGTAGTATCTTTTCCTCGAATGTCTTCACCCAATTGAAAGCACGCTGGAGCTGCTGTTCCGCTTTGAAATTGCTTCTATCTTTAAATTTTTCGGCCACAGGAGAACCAGCTTCTTCACTATCTTCACCAGCCTCCCTGCGTTTCAATGGAAAAGGTTCACCATACGCACTGGCTTTGGCAGCCTTCTTGGCAGAAGTCGACAGACTCGCTCGAGGACGTCGTAAGTGGCCCCCAGGGCACTTCCGTACAAGCTCATGCACAGAGTCGCTCTCGAAAACACAGAAGAAGCAAAAATTGAAGACACGTCGAAGGTACTCAATCAGTAGATCGAGCGTCTTCTTTTTGATCAGAAGCTCCTCGTTATCTGTGTCATCATCTTCTTCCTCGGATTCCTCACCCTCTTCACCTTCCTCTCCCATATCTTCGTCTTCAGCTTTGTCCTTTTTCACTCCAGAGGACGAACCCACAGCAGAGCGAAGCGCCCCTTGAGCATGTATCTTTTCTACTCGTTCTTCAACCTTTGCAACTCCATCGGCGTCAGAACCGAAGTCCAGATCAAACTTTGAGACTAAACGTTTCGCGAGCTCTAAATCCCTGTCGACACGTTCTGGTGCCGAAAAGAGATCCCACAAAGCCTTTTTCCGAGGTTCACGAGGAGGCGCGTGAACTCCAACATGACATGTGAAATTGCCTCTTGCTTCATCCTCGATAGTCTTCCCATTCATAACCTCTAACGCTTTATCTGCAATACCTGCAGAAGGCTTGGCCTCAACGTCCATGTCTTCCTCCCCATCCTCTCGACCATCTCCTCTTTCTGTAGCGTCAGATTCGTCTGAGCTGGGATTGAGCATAATCCAACCAATACGATGGCACTTTTTCTGCGGGTTAGGATCGCTGAGGCTCAGCCACTTGAAGCCACCATCGCCTTCACCTAGATGCTCTCGACAGAGCTCTTCAATTTTGGCACGACTAACCATAGGCGCGAGAGTCTTGATGAGCAGCGCAGGTTGTAATGTGGTTTCATCTCTTATATCTCCGCCTCTGCTTGGCACAAGATCTCCTACGCCGAGTACTTCTGTAGCTCCAACCGTCTCTCCTTCTTCCTTCTCAATGACACCACCCATGCCATCGCTTTCTGTCTTGTAGATACCTTCCAGTGAGAATTCATCGAAATAGCCCGTATCCATGTCTTTGTCCCATTGTATCAAGGCCTGCCGACGGAAGTCCGTAACACGTCTTTTGAAGTCCTCCCAATACTCTGGCAAGTACCGTTCCTTGAACCACTCTTCGTCTTTGTGTAATTGCACAAACATCCTAGCCATTTTGATTTGGAGGTCTTCCTTGTAGGAGTCGTAGGCGGCTTGAATCTGCGCGCGTTCTTTCTCTCGCTCCTCCTTCGATTCGCGTTCCCCCTTGATTGCTCGATCTGGCGGTCTTCTACCACCATCCTTTGCCCGTTCCCTGTCCTCTTTAATCAATTGTTCCATTCGCCACCACTCTGCAAACCAATTGAAGCCAACTTGAAAATCTAGATTTATCAAGGGATCGGGCAAAGGGTTCGTTCTGATTATAGGCTGTGGTGTTTCGCCAGGTACATAGCGATCGATCATCGGAGGGGATGCCTGGCGCCGACGGTCGTCTCGGCCGCGAGGATGGTCTCGCCCATTCTCGTAGTACTCATCTCGGCCTCGAGATCCTGGCTGGTAGCGGTCAATCATTGGAGGTGATCTTGACCTGCCGCGGCCACCTCGAGGTACTCCACGACGATCTGAGATGCCTAGTTGACCCATCGTGTAAGCAATAAACTCCATATTGTAAGTACGAAAAGAATGAATTGTTATTCAAAGATAGAAAAGTCACCGATTTTTTTTGGGGAAAATGCTCAAAGAGGCCGACGTTGAATGAAGACGTAGAAGGTATATCGGATTGCTCAACAAGGTTAGGGCCGCATGTGAGCTGGGGATGTTGCATTGCAGAGCAGATTGAAAGTATAAAGTCATAGTAAGTTTCTTACCAGGAGACCTTCGTCTGTAATTGTCGTTGCTCGCTCTTCGATCCATTGCTTCTGGACGACCCCATCCGGGCTCTTGCTTCACAGCGCTTGGCTGGTAGGATTCCATTACGAGTCTTGTGGTCGATGAAGGAGTATAGTTTTGATAAAAATACCGTTGGCAATTATGCTATTTCAGCATGTCGGTCGATTATGGTGAAGGAGCGCTTCACGCTTCGGGTCACGCTTCAGGTCACGTTTAGGCCACGCTTCAGACTCGGCTTCAAGTGATGGCTGGCGGGTAGAGGAAGGGAGGACGGGAGGGAAAGCTGTATGCCCACATGGTCTCTCGTTAGATTGATTTCATATGAATAATATGGCATTCAAGAAGATGTGTGAAGTATAGAGAGTGAAGATGAAAGACAATGGCAGCTTCTAGCCGCTGAAGGCATGATGTGAAGTGGGGTATATGAAGCTTGAGGATTGTGAGGCAGAGAGAAGCTAGATCGAGCGACAAAGAAGGGCCAGGCTTATGTAAGAAGTATAGCGTGTAAGGAGACTCACGCTTTGGCTGAGGATGTACAAAAGATGATTAGAGTCACGAAAGCACTTCGAGCCTCTTGAAGAGAGTTAATATGAATGCGCAGACGTTGAAGCCCCATAGACAGTCTTGGCGCGCTAGTCTAAAGTAGCTTGAAAAGAGAGCTCGACATGCAACTGAACACCTGCACTCGCCTCTCGATTCGGAAGATTTTGAATTACAGAGTCGCTTCGACTGGAGACAGAGCTGCTTTGTCCCAATCCAAACGATGACGACTCATATCCCTTCCTTGACCTTGCCGGGGTCCCTCTTTGTTCAACCAGCAGCTTCGATCCTTCTTCCTATCACGGCCGGTCTGGGCGTGGGCTTCATCTCCCAGCGTGAGCATGTCTTTTTCATGTCAGCGGCTGCCCTCTGACGTGATGAAAAGCCAAGAGTGTACACAAGAGGTATATTGAACTTGAGCAACCGCCGTACAGGCCGCCGCCTCAAGTCTTCGCACCAGTATGGACGGCCCTTTACGGCTTAATGGGATATGCAGCATATAGAGCGTGGAACACTGGCATTACTTCTCTCAACCCTGACACTGTTGCCCTTACAAAAGTACGTGTAGTTGTGACTTGAATGCTTTCAAAATTGTTGAATTGTCCTACTATAGCAAGGCGCGACACTCTACACCATTCAGCTTGGGCTGAATTTAATTTGGATGCCTCTTTTCTTCGTCTGGGAGCGGCCGATCGAAGCTTCTATCGATATTACGTTGTTGACAGGGGTCACGGGCTACCTCACCTATATTTGGTCACAGGTAGATCCCGTGGCGTCGTGGGCGCTCACTCCGTATCTCGGCTGGCTTGGTTTCGCAACGTATCTTTGTGTAAGTCAGGACATCTTCGAATTCCTTCACTTGAATCTGACTTTGATGCAGGTTGGGGCTGGGCAGTTGAACGATTGGGAATTCAAGAGCAAGGAAAAAGATAAGCCTGCCGGCAAAGGCCCGGATGGAACGACATACATTAATGAGAAGAAAGAGTAAGAGTCGCTCACCAGGACTGTCATTTCTTTAGTTTCGAGCATGGTTGATAGCCTTCGGACATCTTCAACGAGCTGCTAATCCCTCGTTTTTGGTACTGTATCGTGCTTTTGTGCCGACTTTATCCGGTTTGTTTCTGAATATTGCGGACACTTTGCAAATTGACGCCCTTTTATTTACCTACAAATCTTCAGGACATGCAGTAGCAGGACCCAGTCCATCGGCTGGGTTGGAAGCTTAGTACAGGAAACCACGATGTTTTTGCCCTCTGCTGATTGGTGGAACTAAGCCGACCCGCAATGATATCAACTCAATCGACCGAAATGCGGCGTTCTTCTCATTCAAGCGGGCATTCTACAGCGTGATTGATTCCTTCTGACCTGTTCAAACCAAGAAGATACAATGGCGATTTCACACGATGCAGATCATCAAAGACCGCAAACCAATGGGGTGGGTAGCACGAATGGCGTGCATGGCCATTCGACTCAAGAGCCGAAGACTCCTAATGCCTGGTCTGTACCAGGCCCAGCGGAATTCGACTTTCGAAGTAAGAAAATCTCAAAGCCAACATACGTCTTCTACATCCTGTGTTTCTTGGTCGCAGCGTTTGACAGATTCTTCCAGGCGATGTCGTTACTACACCTACTGCAAATATGCTTGCGGCGATAGCGGAGACGACATTGCTTGACGACGTCTTCCTTGAAGATCCCACCACTACCTCATTGGAATCGCGTCTTGCAGAGCTTACAGGACACGAAGCCGGTCTCCTGGTCTTGAGTGGGACAATGGGCAACCAACTCTCCATTCGCACACATCTGAACCAACCACCTCATAGTCTCCTAGCGGACAATCGTTCACACATCATGGGCTGGTATGTTTACTTGCGTATATCATCTCTTTCGAGCTTATGCAAAAGGCTAAACGTGCATCAAAAGGGAAGCAGGGGGTATTGCATCCCTTTCCTCCGCCTTTGCAATTCCTGTTTGCCCAGAGAATGGCCACCACCTCACTCTCTCCGACGTTCGCGCGCATACTATAACCTCGAAGGACATCCACGCTTGTCCTACCCGCCTGATCTGCCTGGAGAATACCTTAGCCGGCACCATACTTCCTCTGTCCGTCTGTCAAGAGATCCGCCAATGGGCTCAGGAGCAAGATCCCCCTATTGCTTTGCACCTTGATGGTGCACGACTCTGGGAGGCGGTTGTCGCTGGTGCAGGCTCATTGAAAGATTACGCGTCCTGCTTCGACTCTATTTCGCTATGCTTTAGCAAAGGCTTGGGTGCGCCCATCGGAAGTCTGATTGTTGGGAATAAGAAATGGATTGGAAAAGCTCGTCATATCAGGAAGGCAATTGGTGGTGGCATGAGGCAAACGGGTGTTATCACTGCTGCGGCGAGAGTCGGCGTAGAAGAGACATTCTTGGGTGGAAAATTAAAGGAGTCACACATGAGGGCTAAACTCATCGCTTCTATGTGGGAGGCGAAAGGAGGGAAGCTTCAGCAACCCTGTGAGACGAATATGGTATGGCTAGACCTTGAAAGTGCGGGTTACGATAAAATGAAATTCGTGGAAGCGGCGGTAAAGGAAGGAGTCAGAATCATGGGAGGGAGGTTAGTCGTGCATTATCAGATCAGCGAAGAGGCTATACAGAGGCTAGGGAAGATTATGGATAGAATCCTATGCGGAGAGAAGGGCTTGAATGATTCAAGGGGAACGAAGGTGGCTCGAGTGATTGAAGAGCAGGCGGAGCGCGTCGTAGCTCCAATTCTTGAGTGATTTTTCAGTCTTGAGACCGTGGGGAGATACGATTTCATGTGTTGAAAAGGAATTCTTTAGCCAAGCAGCAAGCTTCCACTTCTTGTCAATCAAATAGCATCCCTCATGTCCACCTCAAACAACCTTGTACGGTCACCAAAAGCACGATACTGTTTTTCACATTTCTTTTTGCGAAGTTTTTTTTTCTACATACACTGATAACCGAACTTTTCACTGCGTTCCTGAAGGCGCCGTCACATCATTTGGCAAGCCTTGATCGCCGAATGCAACATTTCGATCATTGGGTAGCAACGATGCTTACCTCTGAGGTCAACAATGCGAGCCCTTTAACACCTACGTAAGCACCTTCCATAGCCCAAGCGAAGATAACAGCTCGCGTGACACTTCCATATTGCCCCAGAAAAATTTCTACAACATTGATACTCCGTTCCAGAAGTACACGTACGAACCCACTTTTAAACACGTTGGTCACTGTTGGGGGATTCCGGCGACATCATCGCGCACGTCATCCCACTGCGCAGACCACGAGGGTTCAGTAAAAGTGCCAGTGCTTGAATTTTACGACATCGGCTTTATCAACGAGTCATGGATCTTGACTTGGAGAAAATCCCTAGGGGGCCTGAGACCCCCGAAATCCTCCTCTTTTGGCTCTAGCAAAATTCTAGAAATACAATCGAGGCCAATGAGTGGTTGCAGCAACCCTAGATTGGGAAAGCTTGTGATCCTAAGTGCTCAGCAACATGAACACCGACAACTGGTGTACCTTTGACTTGTTTGATATAGTGGGGATATGGCTAGAGTACGTTTTAGTCCCGCCTACTGCCGAAGGCCCGAGGCAGCGATCTGCCCGCAACATTTGAGACAGGCTATTTTTACACCTTGATGGGCCGCCGGTCGATGGATGGCTCATCCCTGATCGTGACCTGCCGATGCCGTTGTTGGTGCAGGGAATCAAAGCATATTTGAAACCGAAGACCAATGAACATCATGAGCACACTGGAAGACTCATCAGGGAAGCTGCGTTTCGCTCGCTCAATGTCAGCAAACAGGAGCTGGAGAAAAGAGGCTTGGAAAACATGATGAGGCACGAAACACGAAAGGGTTTTATATGACGAAGAAGTTTGCCACACCAGTAATTGCCGCTCAGCTTTGGAGGATGACAAGGCAAAGCACGCAGGTAGCTGCCTATTCCATCAACAGCTCCGTGACTCAACCACCAAAACGATTGACGGGTAATCAAAAACGACATCGCGGCAGCCTTGCACCCAATTGGGGAGATTTGCGTTCGATCCGCATGGATCACTTCGAAAGTTCGAATATTCCGCTCCGGCAGCGCATGTAGGCGGGACCATCACTTGAACCAAGCTCGGGCTGGTAACGAAGCCATGGCGGCGAGGTTGCAAGCGCCAGGCATGGGAAGGGCAGATGTGCGAGATCTGCTTTGACGATAGGTACTTGGAGACAAGTCGCTGGCCGGAACGATTGGACCGCTTTTAGCCAATGTGCAGCAGCGCCGGCCACACCACAATCGCATTACCTCATCCCAACGCCAAATGCTTGAGGCTCGAAGCTTTCTCAATCGCGATGCGACGGGCGGGCGACAAGTCTGGTGAGGGCGAACTGGGGGGGCCACGTTTTTGTGCCACGAGGTAGGTGGTGGATTGACGCAAGGCCAAAGTTTGCCCAGAGAATCGCAGCAATCAGAGGCCGAGGAGTGGACGCCTCTAGGCTCTAGCAGGATTCCGCCGCCTCTTGCGCTTGCTAGGCTCCTCCTAGAATTGACTTTGTTTTTCACTGTCTCCCTTGCGTCTGTAGGCAGGAAAGGGGCCGAGACGTATCAGAGAAGAATTGTCAGCGCCTGCCGTAGCAATGAAACGGCTGGGAGAAGCGCTCTGTGGCGAAGGAAAGGCAGACAGGCAGACCGGTGCTTGGGCATGCGCTTTTGAGTTATCGTAGACTGCAGTGTGCATGACTGAGATACGCTACGTGGTACTCCTAGGGAGGTACAGTCAGCAGGAGCTGGACCGACTCGCAGGCAGCTGCAGGGTTAGAATGCTGTCAGAGGACATCCTTGCCCCCCTTCTAATGCATTCTTAGTTTATGACTAGGTAGAATCGCCGGATGCACGCCAGAACGCAAGGGAAGAAGAAGTAGAAGGGAAGAGGCAGTTCGAGCACTAATCAATTGTCACTAAATCACTGAATACTCCATCCGTCGGGGCCTCGGGGGGGTAGATGGTTATAGGCACTTCTAGCCACCAGAAAAGTCTTGTACTGCTCCTAGCGTGCTAGACCCTCAGATAGGATCCTCCTTACCCTTCTTCCCCCAATCACAAATCACAATCCATTCGTTCGCCGATCGTCACACTGCTTTCTTACCACTCCTCCTGACGACTCGTGAGTCTTACGACGGTCTTTGCTGACATCTCGTCGACTGCTGTCACTCCTCACACGACAAATTCTCCTTTGATCCATCGCTACACCTCCTAGCTGGGTCTCAAGAACAAGACCTATTGTGCGGCCAACCACAAGCAAACAATCTCGAAAGAGACCCATCACCGGGTACCTACTCCAAGACAAGCACCTCGCAATTGGAACAATCAGTGGAAGATTGATTTTTGAGTTGTCGGGCAGATTTACAGTTGCGCATCTGTGGTTTCGGGTTCCACCTGGGCTCTGGCCCCTCACAAGAGAACGGTGGTCGAGACAGAACGCACGAGCTTCTTCCGTGGCGTTTGAGTTACACAATTCAATCTCGTTTCACTCATTCAACAAATCCGAATACCAGAATGCGGACTTCGAACGTCCTTGGGAACAATTGACATTGCGCGGGCGGTGCGAAAACTTCACCATCCATCTGCAAGGATATTTTGAACAGCGACGGGCCCCCCTTACATATTACAATATCTACAGCTCGGCTTTCCAATGTCGTAGCTTTCCTTGACATCAAACAGCTCTCTCCCGAAGAAACTTATCTTCACTGTGGCTCTGGAATAGCCAAAAAGCTTGATACTCAGGTGCGGAACGTGTGTCCACGTGAGTGTGCATTCCTCGATCTTAGCAGACGCCCCGAACCATAGGTCCACGAGACCACCCACGACAACAAAAACCAAACGCCTCTCTGGGTTCTACAGCTAACTCGACTCTCTAGAATTTCATCGTCTAGCGGCGTAAAAGCTGCGATGACTGCCCACAACTCCTCTCGCATCTGGGAGACACCCAGTAATCCAGCCTCATCACCTGTCAACTCTCTAAATCATGATCCCTCAAAGACAGCGCAACTCCCTTCCATCCAAACCTTAACTGGTGACCTCCCACGAAACAGCAATAATCCTACCTCTCCATCCTTCACCTCAGGCAATCGCACATCAGATCCATGGGGCGGCAGCACTACACAAAGTACTCGTAAGTCTCGCGCATAGCTTTTCACCAGCATTCACAACAGCAACATTTGCCAGTCCTAGATTTGACCCTGCTGACACATGCTTCAGGGTCTTCGGCCTACTCCTCAGGAGGGGGGATGGGTTATGCATCATCAATAAGTTCCCCACAACGGGCGTCCAACACGAGTCAATTTGGAGCAACATCATATCCAGCAGATTTCAACTCACCTACCTCAGCTGGGGCGCAAGCTTCCCCGGGGTTTGCCTCGCCCCAGCAGCTTAAGACACTATCGCTCAATGCGCATACTGCAGACCCCGCGCTGTACCGCAGCAGCCAGCACAGCGACTCCTTCCCTCCACAGGAGTCACGTCGCAGTAGCTTGGGAAGTCAAGTGAATAGCGGGTTTGGCAACTTGCAAATCAACAACGGCGCAAGTTCACCATATGGCACTGGTGCGAATCCGTCACATTCATCAATTGCCGCCAGCTTGCAAAGAGAACGGGGGATACCACAAGTCAACGGCATTAGAAACTCTGGAACAGGCTCCATCCATCAACAGCAATCACCCCTTTCGCCGCTCGCACAACAAACGCAGCACGCGAGGACAGCCCCCGTTATAGCCAGCAATCCCAATAGGGGAGTCTATAATGCAGAGAAGCCTACCGTTGGGCAGCCATATGCCTTCCCTGACCCTGATATGGATCCGGAGCCAAGTGACATACCGAGGCTTTCGAGGAGAAACAGCGAGCACGGTTCTCTCGCGAGCAGTATCATCACAACCGATTCGAAGTACCCACATGGTCAACATTCGCTCGATGACGGTACGTAGCGCAGCAAGATGAACTAGTAGGCTGTTGAGCTGATCATTGACTAGCGGATCCAATGCCAGGTACACATCACCATTCCCTGAATAGCAAGAGGATTAGCGGGACTTCCGGAGACGGTGATTCCCCTGAGACCTCAACTCCATATAGCAGGACTCCGGCGCTTCGTGCAAGTCACAAATTGGCAGAACGAAAGCGCAGAACGGAGATGAAGCATCTGTTCGACCGTCTAAGAGACCAGATCCCTGCCAGTCACGGCAGCAAGTCGAGCAAATGGGAAATCCTGACGAAGGGTGAGTTCCCGCCCTTTTATGCTCCTCCATGATCAGGAATTGCCCGCTGATTATCAAAAGCTTCCGAACACATCAAAAACCTCGAGAACTCTTGTCGTGCGGGCCAAGACGCTCAGATACAGATGCAGTCGGCTGCCTCCGAAATTGAGGCACTGCGCCGCGAGAATGAAGCCATGAGACGGGAGCACTACCACCTGCAAGAGGATTATCATAGAAATCGTCCAGGAACCGCGACTACCATAAACGGCCAACCGTCAAGCCATCCATTTTCGAACGGCCCGACACCTCAGCCGATGCAAGTCGATCCGTCGAGAAGCCTACCGCCTCTCACTAATGGCGTACAAACGTCCAGTATGCAGGGCGTGCAATATGACGACCCACGGAGGTAGTGTTGCGACGTGTTGCCTCTTTCTTGAGATGACAGGAGCTTCACCACCTCAACTCCTAGCTCGACATTTCTAATTATTTTTACGAATCGCCCAACCAGTGGTGTGTATGCAGCTTCTCGGCAGAATAGTGCTGTTTCCCAGTGCTGGCGTTCATCACCATACATTACGGTCATAATGGCTACCTTGCTTGCCGCGCTCTTCAGAAAATGATACCCCTTAGGGTCTGGCTTGCTATCTTGCAATACTCACCACGCTTCAACAAGACCGGCTGCCATCGGAGTTTCTTTTGTTTCGTCGCTTCTTTTCTCTGCACCAAGTGCTTGCATCTAGCTCGGGAGGCACGACTTTATTTACTATTCAGATCATTGCATGAACATAAACTTATCAGAATCGCTGGACAGGCGGAAAGGTCGCTTTGGAGGAGGCGAATATTGCTACCAAAATTCTTTAGCAGCCAATACTACGGCGAAAGTCTCATCTTACAACTGGTTATTGAAGAGGACGATCGGGCGGAGGGGAGTGAAAGGTTATTAGCTTCGGGTCATGTGTATCTAGACGGTATATCTTGCGGGAAATGGTTCCTGGGAATAGGGAAGTGTTTGAACTCATAGAACTCCATGAAGAAAACAAGTTTAAAGATAGGTCGCCGACCACGATACCCCTCGGCCTATGATGAATGTTACGAAAGCGGCGTTAGATGGCGCCTACCTGACGCTGGAGTTGCACTTTGTCCATCGCCATCCCTACCTGTCGGTTTCCTCAAGTCCTTCACGCTATGTTCCTCTCCTCCAACCGTGAACCATTCCGGTGCTCGTGCTATTACCAATGGACATGATCACTATAAGCGCAGAAAATATGCTGGCCGATGGAATAGGGGTGGAGGGGACGAAGTATGCCATCCGGCCCTCTTACCTGACACTGGAGCCACACTTTGTCCTGCGTACGCCTGATTGTTCTGATAGCTCGGTTTCAAAATCTCCTTATCTGCAAACTGGAACATATTGACTGGACGATTGATCATTTGAAGGAGCAAAGTGCAAACAATTAAAATTGGCCGTAGACTCCCTCTCAGCCTTCACGCACGTTCGTGGCGCTGTAGGCGAACATCACAGATTCAAGCACCTTCTCTGATCCCACTTTTTCCTGTGGACACATCTATCGTCTACTTGAAATCCGCAATACAAGACATGACCAAGAATCTGCTCCCTTTTGCATTATCCTTGCTGCTAGGGTGTGCTACGGCGCAACAGGCATGCTTCTGGCCTGATGGCTCAAGCCATCCCCTTGCTGACGACTACGCTCCTTGTCGACCAGGCCAAGATAGCCACTGCTGCAAAATAGGGGAGACCTGTATTTCCAACGGGTTATGTTTTGGGACAAACCTTGGTTGGGTACGTCAAGCATGGGCTCACAAATGACTCCAACCTCCAACCTCTCGACATAACGATAGACACCAGGCAGGCCTAACATCGACACAGATCTATCGAGGTGCGTGTACACTTCAAGACTGGCGCAATCAAACGGCTTGCCCAGATCAGTGGTGCAACGACAGTAAGTCCCTGCCCTCGCGGATATAATGCTATGGCTTGTGCTTCTTCAACCATGCCCATTGAGTGAAATTTTTTGACACACACCAGTCGTTCCTAGCGCATGGGCCAATCTCTGGATATGTCCTCGCCAGCCTTTCGCTGATCCATTGGCTTGGTGTGGCAGTAATAGAGTATTCCCTTGCGCAACTGATGTGAATGCATCTATGACACAGTCAATTCAACCATATTCTTCGGGAGATTTCCTCAGCTTCTTAAGCGCCACACTATCCTCGAACTCCCTTCCTCAGACTGTAACAATGACGGCCGCGAGGAACCCGTCCGTTGTCTCCGTAGCGACGACTGATACTTTGACGACCACGTTACTCATTACCACGAAGATATCAGTCTCTGCTAGTAGATTGATAACACTATCTACTAGATCGGAGCCAAATATTCTAACAAGCCCGACATCATTACCACCACTGACAACTGCCTCAGGACCGTCTCCAGCGTCGACACCAGCGGCACCCCAAGAACCTTCAAACCACACCACCCAAGCATCTCGAACAACTATAGCTCTCAGCGCTGGTATCGGTGCACCCCTAGGTCTAGCTGTGATAGCAGCTATATGCTTCCTCGTCACTATCTATATGAGAAAAATTAGAAAACAGCCAGTGACTAAGAATGGAAGCGGACCAAACGATGAGCATAAAGATGGCCATAGCAGCCAAAAAACCTCAGATGCTAGAGGTGGAGATGGAGGGGAACTACCCAACTCCCAGATTCCATGGGAGCTTGACCATAGAGCAGCTTTGGTTGAGATGTCAGTGCGGTCATCGGCTAGGACAGTACGGCCCACTAATTGGTTCTAAGATCAAGAAAAAGCTTTCAATCATGGACCAGGTAGACGATATGCGAATTGCAAAAATTAAAGGGAATGACAAGCCCTTAATGGCATGATTATCGATACTTCTTGAATTGGTGGTTCCTATCTCTGAGGCATTTCAGATGCAGACTATGAAAGCATACTTATGAGAGCTAATGGGGACTAATTTACATTCAAGGCATTATCAGCATGAAAAGCATCTTGGACATTTGGTCCGTTGATTGATGTTGAATGAAGTCCATCTCGCCACTCGCTCATTCTCTTCGTTGCTAGATTATCTTCCGTCTAACTTCATTCAATGCTTTGGCATATTTCGGCCATGGTTGAAGAATATCTGCTTACGAAAGGACTTGTTATCATCTTCATCATCATTTCCGTCCTTCTCACTATCATCTTCACCGTCCTCATCATTCATATTGTCATCAGCAAATGGCGAGACGTTCCTTAGACGCGGGTCCGCTCCTCGATTGATCACGGATTGTGATTCCATTTTCTTTGGCTCGTCACTTGCAAGGTCACTCGATAGCTTACGCTTGTAAGCTGAGATTGGTCCCGATACTGCACCGCTGAAGTATTCCTCGCGGCCTTGCGCGCTACTCGGGCGGAATAAGAACGAATGCTGTGGAGTACTCGGTTTTGTCGTCCCGGGGTTTGGGTTCATTCGAGCCACTGGTGCGTGACTGTGCTCGTGAAACGCCAGTGCGACTTCGGGAGAATTGCTCTTCTTCGCCGGCTTGAGCTCTTTGTCAGCCGCCTTTTTCGTACTGGGAGGCAATTGGTTCAATAGTTCAATCGATGTCAGACTGGATTTCGCATTTTTGTTCTGAGAAGGTTAGCTGTTGATTAATTTACATCACCACTTCACTCACATTGAGGTTTATCATTCGACGAGTGATATCCTCGATTTCCGCCCTCAAAATGCCTTGGTTGTTCTTGCTGTCGTTGCGGAGCTTCTTCACGTCAAGAGATATGTTTCGTACATCCTGCAAGACAGAGTCCGACTTCTGCTCACGCAGTGCTTTCTCTATTGCCGCGAGCTGGACTTTCATGTCTTTCTCAAGTTGCTTGTTGGCTGTAGTCAACATCTTGAAACCTGCTGGCAAAATTAGACGGGTTGACAACATCAGCATTCTGCCACTGGCACCGCATTCGGTCAAATTTTTTTGGAGGGCATATTGTACCTTCTTGAGAGCAACTCAAAAGATTTCCTAAGTTTGGAAAGTGGCCGAAGGTTAAGCACTTTCCTGAGTGGCAAATATTGGTCTGAATTTTTTTTTTTTGAGGTGTATGTCTATGGAGGGTGGAAGGAAGCTGGAATAAGAACGAAGGAAAGACTTCTACGGAATCAAAGGGGATGGGAAGGTAGTATATATATTGAGGACCTCTGGCGCTAGTCCTCTTTTGGCCATCTGTATCATTTGTACGTTGGAGTGGCGAAACGTCCACCCTCTGCCCTTTGACCATGAGCCAAAATGTACTCACCCTTCCACCCTCCCGCCCTCTCAGTACGTGCTCACTCTTTTACCCACCCACGCTTTCATGCCCTTACCCTTCTACCCTCTAATGCTCCTCAATTTTCGCTGATCTTATTCTGTGAGCGCTCTTTCTCCCCACCTTCTACCATCTTTTCCCTCGATGTTTGCTTAGGAGATTGATTGTAGCAAAGTCGCAGGGTGGAAGGGTCGGAAAGGAGAGGACAGATAAGGAAAAAGTGGGTAGACGAGAGAAGGTAAAAGATAGATGATAGAGGGTATAGGGGAGAAAATAGAGGATAGAAAGCAAATGGAAGGACGAGAACACCGTAGGGGCAAAAGTTACCGGGTGGGACCTACCCAGTTCCCAAACCCTCAACCCACTTCAAGTCCTGCAGACTAAGCTATTTTCCTTCACGACCACCCACTACCCACTTCATCGTCTTCACACTAACATACTTTTCCTTTGTATAGCCCAAGTCTTTTCTGAATGGAAAGTACTCTCGAGGTGGGTTGGAGGGGTTTCATGGATCAACACTTTCAAATTGCGAAGAGAACTTAGTTTGCGGAGCTTCAAGAGGAGGGTACCCTACCACCCTACTTCCAGATCTGTAATCTAAATTATCACTGATATCTTGCCTTAGGACTTCTCTCTCGGGAATGCTAGATACGCAGTTCTAGAAGTTGAGGTGGGTGGGTCCTACCCTGTTGAAGCTCTGTCTTAGTAGTCGAGGTGGGTAGGTCGGTACCCACCTGATGAAGTCCTACACACTACAATTTTTTCTTACATCCAACATTTGTTCTTCCAGAACAATTGATACTTACGCGTTCTTGGGAAATAGTTTATCGAAGACTTCTTGCATATCGTCACCAGTGAATGCTACATTGCGAAAATCAAAGAGAACAAAAATCAAGATGTTCATGAAAAACGACGGGTAGCATGATATTTTCGTGAGTTTGTGTCTTCCCCTCAGGTGGAAGAGCGTCTTTCAAGGAGATTAGCTAAGGTATACTATCTCCATCTACCGCAAGCGTGCGTGCTCGTGATCCGCTAAGTCCTTTCCCTTCATCCTGGTCTTGAAGTCGCCAATTATTCACTCTCCGACAAAAACGATCCTGGTTCCTTAATTGTTGCTTTTCCCTGGGCCACATTACTGCTTCATTGTGAGCTCAATTCTTGACCACTAGGGAGCGGTTTCTTTGACTTCTTCGGATCGGTTCCTCCTGGACTGCTTGAGAGTCCATGCTTTTTTGAATTGGGCTTGGTCTTGTCGGTAGCTGCCCCTGCTTTGTTGATATTTCCGCCTAAGCTAGGCTTGCGAATCTGTAGAGTGACGACCTTAGTAAGAGTTGGATGGTCCTGGATAATTGCTTGTGCTACTTTCTGCGCTCCTTCCGCTTGGGTGGTTGGCCCAAGCAATTGAGATGAAACCCCAGGGCTGCTCGCTGACTCTGGCTGCCTATCGATCGAGTCTATAGACTTTGAGCTCAGAGCTTGGAACAGCTCCGCATTTGCCTTTGGGATATTGTTGAAAAGCTTCTCTGAAGTGATATCTACGATTTTGTTCTGAGAGATTTAGTTGAAAGTCAATGTTCTGGCAAAATACTCACGCTGTGAGTCGCTATCTCGTACATAAGCTTCTCAGCTTCGACTGCTACCGGTGCTAGAGTGGGTTTGTTGCGTTTCACAATAGTAGCTCGCAACGATACTGCTTCCGTACATATCTCGTGCAGAGCTGTCAAAGAAGAGAGTACTTTTGGGCTCTGTTCCAAAAATGCCTTTCTAACACGTGCCAGCTGATCTTTCATTTCGTGTGCCTCAGATATATCGGACGACATATTTGAAAGCCTCAGTATTGCTATCAAAAAGGTCAGTATTCCTCGACATGAGTCAAGTTTCTTGAAGGGTGATGGGTACCCCCTTGCAAGATGAACAGAATCTCGTTCCGAGGTGGATAGAAGACAAGGGTGCCGACGGTCGAAGGTGGGTGGTCGTTGGTTCAAATAAAAAACAAAAGAACAAAATCCATGAATCCAGTGGGGGGAGGAAGGTTCTTAAGTATCCAAACTCCTCTGGCGCTAGTCCGCTTATGGCCGTCTGTATAGATGACGACATGGTGTTGCATCTGGCAAGCTGTGGGTGAAGAAATCGTCATGATAGTCCGCAGGTCCGACTTGAGTGCTGTTTGCTGATGCTGCGAGATAGATGGCCTAAACAGGCTAGCGCGGCCAGAAATCAGGGGTATCTTGCCACCCTGCCACGCTGTGACCGTTGCACCCTCCTACCCTCCTACCCTCCTACCCTTTGCTCTCTACTCACTGTCCTCTGATCTTTGTCAATTCAGGCAATCTTAATCTAAAGGCATCTTGCCTTTCTATCCTGACTCTTTCCATGCCTTGGTTTTTCTCAAGAAAAGAGAAAGTATAAAAGGATGAAAGGGTACAAAGATGGAAAGAAGCATTTAACAACGGTCTCAAGGTACCCTGGTACCATGATCCATCTCGATCGCACATGTAGGGGAAATGATTAAAGGCTCGTATTGTCGAAGGTTTGTATAATCTAAGGGTTTCCTAGTTGAAGGGTTGCATAGTCGAAGCGTTATGCGGTCGGAGGGTCATGGTTGTGTAGTCAGATGGTCGGGGTTATATGGTCGAGAATGTCGACCCTTCCACTATCTGATCTTCATTCGCTCCTGTGTTACGACTTTGTGGACGCTTTACCATTTGATCGTAATGCTCTTCATACAACTGCGTATTACGTATCCTACGGATCAATAAGAGGAGTCAAAGGAGACCATGGTACTGTGTGATCGTGTGTCAATCAAGATCAGATACACATTCTCGGAACATACTTCGTCGAAGGAATGTCGTCTATTGCCGGCTTTGAAAGCTATTTTGCGAAAGCCAGAAAGCATAGTATCAAGTCGTTCAGTAGGACGAATGAAAAAGCACAAGAACTTTTTACAAGCACGGTCGCTGAAAAAGTGCTTACTCTATGATCATATAGTATCTCTTATGCATACAAGTCATAGTACGCTGTAATCCCAATCATCCTGCCCTCAAACTTCTCAGCCTCTATTCTATTCGGAAGAGGAAGAGTAGAACAACTCGTCCTTTTCCTCTGCGGCCTTCCTAGTAGCATCTCTTTGCGATAGGCGTCTCTTGAGTTCTTGTGAGCTCATAGGCGAAGGCTTGTCTCCCAAGGGAGCGTTTCCTGCTTGGGCGGTTGAAATAGTACGCTTTAAAACCCCCAAAGCCGCCTTGCTATGACTTGCTATTGAATTGCTGCCGTCTCCTCCTTGGCTTTGATTGCCTGGAGGCCCCGCAATGGCTGCATTTATCCATTTCTGCGGCCATTGCCCTTGCATCGCCAAGGTTCGCGATCCGCTGTTTGGACTATTAGCCTCCTCAATAGCTGTTCGAATCGCTTTCGCATTGTTCCTAGCGACGTTTGCAATGAGATCCTAAGAGTCTTAGCGGCGGATTAATTTGTACCAAGAGTGTATTCACGTCAGCGCTCGCTGTTTCTTGCAAAAGACTATCAATCTCCAGTGGCACTCCTTTGGCAATGTCGTCGGCGCTATTGGAATAGGATTTATGGAGCGAGAGAGCGTCATAGGCTGCTCCATGTAGAACATCCAAGGAAGAGAGCATTTGTGACTTTTGTTCATCAAGCGTTGTTCTAAGCTGTGCTAGTTCGTGTCTTATCTCACATGTCTTTCGGCGGGCGATGGCGTCACCTGTCATTGCCGCGGACATCTTGGAAGTCGGGTGAGCTGCAAGAATAGACCGAGAGAATTCCTTGACTGTAGGCGTTTCTTGGAGAATAGCTCAAGATAAGACTCACTAATCCAAGAATGATGTGGAAATAGTAAATACAGACTGGAGACCTCTGACGCTGCTGCGATTACGATGTTCTGTATAGATGTATTTTGCAAGTATTGTGAGAAGAATGGTCATGTTTAATGTCGCGGGCCGAGAGGGTTGCTGTTTGCTGGTTGTTATTGATGGCCCAAATAGGCCATCGTTCTTGCCTTCTTCATAATTATTCTTTCTTCTTTGCTACTCTCTATGCGTTCGCTCTTTCCTAGAGTGATAGAGATGTGGAACGACGGGAAGGTAGAAGGGTAGAAATGTCAGCAATCAAGGAAGGGTCTCCCGCTAGAATTCACTTGCATCCTTATTTAGACCAAACAATCTTCAACTCCAGGCTACCATACCACCTGTGTTTCGTGGATTTTGAACACTGGCAAATCTTCTGTGGTCAATTGCACGAGTATTTCTAAAGCTCGTCACTGCTTCTTCACAAGCCCAGCATCCGACCCGGGTAAGCATCCGTCGTAGACCATACATGGGCTTTCTTCAACAGGTAGGCCTACCCCTTGACATGTCACTCATCTCACGGCGTTTGGCGGGGCCCATTACTCATCCTCATCCTGACTTTGATACCCACGTTTACGTTCATTCAGATCCTGGTTCTCATCTCCATCCTGGTCATCATCATTACTCTTCATATCATAGTCCTCTTCCAATTCAGCAGCTACCAAGACTTTCCCCAACTTTTCGATGTCGTGGTGCATACTTACGAGCTAGCTCTTGTCAGCCTTCCCTATTACCGGTGATGAGCGACATACCGTCTTCAGGGCCACTTTATTCGAAGCTTGTGTGAAAAGAGCCAATTCACCGTCCTTCGCCAGACGTTCTCCAGCCTTCACCAAACGAGCGTTGAGTTTCTCCTCCCGTACATTCATCCTGTCCTTCTGCTCATACAACTTCTCTCGAGCACTGTGAATAGTATCAAGGTCTGGGTCACCATGATTCATCTGCATTTTTTTTAATCCTGAGAGATACGAGGGAGGCCCAAATTTCATTACCATCATTCCTGCTAGTCCATCCTTAAGGATGATCAGACTTCCTTCGAGAGATTTCTTGATTGTCCAGCTCTAGAACTTATGAGATTCTGGCAGGAAAACGCCCCAGTTTTTCTCACCTCTGAGTGCAACATGGTGTTAATGGTCCTGTTGATGTTTTCCGTATCTCTTGATTTCACATGCAGATCTTGAATCCTGAAGAATAGTTCTCTTTCTTTGATCTGGATGCGCAGTTTCTTCTGCTGCAACTTCAAGTATTGTGTTTCTATGTCATTTAGATGATCGATGTCCTCCTCGGCCTGATTATTTTCGTTTAGTGAAAAGTCTTGCTATTGTTGATGGAGACCGTACCATCTTCGGTAATGAACACACAGGGTTGAAATACTGTTTGGGAGGAATGGACAGACTGTCGTTGATTGCTATTCAATTTGGCCTCTTGACAGCTCCACAGCGTTATATTACTGTAGGTCAAGTGCTAGAACGGGCCTTTAGTCGTAGGTCTCAGGGTGGAGGGTGCTTGTATTTCAAGAAAGCTTTGAGCCTTCAAACAACGGGAGAATGCCCATGATTTTGTAGAAAAGATGAAAAGAGTACTTGTTTCAATCGAAGGGTTTCAAGGTTTATATCACAAAGAACAGCATTGAAGAATCGTTCGCCTAATCTAAGGGGCAGTAAACCCGTTGTAGATATAGCAGATGTAGCCAGGGACGTCAATTCAAAAAATCTGGCTATCGTAGGCGTGGCAATTTCCATTGAAGCTTAACAACAGATAGTCGAAGCAGATTAGACTGTGGAAGAATATGCAAGGGGGAGAGGACAAAAGGTACGGGGTTAGCGATGAGCGCAAAAGGCTCCAAAGCTCTTGATTCATGATGGCATGATAGAGTCATCCTGATACATCTGCATTCACGATATGAATAACAATCACCTTTCGATAAGTGTTTGGATGGTCGACCAAAGAGCACATAATTTAGCGTTTGCTCAAAATGCAAGGGGTAGGATAGCTTCCAAGTTCTCACCCTTGTCAATTCGATCCCAGAGCATGTTCCGCTGAGATACCAGCTCGATCATCGGCGTACACGATATGGCTCACGAACCATCTCTCAAAGGTGCAGGTAGTAGCCTTCGAATGCAGGTCATCAGTGTTACTGACTCGATGGCTAGGGTCTTTTGGCGCCGACGTCGAGTCGAAAAGCGAAATGTCATAAGTAACACTGCTATGAGAAGGCAATTGCCACTCTTGGAGTAATGTAGCCTATGACAATCTTTAAGCCATCTTCCTCTCATACCTAGAATCGCCGGTAGTCGGGACTTGGAGGGTGGGATCCTGCCACCTTTCGGTATAGCTATTGAGGTCTGTTGTGCAGGAACAGTGGCGCTTCAAAACTCCCGACTGATCACACGAGGATCATCCTATTACCCTCGCCTTCAGCCCATGTGACAGCCTCACCGTACATAATTGCGTCGACATAGCATGCCCCAATGACAACGAAGTGCTCCCTAGACCTTCTTAGGAAAAGCGGAGTCGAGGCAGCATTAACGACACAAACCAAGTCTCCTGGGCTGGTGTAGTCTGGAACAAGCCCCAGGTCATGCCTATCCAAAGTTGCAACTTTCTTTTTGTAGCAAAGGTACGTATCGTGAAGATTGCGCATCTGGAGGACGCCCAGGATATCCGAGAAGCCATCTTTCTACACTGTGCATCTTCGTTGTCTTCTGTTCGACATGCGCCACGGGTCAAAGTTGATGCGATTAGACGCTTCAGATTTCTATAAAGTTGAGTCTCCATCCTGTCCCAAGATGGATCCCGCACTGGAGCCTGTTCGGACTCCATCGTTATTGTGTCTGGTTGTTGAGTGCCGGCTCATTGTGTGGCAGAGTGCAAGGTTCAACATAGCAAGCAATGCTGATCGCCTTCACTCTAGAGAGAGTAGTTGAACCGCTTTGACCACGGAACGACGCGTCCAAGGTAGTCGCAGTAGAGTGGACCGCGAGCCGTGCTAATCATTGAGCGAGAGTCTACATGAAGTCGCCATGTTGAGGCACTGCGCTACTCTGGCAATCCCAACAAAAAGACAATACCTGCACATCTTAATTTTGACTTGGACATTGACCCGATACATATGACACCTTTCCCATGCAATGAAAATTCGGGTTTAAGTAGAGGCTGAAATAAAACAATCTTGGAGAGGGATAGGGGGGCAGAATCGTTGCACGTGACCTCGCATCTAAGATAGTTGCCAAGACCAATCTTGATTGGCCAAAGGATCTCACGCCCAAGAGTTGCCTTTGCAGGTTCCCAACGTGTCGACCACAATGCTATCCAATCCTGAGCAATTCTTATTCTAAACAGGCCACTGTGAACATTGTGAGACGAATCTCTGACTGCCCAACATGAGTGACGACGATGCCAGCTCAGATCGAGTTGCTTGTACACGTCTCAGGCCCAAGTCGTGGGGCAGATGATGCACGATACCGAAAAGAGGCACACGGCTTCCTCGACTTTGACTTGGTCGAAAGACATCCTGTTTACAATGGAAATGAAGATAGCAAGAGGCCACAAAGCCAGGTTGTGGAAACTAGCGAAGGGCCGTCTTTACCCAACGACAGCGTACAGGTCAACGACTCTTTCGGCCCTACGCAAAGGATCAAAGCAATCAAAGATCTATTCCAACAGCGTGTAGAGGGTGTTACACCAGTAAGATTAGCCAGTACGAGACAGGACCTGATCACTCCCGCTGCAACAAAGAATATCATCTCTCCGTCTCTGCCCTGGACCAGCGTGAAAGAAACACCGCGTCTCCTTATTGAGCGGACGCCAGCTTTGAGGCGTTCCCAAACTGTGCCCAATGGTAAAATACCATCTGAAATATCGCGGACTTTACGGAGGGTCCACTCCGACTCATTCGAAACACCACCCAGCGTGGTCCCGAATTCGCAGCCCTCGGTCCCATCCAGTGCAAACCAACCATCAAGCTCGCCAATACTCAAACGACCTTTCGAGTTCACCTCTTCGTCTACCGAGCAACCTCCATCACCATCTCGTAAACGAGCACGCCAGTCATCTCCCCCACTGCCTAAGATCTCTCGAGAGGAGCCCCACTCAGTCCTGCCCTCTTCTCCCATACTGAACCCTCTGCACCTCACAAGCAGCCAGCCAGAGCAGACATCGTCGCCTCCCTGTAATATTCAAGTGCCATTACTGATCTATGCTCCTCGGCCCACGACTGCCAACGAGATCTTTACCACACATCTCACCGCCAACCTCATGAAAATATCGAAGGCCTTTGATGCCCAGAAGTGGTCCATCTCTTACCTTTCTTCTCGAGTCCTCGATAAATGGGAGCGTGGCCACTGGTTGATTTCGCTTCAGAACTGGGAGTCAAGGATGAAAGAGAAGGTATGGCGTTGGCTTGAGGATTACGTGGGGAATGGAAAGGCGGGATGGGGTGTCATGTGCGTGAGGGAGATGGCGGAGAAGCTCGAGAACAGAAGTAATGAGAAGGAAAAACTGATACTTGGGCCGCAGGAGGAGGTCTTGAAGGTCTATTGCTGGGGCGAGATGGTGAAGGAGATTTTACTGGTCATTTTCGCGGCAGGAGGGAATGTCTGGAAGGGGAAGGGTTTGAATGCGAAGTGGATCGATTCACTGGGGCAGGTAGCTGTGGTTGCAACCAGGGAAAAAAAGGGCTGAGGAGAAAGAGTCATTCGATTAATGTGAATATGGATTTTGGAACATGAGTTTTGGGATATCACATATATTGGCTCGGGGTCAGAATCAATTTTTGGTAAAATTCAAGTTTGGACGACACTCACCATCACGCCCTCACTTGACCTTACATACTTTGAAGACACCCACCCTCTACCGTCCGCGCGAGACATCCACCCTCTCCCGTCCAAAATGCTTCAAATACCGCCCCCAAATCGCCTTCCTCTCCCTCCTCCCCTCCCCTTTCTCCTTGCCTCTGACCTCCACCCCCGCCTCCGCAACAGCAACACACCACAGCACCCTCGCGGCCCCATCTTCAAATCCCAACGGGGCTTTCCACACCCCTTTCCCCTCCCCTCCCCCTTCCCCTTCTCCTGGCGCCTCTCGTTCTCTATCTCCCCTCGCCTTCCCGAACCTCACCTCCGGCGCCGCGCTCATGAAGCCCGGGTCCACGGTATTCATCGCGCAGCGCCTGCTTCTCCACAATCCCCCTGCCTCCGTCTCGGTGATCATGTTGAGTGCGGCTTTCGCCATGTTTGTGTGGACGTGCCGGCCCCGTTTCTCGGCGGAGTGGTGGTGGGACTCGGGTGTGCCTTCGCGGGCGGAGACGTTGATGATGTGGGATATTGGGAGCGGGTGGGGAAGGTGGTGGGGAAGGGGAGGAGTGGGATTTGATGTGGGTGGGTTTGGGGGTTGGGGTGGGGGGACAGAAACTGGGGATAAGGGGGTAGGATGAGAACTGAGGGTGTGAGTAATGGAGGGCATCAGGGGGAGGAGCTCGCGGATTAGGATCGTGGGCACGAAGGCGTTCACGCTGTGGGCTGTTATCATGTCCTCGTAGGGAATGTCGGAGAGGGTTTGCGCCCAGGAGGATTTCTGGGGATGGTGGAAGTCTGTGGGTAAAGGCTTTGATAGGGTTGAGTGGTTTGAAGAATTAAGTTCTGAGGAATCTTGTCTATCATATCCTTCATGTGAGAGAGTCTTTGGGTGACAATCCACGAGCTCGGTTTTTTGGGATGAGTAGCTCGAACTGACTATAGAGCCTGATTGACTCGTTTCGAGCAGTCCACCTGGCATCAGTGAGCCACCTCGGATGGTGGGATGGTATCCATTATCGACTACGCGATTGCAAATTCGCTCCCGTCTGAAATGTTCCTCGTTTGCAATCGCCTTCTTTTCCGCAGCGATAGGATCGGTGAGCGTCTGAGCGGCATTATTGATCAGCAGAAACAATTGACCGAGGGATTCGCGCTCTTCTTTCCACTCTGATAAGACGTCCTGAATAGAAGACACAAGCCTGAAGACATCTTTTGCCGTTCGGAAGTCGGCCCCGATGATCTTGAGCCGTTGCATCCAAGTTTCTGAATCTTCTTCATCGTGGTATCGAAACTCTGCATCTCTTGGGTATCTACTCGAAACGATGACGTGAGCGCCGCATCGAAGCAGTCTCAACGTTGTGTGAAAACCTAAGTTGATTCGGCCACCTGTTACGAACGCTGTTCTGCCTCTGAGATCGAGAGTTTTGGGTAATGAGAGACTGCCTTTAGCCAGATTGAAGTCACCGCAGGGTATGCATAGGGAAGTGTACAACTTGTGCGGGGATTCAATGATGTATCTGCAGATATAGCACTTTTGCTGTGGAACTTCAAGCCCTTGAGGGGGCAGAGGAGTCGTCGATTCTTCTGCCTTGACGATTAGAGTCTGAAGAACTCTCATGATGCTTGCAAGCGTAGTAGTATCATTGACCAACTCACGTCCTTTTAAATCTTCAAGCACTTTGAGGGCGATTTTCAGCTGTGGGCCGGCGAGATGAGACTGTCGTGGGTTGAAAGCGTCATCCACACGCTCAAACTTCTTCGCAGAGTCCCCCCGTTCGTCGAATGGTGCATCTTCGTTCACATTGGCCTCATAAATTGAATTGGCATTTTTAGATATTTGGTTCATCTGGGCAAGGTAACCTTCAATACCATTAATGATACCTTCATATTGCAGTTTCCGCACAACTAAAGGGACGTGAACGTCAAGCGCCGGTAATAAATGGTGCACTATCTCATTTGCTAGTATGGTGTCAGAAAGAGGCAAAAAGTATACCAAGACTGATGGCAGTAATTGCTCGCGGCAGAGTTGCTGGTCGTCTCGAAGACGGTTGGCTATAGCTTTTGGGTCTTTACTTGCAACCAGTATCTGGCACTGATCAGGCGTCAATGGCAGCATTGCTGGCTACAATGGTCGGCTGTCCTACGATGTAAGAAGATTCCTGCCTCGACGATCGTAATGAATGTATATCCTCTCCAGTCCTTGAGAGGATGACACAATGCAAAATGGGGCCTCACTTTCGCTCTCGACAAGTCCTATCATATCTTCGCTGACCATCAATGCCATCCAAGGCGCCAGACAAGGAGTGCAGCATCTACTAATTGGCTGTCAGAATCTAGACGGATGTTTGTACTCAGCCGCAGATTTCCCTTCCTGAACCTCCAACGTCCAATACTCTTGCAGCTGACGTCGCAATCACAAACATCTCCTTGCAATCAACGAGAAATTTTGAACCGGACAATATAGTACTGTATGCCTGTTCAGCTGAGTCACTATTGATATGACTCATGGTTTGTGTTGACTTGAAGTTCAATTGTCACGTTTTGGCCCGTAGAACCCCCCTGCAATGACTTTGATCCTTGCGCCTCTTTCTATGCCTCAAAGTGGCATCGGAACTGGAAATCATGGCCATTCTCAGTAAACACAAATTGAACCCAACGGGCAAAATGTGGCAGCCTCACCTCGCAACCGTCACCTCTTTTGATGCTGTCGACCAGCCAAGATCAATAAGTGTGGCAGCTCGAGCGTTGATATCACTTCCTGCTGAGGTTGCGCACACCATTCTTTTGGATGTGCCACTCTACAGGATCTTGCAAATGTCGCTTAGTCTTCAGGTAAATATTGATTGACAAGCGTTGACGTATTCAGCTGAGAATCCAGGAAGAATCAAGGCGAGGGCCATACGTACAATCAGTGTCTCTTTGAGATATCTCATCGCCATAGTCTTTTTACAGATAGGTTTCATACTTACCGAATGATTGAAGCCTACAAGCTGTACTATGAGCTATGCAAATTCTTCGGGAGGTGAGTGGAGCCTGACCGTCCTTGAACAAGCGGTGGATATATCTGACCCTTATAGACGGCCCAATCCAAAGGATTCTCCTCTATCATTGAGCTTGAACGTTTCAAATCTTGTGGACAACGAAAATGTCGATCTTACAAGGCAACGAACGCATGCTTGGCTTTCCCGTCAGATCTATATCATGCTGAAGTCACTTGGCAAACTTGACAGAAAACTATGGCCCTCAGAGCTTCTATATTCTTTGTTTCAACCCGGATGGCATGGTGATCGGGAAATTCTCGAGAAGTTACGAACTTGCTGGACTAACGCTAAGGTCCAATATCAATTTCTTGCCCAAGGACGTGTAGTTCGTATTGATCGACTGGCAAATGTAAGTGTGTATTCAAGGCGCAAGAACTGCTGTAGAGCATAAGTGAATATCTTCAATCTTGCTTTGCATAAAGTAAGATTTGGAGTGAAGTTCCGCGTATCTTTCCTTTATATAATGTCCACTCTGTCGCGAGCTTTCATGAACGCAATTAAATGCGTTAACACTGACGAGTTGCATTGGAAAGAGAGGTGCCCCGAATCCCTAATCATTTTCAAATCTTGGAAACTTCCCTTAGAGCTCACGCTGACAAGAGACTCTGACAGCTCATTGAGGAACATCCCAGTCTTCTCAAACAGGCTTCAGACCCTACATTCGATGCCCGCCTGAACACTAGACACATCGTCAACAACCTTCGAAGCCGACAGGCACAGATTCAGAATGACATCAAAAAGAACCTCTTCGATCCTCCATGCCGTGGTTGTTACCTTTTCCGGCACGAATTTCTTCCAATTCTGCCGCTCGATTCATTTCTTCGCGTCTTCGTCAACACAATCGAACGATTTCCTCCCCCAAATCTAGCAAAAGAAGCTGGTACTAGTGCCTCGCAAACGAGACCACCTGTTCTACGACCAGACGGCAAGACTATCCCAAAACACCTGTCAACAACTCAGACCAAGCAAGAATCCATTTCCCTGTCTTCGGAGGCGCAAGATGAACGGACCAGGCCATTCGTGTATCCTGCAAATATACTATCGGATATCAGGACCGTCCTCGCAAGTCTCGATTACATCTACACTGCGCCAGATGAACACGGATTTTGCAAACTCCCACGAACGAAGAACACCCCCTGGTCAAGTCCAGAAAACCAGGGTTTCCCTGAATCAACGAACATGCAAGCCACAAATCCAATCATCAAATCTACTCACGAGCCAGAACCATCGTCCCCCAACCCCAAACCCGCCTTCACCGCCTTCCCCTCCCCCATACCCTCCCCCTCCTCCAATCCCTCCTCACTAAACCAGCCCTCTCGCCCCCAACGCTCCCCCACCGCCTCCGCAAACACCTCCAATACCTCTTCCTCACCTGCATACCTCCCCTCTCCACCCTCCTCCTCTCCGCGCAGGACTACCAAAAACGCTTTCTCCCACCATCCACGCACCTCGCCCCCTCCATCCTCGAATCTGGCATCCGCGACCTCATGTCCGAGATCGATTCCAAAAAGCAGTTGCAGCGAGAGATGGAAGACATGGTAGCGTGGATCCCAGAACCACTGAAGGGTATCATGTTGCAGGATTATACGGTGGAGAGGCCGGTGGATGTGCGGGGCAGGGGGTATACGCCGAAGAGTGCGGGGGGGCGGAGGTTGGATAGGATTGCGGGGGCGGCGTGGACGGAGGGTGCGTTTGGGTCGGAGGCTGAGAGAGGGGAGCCGGTGTTTGTGGCGCCGCCGTATAAGCATCTGATGAATGATGAGAGGTATAGTGGGAAATTCGATGGGAGGAATTTGAGGTTTTATCTGGGTGGGGTAGGGAGGGCTGGGGGTGGAGAAGAGAGGGAGATGAAGGAGGTGGAGGGGTGGCCGGATGAGGAGTTTGAGTGGTTGGAGGCTTTTTGTCGTGTTGTGAGTTGGATGAAAGCGGAGGGTTTGGCGGAGGAGAAGATGACAGGTGGGTAGGGTAGAGGGTGAGAATGTGGAAGTGGGTTTGAGAGAATGTCTATTTCATTGGTCGTTATTACATATGCTGAATGATCTTATGCAAGCAAAAGGGGTATGCGCAAGTTGTATATATGTCGCTAAAATCAAAATGCCCCCGTCTCGCCTCACTCAATGGTGTTCATTTCCAATTCTGCCATGTACAACCGCATCCTCCACTTCCCCCATCAATGCCTCCGGGGCCCCCATCCTTGGTAGAGACCTTCACATCCCCAAAAGGTCCTAGTGCCGGATTCTCCAATTTCCCGCCAAATGCACGATCTTCAAGCTGTATCCTTTTGGAATCCGGAATGGGTTTTGCATCATTATCTAGTCCATAGCAGTATATCATTTTCTTGCCGATATCACCACCATGCCGATCCAATGTTATAGAGATGGGATAGGGAAAGGAGCCCGGGCGAGCAAAGTCATTTGCTGAGGAGACATCGGTACCGTTTCTCAAGTGTGTGACATTGTTCCCACTGTGATTGTCTGGGTGAGAAGGGGACGTGCTATTGCCCTGGAGCAAGGGAGCAGGACTCCCCTTATTAGTCCATATCTGTACGAGAAAGCGCGTCTGTGCCCAAGTGCAGCGGACGCTGGCACTTCTTTCCTCAGATCCGCCATCCCCGTCGTCGGGATCTGTCGGCTCAGTGTTGCCTGTGATTGTAGAGGCGTTCAGAGGTGCGGTAGATTTTAGGAAGATGGAGCGGTCGAAGTATGTGTAGAAGCCGTAGTGCTCGGAAGGGCGACCGCGGTCGAAGAGACGGAGGGGCTGGGAAGATGGGTAGGGGTACATTGAAGCGGGAGACGCCGTGCCGTCTGGATTTGTGTATGCATCAGGAATTGAGGTCGAGAGATCGGGAAATTGGTTGCTTGAATTTGAGCTTGATTGGTCGGAGGAGTCGTCACGTCTTACGAGGCGAGACGGTAGGGTTGTGGCAGGGTGAAAGGTCATGTAGAAGGGCGTGAATTCACCGTCGAAGGGCGCTTCAACTTTGTCGGTCGTGTCGCCGAGGAATGATTCGTCTTCTTGATTGGGAGGTGAGGGAGATGGTGAGCTGAGACCGCTGTTAAGTGTATCACGTATGCTAAGTAGCTTCGTACGGATCATATTACTGGCAGAAACTGCATTAGTGGCCGTATGAGCCCTCGTACTTAACCTAGACGCGTTCCCGGTCGTTGCGTTCGTGCCGTTCTGAAACCTGATTTCGATTCTGAAGTTTGGCTGGTTAGGAGCATTCGGCTGAATAGCCTGTTGATCCTCCTTTGGCAATGCACAACTCCACATAGTGGTTGGCTGTACACATCCTGACTCCTCATGAGCTGGATCCGGCTGGGCTACAGTAGAGAAACCAGTTGGTACGGGTGGATAGCCAGTGATGTTGAGCCACTGGGACTCAATAGGCGTTCTGTCCCCTCTGTGTGTCAAGGTCATTGCTAAAACCAAGATGAGGATGATGAGCAAGATAAGTGCAAGAGTAACGATGATCAACAGCCGCTTTCTTTTCTTCTCATGTTTCATTTGGCTTCGTCGTCGGGCTGGTGTTTGCTTTCCCTGAAGCAGCCTTTTCAGACGTGTTACTATTTTGGTTTTCATTGGTTCTTTTGGCGGTTGGTCACGTTTCTCCTTGGTCTGCCAAAGATAATCGGCTGGCTCATCTTCCCTCAGAGGACGAGCTGGCCGCGGTGGTGGCCAAAGGTCTGCAGTCGTGGTCAAACGAGAGCCACGCTTACTATAACCCGGATAGTAGTGGTTGGTTACGTGGAAGCTCTGAGGGGCGCCTGACGGGCTTGTTTCTCTCGAAGAGTGCAATTTAGACACTTCAGTCATAGCAATACCTCTGTGGGGTGTCTCGTCATGGCCTTGAGGAGTAGGTGTAGGTGGCGTAGGGGAGAAGGGTTCTTCGTATGTCTTGTGCCTAGGATTGGGAGGTAGACCAGAGATGAATTTGCGCGAGGGTGTCTCGTGCTCAAAATCGCGTTTGTTCTCAGGTGTAGTGTCTTTCGCGGGTAGTCTTGGTGGAGGTGTCGGCAAGGCTTTTGGCGTTGGGGCAGGTTTGTTGAAGTAAGGGGACTCATGAATCGATGAAGGCTCTTGAGAAAGCGATTCCTTCCTTGGAGGCGGGTTGACAGCGCGCACAGGCTCGGGGGCTTTCACTACTGGAGCAGCCCTAGCCTCCTGAACATCTGGGGTAGCATCCAGATCCTCAATCATCGTGGTCTCGCTCTCGGGCCTAGCTTTGGCCTTGGCCTTAGGATCTGTAGCTTCGCGAAAAGAAGCCGAGAAGCGATTGGTAGGTACTGGCAAAGCAGAGGGAATTGGTGATTCTTCTTTTGATTTGTCCCCTTTTGTCAGCTCATGTTTGGCCTCTCCTGGACCTTGTGATGCGGCAGGATCTATTGCCATGCCTCTTGCAATTGGCGGCGCTTGAGGCCCATCGACACCTCTTGGTACATAACCACCAATGCCTAAAGTAGAAGGCCAACAGCGATGGTTCTGACATTCGAAATACGGGGTAGTGCTGTGCATGTCATATAAGCAAGCTTCGAAATACTCAGATGACGCTCCTAGTCCTTGGAACGGACTTTGCGCCACGTAAGATTCAGGCTTGTTTTGTTTAGAAGTTGTCTTCAAATCTTCAACTCCGCTGTTTATTGGCGCACCAAAGCTCATTCGGCCTCTTTCTGCCTCCATGTCCACGCTTGAGTCAGTCCAGCTTGTATGCGCGCTAACGGCAACTTGGGACTTTCGATTTCGACCAGGGCTGTCGTCCACAATCTCAGCTTTCTGACTATGTCTTGGTGGAGATTTCCTTGTCGGTGTCGGAATTGGAGGTGCGTCCTCAACCTGAGGGCTGGAACGAAATTTGAGGCTCATTGGCGACTTAGGAAAGAATGGTGACTTTATGATGTTCCACCAGCCCTGAGATTGACGTTTATTTGCTAAGGTGTCTGCGGAGTCTGTTTTAGCGAGCATGTGCTGTTGTGAGTCTCGAGAGCCTGGCCTAAATCCTGCCGTCGCATCCGGGCTAGACTCCTCGTCGAAGATTGTGCAATTTGAGGTAATCTTTTCTCGATCCACCTTCTGCTCGTGCTTATTCTCACCCTTTGAGCCAGCTCGCAACGATAATGGGGGCACAGGAGGGACTTTAGATCCAGCGAACCGTTTGCTGCCAGGCGCTGGCATTTGCGAATAGACACTCGAAGCGGCTGTTCGACTAGGAGGCGAAGCTTGAGTCCGATCGGGAGGAGACCATGGAGGGACGTCTTTAGCAGGGGTTACGATGATTGACGGTGTGTGAGATTGCCGTTTTTCTTGCGCATGTAGATCAGAGCCCAGATTGTTCTCCTTCTCTGGGCTTTCTTTCGGCGAGATCGATAAGCCAATCACCACGGCTCTATCCGAAGGAGAAAGATTTGAAGATTTCGTCGACGACCGCTTGAGGTCATCCAATCTGCTTTTCGAAACCGAACCTTTGAGGTTCTTTCCAGAGCGTTGATGCCGTGGGGATGAATTCAGCTCTCCTTGCGATTTCCCCATCTCTGCACGAGGTCTATTCGCGGATTTTTGAGTGTGTGTCTGCGGTTTTGAGAGATTCGTGACGGCCTCAACGCCTTTCGAGAAGTCGGTGATCACATTCAAGCCTGTCCTTTTTGCCTTGCTTGACACGTCATTGCCAATTACTTTCCCCTCATTATTTCTTTTCTTTGGCTGCGAAAACCGTCTCTGGGCGTGATTGCTCTTGCCTGCTAGGTCGATTGGTTTGTCGAGGTTCCGTAATCTTGAAGGTTGTAGTGCCTCTTTCTGTGTTTGTGGCGGAGTATGTGATGGGTCTGACGTTGGTGACAGGATCTCCTCACCCATGGGCGAGCCGAATGGCATCCGAGGAATCTGCGGAGGTTTCAGTTGGAGCCTTTGGGGAGTGGCATTGTGAGGTTTCGGCCCGGTTGCCATAGTAAAAGAAGGCTGGATCGCTTCTATTGAAGTCAGTGATGCTGCAGTTATACTCATTCGGATCTTCGACTAGGATTTGCCAGATAGCTCATGGGTGACTCACCACTAGGATGGGCGACAAAGAAGATCTCACTTGTCAGGCATGGTCTTGAGTGAATGTGAACCGCGCTCACTTGTCAGTCTCATTAGCAGTCTTGGTGTCTCTGCTAGTTACTGTCAATAGTATCAATTTGCAGGCGGCATGTTGGCGGTCAGGTGGCAAATGTGTCGTCAATAGCAGACATCTTCAGATCAAAAGGAAAAAGATTGGGGTCAAAATCAGGGTACTGCTTGAAACATTCGATATTCTGAAGAAAGCAACTCGAAACCTCTACAGCAAAATTAGAAAGGCCATTGAAAAGAGTTCCGGGACGATCTAGAAGCTCCACAGAGCTTCCTGTACGATGGCCTATGGTTTATAGCCCGCATGGTCCATGACAACCACGCCGCCATCATCATTGGGTGATGGCGAAATAGGGTATACAACTCCGATACTATTTGCGGCCTGCGTGGCCCGCAAACCTTGCAACAATACCCATAGGATACTTAGACGCCCATAGGGAGAATCCTGTCAGATATCGTGTACTGGATGGTGGGCGGTAGAGAGATGAGGTTGAGTTGCATTGGAGACCAATCAAATCCATACTCGCAAAGGAGCGCTAGTGGGCTTTCCTGGCGCCAAGGCTATTTTTGGCTTGATAGTTGCATCTTGAAGGAATAATGAAGGATTGAGCTGCCACGCGATCACAACGTGCTAGAAGCTAATGATGTCTCGAATTGTTGGTATATAGGATGTCTGAGCTACCGCAATCGTTCACACTTTCCTGCCTTCGCGGCCGTCATTCAGAAGAGAAGTTATCGCAGCCTGCACGCCGATCCCAGATCTACAAGTTCTATGATACAAAGAATGTCTCTCAAGCTCGAAGGTATCCAATGCAATGATATCGTAATATGTCTTTTGATTTTGATGGCGTAAAGTCTGTGCCATATCGAAGTCGGAAAAGGCAGGTCCACCGAGACCCCTCCCATCCAGCTAATACATAGAATTCTTTGTAATGCTGAGCTAGGGTGAGGCCTCCTCTTCGATTCACACAATTATGCCTGTGCCGCACGGGCATACACCAACGCTTACTGATCGTCGTCATCATCGTCCTCAGGCTTCTTGTGCTTCTCCTTGAAGTCCCTAAATCTGTTAGATATTGAGTCTTTGAACCTCTCCCACCGAGAGCGGTTCAGCCTGTTGCTCAGTTCTCGGAAATTGTACATCTCGCCCCAACAGTCCCTGCCCCATTCACATCCTGCCATGTTGACGACGAAGTCTCGCTCCGTCTCAGAGTAGTGTATCCTGTCGTCCATGCCGTTGTCACTGCAGGCGCCCATGGGGAAGCTGTTGATCTTTCGTTGAGGTATGAAGGCAGTGTGGGTTCTGATCCAAGGTTGATTGGTGTAGAGATGCTCCAGAGAGTCTTGCTCTTTATGCTCCCACTCCATGTGTCTTTGCTCATAGCCAACAGGATCCCACCAAATATCCAGCAAACGATCGGTCCAGACAGATCGATGTATCATGAACGATCCGAGATTAAAGCCTCCACAATCTTGTGGCACGATAAGATCTATGGAGCTGGCTAAGCCGTTGCCAGTTGGTGACTTAGCCACATGATCAAGGTATATTTCTTTCATCGGGTGTGTAATATTAAGTGGATTGTAGGCGTTGATGTCGCGGTAGGTATTACCTACCAAGTCATTGAAAACATGCTTCTGTAGGGTATATGACGGCTCCATTATGAAGGTATTCAGGTCCATCCACCAGAACCTAAAATTAATTAGCCGCATGATGCAGAATCTGAGGCTGCTCTCTTACCATTCAGCTTTTGGGTATTTCCTCATGCAATTCCTGATCGTATCTACCTTCTCCCAACTCTCTCGCCATTCGTGGGCATAGCGCTTCTTGGTGCTCATATCGACTATCTCGAGCTCGTAACCCCACCGCTTTGCATACTTCTTCTTGTTCTTGACGCTGTCTCTTTCAATGGCCCACTCTCTTGGCCCCTTCCATTCCATGACTCCACCACCCTGATTCGCGGCAAGTATGATTACATATTTACTGCCCCCCTAGCCAGGATGTTCTTCGATAAACTCTGTGTAAGGCTAGGATAGCAGATGTCAGTCACAGGCTCAGTCTGAAAAGAGGTTGCAACATACGCGTTACATAAAACAACACGATTGATAATATAAAGCAAATTACAATTCCCAGTCGTAGCCGCAGCCGCCACGCCATTCGCCCCAACGTAGTAAGGAAGCGCATGATACGACCGCCATTTTGAGGGGGCCATCTCCCTCTTCCAAGTTTCTCTCTGTCGGAAAAGTCTCTTTTACCCATGCTAAAAGTCGGTAGGCTGGTTGATATCTTTCTTGCGTGTCTCGAGAAGAATCCTTGATTTTGAGTGGAGAAGGACGGATAGCCTTTCACTTCTTCACTTCGAGCTTTCGCAGACTCCCATGTGATACTAGTCCCGGCAGAGCCATTCAGGTCTCCATATGCTTTTCGTGGACTTGATTTCCCGCTTTCGTGTGGGCTAGCCAGGCCCGGACTTGACCAACCACCTCCACGTCTTGGCGATGGCGATCGTGATAAAGACATCTCGTTATAAGGAGTCCCAGGAATGGGCGGTAGGGACTGGCCGTAGCCGCCCGTAGAAGAGCTGGAGCCTATCCGATCGTTTGAGGTATTTGATCCAGACAGCTGCAACGAGGATGGGGAGTTCTTTGCCGCGACAGACGATGTCCGCCGCCGACGTTGCCCCCCAGCGGTTGTCTGGACAGAAGCCGGGGACGCCACAGTGATTCACGTGAGGTTCTTACTTCTTTTCTTTGCTGAAGGTGTGCGGACTGCGGCATCAATATTTTTGCGTTGATTCGCTCGAGGCTAAAGATAGACAAAGCGGATGGAGGAGACGTAGGGCAGTGGAATGTTTCGAATGGGCAAGAGCGCTCCTTGTACCTCAGGGCGACATTAACCAAGTTGCATCGCCACAGCGAGTATTAGGATGGTGATATATGACTCGAGGACGAGGTAGTTGGGGGAGTGGCCAGTCGTGTCTGGTAAGGGGTCTCAGGTGCGCAAGGGTACATCCGGCAGTCAGAATTTGTCGCCAGATCACAGCCAAGACTTTCAGTCAATCACGCCAATTTGGCCCAATCTTATCAGCCCCCGCAAGCGGCCCCTCGTCAAACTCGCCTGTAAGGCGTGTGTCTTGATGAGTCCAACTCATATAAAGGCATTGAGAAGGGCTGCCCTACGCAGTGGATGAGGGGTCGGCCTGATCACCCTCAGAGGTTTCCGTCACCTGTTACTCCACTTGCCTGACAGCATGCTTGGAGATTATGCGAGATGTTACGAGAACCAATGGAGGCTAGCTTCCGCCCAAAAGAGACTGCAATTTATGCATGCCGATAAGCCAAAATGAAGAGTTGTGATACGCTCATTAGACCTTCGTAAGAATAATTAATATATACTTCAAGCACTGCTTCCATTTCTCGTGATTCCCATCTAATCTGGTATTACCACAGCATCAGTACATGCCTCTTCGAGCCTTCTCATATTCATGCATGATGTGCGAAAGTAGTATGTTCTTGTTCAAAAAGAGCATGGCAGGCATGCTGCTTAACAATATCCACCTCCATTCGACCCAGCGTCCCTTTTAAGACTCGTGCCGCATTGAGGTTATACACTGCATACGGCTGTAAGGCATCGAACTAGCCTGTGGCTCTCTCTAACTGTGAGGCCTTTCCTGTCACCTGACAAAACACACTGTGTAGCAGATCGCATCACTCCCTAGAGTCATGCGTTAGCATTGCAAGCGCATGATGTCTGCAATTCTTACTCCATGCTTCGCTGTACGGATCGCCGTAGTTGTCGATTGTAAAGCTTCTTTTCGTCGGCGGAGCCCCAATAAAGCTTTGATGCTTCAGGGTGCACAAGTGTTCGTGGATCATAAGGTGTATCTGCATCCTCAATGGCTTCAACAACCGCATCAATGTGGCTTTTGACATCATCTTGGCGCTTTGGAATGTAGCAAAGAATCCCATCTTTGGTAACACGATGATGGTAGATTTTGGTCTCAAAGATCACTCGTGGAAGCTCATCTGGAAAGCGTTTGCTAAAGGCAATCTTGATTTTGAACATACCGCCTTCAAGATTCGTCATAGGCCGTCCAAAGAAGATGAGGCGCCACATGAACGGGTTTTGGTCAATAAGCTCCATGTCAAGCGTAACTACGTCGTTCTTTTTGTAGGATTCCTTGATCTGGTGAAACTGTCGCCCCATCATCGAAGCTACTGATGTGTCTTTGCGAACTTCCAAGGCACCTTCCCGTGCCCAATACTCGACCTCGCGAGTCAGGACGGCTTGAATTAGCTCCATGCGTCGCTTCAGCTCTGGGTAATAGAATTTTCCACCCATAGTGTTGCCACCTCCTTCGAAAGGCATTTGCACAAAATCTTGGTCGGGTTTGATTGACTTTTGCCCCTCTGCAATAGTGGCCATGTATGTATCGTAATACCACAGGAACCTTCGCTTGCACAAGTCGTTGAATGGCTCATATGGCGGAGCCGCTGGCTCTACATCATACTCCGTACGAATCACATTCTCTTCTAAGACGGGAAAGTCGTCGACTGTTCCATCAGAATGAATACCTAGATAGTCTTCTAATCGCTGGATGATCGCAATTCGGATGGTTTCGTGTCTGATCTGAATTGTTTCAGATAGGTTCACTTTATTTGCAAGAAGCTTGTTACCTTTGCTACGTAGTGGGCTTGGTTCTTTTTGTCATCTTTGCTATTCGCATTTTCAAAGCCCGGCTCATTCTCAAAAGGATTGGGAGACATTAGGCTTTGGATTGATATCAGAATTGATTCGAGACCTTGGGCAGATGACCACTCCTCGCCACGTTCGCCTCGCCACGTCCTGTACGGGTGTTTGTTAGCGGAACATTCAATCTTGTCTTGTAGCATACCCCAAGATCGATCTGCGTCAGTTAGCCCATGGATATCACATTTTTCGGCGCCTACCTACAAGCAAACCTTGCCACCTGCATAGATATTGGGATTGAAGCGACATCTGCCGCCGTTGGTCGTTCTTGCTAGCACAGATGGCGACTTTCCGGGATATTCTATTGCAAGTCGGAAGGGCTTCCCAAGTCGCAAACATGGACACCAACGAACCTTGTGGGAATTTGATACTGAACTAAAGTTCTGAAGATTAGCCGCTACGGAATTGAAAAGCTGTGCTTTGTGCGGACCTCAAAAAAGCCAAATTCATATGGTGTATCTGGAGGACCTATTATAAGGGCCCTGACATTCCGTATGTCGCTGTCCCGACACGTTGCCGTGATTGCTGGAGAATTGTTAGATTTAGTGCAGCAAAAGAGCTCCCACAGGGCAAGCCAAGCGTACATAAATCTGTGTTCTTCTGGATGTCGTGCAGTTCCTTTCACCTTCAGGATACCGCTCATCTAGATGCCAGTGATGTTGAACTCACTTTAGAAATGCGAAAAATGCTGTGGTCAGCCATCTGGCCGTTGATAAGCAGCGGTGAAGGATCTCGAGACGGTTGGCCCAGACGTCAAAGGATTCGTAGAAGGGTTGAGCTGGAAGTATCACGAGCAAAGGTTCTTCATGAGTCACAGACGAGGCAGAGTGGCAGTGCACTTTAGAATACTTTAGAGCCTCACGACTTGCAGAGAAGGCTGTGGGACCCAGGTCTGATATCGTTTCGTAACAGATCTTTGTCGGGCGAGGACTTCTGAGAATCTTCCCAGCAATGGCTCTTCTTCCAATCTTGGTTTAGCACGGTAATAAGCTGCTGCAATAGGGTAAAGCGAATAACCATGGTACGGAAGTCATCACATTGAGAGGCAGAATACGGTTGGTGGAGCCTGGAAAGCTGGAGCAATGCCCTCAGCCCTACCCGCAGCTGGCGACAGATATCTGACAATGTACAACCACAGGACAGGTGGAGGAACGAACGCGTAATGCGATGAATACTTCAAAATCAAGTATATCGAGACCCTCATAGCATCTCTAGATATCTTTTGGCCTTTCATCAGTTGGCGGCAGCCGGAGACTGAAACCAGAAGATTATGACCTTTATAGTCCTAATAGGGGGCGGCTCCCCACTATTCATAGGCTAATTTCAAGCTAGGGAGATCATGGAAACATCATTGATCTCGTGAAATATTTCGAGCCTTCAAACTCGTCCAAAACCTCTGTACACCACCTCTGTCGGCCCATCTGGCTTTCGCATAATCATCTACACGGCTTTGCGCTCTCATTGCTCGTCACCATCGACCAGACAATCAACAGACTAGCTTGGGGCCTTTGGTGGAGATTGCTAGAGGTCAAGAGCTGCGCGCGCAGGAGCAGATCCCATACACCCGTTTCTCATCACTACCGTCCTCAGTCGCTCCTTGGAATCACTCAACTGTCCGACGAACCCATTTGGCGTACGTGACACTGGCGCCGCGACCGAGCCATACCTCGCGGTTACAATCATCCATGCGCACAACGGACGGCGTTTCACTGACGAAGATCTCATAGAGGAAACTAATTCGACAGTCTTACACTCGGGTGGCAGACTGGGGCACATTCCCTCACAATTTGATGGGCACAGGATACAGGCCCTGAAGCCTGCTGGGTCGGCTGTTGACCCATAAAAATCGTACAAGAGTAGGACACAAGATTGCTCAAAGAGCCTCGAGTCTACTTGAATAATACTGTAGAAGGGGTGCTTGCATCATCATGATCAGTCCGCACGCTGAGTCCAGAACTTCTACAGAACGAGCTGCTAGGGACGGCGGTTACGGTTATCAAGGAGGCTATCGACAACAAAATTATCAGTCTCCAAACATTCCATCCAATGCAGCCTATGCTGGCGGTAGAAACGGCTTTGGACCCGTCGATGTTCCCGTACGAAACGGCAGCGCCTCTGGACCCGCAAACCCTGCACAAAACGGCAATCTTGCTCCGACCAACGATCCGCGTGGTGGTAGAGGACGACTTCCAAACACAGACGCTCCTCCAAGAGAAAGATCACGGACCGGTGGAAAAAGTAGTGGACCAAGAATATGTAAGAAGTGTGACCAGCAGTTGACTGGGCAGTTCGTGAGGGCTCTCGGAGGCACGTTTCATTTAGACTGCTTTCTCTGTCGAGTGAGTTTCCTCAATAGCTATGTGCAGACGTCGTACTGATTCTCCAACAAGGATTGCGGCCAAGTCGTAGCTTCTAAATTCTTTCCAGTTGACGAAGAAAACGGCGAAGGCCAATACCCACTTTGTGAAGTAGACTACTTCCGACGTCTGGACCTCTTATGTTACGAGTGCGGGGGTGCATTGCGCGGGTCATACATCACTGCTCTAGACAGAAAATATCATATCGAGCATTTCACCTGCTCGGTATGCCCAACGGTATTTGGCGCTCAAGATAGCTACTACGAACATGAAGGAAAAGTCTATTGTCATTACCACTACTCTACGCAATATGCGCAACGGTGCAACGGATGTCAGACGGCGATTCTTAAACAGTTCGTGGAGATCTATAGAAACGGACAGAACCAACATTGGCATCCTGAATGCTATATGATCCACAAGTTTTGGAATGTACGGTTGGCACAAGGTCCAGAATCAGAATTGTTACAGTATGATGAGAATGCTTCTGCAGAAACAAGGGATAGGGTCAAGAATGAAGAAGAACATATGGAACACAAAGTCTATCAAATTTGGAGTGTGTTGTCGGCCTTTGAAGAATCTTCAGCGGCATGCATCTCGGACATGCTCTTACATGTCAGCAACGGAGCCTACATGGAGAGCGTTATGGTAGCTAAGAAATTCATTTGGCACGTCGACATTCTATTCGCTGCAACAGACCGCTTGGATCAATTAGTCACGTCAGAAGGCTCCAAATGTAAGTTATACCTCCTGTTGGTCATTGGTTATCTAGCTAACCAAACAGCGCTTTCATATGGTCGGGAAGCCAAACTACTGTGCAAGAAAATCGTCGCATTCTTTACTCTCCTCTCAAAGTCCCAGGAAACTGGTGTTCGAAAGCTCGGCGTTACGCAAGAGCTACTCTCTCTTGTGACAGGCCTGGCCCACTACTTAAAACTCTTGATACGCATTGATCTCCAGGGGTCCTTAAGATTGGAGAAGGAAAAGCAGAGTGCTGCAGGTCTCAATCAGTTCCTCAAAGATCTTCAAGATCTCGATTCTCTGAAGGACGCAGATCAATCTTTGAGTATGACAGCTGGTGTCGTCGAGTTGGCGAAAGATCAATCGGACCTGTGTTACCGATGTCAGGAGTCAATTGACGAAGAGTGTGTAAAAATGGATCAATATCGCTGGCATAAGAATCACTTGCTTTGTGAGTACTGTCAGAGTATTCTTGGCGATAGCATGAACGAGGCGCTCTGGAGCACTAGAGAAAACGTGGTGGTATGCCGAAGATGTCAAAAAGAAAAACGGAAAGCATCTGACGCAGTGGCTCCTTTTGAGTCGATCTCACGCCTGCAACAATATGTTTATCTGCTCCGTGTCGCTCTAGCCCGCTTGTTGTCAGTACTTCGTAAGGGTGGTGCTTTGCCACATACTTCAGGTGAGTGGGCTTCCACTTCTGGAAGCTATGCGACTAACTACAGATCTGTCAGACGACCCTAACTTGCAAACCTACGACTCAAATGAAGGCCACAAACTGAACGACAGTGGCCAAGTTAATCCCCCGTTATTACGGGCTGGGTCAAGGTCAAAATCATATGCCGGCACAGCATCGGCTACAGCGGAGGACAGGACATCAACATACGAGCAGACAGTAGGCGAAATGAAGAGACTGCGCTCAACGCGCATGGATACTCAACTATCAACCAACCTGAAGACAGCGCGAACGTCACGAATACTGGATGGCCCCGAGGCAAGTGGCTCTGGTCAGGGCGGTCCAGGAAAGACCAATGGACTGCGGATAGAGGAGGATAAGAGCCCCAAACCCGATACTGTTTCCAATCTTACCTTTGGCAACGCGGACGCGCTTACACTCGACGACATTCCACGAATCGTTGCCGCCGAGCAAGCAAAGGAGCAACGGCCAAACGCCTATAAGCATGCTGGCCAGTCGTTGATATCTAGTGGACGACAACCAAAACTGCTCTCTGCTCATCAGAGAAGCGTATCAGATGGAAACAACCTCGACCTACCAGGAAACGACTCTATACCACAACGGACCAAGAGATACTTTTCTGAACTCTCCGCGCTCGAGTACTTTATTGTAAGGCACGTTGCAGTCTTGTCAATGGAGCCACTTCTTGAAGGTAACTATAATCTTGAAGATCTTCTCAATCTTATTGAAACGAGGAAGCCGACGTTCTGGGGCAAATTTGGTAAAGCCTTTGCCAAAGGCGATCAACAAGCCTTTGAGAGGAATGCGAAGCCTAAAGGCGGCAAGAAGAAGGGAGTCTTCGGCGTTCCGTTGGATGTTCTAGTGGATAGAGAAGGTGTCGAGTCTACCTTTGGAGTGGGTCCAGGTGCTTTGCGAGTGCCAGACGTGATTGATGAAGCTATTTCCGCCATGAGAGGCATGGATATGTCTGTTGAGGGAGTCTTCCGTAAAAATGGAAATATTAAGGGACTGAGAGAACTAGCCGAGAGGCTTGATTCTAAAGCAGACGTGGACTTGTCCAGGGAGAGCCCAGTCCAGGTCGCCGCCTTACTCAAGAAATTCTTGAGGGAACTGCCCGATCCTCTGATGACACACAAATTGTATCGACTGTTCATCACCTCCCAGAGTAAGTCTGCTCAGTGTGAGTGCACCTTGCACGACTAATCCGAATAGGAATAAATGACCTCGATAAACGACGTAGAGTGTTGCACTTAGCATGCTGTCTTCTACCAAAGACTCATCGGGACACGCTAGAAGTCCTGTTCGCATTTTTGGTTTGGGTCTCTTCGTTCTCGCAAGTTGACGAAGAGAGCGGCAGCAAGATGGACACCCACAATCTTGCTACGGTCATCGCACCTAATATTCTGAAAGAAAAGCCTACAGCAGCTGCGGCTATGGACGATAGTAGTTTTTTGGCAATAGAAGCGGTGAATTGCATTCTTGAATACAACGATCAGATGTGTGAGGTGGGTAAAAAGTCACGAATCCCAACAATTTTGTCTAACGGTTTCATGCAGGTCCCAGAGGATTTGCAATCTATTCTGAATGACTCCTCATTATTCAACAATAGTTCTGACATTACCACGAAAGAGATCCTCAAGCGCTACGGCGATATTGGCCGACAGACTCACAAACCCACGATTCATGAACGTCCCGACTCTCCACCACCTCGGTCGAAAGACAGCAACAATACTCCCCAATCTGCGAAGGCGGCGGCCCCTATCATCACTCACGTAGACACTGATCCCTACCAATCCTCTGCTTGGCCAAAGGACTCGAGTGTCCGGCACGTGCAAGGTCAACAGCAAGATCTACCAACATTTCCCTCTACGTCAGACAACACGCCGCCCCAGCATTTTGACTTCTCGAATCCTGCAAGCCCATATCATCGCAGAGGAGGTAGCAGCGAGAGTCAAGTGAGTGGTCACTCCATGAATGGGTTCGGTCATGGGTACAAGCCGTCTAGTCTTGGCAAGCCTAATGGTCATGGTGCGACTGGATGATCCGTCTTTCCCACTAGATCGGTAAACGAAGGCCTACACTTTGGCCACTTCGAAGGCACTCATCAATGAGGCATGGTGAACGCGGAGTAGCACAGGACGTCATAAAACAGCCAGAAAGAGGGTTCTAAAGGGTCGGAGTCGACCAGAAGGAACCCCTTCCCGAGCAGAGAGGCGGGACGACCATATCAATGATTGGGAGAGCCTGCATCGACTAAGCACACCCTCAGGCCAAACCATACGAGCAATGAGACACAATCACTAGCGCAGCGATTCCTCTTGGACAAGCAAAATCAGCGCATTACGAATGGCTGGCATGTCATGTGCATGGGGCGGAAGGGGCGTTTGGAAAAACTGTTCATGAATGCTTTTGTTGAAAGGCAACTTTTGATGAATGTTCTGACGAGGCGGTGAAAGCCGTTCTTATTTTCTCTGCTTTTGAATGTCACAGGGCTTCTTCAGGCAGTCGAGGCGAGTTGTCTGCTGGCAAATAGGTACTCTGTATAATGTGAAATGTTCTGATTGGTCTTTTCGTTGCTCATCAATACTCTGTCATTTCCTTCTCCATGAAAAAGTGCAATGTGGACCTACTACTTCAGGTAATGCCCCGTCGTTCGCGCTTTGCAGTTCGCAGATCCTGTCACGTCTCAGGTCAGTCTTGGGTGCTTCTGAGACAATTCTGGGATACAACATCCCGCAGTCACCCGGCGTTCTATGAATCTCCAAACCCAGGCCGGACAACCACTGACTTTCTCGGCGACACAAAACACGCCCTGGGGCCAGAAACGTACAGACGGGACGGGATCACGAGCGGCTCCATCTTTCCTATTCCTTGGCGGCGTTTTGCATCAGATTTCTATACGCGCACAGCGAAAGCATCAGCACCCAACAAAGCCTCCACTCAGGAAGCTCAAGCTTTTCTACTCCAAGACGTACGAAAAGGGCAAGTAGCTGTCAGTAACCTTGTCCCAGAGTGCTACAACCTAACGTCTACAGTCCCGTGCCCGTACTCCACAGAATTCGCCCTGACGTACGAGCGATGCCATGAAACCCATTTCGCCCCCCCATAGTGCTGGAGGTATGCAATGAACGGAGCACGCTCTGCTTCAGCTTACGAGATTGGATGGTCGAGCAAGAGTGAGCAGAGGTAGGTGGGTAGGTGGGTTGGTTTGCTCCTCTGGATTGACGTCAAGTCAGGAACGAGGCCGGAATATAAAGGTACCATATTTCTCGACCAGTCATGTCAGTAATCTTAAGTTGAACAAGTCCTTTTCACTTTCGTTCTAGATCTCCTCGTTATTTCTTCGCCCACAGTGGCTGTACCATAGCACTTCTTCATCAATTCTAATACCTATCCTCATCCCACCCCACCCATATACATCACACACTTCCCCATCGCCCACCACCTACCAAATAACAAACACAGAATGCAACTCCCCACCCTTAACCTCCTCCTCCTCCTCGCCCTCACCACCACCCCCCTCATCACCTCCCTCGCCCTCCCCAACCCCAACGCCCACCCCGATACAGAAATCCTCACAAAACGCTGCGCGGCCTGCCACGCTTCCGGCGCGCTCTCCAACAAATGCGGAGGCAGCTGCCCCTCCGTGTCCGCCTCAGACTTCACCTCTGCCTGCCAAAGCGTCGGCATTAACGCTCTCAGCGGCGGCCTCGGAGGCGCAGGCGGCATCATCGGCAGTCTTATGGGGAGTATTGGCGCTAGTCTCGGCGGCTCTTTTGGTCTCGGAGGCGGTGGTAGTGCGAGCGTGGGCACTGGCGGTGGTAGTGCGAGCGTGGGCACTGGCGGTGGTAGTGCAAGCGCGGGCACTGGCGGTGGTAGTGGCGGCGTGAGTGTCGGGGCGGGGGCGGGTATCGATCTCGATATCAGCGCGCTGCTGAGCGCGAATGTCTTCTCGAGTGGGCAGTGGGGCAGTGTTTGCTCAAAATTGGGCATTCCGCAGGATAGTCAGGCCGTGACGGTGCAACCGGCAACGTCGACTACGCAGCAGTCCGCGGCGCAGTCGCAGTCGGCGGATACGTCGAGTTCGAGTGGGAGTACGGGGGGTGATACTTCTAGTGGGGGTGAGTGCGGTGAGTGTGAGTCGTCTTAGTTGTTGTGCTCGGGGTTTCAGGGGGCATGAAAAGGGGGGAGACGTAATGATATGGGCTGAGCGTTGGGAATAAGCAGGTAATGGTTAATTATTGGGTACAAAAGCTTTAAACCTAGTATAAGGAGGTAATATCATCAATCATCGATCATCAATCATCAGACTCGTCAGTGCTTTCATTTACATCACCTTCAATTTCAGTCTCGACTTCATCACTTTGCTCACCTTCAGCATCAAGGTCTTCCCCTAACTTATCTTCCTCTTCGGGCTGTTCTTCGATCTGAAATTCACCAACGATATCCCACCGGTCACTCTTCGCGCTTTTGCTGAGATACTTTACAAACCGCATGGTGTTATTATCTCGGAGAACGATTCCAAGCTTATTCCATCCCATCGGCATCGTGAACAGCACGGCGTCATCATCGTCATCTTGCGCTTGATAGATTGCGGGATCTGCTTTCAACTTTCGAGCTTTTGTCGCTCGCCCTCCAGTGCTCATGTCCGCCGGTACTGTGACTCCAGGATCACTTCCTTCGTCTCCATCTTCCGCATCGTCAGTGGCCATGTAGGCTAGATAGCCGCCGACTTCTGTCTCCTCACCAGACTCTTCGACATTAGATGCCGATGCATCATCCTTAGCTTTCGTGCTGCCAGTCGGTGAGCTTTCTGCAACTTGTGTAGGAGACACAAAAGAGGGCGTGATGGCAAGGCAGATTTCAAGCCGCGGTTCATCTTTCTCATATCCTTGAGCTAAGGTGTAATCGTAACCCCTGCGGAATTGACGTGCTATGGAATCGTGTGACAAGGGTTGTTGACCCGTAGCCAGACAGAGCCATTTCCGAAAAGCGGACGAAGGTATGAGGTCGTCCAGAATTTCTTGCATTGGAGACTTTGTCGAGGGCTCCCGTTGGTACAAGAAGCGGTGCTTATGAGGAGGACGAGCAACATCCCACTGAGCGTCATCCTCACTCCTGGGCAGCGAAGTAATATAGTCATACAATCTTGAAGAGAAAGTTCTGGAGAAGAATTGGTCCAGAGTGATAAAACAGTCATCGATGAATGTGCTATTCACTGTCTCCAAGGTATCAGGCGTCAAGTACGTTGGAGCCAGAAATTTCAAAAGATGGTCGAGATCGGCTTCAGTCAAATCTGGAGCAATTGCTTGCTCTGTGTCTGCTTTCAAGTCATCTGGATATGTCACAATGCATTGTTGCGGTCTATCATGGACATCTGCTGTTCCTTGAAGTTGAGCTAGACTACTCTTCTCCGCTATGCTGGCCTCTTCGCCTGCATTGTAGCCATCCTCACCTTCCTGAGGAATGTGATACCATCCACTTATTGCTATGCGTGTTCTTGCATCATCCGATTCATGATTCGCCTCAATTGACCTGGGATACACTTCTTCTACGTCATGGAAGCTTTGTCCAGGCTGGACGGCGAAGAAACTCAATTGATTAAAGGCAGGAGGTATGGACACAGTGTGATCAGGAGATGGCACAAGCAATTCATGGCCTTCCTTGTCTTTCACATGGTTTGTAGGAAAAAGTCTGAGTGCGCCCCCCATTCTGCCTGCCAGGGCGCATCGGGATCTGTCAAATAAAGGATATAGCTGATACGTCTTGTTCCAATCACGTCATCATGGCAAAGAAGGTGGCAGCCAGGCGTGTAAACATTGATAGCCATATCGGTCTTCTTGCCTGACACAGCAGAGGAGCCGGTGACCTCACACAGATATCTTCTGAAATCCTGCGAATACATAGCATCACGCAATTCTTTGAGCGAAGGTAAAAGCCTGAGAGAGGCATCATCAAGCCCATCAAGATTAGCTAGGTCTCCAGACTGATGAATCTTGTAGATGTCTGTCTCTTTTGGCGTGAACGAGAGGTTGCCTTGAACTTCAGAGCGAACTTTTCGAAGTAACGCAGGATCGATAAGATCTGGAATGACGCCATGCTTGTAGCTGATGATTGTCAGACGTTGATTCTAGCCTTATGCTTGGCGCATCTCACGGAGTAGAAGCATCATAGTGCCCACGTTGCTTTGCAGTTGCTGCTTTGTCGAATAGCCCTGGGCGGAAGTGATGTCTATCAGATTCTGAGCCATTGCTTTCGCGAACTTTCCTTTTGGGGGGCGTTGGATCAATTTCGACATCCTCGGCCTTTCTCTTCGCCATTGCGAATACTTTGGCTCTATCGGGCTCTTCAATGGCGACCAAGGCTGCTGCAAAGAGGACTGTGGGAAAGTCGCTCGTTAGAATCTCGATCAACGCCGGGTAGCCATAGTGGACGACATGCGCCCACAGGGACTCCGCATTCATCAAGGTTCGCTGGAAGACCATGCCTTATGAATTTCAATTGCCCACGACCTCAGGTCTTTCTTTCACTGCAGCATTTAGCAGTGAAACGCATCCATCGCTACCTCAAGTGGCCACAGTTCAACGGAACGTGCTTCGCAATGTCTTGAAGAAATATAAACGAACCCCAGCTTCGGCCAAAGCCTCTGCTCTGAGTACTGTTCAAGCAGCTCTGAACGACTATATTCCTTATCTGCTAGCTTTTGATGCGGGTCTGTCTGGTAAGCCAGTCAGCGGTGAGGATATTGATGTCTCCCTACGTAAAGAGGTGGAAGTACAATGGCGTTCCACTCTTTCGTCTACCTTCGTCGGGCGCGATCCGCCACGAATGAACGGCAGAGGCCTTGACTTTGAAATTCAGTTTGCTCTGACATGCCTAGCCTATACTCACACCCTGCTTGCTCGCTCGTCTCTGCTCACGCTTTATGCTTCAACGTCCCCGTCGGTTGACGAACGCGTCAAAATCGTCCAAAGCGCAACGAAGCACTTTCTGGCTACCAACTCTATTCATGTATGGCTGGCAACTTGTGCAATGGAGATAGATGCCTCGCAGGCTGTCATTGAGACGCTATCCCAGACGCAATCTGCACTTGCTGCTCTCGCAATGGCTGAAGCTACTCTTCTCGCTGTGTTGAAAGACGACCCATATCCTTTTGTTATTGCGCAGTCTAGAGATAAAAACGACAAAGATTGGATGATCAAAGCGCCGGAGATACCAAAAGTGCGTGCACACCTCTTCGCTCGACTTTGTTTATCGGCATATGAGCACGCTGGAAGGGCCGAGGCTGGCTTGAGTGGAAGTGGCAGGGTCGGCACAGATGTGCTGGAATATCTCAAAGATCTAAGAAAGACAGCACTGGCAAAGGCTGGTAGGTTCTTTGGTATCGATGCGGAGCTTGCAGGTGAGACTGGCAAAGGAATTGCATGGTTGAAGGGAGCAAAGGCGCAATTAGGGTTCAAGGACGAGGGTCATGAGGAAACGACTGCTTTTGCGAAGTTGAGAGGTCTGAGTAAAAACATCAGAGAGAAGCGTGAGGACAGGAAGATTGAGAAAGGCGGGCAATTGGGAGGCGCCGCTGGAAGATTGGAAGAGCTTGGTGTTCTTGGACACTTGCAAACGAAGTGGGTCAAGATGAATGACACTGTATGCTCCGTTTTTGTGGATGATGCATGTTGTAGATCTGATAGTGCAATAGATGAATACACAGCTGATACCACCCTTCGAGCCACTTCTTGCCAATATGCCGTCCGGTAGAGACATCCACTCATCGCAGCCTTTCGTCAAGCCGACACTAGATGAAGAAACACTGTCAAGGCTACGAGCTCCACCAGAGAGAGCCGGTCTGCTGGACGACGGCCAAGACATAGAGAGCAGTGACGACGATGACGATCGAGCGAAGCATAGCGCTGACATCCCGGGCACATTTCCCGGAGGCTCGACACAGAGCACCGAGCCCTATTACTGACACGAGAAAAGGACAATCGGAAGCGATTTCTGCTGCTTCTAAAGGCGTGAAATACGGATTTAGCCCATCATTTCAATTCTTCATCCTGCTATTCTTTCACCAACTGACGCCATTGCCGTAATAGTACATTTGCAATTCTGTGCCATCACAACTCATCACTTCTTCTGCTGCGGCGTAGGTGCACTCAGAATGGGCTCGTCTTTCGGGATATAGTTCTGCTGCTCAAACAGATATCCACGTATCTTCGTATCTTTCAATGCCGCAAAATATCGTTCTGCGAGTTCGAATTAGCAAATCTGGACCTCAATCTTCAACCACCGCTATGGCCTTAAATGCTTCGAACTTCTCGCGATCTTTGTATGAATGAATTAAAGCGGGAGGTACCTCTTAAATGCCCACATTTCTCCAGATGGTTGACCCCTTCGCGGTAGTAGCACTTCCCCAGCTCGTCCCTTATAAGCCTCGCCATCATTGCCTTCACCCATTGCTCGCGTATGATTGCGTCCTGTGCAGCTTTGAGAGACGGTGTGTCATCGTAATCTACGCCGTCGAAAGTGGGAGGTACTTTAGGCTTTTGAGAAAGGAACATTGGGGATTCAGGTGTTGGCATCGTGAAGAGCTTTGGCGACAACCAGACACAAAACACGATTTGAGGCCTTTTGATATCCCTCTGTAAGCTTCACATGAGCAAGTCGTGCAGTCAGAAGCTCTGCTTAAAGCGAAACGAGCGATTAGAGCATCGCGCCAAGCTCACTTGTCTACATACCTCATACTTTTTGACCCCCTGCTTAGAGGGAGCTAGCGCCTTTACATACGAGCTAAGCTTTGTATGGCCTGGTCTTCGCGCTAGCCTGTCTAGCCTGGGGACTAGCACGCTTCAGGAGGCAGAAACTCACGACACTGGTTTTATATCTTTCGGACGCGACGATTGGATTTCGTTATTCGCAGAACCTCGGCATGGATCTCATTTGCCATACCCCATTTCTCCTCCAAGAAGGCTTTGTACGGTCTGAAAACCTCGTACTGGCCTGATTTGATCTAAAGCTACTGCACTACTGCTCCAATCCTCCGCGATGGCCTTTCTCGGCGGAGCAGAATGCTCAACAGCAGGCAATCCTCTGACGCAATTTACGAAACATGTACAAGATGACAAGTCGTTACAGAGGGATCGACTCTTGGGACAAGGGTCTCGAGGGGTACAGGAAAGCTTCAGGAGTCAGACGAACGATACAGGGCAGGATGAAGTGAGCTTTTGAAGACTCCAAGCTCTATCATCACTTTCCTGACCATATTTAAGATGATGCAGAATTTCCTCCAGGAGAACAATCAACTTTCACAGGAGCCAATTTTAGAGCCTTTCGCCCTCGAACAGATACGGAGAGACCTTGATGGCTACCGTGTGAGCTCACCTAAGGTAGACACAAACGGTTGGGCTGCAGAGTACGATCCTGGTCAACAGGACCGATTGGACGCGGCATTCCAAGCTTCAAGAACAGGAGGCTTTGTACCACAGGGCTTCAGTCCGTCAGAATTTCAAAAGTTCGAAATGATTCAAAGAAATGCGCATCAACGAGTCGGTAGTCCCAATTCCCGGCCGGGCATTGGAACACATGGATTTCAGAGACCGCTGGGCATAGGCTTTGGGATGGGCCTAGGGTCAATGGGCTCGCAATATAGGCCTATGAACATGCAACAGCAACCTTCAAGACGGGCTGAACAGTCAAAAGGGAAAGGTCGCATGGTTGAACTAGACGATACCGAGTGGGAAAAGCAGTTCAAAGAGATGGATCAAGCCGACCAAGGTCAGGCCATCGACACGGAGGCAAGAGCGGCTATGGAGAGAGGACTTAATCAAATGGACAGGTCAGTTCTCTCGGATTCAGAAACCAATCTTGGTGATTTTGAATCAATATGGAAAGGCATCCAAGCTGAAACGGCAGCAAGCAGAACCCTGAATGGTATGCGTAATGGCGAGGAGCTTGGCCTACACATGGGGGACGACCTTGATGGTATCCTCAACAATGTAAATACTTGGGATGCTTTCGACGGCCACTTCACGGACCACATGCGAGACCCGCAGTTAGGAAATTACACGTTCGAAGAAGATAACCCGTACCAAGGCACGGCGAACCCGTACGAGGAGGGCTTGAAAATTGTGCATGAAGGAGGCAATCTCAGCTTAGCTGCTTTAGCCTTTGAAGCAGCAGTTCAGCAAAGACCAGACCATGTGGCCGCTTGGTCATCACTGGGCTCAGCCCAGGCACAGAATGAAAAAGAAACACCTGCCATCCGCGCTCTGGAGCATTGTATCAAGCTAGACCCAGGTAATCTACCAGCTTTGATGGGCCTAGCCATCTCCTATACGAACGAGGGTTACGATAGTACAGCATACCGGACACTGGAGCGCTGGCTTAGCACCAAATATCCGCAGATCATCCCACCTGGAGGCCTCAGCGCCGATACTGACCTTGGCTACACAGACCGTCACATCCTGCACGAGAAGGTCACGAATGACTTCATTCGCGCGGCGCAGCTTTCTCCAGGAGGCGAGCATATGGATCCTGACGTGCAAGTCGGACTTGGTGTACTGTTCTACGGCGCAGAGGAGTATGCAAAGGCAGTGGATTGCTTTGAAGCCGCGTTAGCCTCTGCAGAGGAAGGTAGCACAAATAGCGACTCGCAAGCACACCTCCTTTGGAACAGACTCGGCGCCACACTTGCAAATTCCGGCCGGAGCGAGGAAGCTATCGATGCGTACGAGAAGGCGCTTTTGCGAAATCCAAATTTTGTGCGCGCGAGGTACAATTTGGGTGTCAGCTGCATCAACATCGGAGTGTATGAACAGGCCGCGCAGCATCTCCTTGGTGCGCTGTCGATGCACAGGGTCGTGGAAAGGGAAGGACTGGAGAGGGTCAAGGAAGTCGTTGGTCGAGAAGTAGAGGAGCAAGAGGTCGAGAGGATGGTGGCAATGAATCAGAGCACGAATCTATTGGAGACATTGAGAAGGGTGTTCCAGAGCATGGGGAGGAGAGATTTAGCGGATAAAGTAGAGGTTGGCATAGATGTTGAGGCATTTAGGGGGAGTTCGATTTCTGAGGGTGAAGATGGTGTTGGAGATTTGCGTGCCAGATTACGCATGGATAGAAGCAAGAACAGCGTTTTGGATACGATATGAATTTCAAGATATACTAATGAGATGGTATGTTATCCTGGCCAAAAGTCTCACCACTCCTGCATTTGGCAACGAAATCTCAACTCTTTGTTTCCGAGCCGTCCAATCTGTTACATGGATTTGACCTCCAGATTGACCACAATCTTGGACGTACGATTCTTTGCTCCTTTCGGATCTCTTCGTCAAAGGAATGTTGTCGAACGGCTCATGGTGATCTGAGGAGGCCACCTGATTCCTCCGACTGAGCATCAACGATCAAAACACACCTGCCGCACTACCTTCACTTCAAAATCTGCTACAATGACGACTAGAGATTCACTGTTCTGCATAGCTTCAAAAGAGATACTAGCTGCTAGTAAACTCGGTTTCATGATAACGTTTGCCGCAAGAGCTTCCTTTGTTTGGGTGTTGTCTAGTCTTGTCGCCCCTTTGTACTCTGCTATTCCATTGTTCTGCCTCTGCGAATAGCAGCCTTAGCCTGGAGGCCACGCATTTGGAAAGAAATTTCCTTTTAAACCTTGCGTTGCTATGGATCATTCGCTCTGTTTTACGTTTAAAGTAAAGCAACTGCCTTTTTCAATCTTTCTTCAAGAAATGCCTACTTTGCGACTATCTATTCGCTATACGCGTTCTTTAACACTAGGCTTTACGAAGATCGGTAACACATTCACTAAGTTTGCCTCAAGGCTGCCTTTGCCTATTTCTGAGTGTCTTCCTCTCTCGTGTTCACTGTTCACATGATTGGAATTCACGTTCAAGGTGTCTTACATTGTCACCAGAGCACGTTGACGGCGGTGGCGACGCGTGTAACAATGCAGAGTGATTGTGATTGGTTTGCAGAAGTGTTGTATGCTTGAGTGTCTGTTATTCCACAGCTATAAAGGCTTCCCATTGTCCTGCAAGTTTTTCTTCCTTTCCAACATTGTCCGAACTTTCTTTGTACCATCCATATTCAACCCCAGACTCGTACGACCATACCAGCTTAAGCACCTATCTCTTGTGCTACTTCACATCACAAAACCAACGCCTTGTCGATCTTCCTCCTTTGAACACCTCCATTACATGAGAATAATCATTCTTTCTCTTCATGACCGCTTTGGATTTCGGCCATTCCCTTTCTGGCGACAAAAAACTATCTGATCACTTCTGATCGATTCTGATCTGACACTGAGTGGCATCACCATGTCAGAGACCCTAGGACAGGTGCTTTTTATTGCTGAGCTTGTATTTGTTTGCTGTTTTTTTGCCGTTGGAGCATACCGTGCCGCGGTTGAAGCGTTCCGAATCGGACGTAATACACAGTCGTTTGATGAGCTCGCTGTTCCGGTATGGACAGATCTTCTGGAGTCGGATTCAGGTACCGAAGAAAGCAACACTCAGCAGTACCAAAATGTCCAGACCATGACTGATACCGGCACACAAACAGACGCGGCTCCTGTCGTCAATGCTCCGGTCGACCAAGAGCCACTTTGGCGTCTTCAGCTTTGCAACAAGCTGGATGCCATAATAGCTAGCAATCTGCAGCTCCAGGCCACTGCTGCCGCCACGTCAGCCCAGGCAAGTGTGATCAATCGGCAACAGCGTGAGCTGGACGAAGCGAACAGAGTCAACGCGACTTTGACTGCAGACGTCAATGAAAGTTTAGCGACAGCGAGCCAGCGTGCTTGGAAAGTGAAACACCTGGAACTCGAAGCGGAGTTTTCAGGTAACCAAGCCAGTCGCTGGCGAATTAACTGCAACAATCTCGTCCACCGATTGGACAAGTCCAAACTGGAAAAGGAGCATCGCATCATTTCCGGTAAGGAACTAAAGACTTCACGGGAACAATGTGAACAGGCGCAAAATACAGCCAATGAGGCGCAGAGACAGCAAGCAGAAAGTGAGAAGAAAGCTGAAGCTCGGTTAGATTCATTGAAGGATCGTATTACTGAACTAGAGGATGAGAAATCGACTGCTCTTGGCCAGAAAGATGAAGCTCTGCAGCAGCTAGAGACTCGCTCGAAAGAGGCAAAGGATGACGAGGCGGCACATCAAAAGGCCATCGAGATAGTCAAAAATAACGCCGCCGCAGAACTCGCAAAAGCACGGTCTGCTGATAACACAGACAATGATGTACTGCTCAGGGACAACAAGAAGCTCGCCGATGAGATCGATTTGCTTAAAAAAGAGCAAGCAAAGCTCGCTTCCCAGAACTCGACAGCCGAACAAGAGAATGCCGCGCTCGAGGCAAAGAATAAGGAATACGAGAGAGGCATCGCTGAGGGGAAAGAGTTGGTCGCAAGCCACGTCAAGACGATCAATGATCTAAAGCTGCAGAAGAAGGAGCTTGAGAATGCTAAGGAGGAGTTGGACGCAGAGACGGAGGCGTTGAGAGGAGAATTAACGGATTCTAAGGCAGCCAAAGAGAGGGTCGAGGCAGAATTGAAAGAGCTGCAAGACCAACAGATTGCGTCCAACGAAGCAAAAGAAGCCATGACAAGGGAATTGAAAGAGCTTCGTGAGTTCAAGGAGCGCCGAGAGCAGGCGGACAGGACCTTGAATGCCAATGCCGGTGCCTTTGGCGATAACCTTTTTGCAGATGTGCCAGATACAACCGACATCGCAGACACCCAGGACACGGAGTTTGCTAGCTCTCAACTTCAAACCCAGCCTGATGGAGTGGTCGGTACCGAGGTTCGAGATTCATATGATCCATTCAACCCCGACGCTGGCTTTACAACAAGCGCTGCTGATATCGAGAACACGGAGGCTGCTGTTCCTCAAATCCAAGCTCAGCAAGATGGAGATCCTGAAGTTGATGCCTGGGCAGAGGAACTCGCGGCTGGAACTTGGGCTCACACAACCGACCATACTGGCTATATGGACACAGACCCTACCGCACCAACCAGTCAAGATCAGCCAAATGAAGCCTCGACTTCTGATGCATACGATCCCTCCAATCCTACCGCCAGACAAAATGAAGGTAGCGCTGGTGCTGGTGCCTTTGATCTAAGCACCGTGGATCGTAACAAATTGAAGGGCACTAATTGGGGTTTAATTGATGCCGGTGTGAGGTTTAGCAATGCAAACACAGGTGCACCTCAGGATTCCCATCACTACCAGGGCAATCAGGCCGATCACCAAAGCATTGAGGCTGCCCAGGATGCTCATCCATTGCAACAGGCGAATGATGATAATGATGCAATGGACACTTCGGAGGGTCCTGCAGGGCTTGACGAGCAACCAACATGGTCGCATACCAACGCTGCAGGTGGAATTCCGGGTCTCGTGGGAAATGTCAACCCAGGGCCAGGGACAGGCGGAAGCATTCATGAATTGTTGGGATCCTTGATACCGCCTCGTGGTTCAGAACATGGGCCACCATCCAGAGAAATAACTATGGATGACCGACACAATGTCGCTGACGTCGTCGCACAACTGTCGTCTCAACCGCCAACAACCTCCACCCCCGCGGGCCCTTCCAACGCTCCTTTTGCTACCCGACCTTCGGAACAAGCGCCTGTAGACGTCCCAATGAACGATGCCGTCGTAGCTCCGAGGACGAATCCTATCCAAGGGAGGCACATAAGGACCCCACATCTTCCTCGCCAGTCACAGTCCGTCGGCGCTCCTGATTTGCCTGATCAGATCAACCAAGGGACACAGATCCCAGGGCTAGTCACGGCGCCCGCTGTGACAGCCCAGGCTAATCAGAGAGTACATCGCCCATCACCGGAGTTTGATCCCGCTACGGCGGCTCGGATTTATGGAGGAGCACAGCGCCCACAGCATCCATTACCGCTTGTTTCTCCCGCGACAGCTGCCCAGGCTGATCAAAGAGTACATCGTCCATCACAAGAATTTGGTGCCGCTGCGGCGGCTCGGATTTATGGAGGAGCACCGCGCCCACAGCATTCATTACCGCTCGTTTCTCCCGCAACAGCAGCCCAGGCAAGTCGCGGGCCACTTGGCACAAAACCTTTCCAGGATTTCAATCTGCCAATTCGACCGACACAAGTCCCGCAAGATCAACAATCTGGACATGTTTCAACGACCGGCTTGATCAATAAGTCACTCAAGCCGACAAATGAAGGAGCACAAGGCTCAGAACAAAAGGAAACACCTGTCGAAAAGCCTGTTATGAAAAAGAGGAAGCCGCGCGACAATCCGATGGTAATCAAGTCCACGACAGCTTGTGGCCGAAAGGATCAGACACCGGCCAAATCTCGGACCGGTGATGAGGGCCAGACAACAAAAGAGACGGCAGCTGCTCAGCAGCCTGCCCCTCAAGAGTCTACCCCCGCCGAACAGCCCACCCCCCTCAAGAACCTGTCCCTGCCCAACAGCCCATCCCCGCTCAAGAGTCTGCCCCCACCCAACAGCCCACCCCCGCTCAAGATTCTGGCCGGCCTCCACAGCGTACCTTGGGGAAAAAGCGTGCCGCCGGAAAACAGCGTGCCCCCGCAGATGAGCCTCCCCCTCCTCAACAGCCTCTACCCGAGTTTGAACACACAAGTGCCCAAGCTGCAGTGAGGGCCATGGTCCCGGTGGACTGGGCCCTCCTTGGTGACGGCACGGATGAAGACGGAAAGCCAAACACTGAGACGAAAGATGATAATATCGGTAAGAGCGCTAGACGCGCGACGGGAGCGGTTATTGACGATGATCAGAATGATGAGATAGCTCCCAAAGATGGAGAGGGCGAGGCAAAAGCACCCTCTGCTCAAGAGAAGGTGCAAGAGAAAGCGCCTGCGAGTGATTCAGGAGAGGAGGACGACATCACGGATTGGTCGATCGATTAAGGAGATGCACTGATGAGAGTGTTCTAGCCCCCTGGCGACAGGCGAGCTGCATTCGGAAAGTGCGAATCTGCTATTAAGAGATCCGCCTACGTATTGTTTTGGGCCAAGTCGACTGGTGATGATTGATTTATTGTTCTGTTGATGGAGGAGGAAATTTTGGAGGCAAGATGGGAGTCAAGTCGAGGGAAGAGTCGCTGACGCGAATGTTCTAGGAGCCGACGGGAAACTGCCTGGCCTCTGCATTCGTTGAGCACTCAGACCTCACTTGATCATGACGAGACTTGCTGATAAGAGTGTTCTAGCAGCCGGCGAGTAATCGCCTGGCAGACTGCATTCGTAAGGTACTCGAGTCTTCCCTGACCTGTCGAGGATCGGGAGCAATGGTGTTTATGCTTGCTGAGGAGACGGTGATAATGCTGTGGACATGTTCGAGCGAGAAAACTGCTCACATGAAGCTCAAAGGAAGTAGGAATGGTGCGGTCGTGTCTTGAAAGTTTTTCAGAGATCATGCTTACGTATGCATTGAATCAAAGCATGCCTTACTTTTACTAACCATGTTGATCGCATCCTTTTGTTCGTCATCATCGCGCTCTCATATAACTCCCCAAATGTCTCTCAAAAGCCTCACATCTCACCGGCATCTCTAGCTGATAGAAAGGGTTCTTCGTCACATAATCCGCGTACAGTTCATAAACCTTCTTCATAATAGTCTCCACATTAGGCTGCTGCGGCTCCGTGAATAATAAGAATTTCGTTCCTGTGAATGTCTGGAAGCATGTCAGGCGAAACGTGCCAGCTTCGAGGACTTCGATGCCTGTTCGGTCTCTCGAGGGGATGTTGAGGGTGGAGGGGGTCAGCGACTTTGCGATTGCATGGACGCCATGGAATGTACCGGCAAGGACAAGCAGGTCGTTCACGGAGACTTTTTGGAGAGTGGAGGTGAAGGAGCGGTTGTAGACTAGGCCGCCAGCTTTGTTGATTATTATTAGGGAGTGGACAGTCCTATAGGGTGTTAGTTGAGAGAATGGGAGATGAAGAAGGGGGAAAAGCCTGTACATGATTGAAGGAGGTAGATAATGAATAAGGAGTAAAACAGCCTTCCTACAAAAGAATTGCCCTATGTAATAATCATTTCACACCATATCTCTACAGATCATCTCGAGACGCACTTGAAGAGTTCAATTGAACCATAGATTGAAGTTGATAGTATAGATAAGATTAAAAACAAACTCGAGAATGTTTCGAAACGTTCGAATTTCCTAAAGCAGCCTTGACCCACTTTTAGACTTAACTCATCCTCCGCTTCTACTTCCTTTCCTTCACCCAACCCTCTCAGGCGCATTAACCCATCAACTCCCCAAACTATGTCCCACCTCATCCCCTCCCGACAGCGCGAAAAACCCGGCGGCGACGAAGAAGCCACCACAAAACTCGAGCTCGGCGAATTCAAAGACATACCCACCCTCACCCTCTCCGAAGCCCGCCTCCTCATCAACGCCGTCATCGACCATCGCAAACAGTCCCGCCAGTTCAACGAAACGGAGACCCTCATCAAAACGCAAGACTATCTCGACGTGTTCGCGCGGTTCAAGCAGAAAGAGAATATTGAGGCGGTGGAGAGGATGTTGGATCAGAGAGTAGAGCTAGAATTCTTTGAGAGGAGTCAGTTGGGGAGTTTGTGTTGTGAGAGTAGTGAGGAGGCGAAGCTGTTGATACCGAGTTTGGCGGATAAGATTGATGATGCGGAATTGCAGGAGTTGTTGGATGAGATTAGTAAGTTGAGGAATTTTACGGAGGGGTGAAGGGGGAGGGAAACGGGATTTGACTATGGGTGAAAGAATCGTTTGGGCATGGCAGGCTGGCTCAGGTCTGAGTGCTCGCGGCAAGTGAATGACGAGTAGGCCAGATGATTCTGTGGGACGAGATACGTGCTGAGGTCGATCGATCGTTCGATGGAGCAAATAAGACCTACACCAGGGCAAGAGGTCTCTCAGTATGGACGCAGATGAGAAGAGTCGGGAAGAATGTGGCCTATAACGAATAGGTGGTCGCTTTTGGGTGCAAAAATGAGATTTAGGCTCGAGGTGCAAATGCAAGATAATGATTATACTAATCGCTCGCTGAATCGCTATCAATCACGATGTGTCCATGTTGTCCGTGCCCTCATGCTCCTTGTCCTTCTTCTCTTCCTCCTCTGGCTTGCTGACCGGAGCATCCACACTTCCACTAGCTTCTCCATCTCCACTCAGTAGCGGCTTGTCCTCCCCAGCCTCTTCTGGTATCTGTTCTAACGTTGGTTCTTTCGCAGCTTCTGCTGGCTTATCTTTATCTTGCCGTGCCTGTTCTTCCTCCATGCTCATTCTCAACGCTAGGGCGAGCTCGGGGTCTGTACTTGGATCCACGCCGAATTCAAAGCCACCTCCACCTGTATCACCACTAGCTCCTGCCTCGGCGTCTCCATCTCTTGGTGCGACTCCTTCTCCTGCTAATATAGGTGTTGAGACAAGGTGATCACTGAGTAAACTTGGCCCCGGAGGTATGATTTCGAGATGGGATCCTTCACCACCCTTAATATTCTCGTGGAAAGCTTCTAGCTTCTTCGTGTTTTCCGGATCTAGGTCGCCGAAGGCAATCAAGTCTATCGAAATATTGTTCTTCTTCATTTTCTTTGCAAGTTTCACCAGGCTCTTTTCATCTTCTTCGATGCGTGAACATATAAAAACGATGATCCGCTGTCGTTGTGACTTATTTTGCCGGTGTTTGAGAGCTAGCTGTGAGTCCATCAGCGTGCCATATCATGGCTTTACGACCTTGGAGGCAACGTACCCAAGCGACCTGAATGGCAGTAGTAAGATGTGCCCGCCCTTTCGTCTTCGTTCGATGCATGCCATCGAGTACTTTGCCAAAGTCTGTTGTGAGAGTGACCAAGACTTCTGGCCCTTTTCCGGCCATGTTCATGAGACCAACTGATGATTCGGGGTTTGCTTGTGTTTTGGCGGAAAAGATCATGTTCACGGCGTCTGCTTGCGCGTCCCATCTCGTGGGGCTAGATGGCGTTAGTGGGAGCCAAAGCAAGGGACAGAGGCTTTATACACATAATCGCCATTTCTGCTACTCTCACTGTTGTCCACCCTAGAAACGTAAGCCGGTTAAGCTCAGAAGCAGACATCTGGCGAGCTTACAATATCATGGTCGCCTCGAGCACCATCTTGACGTTCTGCTACCTAGATCTAAAAACACTGGAAGCTAGGAAGAAATCTGGTGGACCGAAGATAGTAGAGTGTTTTGCATGCGGAGAAAGTTGTAATGCTCAAAATAGAGATGATGGAAAGCTATTGCACACGGCTTTAAGGCTCAGAGACGGATTTAAGAGGTCTTGGCGATATAACAGCCTACAATGCCGTGCTAGGGCGTAGCCGGACAAATACACGCAAATGTAGCGCATTGCCATGCCATAAGTCTCCTGGTACACGATTTCAATGAGGTGCGACTTTTGCCATGATCTGGTCTGCCCAGACCAAGAAGAACCCGTGGACGGCACCGAAGATGTAGGCAAGCCGATCAGGGTAATTGTGTCAGATCTTCAAGAAAACTGCAAATACTGCTCTCTTTTACGCAAAATGGTGTTACACTTTGCTCCGGACGCTGTAAGCTCCGCCCAGCAAGCCAATTTGTCGCTCGAATTTGGAGACATGACCCCAGCGAGCGTTGAGGTCTATGGTGATATTGCCAATGACCTTGGAACGACCTTAATTGCACGATTCTATATGTATCTTCAAACAGAATGTTCGTAACGAGATGTGCTCATGCCTTTGCAACGTCCTCTCAATTAGCCTGACTCACGAGCACTAGCACAATGTTTGCGTTCATTGGGATGTATGGGCGTCCACTCCACTCGCTCAGATTCGCAAGATTGCTTTGATTTCATTGAAAAGCAACTTGAAGGATGCACTAAGTCTCACAAGAAGTGCTCAACACTCTTGCAGACGTTATTGCCCAAACGTGTTCTCAACATTGGGCAAAACGACTCTGATCCGATCCGTCTTCAAGACTTGGAGGGCTGTCTTGGCTCTTATGCAACCCTCAGCCATTGCTGGGGTCAATTTCAACCGATCAAGACTCTGGATGCTAATTATGCCGAGATGACTCGGAGTATCGCTTGGAGAGATCTTTCAAATGTCTTTCAAGATGCAGTCCGAATCTGTCGTAGACTACGACTCCAGTACCTCTGGATTGATGCTTTATGCATCATTCAGGACAGCAAGAAAGACTGGGAGAGAGAGTCTTCGAAGATATGTGATTACTACGAAAATGCTTACATCACTATCTCCGCTGCTTCTTCTCCTAACGGTACGATACCATTCCTGACAGAAAGGGATCCTAAATGGCTAGCCCGGAGTTTTGACTTCCGTTGCGAGGATGGCAGAAATATAGACGTATTCGCCCGTCGAGATTCGGGAAGTTCAGTGGCTAATCACATTGAAGACTCGGGCCCTCTGGCGTCTCGAGCATGGGTCTGGCAGGAAACCCTGCTTTCGAGCCGAGTCTTACATTACACAACCTCGGAGCTCATTTGGGTGTGCAAGTCAAGTATTATTGCCGAAGATTGCATTGCTCCTCGCGGTATTTACTTCTTGACCTTACCTCAGCAGCTGCAGCGCTGTGCGAATGAAGATAAACCGTACAATGGCTGGCATAATCTAATCAGCACGTATTCTATCCGACAATTGACGTTTGAATCTGACCGCCTACCAGCGCTCAGCGGCGTAGCAGCCAAGATTCACTATTTGTCGGGCTCAAAATATCTTGCAGGAATGTGGTTGGAGAATCTACTTTTAGACCTCTGTTGGTCGGTCGACTACCAGATCTCTGACGCGTCAACGCTTCAACCAGCGCCAACAGAGTACATAGCCCCATCTTGGGCCTGGCCTACCGTTAGAGGCGCCATCTGGTCTCCCGACAGCGATCAAGATCGCCCTTTCACGCCTCTCGCCCAAATTGAGGAAGCCGAGTGCAAAGTTTCCGGCCTTAATCCTTACGGACAGGTCGATCAGGGCCATCTCGTGCTCAAAGGGCCTGTCACTTCCATTACGGTTAGGTGTAAAAACCCAGAAGACTGTTGGACGTACACCATTGGAGACAATCCCAGTACGGTTGAACCCATGACAGCAGACTGTACGCTAGTAGAATTCGAGGGATCCGTCAAAAGGGCAGTGGAGACTGATGGTCTGTCCCCGTTTTCTTTGGCACTTCCATGCATTTTGCTTGGCTACGATCAGAACAAAGACGACTCATTTTGGTATGTTATGGTCCTCGGTAAGTTTGGTACCGACAAATACTGCCGTCTGGGGATTGCGATGTTGGAAGATGATGAGTGGTTCTCGGCTGCGACTGAAGAAAAGGTCTGCATTGTGTGATATCAAAAATGGCTACGCCCCTGCTACATATCTACGCCCATTGCCAAGTTTCAAGATAAAAACAACGGAAATCGCTCCTTGATAAGATACACGATGCATAGAGAAATCTTGTGAGTTGCAGATTTCATCTCAATGAGCCTCAAATGTCATTAACCTATGGCATGCCGGCTAGGCTAGATCTGGACTGGGTTCCTGCGCGGCTGGTAGCTGTCATTCCACCATCAGCTCTTTCGCCATGTGTACGCTGTTCTGGAACAGCTTCGGATTCATGTTTCCTCGGCAATGACGCTTCACTTTTCGGGAAGTGGCTTAGCTTTTTGCGAGCTAGACGTTGGGTAGAGGTTTCCAATGCAACACAATAGCCGCACCACTTCTCCGGGCAAAGCTTTCAGCATGTTCAGGGTCAAATCAAAGTAAGAATGCCGTCAATTATTGATTATCGATCTTGTACCTATCCGCTCAAGAGACTCATGAAAACCTTATCCACAACGCCTCCATGTACAAACAACCCCCGCAGACTAAACTTATCCCATCAAGCAGCGCGAAAACGAAAGGTTTCCCTTATTCCCTTCGAATTCAACACTAAAAACCTCCCGTCGCATTATCCCCTTTTCACCAGTACGAATCAACCGAGCATCACAGACGGCTGCCTGCTCGAATGGGGCGAGGAGAATGATTTCGGTGCCCAGACATAGGTTGACGTTTTCGGATCGATGAGGAGTTGCAGTGAGGAGCTCGAGCTCGTCCGAGAATCCTTGGGCTGCTTTTTCGAGGAGGAAGATTCAGTGGGGAAGGCTGAGGAGAAGGGGTTGGAGTAGATGGATTGAGATTGGCGGGGCGTTTTTGATGACGATGGTTTTGAGGAGGATTTCTTTTGGGACTTGTGGGAGGTGGAGTTGATGGAGGCGGCAGAGGGGTAGGCGGCGGCGAAGGGGTTGGAGTAGATGGAGTGGGTTGTGCGTGTCATTGTTGTTTAGGTGGTGGTGTATGGGATGTGGTTGAGTTTCGAAGAAGTCTGTGTTGGTTGATTGAAATGGAGAGCTCTGGTTTTTCTTGGATAGAAAATTGGGAATGCTTGATTCGTTCTGAAGAGGATTGGATTGACTTGGGGTGATATGAATTGAATTGAACTGAAATGATTCCTCTCTCATGGAGAACGCACAGATATTATATACACCAACCCCTCCATACCGCCCTCCCTACCTTTGTGACTCACATTACCAGTTCCGTGCCCATTACAAAGCTATCACGACTTCCAACGCAAGATGAAGCAGGTTTGACCTACTACGCGGTCTGAGTCACGTTGCATATAGATCTTAGCGTCATCAGGCGTAGTGCGGAGTGTGACCGTGGCGCAAATTACGACACCATTGGCCAATCAAAAGTGTCAACTCACAGCTCTATTTTGTCAGCGAGGGCGGAATTATTCCTTTGCTGACATATTGAATGCCCCTCCCGAGGGTTGGGTAATCGGAAGGTGGCCACGCTAAATTTATAGGGAGAAGATTGGGGCATGGTCTACCTAAGAGGCAAGCCTTATAGGGCTTTCAAAAACAAGCGCCTGCCTAGGTTTGGACCATCTTACCATGTCAGAGCTGCTAAAGTCTCCGACCGATGTCGGCGGCACCAACATGGCCGGTACCAGCCGTTGCAACCCGCTTCCTGTTTGGACGTCACTCGATACATCAATGCAATCAACCAACAGTCTCATCGACTCAAATACATACTTTCAGGTCAAGCATCTTTATCAAGGAATTGCGAGGAGGTCTTGTGCACTTGTTCTGAGTGAACGTCAAGTACATCGCGCGCCTGCATGTTAATCAAGGGGTTGATAACCTTGGGTGCTTACTTCTACTGCATCGCTTGAACTTTCCTATCACGGACAGCTCAGATGCTCGGCCTACTCAATCACAGAGCGCAGGTGAGGTCTCACACGTGCTAACATGCAGTTGAGATTGATTGAATGAAGCGATCACTGCACTCGTGGATTCATGGTTCTATGAATGGCTACCTCGAAGGCCTCTATCATTTGTTCTCCAACACTAAAGGTGCCCGAGAAGTACAATCGAAGACCCTGTACAGTACCCTTTTCAAAATCGACGCTCTGCTCCATGCATAACCCTATCAATTGAGCTGGTTCAAGTTTCTTCATGTCACCAAGACTATGTCTCATCTACCATCTGCTTGATGTCTGGAATGGACTCCTTCACATCGGTCCTGCAATATTCAGTGCTTGATTTCGTTAATGCTGGAATATAATGCCTTACTCATTTTGATATTTCCCTAGCTGCCCAAAGTAGGTATTGCTTTTATGCTATTGGGGATAACACATATGACTTCTTCCAACTGATCAACCATTATCGCGAATTCCACCGGGGCTTTCCCGTTGGTGATATCAAGGGTAGGTACTAGTTGATTAAGTCTGTTAAGTCCTAAAGCTGATATGAAAGTGCAACCGCAAGCCTGGGTTAAAAGCGTAACGGAGCCGTTTTGCAAATCTATGGCGGTGACCCATCCTCGCTTTTTGAACCAGAGTATCCCCAGATTCGATGACATTTTTTTCTGTATCTTGGGGGCGAAAGAGATGTGGTAAGACAGATTGGAGCAGGGTTTAGTATGGTAGTACTGTGGATTTGAAAGATTTTATATTGCTATGTGACTGAGTTGAGATTGTTTGCCCGGTCGTGACGAGTTTGCAAAAAGCCTTACTCCTGAGCACGGCTCTTGGAATGGAATGGAAAATGAAAACAAGTGCAGGATGTGGTACAAACAAACATGTCTATCTTCTACCTGGTTCGATGCATTGGCCGACGACTATATCATTGCCAGACCGCTAGTTTTGGTAAGCAAACAGGCATGGATTTGAAGATGAGGGTACAATCGGCGACGAGCATTCAAAGGCTAACATATTCTGTATGCACTTTCTTTATCCTCGCGAGATACAACTTTCCCAAAATCTGCTCTATAATTGACAAAGTCCACCAAATGTCGCCTCCATCATGCGTCCACTCGCCTCTGCTCGTTCCCCAACCCAATCAAAATACGATGCTCTCCCTACGACAATCAGCGCTTGCCCCCCCCCCACTACATTGGAAATTGACTCACTCATTATTCGACGCAGGCATGGCTACAATGCTGTCCGTATCCACATCCAAGGTCCCTTCTTGAACATCTACCAGAACCTCGAACTCCACTGGGGCTCCTTCGTGAGTAAGATGGAGCGTTGGTATCAACTCGTGTAGCCTGCTTATTCCTAACGTCACCGTGAAAAGACAGTTACAGCCTTGCGCTGACATGGTGATATATCCTGTGTTCAACTCATAAGAGAGGACGGAGCCGGTCATTTGGAGTCGGTCGCTGTCAGCTTCTGATGACTGCTCAGTGGGCGTTGGCGGCACTTCCCAGGGTCGAGCGGCGCGAGAAAGTCCTTGCATGGGCATGGCGGAGGTGATCGTAGACTTTGTGTGGGTACTAGGAGATTTTTAGTTTCTACGAGGCTTGATGGAAGATCCTTGCGTACGCTTGCTGATTTGCGTACAACTTTGATCCTCAAGATTTTGTCTTGGAAGTTGGGAAGATTGGAAGTAGAGGGGAAAGACGGTCAGAGATTATTGCTTTTCTGCCTAAAATCATGCACTGACGGAAACCCGCAGCACTTCTGAATCATACCTGTGGTAAGCAAACACTTTTGGTATGTGAGACGCAAATTTGGCTGAAGATGAGGTCCAAGAAGTCTCACTACATTTATCGTTGACTACCTCAAGTGAATAAAGCTATGCTTTGACAGAATTCCGAACTATGCGTTACGATACCTGATCACTCAGAGGCTGGTATGCCTGAGTCTTAATAATTTTTGGTACTCGACTGTGATTTTAATGGAGAGAGGGGATCTCTGAAGTCATTAATTCATGTTTCGCTACCTGATGTGACTGATTGTGTTCGCCATTTGACAGTGGTAACCTTTCACAATTCCCGAATGAGCTTCGCAAGCCGATAACCTCCATGGTCTTCTTCAGCCCTGGCTCTGTGCAGCGCTAGGTTGGATTAGAGCTCAAACTCTGTAGTCATGAAGTACGGCGTCTTACTATTGTGCATTATGGTCCACAGGGTTCGGAACAGATCTTCTTGTGATACTGTCCGTCATCACAACCATATTGCCATTTGAAGAATCGATGCGTACTTCGAACTGCACTGGAACTTCTCGGGCGCTGGTGGGTGGAAATATGGTGGCAAAATCGTGAACATTCGCCATGATCCGCGTTATGTCGAATACGAAATTGCAATCCTCTGCCGACAGCTGGATATATCGTTCCTCCGAACCCACAATGAGAGCAAATCCTTTCTTATGAATGTGAATGATTGGTTGATATGGTGGCATGTTTTCTGTGTTTTCGCGATCCAAGAAGTAGTTCATCGGGGTCTGATTGGAGTGAGTATGTATGGATAGTGAGAACGGAAAGATTCTGACGGATTATGAAAGTTGGTCAAAGCTGCTGTCTTGGTTCGTAATTTGAGAAAAGTTTCTGCTCCTGGATATCCCTCTTCTTATATGAAGAGGAAGACGAAGGAAGCTCCACAAAAACAAGATTTTACTATTCTACGTGATTCCATGCAAAGTTGGATCTCCATCTCACTTTGGACCAAACAACAAACATGAAAAACCCTATGGTGGAATACAGGATCGGCTAAGGTCGCCCCTCTTTGTTGCAAATTGTAACCTAATTTGAATCCCAATTCGCGATAGATAACATCGATTCTAGCACGTTGTACTTGTTCTCATTCCACTTCCAGGCCGTGCGTTGGGTCTCTATTCCCTCGTTTTCAATCAAGTTTTCTCCGTACAACGTGAATCGGATGCTTGCTCCGGTCTGTGCTGTCAAACGCACATACCTCCCTCTCTCATTGGTTGGAGATGCCTTCTCTGGTCATTTTAGAACGTTTGATCAAACAAAACAACCCAAATCAAGCGCTGGTGTCATATTGGCTCTTCCAAGCATTAAGCCAGGTATGCAAAGACATGGAAAGAACTCCTCAAAGACTACTTTATTCGTCTAAATATGTGTTGATACTCCTCTCAGACGTCCGTCAGCCAAGCCTTGACCAAAATATCGAGCGGTTTATTCGGCTGCCCGTCAAGCTAGCCACTCATCGCTGTCAACACGTTGCACGTACCAAATCCAAGCAGTCTGATCAGTGCCTCTCAATGTATCAGCCTGAAAAGGAGACTACCTGACAAATGCCTTGCGTTCGACTACCCGCTCCTCATCTCTCGCCATATTGAGTGATCCCAACCCAAGACTGGATCGAATTCAGCCGTCTCAAGACAGATATTCCACACGACATCTTTATAGCCCTTTATGCTTTCGTAATCCATGCTGAAAGAATACGGGTCTGGATCATTCACGGGGATCTCTATCGTTACGCTTATATCCCTCCGGCCTGTCACCACATATAGCAAGAGTGATTGTAAAGTTCTGGGTGAAAGTGATGGAGTAAGGAATAATTTGCTATCGTCTTCTTCGAGGATGATAGTAAGTACGGATGTTTCTAAATCAATAGTCTTGATTTTGCCTTTGGCGGATTTGGTTATTGAAATCGGGTCTGCCATTAGGTGTAGTGCAAGTGGGAATAACTTCGGTCTCCTTTATCGAGTGAATGATGATAGATGAATGTTTTCTAATGGTATGATAAGATCTGGAACGGGAATACAAGACGAGAGAAAACCGCTGATTATATACCGTCGTGCCAAGGATGGAAGGCGCGATGAAGCATCTTGAATGCCTGGGAAAACTCGCTTAGATGGCGAGCCTTGTTTATCTCATGTTTGCTATATATAAGCTAATAAAAGCATACAATCAGTTTGCTACTAAAGGAAGTCCAAAATAGTAACAGCGTGTAAACAGGAGGTTCTATGAGGTTGGAAAACGGCAAAAGGCATCATCCTACATGGTCTGTCTCTGCTTGTACGCATATAACATACTTTCTAATCAAAGGCTGAAAGATCAGAAGTCCCTTGCACAGTAGCGTGACGATGTAGTCTCAAAATGTTTCTAGATGATTCTTTAGGTCTCCGCCATCAATACCCATACCCTTTTTTTCCAATTTTTCTTTGATCGGATTCCAGCGGATCTCGGTAGGTTCGAGCGGGATATACACAGCAATACTCAATTTGATACACTACAAATGGAGGATGGGCAAATTGCGAATTCGTTGATACCCTAATGCTTACTCTGTACGCCTATATAATCCATATATCAAACACTATACAAAAGATCATGTAAGGTAAGCATGCAAAATTACATATGCCCCGCCCCCAACGCCTCTTTCTTTGAGTCGACCTGGTCCATCAAAATTACTGCCTGTCCTGAACATGCTTTACTTCCCGCAACGTTGATTGTTGGCTTCTTCAATCACGGTGTGTCTTGCACTTCTTTATAATTCTCCCCTATTGCTTTGATGCTTTCCTTGTCCACCATCAATCCATCTGTGTCGTTCTCATAATTGATTGTGAACCATACCTCAGCTCCTTCATTCTCAAACGTAAGGGTAGGTAATAATTCGAAGAACTTGTTGTCGTCAAGCTGTACGCGGAACTCGCAGTTGCAGTCTTGTGCTGACAGTGTGATGTGCTTTGTTCTAAGTTCAAGCATTATTACCCATCCTCTCATGAATATGTCTGCGTTAGGACCCATCATTCCCGGAATTGGCATGACGAGAGACAATTAGATGGACTCTGCCGCAAGCAAGTATTGAGATGCTGAGTACGTAGGGAGTGTTTGAGCTTTCGCGACGCTTGATAGAGACTGCTTGCTTGATACTTAGTGCTTGAAATATTATCGAAATAAAGATATTGATTTCTTGAATGGGATACTCATGCATGGTTTCATGGCTGGGGAGGGGGTTTTTAAGTGCATTTCTGCTGAGGCTGCCGCCTACATAGGATGTACACGTTTGTTCAGTGGTATTTGCCATCAAGGCAGAAATGCAAATCCAATGCAGGACGTTTTGATTGCCTTCATTGAAAATACTACATGCTTGCATTTGGTCTCAGAAGACAAAGGAAAGTTTCCATGCAATGAAAATTTAAAATGTGTGTAGAATGGCCTGTCAACGATCTGGAATTGCAGAAATCCATTTGTCATGATTATGTCCAATCAAACCTCCTCAAGACTCTCTAAAGCATACATGCAGCAAAAATTTCGTCCACCAGCTTTGACGCTCTGATCAATCAAACGCTTGAAGTCTTCAATTCTCAATCAATTCCGCCCGATGCCTCGTTCGCCCTTGCCCGCCATTTGGGTGTAGAAAGCTGTGAACTAGATCCGATGACACAAAATCAGGCTCTCCTTCCCTCAAGACCCGGAAGAGAGTCTGGCCATTCACGAAAGTGGCAATTCCTATCCTTACATGTCTTTTTCCTCTCGCTACATCGAGGCTGAAGGACTGGATGATCGCTGGAGATAGTTGTGAGGTGCGTAGCGATGACAACCCTTCGCTGTTCTCAGGGGTGACGATCAGTGCCAAATTTTCGAAGTCGATCTCATCAATCCTGCCTCCAATGACAATAACAGTCACGCCATCATTTGTCGCCATTTCGGTAAAGTACAACAAGGCGTCAGAATATTTTGTTAAAGCGTGGAGTGATAGATGAAGATTCAAACTTCCGTTTCCAGTAGTAGTATTGCAATGAGCATCGGAAGGATTTATGTGAGGCTTCAATATATATGATGCACCTCTGGTTGTTTGCCTTCATGACGTCTTATGACAGTATGGGAAGCCTTGCCAAGGGTTGCAGGCAAACGGCATAGATCATTCACAAAAACACGCCGTCGCTCAAATGCAATGAATTTCCTTGCGGCCCTATCTAGTCCGATATGTTGATAAAGACTACTGCAAGGCTATAATCACCGTAGTTAAGGCAGCAAGCTAACGGATGCGTCACTACTCCAGGCAAGTAACACATCGGAGCAAAGCATTGAGGAAACCACTCAGCAGACCTAGGCGATGATGAGCAAAGGAATGGCATTTAAATCGTCTATTCTGATCTTTCAACAACATGAAACTGCGAGTCATTCAGATTTCCAGATTCCAGTCTCCTTGAAAGACCACATGCATCAATGTTCACCACTTTCCTTACTTAGAAAGTTACTCAAATATGAACCCGAATTGAGAGCTTCAAGGTCACGAATCGATCTCAAGTCGACATAAAGACTGGTAGGAGAGGCCACGACCGCGAATGATATCCTTAGATCTCCCGTTTGCCGCCATTCTAGCCAACATGCTACACTTTCCCAATAGTCGTCTTCCACCAGCACCATGAAGCTGGTGTCACCGTTGAGCGTGATGAGGGTGAAATATTTTTGGCTCGATTTGACGTCAATGACTTTGCCCTCCATTGTTACCCGGACAGGAAGATCAGGTGCTGATTGTAACGATGACATATTCATTGCGGTTAGTTTGTGTTGACCTTTGTGCTACTGATGACCGTCTGGATAATGAAGATGATTTTCTTTTCTTGATTCCTCGAATTGGTGCGCTTGTATGAGTGCTGAAAAATGTGGTTGCTGACCGTGTACTGCATAAAAAATTGGAGGCCTGAACCCCCTTTTTATGCTGACTTTGAAGGAGGCATTGCAGGATCATGAGCGCGGCAAAGGGCAGAAGGAAATTCAGGCTTTCATTCCTTACGATGAAACTCCTTAAAAAGGCAGATCCTCGTATGCAATAGACAGATTACTCCCCATGTATCCAAGGCTGACAATTACATAGTCGATTGAAGAGTATGCCACTCTGGGGTTCGAAATCTATCACTATCCATACTCGGCATGACTATTTATGCTACCACTCAATGAGCATGCCGGCACTCAGATACGGCGACTCAATATCTTTGATCGAATTTATGTCAATATAAAGACTGGTGTCTGTAATCTGAAGTGTAAATGACACCTGCGTCTGATCGTCCATTCGAGGCTGCAGATACTTTAGAAGCCTTTGCCATCGAACGCCATTTTTTTCTGACAACTCGAATTCGACGTTGCCAACGAGAATACCAAGATTGAATGATTCTTTCATTCGGTTGATGCTGACAACATAGCCCAGTATTTGTTGCTCACTTCGCGAACCAGATGGTGGGTGTGATACTGGAAGGTTCGCTATCATCTCTTCTAACTCTTTCAGGGGTGGCATCTCGCAGTTTGATGCTAACTGGGTGGTGATAGTGCGCTTTGTTCGACAATGGTGAAGAGCTTAGGCAAAGAATGGCGTGAGCAGAGTGTGCACAGAGCTGTACGAGAATGTCAGAACTTGAGACACATGCATCGCTTGAAGCTTGCCTATTGTGCGCAGGCAACTTTTAATGAAAGAGCGGCAAAAATGCAAGCAGCCAAATAATGGCCTCGTACGTCAATAATCGGCTGTCAAGGCAAGAATTACAGAGATGCATTTGAAGGTTCAAGAGCATTCCGCTGAGGCTAAAGACATGTAGGTCTGAATTACAAACATATGGGAAGAAAAGGACCGCTTACACAAGGTGAGCTTGCATGGTTGTGGCGAAACGGTATAGCCATCCTTCTAACTTCAAAATCAACTTCCTGCTCCCAAATCACTGTCCTACGAACCCATCATACTCCTTCCTTGGCCACCAACATCTTCGATCGACGATAAAATAACGTCGAACTTCCTTTTATTTATGTCGACATCGAAGCGAATCTCCTGATTATGTCGCTTACGGGTTACAAGATATGGGCGTACTCGATGGTATTGACGTTCTTGCAGAACCTGGACTTCGATGGTGGCATTGTAATTAGCGGCTGCTAAGGTGAAGCTACGTCTTGCGTCGTCAAATCCAATGATGTGGCCGTGGAAGTCACATATGCGAACATTGCCTCTTCCAAGGAACATCAATTGCTGCATGTTGGGAAATCTTCGACGAATGCTGAGTACCGACATGGTTGCTGGTGATTCTGAAAACAGGAATTTTTGATGAAGATACAGCAAGAGGAAAAAATGGGTGACCGGCTTTTTTATACCTCAAATTTAGGCACCTAGGCGCCATATGAGTAAGATCTTCACGAAAGGCCGCAAAGAAGTGTGACAAAGGCAAGATGAGGGCAATCTGATTGGCAGTTCTAAAATGCGGAAGAGCAAGAATCTTGAGCCATCAATACTTGGATCTGTAAAGATCATGAAGGAAAATACATTCTTCTATGCTACTCTGACTCCTGCGGGCTGATGAGTGTAAGGTAACAATGTTTGACTTAGCAAGATCGTCCTTCAAGATTGCTTCTAGTATCGTAAAATGGGTGTCGGGATCGGCTCCTCAGATGATTTTAATGACCGTGGTTGGACGATAGCCAAGGCGTGGTCCCTCGCAGCTGTCCTCTACCAGTCAAATACTCAGATGTACCCTCACCTAGCCCACCGGAATCTCTTATTGACCACACATTGACTTCAAGCTTGATATTATCAATATGCAGGTCGAATATGATTGGAGCTGTCCTTTGGCAACGATCATGAAGATAAGGTCTTAACAGATCAAATTTATGGGGCGTGAGATTGCAAATTATCTCTGTTGTATCATCACCGTTACCATTGAAGTCTGCTTTGAGAGCGAATCGCTTTTTGGGGCTGACATAGTATTTCATCATGTTTCCATGAATTTTTAGTTCGCGATAGGTTGCCGCATCGTGATAGGGAGGCAGTTGACTGTTCATTGTCGACGCTTTGAGTAAGAGTAAGAAGTCTATTGATATGTTCTCGGGTGCAGAATAGAGTGCTGAAACTCTCTCGAGGTTTTGAATAAGTTGCTGAATAGGCAACAAGACCGCTAAGCTTGACCGAAGTTTGTTGAAGCAACTAAGAAATACAGTTTGTCAATAACATCTTAATACCCATGCGCTATTGTTTTCTCATGTATATTCGTATAGCTCAAGTGGACTGGTTCTGTCTAGAAGAATCTCTCGAGCTTCTAGGTAATTTTAGTTTCGTCAACGCAAGGCAAGCCTGCAATTCAAGAGCCAACAAAGCTGAGTAGCTACTCGGTAGGCCGCTAGCAGCATGAACAATCTCAATAAAAGTTTTCCTCAAGGTGTATCTCACAAAATTGTTTGGTTTGCGCTCCAACGCAATCATTTAATGAAGTAAGTCATGTCAGAGGAGTCAAGGGCAGAGGCATTGACGTCTACATGATCTTACCGCAATCCATATGGTTTAACTGTTTTGCAGCTATTCCAGCTCAGGAGTCTGAGCTGCTGCTGGTAGTCAAATCATCGATTTTGCCGCTGGCTTTCAAGTTCGGGCTTGGAACTAGAACGCCCACGTGGATTACAAGTCTACATCTTGAGTATGATAATTGAGACAATTTACAACTTTGAACTTCATTGGGCTATCGCCAACCTGTGATGTCTTCCCAAAAGGTAATAAAGTCTAGATTGTGCGTCAACCCATGAAATACGAGGGCACATACCACTTCTAATCAATTGCCATTACTCACAAAAGGTAGGGACTTCATCCTGTCTTTCTCTCGTATCATCATAGGCTAGTAAAGACCAAATGGAAGCCCGTTACATGAATGTCGCAACCAAAACCCCTTCAAAAATTTCGAAAGTAGCAGTAAACCCTCAAGCCATCATAGACACAAATTCAATCCGTGGCCTGGGATATTTCTTCGCTTAGCTGTATCGACCCTTGAAGTCGAAGATATTGAGCTATACCTTCGTTCCCATTGGCGTCCCGAACTGACGTAAGCTCGATACGGAGGGCGGTTGTCTGTACTTTTATAGGAGTGTACATTGGGCAAGAGGACCAGCGGAAAAAATGAATCATCGCATGATCCGTCGTGTGACTTCCAAATTATATAAAGTCGCCAGTCATCCTCTGCACCTTTCCTAGAGGTCTTCGATGAGGCAAACATCAAGAGGTGTGGCATTTGCGACCTCAGGCCCGGCAGACTTAAGGCATGCGTACAGAAGACGGATATAGCAGTGCAAATACAGTGAAAATTGATGAGACACGCCATCTCATAGAATTCTCTGTTTGAAAATCAGATTCGAACTGAAGACACCCAATACTCCCCGACGCTAAATCGCAGAAGTTATTTTCCGTACTCAAAAGTGCCTAGGGTCCCGAATCACCTTTGAGAGTATCAATCAATCTCAATACGCATCAACCCGCTTCCGTGACTGCGCCAGAGCCTCTCATCATGTCCTCATAACGGTCACACACCTCGCAGATAGGTATGATCTGCACATCAAAATTGGATGAATTGGAAAGATCTATCGTGATATAGATCTGAGCATCAAATCCTGCGCGAGCCTCCCTTTGCTCGTTCAGCATCTCATACAGTGGCTCCGGTATATTGAGGAGGTCTATAGAACCATAATTCCCTCTCATTGGCCAGTAGAACCAGCAGCGTGGGTCGCGAACGAAGGCGATTGGTCGGTTGCAAAGTTGTCCGAACGTTTGTCGAGGATGACCTCCGGGGTGGGGATGTGGCATGTTTCGTTGGAGTTTGTGGTGTGTGATGGTCAGAGATAATGTTGGTGATTTGTTGCAGAAGAAGAAGTTGAAAGGAGAAGTGGATCTTTGGGCAAGTTATGTGTTCTTCTTGCAGGCGATGAGGCGCAGTTGAATAATTATTATTTGTCTACTGACTTCCTAAGAAAAGCAGCCTCATACAATCGTGAGTCATGAGAGATTGAGCCTAGATGCCTAAGATTGGCGCTGAGCTTCTACAGCATAAGTTCTTCCAGCCCATCTAATGCTGTCCAACCAGGCCAATTGAACACCAAGATCAGCGCCGGACGGCACGACAAGCCTGCCTCTCTGCCATTCCGCCTCGTCTAGCTGAAGTCGTGTGCGGCCTTGAGCAAGGTAATTCAGTAATATAAGAAAAAGAAAACGATGTTGTTGGCCCGAAAAATCATATGTGCCTTCGCTGTTGTCTCGGTCAAGTATTACGATTTTACGTCGGATATCAACAGAAAGGATCTCGACGTTGACGATTCCAGGACGTTGCAATACTGGGGGTGCAGCGGATGTTGGTGGCGGTGGCATCTTCAAGTGATATTGAAAAATTGTGTTCTTGACGGGTAATGGTCTGGTTTTACTTTGCAGGTTGATTTGGTAATTTCTTAAAATTCTAAGGGAACCTTTCAATTAAGTATTTTTCTGCAGCCTCGGGCTTTGGCACCGAGCGATAGACCTGTAGGCAGACTCAATTGCCTTGGAATCCTAGAAGACTCTAACAACCGGGCAAGAGGTCGCCCGGTGAGTAAAGTGAAATACAAAACACGATATAAATTCATACAAGCTAGACTACAACTATGAAGACGCTCCGTTTGCAAGAACTATTTGAGGGCGCGAGCACAAGAGCTTTCTAGTTCCATAGATGATAGTAGACCGGCAAGATAGTAGTGAGGTTGATGGTCCATCCTCGATTCGGGCAATTGAAGAACGTATCATCATCGGAAGCCAAATCAGGGGCATATAAAGAGCATGATTGTAAAAGAAACATACGCATGATTCACGTAAAATTCATCAGATAATACCTCTCAAACTATATCTATATCGCTAAAGGAAGGCAGGAAACACAGATTTGACATAGAAATGCCCAATTATCGAGAAAGTGCCTTATCTGGATGTTTGCCAGTTGCTTTGATGCCTCTCAGAAAGCGCAGGAAACCTTGTTTTTGCCATCATCCAAACCCACCATCATGGATATTCCCGCTCATGATGGCCACTTAGGGCTGGTTTTGGCGCCAGGTTTCTCAATACACGTGATGCTTCAGCTGGGTAGCGACGATGATCAGACAAGTTGAGCTCTTCCTCTTCCGCCTCAAATGAGGCATTATCCCCCTCCTGTGCGACATCTGTTCCTTCATTGTTGTTGCGGAGTCTGACTGTTAAGCTATCGAAGGTCTTCTTGTCGAAGGCAGTCTCAGTGTAGCCTTCAGACAGTCGTGAGAGAACACAACGAAAAAGTCGTCGGTTTTCGCTAAAACATAGGTTCCTTAGGCGATAACCATGGTGCCGGTCCACCGTCACGACAGATTCCCGGACATCGATGAGAACGACCTCAAACTTGATATCATCTTGACTAGCGTTGGTATCGAAGGGATATGATGGTGGTTCAGTATTGGAGGAAATTTCCAGCGGGTTGATCGTTTCGTTGGCTTCCATCTTTAGCTCTGATGTCGAGTATTGCAACCATTTCCGAGGGAACCAAAAGTGCTCATTTATATACCCTTTTAGCGTTCAATATTTCAACGTAAAAGGCAGATTTGAGCGCCTGCAACTTGCAAGCAGGCCAAGAGTGGGCAACAATTTGGCAAGAGCCTTCGCTGCTGATGACACTGAATCATTATACATGCCATCATTGATGCAAATCGGCGCCAGAACAGGACGACATTGCCATCGCCCAGCACGTCCAAACGTAATACCGGACGCAGATCGGTATATGAGCGTATGCTGGACGATATTGGATGGATGATGGTGGTCTTTTCCTGATATTCCCATTTGAGAGGTACGTTATCGTAAACATTGCCTTTCGATGTGGCTTAAGCCACCCCCAATCCAGACTCATTCAGCAGATTTTCAGTCAAACAAACAAACTGGAAAGGCTCATGAAGTCCGCGACTATATATCTGTCAAAAATCAGAATAAGAAAGTAGAATCCTCAAGCATCATTCTGATACTAATATCTCCCTGCCCACCCCTATACCCCCAAACCCGTTTTTTCCATGCAATCGTACTCGAACCTGTGCCCTCAGGTAGTAAAAAAATAACAAAAAAATTGGTTTTAGCTCATTTTAGATAGATGTCATCCTTAGTGCAGGGGCCATGCTAATCTTCTCTGGATAATTACTCTTGTTTCATATGCCCGAAGGCAGGTTTTATTCTCGAAAGTAGTTTTTTCTTATTATGATTATATACCTTTTTTCAATCACCACAACTTCACATATTCACAATCCTGTTCAAACAAAGCAGAGGCTTCGGGATGCCCGTGTATGTCTACGCCTATGCAAAAAATGAAATCATCGACCAGTACTTACAAGCATTACATCTATACGATCATACCCATCCCGGCCCCTACATTCCTAATGCCGTTTTCCTTATGCGCCCGTGCTAGAAGCCATGCGCTTGAGCAGCGAAAAAAATATGTTAATTTTGCGCCCTTATTTTGATGTATTTTTTCTCCCATCACCACAGTCTAACGAAGTCGCATGTTATTCAAATATAGCAGAGACGTCTTGACGCCCATTTATGTTCATTTACATGTATCTGGCATCTGGGCCATTGTCATCCTTATTTGCGAAGCGAATGAGAATGATCAGGTAAAGGACCTTTCGCCCATAAGCCAAGACTATACAATACAATTTACGTGCTAGCACATAAACCCGGCGAGTAACCTTTCATCATCCATGAAAACATCGATGTCTGAAGCTAAACGAGTGCTTCTCCGTGGCCCTCCCCCCTCCCCCCTTTCCCCTATATCCAAAAGCAGATGAGATTCAGACCCATCCATTCATTCTCGCGTCATTTTCCGCGCCCCTCACCAGCTTTCTCCCACAGCTCCAGGATCTTTGCATCGGCACTCGGAGGTACGACTACTATCCCCATTTCTAGACAATCTTTGTCCAGTTGAAGTGTCCTGCCGCCCATGACCACATAATGTATGAACTGAGACCACTGAGCTCTGTTGTTGGGGCGGACGTCTCCAGCCGTGCTCCTGTCCTCTCGAAGAAGGGTAATGGCTCTGCTCTTCTTGAGGTAGATTATGGTGACGCTGATGAGGTTGAAGTCCGGCAAGGCATCCTCCTGTGATGTAGGCTTCACAGGAGATGGTGAGTCGGAGGTGTTTTTGGTGGACTCGCTCGTGGTTTCGCCTGAAGATGCCATCGTGATGTTCGTTGGGCGTCGAAGATGTTGATACGAAATGCTTTGTCGTCTTATATATACATGCCTTCCGTCTTGTGAACGACGCTTAAATGCTGTACCGAGGGTAGGAGTCCAGATCTTTGCCAGATAGTCTATTTGCGAAGCCCATGAGATTCACGTTCGCCTGCTTTCAATATATAGCTTGGGACTCTTCATGAGATTTCTAGATGCTGAGAAGGCTTGAACTTAATAATTGCCCCTGAATTCAATTTGAGGTCGACTCGAAATATGATTGGACAAAAATTCTGGCCTTGCTGATTCTCGTCCCAAAAGAGGCGCCTCAACGGCCTTTGAATCTGAAGATACTGGCCTCCAACTTGAGTCATAGTGTGTCATTTGCCTGTAAAACGATTGAAGGAGTGAGGGTAAGCCCGAAAGCCATAAAATGATGTTCGATATCCATTCAAATGCCGTAATTGTTTCCAGAATGTGCTTTGCTGTAAACAAATTAGCTTTAACGAGGCAGTCACATATCAGGCTGAAGTAGTAAATTATGAGTATCAGCCTGAATATAGAGTAACTCACTGAGAAGTACGAATATCCTAAGATTTCAAAAACCGCTGCACTTGTCCTAACGATTCACCATATCTGGACTTTGGATTCCCCAACACCTTCGCTGTGAATTCAGCCCCGAACCCTCATCCCATCTTGCATGTCATTTTCGGATCGACCGTATTAGCAGAACTGACAGACCGATTCCAAATTTCCAACATCTTTTTATCGCAATATTTCGATGGCTGCGCGACGCCCCTCAATAAAGGAAGTACATCGAGTTGAATCTTCTTGTATCCCTGCGTGAGGTAGTGCATGAAGGTACACATCTGCGGCCATTTCCCGGCATGGATTTTCATCAGCTTGCGCTTGCCCCTGAAGATATGAGAGACCCAGACGATCATGCGGGGGACGTCAAGGAATTCGATCTCCACCGTGAGTGGACGTGGGGCAATACGTCGGATCGGAAGAGAAGTATTTGGCTGGTCCGTTGGTGGTGATTGAAGTCCGTGAGACTGTATAGTAGTGCCGGCGTTAGTCTGACTGTTGTTGCAGTCCGTGGAATTGAAAGCTGGCGGCGTTAGGGACACTTGATGGAAGCTAAGCACGGTCAGTAATCGTAGCGTACTAGTGTCTAAATGGCTCAAGTACCCAGGGAATTCTTGGATAGGGCTTGATGGAATGATTGTACGATGAGGCATGATGCTGTCAAATGTAGTTTCCTAAAAGGCTCAAATCTAAATCGTATATATGTCTACTACGTCGGTAGAAATAAGTGAGTGAATCAATGCTACAAGCCCGGGCAGCCACCTACTTATAGGCTTTCAAGTGGATCCTTTCCGACCGTTTGAGGCTTGCTGAGGCTTGCATAATCGTGCCTGCCCTTTTTACAGGTCAGCGACAGTGACAACAATCCAAGGGGAAGGCGCAATGCGAAAGGGGCTCGGTGTCACCTTTTCCTGTCATGGCTATGATAAATGCTTCTCATTCATTCATCAGTTTCTATCCGCATCACAACATTTGGTTTTCTACTTAACGCCGGTTTCGGTCAGCATCAACATATCGCATCACGTAGCAGCCACAATAGCATCTTCGCTCCAGTAAACTTGCCATATTAACAATGCCCCGATTGTTTTCCCCCAACATGTCAACCTCACCAGACAGCTCCAGGGAAGACTCACAACTGAAACCACTACTCTCTCATTGTAGCGGGGACGATACCCTCATCGATCCCATACAATTCATGTTCAGTGAGGAGGGAAAAGGTGGACTCCCAAATTTCGACACCCAGCTTTATGAATCATTTGGCGAGGATTCGGATGACGATAGTATATTTTCAGGGATCTCAGACAGCGCCAGTGACACGGAAAGTCACAGGGAGGAAGAACCCAAACCTCTACCATCCCTCAATAATGGAGAACTTCCTACAGACAGTCCCATTACCGCGCAAAGCCATACAGCAGAATGCAAATCTCCCCCATCTCTTAACAGAGGAGAACTTCAAGCGCAGATGAAAGCAATGGTCAAGGTTGGCATCTTTGACGTCTTCGGAATATCCGGTGACATCTGCTACCCACGGGTATCACTGGATTTTTCCTGGCCCAATCCTCCATCCATACACCTAACCATCAAAGGTCCATCTAACGTCGTGTTCTACGACAACCGATGGGAGTTGGACGCTTACGCTTGCTCTGCCTTTGCATGCCAAGATCTTCAAGTATGCAGCCTCCCTGAAGCGACCAAACACCTAAGCTCTGGCGATGTCGATATAATGGCAGACGAATTAGGGGGCGAACATCCGACCGATGTGGTTTGCATGCGGTTCACAAGTTGGCCAAGAATCACTGGACGAACAATCGAAGGGAACCTTATCACTTCGCTAGGCGGCCTCGATACATCCTTCAAGCAATCGTTGGCTATCCTGAGCAAACCTCAAGCTCCTTTCGAAATAACCATCGCGTTTCGACCCCACACATCCTTGGCCAGAAGTGAATGAAAAGGTGCTATCATACTTCATTGCTGCGTCCCAATCGCGAATCAAGCCATTGGATCAATGGCGGGACAAGGAAGGCATATTTTATTCCAAGAGCCAGGCGAAATATGAGTCCATGACGGCAGAAAGTCAAGATCTGAGAATCAAGGCGTTGGAACGTGAGTTGGAATTGTTGCGTCAGGCTCAGGTTCAGTCAAATATTTCAACCAGCTTGCAGAATGTCAAGACTGATGCGAGGCGTACATTTGCAGAGCATTGTCGGCTAAGGGTGGCCGCCTTGGAATGTCAGAAGTCAAAGAAAGGCCTTCATGACGTAGAAGAGGAATCTGAGATCAGAATGAGATTGGGGAGACCTCGAGGCAGATCTCGAGGCTTAACTGGGAGAGCACTATAATTCGCAGTCAACATGAAATTGGTAGAGAGCAAGATCGATCCAGAACCTTGCAGGCATCTCTGTGCGGTAGAGAAGTCCATGGCAGGTGTGACATCGTGGAACGGCTGCCAAAGATGGCAGATATGACACGATTATTTCCGAGAACTAGCGAAGATAGACTGCTGTAGGTTGTGATACATTAGTAAAGCAATACAGTATTGGATTCACTGCTCCTTCTCCGATATAGAGATCCTTGTAATTATGCCTAGATGGAGAGTAATTCAGGGGCAAGGGAGGGTACATCCCGAAAGGTGCCCAATCAGCTTGCCCTTCAAGAGGGCAAGAGACGCCTGTTTCATGATCGGGAGATATTCCGTGGTCTTGCTGCGACTGACAGGAACTCTCTAGAATTCCCAGAGACCGGCTTGCAAGGGGTTCTCTAGGACCGGCCTCCCCATCCTTGTCCCTTAGAGCTTCATAAATCAGCAGAAGCTGCCCTAGCATGGTCATCTTTCGACTAATGGACTCTCGGCACAGTCGTGAGATCAGTAAAGGTATCTGTCATTGTACTATTACCTCCGTCCCAAGCCATGCAGAACTCCAGGTCCTCATGGTATCCTTGGAAAGCATAGTCACCGATCGTAAGGGCGCGAGATACGGCGTAACCTGCGGACGGGACAAGACGTAGCTTTTAGCATAAGGTCGGTACTAGGTCGCGCATCGAAGAGACAAAGTTGTGGCAAGAGATATTTTAATGAAGAAATGTACAAGAGCCAAAAAAAATTCAGATCGTTGATTCAGCCTCGTCGATAAGCAGGCAGGCAGGTCGGAAGCAATACCAAATCAGTTTTAAACCTGCCCACCCTACCCTTGGCTTTAATGGACTCATCGCAGGCTAGAGACCCAGCCTACAATGTCCCATCCCCTCCTCGCATCTCGTTTCCTTCTCCCTCTCCGCCCCTACGGCCTTCAGAAATGTCCGATAGCCTTCTGCTACTCCTTTGGGCCTCGTGCCACCCTTTCCCTGCCCATTTCTTGCGTCGTGTGTAGTCGGATGGCGCTCGGATGGATCGTGCGCTACCTGGTTTGGGCTTGGTGACTGCGCGGGGGTGGATACTGCGGAGGAGCTGTCTACTTGTTCTGGACTTGGATGAGTAGATAGTATGGCTTGGAGCGTGGACATAGCTGGCGCGAGTTTTGTCGCGGTCATGGATGTGGGCGAGTCGTTGGCAGGGGAAAGTAATGGGGAGGTGTAGGAGTCGTATGGCCAAGCTTTTGGCGTTGTTGGCGTTAAGGTCGTGATGGTGCATGGGCTTGATGATTCGGAGGATGAAGGGGAGAGAGTCCACGTTAGGCCTGGGTATGGAGAGTCCAGGAATGGGGTCCGGGCTTGTGAGATGGTGGAAGGGATGATTTCGGAGAAAATTAGGTGATGGAGACCTGTCTTGGTGCAGGTGCAGTTTTTCTTGGGGGTTGGTGGTGGTGGGTGAGAGCGTAGTGGGTCGCGAAATGGTGGAGAGTAGTTCAGAGACATTGTTTGGTTTTTTAGTTTGCGGAGAGGAAACAGATGATGGTGCATGAGCCTGGGGCGGACTTTCTATTTATTGAGGAGCATGCATTGAGGTCGTGCGAGTTCTGAGTTTCCATTGCGGCCTGGGAGGAGCGTCTCATGCTTCCTGTACGTCGATCAAGTAGTGCATCATGTACGTCGCGCATTGTTTCATGATAGTTGTGACTTCAAAGCTCGTGTCGATCAACCAATAGCGACTCGCGTACTTCACTGACCAAGGTGCTGGTGGTACGAAGACGCTATAGCAGATCGTACAAGGTCATTGAATCATTTCACGGACAGCTGCTATGAGTGTGGTGATATGGGGCAAGAAGAAAACTTCGATATAAACACAGGACCTGTAGAATTTGGCGGCCACAGACACACTCTTCAACCCTTCGCACCCTTCTTCTTCTTCCCTGGCCCGGCCACACTCTTTCTCCTCTTCTCTGGCGGCTCTACTGATGCTTCATCTGCTGCTATTTCCATCGTCTCGAAGCCGCTCCTCTCTCCTCCAGCACCAACACCCGTATTACCGCCACCTCTGACCCCCTCCGTGCTGACCAGCTGGTCCCTAAAAGGATCAAAAGGCGCCTGTATTGGCCTCTGACCCATCTGATTCGTGAATGTAGCCACTTGTCCTTCCTTCGCCTTGCTTCTCAGTATCTCCATCCTCAAATCTTCATCCGTTCTCGGCCTCCCCTCCGTAGGATCTTTTCTCTCCGCTTCATGTAATTTATCCAGAGCCGGACCCACTATGTGATATTTCTTCCAATTGATCGGGGGTGTGCGGACGACGTTCTGCGCAACTGGAAGCTCCCCAAATTCTCTTGCTCTTTCCGCCTTGCCCTCTGTTCGTTCACGTGCATCTGTGTCACGGGAATCTGGTACGGGGCTTGGTTCCACACTTTCATCGGATTCGGATTCGGAGGAGTATGCACTATCTATGCCATTTCGTAATGTATCTTTTGACTTTATGTCGCCGCGCTGTAGAGCTTCCGCAAATTCTTGTGGTTCGGCGAGTGCCATCCCTTTCTGCCGCTCTAGGGTTGCCATGTCGCGGAGCGCTTGTTGTCGCTGTAGCTCGAGAACAGACATGGCTGCTCGAAGTGCCATGGCATCAGGATTGGTAGCGAGGTCGACTGGTTTGGTGGGGGTTTCTTGGAATTGCGGGGCAGCAGCCACAGGTCGTGATGGAGGGTGTTCTGGGGCTTGATGGACTGGCTCCTGCTCATACTGCGCATGTTGAGAGAGCGACTGTAGGGAAGGTTGTGATCGATTCTGTGGTTCGTGTCGCTCGGGTAAGGGTGGCGCATTGCTCAGAGGAGATTTCAAAGCTGAAGGATGATGGGGTACGGAGCGAGGGTCAACGTTGGTCAAGGATGACGTCGCGGCCGCTAGATTTGCCGTAGACATCTGCGGCGTGACAGGAGAGTATGGTGGCGCTGGTGGAAGAGGAGGGAAGGGCTGTGAGCTGAGGGAGGATGGTCGGAGCGGAGGCAGCTGAGCATAATTTGGACTTGGATTTGACATGTTGCTGGGAGAGATGCCGTTCGTGTAATGCTCGATAATGAGGGGAGGGGTCGCAAGACATGACACCAGAAGGTTCACAGGTACGCTTTAGTGAGCCAGACTTATGCAGGTACCCAGACTTGACACAAGTAGCTCAGGGCGGCACAGAAGAAGCGGTAGAAGGATCATCTTTCATTATGCTAATTGATTTGGGTATATATGTCCATCGAAGCCATCGTGTACTTCCGACGCCGCTAATTCTCCCATTGTCCGTATGCTTCTTTGGGGTATCTTGCAAGTAATGTCCGAAGCAATCTATCTATACTACTGTTGCCAGTACTGTCCTCATTTCTAACCACTCATGAAGAACGACTTGCGCTCTGCTTTTGTTGCATTATGAATCTGGCTTCGATGACCGGCCAGCAGCCACCAAGGTTCGCATTACTGCTTTTTGAGCAGTCCACGTCGGCCTTTCAGTCGCATTAAGCCACCCATTGATGTGGGCGTATCAGCTCTGTCAGAAAAGCATTCCGTCTTCGATCCCATGGGTTCGTCCCATGGGCTCACTTTCTTGTCCAAGCCAGCACTCATCCTCCTACGCGGTGGTGGTGGGTACCCTTCTATCGCTGGACTGCGAGGGGATGGCAGGAAAGCAGAATTCGGTAGTAGTTGATCTTGTCGAGGTGCCCTGAAGGTCGGAACACTCCTCTTCTTTAAGATTGAGGCAGGCTCGTTCTTTTCTGCCTCGACACCTGGTGATTTGAGCTTTCGCCGTGCTGCTGCGGGCGGACCGAGAACATTTGGTCCGCGAGATCTGAGGATGGCTTCGTTGGCGGGAGGGATATCAAGAGTAGTTGTTCGTATATCGTCCGCTATTTGCGCCTGAGGGTCATACAGCGTCTTCTCAGAAGAACCAGAACCGTCGTGCATGTGAATGGGCATCGGGGCACTTGGCGTCCTTGGGGACAAGTCGTTTGGCGTAAATGATGGTGAATGAGAGTACGCGGGAGTAATAGAAGAGCCGCCTCTGCTGAGGACAGGGCGATCGAAATACTCCCTCGGTATCTCAGGGGGTTGTGATGGTTCTGTAGCAAAGTTTGGAACCTGCATGGGGACGCTTCTAATGGATGAGCGTCTGGTATCTGGCCTGGACCCAATTTCAAGACTACTGGCTGATCCAGGGAATTCCCATCCATAGAGGTCTGCCAGTTGATTTTTGCCTTCTCCACTGTACGCTGAGCGTACCGAAGCTCCTCCAAGTGTCCCCTTGCTCTGGGGTCTTCTCGATGAGGTTCGGAGCGAGTTGCTCGACGATGAATGCCCTGATAAGCCACTTATTGTGCTATCATTCCACAGATTTACTCGTTCCTGGGCCGCTACGTCTTTTTTCTCTTGTTGCTTCAAAGCACTTGGGATGCCATCCCACTTTGAATTGACCTTAGGTACATTCGGGGGCAACTTTGTCGAAGAGACCATCGGCATACCAACTGCTTTGAGCTTGCCGTCCTTTAAAGCGCCCTGTTCCTTCAATTGGCGTTCATAGGCTACTAAAGCTTGAGAAGACGGTTCCTTGGCGAAGAGACTTGTGAAGAAATTTTGGCGCTTCTTTGTCTTCTTCTCGGGTTGAGGGGGTGCCAATGATGATTGATAGGAAGGCCAGGGCGGGAAACTAGCATCTGAAGGGGGATACCGTGGTGATGGGCAGTATTCAGATGGTGTAGACGACGTTGATAACGAGGGAATTGAAGGTCCGGTAGAGATTGTATTTGCTGTTTCAACAGATCCGGCATCGTACGTACTTTGGCGGAACTTTAACTTAGGTATGTGGACAGACTGGCGGCGGTTTGGGTCGAAAGGTTCGGAGGCCGCCATGATGCATGCAACAAGAAACCTCTCGTTCTGAGGGTGATATCACAATAAGAAGTGCCTGAAACTGTGTGTTAGATCCTGATGATGCAACGTCACCGCCTTTTCTGAAGTGTGTCAGCTGATGTATTGGTCTCCTTCATTCTGTGGCGCGCCTCAATGCTTTCCCCGCAACATGAGAATCTCGGACTTGGGTTGAGACAAATGCATGAGGAAACGTGCAGATGAATGAAGGGAAGTTGCAATCTTTTTCGCTTGAAGCAGGAAATCGAGGTGGTCTGAATAATAATAATAATAATAATATACGGATCAGGGAGGAGCGACCAATAGTCCACAGGCCCTCGAGATTGGCCACAGTAGGGTTGAAGCCACCATCTTCTGCATTACGACTCCCTGCAAGGAATCTGGCGCAAGTTCGATCGTCCATCGCCTTAAAACGCCCAACCATGCAGTGACTAGGATAAGGGTGCGAACGGCACGGCGGGAGGCAATTTGCGGGTTGGGAAGCAACGAGAATCTCTCACAGAGCAGGGGGACCAATAGTGGCCGCAAAATGGGTCGCACTTGTCTGATATGTACCTGTGGTAGGATTATTGAGAGCCGCGCACCTGACGTTCAACTGCCATACAAGGTCATGATCTGCTCTACAGACAGCAGGATGTGTATATGCGGAATTAGCACAAGGAGGGGAGGACAGACGTCGCAATCTCGATGGAAAACTTTCAGCTGGGGTCTCCAGCGCCACATCACTATCCACAGATTTAACCCCACAGGGTCCAGACGTTCCAGAACCCCTGATCTATGGATTACCAACTCTTGAATAGGCTAAGGAAGCATGCTCTTCTCTGCTGCTCCTGTGGGTTACTAGAAGTAAGCTGCTCTGGGATGTCGATATATACCGATGTTCGTACAGACAATAATACATGATTGATGTCTTGACTTGTGACAGGAAGGTCGAGCCGTTCTTCCCTGCCCTCGCACGGGATGATCGACAAGATGGTTGCGTAGCTCCAAATCTTGCGGAAATTATAACTTTCGAGATGCGTTCTTTATCCCGGTACCTTCTGACGCGCCACATGTGAAGGAGCTTGGGCCACCCATCAAGATTCTCTAGCTCCAAGACCTATCGTAATGGCAATTACTCTTCGGCCGACTTTGCCATCCGTCTCGATCTCAAATATTTTCACAAGAGAGCTGCAAGTCCGGTCAGCGTTGCTCACCCAACTTGGTCGGAGTTCACGACGGTTGGTCTAAGGTGGCGCATACACGCGTCCGAGCGCAACCAATGCCGCAAAAGAGATCGAAACATGGTACCAGGTCAAGAGTTTTGGTGGTGAGATAGCCCGGGTTTCACGGCATACGCGCTCTTGTCGCCCACCCCACGTGATATTCTGGGGCCTGCAGGGATTGCAAGATGAATCCGTCGTAGCTGTTCTTCCGACGAATCAAGACCCGACCCGATCAAATCCGGAGCAGTCCAGGATACTGCTGATGATCATATGCATCGTTCCTTTGATTCTTGTCATTAGTCCTTACGTCACAATACACTGTCCTCGAATATCCCTTGGCTGCGGCCTTCATAGAAACATCATTTGGGAATTCCACCTGATAACAAGATTGTGACGCTGAGCCTCGAATGAGTGCGTCCATTGTCAACTCGAAACTAGGTGATTGAAGGTCTAGCAATGGATATGCCGCGACGACAATGATGCTGCAAGCTCCGCCGATGGTCCCAAACTTGCAGCTCCCCCTCGTCGTCCGAGCGCTGCAGCCATTAACAATATGCAATGTACTGTTTTGACCGCAAGAACAACTTGCGCTTCACCACGGATATTGTGGAAATATCCTGCATCTGCCCTCATGTCTGTCAGACTCTAGTGATTCCCCAATCAAGCTAAGCCTTGTGAGGCTCGAGTCAAGCCTGAACTAGGTGACCTGTATCCATGAGCACAAAGACTTTCCCCATCTGGTGCGATGCTACAAGTCGTAATTGTCGCAAAGGGGAGGAACTCACAAGCACTTATTCTACTTGTGGTACCGCGCTCTGTATGCGAGGCGTAGCGCAAAGCATGTGAGCATTAAATTCTAGTGTCAGTGCTTGAGCATCCATTTTTCTTTCTTGAAAAGAATCCGCCTTGTCCGCACACGCATCTGTCCAGCATGTTCACGTGGACATGACATCGTCGTCAATGCAACTTTTTCGAACAGACTTTCCAATCTCACCATTTCCTAATTTGTAATTTCAAAACCTTTCGCTGACAAATTCCCCCAAATCTGACCGCTGATCCCTCATCCCCTCACCATTGCATATGAACGCTCCTCCCATCATAGCTCTCACCTCCTTCGCCTCGAACCCACATCCCCATCCTCCCATCACCCATAATGTCCACCCACACCGCCATCACTACTACCGCCCTAGGCGCCCCCTTACTACCACCCTCCTCCAAACGCCCACCCCCTTAGACAACGAAGTCCTAATCAACAACCTCTACACCGCTTCCACGCCCCTTGACCTCCACCAAGCAGACGGCGGCCTCCTCGTCACCCACCCGCAAGTGCTCGGCGACGGCGTCGCAGGCCGCGTCGTCGCCGTCGGGCCTACTGCCACCCGCCTGAAAGTCGGCGACTACGTCTTCGGCTTCACGTGGCGGACGCAGAAAGAAAAGGCCTTTCAGGATTTGGTGTGTGCGCCTGAGTTTTTAGTTGCGAGGGTGGTGGACGCTGGGGTTGAAGAGGGAAACGGCGAGGGGCAGGGGAAGGGCGAGGTGCAGGAGGGTATCAATGAGCGGTTGAAAGCATTGGTAACGGTGCCGAATAATTTCGTCAGCGCGTGGCATGCGCTTGTGACGGATCTGGGGATCGCGCTGTCATGGCCGATACCGAAGTTCGATGAGAACGAAGATAGGACCAAGACGATTCTTGTCTGGGGCGGCAGCGGAAGCGTGGGTCAGTATGCTCTCCAGATCCTCAGGGCGTATGGGTATCAGAACGTCTACGCGACGGCGTCGAAGCGGAATGCGGAGCTAGTGAGGGAATGTGGTGCGAAGGGGGTGTTCGACTACAGTGACCCGCATGTCGTGGAAGCTATTGTTAAGGAATTGGGGACGGTGGATTTGGTACTCGATTGTATCGGCCATCTCTCCGGCACGCTGGCCCCGATCTCGCGTATCGCGAAGGCGGGGGCGAGGGTAGCGGTTATGTTGCCTGTTATTGTAAGAGATGCTGCGGAGGGGGTGAAGCCGGAGTTTGCTATGGATCCGTCGAGTGTGGTGCGGTGGGAGGAAGGGGTAGAGGTGAGGGACGTGAGGACGCATTTTTATTTGGAGAATGCGATGCATAGGGAAATGTTGCAGCCGGTGATTATGCCGGAATTGGTGAGGAGGGGGATTGTGAAGCCGAATAGGCAGAGAGTTGTGGAGGGGAGGACGATGGTAGAGAGGGCGGAGAAGGCACTGGGGTTGTTGAGGGGAAAGGGGCTTAGTGGGGAGAGAGCGGTTTGGAAGGTGAGTGATGTGGAGGCGCGAGATTTGGGTTGGGACGGTGAGGTAGATGAAAGATAGTTGCGGTAGAAGGGAGATCGAATGTAGTAAGGCGCTTTCATATTTCGAGAATCTGAGATGACAGCGATGGGGGCATGGATTGAAGCATATCAAAAGCCGTTCAAATCCAGCACTTGATTAGACCGGATTGATGTCCTCTTTATCCTTGTATGCATTATTGATTACGCGCTTTTAAAGGAGAGCAAACTGCATGCAAATGACGAGCGAAGCTTTGGATACATCTTGGTGGATCTAATTTAGAACCTCAAAACGAAGAAAATGCTACCGAAGGAGGACAAACATACTCAATCAACGGACTCTCTTGTACATCACATCTGTTCGCATTGTATACTTAATACCTCTTTTGACATCTGCACCAGAATGCAACAGCCCCTTTTGTTGGAAAAGGAGGACGCGACCGACTTTGGGCACGACATCTACATGGCGTCCAGTCATATCTGTTGCATGGAATGTCGTAGCACCGCCGACGAGGAGAGAATCCTCGTCTGCTTCGTTGAGATACAGGTGCATGGTAATGAATGATGTCTCCTCTTCATCGTCATCCTCATGCATCCTGACATTTCCGTCGAAGTGGGCTAGCACTGGGATCAGCCCGTGCATTGTTTGAGCTCGAGAGAACTCACGTCTGAAATAATTGCCATCGAGGTATCGCAAAAAGCGCATGCGCTTGTTGCATTGTGTCATCTCATACGTTTGGTTTCTCATGAGGTATCCGCTGCCTGTGATGCCAGGCTTGTCTTTCAACTGGAGAATCTCCGGGACGTGGTTTTGACATCTGGCCCAAATCCTTGCCACTAAGTCACTATTGTCCCATATGATACGACCACAAGATCTCGTCTCTGGATCGAGTTCCTGCCTGCCGTATCCTACGTTGACGCCAGCCTCCTCCCACTGCTCATTCATCTGAGCCTTGGCAGCTCTGACCAAATTGAAACACTCATCCGCCGAGAGGACATCATCAAGGACACAGGCATAGAAATCTTCATATTCGGGGACTTCAGTGTCCTTGAAATTGATGATTTCCTTTTTGACCTGTGGGCCCGGACGGGTAAGAAAAGTGCGCGGCAGCCAATATTGGACAGCCATCAGTAGGACTTCAAGGCGAATGCTTCTTTTCACAGAATTGCCATCAAATGTTGTGAAGAACGGTTGGCTCTTTTATTTGCATGCTTACGACTTCGCGCATACACAGCCAACACCTTTGAGTCATGCCCAGACTTGGTGACGACTCACGTGCGGGGTGACGAGCTGAGGCTGACTCGAAATTCTTGTCAATACAGAACGCGACCGTACCTGAGAGCATGTCGACTGTCATATCAGGTCGATCTCCACGAGGCAATCTAGAGCAATGACACCAGATGATGATAATTATTGCGGCACATTCACGGTACCTAGAGAAATAAGACGAATGGTCGCCCAGTCCGCGGGCTTTAGGCCTTGGCTCAGCGCAGCAATGCCCCCAAAAGGGATTGGCTTCGCCCATGTTGGGTCAGCCCTAATGTCGCTTCGTTCCTTCATATGTCTGAAACATCAGCTTCCAAGCATTCAGGTTGGCAGAGCTGAAGAAGCTGACACGGTGCAAAGCCAGCAATATATATTCATGATGCCTCCATTCCTGGCTGGTATTCTTGCTTCCTACGGTTCAGGACCATTACAGCTTCTCGATCTAGGTTGAAATGGCAAACCAGCAGAACCCCTACGGCTCCAATGGACCTCCACCACCATACTCACAGCAACAATTCCCTCCTTACGGCCCTCCTCTCGTGAGCTACAACCAACAATATCCTCAACAGTCCTACAATCAATACCCTCAACAGCCCTATAACCAATACCCTCCTCAACCATACAACTATCCCGTCCAGCCTCCGGTACAACAAGATCTCAAACCACCCTACCCTCCCCAATCCGGCCAACAACACCAGCAAAGTCCCTACCACTCTCCAAATCTAAGGCCCCAAGCCTCGCCCCAGCACACCCCCTACGGCAGTCCTCTTCCCTCCCCACACGTTTCGCCTTCCTTCAACCACGCCCAACCTGTCCAACAAGGTGGTACCACTGAGCCCCTCAGTCTCCTCCTACCGCGCAGACCAGGCAAGACGGGCGCCATCCTAAACGCCACTACTTCTGCCGCCCTCTACACCTTCCGCACGCACAGCTGGTCAAAGCCTCACTTGACCCTCACGTCCGCCTCCGGCCAAGACGTGGGGAGCCTGACTATGCACAGCATGTCGTCCCGCATCGATGCCGTTCTTCACGGGCGTCCCATATCGCTGGAAAGTAACGGCATGATGCGTAGTGGGCACCATTTCAATTCCACGACCCAACTAGGGGCGATGAAGTGGAAGAATGATGGGATGAGTGTTAGTAAGCAGCTGACTGCACAAGGGGGCGGTGGTGGAGTGGCGGCAGAGGTGGTGGTCGCGAGGTGGGATGTAAGTACGTGGAGTTTGAAGAAGGAGGGGAAGCTGATCTTGCATGATGGGAGGTTTAGCAGGGGTGTGGGCTTGGATGAAGTGATCCTGAGCTTGCTGGCGGAGTTGGAGACGGATAAGAGGAGTGCTGCTGCTGTGGAAGGCGCGAGTGCTGGGGCTGGGGCGGGGTGTTGAAATGAGGACGAGGTAGCAAATGAAATGAGGTATACGGATGATGGACTAGGAGATGTGTCCTGTGAAGTATTCATTTTGACCATGAAAGAATCTCAACGCCGATAGCACCAATCGCTTTCCTCGCGCTCATAAGTATAGATATATACATGAAGTATGTCTCTCAATTGCATTTTGACCACTGTCGTAAAATCTTCCCCGGTGGTATTTCCAACATCTCGTGCCGACGTACAAGATTCTAATTCTCGTACCCACCGCATCGAACGATTGCGTTCCCCATATCGTCGTCAAAACCTTCAGTGCCGAACAGGTCGTAGGCACAAGCCCACACATCGTCACCAACCCCCTCCCCCTTCTTCAAGACCTTACAACAGAAAAGTACAACCTCCTCGTCTCCTGCTCCCCCCCACTGGCACTCCCAAAAACCTTCCCCACCCCCACCCCCAACCCAGCCAGACCCCTCCCCAACTTCCTCCCCCCAAATCCCCCAACCCACTATCCACCATCTTCTCTCTCCCGCCCTTCTTCCTCTCCGGCACCTGAAAAATCGCACTAACCTTCAGCGGCACACCCGCCGCCACGCCCGCCTCCTCCCACAACTTCGTAAAACTCGCCGGACTGTGTCTGAAAATGGTGCGCTTCTCGCCCGTCTCCGTCTTACTAAACGGCGGCTTAAGTTCCTGCTCTCTAGCTTCCACAATGCCCGCCTGCGAGCCGAGGATCAGGGAGCCCGGCTTATGCGAGAGCAGGCGCAGGATGCGCGTCGCGGCGCGTAGTTGGTTCTTATAGTCGAATAAATGCAGGAACATGGTCATGCTGACGATATCGACCTGGCCCGGTCCCAAGCCCCTCATCAGATTCCCCCGCGAAAAGACGTCGTTGCTGGCTAGGATGTCGTCGGCGATGTAGTGGTCTTTGGGCATGCTCGCCCTGTCTTGCCAGAGGTCGTAGGAAAGGTCTTCGTATTCCGGGAAGAGGTCCGTGGCGAAGAGCGAGGCCGCCGGTGCGCCGTCGTATACGCATTTTCGTAGGTCTTGGCCCAGGCAGGATCCGACGTCTAATAGGGAGGCGCCGGCGCGCAGGCGGGGCAGGATTACGGTGAGGTAGAGCGGGTGCTGGGAGAGGCCGAAGGAGAGGAACCAGAATTCGCCGATGCAGGGCCAGGGGAAGATGCCCCATGCTTTGTCGCGCTGGGAGGGGGGTGGTTAGGTTATGATTGTGGGAAGAAAAGGTTTGGGGTTGGGGAAGGGAGGGGAGATGTACTATTCGGTAGATATGTGACTCAATTGATTCGCTGGGGATCTTGCTGTATTTCTCGAGGACTTCTCTCGCATCGGGTGTGAGCTCGTCTTCGAGTTCGTGGTGGTACCAGGGCCAGGAGACGCTGCGGGCTCCTTCTGGCACTGGGCCGTCGAGCATTTTCGCCATGCTGAGCGGGTTGGCGAGAGCTCGCCTAATCAAGCAACTTTTGCTTTTTTGCTGGATAGAAAAGCCTTCTTGAGTAATGGGAATTGCAAAGGCAATCGCGACAAATGAATGGCAAAGGTCGAAATGCGATAGGCGCTGTTTGTTGCACAGGTCTTAAATCAAACAGCAGCGCTGGAATGTCTCTACGATAGCGATCGACAGACAAATTGAAAATGAGCGTCTACAGCCACCCCTCTCAATCGGGCAGGGAACAACTCTTGTCACTCTTGTCAGCTGGGAGGGAGCCACATGATTCTTCCTGCAGCCATGGGTTGTATCAGGGTGGCGGTTACTGTGCTGTCAGTCGATCTTAGTTGCCGATCGTCAGGGTGGGAGATAAGATGTCGATGGGAGATGAAACGGACAGCGGCCAATGTGAAGGTCAGAGTGCTAGGGAGATGTTGTAGAGGCAGCTCGTCACATTCTCTGACCGTTTCAGCTTCCCATCTGATACCGCTTTAGCTGTGCCACATATCCCTGTCACCAGTTGTCAAAGGCATGAGTCCGATTGGTCAGAAGGGTGGAATGAGTAATCAAGCTTGTCTTCGTGTAGGACTTTACATTAATTACCAGTGACTTGCGTTTCTTCCCATCGATATAGGATGAGAGCAGACATATCTAGAATACTAGGCGCACATCTCTTGTGCCCACCAGAGCCGAGTCGCTTGCTTTCCGATGTCTCACAGCACAGCAGGTCAATTGTTCCACCGTGAGATGGGCTGGAAGGGGGCAAGGGCAGCTCGTATTCCCAGCTTTGGCAAAATCCTGCATCCAAGGCAAGTTTAAGCCTTGCCTGAGTCATTAGCTTTCAAGATGAAGCTTGGATGGGTCTGCATGGGATTCGCGAAGTCCCCGCTCCTCGTGAAGACATCAGAACCCAGTTATGGGTTCAGTCTGGTTGACTATAAAGAGCATGAGGACTTCTTGGCGTGCCACTAGGCTCTACAGACCACAAGTCTACATACATTGTTGCCAATGGAGACTCCTTAGACGCGGTCAAGACTCGTTTCGCATGTCGCTAAGATCCTAAGACTTGGCTGCCGTGTCCGAGACCTGCAAGACACGCGGTCTGTAAATGCAAGCAGGACCATGATGCATCAAGCCTCCATTTCGAAACTCACAATGCAAGAGGCCATTACTCAAGATGAAAATCTTACGACACAAGCTTGGATCGATCTTCCTTGCTTCTATGTTCAAGGCCATCCTGGCAATCTCCTCTCCAGACTTGAATCCTGGTCTGGTAAATGACTCAAACTATCAATGGATTGATGCCTTCTCCTTTGAGATCAGGGCGGGGACGATTGGCCTTGGTAATGATCGTGCGTATGTAGCTGCGACGAGCTTTTTAAATCACCTTGCTTGGAACGATTACCTGGGCTATGAAGGGTCGCAGCTTTTCAGAAGCCCAATTGCGCCAAGCGTAAGTATCCAGATCAAAGCATATCCACCAGGACAATCTTCGCAGGTCCAGAGACGCTTCTTGATCCAGGGGCTCCTCCAAACAGTTGCATACTTTAAGAACGTAAAATTGATTACCAACGTGGAAGTCACGCTAAAATTCCATGACCGAACGGTTTGCCTTATGGGGTTCAAGAAAGCGCAAGAGCAACAATCAGATGCCGGGTCTTCAGCAGTTGGCAATGCAAATGCCTTGAACGAGACGCTAAAATCAGTCACAGGAGATTATCTTGCAGGAAGCGACCTGCCTCCATTGCCTGCTATCGGTAGACCGCCTACCTCCCTGCCAACCTCAAACAATTCAGCAACGTCAGATAAGTCTTCGACCAGTATCATTTATCCAGAGACTTTAAACTCGACCACTTCATACCTTCCTGACGAGTGGCTAGCTACTGATATCACTTTTCATAATGAGTTTCCAGTGAGAAGTCAAGACTTCTTCCTGATAATAGCCGCAACCTATGCCTGTATTGCACCATATGACCGGGATACTGTGGCTTTGGCAAAGCCTGTACGCGCTGCACACACGCCCATGATACTTTACATTCGGTTCCCAGATCCAGCGCGTCGGCGATATGAACCATTATTTCGTTACCAGCACGTGCTGCGAGGGCTTTATTCGATTGTCCAACAAGCGTTCACTGGTGATAGATACTTTGAGCTCGACGCAGACTTACATCTGTTCAACACTAGATCGATTATGGCAGAGCTTGGTAGGCTGTCGATGTTGCGAGATCAGACATATTCGGTCGCTTAATGCTCGCTGTGGATGACGAGAAGCTACAAAAACGTCGAAAGCGGAATGCTGATAGAAGTTACAGGAATCATAATGGTGTCTTTAGGTCGCTGATTCTGTGTACACAATAATCATGTGAATCTAGCTTGCTCGAGGTTGAAAAAAAGGACGCCGAGTCGTACTCGACTATTCCTTTTGACTGTCATGAGATTGAGACACCACACAATCTGCGTCGCCCCATTATCCTTATTGGTAGGCTTTCCGTTGAACCACTAGGGATTCCGTCGAGGGGGTCTCGGCGAAGAGTTCAAAGCAGGCAGAATCCTTCGCTACACGGTAAGGATTTGCCCCACCTACTAGCTCGACTCTTGTCGATAGAGTGTGAGTCAACCATTCGACCATTTCGCCAATACAGACCAATTCAACGACTGCGACATAAGAGTAAATATCAAAGCACATGTAGCATGGAGTCGCCAAAAATAGGATTCGAAGTCCTGGAGGATCACGATGTAATCGGCACTGATTCGTCTGGCCTGCAACCTTTACCGCCTAGCAAGATCCAAAAGATTCGAGCCTGGCTGAAACCTACAGAATTTGCAGCTGATTCCAGCGAGTACAATCGGCATTTGGCATCTTATGTCTTGGGAACTGATTCATGGACATCCGAGCATCGATATCAACAATGGCAAAAAGATCCAGCTTGTGGTGCTTTATGGATTAAAGCGGTACCAGGTGCTGGGAAATCAGTCGTCGCTGCACGTATCATCGCCTGCAAAGCTGAAGAGTCGAACGGAATTGCCCTGTTTTTCTTCTTCCGGCAGATAATCAGCCGAAACCGTACGCCAACAGATTTGCTACGAGATTGGCTGGCACAACTTCTAGATCGCAGCCCCCACCTCCAAAACCAACTTATTGTATACCTTGACCAGCATCGAGACTTTAAAAGCGTAGCATTCGATGAGCTCTGGCAGAAGTTGGCTAAGAGCTTATGTTTCCTGCCTAACGTTCTTTGCGTGGCGGATGCGCTTGACGAAATGAGCCATGGCACCAATGGGAATGACAACTTCATTAGCACTCTTGCCGAGCTAGGGCGGTTGAAACCTTCCATCGTAAAGGTTCTAATGACGAGCCGGCCAGTTCCTCGTATTGAGAAAGTCATTAAGGCAACTTCGGCAGCTCAGCTCACGCTTACTTCAGAGATCGCATTGCCTGCGATAGGCAGATATATTGAGCATCGACTAGCTAGCCGACCATCTTCACAGAAAAATCTTGCTCTCATAAAGCTCGAACTTCTCAGGAAATCTGACGGGCTATTTCTGTATGTCAAGCTCATGACGGACAAGCTCCTCGATCGGATATATTCAAATGATGACGAGATCCTGATGGCAAATGTGGAGAGCTTACCGAACGGCCTCTCTGATATGTATACAGCTATGCTCCATGAGCACTCGTCTCGATCCAAAGTGCCCCAAAGGTTGCAGATTGCAATTCTCCGTTGGGTCACACACTCGGCAAGACCGCTCCGAGTGCTTGAATTGGCTAATATTGTGGACTCGCTGACGACGAATGAGCTACTAGAAGACGTGCCAGAGCTGCGTGCTCTGTATCCCAATACAAAAGCTATGATACGGGCGGCATGCGGACCACTCATCGAAATACTTGAGGACGAGACTGTCTCAATCATCCATCATTCCCTGACCGAGTACGTTGTCGACTCTTGTCGGAATGATAGCACCTCTATCGGTCAGATATCTGGCGGTTTCCCGATCATCGACTCTGCCAATAGCCACATAGAGATAGCAATCACCTGCCTGCAGTACCTTATTAACACCTTTGTAGAAGAGCTGAAGTACGAGATTCCACAATCATGGTATTCTTCTTCAGGGATTACCTCCTTGTATGCCAAATATCCACTTTTGAAATATGCACGTCTGTATTGGTCACACCACGCCCATCGCAGTGTCGGTGCAGACTCGATGCTTTTCGATTTACTCGATGGTTTCATGGATCCAAAGCGTACATATCTCAAAGCATGGCGCTATCTCGAATGTCCAGAAGTCGACTATGATGACGATGAGGATTACGAAAAGTTTCATGATAATCAAAGCCACGCACTGCACATCGCAGCTCAATTTGGCTTGGCATCCTACACTGAGTATCTTCTTGCTCTGGAACAAGATCTCAACGCCATCAATGGCACTTATGAAAATACGCCAATGCATCTAGCAGCCGAGTATGGCCACGTTGACGTGGTGAAGGCCCTTTTACAGCGCGGTGCCTTGGTGAATACTGGGAACTACAAGGGACTAAAGCCGCTTCATTTGGCTGCAATTGGCAACCATGTGGATGTTATTAGGGCTCTATTGGATGCTGGAGTCGATCCTATGACCCCTAAAACAAAAGAAAACCCACGAGGCCGCTATATAGGTTTCATGCCTCGGTCGACAATTGGGGAGAGTCCGGTCCAACTTACTTGTAGATATGGTCATAAAAGGTCGGCACTGGTATTTGCATCTTATCTAAAAACACAGGATCTGCTGAAAGTGGCTCACTGGGCTGCCAATGAAGGCCGGTGCGAAGTTGTGCTAGCAATGCTCGAAACCTACGGAGACATGATTGACGTTGATAAATTGGTAAGCGGCAAGGTACGTTCTCCCGCTCAAATAGCCCCCGGTTGCCAAAAAGTTCTTGCCTTGTGATGAGAATTAAAATTGTGATATAGGCTGAAGGTTTGGCTGATTTTGAGCGTGTGTAGACACTCGTTTTCCACGCTGCCCGTTGCCACGATTTGCTCACTTTAAAACGACTGAAAGAACTCCATGCAGATTTCAAGATCTTGTGTTGCGCAGACGGTCGCCACAAATACGGTCGCTGTGATTGTGGATCGGAAAGGATGACAGATTCACCACTCCATGCATTTGCAGGAGGTTGGCCGACCGCTACGTCATGCGGCGAAAACAAAGGGGCAAAATCGCTTGAGGTCTTGCAGCTTCTACTGGAAACAGGATGTAGCCCAAACGCACAAGGTAGTAAGGGAAGTCCGCCCCTTCATCTTTTGCTAGATCATAATATCAGGCGAGAATCTTCTGATACATATACGATCGAGGCATTATTAGAGAACGGCGCAGACGCATGTGCAAGAAACGAATCTGGGCTGCAGCCTCTTCATCTGAGAATAGAGAACAGCGACGTCATCCGGATATTAATTAGGAATGGAGCTGACATCAATGCCCGGACTGACGACGTAGGTCAGACTCCACTTCATCGCTGCATTGATCAACATCGGAACAAAAGCCCAGGGGCTCTCCTCGAATGCGGCGCTGATCCAAATCTACGGGATATGGATGGAAATACTCCACTACATATTGCGGTGTACAGGCAATATGGCAGTGATATGGAATTACTATTAAGACATGGTTAGCTATATGAAAAATCTTCCTGGTCATATTCCAATGTATGAATAGATGGCTGATTTCAGGTTTTCGCAGGCGCTGATGTGAACGCAAAAAATCATAATGGGAACACGCCGTTACATCTTATGACTTGCTGCCCTGCTGATTTAATATCGCACTTTCGAGATGCTGGAGCAGATATGGAAACTAGGAATGCTGAAGGAAAGACCGTGCTCATGACGCTAGATTGGAGTACCCCTCCGAGACCCAACCTAATCTTATTGGACGCATTGATGGCAGCCGGCTCCAGGGCCGATTCGCGTGATTTCATGGGCAGAACTGTTCTACATCATGTGTGTAGTCAAGAGCATTCTCTTCCAGGACTAATCGTGCGCCTGGTGGCACTCGGCGCCGATCCTCATGCTGTAGACTTTTCCGGCAACAATTTATTTCACTACTTGGCACGCCATAAAAAGCGGACTGTCGATGACGGGCGAGAGCACCTTATTGATCTGGCATTGAAACTAGGTGTAGATCCAAATGCTCGTAACCATAGAGGACAAATTCCACTCCACATGGTTGTGGGGAACTTGTTCCAGTTTGACGAAGACACCATTGACTTTTTCCTCGGCCAGAGGTCATTGTCCAACATCAATACTACAGATGTTCATGGTATCAGCCCACTTCATCTTGCCGCCACGATTAGTGAATCGCGGATCCAAAAATTACTGATGCTAGGAGCTGACCCTGTGTTGTTAACGGCAGATGGTCAGTCGCTCCTGCATATCGCCTCTAGAGCGAGGAAGAGCAATGTTGTGGGTCTCATTACCGACATTTTTGGTACAAAAAACTCAGCACTGATCGATCACGTGGATCGAGATGGCCGCACTGCTCTTCACCACGCCTGCCGGTCAGGCCGTGCTGAGACTGTGAGAATTCTTCTAGAAGCTGGCGCTGATCCCAACAAGAAAGACAAGAGAGCAGAAACTCCGCTCATCGCATGTACTGAGATTCAGGAAGAAGCTCGTTTATGGGGTCCAAGAGCAACTACGAATTTCGGCTCAGATATTACGCAGCCTGTAGGCATCTGCTTGTCTGAGATTCAAAGACCGCATGAGAGACGACCCCGTGATTGGCAATCTAAGTCATTTGGTGAAAGACTCGTTAAAGAGGCTGATAGTGTTGGTGTTCGACCGATTTTGAGGCTACTCCTGGCTTTCGGTGCAAAGATTGCTGCGCCAGTTCAAGCACAGAAAACATACGGTCCGAATCTATCGGTAATCTCACTCGACCGCAAGAGACCTCTCGACCTTGCGAGTGAAAGAGATTGCGACGTACTAATACATGAGCTACTGTACAAAGGGGGACGTGAAATGACCCCAAAGATGCGTGCCGACTTGAAGAAACCCGAGACTGTTCTTCAAGATTCTCTACACAAGTTTCGGCTGGAGTACACACCTAATCGACTGATGAATAGTAGTCAATTGCTTGAAGGGAGTCTGAAAGAGCCGTTATTGAGCTCAAGGCAAGAAGATGATGACTTGCAGCTCTTTTATCATCTGCTTCGTACTGAGAATGAAGACGGGCTGCTGAAAATGCAAGAAATATTGGGGACACTAACAGCCACGGTCTATCCTCATGGGGCGCTTATGACTTTGATCAAATTCGGATACTCACACATATTGTCATTGATTGGTCCTCAATACGTTGAAATTGCTCCGCTTATTCCAACCACACACGACAAAAATGAGAGTGCCTCACCTCTTCACGTAGCTTGTGAACGAGATCTCCCAAATCTAGATATAATCAGAGTCCTAGTGGAGGAGAAGACCTTTGATGTCAACGGGAAGAGTGGCAAAACATACAGCTTTCCAGCCGGCTCAACCGCTCTGCACGTCCTCGCCATGTCTTCCAACTGGTGGAGTGTCCAAGGGATTACCTATTTAGGATCACATGGAGCGAATCTCGACCTTCAAGATGCGCTTGGAAGGACACCTTTGCTCGTAGCATCTGGGAATGGTGTCACAAGGAACGTTGAAATTCTGCTTCAATGCGGCGCTGACCCGAATGTTCTGACTAATGATGGTCAAACAAGTTTGAGCAAGGCAGACTCTCTCGACATATGCCGACTTTTGCTGAGATATGGTGCCAGTACTAGCGTCGGAGAATTCCCATTTATATTCAATGCTATACATCATCTGGATTGTGATATTGTTGCAGATATTCTTAGGTCAGGGGCTGATCCAAACGTTGCAATTCCTTTCAAGAAAACACAAACATGGGATAAATACGGGACTTCGAATCCGCTCTACTTTGGAGATATCCAGGACCGTTGCGATGAGCTTGTTGATATATATCCAATTCATCAAGCAGCAAGTCGAACCAACAACAACCCAGAGACACGGGCAAAGATTATCCCTATCATTAAGCTATTACTGCAGCATGGCGCCGATCCAAAGAAAGAAATTAGTCACGGTCAAACCATCATTCATGCCTTGTGCGAACACGAAGGGATTTTGGAGCCATTCCTGCTGGATAAAAGCATGGATCTCGAGCTTCGAAATACTACAGGCAATACCCTCCTTCTTGCAGCATGTCTCCACAGAGAGCAGAACACCACGTTTGGGACTATGGAGAAGAGACTCGAGCTCTTGAACACGCTGCCCTCGTTAGTCCAAGTCTTAATTGATGCAGGCGCGGACATTACTGCATCAAATAGCAAGAAAGAAAACGCTCTCCATTGCTTATTCAACCGACGGCGCTATTATTATCTTCCAAGTGAGGCGCTCCACAAGAAAGACTTCGAAGCAGTGATCAGCGATCCATTTGCCGTGCAACTGATCGCACAAAAAGACGCCGATGGGCTCACCCCGCTCCTGCACGCAATCAAACATCGTTGCCTTTCTTTTCTAGATGACTTAATCGAGAAAGGAGCAGATCCGCTGGCCACAGATTATGCTGGTAATAATGCCTTGCATTATCTAGCTAAGTACTTGAGAGAGAAAGGCTATGGGGAAGAGTATAACAACGAAGCCAAGGCTGTCTTCCACCAATTTCTTGACCTGGGCAACGACATCAACTCTTGCAACAATAGCGGCCGCACGCCCCTTTTCATCGCCCTCGAGAACACTTTACTGACAGCCTCTGACCTCACCTTCTTTGTGGACGCTGGTGCGGATGTCAAGATAGCAAATGGCGTTGGGCAAAACTTGTTGCATGTGGTAGCAAGTAAGAGACCAGAGCCTAATCATCAAGATGTGGAGATACAAAAGGCGGGTGTGGATATGTGGAGACTGCTGGTCGACAAGGGACTGGATCCTGCGGATGAGGATCACATGCAGAGAACACCATGGGATTTGGCTGTTGCGTCAGAAAATTCACCAATTCTGAGTTTGGCGAAGGTGAAGGGATAGTGACGCATTACACAGCAATTTGAGGAAGTATCGATCTTTCTGCCTGCCAGAAATGGAGTTTCAAGTTCAAAGAGGAAGAAGGACGGTCTTGTTGTGGCTGCGCCTCCTTGCTATGGGGGATGTCGAATAGATTGTCAGCCTTGTGTGACTCAGATCACACTTGCCTTACAGAAAGCAGACACTGCATCTTATTGGCCACAATAGAATTGAGGTGTGATTCATTCTTGTTTGACTCATAAGTACGTCCATAAAGGCGTCGCATTTCTCATTGCCTTCAAGCACGTCTTCCTATCGCCTCATCGCCTTAATTGCCGACTCCCCCAAATCACCAGCTTGGCCCGCCCTCCCACGGCTCAATTCACTCTTTTCTCACATCTTCGGTCATCTTAATTGATTGATCAAGATCCAAAACGCGGACTCTGCAACTTTCGGTCAATCTGTTCTAAGCTTTGTCGTCATGCCCAACGTCAGTCCTGCCGGCAAGCATTCGCTCCAGGCCCGTCTCCTTCACGAAATCAAAGAGATAGAGAGCGACCCTTATCCCAACGTCATCTTTCATTCAAACGATTCAGTGACGGAAGCTTGTCTGATACTCACCCCCGATGGAGGATGTCCGCTCCACCTTCGCATGAAATTGGCCGATTATCCACTGAAAGCACCTGTCGTAACAATTCAGTCTCAGATCGACCACCCCAACGTATTTGACAGCTACATATGCGCGTCCATTCTGAACACAGCGGAGGGTTATACACCTGCATACACGCTCAAGGGCATCGCCATCCAGCTGCTCAGTTTCTTTAATAGCGATAGCTTGGAGCAGGATCATGAGCGGCACAGCATCACTCTCGGCTCATACAAAGATGGTTACGCGCGGGCACTGGGAAAGTTCTTCTGTAAAGATTGCGCATATTCTGAGATGGATATCGCGAACAATATCAAGTACAATCGTATCGGGCTTCAGAGTTACATGAAGCCCCTGCCTTGGCTCCCCAATAAAATTGCGAAGACCGTGCAGAGCGAGCCTAGAGAGCCCGCCGGGTCAAATCTCATGGAGATTGACGACAACGTCAAGCCTCTGATGACCGGCATGCTAGCTTTACCTGACGAGCTCCTTCTGCAAATCCTCAAAGATCTCCGTCCCGAACAACTCACTGTCCTGAGTCAAGCCTCCTCCCGTATCAAAGCAACCCTGCAGTCCTACGACTTTCTCCGTCTCAGTGAGCTCAAATGCTTCGTTCTCAAAGAGTCATTCCTCTCCACTGCCCTCGGCATCGGCGTCTCAATCGTGAAGAGGGGTCAAACCGGCACACTCAGTTCCGAATTCGACCTTGTTTCTCTGAAAGCCGTAGAGGATTGTAGTATTCACAATTCCATCCATGGGCAACGCTTTCAATGCTGGCTTCCTCTCGCCCTTTCGCCTCGGCATTGGCGACGAGTACGCCGTTTACTCCCAGACATTTTTGGAAAGATGGCAAAAGAAGCAGGCCTTAAGGAGACCAATGGATTTGGAGTCCTGTCGCATTTCCTGAGCGACATCGTCGTGAAATTCAGCCAGGCAACCGAGCATGTCACTCCAAAACGGCACAACTACGGCAATGCAAACAACAAGTCGACCCTCGCGCACGCATCTGAGAAAGCAGTAGAAGCCTACTTCGCCCTCTTCCACCTCCTCCTCTCCCTCGCAGTCTGCAACCCCTCCATCGTTCACACAGCCAACACAATGATCTCCTCCTTCCTCTCCACGCCCAGCGCGACCTCCAAATCCGCCTGCCCCAATCTCGGCATCTTACTCACCGCCACCCTCATCAGCTCCACGGGCCTCACCCCAACCCTCATGCGCGCCATCATCAAAGAAGCCGTTTGCAGGAACGTCGTCTGGATGCTCAACGCGCACCCTGAACTCGCTTACCTGGAGGCTGACCCCATCTCGGATTATCGGCTCAAGATGACCTATATGGCCTCGACGACTTCGTACAATCTGCTCATGTTCTGCAGCCTTTTCGCGCGCTGCGCTCGTCCTGATCCGTCCGTTCCCCTCGCTAGCCTTCGCGATAGCCTCTTCGAGACCCATGGCGCCCCGCCGGCTGGAATGGCGGAGTATATCGCTAGCGAGATCAGACGCATCAAACTTGTTGATGCTTTTCCTGCGTTTATGAAGGAGGTGGGGTTGGGCGCCGAGGGGGATATGCCGAGTAAATCCGAGTTTACGGCGTTCTTGCGGAGGATGGTGGGGGAGAGTGAGGGGAAAGGGTATCATGTGTGTAGGTATACTCCTGTGCAGCTGGTAAGTATGAGGGAGGATAAGGAGCCAGGGATTTTGGGGAGGGCAAAGACGGGGGCGGCGGCGGCGGGGAGGGGGGAGAGGGAGCTAAGGGTTATGAGGGGACGGGAGCTGGGGGGTATGAATGCGTGGAGCTTTTTTCCCGGTTTGAAGGGGGGTGGGAAGGGTGAGGGGAATGGGAATGGGAATGGGAATGGGCGTGGTGCTCGTCTGGGGATGTATGGGGCGAAGTATGGGAGGCGGTGAAAAGCATGGCTCGAGACATTTGTTAGCCTATAGAGCCTATGGTGTGTCCCTCGACCTGAACTTACTAGTTTTGGTAGCTGTATCCCATGTTCACCTAAACGGATAGGACTGAATGGCATTTCTTTGTTACTCGGGCCAATTAGTGGATCGTGACGTTCCATGTAAAGTCTGCTTTCTTTCCAGGTTCTTGTGTTCGAATTTGATATATCAAAGGATGTCGCTGCGTCGAAGTCTCTCTATTGGAATAGTCATCACCTTTCTTGTACCCCACAGTCAACAAAACACATCTTACCTTCAGTCAGATCCTTCATGATCGCAGCTCTTCACCTTTCCGTAAACTCCAAACATCAGGCATGACAACGACAATATTCAAAAACCCAAGCAGGTAAACAGCAAGCTGAAAAGCATTCTGAAGATCACCAGAATGTCCACACAACCACCGGACAGCAAATATCAACGGATCAACTTGACTCAGGAACAAAGCAACCATAGCTCTCCAAACCGACCACCCAGGAATTGCTTGCATTCCGTACCCCTCAATATCGAGACCATTGATCAGCTTTCCATTGACTTTCTTGGGTATACGACTGACAATGTCTTCCATATCTTCTGCTTCGCATTCATGTGGCGCGTGAAGGCTGTGTAATAAGCGCGCCTCAAGTGACTTGATGAATCTTTCTCGGGGATCCTCGTAGGTGTATTTGTAGTCCTCGTTTGTTCGAGGGCAGGGGAGGTCCTCTTTGTAACAGGCGACTAGTTCCTGAGAGCGATGGATTCGAGTGAACTAGATGTAATTAGAGGTCTTTCAGTAGGAAAAGGGGCTCGGCAGCCATACAGCTACAAATTTGATGCCGTAGCAGTCCGTCAGTGATAGCCAGCGTCTGACACCGCGGATAGCGTTGAAAGCTGCCTTGAGTTTGGAGATGAAGGCGGCATTCTGAGCTTTGATCGGAATGTGTGTAAGCTGTGTCTTGTATCTATTAGCATCGACACACCAATGCACGTATTGCACAGTAGTAGGAGGGGCTTGAGAGGCAATATTGGCGTTGCTATTAGAACTGGTCTGCGGAACCCTCCGTTGTTGGAGACCACCTGCGGGCGGCCTGCTGGGTTGTGATTGAGCAGCAGCGGCTGACTCAAGATCTAGCGGTCCAGAACTATGGACAGGAAGAATAGGCTGGTTGATTGAGCTCGATGTACCAGAGGCGATTGCTTTGAAATATGTATTCGCCGCTTGTTCCGATAGACTGTAGGAAATTTGTCCCCCACAGGCCTGTAAACCAGTCAGCCCTGAAGACACTTCGAATTGGAAATCAGCCTCCAGGTCTTTGAGAGCCAATTAGTGAAGCACATCTCAGAATCAAAGTTGTAAAAACACAGATATGCGGAATGACGCACACAAGTCCAAGATATTCTTGTAAAGCCTTTAGCACAACAAGCTTCTCTCTGGCGAAGCGGCCACCAGATGATTGGGGTAGAGCTCTTTTTTTCGAAGAAGGCTTTGGCACGATCAACGACTGAGATGGGTGAAATAAGGGCTCTGGGGGTGAATTGGACACTCATTTTCCCGTCAATGGCTGACGAGACGTTGGAGGTCGAGAGCCCTGCGAGTACGGCCTTGGGGTGAACGAAGTGATCCAGCTCTTGTCTGAGGAGATCAAAAGCTTTACTTTCAACAAGAAAAGCTATTATTCCATCTAGCGTTGGCGTCGCTCCCAGACTTGGGTCTTCTCCTAAATCGCTACCAGAACTATGACTTTCCGTCCCGGTGGTGGAATCATGATGAGACTCTGGCGCTGACGTCTGATTATCGGCTTCGGCTCTTGATACTGAGTCTCCCCCGTGCTTTATTGATGCCTGCTCAGGGGGAAAATTTGCCCTCAGATAATTGTCGAGCATTGCGTTTTTACCAGCCTCCGAAGGCTGGAGCTGTAGTCGTCTCATCGCTTCTGCTTTACCCAAATCCTGACCATCAAATCTCCTGCAGACAGAAAGAGAGATGTCTCTAGTATGTCTGCCAATATATCGCGCAGCTTTCTTTTGAAGCTCAAATTTTGCTTCATGGTGAAGTCTCGTGGCATACCGTCTCAATAACCGTCTGAAATTATTCTCTAGTCTAGATGGACCAATTTTGGGATTTGCTGTAGCGGAAATATAAAAGGGCTGAAGCGAGTCGTTGTCAGAGAACACTCTATCAAGGTGTTCCAATATTCCAGGCGGTTGCGTTGCAGAAGTTTTTGATGTGTAGGACGTAAGAGAGGCTTCTAAGAAAATAGAGGGCGCCAGTGAAGATTCAGACTCCTTGCTCAAATAGTCGATGCCTTCTATTTGAGCCTGTTGTACGATACTGTTCATCGAATGCAAAATTTCGCGCGCCGAAATTCTGTCCTCATGCTGGACCTCAAGCATTTTCCTTACCACGTCAAGGACCTTTTGGAAAGCTTTCACTTCATTCTTCTGCAAGTTCCGGTCTAGGGCCTCGATATGTTGGATGACACTGGAGCGAAGGATGATCTTGTCCCGTACGGTATTTTGCCAAAAACCGTCATCGATCAGGACGCTCTTGGAGCCGTCTCTTTTCGCCAGTCTTGAATCTCTAAACTTCTTCACGTGTTCAAAGTCCCATACAGCCCAAATAAGGACCTCGAGGAAGACACAGCCAAGTGACCAGACGTCATAAGGGCGCGACACTCCCTCCTCCAACATAATTTCAGGTGGTTCGTACGCAGGCGGTCTGGATAAATTGTGCACCTTCCCGCGCCATGTCTAAGATTCATCAATCAGTAGCGGTCCTCTAAGGTGTAAATGAGGCTCATCGTATTGATAGGAAGAGTACAAGCTCAAGAGGGGACGCGTTGGCAAGAAAGAATGGGGCTTTCACAAGGGTGGCTGACATTGTTCAAGACCTTTGCAAAGGGGAAGTTCCAATCTGAAATCTTGAAAACTCCGTGCGGGGAATCTTCAGCCCAGAAGTAAAGTATGTTGTCAGGCTTGATATTATGATGCCAAGGCGTTACAGGAAAGTCATGAATGTACTGCAGAGCTGATGATATGCCGCAAAGCTGCTCCAAAAGCCATGACTGCTCTACCCTTGAATTGATGGGGAAGTCTCTCTTTTCCATGTACTGTTTCAAGTTGCAATCTGCCAATGGAAAAATGATGTAATAGCTTTCGATTTGAGTCCACGAAACTAGGTGTGTAACAATAGACGGATGGCTATACTTGTGATGCTGCTTCGATCCTTCTAATTCATATCGAAATGGACGCGAGACTTCTTTCAGCGCAAAATAACTGTCTTTATCCTGAGCCTGTTATCAACACACGAGGCCTCTGTGAAGCTGACCAGACACACCTCTGACAGTTTGTGGTGCGTAGGGTCTAACTTGACTCTGTAGACTATACCGGATCCTCCTTGCCCACAACATGACTGCTTTTTATCGCCACCCACAAAGACACCTGTCCCCAGATTATCTGCGTCCAAGGGAGCATCTGTGGTTTTCTTGAAGGGACAATAGATTAATGGTATGGTGATGCTGCCATCAAAATCTTGGTGCTCTCCAGGATTATTGAACTCAGCTATAAGATTTGACTTGACAGGATATCGCGAATGATCATGATCAGGGTCATCGTTTTCCATGCCGATGGCTAGAAGACACAAAAGCTAAAGCCCTTCTACAGGAGTAAAAGGCACCCTTAGAGCTCGTTGCACCAGCAGACATTCAAAGCCCGCCTTGAGCGGCACTCACCCCACAGAGTGAAGACTCTCAATGCGCGTTGATGTTAGGGCACATTCTAGAACGCTTAAAAGCGGTAGGACATAGCAAAGTATAGGCGCCTTTCGCATTGTAACAAGAGTCCAGTAAAAGCAGGAACAAGGTAGCAGCCTCGAGCAGCATGAGTAATCCTTCAGTCCTCGTATCGCCGCCTTATGTCCGAGCTATCTTATCGGGCGAGGCTGAAGACTGCGGTTCAGCTCAGCTCCACCACGTTCATGCATGTCATCACAGCCCCCTTCCCAAGCAATGTAACATTTCCGAGCCTTTTTGTTCCTTCTCTCTTCAACATCTAGTGATAGATTTTCAAGTCCTTGTTGTATATTGACTCTGCTTTCAATGGCGATGTTAAATATATATTTATCCTTTCCTATCTAAAAATAGCTCATATGTCAATACTTCAATACTACCCCTGAGATACATCGCAAGCGACTCCCCTGCAAGGACTAGATCAGCATAACAAATCTTCAACCCGGTATTATCTAACAACATGTCTCTCTACCAAATAGCGGTCGAATACGTCTTAGTCTACAGCACAGCAGTCGGCCTAACAGCGCTGGGCGAGCCCACCCTCGCTAGTCCCCCCGGACCTCTCAAACACACAGTCCCCACCCCCAATGACGGCCGAGACTCCATGCCCGTCTGGATCATCTTCATCTTCGTCTTCCTCGCCTTCGCCAAATGGTTCATCTCCTTCCTGGTCCGCCCCTCTTTCCCTCTCTCCCTCCCCCCACCCATGTCTCACCCTAACAAACCCCACAGATCCTTTACATCACCACCCTCCTCACCACCGTCGCCGCCGTCGCCACAACCCGCATCCGCACCCTCGCCGCGCTCAACGCCTCCACCCACTCCTCCTCCCAGCGCGGCCAACTCGACAACCTCGTCCGCGCCATCCGCGTCGTCGGCGCCTTCAAATCCGCCCGCACCGCACGCACGCAATCCCAAGCCCGCCGACAAGAGACCGCCCGCCGCCTCTCCCTCGTCTCCGTCCACGAAGTCAAGCTCGATCTCAAACGCCGCACGACCCTGGAAATCGAGCGGAAGCGGGGGCTGCATGAGCCGAAACCGCCTTCTGGCCCAATCGGGAGGGCGTGGCATCGCGTCACCTCGTATCCGTGTTTTCGCGGCTTCTCCGCCCTCGTGACGGTGGGGATTGCGCAGTGGTTGCTAGCGTTTGTGACGGATTTCTTTTTGTCGGGGCAGCCGCCGCAGCATAAGCTCGGGTATGGCACCACGAGCCTTGTGCTCAAGACGTTCTTCGCGTCTTTCTATGCGGTGTGGACGCATTATACGATTACGAAGCCCACCCGCAAGGGCGTCGACGACCATTTTCCCAAAGGCGATAAAGTGCTCACGGAACTGTGGCCTATGACTGCGCTCTGGGCCGTCGCCGACCATATCTGCCTATCGGGCCCGCTGGCGATCTCGAGGGCCTGGGGGCTGAAGGAGGTTGCGTTTGATGCTGAGAGCTGGAATCGCATGTCGCCTTCCCAGCTCCGCCAGATTTTGGCGAAATTCGCTATTGTTTGGATGGTTTATGTGGTGCTGACGTTGTTGCTGAGTATTCCCGTTACGATACTCACGAGACGAGTGCATGCTTCCATGCTCTCGGATGAGGATCTGGCTATCGTGCCCTTCCATCGCGGGGATAAGACGAGGACGTTCGATTATGCGAAACGCGCGCATATTAAGAAGCCTGGGTTGACGGCGGGGGAGGCGTGGGAGACAATTACGTTGGGGGTGTATTGGAGGGTCGTGAAAGTTTGTTTTGGGAGCTTTTTAGTGGGGCAGGGTGTGAATGCGGTTTATTGGGTTATCAATTGGAAGTTGCAGACGTGGCTTGGTGTTGGGGGGTATAGGGGGACGAAGTTACCATGGAGTCCGATTGGGGTGTTGGTGGGGTTGGGGGTGGGGGGGAATTTGCCTGATATGGGGGATGTTGGGAAGACGGAGCTGTGACGAGGTGAGAGGAGGAGCGTGGGTATTTATTGAGCGGCATTGGGAATGGGCTATTGGGGAGGCATTGAGTTATAAGGCTTATTAGAACGGGGATTGGAGTTTGTGGAATCGGCGTTCGGGAAGACAGTGAGATCAAATAGAATGGTTAGATCAATACACAGGTTGGATCAAGCTATGATTGAGAGGGATCTTACATGCTATTGCTACATATAGGCGCTAACAAAACAATGATGAAGAAGCAAGTGAAGACTAGTCTGCCACGCTCTCCCCTGCCTTCGTCCCATCAGCAGCTGGCTGTTCCTGCGTCTTCGTGCCCGGTGGCGCTGCCTCAGCTTCATCAGTGGCTGAGACTGTGTTCGCTGTCTCATGTACGTCCTTGGCCGTCGATTCAGTAGCAGACTCTTCTTCCTCTGCTAACTCCTCTTCCACCTCTTCCAGCTGTGCTTGAAGCTCGAGTGGCTTCTCCTTCTGTCTGATCGGTAATGCCTTTGGCTTTTCGTCCCTCACGACCGCTTTCTCTCCCTCTGCTTCCGGCCCTGTCTCCTCTGCACCAGTCACTTTGGGAGTTGGCACGTGTTTGCCTGTTTTAACCTGAACATGCTCTTTCTCATCTGCAACGATGGCGACATTGGCCTTTTCCTCTGCTTCTTCTGCTGTGGGTATCTCTTCAGCTTGCCCTGTGCCTTCGAGGACTTCTTCGTCCTGTGCGATGGCTACGTTGGCAGCCTTTCCCGCTTCTTCGCCTGTGGGTAATTCTTTTGCTTTTTCGATTTGCCCGGATTGAGGTTCAGTATATTCTTCGGCATTCTTCTCTGCCTTCTCAACCTCTGAGGGCTGCTTCTCTACCATGGCGGCAGCTTTCTCCTCTGCTTCTACCGCCCTCTTGTCATCCATACTCTCAGCCACATCGCCCTCTTCTGTATCTTCGACTTTCGTTGCTGGGACGCTATCAGCTTTACTTGATACGTCTGCGCTGCCACTTTCGGGCTTCTGTGCCTCGCTGGCTTCTGTAGTGCCGCTAGGTGGAGGCAAGCCTGTTGGTCCTGCATTGTCTAGCTTTTGGGGATCTGCATTCTTGGCCTTGAGGGCCTCTAGAGCCTTGGTCTTCGCGTCACCGGCCTTCTTAGCGGCTTCGAACCCGAGTTGCCGCATCACGTCCGCGGGATTAGTGGATTGATCTGTTTTTGATGGTTCTGAGGGTGATGTGTCTTTTACGGCGTCTGAAGATTGGGAATTAGACGATGGCGGCGGTTTGGAGGGTGTATCTGGTGCTGGTGGTGCTGATGGTGTCTTGGAAGGGGTATTTGCGGTTGATTTAGCTGGCGTGTAGGATGATGCGGCTGCTTTGCCTGAGCCAAGATTCTCCTGGATCTCGCCGTACTCATTCCACTCCTCGACTTGCTCAAGATCCTGATATAATTAGCGGAAGCTATGGCATGATATCGAGGCAACGAACAGCAAGGATCTGACCGTACTTGACCATGCCTGGAAATTTTCGCTTTCCTGCTCTTCTTCCCCATAACATTCTTGCTTTCTCGTCCGTCGCTACGTCGAGCATCTTGTAGTCAATCTTGTTAGCTTTGAGTATTGTCTGAAGACGAGAAGTAGCTGTGACAATGTGCGAAGAGCCTGATGTGAGGGAAGTGTAGACGTAGAGCTGCGGATCGGTATGGTAGGACTTGGGGGTTGAGTCGGCCATTGTTGCTGATACAATGGAGAAATGGTAGGATTCACTGTGAGCTAATCTGACAGTACTCTAAAAAAGGTAGAAGGAACCAGTATGATAAGTGTTTAGAGCATCCACGCTTGCCTGCCTCTCGTGCATGGATGGCGCATCTTAAGGCCGATGCATTTGATTACGACCGAAAGCCGGGCATCAGACGAGTAAGAGTATCAATTGACTTGGAAAATCTCAGAGACGCTGCATGGCGAATCTCATTCTTCCAGACGGAAGCTCAATGTACAGCTCGAATTAGATGCGTCTCTATATCATAAAGGCTGAGTTCTAGCCTAATCCTGACAGACGCCGTTGAACAATCGCCATTTCAGCATTCAATGCCTCGAGATGGACGAATCTGTCGGCATCTTCGCCTAGTGCCCAAGCAAATGCACCACCGAGTCGCTTTGATCGCATTATGGCCGGAAACTTTCTTGAAATGACATCCGGCGTATCCCAAGTCCACCAAATGTGATCTCCTAAATCCAAGTAATAATGGCCGCCACCCTTAGAATCATACATGCCATACTTCATTGCTCTGTCATATGATGCTGACAGTTGCGCTGGAACAGGGTCATGCCAGGTGAAGGCCCCTGTCTGTCCAAGATCATCGCCAGTTTCTGGGTCTTCCATGAGAGCTGCCTTGCAGCCTATTGGCTTCTCATTACAATCTCCATTGGGGTCACCTTTGAACCACTTGATATAGAATGCAAAGCCAAGATTCAGCTTCTCCAATGAAACACCCATCTCTTCGTACGCGTTGATGGAGTCCAGAGAAGACTCAATTCCCGTATGATGAAGCGTTACCTGATCACGTCGGTTCATCAAATCATAGGTCATGACATTGAAGAAATCTAATGACGCGTCTATCGCCGGAATTGTTGTCTGTGTGAAAGCTAGCATGTCCCTACGGAGGCCTGGCACAGCGGCGGATATCACTTTACTAGGACCCAACACCGCGCGAATCTCCGTAAGAAGAAGTGGAAAGGCCTCAATCTCCCAAGCCTTCTCGATATTCGGGATCTTCTTGTAATCCTCGCCGTTGCCACTGCCATGTATCAGCCAGAGCTCTTCTCAAGGGAAACGGGATCAGGCTGCGATTTGATTCCTTACCCGGGATATTCCCAGTCGATGTCTACGCCTGGCAGATATGATTAGCTTGCGGCCATCGAGAAGGACCAAATTGTATTCACCATCTGCTCCTGTAGCCTCAACCATTCCTTGCACGTTTTGGGCAAAACGTTTTCGCCCATCATGCGATCCGGCAGCGGCATCGAATCCTTCTGTATCGCCCCAACCTTCGCCCACGTTTAGCTACTAAGATTAATACTGTAGTGCTCAAAATGCTCAATACCTCCTATCGCAAGCAATATTAGAGTCCCAGGCGAAAACTTTTGACGCACTTCATCAGTGGCTGTCTTTTTCAAAGGCCACTCAGTCGGCTCTTCTTGATTGAAAGTGGCTGATTTAGTAAAGGCAAGCGCAACATGCGTCACACTCGCTACCAGCGAAGCTTCTGGGATGATGTGGTTCCAATCCGTAAGATAGACGATGTACCTGCTCGTAGCCATTTAAGCAGCGAAAATTTGATCTCAGGTCCACTCCTAAAATATTTCTGCCAAGAGAGTATTGTGGAAACCCGTTGCTGTGCTTGCGGTGATGCAGGTATGTGCACAGAATCCGCTGAGGTTCACCGATGATCCGAGCATGAAAAGCTGCTGCGGTTTTGTTGCTCGGGAGGTCTCTGCGAATCGGGTTCGAGTGATTTGCGTTCATGCTCAGTTCTTCCGAGTCTCAATCGCCTTGATCTTGAAATTTGAATGAATTGTCCCTCGCCGAGGGCTTTATTGCCCAAGAGTTGACGTGAGGATCGTACAAATTTGGGAAGTTTAAATATGTCTCGAATATGCGCCACGAGCCCATCGAGTTCAGCTTCGAGTATTCTGGCCATCGTTGAAGTTGTTTTTCGCGCCTCTTCAGCCCTTACACTCAACGGACCGACATGTTCTGGCGGAGGAAGCGACAGGTCTTTCAATAACCCTTCAAAGGCTGCTCGATCGTGCGCAAAATAAGCCCCTGGATCTGAAATAGCTAAATGAACGCAGAGATCTCGTGCGCTAGCTTTGAAGGGTTCACGAAGACCTGGCAGCTGCTTCGAAGGCAAATAGTATCGGAGAGTCGGTTCAAGGCTATCCGTACCACCGCTAACAGGTCATTTATTAAACCTGAGGTCTAACTTATAATTGAACGCATCACACTGTTGTAGTAGCATGCTAACATGATACTGTTGAATGATCAAGAGATCAATACTCAATTCATGCGGGTATCAGCACGGAGAAGTCAGCTTCGCAGGAGCATATCAAAAGCAGACGTTTGGAGGCAGATGGTAATGGTCTGGAAGACTGAAGGTTGAACCAGAGTTCCCGGGTTCGTTAATGCAATTATGCCTGCCAGCCAACGTGCAGAGGTCCCCATCGCTGCAACTGCAGCGGTGTGCTCACTTCTTGATGAGGAACCAGACCCAGATTGAGGAAGGTTTTTTGGAGATTGACATGGCGTCAATCAAAGTCGCGGCCTATTCCACAGGCTGTCGTCCGTTCTGGGTATCATAATCCTGTGTTTCGGAAATATGAGAAACTTTAGACACTTATTTTGGTATGAAAGTCCAAAGCGCCTTATCAGAATTTGTTTGCTGCAAAACGAGAACCTCTTGGTATTCAGGATAGCTTCGCTAGACCTAGGCTTTTCCCCAAAAACAAAAACTATATTTCTGCGGGAGAGGTTTTCTTAAAAGGAGAAAAGAGTGGGATCAATACTTTTGTCTCTCGTTTGACGCAATATTTGATCTGATTGATATCATTCATCATTGTTAGTATCATAGCTCGCCCAAAACAAGAATCAACATCACCAAACGGTTCAACTTGCTTACGCTCGCTGATCTGCTTTTTCAAATCATAATTCATCCTTGTCGCATTCCATCATTGGCACCTATACGTCAAAACAAACAGATCGCTTTACCACTCATGCCTCATATGGCGGTCCTAGGATCTTCCACCCATCAAAGACTTTGACATTCAATTTGTCCACGTCAATACCCTTAATCATCCTCGTCTATAGGTTGGTTAGCTTGGAACCGTATTAAAACTCTCACCTCATCTCCAAGCTGCCACATTCTACCCCAATTTGCCCAACATACTTTCGTCATGAGTAATTTCCGCACGATACAACATCTGTACATGCACCAAACAGAGTCTCACATGTAGACAGCATCCTCCCCCAGACTCTTTCCCCTTATCGACTCAATCAAATCGGGACTTACATTAATAGCCACCTTCTCCATCCCGCCCAAAAAAATCTCGACCATCATACTACTCCCACAATTCCCACAAAAGCGGTGCGTCGCGGACTTTGTCCCAAACTGGTACCTGCGCATATCATCTTTACCACTAATCCATTCAACCTCCTTGTGCAAGTCTGGATACACGGAGTAGAATCCATTTTTCGTGCAGACGGAGCAATTGCATGTGATCACTTCATGTCGCGTTCCGGCAGACCTATGTTCCTCGTCGGCGAAGTCTTCCTCCGTATACTCTGTCTTCTTGGGACCATCTTCTGGATACAGTGGTGGTAGCTTGACGCGCAACTTTACGGCCCGGCAATGGCAATTTGCGTCGTACCAGCGCTTCTCTGAGGAATTGGTTGAGGTACTTCTTGTCACTTGGATACTGGGTCTGGGAGTCATGGCTGGTAGTATCTACGCTTCTGTCTTTGTGGAATATAGATAGATGTGGGCGGTGCAAGGCCTTGAAGGCCTAGAATCTTGATGATCTTCTGCCAAGAAACTTCTGAGTTAGCGTCTTGGCATAACCTGTATTAATCCTCGCTGTACCTTAAGCTTGTTAAAACGTGAGCCTCCACTTTCCCAGAGCTTCGTGCACATAGCGATGCTGTTCTTCAGGTATGTGATAAGTGCTTCGATTTTGGTGAAGTTGAAGTCCAGTTCCGACCATAGTTTCCTGACGTATCTGCAGCTTCTTCAAGACGCTCGTTGACCACCAAGTGACGGTTGAGCTCAAAAACGACATATCGATTCGCGGAACCCTCAAGTCTGTCGACCAGTTTCTCAATATCAAACTCGATGATATAGAAGTCCTAGAAGAATTGAAATATCCCCATTTGGTACGCTGAGCCCTCATTGCCATACTCCGCGCTGGTCAACGAGAAGCCCAGGAGTTGCGACAACTGATTCGAAGGTGGTACCTACGTTAGTCATCCGTGAGGAATGTCTTTATCAGAGGCAGCGTTGTTCGATACGTACACTTGCCCGCAGCAGCGGTTGATACAGCGTTACTAGAAGACGCAACGAGGAGAGGTAAGCGCTCCATACATGAGGCAAGACTTGGGAGATCGTAGGCGCTCACGTTTCTCTTTGCATAGAAGCACAAACGCAAGCATCGAAGAAATGAGATAAAATGGTGTTTGCAAGGAAATGGGACGAGGTCTCGAAATGGAAGGGGAAAGCCGCCATTTTGCGGGGACACGAAGCTTAGGCCTGGCTGGGCAAGGACCACGAACGGTGGTTACAGGACAGTTAAGGACACTGCGACATGATCATACAGAACTAAAAGCCTTGGGGCTGGTGGAGCGAGGTCACAGCGTGTTGATCAGACATGCTGGTGGAGGTTTGGAAATGGCACAATGGGCACCTACTTTCAGCAGGTCTGCAAAGGCGAATCGGTCAGGATGCGTTATGTACGAAGGCAGAAGCATATGTTCAATTGTATGCTGCAAATAATCAAATCTTCGTGCCTGTAGAACGTTCACGTGCCAGCGACGCGCTTGGCAGCAAAAGACAACAAAAATGTACTCCCCTGCTCACCTGCAAGTCGCTCGGGCCCGCTGCTCTCTTAGCCAATGGCAAAGGTAAGTAAAGGATGACCCGACATGGGACTATGGCCAGGTAGCATCATCATAATGAGGTTCAAGGTCTGTGTTGCTTGCAAGAGGAATTTATTTCATGCACCTTGCAATTTTGCAATCGACCGTAGAACTATGCAAAAGGAATTCGACCAACTCCCAAAATTTCTGGAGCTGGCATAGCACGAGGTTCACCTTTAAATATGGCGGTAAATTGTAGGACAATCCGAAATGACGTTGAGACCCTCCCAGCTAATTAAGAGTCTATGCTCATGGAATCTGACACCTGATATCAGCGGCTTTCTCCTGGCAAGGATACCCTATGCCATTCTTTACAGCTGCAAAGCAGGAGGCCGGAATAAACAGAGACCTAACGCCGAAAACTGCTATCAAGCACTGCTAAGATATCGATCCTCACGAACAGATGAGCAAACAGAGCCTTGCACACGTGCTAGCCATTGGTGGGGATGTATTTCCATATAGATTCAGAACAACGCCAAGTGGAATAGGATACTAAACATCTTTGCTTATCGAATGTCGACCTATTGAACGCTGTCGTCGTAGAGAATAATCGAGCTCTTGAGAGCATAAGTTCAGCGAAAAAAGGACATCAAAAGAAAAGGTGTGCGACTGCTGTGGACCGAACACAGTACCTCCAGATTTTAGGGAATGAAGTTAAGGCTTCAGTCTGGCGCTCTCCCAGGTGACGTACAGTCGCGTGTCATCAAGAACGACATATTTCAAAAAAGCTCTTAGGCAATATGCGTAGTCATTGAGAAGAATTAATTTCTAGAATCGTTTCTTCTAGCCGCAAGTCTCTGAAGGCTAAGGGGAACTTGAAGGGGACTATCCGGAAAAGGCTTACTTTTAAGCACCCCCTCGATCGTTCAAAAAAGCTCTGAATAGGTACAATTTTGGTGTCTTGGCGTCATACATGACTTTCGCGGCCATCATCTAAAGTTCAACCAATATTTGTTCGCCAGCCACTCGCTGTGTGAGACTGCGGCGTGAAATATGCAGGATCATGTTTCGCAAACCTCGAGAGGAAGCCTCAAATCCTGATCTGAGGCTAAATTCCTTCCCTACTCCCCCATCAACAGGCAGGCCGCCAACGCCTCCTCCTGCAGGTCAACAGTTGCCACGAATGAGAGATATGGCGTCCACCGCCGCGATATCGTCTACCACGCCTTTAATCGGGAGAAGCAAGACACTTGCACCAAAAGCCCCGATTAGCAACAGCAAGATCAAAGGAGCGCCAAATGGCAATATCATGAATTTCTTCAAGAAGGCGAAATGCACTGGCAAAGAGGAGGACGAGGGTCTGTTCTTAGAATCAAGTGCGGCCTCAGAAGTCGATGATGAGCCCAAGCAAATGCCAACACCGCCTTCATACAACCTTTCATCAATAACGTTGCATACAGATGCTTCGTCTACCACCTCCACGTCCAATCTCATGAAGTTCAATGAAGATACAGGATCTGTCAAAAGACGGAGACTTGATCCTGAGACTAAGCTATCTGGCTCAAATGAAGCACCCAGAACAGTTTCTGTCCCTCGAGGCCCTTTCGCTGATTCCGACGACGACGAGCCAATGCCTCAAAAGGTCATTGTGAAACCGGCCAATACCGAGGATATCGATGAAAGCGGCCAATTGATTGATCCTATATTAGATGACTCCCAAGAGAAGAATAGGTCACTAGAGAGCAGGCAGCTCGCTCCGAAAAGTATGCCACCTCTAAAGCGCGAAGCTACCAGTATTGGCAACATAGACGACTTTGATGGTATTGAAGACTTCATTGACGATGAATTCGCCGAAGGAGGCGAGGAATATATTGAACGTCAATTGATGGAAGAACAAGCTCGAATAGAGGCAGAAATTGAAGATCAAGATGGGGATTCAAAAGCGGAGAGCGATGTTTTGCGTTGGGGAGACTGTAGTCTGTCAGTCGCAGAAGAGACTTCTTCCTCGACGTGCCCAATATGTGGTGGAGAGACAACAGGATTGGCTCAGGAACAAATATCAGTGCACGTCAACGACTGTCTTGACGGTAAGGCGAAGCCTTTGGGGGAAAAGAAAACAAAATTAGAGGTTGAGAGCAAGGCCCCAATCAGAAAGCCTGTTGAGCCTATTCTAGGAAAGAAGTTCCAGCGAGCTGCCATTGCTCGACCAGGCCAAGAGAGTCCTTTCAAACTAGTAGAACCCTCGGGACCCAAATCCTCTGCATTTTCGAAGCTCATGTCAGGTCATGCTGAAGACAATGCTTGGGCCACGGCTGCAGCTACGGAAGTAGCTTCAAGGGGCAAACCTGCCTACCAACGAACTTGTCCCTTCTACAAGATAATGCCTGGCTTCTTCATTTGTGTTGACGCATTCCGTTATGGGGCGGTTGAGGGTTGCGAGGCCTACTTTCTGAGCCACTTTCACAGTGACCACTACATTGGTCTTACTTCATCATGGTGTCATGGGCCAATCTACTGCAGTCATGTTACGGCCAATCTTGTTCGACGACAGCTACGAGTTGATCCCAAGTGGGTTGTGGACCTTGAATTCGAAAAGAAGGTTGAAGTACCAAATACTCATGGCGTTGACGTTACAATGATTCCAGCCAATCACTGTCCTGGGAGCTCGCTGTACTTATTTGAAAGGGCTATTGCGAAGGGCAACAGTCTAAAGGTACAACGAGTCCTACATTGCGGGGACTTCCGTGCATGTCCAGCTCATGTGCAGCATCCAGAACTAAGGCCGGAGTTCTTCGACCGTATCACTGGCAGGATGGCGCAGCAGAGGATCGATGTTTGCTACCTTGATACTACCTACCTGACTCCCAAATACGCATTCCCAAATCAAGAGACTGTTATTAGGGCTTGTAGTCAGATGTGCGTGAGTCTAAGCAAAGATTTCGTCGACGAAAGTGATAGCTGGGAACAAGTCAAGAGAGAGCGGGCTGGCGAAGGCATGGTAAGATTCGTACAGAGAGCTTCGATCAAAGAAGAGCCACCAGACGATGTCAAAGTTAAGACAGAGGACGACTCATCCCCGAATAGAAGACCTCGAGGTCGGCTGCTTGTCATTGTTGGTACTTACAGCATTGGCAAGGAGCGAATTTGCCTCGGCGTAGCGAAAGCACTTAAGAGCAAAATCTACGCGCCACCCAACAAGCAGAAGGTCGTCGCTGCGCTGGAAGATCCTGAATTGTCAGCCCTCATGACAGACGATCCATATGAAGCACAAGTCCACATGCAAATGCTAATGGAGATCCGCGCTGAAACTTTAGCCGACTACCTTACGCATTTCAAGCCTCGATTCTCCCGAATCGTCGGGTTTCGACCATCAGGATGGAACTACAGACCACCAAGTGGACGTCTCACGGAATCGCCATCGGTCCAGACAGTCCTACATTCTGAAAACTGGAAGTCGCGGTTTACGATGTCTGATCTTGTGCCACAACGAGGCAGCACTCGGGAAGCCAATTGCTTCGGCGTGCCCTATTCCGAGCACAGCAGCTTTAGAGAGCTGACGATGTTTTGCTGTGCGTTGAGAATCGATAAAATCATCCCGACTGTCAATGTTGGGTCCGCCAAGTCAAGGGAAAAGATGAAAGGCTGGATTGAGAAGTGGGCATTGGAAAAGAAGAAGGTTGGTCTATTCAAAGTCGCTGACGACCAAGTCGATTGGTAGGTCAAAGAGCTCGTACGTAAGTCAGACAATTTTATATTGAGATTTGGTACCGTCCTTACGCATTGCTCTGGCACAGAGTCTTATTATTTTAAACATTTTTGGTACATTTTCTTCTGCAAAGTAGGTCTCTTCCCAAATCATTTCAAAAGAACCTAAAGAAAGGAAATTTAGCTCCGGTTTGCTACATTTGCTATTTTTGAGATGGGGTTTGTCCGCTTCCTTTGTCAGGAGCTTCGCTGGTCACCCATTCCTTTATGTTGCACTCAGATCCAATCTTATACCCTAGATTCCTCAACCCTTTGCGGATATCTACATATCAATTTTGATTGCCGATTATTACAAGTGCTTGAAATTCAATTCGAACTTGAGATTCTATTCGCCCTCGTATTCAGTCACAAGCGCAAGCTCGTTTTTGGGTCCACGCTTGAGTTCTTCACCCCTCCTTTGACCAAAGCCGGTAGAGCTGCAAATGAATTCTTTCAATGGTGGTAGCCAGACTCCTAGGCAGAGGCATTCTGCTCCAGCATACATCTCACTCTCTCCTCCGACCAGGCCTCCTCAACTTCAACTGCAGGGAACACACACAAGGAATACCCAAACACTCGACAGGGACCCAGGATCAGGAGCCGCGCCTGACCCTTGCACGCTCTATATTCGCATCGAAGGTGGCCTCGAGCTTGACAATGTGCTCGAGGATCTCATTAAGCACCACTACTACCAATTCCCTTACGTTCGCATCGCAATGTATGGAGTGAGAGGCGAAACACCCGTGAACATCGACGCCGTTCTTAAAGACATACCTGGAAATCATCGGATCAAGCTTTTCTACATGTTTCCGGAAGAACTTCTCTCAAGTCCTCTACACAACCTCGACGTAAAGATGAAGTGCGATGAACAGTATCTGCCCCCTACAGACCAGAACCCGGAGGGGGTCTGCCCAGCGCATCCTCTTGACGCTAGAAGAAGCCGTTGGATCGCACGTTGCCAATTCCGGCAGGATACCAAACTAGTCGAACGATTCCAGAATGGAGAATTAAGTCACCACTCCGTCAGCGCTGACGCCCATGGTAGTATTGCGCCGACGAAGACTGTCTGTAGTGTGTGCAGAAAGACAGCCCAGACCAAATGTCAAGGCCATCCTCCTCGAGCAACACAGGCGCCTGCACGATTGGAAGTGAATGACTTTGCCCCGTTTCTCACTGGTGACGTTCTGCCACAGCCAGACTCCTTGCCTAGTAGGGGTCTAAGCTGGAAATACTGGATCAATTTTGGCTGGACAGACGTGTGCCGTAAGTGCCATCAAAAACAAGTACGCCTACACCCAGAGGGTCATCATGGGTGCGTCTGTTCTCTGAAGCATGAGAGCTCGTGGTTGTGCAATGAATGCGATGAGGCCAGCCTCAAGGCTTTTGCAGAGCAGGCAATGTGGCAGAGAAATAGCGCGAAGGGGCATAAATATAACGAAAAGACAAAAAAGCTTACATATGACGAGAATGCGATCATAGCCTCCGCTGAAGCGAGATGTAAGTGCGGGAATCCGACCATGAGAAGTCAAAAGGCAACTGAGCCACATCCGACACGTTGGACGAAATGGTGTCCCATCTGTTTTAAGTACGAGGTGAAGAAGCAGCCTCGTAAATCTCAGCTTAAAAGAAAGAGAGGCAAAGGAGGAAAGGATGACAAGGATGGCAAGGATGGGAAGGGTGGGAAAGGTGGGAAGGGTGGGAAGGGTGGGAGGGATGGCAAGGATGGCAAGGATGGCAAGGACGGCGAGGACGATGACTTCTCAAGCGATGATGGAGATGGCCGGCCAGTTACTCGAAGTCAAGGAGTAATTAGTCATCTTACGCTTGATCACAAGCAAAAAGCTACCAGGAAAGTCAATCAGCATGGGTTTCTAATAGAGGCAAAGAGGCGGAAACTTGACCAACAAACAGACGATGAACTTCTACCTCCGCGATATTCACCTCCACTCCCTGATCTGCACCAGCGAAATCCTCGGCATCAACATCCTCAGGAGCTAAATCTTGAGAGGCAACAACTCCGGCAGCAACAGCTTCAGCAGCTTCTTCAGCAGCAGCAGCGTCTTCAGCAGCAGCGTCCTCAGCAGCGCCCTCCCCCCTCACAGATGACCACTTGATTAACTTTCGACGTATGATAAACAACTATCGCGAGGAGAATCCAGAATTCGAAGATGCTGAGCACCGTGAATCGTTTTTTGAGAGCGACCAACCGCAACCAAGTCTGGGATTGGGCCTTGGCCATCCTGATCTCCAGCGACGGGCTCCACAGCCGTCGACATTGCGACAACACGGCGAACGGCAGGCTAATCCGCCACAAGAGCCACGAGAGCCTCAACAGCGTCAGTCTTACGACTTGAGAGAATTCCAACGCATACGGCAAGAAGAAATCGACTCGCGACGTCCCGTTGAAACCACACGCCAGGGAAACGCTCTGAATGCAGCTCATTATCCTCAACGCGTTCGCTCCCAAGAGCAATTGAATCCTGCTACACTTCAACATTTACAATCTGGAAACTCGTTTGCAGCCCCAGAACCAGATGCTGATGCTGATGCTGATCACACCGATGATGAAGATTTCGGTGAGTTTCTGGATGAAGACTTTAATTTCAAAGACATAGAGAATGAAATAGACGAGACCGCAAGGAACATGGATGACGGTCCGGAGAACGTTAATGCGCCAGAGAATGAAGCTGCAACAGGTCAACATGCTCCAATTGGACAGCGCTACATCGAAGATTCACAGTCACCGAAATCCCAGCAACAGTCCCCTCCGCTGGTAGGTGGTCAGCCTCCACGACGTCCGCGTGGAGAGGTTCAGCCTCGATCTTCTCAACAGCAATCCTTTCAGCTAGCAGAGAATCAACGTCCACGGTCTCGACTTCGAGAGCGCTCCATCGAAGATCTACAGCCTCAGCGGCCAGAAGATCGGCCTCCAGTGGCCCCTCTTCGTCCCGAAACCTCTCCCCTAACTCATCGTGCACCCGGTAACGACTTAGAGCGCTGGCTGCGACAGCAAGCCCCGTACGGCCAAATCTATTCCCCAGAACGCTGCAACATCAGGAGGGATTTCAATGACGGAATAAACGGCGGACTGGTGAAGGCAGCTGAAGAGCAATCAGAAGCCCGTACAGGCAAAAGGCAGCCTAGCGCAAAGGCCGATGACATTGAAAAGCGGGCAGCTTATGCATCTCGCCAACGTCGAGAAGTTCTCGGGCGTCGAGAAGCTGCTGAGCGTCGAGCAGCTCGTGAGCGTCGAGAAGCTGGTGAAGAGCACAGGGTCAATCCAGACGCGAATTTAGGCGAACTTGTTAGGGATCCAACCCCACCAACACGACCACGCACGTCCGCGCGACCGCTACAACGCCCTGCCAGAGATACTGAGGCTTGGCGAGAGAATTCGTTAAAAAGAGACAGGAAGAAGAGGGATGAGATGAGGCGCAAACAAAAGATTACATTGCGCACGAGAGGTACACGCAGGTCAGAGAATGAAGCAATCGATGGGCGTGGAAAAGAGAGAAACGATCTCATCTATGAGAGAAACTTCGATCCTGATTACTATGACGTAGACTTTGGGGAGTATCATGGAAGGCTTGAAAGGCAGGATTGGGAATTTTTCACGGAAAGAGCTTTGCAGCTGGACTTTGAGGAATTAGAGGCTAGGCGCAGGGGCTGGATTTCTGAGGAGGCGATGAATACACCAACTCAAGCGGAGAGATTGTTGAAGGCAAAGGAGGACCAGAAGCGGGCGGCGGCACAAGAGGCGAGGGACAAGGCGGCAGCACAGGAGGCAAGGGATAGGGCGATGGCGATTGCAGATGAGAATAGCGATGAAAATGAGGATGAATATGAACACGAAGACGGGTATGAGAATAATTATCAAGATGAGGATATTTATGGGGATAACGGGATTCAGTATGATTATGTACCGGATTCCGAAGAGGAGCGTCCACGACAAGGAGAGGATGACGGAGAAGTAAATGAAAATGAAGACGAAGAACGAACACGAATGGATAGACGGATGGCCTTCGAGATGGAGAGGAGGGCGGAGACGAGGGGACTAGGGCATAGGGACGAGCAAGAGGAAGAAGATAGGGAATCGCAAGACGGGAGAGAGGGGTAGCCAAAGTGAGCAAGCACGACCTGCTTGGGGACGTTAGGTCTTTCACTGGCTTTGCAGAGTTAGCATCTTAATCATGTGGGCAAAGAATGGGGTTCTCCTCAGCAGGCGTTGCAATGTTGAATCCTAGATGCAATTGCAGTAACCCTGAAATTTAGTTCACACCAATGTCCTCCAGGGCCACATGACTTCAATCCTGCCCTGAGTGTCCTCCTACCATCTGCTTCTTTTCTCTCATAGCTTTCAATAGTCTTTCGAAGGAGCCTGATCATCTCGAGAACCGGTGCTTAGTATCTGAATGACCGATCTTATGTCCCGATTAGTTCCTTCATTTTTCCTATTTCCAGGAGCACTGAATTTCTGCAATAGTCTTCAGAAGTCTAGGGGAGAAGTCGATCGAAAACTTCTAGAACAGGCTTGTAATGACGTGATGATCTTGTCGACTATGATGGAAAAGCGCGTTGTCGGAGTCCAGCATGGCCTCATATTCACTCTAGCGCCTACACATCGTTGCAAGAATTTCACCTTGAATTTGCTTATGATGTGTCCGAACTCCCGTCGGTATGACCCTATGGGCAGAAAATAGCTTCAAAAGAGCGTAATGACGGAGCAATGGTACTGTCGATCCAGCATTTCTCGCAGATCTTATGCCCCATTACAGAAGCTTCTTGCTTTCTCCGCAAGATCATTGCTTCCAAAGGCAACTCATTCGTTTCGTTTTATCCAATCATGAGGCAGCGTAAAGATTGTAAAAGTGTCTACATGGAGCCATGCTACGTCAGATGGCATCTTTTGACATTCAACTGTGAAAGGTGTGTGTCAATCCCACAGCACTCTCACCATTTGGGCCATGCGCGCCAAACAAAGAATAGTCCGAATAGCACAAGGTTGAGATCTAACGAGGTGCAGCATCTCGTTCAAAGTCTTCTCCAAGCCCTAAGATATATCCGAGTCATTCATTGGTGATAGATGAATCCATACGTGCGGTAGCATGGCTAATTCTCCAGGAAGCAGAACATCCACCGAGAGAGTCCGCGAGCCAGCAAAGCTTGATTATATGTCAACGTCAGTTACCAAAAGCTTACCTTGGGGCCAAGGGAGATTTATCAAGCATGAACATGCATATAAAAAGGTCCCAGAGACGTCGATGCAGGTCCATTCTCAATGCTGCATACTCAGTAGTTCTCACCCAATCTCTCCCCTCCCACAATCTTACAGCGAGATACATATACCAACCCACATCTTCACCATGCTCCTCAACCTTAACCCCCTCTCCACCCTCTTCCTCGCGCCCTTACTTGTCCGGCACATCTACGCCGCACCCACAACTTCCCCTCTCTCCCTCCCCCGAGAAAATCTCCGAGGTACGCTCGTTACCCACCGAACCCCTACCCATTCGCTCTCTCCACCCGCCAATACCCCTGCCCCTTTCCCCTTCCCTCTCCCCTTTGCTCTGACTAACCCCCACCCTCCCCTCAGTTCGACGAACCCACCCTAAAATCCGGCTCCGCCCTCCCAATCCCCTACGACAACCTCCTCTTCTCCGGCCTAACCGTGCGCCCCGACGCCATCACCACGCTCCTGAAATCCCGCAGTCCACCCAACGCCATCAAAGGTAATCAGCTAGACCTGACCTCTGGAGCTGCACCGCCTCCGATCTTCATATCCTCCCAGTACTCGAATTCAAGCTCCAAGATCAAATATTTCTCACTCAAGTCGCTTTATTTCGGCTGTACGCTCGCTACTACCGGTATTGTTGGCGGACTGCCTGTTTTGCCGCCTGGTCAGCCAATTCCTCCGCTGGGCGCGCCACTGAAGTGTGATGTTCAGTTCTCCGGGGTGGATAAGGATGGTAAGGCGATTCCGGCTGAGACGTGCAGTTTTGCGGGGGGTTGGGGGCGGTGTTGAAGCAGTGTGTGTTTTCGGACAGGTTTAAGGCGGCGGTGAGGGTGGATGTTGGTGTGTTGGGGATAGAGGCCGTGAGGAAGGTTACGGTTTTGGTGCTTGATAATGTGGATCATGTTAATTGGTCTTAAGGGGGGAGGTCCTGGGAAAGTGAAGAGGGGAGTGGGAAGTGGGTGTGAGGATTGTGAGCAAGGTTCTGGGTACTGAAGCTAACTTGCCTGATAAGTGTAGAAAGAGATTGTATCAGGTCAGGGCAAGCGGGATAGATATGTACACATATCTCATGAATTCTTCTAATGAAAGGAAATGTACGCCAGCAAGAAGGATTGATTAGTCTTTACACATACCCTCATAGCGCATATTCACGTCCCCGTCCTCGCCCTCCTTTCTCCTTCCTTCCCCTACACATGCGTGTGATCCCCCTGTCCACCTCCTCCAATCCCAGCGCCGCCATTGCTCTCTGCACCTACTACCCGATCTTCACCCAGCGCGCCAGCAATATCGACGCCGTCGCCTCCCCCTTGACCTCCGCCTGGTCCGCCCCCTTCGTCTCCACCTCGTCTTGACTTGATATCCTCTTGTTCAGCTTTCTTCCTGTCCAGCCCGCTCGTGAGAGAAGTTTGTTCACCGAAGCCATGTTTCTTGTCCTGGGCGGACGCGATGTCGCCTTCGCCGGGCGCACGCATCTGCTCGGCGTCGAGGGAGCTGATGCCGGCCGGGATCTGTTGGCGGAGGGGATGTCAGTACATGTACCTTCCGTCCATCGGATTGACTAGTGTCTGTGGGGTGACGTACGCTGTCTCCCTTGTCTTGACTAGCATCTTGTACACCGTATCCTAGCGAGCTGGGCGTTGCGTCCTCTTGCTGTGGATCTGGTACGTCGCCTGCCTCTCGTGTAGTGTAGGTTGGTGCTGAGCGTTGTGTGGAGGCACCTGCGGATTCGGAAGCAGCATGTTCGTTTGAGCCTTGTGCTGGGTTGTCTGGGTGTTTGTAGGCTTCGTTCAAGGAGGGCTGAGAGGGACCTGTGGGATTGAGTTCTGCCATCTTGAGGTGGGTGGTGACCGAGTCGTAGAAGGGTCCACAGAGTTGATAGCACGAGACTTCTCAGAGATGCGTAAGGCGTGTTTCTTCTTTTCCGAAGTGTAAGGAAGTTTGCTAGAATTTCATTCAATTGTAGATGACGGATGGCGATGACGTAGGTTGTTTTCGATTGAGTTTTACACCAGCCGACGATCTAGACCTTGCAGAAGTCATTCTTTTTACCCCAATCAGTCGTTTCCCTCCCGATGTGACGTTTTTGTCATGGCGCCGCTCACAGGCGCTCGCATTATCGCCCTCAGCCTTCGAAACCTTGGAGTTACCACGATCTTCGGCATCGTCGGTATACCAGTTGTGGAAATTGCCGAAGAAGCTATCAACCTTGGAATTCGGTTCATAGGATTCAGGAATGAGCAATCTGCTGGCTATGCTGCGACTGCATATGGATACTTAACCGGCAAGCCAGGCGTCTGCCTCGTCGTTGGTGGGCCGGGCGTCTTGCATGCGATTGCGGGAGTGGGCAACTCCCACGCAAATGCCTGGCCTTTGCTACTGCTTGCAGGGTCAAGCGAAACACATCTGGTATCAAAAGGTGCATTTCAAGAGCTGGACGCTATATCATTGCTTACACCACATACGAAGTTGGCATTGAGACCACCTTGGCTCAATTTAATACCAAATGCGATACAAAATACCTACAAAACTGCTTGGTACGGCAAGCCGGGCACTGGCTTCGTCGATCTGCCGGCAGACCTGATCAAAGATTCACTGGATGAGACTGACCAGATAGCAACCCTTCCTCCACTTCCTGAGCCTCCAAAATGTGCTGCTTCGACGGCATTCAAAGCTGCTCAGCTCATCAAAAATGCAAAAGCACCATTGGTCGTGATTGGGAAAGGTGCAGCATATGCAAGAGCTGAGGTTGTGATACGAGAATTCATACAGAGAACAAGAATCCCATTTCTGCCCACGCCAATGGGCAAAGGCGTAGTTTCGGATGCGCACCCCTTGAATGGGGCAAGTGCTCGCAGTACGGCTTTGAAAGGGGCAGATGTGGTCTTGGTCCTTGGAGCTCGGCTCAACTGGATTCTGCACTTTGGCGAAGCACCCAAGTGGAACCCCAAGGCACAATTCATACAAGTCGACATCTCACCAGGAGAGATTGGCAAGAATGATGGCAATGCGGAGCTTGGCATCGTGGGCGACATCAGCACCGTTGTTCCACAGCTGATGCACGAAGTGGGTGACTGGGCCTACAACGATAGTGTGTCTACATTCATACAGCACCTGGCCGCTGCAAAGGAGAAGAATGAAGCCAACGCTGTAGCCAAAGCAACCTCAACGAAATCACCCATGACATTCGCCAACGCATTCTCTGTGATTGAGCGTACTCTTCATCGTCTCTCACCCCCAGACGAAGGTGGTATAGTCTACGTCTCTGAGGGAGCCAACACTATGGATATCTCTCGCTCCATCTTTCCCGTCTCACATCCTCGCCTCCGGCTCGACGCGGGTACCTATGCGACCATGGGAGTCGGGCTCGGCTATGCGATAGCAGCTCATGCTGCATACAACGGCTCAGCGGGCGAAGGATCAAGCGGACCGGCACAGCGTAAGAAGATCGTATGTCTCGAGGGAGATTCAGCCTTTGGCTTTTCAGCCATGGAGGTCGAGACGATGGCTCGTTATGGCATGGATGTGTTGATCTTCGTGATGAACAATGGTGGGGTATACCATGGCGACAGCGACAGCACAGAGGAGTGGAGCGATCTACAGAAGAAGACGCTGGCTGGAGATAGTGGCAGTGGCTTGAGAAGCACAAGTCTGGGGTGGGAGGTGCGATATGAGAAGCTGGCAGAGGCGTGTGGTGGTACTGGGTACTTTGTCAGAACGCCGGAAGAGCTTGAGGAAGCTACTCAGAAGGGGTATCAGGATCCTCGAGTGACCATCGTGAATGTGGTGGTGGAGAGTGGGAAGGGACAGAGCCTGGAGTTTGGATGGCAGGCCAGTGAGAAAACGAAGAAAGACAGTAAGCTATGATGTTCACGTGACACTGTCCAGTATATACCTTATGATGGAAGGACGTGTATATGAGCCTCATCTTCCGCATTGTGGTGCCATCGTATTCGGTCTGCAACCAGGGAGCATCGAAGCATTGAGTCGCCTAATGGACTAAGAGTGTGGGTAGCATCGAGCTCCCTTAGCGTAGAGGATTGGATGCACGAGTTGTGGGGCAATGTGGGGCGATAGCTGTTGTAGGGTGACTGCTAACTCTAAGAAGCCATAGGCTGGAGGCAGGTATGGCGCCTAAAGGAGGGAATAAAGGGAATGAAGGTCTCGGCCAACCGTTGGTGGTGCCGTCAGCTGTCGGTGGCAGGCCGTTGACTCTGCCACCCGAACGAAACCTTCTCTCGAGTCTCGGCCTTTGCGACCGTCGGACGTTTATAACTACTGCCTACTACTACCATCTAACCTGGTCTATTCTTGTCTATTATTATTGCCTGCATTATCATCAAGCCACATCTATCGATTGCCCTTCCACAACTCCCCTGACCAAGCCAGATTACCTTTGCCTCAACCTTCTTCTTCCAATCCCTGGCGAAGATCTTATCACTTTGATCCCATCCCATCCGGCTGCTTAATCACACCACAGCTTGCTCTCAGTCGTCGTCGAAGAAGACCAACTTCCCCTCGACTTATTTTAATTTGATCGACGTTCCTCTTTCGCGCCCCTCTCCCACACGCACACGAGGAAGTTCCTGCAGCGACCCAGGTCATCCTGCAAGCCAGACCCTGGCCACGGATGCTTCCAAATCCGTAGCTTCCCAGCCGACGAATCGCCGGGAGAAGTAGTGGAGGGCAGCAGAGAGAGGCTACGACTTGTTGCGTCCAGCCTATTACCATCCAATCGTAGTTCAGCTTCAACATTTTGGGTCCAACATCAACCTTGCGCCATCTGTATCAGTGCCCCAACACCATCAACCCCTAAGACCATGACGATCGCAATACGCCTGTAAACATACCCATTGGATCCCACCGCCTCGGGCTCAATCGCACTTCTCTAGCGTGCACCTAGCCCTCAGACACATTCAACGACTGCAGACTTTATCTTACATGTACCGTCTTGAGACATCCACTTCTATTTATCCACGACAGGGGACGCTTTCACAATGCATACCTCCCAGCAACAGCCAGACTTCACCCTTCTGCCGACACCTGCCGGCATCCCACAGGCCAATGTGCCACAAGTGCGGGGCAACAGCTTCAGCCAGAGCTCGAGCCAAGATGCAAATATGGATGATGCATCGTATCCGAGCAGTCATGATGAGGGTAGCTCCATGAATGAGATCCGAAATCTCAACCTCAATGCGCTCAAGATGCGGTCGAAGATAACCAAAGGTAATCGCACAGTTGCGGTCCCAATCGCTTTTGCGCCTGCTCATTTCCCTAGATGGCTTGCCGGCAAAGAAACGGGGGCCGAAACGCGATAGCAAGCCAGCGATGAATCGAAGACAGGAACTGAACAGACAGGCCCAACGGTACAAGATTCCTGGCAGGGGGGGGCCATCTGCGGCTTTGACAGCACTAACAGGAATCTAGAACCCACCGGGAACGAAAAGAGATATATACGAAATCGCTGGAAATCGAAGTCACCCGCCGGCGGGAAATATATGAGCACATGGTCAATATTCAAATTCCCGACTTGGAAAGACGCCTGACAGTCGCTCAAAAGCAACTGGAAGACTCCAACGCCGAAAACCTAAAACATGAGAATGAGCGCCTCAAGCAACTGCTTCAAGTCAACGGTATAGCTTACGATCGCATCCTTCCCGTCGCCCCGCCTCAGTCTATAAAAGCCCAACAATTACAACCCTCTTTCGTCGATTCCCATACCCTGCCTAATGACCGCTTAAGCCCAGCCCATGCCAATTGCAATCACAACCACAACCACACTCGACCCCAGCCGCCCTTACAGCCGATACAGCAATTCGACTTCAACACCCAGCCCGTCGAAGACAATCAAAGCTACCAGCCGCCGCCTGTCAGCATGCCTCCAATGGCCCCGCAAGCTTCGCATCGTACCTTGTCCAATGGTAACATGTCAACGAATTCTGTCAGCCCATCTCTGGCCTCGACTCAGGCTTCGACTCAGGCTTCGACACAGGGGGCTTTCATGCACGTCAATTACCCGCATAGCGTTAGTGGATCAAGCTATGGGGATAGTCCTCCGCAAACACTTTCCAGCCGACACTCGCCCAGCTTTACGGAGGGCTTGAGCCGGCAAACCACTCAGCCAGACACAGGAACCATCGACACGATGATAACTAATGGATCGTCCTCGTTCTCAACGCCACCCTCTCAGGAATATGCTCCCACGGCAGCCAATAGCGGCGGCATTCAAATGGCCAACATGGATCACGATCAAGTTGGGATTGATTTTATTCTTGCGTATGTACTTCAGACAACAAGTCTTGGGCCTGCTGACAATCTTTTAGCATGGAAGAGAATTGTCGCGATCATCAAGAATACCTAGTTAAGCGCGCCAATCCTCAGGGTGGAGACATGAATGTCGAATTGAGTGGACATGCTATGATGATCACGCATCCACTTCCAAGCCAGATGAAGGCCGAGCCCGAGAAGCCCCACCACGAGCCGCCGGCCATCCCAAGCAGATATCTTTCGCTACTCGCCGAAACATCTTTAGGCATACCCCTCAAAGGTGGCGAGGTGGTTCCAGCACAAGCGCTGAGGATGATCAGAGCCGACGAGCGGTACAACTACATGACGAGGCAGCAATTTGACTTGGTGACAGAGAGGCTTAGGATGAGGAGTCGCTGCTATGGGTAAGTGCTCAAACGAAAACCCTCATTTTGGTTTATGTCGCCCGAATATTTCATCTAACGTGATCCAGGTTCGGAGCTGTGGTCGAGGCTTTCGAAGTTCGAGATGCAATGGATGCTGCCTTCTCAGGAGAGTTGATTCAGGAAGCGATCGGTGAGGCTAGGTGAAGGGCTCCCCTCCCCAGATTACTATAAGATCGGCATCGCTCATTGGACCTCTCCTTGGATATCGACATCCCTATACAAATATTATTCATGAATGTTATGGTACGAAGACGGTGACGCTCAAGCGAAAAATAAGGTAGACATGGGAGGTATTATGTGACTTGAAAAGCTTGTGGTATAGTCGGTCGTTTTCTGATAATTTAAGGAATGGGGATACGTTTTCGGTAATTATGGGTCAGGTATTGGTGTGTAGGGAAATAGCGAGCGAGGAATGTGATTCGCGTTTTCAACAATGGGTGAGCAAGGGGTTTCATTTCTACGCATTTGAGAGTGTACTTTGAGATAAAAACTAATACCTTCGTTTCTCCCCTCCTTCTTTCTAATCTGCCCTTCTTTCATGGTGTCTACTGAAAAGGTACTACTAAACACCATTACTAACCACACAGCTCAATTTCGCGACAATATCAAGATCCTCTATACCAACTAATCGAGGACTTGCACTTTTCAACCCACAACCAACTACCAACAGAATTATCACACAATCCCATTGCCCCGCTCCACCTCACCAAACGTCCACGATGCGACCTCTACACTACCACCACCTCGCCCTCCTCGCCCTTCTCATCTCCCCACTCCTAACCCTATGCTCAGCACAATCCATCACCCAAATCTCAGACGGCCAGCTCCAAGCCGCGGGAGGCGCTAAAGCAGCAAAAGGGAACCTCGCTACTCCTGTCCCTGCTCCCACAACTGCACCTGCCTCCGTGGAAGGAAACGCAGATGTGAATGAGGACACAGACAATGACGCGCTCGTGCATGAGCCCAATAAGTCGGAGACGGCGTGGGTCGTTACAGGCACGGCTACGGGTGGGGGTGGGGGTGGGGGTGGTACGGGGTCGGTGGTCCATGGAACGGCTGGGGCATCGGCACTTTTCGGTCTACGCAACGCGACAACACCGACCTACACGGCGCCGACTTTGACGACGAGTGGTGAGGGCGTTGCGGAGACTGATGCGATGGAGACTGCGACTGGGGAGAGAAGTGGGGGAAAGAAATCGGGGAAGGCGGATGCGTCGAGTAGTGCGGAGGGGAAGGGGGGTGGGGCGGGTGGGGCGAGTGGGGCGAGTGGCGTGGGGAGGGGAGAGGTCACGTGGTGGAATGTTTTGGTGCCTTTCTTTTGTGTTGTTGGAACTGTGGGGGGGTGGAGAGGGGGTTGAGGAGGGGTTGAAGAGGGGGTGAGAGGGAGTGGTGAGCGATAGTGAGAGGAGGGAAAGGGGGGAGGTGGTTGGAAAGCGGAAGTTGGAGAGGATAGCGGAGGGGGAAGGGGAGGAAGTAATCTCAAAGCAAGCTACGGGACGTAGAAAAAAGTGCGTGGTTGCTGAGATGGCAGAGAAGAAGGGCGAGTATTTGAACATTGAGTGGATCAACGACCGTTTTCAGTAGCAGGCAGAATTACTTTTCTGGAGAGTCATCGTAAGTACTCTGTGCGCACCGCGAGCTTGAGGGATATTATTCCATGTCTTGCCCGCATGCAAGGGGGAATACCTCCCGCCGCGCTTGTTTCTTGAATTTCTTTCGCTGTGGTCATTCATGTCGCTCCCTTTTAGCAGGTCAGCATGCCTTCCTCCCCCAATCGATACAGAAGCCTCATGACTGCAGGGATATTTGCCGGCTTCATGCTTGTGGCTTTCATCGAAAGGGCCCGTATCTCTTTTCTCTCCTGGAGAAGACTTGGTATGAAGGCTGAGATTGTGGATGCAGAAAAATAGGGTATCACAGCCTAAGCGGACTTTGCCTGCGCCTGGCTCGAACAGCGTGGGAGGGAGGGTCTGTGAGACATCGGGTGTATGTTCGAGCGTGATCCATTCTCGAGATGGTACTTGATCGAGTCGGACTGTACCAGCAAAAGAGACGGAAAGGGATGGATTGGATGATCACTGTGACAGCCAATTGCCATGCACACAAGCAATTGGGTTAATAGATTGAGAAATGAGGATTCCATCCCTGGCTTCCTCGATACGGCACCAGACGGGTCGGGCATGACAATTTCGTATGTGGAAACGGCACTTGGTCCCAATGCATAAGGTTCAGAAACAGGTGGCAATAGGCAGTGGCGTAACCTTATGGTGGCGTATGGCGTTTATAGCCATCTTCGAGGGTACACATCACGCCCTGGTCAGTACAGTTCCCAATTGAATGGCTCTTGCCAGCTGCATTTTGGAACTTGGGAGAAATAGGCAGGGGAAGGCCGAGGGGGTGTAAATGACTCGGAGCGAAATGAGATATCTTGAAAGAGCACAGGAGCGCACGCACATGAAGGGGGAAGTAATGATGGCATACCCAGCCCGGTGGCATACTTGTGGAGCGGGCGTTCTGGGGCTCCTATGGCGTACTGCGGGTGAGGAGCCTGGCTTGAGGCGTCATGTTGCAGTTGGTTGGACTCGTCGATGTTGTGGACTTGGTTGATGAAGAAGTGGACAAGCAGTTGAGGATGGACTTCCATATCGCAATCAAAGGGACTCTGTCACCAACGATACTTCAGGGACATGATCGGCCACTCCTCTCTGGCGTCGATAGTGGAGCGTGGCTTGCTGTGGTTGTCTCGCCAAAAGCCACTTGAAATCTCTGATATGGCTCCACAGAGGCTGATGGAATGCTCCACCCACGGGTATATAAGAATCTTTGTTTACCTCTTACTTGTTTCTTCCTTCAACCATCTGTTTGACCATTTGCTGCCATCTCTTGCAATCTGTCCAGCATCTACAATACCATTTACTGTCATCTAAATATCATCTGTTTACGGTCTCTGCAATCTATTCAGCATTTACTGCCATCTACTGCCATTTATGCCTTGTTGTTTACATCATGTACAGCATCTTCTACCACGATCTTCTGCCATTTACAGCCATCTACATCAAGCATTTCTGCTATCACTACCATCACTGCCATCACTGCCATCTACCTCAGCCAGTTACTACCAATCTCACACCATCTACTCACTATCTACCACCATCTGAATCATCTACATCTGTAATACATACCAAGTCTCCTATCTACAAGAGCCATCTACAAGAGCCATCTACAAGAGCCATCTACAAGAGCCATCTACAAGAGTCATCTACTGCTATCTACAAGGGCTATCTACAAGTGCTATCTACAAGAGCTATGTACTGCCATCTACAAGTGCCATCTACGGGAGCTATCTACAAGAGCCATCTACTGCTATCTATTGTCAGCTCCTGCAATCTACGCGAGCTATCACCGTCATTTACTGCCATCTAAATTATCATTTTCCCTGCGTCATTCATCATCTACTCGACGACATCAATGACTATCTCTACCATTTCCGTCATTTCCGCCATCTCTCGCCATCTATCGCCATCTACAATGCCTACTTTACATCTTTGCAATCTATCATCATCTCATCAACATCTACAGCTACCTACTGTCATCTACAGCATCTGACATCATCTCTACCATCTCTGCTATCTACCGCCATCTACAGTCAATTGTCACATCTGCCGCTATATCTACTATCTCACACATCTATCACTATCTTTGCTACCTATAGTATCTCCAGCATTCATATCTGAAAGAGCATCTGTGCCATCTACACTATTTCTGCTATCTGAAAGAGCATCTGTGCCATCTACACTATTTCTCTGCCATCTTCAGCATCTGTCGCTATTTCCGCTATCTACAACATCTACAGCATTTCTGTCATCTTTGCTATCTGCATTCAACTTCCTCCTGAGCAAGAGATTAAACTGTTCTATCTATTGACATCTTACCACATTTAACAGTATATTTCTTCTCATTTCTGCCATTTACAACAAAATTCACAAGCCATATCTACTATATATCTGCCATCTACATCGTCTGTAGCGTGTTTGCCATGTCCGCTATCTATCACCATGTTAGCCATTTACATCATATTCATCATTTTTGCCATTTATCAAGACATTCACTTGCTATCTCTGCCATCTACAGCATTTCTGCCATCTATAGCATCTCTGCCATCTACATCATCTCTGTCATCTACAGCATCTCTGTCATCTACAGCATCTCTGTCATCTATAGCATCTCTTGTCATCTCCAGCATCTCATATCATATCTGTTATCTACAGTCATGCGTCTCCTGAGCATGAGACTAAACTGCTCTATCTTTTCACATCTAACAACATCTCTCACATCTACTACCATCTACTATCATTTCTGCTATTTATCAAGATATCTTTTTGCAGTCCTTGCCATATATACTATCTATTGCTATCTACTCACACCTCAACAATCTACTCATGTATCTACTCGCGATATGTACCATTTACTGACATTTCTCCTATTTATCAAAACATCTACTCACATCATCTACTGATATCTCTGCCATTTATCGAAATATCTACTAGCTATTTCTGCCATCTATTCGAATCTATGAAATCTCTAACATCTACCAGCTATATGCGCAATCTAGCGACATCTATATCACCATATTTGTCATCTACAGCATTTACACAATCTACAAAATCTACTGACATCTTTTTCACATACTACTACATTTGGTCTCCTGAGCACGAGGATAAACTGCTCCTATCTATCATCATCTATTACTAATTATCTATCAATCTCATACTATTTACTCACTGACATCTTGTACAATCTATTGCCAGCTTCTTCATCTATTTGATCTATCCGCAATCTTTCAAATCTCTAGCCATATATCACAATCTATTGCCATTTATCAGCATAATCTGCCATATTTACTCACTATCATCCACTGCAATCTATTACATTTTTTTTCATCTACTTCATCTGCTCACCAATCATTGCAATCTACTTCCATATTCTGCCATATTCTGCCATATAGAAAATTCACTTGTGGAAAGTTTTCTGCTGATACTTTTACAGGGCCCTCCCCCTCCCTCGGTTGTTGATCCCAAAGATTTTGTCCCTGGTTCAGCAAGTTTTCATCAAAACAACAGTGAGTCCCTCACCATACACTCTTCCCGCCCATGTCTAGCAGCATTCCCCGGGCTTTTCTCCATCACATGTCCCCAATTGACAGTATTCACAGGACCGAGCCCCGTCTTTTCCTCCTCCCCATTACCACCATCCTCTATTCCCAAAGATTCTGTCCCTGGTTCGGTGAAATCTTTCTAAGACAATCGTAAGTCCTCTTCCCTCTCGTATCTTCTTCTCGGACTGACGGCCCAGACAGTCCCTTGCTCAGTCACTTACTCACTCTTAAGCCTCCTCCTCCTTCTTCTTGAGCCCAAAGATTTTGTCCCTGGTTGGGCGACTTCTCCACCAACATAAAGGAAGTCCCCGACTATGCCTTCTTTTGGTCCTTGACTGATAGCGTTTCCAGAATCGCACCCTTCCATCGCTCCTCTTGGCCTTCGTGATAGCATGCACAATATCTCCAAGCCCCCATTCTCTGACGTCGTCCCTGATTCTGCAACTTCTCACGCAATATTCAGTAAGTCCCTTCCCTGCCCTCCCCTTCTTACACCATCCATCCCCTTACCACCAGCTAACACCGCAACCAGAAACTGCATACCTTCTATTCACTTCCACATCCCGCTTCCACGGGAATTCGAAACATGACATTAACGAGTAACGCCGTGGGTCACGAATACAGTTGGTCTTCGTTTGGTTGGAATAAGGCATGAGGAAACAAGGAGTATAACGGAGTGGGACAAGGGGGATATCGAAATTCTGTGCGTCCAAGAAGGTGGTGAAGGGAAGGAGGTGGGTGGGGGTGCAGAATGAGACGATCGAAACAGTGAGCTTGTCAGCTCGGCACAATGATGGTGGAGAGGAGGAGGTCCACATACATACATACATACATACATACATGGACATCGTTCGAGAGAGTGAGACTTGGTAGTTTGCAATTCAACAGGGGGGTTACATGAATACATGCCATGCTGTGCACGTTCTTCTCTCAATTCCACCATGCATATACCACTGACTTCAACCTTCCACCCCACCACTACTCCTTTCTTGTCTTGATCTGCTCAGATCTTCTCCTCGTCTAATCCTGCAACTCCATCCCTTTCATACCCAGCATCTTCACCACCACCTCCGCACCCCCTCTCCTAAATAGCATATCTCATTCTCCCGCCCCTCCCCTCTCCCCCCTATATCTTATGCCCGCTCTCCACATCGCACAATCCTGATCCCCCAGGCCCCGTCCGCTGACCCAAGTCCATTACTTCGTCACGTGTGGCAGGGGGAAGAGAGGCCGGTATCGTGTCGGGTCAGTGATATTGAGGCTTGGAGGATAACAGGCCGGGAGACCGTGAGGGCAGGGTTTGATGGGTAAGGGGGAAAGGTATCTTTAGAGAAGAGATGGGTTGGGGATCCGAAGTATGGATAGGTCGTGGCGTGGAGAATAGGGAAGCAAGAGTAGGAGGATTGTCGCGCTTGCGGCGCGGGAAAGGGGGGCCAAGTCGTGCAGGAGAAGGTGGAGGGGGAGGAGGGATTTGCCGCACGACTCTATTGGACGAGTGTTGACGAACGGCTTGCACGTATGGAAAGCAGGCGGGCACGAAATGGTCGGTCCGGTGAATAACGAGAGGAAGCTGCCCGGGGAAGAAGGCTGAAGTGAGTCAAGGGCAAGGCAGGTCAGAGTTCAGAAAGTTTGCTTCAGAGCTTGAGATGAAATCTGCGTTGGTAGTTTCTTTCGTATACATATAGCACAAGGCAGCCGCCTTCCTAGCCTCCTAGTCCCCCTGAGTTCCCAAATTCTCATACCATGTGCGTGCTCGTCCGCGCCGAGCTGTTGAATGAGTCCAGGCTCGCCATCGCAGTGCCTTTCCTAGGCGTGTTGGCGCCACTATAGAACCTACTCGGTTGTGATGGTGATCCCTCTGAGCGTGCTTCGCCATAATGTGGGGCCTGGAAGGTCGCCCCACCCTCATTACCAGACGGAGGATAAGAATCGCGTATGCGCTGCGCATCCCTCGTCGAGCCGACACGCGAGCTTCCTTTCAGAGCAGAGGCGCGGGAGAAAATACGCTTCGTGGCCGTCTGCGACGAGACGTAGTAGACCAGGGCGTTCAAGAAGCCCTGTAAGGGTAGGCCGATGATGGCGGCCTCGCTGAGGCCGAAGACATTGCTGTCGGGGTTGATCAGGGAGTTGAGCCTGTAGACTGAGGCGGGGATCCAGCAGATCACCATGGCGAGGAAGTAGAGGAAGGCGGCGCGGGCGTAGAGCCATGCTTCAGCGTTTTCCTCTGCTAGGGCGGCGTTTCTGGTCCAGCTTGGTAGGCGGAGAAGCTCTGGCCTGGAGGATTTACGGTCGGAGCGAATTCCTTGCACAGTCACTGTGTATGGACTGTTCTTCACTTCTTGCATGTTGAGCGAACTGAATCTTGTTCTAGGTGCAGGTCGAGCCTCTCCCGTCTCACTCTCTCCTTCGGAGAACACCACCTCGATGTCCGTGGTCACTATTCCGGCGAATGGATCCTCGTTCAAGGGATTGAGGAGAGGTTTCAAGACGCGGCGATTCCGCCATGCCTTGACTAGAGCGAAGCAATAGATGACAAGGGCGCCGAGAAGGGCCAGCCAGACGATGAGATAGAGGGTCAAAATCCGAAGTATAGACCAGTCGGCATCGATCCAGCACCACAGAACAGCCGGTCCGTAGACTCTCCCCCTCTCCTCGTTCCTCACGAATAAATAGACAATGGCCGGGATGAGAGAGAGTCCGTAACATGCAGTCAGATATCTCCATTCCACCGATTGCATGCGTTTGGTGGTCCAGCCGTGGAAGAGGGCAAGATATACGTTCAAAGCCATACACAATGCCCAATAAACATCGACGCCTCCAAACATCTGAAAAAGAGAAAGCCTGAAATTGGCACAGTGGCGAGTCCTGCCCAGCGGGAATAGCATCGCGAGAAATGAAACCGACAATTGTCGTCCCTAAATTGCTCCAGGCAGCGTAGAAGATGAGGCGATTGACTGGTTTTTTGAACCCTTCGCAGAAGAGGTAGGTGAGTAGGACAAACAAGAAACCAAGCAGGGAGAGGGCTGATGTGGCACGCTCTGTAATTTGGAGAGCAGATGATTGTGAAGCTGTCAGGTTGGGAGCCATGTTTGCACCTCTGTCGACATCACCTTGGTTGAAATTGCATGTTCCGACTTCTGTTCATCGAAATGATCGCTCCGTCGAGCTCTCTTCTACGATCAAGGACCCACGAAGAAAGGAAAAGCCGGGGGAGCAAGCAGGTGGATTTATCATGGGGGACGATAGTTCGGCCAATGTTTTAGACGAGTCGAGACCAGCCCTAAGGGCAGGATGATCCATGTTTGCCATGATATGGGAATGTCGTCTAATTGGTGTACCGTTGTTTTGGTTGGCGGGACTGGCGGGAGGCTTCTGGCTCAGGGGCAAGCTCTGAAGTCGTTAAGTCTAAATGTGCTTTGCGTATAGTCCTTTAACCGCAACGGGGAACGTGCGTCTGCCTCGTGTCTCTTAGCCGGATATGTCATCCATGTCAGTGGTTCAGGGGCTGGCAACAATCGTGATTGATGTTGGTTGTCCAATAATAAGCACTAATTGGGCTCGTGTTTGGACCATCTTTTCCTTCTTGGCAGCTGTTTTAGTCGATCATTGCTGGCACCACACAGCGTGGCATGAAGCGATCCAATGGGATCTCCGCCATCCTTCAGCCCAAAGCGCCGGCTGAAGCCATTAACCGAGATATGACCACTCGACGAGTGTAAAAGGCTGTGTGATGATAACTTTGGCTTCGTTGCTTCATTTCTCAAGTTTCAAATCCTCCTCACCGCTTGGTGGTCCGCGTCGTTGTTACTGCGAAAGGCGTTTGACGAAGGCGTTTGTAGTCATACCACCAACCATCACACTGTGATGGAATCCACTGTCATCCCAGCGACGAGAGCCTTGCTGTCGAGCGCTTGTGGACCGTTCGAGACTGGTTGCTGGCTGGAGCATGACAGGGTTCTGGGGTTGGATTTCTGACCTCGTGGGAAGCGGGAAAGAATGCAAGCTTTTCCCCACTGCCCAACTGAGTTGATATTGAAAAAGATGAGGACCGAGCCAGAAGCGATGGTCAGAGATCGTGTATATCCCCATCGCGTCGTATGATTTGCATCTTGTAGTCGTATTGGCATTTCGCGTTAAGTTATAAAAGCTCCTTTTTCGTCCACTTGTACCCAGCCCTCGTGGTCACGACAGTACCGTCTTGGCGAGTCAGACGAATGTTACGCTGGAAATTTGCAGAGTCCGCCTAGTCAATCCACCTCAGACTGAAGATAGGAGCACCGGCCCTGGACAGCCCAATTTCAAGGGTCCCATCAGCGCTCCTGATGCTCTCAGGAACTCTCTCGCCCAGTCTCTCAAGCACGATCCTTGGTCCACCATCCGCAGGAGGCTCTGGCAACTTATAAAAGCGCCTTCCAGACCGACTCAAGAAGTGCTCAAGCCGCTCCTGCGTAACCTCGTCTTCGCCAACAATCCCCCTTTTTATAGCGCCTTCGAACGCCAGGATAGTCAGTGCTGACACAAAGGGCGTTGTGAAGACACCCGCTGGTACCGCTTGACCACTCGTCATCCCAGTCTTGGAAGCCAACGCATGTGGCGCGCTGTCGCTGCCGAAGAAAAATTTCGGGTCTCCACTACATGCAGCTTTGATCAAAGCGTCTCGATCGAACGGAGCCTTTGGAATGGGTTTGCAGAAGGCAAGAGGATCCACTTCGCTATCCTCGCCTGTCAAGTAAAGGTGATGAGCCGTTATCGTTCCCACGACAGATGGACCGCAGGCTCGTACAGCATCCAAAGCTGCGGCTGTAGAACAATGCTCAAGAACGCATCTTAGCCGTGGGAAATCCTTGTGAAGCTTCAGTAAGTGCGGAAGGAATGCTTCTTCTGCAGAAATGTCACTGCTTGGCAATGAACCCGGCCACTCTCCATGCAGATTGAGTACAAGATCATACTGCTGCATGGCTGCGAAAACGGGAGTGTATGCTTCCAGGAAGTCAGCTGACACGCCTGATTCGGAGTTTGTCGTTACGCCTTGAGGATACATTTTGACTCCGGTAATGCCAGAGGCTGCGGCTTCAGCGATGACCTCAGGCGTAATGGAGGGACTTAGATAGAGGGACATAAGGTAGCGAACTCTTGGTTCAATGGACTGTAAGTCGGACCGATATTTTAGAGCTCTGGCAACGCTTTCCACTGGTGGGATCAAATTAGGCTGCAATGTAGGTCAGCGAGTAGCGAAACATCGGAATATATCTACAACGTGCCATTACAAAGACTGTATCTGCACCTCCTTTGCGAATTTGAGAGACCACCATTTCCATGAGCTTCACCGAGGGGAGAAATATCAGTGCGAGTCAGTCCAGCTTTCAATGAAGATTTACCTGGTCCTGCCTTAAATGGACGTGCATATCTGCCGTCGGAGGTAATTCAAGGCGTTGTACTTCTCTCAGCCGCATCTTGCTGAGGGTTCAAGAGAGTCAGAGGGTGAATATCAAACATCCAAGACCTCAAAGTCCCTGTTAGAATGAAAATACACGACGTTGCTTCCTGAATGTAAGTCGGTTCTGCAGACGTGCTTCGGATATGTGCATGAGCCTAGCTCTATTGAGCTAGCGCAGACTGAAAGCCTCAGAGTAATGTCCTCTCGGAAGGAGACTCGAGTACCGCCCCCTCGGCTCTAGACTGTAGATGAGATGAGAGATATTTGTGTAGAGATCCAAAAGAATAGCATGAGATGCGTAGGGAAAAGAGTCAAGTACAGCTCAATCTTCCAAGCCTTGCAATCCAGCTGCATATTAATGTAGGGTATATCATGATATCGCAGTGCCACACCACAATTCTTCCCATTCGTTCTCATAACTCTCACATACTACACGCCAGCTCACTCCCCTTCTCCCTCCTCGCCACCAAGCGCTCTCCTTCTCCCTTCCAAGTCGCCCTCCAACCCCTCTAATCTCTTCACAATCTTGCTCCTCAAAATCGCATTCGCAGTCCTATTCAGCGCCTCTCTCTCCCTCGAAATAGCAGCCTCCAGGTCCGCAATCTCCTCCTTTTGCCTCTGCAGCTCCTGTGCCGCCTCCACAGCATCCGGATCCTCTGCGAGGGTAGCATCGTCTTCATCTTCATCAGACTCCTCTTCCTCCTCATCTTCATCGCCAGAAGTTGTAGCAGCAGCAGGCGACTCCATAGCCTGTACGTTGGCCATGGCAGGCGATTGCGGCGCCGACGACGAATCCTGGGGCGTGGCAGCCACAGAAGCAGAGGCAGTAGCAGCAGCCTTGTCGGCATGCGCGGCCATCTCCTTCTCCATCTCCATAGCGAAAATATCATCGTCGTCATCATCATCTCCAGCGTTTGCAGTCTCCGGCTCCACAGTCTGCGGCTCATCCACCTCCCCCTCTGCATCTGCATCCTCATCTTCATCCTCACTATCCTCAACATCCTCGTTCGCCATACTCTGCTCCCGATCATAATCATCCACGCTCTCAAAGACCCTATACCTGCTTGTGCCCGGCACACAATCCCGATCGGCCTTCAACAATCGCTCCACCTCCTTCTCATCCTCTTCGACCGCCCGCACTGAGATCCGTTTTCGAAACCGCCTCTTCCTCACCCACCGCATCGGCGGCGTAATCCCATGCGCCCACTGCCACGTCTTCTCATCCAGCTCCCCCCTTTCGTAGGCAGCGGATACCGCTCCGCTTCCTCCTCGCTCCTGCACACCCCCAGCACGAGTAGCATCTGGCAGATATCGGCGCTCTTCCAGAAATTCTTCTTCTCCCAAGACTTCATGGCTTCGATGATACACGGCAAGTCGACCAAGATGGCCGCATAGATTTTCTTGCGAATAATCACAGCTGCTCTCCTTCCGTCTTTGCTGAGGAAGCGCATCTTCACGTCCGCCCCACCCTCGCTCACCTTCCCAAAGTTACGATTCGTGACTGCTGCGCGGAGGTAATCACAGTCTTCTCCAGGCTGCATGCGTAAGATGAATTGTTCGATGATCGTAGGGTCGTCTTCTTGATCGGAGGCTTCGCTGTCGTAGCCGACGCCATAGGGGCGGTAGTACTTCAGTGGTTTGCCTTTTGCTTTGATTTTGAGCGATGTGGTGCCAGAGGAGGATGGGGCGCGAGAAGTGAGCTTGATTTTCTTGATGGGACGGGAGATCGAGGCTACTTGGTCGGACTCAGAATCATCCTGTATGGCCTCTTCTTCGGCTGCACGCTTCTTAGGCGTGGGCTTTGGGGCTCGCTTTGCTTTTTTGGGAGGTTGGGCGGTGGGTGGAGTTGAGGTTGGTGCTTCGGATGTCGTTTGTTTCTTGCCAACTTTGAGTTTGATCTTGGGTGTGCTGGTTGATGTTGCTGAGGCTGGGATGTCTGCTGGAGAGGCATCCTGGGGTCTGGCAGCTGAAGAGAGCGAGCCTGACTTCAACTTTAGTTTCAGCACGGGCTTTGCTTGTGACATCCTCGGAAATTGAAGGCGACAACGCTATTAAAGGTCGTTACTTATCATCTGAGGCTCGATGAAGAGCACGCAGTCCATTGTGGATGATATTTGGTAGTACTAAAGAGCTTGGAATGCATTTGGATACATGCAGCCCACGAGACCCGTAGGGCTGAACTTTTATCGATATTTATATCCCACCAAAAACTCCCCTTTTCCCCTCACCACTTCACCGTCGCAATCATGGCTTCAGACTCGAACAAACCCCTCACCTTCTCCCTCGCCGGTCGCTCGCTCAAACTCGACACCCAAGAAGACATCGAACCCCACCTTAAACCTCTAATCAAGACCACGACCTTCACGCACATTGACCTTTCAGGTATACCCTCCCATCCCTCCTTTCCAAATCCACAACGCTAATTGCCCCATTTTCACAAATTCATACTAACTCCTCCATCCTACTAGGCAACACCCTCGGCGTCCCCGCCTCAGCCCACCTCTCCACCCTCCTTTCTTCCCAAACCTCCCTTACCAGCATAAACCTCGCCGACATATTCACCTCACGCCTCCTCTCCGAGATCCCCGCCGCGCTCTCCTCCATCCTCACTTCCCTCGTCGCTCTCCCAAACCTCCATACCATCGACCTCTCCGACAACGCATTCGGCCTGAACACCGTCTCGCCGCTCGTCGAATTCCTCTCCAACCACATTCCCCTCCAGCGACTGATCCTGCAAAACAATGGCCTTGGTCCCGCGGCGGGGGCGAAGGTCGCAGAAGCACTGAGAGGTCTCGCCGGAAAAAAGGAGGAGAGGAGGAAGTCCCAAGGGAGTGGGGATGTGCCAGAACTTGAAGTATTGGTATGTGGGCGCAATAGGCTGGAGAGCGGGAGCATGGAAGCGTGGGCGCGGTGTTTTGAGGAGAACAGATATGTGAGGGAGGTGAAGATGGTGCAGAACGGGATCCGGCCGGGAGGGATCGTGAAGCTTTTGACTGAGGGGCTGGGCAGATGTGACCGGCTAGAGATCTTGGATTTGCAGGATAATACATTCACGATTGAGGGGGCGAGGGCGTTGGGGCAGGTGCTGCCACGGTGGAAAGGGCTGAGGGAGTTGGGTGTTGGGGATTGTTTACTTGGTACGAAAGGGGCGGGAGTGGTGGCGAAGGCGCTGGGCGAGGGTGTGGAGGTCGTGAGGATGCAGTATAATGAGGTTGATGCGAAGGGGGTGGGGGAGCTGTTGACTGCGGCGAGGAAGTGCGAGAGGCTGAGACGAGTGGAAATTAATGGGAATAAATTCAGTGAGGAGGATGATGAGGTGGAGGGGTTGAGGGTTTTGTTGGAGAAGAGGAAAGAGAATAGCGAGGGTGGTGGGGAGGGGGAGTGGGGGTTGGATGAGTTGAGTGATCTAGAAGAGGAGAGCGACGAAGACGACGAGGATAAGGATGAGGATAAAGAGGAGAAAGACGAGGACGAGGATGATGCGGAGGCTAAGCGGGATAGAGTATTAAAGGAGGCTGATCAAGCAGAAGATCTAAATGTGTCGGAGAAGAAGGACGAGGAGGTCAATGATCTGGCGGACGCGCTGGGGAAGACGCATGTTTGATAGCGTTTTGGACAGAGGGACGTTTTGATATAGATGCATAGCGTGCGAATCGATCATGCTTTCCAATACCTGGGTATCATATGCTGTTCGTGGCCTCCGAGTCTTTCCAGCTTCTATCCCCTCCGCTCCAACTCATCCAGCAGGCGTACTAGCACTAATCTCAGTCAACGGACTCCCACTACTCTCACTCTGCCCCCTCCCCTCTTCCCCATCCCCTTCCTCATCCACTTCCGCACCCTTTCCCCCTCTCCTGCACCCCCATACAACCTCCCCCTAACCCACCGTCCCCAATCATCCAAGCTCTCCACGCCCTCGAACCCCTCAACCCTGACCCCCCGCCCCTCCAAGTCCTTCCCCAAAGCAGTCCCCGCATATCTACTCTCCTCCCCCGCCCCAGTCTTCGAATATTTCTTCTTCAGCCGCACGAGAAAGTCCTCTTTGGCTTCACCACCTATCCCGACCCCTAATCCTACCCCTGCACCAACACCTGTCCCCGCCGGCCCCGTCACCGTCTTCGTCAAATTCGCGTCTCCTCCACCTCTCAACCCAACAGCATTACCGCCATTGACACCTACACCCCCAGGCGGAGGCACAGTACCGCCGTCTTTCGCAAGCCCAGCAACCCTACTGATCTCCCCCGCCATCGCCCCCTCGAACCACTTCACAAACGCCTCCACGCCCCTCAAATCCTCTCTGCCAACCACCATCTCCTCTGCCTCGCTCATCTGCGGGAATAGCGCGCCTGCGTCTTGGAGTGCTAATCTTACGTCCGTTATTGTGACGGTAGTCTGCTGGGAGGCCGGGTGGGAGTGGTAGGCAGGCGGTAGATGGGCGTGCCCTTCAGCATGCACGCCCGTTCTCTGCGCTAAGAGGATGAGGTAGCGAGACGCGAGATCGACGAGGGTGTCGAGGGCGGAGGGTTTGGCTGTCGTGAAGCCAGCGGCGCGGAGGATGTGGAGGATTGGGGGCCGGAGGAGGGAGGTGTGGAGGGCAGACGCTGAGGAGGAGGGGTGGGACATTTTTGTGTTGTTGGAAAGGGAAGGTTATCGGGACATTGTGAGTTTGTCGGAGAGGGAGATGCTGTGAGGTGAGGATACGAGGAGAGATGTGTGGTGGTGAAGTCGAGGGTGCATGATTGGATATTTGGAAAGGGAAATCATGGGAGGGAAAAGCTCAAGTGGAGGACTGGTGAATGCAGGACGCGCTAGCTACTCTGGGCGATTTTTGATGTTCTTGAGTTGTGAGCTTGGTGTTTTCATGACCTAATTGATCGACGTGACACGAATACGCGAATTGAAGGGAAAATCTTGATGAAGTTTCAATTATAGATTAATCATTAGTCTAGTCTTTCAACCAAAATCGACTTCATATTGTTGCATCGCTCATGAACATAACGTCGTTATATACCTTGTCCAAAAGGTTGCCCTCTCTTCGGGCATCCTTCCCACCACCCCCTTTCCTCATCCTCCTCGATCAAGGCAGCGATAGAAATCTCGCCAACAACCTTGGAAAGTTGGGCGTTCCTAAGCCTGTAACTGGGTCCCAACCCGCCACACTCTCGAACCCAGGGGTACCGCATCCTTGATTACCACCCTTTGTAATGTCGTTCAAATCCTCCGGATGTGCGTAAAGTGTCGGATTGACAAAGCCGATACTCCCCTTGCCAAGGGCAAATCTAGCCTCATTGATCAATGTGAAGATACTCCCCACTACCGGCGTAGACGCGGAGGTGCCGAAGATCAGCGTGAATGCTCCATCGACTGCTGTAACGTAGTTCGCACCGTTGGCAGATATGTCGGGAAAGCCTCTCGTGTGCCGTGAGTTGTTGAATTGCGAAGCGCCATACGTGAGGTTGTAATTACCGAAGTAATTAGAGACGGCTGTGGATTGGTACTGGGGCAGAGGAAAGACGTTGGAGAAGCCACCTCCTGAGAAGATTGTCGTTTCGCAGGCTTCTTCTGGGTCAGTGACAGCACCACCTGGAACTATCTGCGTTGCGCCGACTGATGTGACAAATGGACATGTCGACGGGAATGACGGGTTGAATTTGCCTGATCTACCGTCATTGAGCACGGTAGCGTTCGATGTGCTGTTGGTCGTAATGTTCGAAATGCACTGGCCACCGTTGCCGGCTACACCGTAATCACCGGATGAGAAGAAGAAGGAGGTCCCTTGGAGACCAAGCTTCATATACTCAGCACACTGACGTTGCTCGTATTTGGCGGTCAAATCGGCCTCGTTGTAGGCGTATGATGTACTTATGACCTTAGTGGAAGCGAAACCACCACAATTCCGAGGGCCTTTGTATCCTCCTGTTGCATTGTCTGGAAAGGTAGCGTCTTGAAGTGGATCATCTCCGCCGTCGAAGGTGCAGTACTCTCCGTCAATGGCGTCTAAAAAGTTGTTGAACGACGCTCCTTCCACAAGGTCACCCGCCTGATATAATGTGACGTTTTGAGGATTAACAAGAGCCATAGCGTACTCCAGATCCAAGTCTGATTCTGCATTGAAGGCAAATCCTTGTTGCGTAATCTGCACTATGGCACCGTCGATCAATTTAGTATCAGGAGTCTTTTGTCTTTGGCGTGTGGAGAAATTCGCAAAGAAGAGATCGAGATCGTTTTGAAGGAAGGACTGTGGTGTACTACAAGTGGTAAGCAAATGAAGCACTGGGCAACTCGACGACGTACTATTCGACAATACCAAAGCTATTCCCTCGGGCGGCTGCAAAATTTGGTGGAAACCGGTAAAGTGCTCGCAAACAGTTAGGAGTAATGTGTGTATTGCACGTCCGTAACTCGTCTAGAATCTCTCCGATATTGATATCGGCACCCTTCTTAGGAAGAGAGCCATCCTGGTATGGCTTTCCGACTTGCAGGGCAGCTTTCGTTCGAACGGGCACGCCAGCTGCCGCGGTGCTACTGGTGGTTTCTTGCCGTTTGATGTTGGCTTGGGGTATCTTCGTATCGAAATGGATTGTCGGGGTGATGAAATCAATGTGTGGCTGAAGATGCTGTGGGATATGATACGAGTCACAAGCAATATGGGGTTTGCCAGTCTCATGTCGATGCATATGATACTTCGTCCTTAGCAGACTTTCAGCTTCCAGTGCCGAAGCATCGAACTGCAGCCAACCAAGTGATTGAGACCGTGACACTCTATCTGGTGAGATACCGGCACCTTGAAGCCATTCCAAGACAGCGTCGACCGATTCTTGCTTTGGAGCAAACGTCTCTGCTACCTTCTTTGCACTCCAATGCTTTCCGAAGTTGGGAGAGTCTGGATGAGAGACGTCCATGATATGTTGATAGCCATCCTTGAGGTTGGGTTGTGTCAGAGCTATCCGCATGGGAAGTTTGTCCGCAGCATTGAGCCTTTCAGCTTTCTGCCATCCCTGAGGCACAAGATATCGTTTCTCATGCTGAACGTATATTGGTGAAGGGGCAGCTGTGGCACTGGCAATTACTCCTATCCATAGCAGCAAAGAAACAAACATGATTGCTGGGTTTATCATGCAAGGTACAAAGACACAGACCAGAGACGAGGGCACACCGGCCTCTTATGCCGAGCTGGCTTCGTCTGCAGCAGGAGCTGCCAGCTCCGTATCTGATCGGTGGGACCATTCTCAGAGTCATCCTTATCATTGGACGAAGCTCCCTCCAGCTAGGTCAGCATTCCAATGACAGACCGTACAGCATGCCAAGTACAGCAGGAAAAGGTCTAAGTGGGGAAGCTGACAGCTCAGAGGTTCCGGTTGGCAGCCGGAACGAGGGCATGAAGGTGGATCTGCCCGTCGTGTTTGCATCCACCGGGCTTGGTTCCAGCGCCCAAACATTTTTAGACGGGCACAGCCAAGGAAATGGTGTTGATGCCAAAGGTGATAGTGGTAAGCCAAAATCAAGAGATCACACGAGCTTAGCAGTTAGTCAGAGCGATGGTGCGTGTTAGTGGGGTGAGAATTCTCCGAAAGCAGTAGATGAGCGGGGTCTCGTATTCCCTGCTGGTTAACGTTCTGAGTGCAGACGGCTGCAGATAACCGAATGCAGCCTGGATGACCCTACAGGATTCTGCCCTGCTCATGGTTGGTGGGTTGATTCTGGGCGATGGGAATAGTTCGTTCAAAAAGACTCGCATGTCGTCAGCAGATTCAGTAGCTGCAGTAGCGCATGATCCCCACTGGCAGTGTTGCGCTGCCTGCTGAAGAGCCGATTAGTCCATCGAGGGAGACTTCAGCCGCGTTGCGAGAGGCTTTTTTGGCTTGCCTTGGCTACGCTCGCATCTGGTATGGTCCATTTCACACGCCAGTAGAGTTGGAATCAAGGCTGAGATGGATCGACGGTGGTGGTCTGGATTTGACAAGGACCTGCCTGGCGCGTGGGGAGCGCGATTGTGGGTGTCGGTTCCCCGGGAGGAACACCTAAAGCTTGTACCCGGAGCCGTACTCGGGTATTGCGGCAATCCGATCATGGGTGGGAAACGCTTTGCATATTAATTATCCTGCATTGAGCATGCCTATTTTCGACGGCTATCCTATACATGTAAATCATACAATAGTCTTCAATCGACCCTTTCAAACGAGATGGTGCCATCGTCACTGTCCACTTTCTTCCATAAGAACCAAGAGCTAGACTTGTACAGCCTGCCGTAGACGTAACATCCCAAGAAATCAAAATTTTGTCGAACTAAGCTCAAAAGACGACTCTGCCAATTCACAAAAAACCCACCGTCTGAGAGAGGCTATGTCATCTTCCTCTTCCTCCGGCTCTGACCCTGTACTCAATTCTTCACTCTCTTCTTCCGGCTCCACGAGTTAACCATTTCCACGTAACTCCGCTGTTCTCGAACTTTCTGCATTTTGCTCGGGTTCCTCGCTTCCTTCTCTTTCCCCTTCATCTATTGTACTCAGGCAGTCAACATAATTGTTGCGATTTTCGCCTCGCGGACCCGCTAATGCCGGGGCTGTATTCCTGGATGGCTTTATCGCATCTGGCTCCGCCGACTGAGGAATGTTTCCCTTAGGCCTCTCGCTATTGCCTATCACCCACATCTTAGGGATCTCGGGATTACGCCAGCGCTCTTGCACGTTGCCTGGTCTGGATTGGGGTTGCCTTCTATGCACACGTGTTGTTTGCTGAGGTGATGTCGGTTTCGGTATAGAACTTCGCGTTTGTGTCAACGATGGCATAGAAGGATCCGACTTGGGTATTCTGGTTATCGGACGCTTAGGCATTCGAGTGAATTTAACAGCCATCCACCTTGCAAGCTCCCCCGGTGGTTTGTTTGGCGGCGACGGCGAGTCTTCTGTCGTACTGGTTTCACTTTGATCGTTGGCAAGCAGCTCTCCGGCTCGATTAGCATCTCTTCCTGCTAACGCAGGATGGTCGTCGAACTGCTCAGCTCTTAGATTTTGAATTTTCCGTTTCCTATTCCATTGGAGGAAACACCAAATCATTCCAATTCCAAGCATAATTCCTGCTATACCTCCGAAAGTACCCGAAAGTATTTCCCGTTTGTGCCGACTTGCATACGACCGCACAGGCTGAGGCTTCGATTTGAAGTCAAGACTCTGCTTTGGAAGGGCCGGCATAGTCACAGTAGCCGTTGGCAACTGATAGCGTGTTTTGGTTTGCGTGGATACAGAGACAGTCTGGATAGTCGACATTGACAAGTCCATTATCGTAGGATAAATTATGATGCTTTGTAAAGCTGGGCTGGTTTGCTGGGAAGTCACATACACCTCTGAAGTGGCGTAGACGGTGACCACATTGGAATTTGACGAAGTCGAAAGCAATCCTTTATTCGTCGCAGCTTCTGACTGAGATATTGTAAGTACAGCTGAAGTTTGTGTTGGAGAGGTTGGAATTGGGATAGTGATTGACTGTGGAGACACTGCGTTCGCATTTTGGTACGCTTGGTTTGGTTCAGCAAAGTTTGGACACCACGATTGAGCGCAAGGATCAATGGTGCAGCATCCATTGAAGCCATTGTTTTGACATTGAAAGAATTGAAATGGCGGGCTGCATATCGGATCCTGAGGCGTCGGTGCCATGACATTAGCATTAGCTGTTACTGATATTGGGGCTGATTAAAGATTACGAAAGCTGTGGCAACCAGCTTCGTTACCGTAAGGCTTTACATCTATCTGTATAGAATCCAAATGAGTACTCATATTAATAATCTCCTAAATACTGGCATGTTGACCAATTGTGAAAGTGGAAGCCGCCACTTTTTAGAGTGATGAAGGCCTCGTGGATGACCGACCGCGACTGCCTTATTCAATGGTCGTCACGTACGACAGATGGACCAAAGAAACCATGGCAGTCGCGGCTATTGGAGTCATGGAAACAAGTAATTGAAGTCAAGATCCTTCAGATGGGCCATCAAAGCTGATTGAATCTCGGCGTTGCGATATGATTAGGGCATGACGCGCAAAGGTAAAGATTGTGCAAGATATGGTGCACTGGGCATCACGATGACCATCACCTGCCGAACTTCATTTGAGCCTTTGCATAATTATGCAAAGCTCGAAGAAACACTTGGTAACCAACACCGTTATTGTCTTGGACATGATAGATCTCAGAGAGCCGTATTTGCCATGGCGGGTAGCCTTGCAGAAGCACCCTTGGCCCAAATAGGATGAGTAAATCAGGCTCCCCCATGACACTCTCTGTGAGCTCTATATCCACCAGGTCCTGAGTAATGTCATCGATGGAGAGCTTCTTACGTTGTGACATTTCCGCAAATGTCTTCGTCAGGTCCACCAAGGTTGATCTGCCGTCCTCGGCGGACAACAACAATATAGAGAGGTGGCTCGATGCTGGTCGAGCAGCAGCAGAGGAACTGCCGTCAAGGTATGCGGAAATTGTAGGGGCTCCAATCTGCACTGATGGGATATCGTCTCCAAAATAGGCGTGCATTCTGTCACAGATGGCGCGGTGTGAGCTTGGTATGTAATTCTTGAGAATCCCTAGGAGAGCATTGGTCATTGATCACTCGATATATCCCGCGACTGTGTAGCTCACCTGTCTTCTCGTACACGCTCAACATAGGTATTCCTACGCAAGAACACCAAGCTGCGATCTCAGAGATTTCATCCACAAGCGATTCAATGTTGGTCTGAGTACTGCCATCCCGCTTCAGTTCGAGTATGACACTTAAGTGCTCTGGTAATCTTGTAAGATCCTTAACATCTTGCCGTATGAGTCCTGGTGTACGGTGGTGATAGTACAGTATGGCTAGGACGCGATCGAAGACTGCGTGATACGTCTGTCGTGTGACAATGTAGATCGAGAAGGCAAGGTGCAAGATAGTGTAGATGAGCAGGTGAAATTGATTTGTTAAAAAGCCTCGTACAGCCCTAGTTCGCTGAGGGTTTTTACTTTCCTGCTTCATTGGCCTTGGAAGGTAAGGTCGCAGAAGCTCTTCACGTTCTTTCGCGCTAAGCTGCCTTTGTGAAGATTTCGGTTTGTGCCGGTGCACAACAGGATCTTGAGAAAGCGCCATGACGAGCAAATGGTGTAGGTTGAGGCTTCCCAGGGCTTAATTGATACAGGTCCGTTCTGAATACCAAAAGGCGGCAAAGCCGGGTACCGTGTGTTATAGACATGGTACCAAGCAAGCAAGGCTGCCAGTACCACCAAATTAATAAAACAATCGATAGGCAGGTGAATGGCTACGCTCGTGATGCTTTACATATCCCAGTGGAGCTTTCTCTTGATGCTATAGGGTTCGTGAGCTTGTGATGTAAGCCAAAAAGATGACCGGAACCCTGAGTGGTTCATCCTTGCCAGGACAATCCAACTCCTCCACGAGAGGGCTCTTTCCTCAAGCCCCAAGTTTTACCCTCGATACCTTTTCCGATCGAGACTTCGTTGTTAAAGACTTCGTTGAAGCACTCTCCGAAGGTGCTGTCCCTGGCCGGAAATCTGGCCCGTCTACCCAAAATGCCTTCGACCCCAAACCTTTGATTCGGTCATTTGAGCAGGCCTTGAGTCGCATGTCAGACCTATCGGGAGACCTCGAATTACGTGAGAATGAGCTCTCAGCTGCAGTCAGGCGCGCTGAGGCTCAGTACAAGAACAATATTCAAAATATAAGTAAGAAGCTTGACCAGACCGTAGACTCTTTCAACCGCCTGGACAGCTCGCTCAATGGGGAGGGACACGATACTGGAGGTAACCAAGTTGTGAAAATTGGCGACAGGCTAGAAGAGCTGGATAGGCAAATCATGAAAGCAGATGATACCAAATTCCTGGTCAATTGCTGGATAGAAGTGCAAGAGCGAGGCGATCTCTACTTTCTGGAGGATCTGCGGAGGGCAGGGAAGGGTGAAGGCAAGGTTCGATGCGCTCGTATAGCACGCCAATTGCTCAAAATCAGTCAGAGACTCGACCCTGAAAGTTGGGGCAAACTGAATGGGAATGGGGCACATGTGAATGGTGTCAATGGTGGCCATAAAGGGGAACACAAGAAGAAGAAGAATAGGCACAACACAAGGGAGCTCATTGAGAAATTTCTCGAGAATTTGGAAAAAGATTTGCTCAAATCGTTCGACGAGTGCTACAGGAGACAGAATTGGGATGGCATGAAGGATTGTGCAAATGCACTCCACGATTTCAATGACGGTGCGAGCGTCATAGGAGCGTTCGTTAATCAGCACACATTTTTCATCGATCGAAGACAGCTCATCACAGAGGAAGTGGGTGGTGATATTGAAACGTGGGAAAAGCTCGCAGACCCTGATGCAGACCCACCTGGTGTTGAGCCTTCATTACAGGCTCTTGTTGATGAAGTGAGAATCGTGGTTCAGGAAGAGTCGCAAATCATACGTCAAGCCTTCCCATATGCAGAGCAGGTTCTTGGTAAATTTATTCAACGAGTATTTCAGCAGTCCGTCCAGCAACGACTGGAGATGGTCCTTGAGAAAGCCGGTTCGGTATCCGCTCTCGCTTTCCTCAGATCGCTGCAGGCAGCGAGAAGCTGTATCAGCAGCCTTGTCGATGATCTCAAAGCCCATGGTCTCACAGAGTACCCCGAGTCCATCTCTCCTCAGAATTCCATAGTACTTGACCAGCAGTTTGATGATCTCTTTGTACCATATTTCGTGGGTTCCTCTTATATTGAGCGGGAAAAGCGTAGTCTAGAAGAGTTATACTCATCATTATTGTTCAAATTTAATATATATCATGTGAGCTTGCCCTTCCTCTACTTCTAACAAGCCGTACTCATTAGACACAGACACGACGAAGAAAGACACCTACAACGTTCATGAAATCCCTAGCTAAATCAGGCAGCGAGCTGCTCTCCTCAGCGCGAGACGCCTACGTCGAGCGCCTCGACTCCTCAGACCTAGCTCCCGCTCAAAAACGCATGCTCCTCCGCGTCGCCGGCCTCAAAGACTCTGACAGCGCCAAAAGCGGCGCCGACATCGAAGTCTCTGACCAAGACGGCATACTCCGCGTGGAAAACGCAAAACGCATGCTCAAATGGCTCGCAGAAGCCGTAGGTCGCAGCCTCGAACTTTCCAGTGGCAACGAGACCGCCAAAGACGTCTACGCCCTTCTACAACTCCTCCTCACAAACATGGGGGAGATCTACATCGAAACCGCCCTCGACTCCGCCAACGACCTCGCCTCCACGCAAGAAACCGCAAAGACCGAGCCTGACCTCTCTTACCTGATCCCTCTACGTTCTGCCATTAGCATCCTCACCCTTCTCGCTACATCTACTCGCACCGTCCTGATCCCGTTGGCAGCAGCCAACGTCACCGTCCGCCGCGACATGGAAAAGACCGCCAACAGCGCCACCGACCGGCTCGAAGAGAAAGTTAATTCCATCATGCAGCGCACCATCGACGTCGTCACAACATGGGTATCCAAACTGCTCGCCCAGCAGAAGAAAACGGATTACCGCCCCCGCGACGACGCACTAGGTGGGGGCTCCGCCTGGCTCGAACAACTCCAAACGCCCACGTGCCAATCCATCTTTGCCTTCCTCACCAAATTCCACAATCTCGCACTGACCGCCCTTTCGCCCTCGCCTAATTTGAAAGCACTGATGACGGAGACGGCGGTGGCGCTGCGGAGTCAATTGCTCGAGCATTTCAAGAAGTTTCAGGTTAATGCTGCCGGGGGTATTATGGTCACGAAGGATATCAGTAAGTATACGGAGTTGTTGCGCAGTTGGGAGTTGGAAGGCAGCTTTGAGCCGAGCTTTGAGGTCCTCACGGAGATTGGGAATCTTTTTGTTATTGGGCCTGAGGCGTTGAGGGAGCGGTTGAGGAGTAAGAAGAAGACGCCAGTGGGAGGGGGTGGAGGCAGTGGTGTTGGTGTTGAAGGGGGCACGGCGGCTTGGGATGTTAGTGATTTGAGACCGTATGTGCTTAGGAGGGAGGATGCGGGGAGTGTGGGTGTGCAGAGTGCGTTGAGTGCGTTGTGAGAGGGTGTAGCGATCTTGTTCAATTGTAGATATTTAGCCGTGATCATTGTGGCTTTTCATGAGAATTGTGAGCAGATGTATCGTTGGAGTCAGACGGGAGAGATGAGAGTGATTGTTCTACTGTGAATGATTATGGTAAATGTACAGCTTCAAAGCCTTCCGTCCAATGAGCCCTTGCCATCTGTTTGACTAAATGTACGACAGAATGTTGTATATCTTCTGGTACAACCTCCTCTTCATACACCCAACCATCCAAATCAAAGCCCGTCACATCGGCTTCAATCTTTCTGAATGTTCTTCAAAGTCCATTATTACGAAGCAGAAATAGCAGCCCGTCCCGTGCTGTGACTGTAGTCCACCCTCAAATTCCTCCCAAGCACCAGTTTTCCATTCAAGATCTCATTGGCATTCTGCGCACTCTCAATATCTGTGAAATCTGCATGCGCAAAACCCCTCGGCTGCCCAGTCCTCCTATCAATTGCCACCCTGACATCAACCACATTCTTGACCGACCTGAACAATTCATTCAGATCGCGATCGCTCATCTCAAAGCTCATATTACCGATGAAGAGTGTTCTCGTGGGCGTCATCTTGGGTCGACCGTCTCGGGTAGGAGTTTTCATAGTCCGATTGGAATCTGCGAATTGCACGCTGAGTCTGCGGCCTTCAAAATTCTGTTGGTTGTACATTTGAATGGCCTTTTGAGCTCCGGCAATATCTTCAAATTCGACGTAGCCAAATCTGTTGATTGCACAGTCCTGTCAGTAGTGATGATGACTTGAAAGTGGTCATAATTGGGCAGGAGGAAGAGGTGGAGAAGGAAGCAGAGTCATACCCTTTGCTCAGTCCTCGCTGGTCAGTAACGACTCTTGCATTGACAATCGCTCCTGCGCGCGAAAATTCCTTTGTGAGATCATCACCGCGCACATCGAAGAACAAATTGCCGACATAGACCTGGCTTGATGGTTTTGCGGTCTCCGGTCGTTCCCTATTGAGCCCCCCACTGCCAAAACCAGTAGCTTCCGAGAGCGACGCTGCTCCGGAGGAGATGGCTTCAGCAGCTGCTTCAGCACTAAGAGTAGCAGCGTCAGTGGCGTGTCGGAGCGTAGATTTCGACTCTGATTCGGATGCAGTCTCAACTGCTCGTGCGGCTTGTTCCTCTGTCTTTGGGGGGTCTAGTAATGGCTCTGAAGATTGCGATATTGAATTGTCTGCATCTTCATTGAGAGCAGCGCCGTTGGCTTCTGGTTCACTCTGTGTCGCAGCGGCTTCATCTGCCAACCATCTTCTCTGAGTAGAGAGAAGTGTTGGCTTTGAAGTTGCAGACCGCTGCACTTGAGAGGTAATTGATGTGAAGGTGCGTTGCTTCGTTGTGACGCATGACGATGGTGAGAAGGACAGGGCTCGGAAGGCAGCTCTTCGTAGGGAATACCTTGAAGACGGAGGTCAGTCTCTATATGTACTTCCTAATGTAGAAGAGAAGGATTCCTCACATAATGGAAAGATTCAGCAATTGTTTTGCAATGAGCTGACCTACACGAGTGTTCCGATAGGAGAGTGATGGCAATTTGCAAAAGGATTTCTAGCGCATGTTAGTCTTCAGCTTCAAGCTAAGCTCTCTTGAGCTAGCGTCATCCTCCACTATCTTGCCAAGCCTTGCGCCCAACATTTCAGATGACTGAGGGTAGGTACCTTCAATCGCTCGACGGATCGAGGAGATGCTTCGTACCGCTGATTGATAGAGCGGCGAGCGATCTGTGATGTGTCGGGAAGATAGACATTCGCCCATTTTGGCCATCATTTAAATATGGCAGACAAGACTCGCGACCCAACGATTGAGACCGAGCGATTGATCCTTACCCCGTTCTCGCACGAACATACTGAATTCATCTGTGCTATCCGCGCAAATCCGAAAGTATTCTTTTGGCGGACACCAGACACACGATCTCAGGCCATTGAGTGGTTTGAGGCTCGCCTGGCGGATCCGGTGAATCTGGGCTACATTGTATCTCTGAAAGATGATCCTTCCAATATTCTGGGCTCTGTAGGAGCTGTCAGGCCGCCAGAGATAGGCTACGCTTACCTACCGTCTGCTTGGGGTAAAGGCATCGCTACAGAAGCCTTGAGGGGATGGATTGACACCTACTGGAAACGTTTTCCAGAAGGACATCCAAGTTTGGGTGAGAAAGAGAGAGGAATGTTGACGGCGGATACTGGTCCAGAAGAAGGAAACCAAAGTCCGAGCGTGCTGAAAAAGAACGGTTTCGTACACGCTGGCCAAGTTCCGGTTGAAGAGGAGGGGGAAACAGTCATGCTTGATCGTTGGAGGCTTGATAGACCGAGTACGAAATCTTGACGACATATGCTTGACCTATGTGTGGCTACCTTGTCCATGCATCTAATGCTTTTCCCTTGACGAATGAACGCTTCTCTACCGTCCATATCCAAGGCGGTCTAACTACTGAACTATTTACTGATAGTGGCTAGTCAAACTATCTCATCTTTAATTCAATCACTGTGGAAGACGTTAGGAATATGCCCATTTCGTATGCTCGTCGGATCTAAACAATTTTGATTAGATCTACAAGACAATTATCATTAAATCAAAGATCGCCCCAAGGAATTTGGTCGGTTGCCATGCGTGCGACGCTTGAAGATATCAGCGCATTCAACGCGTATTCACGTTTAGGCAAAAGGATCTGAATAGACGGACGTTAACAGAGTGCTAAGGCAAGTTGGACAAGACTTGTTCTTGAGAGAGTTTCAATGTCATGACGGGTATAGCCAGTAGGTCTTCATGAATACTGTAAGACATCTTTGTTAAGAAATGTGCAGTCTTCGGCAGTGCCGGGAGGCACCAAGTGTTATGACCAGACGGGAATATTCTTGACATTAATGCGCTCTCAGGCTTCTGGGTCCTGACAATTGTACCAAAGTAACACTTTTTACTTTAGAAGAAGTTCATATTTTGGCTGATACGACTTCGATATAACTGTTGTCGCTGAATATATCGCTGAAGCCAGGTCGTTGACGTCGTCATTGAATCCTTATTCCCTCTTCTTTGTCGTCTCCGCCTGATATCCCACCAAGCTCCGAAGCCCGCGATGCAAGCCAGCCCAGGTATCACAGTCCCGAGCCCGATCTGGGCAGGTATACTGAGGTTGTTGCCGTTAGAGTGAGATTTTGGTACGGTGGTAGGATCAGTGGTTATGCTAGGTGATGAATGCGGTGTTGTAGAAGACGCTGAAATGCTAATGCCCCAGGCAGTTGACGTTGTGACAGAAATATTTTGGATGGAAGTGGTCGAGCCTGCTACTGTCGGTGTTGACGAGCTCGAGGAGGCGTTTGTGGTGCTGCTGAGACTTGAGCTTTTCGGAGAAACTATTGAGCTGCTGCTTGGTGTCGCAGGTGTATTAACTTGCGTCGTCGCAGGGACGAAGATGCTACTAGTCGCAAGTGTTGCAGGATCGGTAAAGCCTGCAGCGGAATAATAAGAAGAGAGATATATGCTCTCGCGAGGAAGACGATTCCCGCCGTTCATAAACCTCACTACATCCGTACCCTCATTATTGGAGCAACAAGTCTCATTACTACGTCCAGGACACTGAGTGCCATCATCACAAAAAGTTGTAGTATAATGCATCAGGTTATATCGGCTCGTTCCGTCCACTATAAGAAGCCAGACAATCAGTTGAAAGGGCCCGGGTTCTGGGTTGATGGTCTCGTAATACGGACAAAAAAACACATGAGAGACTCACTAAATCTCGGTGGACACCGTTTATCTTGCCAGCTTGGGTCAGTACAAGTACCGAGGGAAGCTTTGCCATCAACATAGCAGTCCAGATTTGTGTCACACGTCCAACCTAAACCGCAGCACGCACTCACACTAGCCCATGGATCACAAGGAGCGTTATCGTCAGCAACACCATTTATGGAGTAACAAGTCCTGACCTGGCTGTGAACCAGTGGTAGAAGGAGGATCAGAGCTAGCAAATATGGCGATCTTGTAATATGGACAGATTTCAAGGAGATCATGTGAGGCGCATTGGCTGCTTGCAGCCTGAGTCCCTTGCGACAAACCTGTAAGCGGATGTACTGAGAAGTGGTGGGCATCAAACGATGGATATGCCGTGAATATTCGTGATGTCAACTTTGAGGGTCTTTACATTTCACTTAACCTTGAGGCCCAGCCGCTGAAGTTCGTGCCACCTCCTCTCTCAACGCGCAGTCTGTGCATTGATTCAGCCTGGCGAAGGGTACACCACTGGAGTTGCATGTAACCCGCCTTCTCAAGCGAGGCTGCGACAACACCGGCCAATTATCCACTGTCACTGCGATAATGGTCGCAGTTTCTCTTACCATCCAAATGAGAGGACCTTGTTCAGGTATCTAGTCAATGACGCCTACTGACGCGGATGCTCTTACCGATCCTGCCATAAGCTTTGATTGAGTATTAGGCAGTCTTCCTCGCTTTGTCCAACTGCACACGTTCCGAAGCAAATTTCCTCATCGTGGCGGAGGAGAAGGCGTTGTGTTCCTTTGGATGGCTGAGCAATCCTTGGAGGACTGCAATACCATGGGTTCTCAGCAACGATAAATTATATGTTATAGATCATCGAAATGTAAGTCATTTATGCCACATCAAAGTAATTTGTTGACGTGAACAAAGTCCTAGTGCATTCCGCAAAGGGATTGAAGATGGTCATGGTAGGTTTTCGGAAGGCGAGGAAAGCAATCAGCGGTGTCAAGTATAGTCTCAGCAAGGAAGGCATGACGGCCTAACTCGATCATGCATTGCCACTATGAAGAACAAGAATGCAATTGACCGATCATCCGGTTAGACTTTAGCAGAGTGGCGGATTTCATTCTTCCGGCAGCACTCTTCGACGCTGAGTACTCTGTGTCTGAAAACGATTAGGTTCCTTGATGGCGAACGGCCTGAGGTCCTGGACCAGATGCAGAAATGTCTGACAAATCTCAAGGAGACATTTATTCAGTCAAGTCTTCTAGGAGGGGACTTTGAACAGTATTGGCATCTCGAGCCTCATCCCCACGAGCGTTACTCGAATATGGAATCTCACCCAAACTGGACACGAATGGCGATTGAGCGTATCTTGGTTCTTGGGGGCGAATGTCCTTTGAGAGACGAAATCGGCTTCCCGAAAGGGTTTCGCCTGGATTCGATTAGTATTGACATGTCACAACAAACTGAATCTGATGAGCAAGCTCGTGGTCTAGTGGGTTGGATCCAAATCATCTCTTTGAGCCGGAAGAGTATCACGGAATACTCTTAACGCTTGCATGGACTATTGCTGCACAGCCGCTGTCAAAGAATCCAGACCAACGGCAAGAACAACATTGAAGGTGGCGACAAGTCTCCCCTGTCTCGAAATGAGGATTTGCATTGTCTGATAGAAGTCGAACATTTGGAAGAACGTTCTCAGGTACTCAAGCACTGCCGTGGTTTCTCTTGTGAGTATCATTGGCTCACCCGGATATAGATTTATTGGAAAGACTTTCATAGTAACCGATTTATAAGAGACGCTCACTGGATGTTGCATGGGTGTTGTGTCATCGAGTAAGTCTATCTCTTTTCTGAGATCTGTAAGGCAAAATCCGAATTCTTGCTTGGTAAATTGATGTTCAGGCTGAGGATTGAAAACTGTTCCGCTGAAGTATGAGTTGGGGATGTGGAATGTTGACGGGACACCTGGGCCGGGTAAAGTATTCAATGCCGTTGAAGTCTGAGCGAGCCCGTTCAAAGAGGAGACATTGAGTGCTGAGACCCCTCCGTTTCCGGTGTCTACGGATGGCCCGACCTGTCTGTCAAATAAGGGCAGGCCGTGAGGATTTGCGGCGGCGATTATCAAGCTTAAGGAAAGCAAAGAGACCGAAAGCAGCCACTTCATTTTCAACAGCTGAGGTAGAGGCTACAAAATGCACTGAATGCAAGAAAAGCCGGTGCATATGTTCATAATGAGCGAATGAGACATTTCTTGAGGCTTGCATGCGACTACCGACAACTGAGTCAAAACCTACTATATGGAGATATAAAGAGCGAGTATCGCCTAGAGGGAATTCGAATACACTGACAGATGATCAGGAAAGGAATGCTGGCGAACATTGTACATAAGCAGTCGCGAGTGCTTCCCCACCAAGAATCAAGCTTTAGAGATAAGCAGTGTACTGAAGAGTAGTATCAGCATATGACTGAGCCTCTAAAGAATCTTCAAATAATAAACTTAAAGAACTGATCAAATAGCATGTGGTTAAGCGTTGCGAGTCTCATTCTACCCACTGTATGGATACCATAGAATAATCTTACGGGGATGAAACACACCTCGAAGGCGAGACAGATCTTCCTTGCAGCGTCTTTTTCAAAAAAGTATATATTGTATCTAAATGACCTTCCAATCACGGTCGATTAGCTCAGTTGGTTAGAGCGTGGTGCTAATACAAGCTCTCGAGCTCTGTCAACGCCAAGGTCGCGGGTTCGACCCCCGTATTGACCAAATTCGTTTTTGGCTCAAGGTACCTCATATGTCCTTCATTCGAACCTCATTCGATCTTTTTGCGGCTTCAAAATGCACTTTACGAAGTTTGTGTGCGATTTTCATGTGGGTCTTGGCATTCACATTTCTCGGATATAATCCTTATATCCGACGGCTTCATGAATCAGTAGTGTATATTTTATAAAATCATTGAGCATCTACCCAGTCATAACGTTTGTGCTTGTTCAAATCACATCCATAAATGGGCTCTACTGAATCTAAACCTTCCGCGCCGATGATACCTCAAACCGCCACCCTCCCTACCTCTCCATCTTCCTCCTCTCCGATCAGAGAAGCCGCCTCCGCCTCGGCGTCTACACGCGCACGCGAAGGGTTAGACAACGCCAGGGAACAAGTAGCTGAAGCCTCACAATCAGAGGCGAAGCCGAAGGTACGATTCTTCTTCCCCCCCTGTCATTCCCTCTTCCACCCTTCTCAGCTCCATGACTATGACATCCTTCCCCCAAACCCCCATAAAAATAATACCACCAATGAAGCCTACCCCCTCCTCCGCCTCCAACCCATCCCTCACCACCCTCTTACGAAAGTACTTTTCGCTGATGTGATTGCGGGGAGGAATAGCCCTGCTGCGTATGCAAACCAGAAAAGCAGTCGAGAGACGAATGCATGCTTTTTGCCTCCTCGGCGGATCCCGCGCGCGAGTGCGAAGGGAAAGTCGAGGAGTATCGGAGGTGTATGCGGGGATTCGGGTTTGATGTCGCTTGACACCCTGCTATTTTTGATGTGAAGGGGTGAGGGGAAAGGGGGAGAGTGGTATATCAAACAGGAAGAAGGGGAGGGTGAGGGTGGGGATGGAGTATTGCATGGGAAGGCGACACATGAGCGTTTGGCGGCATTTACATTTGCATTGGTGGTACGGCGATGGGAAAAGATGGGGGTTGGGGGTAGAAACCATGAGGAAGACCCTCAAGATTATAGACATGGATGCAAATCCTCATCCCAGATGGCGCCGGGGTATATAACTCCACTCTATGTACAAAATGCTTCAATGTTTAAACAGAATTCAAGAACCATCATCAGCTCTTCTTCTTTCCTCGTGTCTTCCTCCTCTCCGTCGGACTTGGACTCTTCTCTTTCCTCGCCACCGCATCTTTTTCCGAGCTGGTTTTTTCTGCTACGCTATCCTTCGCCTTAGACAAGGGCCAAGGCAAGGGCAACGCCTTCGCCCGGTCTTCCAAACTCTTGCCCTCCTGCTCAGCCCGGTATCCAAACCACTCCTCTAGCACGCCGCTACGAAGGATTGTTTGCCACGTGCACCAGAGGTAGCAGACGCCGAAGCCAATTGCACCTATAACAACATTCAAGACGACCCATAGATCCGGCTTGCCCGGCGGTGGCTGTTGCGTTGCTTCCACAATATGCCATCCGATCATCACCGTGTAGAATAATAGATGCAGGAGCTTGGTTAGGGGTTTGAGACCGCCTTTTGCTGCTTGAGGGCCAAAATAGCAGGAGAAGCTTGTGGGCGGGAGGCCGAGGAGGTATGCCCAAAGGAGCGTCAGGACGAAATACGGGACTCGTAACTCATCGCGCTTGAGGAGGGGGAATAGTGTCCAGGTGCCAAGTAAGTTGGCAAAGCCTATCCATGCTCTCAACTCGACTCCTAGGCCTCCTTGGCCGCCCAGTAGGAGCGTCATGGGCAGCAGAGGGAGCAGCACGCTCTTCTCGTGTACTTGGAAACTCCAGAGGAAGAAGCCCCAGCTTGTGCTTGCTAGTGCCCAGAGAATGAGGTTGCGTCGCGGGAAGAGAGAGATGAGCATGCAGGCGGGCTGGATGGCGACAAGGGTGGTCAAGAGGCTGAGACGTTGGAGGAGTGCCGTGGGGTAGTTGTGGAGTTTATGGACGAGGTGAATACAGCACCAGAGATTGGCGACTTTGTCTTCGAAGATTCCACGTGCGAAGGGGAAGACGCGGTGGAGGAGTTGGGATAGTTGGAGGATGTAGGGGTAGTATATTGACGAGGGATTGATATACGGAGAGAAAGTTGAGAAGAGTGGGTTAATCTGCCGGTCTGAGCGGTCAAGCGGCGGATTGATGCCTCTGCGTTGGTCGTAGAATGTTCCCACTACCAAGGGCAGGACGACCAGAGCGAAGGAGAGGATGGTCATGATGGCAATACTGAGGAGGCGGAGAGGTCGGAAGGAGGGAGATAGTGAGATGCCGAAGAGGTAGAAAAAGATCGCCGGTGCGTAGTATAAAGCCATCTGCTTGAAGCTCAAGGCGAGGACGAAGAATATGCTGGCAAATGCGAAGTTTTCAGACAGAAGGGTGCTGACTGTGGCGGCAACGAAGCCAAGCATCACAGTGTTATATTGGAAGTGGGCGTGATCGATGAGGATGGTTGCTGGCTGCATGAGAATTCCGACAAGAGCGATAGAGCTCTCCCATGATGTTACGTTTTCAAGCTTGCCAAGGATGAAGTTTCCAGTGACTATGGGTGGTATGTAAAGGAGATATTCGGATATTATGACGGTAGCGCGCATGTACACTTTGAGCAATTGTTCTTCGATGCCTCTGGAGGAATATAGAGCGAACCACGTGGGGTTGATGAAAGATCCGCTGGGACTTGTCAGCCTCTTGAATGTTCCATTAAGCACAGGAAAAGCTCACATCTTGCCAAATACCCAGCTGTGGTAAGCGGTCAACGGCGGATAATCAAGTCCCCAGTACTGCAGGTCGTAAAAGTACCACTGTGACATGGGCAAATGCGCAGCGATCTCCATCCAGTGTCTCTGTGCTTCGTAGTCTCCGTGCATGGGTGGTGTCTGGAAGCCTGTCGAAAATCAGCCCGTGCAACTGCTGGGGGTCTACCTTTCTTGCCTGAGTAGCCCCACAGCCCAGCACACCACCTGAAGAGGCCGACAATCATGAGTACTAAAGGCAATATGACCCATAGTGAGGTCGACCGTCTTGTAGGCCAGAAAAAGGCCGCTAGGGGAAATGCGGGGCCCTCGTTGCTTGTTTTGGCAGTGATCGTGACTGCATTCTCTCGCGGCGACGCTGTCTGCGCTTTCGGCTTTCTACGAGATCGACGTAGGGTCGCTGGAGGTGCCATACTGCCAGCTACAGAGTCCTCTAGCTGTTCAGCGTAAGCTCATATTTGGACAAGGTCGAGATACGGGACGCAAGTGACTGATTTGCGCTCTGTAGAGAGTTCTCAAGCCCTCGAAAGCCACGCGACGCGATCTGATATCGGTAGGGCTGAAGGTGGCTTTTCGGCTGCGTTAGTGTCGCGCTAAGATAAGAGCTTCGGGAGAAAATTTCTTCGCACACGCAAAGCTCCATTCATCTTCCACATATCCGCTCAGTTAGGCTTGATCACCAGAACAGAGGGCTCAGGAAAACTCTGCATCATATACAGGTACGCTAATCCTTGCACTTTGAATTGTGGGCTTCTTGTGGATTCCGAGGGCTCTTCCAGACTTGAGGGCACTCAGAGCGAAAGCTGAGTGGGCGTTCCATGGCTTGAGATCTGTGGGCTGTATCATCTAAATACACATTGACTTGAAGTGGTTGCATCATTGCGATTATCTGAGGGCTTGTGGGATTGTGAGCTTCATTGAGGTCCGAGGGTTGCTGCACAAGCTCTTCATTTGAGCAAAAAGATCTTGATCGGGCGTGCTACCGATTGAGGGCTTCGATATACTAACCTTGGGTTACAGAGGGTATTCATTTGACTAGCAGAGGCTACACTATATCAGTATCACAATGGGGAAGTCAAAGGCTCCCAAGCAGGTACAATCAGCTGAAAAAAGTGGTCATAATAAAATCTTGACAAGTGTCAAGGATGCTGCCGTTACCAAGCCTTCACAGGCACCGAAAGCCAAGAGTAAGGAGGTTGCCAAAGATGTTGCATTGAAGATTGGCAAAGACAAGAAATCAAAGAAGGTCAAAGAACCTACACCAGAGCCTAGCGATAGCGAAAGCGACAGCGAGAGCGAGGCTGAGATCAGTGATGAGGATACGAACATGGAGAGTGGTTCCTCTGCAAGCAGCGATGAAGAATCCGCAGCTCCTGTGAAGAATGGTGGTACGGGATCGTCGTCAGAAAGTGAGGACGAGAGTGACGATGAGAAACCCCTCCCTCCGAAGGCTAAACCCGCGGACAAAGCTGTGCCAAAAGCGAATGGTGTGACTAAGAAAACCACAAAGGTTGAATCCGCCAGCTCAGACTCCTCCGAATCATCGCCAGGCTCCTCAGACGATGAAGCTAAGCCATCGACTACAGCTGGAAAGCAAGCCGCCGACATTGGAGAGGACAGTGATGAAAGTGATGGCTCTGAGAGCGACACTGATGCTAAGCCTAAAGGGGCGTTGAATCCAAAAGTATTGAATGGCGCATTGAAGAAGGTGTCTACAGAGGTGTGTATTCCATTGTCTTTCAAAGGGTCCAGATCTGATTAAAATAGGCTTCTTCTGAGTCTGAGGGCTCTGATTCTGATGCCTCCGAGGGTTCCGATTCCGGCTCTGACGAATCGGATGACGAGAGCGAGGAAGAGGCTCCACCGAAGAAGCGCAAAGCTGAGGAAGTGTCAACACCGGCTGCAAAGAAGACCAAGACAGCCGACTCTGTTGATGATGAAGCGAAGAGGAATCTCTTCGTGGGACAGCTGTCATGGAATGTGGACAACACATGGCTTGAGCGTGAATTCGAAAAGTTTGGTGAAATTGAAAGTGCAAATGTTGTGTGGGATAAGCAACAAGATCGCTCCAAAGGGTGAGGAAACATCTCAACTCTCATCAAGAATTTCTAACATATTGTAGGTTCGGATACGTCAAATTTGTCGATCCTGCCTCAGGAGTCAAAGCTCAAGCAGAGATGCATGGCGCTGATATCGACGGCCGTAATATCAACGTCGATTTTAGCGTCCCCAAAACCAATAACACTCCTCGACAAGAGCGCGCTGATCGATACGGCGATAGACAAACAAGTGCACCATCAAGCACTCTCTTCGTTGCGAACCTCAATTTTGACGTGGAAGTAGATCTTCTTCGCACTGAGTTCGGGAAGCATGGTGCAGTTGTAGGTGCACGTCTGCCAACAGATCGTGACTCAGGCTTGCCCAAAGGCTTTGGGTACGTTGAGTTCAGCAGCGTCGAAGAGGCGCAGAAGGGATTCGAGGGAATGCAAGGGGCATCTATCCTGAACCGACCAATCCGCCTTGACTACTCTACCCCGAGGGATAACAACAGCTCACCCAACAACTTCCGTGGTGGGCGAGGCGGTGGCCGTGGTGGTTTCGACCGTGGCGGCCGTGGAGGTGGCCGTGGTCGCGGCGGATTTGATCGTGGAGGTCGTGGTGGAGGTCGCGGTGGAGGCCGTGGTGGCTCAACCAACCGTGGAGGCTTTGGCGATTTCCAAGGCAAGAAGATGAGCTTCGACTAAGTCCGCCAAATGAGGTCCGTGATCGGCGGGATCAGTATCGGAAACACTCGGTCAAGATCGAATGAATGGAGTTCAGTAACAAAAGTCCGTTTTTCCTTTCATCCTTTCGGTTTGTTAGAGTCGCTGGCGGTGAGCTGTTGTGTGATATCATGTATGCTTGCATGCTGTACTTAGTCCGCTGGAACAAAGGGCGGCTTGGCAGGGAATGCACCAAAGAGATCGGAAGATTGATATGATAATCAAGATCGGAGAGTTCGATGATAATTACAGATGTCGCGAGTGGATTAATCCTCAGTACCAACGGTGATAGAACGAATGAATTGCAAATCCTGTCGATTTCATTGCTCGTCCAATCATACAGGCTGACAGCGCATGATTCCTTGTCTTTCCCAAAGCGGCACGTGGTGTGAATTTCGGGAGTCTCGAGGGTCTGGCCTGCAGCTGTAGATCTGCGCCCACCTGCCGTTCCTAGATCACGCAACCCCCCATCTGACATCTGTCTGACTTGCAACCTCACCTCCACAACTTCAATCGTCCTGGACTTCCTGGAGGCATTACATTAATGATATGTAGTGAACAGTCACCACATGTATACACGATGTTGACGACTTGAAAGTCGCCTGCTCTCTAAGCACATTCGTGGGCAGGCACCATTGATCTGCATCGTCACAAAGTACCTTCGCCGTACTCGTACTTAAAGGAGACTGAATCCATCCCCTCGTCGTCTTCCTCCCTACCAGCTATTGTCCCATTCCCAACAGGCAATATGCACCCAGACTACGACTTCACGCGCCATGCTTTCCATGCCCGAGACCCGCCTCATAGAATGTCGAGATCAATGGCAGGGGTCAGGCGGTTGAGGTCAGATGGTAAGTGACATTAAGGCACCAACTTGCACTGCGAGTGCTATGCCTGCGTCTCCTTTCACATTATTCCACATGTATTATACACAATGCAATGAGTACAATCTACTCACATCAACGATGTCCAGAATCCTGGATTGAAGTCTCCTCACAAGCCTCGTCCTCTTCCGTCTCCTCAATTCCTACGAGTCCATCCCATCGACATGGTCTGGATACATCACTAGACCAGAGATCCCGACGACGTCGACGTCTCCTTCGAAGTACTGCCTCCGGGCCTGCCCCTCAAGTAAGGACCTCGAGTGCAGCTACAAGCAGTCAAGAGGAGTATGACGAAAGCGAAAGCGAGTCGGATCATATACTATCAAGCTCAAACGAGCATTTACCTCACCTTTCACCTACAATTAGTTCCGAAGGTGGCACATCATCGGCTTCAGGCGAGACCTCCAGCAATGCCTTATCCAACAGTGACGACGATGACGAGAATACTACGGCCTTGGGCATTGGTACCAACAATGACAAGGTCTTCACCCCTCCTGCGAACGCTTTTACACACCCTTCCCAAGCCCCGACAGCCCGTCGCAATACATCCGTAGAAGCACGACCATCCTACCTCTCAAGCCGACGCGCCTCCCAAACTCGGCGCACTTCACCACGAAGGCAAAGCGCCAATTCCTATACCTCACGTCGAGACCAACAGCATAGCCCTTACAATATGATTTCCCCCTCCCACCACGCCGATCATGACGCCGCCTTGCGCGCCTCTTTAAGCACCCTCCTTTCATGCGCCGCAGCTGCCCGTGGCTTACCCAAGAAAGAAACCCAGAACACATCCACTCCTCATCACCTGAATCCTACCAACCAGATGCAACCGTCCTCTTTTCGACTGGTCCCCGAGTCTTCACTCGCCCGCAACACAACAGACACGTCCCCAGCGCGTCCACCCCGCCGTCGCGCTTCCAACACCTCCCTCCGTGAGCCAGACACCAGTAAACGCAAGGCCCAGCCCGCCTCCTCCTCCAAAGATCGGCGTAACAAGAAGGTACGCGCCTCCAGCCCTGACCAGGCTGGTGAACAGATCTTCCAGCCAACTCTGATGACTTGGGCTTTGAGTGCTGGAGTGCTAGTGGTATTTTCTGCTCTGAGCTTCAGCGCTGGATATGCTATTGGGAGGGACGTAGGGAAAGGTGAGATGATTATAGCCGGCCAGGATAGCGTGGGCTGTGGTCGGGAAGTAGGGAGGGGTGTGGGGCGGGGGCTGAGGAGATTGAGATTAGGAGGGGCGAGTGGATCGTTGGTGAGGACCTGAGAATGCATAATTTTCTAATGAAGACAATGATGGGATGAAGGTGGTCTTCGAATTGGACCTGCTATGATCGGGAGAAATGAAGGGGAGAAATGAACGGGTAACTCATTCGAGTATGAAGATAGGATGACCTCACTTGATTTTTGCATGTATGGCATGGCATGATAGCATGATAGCATGACTCGGCGTCCAAGAACTTTTCCGCTCATAAGAACCCGAGATGGTTGACATCCATCTCCATAGCGTATCTTTTCAAGTCCAGCTTCCCCACTGCAGATTTCCTCCAGCTAGTTCAGCTCGTATCATCATCCAATGCATTCATGACTGACTTGCTGCAACCCAATTCGCCAAGGTGCAATCTGAGCAATTACTCTACCTACTCTAAAACAAACCCCAGTCCCTCAGCACACATACCTGCGACCTTTTTCGATCAGAAGATCTCAGACCATGAACCTTCATCTGCGCTCTCACCTCCACCTGCTCCCGGTCGTCACGTGATCATTTTAGAAGGTGTCTGCGAATAACCGGGTCTTTCAATGCCAGACTTTATAATAGACGGAAAGAGTGTAGCGCGGTTTGGCATGGAGAATCTGAGTGTTGCGTCGTCTCTGACTCCCTCGTCCATGGAGAGGGAAACACATATGATATTCTCTTAAGGATGCCCTTGTGGAACTCAGCTACTGCTCTGGCTCTATGTCGTGGATCTTATTCTTGCCGACAATGGTTCATTTGAATTGAGCAACTGGCATGCCGATGACGAGGAGGAGGAAGAGGAGGAATGCGAGTGTCAGCTCTACATGTGGAAGGATTCTAGGAGACTGTGATGATTCGTAATTGAAACATTTCAATCTCCGGGGCCGAGAGCAAGGCAGACGTTTACTGCAGCTTTCTCAATGATACTGGGGGGAAGGGGCGGCGTGTCGCGATGCACAAACCTAGCGCTTCGAGCTCGCTGTTGAGTGGGCCTTGTATGGCTTGGAGACGCACCACGAAATATGTAGAATTGGGGGCTACAATGCCTTGAGATGTGTTTATTGAGATCAGTGTGTACGTGTTTCTCCGGGAGAATTGGGTTAGCAAAACACCTCGTCAAGATAGTGGCATCTCAAATCTGCCTAGATCTTTCCCAGCAACGATCGATAATGGTTGATTGAACACTGTTGTTGGATAACTATACCACTCTTTTTTGTCCTCCGATGGCCTTGTCAAGATCTTGGATGGTTCTTGTCTTCTCCTGCTCCCCGATTGGTTGCGTCCTCTCTCAACACACATCCACTGATCAACGGGTCTCTGACTCGCAATCAACAAGTTGCGGCAGGGGAACAAGTGATCTATTTGGAGCTGTCTGGTCACTATTCTCCTTTGCGAATAGACCATGATCTATCTTCCTGTAGGAGAATATGACCGGGAACGTGCTGGAACGTGGAGAGAAAAAACTGTTCGAAGTCGAATCGTTCTGGCCCTGATTGGATGCTTCGCTCCGGAATATATCGTAATGAGCGCCATTGGTGACTACTGGGGAGTATCTAAGATCCTAGAGTCCTCCGTGGAACTTGGATACCCGAGAATGATGCGCACGCACACTTTTGCGTTCGATATGAGCGCCTTTTGTATTCGAACCCCAGATGGTGAATACCGTCAGCTCAGCCGCGAAAACTTCAGGCCACAGAACTTCACCGCAGGACACATGAACGAGATGAACTTTGGACTCTCCGATTACGAGATCGAACCCGCACTGTTTGACAAGATCTGCCAGACGCCTGCGTAGAAATCAAAGATCCCGCCAAAGCGGACGGTATTGCGAAGACAGTCGCCTGCATGCAAGCATCATGGTTGATTGCGCAGGTCATAGGCCGGATGGTTGAGCACGTTGCTATCACTCCCCTCGAAGTCGCTACCGTCACTTATGTTGGCTGTGCTCTCATCTCTTACGTTATCTGGTGGGAGAAGCCACAGAACATCGCTGTGCCAATTGTGCTCAAAGATTGGGATGATTCCACGACCAAGCAGGAATGGATCCGATCCCACTATGACCATGCAAGAGATACTTGGCTGGAGTTCGTGTGTGCGGGGAATATGCTGGTCCAAAAGGGGCTCATCACCTATCATGGCATTCGGATTCAGGCCGGGAAGCTTATGTTTTCTGCCTGCATCTTTGGAGACATTCATCTAGCTTCGTGGAACATCAAGCTCCCTACCAGTGTTGAGGATTGGGTTTGGCGAATGAGTGCCCTGGGCTGCCTCGTTCTTCCAATGGCCATAGTTTTGGCATCGTTCAATTCATTCACGAAGTTGTCCACTAGCTTTGGGCCATTCGCGTATGCCTACTTTGCTTTGTATGGTGTGGTCAGGGTTTTCATGCTGGTTGAGATGTTCATTAGTCTGAGGTTGCAGCCTGAAAGTATACGTCTCTGTCCAGTGGCCAGACTTACTGCCCCACATATAGCGAATAATGAAGAGCTGGCCAAAAGGGAAGACTATGTTTCAAGCATAGAAGATGGTAACTAGCTCAATATCGAATGGCACCAACTCGTTCAGCTGGCTATCACATGGAAAAGTCGGCGGATCAACCCTATGATCCTAAAATAAGCCTTAGATGTGGGTGGCCCAACAGATCAATGTGCGAACGCCTTTGATCTCGGGATCCAGATCTGGGCCCTCTTCCAGTCCCCAACGGCCAAAGTTCAACCTTGCAAGAATGACACGAGTTGCCCAAACCTGAATGCCTGTGACTGCATCCAGTAGTCGGCAGACGAGCCTTTACATTGGATACATCTTGCACCGTCTGTCGAAATAAAGCCAACTTGGGATGTGCCTGGACCGACAGCAAAATCGTCGAAACGGTCACGCGTAGTAGTGCGGGCCAGCCATGCGTACTCTAGCGAAAACGCAATTACTTTCGTAATACCCAAGCATGCACTAAGGTAAGCCGAACATGGGAAAGCCAAGCCCTACAGATTTGATGCTAGACTCAATTGGCCTAAACAGTCTTCTACAGTACGATCCTATTGTTGCGGTTCTACCACCCTAACAAACTTAAATGATATCATGAAGCCTAAACTGACCTAGTCTGGGCGCCATTCACCCCGATCGTGGTCGGAACAACCCGCATGTGATTGTGGCTTGCTTCGACCCGCTCATTACTCTGTGTTGTAGACGGAGTGGAAGCGCTTCTACATCATTCCTGAAGGTCAAAGTGCGTATGGGTCTGCGAAGTCTACCTCTGCGTCAGACTATCGTGCCTGCTGCCAACCAGTGGGGTTGCAATATATCGGAGTCTTAGGCGTGTAATGATTCGAGCTTGATATGATCTGCTTGCCTGCCAGGAAAGTTAACCCTAAATTAGTGGCAGGCAAGCTGTATCTCAAGTGCCAACTAAAGGGGACGACGACTTGCCCCGCTCTTCAATATTCAGCTCCACTAAAATGCGCCACATGGAATTCAGTTGCAACAAATCCAGGGACTAAGACGTTCTCGGCGGTAGAGTCCCAGACCATAGCATAGCCATGGCTGACCCACGTTGCGAATAATTGCTTGATAAAGAGGCTGTTCCACCCCGCACCTTCATTTCAAGCTCATTCCTCCTTTCAATAATCCGTTCCATTTTCAAACCTCCACGATCTGCCTCGATAATGTTTTCTACCAGAAGCATCGCCCGCTTCTCGTCTCTTTTGGTTCTTCTCAATCTGGGAATCTCCAGCAACGCTTTCGCTGTACCGAGTGATCAGACTGCGCTGGCTTTGGAGCGTGTCGACCAGGAGCGCGTTGCAGATCTGCTGATCAACGAAGATTCTTCTCTACCAAAAGGTCGTGTTATGACATCGTTCGGTGAACAAGACAACTAACAAATGCAGCAGATGCTTTCAACAACATCTCTCCTACCCGGGACTCGAGCACCCATAAGATCAGTCCCGAAGCCTTCGCCCCAGTCTCGGCCGCAAACATCACTATATTCACAGCCTTTAGCCCTTCCCCCATCAAGAAAAACCTTACCGTAGTCGACATCAACACCGAGGATGGGCATTCCGGCTCCGGCATCGCTTTTCAGCAGAAAGGCTTTTTCAACCTGCCTTATGGTCAAATCAAATGTGCTGGAAAGATTGGCTTCCCTTCAGGACTGGACTGGAGCAACTTTACTAAGCCATACCCTTTGTATTCAGGCCTCTATATTTGGGGTGGAGCTATGTTTGTCCAAACATATTTGGAGCCTGCGCCTGCTCGTTTGCAAGTGGACTGCCGTGTCTCAAACGAAACGGTGGACGTTAACGTTGCCCTCGTCATGACCTGGAAATAATTATGTCGATTGAAGGATTTTGGAACCCCATTAGAATCATTTGTGACGCTAGCGAATGTTAAATGAACTCTGTGAAGTAAGAATGTACTCACACCACCTAAAAGAGCCTAAGTGGAATAGAAACATTATTTCGTGATCTCCACGCTTTATTCGCTTGTTCAGATGAAACACCGCCGGTGTCTCTAAGCACAGCACGCCGGCACCCTAGCAGGCCAGACGTCTGTCATGTGACTCAGTCCGCCAGTGGTATGTACCCCTTGGATTTTGCCCCATTATAGCAAGCTATTTCTCGTTCTACGTGCATGTAAATTGCCTAAACTTTGTTGGACTCGGGGGCTGCATGAAGTACAATGGAAGTCTTATAGCGGCATATCTAATAATGCTGGATTGCCATTTGTTGATGTGAATCGAAAGGGTGACAGAAGTCATTATAAAAAAGATTCATAAGATGTCTCGGACTATAGTTATTCCGCTCCGAAGAGAATTGTCGTAATAATTCCGGCTCCTGGATGGAACTTTCACTGTCATTGATGCTCGCCAGAGTTGAGCCGTTGCTCATTCTCAGAGAACATGAAGACTCGGATGTTGCCTAAGTGCAAATGTATCTCGAAGTCAGCAGATCCAAGAAGCCCATGATAGGACTTTGGGACTTTAGCGCGCCAATAGGCAATAGGATGACGAGCACCTTTCCCGCCTGCAGAGGGACCAGATCCATGATGTTCATTACTTTTACTAGGGAACACCTGGTTTCAACATCTGTAGCTAGGGACATAGAACGGACGGCATGATGCAAGTATATGCACATGCTAGCAAAAGATGGCAAAACGATGGGTTTAACAGTGCCGCGCCGAATCCCTCATTCCGAGAACCAATAGCTCCTCAAATACATCTGCCACTAGATCCATCGTGCGCCAGCCGTGCCGTTGACGGACGGGAGCGTCATCCAAGAGGGGTGGGTGACAGTGACACTGGTTCCAAAAGATGCCGGGTTTTGTTCCCCATGTGGGGGATTTAGCTGTTATCCTCCCCAGCCAGTAGATTTATTGTCAATTCCAACAACAGCAGCACAGTCATGGAACCCTCAATTTCAGACCTAGTGAAGCTCCCACCGTCTACCTTGAAGACTCTACCTGCTGGCAAACCACCACCAGGCGTCATACCAAATCTCACTAATCCTCACAGTACCGGACCAATTTTGATCATCGTCGCAACCATTTTTCTCGCTCTTGCATTGGCTTTCTACATCAACCGGGTATATACAAAGGTATTTATCGTAAGGAGGCTGAACTGGGATGATCGTGCGTTATGGCATAAGTATATTTTATTTTGACATACTGACAGCTTTTGCAGTGACCATTACATTGGGTCTGGTGAGTACCCCTATCGTGATTCGACATGTTGCCCTCGTCTTAATCTTTACTAGATTGGAACGATCTCCATGTACGGTGGTGCCATACGAGGTGAGTCCTCTCGGGGCGTCAAGCATTTCTGGCCACCATTGAACTTTCGATCAGGCGTAACCAAGGGACCTGTGGGAAAACACCAATGGAACGTTTCATTTTGGGATCTACTGAACGACGACTATACCGTTGTACGATCCCCGTTTCCCCGTTTCCCCCATTCTCTCCTTTACTGATCATTGAAGCCGATATATCTGGCTATTGTACCGATGGGACCGAACTACCTCTTCATCAAACTCACCTTTTTCCTAATGTACCTCCAGATCTTCAAGATTCTCCGATGGATGAGGATATGCATTTACGTCGGAGCCGCCATACTATGTGCTTTTTACGGGGCAGCCACAGTTGTCTTCTGCGTCCTCACTATAGCCCGACCTGGTGAACTGTTCCTAGAACGGATTTCTGGTCCACCGGGCCGAAGAGCTACCCAATTTGGCATTCCTTTCTACTCCGTAGGGGTCGTAATCGATCTGTACATCCTCATCATCCCCATCATAGCCGTTTCGCAATTGCAGCTTCCCAAACGAAAGAAGATAGGCGTCTCATTGATCTTCATGACTGGTCTCTTGTAAGTTCATGAATCCTGCCCTCCTGTGCAGATGCTGAGATATTCAGCGCGTGCGTGACCGCAGCGATAAATGTTTACTACCGCGTTGTGGTCGTCCGATCACTCGATAGTACCTTCGTCCTCTTGCCCACCATTACTATGAGGTAAAAATATCTCTCTTAATAGTAATTCCCATTTAGTATACTAAATCATACCCAACAGCATCATCGAGCTATGTATCGGCATAATGTGCACGTGCATGCCATCATTTGCAAAAATGATGCACCACCATATCCCTCCCTGGGAAAACATGCGATCGTCGTTATACTCCCGACTCGGATACTCTTCGCGCAGCCATCGGGGTGAAAGCTACAAGAAAAGCGGAAACACGCACGATGACTGGGTGCGGGATTCTAGATCCTTCGACGGCTTTCATGGCGATGTCAAAGGCGGCGAGAATATTTCTTTGCCGTCGCTGGATATGGGTCATCCGCAGAAGGTACAGACCTTTATTGAGACGGGTCCGGAGCGGGATCATATTAGGGATGATCGGATTCATGTCGGGTACCAGATACAGCAGCAACAGCAGCGAGGGGTCTGAGATTGATTGTGTGATATGTGTGATGATGATTATTGACTTTTACCGAAGAAGGGTGATATCTATTCTGAATGGGTATGATCCATCAATCTCCCTTGTTCCAAAACAGAGCTTTCTGTCCTCATAGCATGACTCTACTAATAGAGAATTGACCGCATCGGAATACGCTATCTTGGTGGCTAGGCATGTGGGGTGTCTACAAGACAGCAGTATGAAAAGCAAGCATCGACTGCAAAGTTGAGGTCTTATAATACCGATGGCCTTGATGCGCGTCTCTACGAGCAACTTGTAGAACTAGAGCGCGAGAAAGAAGATACTGTCCGAGCCCCCAATGACCAGCAACCCGACGGAACGAGCGAAAACCAGGCCAAAATCTACCATACACGCGATGACACCCTCCCACACCCTTCCATCCAATACCTCAAAGCGTTGCAATGCCACCCTTTTCCTCTTCGCCGCTCCCTTTATCAATCTCAACCGGCTCTAATATCAAATACGCCCAAACCTCGACTCTGCCTGCCGGCCCAGCTCCCAATTTTACGACGGGCACATACCTGCAATGTTTCATCATCAGCGAGCTGCCTGCTTTCCACCGCAAAACACCCCTCTCAAATCACCAGCATCGCACATACCTATACGCATAGCTCGCTTGCTCATTCATCCAATTCTTAAACGTGTTGATCCCCGCGATCGCAATACCTACAGCAGCACATGATATGGTTAGCGCATGGACGTTCACCTGTGCTTTCAACATCCCAACCTGCTCTCCTTCCCTCCATCCATTCCCCATTCCCCATCATCCATTTCCCCCCTCAACTGCTCCTTACCTTCCACTCCTCCCCTCCCCACTCCGCCCCGGTCCCCCCCTTCCCCCCTCCCCACCCCACAAAACCCAATCACTCACAACAATCCACTCACTCACTCACCATAAGTAAAACACCCACCCCCCTTCGCAACAACAACTCTAAACCTCACATCCCCATAGACATCCCCCTCCCCCTGCCCATCCCCCCGAACCGGATCTTCAGGATTATGGTACAAGGGCCCAAACCGCCCCAGCCCTCTGTTCAGCGCGCCGAAGATGCTCGATTGTCCGCCGGCGGGGTATACGGCGGCGCGGGGCATTAGGAGGGATAGCGGCGTGGAGGGGATGGGTATTGTGCTGGTGGGATGGTTATTGAGGGGGGTATGGAAAGGGGGGAAGGGGAGGGAGGGGGAGGGGGAGGGAGCTCACGGTCCACTGGAGTCATGGGGTAAAAAGGAGGGGAGGGGGAGGGGGAGGGGGAGGAGGAGGATGGTTTCGTTTGAGGGTAGAGTCTCGCAGGTTTGGATATCTGCGGCAGTCTGGGCGGGTGAGAGGGGCTGGGGATGAGGATGGGGAAGGGAAAGGGAAGGGACGGTGCTGATGAGGATGCTGGAGATGAGCGCGAGGAGAGGGATGAGCGGGGTCGTGAGGAGGTGAGGCATGTTTGGGGGGTATGGTGCTTTATGGATCGATGGGCGAGTGGATTGGGTGGGGCCGATCTCCGGCTCGTGTTGATGAGGATGGGATCGTTGTGTATAAAGTTGGACTCTGCGGCGATAGTGATGATCTGTAGTGAGATACGTGTAAAGGATGTGGAGAATTGGGAGGTGGAGATGAGTGCAGTTTACTCGTGGGCAGCGGGGGTCAAGACGTGCATGCTGTGATGCGCATGTGGATTTGAGACAGAGCGCAGCTGTATATTAGGCAACGGGTATGTAGGGAGTGTCTTAGGTCTTGCGCTTTTTGAGACTTCACGTGTATTAATAGGTGGCTGGTCTAAGCTGATGCTGCTCATTCTTGATCATTGATGAAGTGCACTTTGGTGATTGAGTAGGATGATGAGGCCTCGAGAACTCGTGTAAAGGAGAGGAAAACCCACGTCAAAGGTGCCGATTGAGGCCTTCTGTGCGTGGGCGATTTAAGACTAGAGTGCATATTATATGAGAACGCCCTCAAAGCTTCGCTCTGTTGAGGTAAACTGTGGCATACAAAAATACTTAAGCAGTAGGAAGTGAGCGACGGGAACTGAGGAGGTGGCTATGATTGATGGTGCTAATACTAGGCTCATCAAGGGTTCAATTCTTTCGTATCTATGAAATGTGCTCCAACGATCCTTCGAGTGTAGAATTAATATGTCGTTCACCTTGCTATCAATGCTTCCAACGCCGAGGCTAATCCTTTCAATCCTGGGTCAACGCAATGAACTTCGCATACTGCCACTGGATTTAGATGAACGCGCTATATACCCCTAATTGAAGGGCTCTTTATAGCTCCAACCTGATCTGAAGGATTGAAGAGGTCTGCTTGCAGTTCTATCGCCTGCGTGCTAAGTAAAGCAAAAGCTCCTGAGAACTTTAGGCGTCGGGTTATCGCTCGTCGTGTGATCCGTGTATCGTTATCGTCGATGACGACTATTGGAACATTCAGTGTAGATCAGCAGAGATGTGTTTATAACAAGCAACACTTACCACATGGTCAAATGAAGTCGACAGCCCGGTACCACTGCTTTCGTCCACCTCCTTTACCTCCTCGCCTCTTGGCGTTGGATTGAAATGCTCCCGTCGCAGATGAGCCGCAGCGTTATAGTACGCATTGTATTCTTGGCGATGTCTGTCCAGACTGTCAGCCGAGGAGTCATATGTCGGGTCATCAATCCATAGCCAAACTTGTCCAGAGCAATGCTCTTTGTCTCTTCTCTTTTGCAAGTAATCAAGGAATAGGCTGCGCCTATCGTACTTTATTCTGTGGCCATACGTCTCAATTGCCCGTAGTACAATTCGATTGGGGGTTGCAGCGAATCCGTCAAAGCGTCCATCACCGAAAGGGATTAAATATTCCTTACGAGAGGCAGTGGTCCTATGGCCCTGTGGCAAGTCAACCTTCGTTGAAAGCATGTTCCAGGTCCAGTATCTCCTGGAAAGTTGGCCTGAACCTAGATGACGTGGACTTTCCTGAGAAAAGTGTGCAAGGCTATGGGCAATCCAATCAGCCTTTCTGTCGAACTTATTTTGTCTTTCGCATCCAATAAGTCCGAAAGGACACAACAGATATGATGCGCGCAGGGAGGAACCTGAGCCGAGTACTTGTCCCCTTACATTCACTGACAAGCGTGAGTCCCAATTAGTAACAAGATCCTCTCTCCTTCTCCTCCTCTTAACGAGGAGATCGCTAAAGCTGCAAGCATACTCTTCTATTGCCAGGTAAAGACTCAAGATATCTTGTCGAGTGCGATCAGCACTTCCTGGGTGTGGAGTGAGCATATCATCTTGCTGTGTCATCCATTTTGGAGACATGCCGAAGAAGAGGGGGTCAAAAGAATCAATCCCGTTACCAGAATTACCAAATTGTGCCATGGAGAACCTCGTCAGGCCAGAAGAGCCAGGTCGTAGGACTTTGTCACGGTTTGACTCCATCAGATTCCAAAATATCTCAGGAGATGCCTTGGGTATGCTCGCAATCCAGCCACGAGAGTATTCTGATTGAGCCCTGTTGCCATGAGTTTTGTTGTCCCGAGTCAAGAGCTTCATTGACCGTCGCAACCGGGATTCCTGGAATTGGACCAAATCTGTAGCAGCCCGTACAAGCTTCAGAGTAGCAAGTGTTGCTCCGTAGACTTCTAACACCCTGGCCGAAACAGATCTTGAACTCAGCAGTGCTTCACATGGTGTCGAGGAGGATGCTAAATTCTTTGATTTGGTTGTATCTTTTGAATCGATTCTTTTTCTAGATAGTTGACGGCATAGCTGCGCTGAGGTTGGCCGATCTAATATCTTTTCATCAAGCATTGTCTCACAAAGCTTGAGGACTTTATGAATGCCGACATCTGTCGTAGACTGGAGAACTTGCCGCGATAGAGCCTTCCAATTATTGTTGTAGGATGGCCAGCTTTCCTTCAACAGATTTTGGCAGGGTCGCCAGCGTGATAGAATCTGAGGTCCGCAGAACCATGCCATAATCTCTAGATACACGCAACCAAGAGAATAGACATCTGATGGAGTCCCACGGGCACCTGAAATGGTGGCTTCTGGTGCGGCATACTTTGGAGTGAAATCGTTGCATCCATTTGACGACACATTGTTTGCCAAAAGCGTAGAGGAACCGAAGTCAGAAAGCAGGATATTGTCCCCTTTGATCAAGACATTGCTGGGTTTAATATCACCGTGCACGATGCTTGAGCAGTGGATGTAAGCAAGTCCTTTGGCCAAGCTGGTGAACCAGCCCCAGAAGACATCACGCTTCGGTGGATCTTTTATGCAGCCATCCAAGAGTTGGGATAGATCATAGTCGGCAGCTGGTGTCATAAGGATTGAGAATGAATTTTGATATCTGATGCAATTCATAAGCTCAACCACATGTGGATGCCGCACGCCACGCATGATCTCTGCTTCTTGGGCTAGAGCTTGATGATGCCTTAGGCTGTTGACGCGAGCGATTTTAAGCGCAGCAACACGTCCGGACTTTCGCAGGTAGACTTTATTGATTATGGATTTTCTACTCGAGCCAATGCAAGCCAGAATCTCATATTCTATGTTCGCGGGCTGGGTGTTGAGAGAAATACCCTGGCTAGAGGTCGCTGCATGTGTCTTCTTGGGGTGACTGTCAGCGGACGAGTTTGGATGATAACCTTCAACTGCATGAGATGACCAGCCATTGCCATAAGAACCATGGCTTTGTGAATACCATTGTGGCCCAAATCGCGTGGAGTCTTGATGGCCTTCGTCTTGATTGCTTGAGCCAGGTGGCTGATAGCCATTGCTGTAGCTCCCGCCTGTGGGACCCGAGGCACCGTTCTCATTGTTATCATCATCCTCATCGCTGCTGGAACCGTCAGAGTCATGTTCATGATTGCCATCTTCATCTTCGGAGTCATCCCCCTCTGGTGAAGCGAGTCCTTCATCGTCGTCTTGGTCTGCAGCCGGTCTCCAATCTGCAGCGGTCCACGGACCCTGCATATGTTTCGCGATATGGTTGATTCTTGCATTCCAGCCAGAGAACTTTTCATTGCATCCGCTAATGATGCAACGCTTGTCGAAGTTCGACTCGATGGGAAAAATGCACCTCCGCATGTTCTGATGCGAAGGTCGGGTATCTGGATGTTCATCTCGCAAGTGCTTCCGGAAACGGTCTTGCCGGGAATACAAGCGCTTCTTCTCAGGCTTATACTGACAGTGACCGTACTGACATATCCAGAGCTTCTGTAAGCGATTAATTTCTTCGTGTCTTTTCCATGCGTCCTTTTTCCGAAACGTTTTACCGCATCGAGAGGTACAGGCGTAAGGTCGTTCCGGGTCCCTCTCTACAACGACGCAATTGTTGCCCTTTCCTGCCGATTTCATTACTTTGCGATTGCACTTCCCACGGTTCTTCCTATATCGAGCTGCAACATCTGAATCCTCCATGGTACTCGTCAAGGATTGATAACCAGAATCTTGGGTACTGCAAGTAGTTTCAAAGTTCAGACCAAACCAATCCTCGACTGTTTTGGCGGAGCTACTAAACGCATGACTGATGCAGGATATGATATGATTAGAGGGTTTGACTCCTGGGTTGTTCAGCTGCCATAGGTTGCACGCATTCCTCGTCAGATCTTCCGAACCGCGATTGTTTTCGATTCCGTTGAGATTATGATGGTTGTCACATACCACTACGTTCGCACTGAACCATCGATGAAGCATCTTAAAGTCGGATTGAAACGCGTGGCAAAGGCATGAGATCGTATGCTCTGAAGGTACGGTTCCGGGGTGTTTGACAATCCAAAGCGCACAAGCCAAGATCGCGTTTACATTGATGGTCTCAACCTCGTTGCGCTTCTGATATGAAGGTGTCGGGGCTTCATGAGGAGTGGCAATGTGACGATGGGTGTGTGCTTCCACAACCTTACGCTTCTTCGATAGCTGCGCCCGCTCTCCCTCTTTACCTAGTGTATATGAGATTGTAGAGAGGGTGTCAAAATCTAAAGCCACCTGATCCCCCATTGAAATCAGCTCTGTGTTGGAGGATGGCAATAGCTGAGATCCTTGCGAGGGCCACGCTTGCGAAGGCAATGACTGGGTAAAAGCATATGAGGTCTGAGAAGACGGATCACAGCGCCCGCCTGGAGGTATCGTCTTTGATTTTGAAACAGAATGACCGTCGAATGACCCTTCGAAGCTGCTTTCTGCCCCAAACTTTACTACGTTTTCTATTGATGTGAAGTCATTGGGATAAGGCATCACTTCTTCGCTTGTGATATCTTGGGCCGCGCTTTGAAGTAACGATCTATCTGCATCGTTTGGTTGTATGCTGCCAGCGTCATTGAAGGCAATGGGGTATGGAGCAGTGGGTGCAAATGGATAGCCCGGGCCATTGCCGTCCATGACTTGCAAAGACTGCAAGCCTTCCGCAAAAAGTTCCTGTTGATTGAGGTCCATTGTTCGGTCTTCGAAGCTGCCGAAATCTAGTCCGCTCATGGTGAATGTCAGCTCCTGCGTTGTGGGCAGCGTAGGGTCTTAATAAATTTTGAGCCCGGAATGTGGGTCCGTCAGGCTTCAGCCTTATTGCAAGTTGTGTTAATGCTTTTGTTCTTGAAGTTGACTTCGACAATTCACCTTGCGACGAGCTGAACGATGCAGAGGCTCTCATTCGACGCCACGCACCTATATTCTCAATCGTCGTCGTGAGAAAGAAGTACGACGGAGAGTTGTAAAAGAAAAGATCCTGGGTTGGAGAGGTCAAGCCCAAGTTTCATGCAGGGTCGCAGATCGCTTCGATGACTAGGACCTTAGCGCGGGCTGTGAGCCCAGAGGTCCAGCCTTCTGCCTCCGTTGACGGGCAGACTGCCTCTTACATACGGTGGTCTAGTAGATACCCCTCGCATTATCCTTGACTCTTTTTATTCGGTTGGTGGGACGTTCATGTGTAGAGCAAGATAGTCGCAACCCTGTCAAGGGTTCCAGGAGAGTACTAGACGAAGTCAATTGCTCAGTCTGGAAGACGGTTCTGACCTTGTTCCATGTAGGTTAGCGTTCGACCCGTTGTCAGCCATTTCATGCTGCTTCTGCCTGCCTGCCTTAGGCAGCGCCCATCTTCGTCCCATAGTGCTGGCTCATTTGCTCCTGAACAATTTGTTCGAGTGTTGATGAGGGTTTTGTGCCCGCCAAACCAAGTTCGCAATGATAAAATTCATTTGCATCGCAAATTCTGGAGGCGGACAGACGCATAGGTTCTGGAAATTCGCCTTCGAGGTGCACCAAATTCCGAAGTAAAGATGCCATGTTCCTGCCGAGGAGTCCTTGCTTGGGCTTCACTCTTGTCTATGGTGGACACTAGAGTACGGAGAAACCTGAAATCTTCGGACTGTGCTCTTGAGAGAGGCCTATTGCACTTCAAGTGGATATAGAGCATCCTGAAACATATAGTAGTACGCGATCGCATGCCAGTGACAAAAAGCAATGAAGGTTAGTGGAATGGTCATCAAATGTTGAGAAATGCACACTAAACTGCACACAGGAGCAACATGTACGACTCAAAAAGACTCACGAGGAGATCAAGTCATCTTCGCAGCCATCTGAGATGCTTCAAAGATTCGTATTGGAACAGCCAAGGGAAATGCCATTTGACGGGTTGACACCGCGCAAAAATGACAAGTCAGCATCACCAATTGCCTCTAGAGAGCCAAGATCACGCCTTTGACACGTGTTTTATGGTACATGGAGTCTGTATTGAAGACTTTACGCTCGCTACTGGCGCGTCGAACTCTGGCAGCGTGATAGAGCTTTCAGCTTTTTTGGCTCGTTGTCCTGCGGCTTGACGTGACAGTATGCAATTTTGGGGTGACAAACCATGATCATGAGCTCTCCACTCGTTGGACTGACTGATATGCTGCATGTTCACGGCATGTCAAAAGAATGGATGATACCACACTAGTGGGTAATTAACGGTAGATGACGTAATGCCAAATTTGGCATCTGCTCTCCAGTCTCATAATTGCTTCATATCTTGACCAGAGGTGTTGCTTGTAGGCGGGTCTTGATGAGCCATGTTCGACTCCTTACTGTTGATATCACTTAGGCTGCTTATGTCGTGGCCATTGCGCGCAGGAGGATAGAGATTATCGCTTCTAATATGCGTCATTTGAGCTGCTCAACTACTGTCGTTGCGCCTGAGGAGGTGTTCTAGGAGAACATATTAGCATGGATCTCGATGATGTTCATCTTCACCTTCAGTAAGACTAGATTATGTCCACATTGCCGTTCGCACCGTGGAGCTCAAGCCACCTGGCGCAAGCTTGCGGCAAAATACTTCCGACATGAGCTTTCATGGATCCAGTGATAGAAATTGCCGACATCAGGGACCGATCATCCTTTGACACGGTCTTTCGGTCCCCAGTGCGAAGGCTCAATCTCATTTCGCCCTCACTGAATAGTATACGTGGCATGCGATGACCGCGCGGACTTCCATCTTGTATCATCAAGTTTGGCTTTTTGAATTGGTACAGCGACTCAATTCATCGAGTAAAGAGCGTTTCATACATCTGGGCTGGACTAATGGCTTGGAGCGTCTAGCCTTACACAAAGCGCCTGAAGCCCTTTAGCACGGTCCCTAAGCTCCGCATGTATCAGTCTGATCGCACTCTTTCGACGGTTAGCACAAAGCTTGGCTGTCTTACTTGAAGAGCTTTAATGTCCGTTCATCTTCGTGATCTTAAAAATCGTCTCCTTGCCTCAATTCAAGGCAGCAGTCAAGAGCACCAACATGGACCCAATATCATTCGTACCCTTCGTTTTGACCCTCATCAACAATATCCGAGAAGATCTGTGCCGGCATCACTGATATTGCGTTGCGATACAAGAGTGCTGCTACTGTGCTGAACACCACCCAAACAGAGATCGAGACCTTGTTGGAAGCTCTCAATGGTCTTTCAACGCTCTGCAGTGAATCGGGTGGAGATAGTGCCTCGAATAGTTCTTTTGCACCGGAGGTAATTACAGCCTTCGAAAATGCTCTAATGAGCTGTATGACCGTCGTCTCAAGCATTGACCGTGAAATCGCCAAGCTTGGACGAGCCCAATCATACAATTGGGCTATCAATTTGAGATTCGTGTGGGTCGAGGGTTCTATGAAAAGGCTGGTCAGCCAGCTGCGCGGCCAGCGAGACGGCATCAATCTACTGATACAGGGAGTACAAGTGTTCGCTGCAGCCTCGTTGTCTTGTTTCGGTATACTAATTATCGCAGTGAAGATCTGAGGACTATCAAACGTTCTCAAAAGAAGACTCTAAGTCTTCTTCACAAGAAATTCAGTACTTCGTTCTTGCCAGCACAGTGCCCTGCTTCTCCACGAAGGTCTGCCCTTCCTGGTGTCAGATTCCATTCGCCTACATACGTGCAGAGCGAAAGTGAACAAGAGCCTCCCCTTAGCGAAAACGACGATATTGAAGCCACATTGGATTCACACACTGAGACTTCATTGAATAGGCCATCGTCAACAAGCCTTTCCACGCCAAGCAGTTGTCCTGAGGTCCCTGCTGATGACCATACGGCAATATCACCCTGCAGTCTTCCGAGTAGCTGTGATTCCACTGGATTTTTTGCTTCGCAGCCGTCTGATTCACAGAACGATGATCGCGAAGTCAAAATGCCCCCAGATTCAGACGCAATGCCATGCGGATTTCAGCTCCTACGACTGCATTCCCACGCGGACTACCTACGGCGAACAATGTCAACGACTGGCATGCCCGGAGCTTACAAGGCTGCGTGGGACGATATCGACGCAATGATGGTTTCTTACTACGACTCGGCGCCGCAATGAAAGACTTACATCGTCAACTTCTAGTTGAAACAAAACACCATCCATGCCCTCTGCCGCGAAACCACACTGTGATGCCACCCTGAATTGACACTCTGACTTTCTATTCGACCTTCAACAAGTCATGACTAGGTGTGTAGTCTGCTTAGATCTGTATTTCTCTCTTGATGTCACGCATATGGATATCGCGCATTAGCAGACAGCTGATGCAAGACACCACGCGAAAGAGGCTAACAGTGCAAGCAACACCGCGAATGCCACGTCGCCAAATACTCACCGCAACGGTCTGAAACCATCTCGCGCCTTATGTTAGTCGTCATAAGCCAAGCATACCGTACCTCTTGCCGCAGGACTTGCGGCCATAGAGACGAGTCAAGCATGCATTGGGGCACCAATTCAAATTTATCGGACGCGTATGACTTGCAGAAGATTATACAGATGAAATTGCAGACTATCGATGAAGTTGTATTACTTTTGAGAGACCCATGGCATCATCGTCTCGCTCGTATTCTGCCTTAACAACACGCTTCATATATTACATCCGTCATTTCTACTGTCATTTCCGCCCATATCAACCGTATTAGATGATTGCCTCAGCAATAAATGTCTGCAGCATGCCTCGAGTCCGTCATTGCTACCACTTATCACCTCATGCATTCTTCCCAGGCTCCGGCTTAATAACACTATCATAATATCCTCGCCTAGAGAACGCGCTCGTGATATCACCGAACAGGAGCTTCATATTATCCCATTTCGCCTTTCCGACAGCCAATTCCGATTTCGTGACCTTGAGATCCGCCTGCACATGAACATGCCCATCCCTTTCCGTCCGGAGCTCCATTTTCACGGCCTGGAGATCCACTCCCAATCGTATATGAGCTTCTCTCTCTGTCCGCACCTCTGCCTTCGCAGCCTGCAGTTCATCCCGCACTTGAACATTCGCTTCCTTCTCAGCCTGAAGTTCCGCCTCGAGGGCACTGTACCTGCCTTGCTCAACAGCCCGGCTTCCGCTCTCCACCCCTCTCCCCGCTTCAAATTCACTTCGAAGCCTCCCGATCTGGCCATGAAGATCTTCATTTTTCGCGTCCGCCGCACGCAGGTCCGTACGCACCTGACACCAAGCATTGAACGCCGAATCGTGGCTGATCTCCCACTTGAAAGCCGCCATGTCTTTTCTGTGCTCGTCTCGGCTTCGCACGCACAGCTCGTCGTAAGCTTGTCGCGCATCGTAAGATAGCTGGTTGATGTCCCCCATTGTGCCGTTCGCGCGGCTCGTATTGAAGAAGTCTGTCAGCTCTTTGGGATGGGTCCCTTTGGCTGCGAAACCCCGTTCTTCGTATTTGCTCATTTGGAGGAGGCCCTGGTCGCATTTCATTCCTACGGCTTCTTTCTCGCTTACTGGTAAGGATATCAGTATGTGCTGAATTCAGGGGAAGTGGGGTGGGGGAAGGGGGGGAGAGGGTTCGTACGTGCTTCCTTGGTGGCGTAGTATAAATCTACTTTTTGCTTCCATGTGCGTGGCCACGATCCATTACCGCCGAGAGTCTGCGGTGCGATGGAGGAGGTTGCCTGAGGCGGGAGGGTAGGTATGTTACGCTTTGGTGGAAGTTCTGAATCTCCATCATGTTCAAGTGGTCGTTTCATTGTTTCAGGGATATGGGTCAGACTTCTAGGCGATATTCTTAATCAAGTGGTAAGGCGAATATGTGGAGAGGAGGTCATGTGGGAGCCGAGAGGAAGAGGGGATCTGAGGATGGAGGAGAGAATAAAAGACTTGAGAGTACACGAACAAGTGACCATGTTTTGTAGGCAAACCCCCAACACTGTGAACATGACACTCGTATCCCTGATAGAGCAGCTCCTGTACTTCGGTGTGCACAGGTGACGTGCCTTTGTGAATGCAACTGTTGTATTAGGAGACGGAATGATGACACTTGTCTTCTGCTTGGTGTCACCAGGAGCCTGGGTGTGTCGGGGTTATTCGAGAATATGGTAAGAATAGTATCAAGACACTCGTGATCGTTGCTAGGGTCAATAAAAGCATAGGTTGCGAAGTAGTGTCGCAAAGAATAATCACCACGATGGTAGCAGAATGGGCAGTTCGAAAGACCTCAGGCAGTTTGGGAAGCCTCAGGAAGTTCCAGTATGTGGTGGGATACTTTATTGATATCGAAGACTATCAATGAAGCTATAATCTCCTTTGAAAGACCCATGCTATCCTCAGTTCATTCATACCCTGCCGGAGGAACACGCTTGATGCTGCAGATATGATATTTGAATTTGTCCTTGCAACCTCTCGCGCCAAATCCGCTCATATCATCCTTCTTACGTATGACTTCCCTGTGCGGGTTCGAGTAGCACGCCTGAAGCCTATCATTGCCATCACGCCTCACCTCATGCATCATTGTCAGGCTCCGTCTTGACGATCTCGCCGTGTTTTGCAAATGCAGTACCAACATCATTCAACAAACCGTTGAAATTCTCACACTCCCCCCTGAGCTTCTCACACTCCTCCCTCAGCGCACGATTCTCGGTAGCGTGTGCCTCTTGCAGCTGATCCTTCTCTGCCCGAAAGTCTTCCCGCATCTGATCTTTCTCTGCCTGAAAGTCTTCCCGCATCTGATCCTTCTCTGCTTGAAAATCTCTCCGCATCTGATCCTTCTCTGCCCGAAAGTCTTTCCGCATCTGATCGCGAGCAGCCTTCTCCACCTCTAATTCTGCCTTCGTCTCCGCAAGCAACAGATTCTTTGACGCGAGCGACGTGTTTACCGCTTTCATGTCCTGGTCCAGCCTCTTGACGATAACTTGCGTGCTATCATTCGCTACCTCCTGTGCTCGGAGCCTGTCCATCGCCTCGCACCAGGCACCAAAGGCTCGGTCGTTATCAATTTCCTTTTCGTACGCTCGAACATCTTTGAACCAGTCCTCACGATGCTTGATATTGAAGTCTTCGTTGGTCTTCTGTGCCTCTTTGGAGAGAGCCTTTTTATCTCCCATGACCCCGCTGGAGCAGCCTGTCCTATAGAACTTATAAAGTTCATCGTACGTATCAACCGAAAGGACGCATTCGTCAAGCGCTTTCAGCTGTTTCAAGCCGTTCCTGCACTTCCGTTCGACGTCTTCCCTCCCCGATACTGAAGCAGTCAGTATTGGCTCAACGAGGGGAATTAGAGTGTTGTCTCCTACAAGCCTGCTTCACGGCATTATAAAGCTCGACTTTATCTACCCAGGTTCTACGTATCAAAGGCTCATTGTCTCGAATTTGACGTTTTGTTCGTGATGTATGGTTGTCTTGATGCAATTTGCGTTTCATTTTGGAATCGATACTCTGGGAGTGTGTATTCAGGAATATGATTATGTATGCAGTGCTAGTAAAAAGTTGTATGCAGGAGTAGATCTATGCTGAGAGTGAGGAGAGATGGTGACAGAATGAGGCTCGAGTACTGTAGGAAGGTGGGAAAAGATAAGCAAAAGCCCACTTCTTGGTGGCAACGCCTTCCGGCACTCCGATGATGGGAATTCCATGGCTGAAACAGCAGCTGCTATCATCGGCAACGAACGAGTGCCGTGGGACCTCCTCATTTTGAAGTGTTATGGCCGTATCAGGAAATAAAATGACGATGATCTCGATGGAGGTACTGCAGCTTTACACGCGAAATGAACCGACTTTACACACGAGACATACTTTTGGTGGCGACTGGGCTAGCGGCGAGGGCTTGCCCGATTGGGAAGTAGCCGACAAGCCTGACACTCTCAGTATTAGTCATGCGTGCCCCACACCCACGGGTACTTAAGAACCCTCCCCTCCTCTGTCCTCCATCTTTCTTTCATCCTCCTCACGTCCTCCTCCTCCATTCTCTTCCTGACTCACTCTCTCATTCTTCTTCACCATCTCTCACCACTTCCCCACATCATCACGATCGCTCGCAACCTCCCACATCATCGCGATCTCTCACCAAACCCCCCACTCGTGAGTTCTGTCATGCTTTGGCTGACACTGATCTCACGAACTCAAGACCTTACGACCTCACCACTTCACGATCGACCGACCGACCGACACCTCCGACCGTGGACTCTAGGGTTGAATTCCCTGACGACTGTGGGTTGAATCCCCCGAAGGGTTGAATCCCCTGACGACTGTGGGTTGAATCCCCCGAAGGGTTGAATCCCCTGACGACTGTGGGTTGAATCCCCCGAAGGGTTGAATCCCCTGACGACCATAGGGTTGAACTCCCTCGACTTACACTTCACCATCGACCGACCACCGCCCGACCGACCGGCCCCCCGACCGTGGACTCTAGGGTTGAATCCCCTGACGACTGAGGGTTGAACTCCCCGAAGGGTTGAATTCCCTGACGACTATGGGTTGAACTCCCCGAAGGGTTGAATCCCCTGACGACTATAGGGTTGAACTCCCTCGACTTTATTTATAACCCACTCTAAAGATGCGAAATCCTTCGGGAGGGCGGGGAGCTCATCAAGTGGGTGCTCCCTGTCCCCATCGTTGTACCACCTTCATGGGGTAGAACGGAGGGGAATTCTAACAATGACTTTCAAGTCAGGGACTCGCGCTGCGGCTGGGCTCAGTAGACATTAAATACTCTGTAGATGGGGCCCAGCTACTCGTAGGATTTAGAACGCGAGCCTTGCATTCTTGCGACGAAACTTAGTCTTTGTTCATTTTGAACGATGAGCATACCCATGACACCTTCAGGGTGCCAACAACCAGATCCAGAATTGCGCTTTCCATCGCACTCTCCATTACAGGATTTATCGTTGCATCATTCTTCAAGAGGAGCACTACCCCTTGCTCGCTCTCCTCCTTCAGCTTTAACATCATCAAACAACCTATGGAGTGACCCGCACATGAGCGTCATGATCAGATGACGCCATATGAGATTCAATGTTTGCCTACAGCCCCCCAGCAGCAAGTTTCCTGCTTCGCACTGGATACCGAAAACCTCTTAGGAAAAAGCTCACACCGAGAACAAGCAGCAGCAAAGGCACCGATACTGCGAAATACAGCCAAAATCGGCCACCCCAAGGTGCCACATCATCAGCCATGCTAAACAGAGTCGCGACGAAAGAAAGCGGAATGAACACAAATGCCAGGTATGTCAGTTGCTTGACATGTGACGCTTCTTCCATAGAGCGTCGCATGTCAACCAACTGGAACATCGACGTAGCCACCGGGATCATTGTCTCCAAGGAGCGACCGTGTTCCTTGATAGCATGCGAGATGGCTGCAACGTCTTTGAGCAGCCATGCGCCCGGAACAGGATCCGATTCTTTGGCGTTCCAATACTCCACATACGACTGTATGACTGATAATTTGGTCAAAGACTGAAAAACTCGACGTCGCCAAGTCTGAAGCTCATTGAGATCACCTTCTCGAAACGAACTGCGCAGGTCACTCAGGGAGTACTCGTAATGTTTGGTGTAACGGCTCATGGTGAGTGCGTAAATCATCCAGGTGCTCAGGACGTGTTTGATTGGATGGTGGCAGAGTGACATGATGCTGGGACGACTGCTGATGAAGCCAGGTCCTCGCATGCCAGAAGCCACGAGGTCATCAAACAACCCCCAAACTCGAGATCCGCTGCTTAACATAAATCGATGCGAACCTCTCAAGTCCAGAGTCAATGGGACCGGACTGTGAAGTGGTTTCTGGATGACAGAAATCCGTTCGGGGAGGATGGAAGGGACTTTTGGTACGATATCTGCAGAGGTGTCATCCACGAGTACTAAGCCTGGAACTCGTCGTCGTCAGCTATGTGTATAGCGCAATGAGACCTTTTGAACATACAAATCCAGAATCCCGATTCAAAGACTTTACGAATGAGTGAGCAGCAGCTTCGGACCAAGGCGACGTTGGTATCTCCAATCGTTGACAAGCGCCTTACAGCTCGAACCACATTGCCATTCGTGACAAGAATCACATGTTTTGGGATCACGGCATTCGTTGTCAGCCGTGTGGGTCGCTGGTGATGAAGATGGAGGGATTCTTGAGAAGCAGATTCTGAGGGCAGAGTAGTCGCCCATAGAGGTAGAGCATGGTGTTCTAGATTCCTGAAGTCTGTACCAAGATAACCTGCGAAGAACACGGGATCGATGTCAAGAGCCTCGCCGAGCATCTCAACCTGACTTGGTTCGATGTCCTCAACAACAATGACGCAGCCTTGTCGACCATTCTGAGTATTGCGAAGCTCCACTCTGATGCCGGCAAGAACGTCTTGCAGGTTGGGTACTTCAGATGATCGGTGAACTTCATCGGCGTTTTCGAAATACTCAAGAAGTCGTATTCTTGACCGATTAGATTTCGTGTTCCACCTAGGTGATGAGAGGAACTGCCAGAGAACCTTCAAGCTGGAATAGATCTCGCTTTGAGCCTTCGCTGCTGCAGCGTAAGAAGCCATACTCGGTGTGCTAAGGGGCCTACGTAATAGTTCATCCAGCATAGAGTCCGGGTCAGAATGTTACGCCGCGCGATCTCTCATTCCCTTGAGCGAAAAGACTTGGTTAACTCTAAGCACAGTAAGGCTGAGTCTACCCCACCTTCTACTCTCTTCTCTTGCATAACCCTTAGTCTATATCAGGCTAGCATTTGTTGGAGCTGACCACCTACGACATGCTCTGCTAAATAGCCAGCGCCCTTCCATCTTCGTTTTTCGACGCAGTCATATTCTTGATGCTGTTGAGCTACGCCTGTCATTGTGTTTTATCATTTCGACTGTATGGATTCTACTTCACAATCTTCTCTCTTTAGAACCGCTACCAGCAAAATGGCAAGTAACAAGCCAGAGGTCGACGCGGAAATCGTGGAATTCGTTCGATCCTGGCCTAACAAATTGCCACATTACGTGGCTCTTGCCACTTTCGTCGAAATGAAGCTTCATGATCTCGTGGAGAAAAGTAATATTCGCTGTAGATTCGACGCACGCGCCAAGGAGAGGGATACTATGAAACAATCGATTCATCGTAGACAGGCCAAAAGGCAGAAAAGTCTGGGTGTTGACAAAGGCAAGTTCAAAGATGGGAACGAAATCCGTGACGCAATGCATGATCTCGCAGGAGTCCGTATCCGTTTATACTTCCCTAGCGACGCCGAAAATGCTCAGGAAATGATAATGGAAGCCTTCAATCCTCGAACAGAGTTCTGGAAGGATAATGTCAATATCTTCTCGGGCCTTAAGCGCGACAAGCAGAGAAATGTATCATCGGAAGATTGGACCAACAGCCGTTCAGCCGGAGATGATGAGGACCGCATGGAGTACGGAGACAGAGACGAGTGGCCACTCGGACTCAAGGCACGGCATTATAGATGCCGTCTGAATGAAGCCGATATTATGGCCTTCGGCCAAAGGTACAGTGCGAATGAAGAAGGAAGCCATGCTATCGAGATCCCAGAAGAAGGCTATGCGTTCGAAATTCAGGTGGCCTCACTGATTATGTATGCTTGGGCTGATGTTTATCATGATGTGTTCTATAAGCCTTACTATGGGGAAACGACTGAGGACGAGCGCACGTTCATGGAGATTGTGAATGGCTTAGCGCACACTGGAGAGCTGGCACTGGGACAACTCCAGACTTCGTTGCTGCTCAGACAGGAGATAGATAATGCGTCATTTAAAGAGAGATGGGCTCTTGGAGATTGGTTGAGACGAACCTTAGGGTACAGCGCTGAGATTGAAGGTCTGGGCCTACTCTTTGTCTTGCTTGATACTCTCAGCGTCAACACCCCTGCGAAGCTCCGGCCATTCATCTCAAAAATCAAGATCGATATAGTTCAGTCTAATAGTCACAGCAAGCCGCGTGCTTGGGAAGACTCCCTCAGTGGAATGAGCGAGACCTGCCTTTTGCAAGCTCCTGTAGTGGCGAATATCATTTACCTCATCTTGAATTCAAGGCCCCGAATACTAGTAGCGGACAAGATTTGCGATAGGATGGTAATAGGCATGGCTTATTATGCCTTCTACGGCTTGACAGAAGGATGCTATCCCTTGAAAGAGGAATCTACGATAGAACTAATGCTGACTGATGACGAATCCAACCGAGCGAAGGATAAGTGGCCAGATGCACACAGGCTGCTGGAGAGATGGTACAGGATAGAATTTCCGAGAAGATTACAACCAATCCCCACCGGAACATTCGATCTCGCCCTCAGGCTAGCCAGTAATGGCGTTGTATTTAGTCCACGGTCCACCTCTTTGACCGGTAAGTGGGTCTGCCGGACGGACAAATTAACGGAGGCTAGATCGAAGGATCACGCAGCCATGGCAACAGAGGCTCAAGCAGAGAAAGTCTTCATGCACGAGATGTACAAAGGCTTTGGTAATCTTCTAGAGAAGTCTGGGCATTATTACAGGGTTTCTTGGTACAACATCAATTGGACAGAGATGTGGGCTTTGAATGAGAGGAAAAACTTTTTTCGACCAGGGTTCTTTGACTCTTTACCCGAGGAACGATATCCCTTATATGGCTCTGTCGATTCATGGCTCAAGTAGAGGGACCTGGACAAGGAGATCTGCTAATTTACGGATTAAGAGACGTTTCTGAACTTGACCAAGTCTATACTTTTCTTGCCGTTACCACTGTACATTATGACATTACACAAAGCGACGCAAACCAAATGCTCCAGCCCCATGAATGTCTGTTCAGCTCGAAACAAATGTGAGTCGCAAGAGCGTTTATTGAGCAAAATACGCCGGCAAAGAACTCGACAAGATGTATATCGCATCCAGAAGCAACGCACTGCAAGACAACCATCAACTCAACTCGCAAGCGCTCACAATTCTCTGTCCCGAGCACGATCAAAACCCAAGCACCAAGCTCACAGCCCTTCCCTCTCTTCTACAGTCTCAGCGTAGCTCCACGAATGATCCCCCTAACACCATGACCGTCCTCAGAGAGTCACTCCGCTGGCACACTTCCGGAGTCTCTGGCACAGGCAAGTCCTGCACACAAAAAAAACTCCATCTTGCAGCTTCAACCGAGCTTCTGGGGAGATACACGTGATGCCCTCGCGCAGAATGTTCATGTTTTTGTGCCCTACTAGTCATGAACAGTAAGCGCCGAATTAAAACTCTATTATCCTTCTCGATTTTCAATGGGTCTGCGGAAAAGATGCTTGGGGGAGAAAGAAAGTGGCAAAGCGTGCGTCATTCAATACTTATATGTGGCTTTGGGTTCGGAGACTTCTATATATAAATCTCATATACATTCCACCAACAAACGAGCGTGTCCATATGTAAACTACCTACCTATATACTCCTCAAAGGTGGGAGGATTCCAACGTGCTTCAATTTCCCAACTCAAAAAGAGAGCGTCCTAGCTGAGCAAGCACCGACGAGCCCAGAAACGAAAGCGCAGAAAATCATTTCGTCTTCAGCTCCCCGCCTTCGTCAGCATCGGCACATTCGCACGGTTTATCAAACCGCCACAACCCGCCTCCCGAACTCGCCGGTTTGAGATTCGGCCAATCCTGAGGCCCTTCCGTCCAATCAAAACTGAACTCATGTTTCCCCTTCGGGACCAAGAAAGATCCATGCGAGAACCCTTTCGCGATGCAGACATCCCCATCATTCTGACACATGTTTTCCGCATCGAACCCATTCTCGTGCGTCTCGCCCAGCACTTCGTCGTCCATCTTGACGACAAAATGCTCGCTTTGGCGGTAGTTGTCCGTGATTGTGAGGATGGTGTCGAAATCGAATTCCGAGCTGGTGTAGTAGGGTTTTGGATGGCCGGGTTTGGGATACTCGGGCGTCCAGGTTACCCGGAAGACTTTCCAGTCCTGGACTTCGTCGCCCCGGCAGGGTTTCAGGTCGGAGGAGGAGCAGGGGAATTTGGATGCTGGGACGGTGGTCATGGTGCCTTCGGGTGCAATGGTCTCAATCACGGATCCGGGTTGGGGTTGCTGTGTCACTGTTACGACTACTGGATTGGCGGAACATGTAGGAGGACATGGGTCGACGAACGTTTCGCTGATTGGAGGAATCACTATGACGGTTTCTTCGTTGGTGTCGGGCTCTTTGTATGGAGGGCACGTTATCGGCTCGGTAGGGCGCGGTACGTTAGTCATCGTTGCACTTATAGTAATGGTCGATTCATCTGATGGAGCTGGACCCTTGTCAATCGTCCATATGGTACATGGCTGACCAGTTGTTGGTGTTGGGATACTGCTATATTCGAAAGAGCCGGGCGTGAGAGTTGAATGAAAGCAGGGCTCCGAAGTAGTCTTTCTGGGTTCAATAACGTGTATAGTGGTTGTCGAGCCAGTCACCTCGTTAGGGGGTAGCGTGAGGGTTTCATTTCCATTAAAGGGGGGGATAAGTGGTAGTGATTGTGGTAACGGTGGCCTTTTCTATAGAATGGTCAAGATCTAAACAAAAGCAATTGAGGAAAGCATTTACCAAAGTCAGTACCGCAGTCGATAACAGTCTCGCACTGTTGGGGAGGAAGAATGGCTAAGGGTATTGGAGATAGAGCCCTAGCCCGAGGGGTCACTCCTAGCAAGAACAGAGCAAGATTCCACAGCATCATTGTAGGAAGATTCAGTTCAATTCAATTGGGAGTAAGTGTGGGACTATAATAGATTGCAACTGAGATGAGGAAGTATTTGTACTCATCCCTGGAAGTGATCATCTCGGTCAGACGAGACCAAGGATCTCCTAAAGACTGCAATTTGATCTCATGCTTTCCCTGAAAAGATTTTTAATGCGGGGAAAGTTCAGCTAGTTGGCTGAGAGCGATTCTGAAGATCTGATCCTTGAACATAGATCTAAGTGTGCATTTCCGAGGAGGAGATATCTTGCAGTTGACAGCCGAGCGATCTTGCAGCTCACCCGATGAGGTCGGAAAATGATATGTGATGCAAACATATATGTAGTGAAGCCGACCAACACCGAATAGAAGAGGGGTAGAATTGAGTGGATGGGGTACGAATGACATATGCACACAGTTTCAATGGGATTGAAAATCGGCGAGGGCTGATATACAAGATGAAGATTGGCGAGGGTCAACTTACAAGATGCAGAGCTTGGAAGTGCATGATCCATGCAGCTTCCACATACAGACCAGGACCCCGAAGCTTGGCTCTTCGGCCGAACTCGGTCCTATAAACTAATGTTTGCATGCACATGAAGAGACTTAAAGACCCATGACCAAAGTCTAACGTAGACAGGAACGTATTAAAAGACGAACCCCCTCCAAGAGATAGAGCTTCGGATGTGTCCAACTCATTAGCACCAAACTAAATCCTATTAACGGCAGCGAGATACTTACTTCCTAACAATGCACACCATTCATCCCAACGAACTGATACCCCGGCATTGTCCGTAAAACTGATTTCGAACGGTATCGAGTGCGGAGTGCGGGGTTGCAGGAGGTTTTCCATGTTCTCCGAGCCCCAACGAGCGCACGGTCGTGGTGAGACAAAGGATGGAGTCTTGGATCCCACGGACCGCCACCCAATTCACCAGAGTGTTTAGCGGATGCCACTCGCGAATGCAGCACTTTATCGTGCCCAACAAACCTAGCCTCAGCAAAGGGTGATCTAAACTGACGGGTACAAGCGCCTCAACAAGGAAGAACGACTGAAGAATATGGGAGAACGGGTTTTTACGCATCCCAGCTTTCTCTGAAAACAATGACGCGGATACATGCGGGAAAAAGAAAATGCTCGGCTATATGTGGGAGTGTGGGAACCCGACGGAGCAGGCTCCGTGTAGTGCTAACAAAAGTAAGGGGCGGGGGAGTAACACTGGCAAGGAAAACTGCATTTTGAAAAAACAATGACGAACCTCCGTTTTATGGATGGAAACATCACGGGCGATAATGACGCCTAGGCTCTCGGAGAAGGCTCTTTTGAAGACATTTTGGTAAAAGGAAAGGACGGATAGGGTCGCACCAGACGCACGCGGTTGTTGATATCAAGCCGGTTCAAGACCGCTGATGGCGCTGCTGAATACAACTGCCACAACTGCGTTCTCGATCGCCTTTCATAATGCTCTAGGGGAGGAGAGTGGAGGAGAGGGGAAAGGGCTTTGACGAGTCTTTCTGGTGGACGAAGGCGACAAAGGGTATTTGAAAATTCGAGCACTGACGCACGACCTGTTTTGATCAAGAGGCAGAGTGAGCCGCAGCATATTGTCTAAATTGGACGTTTTATTGAATGGACAAGAGATCGGGAGTCGATGGTGCGAAGGTGAAGTAATGCCTCTTGGAGTATAGGCGGCGGTGTGTCGAACGTCATCTTTGTTCAGCTGTATAGGGTCGTATGCGGTGGATGGTGTACACATTGCGCTAAGACTCTAGGTCACGAAATTTCATGTTACGATCATTCCGTCATCTCTAAACTGACTCACAAGGCAGTGTCTGAATTCAAGGTACCTACCAGTCTTCTCAGCACGGTGGGTTTCAATTGACCCAGGTAGGGACGGTGACACACAATGCGATGGAAATCGAATCTTGTAATCACATGGATGTCTCTTTAGCTCGGGAAATTCCAATTATCAAGATTGAGAAGTTTTGACAGGGACCGCGTAGGTGGAAATTGATGACCGTGGTACAAGGAACCAAGGTTCCTTGAAAAATTATATTGACGCTTATACATATCAAGAGAAGAGAGAAAGCGTAGCGTTTTGGCATAGATCTCATCAAAGTTCATATCGTTTCCAAACGCCTGCAATCGATCGGGAAGTTTTCAGAAAGATTATCGGATGAGATCTCATGCGTGGCAGAGCACACGACGTGGTTGTTTGTTTTGTTGTGAACCTTCGGCGCTTGTGAGCGGATATGTGTTCTCCTTAAGCCTGTTTCTTATCACACTTGCTTTCCCATATCTACAGACCGTCTAAACCCCCAAGGAGATCCAAAAATCCGGGTGCAGCGCCGAGACTGATGCCTTTGCTGAGGTTTCGTGTGGCGGCCTTTCTCCCAATCGTGGAGCGACCTGATCCGAGGAATTCTTGATACTTGTCTGTGTAATGCAAGAAGCCTTGCAGTCTGGGCTGGTATTTATATAGGCTTGCGTGATGTTGAGGTTGTGTAGATGGTGGAATTGGCTTCTTGTATGGTTTTATCTTCGTTGGTGAAGCTCGGGGCGGCTCTGATGTGGTGTTGCAGGTCCTTGATCCTGAGGGATTGCTGGCTTTGTTGCTTTGCAGCCCGTTCATATTCTCCCTTGGTTTAGGCCGCTCACTCTTCACTGGTGTTGGTGGGCTATACGGAGGCCATGTTTGTGATTTGTGGCTTACGTTGGGTCGACGATGGTCGTATTTGCAGCATGGTTCCTCCGTAATCTGTGTGACAATGTCGGACGCTGAGGGTCTTTCGCTCGGCCGAGAATGCATCATACTGTCGCAGACATCCAGTATAAGTTTGATCTTGTCTGATGCTGGCGATAGTGACACAGACCTCCGTAGGTGACTCACCCATGCCGTAGCCCAGTGTAGACTTTGAGTACTACGATTGATGTATGTATGTTGCAAGTCTCGCAGCTCCCCAAGAGAACGCTGTATCAGGACTGTTGCCACTTCTAGAAAGACACAACCTAAGGAAAAGATGTCGGATGCCCTTCCACGTTCGCCTTGCCGGACTTCGGGTGCGGCGTACAGCTCGGTAAAGTCACCTGTGTCTGCAATAGATTCGTCGTCTGCTATGGCGTTGGACGATCCGAAGTCAGCATAAAAGACCACTTTGTCCCTGACTAGGATGTTACTGGGCTTTATGTCCCGGTGGCGAATACCTATCTCCTCGTGCATGTACTGAAGACCCACAGCAAGGCAGCTGCACCATGTCCACAAGCTTGCGTCGTGTTCAGCCGATGACGTCGAAGAACATGTGTGGAGGAATTGAGAAAGGTTGTAATCGGCCACAGGCTGCATCAAAATACTCAAAGAGCTCGCGTCACTGTATGTCGTGATGACACGAACGACGTGAGGATGGCTCAGCTTGATCATGTTCGCTACCTCCCGCGAAGCCTTCTGGCATTTTGAAGAACTCATCTGTATGGTCTTTCGTGCCATTGTCCACTGATAGCCTCTTATACGGACCTCGTCGATGACGGTCATTCTACCATACCCAAGATGACCCAGCGAATCGATCTGAGGAGACCATGGTGCTAAAAGCTTCAAGAGTGCGCCGATTGACAGTGTGCAAATGCATTTCTCGACCCATTCTTCTTGGTGCTCTCGGCTCCAGGTGGCGAGATCAAACTGAGAATGAGGTGGGCTTCCAGCATAAAAGAATCCGACGCTGCTGCCATAGGTACCTCCGCCGGATGCGTCACCATAATGCGGTGGCTGGGACGACGAGTTGCCATATCCGGGATCGTAACCACCTGACTGTGGGCCATCTCTAGCGCTAGGATCTGGAGAGTCAGCTCCTCCCGTCTCAGCCGATCCGTCGTAATCACTACCACTGTCCTCATCTGAACTATCGGACGAAGAACTTCCGTCGCTCACACCTGCCGACTGCTCATCGGCATCATCCTCACTGTCGGGCTCTCGCCATTGGGACATATTCCACGGGTTTTGAAAGTGATCCGCGATGTGATTGATGCGCTCATTCCAGTCTCGAAAGGTGATTGGGCAGTTGCGAAAGATACAGGTGGGGTTGAAGTTGGACTTGATTGGGCTACTGGAGGCGGCGATCTCTTTTTCAGAAAGTTCCATATCGGCGTGCTCTTTGGAGACATGCCCTTTGAAATGATCCTTGCGGTAATAGGCACGGTTTCCCTCCATCTTGTGCTGACAGCCTTGTAACCCACAGACCCATACCTTAGCGGGCCAATTGATTTCCTCATGACGCTTCCATGCGTCCTTCTTCTTAAAAGTAGCGCCACAACGAGACGTACATGCATATGGCTTTTTTTCGTCTCGATCTAATTCGACGTTGAGCTTGCGTTTCCGAGAGCCACAAACATTACGGTTGCCCCCATATTTGGAAGAAACCTCTTCATCGGTATATGTCATACTAATGTAGCCACTATCTTCATATGCCTGGAATGTCATCTCATTGCGCGTGAACCAGTTACTCAAGACCTTCTCTGCCGTATGGAAAACTAGACTTAGAAGGCAGATTGTTTCCTTTGAAGGTCTGGCCTGTTGACGCTTAAGTCTCCAAAGGTCGCACGCAGCAGCAGTAGCATCATCGGGCGTCTCTTGTATCGAATCGCTCAGGATACGTGTCTCCTCGTGACGAAAACTATTTTGATATTGCGTGAACCATTGGCGAAGTGCAACGACTGGCTCATCGAATGCATGACTCAAGCAAGATATAGTCCCATTTGATGGTTCTGAACCAAGATTCTTCGTGATCCATATTGCGCAGGCAGCTATAGTATATGCATGAAGTTTAGGAGGCACTGCAGGAGTAGGAGAGGAGGCTGAAGAAGGGGAACTGAATTCTGGTTCCGCATCGCTTTGTCTATGCGTCCCTTTTTGCCTTCTCTTTCGTTGGGAGCGTGAATAGTCCATAGCGCTATTTGGAGACAGCGTGTTTCTGTCGGCGAGTGTGGGGATAGATGTATTCGGAGACGGTAGGGCTTGTCTCAACTTCTCACAACGCAAAGGTGGGGTCGCAGCTGCCTCCTGAATGGTAGGTACCGTCTCTTGAAAACTTCGAGGACCACCTGGCCCATATCCGAAGGTCTGTGATGGCTGCTGGTAGCTATTTGGATGTGCTGTCGCCGGCATCCCCCACCCAATCACGAATGGCCCAAGTTCATCTTGAGGATTTACCAGCGCTGAAGAAGTAGCTGGTTCTGTAGGATAATGAGGAGGTGGTGGGATCCTTGTCGTTTCCGAGCTTTCAGGTGTTGTTATATAGCCATGGGGGTGGGCAAGGCCAGTACGCCAGCCTGATTGCGTGGGGAAGGAGTGTCGAGGGATGGAAGGAGGACTGCTAGGTAGGTCGTTAGGTTCGAGGAGATTGTCTGGGACGAAGAACGCCTGTCCCTGCGACATTGCTTGAGTATTCCAAAGAAAAGTCTGAAGTTACACAGCTAGGGGGTTCTGCTTGGTCAATTGAATTGCATGCTGTAGATGTTATGCCCCTCTGTTTCCGCCTCTCTTTCTTATGGTAGCAAATTAGTGCCATTTTGTCGCCGCCGAGTCTTGAAAATCAGGCGTGTAGGCAAAGTGGCTGTGCAATCAGAAGAACTATGTCATAAGCTTGAGGAAAGGCTCTCTGATGGGTTGAAAGGCGGATCAGAGGTCGTTTGTTTATTTTGCCGCCAGCGGACAGGCCATGACTTGATTGGGCCAGGTGTGGAGGGGCATTGCGGATAGCGCCTGGCAAGGTTGACGATGGCGCGCCCAAATTGGCAGAATAATGTACTTGTGAAGCCGGAGGCTTGGAGCTGACCCATGCTAGCTTGAAAAGAAGACTAGGACTATATAATCCTTCCTCTCCGCCTCAGTGGAAGGGCCGGTGTTCTGCCCCAAAAATGGTGGGAGGTATACCCCTCCGCGTGGGAGACAGGTGGGATTTCTAGGGCAGAACGCCCACACTACTGGAACTAGTGCAATCTCGGTGAGCGTCGTAGTCGCGTAAAAGCCTCCAGCCCCCTCTGGAGGTCATAGAGTCTTGAACGATTTGTCGCCTCGGTTGTCCGTGGGCCGTATACATTGGAACGAAGATGTCTGGTGAAGCAGCAAGTGATGGGGTTTCTCCTGCGATTGTGATCCAGATTTTCAGGGGGACCCCGCTTCTCCATTATGCTCATTATCGTGGTGCAGTGATCGCTTGGCGAAACTAAATTGGCTCTCTCTCCAGCCGCTATGGTTGAGGGCATTGTTGCCTGGATCGAAGGGCGGGTTCTCGGATGGTGCTCCCTGTATCTTGGGAGCGATCCCCAAATCTTGTGGTCGGTTGCTGGAATGTTGGAGGTCGTCGCACACCTGAGATGGCCGCTTTGATTCCTCCCATCGCACGGTGGGACGTCTGTGAGGTAGATTCCTACCTCGCTGGGGGAGATCCTATCAAGCAGAAGAATGCGACCCTTGATCTCAGGTAGAGAGGGGGCTTTTTGCCATGACATTGAGACAGAATGAAGGGTATTGGCCATGCTCTATCCACTCAGACAGTATAAAATGGATTCGACGACCTGCGATTGTTCGTCTCGTACATTATTCACCAAGCCAAATTTACACGGTGCTTTCTCCTCCCTAACGTCCATCAATTTAGATCATTCAACGTCTCTCTCGCCCTTCAGGATTACTCTTGGCACGCAGAATTCGGATTAGTAAGCAGTCACATAACAAAATGGTACGAGAGCATTCCCGGGGGATCTTATGTCTTTCCTTTGCTCTGGCTAAGCATCGACCAGGATCGACGCTCATCATCCCCAAAGAAACACGCCAGCAAGCAGCAAAGGGCTGTGAAGCCGCATTCGGAATCAATGCAGCGATATCTCAAAGAAACACCGAAGGAAACGTATTTTGACGGGCTCACACGTGGGAAGATGGCAGGCGATAGGAAGGTCAAAGGACGTGATGGGAAGACTCGGCTCTGAGATTAAGTCCTTGGCTCATGTCATGTATGATATGCACTTTTTCAAATATCTGGAGCGCTGGTTATTGTATTCGGGTAGGAGGCACTCAAGAGTTTGTTCTGGTAGGTGTAAAAGGAGGTGTCAATTGTTCGAGCCATGTCGATATGAATCAATGAGGCGTTTTACGTCAAGCCCAATGTCTTCTTTATTCAGGATATGTTCACTGTTGGTCATGCGTGTATGCTCGGTGGCAGTGGCTCGAGCAACTCACGTATGGTGAGTGATGTCGTGTTACGCAGGCGCGTTGCTGTACTCTAAGGTTGACGGTGGGGATCTGGAAGGGACGACGAGATGTCGTAAGGGACCTCCGCTAAGCTTTAGGCGGGCCACCCTTAAAAGCGGCTCCCTGGATTGCGCCCGCAAACCTCCTGGTGCCTCCTCCAGGTTGTCTTCCAGCTCCTCCTCGTACATTCATTCCTTGGGCCCGGCGAATCCTAATCTCCTCGCTTGAAAGTACCAAGGCGATGCATAAGGTCCACTCAAATGACAGGCAAAAAAGTTTCGTCTTCAGTCACGGTACAGTGATAGTGGTAGTAGCAGCAACAGAGTCTACTCTATTGACGTGGTCAACCTTGGAACGGCGCGGATGTGCCCTTCCCCCAGGGAATTGCGTCATCTTCTAGGCCGTCCCGCGAACTCGACCACGTTTCCCTCTTCGGGACATCCACCCCGACATACAACATATGCACTAACCTGCACCCTGTGCACCAAGATGCAGCATGAGCTCGTTTACACGTATATCAATGGCTTGCTTACAGAGGGTTACCTAAGCCATCCACACCACCACCACCACCACCACCTCGGTGTCCAGGGTTAATACTACAATCTGCGAGATCACGACAAAACCAATAGCAAGCAAGATACAGTAGCCACGGTCTATATCGGAGGCTGGAGAACGGCAAGAGCGAGCCGTCCCCGGGGCCGCATACACCGTGAACACGCCTTCCCGTGTTCAATTTGGGGAAGTAGACGGGAGTGATCTTGAAGTTGAAACGACTGGATGTACGAGGGATGCAACACTCTCTTGCCTATTCGACCTCTACCCCTACCTGTTCTCGATGCCCGCCCACCCCTATTTTCCCAAAAAAATAGGGGTGAAAGCGGTGGACACTGAGCGGCAAGCTTGCTGACTTCAAAACTGCTTTCACTCGCAAGAGACACTTGAAGCTTCTACTTTAGCAGCTCATTTCTTGGTTGCGATCAAGACTAATTTGCGGAATATACCTGGATGAAGTAGGAATACCGAGCGGCCTCCAAGGACTGGCAAAGTGTATGTAAGTCGAGGAAGGTCGATTGGATCAGCAAAGCTCGCATTCCTCCTCTTGCGTAGGTTCGTCCCGCTACACACCGTTCTTATCGTCCCATTCCGCATGCGCCAGGATAATGGCGCAATCATCTTGATCGTTTAGTAAAGATTGGTGCCTTATTATCCGTCTTTGTGGAGTGGTTGGACGCAGCGAAAGTCTGGCTTGTCGACCGTGCTGCAACTTCCCGATGAAATCCATTGCGAGTGGTTATCGCAACCCCTTCAGATTGAGATCGTCTCTCGAAACTTCACTAGAGCTTGCTTAGCTAGGCTTAGCCGTCGCTTGTGCGAGCTTTTCCTGCGCTTCATATGTAGGTACAGCATGTGGGGTGCTGATCGTGTGGCTGTTGCCGCTCGTCATTGGAACGCATCTATCGATATACCTCAACACTACGAATTTCCTGCAAGAATGAGTGATCAAAATTTCCCGCACTCGCATACCAAGTGGTCCAAGCTTTATGATGAAATAATTGTCCGCACTCAATAATGGATATATGGTCTCTAAGGGACTGTCCGACATGGTGCTCCAGCTTTCTTTCTTTGTTGATCGGTCTCACGTTACTACTTCGCAAATCCGGAAACCGCAGCTAAATGATGGCTTCATTTTAAGCTTGCTCCAATCCTTAGCAATTAAAGTAATATTAGCCACGTGAAGAAGAGCATGTCTCCAATACCAGGACCTAACGGGCACGATTGGGATGGCTCTTGGAAATATAATCTACCCATCGAGGGATTCATTTTGGAATCATGGAGCCAAGGTTTCATGCTGGGTGCGCTATTGGTGATGGCTGGCATCGTTGTAGCGAACATGACCTCATTACTACTGCACCGACTGATTTTGATTGAGGTTCGCCGCCAAATGCCAGCATCGCAAATTGAGACTGGGCTGATTATGATAGCTAATATTGGCCATGGCCCATGGAACATTCTGCTTCATGAGCTTTGACGGATATGGCTTCTACGTCTCATCGACTGCGATAGCGCTGTATTCGTCGTGGTATCTGCACAACATCATTGCGTGGATGAAGACAAAGCCTTTTCTGTCGCGTCGATCCAGCTATATTTACATTGGCTCGTTCTTGCTCACCACGCCTTATTGGGTGCTGGAAACCTACGGCAATTTCGCTTTCAACAATAACATCAGCAGGCTCTTTCTTCGAACACGGCCTTTCGAATTTCTTTGCCGGTATGTTCAATCCTCACCAAGATACATCATCGTTTGTTCTGGACGAGCTCCCATAGTTTGCAAACATGATTGAATGGAGCTAATACTACTCTCTCTTCAGGGATCCCTGGTGGATTTTCACGGCGCTTTGCCTCTTGTACAATATCAAGAAGCGATATAACTTCGGCTATATCAAATTGGTCCGCACGAGCCCACGATTTGGATTGATGCTAGTGTCTATGCTCATCTCCATTGTCTTTGCGATTGTGGATGTACTTTCAGCGACCGTCAAATTCGGCGGAATTGTAGGAATAAACCCTTATTGGAAGGTTAGCAAACGTTTAGGTCACTACGAACAGTATCATCTGACTGACACGTTGCTTAGCTCTCTCTTGTCTTCAAATGCTTCTGCGACACCATCATTCTGGACGATTTTCAATCTGCCCTGGAAAAGATTCGCAGGACGTTCTTTGGTGACATCAAGAGAGATAATGGCAGTGTCGCCTTACACGATCAAGGAAACTCCGGGCGCTTCAGGAACAAGAAGTCACTCACTTCAAACTCCTTCGGCAATACAGTCAACATCAACACTGTCCCCAAATCATATGAAAAGCACAACACTGGAATACGAGATATGTTAGGGCATTCGAGACTGGCTTCTGAGGATGATGATAAGATTTATGTAAGTACGGATATCAGGACGAGTACCGATAGGGACGAACAGGACGACGACCTGAGTGGGAATTCTGTGTCAACGCCTCGAGAACAACGCTACTTTTGATGCTGCTATGACAGGGCCTTCCCTTGAGAACGAATATCCAAGCTGAATGACACAATGCGCTCTTCTTCAGCTTATCTGCTTCTGTAGTAATACTCTGTCCGTCTGACACGCACTTACAGCCCCTGTGTACTGATGGCAATCATCGTCAGGCTAGAAGGGTCATCATATGAATGAGTTCAACTGCACCATGGCACGACGCAATCCAGACTCATTGGCAGCTCTTACAATCAATTATCGCGGTATCCTGGACTGCGAATGGACTACCGAATTGAGCTCTCTCCCCAAGATTTTTGGGCCGCGGTGCCAGTACGGCTGTCAAAATATTGGTCATGTCAAAAGTTTAAACCCTATTGAAGGAAGGCTTATTCATGATCACGACGAAGAAGGGCTGTCTGATGAATCTTCTAAGGTCGAACCGCCTGGCGGAGCTGTGTTGTTTAGCGCGAGGCCATTCTCAGGGGCCACGATCATGGCTCCGGGGGAGCTCATGTAAGAATTGGCTACATCTTGAAACGGTGACCCTGTTTTCCATACAAAAAGACTCAACACAGATGCTTGGCCATCTAGAGAGGGCACAAGTCAATTGACGACACCTTCAATGAGGAGCCATGCTTAACAATTGACCATTACTCACCTCCCTTGACCGTTACCACGCCACCTCCGGTGCTTCTTCTGGTGCTCCAACATTGTGAAAACAGTGTTCGTCCTCTCTGGTTGATGTATGCCCAAGTCGAATTTCCACCCGGCACAGTCTCTCCTGGCGCATTAGAAAAACTTGTCAAAAGAAAATTGCATGAGCCTAAAGAACACGTGAGTAGAGCCAGTGAGGCCTGTGTGAGGACGTACGGACCACGAGAGAACAGTCTAGGAAGCTGCACAGCGTATGGAAGCCGCTCTGGTTGGAGATAAAAGCCCGGCCATGACCCGTCACGAGTCCGCATTTGCTCTTCATCAAACAGCCTACGCGCGCTATCTTGTGGTTTTGCAACATCGTTGAGAAGGCTGCTGCAGTCCCCTAACTCAGGAGACCCATACATACCACCTCTCGACCCACAGTAAATGAACTCATCAGCACATGAGACTGAAAATAAAATCGATATGACGAGAATCCTCATGGTGACCAAGGCAATCATGACAAAAATTGGTCAAGCACTACATAGAGAATCCAGGTGCCTCGAGTCTAGGCCTACGAAGTCCATATATCCCATAGCTGACCGCCTCCCCGCAGAAACATTCGTGATATTCTCCGGTTGGAACTGCTTGTGGCGCGAAACATGCTGTCAGAGTCGCGCAAACCACTCGATTGCCCACGCGATATGCGCTGCAAGATCAAGACAGCGGGGGCTCCAGGTAACACCTCGCTGGGTTCTGAATATGCCCAATGGGAAGCGCACTACTCACAAATGCACTCCCACGCCAATGATTACACGCAGTGCCACGCGGTGGAGGTTTCAGGATCAGGATCATCAGAAACAGGCACCAAAACAGAAGAAGCAACGTGACATTGAAAAATTGCCTCCACGCTAAAACATCAAACATCCGCGGAGCACTGGTCAGATATTGACCAGGCGTGGCTGTCAATAGCTCCCAATATGTCAATTCTCTCACAGCCGGCTTCTCATCAACACGCGAATCTATCACCTCTGCAAGACCACCACCATGAAATTGCATTCCCCAGACGCATATTACATCCCCCTACTCGTCCTCCTCTTCGCCCTTCTCCCTCTCGCGACCACCGCCCCCACCTCCTCCTCCCCTAACACCGCCCAAATCTATTGCGACATCCCAACCTTCGGCCAGCCGGACGTCGGCACCGCCAACACCCTCCTTTTCCGCCTCCCCTTCTACCCCAACCCCTCTTTACCACCCGACGAGCAGGCCCAAAGAGCGCGCGAATTCACAGCAGAGCGTACCTTCTCCGAACCAGCCTTCCTCTTCCCGCGATTTCGGTACCTCCAAAACATCCATGCGGGGGTGCAAATGGTGCAGCTTCCCAAGATCTGGAAACTGCGGAATATGAGATTGGCGGTGCTGAGTTTCGCGGACAGCTACGGCGCGGTGCGGAACGCGGAGTTCGCTGCTACATGGGCGGCTGTGGCGCAGGCGGTCAATGCCTTGTTGGGGACGTGTGTTAATGATCGGAGGACTATGGCCAGGGTGCAGGGAGGTGCGTGGGTTAGTGATGTTGCGGTCATTTATTTGTATGTGGCTGGCAGTCGGTTTGAGGAGAGTGTGAATTGGTATATGTGTAATGGGCATGGGATTGACCCGTGGCATCCGTTAAGCGGGCTAGTGGGAGTGGAGTGGGGTGGTGATATGAATGGGACTGGTCTCGAAGGGGGTTTGGGGTTGGACGGGGTCAATGTGACGACTGTGGACTTGGGAAATTTTGCTGCGCTGAATGGGACGGGCGGGGATGAAAGTGGAGGGAAGACGAATGGGACGGTGGAAGGCACATCGCAGGAGTCGGTGGTGCCCGCTACTGTGCCTTTTGGAGCGGCGGGCATGCCGGCGGGAGGTCCTTCTTGATTGATATCGGTACTCATAAGAAGCACAAATGAATTAGCGTCACCAACAGCAAAGAATACAAACTGTCAGCCAGCAAATATACACCGTGTCTTCCTCAGGTACAACGTAGCTTCCTAGCCCCATTCCCCATCCAACATGCCCACCTCTCCTTTCTCCCCTCTCACCCAACCCCAACCCCAGAAAACCAACGCCCAGATCACCGCATACTCCTCAAAAAATTCGCCTCCCTAATCCCCGTCCGTCTCTTCCTCCTCAACGCAACTTTCAACTCCTCCCTCTGCCTCGCCGCCTCATCCCCCTCCGTCGTCCCCACCTCTCCATAAGCTAAATCCACGCTTTGCTCTTCTATCCCCACCCTTCCCCCTGCCCCTCCCCCTCCCCCTGCCCCTTCCCCTTCACCTGCCCCATCCTCCCCCTTGCCCAATTTCCCCGCATTCATCTTCCTCGCCAAGCGTCTCTGTTTCTTACTCCCGAATGGATCCCCCATTCCAGCTTCAGCGCTTCCATCAGCGGTACTGGAGGTGGAGGTGGCGGAAGAGGTGGAGGAAGTCTTCGGCGTGAGGCATGTCCATAGCCAGTCAGGGTATTCGTCGTCTTCGAGCGCGATGAGGGGGGGCGCGTTTTTTATGTAGGAGAGGCCTCTTAGGGGCGTTCCCGCTGGTGTGGAGGATTTCGGTTTTGGGGGGGCTTTGGTGGTGGAGGTCTTGTTGGTAGGGGAGGCTGTGGAGGGGGACGGTGTGAAAGGCGTGCTGAAGGGTTGCGCGGCAGATGTTGAGGTCGCTACTGGGGGGTTTTGGGGGGAGGGGGCTGGGGCGGATGTGGTGATGAAGCGAGTGGAAGGGCGGGGTAGGGCTTTTGGGAGTGAGGGGAGGAGAAACGGGCAGCGTCGAGTGATCATTTTGAAGTTGTGGACGCGCTGATGGTTGGATAGTGTATACACTGCGATTGTTCGAGAGCTTGGAGCGAAGATTTTTTCACATTGGGTGACCGGCGGTCTTGGCATGCCTACTGATCATGCCAAGCCTTTCTTCCTCTCTGGGCGACGACGACCTTTTACATCCAGCCCACGCCGTTACTATCGTCCTGTAGATTGATTGCTCATATGTTGAGCTAATCGCTACTGAGTGTCGAGGGACCAGCTTTGTACTGACTGCCTACCTCCAGCATAGGGGACAGTGACCAATAGTAATGGCGCCCCCAATCTCGACCCCCTGCTAGAGGCACCAGGAGGAGCGAAGGATTCGTTTCACATTCGCGTTAGTACGCTCAGCCACATGGAGAATCTCGTGAAATATATGGACGGCGAATCTCCTTGAATCGACGAGAAATCACTACAATCCAAACAGGCTTCGCTTGTTGACTTCCTAGATGTAGCGCTTGTCCGACTTTCCTAGCAATCATGTCTCGTGGACCTGCGATTCAAGGCAGTACGTCTGCGACTTGGGCCATAGCTGTCATTTGTGTTGCATTGCGATTCATTGCACGTCGAGCTTCGAAAGCTGGTGTTTGGTATGATGATTGGATGGTCATCCCTGGTCTGGTGCGATCGACGCTATGCTTCAGGCTCATTCAGTTGCTGATCAACTCTTTAGTTATGCTCCTTTGGTCTATGGTATGATTCAGCAATATGGGGTAAGAGTTTCCGATGAACATGGTGCAGACCAATTGACTTGGGTAGTGGTGGATCACGGCCTCAGCGATGCCGTCCGGTACGTGACTGCGTCGACGATAAACGACTTTGTTCTAGGACTTTACGTATCAACCATTCTTTGGACCGTGTCATTGATATTTATCAAAATCTCCATATTAGTTTTCTATCTTCGGCTTTTCAGGCAGCATCGTAGGTCTAGATGGTCTATCTTCAGCTTGATAGGGTTGGTTCTGATCTGGGGAATTTGTTTCGTAAGTATACGTCTGTAGCGCACTCCTCAACAGATGGCTGATCACTAACTCAAGCTTTTTCTGTCAATTTTCCAATGCAACCCTATCGCGAAATATTGGACAGGAGTTGCAGGAACATGCCTTGCTTCTAGCCCTCAGCTGTCCACCGCAAGTGCCATCCCTCATATCATCATTGATGTACTAGTACTGGCTGTACCAATTCCCATTTTGTGGAAGCTACAAATGAGATTATCTCAGAAGATCGTGCTTGGATGCATTTTCGGTCTCGGTAGCTTGGTGATAATGGTCTCCGGCGTTCGCCTACACCACCTAATCTTGTATGCTGATGCAAAAGATGGGAGCATCACGAAGAATCTCACTACCGTTGTAATCCTGACGAGCGTGGAAGTCAACACCTCGATCATCTGTGCATGTCTACCTTGCCTCAGACCTATAGGATCCTTCGTGCTGGATAAGATTGATGCTTTTCGCAAGCGGACTAGATTGGCGAGACAAGGCAACGAGCTACTCAATGATATGCTACCGCGGCGGAAGCAAAACAAAGAGCAGTCGTCCACTTCACATACTGACGCTCATCCTGATGGGCTCGCTGAAATGAACGGAAGCGCCCAAGATCTCACATTGCAGGAAGCTGAGGCAACAGGGCGTGCCATGCCGGAAATGGCTGGTGTTGGCATCGGCCCATTAGAGATGGGAACGGCTGATGTTGCAGCGTCAGAACTTCGAGGTCATAAGGATAGGCGTTCGCCTGCGGAGCTTGAGGCGGCTGAGCCAGGAAGACGGTGAAAGTCCTCGGACAGAAGCGACCAGACCAGAATGTCGCAAAAGGGCGCTTGGTCTTTCCACCAAGTCTTTAGCGTACGCCTTCTTGTCACAAAGATCATGTCTACGTGCGGACTACGTCTACTCTAGCTGGAAGAGAAACAACAGACCTAAATAAAATCAGAATATCTCGTTCCTTTCGACCCACAGTCTATTACGAAATGCAAGAATTTTGAATACCGGCGCCATCCATCTCATTTGGGTAGCTGAGAAAATAGGACAGCATTGCGACACATCGTGGTCAAGACCGCAAGCTAGAAAAGAACGTGCATCTTTAGCTTCTGCACGTGGACGTACCAATGCATTCAACGAGCTGTCCCAAAACAGTGAACTCCACGACAGTCATGAGTAGCTAGACATACAACCTGCACCATTTCTCTCGATCAATCTTATCAATCAAATACGAAGCACTCTTCTCAACGCGAACGATCGCGCCGATTCAAGGCAGCCAAGGAACCCCCTCCGTTCTACCCCATCAAGGTGGCACAACGATGGGGACAAGGAGCGCCCACTGAGCTCCCCGCCCTCCCGAAGGATATCGCATCTTTAACGTGGGTTTCTGTCTGTCTTAGTCGATTCTTTTTCTTTCATAGCCTCTGGCTCAAGGTCCGTTCTTTCTTTCATAGCCTCTGGCTCATTCTTTCTCGAGCTCGTCAGCTCGCTTCCAATGAAGGCTTTGCAGCCTCCATCGGGCAATCAGGGCTCCAGTGAGGTTCTCGGGCCCCCTTCCAGCAGAGTTCTCAGGCTCCGCCAGGCAATCTGTGGAATCCAATGAGGTTCTCGGGCCCCCTTCCAGTGGAGTTCTCGGGCTCCACCGGGCAATCTGTGGAATTCAGTGAGGTTCTCGGGCCCCCTTCCGACGAGTTCTCGGGCTCTGTCGGGCAATCGAATGGACTTCCCATATTTCATTCCCCCGTACCTGCAGCAGTATCCTAGTCAGTTGGCATTTCTCATTCAACATGGGGGTGCGATGGGCTTTCGTACTTTGCGTCCCTTCCTCCACTTGTCGACACTCTAGGCGATGACTGCACACTTGTTCTGGAAGTAGAGGTTGTTAGGAACAGTGTTGATGCGCTGTGTTATGTATGTCTTCGGTCAAGAAAAAGCAACTTGGGTTGTTGAGTCAATGATAGTAAACAAGATTTGGAGTTTGTGATGAAGATGAAAAGAAGAGGAAGGAAGAAAGGCGAGATGGCCCAGAAATGTTCATTGCCAGCCATGACGCTAGGTCAATCCTGGAGGTGAACACCCACCTCTGCTGGCCCCAGGTCATCAGGTGTCTGACAATTCCTGTTTACCATGTCTCAGTCACGAGACGCCATTGTCAGGTGCTAGCCATGAAAAGCGGCTACAGAAGTCTATTCACCGGCTTCATTGCGTCATTGTCATTGGCATTGCCCTTATCAAGGCTTTTGCCGGCTATCGGCGAGTATGTAATTGCCACCAATCTCTTGCCTATGTCGGGTCAGGCTTGGCCCTTCCTAAAGCAGCTGTAACACGCTGATAGTGAATCGCTTCAGCGAATTCTGGTGACCTTCACCCGTAAGATTAGCCGAATCAGCCGTGGCATTACGCCACAAGAGTGTTAGAGGACTGTATCTACAGGCATTCCAGCTTTTGACTTCCTTTTCCTCAGAGGTACTTCGATTTTCTGGTCATTTACTCCCTCTGCGTACGCTTTGTAGCCCTCAGTCACGGCGATGAAACGCTTTTCAAACTCCAGCGTGGATCCGCTACACAGACTAGACTTCAAGTACAGTCGTCTCGAATCGCCTCGCGAGCAAGTGGAGGAAGAAGTATCACAAATGTCATGGGAGGATCAAGTGTCCCTGTATCATGCTGTCAAGGAACCACGTACGAAACATATGGCTTCCAACTGTAACGAGGGTATACTGACGACTCCAGTCACTGGGGAAGAGGCTATTTCTCTCAAGTGCGAAGCATACCTTCGCCAAATGGAGCGGCTCAATGATCAAGGCTTCGATATCCGGGGCGCTGAAGATCTCGCCAAATTCTATAATCAGGGTTTATCCAATGGTCATCTGGGAGATATCTTCGTACTCGTGGCTGATACTAGGCGGGCCCACTTCAAGATAGTCCGTTTAGTACTTCAAAAGGTTCAGGAAAAAAGAGCCGCATTTAAACGAGAGACCGCTCTTGATGCCCCGTTTTACGCCTGGTGCATCGCCAATGACGAACTACGGGCAGAAAAAGCGAAGACTGCTAAACTCATGCAGAGGATTCACGAACTGGACAACCAATACGTACCACAACATAGAGTAGTTGCCGATGCTAACTCCTTGAAAGCCCGAATCAGGGAGCAGGAAAACCAGCACGAGATCAACCTGAGGACTTTGCGGGCTGCTACACAGCAACTGGCCGCCATGAATGCCAAGCATGAGCAGTCGAACGGTCATCTTAATGAGATCTCTGGGATCGTTGCCGGCGGAGGACTCTAAACATGCCTCGATTCACTTTCGTCGTCCACACATGGAGAACTTGGTGAGTGGAACCGGTGCAATAGGAGGCTCAGGTACCTGCACCAGGCATATTGAAGGCAGAAGCAGATCTGTAGAAGATCTTGCGGATGGACTTCGAGGAATTAGCGTGCTTGCATCGATGTCATTCATTCATTCATAACACGACTTTCCTCAAGCATCCTGAAGGGGCGAGACACGAAACGCAGTGCGAAACAGATCATAATAGCACGAGATCTTCAGATGTGATACATAGCCTCCAATAATAGCTTTATCATCCTTCACACTCAGCTGGTCCAAGTCATGCAGAAAAATTGTGTCTTATACTACTACCTTGGCTTGTTTCCTCTCACATTCGTCAGTCCTCGAGTCTTCATTGCATCTGACGACACCTTCAGGTCACTGATCTCAGACATTTCCGCATGTATTTGCACAATATGTGTCTAAAGTCCTGGCGTGTGGGTGGCCCTGTCATCAGGTGTTGGTTACATTTTCACATCCATATAAGACACATGTCCAAGACATCTCGTGCTTCCAACTGTGTCATCAAGTGTGTGAACTACGTGCTTACAGTGTGTAATGGGACCCTCATCTATAAAACCCCCCTCCTTCCCTCCTCTCTTCTTTTCTCTTCAGCAACCTGATATAATTGTTTCCTGCCTTCCTCTGGAACAACTATCTATCAACATCAGGGCTCACTTATATATATATATACTCGAAGCTGTTTCACTTGTACGATCAAGGGATCTAAAGACATATCGGGAACAGAGGCCATATTATCTGGCCTTGTTGACCCGGTGGTCTTCTGTCTTTTTGAGCTCCTGCTCAGTCTCGCTCGACTCGTTCTTTACAATCCTCAGCTCGATACATCGTTGGACCCTCGGCACTCCATGCGACAAAGGTTGGGGCTAGGTAGCTACGAGTCAGCGGACGCCAAATGCGGCGTGCGCGGTCAACGAGCCAGGTATGGAAGAATATACTTTCCTCTCACACTCGAATCAAGACGGATACCCATGTGTACCTCGCCTTTTGGCAGTGCGCGCGCCAAAAAGATGCTGGTGTCGGGCGATTCTGTGAGCCGGAGATTACGCCTCACCACGCCAACATCGAGAGCAAATCTATCCTCAGACTGCTCTAGTCTCGAAGCAGGGTGGAACCGAGATAATGTGCCAAAACGGGTGACAGTAGATGAAGTGACTCGACGAGCGCAGTCTCACGATCATGACGTACGAAGAACTGTACAAATTCTATGACAACGGCAGCTCAAGCCGAGCCATGAGGGTTGCAAAAACTCTCTCCAAAGAGGCCCAGAGAAACAACGAAGAACTGGTCGCCAGAGATTGCGAAGGGATCCGAAACAATGTGAGAGTCTATGAGAGGGAGACTGAGCACGACAGAGCCTTCGGTGCAAGGAATGCAAAAAGAGATAAATTACACGCTGTTGCAGATATTTCTTTGTTCTTCGTGCCTTAGCCTATGTCTAGGACGCCCACAAACCCTCGACAGCCGCTTGGGACGTCAAGTGGACCAAGGGACCCTTGAGAATTGATACACCAAACGAAGCCTGATGAGGTACTGGTTCTGGCACAGCAAGAAAGTCAGCCGATTTGGCCCAATTTCGAACAACATCCAGGATCAATGCTTTCAAGAAATTAGGAGATCATCGACGATAACGTGCAAGCCATCATAAGCAGGCTTGAGGGCCGGCTGAAAGCTGAAGAACGGCACACTTGCCGGTGTTCGACGCTGTGCACGGTCAGACAGATATTTGGACATTCTGTCAACGTGAACCATCGTCCTTCTCTGATCAAAAAATTGTGTAATCAGCCTCTAGAGACAACGGTCCAATTATCGATCTACACGGAATGACAACAAGGACAAGTCTGCGAGCTCAGAGATCATGTGTCAAGAATCACTTATAAATATATATCAGGACCTAAAAACCACACTTCTACTTGGTGGGCATATCGATCCCGTACTATGCAGGACTTCGGAAACGTGATTACAACGCCCGAGTGAAGAGAGTTCGATCAAAAATGCGCTGTCATAAAGTCAAACAGTCAGATATAGAATGAACGAACACGTCATGCTATGACCATAGGGGATTATCGTCATCTTTTGTGCCCAGCAAAACAGCCGAACCAACTCGGGAGAACTCCAAGAACGTCTCGATCAAGCTTCAGCCGAAGCTGCAAAAGAGCAGCTTATCAACGTTCTTCCCCCACAATTTGGTGTGCCGTGGGACCAAAACATTCCATTCATCAATGGCGCTGCGTTGGCCCGAATTTCAAGAAAAATTCAGCCACTATGACCCGGTCATTCAAGCAGCTCTCTCGGATAGCTGGCCTACTCAATCGCATGGATCGAGGGAATATTAGGCACGACTACTGGAACCTTCATACTTTCCATTACGTGGCAATCCATACAAGTTGTTGTTTGCCCAGTGCCTAGGCTACTGTCGCTCGCTATTTTGATCTTTATGACGGCCGTACCAGGTAAATTATCGTCGTTTCAATCATAGAGGTTTGCAAATAGGTCTCGCTACTTCAAAGGTGTAGAAGGGGAACTGGCCACCAACGACGCTGCAGTAGCCAGCCCTTCTTCTGAATTCTCCGAAGTCAAGCTACGAGCCAAGCTGCGAGCCAAGATATTCAAAGGTCAAGTTCCAGAACACTGGAGGACATGAACCTGGAAGAAAATTTTCAAAACGACTGGCTCAAAGTGCAGCGCTACGTTGGACGATACCATATCAGCAGTACGCATAGGCTACCCAATAGCTGGATTGATCGCACCTCAAGCAATGCCGTCTCGTACAATTCATCGAGGCCGCTCATCTACGCTCCATCGTACATGGTGGGCAAAATCGTATCAACTAACGTCGCGTTGTATGATCAGTTGGAGTTGCTGATCATAGATTCATCACATACCATGGATTGTCCTAGAGGAGGAAACTCCTCAAATACGGAGCATTACGCGTCCGACTTCCGCAGGCATCCAAAGCAGTTCAACCTGACCACGGTGGTCAGGTGAATATATATATATATTCAGAGTTGGGGCAATTGTCTTGTCTCCTGCAGCGTGCTGGACTGGCTCAAAGTATCGGCGCCGGTAATCAATAGAAAGCCAACGCAGAGGCGGGAGACTAAAAAGGGTTTGCAAGAACAATGGCCCATGTTCATGCTACAGGCTGGGACCATCAACAACCTTAACACCCAGGGGTGAGAGGTCGAGTGTGATCAAGCTCGGTGTATCGTGTGCGAACACAAGCCAGAACCGACAGCAGCAATCTCTTACTCAAAGCTTGCTATTGCTTTGAATGTTCTTGCGCACGACTGCATCAAAACATCATCCTGGTCGCAATGATAGTCGTATATAACGGCAAAGTATTGCTGTGTCTAGAGAATAGTCTCGTCTGCAAAATTGCATCATCAACACACGCCAATTTACGTCTCTATGTTATGATCAATCGGTCAAGCACATACTTTCGATGAAATGCCAAAGTACCCTCCCTCAGCTCAGCAACGAGTCTTTTTAGCCTGGGCGGACTGTTTCAGCAAGGGGTTGTCGAAAGTTTTGACTTCTTTTGTATCGAAGTCGATCAAAAAAAGACGACAAGCAGCGTCGAACAACGCTTGTGATTCACAATTGCCTCGATGAACTGGATGACCACTCTAGGTGTCAAAGAGCTAGAGATTGCTACCAAGGCTCGGTCATACCTCTTCAACATGCCTAGATCAATATCGAACATCTCATTCCGTTCAGCCGTAGAACGGCTAGAGATCCTCATCAATATAGATAAATATATCTCAGACATGCCTAAGAATTGGTCGATTTTTTTATTCGTCCGGCCTTCAAAGAGCTAAAATATTCGATTCGCTGCAGCTCGGAGCAATACAATTTCCACACGTTTCTCCAGCGCAATGTCCTAAAACTCAACATATCCGTGAAACTTCAAAACTTCAACACCGGAATCCAGGGCGCTAGATAACAGCCTTAAATATATATAAAAGAACTCAGTCACCACAATTCAAGAGCCGACTTGCAAGTCAGGGTGGACCACAGCTATCGTAGTCCCATCGAAATCGGAAGATTCGCTCAAGATTGTGCTTGCGCGAATGCAGAAGGACGTATGTGACATCCCACCGGTTATGCTGAGTCTGACTTCAACAAATGCGACGCAGACATCTGATGGTTCACCAACGCGAGGGAAGCTCACGCTGCCGAAGCCCGGGAGAAAGTATCACAGACAGACGAGGACTCAGCCAACACAACTCGAGAACCAATACCGCTCAAATCTTGAATGTTTCTCTTGAATTAGTAGATGATGAGGACTGCAAAGCTGAAGCACCTTAAGCCAGAAACCCTTACCCCAAGGCGTAAATCACAAGGAAGGTCTTGACTAAAATTGGATGAATGTGCCGCGAAACAAGCATTCAGGTTTTAACCTCTATGGACGACTCGCGATGGACTTGCGCAAGGCGGATCGAAAGACTTTGGCCGTCTGCTGGGTCCTCGAGGCAATAGACCGGACCATGCATGGCCTGGCTGCTCTCTGCGGGTTACAGTGTCGTGTCTGCTTATTTGCAGGCTGGAATGAAAACATTGCTGGCTTCATTGATTCACTCTCGATTCATAGAATATGGAAGGTGTGGTGTAAAGAGGGTGGTAAAACACATAATGCGCCAAGATGGGTGGGACGCCAACCTACCGCAGGTTTTTGCATCGAGGAGTCTCATAGCCGAATATCTTTTCCTCCTGACGCAATAGTTACCTGTGCGTTATCAGGATATCAAGGCTGTCGACTCGAATCGCCAGAAACACAAGGGATTCTTGCATGATGTTGGTGCAATCTCTTCGGGAAAGAGACACTATGGGCAAATCAGTGGAGTGGATCTGGGATAGTAACGATGATTGTGGACAGTATTAGTGGCTCGAGCGGCTGCTGAAGGTTTAGAGACCGACGAGACTGAGTTCGCTGCAAATGACAATGGAGAACGGGCTGAATCAAGACATGTGGACAACATCGTAGGTGTGGTAAGCGGCGGTAGAGACTGGACGATGTGATACAGACACTTGTAGAAAAGGTGGATGGAGGAAATGGATGATGGCGGTATAGAAACGCCGGGAAAGGTCATCAAAGTATTCTTCAAGACAAATTACGAGCCGAACAAGCCAAGGCCCATGAGCTTGTGTGAAGAGTCAATGATCTAGAGCACGAACTGAAGATGCAACGTAAGGCAGATACTCCTGATAACGTCAACCTTCAGCAAGACTACGATGATTTGAAGGCGCAACTGCAGGCGCAAAAGGACTTATGCGAGGCGGATCGAAAGGCCGCGAATCTGGAACTAAAGGCTGTGAAGGCTAAGTATGATAAAGTGAAGGGACACGTCAATGATATTCTTGGCACCTTTACAGCCAGGGAATTCATGGGGCCGGTTGGCATTGGCAAGTGGCGTTGAAACATCCTTCAATTCACTCTTCCATTCAAATGCCGAGGACTGAGCAACCAACAGTGGTTGGGTAGTTGCCGCAGGTATGTGTACCAGGCGTGCGCAGATCAGGTCGATGGAACTCGAGATAACAAAGAGCGCTTGCATTGAAATCATTCATTCTTAACACGACATTCCTTTGAACATGACGGAAAGGTGAGACACAGTACAAGCTACACCATAATTTCACGAAGTCTTTAGGTGTTGTACACACCTTTGAATGTCATCTGCATCATTCTTCGCACTCAATCCACTCAAAAAACGTAGAACTATGTCTTATCCTTCTTCCTTGCTGTGTTTCCTTCCATATTCATCAGCACTCGAATCTCGACTTCGTTTGGCGACGGTACACTTTGAATGCGTGGAATTTCAGGCAATCTCACTTATATTCACACTGAAAATTCTGAAATCCAAATGTGTATGGGGCCATTTTCGTCAGCTGTTGGTCGTTCGGTACCACGACATTCACATCTACGTGAGACACAGGTCAAAGACATCTCGTGATCTCAGCTGCCTCCTGAGACGTGTAATATGCGTGCCTCGAGTGTGTAATGGAGGCCCCATCTATAAAGAGCAGCTTCTTTCCTCCTCTTTTCTTCTTCAGCAACCCAGAATAGTTGGTCCAAGGTTTCCTCTGGGACAACTCTCTATCAACATCAGGGCTCATCTATATATATAATCGAAGCTGAAGCACTTCTGATATCAAAGCTCAGTAAATATATACAACATTCGAGCAGGGAGCGCTCTAAGGCCTGTACAGCTCTCTCGGCAGCTATCAGCTGCTCTCCTTTTCCTGGCTCGTACTACTCTGCCTTCTCATCTCTCCGCATGGTACCTCGTCTAGCTTCTCGAGAAAATAATGAAATGACAATTCGAGGATAACCAGGACTCGGGATCACCTTCGAAGCGACCCTTGCGTGAGGCTGGCTCCTTCAATCGTCAGCACATACTGGGCTCCCAGCGGTAATGGATCATGGCCAAGAACGTGGGGTGAAAAGGTTGACCTTTACCATGCGACTAAAGATCCAGGGTCGACGACTTCTTATCTCTCGCTCACTACGGACTTCCTGCTCTAGTGAATGACAAAGAAGCCGCGAGAATGAGGTGCGACTACGAACTTCGATAGCAGCAAATGCGTTAGGGGGCGTGGATTTACCGCCAGAGAACGCCAAGGACTGACACCATTCACAAAGAAGGCTCAAATTGCGACAATTGGAAGCACTCGAGCAACGAGGGTTCATAGCTGGAGGGTTCGAAGAACTAGCTTCATTTACAAGGCTACGGGAAAGTTCTTCCGGGCGATCTCAACAAGCTATCGTACGATCTAAGACAAACTCATAAACTTGTTGGTGAACAGTTTCACGAAGATGTCGGACCATCGAGGTGGGAAATTGACCTTGTCTCAGCTTTCGCTCATGGATTAAGGTCAAGGATATCTTGGCTTATCCTGCTGTTGTGAATGCCATTGCTTTTAACCATTCCAAATGGATTCAAGAGATTACAAACTTGAAGGCACGACATAGAAAGCCAACATTATAGATCATGAGAAAAGCCGTCGGTCTCAAGAGGCTGTCGACGACGAAATATGCCCTCAGATAAAGGATTCCAGGACATATTCAAGGCTGAGCAAGTTACGCTCAGAAAACATGGCATCAGAGACGGGCTTTTCTTACGCATCCAATCTCATAAGTCCCCATCTGTTGGACTTGTTGCTGCCATACCATCTTGCCAACGAGACCGCCAGCAAGATTGTTTTTCAGAGCCAGCTTACGGGGAGCCAAACGAGTCGCACGTACACCGATCTGTCCCCAACGCTTGGGCCGAATGTTCTACTCAGCTCTAGCTGGCACCTCGACGGCGTGAGTGGCTTAAAACCACCGGCAACATTATCGTCAAAATAGATGAGGGCCACGTCAGAATTACTAATAAGCGATCATTTGTGCCCCTGGAATCTGGTTCAAAGACGTGGTATTTGCTTATACTTAGCATTCATCCACGGGGAGCTTCAGGTGCTATGGCTTAACATGAGGCGCGAACGGACCGAGCCAAAGATTAACGCATCTACCTCAGCGATGCGAGTACTGCGATGAAGGGGAGCTTCTTTTGGCGACCCCATCGGCTCAGCCCCAATGGATCACATACGCATTCATGTTGATCCGATTGGCCCCTCATTCGAACCCTGGCTTATCAGACAGGACTGAAGGCGAACGTCGAATAGCGCGGAGCTCAAGTCAAGATCAAATACACCAAAATGCCCTGACGAGATGCAGAAAGCGAGAATGGTGAATAGCTTGAGGAAAGCACGAAGTCACGAGGAAGCGATTGGAGTTAGCCCTGTCGGAACAGGGAGAGACCATACAGTGCAATCACTATGGCAAGCCATGATTGACTGCGCGAACCTCGTTGAATAGGCTAGAGCTCATGGCAATTCTAATCTTTATCGACTATCGTGTTCCTTCACCACTCACAGGATCAGCGCAAGGCGAAAGAGAACGCCTTGAATTCCCAAAACTTCCATGACTACCCCGATATTGGGGTAAGGAAATTGACTCAACCTGACCGAACGGCCAGATAAATATATAGATATTCAGAAGAGAGAGGAATGTACACAAGGAAGGAGCTCGTGTGTTCCTGTAAGAAAGCTCAACAACTACCTGGACAGCGCTAAGTCAAAGTCAAAGGAGGAAAACGTGCTGGAATCGATAGCGCAGAACAAAGTTGCCCGCTGGGATTCTAAGATTTGAGGCTGGAGATGAGGGATCGGCCGGCTCGCGTGAAGCTGATAAAGCTGCTGCTCGTATGCACGAAGAGCAGCTTAAGCCGGGGGTGAAGTCTTAAAAACGACAAGGCTTCTAATCTCGAGAAGAAGTACCTTGGATGCGCCGAATGCTCGCAAGCAGAAGAAGGCGAAGACCGACCAGGCGCATGTCAAGGCCATGATTGATAAGTCCGCCGCTCAACTGACGCATGAGCAGAGAGAATCTAAGATCTGGGCTCTGAGTAAGGATACACGGAATGATGAATCCTTCACGCTCACAAGGTGATCAAAGATTTGGAGGCTCATATCCATGCCCAACCAAGACATCATTGAGGGAGCCATGATGACGCATGTGATGCTATGTTTAATGCAAATTGCCATCTAGTGCGTGTTATTGTCCTTCCACTCGGAAGCGGTAGAGCAAAAACTGTGGTTCCTTTTCAATTGAGGGATCACAGCAGCCTAGCCAGCAACGAGATCTCAGGACCCCACCGGTGGCGATGGAGACTCAACGACGAGGCAGACGAGCTAGCACTCGTGGGCCTTCTGAATCCTCCTCGGGCACGTGCGAGCGCCCTATGACTTGGTAACAACGTGAACAATCGCTGGCCTTGAAAACTGGAAGGAAGATAAACGCAAAAGTTTGGTGGCAGATTATGGGAAGCATCTGGAGGAAGTTGAGGGAGTCACATATGGCTTGCGCGAGGAGATACGGAATCTGCAATCGAAGGTCGACACCTTGGAAGGTTCCAAGAAGACAGACCATAGTGAGTTCCAGCGTTGGAAAGCCAAGGTCACTGCACGACCTCAAAGCCTCCCTCAAGGGCAAGATAACGGATCAAGCCATTGACGAAGTGTAATAACAAGGCTACACCGAGCTTCGTCAACAGCCACGGCTTCAACATCGGCTGACAAAAACCCGCTGCTTCACGTTCATTCGTCACGAGCAAACGATCAAGCGCTTCTTACACATTGAACGACGCATTGCGCTTTCGAAGCCGAGCAACAACACAGTACAACACAGAGGAAATTTTGACTTCTTCTGCACAGATGTAGATTGAAGAGCCGTGGCAGGGGTCAAAGTAAAGACGTCGAAATGATGCCTGGACGGCTGGTCCACAGCCCAAGCCCGAAGATGATGAGAAGCAAGTCTCAAAAGCTGCAGATGAGGTATATGAGGCAGGCCTTACAATCCTCAAGGCTGAAAAATGCGACTCATTGAGACGAAGCCAGACTCCGACGTGGATAACCAATCTACATCCGTACTTCTAACAACAAACTAAATATATATATACCTCCAATCGTGGATTCATCTGGAGGCCGCCGATACAGGAACAATCTTACGTGGCCTGTGTATGATAACATGAAGGGACTAGTCGCCGTTGTCGAAGGTGCGTTCATCACACGTTGTTATCCAGGAGATGCTACTGATCTCCCTGGCATACTTCAGACACCCCACAAGATAGAATCACCATTGAAAAGCCACCTTCTCGACGAGATGAGCCTTGAGCAGCAAGTCAAAGCTTACAAGAAAATCAAAGTGGTCAGATCTCGCCACGCGACAGAAGAAGGTGCAAAAACGGATCCAAAGGAAGGAAGAGAAGGCGCAGGTCTTCTTCTCGTGAGCATCTCACGATATGGTGGACGCAAATGAGAGCGTCACTCTATCCAAAATAAGAGATTCAATCTGAGTATGCGATTACCTTTTACTCCTGACAGGCTACTCTAGCCCACCTTCACCAGATCCGGCGCCAGTCCAAAGGCCGGACATCAAAAGCAACGTGATAATGGATTTGCAACACTCTATGTGATCTTCTGATCACCGAAACCGCATCAGGCGCCTCCGGCGGTTTGTTAATCAGCGTGTCGCCTCAATACTGGAGCGTGCTATAATTTTCAAGATCATAGAGGACGACAAAACGGTGAAGAGATTTCTGTTTTGGTGGTAGGGGGACGCCTACAGCACGAAAGCAAACAAACGGAGCGCGCTGAAGATTTTCTAAGTCTTTTTCAAAATCTGCCTTTGACTTTATATTTGATTTTGAACAGCGCAGGTTCAAACTCAAAGGCGGAGAGTATTCACGGCTGGAAAAAAGCTTGCTCCTTGGGATTGTCACCGACGACTTCACCGCGTGAATTACATGACCCCCCATTTGGGTGGGGTTGGGGTGGGACAAATGAATTGGATGTCCTGGTGTGAAGGACAAGGACAAGAAGTCCTGCGACTCTTTCGCGTACAACCAGCACAAGGCCAAGGCGCGCGTGGTCAATATCCATGATGCTGTTCATACCCAGAGACAAACGCTCGATCGAAAAACGGAAAACGGAAAACCTAGATCAAGTTAGGTCTCAGTATGTTCGTCGTCTGAAGGGTGACAGGCGACTCACATACTCGGAGCGGACGATCAAGGAGAGAGTGGCAAGGGAAATTGAAGAACGCTTAAGAGCCAGGATTGCCACGATGGACAGTATGTTCTCGCGAAGCGTCCAATGGCTAGAGATCTTTACCAAGATTCGGGCATACTTTACCAAGACGGCTAAGCCAACACCCCCACACTTCGGCTGTACAAAAGTCGAGGATCCTCACCAACGTCAACCAAGCAGTCCATCCTCCCAAGACGTTAAAGAAGAAGCACCAGAACATACCTCGCCGATCTTCCTCGAACCTTTTGATCTCCTCAGCCGTCAAAGAGCTGGAGATCTTTGATTCGCTGAACAACACAACCGCGTCACGATGTTCCAGGGCCAGGTCTTAGATCCTGACAAAACCCTGGAAATGGTTGGAGTTGGAAAAGCAATTGGAGACGTTAGGGGATAGTCTTAAAGATTGCGATAGCGTTCGAGGCATTGTAAGGAAAAGATTGGGGGTCTTGTCAAGGACGTTGTAGGTGTCCTTGTCGAATTGAGTGACTGATTGTCCGAGAAGAAATGAGTGAGGGACGATGGCTCGAGTCAGGTGCTTGACGGCAGCGAAGCCTGTGAGCTGTTGGAACTGAAGGTATGAGTTGAATCATTCTGTGGCGGTCAGTTTTGGAAAGTTCGGTCCATTGGCAGTAGTGATGATTGCAGTGGGACTTGCGGCTGAGGATTGAAATCGCAGTAGATGCCAGATCATAAAGTGAGTGATTATGAGAACCTAATGCTGTATTCTGCCGAATTCTTGTAGAAAGTCTAAGATTGGTGGTGGCCTACGCTTTCGTATATAACAGAAAGGTTTCGATCAATATATGTAAGACCGAACTTAATTTACGTCGTCTTTGTGATGTGTTGTCATTGCCCATTAAGTGCAATGCGAGCATAGATTGACTAAGGATTGTGACTTCAATCAACGATGGTGAGAAAACGAGACCACAAAAGTCTAACGGAAGGGCTTTGTAATTGAGTAGTTCAAGGGCTGTCAGCTGCGGTAATATGTGTCGATGTGTTAAACTTGTGGTTGATGCCAGCTACCCTTTAAGTCTAAAGTCCCAATTAAATATTTGGGTTGGCTGTAGTTGAGTATGATCATGTAACAGACTCTAAGAGATAGACACTCCAATCAATTGAACACAAGCGCCTCAGACCACGATCAATTGTTGACTTTACGAACATGCTTTTGGAAAAGAGGCCATATCACGAACCTCGCCCTGAGTAAGGCACGGTTTGGTTGGTCACTTATGGCTTTCAGAGAGATTTTAGCTCAGGGGGACCATAGATGTCTCATCGATATGGCGTTCGCTTTTTAGACCAAGAGAGCCAGGAAGTCCAACTTGAAGACTTGGATTCCTTCATAGCTAATATTTCTTGGATGACAAATGATAAATATAGGGAGAATGGCTTCGCCTCCCCAACCGTTTGTGAATTGGGCCCCTTCCCCGGTGGGCGGTAGATTGTGCTCATGTGAAGCTCGCGGTATATTTCCTTTTGGTCAAGCTTGGCACCATGTTGCATCATCATATGTGCTATTTCATCCCAAGGTGGCTTGATAATGTATAGGTCAGTGTGGCTTTTTGCAATTTGTTGAATGACTTGATGCCAGATCGATATGTGTAGAAGGCCATTACTTTGGAATCTATAATTCGGGTCTGCCCCTTTCTCTAATAAACAGGCAACCATGTCCAGCTGAGGAGTCGTTGAAGGTTCTCTCAATTCCGACTCCAAGGGAATTGTGTCAAGAAGCAGAGGCCATATTCGGCCCTGGTGATCCTGCACAAGGCATCCGTGATGTGCGCGTGCTTTAATATACTCGACAATCCCGCAACGGACTATCAAGGAAAGATAGGTGGAACTGTTGACCAATTTTTGCCCTAGTTCAGTCTTTGAGACCGTCCAATGTCCTTTGTCCAGCAAACCTACCAGTTGATTGTGCTCCTCGGCTTCAAGAGCAGCCATATATCTTGAGAGTCGCTTCCCGAGAATCGCTCCTGTTTTGTCTAAGTCATCAAGTAGAGGAATTAGATTCTCACGACTTGTTGCTTTCGTCCGAGCAGCGCTGTAGAGACAACGATGAATTCCTGCCCAGAAAGTGTCATGTGTCAAAACGTTCTCGTCGTCAGAAAGCACTTTCAAGTAGCCAAGACCCGAAACACAAAGTTTGTAATAGACATCAAAGGTAGGGTCTAAAGCTGCTCCAAGCGTTTTCTGCGCCTTAGGACCTTCGACGTAGTCTTTTACAGTCCTGTGCAGATATTGGACCGTTGGTCCGGTCTCCTTGCTATAGTCTGACGAGCTACCTACCTCCAGGAATCCTTTGCATCGACTGTTCAAGCGACGTCTCATAGTGTCCTCACGAAAAGACACGTCATCTTGTGTCAAGGGTACAACGTTTCTATTCAGTACGACATCTAGATCCTCGTCGTCCGCAATAGAAAGCAGAAGCAGTGGCGGAGGATCGAGACTCTCTTCAACATACTTGAAGAACTGCGCCGCATGCTCCAAATAGAATGGATCTAAGCTGCGCAGAAGTTTATCATATAGATCTTCTAACGCGGGTGGAAGAAGATCGAGTCGTCGCTGTAGATCTATTACTCGGTCTCGGTTCCCCATACCGGCCAGTAATGAGGCGACGACCAGCGTGACCCACAAGAATACACCAGAAGCTTTTGACACAACATCTTCGATCAACTGGTCTGCATATTGCTGTTCGCTCCTCCGCAGCTGGGCGAACCCTGGATCACTTTGCAGACTCGTTGTTACGTAGTATTTTATGTCGGAGTAGGTAAGATCTTGGAGCATCAAACTTGGCTTATGCTGAAAAGCATCCTCGAATACAATCCAGGGCCTGCTTGAAACACATGCCTTGACATGAGGATTGCTGACAAGAGCTTTGAAAAGCTGTATGAGATTGTCATATGGGCCTTCAAATTCATCGAGACCATCCACAAATATACATAATTTCATTGACTCGCTAGCTTCTTTTGCGATGGCATAGAGCGCATCATGTAGCTCTGACATTGACATTCCCCTAGAAGTTTCATTAAATAGACACAGCATTTCCCATCTGGTGGGTGTGACCTTAGGGATCAAATTCGGGGCTGCTCGTAATATCTGGTGCAGGAGCGAGCGTAATAAGCCTTTTTGCGTCATCTGAAAACGTGCTCCCGAATTCCAGAAGAAGAATTTAGCGACGATGAGCTGAGCAGAGCCAGCCCATTTCCTGAGGTGTCTCGTACAACGCGTTTCTGGTGTGGCTGTTCTGGAATTTGAATCCAGCAACGTAAGATCGCTTCCAATTTCGGTACTCTCGTGCAGCTCAATTAACATATCGCCATCGATTTGGCAGATATACTTCATGAGAGTCGATTTACCAGACCCGGCTTTACCTGTGATCCAGTAAAGCTGAGTGCCGCTTTCCAGCCAGTCTCGGAAATTCGACCAGCGATTTACGGTTTTGTCTTCAAGGGTGAAGATCCATTTGAACGTATTTTCATGTGCTTCAGCGATTCTTTCTTCCCTATCCTGCATGCCATCATAGCACAATTGATCAAGAAACTTAGCGTACAGTGATTCACGCCTTTTCTCTGATATTAAAGGTTGCGCTTCGATCTTCGAATAATCGCGGCTGATGTGATGATCTATGTCAGTCGTCAGGTCAGCCTGTAGACACCGTTCCTCTTCCGAAGACTTTGAATTATTCTTCAAAGCGCTGAGAGTTTTCAGTAAAAGAGTTCCGATGCCATTCGTAAACGCATCATCTAGCCCCACGTCTTTACGAACGGCCTTGATAGTTGTAAGAATTTCCTCTTGCTTGGCTAAAGAATGTTGTCCTTGACGCCTTTCCAAAGCATTTAGCCAACATAAAGAGCGGGGGCATGGCTACAAATGGATACTTCACTCACCGAATCAAGCCAAGAAGGTGGATGGTAAGCTCCTGTCTAAAACTATCAAGTCGCTTCTGTAAAGTGGTGAGGTCTTCCTCCTTCCACATCAATTGAAATGAGACTTTTATGGCATCCCTTTTACGACCTTTCCGTGGTAGATCGATCTTCCTTAGGCAAGCTAGTAGGTCGTGCGCAACGGATTGACACTTCTTGATAAGCTGAACAAAGCCACTCTCGTCCTCAGCTATACTACCAGCATCGAATTGAGATGTCTCAAGGTGCTCCAGGACATTTTGCAGATCATGAGTGATCCCTTGCAGATCAATGACTTCCTCTGCATTCTCAACGCCGAACCGATAGATTCTGCATGCACGGGACGTGAATTTGCAGCCGATTTCAATGAATTGTAGTACGTTAGCAGCCAAACCAACAGCCGCCAAAGCTTCAGCCATGATATGACTGTGTTGCAAGTTCACACGTAAATTTGAAAGGATAAAGTGTGTAAAGAAGCCGTCATTTGGATCAGGCTGAAGAGCTGAAAATAGAGCCAAGCCTTTTGCCACTATCTATGCCCAAAGGGGCTCAGCTTAGTCATGGAGACTCTACGCATGGCTTGGAGTAGGAACTCAAGCATGTGTCTTTTGCTGGTCCCGTTTGGTTTACTGCTCTTCATTATCATTTGACCTTTCCTAGAAGGAAAAGGGCCAACGATAGTCGACCAGAGTATGCCGTGAAAGAGACAAGCGGACATCCACATCCCAGCTATATGACTCAATTAGCGGCTGAGAATTGTCGATGTCAGAATCATCACCAGCTGGTACCCTGATGAAATGGACTTAGACGACGGAGACGACGTCGCTGGTGAGCTTGAGTGGTATTCAACACGGAGCGTAATGTGGATAGTGACCGGTCGCCCAGCGCCGAGAATGGAAGCCGCATTGTCGCTTACATTCCTGCTAAGAGCAGTCCCTCTTGGAATGAACCTGGTAGGCATATTGAAATTGCTCTGGGTTTGGAGCATAGAGAGCTTGATTTGTGATAGCAACAGATAACGTCGGGTACTATGATCGCCACAAGGGGAAAGACACCGCTAGAGACTGTAAGTCGCGACCAGAGATTTAACCGTACGTTGTCCAGGGGAAAAATGAGAAGAATGGTAGAATGACCTACCTGTGCTGCTCCTGCCTCGGCCCGTGAGTTCCCTCTACCCAAGGCTTGGAGCTCGGTGATTCCAAATCCACACATATATCGCTTGATAAAGTCAAGCTGCTCCCCATCCAAGCCATTGATCATCGGGATTTCTTTGGATTGTCAGATTCAGTATCACGGGCGAGAACGCTGACTTTGTACAGACACCCCCATCCAAGCCCTTCGCGCCTTCCCGTTTTTCACACTCCTATTATTCCCACCCTCACGAGCCCCATATAAATCTGATCCACCATCTCCCATATTCTCCCGTCGGCATGTAATGAGCTTCGACTAGCTAGTACCGCCCTATGTCCAGCTTATGGGACTAGAAGTTGTTACTGTGTCTATTTTACGCATGACTTTGACATTCAGCGATTGGAGCGACTGATGCGTCTCTGACATCCAAAGTGGGGCAACTTGTGGGGTTCTGAGCTGTGAGGCGGTGGGTGGCTGGGCTGAAGATCCACAATGGCGCGTAATTGAGTCATTCTGTTGTTTTGCCACACTAGGCTGCGAGCGTCCGTGGTGTGCCATTGGAGTATGGTGCTGTCTAGGCTGGAGGGGTCGTCGTTGGGCCCAAGTCGTCGCTAGCGGCTGAATCGCCTGACCCATCGTAAGACTGTACGCTGTGTGACGTTGTAGACACAGACAGGAAGCGCAAAAGGTGGGTGAAGTATTATCATAGACTAAGCACTGGTAATGTGACTTAGGTATAGGAGAGATAGAGTGTGTGTATTCAATGAGAGGGTATGTAAAGCTGTCAATTTGGAAAGTGTACTGCATCAGTAGTGGAGCGACCGACAGTAGATGAACTAGACAGTGGAGGCAGAGAATGAAGCTAAATTAAGTGATGGCTGCGAGGAATGAGTGTATTGGAAAATAAGGTAGCAGTGCTTAAGCGAAAATGGTGCGGTGGTTGTAAGGAATATATAGACGAGAAACAGAGACGATGAAATAGCAGAGGCGGGAGAAAACAGGCAGATTTCAGTACATGAAATCTATATTAAGGAAATAAAGGATCAATAGAAAGGCTTCTGAGGCATTTGCACATGTTCACACCTGGGAAAGCGGTTATCGCAAATAATTAGATAAGAAATCACGGCAAAAAAGAAAGAAGGATGAGAGTTTGGAGGCAGATGAATACAAATCGCAAAGAAGAAGCGGCAGCAAGAATCAGCTCATCAGCAACAACAGGCAGCAAGCAACGCGTAAAAAGCACAAATTGGCGCGGTATAGTCTTTTCTCCCCCACCAAAAACCAAATTTTTCATTTTCTATTTTCTATTCTACCAAAAAAACAACGCACTGGTCTCTGCAGGCGGCAGCTCCCACTCCTACAATCCTCCGAAGAGGCGTCCACATCTCTCAACCCCGGAGGGGAAAGTCGCTTCAGCCTGCCATCCGGCAGGAGAGGAGTCGGTATAAGCCATTCCAGGCAGGTCGGAAACCGTGTAAAAATCACTTTTGATAAAAAATGCTGTCGTAATCGATACTATTGCGTAACTGATGCTGCCGTAACTGATGCTGTTGATTCACTTTTAAACGCCGTACGCCGGTGGGGGGTTGGGGGTTGGGGGTTGGGGGTGGGAAGCCCGACTCCCCGAGCTGTTGCTGGCTCGGGGTGCCGTCTCTTGACTGAGGGCTGCGATGAGGTTGGGTGTCACCCGGCGCCGTGACGCTTGTCGTTGCCATCTTGTTGCTACCTGGCTCCGTAGCGCTTGTCGTGTGGTTGTACCTGGCGCCGTACTGCTTGTCGGGGGAGGAAGCCCGAACACTCCGGTATGACTACCCGGAATGGACGTCTCGTGACTGAGGACTGCGAGGAGAGGGTTGGTGGTGTGCTACCCGGCACCGTAGCGGATTGTCGATAATAATAGTGGTAATGATATGTGGTGCGTAGACCGGTTAAATGGTGGGATTGGTGCGTTCATGTTGGCTAGTCGGCATATACTTTGCCTCGCTTGGGCATATAGTACATGTTGTCTTCTCGCTCTTCTCGGAGCCACCCCGCGTGGTTGTTGCAGCTGTCTCGATAATTGTTGTCGTAGATCCAACGAGGATGGCTTTTTGGGATCGCGTATGGGTTGCAATTGCCAAAGCGGCCTGTTTTGGGCGTCGGGAATCGGTCTTTGTGGAGCGAGTAGTACGATCGCTTTTGTAACTCTGGCGGAGGCACGGGCTCTTCTTCTTGCTGCTGGCTACAGCAGCCAAACAGCCGCTTGAAGAAGGCGGAAAACATGGTGGGAGCGGGTGGTAGAGGCGGGTCTGGTGGTGGGGGGAGGGCTTGGTGGTTCGTTTAATAAATTTTGTTGGTTAAAAAGTCTTGAGTGACCGTGGGCTTTGGTAAATTTGGTTCAATTAAGAAAGCTTTCGATCATGGGTGGCAGAGCTACTACGAGATGCCGGAGAAGAAAGGAAAGAAGAAACAGAACAGAGGGAAAGGAAGGTCCTTTTATACCTGCGCTCTCTTGGCGGAACCTGCTAGAAGATCCACTCTGGCTGAACAGGGATACAAACATAGTTTCTCAGTGGAGTTGCGCCTTGAATCTCGATTTGTTCTAGTCGTTCTAGGCTGAAAAGACAAGGTTTACGACAGGGCTGTGGCAGACAGCACCACCCACCCTGACTATTCGTACCTGTAAAGACTAGGATTATAATAGAGAATTGGTAAGCGAATGGATTCTTTCTACTTAATTGAGGCTGCAAAGATTGGATTCATAAGGAAATGTGGTGGGCAAGGCGGAACCCGCTTAGAATAAAGACTGAAACGGCAATTCTTGCACAAAGATTTGGCATGTATATTAATGTCTCATTTGAAAATCAGGTACAAACGCGTGAGATAATAGCTTCTTACGTCATCTGACTATGGACCCTCGAGCTCTAGCGGGTGGATCTTGCTGTGGTAAGTCACGAAGAGCCAATCCGCTTCCTTACGTCTCCGCTTTCGGGCTGGCAAAAAGCCTTGTCGTAGTTCCAACGGTTCAATTAGCCTGTAGACGAGATTTGCGGGGCCTTTATTTAGCGAAAATCTGTTCCTCAAGCCAGAGATGCCCCAAGCTAGAGCTTCTGCAGCCATTTTTAGCTAATCTTTTGAAACTTAGCGGTGGGTTTTCTCTTTTGCCTCGGAACAAGAACCCCGTTAAAGCCCCCCAAAGTATCTAACAGGCTCAATTAGCCGATGAGCAGGTCTTCTATGCCTCTCATATTATGGGAATCTGTTTTTGGAACTACAATTATTCTTGATCCAGTACCGTTGCAGCCAATCTTTCTCGCCACTTTCGTGTGGACGTCCCTGTGAACCGGGATCTTGATATACCAAATGAGCGGATTACAGCCCATTCAGTGTGGCAGAGTCCGATGGTTCTGGGGCTCCCCACTTTTGATGGCTTCAGAGGAGTTTTCGCGATCACATGATAGGCGCAAAACAAGGTTTTGGCTTTTTCTTTGGTGTGGCTCCACCGCGTTCTCTACGTATAGTGTGTAGGGCGACATACATAGTCTTCATAAAGATACAATGCACTGTGTCTAAGGATAGCCTATCTGATGGCGGCGTTGGTACCCTATAGCTTCATGTTTAGGATGATGCTGTAGAGGATGTTGCTGGGAAATAGTGGATCCGCTCCGTCAGGGCACCGCCACCACAGCCACACAAGCGGCCAAAGCGGGTCGAGCCGTCTTGGCGCGTCATCCGCGCCCCTCAGACCAGCAGTCTTTTGCGGTCGGCGACCCTCGAACACTGACCTCATTCTTTGAAGATCAACAAGATGGGGAAAAGTGGCAAGAAGCGTAAACGTCCCTATGGACAGGACAGTGCTTCTGCAAACCCTGGTATGGGTGCTGCTCTTGCGCAGCTGCGTGGAGAGCAGCCTCAATCACAGCGTCCCAATTCAACTTCACCAGTTGCGAAGGAAGACTCGCCAGAATCTGGCGAATGGCAGACTATCCAGCGCAAGAAGCATAAGAAGACTAAGCACCCAGAATTGAGATACAGTGAGCTCCATCGTTTGCAGTCCGCTGTGAAATTAGCAGACTTGCAGAGTCTGATTCTGTATTGTATCGCGGATGCGCCTTCTCCGCAATGGGTCTCTGTCAGGCACCATGGCAAGATCAATAGAGCTGTAATCGTATTCGTACCAGGTCTTGAGAAAGCACTGTTTGAGAGAAGCGTCCCACTGCAGGACGACGAGCCAGGAAGTCATGATGCCCTCGTAAAGCTGGATGTGGAGAAGTTTCCGGCTAGTGGTGAACGTCATGGCATTGTATCTAAACTTGCCCAATCCAACCAGTCTCTCCAGGAAAAGCTCAGATCGCCTGATGATTATCTTCCCTTACCTCTCAAATCTGAAGATCTGCCAGATCCGCTAAAGCCTCTCGCAGGACTCTTTCCACATGTTTGGCCCGTTAAAATGCCTGGGGATGACAGAAAAGTCCACTCTCCCCTTCATCATATGCTGCAGTCCCCTATACCTAAGTCATATGAAGAGAAGCTGCGGGACAAACAAATCAAAGGGCCGAAGCCAGCACACGAGTCTCGACACTGGACGAACGAGCGCACGAGCATTGTCAAGTATTTACTGGGGAACGAAGACCTATTAGAGAACGAATATGTGCTGCATCCAGCCTGCTATGAAAGCGCAAGGCTAGACGTAGAGAAGGAAGCCGAACGACGGCGTTCAGAGAATCAGACGGAAGCAGCCGGCTGGAAAAACACAAACGTTACTAATTACGATGATGGCAACGTTCCAGACAAAAACATACAGAAAGGCTCTGTGACTGCAAGCCGACATATCCTCGTTGTCGACTGCGAGATGTGCACCGTCCAAGGCGGCGAGTCTGCCCTTACCCGCGTCAGCATCATCGACTGGGACGGCAAAACAGTCATGGACGAGCTCGTTCAGCCAGACAAGCCCATAATCGACTATCTCACACCGTCCGTCCCTTTTCCCTTCCCATCCCCTCTCCTGAATCCAAACAGACCCACTGACACCCCTCTAGCTACTCAGGCATGACAGCCGCCCTCCTCGACTCCGTCAGCACCACTCTCTCGGACATCCAAACCCGACTCCTTGCCCTCGTAACCCCCCACACCATCCTCCTCGGACACTCTCTCAATTCTGACCTCATAGCCCTCAAACTCACCCACCCTTTCATAATCGACACCTCTCTCTTGTACCCACATCCGCGCGGACCCCCGATGAAATCCTCCCTAAAATGGCTCTCCCAAAAGTACCTCTCACGTTCCATCCAAAACGGGCACGGCACAACTGGGCACAACAGCATCGAAGACGCCCACGCCTGCCTCGATCTCGTGAAGCTGAAATGTGAGCGCGGTCCCAGCTGGGGAACGTCCGAAGCTACCGTCGAGCCCATCTTCAAACGCATGAAGCGCTCTCACGAGGGGGCTAAAGGCTGCATCATCGACCACGGCGCCCCAGAGAAAGGATTCGGCTCGATGGCTGACTTCGCCATCCCCTGCACTGACGACGACGATGTGGTTGCCGCCATCATCCGCGCGGCTAATGGTGATAAAGCTGGGGAGTATATACCAGCGGGCGGGGTGGCGCTCACATGGGCCCGCATGCGCGATCTAGAGAATGCTCGCAAGTGGAGGAACGACATGTTTCATGATCCTGCAGCGCCCAACCCCTCGCCCGCACAACTATCTCAAGCCCTCACCAAGACGGTCTCGCAGATCCAACGCATCCACGCCTCCCTCCCCAAACAAACCCTTCTTGTCATATATTCAGGCACAGGCGACCCAAGAGAAATGGGTCGGTTGCAGAATATGGAACGCCAGTATCGGAGGGAGTTCAGGACCAGGAAGTGGGACGATTTGACGGTGAAGTGGACGGATGAGGAGGAGCAGGCTTTAAAGCGGGCGGTGAGGGGCGCCAAGAATGGGGTGGGGCTGGTTACTGTGGTTTGAGCTGTGATACGAAGGAAATGGGTGATTTCAGGAGAAGAGAATGGGCGAATGTATGCGAGAGCGAGAGGGAAATGATTGAGAGCTGTGATGTGTATTTACTAAGCAAGACAATGCTGAGGAGCACTGATCGTGAGGGAAGGGAAGGGAGGGGAAGGGATGATGTTTGCATGATTCCCTGCTTGCTTGGTCATAGATATCCATGTGGCCTGAATATCTGCAGAAAGATGAACACAACTGACATCCCAACCACTCTCATTCTACATTCACATGAGTCCTGCTGTAGACATCAAAGCTTACGAAAACTTTTGTGAGTGAGCCAGTCACTAAAATGGCACACGAGGTACTCCAAGCAAAGCGCATCGTAACTAGTGAATACCATTAATAGATTGATCCCACCGAGATACCTCATGAACCAAACAGTAAACGTTCACAAAACTCAACGCGAAGAATATCGTAGACGCCAGACATCCACCCCCCTGTCGCTCATCCACCTCTCCTCCTCCGATGCACCCTCACAAATTCCACCTGTTCCCTCTTCCTCAACCTTCCGTACCTTTCCTCAACCCCACTTGTCTCCCCACCATCACGACATGCAAGACCCACTCTCTCAGCCTCCCGCACGTTCTCACCACCTACCGCGCTCCTCCGCCGTAGACCACCAGCAATCCCAACCCCAGTATTTACCCCACCTCTCCTCCTACCGTCTCGCTCAGCACCATACTCACGGCCCCTGTGCCTATTCTCACAGTCCCGATGATGATCCATCCCCGCACCACGCACCTCCATCCCTCTCTGACCAGCTATTCCCCTCATCTCCACGCCAGCCCCTCCCCCTCCCCCTCCCCGTCCCTGCCCAGCCCCAACCCCCGAACGCCCTCCTCCCTCCTCTCCTCTCCTTTCCATCCGAAAATCCACCCTCCTCCGCTCCAGCACACCCACTCTCCCGCACAACACATCCATTTTCCTCCTCAACTCCGCCAACCCGCCCAGCCCCCTCCTCGACAGTGAAGAAGACGCGGGACTTCCCCTCCCAACCGTCCCTGCCCTCACAGTCTCGTCGCCACCAGCAGCTTCCCCCTCCGCGCCCGCTTGCGCACTCCCCTTTCCCTTTCCCTTGCCGACCCCGTCGTCGCCATCACGCTCACCTCGTGATGGAGGGGCGGACCTCTGCTTTAGTACCGAAGCAGCTTCCTCCGTCCCATCCATCCCCGCCCCTCCCCCTAAATCTTGACCTATCATCGCCGAGGACCTCGTCGGCTGCATCTCAGACGTCCGCTCTATCGGCACAGTGACACTGGCGGGCTTGTGCCTTACTCTCTGGAACGCAGACGGGGGTGGCGGTGAGGAAGGGGGTGGGGGTGGGGGAGATGCACGGCTGGGCGAAGAGGAAGAGGAAGAGGGAGAGGATGGTTCTCTCCGCCTCCGCCTCGACTCACTCCGAGGGCAGGGGGGCAAGGCGACGGTGGCGGAGCGGACGGGAGGCTAGGGCTCTCGAGGACAAGGGTTGTCGTGGTCGTCTTGCTTGGGCGAATCTCGGGGATGTCGTTGCCCTGTTTGGTTTGAGAGGGGGAGTGGGGGGAGGGGGATGGTGGCGTGTGCGTTTGTGGGAGAGGGAGATGTGCATTTTTTGTGTCGGGGTCTGGCGAGGGGAGGGCGAGATGGTGATGATGTTAGGTGAGGGCGTCGAAGGGGAGGATGAGGATAGGGATAGAGATGATCTGGGCGATGAGGAGTGTCTGGGTCTGAAGTATGTTGAGCGTTGTCTGGGGGTACTGCTGTTTGAGGAGTGGGAGTGCTTGGTGGAGAGGAGGATAAGCTCGGGTATGCACATTTTCCACGCTCGCAAAGATACGATCGTTGGTTCGGTGGGGAGGGAAGTAACGCGAGCGGACACTGACGTGGACGAATGTCTGCGCAAAAGTTATGCCTGGAACTTGTCAGCTGCCAGAAACGCGTGATCACATGTCATAGGAAAAGTGTGAAGAGTGCACACGACATCTCCAGCTGCGCGATCATCATGAAGGTACCGTATTAATTTTATTCTGCGCAAGAAGTGATACAAAGCAGTCCCCTAACCTCTATTGATAAGCTTTATTCATACAAATCATCATCGTCGGCACCATTACCGAAGCCATTCGTATTATTGGTGTTGCTTCTCCGACGCTCGGGAGTTGAGTAGTCGTTGCTAGTCACATACGCGTCGTCGTCATCGTCGTCACTATCCCATTTGGTCGCCTTCCCTTTACCTTTCCCTTTAGAAACACTGGCGGAGCCGTTCATATTGATCGCAGTATTGGTCCGTTTTGGAGCCTTTCGCTTGGTAGGCGAAGGAGGTCGCAGGTTTCCATCGACGGCGTTGGGTGCTGCAGTTGAAACAACGGCCATAGATCTGGGTTTGGACGGACCCTCGAAATTTTGGCGAACCCGCTGATAGTGCTCAAGTTCCTTTACACTGCAGAATGATCAGTATGCATCGTCAATAGGGAAGAGAGTGATGCCTACCTCACTGATGGCACAAGCTCATTCTGCGCATTAGCAAAGTCATCCTCCGTGACCATGACACTGATGTCCTCTTTCGTGGCCAGATGGTCAAAGAAATATGCCGTAGTCACGGGGCCACCTGGCAAAGCCTTGATCTTGGCATCAACAGCTGACGCTTGCCGCGTTATAGCTTTGAGCATGGCATCTGAGCATAGAGCGTACAGGTCAGCTCCCGTATAGGTGAAGGGCAGAGACTCCGATACGCGTCGAAGGGACATTTCAGGGTGCATAGCAAACTTTCGCGTCAGGGCTTCCAGTATTGTGAGTTGCCTGTCGTGAGTGTCCGAGACTCCCAGGTAGAGCATCTTGTCGAATCTGCCTGGTCGCAGCAATGCTTGATCCAGCAGATCTGGTCTATTTGTTGCGCCAATCACGAAGACTCCACTACCATTCTCTTCTCCGTCACTCATGCCATCAAGCTCAGCCAAAAGCTGGCTAACTATGCGATCCATGACGCCACCACTATCTCCTTGATTACCACGTTTAGGCGCCACAGAGTCAAGCTCATCGAAGAAAACAACACAAGGTCTTGCGTCTCTTGCTCTCTGGAATACGCGCCTTACGTTGGCTTCAGATTCTCCAATGTACATATTAAGTAGCTCTGGGCCCTTTATGGAGAAGAAGTTGAGAGAGAACTCGGTGGCTATGGCTTTGGCAAGTAGCGTCTTGCCTGTGCCAGGTGGTCCATAAAACAGGATACCACTGCGTTTCTTCATTCCCTTCGAGAAGAGCTCTGGTCTTTCCAGAGGCAATTGTATCGTTTCGAGGACCGCATCCTTGACCTGCTCCAATCCACCAACATCATCCCATGTCACGTTAGGTATCTTTGGTGCACCAATAGCGTCAGCAAAGTTTTTGCGCGCAGCTTCGACTGCAACTTCAAAATCAGCTTTGGTGAGAAACCCAGCATCGCCTCCAGCAACGATTGCATCACGAATCAGAGGCAAATCGTTCCCTTGAGAGGACTCCGTCACAAGTTTTTCTAACCTGTCTTGCCTTGCAGCCTGCGCCCGATCAGCAACATCCGCAAGATTTCCTGCGACCAGGGCAGCAGTCTTGACAGCAATGGCTGCAAGATCCACGTCACTGGCAAGTCTCAATCCTCGCTCTTGCAAAATGTTCTGCAGCAATCCTTCTCTTTCTCCCTCGTCTGGCGCAGAGACTTCGATCTCATGGCTGAAGAGGCCGCGTAGTTCTTGTGGAAGTTTATCAAGCTCAGTACTCGTCGCAATAAAGACTCTGGCATCCTTAATTACGTCCTTGATGGCTTTAGTCATTCGATCAGCTGTGAGTGCCTCAACATGGCGAAGTAGTATCGTTGTGTAAGCCGCACCACAAGCGAGAGCACGCTCGCAACGCAGCTGGAATGATGTCTCTGCCTTGACATCGCCGCCACCAGTACCCTCTGCGAGCAGGTCGTACGCATCGATGCTGAATGTGTGCAGGCCGATATCAGAAGCAGCACGCTTGGCGAGTGTGGATTTTCCGATGTTTCGCTGATTAGAATGAAGTAGTATGATGATGGGGGCCATTTTCATATGGAGAGCGCGAGGATTCGTCGCCGCCGCGAATAGCTCACGGAGGCGCCTTTGGACATTAGAAGAGTACGTTGTTGATAGAGAGGCCAGGGTTGTTCTGGGCGACTGCAAAATCCCCCAGTAGGATTGGGCTTTATGCCAAGGTAAGTCTGGAGCGTCTCACCCAAACTCGAAGGAAGCTTGCATTGCTCGCTACCAGCTGTACTCGTTCGCGTACTGTTGGGTACAATGCAAAAGGCTCCATTCCACACGTTAGACGCCATATCACTGGCTTCTAGCGGTTCAGGACCGCTCAAAGGGCCTACTTTAAACCAAGCAATGTCCGAAGCTGACTTGAGTGCTTTGGCCGCCTCGTGTCCTCCAAGAAGCTCCTCCATCTCCAACCCAGTATCCGACGCCTGACCAGGTCGAGCAAAAAGACGACTCACAAATGCGTCGAGTGGTACGGCAATGAGATCTCCTTGATGAACGATACGACACTGCAGTTCGAAGTATTGCTTCAGTGCTACGAAGAGGGCGTTCTGCAGGGATGGCGAGGGATCCGTGGATAAGGGTGTAGAGATTTTGAGCAAGCTCATTTCATTGGCGGTCGGGGGCGCAGCAGTAGAATCGAGCTTCCTGTTACTAGATTTCGGTCTTGACGAGGGTCTATGAGGGGTGGCGATGAATAGCGGGCTGATCCTGATGGACTGCGGATGTTGTAGATTGGTGAAGAGGATTGGAGGAACCCATGCCGTCAGAGCTCCAGACGTGAAGCCTGTCGAAGTTTGCACGCTGGACCTGCGCGTACGAGGCATTCCATCTTCGCTGCGTCGAATAGCTGGCGAATACAAATCCGTCAAGCCAAATATTTTGGCAGGCTTGTAATCCTCCGTGACTTGCAGAGAAGAAATACTCATCAAATGTTTTGTCATTTGATCCTCGTTGCGGATTGGTTCTAGTTTCACCCAGTCACCGGAAAAGCAGCCAAGTCTCACAAGCAGCTTGATATCGACGAAGACTCGGCATTCTTCATCGTTGTCAATACTCGGGGTCGGATGGAGTAGCTCGTGGGGCACCCGCTGCGAAAGACCCTGTACTTTGAAGACTTTGCCTCGGGAAAGCTGATTCTGCCTCGCTGTCATACTTGTCATATTGGAGAAAATTGATCCCGGCGTGCTGACACCGTTCGTTCTAGAAGCATATCCGCGTGGTGTGACAGTAGTCCTCGAAGACATCATTGATGGTCGTATAGCCAATGACGGAGTATTCATTGTTATCATGTCATCAGAGGAATCATCCGAAGAATCTGCAGAGTCCACATCTGCTTCATCGGGCTCAGGGTCAGACTTCTGGTTCTCATCGTCAGAATTATCGCCATCCTCAGTAGCCGAGTGGAAGTCTTCACTTGAATTCCCGTCTGCGTCTGTGATGTCAAAGTCAGTCAGACTCTTACTTGAAGAGAGGACTGGCAGGGGCCCTTGTGATGAAGACGGCTCCGGCTTGCTCGCTAAGGGTGTGCGATTTAACACGATCTTGGTGAGGGGCGTCGGGATGCCTTGACTGACAGGCTCACAGAGTACGATCTGCGCTGGCGGGAAAGGGACATGCGTAATGGGATGCGTTGGTAGTGGCAAACGCAAATCGTCGCCTTGTCTAGCTATAATTATATCATCAAGCGCCTGTCGAACGGCCACTATCAGATCCTCCTCTATAGCATCCTTGACAACACTATGATCTACACCATCTTGCCGAGACTTGGTCCCCACTTTAGCAAGCTTCTTCCCTGTTCCCACATGCCCCTTTGTGACGTCGCTCAAGAACCCACCACCAAACGTATTCTGTACTTCCTCATGCTTCCTCAAGGCATCCCCATCCACCGAGATGTATATGGAGCTCAACGATAAAGGCTCCACTTCAAGGACGTTGAGTCGGTGGCCCAGTCGATCTCCGTTGCCGTGTGCATCGTAGGGGTTGCTTTGGAGCTGTCTCAGCAGAGAATCTAGGCCCGCAAATGCTGGCGGACATCTGATCACGCTTTGGATTGCTTCTGACGGCTCCTCCTCTTTGCTCAAGCCTACTCGAATGGGCAATATCGTCCAGTGATGATTTTGCAGCTGCCGAGATGGCTGAGGCGACCAAGGTGTCACAGCAATGCAGTGTCGTTGAACGTGCTCCCCCTCATCTTTCTGATATGCATCGTGACCAAACAGCTCAGAGAACAAGCTCCGAGATATCAATGCCTCATTGCCTTTGATGTTTTCGCTTGGTTGCAGCCAGGCGGAGAGGGGTTCGCGGTTGGGGCGTCGCCGCCGCTTTCTTTTCCGATGCTCTGGTAGTTGTGGAGGGAACTGCATGGCGTCACGAGAGGACTAAGCCAAGCGTGAGAGAATCATGGGGATCCATGACAAAGGGTGGAGGAAGAAGTCGCGTGTGGGGAAGCGCGTGCCATTTAGGTATGCCGAAGCGGCAGCCGTTAAGCCGAGGTCATTTGTGGTCTTGCAGACACGGGTCCCTGCAGCTCAAGTGTGACCGTGAATGTGACCAAGATGAGCTATGAATGAATCATATTCATTCATGTATGGCCACCATCAATGAAGTAGATTCTTGAGAAACAATTTATGAGCAGACTGTTTTTTTAGTCCTCGGATTTAGCTTCGGAGATAACGTGTGAATCTTGGCGTTGGAGATAAGATAGGCAAAAGTGAGGTTTTTCGCTCGACCCCTCCCTGTCTACCTTCCTTGCGATGCAATCGATTTGTGTACTTGAGCGACTTGGCTATCTAAGATTTCATTCCATGATCATTCCACAAGGTAGCAGTATGTGAGGCTGTCTATCTTTGGTCTGCAGACACGCTTCATTCGACAGTCTTTTCCGAAGCTTCTCTTCTTGCCATGGAGATGAAAGAAATTCTATGTGGTACTTCGTCCGAATCGGCCACTGCCCACAAGATACGACGCAAGAGCTACGGCATCTGTCTGGAGAGGCTCAGTAGATGATAGCTCAACTTGCTCCTAGCATCGATGACTTATACCAATCGAATCATACCAAGGAATGTCCTCAGAGCGGAAACTTTCTATGGGGCGATGCCTTATTTAGACAGGGGCAATCTGCATCGCGCAAGACTTGCAAACTGTATCGTGTTGCTTTTTGAGTGGTGGTGGATCCAATGGATACAGCCGCTCCAATTCCCGCGACGGCGTATGAGCTACAGTTTGACTCGCATCGTTTCACACTAGAACCATGACCAATTTGAACTCTGCATGAGCCACATGGTGATCATTCAACCCCAGAGTCGATCATCGTTGGTGTGGGGCTGATCACGCGTCCCGTGGGGGGATCATGGATTGGTTTTTTCGATCCTTTTCTGTCCTGATTGCTTTTAAATTCTGCAAAATATCCTGAAAATCACTCCTTACAGGATTCGAAAGTCGATCATTTACAGCGTTCCCTGGAATTGCATACGCTCTTTCCTGAAATGATTGTCCACTCTCGGACCCAATCAGTCGTAGTATTTACATTCGCATTCCTTGTCGTCCTTTACTTGACTTGGCATCATAAGGATAAACTATCTTGCGGGCTACGAGTTCTGCGAAAGAGTAGCGATTGTCGAGGACGATCAGGCAGTGACATTCCTGGGGCGGCTACGGAATTACAATCAGAGTCGGAAGACCTCAACGATGGACAGAAAGTCTTTGCAAGCGATGACGACCTTGGATCTCCCAAGATCATACAATGTAGCATGAGCTGGGGTGATATGGCTCACGTCTATCCAAATGCTCTAGAGACCCACTCCAAACACGGAAAGAGATGGGGCTACCGAACCCATCATTTTGGCCACAAAATTGTTCATGCGGAGAAAGCGCAAAGCGAAAATTTCAATAGGCTCTACTACATTCAGTCAATCATGCTTCAAGAGTTGAGAAAGCCTCCTATTTTACGTGCGGCGTGGGTTGTGTAAGTCTGATACAGTATCTCCGCGTGGCATTCGTTCTGCTGACGCGTGAATAGTTGGTACGACGCAGACACAATTCTTTTAAATACCGAGATTCCATGGGAAACCTTCCTGCCACCTAAAGACGCCCTGTTCAGCAATATTAACATGCTCGTCACGAAAGACGGAGAGGACTTCACAGACGGTATTTTCTTCATCCGCGTCTGCGAGTGGAGCCTTGAGGCTATTTCATCAGCCATCGCCTTCCCCAACCTTCAACCACAAGAATACATCACACTGGCTACCGGAGGAGGCAGCACTCTTCAATGGGCGTTCGATCGCCCGCATTTCCGGAAGCACAGGATGTATCAGCCGCAGCATTGGTGGAATGAACATGAGCATGTGCACAAGCAACCGACTAATGACTCTGCGGAAGACGAGAGCGAGACGGAGAGCGTAATGAAAGGTGTCATCAACATGCACTTCCCTCAAAAGCAAGCGAATCGCGAGAAATCGGTTGAATGGTGGCTCACCGAGCTCCAGCAGTCGCCTAAGGAATTTGTCATTGCTTTAGACGACACCAAATATGAGAAAGAAATCGACGACTTCTGGTCTCTGCTCAAGAAAGCCGAAGAAACTTTGAAATGGTCCAACAAAGCCAATGCGAGGATGAAGAAGAAGTTCAATGTCCAAGCGACTCCGAATTTGGTAAGGGAAGCTGAGGAGGCGCTGCAAGAAGCGATCTACGAGGAGGCATATGATGGCGAAAAGGTTCAATTTCGTATCAATGCGTTGAAGGAAACGAGTAAGGCTGCAGAGAAGGAGGCTATGGACTCGAAGCATGATTTGACAAATTTTCTGCCCGATGATAAGCAGGAAGGGACAGAGGAAGGGAAGGATGAGAAATCCGATGATGCAGCTAAAGAAAGTGAAGAGGAGGGCGGAGGTGCTAGATTTGGGACGTCGCCACCTAAATTAGATCAGCAAGATCAGCGGAAGGGCATCAACGGCACCCTTGAAGCGCGCCGACTTTGACAGAGACCTCACCCTTAGAGCAATGGAAGTATTTTGCGAGCGCAGGCATATTCATATACCTCTTCGACAGCGGATTGTCCAAGACAGAAGCTCCTCTCAGCCTTTCCACTCGCCAGAGTCTGCGTACACGCCAGACAATTGTCTCCAGAAGTCGCATCTAATCAAGGCGTAAAATAATCAAGAAAAGGCTGAGAACATATTTCCAGCGCTCAAGCGTATTCGCCGACTCTTTGGGAATATCAGTCATCACCATGAGTAGGGTCTCTACTCCGCCCATCGGAATTCCCAGTCTGGAATACCAGGACTCAATTCAAGTCACATTCGAGCCTCGCGGGCTCGAGTCGCGGCTTTTGTACCTATACGACGTTACAGCTATTTCTGGTCGCAGGAGTCCCCTAGTTTCACACGCGCATCGCATCGATCATCCTCAAACACCCCCCGCTAGGACACTGACGGCCGCCGCCCAAGCCCAGTCTGAATGCACATTTCACTACTAATATAGAACGCAGCATCAATTTTGCACTCACTCTGCATCTTTTCTTCCCAGGATTCCAACATCCACGAGGTGAAGACTTCAAGAAAAGAGAGAAAGGAAAAAGGTACGATGCCGCTCACCAACAAAGCCATCAACGCAAAGCGCCGCCACAATCCCACCCCATGGCACAAACTCGTTCTCTTCCCCTTCTGGATCTCCACATTCCCTCTACAGATCACCGTACTCGCCTTATCGATCTTCGCTGCTGAGCGCATCAAGGTGTCTACCAATGTGTATGTCCTTCTCCCTTTACCTCAGCCCCTCTCCCATCCCCATCCCCATCCCCATCCTCTTCCTCTCCCTTATTGACAACCCTCCAGCACCTCCATTACATCAATAACCTTCTCCACAGCCGCCACCCTCCTCATCCTCCTCGAAATAACGCTCTTCACCCTGCACCGCCTCTCACCACCACATTTCCTGCACACGCAGGCGCTAAAACTTACGTTCGCGAGCTTGGTGCTTGTACTGTGTTTTGTGGGTGGGGGATTCAGGCATATGACAGTGGGCTATATGTCACGGACGGGGTCGGAGGTGGGGAGGAGGATGGTGGGTATATTGACCGTATTTGCGATGTTGGAGTAAGCCTTCCTTTCCTATTATAGCTAGTGACGGTCGCGGAAGCTGGTTGGATGTGGTAGGGTGCTGTAGCAGAAACGACCGATGCTAATACCTGGGCCAACAGAGCGCTTTACATCGGCAGCCTCATCTACAGTATCGTGATATACCGACGCCATCGACGCGACCACACAGGCTCGTACGACCAAGTCCCCCCCATCCCCATCCAGGCTTTTTCTTCCCCACCCTCATTCCCAGCACCACCAGGCTCAGCTCCCTACCATCCCAGCCAGCAGCAGCACAACCTCGAGTATTCCTCCCCCCGCCTACTTACCCTAACCCCAACGCCATCCCTGACGCTCAGCACACCCCGAACGATAGGTACCAAACCCACACCGACGCAAAAGACGCCCCACCCACATCCCCACCCCGCAGGAACGAACTCGCGGAGATCAAGACGGTGCATGAGCTCAGTTCGTGGCGGAGCGTTAAGTCTGCGACGAGTAGTCATCACTAACCCTACCCCTGCAGAAGGTGGGGCGGGAGCTATACGATATTGTAGTTGACTTTGATCTAAGCGGGGGGTGGGAGATGTTTGAGATATTTCGGCATTTGGGGATGGGGATATTTGGCATCCTAGCTGAGGCGGCGGGGAAAGAGAGGGAGGGGAAATAAAGGGAAGGGGAAAGACTAAGGTGTTGATTCCGGTGGAGTAGGGGGTAGTAATATGATAGCACGCAACGAGGTGTGCCCAATCAAATGTATACTGTGATCTTTGTGTGTTTAATCCTGGGGTGGTTCCTTACCCACACATTTCTTCCCATCTTTAAATGCTTGTATCCCATATCCCCCCAAACCCAAAAAAAGAATCAAAACGCTTGCGGTGCCAAAGCCCAAGTCTTACACTTTTATCCACTCACTCATACAGGTATATACACCCTCCTCAGAACCCCTCCAAGCCCTCACAACCCCTCGGCACCACCACCCCCTCCCTCTCCTCCGCCTTCACGCTCCGCCACAGCACCTCCTTCACCCCTTCATGTACTTTTTCCGGCGCATCCATAGCCCACAGCACATCCAGATGCTCATATTCAGGGATGACGGTGCTATGCACGACCCTGACATGCGGTTCTCTCCCCCTCTCGAATCGTCTCAGAAGCCGGCGTCCATCGACGAGCTGGTCGTTACCCGCGACCCAGAGGGCGAAGGGGGGCACTTGGTGATTGTACCAAGCTCTCAGCCCACGATCCTTCGCGGACGAAGCAGCGTTGGGGTTCGAAGGCGCGGGCAGGGCGTGCTCCGTATTACGATCAAAGTACGCATCCTCACTACTCCCTCTCCTCCTCGGCTTCTTCGTCTTCGCGATCCTCCTGTAATTTCTCCTCCCGCGTCGCAAGAATGCATTTCTGCTGCGCAAAACACTCCCTCCCGAGCCACCAGCGCATACTCTCCGCGCTGACCCAGACGGGCGAGAACATGAAGAAGCGGTCGCGCAGACCGAGGTCCCAGCGCGTGTCGGTCCAGTTGAAGAGGAAGGCGAAGACGCGGTAGCCCATCGCGCCGTACAGCCGCGCGGGGAGGTATTTGTGCATTGTCATCATGAAGGGGATGAAGGCGTGGATGCCGAACATCATGCGGAACATGCCAGGGGAGATGATGCGCATGAATTTGAAGTACATTTTGCCGATTAGGGGGCCTGCGTATACGGCTGGCGCCAGGGCGCAGAAGACGCTGATTTTCTCGCCAAGATCCGGTCGTTGGCCTTTCGCCAGGGCTACGAATGTCTGTGTCGTGCCCTGGGAGTGACATACCAGGCCGAGCTTGGGGAAGCCTGTTTCGGCGAGGACACGGGAGATCAGCGCCGAGAGATCCATGACTCCCATTTGGCGGATATTCCAGTTCCACATGCGCGGGTCGGAGGTGGAGAGGAGAGTGTGTTTCGGGGAGAAACCGCAGCGGTTGTTGCCGAGCCAGACGTCGTAGTTGGATTTGGCAAGGGAGAAGGCGAGGGAGGCGTCGTCGTTGACGCAGTATGCACCGGAGGATTGGAGCAGGCCGTGCATGAGGAGGACAGGGTATTTGCGTGTGGTTGAATTGAGAGGATTGGGTTTGAGTTGGGGAGGGGTGGCAGTAGAGGTAGTGGAGGAGGAGGGAGAGGTCTCGGCGGATTCGGAGAAGGTTTTGGGGAAGCCGATCGGTGGTTGGTGTGAACGTTGGGAGGGAGAGGCGGGAGAAGAAGTGTGTGGGTCGTAAACGTGCTGGAGATTAATGATGAAGCCGTCCTCGGTTTGTACGGCGTATTCTTCAACCTCTAGCCCTACACGGCGTGCGTAATAGCGGACATCGCAGACTAGAGGGTCACGGCCACCTTCGAGTGGAGGGTGTTCCGCCCTGTCTTGACTTACTGCAGCTTCGCCATTGACCTGGGGCGCTGACTCTGCTGCCTTTTGTTTTCTCTTCTGCCGCTTCCAGGCGAGGGCTTCTTCTTTCCTTATTTGATTCCGTCTTCTCTCTTCTTCGTAGAATGGACGACGAGAATCGGGATTCTTGAATTGTAGCCGCATGCCAATATGTCGGAACATCATTGGGATGCTGGTGAAAGCAGAGCCGAGGACGATGACCATGAGGAAGGACAGTGAGAGGACGTAGGAGGAACAGCGGAAAGCAATACATTGCAGTTCGCGTGTGAAAGTCGGCGGTCCTTAGAGTGGAAGGTCGGGGAATAGAGGATGCGTCCGCTGGGGCGGTATTGCTGAGCGAAATGAAGCTCCTGGTTGTGACGATTGCGCTGCATTTCCATCATTTTTGCTCGATGCCTCAGACAACGAGTCTTCGGACCCAGACAATCTTCTCCCGGTGTGTGATGAGATTCTTGACTCATGCTCTTCAAGTCTTTCTCTTCTTTTGTTCAATTCGATAGCCTCTTTCAATGGCACGGTTGGTAGCCTTTCGCCATTCGCAGTTTCAATCACCGGATCCTGCGGTGTGATGAACCGAGCCTTGATGGCCGTAGTAGGGTCTGGGTCTGGGTTTTGTACATCTTGCCTTTGCAGTGACAGCTTCTCTGCTTGTTTGGTGAACTGAATTGCAGCATTAGCTTTGGGCTCGGGGGCGTCTGCTGTCATGGTAGAGGCTTTTGCACGCGTCGGAGGTGTAGATGGGAAAAGAAGTATGCACGCATGGCAATGCAAAATAGACGATACAACAGATATTCAAGAAGCGCATGGAGGCGTCAAGACGTCAAGATAAGCAAGACTGGTGGAAAGATGCATGGAGATCAAAGGTCGAGATTTCGAAATTGATAACGGCGGATCTGCAAATGCCATTGACGCTAAAAATAGCCCGATTAGCCTTGGGCCAATGACAGTGATGAGAATGAACGTCTAGTGTCGTCAGCTTCCTCACTTGCTCTTGTCTCGGCCATGGCTGAAGCAGAGGTCTAGCATCTGTTAACTTGAGGGAGAAGCTCTGATATTGCGGCCGTGACGCATGATGAGATTCGACGTTCGGGTTGCGAGATCTCGAGGAGCGCTAGAGCGACAACAGCTTAGCTCCATCTCGCTAGCGTCATGCCAAGCATCCTCGAATTCCTCGGGGATGATGCAGAATACATGCTACCTTCTATGTTCTAGCGAGTGCTTGCGCCCAGGCAAAGTCTAGCAATCTTTGGGACAGAGTCCAAGGCTTGCTTCGAAGGGAGGCGTACCACGAGTATGGTGTCGAAGCGCAGCAGCAGCCTAGGGTTTACGAAAGCAAGGTCAGATCAGATGACAAGGTAAGAGTGTGTCTTCAAGATATTTGTTGCGGGAGGAGAGTCTGTGAAGAAGAGATCCAATCACGGCTGAAGCTTTTGCGTTGAGCTAGCTAGGATGGTCAAACATGGCGGTGCACCGACTTCAGCCTGATGGACAATCTGCAACAATCATCCTTTCACGTATATTTTAATATGTTATCTCGGAAGGGTATCCGTCATATATGGGGTCAAATTAATGGTCGTGCTAAAGAAGAGCGACGAAGTGATCCACAAAGAAAGAAGTCATACCCGTATCAGCCTTTGCCCGGAGCAGAATGGACCAGACTTCTTGAGCTGCAACCTGGATCAGGTCCATTGGTGTGCGGCCTTAGACCTGCAGAGATCGAGGGAGATATAGTGCAGTATGAAGCACTATCGTACGCGTGGGGGAATACTGTCGACACAGTTGACATTGACTGCGATGGACATTCTATTCCAATCAGACAGAATCTAGCAAGCGCACTCGTTCACATCCGGCATGAGGATAGGCCACGTCTTCTGTGGGTTGATGCCGTATGCATCAACCAAGTAGATTCACGCGAAAGGTCTCAGCAAGTACAGCTGATGGGTGAAATATTTGCCAGCGCAAGGAAAGTACTTCTCTGGCTCGGCGATGATAAAGATGGGGAAGCGGATCAGTGCTTCGGTCTCATCAAGGCTACAAATGACACGCTCCAAGAGCTATGGGATCGATCCGGAGAAGTTAAAAACATCCCGCTCATCACATCTGAAGATGGAACGCTTTGTAATGACAGCGCAAAATGGGACATGGTTCGGCAATTCTTGAAGTCAGATTGGTTCAGCCGTGTGTGGGTTTTGCAGGAGGTAGGTCTGGCGCGAACTGCTGTAGCTTTCTATGGTGGGACTAGCATCCGGTGGAGCCAAATAATAGAGTTTTTGCTCTGGGTAACCCTCAGCGCCAACATTAGAGATCTCGTCGGATCCCTAGGGTCTGCCAGAACTGCGAACGTTTTCCTTGTTATGTGGATCAACAGTCATGAAGGTCCGTCGTGGATGGACGAAATGCCATACGCTAGATCTCTTCTCGGAAACAGGCCCAAAAGTATGTTTCTAGATATCTTGCATGCGCAACGCCGGTATCGAGCTACAGATCCGCGAGATAGAGTGTACGCGTTTCTAAGTCATCCTCTAGTACCTCTACACTCCGAAGATGGCAGAAAGCTCATCTCAGCAGACTATAACCAAAGTGTTGATCAAGTCTTCTTCGATACCGCAAGATCTTTGGTCCAACTCGATGCTCTAGGCTGGACCGTTTTATCTGCGGTACAACATAGATCAAGATCAGGTATTTCTTCAATCCGAAGGCCGACTTGGGTTCCACGGTGGGACGAGGACTCGTCCCTAGCCAGACTCGGTCGACCAAGCAAGTGGTACATGGCTGGAGGACATGATAGTTTTCAAGCAAAAGTCTCGGTGTTATCGCCATTGGACAAGTGGCTAGAGGTCAAAGGCGCTGGCTTCGATCGTATCACGTGGACATCGAAAGTCTTTGCCCCAGAAGACTTTCAATGGAGTAATCAGGTAAAGAGCTCGCCACTACAGCATGCATGGCAGCAGCTTGAACAACAAGGACCAAGTAGTGTTTACCAGTCTTCTGACCTGGACCAGGAGCACGCGTTTTGTCTGGTTTCGGTCGCTGGCATGGAATACGGCAAGGACAGCAGACGATATGAGCTCAGTCGGCTTTGGGCGGACCACACAGCATGCAAAGACGTGTTGTTGTCTGAGAGTAGGGCTGTCGCCGAATCTCTCACTGACGCGCGACGAGCAGATTCTTCCAAATCAAAAGACATGCTCAAGAAAAGGGCGCTGGAAACGGTTGTGTTACAACGCCAGGCGCTACTGAATCGCCGCTTCTTCATGACATCGAATGGCTATTATGGAGTTTGCCATTTTGAAGTGGAACCGGGAGATTGCTGCTTCGTGTTGAGAGGAGCTAATGTACCCTTTGTTTTTCGTCCAGCAAGCCTCAAGAACCAATCCATACAAAGATATCTGCTGGTTGGCGAAGCCTACATTCAAGGCGTCATGGAAGGAGAGATCTACGAAGAACTGGCAAAGGAAGGGACGCAACTCACAGAGGAGGATATTGTGCTTATCTGACGTTCATTAAGAAATGAATACAGATGCCACCGAAAAATGCTGAGCACTTCCCCAGTGATATTATTTGAATGCAGTAGAGTAATTCAGCGAACGTGTACAAGAGTATTTAATACCACATCCACTTACGTACTAACATATTCCACCCTCCAAGTCCCTTCCACCTCCCAATTGCCCGATGCCCCCTGCATACAGCACCACCTCACAACCAAAGGTCCCATCCCAATATCTCCACATCCCAAGACCAGCATCTACTACTCGCACCGCACACTCTTGCCCACCCCATCGTCGTCCACCAGAGAACGAGCTTCATCCCTCCTCACACCCCTACCTATACCCCAGCAAGCCCATGCGTCCCAAACCGGGTACCTGCATCCCCCTCCCCCTTCCCCCCTTCGAAGCAAAACAACCGCCCCCCTATACCCACGCAACATAACTTCCATACCTCGCTCTCCCTCTCATGTAGAAAACGTGCCTGCGTCTCAATGCCTTCAGAGACCCCCCAGCCTCAGAACTGCACTCCTCCCCCTTCTCGAGGTATGAGAATGCAAGCGCACACCCACAGTCTTGTCCCACGTAGCCTTGAGATGTGTAAGCTTTGTTCTTCTCATCCATCAGCTCGTGCGGCCTGAAAATGGTGATCGGGACGGGCAGGGGGGTGGTAGGTCGGCTTCTTGATTTCAACCGTTTTGTTTCGGGACGCGATTTCCAAACCCATCGATTCGATGTTTTTTGTTGCTGTGGTATATGCATGTCATGCTTGCAGCTCGTACATCTCTTGCGGAGACTTCACTTTTCCTTCTGCTGGATATGCGGTGGGGAGGAGGGGGGAAGACAGGTCGTGGTCTGCCACGCTCGGCGGCTTATGGGAACGACGTCTCTGGTTGCGGCGGATGGAATTGGAGGGAGGGAGGGAGGGAGGGTACTGGCTCCTCTTGATGCTCGCGAGTCCAGGCTTGCTGCGGAGGAAAGACGAGGTCGGTGGTGGGCTTGTCATCTCCTCACTGCAGACTGTAGTCCCATTCTCTTTAAGGAGCGTGCTTTCACGCTTCCTATGTCGTCCAGCTGGTGGAGATGCACGATTTCCTAGGACTGTAGTTGTTGTTTATGGCCAAGGAATGATTGGACGTCGTCTGTTTTCGCGCTAGTGCAGGACTCGACGACTCCTTGCATTAGTCTTTCCTTCAGTGCAACAAGCAATCCTCCGTACAGGAAGAAAGGAACTGGAGAGGTTGCCTCAGACGCTGGGAATAATGGTACGAGGTCAACTGATGTGAGCTAGTGAAGAAGCGAGTCGCTGCCATCGATTAGCGGAGATTTCTCTCCTTGCCCGACCGCGGCCTCGAAGACACAACGACCTCTTGCGACTGTACTGTGCTGTTGTGGATACAACACAGCCATCGGAAGTACAAACGCCTCAAGACTCGAGTCACAGCCTTTGCAGACCTCATCGGAGCTCGTGAGCAGCCCCAGCCAAGAGCGCTTGCATTATCGAGACTTTCCCTCCCTCCGGCATGGCGCCGCCACAAGTGCAAAGATACCCTGAGCCACTGGAGCAGAGATCTGTTCGAGCAATAGGTGGACACATAGAGAGGTCCATGATCCCAAAAGGAAAAGCTTGTCTCCGCGTTGGGCACGCAGGACTGTGGTCAGCGAAACACACTCGATAGGAGAAGCGCGGAGACAAGAGGACCTCATATACACATGCCTGAAGACATTAGGACACTGTGAGGCATCACAAAGCACTCGAACGCAGTGGAAATCGCAGGCATGACTCGAGCCCTGCCGATCTCCCTGTCCACACCGCCCAAGCCGTAGAGCCAGGTCCACGCTGCTCCCAAGGCCGCCAAGAAGCGGCAGCACGACTCTCGATGCTTCACTATGTTTCCCTGGACACATGTCGGAGGGTTTCCGTGCATCAGTTGATGGGATGTCTTGGTCTCTGGCTTCACATCGCCATTGACGCGGGTGATATCTGCCACGTGCTGTGCCTCGGGCCTCAAAGCTTCATTCGCAGCGTGAAGCAGCTGAGGCTTTGCATGGGGAGACAATAAGAAGCATCATTCATTGAGATGTCTTGGTTTGTGGCTTCACAATGTCATTGATCTTCGGGCATGCTGGCTGATATGCGCCACGTGCTGTGTCTCACCGTCGAAGGCGTTACTTGAAGCGTGAAGCAGACGTGAGTATACAGCGGAAACGACTATCGTGCGTCATTCATTCGAATGTCTCGGTCTACGGCTTCACAATGTGATTGATCATCAAGCGTGCCGGCTGATATTCGCCACTGGCGGCGTCTCGCTCGTGGAGGTGTTTGTCAAGATGTGAAGCAGAGAAGAAGAATAGTAACTGATCGGATTCAAGACAGGTCATGCGTAAGCATCGGTCTTGCTGTCCTCATTCCTCTGTTGACGTGATGGGATGTCATCAATCTACATCCGCAGCACCATTTCCGGCATACGCACGCCGGGGGTAGGTCCCAGCTGCTGGTTTTCTTCTTCACAAGTTGCCACATCGCTCCTTTCCTCAATTGTGCGTGAATTCTTCAATAAAGTAAAAAGCAATGTCTCAAGCAATACGAGAAAAATCGTGAATGCATGTTCGCTGAACCATTATCGGCATACGCATTTTGAAAGACATGCCCCTGCTGTTATTCTTCCTCCTTCACATATTCCCACGTCACTCTTTCGTCCAGCTACGCGTGATCTTTTGCAGACAGACAGGATGAATGTGGCAGGCAAATCAAGAAATCTGACGAAGGGCAAGCCGTTTCTCTGATGATTCCATAGCAAAGGTGAATCGAAAATGTCTCAAAGATACTTCCTTGATCATGTACTCGCCTTCACTGCTGCCATTCATACTTTCTTGGCCAGCTGACGCCCCTTTGTGAACTGTGACTTTCACACACGCCGCCTTTGGATGTCTCGGAGCTGATGAAGCATTCGTTATTGTGACGTGGGCTTTAGCGCGTCGTGGATCCAAGGGCTGGGTATATAAACCCCTTCCTTTCCCCCCAGTTTCTCTCTTCTTCTCCTTTCCTCAGCAAGATTCCTCTCTGAGGCCCTGGCCTAGGAGTCCCATACCAGCCATGGTACTCTTCCCTCCTCTTCCCTTGGCCCTCCCCCACCCCTTCTGGAGTCTCAACATGGTACACATCCATCCTGGTCAAGGTTTGTGAGAGACATACTCTTTGTTGTACTGCTGTACTTGTCTTGACCCATGTTGTATCTCTGAAGACTTCTTTCTTTTATAAATATATACTCTTCATGGTGAGGCCATGGCACCTCCCTTGTCTTTATGCTTTGGGTTCCCTCTCTTTCCCCTATGGAGCAAGCATCCAGTCAGCACTTCAGGCCAAGGTCCTCTCGACTATCTTGATCCACGACGTTCCGGTCTCATGCTCAGTCGTCTTGACGAACTCTGCTATGCAAGAAACGCATCAGCACCAGCACGAGAGCTTGCACAGGCTTACCTGACCCCCGCACTCCCTTTCGATCATTTCCACGCATGATGCAAAGCCCTACCATCGCTCTCTCGAGGTATGGTCTTCAGCTGAAGGCAACATGCATGGCTTGGCACCGCCAAGACTCCGGCTGCTAGCGCACGATTAACGCACAGTTTTTCCTGGAGCAAACTGACCTCGACGCACACCTCACCCTCTCCTTTCCCTCACTTTGACCTCACTCGGGGCATGCGATGGTGACAATCTAGCGGCGAGAGCACTTTTTGAGACCCTCGCTACCTCATCAGGTCGAGTAATGACCCCCTGTGCAAGTCTTGGGTGATGACCTCCGCCCGACCGGTCTTCACCTCACTTTGGCCTCACTACCTACCAGAAGGGCACAATAATATCAAATTCACCGATCCTCTCTTCTGGATTCCTTGGAGGTGAGTAGGAAGAGGTGAAAACCTGGAGAACATACATACTGGCTTCTGCTGTGGAGAGACAGCTCAGAGGAGCTGGGCTACAAATACGAAGCTCTACAAACACCGAGTGGCCGCCTACAGTTCCTTGCACCGACCTTCCCATGGCGTCCTAGAGCCTCAAGAATGGACACACTGGTTCCTGTCGTGAAGAGAAAGCTCAAAGGAGCTAGGATACAAACGTGGAGGTCCTGCGACTCCTTGAGCAACCGTCTTCGACGTGTTAATACTACTCCAATCATCCCATGATGTCTGCTACCTGGAAGACTCTTCGAAAAAGGTCCGAGTCTTTGTGCGGTGATCCAAGAATCTTGACAGCACTATCACTGTACACTTTGCTGACCTTCGCCAAAAACACGCGATCAATACCATACGCCAAATCCCGCAGGAGTGTACGCGACTATCACCACAAGACAGTACTCGCAAGTCTGTCCGATCCGATAATCCTTGGCAAAAGAACCTGGCTCGTACATTGACAGGCAGATCCGCGAACCTTTGAGCAACCGTCTACGACAGCTCGACACTACATCTGCCATCTCATGGCGTCTGGGTGATTTTTTTAAAGAAGTCCGATTCTTGGTACAATGGTCCAACGCGTGTTGAAAACACCATTCAGCATCCAGCTGAGCTTCGCAAAGTACGCGATCAATACCACAAGACAGCATCCGCAGGACTGTACGGTTCGGTAACCTTTGCCAAACAAACCTGGCTCTTGTTTCCATAGGTAGATCTGCTAATCGTTGAGAAACCACCTACGAAAGCTCAACATTACATCTGCCATCTCATGGCGTCTGGGTGACCTTTGAAAAGAAGTCCGACTTTTGATGCAATAGTCCAACACTTTCATCGAACCCACCATTCAGCATGTAGCTGAGCTTCGCGAAAAACGCGATCGGGACACGAAGCCGAGATGATTTCATTTGGACGCTTTGATACTGACCTGGCTCGTTCTGCGATGGCCTAAGACTTATGTCGGTACCATCTTCCAGCACCTAGCTGAAGTCCGTTGATTACGCGACCAAGATCACAAGATAGCACCTCGACTGCTGTACTGTCCGGTAATCTTTGCTGAACAAACC